AGTTCTATTCTATTAGTAAAATTTTTTATAAATAGATAATAATAGGATGCTATATACCTTATAAATTAGATTATAATATATAATACTAGCTATTCTATTTTTTTAAAGTATTAGTCTTAATTTAAATAAGTAAATAAAAATTAGAATATTATAATAATAGAATAGACTTAAATATAGTAATAAGTTATTAAAAAGTAATCTTTTTTTATATAATAAAAAGTTTATAGATCTAGGTTTCTTACTATTTTTACTATCTTAAAGTAAATTAGTAAGAAGTAAAGTAATTCTAGAATAGTCCTTAATAAATCTATAATAAAAGTTATAAAATCTAAGAAAAACTTATATATTATAAAATATCTTAGGTTCATCCTATAATATAATAATATTAATATAATAAGAATTTATTAATACTCTATCTTAGAATATAATATACCCTAAGAACTTAATTTTAGTCTAATAAAAAATATATTTACTTTCCTTAATATAAAGGTTAGCTTTTTAAAGATATTTAAAGACTATAATAATATACTAAATATAAGAGATATAGTTAAGAGAAAAAATAAGAATATTAAGATAAATAATATAAAATTAATTAAGAATATTATATAAAGTAGATTATAAATAGTCCTAAAAGGTAGTAGGAGTATTTATTAAGCTAAATAGTATAATAATATACTTATAGTAACTATATTAATATTAAAAAGTAGTTTTCTAATAATCCTACTTATTAATATAGATATAATAGTAAGTATCTTAAAGATTAAGCTTAGTAAAGAATTTAGTATAAGCTAAATAATCTAAAATTTCTAAAATAAGTAGTAGGAGGTATTAATTCTTTATAATAACCTTATTAAGTCCTTAATAATTAATATATAATTAGAGACTACTATTTTTTTAGGTATAAAAAGAATTAGAGCCTTTATAAAACTCTATAATAGCTAAATTTACCTAGAAGTAATATTATTATTAATATATTTATATAAAGCTTTAAGTTTAGATACTAATAAAGGATATATTAGTCTCTAAAAAGGGTTCATCTCCTATTCTAGAATAATAATATATTAACTCTTCTTAAGTATTAGAGAGGATTTTACTTTAGCCTTATTAAATAGATTATAAAACCCTTTAAATTCTAGAGATAATTTATTAGGAGTTAATAGTAGTTTTAAATCTAATTTATTTCTTAAATTAAGAGGGAGCTATACTTCCTAAGGTAATTTAATAATAGTAAATATATAGGCTTTATTTTAGTAGACTTTTATAAACTTAAATTTATTAAGGAGTTTAAACTTAGGTATCTTAAACTACTATTTTTAAGATTTAGAGTCTAGGATAATATACTTATCCTAAAGAATAGTTATTAATAGTAAGATAGGACTACCTTTTAAGGATAGATTATAGTTAATTATAATATAATCTTAGATAAAATACTATTTAATCCCTTAAGAATTAGTAGTAAATATAGGGATCTTCTATACTTTATAGATTAGTATTTATTATAAATTAATAGTATAGAGATTAAGAGCTATAAGTTTTACTTACTATAGCTTTAATAAGTAGATAAGATAATAACTAATAATATTAACCTTAGTAGAGGTAGACACCGTCTATATTAGTATAAGTAAAAATATAATATTTTATTTAGATATTAATAATAAAATAAGTAGTTATTCCTATAAAAGGGTATTTAGCTAAGAATAGAGATATATCTCTAACTAATTATTATTTTCTAAAGTAGTTTAAGGTTAGAAGAATTAATTAAGTCTTACTTAGTAATTATCTCCTAAATAGTAGTTTTATACCTAGATTTTAGTTTAGAATAATAATTAGAGAGATAAGTATTACTTTAATAATTATAATAGTAAAGGATATTCCTATCTTTATTAATAAGATTTTATTAGGGTTTCTTAGAATTATTTATATTATTTAGCTAATCTCTTATATTCTAATTAAACTTTTTATTTAGGTAATAAGTCTTTAAAATAGGACTAGTATTATTTTTTTATAATAGAAATGCTATCTTCTCTATAAAATACTAATACTAATTTACTTTTACTACTATTTCTCCTTAGGTAATAGATAGTTAAGGTATAGTTTCTTATATCTTTTAGTAAAGATTAACTTAAAGCTTAAAAAAGAAAGTTAAAGTATATTATACTTTATTAACCTAGGAAAAATAATATTTAAGGCTCTTAAGATAACTATTAAAATCCTAAGAATCTTAACTAATTTATTATTAAGTATAGTTCTTTACTATTATAAGATTAGAATAAAAGGTTATTTAATAAAATTATAAAGTAAGAATAGTATTTATTCCTTAAAATAATTATATTTTAGTTTTATTCTAAAGACCTCTTACTATTCTTTTTATAATATATTAATACTACTTCCTTTAATAAGTATTATTTATTTTATTCTACCTAGTAGTAATCCTATTATAATTAGTATTATATTTTATAAGGGTATATTTAATAATAGTTTTAATATATAAGCTATTCCTCCTATTCCTATAAAGTAGTTTTAAGTATAAAAGGTTTAATATACTTAATCTTAATTTCCTTATAATAAGGTTTTAATATAGGTTTAACTACCCTTTATATACTTAATAGTTTAGGATTAATTAAAGTAAATAGTTATTAAGAAGGAGGTAAATATTCTAATTAGTCTATTTCCTACTAAAAGTTATAGATTTTTTACTTAAGATTATTAACTTATTTAAGTCTATTTTAGTTTATTTAGTTATTCCTCTAAAATAGGCTCCTTAATACTATTCTTATTTACTATAGAAGATTACTAGGGCTATATTCTTTAAAGAGGTAGAATTTATTCTAATATTTAAACTTTACTAGTAGGGTGACTTAATTATAACCTAGTTAAAGAGCTAGGGGAAGGGAATAATAAAAAAACTATAATAATATTATAAGTAATTAAAAATAAAGGATTAGAAATTATAAGAGTCTTAAAGAGAAGTTAATTAGGTATAATATTACTAAGATAAGTATAGAATTAGAATAAAACTAATTCTTACTTTATAAGATATCTAGGACCTTTAGGGGACCTAAGTAACTAGCTATTAAAAGAATAATATTAGGCTAAGGTCTCTTAATCTCCTTAGTTAATCTCTTAGCTTACCCCTTAGCCAACCTCCTTAGGTTATGTGAGTGGATTAGCTAAGTTAACTAAGTTAATTAGTTAACCTCTAGCTATCAGTCCTTCCTAATGAGCCTGATCCTTCAGGCACCTCATGTACCTGAACCATTCCGACCAGGGGCCTGACCCTTCAGGCATCTAGGCCGCTCTGACCGTGACAAAAGGATTCTAGCTATATTATAACCCTACTTATATATTAACTATTATTACTTCTAATAAACTACTTATAGTAATAAGTATTAAAATTATAAAGATTCTTAGTCTTTTAAAGATTTATAAATAGTATAAAAGATTATAATAAGAGTAAATAGGTTATTATAATAAGTTAATTCTAAGAATAAGAATCTTATAGTAGATTAATACTAAAGATTAGGATTAATCCTTTATAAGTAGAGGAAATCCTCTATAGGCTTAGTTAGTCCATGGGCTGACTAAGTCCCATGGGTTATGAATATCTAAGTACATTCGCGAGGGCCTTATAGATTAGTGGTGGTTGCCAGTCGCTCTTCACCCGCGGCGAGGTCCTAGCAAGCTACGAGACGTCAGGCTACGTAGGATGTACGAAAGAGGAAGGAGGAGCTGTAAACTAATTGATTCAGAAACAAATCACTGGGGATCTGGAAGACTAGCGATTCTCCATGGGTCTTTTATGTACAGCAATGCCAAGAGAGTCATTCGGGGCTTGGCCTAAAGGGGTTAGGCCTAAATGGGTTGGATCCCAAGCGGCGGTCGCGCGGCCTCCTGTCAGGGTTGCCTGAGGCATCTACTGTAACAAGGACCCTTATACTTACTTAACTAGTTAGTAACTAGTTATAAACTAGTAGGGATTTAGATTTACTTTAATAATATAGTAGTACTTTATACTATAAATATGACTTATTTTTTTTATTTTAGTATAACACTAGCTAGGGACTAGTTAATAGAAAAAAAATTTATATAAAAAATTAGATTATTTTTAAAACTAAAATAAATTATCTATAAATAATTAAACTTATATAGGTTTAATTATATTACTTAAAAACTGTTTTTATACTAGTATAGTTACTAAACTGACGCAAGTTTTTTTTTCTCCACTCAACACGAGCTGCGACCACGGCTGACCTGCAAACCTGACGCCTGAGAGCTTGATTACAAAGACAGTCCTGTGTTTCTTGAATCATGTCACATGACTGTCATCAGCACCCGCAGAAAGTGCGCTAGTTGATTGAATTAATACTGTACATCCAAGCTTCGGACGTCGCTCAAAACCTCGCCAACGGCGTCCCTTTTTGCAACAGAGTCGTGTCAAATTCTAATACTAATCCTGTCTTGTGAACATATCATATCGCTTGAGAGAACCTTTCTGTGACGCCTTGCGCATCGAATTTAGCCGAGGGAACAAGGTCAGCAAGCCACGCCCTCTGCTCAACTTGCCATAATGGTCGTCATGAAGCTGAGCAAAAACCAGCTTAGAAGGGCTCGAAAGAAAGCCCTGAAATCACAGGTATGTCTTGAGCCTACCGTAATGATATCTAAACTAATGCAATTTCAAGGGTCCTGATCAGACGACCCCTGACGCGTCCGAGACGCAAAATGAAACTCCCTCCTTTGCGCAGGACACCGATGTCGTTGACTCGGAAGCCTCAGTCTCTCTCGACCCCAATGATCCCCTGTGGCAGTTGTACAAGGATATTGCGAGCAAGTTTGACGAAGACGAGAATACGAAGTCTGATGAGGCAGACATTCAGAAACCAGAAGTGTATTTTGATGATGACGCCGACATCCCAGAAGAAGAGGAGGACAAGATACCGGCGCTTTCGAAGCGAAAGCGCAAGGAATTAAACAAGCTTTCCGTTGCCGAGCTCAAGGCAATGGTCCGAAAACCGGAGCTAGTGGAGTGGACAGACACCTCTGCTCCCGACCCTCGATTGCTGGTTCACATCAAAGCGCATCGGAATGTCGTCCCCGTACCGTCCCATTGGTCTTTAAAGCGTGAATACCTGTCGTCAAAGCGAGGTATCGAGAAGGCGCCTTTCTCTCTACCTAAGTTTATTCAAGAGACAGGAATTTCGGAAATGCGCGATGCTGCCCTAGAGAAACAAGAACAAGCAACTCTCAAACAAAAGCAGCGCGAAAGGGTCCAACCGAAGATGGGAAGACTTGATATTGATTATCAGAAGTTATACGAGGCATTCTTTCGTTTCCAGACTAAGCCCGAGTTGACTCGATATGGCGAAGTTTACTATGAAGGAAAGGAGTTTGAGACCAACCAACGCCATCTACGCCCAGGGGAGCTCAGCCCCGAACTGAAGGAGGCCCTCAATATGCCACCTGGTGCTCCTCCACCATGGCTAATCAACCAACAACGCTATGGCCCGCCCCCCTCTTACCCAGCTTTGAAGATTCCAGGCCTCAATGCCCCTCCGCCCCCCGGAGCTATGTGGGGTTACCACCCTGGTGGCTATGGGAAACCTCCTGTCGATGAGCACAATCGGCCTTTATATGGAGGCGACATCTTTGGTGTATTGCAGCCCCAACAAGCCGTGCAACAAGGTGAGCCTGTTGAGAGGGACCTCTGGGGTGAGCTACAAGAACCGGAATTATCGGAGGAAGAGAGTGAGGATGAGGAGGAAGAAATGGACGAGGAAGACATAGACACTGGGCTACAGACCCCTAGTGGTCTGGAAACTCCAAGTGGTCTGGTATCAGCTGTACCGTCCGAACTGACTGGTATAGAAAGTGCATCAGGAGAGTTTGACGTACGCAAGCAGTACCGTGGAACTCAGACAGAGGAGGTCAGCCATCGAAGTGCGTTCCACGTCATCCCTGAACTCCAAACACAGGTAGAGGGCTTCTTTGGAGGCGACAGGGTATACGACCTGCGCCAGCCTCCAGAAAACTTGCCTGTGCTTGGTGCTGAGGACCAGACTCGTAAGCGCAAGAAACCTGGTGATGTCGATGTATCTGTGGATCTAGACGAATTGCAGAGTGGTGATGGGATGAACAAGGATAATCTCAAGCGGCTTTACGAGTCTCAGAGACAACAAGAGAACAATCCGAACTGGGAATTCCAGGAAGACCTCAGTGATATGATAGCGCACGAGAGCCGAAAACGACTCAAACCTGAGAAGCGAGCCAAACATTGAGGTTCGTAGGCTACAGATCCCGCCTGGTATTTATGTATCATACATACCGTTTCAACACAATTAGTTTGTACAGTATGTTAGGAATCAGTTCTTATCATGGTCATTTTAAGCCGAGCTGCCATTCGTGTTTCTACTACCTAACCAAGCTTGAGCATCTCGTGTGCAAGAACATCATCTGCCAGCACTTGCAGAAGGGCGAGAAGGTGTCCACGGGCGATTTCCATCCTACGAGGGCCAATAGCTTAGACTATTCAGATTGCCCTACTAAGTCTATCATAGTGTACATCCCGGGGGACTAGGCTCCTACTTTGTAAGGCGAGAAAGAAAGATGCGGAGTGCCTACGACTTCAAGAGCCGCTGCGTGTACAACTCCAAAGGAGGATTTAGGCTCTCGGCTGACCAGGCTCTAACATTGGGTTTAGGCATCTGTCCTGTGAAGCATATTATTGTTCAATTTGAGTCACACTGAGTAATATCTCGATCGCAAGGGAGGCTTCTGACTGGACTGGCCCTGCTCTCCGCTTGACTCATCGGCCCTTAAGTCCGCGCGCCAAGTGTGATGTCAGCCACCCTCTCCAGAGTCAACCCTGGAATCCGCCTGAGCCCTCGACCACTTGTCCTTGTCAGCCCAACCATGGTCGTATCGATGGACGGAGTACGGAGTACTTGAGGAAAAGGCTTGACCAAGAGCAGCCATTGGCGGGCCTTTGGATCAACAAGAACAAGACCCCTCAATCTGGCGCTCGAGCGCTAACCGTTAACTTTGCTCTAATTATGTCTTTTCTGAAGTCTGATGGCGCGAATCACCCCGCGCCCCTTTCCCGTGACAATTGTCGTCATGTGGTGGATCATCCACCACTGTCCTTGGGATCACACGCTGGTCATTCATTGCCTTGTTCGGGGACGCCGGTGGTGGTTCGATGCCTGGATATAAGTAGAGAGAACATCCTGGCTCGCTGAAACAAGGTCATCGGGTTTTTGCTCCTTTTCTCGCGTCGTCTCCAATAATTGGCAATTGCGCGAAAAAAGGTCGCCTGGCGTTGATAATTCCTGGCCACGCGCCAAACCCCGCAGTCCGCAGTCCTCAGTCTTGTGAACATCAATTCTTCTTATTGTCACATATTAACAATCCATAGAACCTCAGCCCCATCAGCAACCTTACGCATTGACTCATAGCTACTACTAGGCAGTCTTCTCAACTTGCGCCTTCTCCAGGGGTGCCTGGATTTACCCTTCTTTCAACCAATTCTTCACCTTTCGCCTAGGCTGCTCTTTTCCGCTGATATAAGTTGGGTGCTCCCGGTCGCTGTGAGCCTTATCGCCGAAACTGGGTCATACTTTCTGCCTGTCGCCACAGGACAAAGAGGCGGCCCTGACAAATCACTTTCACGTGTAATCCCAAACTCCGTTCCATTATCTTCTATAAACCTCACTTCATCGCCATCCATCGTTATCCACGCTTACCTGCCTGGCCGACGTATATTCAGAAGTCTCGCCGCACTCTCCTCCTCACCTTCTCCTTATTCCAGGGAGCTTTCCTCATTCTAACGAAGCGCGTATTCCAGGTCTTGGAGCAGGATGACATCCTTTCCTGCAGCCTCGCCGCTGGTGTCAAGTGACAAATCCAACATGAGTCGTTTACCTTCGATCTCTAGCCTCATGTCTCCCCCAGAGGCCAAACCCTTCGAATCCTTTCAATCCACTCTTTCACCTCATAAGATGTCGCAGGACCCGTCGTATTCATCCCATGAGATGAAAATCGCCCCCCTTTCCGTTGACCGCAAACGAACACAATCAGAGATGAACTTGCCGTCGCCTCCTGTCACCCCGTACACGGGGAATAAAAAGCGCAAATCCAGCATTTCAGAGCAACCCGATGGAGATGCCTTGGTTGGTTCATCGAGAGATCCTGTCCTTTTCCCTAGACATGAGTCCATTTCGGATATCGCCACTGATGAGCCGTTGTTTGGCCCCATGCTACCATCCTCCACCGAGGCAGTGATGGATGAGCATATCAAGTCCCACATGGCAAGATTCGGCAATAAGCGCAATAAACCAACGCACGAAGAGTATCGGCTGGCACTTTCTTGTGTGCCGATCGTGGTGTCACTGTACAATCGCGATCCAGTCCAGTATGCCAGACAAGAAAGAGAGACGCTTGACCGTCAGTTGGCCATGATGAATCGAGGTCCTCCCCATGTCTTAGATGGCGGATTGAAAAGAATCGCGCCAGCGCCAACAAAAAGGGTGGTTCCTGCTCAACCCCGTGTGCAACGGACGCCCAGAGTAAAGCGCACACCTAAGTCTACCCCGAAGCAGAGGGCTCTGGATTCGTTTGACGTACAATCGCCGAACTCCAAGCCATCTCGTGCCATCGGCACAAGCCGGGATGACACAGATTTTAATTCCCTCAAAGACTTTTCGCCTTCCTCAGAAACCATCGGCGCCGCTGGGAAATCATTAAAGGCAGACTGGAAAGGTCAAATGTTAGACCTGAGTAATGACCCAGATCGGCCGTTGTTGGCTCAAAACGAACTCAGTTTGGCGGCGACTCTGAGACTTTCGTGTGCAATATATCTCTCAAGCAAGCGCCGCATCTTCGAGGCCCGTGTCAAAGCTTTGAAAATTGGCAAGGAGTTCCGCAAGACAGACGCTCAACAAGCGTGCAAAATCGATGTCAATAAAGCAAGCAAACTTTGGACTGCATATGAACGAGTTGGCCTCTTCGACACCAAACACTTTGAACAGTTTCTGATGTGATTCCACCTCCTGTTAAGTCTCACAACAGTCCTTCCAATACATCTAGAAGACTTCTTGGACACCCCCCACCCAGCCCCTCTCCACACCTTGTTATCTTTTACCACACCTTTTTGATGTTGATTGTTTAGCGACTTTGATATCTGCTATTCTTTCCTTTGCATGTCCTCGATTTTCTTTCATGCATATCACAGCACGCAGGCTCTGCTGTGAAGTCTTTTCTCTCTTTTCCTTTCTCAGCATGGTTGCTATGAACCGGAGTTCTGGTGTTATTTAGGTTTTCGACTATTCGTTTGCTTCCTTCCAGGCGTCTAGATACCAGGCCTTTTGGTTCTTGTGGGACTTGTTAGCTTTCGATTGATTTGATCTGGAATCTTGATTCTGAGATAGAGTATACTTAGCTCGAGCTTGCCTTCAGTGATCCAAGTTGTTGGTTTTGGATACTAGTCCGTTGTTCAATCGATGGTTTTTGCTCCACGAAACCATGCAAAGCTTTCAGAATCATGGATGCGCCGAGCATGGGAGTAGCCGAAAGCGGGATTGAACGCCCTTGTCTCAGTGGCTGACGACACGCTACCCAAGGCCACTGAAAAGGCGGTCCACGTCTCCAGAAGGACGACAAGTATTTGACCCTTCAAATGTAAAGACAGTGACTTGAAGCAGTTATCTTGTAGATCGCTATTTGATGGAGCAGTGAATCCTAGTAGTATGGCATCAACAGCACAATCAAGGCCGTGATCGTACTACTAAAACTGTTGTAAATTAAAGCGTTGCAAGCAGTAGTACTCATCATGACCTGGGTACTCCACTACTAGGGAAATAAATTCTGTATATTTGTTGCTGCGCTTAATATTATTAGTAGTCCTACGGAGTAGTAGAACTCCTACCTAGAGTAATAATAACTGGGAGTGGTAATGTAAGTACAACGCAGTAGTAAGCCCCATGGCTTTTGGCTGAGCCGCAGTCGACACCAATGAATGGGGTGGCGCTAATCTCGGACTTTGTCTTGCGGGCGAAGGCTACCAAGTCCGCTGTGATCCGCACGTCCACGTTCTCTCTGGACTATTTCTCCTTCTGCAACCACACTCTGAAACGACCTTGTATTGCCTCCATTCATGGAAGCAGACCATACGTGCAATCATGTCTAACTCGCAAGCGACCAACAATGATACTTTCGGCGAGCAGGACCATCGAGGCGATGCTGACATTGATAAGAAGCCGAAGAATAGGAGACCAGCAAGTGAGAACTTCCCACCCACCGCAGCTGCCTTTCAACGGTACTCACAAGGTTCCTAGATACTGCTTTCCGTCAACAACGTCTAAAGGCCTGGCAGTGAGTTGTAAAATCACAGGTAGATTAGCCAGTCACTGACGGGACTCAGACCGATTCTGACGCCCAAGAGTGTCTTGCCTCTTTTCTTTGCTGTTGGGGTCATTTTCGCGCCTATTGGCGGAGTATTGCTGTGGGCGAGCTCGAGAGTATGACAATATCCCCTGGACAGACTCAGGCATATCGTTGACCGTCCTCATAGGTTCAAGAACTGACGATCGATTATTCGGACTGCAAGGATCTCAGACTGAATGCGGATGCAGCTCCTATTCCGGACAATAAGTTTGATTATTCCTTCAAATCCTCACCTCCCCAACCTCCATCGTGGCAACGCCTTGAGGATGACAATGGAAACCAACTCTGTCAACTGTCGTTTAACGTTCCCGAATCCATGGGCCCGCCTGTTTTCATGTACTACCGCCTTACCAACTTCTATCAAAATCATCGAAGATATGTCAAGTCTCTTGACATTGACCAGTTGAAGGGAAAGGCTGTCAAGAACAGTACGATCAATGGAGGCGCGTGTGATCCGCTCAGACTCGATGAAAATGGCAAGGCATACTACCCCTGTGGCCTAATCGCGAATTCCATGTTCAATGACACGATATCTAGCCCTGTTTTCTTGAACGATGAAGACGGCGAAACATACGACATGACGGATAAGGGTATCGCCTGGGATAGTGACAAGGAGCTTATCAAGAAAACTGAGTATAAGCCAGGCGAAGTTGTTCCTCCGCCAAACTGGCGCGAACGTTTTCCTGATAACTACGAGAACGAAATTCCCAACCTCCACGAGGATGAGGCGTTTATGGTGTGGATGAGAACAGCTGCTCTTCCTACATTTAGCAAGCTATCTCGAAGGAATGACACTACAGCCATGGCAGCCGGCCGTTATCAATTGAACATCACAGATCGTATGTCCACACCTGTTAATATGTTTCGGTGATACTGACTGTGCTGCAGCTTTCCCAGTCACGGACTACGGTGGTACAAAGTCCATCCTGATCTCTACTCGGACTGTTTTGGGAGGCCAGAACCCTTTTATGGGAATCGCGTATGTTGTTGTTGGAGGTGTTTGCGTCCTTCTTGGAGCACTTTTCACGATTGCGCACCTAGTTCGCCCAAGGCAAGCTTTCATCCCTGTGTTTCGTTCGAACTATATACTGACCATTTCAGGAAATTGGGCGATCATACGTATTTAACTTGGAACAATGAGCAGGAAACGACTGCTGTTGCGACAGGACGAGACCACTCAAGCTAAGCTGTCTTGCTTTTTAATACCTCGCCCCTGCACCCTTTAGTTCTGTATATTAATTTATGTTCTCAAGTACGCTTATTGTATCTGGGTTAGCAGATGATGCAGATGAACTTTCTTTTTGGCGTACTTGGGTGAAATTAGCGCATATTGATTATTTGATTGACGCAAATCTCGCTTTGAGATCTGGGAGCGAACCGTGATTGTTGTTGTTACTTCTTCGCTTTCCATCCCTTGCTGGCCCATTCCTAATCTCCGCGCAAAAATCCTCAGTACAGCATTGCATACCATACCGCGTAACTGTTGGCGACGTTCGGTCGTTTCGGTGCTCAATAAATCTCCTTGGTAAGAATTATCTGGTAAGATTTTGCATGCCCAGACGAGATGTTTCGGCTTTATGTGATTTGGATCTTTGTGGTAACCATCCTCCATCAGAAATGTCTCGCTGTTCCTCATCTGGGTCGAGGTTTCTGTGCCACCGAGGCTCCGGCAGAATCACTCAAGGCAGAATTCAGGCGATTAAGCGCTCAGCTAGACGACCCTGCCGTCAATCAGGGCAGCCGAAAGGCAGTAGAGCCAATTGAGATAGCAACTTGGTTCCACGTCGTGAGCAGCAAAGCCAGTGGTGATGTAGTTTCGGAGCAAATGCTCAATACGCAGGTCAGTAAATATACTACAAAATCATAAAGCAGGCTGACTCCCCAAAGCTACTATACCTCCAGGAAGCTTACCAAAATGCGACAATAACCTACCGCCTAGAAGGTGTGACTCGCCAGACCAATGACAAATGGGCACGGAACGAGGACGAATCAGCTATGAAAGATGCCCTCCGCAAGGGGAGCTACAGAACGCTCAATGTCTACTTCCAGACCGACTTGCAAGCTCCCACAGGCGGAGCGCAAGGGCACCACCTAGGTCTTGCAGAGCAATTGGCAACCAGTGTTCTGGGTTTCTGCACCCTCCCGGATCCTGCGATCAATAGCACCAGCCCCCGTTCTAGCTACGTCAAAGACGGATGCAACGTACTTGCAAGAACCATGCCAGGTGGTTCTCTGGCGCATTACAACCGAGGCGGAACTGCCATCCACGAAATTGGGCACTGGAATGGCCTCCTTCACACCTTCGAGGGCGAATCATGCTCCCCAGATAACGAGGGTGATTATATAGACGATACACCCCAGGAATCTGTGCCGACAGACGGGTGCCCTGTTATTAAAGATTCATGCCCGGATAGGGCAGGCGTGGACCCGGTGCATAACTTTATGGATTACTCGTCAGACGAGTGCTACGAGCGCTTCACCCCCGCTCAGGTCAAGAGGATGCGAGACATGTGGTATGCGATGAGAGATGGGAAATGAGAGGTGCCTGAAAGCTGCCCTCGAGGTAGGGCTGGACCTTGTTACCTTGCCCGGAGGTGAGAATGGTGTTCTATTTGCTCATTTTATGTCACATAGACCTTGTTATATTGATTGGAAGAAATACGGAGTAATATAAGGAATAATATAACACTATTGCGCGGGCATCCACACGTGAACTAACGTCTACTTCCCATTCAAAACGAATATCCAATGTTGACCAGCGTCTTCTGAGTCAAATAGGTTGGTTTATTAGGCAAAAAGGTACGTAAATTACAAGGCTGCTTGACAAGCACCAAGAGCCATAAAATCACCTCTTTCGCTTCTTTCCCCGGTCCTCATCATCCAGACCACTTTCCCTGTCTTTCTTTTTAGCTTGTTGTTCCAGCTCATCCCAATCCTCGCCACTCTCCTCGTCCTCTTCCGCACTGAAATCATCATCTGCACTGGCATCGTCATCGTAGTCGCTCTCATCTTCGGAACTTTCACTTGCAGCAAGTTCAGATTCCGACAGCTCGAATGCCGATTCCTCTTCCTCGTCTGAACCATCCTCAGAATCCGACTCAGCTGACAGGAAAGACCAACCGCCATCGGCGAAGAAGCCATAAGGATCGCTGACAACTGTCTTCATGATTGTGGTCCAATTGAGGTTGAGGGGACCTTCCGAGAATGCTATGTCCACGGAGTCGAGCCAATCTTTGACGCCCTCCAAGTTCTCCACGGGGATCGTGTTAATATGGACAGGAGGCCTGTGAAAATCCTTGTAGACAAAAACAAGATCAAAGTTTTTGAGGCCAAACTGGCAAGATAATTAGCAAGTCGGAAACAATATATGGAAGCGGAAAACATACCTGTACTCGCTCGAGATGCGCAATCTCAATCTCGTTGAGACTGACCACGAGAAAAGGTGGTTCGGTTAGTTGGACCAGAGCGTCTGTAGTTGGCTGTATTAATACATTGGAGCGATTCGGGACACCGGTAAAGCCAATCTCCCTGAATGGAATGTCAACGTCAACTCCTTCATCTTTGCCAGCATCTGCTATCTTCTCAGCAAACGCTTTGAATTCCCTATCCAAAGCCGCCCTTCGTCTTCTTTCCTCTTGCTCCGCCTCGAATTCCTCTTCATCCCCATAACGATGCTTGCGCCTTCGATTTCCGGTCTCATCAAATTGCATCTCAGTCGCTTCTCTGTAAAACTGGATGTCCCTGGTCTTTCTCTTGCCAATCATGATTGGAGTCTTGAGATGAACATGGATCAAAACAATGAGCTCATGAGCACACGGCTGAAAGAACAAATGTTTAACATTGCTGAACAATACATCGACGTGCTCATTGCGGAATGGAGACACATAGCGAAGACCGTTCTGGTGGATCTCGACTTCACCGGGCACTCGTTTACCATCAAGCGGGGGTCGAAGATAGACATCAGGAAGCTTGATAGGGCGGCGGTCTGGGTTGTTAGTCAAGGTTTTGGTAGGACTTCGAAGGAAAAGTACTAACTTCGGATCTCAACAAGCTTATCTTGTTCTACCACGTCCTCCATCTCTTTCTTTTCCTGCTCACGCCGCAAGGCATTCTTTCTTAGCTCTGTAATGTCCTGGGCAACCTGCGCAAAGCGATCGTGATCCTTTGACCTGAGTGTCACATTTCTCAAGAAATGCGCCGAAAGATCTTCAAACGGTTGATCGTCCTTTCTTCCAACGCCCTGACCTGGAGAGAGAAAGTTGATTCGTAGATAGGCGTATTCTCCTTCGTCGTTTTTGCTGGCGTTTTTTATGGTGTTGATGTGGAAAGGCACTGGCCTACCCATTATAGGAACGATGACAGTGGATGCCTTGTGATCAACATATACAGTAAGATCTTTGACTCTGACCGGCAGCTGGTTGTCTCGCTTATATGATTCGAACCTCTTGAACTTCTTCTGTGCGACGCCATTGTCATCACCGGTAGTTCCAGCAAATCGGTCGAGACCTTCCTTGGTCTTTTTTGTTGCCAACTCTTTTTGGTGCTCCCGGCGCCGTGCCTCTGCCCCTTCGTTAACCTGAGTGGGACGTTCAGCTCGAAGCTTTGTCCTGGTGACATTTCTACCCGCTACTGCGCTCGATTTGGGCTCTTTTTTCTCCTTTGCTGGTTTCTGAGGCTCTTCTTCGTCTCCAAAGTAGAACGATACCGAGTCCATATCGATACCAGCATCCTTGGTAAACACATGCGGGCCATTCTCACCAACCCGAATGGTGTCGGTTATCATCATTGAGTAGACTTTCTTGTTTGAGTCCTCAACGTCCACCAAGCCAACAGTGATGGAAAAGGTCATGCCGCTCTTGAGAATCCGGCTATTCTTTCCATTGAGGACCATGTTTGAGTCACGAAGCTCGATTCCTATGCCGGCACCAACATTTTTGAGGAAACGAGATTCGAGTTCCGGCTTCTTGGCCCGTATAAGGCCAATAGCCTTGTTGTAGAGCTCCTTAGCCACTACGCCGTCCCGCACTTCCTTCAAGACGGCTTCGTGGACACTCAAAAGCAGAGCATAATTGGCTTCTTGGGACTTGCTCGGGTCAACGAGGTAAGTTCGTCCGATTATCGAGCTGTAGGTCTTGTAACGAATACCAAACCCAGCAATGATAATCCCGGGCTCCAAATTGTTATCGTCAGATGTTGCTGTGAGTTTTAAATCATACTTTCCACCGCTCTGAATTACGGGGCCGTATGCCCAGTCAATTTGTTGAGGGTCAAACTCGGATGGTAATTTTGCAAGCTTGTTGAAAAACTTGGCGTCGTCGATTTTGGCGTCGATACGCATGGAGAGGGATTTGTGTGTCATTTGCTTCTCTTCGTCAAGCAGGCGAGACATCTCATCGACAAAGTATTCCGACATGAGGCCACTGCACGCCCTCGACGCATTTCGTATCGATACCTATAGGTGTCAGCACAAGCGGTTGATATTGCTGTCTCAAGCGTCTCTCAAACGTACTAGTTCCTCAGTATCCTTGACCGAGAAGCAGGCTGTGGAAAGACCCGGCGCAATATCTACTTCTTCCACCTCGCCAGATATCTTGGCATAAGCGCGCTTCCAGTCTTCCACAAATGGGCCCGTAGTTGTGTCTCTTGGTAGAACTCCGACTTTGTTCTGCGGAAAGTTAACATCTGAGCCTTTTGCCTAAACGGAGAGAAACGTACCCCGGAGGTTTTGATAACCTCCAAGCACTTTTCGAAAACCTTTGCTTTCTCCTCCGCATCTTTGGTTGTGACCAGGATTTCAACGGGAATTTTCCCGCCTTTCAAGGGCTCTAGGTGTTTCGCTATGTCGAGTTAGAGAAGGATCAAGTCTGAGGTTGTAGTCGAACAATACCTTTCTTCGCAGTTGTAACGACGTACATCATCTCGGGGGTGAAGACTAGAAGGGTAGCCGGAAATTCATAACCAAGCAGCCAGAACTGTAAAAGTTAGCGCGGATCTCATCATTGCAAGAATCTCGGCATACATGGATCGCATTGTTCTTTTGAAAGCTGTTCGCCTCGTCCGTCTTGCCCATCAATATGACGATAGAGCCGACGCCACCAAAGGCCGGATGACTAGATCGTTTGTCGGACTTCCATGCCGTATAGAAGCTCGACAGGCGATTGAAGAATGTCGTTTTATCGATGACGATCTCGTCACCCATGATGTGACTGAGGCGCCCCGAAGCTTCAGGGACTAAGGTGTTCGCAGAGGGACAGTGCAGGGGTGAACGGTAAGAACAACTTTGCAGGGTGCGATTTTAAAATATTGGTATGCCGGAGAACCTGATTCTTCCGAAGAAAGTTGGGTCAGTGGAGAGGAGAAGTGGTTTCAAGAAGATGTTTGGCAAAGGATGAATGAAGTCAGCGACGCGAAATTCCCTAGGCACAGCACGCGTCTTTCAACTTCGCGGGAGAACTAATTAGCTTTTAGCGTGGTGAGTTTGAACTGTTTGCATTGCTCACTTCTCCGTATATCTTGGGGGTTTATCCGATTCCCATGTTTGAACTTTGAATGGACTCGACTGCGCTCCGAAAGGCTCATCATTTCCTTTATCTCCTTGGAACAGCCCACGAAAGATACAGGCAGCTTGTCACGAATCTTCTTTGGGAGTTTCCTACCGCGTCTTGCGCCTATTAGCGCATCTTTCTCTTTATCTCTATATGGAGACTGTTTTGCCGTGAATATCATGCAACTGCTGCTTAACTTCGATGTCGAACTGCCGTGTCTGAGGATCCGATAGCCGCGCCTGGGGACTTGCTAGTTTTACCGCGAGACCTCCACATCTTCTTCTCCGTTTGAATATGAATGCGCCGCCCTCGAGTCAACCTGTACTGGGCGACGAAGAGGACACACTATCAACACCAGACGACAATGCCGCACGCAGAAAACCTCGAAACAATGCAGCCACGGGCGCTTCAGCTGCCGGTGTTCGTGCCCTCAGCGCTCAGCTAGTTGCCTTTTACTTTAGGGTACCCGTAAAGGCCTTTTTCCGCACTCGGGTTGAGTAGGTCACGGCTGAATGGGTGTGATGGGATTTGTTGATAGCCTGGGCTAATTCTGATATAGTTACATGGTACCTAGTACATATCAATATCTATTCTTTGCTTCATGACACATCTAACTAGCCGTCAATTGGATAGGCATTTGCTAGAGCGGTTTATCCCAACCCCTCTGAAGGAAGCCGCTGGTCATTAAATACTACCACACCCGGCCTTTTGATCCATGCCGTTCGTACATATGGTTGGCGTTTCATACCAAATCAAGTTATGCCCCCTCTCTTGGCTAATGCTGGGTAGGTTGACCATGACTGTCGACTGAATAACGCTGAATCATTGGTAGGGTGGGCGCTGTGCTATATACATCATACCTTCAAGTCCTAGGTGCTCTGCATGAACCAGTCTCGCAAGGCATTCGTCGCGTTTACCCGCCAGCTAGCCCCGTTGATACTTTTACGGCCGGCTTAGTTGCTGGGTCAATCCAGTCAGTTGTTGCTGCTCCTTTGGACGCTCTTCAGGTCCGCCTCAGAACCAGCGAAATCCTCGAAGGTCACTACCAGAGTATGTGGCAGTATGGACGCCAAAAGCTACGGCAGATAGGCTTACGCGGTATCTTTGCCGGTTGGAGCTTATCATTCACGCGTGACGCTTTTGGCAGCGCGGTATTCTTCTCCTTTTTCGAGTACGTCAAGTCACAGGCGTACTATTCGTTTCTTACGGGTTACTATGGGTCGCTGCAGCGACAAGGGATTGATTCACTGAGTGACCGTGGGCTACCACTTATTGAGCCTCACTACGCTCTGGAGCCGTGTTTCTTAATGGCGGCCGGTGTCGCCGCGTCTGTCGCCCAGCAAACAATTCAACATCCGTTGAATACAATACAAAACATCCACGTTGCTCGACTGGAGTATCTCGACCACCAGGCGACGCTTCGCCCTTCCAGAAAACAGATGTTGAGGATATACTACTTGGCGTACCAGGAGACGTATAAGCGCTGCAAAAGAAAGGCAGCCCGAGCCGGCGGTTGGTCTAGGTGGCTTTATCGAGGTTTTTTGGGAAACGCGCTCCGCCAAGTCCCAAGTACTAGTGCCGGATTGGTGATTTTTGAGTTGGTACGCCGCAAGCACGCTGATACGGCAGATGCCATGTATTTACGGAAAGATGGCCATGATATTTTGCTACGTTGATGAACCTCACCGCCACGGCCTGCCATTCTGGGTTCCTGGCTATTTTCTCGCTGCGACCGGTCGTAAAGCCTGTTTCGTAGGAACACTGATTCAGGGCGACAGATGTACGACGCTTACCTCAGCACTGCCCAGGTCTCGCACAATGAGTCTTGAGTCGCAAGGGCATGAAGCATAGTGGCAGCGGTAGAATCATATATCGAGGCCTGTTGCAGGTTTGCACATCTATATGCTCGGCGAATGGCATTGGGGACTATCTTTTCGTACCACACTCAGGGATTGGCATGTATTGTCTTCTTTTGTCTGGCACACTGATGAGTCTGCTACGTGAGTATATAATCTACGATATTCCGTGTATACTACATATTACATATAGACTGTGTGCTGTATGATAGAAGGCCAACAATCATCTCATGCATGTTTTTCATATCGTCCTCGCGCACCAGCCATTTTTGGGAAAGTTTCTTCGTCGAGAATTTGATGGTATCTGTTGGGGAAAGGTACAACGTGCATCCTTCAAAGCCCTCATCTCCATCGGGCTAAAGCTGTGATGTCATCGAAGGCTTTGAGTAAGGCGTCGACGGCAAGACGGCCTGTGGGCCTGTGGCAGCTCCTCGGTCAGTATTCAGGTGCCCGTACGATTTCGAGATTGATAATCACACCAGGATATTTCTGGCTATCGAGAATAAGGACCAAAGTGGTGGCCGCGAGGAGGGAAGGAAGTGGAAAGATTGACACATATTAAGAGTGGATGGATCGTAGGCAGCATCGTTTAGTGGTCCTCTCCCGAGATTCTCCACTTAACCCTCTATGACTTTGGAGTCGTAGTACGTATCTGGGGTAATTGAAGGACACGCGCCCGGCAAGCTGCTCATCACATGGACTACTGGTAGTAAGAAGAGGCAAGTAGATAATGGAGGTGATGGGCCGAGGCGGCTTCAGAGTAACGAGACTCTTGCAGCTCTGGTGCTTTCTTCCTTCCAAGTCTTTCCCAAGTGCATTTCATAGATAACTGTTAGATAATTGTCAGGCGAGCAGTACTCCGGAGTTGGCAGGTCCCCGCAGCCTGTCAGAAGTTCAGACTCCTTATTGCGGCGTATTACAGCCCAACAGAGTTAGATCAGACCCATGTCAATGGGGCGGCCAAAAGCAGTACAAAGTTGATAGATTGCTGGTCTTGCTTGCACACTCCTTTTTCTTCATCCAACTTTTCTCATCGAGACCTTTTGACTGTTCAACATTGGGAACACATCGCGACCCTGAAATCAGAGCCTTTGCCGATGCAAACGAAGAGCGCGAAGGGTTTGATTTATTCGCCAGCTCATCCTTTGTTGTCGTTCCTTGTGTATTTTCCAGCTAATTGTTGGCCGCTTCTTTCCTTTCTTTCTTAGTCTCCCGCCTGACCATCCCCTTTTGGCTGAATAACCTCCAGCACCAGCGTCATCCTGCATTGTTGGCGCCGCTCTTGTCTCATGAGCGGTTTCCGGATCATCACATACAACCACCGCTTTCTCCTCCTGTTCAATTCCCTTCCTGTTCGCTGGCACACTTAGCCCGCCAGTTTCCGCCTCGATCTCCGCCTCGGTTCGTCACTTGCAGTGGCCCCTTTGTCCGCTCCAAAAAGGCTCGCCCGCGAGCTGTCCGTCTGATCAATCACCCGTCTCTGACCTGGGGATTGAAGTCGGCTGCGTGACAGCGGAGCTGTACATGCGCTTCAGCCATCGGTCTCCAACTGACTCGCTCATCAGATACGATTCCCGATAAACGACGGGGCAGTCGAGTCAGCCCCCCCAAACCGCCAACATTCCTCCAACGTCGTCGCCGCGTACTTCCTCCAGCATACCCTTGCGGCCTTTACAATCCCCGCCCCGCAACGCTTCCACGCGTGTGCTAGAATCTGCAAGCGAAAAGGGCAGCCGTCGCTCTTCTATTTCCTCGGCTGGATCCGACTTTTCGCTCTGGACCGACACTGGAGATTTGGCAGAACAATTTGCTAATGCAGAGGATCCTCTCCAAATCCGACTCATAGAATCCTCGGATCGCGGGGGCTCTCGTCCGGCCGGGTCTAGGGCACGAGCGAAGCAGGCGAAGCGTGTGCATTACCAGAACGAGCAAAGTGCCAGCGAGCTCGATCTTGAGAAAATAGAACTACCACAACTGCCGCCCAGGAAGATATCGCGTCTTGAACGCTTCCTTGCTGTCATAATGTCTCCGGGTAATCGCCAATCCGCTCGAACGCATGGCCTGGTTGGGAAACCATTGCTGTAAGGTGTCAATAATTGTGCCTTGGATTTCACTAATTGTCCATAGTTACTTTACTAGTGTCTTTGTATCATTAGGTGTCTTTCTCTTTGGCTATGACCAGGGTGTGATGTCCGGAATTATAACGTTCGTTGTCCCGAATCCATCATGCACAACCCATTCTGTATATGGAAGCTAACGAGAAACAGGGGTATATACTTCAAAGATTACTTTAATCAGCCATCACGCGCGGAAATTGGCACAGTTGTCGCAATTTTAGAAGTCGGAGCATTCATATCATCTCTGCTTGTCGGCAAAATTGGCGACATAATCGGTCGTCGCAAGACTATCCTATATGGGTCCATCGTATTCTTCATTGGGGGAGGTTTTCAGACCTTTGCAACAGGATTGCCAATGATGATGGTTGGCCGTATCATTGCAGGTCTAGGGGTCGGAGCATTGTCCACTATTGTTCCCGTGTATCAATCTGAGATATCGGTTTGTCTCCCCATCCATGTCATTGACTTGGGGGCTAATATTCTCTAGCCTCCTCACAATCGAGGAAAATTGGCGTGCATCGAGTTTACAGGAAACATTTTTGGGTACGCTGCCAGCGTTTGGGTGGACTACTTTTGCAGCTTCATCGACAGCAATCTTTCTTGGCGTCTTCCATTATTATTACAATGTGTCATGGGGCTTTTCCTTGGCTTGGGAAGCCTAATCATCTGCGAGTCACCGAGGTACTAAAGTCCGTTTCGATCGCTGCTCAAAGCTAACTTTTGATAGGTGGCTACTGGACAATGACCATGACGAGGAAGGATTGGTCGTCATTGCAAACCTTTACGGCGGAGGAGACCACCTCAACTCTGAAGCTCAAAAAGAGTACAGAGAGATTAAAATGAACGTCCTTCTTCAGCGTCAAGAGGGTGAGCGGTCTTATGCCGACATGTTCAAGAGATATAACAAACGTGTCTTGATTGCCATGTCCGCACAAGCCTTGGCACAGCTGAATGGGATAAATGTCATCTCATACTATGCCCCCCTTGTCTTTGAGTCTGCTGGGTGGGCTGGACGCGATGCTATCCTTATGACAGGGATTAATGGCCTGACTTACCTCGCGTCCACAGTTCCTCCCTGGTATCTTGTCGACCGCTGGGGAAGACGTCCTATCCTGCTTTCCGGCGCTTTGGCCATGATCCTTTCCCTCTCAGCAATATCTTATTTCATCTTTATTGATATAAGAGCCACCCCGACCCTTACTGTTGTCTTCGTTATGATCTACAATGCTGCTTTTGGTGCTTCTTGGGGGCCCATCCCATGGCTATATCCTCCCGAAATCCTTCCTCTGAGCATCCGCGCCAAGGGCGCAAGTCTCAGTACGGCTACTAATTGGGCCTTCAACTGGCTTGTTGGCGAGGTCACCCCCGTCCTACAGGCTGCAATCAAGTGGAGGCTTTACCTAGTTCACGCATTCTTTTGTGCCTGCAGTTTCGTTGTTGGTAAGTCTATCTTTCCCCACGTGACTTCCCCATTTAACAATCTACATAGTTTACTTCCTCTATCCCGAGACTAGTGGCGTTCGCTTGGAAGATATGGATCTCCTCTTTGGCGATGCAACGACGGCCATGCCAACCCCAGCTACTCAAGGGGAGCGCGGCTCTCTTATTGGTGCTGGTTCACCTGTGCCCTCGCTCGATATCAGACGTCCATATGGCCAGCATGGAGCAGACAGTGCTATTCCCGGCTTAAACATCAACCCACCTCATCTCCCAGGCGACGGCAATGGTAAGAGCCCACAAATACGCCCAAATGAAAGCCAGCCTGAAGGACTAGGCGGGTGGATATCCAATATCGTCAATCGCAATAGGGCGTCGTCGCAAGCTCGAGGAGGCTCCCAGTATAGGAGACTCGGACAGGACGAGGAAGCTGACCAGTGATCATGCTGTTGCTTGCCCTTAGCGATAATCATATACGCAGTACACTTTCTGCTTCGACTTTCTCGAGTCGAAATCCTTCCCCACTTTAGTTTTCTTTTTTTTCTTTTTTTTTTTTTTCTCCTGTTCATCTACATGGGTCGGGATCTGAAGGCATATATCCCTTTGTTTTCTGCAATGCTGTTCCTGTTTGCATTCCCTTTGGATTTATTCTCACATAGAGCAAATAAGATCTCTCGGTGGATTTTTGGCTCGCAGGGACTACGTTGGCTTAGAACATCTGAATTGACTGTCTTGGAGACCATAAAACAGCCAAGCTGGTGCTGTTAGTTTTCGTGTTTGGACAAGATTACCACATCCTGGTGTAGATACTAGATACAGAGTAATAAAATCGACTTATTCCGTAAAGACCTCTTGCATGTGTTTCGACGAATAATGCGTGACTGCTGGTGTTTTGTTGGAAGTCTGGCCTCGGCGGGCGGTACTCGGCGTATATGTCGACTAAGGAATACACTACTATTAATAAATAATTCTGCCGCGCTAGCTTGGATAATACACTTCTGGCCAACTCTCCGTTTTGACTTCAGCTTGGATGTCGATCCTCCCTTCCCCAACACACTCTTTCAGCACCTTTAGATATCACATTGACTATCCTCTCTAATTTTACCGCTCTATGGACCTCGACTTTTGAACTCGCATTTCACCTCATTCGCTTATCTCTAGCTCAATTGCAAACGAGCATCGCACTAGACATGAGTGTGTTTTACTACTAATCTTCCTTTCGTACCTTTCCTCCTCTATTTATACCTTGCTTCCTCTTCTTTCGGGACGTTCTCGTTCCATAACGATTCTCTTCATTATTTCCCGCTGCTTGAACCCTTTCCTTTCTACTCACTAGGTGGACTCGTGCTTAAAATGGCGGACATTGGCTCTGCATCGACCACTGGTGCTAGCTTCACCTCGGACGTGCGACGTAGAAATGTACCGCTCACGGATGGAACTACGACGTCCCCAGTTTTCGCCCAAGCGGAAGATGCAAAAAAGAAGCGCCAGGTACGTCATCCTTAAAAGCCCTCTTCGTTTTCTGTTGTTTTGTTTTGTTCAACTGGCTAACTCCATGATATCTAGTCCAGCTCATATCTCTCCATTCTCTCGGGGTGGGAACCAGTGATTGCGCCGATCATTTTGACGGCTCTTTCTATGTTTACCCGCATGTATCGAATTGGCCGCTCCAATATCGTGACTTGGGACGAAGCCCAGTAAGAGTTATGCCCTCTCTCTCTTGGCGACCTGGCGGCTTACAAGGATATATAGCTTTGGCAAATTCGGATCACATTATTTGAAGCGCGAGTTCTATTTCGATGTGCACCCACCGCTGGGGAAGATGCTTGTTGGCCTGTCGGGTCTTCTTGCTGGCTACAACGGATCGTTTGAGTTCAAATCTGGTGAGAAGTACCCAGAGGACCTCAATTATACCTTCATGCGTCTGTTTAATGCCGCCTTTGGTGTGGTATGCGTACCTCTGGCGTACCTGACGGCACGAGAACTCGGTTTTCGCAGATCTACTGTCTGGCTTGTCAGTTTGATGGTGCTTTTCGAAAACTCGTATGCCACTATATCACGGTTCATATTGCTGGATTCAATGCTGCTATGTTTCACCTTTACCACCACATTCTGCTGGGCGAAGTTCCACCGACTGCAACATGCTAGCTTCTCCCTTGAGTGGTTTGCATGGCTTCTGTTAACCGGTGTCAGCATTGGCTGCGTATGTAGCGTCAAATGGGTGGGCTTCTTCTGCACTGCCCTCGTTGGTCTCTACACTATTGAAGATCTCTGGAATAAATTCGGCAATCTCAAGATGTCCGAGGTATTTTAGCTCTTGAAATCTTCTATTCGAATTTCTAACCATTCAATCTAGGTCACGCTAGCCAAACACTTTGCCGCCCGCGTAGTCGGCTTGATTATTGTGCCAGTGCTAGTTTATCTCCTCTCCTTTTATGTTCATTTCTTGATCTTGGAGAATAGTGGCCCTGGTGATGCGCAAATGAGCTCTCTTTTCCAGGCCAACCTCAAGGGCACCCAGGTTGGCAAAGACAGTCCGCTTGAGATTGCGATCGGCTCGAGGGTCACGCTTAAGAATATGGGCTACGGTGGCGGACTGCTACATTCCCATGTTCAAACGTACCCAGAAGGATCCTCTCAGCAGCAGGTTACCTGCTACCACCACAAGGATGCGAACAACGATTGGTTCATCTATCCCAACCGCAAAGAGGCCGACTATGATGCCACTGCGGATCTTAGATTTGTTGGCGACGGAGATGTGATTCGGCTCATTCACGCTCAGACAGGCCGCAACCTTCACTCGCATAATATTCCTGCTCCGATAACCAAGGGCCATTATGAAGTTTCTTGCTATGGCAACCTGACAATTGGGGATGACAAGGATCATTGGAAAGTTGAAGTCGTCGACGATGCGGCGTCGAGGGACAGGAGCAAAATCAGGACTCTTACCACCGCTTTCCGCCTGCGACATCCTGTCCTAGGTTGCTATCTGCGCGCCGGCAATACGAACCTTCCACAGTGGGGGTTCAAGCAAATTGAGACAACATGCGTCAAGGAGAATAAGCCGCGCGATGTTTACACACATTGGAATGTTGAAACTCATTCTAACGACCGACGTACGTCTTCATCTTGGTAATCATGCGTTTGAATCTAACCAAAAGCTATAGTCCCCCCCGGCGATCCTGGCTCTTACAAGTCTCCCTTCTTCAAGGACTTTGTGCACCTGAATGTGGCGATGATGACATCTAACAATGCTCTCGTTCCGGACCCTGATAAACAGGACGATCTTGCCTCGAAATTCTGGCAGTGGCCGATACTCAATGTTGGTCTTCGAATGTGCTCTTGGGATGAAAAGGTGGTGAAGTATTACCTACTCGGAAATCCCGTTGTCTATTGGGGAAGTACTGCCAGTTTGGGCCTGTTCGGCCTGCTGTTCTTGTGGTACCTTGTACGATGGCAGCGGGGCTACAATGAACTTACCCAAGCAAACATTGATCACATCCATTATGCTGGCTTGTACCCTGTAGTGGGTTGGGTCCTCCACTACCTGCCGTTCATCGTCATGGGGCGAGTGACCTATGTTCATCACTACTACCCAGCGCTATACTACGCCATACTCACTTTCGGTTTTTGCGTTGATTGGGTCACTCAGACCCTAAGCACTAAGGCTCGCGGGATTATTTACGGCCTTCTTTACATCTTGGTAGTAGGAATGTTTGCCTACTTTCGGGTGATCGTGTTTGGCATCGAAGGTCCAAGCCAACAGTGGCGTCATCTGAACTGGCTGAGTGGTTGGCGGATCGCCAACTGAGCCAAAAGTCTTTATCTCCTCCCGTCTTCACCCCTCTCCCCTATATCCCCTCTTTCCGTCAATTTTCTTTTCTTTTTTCTCGTTTCCTGTTTCGGCTTGTGTATTATCTACTGGTCAATGTCATTTAACCCTTGGGTCTAGCAGTATGAGATTAGTTTAAACAGGTTTTATACATGAAGCGCCCTTCACCGGCAATTAGCAACAACTGCCGCTATTACCACCTTTGCGCATTGCATCATTCATTCCCAGAGTGACAGTTTTGGGCATTTTGCTGCTCGCACCGCCGGTAGCTCCAAAGCTTTTTACTCCGCTTCGACGGTCGTTCAGATCGTATTTGCCCGATTCGATATTGCGGTATATCCTCTCAGCAACTTCTAGAAACGCACGTTCGACCCCTTCACCAGACTTTGCGCTAGTCTCTATGTACCGCACAATATTGTTCATGCGGCACCATTCCTCTGCCTCTGCCCTGGTGACTCGCCTTTTATTGGCGTCTGAACCATCACCCGCAAGGTCGCTTTTATTTCCCACCAAAATGACAACGATCCCTTCCTCGGCAATTTGTCGCAGGTCTTGAAGCCACTGTGTACAAGAAGTAAATGTGGACGGTCGAGTGATGTCGAAAACAAGCAGCGCGCCGGATGCACCTCGGAAATATGACCGAGTTATGGATTTGTAGGTTTCTTGTCCAGCAGTATCCCAAAGTGACAGCTTCATTTTCTTCTGGACCTCCTGTACCTTTCGTGGAGGATTAGGGAGACCAGCAGGGGGGTTATTAGAGTCATCAATATGCTCTGATGAGGAGTTTGCGAGGCTGTCGCGAAGATGTGTTTGAGGGTCTATCTCCAGATTTCTGGAAGCTGGCGGGCCCACTGGAACGATGCGGGATCCAAATTCCACTCCAATAGTTACATCATGTGTGGAAGAAAATCGACCTTCGCATAGTCTGATAGTCAACTGAACAATAATCAAGAGATGGTCAGCAACAGGTTTCTCGACGGATAGCGCAACAGCACTCACGCTGGACTTTCCGGTCCCGGAATCACCAATACAGACGAGCTTCGCAATATAGTCCCATGGCTGTGACATGGAGAACTTGTATGGTTTCCGATCAAAAAAATGATTTTGTGTTTCGTGGAATCGAGTGGCGCCAGTTCAAACCACGTTAGAGCTCATCTGGATATTGGGAGCTTGGAAGTCCGCATCAAACAACCTTGGAAAGGTCTAGATATCGATAATCTGGATCTGCTCTCAAGAGCTAAAAAAGTCTGAACTTGAGGTTCAAAACACGCAAGCTCGTCGCTTGTTGAATGAGTCTGGGGAACAACAACGTGATGAGTCAGCTATCATCATGACCGTGTCTTATGACGCTGCTGTTTTGAACGCCCACTTATGTTATCTTCATGATCCCTCCGACTTCAAGTCCCCATTCCTTTACCTAGGTTTCACTCTACATAGGCCATTAATTTATCGTTTAAGCAAGTTTTCTCATAGCTACTCGCCCATTACTCGCCGTGATATCCCGTATCCCACATTTGATATCTAAAACACCATCGCCATTCTCCAATCTTTGCTCACCGCTCGACCAACCCCGTCGAGAGACGGTAACCCCAAGGAGGACGCCCAAAAGCCACGCTGCCTGTTCCTCCTTACTGGGTATGAGAGATGTTCTCGGAATGTAAGTCACATCGCTTTAAACTCCAGAGATCACTTACCTGATGACCTAGACGCCTCGCGCTTTTTGGCCCAGTCGCAGTCGCGAATAGTACCTCGCCCGGAAGAGAAGCGCCGTAGGGATCATGATCGCTCCTTACAGCAGCCCGGGAATTCTCGATATCTGTCCTCGCGTTCATTTTTACAAAGACGGCCGGCCGACCCATATCAACCTGGAGCTTCCCAGTTCTCAAACTTTCCCTTTGGCTCTCGAAATCTAGCCCAACAGGCGCCGTTATTCCATAGCGCGACGGATGACTTCCATGAGGAGGATGAAGAGGTCGAGCATGAGCGTGAATTGGCAGATCTGTATGCGCTGGAGCGGTCGAGACGGCACTTCGGTAGTAGTCATCTGAAGAATTCAGAAACTGATGAAGATGACGCCGGCTCACCGGAGGCTAGCGCTCAGCACTCTCGAATCTCCCCTGGGCGAAGCATGAGGGGTACCTGGCGCGGCCAGAGATTTGCTCCAGGGCGGGCTTCATTTATCGATACAGTCGCAGAGGCGGAGGACGGCGAGGACGGCAAACTTGATGAGAGCGGCAGCAGGATACCAGGAAAACTCGTGGACGTTCACCTCGAAGATACTCTGAGATCCGGTTTCAACGAAAATCTTGGCGATATGTCTGAGACTGGTGACGATAAACCACCCGCCGTCCAGCGTTTTCGACAGGGACCTCGGATGGATAATTTAGGAATGGACTCCATCATCACGCCTCACGAGGAGAGTCAGCAGCAGCCTCTATTGGAGGAATCACAGCCTCCGACATCTTATCAAACATCTACCACCGGTTCATTAGCCTGCGACGCCTTTTGGGGTCATTTATTTCTGATATCCCTGGCTTGCCTCTTTGCTACCTCGTTTCTTGTCTATTTGCACACCTCGCCGCCTCCAGGAAACAAGAATACGTGGGGTGATACGATATATTTTACGATTCACGGGTCATTATACCGCCTTGGGGTCTATACCCTGGTCTCGGTATTCATATCTTTATTATGGCTTGCGCTTTTGCGATCATACGTGCGCCCTCTAGTTTATGCTACCATAGTCGCCGTTCCTATCATACTCTTTTCGTTTTCCATATACCCATTCGTTGCAAGCTTCCGAGGCTCAAGCGTGCAAGACCGAGCAATGCGGTTTGGATCGTTTGTCCCATTCATCATTTGTATTGCGTGGGTCTACAACGTTATACGGAGTCGTCAAGCTATAGGAAAGGCTATCAGCGTCCTTGAATTCGCATGCCGGATCCTCAGTGCAAACGCAGAGTTGCTGCTCCTCGGCCTGGGAAACCTTGTTCTCATTGTCTCGTGGACATGGATTTGGTTGCTCATGTTCACGCGGGTCTTTCTTGGCGGGCACATGTCAGGCTCGAATTCTTTCATAATCAACATCAGCAGCTGGTGGCTAGGAGCATTTTTCGTCCTAGTGTATCTGTGGTCCTTGGGCGTCATCGCAGGCGTCCAGCGAGCAGTCACTGCAGCAACAGTGAGCCAGTGGTATTTCCACCGTCTTGCAAATCCTGCCCCAACATCCAGACAGATAGTCCAGGCAGCAACCGTCCATTCCCTCACAACATTATTCGGCACCATCTGTTTATCTAGATTGATATCGTTGCTTATTCGCATCCCATTCCTCGTGCTGCCAAACCGGGTTGCCTCCACATTGAGCTTGTTTGCCTATACGCTCATTCCCACCCCTGTTGCGACGCTCACTGATCCTCTTTCGCTCACCTATGCCGCAATTCATTCTCAACCGCTCGCACCATCTGCTCGTGGGTTGACCCAGATGACGAACCTGGCTCCATCAGTAGCGACATCGTCAATACATCCGAGGACATTCCGACGGAACGATTTTCTTCTTCCCTATAAGCTCTCGAAGCTAATTCTTCATGCCGCTCGTCTTATGATGTCCCTTGCCCTTGGCTTTGGAGGCTGGGTAAGCACTGCTAGAAGCTTGGGCGTGCACTCTGGTGAGAAAACGATGCGCGGCAGCATGTACGCATACATTGTTGGTTTGATTGCGGGGGCAATTGGGTGGAGTGTCCTCGGTGCAATTGAGGGAGTGGTCGCGGACATCGTGGATGCGTCGATTATCTGTTGGAGCAGCGAAGTCGGAACATATGGCAGAGAAGCCAAGTATTGCCGTGAAGCTGGCTGGCTATTTGGGCAGGAACCGAATCCAGACGCACGCTCCAGGATAGATGTTTAGACTCGAAAGAGTCGATAATGCGATTTGAATATTTTCTTTCCTTCTCGCTTGCAGGTTTTGCTCTTTATAGGTGGACACTCAACTTGCAGCGTTCTTGCAATCGCAAGGTGTTTAGGATTAGAATTGACTAAGGTGGATTTCTCAAGAGTATATTAATTGATTCTTTATATAAACTGGCGTAAGCATATACACCCCTCGCTCGCATGCCAGTGACTGTTCGAAGAGTAGATGTAGCCCGTCGGCGACGCATGAGAACAGTAGGAAATATGAAGGAAGACACTATTAAGATACGCTCAACCGCAGTAGATAACAAACATTGCAGATTATTGCACAGAAAAAATTGGAAGCCGTGGTATCATGGAAATGGCGTCGACGCGAAGACTCAGTGCGAGCAGTATACTGGTATATGAAATCAGAACCTGCTTTGCCTGGATAGGAGGAAAACGTAGAACACGCCAATACGGAGAGTAAATTCGGCCACCGTAAAGCAAGGAAAGCAAAGATCTTGCGGGTGTGGATATAAAAGGGATATATGATAGTCATGGCATCATAATCTGGGTGGATGCAAAAGGAAATGCTTATAGATCGAGCTTGCTTCGCCAATCGATATTTTCTCGGGAACACCATTCTCTCAGAAGAGCGCAGCTGAAGCGGATGATCTCTAGAGGTGTGCTGGTCTTGCCAAGTGGCAAGTATATTTCACCAGAGTAGTCACCTGGTTTGAGCTTTTTCTTGCCCTGTTCGGAGTAGGTCCTCGCCCGCTTCGCCCATGTTTCTGGAAAGTCACGCGCAAGGATGTCTTCCGAGAGGCCCCGGGAACCGTCCAGCCACAGCCTCTGGGACTCCTTGTAGAATTCGGGCAGTCTGGTCTTTAACTCGAGAAAATCCTTCAAGGTCCTCTTCTCGTCAGAGTTGACCGAGTGCCTGTCACTTCCTGGGGTGGGGACAGGGGTGTGTTCCCCTGGAAGAGGTGTGACTGCGAGACGTTCCAGGTCGAGAGCATGAATGGCATCGTACGAGACTGCGCCGAGAATAAGGGAGAGACTGTATAGTGGCGGGAAGGAAAAGCTGTGTTTTTTGACAACGCGCCAGTAAGCGATGATGGAAAGCCAAGTCGACGAATCACCGATCTGGCGAGAGATAGCCTTGGACTGGTCGTCTGCAACAAAGGCGAGGATAAAGCAGAGAATGGCCTCTATTGCTGTAGCCGCAGCAAGCTTCTCATCGGCGCTAGTCACATTGTCTTTGGCCGTATGCCGATCGGCAGCATGCTTCAACTCTCTCCCCAGATTTCCAAACTTTTGGTACTCGTCCTTCCAAGCTCGACGCTCGCCATTTCGATCCACATTACTGGGCTGGTGTGGCGATTGTTTGGAGATGCCGAAAGCAGACTCCGCAGGAGTGTTCCTGGCAGCAGCGCGCGATTTCGCCTCACTGTTGGCCAAGTCATGTCGGGAAGATGAGTGCTTCAGGTCTTTCGCAGGCGTTATGGACACCGGTCTGGTTCTCTCCTGTTGTTGCACATGGCTCTGAACAGGGGTTTGCGGTTTCTCTGAGCCAGCTACTAGTTGATGCTCTTTTGGCCGGTCTTTAAAAGAGGGCTGGTTGCTGCTTCTCGCGGGTTTATCCGGCCGAATAGGTTTGTTAGACTGGCTTTCGGGGGCCGGAAGCCTTGGGTGCTCGGATTTGATAGAGTGTGATGCTTCTTGCTCGCCCGCGTCGGTTGCGGGTGAGCTTTGATGAGACATCTTTCTCTTGCCAGCGAATTTTAGGAGACCCTCCACCCGCTTTCTGTTTGGCCTTCCATACTTCAACTTGACGATTAAGCGAGGCGGTTTCGATGCAGCCTGACTCGATTTGGCATTTGATGTCTGTGAGGAGGGCTGCTGAGAAACGGTTTTGAGGGCTGTGCCAGATCGTGAGGTAGTATCCGGGCCAGTTGATACGCTTTTCTCTAGCCCCAATCCAGACAGTTTGCCGGGCCCTTTCAGCGGGCCGGATGCGGACGTCTCTTTTGGCTTTACCGTGTCGCTATTGACAGTAGACTCTGCTTGTGAATCGGAGGCCAGGGCCTCGGCGCCGAGCTTCGCCAGTTCCCGTTCAAGATCCGGGGGCAAAGTGGGAGATAGGAGTCGGGGCAGGCGCGGGGTGCTCGACGTCGGGGGGAGAGTTGGTGATAGGAGTTGGGGAAGCCCATTAATGTCCGAGCGCTCTAATCTAGTATGCGTAGGTTCAGGCGAAATCTTTCGCTTCTTCGCATCCTTTCCCTGAGAGACGTGACGGCGATTGTCACGCTCGGGGGGACGTTTTCGGTCAACATGTTCAATGTCAGATTGAGCAGCTGCTTTCGACAGTTTTTGGTGGTTATCGGGAGTAGGAAGAGGTTTAGGATTGTGCCTGTCATGGGGCGGGACGTGGAGGGTCGAACTGCTCTTGTGGCCGGACGCTTCCTGGTTCAAGGCAGAAGGTGAGGTACCACCGTTCTTTCTCTTGTTCTTATAGTCATGTAGGCTGATTTTCTTCTTGATCGAACCATTGGATGGCGTGCTTGTGGCACTCTGCGGCCGCGAACCGCGATCAGCCATGACGCTTCCTGTACCGTCAGACCAATCACCCACTGCTACCAGTAAGGAATCGTTTTGGTCGTGCGTCAAGAACGTCATATACTGCAGTTGATGTTCCTCTGGAGTGAATGGGCCGTCATCGCTCACTGCCCAATTGTTGACAAAGCGGTGTCCAAGTTGGAAAGGTACCTCGATGGGAACGGTGAGGAAGAAAGGGTAGAAAGGAAGAACCTCGTCGCGGAGGCTCTTGAGTCGCTGATCAATCTGATCTTGTTGTTGATCTGATCGTCCACTGGCAGATGTTGAGGGTCTTGTGATATTCTCAGTAGAGCGAGACGACATTGCCGTCTGTTTTGGTGACCGATAACCACCGCGGTGCAAAACCGTGACGACAGAGCTGGAGGCAACCAGTATTTCCTCCTGCTTTATCCGCGCGTGAAGAAGACCTTTTCTGAATCCTGGCTGGGTCTGGGTTCAAGGATGATGTTTCGGTCGGAATCACGTTTCGGAGAAAAACGGTCTGATGCAGCGAAGCTGAGTAGAGGTATATAAACCGCGAATATAATTCACATTCCCCCCTCCCCCCATTCAAGCTGTGTGGTGAATTGAGCCGCTGTCGAGAGCGCGATATCGGCAAACCGTGAATTGAGGCGGAACTCGAATAGCATCGCAGCGCGGATGGCCGTTTGCGGAGCGGGTGGCCAGGGTGTTTGGGCAATGTACCCTAATAACACAGCGTGTGATATATACGGCGGGCGAAATAATGACCAGGGCATGTATCGCAATAGAATACGTGTCGCCCGCGCAAGGAAGCCGCGATAATCTGCCAGCGAATGGTGAGTGAGAAGCTATTGCGGAACACCAGAGGCCATTGGGGAGGATTGCAGCCTCCTCCCGGCTCGGTACGTAGGTGGAGATGGCCCCGCAGGTGGAGAGAGTGAGGAAATAGTGAGACTGTGAGGAAATAAAAAGACAGAATACCCCCAGGGGCGTGTCCAGGAAGTGATGTCGCAGAGGGACAGCGGGAGGAGCGAAATCAAGAGGAACTTCTGAGCGGCGTGGGCGCTAGACTATTCATTGTTCGGCGTGAAGCGGAGACGCTTGGCGACGCCTTCCTACGTGGGAGACGCGATGATATCTATTGTTCAACCCCGAGTAGACTCCTCCAACCGCCAAATGGTGGCCTCTTGTGCTACTTTGTTGTTTCGATCCTGGAATGTCAGTCTCAGGGTCGCTTTGTTCGCAGCAGCCTGTCTTTTTGCATGTTCAAAGCATGCTTACTTCAGCTCGTCCTATTTGATTTATCTCGCTCGAATCACTCTCTTTGTTCGGCCACCCGTTTCTTTTGGGGTCCAAAGTCAGCTATTTCTATGTCGTACAGGTAGCATATAGGTTTCTTTGCTGTGGTACCTAAGGATACATTACTTCCAATAAGAACTGTCGTGCTACGACCGGTCATCGGCCGCAATCTTGTCGTTCCAGAAGGCTCTGAAATGCTTCTGTTCGCCAATTCGGGCAATTTCCTCCACTTCCTCGGCGGTAAGGTGGAAGCTTAGAACATTTAGGTAGGTTTTAAGGCGAGCTTCTTTGCCGCTTGTTGTGACGGAGACTGTTCCACGGTCGATTGACCATCGCAAGAGCACTTCTCCTTCACTCACACCATACTTTCCTGCCAACTTGGACAGCAGAGGATCCAGCGGGCCGCCTTTGGCGCGAATGACTGGTGTGAGGGGCCCGTAGCTTGCAGTGGTTATTCCCTGTTTCTCGTGGAATGGCACAAGAGAACCATGCTGCAGGTATGGGTGATATTCGATCTGGTTGATCGCTGGTGGGATCGTGGCTGTCTCCAAAATCGTTTCGAGGTGATGCTGCACAAAATTGGAGACTCCGATTGCCCGGGCCTTGCCTGCTTCTTTGACCTTCTCCATGGCCGCCCAGGCAGTTTGGAGATCAGCTGGGGATCTTGCGAAAAAAGGTGAGTGAATCAAGTATCTAGTCCTTTGAATTAGGATAAGAGATGGAATAGAGAGTTCTGGGTTACGTACAGATCGACGTAGTCCAGCTGGAGTTTCTTCAAGCTTGCGTCAATTGCCTTGGGGATGTCCGCGATGTTGTTTTGTACCTTGGTCGTCACGAAGAGCTTCTCTCGCGGAATACCACTCTCTTTGATTGCAGTGCCAAGTTCTGGCTCGGTGCCGTAGACTTCGGCGCCATCCAAATGATGATATCCTAGCTTGATCGCAGATTTGATGGATTCCACAAGTTCACGATTGACCTCGTAATCCCCTTTCCTTTTGAACCAGGCAGTGCCGGTCCCATAACCGATCTATTCCAGGTCAGCGGCGAAGCCGATGACATCTCCTGAAAAGGGTACTTACAACAGGAATAGAGGTCCCGTCTTTCAGGTAGATTGAGGGAATAGATGTCATGTTTGAGAGATTGATCAAAATTGAACTAGGTTATTCCCAGATCCTGTGGAGGTGCCACAATCTTATATGTACGTCCAAGCCTGGGTCGGGTCAGATCACGGAGTACTGTGCGAGAATGAGCTCAACACGAGTGGGGTTCACCATTTCATGATGCCACGTCCATATTGCGGACGGAGTACATTGGTGCAATATTGCACCAGTGTAATTGACACTGTTTAGAAAATCAAGCAGTAAATGCATGTCTGCAATTACCGTGCTTTCAAAGAGAATGCCATCGATGGTAGACTAATTCACGAAGAAACCTGCCTCAGGGACTCGTTTGCTGCTCCAACGAGGGTGCATACAGCGTACTGAAACCGAGTGGACGATGCGGGGTTTACCAACACCTGGCCCACACAACCTTTAGCTTCTGCGAACCCTTTCCTGAGGATTACAGACATGATGGCCAAGCTTTGAGCTCTGTTCAGAGTACTTACCTATTCACCTAAAGCATCTTCTGAGTAGTTCATTAATGCAAAAGTTTCTCATTATCTCGAGTGCAGAGTATTAACAACTGGCCGTTGCGCTGACAGGAATATGATGTCACGCTTGGCTTTCATCCTTCCCCGAGTAGCGGCGGCAGCATCTCGACTCACTGCATTATTAAACAAGCGGAGGCGACGAAACTCTGTATCCGTAATCAGCAGCTTACTTGGAACGCTGTAGAGAATTTCTCCTTTATACTTGTAAGAGCTGTTATATGTCTTTTCGCACCGCGTTTTCCCAAACACAAGCTCTCCGAAGCCGTCTCGGCAGAATGGCTTCGCAACTTTCCTCCAACGCAGAGACAGCAGCAGCTGGTGTATCACTAGCAGATCTTCCCAAGTCAAATGTATTCACGTCAAAGCTCCCACCAGACCCGGGATTTCCGACACCAGAAGCATCGCACAGCGCGCAAAGGGAGCGGCTGTATCCGCGGATGGTGAAAAAGGCATTTTTCACTTTCGTCCGTCCCGAGACGACAGAGGATCCGGAGCTTCTCGGTGTTAGCCCGAGGGCAATGAAGGATATAGGGCTGAAGCCTGGCGAGGAGGAGACGGATCAGTTCAAGGCTGTGGTCTCAGGAAATGAGTTCTTTTGGAGTGAAGAACGCGGGGGGGTATATCCTTGGGCCCAATGCTACGGAGGTAAGTCAATTAGCATGTACGTCGGTGCAACGGTTGCTAACTTGTGCAGGATGGCAATTGTATGTCGCGCTGAAATTTCCATAATGAAGCACAGTACTGATCAGGAAAAGCGGTTCATGGGCAGGGCAGCTCGGAGATGGTGTGAGTTGATATCTCGTGTGTAACTCTTTCCAAACTAAATGATATCAGCGAGCGATCAGCCTTTTCGAGAGCACCAACCCAAAGACGAGTGTCCGGTACGAGGTACAGATCAAGGGTGCCGGACGGACACCTTATTCCCGATTTGCAGACGGAAAAGCCGTCCTACGGTCCAGCATCCGCGAATACATCGTCTCCGAAGGTACTATGACCGAAACTCGGGAGGAATATATACGCTAACCGAGACTCGTAGCTCTCTCCGCACTTGGTATCCCTACCACCCGAGCATTATCGCTTACTCTTGCACCAAAGGCAAGAGTCCTGCGAGAGCGCATTGAGCCAGGCGCAATTGTGTGTCGTTTCGCCGAATCCTGGATTCGTATTGGGACTTTTGATCTTCCACACTCACGCGGCGACAGAGACTTGGTGAGAAAGCTAGCAACCTACGTCGCAGAAGAGGTATTCAAAGGGTGGGAATCACTACCAGGTGCGGTATCACCAGCCGAGGGAGTGGAAAATCCTACTCGAGGTGTCCCATGGGACAAGGTGGAAGAACACGAAAAAGTGGAAGAGAACCGATTCGCAAGACTTTACCGAGAGATTGTGCGTCGCAACGCAAAGACCGTGGCCGCCTGGCAAGCATATGGATTCATGAACGGCGTGCTCAACACCGACAACACATCTATATATGGCCTTTCACTGGATTACGGCCCATTCGCTTTCATGGACAACTTTGACCCCCAGTATACACCCAACCACGACGACCACATGCTGAGATACTCCTACAAGAACCAGCCGTCAGTTATCTGGTGGAATCTGGTGAGACTCGGCGAATGCCTAGGAGAACTCATCGGCGCCGGCAACCAGGTTGACGACGAGACCTTTGTCAACGGAGGCGTGACGGAAGACGCCGCGCCAGCCCTCGTCAAGCGCGCAGAAACCATCATCGAGCGCACGGGCGAGGAATACAAGACTGTTTTCCTCAGCGAGTACAAACGCCTCATGACCAAGAGACTCGGCCTTCGGACCCAGAAAGAGTCAGACTTTCAAAACCTCTTCTCTGAACTCCTTGATACACTCGAAGCACTCGAGCTTGATTTCAACCACTTCTTCCGACGGCTTTCGGGCGTCCCCATTGCCGACCTCGCTTCAGAATCCGGTCGAAAGGAGACTGCTTCTATATTTTTCCACGCCGAAGGTCCTGGTGGCGTAGGATACACGGAGGACTCGGCCAGAGAGCGCATCGCCGACTGGCTCGAGAAATGGCGTCAGCGCATCGTCGAAGACTGGGGCATTGATAACGGTTCAGATGCGGACGCCACAAGACAGACAGCCATGAAAGAGGTCAATCCAAAGGTAAGCTTCCCATTTTGTCGTCTCTCTTCTGTTCACTGGCGCTCACTCTCCGTCCTAGTTCGTTCCTCGCGGCTGGATTCTCGATGAGATTATCGATCGCGTCGAACGTCGCGGGGATCGTGAGATACTCGCTAGAGTGATGAATATGGTGCTCAACCCGTTCAACGAGGAATGGGGGCCGAATAGAGAAGAGGAGGAGCGGTTCTGCGGAGATGTTCCGAGGTTCCAGAGAGCCATGATGTGTAGCTGTAGTTCTTAGTGTGTTGCTCTCCGGTGCGTAAATCGCCTGTATAATCGAATTTAGCGTAACTGGGCCTACTTATGAGTTGGACTTTATCGTGGACAGCTCGAGAATACGTATGCAGGGTTGGAGAGAACCATTGAGAGAAGTATGGGTCAATATTGATTTTTCTTCTTCTTGAAAACTAGACGTCGCGCACAAAATCCACCGTTCTTTTTTTATTGCCTGCTCCCCCTGTTCCTTTTCATTATTTTTAATCCCCAAATCTTCTGCAATACACAAGAGCATCCATCCCATTGATCCATCCATCCGCAACCGAGAGACCACCATCACCAGTCTCAAATCAATTCGCCTTGCCTGTGGGGCTGAAGGGAATCTCAAGGCAAGAAAGTCGTAGGTATGACTCAATAGTACAGGGATATCTTCCGGATAGATATCTTGGTAAACCGAAGGGGTTTAAGTCATTTCAGAACCAGGGTCATGAAGCCAAGGAATGCATAACTTGGCTGACGGGTTTGAGCAAACGGAAAGCAAATCGTCACGAAAAGGACGCATCGTATAAGAAATCCCTGTACCCTGGTTCAATGCACAAACTGGAGGGCGTAATGAAGACGAATGAGCCGACCAGATGTCAACTAGTTGTTGGGGCAAGCGCTCTGGATGTGGCCGGGTTGCTTGCAGTTGTAACAAACCCGCTCACCCTTGGCCTCTGTGGGGCAGTCGCGAGAGACATGGCCGACTTCGCCGCCTTTCTTCATGTCAGTATGAATATGGAAAAAGCACGCGAGCCACTTACAGTTGTAGCACTTCTGGCCGTGAGTGCAGTCGCGGGCCATGTGGCCGAAACCGCCGCAAGAGTAGCAAGTCTGCTGGCGGCCACTGAAGCCACCGCCACCACCACCTCCTCCGAAACCACCTCCATAGCTACCACCCTGGGGGCAGTTTCTGGCAATGTGACCGACGCGGCCACACTTGTAGCACTCTTGGCCGCCAGCTGGGCGGTCGTTTTCACCGGCTTGAGGGCATTCGCGGGAGATGTGACCGACACCACCGCAACGGTAGCAAGACTTCTCCTTGGGGGCTACAGTGCATTCACGGCCTAGAATAACGCGAGGGTCAGCCTTCGCATAGTAGAAGAGATTAGCTTGAAATGACTTACTGACGTGGCCCTGTCCTGTGATTTTCAGAGCAGCAGGTTAGAATAGAACAATATCATGGGTAGTAAGGACTAGTCTCAGGGAAGGGATAGCGCATACCACCGCAGTTGTAGCTATAAACGGTGTCAGTAGGCGTCGCTTGCAGGAACAAATCGAACAACATACCAAGTAGGGGTTCCCTTCTTGGGGCAGTCACGAGCCTAGACAACATTGTAAGAATCCATGTGCCGGTAATAAGCAGAGACGGATGAAGGCTGTATTCACCTGATGTGTGGCTTCGCCGCCTGTTTTTTCAAGAAAATTGTCAGCTAGGGTGATTTTTTTTTTCCAGCGGAGCGATTCGAAGGCAGAACAGTGGCACACAGATTGACATCAAGACAGGGCCAGCAGGGATGGAGCAATTATTGGAGACAAGAAGAAGCCAAGAAAATAAAACTCTCTTTGGTCTCTTTCTTTATTCTCTCGATAGCTCGAATCTCAACACAAAATGTGCAACACTTGCAAGGTAACAGATCGGCTGCCAATTGGCATGTCGCCCGGGCAAAGATTTCAAAACTCACAGTTGAAGCATCCACGACCTCCAGCTTGGAAACTCATTTTGGCAGAGAAAGGTGAGTTGGAATGGAAGAGAGAGGTGTTGTTCTGGTGAAAGTGGCTTTTCGTTGGAGGGGCGAAAATTTAAGCAGAAATTTAGTGATTTGCGGGAACTGGAAGAATATTGATTGCAGATAAACGCAGATCCGCTCTTCAGTGCGGGGGGGAAGAGCCTTAAGCGTCGCTCGTTCCTGACTTCCAGGTCTTCAGTAATTCCTCGTTTGCAACGAGCTAACAAACCTCTGGATTGATGGATACTAGCATTTGCTTTCTTTCAGTCTTTTCTGGCTCTGCATCCTTCCTTCCCTTCTTCTTCGTCTTCAACCCGCGCGCGGGACTCGGGAGGCTAAACTGCCCGTTTGCCTCCTGTCGTCAACGCTGACTGCTCACTCTCGGATGGATGCCATGTGTCTCAAAGTCACCCTGAGACATATGACAGAAAATCTGCGATGCTCTGGGTGAGTCTTGGGTGATACCATTGCACTGTGTCTCTCGCCTTTTCTTCGTTTCCCCACATTCTTGGATGACTGAAAAGAGCAATTCGCACAGAGGAATCGGCTGTAGTGGACGAAAACTGCTGTTCTCCTTTGAGATAGATTTAGTGAACGTTGATATATTGTAGATCAGTCGACAGGTCTGCGGAAGCACTCAACGCTGGAGGGAAACACCTCGAAGAGGATTGCAATGCCTCTCAATCATGGTCCGGAAGGGCAGGAAGAGATTGAGGGGTAAGTAAGCTTAATATTACTTTTCACGGGGATGATGATCCTAATATCTACCCTCCAAGGTCCCCTGGTTTCGATGCCGTCTACTGGTACCTTGGTGGTCACCATCACAGACTAAATAGCGCCCAGATGAACCATAAAGTATACTGAGCGATCCAGCCACCCAATGGATTCCATTGTCTCGGCTAGTTGAAGGGATTCCCAGACTACAAAAAAAAGTTAGCATATCCATCTGAAACGATTAGGACATCTGGTAGTAGTTCTACTTTAGTCTTAAGTCCGACGGTCCAAATATGTGCGTGAAGCCCTCTTGACGCTGGCGGGTATTCCGAAGTAGATAGGTACATTAGTACCTACTAGGGTAGTATGGCTCACAACCCTTTACATACATGCAAAGAAGGACTTGAAGGGCTCCTTCGTGCTCGCCGAGGATTTTGCATCAAGTAAGCTTTCTCATATAGTTGTTGGACTGTTGAAGCGTACCAAATGTAAAACATTAGGTCAACTCATACGGGCTACGCGTATGACACCTCCAACACGGGCACTCTCCGAGGCTGTACCCCATTTGCCTGGAAGCCACTTTGGAAAGTTGTATATATAGCAAAGACAGTTTGGCGTGCTGTATCATAGCCCTTTATGAAGCCATGCTCGTTTATACAGTGAATGCCTAAGCGCATCGTTGGCCCCACTAATTCTTTGTACGGGCGAAAACAGCCAAGATCTAAGGCTGGAGAGATTGGTATGAATATCGTAATTTGTAAATTAGATATCATAGTTTCGCTTTGAACCAGATTCTGAATGGAGGCGTGAGATGATCTGTCAGGACCGTCCAGAGGAAGCAGTTGGTTTTCCCCGAGTAGCATACAAGCAGTTGTAGCAGGAGTGAAACAGTGAAGTAGTTTTCTCAACGTCCGTCGTTCGGCCATTTAGAGTCATATTGGTCCTCTAATTGCCCGGTAAGCTCGTGGGAAGGTTTACAGGCTCTTCTTGTGACTGCCGTACCTGCGATGGCCTGGGAAATCTCCACGCATGTTCGGTGGTATGATCCGCTGCATGTGGTTGCAGATTTATGGAGCGCAGATCACAGAACATTGAGGACCTTTGCTGCTCGACGATTGACAGGAGCTATGCGTCGCCTAAAGCGTGTATCGCGGGTTGAAGTCACCCTTCTTGCTCCAACAAGGTTTGTTTCGATTTGAGGCCATGCATCCATATCATATCTTTCCCGTAAGATTCGGTGTTCTCCAACCTATGTGAAATCATAAAACTCGAGAAGTTGTGTTCCGCGATTCCTTTCGCGAAGTATGAGCAATCGCTCATCGTCGAATCCAATGCACCCTCGTCGACCTTCGGATAGTAAATCAGGGTCTGCATCGGATGGATACCTTTGCCTATCGGTCTCTACCTTAATGCTATTTTCGCCTTGGGACGTTTTATGGGTTCCAAACGACGATATCAGAGTTTCGAGCTCCCATATCCGTACCTCATCTCCATGTGAGCTAACGGAAACAGCTTTTCCTCGTTCGCTAACCTCTACTGCCGAAACAGATGATGTATGGCCCCAAAGTCGCCGCCCTCCCTTTACAAACAGATTGCCCGAGTTCGAAACAACGAGATACACGGTCAAGGTGTTATCAGCGTGCGATGTAAGAAGATATGGATGAGAGTATGAAACGGACGTTGGCGGCTCCTGATGTAGTATTGCAGGATTCAATGGTGTTGCATGCGAATGGGTGGTGGGCCGAGAAGGGGATGAAGACCGCCCATTCTTCGTACTCGGGAAATGTACTTTCACAACACCATACTGCGTGTCCACTGTGGTTGTGAGTCGGGAACTCAGTTGCTGGCCAGTTGTATCAAAGCGCAATTCTTGAATGCCCAAAGACCAGCCACAACCAAGGTGATAAAAGCTGTAGACAATAGACGCGATGATATCTGATCCTGCAAGGCGTATAGAGACCGACATTGGTGACAACATATTGTCGGCTTTTAAGGACGCGATAAGGTGCGCTGAATCATCTGATCGGCTGGATAATTGATATAGTGGTAATCGATATAGTGATAGCACCATAAGCTCAGAAACAATAACGAGGTATGGATATGATGAGGCTATCGCGATTACCGCGCCTTGGGCAGATTTCTTGAGAGAGAGGCGCAAGCTCAAACGTGATCTCGTCGTATCGAGCTTGAAAATATCGATTCTTCCATCATCGAACCCTACCACGACCTCGACACAGTTCGTCTCATGGCCGGCGGTTGCGGTCAATGCGGTTGGTGCTGATGAATGCAAATTGGAGAAATTATTTTCTGCTTTGCAGATTTCTGGCTTCTCCGTCGACCATGCCCGAAGTCCTTTCTGTGAATCTGCCGTGAATACAAAACCAGCATTTAGTGTGGCTAGCATCGGTGACCTAGGCGGCTGGGGGATCTCAACTTGGGTCACTCGACATATGCCTTTTGACCAGTTGTGCTTGAGATGATACTGTCGCTTCCAATTTGTAATCCGCCCGCTCCGATCTAGATGGCCATGATCCAGCCATGTCGACACTCGAGGAGAGTATTCAGTTTTCGATAGTGGAAAGGAGGTCCGTCGACTAATCGCTAATCGGCGAGCGCGGGGTCGTACCCATTTCGAGAAATATTGTCGCTTCCAGAGCTCCGAGTCACCGGCAAGGGCATGAAACCGACGAGATAGTCTGATCCCAAACGTCAGTCGACTTCACTCATGAGAATGCTACGCTGGTGCTCGTACCGTTGGCAGGTTATTAAGGAGGGTATAGGTAGAAATGACAGGATATGGAGCAGGACTTCGTTGCTCAGGGTGGAAAGACGGTCAGGAGTTCCAGCTTCAATCGTGTGCGGTCGCTTTGCCGGACCAGACCTCGACAACTCATCATCGTTGCGCCTTTTTGGCATCTTGCAGCATCCATCGCAAGCGTGATTGGGAGCTTCAAACCATCATCGCCGCAGAAGATGCGATCGAGCGCTTATCTAAGTGCAATAACGGTAAGTTACTAAGTTAACCAGGGCGAGACTGATCCCCCCGCTGCTATCCTTGTCCGGTGAGACGTCATTCGCCAGCGCCACATCGGACACGCTCTCTCTGTACGGAGTACACAACGCGAGAATTTCACGACTCTACCATCCTCTTCATTTTTCAGTTCATATGGATGCTCTAAAGCAACTTCATACGTCTATTTCCGGCACATTTGAGAAATGCTTCAATGATACCTACAAGAAGCTCAATGCAGAGCTCGCCGCGTACGACGCGCGCGTACACGATGCGGAAGAGAGAGCAAAAGCTGCAGATGAAGCTCGCCGCGAGTTGAGATTTGAAACGAAAGTTCTGAGAGAAGAATTGTCTTTACTGCGAGGGAAAACGCGTACAACTGGCTTCGATTCGACCGGCAATGGACCTATAACGAGATCGCTTGAACTAGACGAGATATTCGAACCAAGTCTCGTTCTGGGCGACGTCGACGCTTCCGATTTCAGCGCTGAGAGATTCAAAACAATCAGCGACAGATATTTGCAGCTGTATGGACAAGCTGGAATGTTTTTGGAGGCCTCGCTGGCTCTCAGGGCACAGGTGAAAAGCCACAAAAGAAAGCTGGAGCGCCTGCAAAGCTTCTTTGCCCGCTCAGAGTTTACCCTCACCTTCGGCGATCAAGTCGTCAAATTTCAACGTGTCGAGCAAAAGCCAGCAGAGACGACAACGCTGCTCGAGGTAGCCGACCCTAATGCGAACACAGAGGCGCCAACTAAAAAGCCAGTCCTTCCCACTGCATCCGATGGAGGCAGCATTATCGAGGATGAACAAGAACAAGGAGGCGAGAGACAGATCCTCATAGGGGATTCGCGGCAGGACCCTATACACTCAGACGCTTCAACTGTCGAATTGCCGCCTGTTCCCCTTGCGCCTCGGAGTACTCAAAAATCTGGAACGTTAAAGCGGAGGTATTCGGGGGACCAACCAGCTCTCAAACATGGCTCGTCTCCCAGGAGTGCAAACAAAGGTGGCCTGGGACATCCCATCATTGTCAAAAGCGAAACCATGTCCTCCAGCCCTGTCATGACTTATCCTTCGCATACATCGCACACAGGGCCGACAGGGACGCAAGACTTAGACGATATCGGCGATACTGTTGTTACCCCGACAAAAAGAATTCGATGTCGTGAAGAGCCAAGCTTTCGATCATTGAGCGCTGAGTCTCAACCTCCTAACATGAAAACATCGTCGGCTCCGTTCCTCACGCAGCATAGTCGGATGAATGGGAGAAATGGGTCAGGGGTGCTTCAACCGGTCGACGGCAACCTACGAACCCCAAGCGGTCTCTATCAGACACTAAACAAGGGGCGGAAAATGGAACCCGGCAGCATGAAGAGGTTATCAGCGCTAACAGAAGACGGTGATGAAACTTGCCCTTTGGCATTCACCAGGAAAGCAGGAACCAGAACACCAGAAAACAGCCCGTACTTTCAAATCCGGTCAATTGGCAACCGATTAACCAATCTGCTTGATCAACCGTCGCCGTCGAGCAGAAGTCTACAGCCCAAGCCGGCTGCCGACAAACCTACTCGAAGGCGCACGCGCTCCCCCGAGAAAGGTAGCTCTACGGCTAACCGTAGCGAATCAGATACTACATCTGCAACCACACCAGCTACCTCGGAACAATCACGAACCAATTCAAAACTGAGCGTGCGTCAGCCTCGCAGCGCAAGTCCAATAAAAATAGCGCCCGAGGATGAGCCCTACAGAGCCCGACCGCTCAATCGACTTGCTCTTGATCATTTCAAAATAAATCCAGATCGCAACCAGGGGCTGGATTTTGCCTATGACGAAGTGGTTCGGAAAAGGGACGAACGCAAATGTATGGGTGGCTGCACCCGTCCAGGTTGCTGTGGAGATAAGTTCCGTGCCATGGCGCGGTTTGGCATTTCCACAGTCGCATCTGGGAGACAAATCAGCGACGAGGAGATTCTAGAAGAGTTCTTAGGCGAAGGCGAACACACCATCGAGGATCTTAGCACGGAACAACGTCGAGACCTGCTGGAGCAAGCCAAGACCAAGTTCTTTTCTGACCGTTTCGGACGACATAGGCATCAGCATCACCGCTCAGGCACGCCCCCGGGCTTCTGGCGCACCGATATGCCTGGTACGCAGGAATTGGAGGAGGACCGTGAGCAGGCGCATAGATTTGAGAGGGAAAAGGTAGAGGAGCGGTACAGAGAAGCAATGCGCTTAGGTGGTCGATGGATGTTTGCGGACGAGTGAGTCGCATGCTACATGCGAGGTCATTGTAGATATTAGATCATTTCAGTTGCTATAGCACGGCGCCGATATTTGGCAGCTATAATAAATGTTCTTCGCATGAGGCGAGTGCGAAGGAGATGTTTACTTCGGTATAGTTTTGGGTCACTGCAAATCTGGCTTGGCCTCGGTAAACGAGATGGTCGTACAAAGTCTGTCTCGGAGATATTGCATCGTCTGGTTAGGACTGTCGTCCAAGTTCTGAACTCAAGGGCTTGGGGAAGTCGGGGTACCGGGGTACCTTGTCTCAAACCTCGGCATCGCTCCTTGGCAGACGTGGGACACGTGCTGTCGCTGTCATCTCCAGATCACGCCTTCTACACGACTCCTGGACCATCTAAACTCACCTCTCCATCCGATACAGCCCCTTCAGCACACACATTCTCTACCAAGTCATATTCTTTGTTTATGCTGATGCTTTCCCGTACCTTCTGGTATGGAAGCAGCTCACAAACCTAGACTGCCGGTTCCGGCTGTCCTTCTCCAGCCGTCCAAGTGGCTACCACTGTACGAGGACTTTGTGACAAAAAATGCAAGCTCAATAGGGCAGGTCGAATCTGCGCTGAGATCGCTCACGTATATAATTCCAGGTATGTCGACTTACGGAAACCGGGGCGCATCACTAACGCTTGTCTGTCAACAGGACGGTACCGCGACTCCGAGATACCTTCAGAATGTGGTATGTCAACATGTCCAAAACTGCGTACGGCACTTCTAAACTGTAGTTACAGTTCATTCGGGAGTACAGTTGCTATCGTTATATCATGATTCGCTCATTTCCAAGGTCATCTCCAATCTACCGCCAACCATCTGTCGACCAACGCCCAGCCCCCACACCCGGTACACCAAATATTGGACCTCACAATCTCCGCTGTATCAAAAAGTCGCCCTCACTCTGCAAACCGTCCGATACACCGAGCTGTTGTGGGAGATGATTGCGCGGCGCCGTGGCGAAAAAGTCCGCTGGCGCGTCGTCGTCTTTATTGAAGTCGTTAAGGCGATATGCCGCCTATTCCTCCTACGACTCACAAACTCGCGGCCGCTCGTCAGCCCTCCACTACCCGAGCGTGAAGTAGACCCTAGATCGCTAGAAGAAGATGATGGCAGTGATTGGAACGGGATGCAGACTCCTGTCAGCGAACGGTCATCGACCGATCTCAGCTGGACAATGCCTCGCACGGGGCTGTCGCTCCCGTCCCTGCCAGATGCGAACGATGTTTCAAATTATCTTATATCCAAGGTCCTCACAGCCGATGACATCAAACCGCCCAAGGCGCTTCTACACCGGGTGACCGGTCAGGGTCAGTTGGCGGAGGTACTCCATATCCTACGACCGGTTGTCTATGCGCTTGCTCTACAGAGGTGGAGTGGCGACAAGCGAAGCTGGAGGCCTTGGTTAATCGGTTTCGGCATGGAGTACGGTTGCCGGCAGCTGTCCAAGGCTGACTTTCGCGAAAGGGTCGCTGGCGGCCTCCGCGGACTGACCGGCCTTGAACGGGAAGAGCTGAAGAAACGGGGTTGGTCGATGGGGTGGTGGCTGATGCGATCAGCTTTTTATGAGAACATTACCAAGTGCGTTCGACCTCTTTACCAAAACTCACGGGAGGCTGGGTGCTAACTTTCGCAGGTCCACGCTTAAGGGACTGACAGGAAAGATGAAGGGCAAGCCACTTCTTGACCTCGTCGGTAGCATCATCGAAGACTACGAATATCTTTGGGACAACTACTACTTCCCCACAGCAACACTCTAACCAGCGCACTGGATTTGAAGATGGACTACTGTTTCTTATATACTTAACAGATACCCGATATTTAATTGCGTTCAACTTTTCTTTGGCATTGCATTAGAATTGGTAGATGACGGGTATCATAGCATCATAAGTAGATTCATAGAACCTCTGCGGTTTTCTTCCCAAACCACTCTCGGAGCTCTTGACTACCTCCCTTGGAGGTACTCCCCGACGACAGCAAGAAATCCATAAGTTGCGTGTCACCGTCTTCAGTAGGCCATTCAACCCTCTCCCCACCCTTGGTCTCCAGCATCTCCTTCGCCGTGCCCCAGCTAAACCTACACTCATTCCCCCACCCAAACACCGGGTCCATATTGCACCTCAACCAATTCACACACTTTGAATCAGAGGGATACCCACTACCCCATCCCGCACCCTTGTCCTCCTCAAGCGCCTCGTGACAAACCTCCAAGGCAACATCCCTCGTGACTTTTGCAACCACACTCGCTGCACTGACACATGGAAACAACGAATCCGCCTTCTTCTCCACCGTAATCTTCAACGACGGAAACACCGCCTCCAGCCTCTTCTGATAACTCGCCGGATTTCCGACGGTATCAATATAGACCTCGCGCACATCGATCTTCCTCTCCTCCACGATGCCCCGTATAAGCTCAATTGTGGCATCCATCGCCTGTGCATTGAGGTTATACACGCCGCCCACGCTCGTAGCAGGCCTCATCATCCCCGACGAGATATCCCGCGCCGAGAGCACCTTGGCCGCGAACCCGCAAGATTCATGTAGCGATGACCCCTTTGTGATGATCTGCTGCATGAGCCTCGCACGGTTGACAGCTGTGAGCACTTTGCTGTCGTCGAAGCGGTACTTCTTCGCGAGGAGGAGTTCGTGCTCGTCGGAGGGGACGTAAAAGGCGCTGTAGACCATGGGGCCGAGCACGGGGCCGCGGCCGGCCTCGTCGATGCCCAGTACGAAATAGTCGTAGCGGTTGACTGGTGGGGATGTGATAATTGGTGGCGGCGGTGAGAAGTAGGCGTAGGATTCGCCCGCGAGGAGCTTTGTTCTGTCAACGGTGGGGAGGGGGAGCGTGGATGGTTCATTGAGGATATCTGTTTCTGTTTCGGGGATTGGCGTTGTTGGTGTGTCTTCTTCCATTTTGGTATCTAGTTCAGTTTGTTGTGACATGACTGGAGCGGCGTTGTTAGTGATGAACAAATATGAGGTTCAAATCTAAAGTAAAAGTTCCAACACTCTCGGGAGACGCGTCTCGCCGCGAAGCGCGTCCCTTGCACTTATGCCCGATCCGGAAGGAACATTCTGGCTGGCACACGGAAGACGACCTCAGGACAAGGAGCCAATCATTGGGAAGCCAAAGTATAGAGCCTCTTTTGCGGTCCGGCAAAAAGAGCACAGCACGAGGATACAGCTCTATGCTGCTTGTAGGGGTGTTAGAAATGCAAAAAGAGAAGCGCTGAATGCGGATCGAACGCATGACCTACCGGACTGCAGCCGGTTGCTCTACCACTGAGCTACCAACGCTGGTTGTTAAAGATCGCTGCCGGGAGTGCGCTTATAGCTCTAACACCCCCATAATGGCCCTTGAAGAGTTTTAGGTAAGACTGCAATATGGCGTTAGATGACCAGAATATGACGTAGAGTTCTCCAATACTTTGTAGCTCTGAGGGCCATTAGTCAGTTGTGCAATATCTTATAGCATCATGGTGTGAGTACTACGCATGATGCGGAAGTAGTCAAGCATATTAGGTATACGCCAGCCAGCAGCACCTTGTTGGCCGGGAAATACGAAGTACTGGCATGAAATACAATCAATAGGCAGGGTGCTGTACGTTCTCCCTACTCTTTTCCAGCTACAGTAAAACGTTTGATCTATACACCTAGACCCAACAATGACGGAGCAGCACTTGCAACCCGGAGCAGATATGAGCAATGACGCCCAAGTCGATGGAGACATAGTTTGATGACTAGTAGGATATCTGTCCAGCCCGATATTTGTCGATAGGCTTCGCACGTACAACGGCATTCATATCGGCTCATCACCCACCCCACCCAGCACACAGCGCCGCAACCTCCTCCATCCTCGGTGCAACAAATCGCCCACCCCCTCCACTCTTCCCTCCAAGCCCCGGACACATCGCCACCAGCAGGCAGGCAAGAATATGCTTACACACTGCCGGTGCTGACTCTGGGTGCATGGGGAAAGTCCCACCGAAGGAGTAAGCGCCTGTGTCGCCGGCGTCAGCGTCAGCCTGCGCACATACCTCGCCTGCATGGTCAGGGGTGGAGGAAGGTGACGTGTCCTCTACACGCTCGTTCACACCCGACCTCATTTTCTCAGGCGATGGCGAGAGAGGCGATGATGGCTCAGGGCCAAGGTTTCGAAATGCGGACAGCGTAAAGGCAGGACAGGTGCAGTTCCATGCATGGAGGCGGACTTCGTAGCCCTTTGTCTGCCAGTGGTTTTGCTGATGAGGTTTGGGTTGTGTGTTCGATAGTAGTTGATGATTTGATGTCGTTGAGGCCGATGTGACAAAGAAAAAGTTCTCCTTTCGCATACTCGAGTCGTCACTTTCGCTTCTTTTTCCGGGCTCAGTCTCCGATGTTTCGAGTTCACGATTTGCTGGCATGGCCGTATCCTCCGTAAGAACTCGCCTGATGAGCCCTCTGTCTAGGATATCCAGGGCTAGTAAGAGCTCGTTGGGAAAGATGCAGTGGAGAGTCAACATCAGCGGTTTTATGTCAGTCAGCTGTGAGTGTGGGAATGTGGATGTTGGCCGCCGGTGACTTTGGTGGTAGTGGTGATGACATGGAGGTCCATCTTCGGGTGCCTCCTCATCACTGCTTTGGCCCGTGTCTATCGTCGTATACTGGGATAATTTGGATAGCAGGTCATTGATAAATTGCGATGTGCGTGGGAGATCAGTCCTATGGTCGCCATTATATATAAATGTGTCAGGCTCAATCACGGTACCCATGTCGAGGATTATAGTAAAAATCGCAGAGACCGAGATAATAGAGTATACGAAACGAGGTTCACACCCCAGGAAAGCACAATGGACCACCCATTAATACTGCACATATCATCGCAGACGTCGCAAGTCTTAACATTGCTCGTCGTCAAGAAGCGATGCTTGGCAAGGCAAGGAAAAAGTCGCTTACTCAGAAATTCTCCGAAGCGCATGAAAAGTCTCAACTTTAATTTTACATCCTCGGTATGGTACATACCAGAATTCCATATCAAACTTTAAGAAGCGACCAGGAAGAGCCAGTGATGTACTATACTTGCCTGGTTAAGTGTGTGCCCAACTGAATTGAAGTACAAACTGGAGCGTGCGCTGCCCTGCCTGCTCGCCACTTGGGTTTCCAGAGCAGACCCGACGAGCAGCACCCGAAAGTCGAATCTCCAGCAGGTAGACATTGATCGAGCCGCATCTTGAGAACCCGACATCTCGCGGCATTCCGGACCGTGGTCAACAGATCAACATGGCATCTGAAAGTGAGGCTCAAGGAGAAGCCTACGAGGAGAAGAATGTGCACGAGGTGTATCAGCAGATCGCGAATCATTTTTCCGCCACGAGGTACAAGGTAAGCCTCCCAGCTTATACCCCCGACGCCATCGCATGGCAGTACAGTTCAGCTGACAATGGCAGCCATGGCCAGTCGTGGAACGCTTTCTCCTGGAACAAAAGCCCGGCACCATTGGGCTAGATGTAGGATGCGGTAATGGCAAGTACCTAATGGTAAATAAAAGCGTCTTTATCGTCGCCTCAGATCGGTACGTATACTCTAGGATTTAGCTTTTGTCCTGCGGCGGTTTCGTTTGTTTCCTGATCTACACTGCGACTTGCAATAAAAATTACAAAAAAAAAACAAAAACAAAAAAAAAACATTTACATGTCATTCACCTTCGTATATCCGAATTGATATCCAATACTGACTATATCAGATCCGAAAACCTGGCGCGAATCGCCCGCCAGCATCAACCACATTCAACCATCGTGGCTGATATTCTAAGTTTGCCGCACCCGGACGCCGCCTTTGATTTCGCCATCTCAATTGCAGTTATCCACCACCTGTCTACCCCCGACCGAAGGGTCCAAGCGATCCATGAAATTCTGCAAAAGCTGAGGCCCGCCTCTGGCGACGTCCCCGGCGGCAGAGCCCTCGTTTATGTCTGGGCCCTAGAACAAAAATCGAGCCGCAGAGGCTGGGATAAGGGCGACGATAAGGATATCATGGTTCCCTGGGTCTTGAAGAGCCCGCAATCCGATACCACTCCTGATGCCGAGCCCAAGGTATTCCACCGGTACTATCATCTCTATGAATCCGCTGAGCTGGAGGGTGACGTCGAGAAAGCGGGCGGCCGGGTGCTGGAATCAGGATACGACAAGGACAACTGGTGGGCGATTGCGACTCGAGTCGACGAGAAATAATCACAATCGGTCCATCACTTCGAGATCCAGCCTCGAAGCAGGTTTTCCGACGCCCTGTATCGGTTCTGTGTCAGTCAAAAGCCGCCCTATCGGGCTCCATCAGAACCTCCCTCATAATTGATGAGGAGTATTTCGCAAATATCGTCTATTGAGAATCCCTCCTTGTGAATCAAAATACCACCAGCGCTATGCAATTCGTAACAACGCAAAAATCGAACAAAAGAAAATAGAAAGAAACAAGGCACCGTTTTAAGGAAGCGTCCGGGGAGGAAGTCCGAGGTTGGGTCCCAAGTGACCAGGATGCCCCCCTAGGTCCATCGGCGGTCGTGCTATTCGGTAGGCGTCTCGTGGAGGATGGGGAGGAGGTGGAAAGGGCAGCGGAGGGGCGAATGCTGGGATGCCAGCAGCGGGAACTCCAGCGGTGAGCTCTTGAACGGACGGTAGCTGAGGAGGCGGATGTAACGATCGTGAAGCTGATCCTTTTCTAGGACGGGCTAAAGATGTGCTGGCTCGTCGTGTCCTGGTTGTAGGTGGATCGATCGCTGAACTGGATAGTGAGAAAGGGACCACGCCAGCTCGACGGGCCATCTCCTGCTCTCCCAACTGCCAATGCATGGCTTCTGCAGCCCGCCACGGAATTGCCATCTCCTCTGCCACTTTCGACCACATCTCCGCCTTGAACCTGTTACATCACGTCAGCAATCAGAGTCCACAAAACTCTAAATCGAGCATTGTCCCAAGGTACCTCTCGTAAAGTCGAGCGAGTTTGTTTTTCTTGTCCTCGTCCCATTCACTCCGGCGCTCCAGGTAATTCTGATAATGAAGACGGCAGCTGATTGCACTTCGTCCGGGTAGTCGTTTGCTGATATCCTCCCACTTCATGCCGCTGCCTCGCAGCTCGATGATCAGAGCGTCCTCCTCTGGAGACCACTTGGATTGCTTTTTCGCCGGCGATTCCGCAGTGTGAGCTGGCTGCAGGCGTTTTGTTCCAGCAACAGGCGCCTTGGCAGTAAGCGGGGGCACCGAGGACGCCGAAGGCACCGATGGTTGGGTCGCCAGTCCGACCGGTGGTGGTGGTGGTGCAATCGATGCCACTGGGGGCATCGGGTGCATCACAGGAGCAGGTGGGAAAGCTGACGTAGTGCTCATGGGGGTTGCCTCCTCTTCATCTTGGGGCTTCAACAGCAGTGAGATATCCACTTTGGCAGGAGGTGGTAGGATAGGCGGGTTTTGTAACGCAATCATATGCGCGATTCACAGCGTTGAAGTTATCCTGCTTTCGTTCGTTTGTACGGCTGTGTGGTGATGGGCGTATCTGAAGCGAGGCAGCAAAAGCAACAGCAGCAGCAGCATGTAAAAAGAGAAAGTTCGTCGTTGCTGCTGATCCTTTTGGGTGCCCGATATTTAGGTAGTAGAAGAAGGCGCGCACACCGTTCTTGACAGTGGCAAGAGGGAAAGTTCAAGTAGTCCACTCACAGCACAGGCCAGATCGAGTAGGACAAACAGGCGGGTTCAGAAAGGATTAGGTCAAACAGAAGGCCACCTTAAAACCGTATAATAAGTACCCAGCACGCTAAGTAGTCTCGTTGGGTCTCCTTGGTTCTCTAGTCCCGAAATGAGCGGCAGGGCGATAGATCCAGCTGTGGATGATGTATCTTGACTACTCAGGTATGGTTGACTTGACTAACAAGGTGGGATAGATGGCCCTGCTGAGGCTGAGTCGTCGGAGCGTATCGTATCACAGGCCAACCACGCGCGCACACTGATGATTTAAGATAGAGAGCAAAAGCGCAGAAACCCCGGGAGCCAAATAAACAACAGAGGATCGATGTGAACAGAACGTATCTAGACGATAAGGGGAAAAAAGAATATGGGGATTGTAGCACCAGCGGGAGTTGAAACCCAAAGAGAACGGGTCTGGTATCTTTTCGAGGAAAGGCGTTTGATACCACGAGATCTAAATCCACCTGACAGCCGTCAAAAGGATGAAGGACCGATGATTCATGCAGCGCAGTAATAACGAGGGAAGGGCGTTGGGCGAGAGGAACAAGAGGAAAAAGAAAGTTCGTTGGAGGATGAAGAGAGAGAACGAGAAAGAGATGAAACACAGGCTGTACCCTGAGAGAGATCATCGGCAACGGTAAAGCAGCAGTAAGAGCAGAGACAATGACAGCTGATTGAGCAGCCGAGGGGCCAGTGAGGAGCTCACTCTGGATAGACTACGAGTAGGGACCCAGCGGCGAGACCAAGTACAAGAAACCGTTTTAAATTACTACTTTCCCTTCATCTTTTATTTAATTTTACTTTCTTCCCCTCTCTCTTTTAAAATTGCCATGACGAAGATGGCCCTGGCTGGCTAATAAGAATTTAATCTATTTAGAATAGTTCATCGGGCGAACAAGAACCGTGGTTCTGAAGACAAGTCTTAATATTCGCCTCCATCGGACCTCCAAGTATACCTGACTGGCCTGAAGAAGACGCCTGACTTGCGCTATCCATCAGGCAGAAGACTCGGCTGAAACCCATATTTTCCAGAATCAGAAATCACAGCAAATAGGAGTGAAGATCCAAGTAGAAATGGTCAATATTAACGGCGATTTTCAAACGGTTCCACTCGTTGAGCTTCCATGATGGCACTGGTAGGAGGTTGCTCGGAAGTCGACTCCAGCTTGCTTGAAGCGACGAAGAGGCGGAATGTTGGTCGAGGATTATTAAAAATACGTAGCTAATCTAACGGCCGAACGAGGGCCCTTGGGACGGGATCTTGTTGCAAGAGGATGGGGCAAATCAGCAACGCGGTTTCGGTTCTGCATCAACCAAGCTGCAACATGGTTAACTTAACTGATGCATGATAGATCGCGACGCTAACTATCTCCGAGATAATGGGGAATTGCCGCCCTATAGGAGAAACGCCTCTTAATTAGCAGAGAGGCAGACAGGTAACAGGTCATACAGTTCCTGGCTGGCAGCGAGACAGACGCGGCAAAGAGCGAAAGAGAATGCTTGCGCGACTTGCAACAAAAACATGGTTCTCTCTCGCAGTGGAGAAGCAGACCGGAGTGGAGGAAAACGAACGGGGCTGACGTTGTTCAACGGCGCCAGGTCCTAAACTGGGCACATATTCATGGAGAAGGAAATAATAATAGCAGACATCATTAACAATTCATCGGCCGACACGGGGAGAGTACGGAGAAAAAAAAGTGCTTGTCTTGTTGACCTCACACTTGCAGCGGAGTGACTCCATCGCAGCCTTCGCAGCCCTCGCATTTTCCCGTCCTGGGAGAGCACTTCGACTAAGTTCCAACGGCTGTGGGATCGGCCGGCCAATTAGTCCTTGGCCATGACGATGGATCTGTTCAACGGCTACGAACCCAAGCCTCGAACGGCAGGTATCGGCCTAGGTAATATCGCTAGCCACGACACTAGCTGGGATCTGGGGTCTATTTTAGCGACTGTTCGCCTTTGTTCACAGTCCAACTGCAGCTCATCAGTGCACCTCATCATCGCCCATCTGGTTGGCATATTATGTCAAGCTAACCAGGGAAAAAAAACCGGAAGCCAGCCACCGCCATCAGCGTCGCCGTCTCCAACCGCCTTGATGATTTTCTCGATGTTCGTCATGATCTCTCTCCGCCACCGTCTGCACAATGGCTTACACTATACTTTGTAGGAAATAGCAGCGTCTACCTCGCTTGAGCCTTGGAGATGGCTCAGTCACACCGACCTTGCCAGCGAAATGGCGGTGATAAATTAGACCATAGGCCAGGAGCGTCCAATCCATTACCATTTCATCTAGAAAAGTGATGCATCCAGCTGTCAATGGAGGTCACGATCGGGTCTCGAGTTCGAGGCACCTAGGTTCCTTAATCAAACTGAATAAACAAGCTTGTTTATTATTATTGCTGGGAACTCGGGAAGACCCTGGTGAAACCCACGCGCTACTTTTCTTCTTCAGCGCAAAATTCTCCGAACAATAACAGGAGTCTTGCTGATTTCGTCCTAGTTCGTGTCACCCAGCTCGGAAGGGTTTGCTTCGCACTGGCTCTCTGCGAAGGTTGCATGAGCTTCTTTGGATCGATTCTCGTGCGTGTTATTGTCTTCTGCTTTTGCACCGCATTGCATCCTTTCTCCCAACCCGGCAACTTTCGACACATCTTTTCCGTGGTTTACGCGCGAGACATGTGTACGTCCGCCGAGTTTACTACTAGAGTCTGGAGGGTTGCCGAAACCCAAGTCTCGACCCTTCACCAGTAGTCCCAGTGATCTACCTCGCTTGAGCCTGGTCATTTCGGCTATACTAGCTCGCCCGTGCCCGCGGTGAGCCGTTGAATAAAGGGCTCAGACAGCAAGTCGTTTCGGGGGGATCGTCCAACGGCTCGGTCGCATGAGTCTGGAAAGCTCGTGAAAGTCGCAAGGCGAGTCCTTCTCGTGTTTGGTCAAGAGTGGCTGTCAGTTCGGAGATTGTCATGGACAGTCTCCCAACGAGCAGGAGCTTGCCGCCGCGCCTGCGCTTGTTTCCCCCCCAAAATCTAGAACACTTTCTTTTCGTGGTTCAAGTTGTTCTGGCGGCGCCGCAGTGAAACCCACCGCAGGACGGAAATTACTATGTCTCCCCCTTATGCGACGCGCCCTACCGAGAACAAGGATGCTCAATAATCTTGATTCTGCTCTTGTGGAAACTGGAAAGGGATGATAATCGTAATGTTCGCAATTGCGGAGAAAGTATTAGAGGTAGGTATCCTTCGAACGGCGGGGCTGACAGGCGGGTAGAGGGACAAGGGTGTTTCGAAACATTCATCTGCTGCAAAATTACCCAGGGACAGGTGGAGATCGAGCAGCTCGGTCCAAGTGCAAACGGTGGCTTGCCTTAACTAAAACGTCATTAATCGTCCGACAGGAGAACTGATTAGTGGCTGCTCCATTGGTCTTCGACTCTCGAGCGACGGACTAGAACCCGCCAAGTGGGGATGTCAACGCCAGCGGCCAGATTGCCATGGGTCCGCCGAACGCCATTCAATTTCTCAGGCTGTTTCGAAGTTCAAGGCCTTCAAATTGCCTGGAACCGCCTGAAATGAAACCATTGAAAGGAAATTCTTCAGAAGGTTGGTTCAGCGGGCACGATGTTACTCTGACGAGCCGGACCATCCATGATAGTTCGAGCCCACCTCGGTCGTACGCGCACATACCACAAGTCAATCAAACCGAGGTTGGTTCAACAGAAAGTCCGGAAGGCTGCTTCTCTGAGCAGGTTGTTTGTACCATGGAACTGCGACCACTGTGCGAGCAAGTCCGAGTTCACCAAGAAGACTCCATAGATTGCAGGCGCATGACGCGACGCGAGGCATGCAAGAAGCGCATCCGCCCCGAAGCTTGTGAGAGCTTGCGACGCGGTAAGTCGCCGCAAGATCCATCATCTTGCGAGAATGCTCTGTCAACAACGGGGAGCTGATCTCGGCTGTAGCTAACTCGATGTATCATGAAGAGCCTGTATACCTAAGATTATGATTGTCCCTCCGCCTAGGTTCCATTTTCAGTTTCGCGACCATCTACTATTATTGTGGATTTGCTAGTGATAACATTTGGCGAAGATGTCAGATAGAGAAAGAGAGAGCGAGATGGCGGTGGGTAACGTAGCAGGGCCTAGAACATATGTTCCCTCTGTGCATCTGTTTCGAGTTCCAAGGTTCGCTGTCGAGATGCATCTCGCCCGGCAGGAGACGCCAGGGCGGAGGATATTCGGCTGCGCGCGTCAAGTTTCCGGTCCAGGTTCATAACAATGGGACTGCGAGAGTCTGCTTTGCGAAAAATTCCCATACAATCGCAGATAACTCAGTCGGTATTCGGCAGAGAGCCGCGAGGAAGTCGTAGTATGAAGTAAAGGCCAAGCCCAGTAGGGGCTATTCCTGGTCGGAGGCCTCGATGGGCGCGCTGCGCAAGGCTAAGCTGAAGGTCCTGATCGGAAATCAGCTTCCTGATTCGCGAGCGGCTGTCTTCCTTGTGTTTCAACGCCCCAGAAGCTTTGACCACTGGCCACGGGAAACTCCACTGGACTTGATATTTCGAAGCCTGCTGGGAATTGGCATGAACAGTGACTTCTGAGAAACGTGGTATGATTTGTCGAAGTAGGATGGAAACACACTTGGTTCCAGTCACGAAGGGGACAGATCTCGGAGCTGCCTCAAACGATTGACTGGGAAGTTTCAAATGATCTCTGGAACCTGACCTCGTACCTCAAACCGCTTCATTGGGCTGCGAACAAGTGGGTCCGACAGGGATACCGCTGCTAACGCTTTTCTATTTCTGGCTTGCAACAGTAATCATCCTCCACAAAACAATCAAGTTCACCGGCTTTCACCTCTGAACACCTCTGACTCCCATGGCAGGACTGAAAAGCATTCTCGGACACACAACACTTTGCCTTGTGTTATACGCTCGTTTGGGTTATATCTGCTCCGGCTGACGCTCGAGTAGATCCATGTTTATCGCCTTCCCCGAGGTCAAAGGATTGGGATTGGGAGCAAAACTTCAGGGCACAATTCAGATCGGGCCCAATATCCGACTAACCATGGCGGTGATGTAATCTCGCCCCCTCCCTTCCTGTCCACAGCCAGTTGCTCAGCTGCATCCGCTGGGCTGTGTTGGTCAATAATAGACTGGGATTGACCCTGCACTCTCATCGATCTGTTCAATCATAATCGCTCACAAAGCTCAGGTGAGAACACGCGGTGTGCCGATGGCATCCCGGGTCTTGCACCTGGAGATCCTGGACCAATCACTGCAAAATCCGGGGCTGCTGCAGCTTGAATGCAAGTGGAGCTATGTATCTCTGAGCTCTTCTGGACTATTCTAGAGTAGGAAGTAGGTGAGCAGATTGGCAGCTTGAAGAAGGTTGAAACCAGGCAGACCGACGCCGCCTCACAGAGTCGCCGACTCGCAGCCAAGCCAACTTGTTTACTTGAGGTGGACAGGCTGCGGAGGAAAACGGTCGACAGAAACGATGCCCAACAAAGTGGATCCAAGGCTCTTGCATGGCAACAAGGATATGGGAGGGAATCGGCTTACTCGGGTAACGGTTAACCATCGGGCTTAGGAAGGAGGCTGAGGAGAGTGCAAGAACCTAACTCTCATCACTGGATAGCTCAATCTCGAGATCTGAGGGCTGAGAGATCATGATTCGCCCGGACGTGGTCGATTGATCAATCGCGCGATTTCCTTCGCGTGGGAAAAAGCAAGACAACAACAGCACGAGAGAAAAAACACATCTGCCAAGGAGCTGCTTGACTTGTTTACCTACCAGTACCGACTCGGCAGCGCTCCGTGGAGGGATAATGGCCGGGATAAGTGACACGAGATTGCGTGGATCGAAGCGATCGCACTAGCCGGGCTGCACCATGTGCGTGCACTGTTGCATCTTAATCAGCGTTGCTTCAATGGAACCTTGATGGCCGAGATCCTGCGACATTATTGTGCTTTCTGTCTCCCCCTCCATCCTCGCTGTGAGCTGGGAAGTTTATTACTACGCGCAACCCTGCATCGTCGAGCGCTGCAAGCGATAATATGGCTGAACTCAAAATACCGGATCCTCCAGATTACATTGCTGTCCAAGACGACGATCTCCGAAATTGCTCCAGGCTCCAGGCAGAGTGCGTCGGCGACTCTGCAAAGATCAGGCCACCGCGAGCAAGAGAGGCCAATTGCACCACTTCTCTGGATTGGAAACCTGATCCATCCAAATCCAATGGCTGGGGCGAGGGGTCTTTCGAGGGGCACATAGCACGAGTCGTGTCGGCGGTTCTCGCAGCCATCGTCTACGGAGTACTCCACTTCACGCCTCACCAAACCTGAAACGAGAATAGGTGAGAAATGTGGGGAAATAGGGAAATTATCCATCCGACCCAGCCTTCATAATCTCTCTCATACACACTGCGCAGAGCCATTCATTTGGTCGAGACCGGTCTAATTATCGTGAGGTTCTGAGGCTGCCCTTGCTCTTGTGACTATATCGCCCTGCGATATTCATCGAAATTACTCAAGAGCGAATGGTGTTTCAGTGAAATGAGGGGCGATGAGGTCCTGCTGAGCCTATACTTAGCCAACGCCACCAATGCCCCGTCTGCGAATAATGTGACCAAATTCCGCGTCTAATTTGCCAGAAACTTCCCGTGTCCGCTGGGGCCAACGATCTGTGCATCGATGACTCGTTGAGGGTGCTGGAGACGGTGGGAATCATGAATTTCCTTTGTTGTTAACTGTTGGTGATTCCGATGTCCGATCCCCCGGCCGGGAGGATTGCAGCCCCGCCAGATCTTAGGGCAAGTTTTGGTGGGCGATGAACGGCGCGAATCCTGCATTCCTGAGTCGAGTGTGATGGCTGACTTTCTCGTGGGCCTGACAACGCCAAAGTCGAGACTCGAACCTTGAGGCTTGAGGTATGTGGTGGGGGCGATTCGAGCTCTTTGACATCATCGGGGTTGACGAAGGAACAAAGACGAATCCTCTTCCAAAGCAACCGCCTGCCCCCACGCAAATCAGGCTTGACTTACTCGTTTCTTCCCAAACTGCTTTGCGTTGGTTTGTACCTCGACAGAAAGGCTTGGTCTTAAGTGCATTTGCGTAGATTGTATGGAGTGTGGTGTTGGAGCAGAGAGTACTCGACAATACTTAACGACTTATTCTTGCAATCTCTAGATCTTCGTGCCGTCTCAATTGCGGCTCTCGTGTCTTAGTACAAGTAGTCGCGACTAGCAAAGCTTTGTCCTAGCTCCTGTTCCATCGGGCCTGATACATGAGCAAAGCATAGACGCAGCAATCGACAAAGGCAATCCATAGCCCAATAATACTCGACACCGCAAGCGCTTTTGCCCTTATTCGAACTTTCTTTCTCCGTTGATAGCATTCCAACATCGTCAAAGGCAACATCCGCAAGACAATGAGCAAGATACTCAAGAACAACGAGCTTTCATGTCTTTCAGAGACGCCATCATCAGCCCTATATCTTTCGACGTTCATCGCAGCCATGCCTTCGACATATCAGAAGCATATACACAAATTACCAGCTTATAATATTCAGTCAGAGACTGGACACATAACAAGGCATATACTATACGCAACTCGGAGCCATGGGAAATACAACCGAGAAAGAAGGAGCAAGTCAACGCTCTCCCTCGTATACTTCACAATTGTCTTCTAACCACTTACAGAATCGAACTTCAGTATCCTCGAAATGGGGTCCCTCATACTCGAGCACGCAAACTAGGGCTTTCAAGAACCCTGGTAGGCTCAGCTACCGCAACGCCGCCCTCATCACGCTCCTCCACTCACCTCTTCTACTGAACTGGATTGAAGAGGTCCACCCGGCAAGACACAGCTGTGGAACGACAAACATGAGCCTTCTCTGCGCTATGCACCACCTTATTGGATTCTACTGGTTTGGGGACGTGCAACATAAGACGCACGAGTTCTGTATGGAGCGAGTATGGAACAAGCTACTAGCGACGACATGGAGCGGTGCGAACCTGGACAAGCCACAAGACATCAAAGACTTCCTAGGAGCGTTCTTCGAGCAACTTACAATGGAGATGAAGATTGACGCCGACAAATACTGGGAGCTGCAGCGGATTGTTCGAGTCTGTCTCAAGACGCGCCTTGTCTGCAAAGAGTGCGGGATTCAGGCCCCAGCGGGTGATGAGAGACTACTCCTACGCGCCTCATTTCCTGACATCAACGTACAGCCGCCTTGGTATGACGTTGCTGAAGCAATCCAGCATAACCTGGAGCAGGCTACACTACCTTGGGCTTGTGACAAGTGTCTCAAATCAAACAAGCATAACGGCTCTGCCGAGCCTACTTTGTCTACCAAGCATATCGAGAAGCTTCCGGAGATTCTTTTTGTCGGCGTCGCCTACTATGGCCACCGAGGGCAGCTGAATGGCCGTCTCAAGCTCGAGGAAACACTGACTATATCCAATGACCTGCAATACCCTGGATCTTCCGGCGAAGGGGAAATTCGCTATGAGCTCTATTCGATCATCTTCCACAAGAAATCCGCTACAGATGGCGAGTATGCAAGTGCGGTTAAAGGCCCTGGTGGCAAATGGGCACTTGTCGATAGCAACTTTGTTACCGATGAATTGACGCTCGACAAGCTTTTGGACACAGCTGATGCTCAACAGCTAGCACGCATACTCGCCTACCGCCGACTCCCTCCCAACGGAACGCCCTCAGGACCCGCAGTCCCGAAAATCCCAATCCAGACAGCACCCATCGCCCCTATGGCGAGACAAAATCAACCAAGCACGCCCATCGCCCAGGTCGCTGGCGGCTCTGGAGTCGATCTAGAGCAAGTCATAAACCTGCGCGACGGAATCGAATGGACAGTCAAGCAGCACCTCCCACTCCCTGTCGGAGTAGACCGCCTCCTTGACCTAAAGGGCAAAGCAAGGACGCAGCGCGCCAAATTCCGTCTCACGTTCACATCCCCGGAGTCAGGCGAAGTACTCGAGGGCGAGGCCTACATCTCCCTCACGCAGAAGAATAAGCGGAAAGCTAATGTGCGTGACGGGCCTCCCAAGAAGCGCGGACGTCCGCTGGGATCCAAAACGGGCACTGGTATTGCAAAGAAGAAGGCAGAGCCCAAGCGGGCGAAGACTCCGGATCCTCCGATTGTTACTGTATTGGGTGTTCCCCGGCCTGGTGAGGCTGTCCTGCCAAAAGTTATCAGTCCAGTCGAGAAGAGCCAGCGGCCGGATGGTACAGAAGTGTCTGAGGCGCCAATCGTGGTGGCATCTGAGGAGCCGAGTCCCGACGACGAGATCGAGCACGATGCAGCAGATGAAGCAGGAGCTCCTCTCGTAGAAAAGATGGATACCGACGATCAGGACTCTGAAGCTAAAAGCCCCACGGAACGGGAATGCCCAATGGATATACAACCCGCGAGCATCGTGCTGGACGATTCCGACGACGATAGCGAGCCGGTACGTCCATATGCGAGAAGTGCCCGACCTGAGACTTTCATCCCTGAATCCTAAGCCTGAGGAAGCCACTTGTATCATCAACTGTACATCGATTTACTTCAATTGTTCAAGACGTCGACAATCAAGAGATTGTGGCCGGCTGTATTTGATCAGCTTGGGCGTTTTGCAGGTTCACATCACTATATAGAAAACAGATACAGAGGGGCATGAATCTCGAAAAGATTAGAAACACACTAGGTAATAATAGAACCCAGATTCTAAGTAAGAGTTATCAAGAAACAAGGCTCAAGGAATAATTTATAGCTATACTTCAGACAGTAGACGACTCCTTGCGTAGAGGGATCGAGCGCAAATCTTCGCACATGTTGCGCCAAATTTTCCAAGGCAAGAACTAGACAGTCAAATTTTGGCAAGGGTCCTAGGAGTTTAGAAGTCTCCAGATCAGTCAGGGTGCTCATGAGAGATGCATCACCAATGATATTGGAGATAGAACTCCCTTTCTTGGCTAAGGTTATTTCCAGGCGGCCGGCGGCCTTCTAGGAACGGATGTCTGATTGGTCAAGCCAAAATTAAACCGATTCGCGTCCCACATACGCCTTATCACGAACCACACCCCGCCATGAATTTCTTCTTATCAAGTCCCCAACATCCTCAACAGCAACTGAACCGCAATCAGCTTGTTTGTCTTTACATCGAGCTTAACTTTAGTCAAGTGTGAGAATTACCACTCAAATTTCGTTACTGTTGTTCGTTTTTGTGGGCAAGTGCTTGGCGAATCTTGAGAACTCCGCGATCTGGTCCCTGAAGACTCCCCGCACGATGAATGCTGGCCACCATATTCAGCCTGTTTGATACTTGACATACTTTATCTTGAGCTCAACTTACACCAGCCCAGGACCAATCTCTAGTAAACACCATCCACATATATATACACGAAACCTCATCCCAAACCGCCACCATGTCCTTCCAACCAACCCCCAGCGACATCGCCGTCACAATCACCACCCCTTCAACCGCCCCAACAACCGACGAACCGCGCCTCCTCTCCGAACGCCGCATCACCCCATCATGGACCGTCCTCCAAACAAAGGGCAAGCTCGAGACCATGACCGGCATCCCACCGAGCAGCCAACGCCTCCTCCTCAAGACCCCCGGCCGGCCCGACCAGTGGCTCGACGCCGACGACACAATCATCGGCGACTGGGGACTGATGAAGGGGAGTGAGCTCGTGGTCCACGATACCCGTCCGCAAGCGGCGAGAGTCAACTTTAGTGACCTCTCTGCTGTGGAAAAGTATGTTCTCCCAACGGAGACGTACGAGAGCCTCCCGAACTCGGTCCTTGCTTGGAAGAAGAATCAGAAGCTGGGGCGGTTTGATCCGAGTGCGCTTCCGCCTGTAGAGGCGATGCTTGAGCAGGCTCAGAGAGATGCGAAGGAGGTTGAGAAGAGAGGTTAGTTGTGCCCTTTACTCCGTCTTATTCCTCGTTCGAGAGGCGAGAGAGATTCGCTAACAGTTGCTATTCGCCCTAGAAATAACCGTCTCAAAACGCGCCATCATTCTTCCCTCATCACCACCGCACATCCGACGAGGAACAGTCCGCTTCGTCGGGCCAGCCCCTACGATCCCATTTGCCGGCGTCGATGCAGAAACAGTTGATCCCTCCGGGCCTTTACCCATTTGGGTCGGTATTGAGCTCGATGAGCCAACGGGGAAGAACGACGGAAGCGTCGGTGGAAAGCGATACTTCACGTGTCCCAATAAAACGGGTGTCTTTGTTAAGCCGGAGAAGGTCCAGGTAGGAGATTTCCCGCCGCTCGGACTGGACGATGAGTTGGATGAGGATATGGAGGAAATATAGTCAATATCCCCAAGCGATGATAGTAAAAAAGTTGAAAGATAATGTGTCAGATTCGTTCGAAACTCTCATTGAGTTCGGTTATGTAGATCCGGCAGGCACAGTAATTCCACCTCCCTTGTTCACTCATCCATAATCCAATGCATAGGGCTCGGAATAAAAGTGTGCAGGGACAAATAATAACAAACACCGCGCGTCGGGGTAACATGAAGATGAGTCGCTAAATGGGAGAACCAAAAATGCAGTGAAGGGATGCGGGAGACGGTCTGATATCACACCAACAAGTAAAGCCGAGGGGAGGTTAAAAGTTATGCCAAAAGGTGAAATAAAGAAGACATCACAACGGAGTCGGGGAGTGTAGAGGATAAGCAGAGGGTTGATGTGCCCTAGGGCTCAGGCAGCGGCCTTCTGCTTCCCCTTTGGTCGGCCTTTGCCGGAGGCAGCCTTCGGGCGAGCTGGCGGGGTATTCGATTCGCCGTCGAGGGCGTCGGCTTTGGAAGCAGACCCGGGGGTCTCGTCGCCTTCTGTAGGAACACAGCCCTGTGTGAAGAACAACCGGGCGTCCTTGCTGTAGGTATTGGCAAAACTGTAATAATTGCCTGAGAGGTTATTAGCTTCGAAAGGATCAAGAGCTTGAACTGACTTACCTCGAGGAACTTGGAAAACACACCCCTTCCCTGCGCTGAACTGGACACCAGAAATATCGACCAGAACTCGTCCGTATACAACATAAAACACCATGTGCATCTTCTTCGAGTTCTTTGGTTTTTTGACTCCACCGGGCGGTAGTTCAACGATGCCGGAGCCGATGAAGGGGGAACTAAGGAGCTTCGCAAATCGAAAAGTTGCTCCTTTGACGTCGCGAGTTTCAATGCCAGAAGGAGCGTAAGCAATATCTGTGATTGTCAAATTAGTATCGGACAGCATAAGGTTTTAAACGAGAAACCTACCAAGCACTTCCTCCTCGTTCGTTGCCGTTTGACTTTCCGGGTCCCATTTTCTGATATAGCCATGCAGAACGCCACCCTGCTCCTCATACGGGTCGCGGTATTGTTCATCCTCGTCCTCGGATTCATCGTCTTTGCTCTTTCTTGATTTCGACTTTTTGGATCGGCGCTTCTGTTTCCTCTCGGGCTCCAGCTCTTCCGTCCGAATGATCTCTTTGATTTTTGAAAGAGGGAATCGTTCGCCTTCGGCGGCTTCCTCGTCACCATACACGCACCGCTCATTTTTCCAGTAGGCTAGTGGTCTGACAGAAGCACGTCCTGAGCGCGTGTGGGTTGTCGTGGGATCAGAAGGGGCCTCGCGTTTGAGGATATATAGGCTCCTTCCTCTGAGCGGTCCAGTTCGGTTGACGTAGTTCTCGACCACCTTATCCAACTCGGGGTCACCTGAAGGGCCTGTGATTCGCCGTTTCGGTTCTGAAGTTTTGGCCTTCTTCGCGGGCCGCTGCCCTTCTGCGTTCTCCGTGGATTTGTTTTGGGCTTTCGGTGGCCGGCCCGCGCGCTTCCGTTTCTGTGCGGGCCCTTGGGGTTCTGTTGTTTCTTGCGATGAGGTAGCTTTCGCGCCCTTCGCACCTCCTGCTGGCTTGCGGCCTCTCCCAGGCCCTTTGCGCTTTTCTGCCGCAGTAGACTGCGCCGGTATCTCCTCCGCATCGTTGTCATCCATGTCGTCGGAATTGTTTCCTAGCATGGTGTCGTCATCCGCGTTAAAGCTGTCGCCGAAGTCGTCTTGTGCCTGATCAAGAGAGTCTCCGTTCTCATCCGCATCACCATCGCTATCGGATAAAGATATCTGTGCTGCTTTCTGGGACCTTTTGTTTCCCTTGTTACGTGCGGCATTCGAATGATCTAGTGATGGTGTAGCATTGATGGAGCGACTGGTAAGCGGGGAAACGTCACGCCTTGAATCGGCCTTCGCGCTCCTGCCGTCGGAGGGACTCGATGACACAAGGTCACGTTGCGGACTTTGAGAGGAGCGCAATCCAGGTGTCCGACGCGGAGATCCAGGCATACCAGATTTTATTGGGGAGCGCGCGACGGGGGGCGGGAGATGAGGTGTGCGTGAGCCATTGGCGCCCTTGAAGAAATCGGCAGGACCAAGACCGTTGCCTGTTGTGAATTGTGATTAGAACCGCTATGGCCGCGACCTCGCATGAAAATACACACCCTCGTCCATGGACATTCCATCAGAGCCATCATAAGAATCGCTTCTGTCAAATCCGTTCTCTTTGACGGGGGACTTCTCCGGCGATGAGAATATTCCATCGACCTCTTCCATTCCGTGCTCATCTCGCTTGCCTTCTTTAAGGGTGATACCTGTGCGCCTGCCGACTGTCAGCCACTGCGTGACGATACTTATACTGGAAAAGCTAGATCTGATGTATTTAAAATCAAGAAACGTGGAGACTTACCTTCCAGCTTTTCCGACGTTGGAAAAGTCCAGGTCGCGAGCCTTTGCTTGGCCCCGGGGAGCCATCGTTGCGGTTTGTGATAAACAGCCGGGCGTTGGCTGACCAGACACGAAATTCAACCGGGATATTCAAGTCGCAGCAAAGGCGATCCACGACGAGGATTGTGTTAACGGTTATCGTAGAAAGGTGGTGAGAGAGAAATAACTTGGGGAGAAAAAGTGTTGAAAGAACGCTGGAGGGGACCTGGAATTCATGACGCGCGAAGCCGCTAGTCCGGAATCGTTTGAGACGCGTCCCGGAGGTGAGTGCATAGTACTGCTCAAGTTACTACGTACGAATTGGCCATTATTTACCTCTCCAGTACATACCTGCGAGCTTCATCACTATTACTTCTCTGAAGCTATCATTTATATATCAATATATCACATACGTACTAATAATTATCTCGTGGTGAACGTTTCCCTACTCCAGATAACCACTGAGCTAGCTTCAATCGTCTTGGTGCCTGAGGCATTGCGGTAGCTTTGATATTAGGGGTCCAACACCATCGCTTGCGGGATAATGTAGTCCCTAACAACAGGGTATAGGTCCTTCTCGCCATTATCCTGTCCTCTTACTTTCTCCTTTTCCCCATCTTCCGCGGTATACACAGCCCGCACCCAATCATCTGGCTGATACTGGATACTTTGGCTGGACACTCTCGATCTTTATCACAGAACGACTACGCCTTCAGTTATAAGCCAGGATCAGGCATCGCCCCTCGTTTACGGCGAGAACTATAAATTTCTCAGTTTTTGGGTATCATGATTTCCAGTCCACACGTTATATGCCCTTTTGGGGCTTACACGGGTCAGGACCCAGAGACGGCTGAGGGACATGTCAGTAGGGGCATTACCCATCTTAAACTGCGTCGCGCACCCTGTGGAGGAAAGAGAATAGAAAGGGAATTCCCCTGTCTGTGTTGTCACTTGTCAATGGCATACGTAGTATGGATATTTCTTGGCCATTTAGGGTTTGTGCACCAGTTAGTGGCAGGTCTCGACGGCAAGGAAAGTATATAATTATACAACATAAAAAAAGGTCGGTATACTTGCTTGATAAGTACAGTGTCAGCATGGACCCAAGGATGGGCCAGATACTGTTAGCTCGCTGCACTCTTAGAGCGGAGTTTTCCACTGACTGATGTACAGAGGACTCAAAGCCCGAATAATATAAGTATTCAATACCTTCATAAGTGTTGTTTGAGTCTCAAGAGTCTGGAGCCTCCCACTCGGCTCCTGACTCGAGTTCGCGATCGAATGGAGTTTGGCGTCGCTCCTTGCCGCCGCTAGTGAGAGCCAAAGAGAAACGATTGGTGGAACTGAGCCGAGCACGCGGCATCAACATCAAGTTCGAGGTTTGGCACCCCAAGGAGGCTCTGATTCCTGTATACTTCGTACCTGGCTAGATATAAGAATCACAGGCTTAAAAACATGCAAAGTGAAGTAAAAATGAGCATAAAGTCAAGTGATAAAACGCGGCGAAAGCTTAAGGATTGAACTTATAACCGGCACTTGAGAGCCCTCCCAATTAAGAAACAAAGTCCTTTTGCTGTACTTTAGAGTGGAAAAATGTGTAAAAAGAGGAAAGCACGCAGATACATGCAGCGTTGGGTGGTTGAGCTACTCCCGTCGATCTCGGGGTGACACACCCCACTTTTCGCAGCTCCACGCAGGCTCTAGACATTCCAAAAATGAGGAAAAAAGAAAGCGCCAAATGTGGATTGAACACATGACCTACCGGACTGCAGCCGGTTGCTCTACCACTGAGCTACTGACGCTTGTTGTTGAAAACGTTCGCCGATGGCGGACTTATAAGACCCGTGATATTGCAGCCGCTTTACATCGCCACTGAGCTATCAAAACACGCGGATCACAAATATTCGGTTAATTTGAATTCGCAAGGCTTCGATCAAGGCTTTACAATATATCTTTGTGGTCCCTATCCCGCGAAGGAGCCAGTTGCCCCACCAGCAACGTTCGTGCAACGAGAGACGTGAAACGGGAGACAGGACTGAACTGCAGTCAGTTCTACTTCTTAGATCTATATATAGGCTTCTCTACATTTCCCACTACTGTTTTTATGAGAGACTGTGCCACTTGTGGTGCTCTTGCGAGGTCACTGCAAAGGCCACGAAGTCCCTCTTCGTCGAGAAGGGCTCCAACCTCCACGTGACCACATTTAAGCACATCTGCGTTTTGATGCTCGCATTTTTTTCTTCCACATGGATATTGACGAGGCATAAAAGGAGTAGACCCCCGCTCTCAGTATATCCTAGATCTGAAACTGGCAATCGGTTCGTGCTTGTTCCAATTACTGCAGATGGTGTCGTGGCTCCAGTATGATTAAAATGGTTAAGCGTGGCGAGCAGAGTGTTGAAAACAATGAGAGCAAACATGACAGCTGAATGGGAAGGAAAATGAGATATAGATTAGCACTGCTTTTAAGATACTAGGCCCTTAAAAGAAAGCCAGGATATTGTATGGTGAGTGAGATGTGAGTGAGATCTGCCTGAAAGGCAGAGTATTAATCCTAAGGCTGGGAAGATACCATCGACCTCTCCCTGTTCCATAGCAAGAGGCTGGATAGGCTCCCTGTGCAGACCCAAGCGAACCTACATATTTTCAGACTACGCACAACCATGCTACGTAGAGTCTCCTGATTCAGGCATGCACTGGCACCCCCACAATCAGACCTATTGTATATCAAGGAAAGTGGAAACTCCCCAGACATATTTAAGCCGGCCTTGAGAAATGTAATGTACACTCCAATGGACGGTTATCTAGATCATATCGCATTTAGCTTATCTACCTTTTCTTTGTTTTGTCCTTGGACTCCTGATCCTCCTTCTGCTCAGCCGCAGCCCCATTTGCTTTCTTTGCGCCATCCTTCTCACCCTTGGCAGCGTTGGCCTCCTGTTCCCTCTTCTGGTCATTTTCCTCCTGCTGTTGCCGGTTCTGGATCTTGTTCTCGATAAGGTCGTGGAATGCGGTGACGGCACGGACCAGACTGCTCAAATAGATAGCCATTAATTGATCATTTGTCTTGATGCTCATGGCGCGAGCCAGCTCCGTATTATCTGTTGGTGGTTCTGGCTCTCCGCCGGCGCGGGAGCTGGCAGTGGGCGTGGAGAGGTTTGGGAGGAGGTTGAAGACATCCTGAAGGTTGCCGAGAATGGCGTGATTGACTGGTAGTTCGTGGTCGAGAACCTTCTGGAGATACTGTCCGATATCGCGTAGGCGAAGGTGCAGGCCCTGGAGGGACTGCAGTTGCGATGTGATACGAGTTGAGAGTGTCCCGACGGCGACGTCTCTGATGTCTCGGAGCAGGTGCTCGACACCAATTTCTTCCGCCTCTTCCGCCTCAATCGTGGATGGAGTATGCACGAATGTCCGAGATGTAGTGGTACCGTCCTAAAGAGCGATTGATCAGCTAGTTCTCTTCCTTGTAGACACGGCAGCACTTACATCTTTAATCTCATCAACGGCAAAGTAAGCGTCAGTGGGCACGCCAACCTCCTTTGGCTGCACGTCAACAATCACTAGCAACGGATTCGGTGTGTATCGTTTGAACAGTTCGTTGATCTCGAGATCGGAGGCTCGTAGCTTCGGGCCGGAATGGTACCATCCGATCAACTTCTCTCTTGCGTTGATCTTCTTGAACATGTCTCGCATTGACTCGACAAAGTTGTGATCTAAGAACCACACCGACGGATCCTTTTCATCTTCCTCAAAAGGGACTGAGATAATGTCAGCTGTGGACTCTCAGACAGGGCGAGACTGGGTGGTCTGCATACCGGCGAAACTGTTCGATACCCTGACATTCTGGCCAATGTGTTCACCTAGCAGCACACCGACAACACGCTTCCGGGTCCCCTTGGCCGAGCGTCCGTAGTGATCTGCGACAGAGAGGAGTACTAATGGAGCGACCGTAACGGTCCGCGTGACAAGGGAAAGGGTGTCCGCCGTCGTGGCAGGCATGGCGTATGATGGAATGCAAGGAAGGGTTAAGCGTGATTTAAAGTCTGCAATAGCAAGCGTTGGAGAGAAGCGGCCAGGAGGTGAAAGTAAATAGCTTCGGAGAGGGGAGGGATGGCAGGCGGATGGAGGATGACGATGGGAGGTGGAAGCTCAGGCTGTTTGTCTGGTGTTGGAGCTGTGCTTGAGCCACATATGGCTGTGTAAGCTATCTTGGTGCCTTAGCGCCTGAGGCACCAAGGAACATGTCCCTACAATTGACCGAGTCCGAGTTGGAGTTTACTTTGGACTGCCTTTATTCTATCGCACATCTTCTCACTTTTGAATATACTAGTGTTTCAATACCCAAGTAAGCTCTGAATTGTTGAAAACCCAACAGTTTTGGCATGGACAAAATCCGGGAACAAGCCTCGGAGCAGCGGGAACGTCCTCCGCTCTCGGTGCTGTACTTTTCACCCCCAACATGCTTCCCGCTCTTCCCTTCCATTTCCCCGTCCTTGCGCCTCAACCTGCTAGTACTCTCCTCTTTTCCACCCTCTCCTCCCGGTCGTTTTCGCAAAAGCTCTTTCGCTAGAGACTTTGATTCTTCTTCCCCTCCCTTAATCTCTCCTCAATGGCTCCCATCACAGACGACGCGATTGCTGGACTCAAGTCCACGATCGGACAGCTCGAAGCTCGCATTGGCGATCTTGAAAACCGCCTCCTTGGAAAGGAGACTAAGCCCAAGTCCGTTTCGGAGCAGATGCGCCTGATTCTCATGGGGCCTCCTGGTGCTGGTATGCGAAGAGAACTTACAAAGGACGTTCCTGAAGCAAGATCTAACATAACCTAGGCAAGGGTACACAGGCGCCTAAGATCAAGGAGAAGTACTGCGTGTGCCATCTGGTAAGTGCTCGCCGACTCTGAACTCGGGTTTAAGAAGTTGCGCGGCTAATAATTTTCTTGCTAGGCCACCGGAGACATGCTGCGGTCCCAGGTCGCGAAGAAGACTGAGCTCGGAAGGGAGGCCAAGAAGATCATGGACCAGGGCGGCCTGGTCAGTGACGAAATCATGGTCAACATGATTAAGAGCGAATTGGAAAACAACGCCGAGTGCAAGAACGGGTGCGTATTTTGTCATGATTTCTGGTAAGCCAAGGCTGACGTGTGTTAGTTTCATCCTTGACGGATTCCCTCGTACTGTTGCCCAGGCCGAGCGTCTCGATGATATGCTTGAAGCTAGCCGCCAGAAGCTTCAGCACGCCGTTGAGCTCCAGATCGACGATGCTCTCCTCGTTGCGCGTATCACCGGCCGTCTTGTCCACCCTGCTTCCGGTCGGTCATACCACAAGATCTTCAACCCTCCCAAGGAGGAGATGAAGGACGACATCACCGGTGAGCCTCTGATCCAGCGCTCCGACGACAACGCCGAGACACTGAAGAAGCGCTTGGCCACATACCACGCCCAAACCGCGCCTGTTTGTGACTACTACAAGAAGACCGGTATCTGGCGCGGCATTGACGCTAGCCAGGAGCCTGGTCAGGTGTGGAAGAGCCTTCTGGGAGTCTTCCAGAACAACTAGATCATTTCCTTTGTTTACTAAACGCAGTCATGTTTAAAAGCTGTGCGCGTGTTGTTTGCCACGATTCCTGACACAGTGACACGAGCGGTTATACTGGAGAATTGTAATTGGCTTCCTTCTGTCTTTATGAAGACCGAATTTGTTAGGAATAGAGTTGTTTCCGGGGGCCGGTTGATATACAGAAGACCTACCTGGGAGCACTTGTTTTGTACAATACTTTGAGCCCATGTTTGGGAATAAAACTCAACCCGCCCTTATTTTGGTTCAACCCTAAATAAGCCTAGAACTCCTAAACTTCTACAGCTGAGTAGGATAGACAGTAGACTCAATCTTCTCTGGATAAGTCAGCCCGTTCTGCCTTCTCGCCTCATCCATCACGTCCATGATGACAACGCTCTCCTCCCAAGAGAGCGTTTCACTCTCCAACTTTCCATCGCGCAAACACCTTGCCACCTCATCAGCCTCCCAATACATCCCCTTACCATCAGCTGGGAAAGTGAACTTCTTCTCCTGGATTTCCCCTTCTCCCTTTGCCGGGATAAGTCGATAGACCTCTGGGCGGAACGCTGGTCCATCAACCTGGATCTCACCCTTCGTACCCTGGATACGAATCGCAGGACGGGCAGAGTTCTGCTGATCTGGGTCTGTCCAGACACGAAGATGAGTCGACGCAACAGCCTGGGATTCACCTGGATGCTCGGGGTTCAAGGGCGTGCTGGTCGGGAAGGACAGTAGGATGGTGGTTGCCTCGTCGGCGCCCGTGAGGTGGTAGGGCGTAATGTGCGCGGAGACTCGGGAGGGGGGCTTCCTCTGCTCCTTGGGGAGGGTGTGGTAGAGGGTTTGGAAGACCCAGGTCAGGGAGTAGATGCCCACTGCACAGATTAGCATCAAATCCCCCAAGCACAGCACACCAACCGCGTCAGCAGCTCGAGGATGCCAGGATGGGAACCATACAATCAAGCAACGCCCCTCCCGCCAAATCCTTATTAACCATGCGATGCTCCGTCCCAAACTTCTCCTCAGGCTTGTCACCAAAGCTATTATCCGCGGTAACACGCAGCACCTCGCCAATGCGTCCCGCCTTGATCAACTCGCGGACCTCAATACTAAGCGGGAAATACCGCGTCCAAACGGCCTCCATGAGGAACAGATTCTTCTTCCGCGCTGTCTCAACGAGGATGCGCGTCTGCGCCGCATTCACCGTGAACGCCTTCTCGCAGAGGACGTTCTTCCCAGCTTCCAGGGCGAGCATGACATTCTGGAAATGGTGTGAGTGCGGTGTTGCGACGTAGACGACGTCGACGTTGGGGTCGGCGACGAGGTCTTCATATGAGCCGTAAGCCGCGCAGGGGGAGGGAATGCCTGTTTCTGAGATGAATTTCTCGGCGCGCGAGGCCGAGGAGGAGGACGAGACTGCGACGACGGTGTGGGAAACGTCGGAAGCGTCGCGGGCTGCGGGGTCGCGGAGAAGGTCGCGGACGAAGACTGTTTTGTTTAGCTTTTGTGATTGCGGGAGGTAGGATGTGGAGGGACTGACCATCAGCGATCCAGCCAGTAGCTGTATCATTCAATACGACTGTTAGTGTTTATGTTGTTTGAAAGCATAGAGGGGAGAGGGGTCATACCCAGGATACCCCACTTCACGTTGTATGGAGCCATGTTGGGAGTAGTAGTAGTACTGGAAGGGTTGGGATAAACGCTACAAGATGAAGGGAACGAAACGTAGGAGAGGGGTATAAGTGCAGACGATTGGAGTACTTTAAGCTTTAAATAAAAGATAATGGTAGCGCAGGAGACTAAGCGATTCCATTCCTACCACGGAGTTGCGCCGTGTGGGTCGGGTCGTATACTATTTCCCGACGTCATACAAACTGATACTGACAGGGGCACTAGAGCCACTGGTGGGCTGCATTTATGTGGAGCCACGTTGTTTTAGAAGATAAATCGATTTGCCTGAGTAAGGCTATATCTATATACAAACCGGATGCTATAGAAACTTACACAACACCGTACAACATCAATTGAACCTCTGCCCAATGCGAAACAGCCGCCGGCTAAATGCACGCTCCCTAGCCGTAAAATCAAGATACCCTAGAGAAGATGTATGCTGAATAAAAGAAATGGTCCATTTATCCAAGTCTCGAGTCAGGGTTCACGCAGGCTCTGTTTTGACCCGCACATTCTGGCCCGGCGAGTCGCTTCCCTCGGCCTTGCGCTTGCCTAACACCGAGTCTGGGGTGCCGGTCCGTCCTGATGGCGTGTCACGATGAGCTTGCCTCGGCCCGTCCTTGGTCACTTCTGCGTAACAGCTAGCATGATATACTCGAGCGCCGACTTTGACGGCATCTTGCCAAATCCAATCCTGGACGTCTTCTGACCAGGTGGACTCGAACTTTTCTTGGCAAATAGGACAAGGTGTGTTGCGCAAAGTAGCATCGTTTGGTGCCCGAATCCATTGCTTAGCTGGTCCTTTCTTTGACGACGCTCCGTCGGCACCGGCGCTTTCGCTTGTAGCCTCTGTCTCTGTGATGACCTGATCGTCTCCCACTTCTCGTGATTTGATCCAATCCTACTCAAAAATCAGCCAGGAGCGTGGTAGTAGACTGAAGGACAACTTACCCGTTCGTCGACGTACCAACTGCGATTCTGCGCACGCCTGGCAGCGTCGGCCATCCGTTGGTTCGTGCGAAAGTGCCAGTCAAGATGACGGGCTTTCTTCTCCTTTCCCTCCTCTGTGGCGGGAAAACGACGGCCGCATGTCCCACATCTATTCGGCCGTGCGTCGTATAGACTGGAAATCAACATGCTACGTGGTCTACGGAAACGATTAGAGACCATGTGTAGGCTTTACTAGGTACAACTTACATTTTGATGGATGCTGTGTTCATTTGAACATTTACTTGTACTTCTCCCATACTCGTCATTTGAGGCGTGGAAACTGGAGGTGTGTATCGTACCTGACCGGGCACTATGAACGGGAACGGAGAAGCCATGTTGGGCGCGCCAGCTGGAGGTGTTGATGTAGCGGGCAGGAGCCCCTTCGCTCTGAGGGCGGCAATAAGAGGGTTCTCTGGCGCTGATGTAGGTATTTGTGGAGTGCTGCTGGTAAGAGGCATTTGCTGAAGAGCAGGAGGGATTTGCGGTGGTGGGGTGGGCTGCTGCCTTGCGGCCGTCGCTTTGATAAGTTCCGCAAGTGTTCCTGGATTGAGGAGCTGCTGGAGTGGTTGAGAAAATGATTGCACGACAGGCGGAGTAGCTATTGCCGGTGTTGATGTGATCGGGGTGTGGGAAGAAGCGGGTTGACTAGCCGGGATGGGCTTGGGAGCAAGAGCTGAGACCTGGTCGCGGACGAGTTTGAGTTGTTCTTGGGTAAGCTGCTGACGCTGCATGATACCCTGAAGGTCCAGAAGCGCTTTCAACCGTTGCTGTATGGATGGGTCCAGCGGGTTGTTGGCGAATTCATTTCGAGCAGCAGCGATGAGGACTTCAACATCCCGATTCAGCGTTGAGAGGTCAACATCATGTTGCAGCTGGGGTGTCGGCGTGGAGCGGACGGGTATTTGTTCGCCCTATTGATAGTTAGGTCATGAGTCTCTTCAAAATCTCAACACAAACTTACCGCAGGCGGGTAACCATTAGCAGACCCTGTCCGACCGAGAGGCTGGCTGGAGGTAGGAGGATACCGAGCAGCGTTCTGAGGTGGCGTAGAAGTGTTCGGCCAGCCAGGAGGCGTCCCAACCCGGCCTCGACTGTAAACATCCTGTTGACCCCGAGCCTGTTGTTGTTGAAGAGCTGCAGTTCTAGCTTTAATCAATGCATTCTCGATGCTGCGGGTAATCTCAGGAGGAAAGACAGGTCTCGTGTCTAGAGATCCTGGTACAGGCTCTTTCCAAGTTTTCAGCATTTCGTCCAACTTCCTGCGAGTTTGCGAGTCGACCAAGGTGTAGGCGTTCATAAACGTTTGATACAAGTTCCGGCCGAGGAACAGAGTGTAGGGGGTCCCAACATTCTTCACAATCGAGTCGACTACATACAATGCAGGCAGCTTTTGAGCCGGTGGTGTCTACAGCGCAAGATTAGAACTCGTTCATGCCAAGGGACTACAACTTGGGGCATCGCCATGAGCAACAAACGCAGTCAAAGGGTCTAAAGAGATTGTGTCACCTACTATTCGAATATGATTCTCCAGGACTCGAGAGATGGCCATTGCATGTTCCGTATTTTCCTTCGCAATGACAGTCAGGTTGCTGATCTGAAACCTGTCATTTGTAGTTAGATCCTCCAAGGAGTTCTTGTAGTCCTCGGCGACTTCATCGGAGGCCAGCCCGGATGACATGATGATGAGGAGTACACAAGTGGTCGATGGAAAGGATGAAAGGGAACTCGCGATGAGACAGTCTGGATGTCAGCCTCCCAGCGTATCTTATGTCTCAAGCACTTCTTTTTCTTTTTTCTTCTCTGGCTTTGATGCTTCTTTTCTTGTCTTTTTTTTTCTTCTCTTTTCGTCTTGTTTTTTCTCCTTGCTCTTCTTTTTCTTCTTCTCTTTCTTTGTTGCAGACTCTTGGTTTTCCGCTTGCACTAAGTGGAAATAGTGGTTCTATTCTCACGCCCTGTCTTCCGGGAACTCGGAGAAGGAGAAAGGTGTCCAAACTTGTAAAATGGTTGCTAGCTATCTTGGTCCAACTCGAGAAAACAACTAGAGGACGTAGACGCCAATCCCGCACCTGTATCTCCGAAAAACGAGAAACGAAAGACGAAAGAAAAACCCGCGATGATCCACCACTCCTGGATTGTTAGGCTACCGCATGAGATTCCGCGCGATGAATGTTCCTTCAACGACAGCAACTAGCAAGGGGGCCCAGCGGCGGAACAAAGGCGCAAACTCGGAGGATATCCGCTCGAAGAGGGGAGACTACGACACGTGGTTGAGGGTGGCGAGTTGATGTGGAGCGAGAGAGAGACTGGGCGGTGCGAGCTCGAAGCTAATGGAGGAGGGCTAAATTCAAAGTATATGAGGGCCGACTGGAGTTGAGAGAGAGTTGGGGAGAGAGGGAGATGGTTCGAGGGTGAGAACCAAGCGGAAGTCTGAGGGTGACTAGTCACGTGCCTCGGGCTTTATGCCGTCATCTGATTGATGCATGCAATGCGACCTCACCACCATCCAACTACGACGACCACTCGCTGCTCATATTACACACTATCGATCGCGCAAAACCAGATTTATATCCATAACTACCGACTATTGTGGCGTCTCATAATCATGAAGCTACTCTCTGCCGGTCTTGCACTCACCCTGCTCCCGCTTGCGCTGGCCAACTCAGTGCTCGTCACTTACCCAAAGGATACGCCAGACTCGGTTATCGATGAAGCAAAAGATTCCATCAGAAAGGCTGTACGTGATATTCTGGCTGCTTGTTAAGACACGGTATACGGATTCCTAATCTGTTCTAGGGCGGAATCATCACTCATGAATACTCCTGTAAGTGATTCCCGATCAGTTCCCCGGGTATACCAGCTAACATGCTTCTTCTAGTGGTGATAAAGTATGGCAATCCAACTCTACTGCTCTATCGGTGATCCGGTACCTTTATTGACACTCCCAGGGGATTTGCCGCCGACGCACCCGAGGCAGCTATCCAGCAGGTTTCCACACAGTCGTCCCTGTACAAACCGACGATTGAGCAGGACCAACCTGTTTCAATATCATGAAGGGAGACTAAGCGAACAACACCTTCGCTTGTTACCTGCTTTGTTACGAGCACATGAATGACTGGGAATTCTGGGTACATTATAATGAATAACGACGGGAGTTTGGACGGTCTACTGGAACAGAGACACTGTTGTCTAGCCTGGCTATTTCAGGCAAGGACGATTCTTTCAAGGCGTTTGGGAACTGGAGAATGCTGAATGACCTTTGCCGATTGCCAGGACTATGGCCTTTATCACCTTTGTAAATCCCCTTGAATGCAAGATATAAAACCCTAGACCAAGCCTTCCTTTCGATGCCGTAGATTAACTTCAGCCCCTGTTCTAATTTGATGGTTGAAGAGTTTTGACATCTTGGAGTTCTGAAGATCCCTGAAGTACCCCAATCCTAGTACTCCGTACTCCTGCGGAACTGCCGAGAGCCTAATCTCGAAATCGCGACAACCCTCACGCGTCAGAACTTCGAACTTCTTTACATTTAACACAACCCCGACTGGTTCTCCCGCTGAGGGACGCGAATAATCAAACATATATTCAGGAACGTCCTTCTACGCACGAGCATTCCTGACATCGATCACCACGTTTACCCCTTCCTTCCCCCTCGCCGCTCCCCGCGTCGCCGAGTCGCCGAGATGGAGTACCAGCGTACGGCCACGGAAACCAAAGCCTTGCTGGCATGGATCAGCAACAGCGAGCTCGTCGAGGAGACCGTCCCAACGACAGAAGAAGTGTCTGACGGAAAAGTGATTTGGGAGATTTTGCAGCACATCGACGCCGATAAGCTCGGCGACATTCCGTATACGGACACCTACGATAACTGGGAGCACAAGAAAGTGAATCTGGACAAAATCTATGATTTCTTGGTACAATATTTTGAGGAACGCTCCTCAGGTATTCCCAATGGGCTGGGCGAGAAGCCGGACCTGGAAAAGGTCGCGACCAACACTTCGGCTAAGGACACCAATAAGCTGCTCAAGCTTGTCCTTATCGCGGTGCTTGTTGCTATCCAGTCTGCGGCTGTGCAGCCATCCGAGGGTGATCCGGCTCGGGACGAAATACGAGAAGAATTGAACAGGAAATTAAAGAGCTCGATTGAGAATCTGGACCACCGCTACTCGAATCAGCTCAAGAATATTATTGAAGAGTCGGAGACAAAGAAGCCCTGGCTGGATGATGGTCCGTTAAAGTTTGAGGAACACCTGTTTAAGCTGATCGAAGAGAACGACCGTCTCATGCGAGATGTTGCCGACTTGAATCAGCTGGTTACGAAGAAGGAACAGGCGCTGTCCAGAGCAGAAGATGTGATCAAGGATCACGAGACGAAAGAGAAGACTTTGAAAGATCGCATCGAGAACCTCCGGAGCGGTAAAGGCAATTATGAATCTGGCACACAGCGGTTACACCAGCAGGAACGCTCGAGATTGGAGGTCAAAATTGCAGACTTGGAGGAGGCACTAGGCTCGGTTGAGAAGAAGAACAATGAGTTGGAGAAAGAAGTTCAGACGCTCCGTGTTGTAAAGGACAACTACACTGATCTAAAGTCCGAATATGACGCGATGAAGAAGGATCATATCAAGCTCCGCAACCAGGCAGAAGCCGGAATCAAGTGGCGCACAAAGGTGGAAGACCTCCAAAGGGTAGCCAAGGAGAACGAGTCGCTCAAGAAAGAAAACGAGCAACTCAAAGAAGATCTGAAGAATGGTGACCTGAAAATCAGATTCATGGCGGAGCAGCAAAAAGGACTCGAGAATATCAGCAAGGCCTTGTCACAAAGCGAACAGGATCTCCACGAATCTCGAAATATGCGACAGGTCCTTGAGATCCAAAATGCTCAACTGGAGAATCGAGTACGCAGTCTGGAAGAGGGTATGAATCGGCTCAGAGGAGGGGCCGGTGAGTCGGAGGATACAAGCTACGAGTTTGATGGTTCTAACCGCAGCCCGACTCCTACTACGGGTACGATTACGCCCAACTTGTCCGGCAACCTCCAACAGGATCTTGAAGCCCTTGGTCTAGGGGAATCGACTCTGTCCCTGGGCGTAGAGGACAAGCCTGAAATCACTGACCAGGCTGGAAGTGTCAAGGGAGAGTTGGACGGGACGATGGACGAGCACATCCTGGCAATGAAGGAAGAAGACAAGGCAAGGCTTATTCAAGAAATGTTGAAGCCTGTCGAGGACGCAAAAGAACGCCTGGCAAAGTTCATCACCTCACATACCGGCGAGGGCTCGGAGGCCTTGCAGCAATCACTGGAGGATCTCACCAAGCAGATTTCTGAACTGATAGAGAAGGATCACGAAAGGCTGGCACAACGCGCACAGGTTAGTAATGATTTCCTGCAGAATTGGCTATCCACCCACGTCGACGATGAGTGGAGTTTGGGCGGAAGAGAAACTGGTCATTCTCCGAGAGCATCATCACGACCTCCTAGAAGGTCGTCTTCATGGACTTCCTCGAGAGCATCGCGCGTGTCTACACCGCAGCACTCAAGAGACCCGAGCCCTTCCCTTCAGCTTTGTTCTCGTGGCCCCAGTCTTTGGTTCGAGCGCGGGGAGGTGACCATCAAGGTCACCTTCGACGACAATTCCTCACTAGCTTTGGACGTAGGGAAACCAGGAAGAAAAATTGCTGACCTCGTGTTTCAATAGTACATTCACCAACAAAACGAACAGATCAAATCGCTTCGAGATCGGGTAAGCCAACTCGAGGAGGAAGCCGAAGAGGCCAAGGCCAGTGACGGCGACAATGAAGATCTCATCAGCAAAGAGCGCGAGGTGAGCAGGCAGTTTTGCTTTCTAATCTCGCTTACAACCTCGAATATTGTCCGCGAGATACTCCATAATTCTGCATTTCTCCTGCACTATGCGTTGCTAACCCAGCCAACACCACAGATCGAACTCCAAAAACAGATCGACTCCCTTTCCCGCGAACTCGCGCTCATGAGTTCATCCTGGTACGAGCTACAGGGCAAGCTACACAACACCAATAATGTCCCAATCTCAAGGTACCGCCATGGGTCTGCGGGTCTGGTCGATGCCCAGAAGGGCTGGCTGGCTAGACAGCGGAGTGCAGTCGCTGGTCGATGATGGCCCGCTTGGGGGATCTAGTCTACTAAATCCTTCCCTTTTCCTTGCCCCTTTCGTTCATTTCCTTCTGTTATATAGGCATACCCCTCAACTATTTGCACTTGAATTTTTATAGATTAGCGGCGGCATTGCTGTTCATTACCGGGGCATAAATCGTGTATAAAGATATACCTGTCACTGGTCGTAATAGATAGAATGAGGATATCCTAGGTACTTGGTCTCAACCCTCATCATAGATCCAAGCTAAAATATACTAGTAGGTGTAGATGGAGGTGGAGTGGGTATCTTCTCACGCAGATGCACAGAACGAGGCTGGCGGACCGAGCTCTATTGCTACTGGGATTACGACTGATAGAGATTTTGTGGGCATGGATCACTCACTCTGATTCATTGATGACCCGACCTGCATTTTTCTGCCGATTATCGTTCGAAAAGCGTGCTTTTGCGGGTTGGATGATGCTTGATTTAGTGTCAAGACAGCGAGGTTTTGTTTGGCAGTGTCACTGTGCTTTTGCTGAAAGTGTAGCAATTCAAATAGCGAAGAATAGGACGAGATTTGATGATTAGTGCTGTACGGTCTTACTAGAGGTAATACTTCCGCTTCAATCAAACCAGAGACTCTTTTGTCTAGAGATTATATACAGTAAACTGGAATCGCCCAAAGCAAATAAGATGAGCAGTCAAGACAGCCATGCAGTCTCAAAGCAGCAAACGTAACTCCTAGAATGCGTGACCTCGTGAAAGGATTAGGTAGATGTAGATAAGGCGTGTATGAGGCCCTAAATGCCACAACCGAAACGGGGCACAGTACGCAACACAGGTAAGCCGGTAGGAGCTCGGTCGAATGGCAGGGCGGAAAGAGGGTATAGGAGAGGGCAAAGCCATCAAGTAATCCAGACGTAGAAGAAGAGCAAGAACACAGCCGCGAAGAATCCAATCCACACCTTCCACCCGACACCCGTGCGCTCCGCCATCCGTAGCATGCGGCTCATATTCCCACGAATCCGAGTCCGGGTGTTCTCGAACGAATCGTTCAGCTCCGAAATATGTGTCGTGTCACGGATTTCATCGCCAATGGCAAGTGTAATCTAGCGCAACAAACGTCAACGACAATTCGGAGACATGAAGGGTAGCCAAGGATTCGTAGTATACTCACATCCTTCAACATCTTGACCTTGGCCGTAATCCCTTCGACTTCTTCATCGTTCTGCGATTCAAGATGTGATAAGACGGCGTCCGAGTAATGACCCCTACATCACCCAGCTTCATTAGCTCCATCCATCTGACTCCAGGCCGGGGTACATGGTAGCACACAGGACTCGGCCACGGTGCTCGGAAGTACGAACTTTGCATTAGGAGTCGCACTCCTATAACCCCCTCCACTCCCATTTCCGTTCATCGGTCTGTCGGTACCAGCACCGGCGCCTGGATACCCGCCATACCAATATCCACCGACATTGCCCGGGGATCTACTCGCTGGCCTGGAATCGCCACCGTAGGAATCAAAGAGGGAGGAAGAGGCGCGGGGATCACGGCGGTGAAGGCTGGACAGTGTTAGAATGTCCCCAAAGCGTAGTAAGATAGTCAAGAGTAATAAACTGTACCGTGAAGCCATAGCGGACTTATGTATGTGATGCGGCGGAGATAAAGGAGGTTGGTGGATTGGGTCGTGTTATTGATGAATTATCGAGGCCATCAGCTTATTTGCTGCACATGATGAATAGGCGAAAATTTGAAAACCCAGATCGTAGTATGGTCTCGCCTGATATTCTTATCTCGAGCGGTCTGTATTCGTGCCTGCTTGCGGCGAGTTTTGCTGGTTCAAGAATACCGTGGCTGCCACATGAGCGCCTACGCCGCGCCGGACAGGGTCTCCCAGGCACGTGAACCAGGCAAATCATTTAGTCGAGGCTTCGAGTCAAAATCCAGACTTGATTTGTTTGTTGTTATTTCTTAGGATAACATGCAATTATGTTCCATCGGTCATGCAACATCGCAGATATGCCACGGTATTAGATCCATGAATTGATTGTTAATCAGAAAACCCCCAATGACCATGCGCCTTTTGAACATCCGAGTGTCGCGCCCTGTTCCCAAGTGTTCGCTTGTTTATGTCGTAAATACCCCAATGAATCAGTGCTTCTTGTCGTCGGTGGGCTCAAAGTCCTCATCGTCATCGTCATCCTCGTCCATCTCATCCTCCTTGATTCTCTCAGCGGCTTCCTGGAAGTCAATGTTCTTGCCGCGCGTGCGCCTGCCACCGTTGATGATGTTATCGGTTGAGATGGGCTCGAGGTTGTCACCCTCATCATCGTCGTCTGTAAATGTCATCAGTCAGTTTGCAATGTCTATTGAGACCGGAAAAGGTGAGAGTGTGAAATATTGGGGTGTCATTACCATCGGCCATCTAAGTTGGATGATGAAGATTAGCGTGGTCCCTCTTCAACTCTAGATTGCAACAACATACCTGCTCCTCGGCTTCACTTTCACTGTCATCATCGTCCTCGTCCATGCTCACATCCATAGGATCTTCGACTGCCTTTCCCTTGCCCTTGTCCAGAGCAGCAGCATCGGGAGGATAAGCAGCGGGGTCGTTGCCAGGGAAAGTGGATTGATTGTTGTCACCCATTGCGGCGGTGTGGTTGATAAAGCGGAGTCTAGTTTGAGGAGAGGGAGGAGGGGCTTTGGAAGAAGCTGCGGGATGCAGAAGAGACGGCGATTTCAGGGATATAAACGGAAGGAGTTTAAGGAGAGAAAAATGAGTGAAAGACGAAGCTCAGCTGTTGTTGCAAGGGAGAATCACTCGAACCTTTGGGGGCGGTTGCTGCGTTGATTGGCTGCGAGAGGTGGCCGATCAGAAGCGCTCAGCGCTTGCCCTCTTCAAGCTGGGCATCACAGACCGCCCAGGGCTCCTACGAACAGTCACAGGAAGAGGTTCCTTTTGGATTAGTTGTTTGAAGAAGCTTGAGAAACTACTGAGAGTGGTACAAATGTCTAAACAACGAGGACGCGAGCTCTTACTGTAGTTGGGCTACGTTAGCTGGATCGAGATTCTTCGAGGTTGATGTAGTTTAGGTCAATAGCTTGGATTAGGCTCAACAAGAGCATCAAATTTGCCCGAGAACAGTATCTTGATGTCTTAATAGCAGATAGAGAGAAGCAAACGCCTTGCAGCACGTGTAAGTCTTCAATTGGGTTCGAGGGACAGATCATTAATAGTATGGAGGTCGGAAGGTGTCCTTCACAAAGAGTCGGTGATTTATGCATCATGGATGTAATAATCCAAGCCAACATTAGTCGATTGCAGCCTGCCTCAACGGTCAAACTTGATGGGTGCTTCCTGAGGCATACTCCGGAGAGTGGGCTCGAGGGAGAGTTACTGGGGTGACAAAAAGATCAATTCATCTGCCGTTTCCTTGGGACGAAGTGGAACACAAACATTGAAGGGACCCGAAAACCCAAAGCTAAGGCTTCCTTACGTCATCAGCACGTAGGTTCTTTTTTTTGCCGTCTCTCTCCGGAGCGTCATCATGATAACTACCCCTCAATCTACTTGAACCTTCTGGGTCTGGCGAGATTTTGCGCGAGGACTCAAGAAGATGCTACCCAAATAATAGAATTGGAACAAAGGGCCACTCTGGAGTAAAGTGAAGGAGGTCCAAACCAACCACAAGGCCCAGAACTGACGGCCGCCAGAGTCGCCGCTTGTAGAAGCCCATCGAACCCGATGGATGCCCATCGAAGCTGTCGCTTGCTAGAAACTTCGCTGGAGCAGCAACACACCGCCCACCAGTATATCAGCCTCGCTCCTCGCACAATTCTCTGCCCCATCTTCAAGTTTTCACATCCCTCTATTCTCTCCCGAAACTAGATTCTCAGAGACCTCTCATCACCTTCAGTCTCTTTCTTTGTCCCGCTCTTCCTGCCTCACGAATTTCTTTCTACCCCGCCTTTCAACGAACCCCTCCTTCCTACATACACACACAGTCACCATGGCCCCCGCTGTCGGTATCGATCTGGGAACCACCTACTCCTGCGTGGGTATCTTCCGCGATGATCGCATTGATATCATTGCCAACGACCAGGGCTCTCGCACCACCCCATCCTTCGTCGCCTTCACCGACACTGAGCGTTTGCTCGGCGAGGGAGCCAAGAACCAGGTCGCCATGAACCCTTTCAACACCGTCTTCGATGCTAAGCGTTTGATCGGTCGTCGCTTTACAGATGCTGAGGTTCAGGCTGATATGAAGCACTGGCCCTTCAAGGTCGTCGACAAGGGCGGAAAGCCCGTCATTGAGGTTGAATTCAAGGGCGAGACGAAGCAATTCACCCCCGAGGAAATCTCTTCCATGGTTCTGACCAAGATGCGTGAGACCGCCGAGGCTTTCCTTGGTGAAACTGTCAACAATGCTGTCGTTACTGTCCCCGCGTACTTCAATGACTCTCAGCGTCAGGCCACCAAGGATGCTGGTCTTATTGCTGGCTTGAACGTTCTCCGTATCATCAACGAGCCCACTGCTGCTGCCATTGCTTACGGTCTTGACAAGAAGGTCGAGGGCGAGCGCAATGTTCTTATCTTTGATCTTGGTGGTGGTACTTTTGATGTCTCCCTCTTGACTATCGAGGAGGGTATCTTCGAGGTGAAAGCTACCGCTGGTGACACTCACCTTGGTGGTGAGGACTTTGACAACCGCCTCGTCAATTTCTTCGCCAAATTCTTCAAGGATAAGCAGGGCATAGGTAAGAAACTTTTATCCGTTACAACTCCCAACCCTTGTATACATGTAAACAAAGACTTGCTAACATGGACAATATAGATATTTCCAACAATGCCCGTGCTCTCCGTCGTCTCCGCACTGCTTGCGAGCGTGCCAAGCGCACTCTCTCTTCAGCTGCTCAGGCCTCCATTGAAATCGACTCCCTTGCAGAGGGCAAGGACTTCTATACCTCCATCACCCGTGCCCGTTTCGAGGAGCTGTGCCAGGACCTCTTCCGCAGCACCATGGACCCCGTCGAGCGTGTCCTTCGTGATGCCAAGATCGACAAGTCTTCTGTCCATGAAGTTGTCTTGGTTGGTGGTTCCACCCGTATCCCCAAGATTCAGCGTCTCGTCCGCGACTACTTCAACAAGGAGCCCAACAAGTCCATTAACCCCGACGAAGCCGTTGCCTATGGTGCCGCCGTCCAGGCCGCCATCCTTTCCGGTGACACCTCTTCCAAGTCCACCAACGAGATCCTGCTGCTTGATGTCGCCCCTCTCTCCGTCGGTATCGAGACTGCCGGTGGTGTCATGACCCCTCTTGTCAAGCGTAACACCACCATTCCCACCAAGAAGTCCGAGACCTTCTCCACCTATTCCGACAACCAGCCTGGTGTGCTTATCCAGGTCTACGAGGGTGAGCGTGCTCGCACCAAGGACAACAACCTGCTCGGCAAGTTCGAACTCACTGGCATCCCCCCCGCCCCTCGCGGTGTTCCTCAGATCGAGGTTACCTTTGATCTCGATGCCAATGGCATCATGAACGTTTCCGCTGTTGAGAAGGGAACTGGAAAGACCAACAAGATTACCATCACCAACGACAAGGGCCGTCTTTCCAAGGAGGACATTGAGCGCATGCTTGCTGATGCCGAGAAGTACAAGGCTGAGGATGAGGCCGAGACTGCCCGCATTCAGGCCAAGAATGGTCTTGAGTCCTACGCCTACTCTCTTAAGAGCACTCTGGGAGAGGGCAAGCTTCAGATCAGCGACTCCGACAAGGAGAAGGTCACTGCTAAAATTGATGAAGTCATCAGCTGGCTCGACACCAACCAGGCTGCTTCCAAGGATGAGTACGAGGTCCAGCAGAAGGAGCTTGAGGCTGTCGCGAACCCCATCATCTCCGCTGCTTACGCTGCTGCTGGAGGCCAGCCTGGTGCCGCTCCCGGCGGTGCCGCTCCTGGCGCCACCCGCAGCGATGGTGTTGTCGAGGAGAACGATGATCTTGACTAAACGCAATGAAAGCCTTCAGACGTGTTTGTTATTATTCGGCCTCTAATGACCTTTTCTTCACTGGTTCCTTGTCTTAATTTTATGCGTTTTCTATTTGTTACGAACTTATGGGGTTTCTTTGCGCAATGATTGCATAGATTCTAGTTTTCTGATACACGAACTGCAATGCAGATTGGGAGGGAAAAGTTCCGGTACCAATGATACAAGATAATACTTCAAACTTTCTACGTGGTCTAGTTGTAAGCTGTAGTGTCTACATAGCCATTCTGAGTCGTAGTTGCATAGCAGAGGGATTAACCATACCAATAGCAGCGCTCATGCCACGATCCTTTCCTTTTACCCTTTTCCTTGCAAAGGTCCTCCGCCTTCGTCTCTGGTCCTTGCTTGTATCCACTATCCCGTTACTGCGCATAAACAACACTGCTTCCGCCCATGCGACCGAGCCAACTCCGACTCAAGAGACGAGAGAAATTGTTGCCGGCATAGTCTCTTTCGACCTCCGCAGCCGTGATGCGGTCGACTGTAGCTACTGATGTCGTACAGCAATAAGAAGGCAAGAGGTTGGATGGCGACTATCTAAGCCTGAGTTCCTCGAAAGAGATTCCAACATCAAGGCGCAGGTTTCCGAATCACAGGTAGATCAACCATGTGCTTGCGGCATCATGATAAAGGAGACATCCCCAGACGGATGACCTAGAGCAATCCTCTCATGGCTAGTAGCAATGCAATCGGCGCGATACTGCTTTGGGAGCCATAGTTTCCTTTCACCGTTGAGACAAAGCCACTGGCCGTCTAGTATAGATATACCAGCTCCGGATTTGGACCATACCCAGTTCGAATGGCGCTCATGTATCTGCCGACGTTGATCCTTTGGATCCTTTGGATCTTTGGAGAGGTTGAGGTTCCAGACAGTAGTAGGCCCGTTCGGCGCGCTGCCTGCCAGTTGCTGGTCTCCTGGTGAGATGGAAATTGTTCGTATTGACCCATCAAAATCACCAACGGCACCCTCGAAGACTTGCTCTGGTTGGTTTGCTGAACGTGCAAGATCCCAGAGCCTACAGGTCCCATCGTATGCGCCGGAAACCAGCAGGCCATCTTTCGTGAAGCTGATCGACTCGACTGAGGCATCATGAGCCCTGATCGTCATATCGCTTGTAGTGATGTCCCAGATTTTGGTATTCCGGACCTTGATGGCTCCATCGCTCCAGCCAGATACTAGTCGGTTATCTGGTAGGAAACCAAGTGATCGAACCCCTGCCGAATGCAACTGGCCGAGGGGCCACGCTTTCTGACCCGTTTTAGGGTCCCAAAGCTTGATTGTCGTGTCTGAGCCAGATGCCAGTACAAGTCGGTGGTAGCCTTTTACGGAGAATGCAACAGACTGTACGGCATCATCATGGGCGTTCCGAATTGGCTTCATCTCACCAGTGGTGAGATTCCAGAGCTTGATGGTTCCGTCAGTGAGACCACTTGCCAATTGCTGGCCATCAGGCGAGAAAGCAATTGACCTGGTGGAGCCCGAGAAACTCTTCTCGTTTGTGGATTGCTGGGACTTGCCTGCAGTAAGGTCCCAAATTTTGATGGTTCTATCCTCAGAAGCGGATGCCAACTGTTGACAGCCTGGTAGAAACACGAATGAGGTAACCCTTCTAGTATGACCTGAAAGTATCTTTGGCGGATCATCTGTCAAACCCCAGACCCTAATAGTCTTGTCAAAAGGGTCAAAGGCTAGGTGTTTGCCATCAGGGGAGAAGCTGAGTGAGGTTATTCGACCATGTTCACCTGGTCTGTGAGACCGGCCATCACAAGTCCCCTCAACCACCCCTTTCTCTATATTCCATAACTCGACGATGTCATTTGAGGCGGCTGCCAACTTTTGGCCATCCGGCGAAAACTCAAGCAACGCAGGCCCTCTGGCTTGGATTTTTTTCACAGGCTGTAGCGTATCTGCAGTTGGAACCCAGAGCGTGATGATGCCATCCTCTGAGCTGGATGCGAGTTTCTGACCATCTGGGGAAAAGCTAACATTCCCAATCGAGCCAGATCCTTCCCCAAGAGTCTGTAGGCGCTGCCTCAAGTCAAAATCCAAGGGCTTGAAAGTGTGATCTTCTAATCCAGAACCCACTTCCTGACCATCTGGTGAAAAGGCAATTGAGTCAACTGGACCAGGACGCTCCTTCAAGGTCTGCAAAGGTTTTCTTTCGGTAGCTTCCCAGATCTTCATATTCATAGTCCCATTTTCTGAGTATGACACGAGCTGTTGACTATCTGGTGAGAAAACAACAGTGTATAACCAAGTGGGATGGTTCTCAAAGGTCTCTTGCAGTTCACCGGTAGTTGCATCCCATAGCTTGATGATCTCATCAACTGACGCAGATACCAGTAGTTGGTTATCATGTGAGAAGTTGACCAACCTAACTGTATCAGAATGGCCAGAAAGGGTTTGCTGCAGCTGCCCTGTGGCAGAGTCCCACAGTTTTATAGTCCCGTCTCGGCAACCAGAAGCCAATCGCTGGCCATGCGATGAGGCACATAATGAGTAAACTTCATCAGCATGGCCTTCTAGGGTCTGTAACTCCGCACCCCAAAACTCTTCGGCTTCGGGGAATAGAGACCAATCCGTCAGCTCGTTTGCGAACAATCCTCTAATAATCGAGCTTGTTGGACAAAACATCAACGCAGATAAATATAGCTGAGACGGTGCGGCTTCTGCAATGTGCCGGTTTTTGAGAACGAATCGGCGAGCATCGTGTAGGAACTCCGATACTCCTGTCTGTTCATTTTTCTATTATTTTTAGCGGTTGCGGATGTATTCGAATACTCCAGGAACTCACGGAAGACACAGACTGTAATCGGTTAACCGCCTCGATGACTTCGGAAATGAGGCCCATGATACTCATTGCTTCCATCCAGTGAAGAAAGTGGACTTTGAGAACTGAAATTGCATCATTCAATGCACTTGTCGGATCAAGACACTGCGCCAAATGCTGAGTCCAATAACGACAAGCATATTGAAGCTCTGAAGGCGGGTGTTGCTGAATCAACTGAGGGCTGATGCTCTTGTCCAACTGGCCATCCATGATCCGAAGGCATCGTTCAGTCAGGGTCTGGTGCATCTCCTCTTTATCAATCCAAAATTTCTCGCTCTCGTCTGTATCCCTGGTTTCTTCATCCAGAAGAAAATCTCGGAATGATAGATGGAATAGTCGAACTGCTGAATCAAGATCTTCAGGCACGTTTAGAACCGAATGAAGCTGATTTAATCGCATCTGAATATCCTCTGCTTCGAGGCCGAGGAGGCCGGATAGTGTGTTGATCGAGAGAGGGGTTGCTAGCAGGATGATTGAGCCCACAATCAGTTTGAAAGGTAAGATAACGTCGTCCTTGATGGTCCGTCGGCTTTGACCAACCAGAAGCTGTTTCAAGATCGGTAGGTAGGTTGCGGCCATTTGCGATACGTAGCTGGTTTTGTCTGCAAGGATATCCTGGAGGCGTCTTTTAGGGTTGGGAGCGTTGTGAATGAATCGACACAAGGTCGCCGCCGAGATAAACAGCGGCACCGTCTTGTCAAGCAGGATGTCCATTTCCTCGCGTTTAGGCCATTTCACAGAACTTGAAAAGCCATAATCGGAACGGATGTTCTCGAACGAATGGTGAAGGAATATTGAGATGTCCCGAGCGGTTTCCAAAGCGTCATCGAGCTTCAAGTTCCGCAGATCGTCACGTTTGAGCTCTTTGAACCCCAGTCGCACAACAAGCTCAGGTCTGGAGGTGAGGAAGAAGCGAAGCTTTACCCACTTGATTGCCTGTATACGAGGTAATATTCTTAGGATGGTCTTGACGTTATTTTGCGCCACGTCTGCGTGGCACTCGTCGAGTGCATCAATCACGAGCACCAAAGTCACTTCTTTACCAACCTTCACGTTCTGGAAGGGCTCGAGGAGGAGCCTGTTAAACTGTTCCAAAGGCGCTTTGTCTGAAATGGATGGCTCGCTATGGATGGCACGCTGTATCTCGGGTCTCAGACTGGGAACCCTGTCCGCCAGCTGTTTGGCGAGAGTTGGGAAAAGCCTCTTCGCATTTGCTCTGTCAGTTTCGCCGTGTTTGAAGCAGAAGCTTCCTCCCAACAGCTTTTGATCCTTGAGGCGCTGACATATTGTGCGGGAAATCGTGGATTTCCCCATCCCTGCCGCTCCAGACAACCAGAATATACAATTTCCCTGAGAGGATTTCGCCCATTCCTCAATTTGGTCGAGAAGCTCTCCCCTGGTCCCGTCAAGGCACTGCATAGTGTCCTCACTGAAATCAATCTCTGCTTCTTGCGCGATTTTCAGCCGTTGTGCATCAATTTCCCATGCAATCCGATTGATGGTATGGCTAACAAACAAGTAAGCATGGTACCAAAAGAACAAATAAAAGCAGTATCACGCACTTCTGCTCCAGTTGCATGGCGGTACTGAACGTGATGCTGTAGTGACGGATTTGCTCGACACGCTCCATCACATTCTTTTTCTCCAGCGGCCATTTCAGAGATCGATATGCGTTTTTGATCACCGACACTCGAGTATCTGAGGAAGGCCCTGGATTGAGCTTTTTCTGCACTTCCTCGAGTAGTTTGCTGCACTCTTCAAAGCACTCGGGTCGGCGACTAAGGGAAATCACTCTTTGGTCTCCTGGGCTCTCCAGTCGAAGCTTCTCGAGCGACTCGAGTATATCCTGGAGGAGCACGACTTCGTTCTTCAAGTGTCCCATTTGGTCGGACGCATCCTTAACCTCATTGATGTACTCTCCACAGGCAGATGCGACTTGCACTGCCAGCACAACGAGGCCAGTAATGGCTCCAGGATCCATCGCAGTATATGAATGAACGCATTCGCGTATTTAGTGTGAAGACTTGACTATCGACGTTGAGAATCTTCAGATATGAGAAAAGAGTGCTCTAAGATACAACATATGGGAGGCACAGGGAAATACAGGAGTTTTTTAACTTGTCCTGCCCACCGCGTTTGTGGTGAGGGGCAAGCGCTTGTTACGAGGCTAGAGATGTGATATTGTCTATGATTGGAGTATCAAGAGACCACTTAGTATCTGCTTATACAAGATTACGTCCATGATAGCTTTCGTAAAAAAAAAATAAAAATAAAATAATAATAATAGGAGGACCAATTCAGGTGCTTGCATTGTAGTTTCTGTCGAAGTCTACAAGTATCACCTCTATACTTTGGAGTTCAAAAGTCAAGACGAAGAGGGGTGTTCTGAATTCGTTGATCCTCAATATGCGCTGGGTCCGTCAAACAACTATCATCCAATGATCTTTGACACCGGTGCACTTGCATAACCCCAAGAGGTTTCAAAAAGATCAGTAAATTGCGCGCTTGTTCTTAACCGCTCTCGTGGAATTGCTATTCCGGCATCAAGGAGCCCAAAGGCTGAAGTACTTCATAGTCGAGTGCTCGCTGGACGTCTAATATTTCGGACAGAACAATCCGGGAATAAATCACTTCGCCCCTTGCCAATGTCCCATCTAAGGATGGTACCATATCTCTTTGGGCAGTCATGATCAGGAAACTCCCGGCCACTCTTGCAACCTTGCTAAATCCCGATGACATCGACTAGTAAGTACGGAGTACTATTCTAAGCAATCACTTTCACTTCGCAACCCCGGTAGCACCACTAGCATTCCCATCAAAATCCCCATTCCACCACCTCCCCAACCTCTCCGCCCCCGTACCAAACACAGCTCCGAACCCAATCTCCCCCGCCCGCTCGGGATGCTTCTCCCTCTCTTCGCGCCGGATCCGGATTAGGGCTGCCGAGGCCCCGATTGTCATGGCGAAGAGGGGGTCCGCGGCTCTGGTTTTGGGGTTGTTTGTGAGTTTTTGATCTGAGGGGGTTATTGGAGGGGAGAAAGTGCGGTGAGTTACGCTGGGATCAAGAGGGAAGGGGGTTGGGATTGTAGGGTGCATATGAGGATGGCGGTGGAGTTTGAATTGGGATGCATGAGAAATGGAGGCGAATAAGTGGGCAGTGGAAAAGGAAGCTTTGAGTTTGGCTTGGTGCAGTTTGACCGTGAAAATGGGGGTCGAGTTTGATTGAACAAATGAGGATACAAAAACTGCTAGAGTAGGAACAGAGAGTCGGGACTTACTTGGATATCAAATAGACGCGCATTGTATATAGTTTTGTGGGTGTGTTGGAACCCGAAGATAGTAGCCAAAGGGAGAAGAGATGGGAGGGAAGGACTTGGGTAGTCGTGAATTGTTTGCTTGCTTAAGTCAGGAATCTTTTGAGAATGGAATGAGATACGGATTGCTTTATATTATTTGCAGCCTGAGGAAGAGACGCTTGAATAGCTCCTGTGGAGATAGCTCAGGGAAATTTCCAGCGCTTGACTGAAAGCTATCATTTCGTACTAGTCATTTTTATTCACGTGACTTTTCGGAAGCCCGAGATTCATGTGGACAGATGGATGACTGTACAAAACCGCCGGAAATGTATAGGAATTAAGAGGAGATGATTGTTTTAGATATCCTAACGAACCCGCCTAGCTGGAAGATAAAAATGTCTATCAAATACAAGAAATAAAAGGCTCTATCGTAGCACACCGAACAGCCTGAAAGTCGAACCGAACGAGAAAGAAGAGACGTGCTATTAAAACTCCATATATCATATATCGCTTTCCGTGAAATCTAGAAAATTGTCGTTCTCGGAGAGCGCATTTATACAACCTGGCCAAAAGCAGGAATCAACGTCTGAGCCAGCCAGAAGCTGAAAACGAGCTTGGGTCCCGTCATCAGCAGCTTGGGAGTGAGGCCCTTGAAGAAGGAAGTGGCGCCCTCGTTCTTGAGCATGTTGGAAACGATGCGGAAGCCGGACTCGGGGTTCTCAAAGTTGCGGTTCTGGATACGGGTCTTGATCACGTCGAGGGGAGCGGAAACGACGAGAGAAGCGCTGGCACCGCAGATGGAGGCGACGAAGTTCTGGCCCCATGTAGCAGCGTTGTAGTCCTTGAGGCTGTAGATGTATTCCTTGGCGAAAGCAGATCCACCGAAAAGCTATTATTGTTAGTATCGCTTTGAAGCAAGCAAGGGTGTTGAGAACATACAGCGAAAGATCCAGGAGCGTTCCGAGCCGCAGTCCAGCCAGCGCCACGGTACAGTCCCATACCCTCGTCAGAGATGATCTTGAAGAGACCACGGCCACGGAAGGCCTCGGGGTTCGTCTGGCGCTTGATCTTGAGCACGTCGAGGGGCAGCAGGACAATTTCACCGATACCGATCAAACTGGTTATTGTTAAAAATGGAAAGTATCCCCATGCACCACGAGTACGTACCTTCCAGCAGTAGCGTGCATGATAGCCTTGCCAGTACCCTTTCCGAATGCATTATCAAAGTCGGAGCCGTGGTGCTTAGCCAGGTAGTCGCGAACGAATGGCTGACCACCATACTTGTAGATACGTTGGAGAACCTGGGGTGGTGTGAGTCAACGACAACCGAGAAAGCTCTGTTCCGCACCAACCTTGTATCCAGCGGCGTAACCCAGACCTGGGAAGAGAGAAGTGAACTTGCGGGCGACAGGCGCGTCGGCGAACTCCCTAAAGACGACCTTGTTGAAAGCGCTGGCAGACGCAATCTATTTTATAGTTCCGTCAGTCAATCGAATTCCCCCATAATCGACGGCGATTGCGGTAGCTTACTCGGGTCTGGTTGCTCATCAAACGCTTCGCCGTGGTATCAACCTTGAAGAAAATTAGCATGCCGAATGGCGATATATGCGGTGAATTGTTCGGAATTGAGATCGTACAGGGTGGAAGACGAGGAGTTCCGCAATACCAGCGGTTCCTAATGGCTGTCAGTCAATCCGCCATGTGAGAGACATTGAGGTAGAGAAAGGCACGCAGCACACATACCGGAACCGAGAAGACGAGCAGTCGCGGATTCCCTCTTGACATCCTTGGAGGCAGCGCCAGCACCGGCGTGAGCAAGAGCAGGAGACATTTTGATTTTCGTTTGTTCTCAAGTCGTATGACCAAACGTTTTTATAATTTTCTGTTCTCGCGGAGAGACGGAAAGCAATAAAAATGAGAGTGTAGGAAAAGCACCCAATAAGAAAGGATCCGACAACCAGAGCCGCGAAAAGCGAAGATCGTAGTCAACGAGGGAAAAAAAAGACGCAAGCAAACCAGCCGAAGAAGAGATGAGAGCGAGATCGCAGCCCCGACGGGAACTTTTTCGACACTGGATCGGCCCTGAAGGCCAAGAATCACGCTAGTCCTTTGTAGGATTAGTTCCGGGACCTGGTCGGAGACTCGGAGACGATTATCCGCCATAACTATTGAAAGATGCCCAAGGACATCAGAGAGGAACTATTTAGATAAGGTCTCTCTATTGGCGATAGTAAGTGGTTCAAGATTCCATTCTAGTACTAGAGTGGTACCAAGCCTAGCTATTCAGACTAAGGCTACAGCTTGATCCCGAATTAGAGCGCAACTAAGAACAGGACTGCATCGAACGTTGTGCCATTTGATCGTTAGAATACTGCAAAGAAAATCCGCCAAGAATCCATAAAGAAAAGCATACAACTCCTGGAAAAACGCCTGCGTATACGGAGTCACCGCGCGTCTAACTGCCTCATCCTAGGGCCGACCGAGCTTATACCGGGAACGAAAGCATGATCTTGCAAAACGAGACGTCTTGACGATGCGGACAATTACATGGAAGACAACGGGAGGTCCGAGCCTAGCAGTCGCCGAAAGTGTTCTCGCCGGAGTATCTGTTATGTAGATTAGCAGCCGCGGCCGAACAAGTATAGCAGAGGGAACATACGTGATATACAGGAAACCGTCCTCGTCCTTGTGCTCTTCGTAGATGCTGCTCATAAGAGCAGCCGTTGGGGGTAGGACTTCATCGACGAAAATGAAGATGGCCTTTTCGGGGGACAGCTTGATACGCTTGCGGATAACGTAGACGAACTGGCCGACGGTGAGATCTGCGGGTACCAGATACTTCTTCTTATCGATAGTTGCAATATCTGACTTCTCGACTTTTTCGCAGATTACCTGTGGATGGCCAACACAGGTTAGTATGTGGAACAAGCGGTGAACGGGAGCAGGTTTCGATGAAGCACAACACAAATAATCAAAAAAGATACTGGGAGATAGATATAAGATTAGATACATACCGGGATGCGGTCGGCATACTTTGCTCGAATGCGCTCAGCTTCTGCCTTGCGCTTCTCGAAGGGGTGCTCGTCCTTGAACTTGGAACGCATTGTTGCGGAGCTCGTGATATGGATAAGGGAGAACGAAAGTTCAGACTCGTCGGTCAGAAAAGTAGCAGTTGTAGCTGAGTAGGCTGATAAAAGATAGTCAAGGTGCTGCTGATGACGATGAAGTCGGGATGTAGGTATGGAAGATCGATGGAAGATGACTGAAGGTTCAAGGCAGAGATGATGAAGCTGAGCCCCGCGTCATGTTACTAAGACAAGAGGGCTGATAAGCTGCGGATCACGGGGGGCGGAGGCGGTGAAGCCCCACACGTGAGTCACGGTCATGTGCCACAACTGGTCAGATGAAGATACTCAAAAGACGTTCTGTCGCTCAAATGACAGTCGAAATATCCCGTCATATCTTCACGCGGAGTGATGTACTTGCTCAGTGACCGTAGTCATGATGGCTGAGTATGTATGTGGACCTGCCCACTTTTGGAGTTCCGGTGCTACGGCTGGAGCCTCCACTTGATCAGCGGCTAGAGAAGCTGTTCCAGGCTGCAGTCATCCCGATTCGAAGAACGAGGATACGGTGCTTGCAGAGTCATCGTCCTCGACAGCGAGTGGCCAGTTATACGGACGATATCTTCGAATCTGACTCACCTTTGAGCCTCATTCTTCAGTCTGAGTCTCACCCTTTGACAAGTCACTGGCCCTTGACCAAAACAAACAGTGCAAACACATATGACCAGCAAACAGTGCAAACTTCAGTCATATTCTCCGAGGTGGTCCCATACTCGGTTGGTTCACCTGCAACGACTTGTTCCTCGCCATTGTTCGGCTTCAGGTGGTCCCATTACCGGAGCAAGCGTGAGCGAAACCACCTGATTTTTTCGGCGAATCAGCCAATTCCCGAAGAACCGCCTGGAAGATGGCTCTACCTCGGTCATATAGTATGTCCCTCCGCAGGTCGCTGCGACAGGTTTCAGCACCAAGCTGTCGCAGACCGAACAACGTTCAAGGGCCATTCCGCAGGTACTACTCGCAGCAGCCGAAGCCCGAAAAAGAGGAATTTACTGTTTGGCGTCCGTACCTACGATTAGCCGTTGGGATTCCGTTCATTGGAGCGCTTATTTATTCCATGGTACTATTCCGACTCGCGCAGCTGATAACCTTTCTAACTCTACGGCGCAGATGACAGGAGAAGTGACTGACCTCGACGCGCCGTCAATTGCGGAGATTGACAAGGTTCTGAAGGAAAAGGCCGTCATCAGCGAAAACTCGCCGATGCGACTGCGTATGGAGAAATTGGTCAAGGACCATCAACAGAAGATCGTGGAGGAACTCAGCCGGATTGATGGAAAGCAATTCCAGCAGGACACCTGGACACGTCCTAATGGTGGAGGAGGTATTTCGTGCGTTCTGCAAGACGGCAATGTTTTTGAAAAGGCCGGAGTCAATGTCTCCATTGTCTACGGAGAACTACCACGCCCTGCCATTGAGAAAATGCGAGCCGACCACAAGTCTTTCGTCGGCGCCGATGTTGACTCGCTAGACTTTTTCGCCGCTGGCCTCTCCCTTGTTCTACACCCTCATAATCCGATGGCTCCGACGGTCCACTTGAACTACCGCTACTTCGAGACCTCAGACCCGAAGGATCCCATGAACGGCGACAAGAACTGGTGGTTTGGAGGCGGCACTGACCTTACTCCGAGCTACCTCTTCCCCGAGGATGCTCAGCACTTTCATCGAACCATCAAAGATGCCTGCGACCGTCACGACGCAACCTACTACCCAAAGTTCAAAGAGTGGTGTGACAAGTACTTTTACATACCACACCGCCGCGAATCCCGCGGCGTAGGAGGTATCTTCTTCGACGACCTCGACGCCCACTTCCTCCAAAGCTCCTCCACCTCCTCTCAAAACCCGCAGGAGACCCTCTTCTCCTTTGTCTCGGACTGCCTCGCCTCCTTCCTTCCCGCCTACACTCCGATCGTCGAGCGCCGCAAGGACATGCCATTCACACCCGCGCAAAAGGAATGGCAGCAACTCCGGCGCGGCCGCTACGTCGAGTTTAACCTGGTCTACGACCGCGGTACGAGCTTCGGATTGAGGACCCCGAGCGCCCGGGTCGAGAGTATCCTCATGAGTCTGCCCCGCACTGCGTCATGGGCGTACATGGATCCTGTGTCGGGTACACGGACCGACGGGCACGCCGAGGATGAGGAGCCGGCGGTCGAGGACAAGACTGCTGAGAAGGAGATGCTTGATGTTCTCAAGCATCCCCGGCAGTGGGTCTAGATTCTCTAAAAGCTAGATATTTTGTATATGTACTATATGTAAGCTAAATGATACCAAAATAAATGATTCTGTTTGGAGCCCACTGTAGCTTGTGTCGACACCACAAGCTGAGACAATTGCCGTCAATGTATTCAGCTGTATGTCCGACGATAGTTGGCATAATTATATTGTCAACCCCTCATCGGGGGAGATCAACCATGGTAGAAACCTCGGAAGCTGGGGTACCCTCTAAGGCATCATGGTCGATTGTTTGAACGTCTAATGATACACGTGCTTTCTATAAATATAAGGCTCGCTATAAGCCTGGCAATACCTCTGGCCATAAACACGAACTCCAACCATGCACCTCCCTTGCGAAACAAACTCCTACCCATTCCAGACCGGTACATCCCGTAGAGAGCAATAAGATATAAAACACTCGAGAACAGAAATCGGAACAAAAAAAGCATACGAGCACTGACCTGGTTCGCCACATGTCGACACAATAGCCAAAGGGCCAATGAATGGACCCTGAGGCTGTATGTGAGGGCTAATACTCGAGACTATCCCTCGGGATCGTCCGCCCTCGCCGTCTCGGGAACCGTCCAAAGACACTGGTGCCCCCGGAGCTCCGCCGGCTCGTCTGGCTCGCCAGAGACGCACGGAGAGCTCGTCCATGGTCATTGTGGTGATCGCGGTCGTACTCGTCGACCATCATGCTCACGCTCATGGTGCTCGTATCAAAGGCATCGCCGCCTCCGCTCCAGCGCTGCAGGAAGCGTCTCTGCGCTTCTGTCTCGCGTACTCGTTCGCGCACCGGTGGGAGACCGCGTGCACTGCTGCTCGCCGTGCTCGTGCGAAAGGGATGCTGTGTGAAGCTGACTTCGTCTTCCTCGTCGTCGAATTCGGCGTCTGTGTCGGTGTGCTGCCACTCTTCTTCTTCGCCGGGTTCCTCGGCTTCGGGGATGTCGTCGTCTAAATCGCGCTGTTCTTCTTCTTCTTCTTCTTCGTGCTCCAGCTCGCTCATGTACTCGACCCCTTCATCGGCACTGGGAACCTCGTCGTCCAAGTCCGGCTGGTTATCGAAATCCTCGTCGTCGTCATCATCGTAATCCGCGAATTCCTCGGGGATATCATCGTCGAGATCCCGCTCCATATACCCCTCCTCATCAACCGCCTCATCCTCCTCCAACCCTTCCTCCCCATCCTCAACAAGCCCCTCCTCATCACCCTCCACCTCCTCTTCCGCATCCGGAATATCCGCATCTAAATCCCTCTCCATCCCCGTCTCCCCCTCCTCCCCATCCTCATCCATCCCTTCACCCCCAGCCGCGGCGGCGGCGGCCGCAGCAGCAGCCGCAAACTCCGCATCGGCCGCCGCGGCCGCCTCCTCGCGCTCCGCCTCCTCTTCCTTCATCCCCAGCATCGTCTTCGGACACCCTGCCGGCTTGATCCACGAGCACCCAAACGATGCAATGTTATTCTTGCGTGCGCGCAGCGCCCGCTCCTCGAGGACCAGCGACGCGAGCGTGTCGCTCGGGTTTAGGGTGCTCGGGGCGCCAATGCCGCCCGCGTGCGTGGCTGTGGTCCCGGCGCGGTATTGCGATGTTCCATGCCGGCGGTTTTGGGCGTGTACGTGCGCTGCGGATGTAGGGTTCGAGGATTGAGACGGTTCGGTGAGGTGCGGTTGCGGTGTGCGGGGGCCGAACCAAAGGTCGTGGGACTGGATTTTCAAGTTTGATTTAGTATTGCTGTCATGTAGGATTGGGTAGACCGGTAGTGGGAAGATGAGGGACGTACGTCGCGTGGTGCGAGGAGCGGAAGGGAGAGCATTTTGCGAACTCTCAGAAGGGTTGTTCGGTAGATAGGCGACTAGCAGGAGGATTGCTCAATAAGGGAGACCTAGATGCAGTCCATATGCTCGATAGCCTTCCTATCCTTTCAATTGACACTCTGTATCTCGTCTCCTCGTCGCCTCTCAGGCAGGCGGTGCCAAAGCACTTTCGTCCTCACTTCCAATTCAATAGGTCGTAAAGCCGCCCGGCAGCATCAATTTCCACCTCGCTGTAAATAAGAAACGATTGAAAAGAGAGATGGCGACAATGTCTGGCCTCGGTTGCCGTGTTGAAATGCGGTTGCTGGCTTTTGCTGAGGATCAAAACAAAGATCCGCGAGCCCCGTCAGAAATTAAGTTAAGCGGTGGATTTAGGCTCGGCGCGGGGAAGTCAAGGCCTTATTGCCCTACTTTTGGCTGTGATGGATAGCTACATATCCTGTCTCATGGACAATCGATTATATTGGAGTACGATGATTGGGTTTGGATTTGATTTTGATTTGGCTAGGTGCTGACTGGGAGTTGAGCTTTGGATGTGCTAAAACGCGTTGGCTTCTGAATGACATAGGGCTAGCCTCTCGGAGTCTACAAGATATACTAAGTGATGATTTGACCCTCTCTGCGATGTTGTAAAAGTGAAGTCTGTCAGCAATCATAGTCACCGGTCACTTACTGAGTTCGAGCCACTGTATCACAGCACCTGAGAAAGTCGCAAGGGCTTCTCATATCCACTCTCAACTCGGGTTGGATTACCCAAAGAGGAAGACTTTGGCTCTCCAATTTATTATCGTTCGAGTACTGTAATCAACATCGCACACCAACTGTCGCTTACGGAGCAGCCTCAAGCAGTTATCTTACCGTCTTGCTCGTAGGGTTCGCAGCCATGTCCTTGTAGGCAGTCGATGGAACTGGGAGATTTTGCCTTTCTTTCACCGCGCATCTGGAGAACAAAGAAGGAGCCAAAAGTCGCGTGCACTCGCGCTTGTTTGAGAAAACCCTTCTGCAGCTAGTGACGGATCGTAGATGATGAGCAGGGGGCTTGCTGCAGTCAGAAAATAGTGATGGGCCTCTGCATTGAATCCTCCTTCCTTAGACCCTCGCCTGGTGCTGTTGTTGTGAGACACAAGAACGAGAAGACGAAGCGCACTCGATGAAGACCAAGGGGAAATCCCACAAACCTGAGACTTCGAAGTTGGAGTCGAGCTTCTAACGGCTTTCGCGGCTGGGTTGGGCATACACTACTAGACATGACAGCCCCTAGACGGCCAGCTGAATGCCATATGGAGACCGCTGCTGCCCTGTTCATCCTTGGTTGCCCGTTGGGTAACTCCATTTCAAGCTCGGGTACCGGAGCAGCAGGAAGACCCATCATAGTCGTTTGAATAAAGGCCCTCGTTTAATTGGCAATCTGGCAACTTGGCCATTCGGTGACGGTGTGCGTGGCGGACAAGGCAGGCGTCCCTCTTGCAAACAGGGCGAGAAGTCCGGTATTCGGCCGTTTGATCGTTTCCCGATTTTCCCCGACCTCTTGCAGCCTCTCACCCCACCTGCGCGGACGCAGTCGGTGAACCTAAAGCGGGCAAGACCGAGGAGAGGATATCGGGTAAATTCGGAGAGAGGGCAGCATTGGCATCTCCGCCCGTCATGTGATGACTGTGCGGACGCATCCGATGCGAGCACCACTGAGACGCTGCAGCCGGAGCGTGAGAGTCGAGGCTAGGAGCAGAGCGACTTCGCTTGGAAATTGGGTGTCTTCTCGGGTTCCATGATTGTCTCTCTCTCCAAGCGTCGAGTCACCCCGTCAAGAGAAAATTTGGTCAGGCAATGCTGAACCCGTTGTTGCTGGTGGGTCATGTAATCGTCGTATGTTGCTGGACATTGGACAGTGGTTGGAGTACGCTTTTCAGTCGCAACTCGAAGCAAGGCCGCTTCCGGTCATCGTAGCACCGCAGGCAGTTGGATACGGGGAAAAGCGGTGGATATGGGGTAGCAACTGCGAGGCCCAATCATGATAGAGTCAATCAGCAAGAAACAATAATAGATCCATCCTCCTGGTGTGCTGCACTGCTGTTGCTCCGAACACTGAGCAGATTAGTGAGTTAGTGCCCAGTAGGAAAGGGACACACGACCCGGCATGGGGGAAATGGAAGTGGTTTGCTTTATGTATTATTATTATCATCTGAAATCTCAGAGTTCTTATCAAGCTCGGGAATCCTAGCTTCGAGTCACCCGAAGGATGCATTGTCGGGTCGAGTCCAAGACTCCAAGTTCATCTATTTTCGTAATTACTCGTACGGGATTCCCGTATTGAACGGACCGCTCAGCAACTTTCCCGGGGTTTTGAATTTGCAGGCCACCTATTGGCCGGGGCTTCCACCGGCATGGAGGGCTGGCCGGGGAACCCGTCGTCATGGACAACGGATTATGGATTTACGACATCAAGTCGAGGCGTCTAACTATGGATACCAATGCCGTTTGATTTGGCATCGGGCGAAGACAAGTGAGATTATTGTCGCAAGTCAAGCTGAATTCACTTGAAGGGGGTGAGTCGATGGCTCGGAGGGATGTGCTGGGGAAAGCCCAACGGGCCAATCCGGATCCCTCTTTGAAAGACAAAATGCGGCTCGGGGCCCCGATTTCGGGGGAGGAGAAGAGGGGAAGCCCTGGCTGACGCCTCGGAGATTAAAGGACGTAACGAGTCCGGTCGGGGAGGGGTTGGAGATTTGGAGAAGACAAGAGGGAGGAAACTCAGGAAAGGGGGGTGTTCCGGACTGGAAAGGGATAGCGCGCAGCTTGGCCGTTGTCGGAAGCAGAGTCTCCTGGGGGGAGCTGTAACGTTGTACCGCTCCGTGCCAGTAATTGACCAATGCGGCGGTGCCAAAAATACATATGTTGCTCGCAGCTGCGTATGGGCTAGTAAGGGCCAAGTAACCACTGATCGCCCGACGGAATGCACTTGGGCGTGGGGTATGCAAGTCCTTTTGCTAGGGGAAATCGAGCGCCTTGCCGGAGGGTCCTTTGCGCCTGTCGGTTGCCCTGAGACCACCAACTGCCCAGTGCACTTTTATCAATGGCCTGAGCCACCAAGCCTTCGCTCGGAGCTTCTAAGCCCAACCGCGTACGCAGATTACTCCGTACTCGCCGTATTTTCTCAATGTTTGTTCACGCTGCGCAAAAGAGGGGAAGCTGGACCCTTCACATTAAGTGTCTGCTTTCTCGGGCTCCTTTGAAGTAAACTCGGAATAATAAATTGTTGGCTGTCTCAGCCGACTCCAACGTGTGCAATAAATTGTCTTTCCTCTGCGAGGCTGCGATCATAGCCTTGGCGTCTCTGCCTCCTTGCTGATTCCAGCGTCGTTGTCTGCCAAGACGGATGATTCTCAGACAACCGGGCTTACTTTTTTTTCGTATCTTCATGTCGTCCGACTTTGTTCAGGTTGTTTGTGCCTCCTGGAGAAGAAGAGTTGACCATGTGCACTCCCGTTGAGAATGCATGCTGACCAAGTGCCTGGGACCACAGGTGGGATAAGCACTGCATCCTTGTACTTGCCCCACTGCCATGGTGTCCAATCATCCATTCAGCCGGGACTTTTGATCTCGTTTAGGGCGGAGAAGAAGAAAAAAAGAAAGCAAGAAGCATGAACGAAGTGTTTTGTCGACGCTGCGCTTGTTTACTTTAGGCTAGCGGCTGCCCTTCTTCAGAGTCTCCTGTCCACGTCGACTTTCCAGCCCGGCCGGAGGAGGTAAAGATGGAGCACAGATCATGAAACAGAGGACTCGGCTGAGGTGGCAAATCCAAGAGGGCTCCCGAGTCTGACTCACTGCGCACAGCTTGACCTCGAAGGACACCGTTGCCTGCCTTCCTGGATTATTATCCGAGTCGACGCCATGATTTGCGCCTGCGACCCATCGCAAAGGTCGTTCTGTCTGAGTCTCATGAGCAGTGTGCATTGGGTCGCCAATTAAGAGTTTGAGAATCAACATGGTGGTCATACCATTTGTTGATCTGTTCAGGCCTATCTTCGGTTCTCTTTCGATGCCTGAGTTGCAGCAATTCTTCGTTTCTTCTTTTGAACATTTTTAGTATTCCATGGCCAGCCAATGGCTGAACCACAGGAACTGGTGGTTTAAGGTTGCCTGGGCCGATGGACTCGGATGGAGACTCGTTGCGGCGAGCCTAGGAGTATACATCGGGTGTTCACGGAATGGTCTTCACCGAGAAAATTGACCTGAATCAGCATGTAGTTGCACTGTGTGCCTTTTCAAACGATCACCGAGGGCGATGCACTCGAGCATGCCACAGAGGATAATTTGAACAGAGAATCGGGGCCAGCGCTGCCGAGAGACGCGTGTAAAATATTGTGAAATTCCAATACCAGCAGGTTCCCACTAGCGTCCCCTCACAAGCACTTTGCTTTTCTGGCCCCACTGGCTTGGATCTTGACGTAGGAGAAACCTAATCTTCTTGGTTAAAAGGTTGAAAAGCCAGTGTCCTGATTGGCTGCTGCCCTCTTATCTCTGACCTGCTCCCCAGGCTTTGGAGTGCATCCGGCTGCATCAAACACGCTGTTCATGATGGAGGAACTTACCCTGACGGCATGGGCCGAGCGCATTCAAAGGGTATTTGTACAGCCAATGCGGCATAAACTGAAGATGGGTGGATGGAAGATATTAACAACATTGATGGGCTCGTCGCATGTGAAGACGTTCCTGGCCCTCTCCAGCGCAACACTTGGAAGTTGTGGCGGATGTTTTGTTGCCAGGAGCGGAAGCCGCCGAAAACGCTCTCTGTTGCTCGCCTGTTGCTGCGTATTTCTTGACTGCAGCAACGGAAAGGGTATGCATTTCTTTTTCTTCTCCGTCTGCACCTCGTAGTCTGTAGGCCATTTACAGCGCACTAATTACTTTCACCTATGCCCTGGAGAGCAAAGGGAATTTGCCACGGTGGACAGGCATTGTCGTCGATCTCCACTGCTGTATTTTTCCCTCATTAGTCTTCCAGATTCAAGGTGGGCTGTCCGACAACCCCCCTCCCAGCCCGTGATCTCACGATCATCCAGCAGTCAAGCCCTCTCCCACCAGCCCAACGAGCTGTACCGCGCCATACCATACCCATACCAGTCTCGCCCGTATCGGAGTCTCGAGACGAAATCCCCGGACCTCTGGCTCCCGTCCTCTCTCCCGCCCAGTAACTTTTTTTTTTTTACTACGCGCATTATTCCCCTCCCCCTCCTTCTTTTATTTCCCCTCTCCCCCCTCCACTTCGTCTGCTTCTCTCTCTCCTTTTCTCACTTTTCTACGAAATACCCCGGAGCAAGACGTTGGGCGAAACACCTCCGCGATTGCCATTACGCTGCCCACGCTCCGCCATTGACGACAGAGTCCAGACTATACATCCACGACTCCCGACCCCGCCCAGACTCACCAGCGGCGGCCGTTACCCTAACTGCGATCACGACTCCCCCAGTTTCTGCCATTCCATTCTCTGTCGGCCACCGGCGGAAGAATGGGTCTGAACTTGGAGGAAATCTATGGCCAAACTATAGTTGAGGAGCAGAGTCCAAACGAATATTCGGAGTACCAGCCCAAGAAGGGATATGGCTGGGCCAACACTTTGCCCGAGCGGCAAGGTCTCTACGACCCCGAATATGAAAAGGATGCTTGCGGTGTAGGCTTTGCTGCGTAAGTTGCCGGCATTGGGATAATCTTTGGGAGGGTGTTAACTTTTGTGTTATTCAGCAATATTAAAGGCAAGGCAAGCCACAAGATTGTTAGCGATGGTGAGTTTTGTTATGGAAACCGACAATCGCACCAGCTTACTGATGACCACTCTCTATCTAGCCCGAAACCTGCTATGTAACATGACGCACCGAGGTGCTGTCGGTTCGGACGCGCGCGATGGAGATGGTGCCGGTGTAATGACCAGTATCCCCCACAAGTTTTTCATCAAAAACTTTGCTCGCGAAGTCGGAGTGGACCTCCCTCCGCTCGGCCAGTATGCCGTCGGTAACCTCTTTTTCAAGCCGGATGAGGAGGCTCTGAAGGAGTCCATTAAAACATTCGAGGAGATTGCCACATCACTAGGACTGCGCGTACTAGGGTGGCGTGAGGTCCCTCGCGATTCTACCATCCTGGGTCCCGCAGCCCTTTCCCGCGAGCCCACGATCCTGCAGCCCTTTGTGGTCCTCAAATCCGCTTACGGCGAAGGAAACAAGCCCGAAATCACAGATGTAGAGCAGTTTGACCAGAGAACATTCGAGATCCAGCTGTACATCCTGCGAAAGCGCGCTACTCACATCATCGGCCTTGCCAACTGGTTCTACCTGTGCTCTCTCAGCAACCGCAACATTGTGTACAAGGGTCAGCTTGCCCCCGTGCAGGTCTACCAGTACTACCACGATCTTGTCAACGTTGACTACGAGGGTCACTTTGCCCTGGTCCACTCCCGTTTCTCTACCAACACATTTCCCTCCTGGGACCGCGCACAGCCTCTGCGATGGGCCGCTCACAACGGTGAAATCAACACTCTGCGAGGAAACAAGAACTGGATGCGCGCGCGTGAGGGCCTGCTAAAGTCCGAGATTTTTGGAGATGAGCTCGAGTCGCTGCTTCCTGTTGTTGAGGATGGTGGCTCCGACTCTGCTGCTTTCGACAACGTCCTGGAGCTGTTGATGATCAACGGTGTTCTCTCTCTGCCCGAGGCCGTCATGATTATGATTCCCGAGGCGTGGCAAGACAACCCAGCAATGGATCCCTCCAAGGCCGCTTTCTACGAATGGGCTGCCTGCCAGATGGAACCCTGGGACGGTCCAGCTCTTTTCACTTTCTCCGACGGCCGCTACTGTGGCGCCAACCTGGACCGAAACGGTCTTCGCCCTTGCCGTTTCTATGTGACCGATGATGACCGTATCATTTGCGCCTCTGAAGTTGGTGCGGTGGACATTGACCAGGAACGGGTCATCCAAAAGGGTCGTCTGCAGCCCGGTAAGATGTTGCTGGTCGACACTGTCGCGGGCCGTATTATCGACGACTCTGAACTCAAGTACACCGTATCCCACCGCCAGGATTTCACCGCTTGGCTGGAGAAGGAGCTCGTGAAGCTGCCCGCCATCACCGACAAGCTGGTTGAGCAAAACGTGGATATCCGCCACACTCTCGACAACAGCACTATCCAGAACGACCCCCGCTTGAAGGCCTTTGGTTACTCTTTTGAGCAGGTTACTCTTCTCCTTGGTCCTATGGGTGCCGACTCTAAGGAAGCCCTTGGTTCCATGGGCAACGATGCTCCTCTGGCATGCATTGCCAAGCAGCCGCGTCTTCTCTATGAGTACTTCCGTCAGCTCTTCGCTCAGGTCACCAACCCGCCCATCGATCCTATCCGTGAGGCTGTTGTCATGTCCCTAGAGTGCTATGTTGGTCCCCAGGGCAACCTTCTGGCCATGGACCCCTCTCAGTGCCGCCGCTTGCTTCTTCCCTCTCCTATCTTGAGCATCCCCGAGTTCAATGCCCTCAAGAACATCAACAGTGTTCACAAGGACTGGACTGTCCGATTCATCGACATTACCTTTGAGAAGAAGAAGGGTGTGCCCGGATACATTGAAGCCCTTGACCGTATCTGCGATGCTGCCACCGAAGCCATCCAGGCCGGCGACAAGATGCTCATCCTGTCTGACCGCGCCACCTCCGCTGACAGAGTCCCCGTGTCTGCTCTGCTGGCCACTGGTCTCGTCCACCACCACTTGGTCCGCAACAAGTGGCGATCTTCTGCCGCTTTGATTGTTGAGACTGCCGAAGCTCGCGAGGTTCACCACATGTGCGTTCTTGTCGGTTATGGTGCTGATGGTATCAACCCTTACCTCGCCATGGAGTGCATTCTCAAGATGAACAGGGAGAACTTGATCCGTAAGCAAATCTCTGACGAGAAGGTCATTGAAAACTACAAGGCCTCCTGCGATGGTGGTATCCTCAAAGTCATGAGCAAGATGGGTATCTCCACTCTGCAATCTTACAAGGGTGCTCAGATCTTCGAAGCTCTCGGTATCGACGACAGCGTCATTGATCGCTGCTTCGCTGGTACTGCCAGCCGTATCCGCGGTATGACTTTCGAGCTTATCGCTCAGGATGCGTTTGCCTTCCACGAGCGTGGTTACGCCTCCCGCTCCATTGTTGACATCCCTGGTCTGACCGAGACTGGAGAGTACCACTGGCGTGATGGCGGTGAGGATCACATCAACGACCCCGTCAGCATTGCCAACGTCCAGGACGCCGTCCGCACCAAGAACGACAAGTCTTACGAGGCATATGCCAAGGCTGCCCATGAGCAGATCAAGAACTGCACTCTCCGTGGTATGCTCGAGTTTGACTTTGACCAGCGGACCCCCATCCCCATCGACCAGGTCGAGCCCTGGACCGAGATTGTCCGCCGCTTCGTGACTGGTGCAATGTCCTACGGATCCATCTCCATGGAATCTCACTCTACCCTGGCTATTGCCATGAACCGCCTCGGTGGAAAGTCCAACACTGGTGAAGGTGGTGAAGACCCCGAGCGCAGCAAGCGGATGGAAAACGGCGACACCATGCGCTCTGCCATCAAGCAGATTGCCTCTGGTCGCTTCGGTGTCACCTCCCACTACCTCGCCGATGCCGACGAGCTGCAGATCAAGATGGCCCAGGGAGCCAAGCCCGGCGAGGGTGGTGAACTCCCCGGCCACAAGGTCGTCGGACCCATCGCGCACACCCGCTACTCGACCCCCGGCGTCGGTCTCATCTCACCCCCTCCCCACCACGACATCTACTCGATCGAAGATCTCAAGCAGCTCATCTACGACCTCAAGTGCTCCAACCCGCGCGCCCGCGTCTCCGTCAAGCTCGTTTCCGAGGTTGGCGTCGGTATCGTCGCCTCTGGTGTCGCCAAGGCCAAGGCTGACCACATCCTCATATCCGGCCATGACGGCGGTACCGGTGCCTCGCGCTGGACTGGTATCAAGTATGCCGGTCTCCCCTGGGAACTTGGTCTGGCCGAAACTCACCAGACGCTTGTTCTTAACGATCTCCGTGGTCGTGTTATTGTCCAGACTGATGGACAGATCCGAACCGGCCGTGATGTCGCCGTCGCCTGTCTGCTTGGAGCAGAGGAATTTGGCTTCGCCACCACCCCTTTGATCGCCATGGGCTGTATTATGATGAGGTAATTTTTTCCCTTTGCGCGTCCTAAAACGATTCTCACTAACTCTTTCAACAGAAAATGCCACCTTAATACCTGCCCGGTTGGTATTGCGACTCAGGATCCGGAGCTTCGCAAGAAGTTTGAGGGCCAGCCAGAGCACGTGATCAACTTCTTCTACTACATCGCCAACGAGCTGCGTGCCATCATGGCTAAACTTGGCGTCCGCACTATCAATGAGATGGTTTGTCCAAACGTTCTTTTACTCTTGGAAGGCATATAACTAACGTCTCTAGGTCGGTCGCGCCGAATTGCTCAAGGTTAGGGACGATCTTCGCAACCCTAAGCAGCAGAACATCGATCTCTCCCTCATTCTCACTCCCGCCCACTCGCTCCGCCCTGGTGTAGCGACATACAACACAAGGAAACGTAAAGCCCACCGACCCTTATGCCTATAGTATTTTAGAATCTAACAAGTTTGAACAGAGGACCACCGTCTGCATACTCGTCTCGACAACAAGCTCATTGCCGAGTCCGAGCTCGCTTTGGAGAAGGGTCTGCCTTGCCGTGTTGAGTGCGACGTTGTCAACACCGATCGCGCACTGGGTGCCACCCTATCCTACCAGGTCAGCCGTCGTTACGGTGGAGAAGGTCTCCCGCAGGATACTATTCACGCCAACATCAAGGGTTCTGCCGGTCAGTCGTTTGGTGCCTATCTTGCCCCTGGTATCACCCTGGAGCTCGAAGGTGATGCCAACGACTACGTTGGCAAGGGCTTGTCAGGTGGTCGCCTTATTGTCTACCCGCCTCGCGGTGCTGCGTACAAAGCCGAGGAGAACGTCATCGTCGGAAACACCTGTCTGTATGGTGCCACACGCGGTACGTGCTTCTTCCGCGGCGTCGCTGCTGAACGTTTCGCTGTCCGTAACTCTGGCGCTACTGCTGTCGTTGAAGGTGTTGGTGACCATTGTGCCGAATACATGACCGGTGGCCGCGTGGTTGTCCTTGGTCCAACTGGACGTAACTTTGCTGCTGGTATGTCTGGTGGTATTGCCTATGTCTTGGACATGAACCAAGACTTCGTCTCCAAGGTCAACATGGAAATGGTCGAGCTTTCTGGCCTTGAAGACCCTGCTGAAATCGCTTTCCTTCGTGGGTTGATTGAGGATCACCACCATTACACTGGTTCTGAGTTGGCTGCCCGTATCCTGCTGGACTTCACCCGTGCCCTCCCTCACTTCGTCAAGGTGCTGCCTACCGACTACAAGCGCGTTATGCAGGAGGAAGCCGCCAAAGCCGCTGCTGCAAAGAAGGCTGAGACCACTCTTCCTCTGCGAACCAGCACTCCCGCCAAGGAGGAGAAGCCCAAGGCCGAGACCGACGCCAAGAAGGCCGAGCTTTTGGATATCGAGGACAGTGTCACAGACTCCAAGGTGGAGAAGAAGAGGACCGCTCTTATCCTCGACAAGACCCGCGGCTTCATGAAGTACAGCCGCCGCAGCGAGAAGTACCGCAACCCGGCCACCCGTACTCGTGACTGGGCTGAACTGTCCAACCGCCTCACTGAGGACGAGCTCAAGTACCAGTCTGCTCGTTGCATGGACTGTGGTGTTCCTTTCTGCCAGTCTGACACTGGTTGCCCCATTTCCAACATCATTCCCAAGTGGAATGAATTGGTGTTCCAGAACCAGTGGCAGGATGCCCTTAACCGTCTGCTCATGACCAACAACTTCCCTGAATTCACTGGCCGTGTCTGCCCTGCTCCTTGCGAGGGTGCTTGTGTCCTCGGTATCAACGAGGATCCCGTCGGTATCAAGTCTATCGAGTGCGCCATCATTGACCGCGGTTTCGAAATGGGCTGGATGGTTCCTCGTCCTCCTCCTGTCCGCACTGGCAAGACCGTTGCCATCATCGGATCTGGTCCTGCTGGTCTCGCGGCTGCGGATCAGCTCAACCGCGCTGGCCACAGCGTGACTGTCTATGAGCGTGCTGACCGTATTGGTGGTCTGCTCATGTACGGTATCCCCAACATGAAGCTCGATAAGAAGATCGTTCAGCGCCGTGTTGATCTCATGGCCGCCGAGGGCATCAAGTTTGTCACCAGCACCTCCGTTGGACCCGACAGCGATGTGACTCTTGACTCCCTCCGCGAGACTAACGATGCTGTCATCCTTGCTACCGGTGCCACCGTTGCTCGTGACCTCAAGGTCCCTGGCCGTGAGCTTGATGGTATCCACTTTGCCATGCAGTTCCTGCACCGCAACACCAAGTCTCTCCTCGACTCCGAGCTGGCCGATGGTTCTTACATCTCCGCCAAGGACAAGCACGTCGTCGTCATCGGTGGTGGTGACACCGGTAACGACTGCATTGGTACCTCCGTCCGCCACGGCGCCAAGTCCGTCGTCAACTTCGAGTTGCTACCCCAGCCTCCGCCAGAGCGTGCCCGCGACAACCCATGGCCCCAGTGGCCCCGCATCTACCGTGTCGACTACGGCCACGCCGAAGTCAAGACCCACATGGGCAAGGACCCTCGCGAGTTCTGCATCATGTCCAAGGAGTTCGTCGATGACGGCAACGGCCGCGTCAAGGGCATCAACACTGTCCGCGTCGAATGGACCAAGAGCGCCACTGGCGGTTGGGACATGAAGACGGTCGAGGGCAGCGAGCAGTTCTTCCCTGCCGACCTCGTCCTCCTCTCCATGGGTTTCCTCGGCCCCGAGGACCGTCTCCTCGGCGAGGAGATTGAGCGCGATGCCCGCAAGAACGTCAAGACTACCCCCGGCCACTACGGCACCAACGTCCCTGGCGTGTACGCCGCTGGTGACTGCCGCCGTGGACAGTCTCTCATCGTCTGGGGTATTAACGAAGGTCGCCAGTGCGCTCGCGAGGTCGACACCTTCCTCTCCGGCATCAGCTCTCAGCTCCCTGTGACCGGTGGTATCGTCCGCCGCCCTGCCATCGACGCAGTCCGCCAGGCCACTGAGCAGATTGTTGTTGCCGCATAAATACATCCAAACCAAAGAAAGAAAAAAAAGACAAAATCCCAATAGAATTTCGGCACGCCGGACAGGCTCCTGCGCGACGACAGGCTTCATTCTATTCTCACGATGACGATGATCTATGAATAATACCAGCGTCGAAAAGCGAAAGGAAGGAAAATTTACTACTGGATCAGCGGGTTATATGTTGGTGGGTTTGTACTCTATCTCTAATTCGACAGTTTCCTGCATGGTCATGGTTAGATGGGGGAATGTTCTCGATTTTTACAACACCTGATATATTGTGCGTTCTTTTGTCTGTTACTCTTGTTGTTTTTCCCGTGCTTCTGGTTGCAGCGTCTTTGTTCAAAATACTCGGCAAGGAGTTGGAGCGTGTGCAATCTTCTTCTTTCAAGTTGTACATATTTCTTTCTTGTCAATACAGTATTTCACCTACAGTACTACATTCGAGTAAAGCCAGTTGCTTTTGAATAGAACTTGATTCGTACTAAGCCCAATAATCATCAACAAAGGAGATGTATATGCAAAAATTCAGGGAACGTAAAACCATGGGAAGCTACAAACACCAAAGGTAGGACGACGTTACTGCGGCTAGTTACTTATACGGGATTATTCACTCTCCCCTGACTCCTCACGGATGGTATCTAGGCCGTTGAATCCTGGAGGAGGAGAGTCGAACCCTGGCGGAGGAGACCTCTCCTCTTGCCTCGACATTGCCCCCTCGCGCCCATACCCAGGGTCAGGGCGCGAATCTGGCCAGCGACTCGAAGAACCACGCTCATCTTGGTCCGGGCTCGACTCTCTGAAACCCTCATATTCAGGTTCAGGGTCCGATTGAGAGCCTAACCACGATTTCAAATGAGGTCCTCGAGGACCGAGCACCGGGCTGTAAGCCCCCGGACTCCTCCTCTCTTTCTCCTCCTCCTCCCGCCTTTCTAATTCCTCCTCAATCGCAGGCCGCGAATTCGGGCCCAACGTGGGACTCCGGCCTGGGTAGGAAACTGGATACTGACCGCGACCACGACCCTGACCTTCACCTTGATCCTGAAACCGCTGCTGTGCTCGCGCTGAACTCGGGATCGGACTCGACCCCCGTGTAGACCCTCGCGCATCACGCCTCGCCCTCGCCTGCTGCGCTGCCTGCTGCGCATGCCTCGTCGCATCCTCCCACATGGAAATCTCTCCCGTCTCAAACATGCAGTCGAGCACATCGTGCCCCACCAGCAAAACGTCCGAGAGAAACTCATACATGTAGTTAATCTGCTGCTCCTGCCGCGCAATGATCGACCACGTATTCCGCAGGAGCATCTCGTCATCCGTCGACGTCGGCGGCTTGAGAATCGAACGCGGCGTATACGACGGGGACGTGCTCGATCTATTGGCGGGAGACGTCGGCCACTGTGAGGATGCGTCTCTGCCGTGGTTCTCGGGGTAACTACCCGCCGGAGAACGATTGCGAGGCCCAGAGCGAGAGTACCAGCCCGCCGGATACCGCTGATCCTCGTAGCTCATGGCGCTATTGGGCTCGACATCTGCCTCGTCTTCGACCTTGGCCTCGGTATCCTGGATATTTACATTGTTGTTGCTATCGCCGCCATTAGCGCCGTAGACATAATTCGCCTTGCGGCGTCTGCGGATTGGGTAGCTGTTTAGTGCGGGTGCGGTGAATCTAGGTGGCTCCCCGTCAACCTCCATCATGTTGGACCAGTGGACGTTTTTGGTGAACGGGGGCGTCTTCGTGAAGCGCCTGGGGGCCAGATACTCACTGTTGGATCCTCGGACGCGGGTCTTTGAGTACGGGATTGTGGGTCGTTTGGTGGGTGGGTAGGGGAGTCGGTGGGCTGTTGGATATTGGTCGAATTCTTTGTCGTTGTACTTGGTGCGTTTGCGATTGTCCTCGCTGTTGGTAGTGCTGTCGTAGTTGTCGGCTTGCTCTGTTTCCACTGGTGTGGATGGTTCGCTATCGCGACTGTCGGGACGGCTGGTGTAGACGACGGAAATGACCATGTTGGACATCGCGTCGATGAGTTTGAAGAGCGAAGGCATTTTGATGTGTTTGGTGATTGCGCTGGAAAGCTTGTTTATAGTGGGGGTCATAATATAGTACTTTGCTCTTACTTGCGAGTCCGGACGTCGATAAATAGGGTTGAGAGACCCTCGACAGTGGAGACGAGGGCTCTTTTATAGCTGGATTGTTTGGGACAATGGGAGTGGTTAACAATGAAAGGCTAGACAAAGGGCTTGGTTGTTGTTGGATGGATTCAGCATTATCCCAATTCCCGGAGGGTCTTTCATTGAGACACTACATGGCGTTTGGCTGTTCTCATAAAAGAGGATGTTTCATTTTGTTCTTTGGTCGTCGTCGGAAGATATTTCCATGTTGTACAAGTATTATACATATCAAACTCAAAAGGTAAAAGCCAAGATATCAACCTGGGAGCAATTAGCACATGACAAGGCAACCAGAGTAGAGACAACTTACAAAAAGCCTAGATAGAAGTCGCCGCCCGCTGCATCGGCGTCATGGCCGCGCGCGCCGCTTTCCGCTCCTCCGATTCCTCCTCTGCCTTCATCTCCCTCTCCAACGCCGCAAAATCCCCCTGGAAGGCATTCCTAACGGGCTCCATCCGTACCTCCCAAACATCCTCACTGCTCGGTCCCGTCTTATACTTGATCGCCTTCTTCCGGTAGTGGTCGCGGATCATGCGGCTCTTTTCCTTCTCCGAGAACGTCCGCGTCTTCATGCACAGCCAGAAATTCTCCCAGTGCTCGCTGCACGACCGCAGCTCGCCGTATCGGTAGACATTCACGAATTGGCCGCCTAGCGATTGGCAGAAGAAGGCGTAGTCGAAGGCGGAGCGGCAGGACATGGTGTCGGGGTAGAGCGAGTCGGGGGCTATTGATGCGAGAGGGGTTTGGAGGGAGGAATCTGAGGGTTGAGTGGGTGTTGATGAATCTTTGGCAGCTTGTGCGCCGGAGCGAATGTCATTTTCGAGGCTTGTCCATAGTTGCTTAAACTCGGCTTCTTCTTTCTCTTCGCGAGTGAGTGTTCGTGATTGCGGTTGTGGTTGTGCTGGGGTTGGGAGGTTCTCTGGCGTCGCTGTCGGAGGTTGAGTTGTGTGGGACTCGTCCTTTGGGGCGGACGAAAATTTTGACCAAAACCAGCCCATTTTGTATGCGATGCGAACTCCTCGAGTGCCGGATAGTAAGTATGGTTGATCCAGTGGTGGTTGCGATTGATAATAATATTTTAGATGCGGAGACAAAAGACGCTTGTTCCGCGTTGGTTGGCGGTGTAACTTTGGCGGGTCATGACAGTACCAAAACATACTGGTATCGTTCGGGCGGGTCTAGAATTATACAAACTGACGTCAGTTCCCCTCAAGCAGAGCAACTCAACTTTCGCCCGTTCTGTGTCTCTAACATGCTTTCACACTCGCAATCATGATGCGAGCGCTGCTTATTGGCAGGGCATCCCGTGGTTATCGGGCTCTACCGTGCTGGAAAAGCTCGCCTGCTTACCGGGTTCCAAAGCCCTCCTTGATTGCCCGACAAAGTACGCTGAGCTCGTCACATGTTAGCTCGCTCGAAGCTGGTCACATCGAGTTGGAGAAGAATGAGGGTCTCATCTTTGTGAATAGTAAGAGGATCTCTGCTGGTGCTATGAGTCTGCGTCTCTAACGATATATAGATATCTTCCCACGAAAGCTCCAATGGCTTCTACTACTAGGACCCCTCAACGGCACTCAGTCGTACGAGAAGGCGCTGAAGCGCATCAACCGCCCGCATCTAGCTGCATCTGATCCACTGCATATAGTTCGGCAAGTATTTCCGCAGGGGCTAGACATCGATATCAAAGATATCATTCCTCGGTTCCGCGAAGGCGGTGCCTTCGTAAAGTATGCCCGCAAATCCGGTGCGACGGACAGCGAGATTGAGGCAGCCATTAAAGACCACCTTGAAAAGCATCCTATACGACCTTGGTTTAACCCGTTTCGACAGGCGACAGCTTCTAGCGTTCATGGACGACCGTGGATTGAGGATCTCTATCGGATTCCCAGTAGCCGCATTCGAGTTGAATTTCACCCAGCCGAGCCAGATGGTTCAGCGGCAGATTTGACCACAGAGGTCCTGTACAGTATATTTCGGCGATACGGCAAGCTTCGAGATATCGAACGGCAGCCACCTGATTCAAAAGTCACGCCGAGATATGCCCTCATTGAGTTCAGTCGCCCGAGCAATGCTGTGACGGCCAAGAACTGCGTCCATGGCTTTACGATTCCTCCGGGAGGAGGCGGCGGCAAGTCTGGCACGCGTGTGAAGATCAAGTACGAGCGGAAGATTCGACTGTCAATGATCAAGGACTGGCTGTTGAATCACCCGCGTCTAGTTATTCCCGCTGTTGCTGCTCTTATTGCGGCTATCACAGTGACCGTATTCGACCCGATCCGGACATTCTTCATCAAGATGAAGATCAAGGCAACGCTTCATGCCGAAGGAAGCAAGATCATGCAGTGGGTTCGGTATCAAGTTAGCAAGGCGAACATCTATTTCGGACAGAACAAATCTGATGTTCGTGGATTGACTGCGATCTGGGAGGACCGTCAAGACGATATCAACCAACTTCAGTCCTGGTTGACGGAGAATGCGGAGACCTTTATTGTCATACATGGCCCCCGCGGCTCAGGCAAACGCGAACTGGTTCTAGACCGGACCCTCAAGAACCACAGGTACAAGCTCGTTATCGACTGCAAGCAGATTCAAGATGCCAAGGGCGACACATCGAAAATCGCCCGTGCAGCCAGCCAAGTGGGCTACCGGCCTGTTTTTTCTTGGATGAACAGCATCAGCAGCTTCATTGACCTGGCTGCGCAGGGAATGATCGGAACAAAGGCTGGATTCTCGGAAACACTGGATGCTCAGCTCAGCAATATCTGGCAGAATACTGCCATTGCCCTGAAGAGCATCACGTTGGAGAACCGAAAGAAGACTGATACCGATGCACAGCTCACCGATGAGGAATATCTCGAAGCGCATCCCGAGCTACGCCCCGTCGTGGTCATTGATAACTACCTGCATAACAACCTGGACAGCAACGTGGTGTACGACAAGCTCACGGAGTGGGCAGCTGGCTTGACCACTGGAAATATTGCTCACGTCATTTTCTTAACCACGGATGTCTCCTTCTCTAAGCCTTTGAGCAAAGCCCTGCCAAACTCGGTCTTCCGCACAATCTCGCTCGGCGACTGCTCCCTTGATGTGGGCCGAAGATTCGTCCTCAACCATCTCGAGCACGAGGCTAAGAGCAAGAACAAGCCTATGCAGAGTGAAGAAGATTTGACAGAATTGGATAGCTGCATCTCGGTACTAGGAGGGCGAGTGACTGATCTCGAATTCATGGCGCATCGGATTGAGGCTGGAGAGACACCTCGAGGTACGTTCAATGCTACTAGGTTTGGTTCTACGCTAGCTTTACATAACTAACCTGACTATAGCCGCCGTCAGTCGAATCATCGAGCAATCCGCCTCGGAAATTCTCAAGATGTTCATTCTAAGTCCCGAGACGGACTCGCAACAGTGGAGCCACCAACAGGCATGGCACTTGATCAAAACCCTCGCTCACTCCAAGGATGGCAGCGTGTCATACAACCAAGTCGTCCAATCCGACCTCTTCAAGTCCGGCGGCCAAAGTACCCTCCGAGCCCTCGAGCAGGCTGAACTCATCTCCATCGTAACCGTGAACGGCTCACCCGAGAGAGTGAAGCCTGGAAGACCAGTCTACCTCGCCGTCTTTAAACGATTAACCGAGAACAGGCCCCTGAGCGGCCGTCTAGACCTCGAAATTTTATCGCAGCTAATCAGCAAGGAGAACAAGAGCATTGGGACATGGGAGGAGGAGCTCCTCTTGCTTGGAAAACTCCCGAAGCAGCCACGTGAAATCATGGGGAGAATCCAGTGGCTGTTGAACAAGGTATATAGTTCGCAGAACAAGATCGGCAAGTATGAAGCGGAAAGCGCTGCGCTTCAGAAGGTCTTGTCGAGTGAGCATTGATTGAGCCATGCGTACGAAGCATATCATAATGACTGTACTGTATATTAACGAGTAGTAAATCCATCTCCATAGCTTCGATTCTCATGGCTAGTCCTCCCTTCTTGCGTTTGGTACAGCCGACAGAGCACTACTTCGAGAGTCCATTCCGATCTAAAACCAGTCTTTAGGACAGCCTTCAGTTATGCCTGATTAGCCCTGTAGAATCATGCACGCGAACCTACCTACTGCTAGATGTATGTGATCGGCACCAGAAACCAGGGCAAACGACCCCAAAACCATACCCGAGGACGCTTACCCTATCGTTCCTTCCGGTAACTACGTACCTCCTATACTATGATCTGGAATTGGTTAAGAAGTATTAATTAATTTATGGTGTACGTTCCACGATAACTACAGCAAGCTTCTAGCAAGTAAGGTGGACGGACAAACATTGTTTGGTTGGTGTCGAGGAAGGAGCGATGCCCGCCGTACAACGTTGGCTCGCCACTGCAACATCCATCCTCACCGTAAACTAACTAACTAACGCATGTCTTCTTACTACGTACGTACGTACGTCCCTTTGAAATTCAGCATCCCTCGAAGAGTATATAATAAGAAGCATAAAAAAAGAATGCAAAAAAGCTATGGGATGAGCCGGGATTGAACCGGCGACCTCACGATTTCAGTGGACCAGAGTAGGCTTCAGTCGTGCGCTCTCCCAACTGAGCTATCACCCCTTCTGGTATAGTGCTAGTTCCAAAGCAGATGATTGTTATGACACATAAGCATTGAGAGAAGTGTTAAAAAACACAGGACAAAAATTGGGGTGAGCCGGGATTGAACCGGCGACCTCACGATTTCAGTGGACCAAAGTAGGCTTCAGTCGTGCGCTCTCCCAACTGAGCTATCACCCCTTGTGTACTTGAGAAAGTCCGGCACTTTTGCGTATACAGAGCCTGACAAGCTGACTTGATGAATTCAAGAATAACTCGTTCAAACCTTGTTACAAAAGCACTAAGAGTTCCACGGCCCATGTTATACAGGGAGCAAAAATTCTAGTTTAAGTCATCACATTCCCAACTATGGGAGACGGCCAACAATCTAGCAGCTTTTTATTTCTCGGAGACTCTGGTTCGAGGATTTGCCCTGCTTCTTAGACGAGGATGGCTTTGCAAATTTTCATGCAGACGACAGGAGCCCTGGGTATGAGCTGGCGGCACAGTAAGCTCTTTGGTGTCAGTGCCCTACCTATATCATGATTCCTGAGCGGTTGATCAAATGGAGCGGGGCTTTAAACGGTCTGATGTCTCAATACCAGATTGAATCCATTTGTTCTTCAAGAAACAAAGCCCGGATGGCACGCAACGCGATGCGACCGGCCAGTCTTTCTTTTCCGCTGGCGCTGAGTCGACTGATTACTGCAAGCAACTGAATCCTACATCCTACGGGGCAAATACCGCCAGCAATAATACCTTGACGCAAGCGGGTGGATGATGCACCTAGTACACGAGAACGCACTTCCACCAGGGGACTCATTTATCTTTGATCAGATTTCGCAAGATTGATACAAATACTATCCTCATGTATGAGCTGATGACGTTTATAAGCTCGATGATGAGTTTGTGGCCTTCGCCATAATATGGCTGCGATTCTTGGGAAATGCTGGCGCGAGAACTCATGGAGAAATGAGTCCAGGATGCCTCCATAAAATCAGCGACAAGACTTGTTGGTCTACAATTAAAGGGCTGCGGCCGCTTCTATCAGAGTGTTACCTGGAGCAGCCGCCCCCGTCCGACGAACGATCAGTGCATAGACCGCTATGGTATAATAAACGCTGCAACTCAGAACGGAGCTAAGAGCTGCATGCCCAGTTCAAGGCTCGAGATGGAGAAAAGCGCCACTAGCGTCTTGAGTTTCAGAGAGTCGAGGAGAGTCCCCAGACTTGTGCAGTTTCGGCGGATGTGAAAGCTAACCCGAGGACCCACTGAGAACCCCACCCCTGCAAGTGATTTTCGTCTTCAAGAAAACTCTTCGACTAGGGCGACTATGCTCTATACTCTGGCCCCATACGCTTTGGCCATACTATACCTTCAGGGTGGCCGCCGGCCTTGCATATCTTGCTTCGGAGCCCTCGAGTTGATACAGAGTCTATTGTTCTACTGTAAACTCGTGTTCCATCTTGGACGTGTTAGATCCGGCTTGGGGGGCAGACTGGCGCAAAATAAAGTGACTTGCAATAATGGCCTCAGGATCCGCCATATGATTGTCGCTGGTTTATCTGGCCCCTTGGTCTGTTTGTCCTTTGTTCAGCTTCACTATTCCATCCCCAGCTTATTATGTCTGAGAGCCGCTATCATGTATGCTATTGTTTACTGGGTAGTAATTAGAGATGCGGGTGAACCTACTTGTCCTATTGCCAGGCAACATGTCTGCTACGTAGTATGCTTGGGGAAGACGCACATGAGTCACTGATTCATTCAAGAACGAATGATAGGAGATTACAGAAAATATACAGCAACAATGTTCCCTAATTTCCTGTATATACAACTTTAGCCATGTATAGAAACATGCAACCTTCTCCTCGTTGTTTATTGTCATGTAGTAGATAGATAATATAAACGCGATATCGAGCTACCTTGGATCGCTTCTGGATATCGACATAAATACCTCGTTGTGACTACATGGGTAGCTGCTATGGGAGCACTAATACATATTTTTTGAACAGTGTACCCTAAGGTGAAGCGCTAGGAAATTGATCGCAGTCAGGAGACTTGTCTTCTGGCATAGTAAGTCGTCTTCCACTCAGTACCCACACTCATTTGTTATTATATTTAGTAACTAGTATGCTCATCACTAGTAGGCTGCCTTGAATCACCATGCTAGCTAGCTCTTGTAGTTCTTCAATGAAAGCGCAGCAGATGCTATAAAAATTGAATAGGCTCATAGGTTTTCACTTCTGACCTGAAGATATCCGAAAAGGGGTGATAGCTCAGTTGGGAGAGCGCACGACTGAAGCCTACTTTGGTCCACTGAAATCGTGAGGTCGCCGGTTCAATCCCGGCTCACCCCATTTTTTGTCTCGTTTTTCTCTTCTTCTTTGCATCGTTGAGTGGATGGAGTATTTTGTTGTCTCTAAGTGGCGGCTAGGTGCAGTGGATCAGTGTGGGATATCGGATCACAAGCACGTGACATCGCCTCCCTCGCTGATGCCAAGGCCTGCATACCTACTACCTACGTCGACGATACCTTGTCGTACCGGCATGAAATCGACCTAAAATTTCCTACCTATGACTACTCAAATCCGCTCTTTCCCCTCGGTTTCCAGCAGGGTGATATTCTGCCCGTGTACAGGTCATCATAAGGACTCAAGACATCTAGTAGGTAGTAAGTAGGGTTAGTGGAATGGGACGGAGACACGATTGGTCGTCTGGTTGCTGGAGTGTAGTAGCACATCTTTCATGCCCGCTATGTAGTAGTTCTCCCCGATACGACAAGAGGACAGACAGACAAGAGGAACTTGGGCATCATACAATTAACTCCCCATTCAGCGATGTCTCCGCATTGGTGCTCTCAAACCCTACTTAGTAGGCACGCTGGATATCCGATCCAGATTTGCACCGAGGTAGAGTTGGATGGAGCAGAGTCATGCAATACTTAGTTCAAATCCAAACCGACCTTCAAGGCCAACTCGTGGACATAGTCCAAGATGCCATCTGCAATTATGGGACGTCCAGAAAGCTCGAAGCCACGAATACGCGTAGGTTCACGACAGTAGGATACCGTTCAAAGGTCAAAAGTCCCGGATCCGCTGACTGTCGAAAGTGTGTCATTCCCGCAGAAGAGCTAAGCTACGTGTACCTATACCTACTGTTGTAATGCTTTCTCTTCCCGCGGCTTTTCCCTTGACTCTATGATACATAAAGGCTTCGTTAGAAGCGGGAATTGACTCAATCTGAAAGCTTGGATTGGCCTGCATACCATGGGCATGGCATATGTGCATGCGCCTGTCTACTGTTAGCACGGAGGACTTGGTATGGATTCGATAGTCCAAACTACATTTGTGTCATCATTAAACTAGACCGATAGAGGAATAATCCCAGTCAAAAATCTGAAAAAAAAAGTCACATAGCTATTGTACACATATACACATCATGATGCGGCTACTAGAATACATATGTCCAAAGTCTGGTCCAAATATTCTTCGCAGACAGGCCTCCAATCAATCGATATCAAGTCTCCTTGCCTCCACCAAAACTCCTTGCCGCATACTTTAAACATCCCATGATGATCTCCCCACCGTACCCATTCTTCGTATCACAAGTCGTGAGCTTGAAGATCTCCGTGACAATCGAAGCACAGGTATACCCGACCATGGGAAACTGTGGATTCTGACGCGGTGCTGTCCCGTCCGAGCAACTACCAACGTACGAGATGTCGACGTAGTAGAACGGGAAGCCCTTAGGTGAAGCGGCATTGATTTTTACAGGTTTCGAGCCGGGCCCTAAGTTGAGCTCGTCGCCCTTTAGCCCGCGGGAGCAGAAATCGGCAAGGTGTTGGACGGCAACTTCGTCGATGGGGGCTGGCTTGACGTTTTCTTCCTCGTAACAGAAGATAGGGGGAAGCGGGGTGGCGGGGATTGGCTGGGGAGGCGTGTTAGGGTCGGCTGTTGTTGTAGTCGGTGGTTCGTGGGGAGCGGTTGGGAGAGTGAAACCAGGGGGTCGGCCTGCAGGACCATGGGGTCTGGTGACTGTTGCCGTTGGAGGGGCGAATCCGGGTGGTTGGCCTGCCGGACCATGGGGCCTGGTTCTGGTCGTGGTTGTAGTTGTAGTAAACGACTCAGTGGTGGATGACTTCGTGGTGGTGATAAAAGTGCTAGGTGTTGTGCTGGTCGACGAGAAAGAGACCGGACATACTCCTTGAGGACCGCCAAGTTGTCGTGCTCGAACAACGGCCTGACCACCGGTACTTGTAGTGGCACTGCCATCGGTATCTCTTGTAGACACAGACTTGGGATCCCAGAAATCGTACTGGGCAAATTTCGTCCCACCAACCCAGAGTCGCCAACGACCAACAGCAAGCTGCTGGTTTCCTGTCTCCATCCAGAACTGTATAGGTGTAGCTTCAACAATGGCCTTGCCTGCGGGATTGTCAAGTTTCTGAGCTTCCTGTTTTCCAACCTGTTCATATCCTGCTAGCAAGGGTTGGTTTTGGTCCGCGCACCCATGGGGATAGAGAAAGTCACGAAACTGGTCTGTTAGCCATACTGCGCGATCTTCGTACTCCAAGTTACCCTCCTTGAGACCCTCCTCGAACGGCGTGACTACAAAGACCCTGGGCTCGAGTGAGTAGTGCAGAGGCCCGGGGTTCTCATCTGTCCCGACCAAGGCTTGGATTGGCTCAACTCCAGGGAATTCGGATCCGCCGTGAGCAAGAGCGTTGAATGACCATTTTTGGAAGTGAAAATCGGGTGTCTCGAAAAAGCCCTCCTCGTCGTCCATTATGAAGACTGGATTCTCATATATGTGCGCGAGGTAGGCGCCCATCCTCGAGAAAATGAACACCGATGTACATCCGTACAAGGGGCCCACGCCAGCAGCTGTCCTTTGTTCTGTGAATGGATACCACTTTCCCCTCACATCTACACGCATATAGAGCAGCCACTGTGTCTCGCGAGCCATGCGCTGGGAGATGTCAGTCAGGTACTCGTTCAACAGATCGCTGCCGGGGTCAAGATCGGGAAGGGGTTTCTCAGTCGGAGGTCCGGCGAGAGGATCCTCAGCCGGGGGGTCGCCAACAGGTTTCACGAGAATGAATTCCTTTTGGGAGCGATTTGAGGCAAACGAGATGGCACCCTGACTTGCGGTTGGCAGCGCGGCGACTGTACTAGTTGAAAGACGTGCACAGTTGATCGGCCCAAGTGTTATCCAGCCTCCACTAATACCTCCGGCAGAGCACATCTTGCCGCATGAGTCGGCCGCGCACCCTTTGTCTCTATTCGGGGTCGAGGTTGGAGTTTCGGTAATGGTGGTAGTAGTATCAGCGACCGAGCAGCCACTAGTCGTGATGGTCGTTGTTGGAGAGCAAGTAGTGGTTGAGACTATTGAGCCATCCAAAGTGATCGGAGTCGGTTGGCAGAGAACCGTGACTTGGTATGCCGTTTTGTCCGAAGTGCAGGTTGACGAAGATGAGGACGAAGTTGTTGAAGTGGATGAAGTAGATGAGCTGGGATCATCGTCAGGCAGGTTGTCATCCGGGGTATTTGGGCTTGGATCTGGCGAAATCAAGTTGTCCAAGATACCTTTGACACCCTTGATGTTCTTCCCTTCGAGCTCTGTCTTTAGGCGCTTCAAGTTGTCCGTAATACAGCTTAGAGCATTGGCGAATGTATCGATTGCATCACCGGCCAAGTCCAATAAGCCATCGAATAGTCCTCGCTTCCTCTTTGAGGAGCATCCCGGAGCAGAGCTTTTGCCCAACTTGGGGAAAAGGTCTTTGATATCGATATTGATTCCATCAATGCCTTTGATCCCATTGATCCCATTGATGATATGGGTCTGGAGGGGAGGGCTCGGATCCTTTTCCCAGGAAGTGAAGAGGGGGAGAAGTTTTCGAAATTCGGAGGAGATGGAAGACATGCTGGAAGTGATCAAGTAGCCTGGGAGAGGCGCAATCGCGATGGGGTGGTCGGTCGTCGTGGCGCTAGGATAGACAGTTCCAACAATACCATTGGCATCAGTTGTAGTCATTGCGACACCCTGAGGGGTGGTCACGATACCTCCATCTAAATCAGTCGTAGTAATAAAGCCAGACATAGGCAGGGTACCGCCGGCTTCATCAGTCGTAGCAGTCACAATACCGTGAGGAGCAGTGCCGGTTTTGGTTAAAGTAACACCGTTGGGGGCAGTTATGATACCTCCACTTCCATCAGTCGTAGTAATCAGGCCAGGAACAGGTACAATACCGCCAGCTTCCTCAGTCGTAGTGATCTCATCAGAAACAGTATGTATTATGGTGGTTGAGATAACAAGAGGAGCAGTCATGCTATTGCCGTCTGCCTCGGTTGTAGTCGTAGTTGTGCTGATCACATTAGGCATGGATTGCCCCGTGGTCGTCGGGATAATAATGGGAACGAGGATTGGATCGCCTTCTTCATTAATTGATGTCGTGACCAGAGCCGCGGCGGTAGACGTAGTGATCAGGTCTGGAGTGGCTGTGACAACCTGAGTAGTACCGTCCTCATCTGTTGTAGCCGTGCTGATGACCGATGAACTAGGCAAAGTCTCGCTAGACGAAGGTTGACCGGCCTCGACAGTGCTAGTAACACTTTCAGGTGTGCTGAAGGTCGAGGCGGAAGGAGGCTTGGAAGATGTGCCATTGCTGTCATCGCTCGTCGTAGTCGGGCTAGAGATAGCTGTCGAGTGGGTCAGAGGCTTGGTGGACGAAGGATGGCTGAGCCCAGTAGTGGTGCTAGGGTCGGGCGTGCTCGAGGTAAATGAAGTCTGGAAAGATGTATCGCCGCCGGTGGCAGCTCCAGGGTTTGTTGCGCCAGGATCCGTGGGAGTGGCAGCATCCGTCTCGGTCTCAGTAGTAGCATTCCCCGTAACAGTACCGGTCCCGGGGTTGTTGGAAGTGCCAGTCACACTGGTATTAGTAGTGCCGTCGTCAGTAGTACTACTTCCATTGCTCGAGCCAGGGTTTGTGATTTCGGCAGCAGCAGTGCTAGTATCGCTCGCGCTGGCGACATCAGTGTTGGTGCCAGTAGAAACGCCGGTACTGAAGCTGCCAGTGTCACTTGTCCCAGTATGACTGGCGGCAATGGGATCAGCTCCCTCAGTGTTACTTCCATCCGGATCGATAGTAACACCGGAGGTTGTGAGATTGGGAACACTCGTGACGCTCAAGGTTACGAGAGGAGAATCGCCAGTGGCAGTGCCGGTGTTAATGCTAGAGTCACCAGTCTGAGTCGTTCTGGTTCTGGTGTAGGTGTGGGTAATGAGAGTGGTGTAGGTGAGGCAGGTGGTGGAATCACCCTTCTCCTTGCTATCGAGAGTAATAGTACTGGTGGCAATGCTGGTGGAGATAACCACAAGAACATGGGCATTGGGAATGCCGCGGGAATCGTGGACGGTGGGGGCAGATGGGGATGAGGTAGAGAAAGGAATAGGCGAAGGAGTGGTGCTCTGGATTGAAGTGTTGCTCGAGTCCACGTCTTCCACTGCGTGGGCAGCGAAAGACAGGGCACAAGCAGCCCAAAACGCAGAGAACCTCATCGTGTCGCTGTTCCTGAGTATGAGACAGCAAGAGAAAACAGTTGAGAGGAGCAGGAGATGGAGATGGAGTTTTGATTTCCTGCAGTAGTAGGCAATGGCCCGTTGTGGGTGTGAAAAAATGGAATGCCATTATTCACGCAGTCAAGTGCAGATTATGCAGAGGTTGTAAAATTATCTTCACTTGGATGCATAGTTGGCAGAGGAGGAAGACAGGAGGGACATAGTTATTGGCTCTGGTCATCAAGCAAGTTTCCCTAAAGCAGAGACTTGATATGTGCTCCATTATACCTAATAGGAGACATGTACAGAAGCAGAGATTTTCGTTGGAGTCCAGGCAGCACTAAAGCCAGAAGCAGCTTTGTAGACCTGGCAGTTTTCGAATTTCATCGAGTCTGTTGACTGGCAGAAAAGGATCTCCTTGTGGCCTCGCCCAAACGATCTTGTCTTCAGCGGACCCCGATATGGCAGCACATCTTACACCATTGCCTGAGAAAGACACCATCTTGATATGACATTCCATTATTCTGATTGGCAAAATGGGGCCCTGTCTTTCTCGAAAGTATGTGCCGGACATGCGTTTTATCATTACTCTCTCTGTGTTGTGGTCGATATGATCAGTGGGTGCCTTATGCTATTGCTTATGCCCTCAGTTTCTAGAGTACTAACCATGTCCTACTGTTCCTATCCTATCACTTATAACAAGGGTCGAAATATCAAATTCGCGGGGAGCAGGCATACTTCACCGACAATTCCAATGAGATTGTGGGAATGATGCGGGCAGTGGATCTCTCCGAAGTGGCTAGGTAGTATCCACGGGTGTATTTTGTGCTTGACATAGGGCTAATACGACCGATAAACTCTGACTGCTGCGTGATGCCGCCGCCCGGCGCAAGCCAAGATGACACAACTGGCCGATTGAACTAGCAACGAAGATGCAGAAACAATAATTGGCCAATGTGACGCCTCCGAGGAAGCGGAAGTGGGAGTGACATGAAACAAGTCACAGAGGCGAAACGCTAATAGTACTAAGCTCGCTTTGTCACCTACCGTGGCGAGAAATAATATCCTGTCTGTACATTTGGGATAGAATTATCTTTTGGGACATTAGATAGACCTGAAGATACTCGTGGGATAGGTAATCGAGAAGTATGGCAGGCTTCTACGTTTTATGTATGAGAACCCTGCTATATAAATTCGCACCGGAAGGTTTCCATGGGTGAATTTGTAGGGAGGATTTGCCAGCGTAGTCTGCGACACGTGAGATGTTTATTCGACGCGCTCCAGCTTTAGTATGGCATTTTAATCATCAGTATCAGTTTGGATTCAACGTTTTTGGTACATCATGGTTGTTTAAATAGAAGATGAGCGTGGAAAAGTGATGGGGTGGATTCCTCGGGGAGCGGATGACTGGGAAATTATTATGTTATCGGCGTGGCTGTTTCTTCCAAGCTTTTCGCCCCCTCTTCCGTGACTTTTCAAGACACAAGAGGACGGCGATGAACACAGTACAAGCTGTCTACGATGGCCTCCCGCCGAAATCGTTGGCCGTGGCCGCGATCCTTGTCATAATCGGCGTGGTTATCTTTACACGCATTCTCAGCGGCCTGCGAGGTCGCGCTGGACAGCGGCGGCCCCGGAGCGTACCATATTGGATCCCTTGGCTCGGGCATAGTTTTTCTTTTGCTCGAAACCACATAGAGTTTCTGGAGAAGACGAAGTTGGTATAAATATGTGTCATTCACGATATAGAGGCTGACTCTCGCAGAAATCGTCTAAATGAGCCTGTCTTCGGCATATTAATGGGTGGCGCGAAACACAATGTCGTCATGTCACCATCGATGATCAAGTCGGTTCTATCCTTCAGAGGCATAACAACAGCGCCTTTAATTCAACATGTTTCTCAGAAGATTTTTGGAGACAGGGGCGCTTTTCAAAAGCTGAACCCCACCGACTTGCGCGTGTTCCACCATAACATCCCTAATCAATTCATGCACGAGCCTTCGCTCTCGCAAACGTCGACGGCAGCTGCTCGGTTTATTGAACGGGAGGCTCCGAATCTGGTCACATTCTCTCCGGCTGTCATTGATCAGATGCCGTGGGAGCGCCCGGGAGATGTTACGATTGTCGATGGAGCCGATCGACCTACCTGCGAAGTGGACTTTTTCGAGCTTATCAGGTATTTCGTTGGAACCACGACCACCACTTCTTTATTTGGGCAAGCCATTCTGGAAACTTTTCCAACCTTGTTAAGTGACATCTGGAGCATCGACAATCAGTTCACGACCTTGTCAATGGGACCACCGCGATGGCTGACGCCGGGAATTTCCAGAGCGTATATTGCCCGTGACCGGCTATTGGATATTCTCACTGTATTTCACCATGCAATTCTGCTCTGGGACGAGGGTAAAGATATTCCGATGGAATTCCGTGATCTGCGAGATCTCGAGGACGTCTCAGAACCGATCAAGAAACGAGTTCGCATGGCGAAAGACCTTGGACTGTCGCCGAAAGAGAGCGCTCCAGCACACTTATCTTTACTATGGGCCATGAACGGCAACTCGCCGAACCTTGTCTTCTACCATCTTCTTCGCTTATACGCCGACCCCGGTCTGTTGGAGGCTATCCGGAACGAGGTCGCTTCGGCCGTCAAGGTATCGAGACCATCTAGAGAGGAAACTGGTTTCCCTATTCTGGAACCACCCCGGCTTTCCATTGACATAGACAAGCTATCCGAGTGTCACCTCCTGCGTGCGACATTTTACGAAACGTTACGCCTAGATTCAGCGGGTCTTTCCTTCCGACAGCTGACTGCAGATCTGACTCTTGCAGAGACAGAAGAAGAGGCGAAACGTGCGGGGCAAACAACCTCACGATCTTATGATCTCAAAAACGGCGAGCTAGTTGTCATCCCTCACGGTGTCCTGCACAACGACCCGACTCAATTTTTCAAGCCTCACCAGTTCGACCCTCTCAGGTTCATTCATACAGACCCTGAAACTGGCGAGAGACGCGCAAAGCTAGACGGCATGACTCCGTTCGGCGGCGGATTGCCCGCATGCAAAGGGCAGGCATTTGCAGAGAAGAAGATCCTGGCCTTGTCCGCTGCGATTGTATCGCTGTGGCAAGTCGAGCCGGCTGGTGGAAAGAAGGAATTCGCGATTCCAGAGCATAAGATCTCCAGTGCTGCTTTTCTGCCGAAGAATGATATCCGGGTGCGGATATCCTCGCGCTTTTAGCCGTCATATAGATTATTGAGATAGGCTGAGACATGCCAAGCGTGTATATACAGATTCTGGAGTGGTCACCGATTGCCTACTCGTAGTACCCTAAGGTATTCTATGATAAAGCGGGGAAGTCCCGCACTTTAGGAGCGGGGTGCCCGTCTTGATTCTTGTCCGGACGAATTGGCTTCTCGTCGAAACCAAGCAGGCTCCATTGGAGTATCCGTAGGAACTATGAAGCCAATGAAAGCGCGGATGTTCCGCATGGATAAGAATCCGGGGCGGACTTGCGCCGATATACCTAGGAAGTCACATCATCCAGTCATTCAAATACGCGACCACGAGCGCCTCCATCTACACTCGAGGGTCCGAAAATTAGGACAAATTCGCAAATCGACATGGACGACTACGACCTCTCGAAACCAATAACCTCCACATCGGGCCTCCGACAAGGCCTAACCTCCTACGGCGACGCACACTTCTCGCTCTTCCTGAGGAAAGTCTTCGTCAAAGCCTTGGGATACTCCGAAGATGCGCTCTCCCGACCAATCATTGGGATCATCAACACATACTCTGGGTTCAACCCCTGCCATGGGAATGTGCCCCAGCTGATAGAAGCAGCGAAGCGGGGTATACACCTCAGCGGCGGACTCGCGGTCGAGTTCCCTACTATCAGCGTGGCTGAATCGTTTTCGCACCCGACGAGCATGTTTCTGAGGAATCTCATGAGTATGGATACGGAAGAGATGATCCGCGCTCAGCCGTTGGATGCGTGTGTTATGATTGGGGGTATGTTTTTCTTTCTTCTCCTGGAGTACTATCTGGATCTCGGGAACTAATATGGTGTAGGATGTGACAAGACGGTTCCGGCTCAGCTGATGGGTGGGATCTCGGCAAACAAGCCGATTTTGCCGTTGATTACTGGGCCTATGATGCCTGGGAGCCACCGGGGCCAGAGGATAGGCGCTTGCACGGATTGCCGGAATAACTGGGCTGCTTTCCGCGCCGGGGAGATTGATATCGAGGAGATCTCGGCGATCAATGAGGAGCTTGCTCCGACGGTTAGTCGATTCTGTGAATAGTTAAATGTAGTGGTTGCTGACTCGCGCAGATCGGAACATGTGGTGTTATGGGCACTGCTAGCACAATGGCGTGCATCACCGCTGCCCTAGGCATGATGCCATTGCGAGGAGCATCTGCACCGGCTGTGTCCTCGGCCAGAGCCCGAGTCGCTGAGGAAACAGGTGCTAATGCCGTGCTTGCGGCGCAGAACAAGTGGAAGCCCCAGGAGATCCTGTCAAAGGAGTCTTTCCTCAACGCCATCACTGTGCTACAAGCGATCGGCGGCTCCACAAACGCAGTCGTCCATCTCATGGCTATTGCCAACCGACACCCCAAAGTTCAAGGCGTGATTACACTCCAGACCTTTGAAGACATCGGCCGCAATACACCACTGTTGATAGACCTCAAGCCCAGCGGTGACAACTATATGACAGACTTCCACAACGCTGGAGGCATGCTGGCCCTCCTGCACACCCTCCGCCCCCTCCTACAACTCTCCGCCTTGACCATAACCGGCCAAACCCTGGGCGAGGTTCTCGACTCGACGCCCTTCCGCGAGTTCCCCTTATCCCGCCAGATCATCAGACCACTATCCAACCCCCTCTACCCATCTTCCTCACTCATCGTCCTGACCGGCAACATCGCACCAAACGGCGCAGTTATGAAAGCCTCCGCGTCCAAAAACCGGTCCCTCCTCACGCACACCGGCCCAGCAGTCGTTTTCGAAAACTCCGCCGACCTCGCGAAGCGAATCGACGACCCAGACCTTGACGTCACGGAGAACTCCATCCTCGTCCTCAAGGGCATCGGGCCCATCGGTAACCCCGGTATGCCCGAAGCTGGCCTCCTTCCCATCCCACGGAAACTTGCCGCCGCAGGCGTAAAGGATATGCTCCGGATCTCCGACGGACGCATGTCTGGTACGGCGGGAGGGACAATCATCCTGCATGTCTCGCCCGAGTCGGCGGTACCCGAGTCTCCGTTTGGGGTTGTGAGGACAGGCGATGTCATTGTTTGCGATGTAGAGAAGCGGAGGCTTCACTTGGATATCTCGGATGAGGAGCTTAAGGCGCGGATTGAGACGAGGAAGGCGGAGGCTGTTAGGGATGCGAAGCCGAGGCAGAGGGGGTATCGGGGTTTGTATGAGCGGTCTGTGAATCAGGCGCAGGATGGTGCCGATTTTGATTTTCTGGCCGCCGATGGAGATCGAGTTGGTAGTTGATCGACCTCTCCTTGAGTATAGAATATCATGTGCCCTAAGACAGTTGAATCAAGAGCGAGGTAGAAGTCAAAAGACATCAGGTAGATATTCAACTTGACGATCGAAATCCAGGTCCAGTCCACCAAAGGACATCCCAGTAGATACACCTCTTACACAAGCCAACAACACCCCGCGCCTCGCAGTTTCAATTCGCCCATGCATTGATGGCACCGGGTGGAACGCGGCAAACATGAGCACAAGGTAAGCTTGGCAAGCCCGTAGCGAATCCCCCGGGCGCTCAACCATCTTTGCCCTGGAAGCGAAGTGCCTTTGGCCTCGACTTATAGTCACTTGACTCGTTGGGCTCGGCAGGGCTGACACTGCCCCATCCGCTATTGTTATACGAGGTTAGGCGTGAAGCGTACATGTGCGGCGGTTATATAAGACGTATAGACCCGGCTCCTGGTTGGGACATCGGTTGTTATAGTTTGCGTTGTTTTGGACAAGCATGGATCGCCTGAGCGCCATCCCTAGTCCTGGTTATACACGGGCCATCCTTGAAAGGGCATAATACTCACGCAACCATGGCCAGACTACCAATTGCCACCCTTGTCTTCCCTCCTCTCCTCATATCCCTCCCCTTCACCCCCTTCACCGCCGCTCAATCAACCCCAAGCTGCTCAACCTCCGCCTGGGGAACCATCCCGCTCAGTACAACAACCTACCCACAGATTTGCGTCTCCGCCGCTAAATCATGCCCTTCAAACAGCACGACCCTGCCCTATAATCTCAACAGGACACGAGGAGTTCCTCGCAACAACAAACATCACCTCCCTGAACACTGAAATCATTGCACCGCTCGTCAATGCCGCCGTACCCAACAACACCATGAGCGGCGACGGGTTCAACGCCAGTGTGACGGAGTCCGTTGAGATGCAATATACACTCGCCCCGGGATAGACTGCGTACCTGAATGTTACGGTGAAGGGGGTCTGTTATCCAGGCTCGGTTGGGGATTGTACTAGTGGCGATGGTACGGTAGAGGATGGAATAGGCGTGGAGATCTGTGCGCCGATCTGGACGTTCAATGGGGATGGATGTGAGGTTTTCAGCGGGAGTGGACGGTTCAGAATGTCAGTGTGCAGGATTTGGAGAAGTATCCTGATCCGTATGAGGGGCAGGATAATGGAGTTTCGGAGACCGAGGGTGACGATGGTGCGGGCGGGTTGATGGCTGGGCTGAATGCGGGATTGGCGGTTGCGTTAGTGGCTGTCTTGGTCGTTGTTAATGGGTGTGGGTAGGTATGGATTTCTTTGACTTCGGTAGAATCAGAGGGACAGAGTTGTACTTTCGACCTGGAACTGCGTTGATATATTTCCAGAGAAAGTCTTGACTCTGCGGAACGTGTTATTAGCGAAAATGATACCCTAGATCAAGCATTGTCGAGCTGCCTATATCTGAGGCAAATCAATTTTGTGAAAATGATACCCAGAGAAACATCGTTCTGCTCGAGTTACCTCATTCCAATCAGACCATCTATGGCACACCCCCGCTTATGACAAGACGAGGAAGCCCTCGGTCGCTATCCAAAGTCCTGCCAGATGTCAAACACAAAGCAGACAGTAATCCAGTTGGCTCAAGGTACCCCATAATGGTCTGAATGCACAGCTGCCCTGGCCCTGTGCCCTAAGCCCTCATATTTCCTAATTAAGACAAAACGCGTCTCGCCCGCGACGCAACGCGTCCCCCTGGACCCGCGATGCCAGCAGCCATCCGGCTGTCTTCAATGCCAGTTGCCATTACGACATGCTGAAAGGAGCACGGTGATTCCATCGTCTCATTTTAGATTTCCTTTCAGCGATCCAGCTACAATGTCTGAACCAATGCCGCCTAGGGGTCGTCCGGCTCGTATGTTCTCCCCTCAACCCTTTCCATTGAACTCATGATCGCGCCTGGAATTGTATATGATCTGGCAGCTAACCTGCGTACGTCTTTTTTGTTGGCGTATAGATACACCGGGAACCACGGTCCTGACATACACCCCCAACGGCCGATACATCATCACCGGCGGCTCGAATTCCGCGATACGAATCTACACCGTTGGACAGGATGGTGAGCCGAAGACTGTGGAGGAGGGCGCGGATGGACATCTTGGAATTGGCGCTACAGTATGGCACTCCCTTGGCTCTTCGCACTCCGGACTTGGTGGCTGTGGTATTGGTGGCTGATGTATGTAGAACGAATACTTCTTCATGGGCGCCGAGGACGGCACGGTCTGGCAGTATGAGGTACAATCCGGACGCATGGAGAAATTACTTGTGCGCTGCGCATTGCCCGTGCGGGATATTGGCGTTACCAAAGACATGGAGTGGGTTGCTGTTGCGAGCGAGTGAGTGGTCCACTTCTTACATATCTACCTACCTGGCCTGGCCTTGGGTAGTATGGGTCGTGGTGTAGGCTAACATGGGCATACTAGTGAACTCACGGTGAAGCTGGTGAATATCGAAGACATGACCAAGGTCAAATACCTGCGCGAGCAGGCCAAGGGCGCGAAACACATTTCATTCGATCCGAACGGGCGATTCGTGGCTGTATCGTGCACGGATGGTGTTGTTTACCTCTACTCCATGGATACCGAAGAGCCGGAACTGGTACGGAAGCTTGATGGCGTCATTCGACGACTCGAGCCAGAAGACGAGGCGACTGCGCGCGTGGTGTGGCATCCTGATGGGACGGCATTTGCGGCTGCCGAGGCGACAAGAGATATAGCCTTGTTCTCGGTGGGAGAATGGAAGAAGGAGATGACGTTCTCTGGCGGACATAACGGGGACATCACAGCCATCGCCTGGTCTCCAAATGGCGCGCTTCTTGTGACAGCTGCCAAGGACGGGGAGGTTCTGCTTTGGGACAGCAAGACGCAGAAGGTCCTTCGGCGATACGACTTCCCGAATGTGATCAATGTGGACTGGCATCCGACCAAGAACGCGCTGTCGCTGACGACTTCGGATGGTGAGCTCTTCATCTACGACGGGTTCGTGTCAAAGGAGCACCAGCCATTCCTCCAGAAGCCGCTGCAGGCAGCCCCAATCTTCCCCGGTGCTTTGACCGAAATCTCGGACAATGCGAGACGGCCGTTGGCAAATCGACCGAAGGAGGCCCAACGGAGAGAGAGATTGGGAAGTCCAGATTCGCTAGATGATATCCTCGGCTTTGACCAGGACATGGACGACTTTGTTGACGACGATGATGGGGCAGGCTACACGGAAGGGTTGATTAACGGGCACGGAAAGCGCACGAATGAGCACCTGGACGAGATTGACGGACACGCTGATAAGCGCATGTTGACCTCGTTTGCAAGGCCCAAGGTCCATCCGCCGCTGCAGCCGGGTAGCACGCCGTGGAGGGGGAACCGCCGGTATCTTTGTAAGGTTTCACGCGTCTTTTGCTCGATGTGGACTAACAGTACTAGGCTTGAACTTGACTGGTGCAGTCTGGACTGTTGACCAGGAGACTCACAACACAGTAACAGTAGAGTTCTATGATAGAGAGCTCCACCGCGACTTTCACTTTACAGACCCATATCTGTACGATCGGGCGTGCCTGAGTATGTGATCTGGAGATGAAAAGTGATTCATGTACTGACAACTGCAGACGAACATGGTGCGTTATTCTCCAACAATCCGAGTGATGGCCCTGCAACGATATTTTACCGTCCACACGAAACATGGACCACGCGAGCGGACTGGAGAACGAACCTTCCCGAGGGAGAATATATCAGAGGTACGATTACGATCTTACCCACAGAACTGAGCTAACGAGACCAGCGCTGGCGCTAAGTGAATCATACATTGTCGCGGTTACGACAAAAGACTATGTGAGAGTGTACACGCTATACGGAACACCATTCAAGGTATACAGACAGAAGAGTCCCGCCGTGACCTGCGCCGCCTGGCGAGACTATATCATGACGATCGGGAACGGTCCACTGGGAAGCGACGGCCGGACAGCAACGCTGCGCTACTCAGTTGAGAACGTCAAACGTGATGAGATCTGCCAGAACGAGGATGTCGTCGCCATCCCGGAGGGGTCAGAGCTGAAGAGCGTCTTCTTTTCCGATACAGGAGACCCATGCATCTACGACTCGGAAGGCGTGCTACTGGTCCTCCAGCACTGGCGCACACCGGGACAGGCGCGCTGGGTGCCTCTCCTCGACACAAAGCAGCTGGAGCGTCTAGCAAGCGGACGGAAAGAGGAATCATACTGGCCTGTTGCAGTCGCGCAAGACAAGTTCCACTGCATAATCTTGAAGGGGGGAGATCAATACCCCTACTTCCCGCGACCGATGCTCAGTGAGTTCGGGTTCCGAATACCCATCTCCGACAAGCCCGGCAAGACACAGGAAGACGATGAGGAGGGCGCCTCGCGGACCGACAATTTGCGCCTAGAAGAAAGCTTCGTCCGGGGCAATGTCCTGCTCTCGCTCTTCAGAGATCTAGTCTCATCTACACATGCGACGGCAACGCAACGCGCGGAGTTGTTGCGGAAGGAGCTGGAACTCGACAAGGTCCTCCTGCAGCTCTTGGCTATAGAGTGTCGCGAGGGCGAAGACCGCGGTATGAAGGCGCTGGAGCTGGTCCATATGATGAAAGACCGCAATGGCAAGATGGTCGAGGCGGCTGTCAAGGTTGCACAACGGTATGGCCGTGGTGTGTTGGAGGATAAGATTCGCGATCTAGCTGAGCGAAGGTATACGGGGGAGGACGATGATGATGAATTAGCTTGATGACTGTATGACCATTAATAGTTTTGAATACTGACACTGATAATTGATACCATTCCTGTTTGATCTCTATATGTATATCTACACCGTTTCGAAGAGTACGGTGGATAGTTCTAGTATTAGCAGATCTTATCTCCGACAAATCTGACTGGTCAGCGCTAGACGTCATCTTTCGAAAAGTAATTTATCCCGTCTTCAACCTGTCAGCTTCATCTTCCCTTCAAGCCTCTTCAAAGTATCTAATAATACTCCGAATTGCTCTACAGCACTCTAATGCATTAATCACCACACATAACTCGCGATGCCGAAGCTCGCTATTCCACTCTCTTCAACCACCACTTCTACTCCCTCCTGCGTCATCCACATCCGCCACCTCCTTCCCCGGTCAAGGACCCGAGCCGCATCCTCACAAGCTCGACCCCTCGCCCACGCGCAAACCCGTCATGATCTCCCTGTGTACAGAAGTGCGAGCGCTTCGTCTTCTCCTTCTACACTTCCATCACATTCGCTCCCTCCGCTCTTCAACTTGAACTACTCTTTAACCGATGACCTCAACCCGGACAAGGACCATAAACCGCCGGATGAGCGGATAATTAAGCTGGGGAAAAGTACGCCCTTTCGCGTTGACTTCTCAACTTATTGATATTAGGAAGATGATTGCTAACAAATTATTTCCACAGCTCTCCGCATTCTCTCTCCGCTCCTCCCAACAATACTCACAAACCCCCTCCCACCACATATCCTTTCACCAAGTGTAACATTACACCTCTTCCCCTCGACACACCCGCATCTCCCAACCGTCAAGGGCCGAACCTTATACCGCGCAGCGCTATGGGCTGTACCGGTGGCATGGAGCAGCGTGCCCTTCGTCGGAAACGTGAAATTACAGATCCTAAGTGAGCGAATCGTGCGCGCGGGAACAGTACTCGATGGACACCTTCACGGAGCCGCGCAGGACGCGACTGCAAATGGTGATTGCGGCGGCGACGAGAGGCTCGTTGTCAGATGGAGGACGGAACGGACGACGCATTCTTCTACGTCATCATCATCTTCGTCAACAGCGACTACGTCGACATCACCCTCCGCAGCGTCAACGTCCGAATCCACATCCCCTCTCAAAGATAGTAAACATGGGACGAATAAAGGGCTGAGCGTCTTACTCGGCGGCGACGCCCCCATCTTCAAACTCTCCAGCGACGACCAGTTCACGGGCCTGTTCATCTTCTCTTTCGACGAAGAGGGCCGCGTACTCACGCAGACGATTGAGCATGCTGAGGATGCAAGCGGGTGGGAACGCACGGCGAAGTTCGTCACGCTGACTGATTGGTTGATCGGGAAGGCGAGGGGGTCACTGGAGCCGAGTCCGCCGCCGGGGCTTGTGGGATGCTCCAGCTCCAGCGGTAATGGTGACTCTGCCCGCTCCCAGGGACCAGGCTTAGGATTAACCGGGGACTGCTGGCGCGGGGTTCCGAGTGAGATGAGGGGTTGATTGGCGAAGGAAATGCCTAGGATGTCTGGCTGGCCGCTGGCTGCCTTCTTTCATTGCTTTTCCCAGAGTTATGCATGGTTCGATATAAGTAAAGAAGGGGGTGGGGTTAGAGTGGGAGTTTATTACGGACAATCTCCTTTCTTGATACTTTCGCGATGGACTGGCTAACTGTACACTATTTCTTCTGTTTCTATACCCAAATCAAAGTCCTGTGTGTTGCACCGCGCAGGCCAAATCCACCGTCCAGCGGCGGCTCTATTCAAACTACTTATGTACAATACAAATCAGAAGAAGCTTCTCACCTCACGTCCACCCATATCATATAATGAAGTAACAAACGGATGCAAGATTCAACCAATGGAAATGCAACATCCAATATCTTACTTCCTCTTCTTATCGACACTCACGGCCTCCGTCACCGGCGACCTCAACCACCCGAAAACCCCCACGCAAACCAACCCCATGACCACACTCCCGACAAGATACGCAACCTCCCTCCCGACCCACCAAAACAGCGAGCAGAACAAAATCGGCCCCGCCGCACGCCCAACCTGTCCCCAGCTCCTCAACCTACCCAGAACAACACCCCTCTCTTCCTCCGACGCCTCAAGACTTCCCAGACTATTCAGCCCTGTTACGACCGTCGCACTCGTAACAGCCAGCAGCGAGGCAGCCGTATACAGTCCCGCGAGGCTGGATACGCGGGAGAGGAGGAAGAACGAGAGCGTTGCGGCGACGACGCCGATGCGGACTGTGAGGAGGGGCGGGAGGCGGCGGACGATGGAGCCCTGGAGGAGGGAGGCGATGAGGCCCATTGTTGAGAGGAGGCGGCCGTTTAGGGCGGAGGGGGAGGCGGTGCTGTTTGCGTAGAAGGTTGCCGTCAGGAAGGGGAGGGAGAATTCCATGCCGGAGAAGGGGAGAAGGAAGAGGAGGTGGATGATGTTAAGAGTGGTGGGGTTGTTGGTGTGTTTGCGGAATTGTTTGGCCGATGATGATAATGGGTATGATTTTGGTTCCTTGGCAGTGGTAGGTGGTTCTGAGGAGGGTGAGGTTTGTGAAAGGTTGGTGAGGCGGGGGTGTGTCTCGGGGAGACACGCGTAGATGTATGCTGTTTCGAGCACGATAAGGAGGAGTGAAACGCCCGCGGCCGTGGCGAATGGGTTCGCCTTGACGGTCGTGATACTCGAGAGAAACGCGCCCAGCGCGGGACCGCAGGTAAACGCAATGCTAAAGCAAGCACCGACAAGGGCCATTGTCGAGCCGCGCTGGCTAGGATCGCTGATATCCGTCGCAATCGCATGCGCAAGCTGTACATTGCCCTCGCTCAACCCGCCAACCACGCGACTCGCCAGGAAGGTGCGGAAATCGGTCGCGGCAACCCATAGCGCGACGCTGAGTATGTTTCCAATCATAGAGGCGAGCAGGGCCGTGCGGCGACCATGCTTATCTGAGAGGCGGCCGATGAACGGAGCGGCAATCGCCTGGAGGAGGGAGAACAGAGAGCCCAGAGCGCCCCCAAGAAGGACAATGTCATAGCGCGAGTCTATGGGTTTGGCAAAGGAGTTCTTGTAGGCGTTTAGGTAGTAGAAGATGCGGTTTAGCCAGGAGGTTGGCGCGGGGTCTTGGGTGCGGTAGAAGGAGAGAAGGGAGGGAAAGAGAGGGAGGATGAATGTGAATGATATCTGTGTTTAGACATTAGCATTAGGTCGAGTGAATGTTGTTGAGGATCTTACCAGGTCCAGGAGTAAGGAAATCATCAAGACCTTCAGGATCTTTTTGCGCTGGTCCGCGGGCACGGCCATGGTGACAGTCTGGAAGCAGGCAATTGCTTTAGAAAGGGAGGAATGGAAAGGAAGTCATTGAGCATATATGCCCAGCAGATGCAAGCTGTCTTCAGGAACGCAAAGAAGAAGAGACAAGTCACGTTCGAGGCCCCAAAACATTATGTCATTTCTCAAGATGATCCCCACCAATTAGAAATCATCCCAAATAAAAATCCGCCGAAAGTACGGCGGAGTATATCGAGCGGATTCTATCCAGCCTTTGAGCAGATGCAGGTTTCTTGACAAATCAGATTTGATGAATTACTTTGCCCTCCCTGGTAAAAGAGTATAACCACTACTCCTTCAGCAACCGTTTCGGCATTGATGGACACTATCTACCGTGCCTCGGCCTCTACTATACATGAAACGATTGGAAGGGTTTTCGACCGGGAGTCCAATGTATGGCATCGAGAGAGCGCATACGTATCCATCTCCAGGGGAGATCTACCTCGTGGTACAACGTAGATCACGCAGTCCTCGACTGTTAAATATGGCCATCTTTAGGGTTATGTCTAGATCTCGACAGGACGCGATTGTCTCTGCAATGTTAGGGTATCGCATGAATTCGCCTGAATATGTCCATGTGGGCTGTAAAGCTAGCACATTTAGAAATGCACATACTACATCAACAGAATGCTGGATAAATCAACCGCCATATAGCCCTAATTCCCTGCGTATCCCGTCTATCAAGCTCAAACGACAGCCTCCTCGCCCGCCATGCCAACTGCCCAACCCGCTTCCCCAAGCTTTATATGTCGACAAAATCGGTCAAACTAAATTACAGGTTGAAGCGAAGTTTGGGTATTGAGAAGGGAAATGACGAGCTGCACCCAATACCACGAGGCAACAGGGCAGCCGCCAAGAGAAAGAAATAAGATAAAAAAATCGAAGAGCAATAAATGCACGCTCAATAACTGTAACAGATTGTAGCAACAGAAACTTTTTGTGCAGTAGCCATCCGGAACGGAGATTGCTGGAGATTCTGGCAGATCTATGATGGATCGGCGCAGTAACTCCCTGCAAAGTCTTGCTGTAATCATTTCGAGAATTCGTAGCTTTCGTGAACCATAACACCACCGTTACCCGTAAAATAATTATTAGCGAAGTAAATTGGACATCGACGAGGCGGAGAAGAAAGGTCGTGAGATCGGACGACAGACACCACTGCGGATGGGGCGAAAATGCCACCGCTCATATGCTCAAGTGATGTATGTTCATAATTGACCGCTATTGAGACACTGGGGTGACAGCAGGAGCACCGTTGGGTCCGCCACGTCCCCGGAAACCACCACGGCCCCGACCACGACCGCGGCCATCTCCTCGTCCACGTCCACCTCCACGTTGTCCATCACCGCGACCACGTCGGGGGCCACGGCCCCTGAAGCTACCCTGTCTCTGGTGATGAACGACTTGTTTGAAATCATCACCGCCGGCCTTGACGGGTTCAGCGCTTGCGTCAGTCACAACATCGGCGCTGATATTGCCAATGGTTGCCTGAAGACCCGTATCAGTCTCAGCAGGGTCGCGTGGAATCTCGACATAGCCCTCCGTGTTCGTCGAGGATGCAAGAGGGTCAGCGTGGGGCTCCCAAGCAGCCTCTGCGACCGCATTTGCGGCATCAGGCACGAGTGTCTGTGGAGGCGGAGGGATATTCTCGGCTTCGACCGCGGGGGCTGCGGCGTCGTGGGCTGCAGTCACATAAGCTGGGTCATCAAGCTCGGTGTAGGCGGCGTTCGCGGTGGTAGGGTCGGCTGCCGGGGTAGCTTCTGAGGCCGGTTCCTCGGCCGGAGTGCCCTGTTCGGAGAGCTGCTTGACCTTTGAATCTGCGAAAGAAGGTTAGAATCTGAAACCGACGCGAGCTTCCAGGGAACTTACAGGTGATGTCGAGCGTCTCCCCCTCAACGCTGGAGATCTTCTCATCAACGCCATCAATGAGCTTCTTCATCGAAGCAACAGCATCGAGGCTGCCGCCATACACCTGGAACAGCACGCCCTCAAAGGCACGGCTCTTGGGTGAAGTGCCGTCTCCGGTGTGGCGCAGATTCGCAACAGCACTAAGGAACTTGCTTAGGCTCAATAACTTCTGATCAATGTCCTCTTTTGGTGACTCAGGAACCTCAGCAGCAGCAGCAGCAGCAGCCTTCTCCTGCAGGGATTCCACCTCCTGTTTGTGTGCTTCCTCCAATTCCGCCTTTTGACTGGCGAGGCGCTGCTCATAGATCGCAGCAAGCTCGTTGTAGTGAGCAAGCTGCTCTTCAGTCTGTGCAATGGCCGCCTGGATAGCTGGCTTCTTCAAAGCCTGCGCCTTCTGGTCGGCATTGATCTTGCCCTCCGCAACAAGCTCGTCAAGGGATTTACCGGGGTTTTCGGCGATGATGGCGTCAACTTTGGCGGTCGCATTCTGAATCGAACAAGGTGAGCCGTTGATTAACGGAAGAAGGCTACTTGAAGCAACTTACCTTCCGCTTTGTGTTATTGCGCAAGCTCCTGGGAACCGGTTAGTATTGTGTTTGGTCTCAGCGGACCAGAGAGACAGGGCGCAACTTACTTTAGAAGCTCTCTGTAGTGTGGGAAGTCCAGGAGTTCTGTGGAAGTTCCTGCAGCAGGCGCAGTTGAATTGGCAACACTGTTGAGCTTCGCTTCTGAAGGCGCGGGCGACTGTGCAGCGGCGTCGGTAGGCATGATGGAGGTAGGAGATGAATCGGCTGAAGTCGAAGGTCGAGAATCAAGATGACTGGCAAAAAAACGATGAATGAAGATGAAAGAAGGCAGGTTCAAGCTGAGGCAGCTGATTAGGGGATAAATGATCCAAACAGAACAAAGAAGAGAAGAGGACCTGACGTGTAGAATCGAGTGGAGGGCCAAAGAACGAGGAAGGGCGGGTCGGCCAGTTTGGAAACCTCAGCGCCGCCTTAAACCTTGTCGCGTGCTGCAGGCGATCTGATCAGCCTAACGCTAGCACTAACTTACTGAGCGCAGCTCATGAACTTGTACACCAGTGCACTCCTGGAGTTCCTTTGCCATCAAAGTAACTGATCAACTGCTTCTTCTCTAATCTCTCAGTCATCTGAACTGGTTACCCCGGCCTATAAGCGGAGCTTCTTTTGCTTGAGCTACCGAGATCTGTACTCCAAAGAACAACAACCAGAAACACAATTGGGTATCACAAACTCCTCTGAGCGCCATATATCCTCCGATTCGTCCCCAGGACCCCGTATGGACCGGCTTTGGATCAGAATGGAAAGCATAAACAATCGATACATATTCAACACCTGCCCCTGATGTCCCAGACTCCTAACCATAACACAAATGCGATAAAATATGAAAAGCTTTGTAAATCGCGCAAGCGCATACCCGAACAATCAACCTTTGAACTTCCGTAGCGTTTTCTGCACGCGACACATGCTGTGGTTAGCCATGGCATTGACAGCTTATAGCACTCTCATACCTCAGTGACCTTGCGTACGGAATTCGGGCTAATGTGTTTTTCGCCCGCCTTGCGCGATCGAATTGAGGCTTCTCGCATCAATCTGGTTCTGTTAGAGCTGTTCGGCTGTGGTGAGGCACGCGCTTTCGAGGCGCAAACCATCGCGACATTCGTAGACGACGTATCGAGGTAGGGATGGAGTCTGACTTACTCTTGCATAAAGAGCATATAGTCGAGAAATATCTAGGAATAGCAGTATAATGTCAGCAATACGTTCAAAGCTAGTGCTATGGGATCAATGTTTTGTTTACCAGGATGTCGGCATTTTTGCTCAAGTTGCGATTCGCCTGAGCTTTGACTATTCGCTTGACCGTGGCGCGAGGATATAGCTTCTGGGTGGCTGCCATTGTCCTGTGTATGTCGAGCTGGATGGGGCTTGTTGCTATCGCGCTGGCGATGTGCACGCCGGCGGAGGCTTCAGTTGTCAACTTGAAACTGCTGTGGAGTTACATAATCTGCTTGTCAGTCAGCATCTGGCCGAAGATGCGTATTTTCATTACCGTCTTGAAAACATGACGCAACGGTGACCACAATCTTCATGAGCGCGTTCGGAAGAGAAGTATTATTGAATTAAAATATTTATATATTATGTGGTAGAATCTAGAGTGCGCAATTAGTCCCAGTTGCTCAGCTTTTATACAGCCAGTCGTTTTCGATGAATGTACTTCCATACGCAAAAAGCCGCCAACGACCCCAAGGCAGCTCTCCATGCAACGAAGATATACAGAGCTAGTCGGATCTTCTGATAGTATCCTCGAAGCATGATCCCCACGGCGTATGCGGTCCCATCAGGGCTGTCCGACGGTCCGTAGTACCTTCCCACTCCAAGGCCCCCTATGCCCACTTGATTACGATCATCTCTCTCTTCCTCAACTGGCAAGGCAGCCGTTTCGGCATCAATGGCCGTGTTGTTTGGCTCAGGCCGCGCACCAAATTTGACTTGGTGCATATTGCGTTTCCGTACCTGATAGGTAAGGAGATTCACAATCAAGCGCAAGTCCGGCGAGGTGAAATTTGGGTAGTTCCAGAGCTGGACAGCTGTGTGAGGTGGGAGCATATCCAGAAAATCGGCCAAGATACCGAGTGTCAAGCCCCAAAGAAGAAGCGGCGAGCTCTGATTTGAAGCTCGCTGCTCTCCGCAGAACCATGATCTACATTTCTGCAGCCATGTCATTGTTTGAGCGCTTCCAATACTTTGTCTAAGGTTTATACTGCATTGCAAAGTCTCAGTAGGATTGAGCTGTATCGCGGAGAATTGCATGTAGCCCATCAAAGACCGGCTTGCGAGGCGGGCCATGAGTCCGCCAGTACTTGCAAGCCGCTGAGTCATGTCCACATGTTCCACCGTTCGTGAAGAGGGAGACAGGAGGACATTTAGAGAGACCCAGTGTGTCGATGCCACCTCCGTGGGCTGTAGTGAAAGGGTAGGAGAATCGCAATCGGTCAAGAGAAAAACGTAGGGGCACAGGACCATCAACCTTTACATACTTCATTAGTGCAAAGCCGGAAAATTTAGATATGAGAGGAAGCATACGGTACGCTGCCCCAGCTGGATGTCACCACTCTCTCCGGCAGATTGCCCACATATATGCAATTGTTCGTTGTTAGGTCGAGACCAACTTCTTCCGAGGCTTCTCGAATCGCAGCCGCTCGGTCATCAGCATCTTCCGGATCACGTTTGCCCCCCGGCAGAGCAACATGGCCGGTCCAGCGGTCCCCTACACGCGAAGCTCTCTTGATGAATAGTACCTCGGGGTCTCCGTTCTGTACCCACGGCTGGGAGAAGAAGGTATCTAGCTGCTGCTGGACGGAAGTGTTGGTATCGTTCTGAAATGGTGAAGACCTATCGGGCGGCTGATTGTGGGTCGGCCGAACTCGAAGGACCAACGCAACGGAGGCTCGTTTCTTGCACTTAGGAGGATTGGGTACGTGAGGATAGGAGTTTTGGTGAAGGTCGAGCAGGACACTGTGGAGAGACGGTGAGAGCGAGTTCGGCGCTGGCGCCGGGGCTCTAGTCGCAGGCATCTGCGCTGGCGACTCTGTTTATATAGACAGATGAGGGGTTGCTTTCACAGGATATAGAGGCAAAAGACACTGCGCATAACTTATCAGACCGGTGCCCGAGTAGATGTGCGGAGACAGGAACTCGCTGGGGGGAAAACATTGAAAGATACCCGTTTGTATCATCGTGTAATGGCGGGCATCGGAGCAGCTCCACTTGGCGGGAAGTCGCCACTCAGTCTCCGATTGGTTGAGGCAGAGATCTGGAGGGAGCTGTTTTGTGAGCACGTGCGCCAATGCTGCGATAGAAAGCGTCAAGCACCTCAAGCCAGAACCCGCTGCGAGACTAGGGCGGAAAAGCTATATCTGCCTGCGTTTTCCCCTCCTCACTGGTATAAATTTGAGCGATCCGAGGAATTGAACTCTGGACAGTTGCTTTTGTGCTGAAAAAATCCTTTGTTTGCCGTCACGTCGACCTTTCTTGAACTGTTCCTTCGCTTGCGAGCCTTGACTCTCGAGCTGTTATCGCGAACCCCACACTACTCCAACTGTTAACTCGAACCAATCGTGCTGTGATGCGTTTCGGAAAGACTCTTAAAAACTCCATCTACCCACCATGGAGCAAGTACTACATCGACTATAACAAACTGAAGGGGTTGCTGAGGGAACATGATGTCATTGGAGATGACAGCGACACGGATGGCTCATGGACTGAGCAGGACGAGGAGGCGTTTGTCCAAGAATTGCTCAACGTGCAGCTGGATAAGGTCAATGCGTTCCAGGTGCAGACCTCGCAGCAATTGAGGGATCGGACTGCCGCGTGTGAGGATAAACTTCGGCCCCTGGCTCGCACTGAAGAAGGAGAAGATGCGGCGGCGGTCGATGACTCGGAGAGGATCAAGATCGCTTCGGAGGTTCTGAGTGAGTTGGACGATATCACCAAAGAGGTTAGCGAGCTGGAAAAGTACAGCCGAATCAACTTTACCGGCTTTCTTAAAGCGGCAAAGAAACATGATCGCAAGCGAGGTGCTCGTTACCGTGTCAAGCCTCTGCTTCAAGTCCGCCTGTCCCAACTGCCATTCAACTCGGAGGATTACTCACCTCTTGTCCGCAGACTATCTGTTATGTACTCCTTTGTTCGCGAGATTTTGAGTACGAGCACTGTGGAGCCCGAACCTGGCTTCGGCAAGGACCAATATTCCTCGTTCAAGTTCTGGATTCATACGGATAACCTGCTGGAGGTCAAAACGCTTATCCTTCGGAAATTGCCTGTTCTCATCTATAACCCCAAGTCTTCGAAGGAGCTAGAGAGCCACGCGGATGACCCAACGATAACGTCACTGTACTTTGACAACCCGCAGTTCGAACTTTACACGCAGAAAGTCGCTCGGAGTCAAGAAGCCGGGTCGCTACGGCTGCGGTGGACTGGTAAGCTGAGCGAGAAGCCACCGATCTACTTGGAAAAGAAGATCGTGACCAGCGATGACCGCAGCAAAGAGGTCAAGGTCCAGCTGAAGCTGAAGCATGTGAAGGAATTTCTGGACGGGGAGTATCGATTAGAAAAGCAGGTCCATCGGATGGAAGACATGGGCAACGGAGAGACGGCTCACGCAGAGTCTCTAAAACAAGATGTGGAAGAGTTACAGACCTTTATCAAGGAGCATAACTTGCAGCCGATGCTACGAGCAAACTATACCCGAACAGCTTTCCAGATTCCTGGCGATGATCGAATCCGTATATCTCTCGATACGAATCTGGCACTGATTAGGGAAGATTGTCTGGATGACCAGCGCCCTTGCCGCGATCCTAACGAGTGGCACCGTACCGACATTGATGATTCTGGAATGGAGTTCCCCTTTACCGCCATCAGAACCGGGGAAATAGTCCGGTTCCCTCACGGCCTCTTGGAAATTAAGTTGCGAGGAAATGCCGCGCACAACTCAGAATGGGTGAAGGACCTTATGGTTTCTCACCTGGTCAAGGAAGCACCACGCTTTTCCAAGTTTGTTCATGGTGTTGCGCAACTCTTTGAAGACCATGTCAACAGTTTCCCGTTCTGGCTCCCTGAACTCGACAAGGACATTAGGCGCGATCCCGAGACCGCGTTTCACGAGGAGCAAGAACGCCAAGCTAAGCACGCAGAGGAGGACATGGCAGTCGGCAGCTTCCTAGGAGCGAGATCAAGTCCAACCGCACGACCGCTTGTGGGATCGCCTATCACACGTTTCACAGATCTTGAACCATCACCCAGGCCTCGACAGCCATCGCAGTTCCAGACGCCTCGGCCGACCCCATCACATCAGGACGAGCCGGCGCTGCTTGCACGACAAGAACAAGAGGAGCAGAGCGTTACGCAGTCTCGCTTAGCCGCCCTATTTCCCTCATTCACCGGGCGCACTCGCGGAAAGCGTTCCTCCGTCGTCTTGCCACCGGGCGTACAGGAGCCGGGGACATGGATCAAGGATGCAGGACCTGTTCGCGTCGAGACCAAGGTCTGGCTCGCTAACCAGCGGACATTTATCAAATGGCTGCACGTCAGTATCCTACTTTCTTCTCTCTCACTCGGCCTGTACAATGCGGCAGGTAAGCACAATGATATCGCGCGTGCTCTTTCCATCGTGTACACCTGCTTTGCCATTTTCGCCGCCGCATGGGGATGGTACATGCACGAAATGCGGGCCAGACTCATCCGGAAACGAAGCGGCCGCGACCTAGACAACACGTTCGGCCCGATCGTCGTGTGTGTCGGGTTGGCTATCGCACTCGTACTCAACTTCGCTTTCAAGGTACATACCCCTCATCCCTAACATCCCTAACATCCCTAAACAAGACCCCAAATCTGACTTGTCGATCAATACAGTACTCTTCCACCCTCGAAAAGCTGCGCGGCAACCAGCCCGTCGATACCTCCTCCATAGATCAATCGCTTCCCATGGCAGGGAAGCCAGAGATCTGGAACCTCGTCAACCAGCAGCAGCAGGCTCTATAGCTGCCTGCTATTGCAGTGATCTTGTTTCTATTTGCCCTACTTTCCCCGTGGAAGTGTACCAGTATTGATTGATGCGTTATGGCGTTGACGTTGATGTACTCGAGCCTCACTTACGATGCCTCCTTCTTTCTATAGCGAACGCTACGCTATCCTTATTCTCAAGTTTTATCACTTAGTTACCCATCGTCGTCTATACCTATCAGGTAGTGGGTTGGTGTTTTCATCATCTCCCTCGCCCTACCACATAGATAAAAGAAAAAAAAGTAAATAAATGGAGAGACTCAGCATATACCCCACATTTCAGTTGCTACATAGAAAAGCTCGCTTCTGCTATCCAGCTACGTATACTTCCTTTCCGGGTGTCCCTGCTCCCCTACAAGTAACGGCACCCTTTCCGTATCAATATCAGCATCTCCATCTCCGTCTTCATCACGATCCTCAGTAGACCGACCCTGACTCCGATTCCGAACACCAGATTCCACAGAGCCCCTCTCGCTGGACTCAGGGGTAAGAACCCCCGTTGATCCGTCCGTGGATTGATACAGAATACTCGCTGCGTAGCCGTCGAAGCTTGTTCTTTGCGAATCATGTATATCAGCATCCACATGCGCATCCACTCATCGTTTTTACTCGGTTATCTCGAACCAAGAAGGACGTATCAAGAAAAGAGGAAAGCAGACATACCTATCAAAGAACCCACAGAACAACCAGAGATACACGGTTCCCAGGAATGCAATAATCCACTCTAGAACCCCCGCCGCGCGGAGGTCGGCGTTTTCGTCGTCGACGATGGTAAGAGAGAGGAAGCCGACGCCGAGGAAGAGCTGGATGAGGATTAGGGTTGTTGAGAGGGTTGTGCTGTTAATTGATACGGGTCAGTGGTGGTTATCTACGCAGCTCTATACAAACCACAGGCCGTAGATTATGCTGAGAAGGGAGAAACGTACAATATCCGTACTCGCATACTCCGCCGGAGACTCCGTCCCCAGTAATCATTGCCGGTGTTCGCATCCTGGGAGCGGGAGTCATGTACCCATCGCCCGAGATGCGTGATATAAGAAATAACATGCAGGACCTCGTCCGCGTACACAATCGCCGTCCCAGCAGACTGTAGCGCGAGTCCTGCAAAGCACATCCGGAGGAAGATGTGGTGCGCGAATGTATACCGGAATGTATCCATGACTGCGAGAAGCGTGAGAGCCGTGCTCGCGACTCCGGCGAAGAATATGGAGAACAGAGAGATCAGCTTGAGGGACTTGAGGGTTGCTTCGTCTTCGGATGCCGTCTCTTCGTCTTCAATTTCCGGGTCGGAGTTGGGATTGTTGGGATGCAGCTGAGGATGGGGATGCTGATTCGGGGTGTCCTTATGGACACGGATCAAGGCAAATCCAGGCTCATAGCGCATGACGTGGACGGAAGCTATGGTGAAGAAGAAGCCCATGGCTGTTATGGAGGCGCCTACAAGGAAGAGCGGCTTGAGCTCGAAGGAGGCAATGTCAGAGATGAATCTAGTTTCTTGTCAGCTACCCTTCGTGGAGCGCATTGTACCTAGCCGATTGATTGGCTGGGAGAAGAGAGACGAACGGTATATGTGGATTACTCTGCCCTGGATAGGGCTTCATTCCCCGAACGACCCATGTCAGAAGTAAACTGGTCAACGTCACGAACCAGACTGCGCCGGCGAGCAAGGGAAAGAGGTAGAGCCGATTGGGCGGTATATTGAGTATCGTGACATGGAGAGCTGCCCAGATGTGGTCATGGCAGCGGAGGAGAAGATTGAGCATCGGAGGATCTAGTTGAGGTCTACGGCTTGGGAGAAGCGATGATGGAGTCTGGGGCAGGTAAAAGACGTACGGAGAGGAAGATACAGGAACTCGGCAAGGAAGAACTTCCCGTGGCAGCTCATCAGCTGATAACACTATATCGAGAACCAAGGCTCAGAGACTGAGACAAAAGTCAAAAATTCCAGTATAATACTTCGCACTTTATTTTTGTCTGAATGTGACTATACTTGGGATACTCGTCAAAAAACGAAAGGTTAGATTTAGTCTACCCAGTTTTTTGACTCCTACAAGGCTCTTTGCTGCTTGCTGTAGTCACTCCTTTCCGCAACGGACGTCCCTGCATCTTTCATGGCAGGATGGACAAGCTCTTGCCCTCTTAGCAACCCTTCCTTCCTCTTCACGCACTTGCCATATTGTCCAAGGATTGAGGCATAAATACCTGTCCCGCCTCTTCTCTATCTTCTTTTCCTTCTTTTCTTCTTCAGCTTCCTTGAGATTGTGTCGATCGCCCGCTTTATGCGAGTGATTAGAGGAGGCCTCATCCTGCTCAATCTTCTCACGAAATTTTTGACACTGCCAGAGCCCGCTTTACGCGGGCACTTAGAGTAGGGTTTCCCTGTCTAAGCTGGCGAGTCTTGTCTTCGTACAAGCAATTTTTGAGAAACCCTTCGTCGTTGGGCTTACCCCCCATTGACACACGTGAGATTGTTGTTGAGGTTGTCGACTTGTTTGAATGTTTGATTCTGTGATCCAGTGTCCTGCTTTGGTTTGTCTGTCCTGCTTTGGTTTGTCTGTCCTGCTTTGGTTCGTCTGTCCTGCTTTGGTTCGTCTGTCCTGCTTGCTCGTCTGTCCTGCTTGTTCGTCTGTCCTGTCCTGGTTGCTTGTCAGTCCTGGTTGCTTGTTGGTCCTGGTTGTCTGTCCGCCTTGCTTGTTCGTCTACCCTGCTTGTTTCTCTATCTTTCTGACTCTGCCATGTCCTTTGGGTTGCAGTCTCTTGTCCCATGCAGAGTCCTAATAGTACACCTTGTATAGTAGAGAATACAAGCTTGTCTTGAATAGCCTCCCTTGGTTACCTCTTAACGATGCAACCTGGTCCTTTAGCTTGTATTCTGTATACTTGAAAATATAAGACTGCTAATGAGAAATCATACCGGGTACGCAATGCTCCAGTGTCAGTAAACGTCAGGTAGCATAATTCTATAAGGACAATGAAATAGCTTTTCAGATGCATGAGTGACCACTGCTGACAGTATTTTAAGCATGCACATGAAGTCCTTGACCAGGAGAGCAAGTTGTGCATAAGTACTTGGGGAGGAACCTGCTTCTACTCTAAACTAGGAGCTGTCAACTCAGAGGAACCTTTTAATGATACTGTACAGTAGAAAAGAGATGAAGTATCATACAGGCCGCGATGCCATTCTTAAACTCGAGTATGTTGCCAGAATTGAGCCAGAAGCGAGGTTGAGACCGAAGTTCAACAGAGCTCAGAGCAAATGGGCTATCAAATTGACAAGATGGAGCGTACTGCAGATCAGCCAGATGGTGCAGCTGGCAAGGCTGATCGAAATCAAGAGAAGCTGTGTTTTTTTTCGCTCCTTAGCTACAGTAGTAGCTTCGGGCGATTCCCGCTTTGCATACTCTTTTTTTTGTCTTCTCCGACGGTTCCCGAGCCACGTCTGTCGCTTTGTTTTGCTCAACAGAGTATGCAAAAGTTGGTCTCAAAGCAAGGACAATTTGATAAGTCGATTTTAGTTCATTATTAATTTGAAAAACTCCCGCTTTCTGACAGAGACTTGAAGCGGGTTATTTTATGGCCCTTTCACTTGGTCGGCTCTCACAATTGTGGAAGCTACGACAACTGAGTAGGGAGTTAAGGGTCAAGAATCTGTTAAATTCAGGGATAATCCTGGTAGCTACATTGCTCTTTTATAACCAATGATACAGCCGGAGTGTTTACCACCAAACGAGAAACGACCAGGATGTCGATTGATGTCTTGGAGGCGCGTCCCTGAACAAGATAGACGCGGCACTCCGCAACACAACAATCTCCGGCTGACAAATCCGTCACATATTCCTTCCTGCCTTTCCACTAGATAACTACTATCTATATATAACCGCACTCTCCGCCAAATACACCTCAACTCAGAGATTATTGCGAACCGACAAACCCAAAATGACAAACTTCAACATCCAGATCATCTCCGACAGCGTTTGCCCGGTTTGTTATCCAGAGACACATCATTTCTTCAATATAGCACGCCCTGACTATGTATAGTGGTGCTACGTCGGCCTCCGCCGTCTGTCGCGCGCAATCACAACCCACAAGTCCGCGCACCCCTCTGACACATTCACACTCTCCTGGGCGCCATTCTACCTGAACCCAGCGGCAGCAGCATACCCCGGCGTAAACAAGCGCGAGTTCTACGACTCCAAGTTCGGCGCCTCTAGAACCGGAGCAATCCTATCTCGCTTGTCAGCCGTGGGCGAAGGCGAGGGCATTGCCTTCAAGTTCGGTGGGCAGATTGGACGGACGAGAGACTCACATCGGGTGATTTGGTTGGCTGGGGAAAAGGAGAAGGAGCTGAGGAAGGCTGGGAAGGATGATGCGGAGGGAGGCGTGATCGGAGGGTTGCAGACAAGGGTTGTGGAGAGGTTGTTCCGGGTGTACTTTGAGGAGGAGAAGAATATCACGGATCGCGAGGTGTTGGTTGAGGCAGGCGTTGGGGCTGGATTGGATCGGAAGGAGGTGGAGGGGTTGTTGGATGGGGATGTCGGTGGGAAGGAGGTGGATGAGGAGGCTGAGAAGGCGAGGAGACAGTTGATCACAGGGGTGCCTTATTACTTGGTGCAGGGTCAGTATGCTGTGGAGGGCGCTGATGAGCCGGCGACCTTCTTGGAGGTCTTTGAGCGAGTTAAGGGCGCGGAGTCCTCATAGAAACTGAATCCATTGATGTATGATGGACTATCTGAATTCTTCACCTTATCAGATATACTGGTTAATTGTCAGACAGCATTGAAGACTGACCCGCCCACAGTACACAACGCATGACCCCTAACGACACACGCAAAGCAAGTTCAGATTGAGAAGCGTTGCTGCCGAACGCCAGTGTCATGCGAACATCTAACAATACACGAGACGAAATAAAGAACGCCAGCGCCTGACGAATAAGACATGGCGTAAAAGAGAGAAGTTAATAATCATTAATGGATCGTGATATCAGAGATGTCGAAATCAAAAGAAAATGTAGGAGCAGAGATGCCGGTATCTCTATGTCTAATCGTCTCTGAAAGCTCTAGTTGTGGGTGGATGCCTGCTGGAGCTGAAAGTCCGGAATGTAGTCGAACCAGTCGGATTCCGGGTTGTAACGATATGCCTTGAATTCCACTCCGTACGGCTTGGGCTCTAGCATGTAGAGCATTCCCAAAGGAACATCCAAATCGGCAACCTCATCGCGCTTAAGTCCAAGGAAGTAAGCGAGGAGAACGCGCGCCACTGAACGATGGGTAACCAGAAGAACATGGTCAGTCATGCGCTCCATTTCGATGATAACGGCTCGGAGTCTGTTGATAACGTCTAGGTATCCCTCGCCACCAGTGCCAGGATAACGGTAGAACAGTTTGTCCTTCTTGCGGATTGCGTACTCGTCGGGAAACTTTTCGCGGATCTCCTCGTAAGTCATGCCTTCCATTTTCCCCGCGTGAAGTTCGTCGAGCATCTTCATCTGTTTGATGTCGTAGTCATCTTCGTTAAAGTATTCAACTGTCTGGACAGTGCGCTGCATCATCGAGCTCCACACGCAGAAATTGCGAACTCGGTCCCGAGGAATGTACGACGGGTTCGGAGGGGTGCTGTCTCCAGGACGTGGCGGCATTAGAGACATCATATCTTTCTGTCTTTGATACGTCTCCCATTGTTGTCTTTGGTGATCAATGAAGCGAGCCAGTGCCTTTGCGTACCGATGACCGTTTTCGCTAAGTGGCGAGTCACCACCAATGCGGCCGGCTTGGTTGTCTAGGCTTTCACCGTGTCTAGTAATCCAGATCTGGCGCGGGGAGAGATTGAAGTTCAGACAGTAGTATACAACCTGAGATGAGAGGAAGCCGTGGGTCTGATGTGACACGATTTTGCGCCCAACATCGATCATACGGACATACGGCATGTTGTTGGTTTCCTCATATTCACCGAGTGGAACATAGGACTTTTCATAGAGCGCAACGCGCTTCTTAAAGTCTTCGAGAGACTTGACCGGATCCTGATCCTTGTAATCTGGACCGGACAGTTTTAGGCGCATGTTGGCTTCCAGAAGCACGGGATCCTGACAGCTGCTTTCCAGAAACAAGACGCCAAGCTCTGGGCCAGCACGGTTGCGGATGTGGTCAACGATAGCCTTGCGGCGCTCGAGAGTGCTATTGGTCGCATCCAGGATGCCAACACTGCCACCTTCTTCGAGGATGTAATCCAGAAGCTCGTCCAACGTCTCCAAAGCGACCTGCTCTCTCAGCTTCAAGGCCTTTTGGTTCTTAGGGTCAAAGAAGTTGGCAGACTGGTCGATTGGTTCTGGGGACGCCTCGACTATTTCCCGCTGCTCCTGGGGAGCAGCTTCGTTAGGCGGGATGACGACGGATCCACCCGGAATTATAGGCCCATCCTCCTCTTTCCCGTTAACGAGAATCTTGGTAGGTACGACAGGAGGCGGCAAAGCGTTGTCGAGCTCCGGAGGCGACTCGTTCTGAGGAGCAGGAACAGACTCGTTATTCGTCGTAGTCATCCCACCGACACTAACACTGAGACGACGGACGGAATCAACAAGCTCTTGCTGGACAGAACTAGTCCTGTGCCGCGGCGCTGCTGGAGACTTGCCTGCAGCCACGCGGCGACGTTCTCCGACATTGAAGATTTCGGTATCATGTTGGAGCCAGTTCAGGTAGCGTGCGAGCTTCTTCGTCACATAGCTCTTGCCGCGTGCCGGCAAGCCGACCATGACAATGACCAGCTTAGAGCCGAGATCACGCTGAGCAATGCGTCCATCGGGCGAGACTTTAGACTTGGTGAGACCAGGGATGTCGAGGGTGGTCGCACGAACACGGCTGGGTGTGGAGGCCTGGCTGGGGGAAGCGACGCTGAGAGACAAATCAGAACTGACACAGAAGCGAGAACATGAGAAGAAATATTAACCCGACAAGCCATTGATAGGAAGGTCGAGGCAAGGGGCCACATTAGGGTATGAACTAGTGGTTCACAAGGTAGATAAAAGCCCGACAGGAAAGACAAGCACGCAGAAACAAGCTCTTGAGAACAGAAAAACAAAAACCATAGTTAAACTGCAAACCAGCCAACGAGGTCTCAGAACAGAGAAAGACAACTTACAACTGTGGAGACGAAGGTGCGGTAGAAATCGGAGTGTCTGTTAGGGCGAATCCGACGCCATCCCTGGATGCTTTCCTGTGGCCATCGGAATGTTCATTCGCTAGCGCTCGTCCTACGACAGTTTTCGGAGGGGGCATCAAAGTCGAGTCCTTCCCGGATCCCGGCTTGCCGTTCGAGATATTCCCGTTCATTGTGGCCGTATTGCGATTGCTGATCGCCGAGCGTGCAATGTTAGAATGTTGCGCCATGCCCTGTGTGGCGCGCAGGGGTCGCAGGATGTACTCCGGAGGACGTGAGACTGATCGATGGCGAGAAAAAAAGAGAGGGAGAAACTCCGGGAGCCGGAGAGACGGTCGAGGGTTTTATCGAGAATGCTAAGACAGACTGCACTCTTCAACAAGCTGGACTCGCTGGAGGAACGGTATCAGTGGGCGGGAAAAAAACTTGAAAGAGAACAGTTGGTGGTCGCATGTGCTGATGAGTCAACCAATGAAGCTTCTCTTCTCCCCAAACACTCGAACACCTGGTAGCAGGAGTTGATGCTATAGGTCCGGAACGACAAGGTGAGATGAGAAAGTAGGGAGATGTCACTCAAGGTTTTGATTGCTTCCAGTCATCTGAGGTTGCTGTTAAGTAGTGGTCCGGATTTGCCTGAGGAGCTGGCTATGATGTCAAGTTTGGCAATCTGATGCGCCCGGGAAGATGGACTGAACTCTTAAGTAGCTCCACAGCACACACCTCAGGATCGCTATCTGATTGTTTTACACCCAATTCGACAATGTTCTAGGTTCTACTATGTATGGTAGATCACAACAAAAAAGAAAAAAAGGCTCGGCTTGGCTTCCGACCCTTGGTGATCGCACAAGAATGCTCTTGGCGCAAGTAAGGGTGCGGACCTCCTCTTCCCACAACTCACGCGCCAGCAGCTGGATTGCCAAGGTCCCACGGACGTCGGCTCAATTGCACGTTGTCTCCTGTGGCTTTGCCAGAAGTTCAGCAAGGCATCTACCTCCCGCTATTGGTCCACGTTGTTCAGAGCCGCTGATCTTCTTCAGCGCCTTACTCGAGTCTAAATTTCGTCACCTAGATGAGGCGTGCTGAGGCTGAGCCTTTATCCCAAGCTCTTGAGTCTTGTCATACTGAGACGTTTCTGCGTAACCATCACTCAAGGGATGCATCTCGTTGTCCATCATGATGTATTCTTTGTTCTTGGCAAATTGCGCGTGGACAGTCTCATGATCTCCGTGCTCGGAGGATGTCACCCAATGCGGCCCAATTCGTCGAGTTGATCGCTGCTGACAAGTATACAAGGCGACCTCAGCCATTGTATGCGGATTTCTTGGCGCTTGACGAATCGCAGTGTCGCTAGCGGGATACTCGTCGCTAGACATAGTCAGGGTCGTAAGCCGAGTCGAAGCAGATCTACTTGTCCAGCCTCAGCGTCAAAGCGATAAGCGTGGCGTAGGCGGCGATACTCAGAGCCGTCAGGATCACCACTGCATTTCCGCTTGTTCTGAATTTATGCCGATGGACTCCGTCTTCTCCTACTTCGGAGAAGAACTGTCGGTTGCCCTGCTGGCGTCGGAAGAGACCGATTATAAGCACCCCCGTGCCGTATACCGCGAATAGGGCTCCGGTGCTGTAGAATTCATTGGTAAAGATCTTCAAGACCACGAGGGCGAAAGAGAACTGCGAGAGCGCTGTTCGGATGTATGCCCCTTCAAAAGTCCGCTGTGCCGCTCGCACCTCCACGATTTCGTCGTTTGTTAATGCGACAGTCCGCGCACGGTGCATTCGCAGGCGATATCGATCTGCTGCACGACGCTGGTATATGTTAGACTCACAAATCAATGATCCCAATCGGTTTCGTAATATGGTGGTACAAATGGAAAAGTGCAGGGCAGCCAAACACACCTCAAACATGATATGCTATTCGGCGGATGTCGCGGTGTGGTTTAATGCTACCGACAACAGAGTCAAGGGTCTCCAGAGTGCAGTCGCTTTTTTGGGTCTCACCATAGTCGAATGGAACGATGCTGGTCGGTGCTAGAGACAACTTGTCGAGGAAAGCAACGCTGGATGCTGGGATCAGCTGAAAGGTGGAAGGATGCTCACGTGGGCCGGACGGAAAGGCATCATCGTCGCGCCAGCCACTCGAAGACTCGACAATTCATGACAGAGAACCAGACTTGGTGCAGCGCTGCAAATTGCATGTCTTCAGTTCCAAATATGAGGCTCTATCTTCAGAATTCCTCTTGAGGCTTGAGCAAAACGGCCCAGACAAGACATCCCTCATTCCAGGTTCAGGAAACTGGTGACAGCCTGAAGCCATTATTGGTGGGATAGCCTGCTCACTAACCGCAGGCTATCCCACCAATTACATATTCTCAATTATCGAGCACAGACCTCCGGTGTTCGATATCGGTTATCGAATTTTCCCGAACAGCAATCAATTGCCGCCCCCATCTTTGGTGGGAGTTCCCCACATCTTGTCCAGACCGCAGCGTAACCATCGGAGATGTGTCCGAGAGAACCAGTATTTCGGCGACAAATTATTATGGGGGGCTCGGGTGAGAAGACTCCGTGTCTGCAAAAAAGGTCAATACTCATTGGGGCGACTCTTTCAAATCCAACTTGACCTGCTTTTCTCCCCTCTTGCACGAACCTTTCCTCCAAATTCTTGCTCTTGTTTCCTTCTCTCTTTCTTCTGATCGTTGAAGCGATCAATCCTTGCCACGATGAGCAAGGTATTCGATGCGGCCGAGGGTAGGTCGTCCTTTGAATGCTCCAAGATCCAATCGGGCTTTGCTAAACCTACGATAGTCGCAAAACACAACTCCAAAGATAGTTGCTGGGTTATTCTGTACGGCAAAGTGTACGATGTACGGAACCCTTGCTGCATCATATACGTGTTGAAGAATATGTACTGATATATCTGATCAACAGGTTACTGATTTCCTCTCAGAGCACCCTGGTGGCTCTAAAATAATCCTCAAACTGTCGGGCAAGGATGCCACTGAGGAATATGACCCCATTCACCCTCCAGGAATTCTTGAGGAGAACCTCAAGCCAGAGGCCTTTTTAGGGACAGTCGACCCTGCCACGCTCCCAAAACCAAAGGCCGACGCTACTCCAGCTCAGGAAGAGAAGCAGGAGGACGAGGTTCCAATGGAGGCTCTTCTTAACATGGATGACGTCGAACAACTAGCTACCAAGAAAGTGAGCAAGAAGGCATGGGCGTATTACTACTCCGCATCTGACGACAAAATCACAAAACACTTCAACACACAGGTCTATCGATCAATTGTTTTGCGGCCTCGTGTCTTCATCGACTGCAACAAGTGTGACTTGGACATCTCTGTTCTTGGACACAAGCTAGGAATACCAATCTACGTTTCTCCCGCGGCCATGGCCCGCCTTGGTCATCCCGCCGGTGAGGCTGGAATTGCAGAAGCCTGCCGCAGCTTTGGTGCGATGCAGATCATTTCCAACAACGCTTCAATGACTCCAGAACAGATAGTTGAGAATGCTGCCCCAGACCAGATTTTCGGGTGGCAGCTGTATGTGCAAACAGATCGCAAGAAGAGCGAGGTTCAGCTGGCGCGCATCAATAGGCTTAAAGCAATCAAGTTTGTGGTCCTCACATTGGACGCGCCAGTCCCTGGTAAGCGAGAGGATGATGAGCGTGGTAACGCTGCTTCCGGTGCTGGTCAAGGCGAAAGTGGCGTTGGAAAGCAGCTCTTCCAGGGCACAGATGCCACACTCACCTGGCGGGATACGCTGCCCTGGCTGGCTCAGCATACCGATCTGCCCATTATTCTAAAGGGTCTCCAAACGCACGAAGACGCATACATTGCGTCGCTTCATGGGCCGCAGATCAAGGGTATCATTCTTTCGAACCACGGTGGGCGTGCTCTCGATACTGCTCCTCCAGCAGTCCATACCCTGCTCGAAATCCGGAAATACTGTCCCGAGGTCTTTGATAAGCTCGAGGTTTGGGTTGACGGTGGAATCCGACGTGGAACTGATATTGTCAAGGCTCTTTGCCTTGGTGCAAAGGCCGTGGGTATTGGACGGCCTGCATTGTGGGGCCTGGGAGCTGGTGGTGTCGATGGTGTCAAGCGCACACTGCAGAGTATGTTCGCATTGATAGAAACCGATCCCCGTTGATTTACTGACTCTGTCTAGTTTTGGCCGATGAGACAGCCACGAGCATGCGATTGCTCGGTGTTGAGCGTGTGGAGCAGCTGGGACTTCAGCATGTAAGATGGTCGCCTAATCCATCCTCTTCTTCTTCTACTTACACTGTTATAGGTCAATACTCGCGTTGTAGAGCAGCAAATCTACGACGGACCGTCAGGGCTGGAATCTCTGAGATCGCTATACCGCGCACGGCTTTAGATGATTTTAGATCCATGTACCATTTAGCGCCTTTGATAATCGATCAGTTCTGAACAATTGCATTTGATGGAACAAGTTGAAGAGAGCATTATACCTTGACCCTGCCTCGTACTTGTAGTCCGGCTTTAAGTGGCGGAGTTAAAACGGCGGAGTCCGACCGCATCTAAAGCCAAACACCTTTGTTCTCCCTCGACGACTCTTCATCTCTTTTCTTCTGGTTGGACATCGTGTCAAAGCTTTTCCACAGTGTTTTTGTCCCTCGAATACTACTGGTGCATGAATAATTTCAACATGGATGAAGTCCAACCCACTGATTCGGCCTATCTCCCCAAAGAGCGCAAGAGAACCAGGGTTCAGCTTTCCTGCACAGCATGCCGAAACAGAAAGTTTGTTACATCAACCACTCGCGTTTCTCCGAGATTAGAGTACTAACAGACGCGTAGACTCAAATGCTGCCGTACGCACCCCTGCACCAACTGCATTAAGAGGGGCGAAGGGCATTTGTGCACGTTTGTTGGCCGCGGCCCTCGAGGGCGGTCATCTCACGGCCGGGCCAGTCCAACCCTCGTGCAGGATCGGCTACAACATCTCGAGAATCTGATCATGTCTTTTGCCCAGCAGAGAAGGCAAGATGATAATCAGGTCCAGGATTTCTCTGCGGTGCCGGCTTCCGATCTGGACACAATAGGACAGCCAGTGCTGCCGTCTCCCCTCTCGTCAAGTAGGGCGGAAGCGACGGAGGCTGAAAGCCAGGAATCTCCCGCCAGTCAACCCGGTAGATTAGTTGTGAATGAAAAGGGAACCAATTATATTGACAGCGCCCATTGGAAGGCCATCCTCGAGGAGGTATGTGACAATCCGACCTTCTGGGCTAACTATGTGTACTAACGAGCGAAAGATCAATGAATTCAAAGAGTCGCTCAATGAGGTTGACGAAGCGTCGGACGATGGCCCCGATGAAGAGGATGACGCCAGTGAATTTGCCCCTACGCTTTGGTTTGGGTTGACCAAGCCAACAAGCAAGGAGGAACTGTTTTTGGATCTGCCCTCTCGGCAGGTAACTGACCGGATGGTCCATTACTTCCTGAACTCTGAGGAGCCAGTGGCCAGTGAGTGATTCGAAAGATCTGCGGGTCTACAGTACTGATCTGCCTATTGCACAGATATTCTGCATGGACCTACTTTCTCACGCGAGGTGGGCCATGATATAATCTTTGCAAGGTTCTCTACTGACGAGTAACAGTACAACAAATTCTGGTCGAACCCCCAGGATGTGTCTCTTCCGTGGCTCGCAATCCTCTACTCGATCATGACGCTGAGCGTTTTGTTTTACCAAAGAATCGGTGATCCGATACCAGATGTTCCAGGCGATCCCAAGGACATTGCTAGCACTTTCAGAAGACGAAGTGTGCAATGCCTAGTTCAATCCAACTATCTGACTCCAGGCCAATATAAAGTGGAGGCTATGTTTCTCTACAGCATGGGCGAATTCTACAAAAGCCGGGATGCGCACACCGAAGTCCCTTACCTTCTAGGACTGACAATCAAGCTGGCCATGCGGATGGGCTATCACCGGGATTCTCAACAGTTTCCAGCAATATCCGCCTTCGATGGGGAAATGAGACGGCGCGTGTGGGCCTTCCTCTGTCAACTGGACGCCCTCTTTGCTTTCGAGGTCGGCGTGCCTCGAACGATACAAGATTGGCAATATGATACGGAGCTACCACGTAACCTAGGGGATTCTGATTTTGATCAAGACACTGTCCAGCTTCCTCCATCGCGACCGATGACCGAAATGACTCATTCGACGTATACAATAGCCAAGGCGCGGCTGATGCTGTGCTTTGGTAAGATCCTGGATATGGCGTTCTCACGCACACCCATAACCTACGAAGAAACTCTTGAGGTGGATCGGAGATTGGAAGAGGCACATAGCCTCATACCTCAAATGTTCAAAATCCGCCCCATCAATCAAAGCCTTGCAGATCCTCCGAGGTTAATATTCCAACGATTCACTCTCGAGAACGTCTACCAAAAAGCCCGATGCGTACTACACCGAAAGTACCTAGCAGAGGTACATGCAAACAGACGATATTCATATTCTCGAATGGTATGCATTTCTGCCTCGAAGCAGATTCTTCGCGTGCACGCAGATCTGTTCAATGAAACCCAGCAAGGCGGCCTCTTGTACCGGAATAGACTCTTTCCGAATTCCATTCAGTACACCGACTACCTGCTTGCCGCCATGATTCTCTGCATGGAGCTTTCATACGGCGAAGCTACTGGGTCTCCGGAGGCAGCACGAAACGATGACCTAGGCGGAGTTATAGGAGATCGTGAAGACCTTATATCTACCCTCAAGCGCTCTCATCAAATCCTCGAGAGTCTGCGCCGAGAATCAGCTGATGCACAAAAGGCGCATGCCGCATTGGCTGTTATGCTTCGCAGGGTCCGGGGTGAGACGCACGCCGTATCGCAGCCGAAGACGACACAGACAAGCTCTATGGCAAACATCCCACCTTCCGAGGCCATCAGCAGTACGTCGCTCCGAGCTACGCACCATGCACAGGCTAACCAAGATATAGCCGGCCCGCCGCCGTATGACAGTTGGCCGAACTTTGGGGCGTCAAACTTGCCGAACTTTGATACTTCGCTGTACCAGGCTGATCCAGCAGCTCCTCTCATGCCAGTGTCATTAGCCCCAATCGAGGCGCCATATACATCTTTGAATGTTATTGGAGAAATGCTAGAGGCCCCATCTAACATCAATTGGGTAAGCAATAGAGTGACTTGCGTCAAGAATGATCATGTACTAATTGCAGTAGCAACTGTGGGATCATCAGATTCAGAATCGAAACCCCTCAGCGCACAACAACGACTTGTGGTATCAATGACAGCTGAATGACTCTATACTTGCTGCCCCCGCAGCGAGAGTTCTATCTTGTCATGTTCTCCCACCGCATCTGGTCTGAATAATACTGAAGTGGAGGATGCATATAATGCACGAGAAACTTTCCACTGAATTAGCGTTTTTCGTTACGTCAACTGGGGAATTGCAACTCCGCATAATCATTCCTATATCTAACAGAGAATTGCCACCTCGAACATCTCACGGAGTTCTCAGAGTGTCAGACCAATGCCATTGCCTGTCTCTGTCCTAGCCTCGAATCTTATCAAACACTAATAAGTATCAGTTGGATTGCAGTGAACCAGCCTTGTCTATCAACTAAATCACATAACGATTTGATTCCGTTAGAGCCACAGTAGCTCTGGTCTATCCAAGGTTCGCGTCTTGAAATTATTCGGCTGCTACTGCTGCAAAAAGTATGTCGTTAGGGTTACTAGTATATTTTGTTGCCAACACCATTGGAGCTACAATGATCTAAAGAAACAAATATCTATTTTCTCATCGAAGGGATTGTGGAATACTGATTAGCTTTTTATTTATCCCATCCTCGGCGCGCAATGTCTAGTAGAGATCGGTCTGTACAATGGTGGCATCCTCAGAGCACAACTTGCACAACTACCTTTATGTATAGGCTGACTAAGACTTTCTGGAGCCTCTTCTGCGTCCAAGATCCAGAACACAGCAAGAAAAAGCATAAACATGAAGTAATAATAACAGCAATTGACCACCAAATCTACATCGCACAACATCAGCATGGCTCGCCCTTCATTAATACGGCGCCTCTCCCTCCGAGCGGGACCAGCACTCCAACTACGACAAAATACCACACTATCGAGCCGCCATCTCGCATATTTCTATACAACCTCCCATCGCACGCTCTCACAGCCATTGCAACAGCAGGGTCAAATCAGACTCCCCTCAACTCAAAAACGAACATTTCTCTCCTCCTTCATTCCCTCGCCACCAAGTCCAAACAACAACAACAACGGAAACTCAACCAGCCGCACCCTAACAGCAACCCGAACTCTCCCGTACCCACCACAGCCCTTATTCCGCGTAATCTCCTCGGTCGAATCCTACAGCGACTTCCTCCCCTTCCTCACCTCCTCAACCGTCACCGCGCGCGACCCGGAAACAAACTACCCGACGCGCGCATACCTGACCGTCGGCTACGGGCCTCTCAGCGAGACATTTACGTCCAAGGTTGATTGTGACCCGAGAAAGTGGGTCGTTGAGGCGAGGTCGGGGGAGAGGTTCAGGGATGCTACTGCAGGACGCACGGGAGGGAATGGGGTCTCGACGGGTGGGCTGAGTTCGGGGCTTGGTGCGCTCGCTGGGTTTGCGGGGTTTCCGGGGGCGGATGAAGGGATTTTCGAATATTTGAGTACGAGGTGGGAGCTTGTTCCGGAGGGTGAGTCGAGTACAATTGCGAGTACGGGGTCTGGTGTGCCGCCGAAGACGACGGTCAACTTGGAGATTCGATTCGAGTTCAAGAATCAGATGTATGCGAAGATGATGGGGGCTGTTGAGGGGCAGATGGCTGGGATTATGATTGAGGCCTTTGAAAAGCGGATTCGTGAGGTCCATCGGTGACTTATCTCAGTCTATGGGCTGTGAGTTGGGGGTGAGAGAGCATATGTGTAGACCTGGGTACGGCGCAATCATCCGGAGCGTGGTTAGATATGTATGATATGGGAAGAGACTCCTGAGACTCCGAGGTCTACATGCGATAAACTGCTGTACATTAGATGAGCAAGAATCCCAAACCGTAGTATATAATACAAATTCTCAGAAACACAATGACTCCCCGGCTGCGTCTATGTTTAAATGGTTCTGCGCCAGTCACCGGCAGTCCGGTTTCCCCGCAACGTGGAAGCCGCATTGTAGTTCTCAAGCACAACCTCCCAGTTGATCCGGTTCCACCACCGCTCCAGGTACTCAGCCTTGCCGCCGACACCGTAATCCATCATCCAGACATGCTCCCACGTGTTGACACAGAGAATCGGCTCAAGGTCGAGAGCTCCAGGAGCCAGTTCCTTAGTGTTTGCAGAGAGGGAGCCCATCGAGCCCGCGTATTGGTTGCCCAGGGAGGCGTTTGTGGCCATATCGACGGACTGTCGGCGGGCGTGTGCAGCCGGGTACGGCGAGCCGGCATTGTAAGTGCAGATAATTTGGATCATTCCCTTCCTATCGAGGTTCTTGGCTAGCCAAACAAACCCAGGACCGAACATCGCGTTGGCGGTAGCGAGGAAGTCGAGCTTGAGGGATTCGACGGAGGAGCAGGTGTCGATAATGGTCTTGGCTAAGTTATCGGGGATCTCGGTCTGGACGGGGGACTATTGCAGACCAATCGTAAGAACTTGCGGCTTGGATATATTCGGATTATAGTTACCAGGCAGTTGAAGAAGAAGTGGTTGTTGTGGGCCATAGAAGCGTGGTTGAACACGGATGCCATCTCCGCGCGACGGGAGTACTTGACCAGCAAGTCTGCGGGCTTCAGGTCGGCATCCACGGTGTCTATTGAGAAAGGGAGTCAGCATTGGCAATTGTTTGAGCGTCTTGCATGTGCTGCGCTCAAATAGAATAGGCCCAGGCAGTCTTACCCTGTGTCAACAAGTTGAGTTTATCGAGCATGAGAGACTGATATTGTGTCCAGGCAAAGTCAAACGCCTCTGGCGATAGAAACTCCGAAATGCCATTTTCCTTGAAGTTTGAGCCGTGTATTAATTGGGGCATATGATGTACTCCTCGGAATTGAAAGCGTGGGAGAGCGGCGGAAACGGGTTTCTGGAGCGCAACGCAAGGTTAGCTATTCAAGAGCTCAGCAAGCCATTGGAGGTTGGAGAAGCTCACTTGGAGAAGGGAGGAGGCTGCACGCAGCGGCGCCTGCGGCCGGAGAAGTCGATTGAGCATGGTGATAGGTGGTAGGGGGAGAAAGCCGCGAGAAGTCCGTCAAACGATCCGTATCGCAGCTTTTCTCAACTGCAAATCCGCAGAATTTCCCTGAGCAGGACCCGTTAGGGATTAGCGCGGCTGAGGTAACCCGGCGCCAACAGCAGCCAATGACAAGCCGCAGATCAGCCTTGGGTCTATTTATGTCTCTTCTGTGCTCTTCCTCTGGACAACGTCTCTTCGTTTCTGTTTGTTGCAAGCCAATTCACCGTGTTAAGCGCTTTGGTTTTACCATCAAACCAGGTGGTGCCATGCGGGCCCGAAATGGACCCCGGTACGGCGACGCATCTCCAGGCGCTTCTGCGGCCGCCCCCATTAGACCAGCAACTATGAGCTCCATCGCCTGTCTCTATTCTAGGACCACGGCGCTTGCAGAGACCAGGCCCTGGGTTATTTCTGTAACATGATGGGGAAGGCAACTGTGTTTGGGCATCAAATACCAGACAACCCCCAATTCACGCTTCCCTCATTCTTCCTCCCTTTGTTGTCTGATGCATGCTTCACTCACGTCTTGGCTCATTGTTGCGGCGCTTTGAACTTGACAGCTCCAGCATAATCTTGGTCAAGCTTCGAATCCCTACCCTCCAGATACCCTTGCTTTGACGCCAATATTCCGGATAATGGCTACACCCTACACAGGTCATGTCTCTGTGAGGCATTCCATTTTAATGCTATTGGCCATCATGACTGCGAACGCATCTCCGAACCTACACCTTCAGAGATCCGACGCCTGCCCTAGTGGCTCATCGCAATGTACTGGTGATGGCTTGCCAGACAGCTTTTGCTGTGCTTCGTCATCGACCTGCGTTAGCATCGACAGTGGAAGCTCGGTTATCTGCTGCCCAGACGGCCAGGACTGCACGTACATTGAGCCCATCACATGTGATGTGACGAAGCAAGACACCAGTCTCTACCCTAGCAATGTGATCAAGACCACGAGGCTGGATGACGATCTACCTACATGTGGGGATTCATGCTGCCCGTTTGGGTACACTTGTCAGGGCGACTTCTGCGCCATGGACGACACTTCTTCATCCACATCAACCCATAGCAAGACAACTGAGACAACAACGTCAACACCAACGCCAACCTCAACTTCCGACACTATTTCAACAGAGACTCCAGAGCCTTCTCCAACCACAACCAATGGAGCTACAGCAGAGTTTACATCTGCCACGGGAGAAATCTCAACTATAACCTCGGAAGCGACACCAACGATAATCACACTGGCAACACCAACACTCTCTCAATACTCTGCTGCATCAGACAGCACCAGCTTGGATACGGCCGAAGCTAAATGTCCCACCTTTCCAACCAACGCTGTTCTAGCCGGCTTCTTCCCCGGCACGGTCTTTGGCGCCGTGGCCGCACTCCTTCTCATCGTCTGCATCCGCAGACACCAACGACACAACCGCCCGCCAGGCGAAAAGGTGGCCCAAAACACATTTCGCAAATCAACCGGCACCCTAATCGGCATCTCCGACCCCATCCCCTCCGACGAAAGCTCCTTCCGCACAGATTTCCTCCTCCGCACGAACCCGAAACGCAACTCCGAAGGTGCCCGCTCCGTCCTCCAGCGCAGCAGATCCCGTGTCAAGAGCTTATTTGGCGGAGGCCCGAAACCAAATCCCACCGCGGCGGAAGAAATACCGCCTGTTCCCGCAATGCCCATGACGCCGCCCCGCCAGCGCCAACCGAGCACAGAGAGTATCCATATCTACACACCACCTGGGGTATTCGCAAGCTCGGGTACCCTCAATCCAGCACCGTACCCTGATCAGCGGCCGAATACAACCTTGACTGAGATCCTGGATCGAGCGCAGGCGCAAATGCAAGCAAATTCAACTGCGAACAGCGCTAGCAATAGTAAGACGAACAGCGTTGCTACAACTGCGACGAACCAGCGCTTCTTGCTCCCGCCGGGACAGGGCTCAGCTCGCCGAAAGCCGCTGCCGTATTGATTTCTTGCTTTTCTTACCTTCCTGCAGATTTGGAGGTTCTACCTCAGCTGTCTTTTCCTCCTTCTGAACCGTGTCGCGCAGTTTAGCTGGAACCATATCCTACATCTATTGTCTTGTTCTTCAAAGTTTGGCAGTTCAGCGAGCATTTGCATCTTCAAATTCCATCTTTCTCAATGTATTAGTGAGTGATCATATGCAGCAGGCTAGCAATAACGTATATATACATAATGAGACAAACTTTCACATCTGAATATTGGTATCTGAATAAACTGTATACTAACTACCTCGACTGCGAATTTCCCGCTACCAAAAAAAAAAGAAGTTATGCAGACCTCGCCCCCTTCCACCCAACAACAATCCTCCTAACCTCCTTCAATAGCCCCAGCACAAGTGGAACCCCAATGGGACCCAGAAGCGGCAAATACACCGCAACCTTGTGCTCATCGGGGAAATACACCTGGCCAACCATACTCTTCTCAAAGAAGCTGCGCTCGGCCTCTGTCTCTGCGACGCGAGCGCTCGCGAGCGCATCCTGGAACCGGCCATTGCGCAGGCTCTCGCACGAGGCTGAGAGGTGAGAGAGGGTCGTGGAGACCGAGAGCGCGACGGGGGCGGGGATGGGGATTGAAGGGAGGGATTCGGTGAGGCGCGCTAGGGAGCCGAGGGTCGAGGAGGCGGACAGGAGGAGGGTTGCCGCTCGGATGCGGATGAGAGTTTGCAGGCGGAGGGGGAGAGAGGTTGGGGTTGAAGGGGTGCCGAGGAGGCTGAGAAGTTGGTGGGAGAAAGTCAGGAAGGCGGGGCGGAGGGAGGTGCGGGAGAGGTGCGGTGGGTTTGAGAGGGATTTCGCTGTTGTTCTTTCTGTGTCTGTGTCTGTGTCTGGGTCGGGTCTTGTGGGAAGGGGAGGGTTGAGGATGAAGACGCCGCCCCATTGTGGGATTATCCAGCTTGTTGCTTTGCTTTCCTTCACGAGGAGCGGGAAGTGCTCCGGGCTAGGGACGTAGAGGATGAAGTTTATTGTTGGGCCTGTGCCGATGCTGGGGTTAAGGGGCCATTCAGCGGCGTTGATGAAGGCGCTGAGGTTCTCTTCTTTCAGTGTCCAGATGCCTTGTGTTTCGTCGTACTCGGGAGCGGGTGTTGTTGGGGAGAAGGTTGCGTAGAGCTGGACCTGGGTGTCGATGGTGAAGTTGCTGATAGGAGAAAGCGCTTGAACGATTGGAGATATATAGTCCTGGACAGCAGATTCAATATCCCAAGAAGAGGGGGCAGATCCGGGTGTGAATAGAGAGAAAGCGAGATGATATGTCTCTGCATACTTCATTGATCGTCGCAGCCGTTTGGTGATGCTCTCTGCAAGCTGGGGGGAGATTTGTTGCGCCTGGCTATTCGACGACGGCGTAATAGCGCCAACTGCATTGTTCGACAAGATATGCGCTATGGTCGCTTTCTCCTCCGCAAATAGACGCTGCAATTCTCCGGCAATGAAGGAGGAAAGAGGCGAATTGGCCGACGCAGGCGGTGGAATCTGGCTCGGGGGATAGAAGACATCGAGCGTAGTAGAGTCCGTCTGAAGCTCGGAACGCGGGCTGGCCAAATCATCTTGCGCCAGGAGACGAACCGTCAATGCCGTATCGGCCTTCTCTATTGCCTGTTGCGCCTCCTCGTTTGCAAGTTTCAAGCGCAAATGGTGCGCGGAGAACTCGTTCAAATCGTCCAGGGTATGCTGGGTTGTGCGGAGAAGCTGTTGCGCCTCGATTTCCGGCAGCGACGGAATCTCAAATCTGATATCAACCGGAAAGACAGGACGACAACTCTGTGTACAAGATCTAGTTAGTTCTGCGACTTTTCGAGGTGACTCGTGCCGGCCTGGTTGTTTACCTTCCCACCAGCCCAGTCGAGCATCTCTTGGAGAGGCAGCTCAGCACGGTAGATAGATGTCGTCTTCCACCATATCGGAAACCCAAGAAATAGAATAACTGCCCAGAATGCAGCCACCACCCTAAACCGAGTCTGTATAGCGCTGGGCTTCTCCGGAGGGGGCAGGCTCGAGGCGGAGGTCTGGGGGGTCATGGAGGCCTGCGAAGACCCCTGGTTTTCGTACTTTTCGCTCATGATAGACGGCACATGCTTTACCCGGACAAGCGATATGCTGGTACCACTAGAGGTCGTGGTGTGGACTGGTGGGTGCGGAGAGTAAAGACAGAAGCCAGCGTGGTCTACGATGCGGGTTGAAGGCGGAGAGCCAGAATTAGTATCCCGCGGAAGAGCTACACTATACAACGGGGCTCACTGACATTGATTTCGCTGACATAAAAGTCTCATTTGAACTATCTGAGTAAGATTTCTATAGTTCTATATAGTAGTGTACTTTGACTGCAGCATCTGAATAATATTGGGTATCAAACCGTCGCGCCGAGGTCTGCAATGAACCGAACAAACCAACATACCAACGCCATCCATGCATAAATGCTAATATTCCTTTTCAAAAAGCTTCTGGATTGGTTTCGCAGCCTTAGGATATGGTTAGCAGACTCGGAGGACGCAAGGGAAAAAGGTCCGTACATCAATGAATCTCTCGAGATCCTGATCAAGGCTGGCGAGGTCATCCTTCCGCTTGTTATTCTCCGTAATCAAGGCTTGCTTGCGTTTGAGCAGCTCCTGTCGCGCTTGTTCAAGTTTCTCGCGCTCCGCATGTTCGTGGTTTATCCGCGCCACCATTAGTTCGTGCTCGTTCGACTCGCGATGCTCTGGGTGAAGCTCGAGAAACTCCTCTACTGGTATCAAAGGGAGCGATCGGTATTTGTGGCTATAAGCCGAACGATTAGTATTTGATGGCTGAAACATTTTCATATGACTGAAACGTACTCGTAGGACTCGCAAGCGGCGATTTCTCCGGTCAAATGACGCTGCTCATAATACAGGTTCTGAAGCTGCAAATGTAACCGGTCGATCTCCTGTCGGGCCTCTGCCGTCCGTTGTTTGGTATCTCGAACTCGGAAGATGGCATTTCGACTCTGGCCTCGGAGCTGGGCGAGGAGCGCAAAGAGGTGCTTTTGAACCGTCTGTGGCGACTCGGTAATCTGGTCGCGGTCGAGCGAAGGGTCCAACAGCGACAGCAGCTTCTGGCACAGATCCCAAGTCTCGGCAGCAGAGTTCAAGACGGGCAGCAAGGAGGGGTCGGAGACGATGTCACGAATGGCAGTTGCAGCCATGGCGATAGATACAGGGATGGCGAATGATAGGCGAACAGCGAATAACGATGGCGGAGAGAAGCACTTGGGGGAGAGACCGGTGGAATGGTGGGTTGAACGTGGAGAGTCCGAGCCAACGGATTGGACTCTTGAAGGCAAATAAAAGTCCAGACGCAGGCTTTAGATGATCAGCATTGATTTAAGGCTGTCGAAAAAGTAGGTTCCTTGCTGGTCGCCGTCGGAGCAGGTCGTTTGGCAAACTTGGGGCCGAGCGATTAATTAATTGAAGGCGTTCCCCACCTCTTCTTCCCTGTCGGCTCGTCTCTTCCTCCAACGTCTCTCCCCAACGCTTCTCCTCCTCTCCCCTCCACAGAGATCGTTCATTTTTCTTTATCTCTCCTCGATCATTCTTTCACTTATTACTTAGAATCTGTCGTTTTGTTCGCTCCTTTCATGTAAGTTCAGCTGCTCCGATCGCCGGAATCATCGGCAATTCTCCCATACATAAACACCGGCGCTTGGCTCCAGTCCACAGCTAACGCCGCTTGTGCAGGCTATGTACGATTGAATTCTCCTAGAGCGAGCGTGTGCGATTATACCTATATTATGGCTTGCTCAGCTCAATCTGTCACTATCGAGTCCCATCTCGACGATGCCTTTTCCTCCGCCTATGCTACTCCCTCCGAGGAGACCTCTCTACTTCGGGATCGCAGACGAAGACACTCGTTTCACACCGCGAGAAAACTCTCCTGTGACTATGATGCGGACGCCATTTTCCTCCGAGTATGCTCCCCTCGACGTCTGCGACATGTGTTCAATTAGCTGCTCTAACACTTACCCAGGTCGAACTCTTCCTCGCGGAACTAGAGAGGCGTCTCCACTGGATCGAACAGTACCGCCGATCGCACATGGTCCAGATCGATGCCAGCCTACGCCGAGCATACGCGACTCTGGAAGACGTGAGGGATTCTTGTTGCCATGCCTCAGGCGAGCTGATGGGAGGCGGCAAGAAGAGAGCTAAGATTCTGGTGGAGACACTTGAGGACCGCTACAACGACGCCTTGGTAACGAAGGAAACGCTGGAACAAAAAGCGCAAGCCGGTGTACGGTTGATGGAGTCATTCTTGACCGAACTGGAGTCTCGTGCCCACGCCGTCCGGGACCGCGGTGTTTACGGTGCCCTGGACGATGGGTGGAAAGCGGTCGACTCAACGCTGGTACAGGCAAGAGAGGTTGTGGATGAGGGAATGGAACGAGCACGCATGGTCAAAGACGCTCTTCGTGAGAACATTGACCGAGCTATCCTGCTGGCTCAAGAGAAGCGTCTCATCGGATACTCAGATCTGCCAGCCCCATGGCGGATAAACCCGCATATCCTCTCAGGCTACCGGTTCACCTCATCGAAGGTCGAATGCTTCACCTCCGTGTTTACCTTCTCCAACGAGCTCGTCAACATTTGGTCCCACCTAATAGGCCTCTGCATCGTCCTCTCCATCGCCTTTTACTTCTACCCTTTGAACCCTAACTTCCACCTAAGCACAAAATCTGACATGCTCGTTGCCGCGGTCTTCTTCTTCGCCGCTTGCAAATGCCTGGTCTGCAGCACCCTATGGCACACAATGAACAGCATCGCCAACCAACCCCTAATGGAGCGCTTTGCCTGCGTCGACTACACCGGCATCTCCCTACTCGTCGCCGCATCCATTGTCACAACCGAATACACGGCCTTCTACTGCGAACCCACGTCGCGCTGGATTTATATCCTCCTCACCATGTCCCTAGGAATCGGCGGCGTCATCCTTCCCTGGCATCCCACCTTCAACCGCGCCGACTTCGCGTGGATCCGCGTCGCCTTCTACGTCACCCTTGCCCTAACTGGCTTCGCACCTCTCGCGCAGCTGACCTACGCCCGCGGCTTTGCCTGGTGTCTCTACTTTTATGCACCTGTCATGAAGAGCATCTTAGTCTACTTCGTCGGAGCCTGTGTCTACGCCTCCCAGGTCCCAGAGCGCTGGAGTCCGGGACTCTTCGACTACTTTGGCGGCAGCCATAACATATGGCACCTTGCCGTCCTCGGCGGGATTTTGTTCCACTATCTCGCGATGCAGGATCTATTTGCAAACGCCTTCCAGCGCGCACAAGGCGAATGCCCCAACCTTACTGCATAGTTACCTCACCGCACCTTCTTTTCCTTTTTTTTTTGTTACATCCCCTTCAATTCTACCACATAACCTTTCCAGTATTACCGGTTCACCTCACCTTGGCTATGAACTTGCACGCCGTGGCACGATGTATATACGACTTAACTTTGGGTTGTCCCCTCCCCGCAAAACAAAACACTGCACTCTAAACACCATTCAGGCAGATAGATCTATAGATACACATAGCCGCCTTGGTTTCCTTTCTCTTTTTATTTCCCCCTCTCTTACATCTTATTCTCTGGATCCCTCTTTCTCTGTTATTTATAGCGTTAATCTTAGATTCCTTTTCTTGTGCATCAGCTGAGCTTGGATACGGTAGCTCGGCTCTGGCTCGGTTCAAGTCGCGGAGGGGAACGAATGGGAACTAGGCAGATTAGACGGGGGAAGAGCATTTGCATGAATGGAGTTTCTTTTTTTCGTTCACGTTTCTCTCATCTCTTTCTATTGCTCTTTCTTTACATTACTGCTCCCATCTACGGTCCACCATTCACTAGATATCTACCGTCTATCTGCATTTTCCTAGATTTTGTGTAGTGGTCTATAGAATTCCGTCGGGGCCATTTTGCGATTTAGAGTCCTTTTAGGAAGCCTATGAAAAAAGGGAGAGAATAAAGAAGGGTTGTTACTGATATCCTGTATCACTCTTGAATCTTGCTCGATCTAGATGCCAGAAATATGCGAAGCGAATCGAGCACTTTCTATACCAAGTAACTACAGAGCAGAAAGCAGCAAAGAAGCAGAAATACATCAAAGAAAACTCAAAATGTCCAGAACAGATCAGAACAGATGAGATAGATGCCATCAAATAGGACTCAAAAGCCTTCAAACTGCTCCCTCGTCAACGGCTTCGCCTCAATAATCGACCCCATATGGGACTTTGAAAACCCATGCCCTTTCGTCCTAATGCTAAACCACGTATTCAGAAACGCAAGAGGGCACTCCTTGAACGGGGAGGTAACAGGCCATGCGACCTGGTTACGGGCACGTTCGGCGACGAAGCCCTCGCTTGTGACATCGCCCTCGGGAACGATTGGGGTGCTTGCGGTCCGAAAGCCGAAAAACTGTTGAGCGCTTTCGTACTCCTCGTAAGTGTCGAAGTACAGACTTCCGGAGAAGACCTCGAGAGCTCGAAGGATTTCCGGGGAGAACTCGTGTCCTTCTCTTGGGGCACCGATTGACAAGAAGTCAAGTTTGCTGAAGGACCGCATGTCCTTTGTTATGCGTGGCGCGTAGATATGGAGCGTTGTCTTTTCGGATTCCCGAATTTTTGTTAACAGCTCGTTCGCCTCAAACTGACTGATGATCAAAAGGCTCGAGTTGCGGATATTGGATAGAACCCAATGGACGGGTTTCAAGAATTCATCGTTGGTGTGCACGGTTTGGGTTATAGTCTCGATGAAGTCGGTTGTAACAAAGATGCCGTTGAGAATAGAACCAGGTATCTCAAATTGCTCAGCAGACGTGGTAGCAAAGCACTCGATTGCTATGTGAGAGTCATTGGAAAGATAGCCAGGGAAGCAGGCGTGCTTTACAAAGTACTCGATATCCCCGGACGGTGTATGCTTCATAGGTTGCACAGGTGGAGGAAGGCAGACATGCGGCTCTCGCTGCACCTGATGCATCACTTCACATTCACGTTCTCGTTCTTGTTCTTGCTCCTCGTGGAGCTGATTGTCGCCGGACTCAGAACGCTTCAAGATGTCATGAAGTTCAGCAACCGTTGAACTGGTCTGGGCCAGTTCCTGGATTCCGTTGAGCGCTTCCAGGCCTTCACTCCACGGAAAGTAAAGTTGACGAAGGGACTTGGACTCTCGCTCCTGAATCTCGTCCACTTTGTCTACCAGGTTCCCTTCTTCAAGATCTAGAGATTCCCAAATCTGCATCACCCGGAAATGGTTCAGCCCCTGCGCGGCCCAGAGTGGCTCAAGTCTCTCCAACTGGTCGCAAGTCTGCTCGAGAACCCATTGAAGGACGTCAAACGAGGTATATGTTGACCTCAAGTCCTTTAGGCTGTGCTTGACTTCTGGAGGCATGAAAAAGGCCACTGATTGGCCATTTCCGAGCTCTCTCATTCGATGACAAGCTAGTGGTTATCAGTTTCTATGCTTTTCGGATCCCAATGCTGTGCGATTTCACTTACCTTGAACAAGCCTATCTTTGGTCAACCGAGGACCAAGCGTAATTGCTGCGCGGTACTCATGGGGCAGCTTGAGATCAACTCCTCTCGAATGGTGCTGATCAAGAAATACGAGGCAGCGATGCATCTGCTGGCTGAAAGGTGATGCGAGGAGTCGCTCCATGCGGCCATCCCGGTCAATTACGATAGGCTCATCCTCTTCATCAAAAAACACTGCAGCCGCCAGGTCAGCTGAGGATACGCTGAGCCACTTGATTGCAACTTGTCTGTTGCTTAACTCCAAAATCTGAGCCCCAACATCAATAATGACTCGAATACGGGGATTTTGATCGTTGATATGAAGCAGGAGGTCATTGTCCGAAAGTTTGTCTCCGCTATCGTCCTGAGCAAGAATGCATTGCTGGTTTTCCCTGAGCAGCAGCCGAGCTAGAACCATGGCGTTGGTATGCAAGAGATCAGGAAGGTCCTTCTGGGGCATAGAGCGGGGAAGAAGGTATCGGTTGTCATTGGTTCCACTAAAACCAGTTGTGAGAGGGTAGTTCGGCCTTGATGGGATGTCCCATGCGGAAGTCGAAAGCTTGAACGGATATTCCTTTGCATCACGGGGAAAGACCACGCGGGAAAGAAAGAAGTCAATAAGACCCTTTTGGTATCGTAGATGCGGATAGAGCTCCTGCTCAAAGCTAGGCGTGTCATCGACATTGACGCCAGAAAACGAGTGTAAGCCTCGAGGGAGCTCATCGCGGCACTGCATAATCCAGCGCTCATACTCAGCTTCAGGGTCATCCTCTTCTTTGAGCAGTGAGACGCATTGTCGTACTTGGCTCATCTTGAGTCCCTCATAGTAGTAGCTCAAGCAGGTCAATACCAAGGTGACTTCAGAATGACCAAACATGGCGCTATCGCTTGGAACACCCTTAGCCCTAAACGGTACGGCGAGCAAGGACCGTGTCGGATGAATGCCATAGTCCACGAGCCAGCGCTTCCCAGTTAACGCGAAGTGCAGAATATTATAAGCAAATAGTCCCCTTAGAACAAGAAGCCTTTTTAGGACCAGGCTACCCTCAAACCTTCGGCGAACAGTCTCCTTGTCATGTTCTGTGATCTTTTTGTAACGTATGAAGTTCATGGTGCTGACCTGAATCGGTAATGCAGAGTCTTGAAAGGAAAGACCAGGAACTGCGCCATTCTCTATAGCTTCAAGAACCTTTTCAAGTAGAATATCCGCTGCGTAGGTGGCAAAGAAATGTATAAAGGGATACCGTGCACCCTGCTGATCAACACTCAGGCCGCTTTTTTTCCCGAGGGAATGCAAGTGCAATAGCATTGCTTGCTTCTTGACTTCTTCCAGGACATACATAATGACCCCCCAACGATCAGCCTCCCCATCTAGATTTTGCTGATGCCCTCGTGTGTAGACGAGTTGAAATTTGGGATCCAAGACCTCGTCACTTTCATCAATAACAGTGCGACAGCGCTCCTGTAGTAGGAGCTCTAGCTCAACAAGGGAGTGGGCTATTGTAGAATCCTTCTTCGCGTAGTCCAGGCCGACAAGTCGGAAAGAGAGCAGTTGCTCTGGAAGAACAATAAGGATTCCCCGCTTTTCCAGACATTCGTCATATATTTGACGTAGAGCCTCTGTCGTGGTTTCAGAGATTCGTGTATTTCGCGAAAATGGGATATGATACACTGGCCGGTTCAGGAGTCCACCCAATCGCTGTGAAAGAAGATTCATACTTTGCCGGAGAAGGGGCTTCAGCACTATAAGCCGTGATATTTGTGAGCCGTTGGATAGGCGTAGAGCTACCATTGGGGTAATCACAGTTGTTTTGCCTTCTCCCATAGTCAACTGTAGGACGGAATTCTCTTGTCCTTCGACCATCCTCCGGGCAACATCCGCTTGACGTGCACGGATTGTCAGGTTGCCCTCGATTTCCAAAAGCAGCCATTCAGGAATCTGAGCTGGGTCCCAGCCTTCACACTCCACTGCTTCTGCTTCTTTGTAGAAGCTGCTGGAGTCTTCATTGTCGAAATGCATGATAAGTCGCTCGGATTGGCGTAAGAGAGCTATGAGCTTTGCCAGTATCAGGAGAGGTTTCTTCCACGGTGCCGGGACTAGGCTCCATTTATCAGACGCTAGGAACGAGAGAATGGATAGTATCGTGATAGACGGCCAGAGAGTCTGGCCTACCTCTGCCCATCCCTCCACTGGTGATATCGAGTTGTTTATTTCCGCCCAGAGGCTATCTCGCTGATCTGAAAGACGATTTCGAAGATTCACCAGGGCTGCCCTATCAGCGGAAATTCTGGTGGGTGCGCAAGGTAGATGCACGTTTTTTAGGGAGCGCAGGCTTTCCGAGAGATCGTTCGCGTACTCTTGACGCAGTGGTTTAGAGCCCTTCCGGAGGCTATCAATCAAAGCCTGCAAGCCATCGTTCAGGTCAGCGCTAACATCAGCTGGCCGTTGCGACCTCTTGAATCCCATAAGCCTTTGGTCTGTGTCCATAGGCGAGGGAGCATTGGCCAGAAGCATCAAATCGTGAAGGTCCGGCAAATGCCAAGGAACAGTGCGAGGATATATCAGGTTGCGAGGCGGGAGTGGGGGTGGTTGTTCTAGCACGCGTGGTATAATATTGATTGTATCGAGTCTGTCCTGGACAGCCTGAATAAACAGACGGAATTGAACGTTCTGGCTCCAGCGTCTGAAGAGATCGTCGCAATCATCAAAACAGTCTGACTTCCATGGCTCCAACCCAGGAGGCTTTCTGAGTGCTCCACAAGGCCACTGTATGCTAATCACTCGTTCAAGGTCTTCTACATCCGAGGCCTTTTTCCTCTCGTAGTCTTTGCGCCGCTCACGGGATATCTTCCCTTTCTCATTTCGTGACAGGTTCTTGCCTTTATGGGACATGCGCTCAAGTGGTGGATAATGGGTAGAGATAATGTCTCTAATCTCCTCCGCCTGTGAATCATTGATTGCTTGCCCTGGTTTCAACGTCAAGTCCACCGACTGCCCCTTTAGATCTTCAGGAATAGGCGGAAACCCTCCCCAAACCGCAATCGCCAGCAATGAATGAAGATAGTCAACCTCCGGGTGTCCAAAGGCAATTGTGCAGAAGATAGACATTAATTTGTGTTTGTCAGTTTCTCCATTGCATGACTGACACTGCCCGTATAAGGTGGCCCATAATGCTTGTATCGGCTTTTCCAAGAGTGACGTATACGTAGACTGGCCTGGCGAACGGTCCTCGAGTTCCATCACGCCCCAAGCTTTGATCGTAGCTATCAGGTCGTCTTTGTGGCTCAGAGTGGCAGGCCAACCTTGGGCCAATCTCGCAATTTCGTATACTCGACGACTTCGAGCACTTTCGGTTTCGCTCCTGTCTCGCGCCTTGTACTCCGGAGGTGGCACATACTGGTTAGCAGATGCTCCTCCAAATCCAGATCTATAGAAATGCATGTTTCGATTTCTCGCTTTCTCAAGTAGTCGAATATCTCCGCGGGAAAGCCCTGGGCATGGCTCCATCTTTCGACCGTGGAATGGAGCAAATTTGCCAGCATGACTGTAAATCTCCTGGGCTAACCATCGGAAGTCATCATGTTGTGCGACTGAGCTCAGATTCTGAATCCACTTCACTTTTTGCACCGACGTGACTTTTTGTTCGGCATTTATTGGCGGATAGCATTGCCGGTGAGGCGTTAGAGACGCTATGAGCCCCAAGAGGTTGACACAATCACTGCCCAAAGAAGACGACGTCTTCATCTTCGCTTGCCGTAACATATGCAGAGCTTCTTCGGTGCCTGAACGATTGGTCATGGGGTCTGGGAGCACAAAAGAAGTGACAGCATGCAAGTATGCTAGGTAGAGGGAGCCTGTCGTTCCGGAAGTATCCAGGAGTGCCCCTAGGTTTACGTCCACTGAGTATTGGTAGTATTTGACTCTCGAGGCGTTAGGAGAGTCTACAAAAACCTCGGTATGTGAAGTACCTCTGCCGACTCTGATCGTTCCGTAAGGAATCAGCACTGTACGGGAGTGCCCCGTTTTGTCGCGTAGAACAAGTTTGTTGAACAAGCCATAAAGACACCCGATATCCTGGCTTGAGTCAACGATAGAATTATGCTCGCGACATTCCAGTGCTCCGTCCTGATTGACGAAGAAAGTGAGACTCAGGCGGTCCAACTTGGCCTCGATTGTACCGTCTAGACTTTTCGTAACGGTGATGTGTCTGGCAATGTCCAGTTTGCCCAAAACACTTGCAACACGGCCGAAGAACTCGCCATGAACATCGGCCAACTTTCGATGACCCTGTCTGGTACTTGAGAAAGCACTGCCATATTCATGGTATCCCATGCTCCAGTTGCTGTCGTTTTCCTGCCATGGGTTCTCAAGTGGACGAAATTCGAGTTTTCCATCCTTGATATCCAACCAATGTGTATAACAAGTTACCAGCGAGTCTGGGAAGTCTCCCTGCAAAGACTCGTGTGGTATGTACCGCAGGATGCGACCTGGCTTTTTGGGTTGACGTTCCTCTCTTGCAAACACAATAACCTCGCCTCCGTAAGAACGGAAATAGATCTTCTCGTGTCAGTAACTGATACCAGATCACGGAAGTCAATGTAAGCTTACCCTGTACTTGCCGAATAGCTGAACTGACTTGAATCTTGAGCCTCTTAGTCTGGACCGGGCTACCGCGAGTGGGTTCTTGAAATGTGAGTGAGAACTCTCAGAAGTATATGGGTCATATAATTCTCTTACCTGACCAAATAGCCGCCGATACAATGCGGCTTTTGTTATGTCTTCTGGAAGGCGACCTGGAAGCTCGTTGTTTATGCGTAACTCCCCAGTAAGTATATTGTAGTGAAACTCTTGTTGGTCCTCACTAGAGTCCGGCGATGTGCTCGTCACCCATCTACTATTATTTCCCTCAAGAAAGCGCCAGGGAGTAGATATCTCCAGGCCCTGGCTACTTTGCTTGACTGCACGAGTAAGCCCAGAACAGTCAATCCCAATCAACTGATGTATTTCTTGCTCTGTGTGGCAAAGCACTCGAGAAGTACGAAGGACCATAGCTTTTACCTCAATGGGCACAGTTCCTGTCGATATATTGGAATTCTCGAAGACCAATAGTGATGCTTGTAATAGGCACTGCAAGTCCTCTTGTGTATGAAGAACGGCCGGAAGATGTTCAGAATCCACGGAAAAGGTCAGGAGGCAGATTCCTCCAATATGCAGCATCAAGTTCAGTTTCCCCTGAGTATTCTCTCCCAAACTGGATTCAACACTAGTTTTTAGCTTCGCGCACCATTCCATAGCCACTCCCCTACATCTGCGTAAGAAACTCATCGCTTGCTCAACGGCTGACTGGGGGCCGAGGCTCAGACTTCGAAGCCCCAGGACGACAATTGTCTGGAGAGTGTGAAACTCATTCCAGTTATGCTGAATGCCCGACAACCTGTGCTCGAGTGTTTCCCAAAGCCTCGTAACAGAGTTCAAATCTTCAAAGAACACATGGGCTTCTCTGAGCCACTTGCCAGGCATAAATGGACCGAGCTGCCATGCCGCCTGACAGAACAGTTCATGGACGGGCCTTTCGTTTAGTGAGATAGAGGATGATGCAATTTCCCTCAGTATGTTGTACCACTGCAAGCGCTCACCTAATCTGAGTTGACCGAAAGCGATCAAATTGTGAAGGTTTAGTTGTGACTAGTAAGTTCGTTGCTCTGCTATTATTTGATTTTGGTTGTGGTGACTCGTTTCGACCGCATACTGGAGACCAGCATATGCGGTGGCATTGAGGTAAAAGGTGCAAAGCTGCTTGAAACTTGGACTTGAAGTGTTCCGTCTGTCCTTGACCCATGCTTCTTTCTTGGTGTCCCAAAGGCAAAAGTGAAGTCCGCTAGATACTACTATCTGCTCGGGACCGACTGGGATCCTCTGAGTGCTGAAATGGGAGTCTACCCACGACTTGGTTGCAGAGGCAAGAGTTAGTCTCCGTGGCCGGCTGTCATGATATTCTCTCAGCGCCGGGTATTCCAAGAGGTTCACTTCCATGCGTGCGGATTCGCTCGTCTGAGATCTGCCATAGTCGTCCAGAATCATCCATGTGACATCCCGCCATTGTGCAAACCACTCGGGGCAGGTGAGCTCAAACACAACATTCTCGACCAAGTCCTCGTCATCAGGAAGGGGCCATTCGTGGATCCCAATGGACAGTCGCGCCGCATCTTGTTGCAGCTGACATTTTCTACAGTAGGGTAGGTGGCTTCCATCCTCGTCCTCATCTGTATCATGCGACAGCTTCGAGGCTTCGTTGAGGAGGTTTTCATGCTTCTGCGATAAATCCTTGCACCTTCTTTGTCGATCATCTCGTTCTTTTTGGAAATTTTCGACAATTTTTGCCCGCTGAGACCGACACTTTCGAGAAGCCTTGAAGAACAAAGCAGCAAAAGTGTGAGATCCTGGGTCCTCAAAGATACTTGCATCAGACGAAGAGCCATCAAGTCTGGAAGCGATGTATTCTTCAACCGCTTGTGCCCGTATCATCTCACGCCGGCGGGGTAGAAGCAGATGTTGAAGCAGATTCTTGGGGAGCTCTGGTGAGAATTTCGCGAGAGAACCGCAGACTTGGACGCATAATTTGTCCAGGGAAACCCAGCACTCGAGTATGACCAGAAGCATCAAGGACGTCAATTCAGGTATCCTGGCGTACTTCTTGCTTGCATAACGCGAGTAGGTTCCTATCAACTCTGCTAGGCCACAACATGCTTTGTCCAATGGTTGGGCTGTGCTGCACCAGTTTTGTAGCTCGGCGTCTACCCACATTTCGAAATCAACAAGTGACTCCGTTTCATCATCTTTCAACCGGAACAAACCATTGATTTGTTTCTGTCTTCGGCGTGAATGGTTTGGTCTGAAGGGTATCGTAGGGGCAGCGGGTGGCGTGTCGAGCTTCGCATTGCGGAGATATTTGCGTGAGTGCTTTAAGGACGTCTCGAAATCGGTTTCACGCGCTGAGTCAAACCTGCGTGGAATTTTCGGCGAGTAGATACATCGAATGCGTCGAAAATCCGCCTGTAGACGCGTCGCGATTGCTTCATTTGTTTCCCTCACTCTCTGCAGCACAAACTCAAAAGCCTTGTCTCGTAACTTATAGACCCGGCGAGTGTATTTGGCATTAGTAAGAGTTAGAACATCTGCAATGGCAGGCATCGCCGGATGAGCAGTGTTCGACTCGATTTCAGCGAGAGTAACTGAGGCAAACTCCGCAACTAGGTAGAGCATGAGGTTTTTGTACTCGAAACGGCCTTCTTGGTTCGGAAAAGCACGGTATAGAACTGTTTGAAGCGCGACTCTCAGCACCAACCACAGAGGTGAGCGCCGCCAGGGGTGCCTGTAATTTCCAATGTTGATTTAATCACGCACGTGCTTCTCAAAGGACTTCCAGACATTATGTTCGCCGAATGCTAAATGCTCTACCATAAGCTTCTCGGTTATCAGGCCTGGATGAACAGTATCCCAATCTTCCTGCATAGAGTCCCTATGCTCAGAACCCTTGGGATACATTTCACGTACAACCTCTAGATCTAGGCTGCAAAGGCTTTGGGCCAAGTAGTCACAGAACCGGGGGTTATCGAGCAGTCCAATCGGTATAGAGACACTCTGGCCGGGAAAGCAGCGGATAATTGGACCGGGCGCTTCCTGCACAGCTGACAGAGTCGCGGAAGCTTCGAATGCGTCGAGGATAGCCTTGTTCTTCTGCTCGTCATAGTATGCCAACCATCCACAGTTCTGGGCGCTGATATGAAGCGCTACAGCTCCTAATTACATCATCCGTTAGCACAGTGCCTGATAGGTGGGAGCAAAACGTACCATGAGTCTTCAGATTCAGAAGTGCGAAGGCTAGTGCTTCCTGATGCCGATTTAGAGTACCGGCTGGGTCGACCGCGAGCCAGGTATCTACCATGTTCAACACTGGCTTCCACTTGTTCTGCACATCTTCAGCCCTCTGTGAGACAAAGGAATCCAGAACAGCCTTGACAAATAGTAGAAGCTCCCTGTCCAAAGAGTTCTGTCCGCCCTCGGGTTCAAGTGGTAGCTTTGGTGGAAATACAACATGATGAAAGATGTACTGAAGCGCCTTGGTGCCCATGGTGACCGCACCTTCGGAAAAGAAAGCTGACACGGTGGCGATAGGTCTTGGTTGACTCCTCCCTCAAAAAGGGTGAGGCGTGGGAAGGGTGAGGAAGGCGACGAGATGTAACCAGATATGAATAGAACAAGAAGATCAGGAAGATAGTGTGGATAGTGGAATCAAGGAGAGAATGTTGGATAAGGCGTTCTCAACGGAAGCAGGATCGATATGAGAGCGTAAAGGGACGATAAGATGACAGGATAGAAGCAGGAGGGGTTGTATCTGGTAAAGAGAGAAGGTGTGAGGAGTTAAAGAGGCTAAGAGGTAGAGGAGCGGTTGTAATAGATGTAACGCGGAAGATATGTGGCAGGAGACCTAGGGTAGTAGACAAGATGCTCCGGAAGATGATACAGCTGAGGACGCGAAGTAGAAAGATGGTGTAAATACAGGAGTAGGGAGGGGGCAATGAGTTGGCAGAAGGAGAGAGAAGAGGAAGTAGGGACGGTGGAATAGATATAGAGAAAGGATAATGGATCAAGGTAAGGCTGAGAGAGGTGAGAAAGCAGGAAGCCAGAGGGGGAGATGAGATGAATAGTGAGGATTCGGCACAAGAGAAAGATGAAGAGAGATTGTGATCAGAAGGAGCCTCACTTAATTTGCCTCGAGAGCTGGGGATAGGAGAGTGAGGTGAGTTGGTTCTGACCTCAATTCGACACCTCGAGCAAGCCGACAAGACATGGTGATTCGGCAGCTCTCAGGATGCACCTGACTGTAAGTGGAAGAGGACAATGACACTGGAGCCAGATAATTTGGCGAGATGTGAGAGTTCCATGTCACGCAGAAATGTAATCGAAGATGCTCATCTATGGGCGGATGCGTGATGCTCACGAGGCCCAGTTTGGACTCACATGAGCTCAGCAAATCGTTGTGTCAGTTTGAGCCAGAGATAATCAGTGCCAGAATGGCAGGACTGTGACCATGCGGGAACTCAGATGGAAGGCGACGGCGACCAGCCACTACCAGGATAGACAACACCAAGTCGCCAGTATTCGGACCGCATTGTCTGTCAAAAGCCTGGAATACTACACATCGCCAATGTAGAAGGGGCCAGACCTCAGGGTATGCTCGGGACAGTGGAGGCCCGCACAACTGTCCCCGTACTCGTCAATAAGTTCACGGCGATGATTCCTCTCTTACCAAACGACATTGATTTTCTAGAACCTGCTACCCAGAAACTGAGGCTTCGGCACTACTCAATTACCATACCGTCTAAAGCTGAATCTCTCATGTCGCACGGCCGTCCCTCTTCATTTTTCAGGCGATAGAGAGTACTTCGTGAGACCAATCTTGCTCAGACCAGGCTGGGCCCCAGGCATTGCATTGCAACAGGCGGCCTGCAAGCCGCAGCCTAGACACCCACTCCCTTCCATCGAGAGGCGATTTCCTGTTCCATTAAACTTCTCAAACCCGACTAGGTTGACCTTGTCGAGAGTAGTGCTCATTAGGTGCGCACCTCGAGTCTTGGAAGTATCAAATAGTGCAAGACCGGGTACCCAGACCTGCCATACCGCCGCTTAGCCGTCAGGAGAATACCCCCAAGAGCTAGGAAGCTGATCATCACAAACTTTTGTAAACCCCGCTCTAAGGATGCTCGGTTGATGTCGAAGCTCGAAAATCCTGGGATCGAAACCGGGGTATACGAGCACCCGTCGACGACCATTGCTATGGGAAACGAACAAAGCCGAACCCATGGCCGCGCTTCGGGTATTCACTATGAAGTTGGTCTGGTGTTTTCGGTGGCCGGGAATAACATATCCTAGCTGTACATTCGCGGTACGCCCTACCAGCAATTGAAGAGCAATGGACTCAACTTTTCCCATCGCAGGTTTCCGTTGGCCCGTCAGATGAGGTTGAACCATTCCTCGACTGCTCTCGTCTATTTACTTACTCAACACCCTGATCAGATGGTTTGGGGGAGCATCTGCGACACGCGAGTCCACAGTGTCCTGGGCAAGAGGCGCAAGACGAGGTCATAGTATGAAGCTGATTCCGGATATTTCGGTACGTGCAGCGGTCTTCGGCGGGAACAAAACCAACCTACTTCGACTTTATCGAACTTGGTCATCGGGTTGACATGATGAACAGTGGCATTGTCAGCGTAAATAAGTCCCGCCCGGGGCACAGCCAGCAAGCTCATCAACACTGGACTTGCTGTATACGAGAAGAAGGCGGGAAACCTGGATGTCGATGCCAAAGCTCGGTCACCGTGTATATTGATTGGAGGAATGGCGTGGGATCTGTACCAATAAATGGAGTACGACGCACAATAGGAGAGATGGGACTCATCTAACGATCGATACCTCAAGCAGAGCTACGACTTCCAGGAGTAGATATTCACACAAATCAAATCCCGCTGCATCCATGAGGCAGCTCTCAGCAGCAGATTCAAAAGTCCTGTACCCAGCAGCCGCGTCTAAATGACAACTGGCAGGAGATCGACAGCCTGCCGGCTGAGTTCCCCGATTTCCTGATGTGCCACTGTCCTTCATCGAGTCCTTTTTGAAGCTCCGGGAAGCGTATCAATACTGCATCGAGAATGACATATTGCAATGGCTGTTGCTTTTCCTCCGTAGCGGTTGCGCCGCCTTTGTCTGAGGGAGACTCATGGAGTTCCCCAACGTCGAAGAAGCGAGAAAATTTCGAATCCGGCGGTTGGAATTGAAGGGGCATACTCCGCACTCAATGCACAGAAACCAAGCGACACTTGGTCGTCATGGAGATAGGTAGAGGAAGCCATCCCGCGAAGCTTAAACAACTTCAATGTTTTCTCGCGGAAGATCAAAAGATCCGACTAGTTACCCCTCCTAACATCAGTTGCCAGGACAAACCATAGATCGAGAAGCAAGGCAAGTTGGCGAGGCCCTTTCCGCGCGATAATCTGGAGAAGATGCAAGGGGCATTTTCCGACAGCTCCATGAGCAAGACAACAACCTCTGTGGTATCACAGAATTCCAAGTTCTCGACTAAGCAAACCGAGTACCTGCAGGAGGCCGTAATCTCATACATGGGAGACGCACAAAGGCTGCACTCGAATCAAGGATGGAGTGGACCGTGCTGGTGGTGCCCTGAACACTCAACACTGGGTTGGGTTGGTGAAGTTGGTGTGGCTGGGCTGATGTCACAGGTTGCCTGGTGGACGAATTTAGGTGCAGGTTTTAGTATTGATTGTTGCCGGAGTTTACTCCATGTCTTTGACCAGATATTCAGAGCGTTTGGGTCTGATGTGTTGAAGAGAGGCCAAGACTCGTGGCATCCGAGTGCTTGGCCACGTTTGCCTCATGTTCCAATTTGCAGTGGTGGTCCTGTGGTAGGTAGGCACCAGAAATCCAGAATAGAAACTGGGGAAATTTCGGTCGGATCCATGGGCGATGAGCTAGGAACAGAACCAAGGTACCGCCAGAGGAACGAAAGGGGTCAATGATCGGCCGCAGCCTCACCGGCGAGGTCGGTAGTCTGGATTCAAGGAGCATTATGCTTGATTGAAGGAGGTTATCACAGAGGAGAAGGCGATCGGAAAATCGGAACAGCTTCAGATTCCCTGAGTTCTGCAGGGTTTGTCGTCATTTAAAATTACTTGTGGTTGTTGGTAAATTGCTGCGCAATCTCGTGTTTTCCCCCTCTTCCAATCCCAGGCCAGTCCCAGCCAGTAACAGTCTCGGCTCTGTGCTAAATCTTGGTCTTGCGCTCTTCTTGGCCTTGTCCCAGGTATCATCATCGCCTTGTCTCTCTTCTTTCGTCTCCAAGTTCCTGCTTTCTGCGTTTCCCACGGTCTGTAAATACTACAATCTGTAGTCGTTATTATATACGTGCCCGTGTCGCTTGTGGCTCCCGCTCGTTCATTGTTCAGGTCGGTTTTGTTCCCGGACGACTCCTCCGCCACGATCGGTTTCAGACCCGACTCCTGCTGCACCGTTGCATTGAATCCGACGTGTCTGCCGGCCACCGTCTGCAACGTGTACCCCGTATCTCGCACCTTCACGAGGCAATTCTGCTTTATAAGTACAGCAACAGCAGAATTCCTGCAGCATTGTCTTTAATCGAACGGCTCGCTCGCATCCTAGATCTACGACGGCGCGATCTTGACAGGTCCCTGAGCGTGGGTCACCAGGCGACTTCAACTCGGTTTCACCACCCATCGCTCCAGGCTCGCCTTCTGCTCTCTTTTCCTTTGCATGGTGATTGCTTGACCCAGAGTTCGCAAGCCATGGGTTCGACACAGTTTGGGAACTTCGGCGTGAGTTTGCGACTCGTTCGCGTTTCAAGTTGCTTTAACACAAACTGACCGCAGTTTCTGTCGGTAGGACTTTTGTCGCGATTCAACGCTGCCAGTCTGCAATGTATGTCGCCTGATCGCTAGTCCCTCCATTCCAGAGCACGCGCAATACTTCTAAAACTAAAGTCGCCGTATTAACTCCCGGTTTCCGTAGCTTTTCGTTCCCAGCAACCAACCGCCCAATGAAGCCTTCGGCGGGTGTGAACTCCTTGGAATTGGCGTTGGTGGCGGCGACAGACTCGCTAATCTCGGTATGATACGGGATATGACCGGCTGGGATTTCACGTTGCTCATACTTCTCAGGCTCTATACTACTCGCGTTCGCTGGCATCCTCGCATCCGCGTTCCTGATATGGCGATCGGAACGGAAACAAGCGGCTGTGGGGCGAAGGTATGTGCTATCAGGAAATCCGAGGAATGCGACACATTCTAATGATTGTGCACAGAGAGATGCAGATATTCTTACTTGGCTTCATTGTCATTGAGATTTGCGAAATCTTCTCCGTGGGCGGTATCCCAATAAGAGATGATGTTCGAAAGGTCAGGCTTCCAATATATTGTTTGTGAATTTACCTAACGAGGCTGGCAGGGTTTCTCGGCCGTTCACATTGCTGCGATCGCCGCGGTCTCCTGGGTCCTGTTTCTGAATGCGCTTGTTGGCTTCCAATTCCTAGACGACGGAACTCCCGCGTCAGTAGGCCTCTTCCTCGTGTCAGCTGGAGCCATCTTCGTCGGCACTGGATATATTGCCTTGGATACCGGTTTTGACTGGACAGGGGAATTCGAGACGACCGGACCAGACTACCGGAATATTGCGCTCTATGTCCTTTACCAGCTCTTCCCGCTCGTCTGCCTTGTCGCGTTCTTCCTGCTGGAGACTTACCTTGTGATTCGTGTGCTAGGCGAATTCCGACCAATGCGTACGTATTCTCCTATGTCAAGGCTGAGCCCTATCGTCTGACTGGAAACAGTGTATCTCGGCGCTGCAGCTATCCTATTCGCCATCGGACAAGTTTTCAACTACGTGATTAGCACTCATCTATGCAAGGCGACAGACGGAAGCATCAACGGTGCTCTCTTCGAGACTCTCTTCACTGTAGTTTCAGTGGTGATGCTGTGGACTTTCTGGAGCAGCATCACAGAGGACGACTGGCCCATGGCAATGTCACAACCCATACCCGGGTACAACTAATCACATTCACTCCATACAAACAAGCAAACAACCCGAAAAGCAAAACCCGTCGTCAACCAAATCAGAGGGCGTCCTTATCTCACCCTTCTCTCAACTGCGCCATCACCGCCAAACCCCCGTCGCCCGCCACAATCCTTCGGCGCAAACCACGATCGATATGCCACCCGAAAACGGGTGGAGGGGGCCCACCCAAATTCGATATAACCTCAACCAAATGCTTATTTCTCGCCTTGATACTACTGCTGTTTTACGTTCCCACGACTGCCTTGGATGTGCCTATGCGCCACATGTGCCTACGACATCTCTGCCATTTTGAGTTCTTGCATGCCCCAACCCGGTCCGGGTGACTACGTGCCCTAGGTTTTTGGAATGGAAACCTTTGGAATCAGCCGTGCGCGCCGCGGTGTGGGCATTTGCAGTGCTGTTGACCTTTATATCTGATTTTTTCTTTCTTTTTTTTTTTTATCGATGTTAGATACCTATTCGCGATGTATGTAGTAAGCACGTAAGGAGTGAAGTAACTTAGTTAATGGACCTTAAATAATTGCTCTGAGGTGGACTGTCCTAGACAGTCACTTGGATTTGTGCCAGGAAATAACATTGACTCCACTCAAGAGTAGGTAAATCAATCGATTGACTAGAGAATTTGGATGGACTGATCTGATCTTACAGCAGCAGGTAACTCAAAGCCAACATGAGGTCCGGTGCAGAATTTATCTCAGTATTCAATAGAAGACATATTTCGAAGAAAGTAACGCAGGTTCAGAACGCTATGTACAGAATACCCAAACCCATCCCATGCGGCAGTTGATATCAAGCATGTCAGAATCGAATCCGACAAAGAAGACGAAAGACGTACGCCATATGCAAAAAAGAAGAAAAGGGCAGAAGGTGGAAAACACTATTTCCGTACTCGTCGTCAAGACCCGGTGTAACTTTTCCTGAGCACCAGAGAGAGATGGGGTTGAATATTAGAGGTTTAGAAGAGTAGAGGTTATACTCGAATCTTCACATCCACGCAAGGAAGCGTCCACTCGCGCCGCCCAACCATACTCCTTAACCACTCCAGCCCGAATCCAGTCAACTCATCCGCGGCGGTCGAGCCCGCAGGCGAAGCCGAAGGACATGAGCTCTCGCCGGCGTTGGGGAAGAATCGCCGTTGCGTCTCGTCGACGACAGCACCAGCTAGCGCTTTCGCGGTATTGTTGACGGCCTCAAACACATATCCCGCTAGCGACTCGTTCTCAGGCCCCAATATTGACGACGCATTGTGCGGGTGGGCAAGACAGCTGTTGTTTGCTGCGGAGCCGGCGGCTGCGGCGGCATCGTAGGGTGTGTAGCGGGGAGCGAACCAGTCGGCTCGGAGGTTGAAGAAGCAGCGGTCGGACCAGGTGCAGGTTGAGGCGAAGAGGATGACGAGGAGCGCGGAGCAGTAGATGCAGGGTCGGTGGAGGAGGTAAGTGAGAGTTACGAAGGAGATGAGGAAGAGCGGGGATGCGTTGGTTGGGATGAAGAGGAGTGGAAGCCAGCTTGAGCGACGGGGTTAGCTTTCGTATGATGTGTGGTGGTGTTGGTATCGGTGTGCGCTTACCTCCTGAGACAAAACATGGTGAAGGAGTGAGACCTATGCTGGACGAGGTGACAGCCGGCGTCAAGCTGCTGGGATACCACAGGTCCGGTTGTATATCGTAAGAGTGGTGAGGGAAGAGTGAAGGCGGAGTGATGGAATGGGTGTGGCGGAGGCGAAAAGGAGGTGAATTGACGTTGTTTCACGACGGGTGAATGATATGATGGGAATGAAACTGGTGTGGTGAATGACTTCCAAGTCAATAGACCATTGTCGAATAGAGTAAAAGGTGGTTTCGTCTTCCGGATCGTCAAATAAGTCTGATCTTGTCTCCTTCAACCATCTCGGAACCTCAACTCGGCGGCCCTGCGTAGTCAGCGACGGTAGCTCCAGCCACACAACGACGACGAAACTTCCAGTTCGCTCTCAGTGTTCTCGCTCCCTGGACCTCTTTTGTTCTCGCTTCTTCCCTTGCTTCTTCCTCCTTTCCTCCCTGTACAATAATATTCCATTCTCGTATTCTTGCTTGATTTCTCTTCTTTCGTCGGCTCTAATTGCTTGATTTCGTCCTGCCATTTCCTTTTCTTCGCATTTCTCCACGGTCTCTCGAAAGAGAGCTCTTTGGACACTCCCGAGCTTTGCACGTCACTTGGAGGTCGCCTAACAACACGGCGAGCGACAGAAATGTCCACCCCCAATGATATCCAGGCTCTTTTGGCGAGCATAAGGCCACGCCCATCGCCATCAAACACGCCTGCTCAAGATACCGGAATGGCGCCTCAGTATCCTCAGCATTATCCGCACGGATACCAGCCCCAGCATCCCTACAACGGGCAGAGCTACACTCACCCGCATCTGCATCAGCAGGCATACCGACACCCTTCGGTCTCGTCGGCTTTGCACAGTCCCTCACCCGTCAACACACCTCCGCGCCATGGATCGGACATTCTTAGTCCCAATGTCCTCACTCCAGGTGAAGGGTACCCTCCGCAGCATTACCAACCGCAGCCTCAGAACCCCGACCGCTCCAACAACCTGTTGAATCTTCTGAGATTCAATCAGCCTCAGACCACCTCTATACCGCAGCAGACTCCACCTGCTGCTGTAGAGCACACCCATCCTTCGGTGTCGGGTGTCGAAGATGCTCCAAGGTCCCATAACCGGAACATCTCAGCATCCGACTTGGTCGCTTCGCTCTTCGGTAAGCAGAACCAGGCGCCCGCAGCTGCTCCGTCTGGCCCTCCTGCTGGAGCACAAGCAGCGGTTCAACCTGCTGCAGAAGGCCCTTCTACCCCTTCGAGCGCAGAGAAGCCACAAGACATGCTGCTTCGGTTGCTTAACCGAGGTCAGGAGCCCTCTTTCCCTGCTGCTCAAACGCCGCCCTCTGTTGCATCTCAAAGGAACCCCTTTGAATCGGAAGTGCCTAGTAGTGTGACTCCGTCCACTCATGGCGTTCCCGAGCCGTCGCAGTCGGCATCACAAACACTGGACGGGCCATCTCCACTGGGTGCAGAGACCATCTTCACTCACGTCAACCCATTCGAACAACTTGCGGCTGTCTCTCGGAACAGAACTCCGCTGTCCAAGTCTCGCGACCAAAGTCCTGATCTTGAGGTTACCGCAACTCAGCAGGTAAATGTGACGACCACTGTTGAACCCCTGCCGACCTCGGAGAATATTCGGCCTAAACGCGCCAAGTCACCTGTTCTGGCCGATGAGCAGAAACAAGCTGTTGCCAACGTGGTTGGTAAACTCGTAGAACAAATTACCCGCGATGTTGACGAGTCTTATGAGAATATGATGCTCAAGAATGCCTCGTCTGCGCCTGCGGCTCCGGAGGCTTACGAGGAAAGCTCAAAAGTCACACTCGTATCGGCCACCACGGCTGTGCAAGGTGCCAATGGGGAGACAGAGGTTTTGAAAGAGACCATCGAGGAAATAGCTGCCTCTGCCGAAGTGAAAGAAACTTCCAATGGTAGTGGTGAGCCTTTGGCTGACAGTTGGGAGAGTGCTGAGGATAGCGCTGAGAAGGATGAGGAACGCGTTGTTCCTGTGCACAATTTCCCTTTGAAGCCATTCATTACCATCATTGTCAAGCCTAATGCTGGAAAGCTTCCGACTTTGCGCGATGATGGGATCATGGACATAGCTCGCTTGAAGAAGGACTTTGATCAGCTCGACCGGTCCTTGACCTCTGCTACCCCCGATTACATTGTTTATGCCCTTGCCAAGAACGGGGGCATGAGGATTATTCGCCAGGACGATGGAAGCGACAAGCAGGTCTTCCGCTCTACCCGTGATCGTGTGTTCAGCGTTGCCGTGTGCACTTCACAGTCAAATGGTGGCTCGTCGGACGACCAGGCCATTCTTGGTATTGGCGTTAGCGGCGCCGTCTACTGGGTTTTGATCTCCCGAGGTGACAAAGACCTCTTTGAGCAGGACGCTTTGGAAAGTGAATCTCTCATTTTCCCACCCTTCCCTGCCTCCGACGAGAATACCTCTGGCGGCCAGCTGAAAACGCGGGCTAAGCGGAGCTCTCGTCACCCTGGATTCTTTGCAATCGGCCGCGGCAAGAACATCTACGTCATTTCTCCTCAGGCTGCTGCAAGCCCTGCCTACGGTGTCTCGGGCGATAATCGAACTGTCAATACTGAAAAGTTCTTTAAGGAGCGTGCTCTGAAGATCTCTACTGGAAAGGCCGGGAAAGATTTCATCTTCAGTGATGATGACACTGTCATTGCTTCCCTTGATAAAACGGGCCGCCTCCGTTTTTGGGACATTCGCGATGCTGTCAACAGTCCAGCTTCTGGACTTACTCCTTCCGAGATTCGCGTTCCGCTCAGCACTTTCGTTACCGGCTCTCCTACTGAAAAGTCATGGCCCACGTCTGTCCTCTTCATGGACAAGTTGCGTCCGTACGTGAAGTCGATGGCGCTCCGGTACGTTCTAGTCGGTCTTAAGCAGAACCACACCTTGCAGCTCTGGGATATTGGGCTAGGCAAGGCTGTGCAGGAGCTCAAGTTCCCCCATGAGAACGAATCGGATGCTATCTGCAGCGTCGCATACCACGCAAGTTCCGGAATTCTCGTTGTGGGACACCCTACACGAAACTCCATCTACTTTGTCCACTTGTCCGCCCCCAGATACAACCTGCAACCCATGTCGCAGGCGACTTTCATTAAGCGCGCTGCCGAAAAGGATCCTAACCTCCCCAAGCCAGAGTCAACCGCATGTCTGAGCGGCATTCGCGAGATCTCCTTTGCGTCAAAGGGCCAGCTCCGAAGCTTGGATCTCCTTCCGATCACCAAGGCAGCTGGCGAGGACAGCGGCCTCTTTGAACTTTATGTCATGCACTCTCGTGGCGTGACGTGCCTCAATATAAAGAGAGATGATCTTGGAATGGGGCCAGACCAGAAGGCGCTTCGTCCAATCAATGCTCTAGAGCAAGGCTTTATTGAGATTTCTGACCTTCAGACGTTCCCCAGCTATGTCTCTGATGAGCCTTCTGTCAATGGCGACTCCGTATCTACTCCTGTCAAGGCGGTTCCCAAAGAATTTGTCAAGACCACGTCTGAGCCTGCTGCCGAAAGCAGCACGGGAACCGGTCCCACCATTCTGCGGGCGCAGTCGCCTACGAAGCCTGCGCCTAAGAAAAAGGAGGAGCCCATTGACACAGCCGCGTCTGTTGGTACCTCTGAGAAGCCCGAGAAGAAAAAGAAAAAGAAGGGAACAGCCACTGGTGAAAATGCAAAGGCCAAGGAAACCCCTGCGGTTGCCACCAACGTGCTTCAGCCGGTTGTGGGCCAGTCTGAGGGACCTGTCAAACCCGTCTCTGCGGAACGTATCATCGGCGATTCTCCTGAAACCTGGAACAAGCACATCGAGATCTTGCAGAACGGAGTCACCTCTGAGTTCAACAAGAGCCTTGGGCGTGAATTGGAAGGCCTCTACACCCGCTTCGATGAAGAGCGACGCAGCTGGGATGCAGCGTCTGCCGCCAAGCAGGAACAGGTCTTGCGCCTGGTTTCCAGCACTCTCTCTGACAATGTGGAGAAGAACCTCACTCGTGTCATCACAGAGACCATCAAGTCCGAGGTTGTCCCTGCCCTCGGTGGTATCGTTTCTGCCGCTGTTGGCAAAGAACTGAATACCGTTCTGTCTCAGCAATCTGGAGACATCATCTCTCGGGAACTTCGCCAATCTTTGCCTGGGTCAGTCACCCGTGCGTTGCAGCAGCCTGACGTGATGAAGGTCGTGACAAATGCTGTGAGTCAGAAGGTCGAGAGTCAGATCAAGTCCTTGCATGATAGTCTCACCCCTACCCTGAAGAACCTTGCGCTCCAAACGGCTGAGCAGGTTGGAAATGACTTGGAGAAGCGCGTGCAAGCCCAGCGCCAGAGCGATGCGGCCAAGATTGACGAGCTCACCACTCTGGTTCGCGGACTGTCCGACACGGTTTCTGCCATGGCAGCCGCCCAGACTGGGTTCCAGAATGAGGTTCTCCGTCTCAACCAGGTCCTGGCGTCGTTCCAAGGCCAGGAAGGTCGACAGGGCGCTGCCCAATCAACGGCGTCGGCCTCGCCGGTTCCTCTTACCGACAACAGAAGCCCTGAGCAAATTGAGATAACTGAAATCGCGGAGCTGATGCGTGACGGTAGATACGAGGAGGGATCCGTTAGGGTTTGTGACTGTTCCAGAAAAATTGATGGTACCTCGCTAACTATGATTTAGTGGCTCCAATCCGAACAACAGGCCTATCTTTTCGACAGCCTTTTCGTCCGACTTAACCCCTCGTATCTAAACGCCCTCTCGCCTATCGTGGCGCTGTCCGTCGGCGTTGCAGTTACATCGTCCTTGCAGACGAACGTCAAGGAGCGTCTCTCATGGCTGGAAGTTGTTCTTCAGACTGTCAATCCTAATGTAAGCCATCATGATCTGGACTTGAAAGAGTCATTGTTAATCCACCCAATCTAGGACCCCGACATTCGAGAGGTCGCACCCAAGATTATGGATATCTTGATCCAGCGCCTAGATGGTCTATACATGGCCGTCGCGAAAGAAGCGCCGCACGACCCGATCCTCCGCAGGATTCCTCCGCTCTCGCGACGTGCCAGGGAGCTCCGTGGATAAGCTAGGGCAAAAGCGCATTAATGAGTTGCATGTTGAATGCGTTCTGCATTTGGATCTGTAATGATAGTTATGAATCATGCATTGGCGCGATACATTGACATGATGAGGCGATCTGGTGTCTTTACATCTGCATGCACCCACGGTAATGAGCATGCTGATAGCATCATGAGCATTAGATATGATATTTGCAACGGGGAGTTGGTCTGCCCTCTAATGAGATTCTGGTACCTGTCGCGGCTTTGTACAACATTCTTTCTTCGCTATCAAGTACAACTCTCAATAGGAGCACGCGAGTGTTACATACAAGCGAGGCTTAGAGCTTGACATATTCGTGATAAGCGCCGGCCCTGGCATTCCATGCTCACTGTCTAGCTTGCTCTACTCATAGGCCTCCCTCCACAGGTCGGCAGATTGATTCTCGCCAAGTTGCGTACCTAGGGAGATTTCATGATTATAGTAGAACAGTCATCAATTCGTTCGCTGTATACTCGTACATACGGACCTTGAAGCTTCAAATATGTAGGGGGTTCATCTTCCCTGTGGTGGTATCATATGCACACAATAGTCCCCGCCATGCAGACCCTGAACAGACAGAAAAGAGAAAAAGAAAAAAAAAAAAAGGAAAAGGTAATCCCGCCATCAGGCATAAAACGCAACGCCGTATTCAGCTACCTCCTCATCCTCATTTGGACCACCCTGAACAAACTCGAACCCCAGCGCGCGCCAGTTCAGCTCCTTGCGCCAGTGGAGGCCATAGTACTGCCGTGACTGTTTCGAATTTGCTTCGTTGGCTGCTCCCTCCTCCTTCCCAGTCTCACTATCGGGGTCGGAAACAGGAACGGGTTTGATAACTGGTTCAGAAGCTAACCCACCGGAGACCATCCGGCCTGTCTGTGGGTATGTGACGGACCGGAACCGCGAGAGGAGGAGAGCCATGCAGCAGCAGACGCAGGGTTCGTGGGTGAGGTACACATCGAGATCTGTGCAGAGGTAACCGCCTTGAGCGCGGGGGCGGATGCGGAGGCTTGCGCCAGGTGTTGATGATTCTTGCGGGGCCGACGTTGATGTTGATTTGATAGGTACTGCCAGTGACTCGTGTAATCCCGTCTTCTGGTACTTCTCCGGGACTGGCGTGGGCGTGTCTGTGTCCGTATCCTGCTTGGGCTCCGGAGCAGTCGAATCAAGCTGCGCGATAAAGTACTCCTCCATCGGCGAGAGATCCGGCCGATCACTCTCAGCATCCGGATCGCCAACCCGCCGCTTATACGCGATAATCTCCGCCGCGCGCATAAGCGCATGCAAATCCGGTCCGCCCTCCACATCCGCATCATACCCCTCCACCGCAGGATTCGGTCCGGGACCAGAATGCTTCTCCGCAACCGAGGGCTTCCCCGCCTCACGCCGCGAGTACCGCGCGTCCCCCGCAACAGCAACAATGGCATCCGCCCAGCGCTCCTCCATGTCACCGCCTGCATCTAGAATCCGCTCGACGATTTCGGGGTCCACGACGACGGCGCCAACGCCGCGTCCGCGACCGGAGTTGAGTGCTTCGTGGGCGACTTTGCGCGCGAGGGCGAGGTACTTGCCGGCATCGGGCTGGATGAATTCGCGGGTGCGGGCGAGGACTTGCACGGGAGGTGCGACGGTTGCGCGGGCGGCGGCGGGGTTGTAAACGACGGGCCAGAGGGTTTTCGTCCAGGTGTCTGCTTGTTGTGCGCTGAGGGGTGGAAGGGTTGGGACTTTGATTGTGTGCAGAGGTACTTTGGGCGGGCTTTTGAATTCGGGTTGGGATTCAGAGGGGGTCTGCGGCTGTGCAGTCGAGGGGGTTGCGGGAGTGACGGCGAAGGGGGCGAGGAGTTCTTGAAGGAGGTCGACTTCGGGTAGAGGTGGTGGGATGAGGACGAAGATCGATTGCGGAGAGGGCTTATCGCCTAGGAGGAGGGGGTGCAAGTGTTCGGGAAGGTTGCTCTGCTTTGCGAAGCGGCGGAGGTGGCTCGTAGTACGGGTGGGGTCGCGGGCGATACTGGCATCAAGGACTCTATTGCGCGATCAGCACTGGATTTCCGAGATATGGAAAAGTTAAAGGAACATACTTGACTACCTTTGCGGCGCTTTTGACGTTCACTTCGGCGACGTACGCGTAGCCTGAAAATTGTCAGCGTTTGCTAGGCATTAGCTTGTGATAGTGTATACATACCATAATCCTCCACCGGCTGTGTCTCTTGAACGGTTCTAATGGGCCGTACGTCGCCTACCAGCGGCTGCACGCCCAGAATGATTTCCTGGACATCCATGCTTTGGCGGGGGCGGGGTGTTGCGAAGGTTTTAAGATGGCGGAGGAGACTGTGCTAGGTAATTGTGGGAGACGGATAGCGGAGGGACATTAGAGGCGGCAAGGACGGCTCTTGTGTCATGTCATGTTGAATGCATACAATGCATACCAATGCTGGCCGTTTGCTTGACTCTCTGATGCCGAGAATAACTTTTGGAAGATCATCCCGCATACCCTCTACTTTGTACCCTAAAACCTAAGCCCTGACTATGAGTGCCTGAGGCACGATTACATCATTGAGTCTCCTGGTCTATCCAGATCCAGGGTTCGAGAGGTGGAAAGCATCTTTGCAAGGAAGAGGTATCGTGAAAGCAACAATTTCAAAAAGCCTCCCGGAGACTAACCTAACAACGCCGATAAAGTTGTACAGAACCCAGAGGGATATTATAGAACAAAAAGAAAAGATGCTATCGAAGTAAGAGCAAAATGGGAGTACGCCCCAATTGTAAAGACAAAGGTAAGGAAAGAAAAAAGAAAAGGCGCTGCACATCGTCGAGCGCTCTAAGCGGTGTAAGCCCAACTCCATGCCCCTGTATGTGCGCTGGTACATCCACATATATTGCCCGATTCTTCCAACGCCGGCAGCATGACCCAGCCAAAGGAGACTAGCTGGTTTGAATCTCGTACCCATCACACCGTTCGGCCAAACTTTGGTAGTAATCGTTGAGAACTTCTGGCTGAGGAACGATGCGCCACTCAACGCGGAAAAGAAACTCTAGTTCAAGGAGGGCCAGCTCCGTCATGCTGATTCCACCTACCCGGGCGTAGGTCTTGTTGGTCCAGAAGCTGTCACTAAGCCCTTTTGAGGCGACAGTGGCGCTGGTAATCAGGAATCGATGAATGGTGAGACTGGAAACGGTAAAGGCGGGGTACAGCGCACAGAGGCGGTCGATATAATATACCATGCTCAAGAGAATCGGTGGGGACAGGGTGGCGTGAGTCGTTAATCGTTGCAGATAGTCCAGTACAGAAATGCGAGGCGGGGAACGCGAATGGAAGCGCGTTAGCCGACCCTGATGGAGAGGGATCTTGTCGTTGAAGCGAATAAGCTCCATCAGCATGCTCGATATAAGGACAACCAAGTCCTTGGGATCCGCAAACTCATAACGGAGGGGGAGATATTTAGTCGCCGGCTTGTCAGCTCGGAGTCTTTTCGATTGCGAGCCTTCAGGATCTGGCCTTCCTGGCCCTTCTGCCGCCGCAGGATCGTTCGGGCTGTTACGCTTGTTTGATCCTGAAGTAGTACTGGGCGCCGGCATTGGGGGTGCCAGAGAGCTCTGAACAGAAGCAGAAGCAGTGACAGGAGCAGCGACGGGCGCAGGAGGCACAGGGGGAGCAGCAGAAGGAGGGGTGAGACCGTTGTTGGTAGGACGGTCGGATAATTCGGCGAGGGCGGCGTTAGGACCGGGGGCAGCAATGGAAGCAGCTGCGGCAGACACGGGGGCGCTAATTCCGCCCTCAAGGAAAGTCTGCCCAGCGGACATACGGCCGCGAGCAAGATCCCCTGAGGGCCAGGTGGGGGAGGTGGAAACCGAGTGCTTCTTCAGAGCAGAGCGGAGCTCTTCAATGGCGACACGGGAGGAGCGGGGGGTGTAAGGACTACTGGGCACAGCAGAGCGATCGGCGGCAGAGTCATAATGCTGATTCTGATAGGCAAAGGCGGCCGACGTCGACGACAAGCGGCGCGAAAACTGTGTCGAGCATGGAGAGAGAGGAGGTTGGGGGGCGGCGGTGGAAGGAGAGGAGGGAGAAGGGCGAAGAGCGGAGGGCGAGGGCGACGAAACTAACATCTCTCCGCCCAACAACCTCACCACGTGGGCGCACGACTGAACGAGGGTGCTCGAGACTGGCAGACGCTGTGAAACCCAAGACCGGTACTATTGCTTTTTGGTATTGTGCACAGACTCATTGTGATTGAACCGGGCCCAGCTCACAACGGACACAGTTCTGACAATGGGCGAGGACAACGTCAACGAGGGATGTCGGAAGTAAAAGAGCATCGAGTGTCCAAGCAAAAAAAGTAGAGATTTCAAGCAGGGGAGAAAACGAATCGAACTGTTCCACTGCAAGTCACACTACCTCCAACGCCCTGTTCTGGAGACGATGGTAATGGGACTGTCAACTCCGGAACTGTCAAACCAGAATGAGTAAAGTTGTCTATTATTCAGCCAATGGAAAATTCTATCTAGCGAGCGGCAACGGCAGACTCGGAGCGACCGAACGCTGCTGATACCACGATCTGGGATAAATTACGGGCACTCGCCCGGGAGAGTCAGCCACTGTGGGCCATCTTTGATGAGTGTCTCCCGTCATTGGAGAGGACTCGCTATAATTGGGGGGTGAATAATGACGCTCAGGGCCCCATTGCGATTCGGAAACCAAGGAACTTGGGAGCAAATGTCACACTTTACCCCAGACACAAACAGCCGAGCATGTCCGGTCTCCGGATGAGCATCTCTTTGTTAGAAAGCCCATGCAGTCGAATTTACGATCTATCGAGTCCAGACCCCAGGAGTTCTTCTTCGCACTCACATAAGGCTGAATCACATGACTGTCCAGTTCTGCGCAATCAAGGAAGCACGTCAGGTGACCATCACATGATAGGCTTCCTAAACCGGCAAAGCACAAGTTCGAGTGCCAAGGCCGATGCTTCTTAGACTGACGGTGAAAATGATCAGAATGAGCTGCATCTGTGGCACGCCGATGTCTGTCTCTATCCACTTTTCATTGCGGCGCTCATTCAAAGTGGTAGATACGCTTATTCAAATTTAACATCTTGCATCTTTAGTCCCAGCCTTGGTGTCGAGAAGCCTCCGAGTCGTCTGTGAATCGAACTCGAAGCTCCGAATCTTGGATCCCGCAATCGCATCCGGAGAACGGCTCTCGACCTCACTCCGCACTCATCCCGCAACCCGTCATTTTGCTACATCCTGCATCTTCAAACAGCACAAACCTAGCCTTCCCCCCCTGCTGATTCGAGGCTTTTGCGGTTCCATTAACCACCCGATATACGCAAGTAACCTCCGACGCCGCACCGACGCAGCCTCCCGGAGGCGGTGATTCTCGGACCATGACTCGCTCTGTGACGCCGCCCATCCTACAGCTACAGAATGCAGAATCCTTGTCCTCACAGGCTGCGGCTCTCCGCGCTCTAAAAAATGAGACAATTGGTCACGATCAGCGCAAAGAGGCTCTGGTGCGGCTAGGGATTCTTCCCATGCTTGCCCACTTCCTCGCTTCACGGAGCCTCAACGGAAGCCCTGGTCGCAAGGGAAGCTCGAAACACCGGGACTTGCCCGGGTCTAGAGCAGAGGCGGACGATGCTCACTTACAGGCAATCATCCTTCTCGGAAGTCTAGCACAAGGTATTCCAGTTCGATGACAGCCACGTCTCAAGCTCGCTGACATCATACCAGGAGGAGCGCATTTTCTATCCCCGATACTGTCAAGCAACATCCTTCCGATCCTCCTTTCCATCCTCTCATCCCGCGAGTGCCCTCCCTCATTCGTCCTTCCCATCCTCCGGATCCTGAACAGTGTGGCAGACCGACTACCACTCCAATCACAGCAGTGGCCCAAGGATACACGCTTGGCAGATCTTCTTTTCTCAACCGAACACATTGGCTGCTTATCACGTATCATTGGGCAAGATTATAGCACTCACAACCGTCTGCTATCGATTGAATTGGCCGCCGGTCTTATTGGGAAACTCTGTACCGAGGAATCGCACAAGGCAGTTCTGGCGGATTGCGGAGTATTGGATGCATTGGCCGTGAAAGTTGCGTCCTTTATAGTTGCTCAGGGATTTGTTTTTCCTGGTGCTGAGAACCACCTGGATGATCCCGGTGCCCTGGGATCGCTACCCTCTCCTGCACCGCGTGGGGCCAAACTTGTCCCCATCCTCCGCGCCGTCACGGTTATCATTGAAGATTCCAAGTGGCGGGCGGAGCACTTCCTTTCGTCGCCTGGAATCTTGACTGTCTTCCCTCGACAACGACCTGAGTTCTCGCCTTCGGATATCAAAAAGGGTCCGTGGGGTTCGACCTACCTTTCAGGGACAGCGGTTCCGCGGCATCTTGGAGGCACCCCGTTAGAATATCTCCTTCCCGCTGTCCCACTATCTCAACTTAAACCCTCCGCAAGTGCTACCAACTTTCCGCCTCTCGGCCAGCAGGGTCCACATCGGCGACACAGCCACTCATACCCGACTCCGCTCTCCAGCTTCGATCCGCCAACTTCTGAGGAAGATGAGAATCCCGTTGTTCCGTGGCTCTTGTATCTCGTCCGTGCGGAAAATGGCATGACCCGTTTGATGGCCGCCCGCTTTGTAACCGTTTTGTTCCGTTTAGGACTTACTAAAAGACATAGGGTGTCGATGTTGTCCTACTTGCTGATTCCTATTCTTCTTCGCATGCTCGATAAGGACTATGAAGCTTCCGGCGATGAAGGTGACCAGTACGGAGGGATGATCTCAGCCTCTCATCGGATTAAAGAAGAAGCCCCGAGTGTTCTCGCGACTTTGGTCGAGGATGATCAGGAACTGCAGAAGCATGCGGTCGATGGCGATGCCATCAAGCGGCTGTCCCAGTTGCTGAAAGAAACATATAACCCTGTACATGACACAACTCGGCCCATGTGGCATGCAGAAGAGGAGGCAAAGGACGATCCAAGCACACAGTCTCCGGAGTGCCAGCTTGGGCCGGCTGGATATACAGCTCTTCATTGCCATATTATGAGGTTTCGCGAAAGCATCTTGAGAGCATTGGCTGCCTTGGTGCCTTTCAAAGACGAATATCGCAAGGCAGTTTGTGAAAATGGAGTGGTCCCATACATCATTGATTCTCTCAAGCCTTGTTCGGCAGATATTCCTACCGAGTCTTCCGGCACGAGGAACGCAACGACTGATGGCAACCCTACACCGACGCTTTTGGCGGCTTGCGGCGCTGCCCGGATGCTCACGCGTTCAGTGAGTATTCTGAGGACAAGCCTGATTGACGCTGGCGTGTCAACTCCTCTTTTCGTCTTGATTCGACATCCCGATATTGAAGTGCAGATTGCGGCTACCAAGGTGATTTGCAATCTTGCTCTAGATTTCAGTCCAATGAAAGAGGTAATTCCGCCGCTACTCCTTACTCTCCAGTGCCAGTTTCTAACCCGACTCAGGCAATCATCTCTGCGGAAATCCTTCCTATACTCTGCGAGCATGCCCACTCGTCGAACACGAAACTTCAGATTGACTCATTATGGGCGCTGAAACATGTTGCATACAACACAACGAACGATGTCAAGACCAAAATCATCGAGGGGTTGCGGCCAGACTGGATCAAACAAGTCATCACCCAGGATCCGACAAGTGCCCTGGCCAAGCGAGGGTTAGACGAGGAAATGGACAGCGGCACTCCAAGCGGCATGAGTCGGGCCAATTCTGCCGGTGAGCAGGTCAACCTACTGAATCCGGTGGGCGATTTTGAGAGGGATGAAGACCAGAAAATGACCGATTCGATGCCTTCGTCCAAGGTCAGCCTGGAGATGTTCATGCCAGACGCAACTCGACGGCGCAAGCTTGCGCTACACGGTGATATCGAGCTTACTACTCAAGCTCGCCAGGACGATATCGAAGTCCAGGAGCAAACGTTCGATCTCTTGCGCAATGTTATCTGCGGGCCAGGCGCGCCAGAGATGATTGACCACCTCTTCAAAGAGCTTGGGCAGGATTTGTTACTAGACGCCTTGGCGGACAAGCTCCGGCCTCGTTCTATCCAACTCCCCCACCGGCGCGAGTCTCCTAACCACCGTGTCCTGCAAGTTCCCAGTCAGATTCTGGTCGCCGCAACATATGTCATCATCCATCTTGCAGCTGGTCTTCCGTGGCATCGTGAGCTCCTGGTCGGGCACAGGGATCTTCTCCGTTATCTGATGAACTACTTCAACCACAGTCACCGAGACGTCCGGACGAACTGTGTGTGGGTGGTGATCAACCTGACGTATGAGGACGACATTAGCGATCATGAAGGCTGCCGGGAGCGGGCACTGAAACTCCGCTCAGCCGGGGTGCTGGATCGGCTTGCTACCTTGGAGCACGATTCAGATCTCGATGTGCGGGAGCGAACCAAGACCGCACTGCATCTGATAAATAACTTGACTACTTAGCGTGATTTTGTAGAATATGCTTGTCTAGGCTAGAGGGCAGGCCATGTGAAGATACGGCGATGTACAAAATTCAGCATATTAGCGTTCGTTTTGCTACTCGGTATGCACTTTGGGGCTTTAACAGCGTATGAAGTCGAAGCTGCGAAGCCTTGAAGGTTGATCTTATCAATGCCAAGATACAATAAAAACGTCATAGGAAGGCAGTCATCAAGTCTCCGATGCTACCAATTCTTCTTCTGCAATTCTTCTAATCTTCAAGTACCATCCTCGCCTACTTGCATATCTTAATACTCATCGGAACTATGGCGCCCGTCCCGTCTTCCATCCTCCGCGCCCTGTCCATCGCCGACCCATCACAGGCCACCCTCTCCACCTCCGCCCTGGGCTCCGGCTTCACCACAACAGGCACAATAAACGCAACAATAGACGGCACAGAGCGCAAATACTTCGTCAAAACCTCCTCCAATGGCGCCGCCACCGAAGAAATGTTCCAAGGCGAGTACGAGTCCCTAAACGCCATCGCCAGCGCAGTCCCAGGGTTCTGTCCGCGCGCCGTCGCATGGGGGCCCCTCGAGGAAGGGAACGAGAAGAGCTACTTCCTCGCTACGGAGTTTTTGGACCTAGGAGCTCGCGGGAAAAAGGGCGAGTCTCTGGCGCAGAGGCTGGGGAAGCTACATTCTACCCCTGCGCCCAAGGAGCCGGAGACGGGGAAAAGACGCTTCGGGTTCCCCGTCCCGACATTCTGCGGCGACACGAGGCAGGCGAATCGGTGGACTGAGTCGTGGGCGGATTTCTACGCAAATGAGCGGCTGCTCACGATCTTGGGAACATCCGAACAGCGCAATGGGCCTGATGCCGGGCTGCGGGATCTAGTCGAGCGGACGGCAAGTGTCGTTGTCCCTGCGCTTCTGGGCGATGGACATCTTGGCTTCGATAAGAGTGGGAAGGGCGAGGGAATCACGCCCGTTGTTGTGCATGGGGATCTGTGGAGTGGAAACGCGGATCGGGGGCGGATTGAGGGGAGTGGAACGGAGGATGAGGAGGTTGGAGACGTGGTGTATGATCCGTCGGCTTGCTATGCGCATAACGAGTATGAGTTGGGGATTATGAAAATGTTTGGCGGGTTTGGGTCTGCTTTCTTCAGTGAATATCATCGCATTGTGCCCAAGACAGAGCCGGTGGAGGAGTATGAGGATCGGGTGAAGCTTTATGAACTGTAAGTTGGAAGTTGCCCATCTCCTCAATTGTATGGTTTCGACTGACTTGCATATCAGGTACCATCATCTGAACCATCACGCGATTTTTGGAGCTGGATATAAGTCGGGTGCCATATCTATTATGGAGAAGCTGCTCAAGAAGTACGGTTGAGAACTATATATATTGGCGCCAGAAGCCACGAGGCTTTCAACCAAGGAGGCGCTACTTCACTTAGCACATAATGAATTGTGACTTGAATGGCTTTTCATATTCTGCCATGTGATTTATTCACAAATAATTCAGATATCCTTCCTAGAGTTGCAGTGCATAGTCCGGACCTTGATAGTTCCAGTTGAGTCACGTGCCATCTCGCAGCTCATTTCCGTCCTCCGCTCCGCAACTTTCTTGACAGAACGAGCAAGCTCGCGAGAATGGCGCCCGAACAGAAGCAGGACTCGAAGACGCAGTCGGCACCCGATACATCCCTCCCTGAACCGCCCAGCATTCACCCGTCGTTCATTCAGATCGCGAAACCGTACATCTTCGAGCAAACAATCCAAAAATGTATCGCGGCGATGGAGATCAATCCTCTGCGCGAGGAGTCGATGCGACTGCAGGGCGTGACCTGGATCGATAACGTTCGCCGCGCGCTGAATTTGTTTGTCTCTCTACTATGATTCTACCGCGAAGTGCCGAAGCTAACGTCAACGCGCATAGGCCGATTCGGACATTCAACACGGCGGTCGTGTATTATCACAAGTTTCGATTGATTCACCCGGATACCGAGTATAACAACCAGGTGGATATCTCTTTGCAGATTGTATATTAGGGAAGCTAATGGCTTAGGATGCTGCCGCCGCCGCCCTGTTCATGGCCTGCAAAATCGAGGACACTCTGAAGAAGTCTCGCGAGATTATTTGCGCCGCGTACAACCTCAAATTACCCCAGTCTGAACACATCTCGCCCGATAACCAAGTACGACTTTTGCCATCATCATCTTGCTAAGTTGGCTAATTGATATATGAATAGGTCCTCGACGAGCCCGCCCGAGGTATCATCGGCCTCGAAAGACTCATGCTCGAGAGCTCCGGCTTCGATTTTCGAACGCGTCACCCGCAGAAAACCCTGATCAAGCTCGCTCGTAAATACGGCCTATCGCCCCAGTCAGAAATCTCGGAGGTTGCCTATCGCATTTCACAGGATCTATACCGCACTTTTGCGCCCATCAAGCAGACGTCGTCCACAATGGCATTTAGCTGTATTGAGCTGGCGGGTCGTCTTCTAGGTGATCCCATTAAGGATTTTAAGCGTGAAGCGGACTATAAGATGTGGAATACAAGTCGGGAGGAGGTTATGGGTAAGTTTCGCCGGCACTGTCAGATACACAGGACTGGCTAACTTTCGCAACAGAAACACTTTTCGACCTTCTCGAGCTGTATACGCATAACCGTGGCTCGACTTCCGTCGGCCCTCACTTCCCCGCAGATCGATTTCTCACCGTCCGCATTCCACTGAACAAGGAAGCCGAAGAGAAAAGACTACCTCGATACACTCATTGGATCAATGAAGGAAGGCCTAGAAACGAGCCGCGAAAGCCCCCAACGGAGCCTCGGAAACCACCAACGGAACCGCGAGGGAGAGCGGCCGCATCCAACGGCTCAGCAAGAATGGAGAAGCCCGCCGCACCTACCGGTCCGCTCCACCATCCTCTCATCCCTGCTACCGCGACGGGAGAACGTCCGAAACCAGGAGAAAAAGGCCGTGACGCAGCCGTGCGTTTCATTGTGGATTCGGAATATGCGCAGGCCGAGAAGGCGCGTGTGGCCCAGTACTTCAAGGTTGAGATGGAGGAATATGAGGTGGAGGAGTGAACACAGCTGCGAACGTTTCTCAACTATGTTCTTTGAAGAGAATTTGTGAACTTGGTGTCCGCGCCTAGAACACGTGCAGGGCACGCCCGCGTGGAGTGCATGCGATGTTCATACCTTTGGACGCAACTCTTGCTTCGGGTTCCATGAGTTCATTGACCGGGGAGCAGCAAGTCAGTCCATAACTTGACCTCGATAACCGCTGGTGCTGATATCTGAAGCGTTCGGACGTACGGGTCCCGATATGGCTCTGAACAGGACAGCTTCATGACACTTGTCGCGATACGACATTACTCCTAGTTGTCGGGTTCCCATGACACAAGCCTCAATTCGGGCCCCGGTCCAGCACCATTCTCAGGGATTCATGTCCAGGGCAGGTATTGCGCATTGTTGTCCTATTCGGGACCCATAATAATTCGTTATGAATCGTCGATTACCTGCCGCAGGAAGAAAGGCAACCAACTTGGATAGCATTGTGTCGAAAAACTCTATGCATTACCTGGCGCAAGGGTCATCGGGTAGGAAGATGGTTGGACGGAGCTTTGCTTATGATATGATCAATTAAGGTTATCTTTTCAGCAATGTAGCCTCATCCGCTCTATCTGTGCTTCTCATATAGACCCCTCGACCATGATTCTCATAGCACACGTTTAAGGCCAGACTGAACATCTCCATAGACCAGCAAGGGAACCTGGTAGCACCAGGTAAAACAAAAGAAAAACAATCTTATAGCTCCATATCTCGATGTACATTATAGCCACACTTCTCCTACGGGGATCTCCTGGTCAGAGGGTGGTTTTCTCCCTGGGATTTGTGGTGATCTTGGGTGTGACAGAAGTCAAGTAAATCTGATGTCAAAATCACTCGAAAAGGAGCTCTCAAATTCTCTCTATATGTTGGAGCAGTCGCTTCCGCCAAGACAGCGATGAAATCTGGGCGACACCGGGATCAAGCAATCTGCAAGGATGGATGGGACAAAACCATCACGTGGCATTGTAAACCCCATCATATCATGTCCATAACCAGAATGTGAGAAGTAGTATGAACCAACAAAGTATCGCAGAATAAACGTGGTAATCTGTAAGTGTGCTCCTAATCCTCTAAAGAAGTACTGAATAGTACGAAGTACAATATTTTGCAGTGATTTGCAGATTACTACACTGTTGCTCCTGAAACTGCCGAGGAAGTTCTGGAGGTTAGTTACATACTGCAGATTCGCAGACTTGCATATAGAATGCTGCCATGAATACCAGTGGATCCCAGGTCAACCTAGTATGGTTGAAACTCTTTTTTTTATTATTGAGGAAGAGGCTCACCGAATCGGCAACTGTCACTTTCAACCTTGACCAATCCCTGACGGCAGGCCAAAACAGGTACTATAGTAGATATGCACCCTGGAAGGACATGATAAAGGGGAGGGGGCCCTCGCCCACTTGATGAGCAGAGCAAAAAAGTAAGCCATGATGTCTTCCCCTATTTACTGCGTGAGTTATAGCTACTTGTCTATCGTAAACAAGGAATAAGACTAGTAGTAGGAGTGAACGCAATCACAATCGCATTAAATGCAAGCTGCATTCCCTTTAGCCCCAAAGCTGGAAAACTGAAAGAAGAGCTATATTCTAGATTTTTCTGTCTGCCTTTCAGCACCTTGTCGCTAAACGGCGCTAAGCTTCTTCATTACCTCTGTAAGAAGATGTCTCTCTTCGCTGGCAAGATCTTCCCTTCTATGTCGATCTCTGTTGGACTTAGATATCTCAATCTATTTTACCTTTTGTTGTCCTTCAAGAACCAGCCTTGAATCCGGCTTTACAAAATCTTCCTGATGCCCCTCTTGACTTTCTCACCTAACCACCAACAATAATCGCGCTAGTTGTATTACCGTCAAAACCATCCACGAAATGTAGGTTCCGCCACATGCCCATGATGATTTCTCTTTGAGGATCATATTGCTGCTTCCTCGTACTTACTGCTCATTCAGGTGCACCACTAAGCGCGTCACGAGGGAGGAAATCAGGTCCACTGGGACCAAGAAGAGGACAATAGAGGAGGAACACACGGACTGCCGGGACACGTATTGCCGAACTTCAGCATCCTACATGCGCAACTCCTACGGAAACTTTGCCCCCCATGATAGAATACTTCCGGTGGTCTTTTGGCTATGGGACCTGATGGGCAAGATGCTGAGCCGGCAGCGGGAGCAGTTGCTTGAAGATGCTAAACACTGAGACAGAGCCATTGAGTCATGGAATGTGTGACTTGCGATATTATCTTTCATGTTAGAATGCATCCCCCCTTTTTTTTTCCGTTTGCATTTGCTTTGTAGTCTACTTATTACTATTACGTACAAAGCTTTCGGTTGGCTTTGGGCTGCCCACGTAGCCCTTTGATAGTATTTCATTGAGCCAAGAGAAACCTACCTCGGGTTTCGTTGAGCGCTACAGGTAGAAAGACTTGAAAGAAAGACAGGCTTCTGAATGGCCAAGCGACTAGTTGGGCTTTGTAGTGTTGGTTGAAAGAATACCTGTTCCATCTCTGTTCCATCTCTCATTCTTTGTGTGGTACGCATATTAGATTGCAGCACCTCCAACCTGAAATCCAAAGCCCTGTTACGTATCTATGTTCTGGACACTTGGCTCTAGGCCGCACTTTACAGCAATGGACTCGACGAAACCTGCTAGACGCAGTCATGACCGAGGGCCGGCACTTCCACTCAACATAAGCCGGAAAGACCTGAAGATATACGATACCTGGGATGAGGATAAATTCGAACAATGTGATTTCATGTACAAGGCGCCAACCGGCGAGATCTTCATAGGCCACTCCCACAGACAGAGCAACGCCTTGAGGGTTTCGACAATGAAAGCCGCTCTGAAGCGCGCCCCAGACGACGAGGTCTACCCCAGGCTGCCCGAAAGGAACAACAACACCACCACCACCACCACCACCTGCACCACCGGCACACCATTGCAGCCCCTGACACTCGCGCCTGCGGATATCCTCGCCGACCCTTCGCAGATCTTTGAGAAACAGCCAGACATTGGCTGGTGCTGTGTTAGCGCAGAGGAGTTCGCGGCAAGAATGTTCCATGAAGCGCGCATCATGCAGATGACTGCGGAAAAGTCGCATCCGTACATTATCAAGTACTATGGCCTCCGCGTGGAGCGAGAACTTGTCAAATCGCTGGTATTTGAGCGACTCGATAAAGCCCTTGTCAAGTACGCCGCGACACGTGAATTCGCTAGGCTGGACAAGGGCTCGTTCTTCAGACGCCTTGAGTCGGCTGTTCGGCATCTGCATTCGCTGGGTCTCGCGCACAATGACATTCATCCAAATAATGTCATGATCCGTGAACGGGAGAATGGGGAGGTTGAACCGGTACTCATTGACTTTGGGTCCTGCGCGCCGGTGGGGGAGAAGCTGCAGTTCACATTGGGGACACCGGGGTGGTATGAGGAGGAGTTTGATACATCGGAGAAAGAGCATGATCTGTACGCTCTTGGGAAGATGAAGAAGTGGTTACATGCTGCTGATAGTCAATGTGTCTGTTCCTAGATTAGGTATCTTCAAATTAAAGAACTCACTCTCCCAAATACATGGGGCCATCTGGCTCACACTAGCCCCATTTCTGCCTGCTTCTAGCTATAGATAGCCAGCCAGCCTCTAGTGACAAGGAGTTGAACAAACGAGCAAATCTCAATTGCTACCACTGGTTCCCCGGCCACATGATTGAAGACAAGCGGCCCAAAGCTGGATTCACAACCTCCTTCCCCAACAATAGACAGTTCAACGCTCATGCAAAAGACTAGGGGCGATGGGAAAAGTCCTTGCATGCCACGCAATCCTGAAGCAGCCAGCCATTCCCATCAAATCATCATCGTCACGATGGATATACTGAGGACACTGAGGTTCGTTGATGCGCTTGGACTAGAGAGGCCACTGAACTTTACAATGGGTTGATTCGAAGCATTGAAGAGATAAGAGTCTAGTCACAAGTGATAGAGAGGTGATCCTGAGCCTGATTGGGAGTATATGCAGGGCTCTCTTGTAGCTCGACATATCCAGATATCGATGGGGTTCAACCACTCTCACTCAGATTTTATACTGTCTCATCATTGGTGAAAATTCTCCGACCTAAGCCTCGAGCGCAAGGAAAGAACCAAGATTATCAAACAGGTACGTCTTCATGCAACAACTGCCATATCGCTTATACTTTACGGATATTGGGGATCAGGCGATGTATGTAACTCGATCGCTCGCATTTAGGTAGATCGACCTATGTGTACTACTGCCCCCTCGGAGGATATAGACCGTATCCCGATAAAAGGGAAAGCCTGAACAGTGCGCCAACATATAAAGAGCGAGCCGCTTGGATTGCCTTGAGTCTAGATTTATGTATATCACCCGTGTAGCCCTTTCTCCCAAGGCGGGTATGTTATCAAGAGCCGAGCCGGTGCGAGAATATTCATCTGACAGCAATATGATTGTGTCAAACCTAAAATCAGCAATGATGCCCTATGGAAAGGTTCATGTGCCATATAATTTGGCATGTTATTTTCACAGCACTAGTTTGACTGCTCTATAATCTTATATATATCGACTGTATTATATAGAGGGTTTAACTATACATAGCTGCTCTTATGTATGTATAGGCTGAATATTTCAGTATGTACATTCCTTCTAGTGTTCATGCAACATAGCCAAGGATAGTCTCTTATCATAAGATGCAGTCTTGATACATGGATAAGCCCGTGTTGAGATTACTGATAATCAACTTTTAAGCTAATAGGCACCTAGCTGATAGCCAAGCCCTGAGGAAGGCACCAAACTTTGAGCTCGAGGGGGACGAAAAATCATGCTCCCGGGGCTGTTGCTCTTGCAGCCCCGGCGCCATGAAAGGAAATATAACCGTACTGCAATTTTAGGGTCCAGGAGAGAGGGCAAGAAGCACAGAGCCAACGCGGTGGGAAACACTAGTCCAATAGACGAATGAAATGGGCACAGCCGCTCTGTATCGTAGCGATAATATGCCACTGCCTGCATCTCTAGCGGGTGTGACAGGATGGCATGGCTGCATGGAGGATTTTAACTGGCTACATGCTGCATGAGACGATAAATCCAGCGCTTGTACTGCATTATTAAGCTCACGGGGGCATGGTACGTGGCAAGGCGGACTAGAAAATTCAAAATCACGGATTATGCCTTGCCAAGGGTCTTCAGCCTCGCGGTGGTGAGGTAGATTTGCACTATTCCCTGTAAGATTCTCTTGGCGAGGACCATGCTGTAATATTACATTGTACTGCATTTTTAGGCTCGCAGAGGGATCGTCCCCTTAGCGGCGAGGCAGATCTTTCAGATTTGAACGGGGCTTGTGCCTCTCGGTCTTGTCGGCCTTGTGGTGACAAGGAAGGGGACTGAGTCTTCAGACCGCGAATCAATAGCCTTACGTCTGGATGGAACTATCACACTTTTGCTTTGCTTGTGGAGGAGTTTTGTGCCTGATTATTATTATTAAGTGAATTCTCATATAGCGCCGCTCAAGTCGATACTGGAGATTGGGAGTTGAAGAGCAGCTGCAGTGGTAGTGGGGCCTTGTGCAGCCTGCAGTGAAGGGAGGGTATCCCTTTAACAAATGATCAGCTCAACACTGCAAGCGTAAGGTCCAGGAGGGAATAGCCGAGTGGTAACTCCTGGAGAGAATCTAGGGAAGGATGACGTGAGATAGGAAATTGTTTTGCTACCTGTGTCATCTCCTGCAATTGTAGCCTTGGGGAGGGATTGACAGATGGCCAACGCTTCACAATAAAAGCCAAAAAAAGGTAATAGAATCTGCTCTGTGTGTTCCTTTTCTTTTTCTGGTTAGAATGCAATGCTGTAATCGATGGCTATGCCAGAACGTTGACAATAGAGGACGTAGCCCTGAGAGTCCTAGACACTGCACTTGTAGGGCCAGGGAGAAATGGCAAGACTCTTTTGACACCGTCTATTGGTCTTCTCTATGGGTCTAAACTCGGTTCACCTGTTCTTACTGCAGCTTTCAGCGTCCTGTGGCGCCTCATGATGAGATAGGACGAAATCATGAATAAGCTCAAACCAGCAAACAATGGGGAAAGCGAGCAAAGAAAAAACAGAAAGAAAAGGAAAAAAAAAGCAAAACCTATGTTTGCGAGAGATTAGGAAAGTGGCAGATCACGTAGGCCATGATAGCATGAGCATAGGCTAGGCATTTTCGCAGCCATGATGTTCCTCTAGCACTGTAAATTAATAGGTCCATTTTTTTAATTGCGTCTGTCATCTTGGCGCGAGGCACTGCAATTCTAGACTCAGGGAGAGGATGATGCGGCTCCCTAACAGTTCCCTATTGGCCGTTTGACGTGGAGTAAACTTAGTTTTTGCGCTATCCCCACGCTGACTGATGCTCCAATGCCCTGACTCTCGACGAGGTGACACGGATCATCTCGTCGGTCGGTTGCGCAGGGTTTCTGTTTCTGACAGGATTAGAGCTCGGACATTGAATCAGCCATGATGGTACTGCATTACTATTAGGCTCTGGGAAAGGTTGACTCGCCTGCTCGGCAAGCTTGGCGAAATTCGCAATCTCAGCCTGTAAGCGAGTCGGCTCGTGAGAGCCTTGGATACTGGGTATTGTTGTAGAGGTTGCTCGAATCGTGGCCCCGAGCGGTGGAATATACGTCTGCCAGTGATGCTTAGGGCCATGGTTACCTATGTCCTATTTGAGGATATGATATGGGAGATGCCACCTAGGGTACCGTGGCCCGAGTCGCTCGATCTGGCGAGGAAATCACAGGAACTTGGGCCAGTTCCGCAGTCCATCAGCAGAGCAAGACCCAAAAAAATCCTTGTCAATGATGGCAGTGTCTGCTTGGTACTGCACTTTTAGGGCCCAGGAGGCAATGCCATGCCAACGTGCGTCCAACTATGGAGTGGCCCTCTTTTACAAACTATCTGTGCGCCTGGAGCTTCTCGTTAAAGGATTGAGCTTTGCGAGCAGAGGTTTCGATATGGAAGCGGTTTCCCAGTTCGGATATGCTGTGACTGGATATGTGCGCCTCCAGAACCATGAGACGGTGTATTCCATGTTCCATCTATGGTCAAGAATCTAGCAAGACAGGGCCTGCCGACTTTGACTGCCGTCACTAGATCACAGACCTGAACTTCATGCACACCAGTGATGTAACGTGGAATAAGACATGGAAGAGTGGGTGGCCAGGTGCGTGCCGAGTTTTTCAGGTTGACTCACTGCAATTTTGGTCTATGGGAGAGGATGACAGGCATTGTAGGTGAACCAATCAGTGCGCAGAGTTCTCAACGAACCAATCTCGTGAGCCCATATTGCACTGCAATATTAGGGCAGGGGGGCCGATGACGTGGCTGTGCTAGCCATGTGCTGGCTCTCTTAGCGGGCACATGCTGCACCGCAGCTCTATTGCCCTCGAGGCGTTCGAACTTGGAATTAGTTCATTCTCTTGGTTGTGGAGAGTTATGTGCACATTAACAGGGACAACAGTTATAGTAGTGGAAATGCACTTGATTCTAGAATGTCCAGATAGTCCACGTTGGCATTTTTTTTCTTAGTCAAGGGGTGATGGCCACCCACCCAAGCCGCAGGCAGATTGATGCCTGGAAACGCAAATCTTGCGCGCAGGGAAAGATGCTCTTGTCCAGCTACCTGGATGTACCGGATGGACAGGGTAAAAAGAAATTGTCGCCGAGCACTGCATTCGAACCATGGAACGAGGGATTCTTCACGCGAGACAAGGGTGCTATACCCGAGTTATAGTTCATGGAAAAGACTGGGATGATAATCTTAGACTCGACCCTATAATACTAAAGCCAGGCTGACAGTGACCTACTGGAAGTTGGCGTGAGAGATTGGACATTACTAGAAGCGACCTGCAAGATAGGTCCATGTACTGCGAACCACAATCTCTTTGTTTCTGTCGAGGGTGTGTAAAGCCGCGATATTGGCTTGGAGGCTTGAAATCAGCATCTCGTTGAAGGCTGGCCAGATATGGTGTGGCAGAGCACGTCTTGGGCATGCATAGGGAGAACGTGCCTGCTGAACTATAATTAAATAAATAAAAGCGTGGCTCTGCTGTGAGCTAGCCCTACAGGAGGAATGAACACTGGTTTTGGACGAAGTGAGGCTTACTGTACTGCAATTTTAGGACACAGAGGGGAATGCCAGGCCACACAACTGGGTCTAGAACATCTAGGGTCAGGACCGATCAGTGTGTCCCTCGTTACACTGCACTCCTGAGGTCCGGAAGGCGATGGAATGCCCATTCAAAGAGGACTATTCGACATCGTAGCTAAGATGCTAGTTGAGCCGGCCCCTGGCTAGTCTACGGCAGAGAAAAGTATATCTAATAATGTACTATTAAGACCTCCTTCGAAGACGAACGGGCAAGTACCAACAGTGTGGTTTGGCTTTACTTTATCAAGAATATGGATTATTACTTGGAAGACTTACAGGCTCACATGCGCCCTGCTTTTATTAGAGCTTGGATTTGAATGAGTAGAAGAGAGTCGGCACAGAGTCAGCGAACGCTGGTTGGAGACTCTATGCAGGCCATGATGTAACCCATGTGCTTACTGCAGTCTCCATGCATCGAGAGTGATGTATCTTGCAGACCCGAGGCAACGGATTTGCACTACACTGCAACTTTAGGCCTCAGGGGAAGTTGACCTTCTCTGGAGTAACCAATCACCTTCCCCCACGTCTCGGTGGGAAGGATGAGGATGGCTTGGGATGCAGGCCAAGACCAGGACCAAAGAAACTACCCAAGTACATAAGCATTGCGGCACGAGCCCCCACTCTCTAGTCAGGCACTGCATTTTGAGGGCACGGGAGAAGTTGGACTCCAACTCCTGCTTTAGCGCTTGGCCTGTGATCAGCTGCTTTCATTTACTGCCGTTCCAGGCGGCTAGCGAAAGACAGCATTCGCTCTGCAGGTAACCATTCGACCTTCAAGAACACCATAGTGGGAGAAATGGATCCTTCATGGCCTGTGGTGTATGCTCCCCCAGGCCCCGGAGAGAACAACTGCTTTTGCTAGCGTACCAGTCCAACGGGGCGATGTGCTGCTTTAGCGCCCAGCAGGAGGCGAAGTCGTGGCGCAGCGTTGGGATTGTGACACGTTGAAATTCTGATCAGTCTACGAAAAAAATTCAATCACCACCTGGGAAGAGTAGTGTTGAAGCCCGTATGGATGGAGATTGGTGGGTGGTAAGAAGGCTGCCAGTGGGGGAGGAAGTATTTCCCTGTCGCATAGGTACTTTGGTCTGAAATGTTCAAGCCGCTCTGCTCTTCCCCGGCACTGCAATTTTAGGCCCTGGGAGGGGTCAGCGTGGCTGGGCTTATCTCACTCGCCACCTGGGCAGGTCTGCCTGGTTCAGCCTCACAGCCTTGTCCGACCGATTCCAGGGTGGCCGGTGTGAGCCTCGCCATGGAAGGGATTTGTGTTTCGATCTCTGCTCTTGTAAAATCAATAATCTTGCTCACTCGACTTGATCGAATCACTCTTCTCTGCCGTCGTGAGTCTGCTGATTAGTCTAATTTCAATGAGCCATTCGCTTAAGCGCCTCTTGAACCCCACGGGGAGCGGCGGGGATGACGACGAAAATCTCTGGCAGGATGATTACGCGCGGACTCGTCCGAGAATCGAGGGGCCTGAGAATTGGTAATCCCTTCTATCTCGCGACGCGACAACAAGAACTTTACTGATTAGGGCTAGGTCATTCACCACAACCGGAGACACCAGTTTGGGCTCATACTCGTACCCCGACACAGCAGCAACAACAGTTTCAGGATTCGAACCAAACACATTCGGGAATGTCTTCGATACCCAGAACATGTTGTTTGTCGACCACGACCAGTATGCCTCTGGATCGAGCCAGGAAGTCGACATGGACCCGATGATGCTTGACCAAACCTCATTCTTGCAGGCCCCCTCAGACAGCGCGGCGCTTAGCGCGACATCGTATACCAGTTCGACACCCATCGAGTTTGCCGACGATCAGTACACGAGCGCGGATGTCTCGATGTGGGATGGCGAGGTTGGCGATGCCGGCCAGATGCAGGAAGGAGGTGAGCTTTTATGCTATGGAATGGTATGAACTCGGAGGCTCCCCTCGTGCTTCTAGCATACATACCATAGCTAGTAACGAACAACAACATTAACCGCATCAGCTCCTCCGCGAACGGGTCCGCCTCGTCGGCCGAGGCACCGAGCTGCAAGAAAAAATAATCAAACTCCGCGACAGCAACACGTGGAACCCGAGATTCTCCATCCGGCAATCGAGCAGCGGCGAGCTGTTCCTGGCCTTCCCCGACGGCACCGACTTCGGGCGCCTCTCCGAGAAAATGGTCAAGGCGCTGCACAAGCTGATGTCCATCCCGCAATTCGAAGTCGAGGCGCACGCGGACCTGAACACGATTATCCAGGCGCTGCGCGCGGTCAAGGCTGCGGAGGCGGCGATCCGCGTTGATGTTAATGTTTATGGCGGCGAGGGGAGTAGGGATCGCGTGGGCTGGGAGTTGTCGAAGAAGGGGCTGTTTTTGCAGGAGCCGGATGTTAAACGGGATGGGACGAGGTATGATAATCCGCATCTTTTGCGGTTGGACGGGATGGATGATGGGGAGAGTGAGGAGGAGAGAGATGGAGTTGAGGCCGAGGGTGAGGGTGAAGCTGAAGGTGGGGAGGAGGAGGAGGCGCCGCCTGAGCGCGATGCGGACTTTGATGAGACGATCGCAGAGGTTTATCGGAATTTGAGGCGCGGGGATGGGTTGACGAGGCTTGAGGGGGGTAAGAATTTGAGCAAGGCTCTGTATCCGTGAGTAACCTCCAGCCGTTACAGTCAAGGTCTATCTAACAAAGTACAGACACCAAGCAGAAGCATTGGACTTTATGACACAGCGCGAAACGGGGAATATCGCGGACGAGTATCGGCTGTGGAAGCGCCAACTAGTTGGAGGGGAGCAAAAGTACGATCTATCTCGTTGCTGTCTAGAGGTGCTGCTAACAGTGGAACACCAGGTACCGCCACGTTATCACCGACCTCGAAGAGCCCGAAGAGCCTGACGAGAGCGGCGGTGGCATTCTTGCTGATGAGATGGGCATGGGCAAATCATTAACCACGCTTGTGCTGATAGGCAAGACGATGCCAGATGCACATCAGTGGGTTCAGCACCAGAACCATCTTCAGGGCGTCACTCTAGCAGAGAAGCCTTGTCGGGCGACACTGGTTGTTGTTCCTTCAAGAGGTGAGCGTAAAACTTCCAAGTACCGAGTTAGGGCTAACTTGGTAGTCCTGATCAACACCTGGATAAAGGAGATTGATAGGCAAGTTTGAATCCACCGCCGTCTATCAAAGCCTCAAGCTCATGGTTACAGCCACCTAAAAGCCAGTCTCAAGGTCTTGATCTACCACGGCCGGTCACGCAAAGAAGCCATCCAAAAGGCCGAAGACTACGATATCGTCATCACCACCTACAACACACTCGCCAAAGAGCACGCTCCAAAACTCATGGGCGGACCCAAAAGCCCTCTGCACGAATACGCCTGGTACAGAGTCGTCCTCGACGAGGGTACGACCCTTCTCCCGCACAGCCCAATGCATACTGATAAAAAGACAGCCCACATGATCCGCCGCCGTGAAACCACCTTCCACCGCGCCGTCATCGAGCTCCCCGCCAAAATCCGATGGTGTCTCTCCGGAACGCCCATCCAAAACACCCTCGACGACCTGGGCTCCCTCCTCGCATTCATCCACATCCGCCCCTTCCACGACCCGCGCATCTTCCGCCACTGGATCTCCAGCCCCTTCAGCACACGGGACGTAAAGCCCCGCGCCATAAAGCGCCTCACCACCCTCCTCGAAGCAATTTGTCTCCGCCGCACAATCTCCAAAATCGCCCTCCCCTCCCCCGTAGAGATCATCCGCACCGTCCGCCTCACGCCCCTCGAGCGCGAACAGTACACCCTCACCTACGCGGACATGCACCGCCTCCTGGCACAGCAAGCAGGCGAATACAAGGAGAAGGCCTCGACCTTTGGCACATTCCAAATCTGGCTGCAGCTGCGCAGCTTCTGTAACCACGGGACCTTCCAGCCGCGGTTCTCGTGGGCGAAGCGGAATCTCGTTGCGGACGAGATGGACAGCGTGCGCTCGCTGACGCGGGATAGCTGGGACCGATGCCTGACCTGCCGCGAGCCGTTGCCGATTACCGCGCGTGATCGGCGCAGCAAGTATGTGGAGAATTGTAAGCACGTTCTCTGTGAGAACTGTTCCAAGGGCGTGATTCGGGGGCCGAGGGAGGATGGGCGCGTGCATTGTCCTGTGTGTGAGTCGCTGGGGAGGTCGAGTGAGGGCGAGGATACGCGGGATAATTATTTGCTTCGCGAGGGGTTTTCGTCCAAGATGCAGGCGCTTGTGGAGGATGTGAGGAGGGATCTGGATACTAAGAAGAGGTATACCCCTTTCGATCTGATGCCTGCTGCGAGGCCTCCGGAAGCACTACTAAGTCGTGGCATGAGTTGTATAGCATCATCTTTTCCTGCTGGACACGAACCCTCGACCTCATTTCCCAGCACTTGAAGAACGCAAACATCAAGTTCGAACGCATCGACGGGAAAACCCTCTCCACGCAGCGCCAGAGGATCCTCGATAGATTCGACGATTCCGGAGCAGTTCCTGTGCTGATTATGACGACGGGGACTGGAGCTTTTGGGTGAGCTACCCCGCTCTTGCTGTCACCTCAAGTCGTTATAGACTTGGACCGAGCTATGTCGCTAATTCTAAAACAGGCTAAACCTCCAATCCGTAAACCGCGTCTTCATCGTCGAGCCGCAGTGGAACCCCAGTGTGGAGAGCCAGGCGATCGCGCGTGCTATTCGACTCGGTCAGGAGCAGCAGGTTCTTGTTACAAGGTATCGCGTCGAGGATAGTATTGAAGAGGTAAGCCTACGATATTTTCTAACAATCTTGGTTAGGCTTCGAACCCACAGCTAACTGTTGGCAGGATATGTGCTCGCAGCAGATGCAGAAGCTGGAAATCAGTAAGATGAACTTCTCAAGTAATATACAGGAGACTCAAGACATCGCGAATGGGGGTTTGGTTCAGTGAAATTAGGTACATCAAGAACTAGGAAAAGCCCTTCCAGAATCTTCCCACGTGCCGCAAACAAAGACTTGGAAGAGTTTCCACACGCAATGAATCAGAGCATTGCACTGCAATTTTAGACCCTATAGGGCCTGTTGAACGTGGCTGAATACTCCAGCCACTCTCAAAATTGCACTCAGCTGTAGCCTCCTGCCTCTAATATATGTTGTGTCACGATACCATGACCTCTTAGGTACGGTACAAAATTGCAATGCACTCCACCCCGAAAGTTAGAAAAACTGTAGCGTATAATGCGATCTACAACTTGATACTTCGGAGACTCTCAAAGCGGCATACTCTCACTATATTTGTCGGCCCGTTTGGTGCCCGTGATGCAAAGTAGACTACAGGGAGCGCACAGGCTCAGTCAGCATTACACCCGGTTCTTGTCTGCGGCTTTGGACGGCGCAGAATTAGGTAGCCTCATCCAGGTCCTGTTTGAGTTGATTTGAATAAGCTACCTCGCCAGATATTCTCATCCTCGATGAAAATATATTTTTTTTCAGCCTACTGAAGGTTGAGGGCCTGGATGCTGATTGTGGTCGAGCAAATACATGAAAACTCTGAGATGATATCCAGATGTAGACTTCGGTGCAGTTGTCTGTGACGCTGGACTTGCAAGCGGCTAAATACCTAGCTATCATGCGGAGTATTCTCGGACAGCGGCTTGATCTAAGTACGAGTAACTAGTACATTATGCAAGGTCCCAGTCGACTATGCCGGCCATCGGGTTGGGGGAAAACACAGGCGCCTGCATGTGCACCACGTTTTCAACCTCCTGGAGAGGTTGGCTCTTGCACCCTCTTTATCCCTACCCGGTGCAATTTCATCATCAAGTCATGCTCCCAGTCCCATTGGGTCATATGCGACTATATTCGGCATCCTAGTGCCAGCCAAACGAGACACAGACAATGAGCAAGATACCATTAGTCTAAAGATTCCAACTGCAATTACGAACCCTGTTGCCGTTCTAATAGCAACTGGCCTACCCAAAAACGTTATTCTCACCCTTGACGTGCCAGCCGCTGAGCGCTCCAATCCTAGAGAACCAGGGGAAGAAACAACCGCAGAGGGCCGCGTGAAAAATGAGGATCTCTGGGCATCTTGGTTCCCTGTATGTTGTTTTAGGCCTGGAATATGCTGCTCACCTTTTAATGTCAGTGTGTCCTGACGCGACGAACATCGAGGGGTCATGCACAAACCCTCCATTTATAATGCCCCTTCCTTTAGGTGTCTTACTGCACTTTTAGCCCCTGGGAAAGCGTGCAGGCAGAGCTTTAAGCTATGCAAGCAGGGATATTTCACTGCACTTTTAGATTCTGGGGGAGGATGGAAGAAGCGCTCATCCTGCAATAGTTTTGGGGTGATGTCCATGCCTCATTCGACGGCGATGTCGTACAGCTGTCGGATTCTGCATGGTAGCGTACTCAGCCACTACAATCCAACGCTCTATGGCACCTTGCGTTGTCCTGCTGTCAGCTCGCGGTCAGCTTACTGCTCCACTACTGCAACTCTACAGGTTGGCATGGATTTCTTATTGGGATTTTATTTGCAAGAGCTGCAAAAACTGGTGGCCCTGTTCTTGGCTGTGCCTCGAGACTTGAAAACGAGAGTCTGCAGAGACTTTAAAGTATGACCACTAGACGAAAGGTTCACATTGCCACCAGACCCTTAATTGAGAATAGTGACTGAATCGGTGGCTTCTATTTATCCCAAAGCCACAGCCTTGACTCCCCAAAGGATCCGGACTGAGTTGTTGACACATTGCCAGTCGCATATTGCAGGTCGATAGATTCTCAACCTGTCGTTGATACAGGCAGCGTAGAGACATTTCCATCAACCCGTCCTGACGATCCAAGCTTACCAAAAGCCAAGGTTGCCGGCATCCGCCGCAGGGGAATGGTTGTATGTCACGAGAGAGTTCATATAGCCCTGAAATCCTTACGATGACATCATCAGGAAGTGCACTGCAATTTTAGGCCTGGGGGATGCTGTCTGATTATAGCGCCTGGAAGAACTGTCCAGTGTGCTTATATGACATCATTAGGAAGTGCACTGCAATTTTAGGGCCTGGGGGATGCTGTCTGATTGTAGCGTCTGGAAGAACTGTCCAGTGTGCTTATGGTGAGTCAGCACCATAGCCCTAGCCTTGCCAAGGCCACACTACCCATTGAGGTGGTCACGCATTAGACTGCGTTAGGCAGCTATTAAACGGACCTACAGCACACCAATGGATGGTGGTGGGCCATGGGCAGGGAAGTTGAAAGCAATGCAATATCTGACTCCCTCCTGAGAAATGGCTCTCGAGACATTAGAGGCCGTCCTTCGTAGTCGAGGAATATGATCGTGGACAGATTGTTCACATCGTCACAAAGACTAACCATATTTGGTAGAGACAGGGATCCCAACTATCGCCTATTAGGCGATACACTGCAATTTTAGGTCTTGGAGGGAGTGGAATCTTACGTCATGTGACGAGCGACCATATCCCTACAGGACGTCTCGCTCAATGTAGGTTCAGGCTGTATAAAGTACGTGGGGCTCGTAGTGTGGATATATGTCAAGTAAGGCTGGACAGGATTCTCAGTCATTCTTCTATTAGTTACCGGGGATGATAGCGATCCTACGCGAGGTTCTTGTTCAAGGTTAGGGTAAGCTGGAGAACGTACGGTGCTGTCTCATCGTAAATATGTGCCGACTTACGAGCCTGAGGTACTAGCCTCATCTCCACTGCAATGGGATTACATCAGGCATGCTGCCCAGTGGTTGGCCCAGGCAGTGCACAATCCAGCTTTCTCTAGCGTTGCTCGACTACTTCGCCAAAAAAACGCGTCAGGACGAAGCCCTACAATGTAGAGACCAAGGAGGTATAATCTTTTGGTTTTTAATGGTTGATACTAAGGGAATACCCTCCGCAATCCCACATACGGTGTCTACTTCCTCTGGGAGAACCGGCGCATGCGGACGCGGTGCCTACGATACAACTGTACTGCAATTTTAGTCAGTCTCTTGGGGGAAGTGGAGCTCATGTGATGGCAGGCCTAGCGAATGGGTGGGATGGCTGGTCCCCCCATATCAGGGGTGGCCACTGTAATGCAATTTTAGCTTGCGGGAGCGGGTGCTGGGAGTGCGCGTGACCGGTGCCGCAGAGCCTCGCCTAACGCTGAGATGGACGAGCGTAGTTTGAATGTACATGATATGTTCACAGCTAGTATCTGTATTGATTTCATGTCGCGACTTAATTAGATGGGAACCAAGTCGATCCGGTTGAGGATGGTACATGGTTTCCTTACCAACTCACTCGGTCCGTGTACCCTAAAGGCATCAATCCAGACAAAGTGCCCAACACAAAGGCATCTGCGCACACTAAATGACGCCGCTGACGCTGCGATGATTCTTTGCATTGCAATTTTAGCCTCGCGGAGAGGATAAAGGTAGGTACTCTGTAGCCTGATCCGAGCCTCGGCGCAGATGGAATGAGGCAGCCTGTCACCGCCACCTGCAAGAAAGAACTGCAGCACTAATGCAGTGTGCGACCACAACCTCATCACACTGCAATTTTAAGCCCCGAGAGAGGGCGAAAAGAGTCCACCGCTCTAGCTTTGTGTCCGTGCGATGCTCCCTTTTCGGTAAAGGCGGTTGATACAGCTACCCTGCAAATGCTTGGCCCTGAGGGAGGAAATGTAATGGTCTACATTATTGCACTCGCTTTGCCAGGTATCTAGGAGGAGGGCCGACCCAACTTGGCCACCAAGAATATGCCCGGGTACACTGGGAGGGGATGACATGAGCCAGCTTGCCGCTCGCCCCTGCATATGAGGCTCTGCTGACAGACAGATCATGCAGGCAAGATTTCAAGCGCTCTAAAATAGCCAATGGCACTGCTTTGCCTGCACTGCCTTTTTAGGCCCTGGGAGGGAGTAAAAGGCACATTGTTCGGTTAGCGAACCAATACAGGCTAAAGAAGCAAGGCTCCATGAGGCCTGAGGGCGTGGGGAAGAATAATAGAAACTAATTAATTGACTTGTTCCTGTCTGACTCTGATTCCTGTTTCTGCGTATATCGTAGTGCAATCATAGCCCCAGGTGTTGACGGAGAGTCAGTTCTGGTATTTGGCAGACTCTCAGAGAACTTGTCTGACTGCGTCAAGGCCGAACCAAAGAGTCCAGCTTCAAAGTACAGTGCGTGCAGAGATTGCTTGGTTAGCTCTTTTCTTTCTTGCACCAGATCTCAAGGTCGAGGATCGATTGAGCAAGATTACTAGTCTCATGGCGCTTGAGGGCTTTTCAAGAAACCTATGGTGTACATAAGGGCACAATCTAAGTAATGATAACGGAGTGGGTCCGCTAGGCAACAGGATCCTGGAGATTCTGTTTGATGAGACCCCAAGTAGTCAAAGTAAAGGAGAAGATGTGAACGCAGTTGGCGAAGCCCACATTCGGGTCCTGTACAGGCTGACGCTGTGTATACGGAAAAGACTCTGACATCCTGAGTGCTCCACCAAGGGGATTAGCCACAGCGGAGAGGTAAGATTGGTTGGCTGGGCGGGTTCTCCTGAACTACACTCTTGAATTCTGAAAGGGAATGGAGGATAGATTAGGTACTGGAAGATTTCTACCAGACCAGCGGATCCTACAGTCGAAGAAGCAATTATTGTTGCAATACACCACATTTTTAAAGCCCAGGAGGGGATGAAACTCTGGATGGGCTCTGGTTAAAGGTCCGCGACAGGATGAGGCTGTGCTGAGACCCCCTCCAATGAGGGAGCGCAACGGTCTAAGCCCCTCTATGGCCGACGACGAGCTTCAACAAAGGAAACTCGCGATGGGCCTTGCTCTTGTTAAGGAAGCAAGTAACAATAGGCGAAGTATCCTACCTTTCCGAGAAGCTTCGCATGAATACTACAATCATGAATATCTAGGTGAGAAGTACTTGGCCGTGCTAACTATATTATTACGAACAGCAACTATTGTTGCATGTAATAAAAGAGTTTTATAGTCTTATCTAGTTCTATCAATCTTGCCCCAAGTCTAGTCTCTCGCTGTACTTGGAAATATTCAACAAGCATAACAGGTTTGGTACCCTAGGTACCTTATGCAGGATTATATCCTATCAGAGACTCACATACTTGGGCATTAAGCCCCGAAAGGTCTAGAGGGTATGTGTGTACATGCCGCATTGAACGGGAGACCACCCTCTTTAATCGTATTGACATGCCTTAACCCTGCTTTTTAGCGCTACGAAGACGGAGAGACCAGGTGAAGGCAATTGTTGGGGCAGAGCAGTGAGGAACTGTTTTCAGTCTCTATGCAGACCTTTCTTCAACCTCATGTGAATGAAGTCTAGTAGGCAGATCGCTCTCTACAATACTGACCGTATCATAGATATTCGAGCTCAGCAAAGTGATATATCGCCCAAACAATAAACCCATTAATCTAGAGTAGGAAATACGAGTGTCTCAAACCATGAACCTGCGTCAAACCAAGCTCACTGGCTCTATTTCATTTCGACCAAGTCATGGGTTGTTGTAAAGCATAGTGGCGATGATGCACTGCAATTTTAGGGCACGGGAGGGGTTACGATGACGCTACACGCTAGAATCCTGCACCCTGCTGCACCTTGAGGCTGTTCGGGGTTTCTCTTTGCCCGTTTCCTGTTACTCCTCCTTTGGGCTATTGAGACTACGTGGCTTGAATTGGTGGAGTCCACTTTTGGACACTGCATTTTTAGAGTCTGGGAGAAGTTGAACTGTGCCTGCCAAGCCTTGGCCTAGTCGCCGTTATAGCAGAGAGAGGGTCATGGTTACGGGGCTGGAGCAATGTTCTTGCTTTGCTGTGGCTGCTCTTGTTACATTATACATATGCATTCTGCAATGGGCATCCAGAAATCTCCAATGCAACCCAAACGACCTCCCTATAGACTCACATCGCGGATATACAATCGCTCGCTCCAGGCTACCTGTAGTGCGCTGGGATACCGTCTGAATCTCCTGCGCCGCCAAAGCCTGGAACTCACCAACCCTGCCATCGATGCCTTGGGGATGCCTGCCTTTGTCTTGCAACCTCCCCGAACCGCACCCGTGTCATGGACAATCTAAATGTCCGCCGGGATCCCGATTTCACCCCAGCTATTCGTCCAGCTATCTTGACCGGCGGAGTTGAAGGAAAAATCAAAATCTTATCTCCGCGTCACCTTTACGGAGTATCTCTCATGGGCATTGTGATTGGTTGACTTTTGCTACTTATCTTGGTCTATTTTGTGTATATATGTATGTTTTTTTTGTTATCTCCGTCAAGATTGTATATAAAGCATCGCGTCGTTCAGGTCAGAATCCTACCCTGGATAGTTCCAACCCTGTCCTCTTTTTACTCCCCCCCCCCCCGGCTAGTTGCATCTCTCGTTGATTTCATCATTTGGATAGTGATTCTTCACCCAGAACCATACCGAATCACACCCCCGACTCCAATGAATCCATTGCTCGAGCGTTTCATTCCTTCCTCCTCCTTCCCTCTCCCCCTTTCTTTCCCACCACACCTTCCCAGGACCCGTCAAGCAAGCAACCAAACCCCTCACACCGCAAACCGAAACTCGGCAAACAGCGCCCCGGCCAACAAGGTCATCACCCCAATATTGCCAATAAAGAAATAAACCTCACACATCCTGGGCACGGCCAGATCGACCCTGGCAACGAGCGTAAACAGCAACGCAGCCGAACACGCCGCGCCCGAGAAGTAATATTTCCCAAACTCCGCGGTAACCCCCGTCGCGACCAGGAGGACCGGGTAGAGCAGGGCAAGCGTGTACAGCACGGGTTTCGCGAACCCGCGGATCCGCACGGCGACGGTCTTGATCCCCGCCTTGAGATCGTCGGCCAGGTCCGCGTGGTGGTAGATTGTCTCGACGGTGAGGTTTGCGACGAAGACGGCGGCGTTGAGGGCGAGGGCGGAGAGGCGGACGGCGGGTGCGTTGGGCGCGGCGTTGGTCCAGATGTCGAAGCCGACGGTGCGCGAGGCGTTGAATGCAGTGACCGTGTAGAGCAGGGCGAGATACAGGAGCGCGTAGTGTGTGAATCGCTTGAGGAACGGGTAGATGACCGGGCAGATGATCGTAATCGGAACATGGATTGCAGGCTGGGATGGGAAGAAGGAAAGCGTGACGTTTGTGTTGAACGCCATGATTGTCGTGGCGAAGATGCATGCCGCCGTCATGGAGATCGCGCCGCGGACTAGCGGCCGGTTCTGGCACCGCTCGACTTTACTGTCGAGGTCTTTGTCTGCGATGTCGTCGACTACGCATCCGTACGCGCTGTAGAGACTCGAGAGGACGAGCCATTTGAGGCAGCAAGTTAGGATGTGGGATGGGTCGAGGTGTGCGATTGCCGCGACGTGGAGGATCGCGATGAGGACGGGAAAGTATGGAATCACCGTCCCGACGGGGAGATGGACCATGCGAGTCAGTTCTGCATACGGGACGATAAACGCCGGAAGCGACGAGAGCACGCGAGAGTCCATGGTGGGTGACACAGAGGCTCAATGGCTGCCGACGGAAAGCAAAAATTAAAGGATGCTTGATGTTGTGCGACCAGAAGACGATCTCCGGGGCATTCGATTCTTATACTCCGGACCGACTACGACTCTACACGCTGAACGGGCCACGGGGAAACTTGTCGGGCGCTCCTGTATAGCGTCGGCAAAGAGACGTGGCCAAGCACGAAGAGGCCTCAACTCCAAGATGCGCTTTTTCAGCTGTATCTCGCCAAGTACACGATCGAGCGTGAGGAACAACTCGATATGGGATCCTGTTAGGTAAGAGCCACAAGGCAGGAAGATCGCCAAAGCTCTTGGCGTCGTGCAGATCAGGGCCCACTTGCTGCATGGCGTCCTACTATTGCTGTCCAGTCTACTTCCTTCGGCGTCAAGAAACTCCGGATCATTCTTGAGGATATACTGCTTGCGGATAATGGACATGTAAGGACAAAAGGGCGTAGGGTGCTCACTGTGGAGCAGATGCTGTGACAGAACGTGCAGCGTCAAATATCGCCAGATACGTGGCAAAAATGTACAGAGGAAACAGAACCCAAGGGAAACATGAAAACATCAATTCTAGCACTAGCCCAAATCTATACTATTGTACAAGACAGACCCAGTAAAAGCCAGCTCAGACCGCAGGCCGCACACCCTGCGGGTTATGAAAAACATCCTCGGGATCCACCTGGCCCTTGATGCGCTCCAACCGCGGCAGATTCGCACCCCAATACGCCTCCTGCGCATTCTCCAGCAGTGGATCCACATGGCCAGGATACGTTCGGTCTTCGAGCCCCGGGACGGACTCCCGCAGGGTCTGCCTCAGCCCGTCCAGAAACTCGTAGCCCTCCTCGGACACGGGCTGCCCGGCCATATTCACCACATACGTCTCCATCCAGAGGAGGACGTCGCGGTGTGCAAAGGCCGTCGCATCCGCAGCGACATCCTGCGCCGCCCCGCCCTGGTGGTCGATTCGGATGAACCACGTATGCCTGCTCGGGCCCTTGGCGTGGGCGTCCAGGTACTCGAACAGGGCATCCACCCCGCGGTCCGGGATGGCCGACGAGGCGGTGATGGGCACGGTGTGCTCGTGGAAGGAGGCGCGGACGTTGCCCCCCACGGCGTCAAGGAGTTCCTCGTTCGCCCAGTTGGCCAGCGCGCCCAGCCAGTCCGTGACCACTGCAGTGGTCGTACCGTTCGAGGATGCTCCTGCGGCGGGGATGCGCTGTAAGATCCCAGACGCGGCGAATTCCTCCTCGCTCCCGAAGAACGTCCCCGAGAGCTGCACGCCCGAGGGGAGGATCGTGCACGAGCAGGAGAATTTCCGCGTGAGCGATGGGTCGGTCATGACCTCCTGCCACTGCCTGAAGAGCTCGGCGCGAGAATCCACATCGCCCGCTGCGTAGGTATAGGTGTACGTCATGACCGCGTCCGGCGCAGGTTCCGTGCGCATTTCAAAGGACGTGACGATGCCGAAGCTGGCGCCTGCCCCGCGGATGGCGAAGAAGAGATCTGGATCCTCCGTCTCGGACGTATGCACAATACTCCCGTTGGCGAGGACGACTTGGGCGCCCACGACGTGGTCCGTGGTCAGTCCCCAGATCCGCGTCGCGGGGCCGATGCCGCCGACTGTTGCGTGGCCGCCGAGTCCAACAGTTGGGCAGAGTCCGTGGGCAATTGCGCGGTTGCTGGTGTCGTGGAGGGCCTGGTCGACGTCGCGCAGAAGCAGCCCGGGGCCGGCTGTTGCGTGGTTTGTCGTGGGATCCAGGGAGAAGTGCGTGAGGGAGCTGAGGTCGGCGACAATGGCGCCGTTGCTGCCCCCGTAGCCTGGGAAGGCAGTTCATGTTAGGGCCAAGATTCACCAACTGGGGCTCGACAACATACAATAGTTTCCGTAGCTATGCCCGCCACTTCTGGCCTGGACTTTGTAGCCACCCTGTGCCGCGCATTGTACAATGGCGGCCACTTGCTCAGCGGTTTGGGGATAGGTCACGGCGATCGGAGTGACAGGCCAATTGAGATTGTACGGGTGCACGTTGGCCGCCTGGTAGCCCGGCTGGCTGTCGAACGCCACCTGGCTTGCGTCGCCGTCTACCGCGTCGAGTAGACAGTCGCGGATCGCATCTTGGGTGCCCTGGCGAGCCTCGACGTCAGCAGGATGGGGTATGGCTAGGACTGCCTTCAGCCCTACTAGGCACAGAAGAAGAGAACGTGAAAGACCGCCGAGGGAGTGCATTTCGGCACGACAAAGTTGCGATAAAGTTGATTGTCTGCGAGTCTGTTGTACTTGCATCGTAGACATACAGATACAAGAGCTGATTTATCAGTCGCTTCGGAGTCCTCGGAGTTTGGACGACGCCGGTAGCGTCAGAGGGACTAGGGGGTTGCGATGTTTGCTCTACGCCTGCTGGGCCCACAAAGACCAATATGGATTCCACTGTCAAACTGCAACTTCCTGGTGCGGACGAGTGCTGCTAGTTTTTAGATGACGGTTGGGTAATGGAATACAGTGGATGCTGGATGTGGTGGATCTCTCGAGCAGATCACCTGTGGCCAGACCCCCGAGGGACTGGAGCTCACCTCCAGGCGTGATCTGTGGCGATCGAGCCTCATCGCCGTGTATGGCTCGTCTCGGTGGCGTGAACATAGTACTAGTACTGCTTGGCTTCAAGTATTGTGGGTTCTCAATGGGATAGAAGGCGCAAAGGCCCATAATATCCACCTAGAGCTATTTATAACATTATTATTATAATCCAGGTCAAACATGACTTTTCACTTTTGTGGCTTGCATGGGTTTGTATGAAATTTCTATTCTCATACTCAGCATTCCATACATTTACGTAAATAGTGTTTCCGAATATACTTGCATACAAAATACAGTCTGGTTGGTGCCCTCCCTACACGCGCCTCTTGACAGTCACATCCATCCCATATTGCCTGAAGAACCAAAAGTTCTCCGTCTTGAAGCGGGCCGGGTCCCGGAGTTCAAACTACACCTGTTAGCTCTGCTATACCCAAGTCTTGGTGGGGATCAACTCACATCATACTGCAGCACCAGCGCGGGCACAATCTTCTTCAGCTCGAGCATGGCAATGTGCCGCCCCAGACAGACGCGCCGTCCAGCGCCGAACTACACCCCCGTCAGAATCCCATCCATCCCGTAAATCTTGCCCCTCAGGAGCGGAAAAGAAAAAGAAAAAAAAAAAAAAAAAACTCACAGTAAGAAGCGCCGCCTCCCTCCTCGCCTTCAACTCTTTCGCAACCATCCACCGCTCGGGATTCCAGCTCTCGACATCCTCGCCAAACGTCGGTTTATGCCGATTCACCAGATACGGACTCATCCCGATAATCGTCCCCTTGGGGAAGTACCTCTCGCCCACCGTCATCCCGCCCTTCGGCACAACCCGCTCAAAGGGGAGACAGAAGGGCGGGTGCAGGCGGAGGCCCTCGAGGATGCATGCGTCCAGGTAGGGGAGGTCGCAGACGTCCTTGTAGGACGGGTAGGGCTTTGTGAGGCCGGTTTCGGCCGCTGCGTCGGCGGTTAAGAGTTCGGTGCGCAGGCGCTGCAGGGTGTGTGGGTGGCGGAGGAGGTTGTAGAAGATGGTGCGCATTACCACGGCGGTGCTGTCGGAGCCGGCGATTACGTTGGAGAAGGTCCAGGCTGTTACGGTCCTATACGCATGTCAGTACGTTCTCTGGCTTGGGAAGAGTGTATGAGTGTGGTGGCGGATAGAAGGGACAGGACATACCACGGTGGCAGGGCGTTGTTGGATTGAATGTCCAGGAACATATCGAGCATGTCGCGCTCCCGGAGCCCATCGTCGACAGTCTTGCCATCCCCCTTCTTCGCCTGCCGCTCTGCGACGAATTTCCCCACGATCCCCAAGATCGAGAACCCGGTTGGGCCGCGGAACATGCTCACAAAGGCATTCTTGTTCCAGACCTGGTCGAGCCAGGGGATTTGCGTGAACTGCCACAACAACCATTAGCCTCGCGCATCCAAGACATTGAAAAAAGACGAAAGAGAGAGCACAAGCATACCGGCGCAGCCCCCCTCATAAACCCCCAAATCGTGCCCAACATACCGCCGACATCTACCCCCATCTCCAGAAACCCATAGCGCTTGGAAAAAGTCAGCGTCCCCATGACATCAAACGCAAAATACTGCAGCCAGTGCGCGAGGTCAAACGGGGCCTGGGAGTCGACGAAGCGCGCGTCCAGCTGCGCGCTCATGGCCTCGATCGTCGCGTTGATGAAGCTCTCGAGCGGAAGCACCTTGGACATGGAGTACAGCGACGCAATGGGCGAGCGCAGCCACCGGTGCACTTCCTCGTCGCGCGACGAGAAGACCGCGGGGAGCGCGCCTTTTTTCGTGTAGGGGGCTAGCGTGCTGTAGAAGGCGCTCTGCATATGCACAGCATCAGCATGGCAACCCTCGTACCGTATACAAAGGGTGAGAGAAAGGAAAAAGAGTGTACATACCTTTGGAACGCCCATCCTCGCCGGATAAACGACATTGATCCACGCCGGATCCGCGAGCGAAACCATGTTCGGTCCGAGGACCGCCACGTCGCCGTATTTCTTGTGGATGTCCAGATGGATCTCGTGCGCTTTGCCCGTGCGCACCCAGAGGACGCGCTGGAGGTTTGTGAAGCGCGTCCACCAGGGCCCGGGGATGTGCCGGAGGCGCCAGTAGACGCGGGTGATGTGGATTAGCAGGAACAGGGCGGCGAGGACGCCGAGGGGGAGGAGGAGGGGTGTGTTGGAGATTGAGGCTGTTAGAGCCATGGCTGCGGTGGATGTCCTGTCTGTGCCCGGACTGTGTGGTGATGGGGAGGGAGGGAGGGGGAGAAGGGCTGGATGGGTGAAGAAGACGGCCAATCCAGCGAATTCAATCAGTATTGAATTGACTTGATTCAGACACAGGATCGGTTGGCAATTCTTTCACAGACACTGTGAAAGAATGGCATTTGTATTTATCTATTTATCCGCTAAATATTTCCCAGTCTACACACAAAAAGACACGACAGAAACAATCAATGATAGTCCGCGCCCCGTGGAGTCACATTCCAGCCTCGAAGCAAGACAGACAAGCCCTAACGAGCGGCACGACGTGGGCGATTGCAACCAGCACCGACCGGGACTCCGAAAGCCCCAAAAGGCGGGAACACGGAAACACACCGTCTCGGGCTCATAGAGATATCCCGGGCCCGGTGATGGGTCCTCTATCGGGTTCTCGAGTGGGGACATGTTTATTGAACTGGACCCTGGGGCTGAAGAGTCGGTGCCTAAGCGGCGTTAATATACTCCGGGAGATCAGCCGGTGCTGGAGATGGAGCTGGAGCTGTCTAGCGCTTTCCTGGTCCCGAGCCCGGAGGGTGAGATGGACTGAGACTACCGTAAGCGTCTGGATCAAGGCTCAGCCAAGTCAGCAGCTGCCACTGCCGCTCTTTGAAGGATCCCGGAAGACTGGGTTGACCCATGGCCACCCTTGACAGAACCCCACTCTGCCAATCCCAGCACGGCCGCAAGGCTAGCTATCTCCGAGCGGGGCGCCGGAGTCAATATATTATCTCCGCTAAAATCATCCATCTCGAAGCGGGGCGGCGATCTCGTTCGTCAGGGCGCAGCGCCGCCGCCGCCGTAGGAGCCCAAGGCGAAGGAAGACCCATGGCAAATTTAGTTAGCGTCGGCTTTGAAGCCGCAGTGCTGCTGGCGTGGATTGCCTCGTTCTGGTTCAGGGTGGGTTCGGGGCGAGGGACACCGAGGTGGGTGGTGCATTGGGTGCAGTACGAACAAAGAAGATGGAGGTTATTCTGGTCCTGCCCACTGCCCAGTCGAGTGCAGCTCTGCTCTCCGGTCAGACTTGACTTGCGCTGAGAGAAAGAACCCTTTGTCTTGGCTTCGTGAAATTGAAATTGACAAAACCAGACTAATATAGATATCGAAATTGGTATAGGTATAGGCATTAGAAAATGTGGAACAAGCAGAAGCACGCCAAATTAGAAGTATACTACGGTATCAAAACTATGCAGAATAACCCATCAATCCATCAGTCGATACGTCAATCACAGAAACGCCTTGACTTGCTCCTCGTTCCACTCCCAGTACTTCTTGGCCTGCCCGCCCTCGTCGACAAAGTCTTTGCGGGGGCACGAGATTTTTCCGGCGGGCGTGACTGTCAACTGTCAGATTTGGTTTCAAACTTTAGGGGAAAGGAATGTAGGGATGGATTCAACGTACCCCACTTGCTCAGGCCTGTCTCGGTGGTCAGGTCGGAGTGCAGACCGGCGTAGAGCTGCGTGTATGCGCCTGTGATGGGTTTACCGGCGATGAATTTCTAGCACGGTTAGTACAGCCAGCCAGGGACCAGTACAAGGGAGGGTAACATACAACGGCGGTGGCCATCAACCGGCCCATGTCGCGCTGCAGCCCGGTCACGGCGACACCAGGGTCGAGGGACTAGATTGTTAGTTCGGGACTTGTTGAAGATTTAAAGAGAGGTGGCAGGCATACAATGCTAACGATTCCATCCCCCTTTGCGCGCCGCTGCAGCTCAGCAGCCTGCATGATGGTGCCAGCCTTGGACCGACCATATTTCACGCGCGCGCTCTCATCACGGCGATAGTCCATGTTCTCAAAATCAATTGGGGGCCTGGGCGCCCACGACGCCGCATCCGACGCAACCCAGACGACACGCACGGAATTCGGGGTCGCCGACGCAGCAGTCTGCGCGAGGACCGGATACAGCAACTTGGTAAACAGGAACGGCCCGACGTTGTTGGTCCCCAGTTGCATCTCGTACCCTTGTGCGGTGCGCGCGCCCTCGGGCGGGAACATCACGCCGGCGTTGTTCCAGAGGACATTGAGCTGCGACTCCTTGGAGAGGAACTCGTCGGCGGACTTTTTGATTGTGGAGAGATCGCCTAGGTCGAGCTGCAGAGGCACGAGGGTGCCCCTGGAGTTGGGGTGTTTGGCGCGAATGTCGGCGATGGCCTCGTCGATTTTCTTGGCGTTGCGGGCGGCCAGGTAGACTTTGGCATTGTGCTGGTAGAGGATGGTCGAGAGGAGGAGGCCGTAGCCGGACGAGGCGCCGGTGACGATAAAGACCTTGCCGGATTGATCGGCGAGGTTGGCCTCGGTGAGGGGGGGTTTCGGGGTGAGGAAGGCGGGGGGCATGATGGTTTCAGGTGTTTTGTTGTTAAGGTTGCTTTGACAGGACCGAGTCAAGGGGGAACTGCTTTGTCAAATATACTCCTCACATGACGGCGATAGGCAGTTCTCAGAGTCTACGCTGGCCCAGTCGCAGTCGGCATTGGAATGTAAAGACCGTGATCTCCACCGCTAGAGGGCGAGGATCAATAGTCTGCGTTGCTGCTCCACAGCAACCGGAAGATTACTCCGTCTCCGGGGGGAGCACTGAGGTCTGGAGATCTGCAGTCAGCGTTAGTGTCCAGCTGGACATATTTATCGGCCGGACCCCGGCTGATGGGATGATGGCAAACAAACAGCAGATTGTGCAGCTCGACCTGGGATGCCGGAACTGGAGGAAGAGCTGGGAATCGAAGGATGATGGATGGAGGGAGGAGAGATCCCCATTGCGGCCTTGACGTGTCCGAAAACCGATCGGACCCAATTTTGGGCAGATTCAGTGGGGCCGCTAGTGGTGCCAAGATCAGAGCCTTAATTTGCTGTTTCTCTTGATCTTTCTCTAATTTTCTCGATGTTTTCCGACGCTAATTTGGAGGAATTGCGATGATGAAGCTGCTGAGTAGGATGAGCCGGTGGTCTGGATGAGTTTGGGCACCACTCGAGATGTCCTGACTCAGTGATAAATCACATTTTATATACAAAGTTGTAGCTACTCAGTGTGGGAGTACTGGTTATTATAGACTAAACTAGAATATATATTAGGTAATTTTTCAACAACAGCCGAGATTATTGTATGTATACTTTGCACATGTTAACCATTCAGTAACCTGATATGCACCTACCAAACGCCCAGTTGAAGCAAGAGCTGCATCATTCCGTACAATGCATCCAAAGTACCATAGCTGATGCATCTGTGAATACCGTTGTCAACCTAGACGCTCCCCGACGTCTTAGCACAGGCACCACCCTCCAGCAACCGCCGGCACTCTTTCCTCGCCCCCTCCACCATCTCCGGTACATCAAACTCCCACACATCGCAATACCTCCTCCAAATCTCCTCAAAACACCGCTTCGGATCCCGCCCAACCTCCTCATCCTGCCACATGCACATCTCCCCAACTTCCCGCGAGTACCGCACAACCATCTGCGACCGCTCCAAGCGCAGCGCACTAAACGCCCGAAACGCCGCCGTGATTGCGACAGTCTTCTCGCCGGGTGTCCCAGTATCAGGTTTATTGAGCGCAGTCTCCAGCGTCGCCGCGAGCACCGCCGCATCCTCGACGCCCATCGCTGCGCCAGACGCGAGGAAGGGCGTGCTGGCGTGCGCGGCATCGCCGGCGATGCAGACACACCCCTTTGTGTATGTCTTGGCCGGGTGCGCGGACATGTCGAAGATGGCCCATTTGGTGGGCGTCTCTGGGAGGAGGTCGACGACGCCGCGGACGTCGGGCTTCCACGCGCTGACGGCGGCTTGCGCGGTGCTGCGGTGGCAGGTGGCGAGGAGGCGGTTCGTGTCGGGCCAGGGGGTGGATGTTTTGCAGAAGAGGATCATGTTGCTGAGCGTGTTGTTTGCAATCTATTCGATACCATTAGTCTCGCGGATTCTCCGTAGTTGTCATTTCGTTGGGTGGATGAGGTGCGCACCGGATATGTGACTGTGTATGCTCCCGGCCCGACGTGCAGACAGTGGCTGTACCCCTTGTCCTCGCCCATGGCAGCCACAACGGCCTCGAGGGGGATCACGGCGCGGTAGGCGACCATGTGTGTGAATCCCGGCAGCGCAGCGGGGTCATCTTCCCCGATCATGATCTGGCGAGTGCGTGACTTGATTCCGTCGCAGCCGATGACTATACAGCCCATTAGCATTGCGCGCCCCAGTTGCATGCAACCTGTCCTTGACTGGTTGATTGAGGAAAAGGACAAACATACCAGCATCAACATCAACCACCTCCCCACCCGCAAACCTCAACCTCACCTTCCCCCCCTCCTCACTCTCAACCTCCTCATACCCCTCAAGCCCCATCCCAAACCGCAAAACCCCCTCGGGAATCTCCTTTCCAAGCGCCTCCAGAAACGCCGCCCGCAAACACCCGTGGTAATCCGGCCTGTCCGCAGGAATCTGCCACAGCGGCTCTTCCACGCCCCCTTCTCCCTCGCCTTCTTCTCCGCTCCCAGTCACGGGCGTGTATCCATCAAAATACCGGATAAACGGATACTCATTCGGCGCCGCTACTTTGCGCAGTGCCTCGCGGACGCGCGGGGAGATGAACTCCATTGCCTCGCGCGCGACGGCATTGAAGGAGAAGCCCGCACTCGTCTCGGTGAGTTTGCTCGCGCGCTCGTAGACTGTTACGTGCAGCCCGCGGTGGAGGAGGCCCAGGGCCGTTATCAGGCCGATGATTCCGCCGCCGATTATGGCTATGCTTGTTGTTGTGGAGAGGGGTGTCTGAAGTGTGGTGGGTTCGTTGTTTGTTTTGGGGGCGAGGTCGACGGTTGGTGGGGGGTTGGCGGTGGATTGAGATTCGACTAGGGGAGTGGTGCTGGTGGTTTTCTCTGGCGAGCGAGATTGCTCAGAGGGTGGACTTGGTGCTGTTGGCTCTGTCGCGGGGGATAATGACGGTGATGGTGACGGTGACGGTGATGGCGACGGTGATGCCAGTCCTATAGAGACAGGCCCGCCCTTTTCGCCCCGCAAGCTCTCCATTTTGAGTACCTGAGCCATCCTCGTCATGTACCTAACCTTGCCCGTGTCCGTGTTCTCGGTATCTCTATCCCGTCTGGAAGACCAGGAGAAACGCTTGGTGTTCTTAACGGACAGACTTTGTGTCCTGCTGGTATCGTGCAGAGAAGACCAAGACGAACCCATCTCGCTCTTCAACAAAACGAAGCTCGGTAATGACTTTGGTTTCCGACGCCCGTCATATTATCATATCACATCAAAGCAACCCGTCCCATTCGACGCCATGGCGCTCCACGCTACGCTATATCACGGCTCATCCCAGACGGAAAAAGAAACGACTGTGCGCGACAGCAATAGTCCGGAGTATCTCTCTTCGACTCGCGATCAGCATCCATTCCAAGCCGAACTTATCTATGCGAGTGACCAATGCAATCGAGTACGAGATACCAGAGAGCGGAAACTAAGGTCTCGGACATCAGTCAAGCACCGGAGTATTTCTCCGTGCAGGGGAGGAAGAGGGTTAATCGGCCAATCAGGACCCACTGCGTCGTCATTTGCGATGATCGTCCCTGTCACCGAAGCTTATGTTTTCTGAACTTTCCTGAAAAATCGATGGAGGAACCGGACTTTAGATCATTAGGCCGAGTCGTGCCGTGTCGTCGTACATACTGGGAAATGGCAGTGGCAGCGGTAGGGGTAGGTGAGTCGAGCTCTGTAGTTTGTTTTGTTATTCCTTATCTTCGATTTACTGATTTTGTTTATGGATCTGCTCGGATTTAGGGGTTCTTCCCTCGGCTCTCCGACCGGCGGAGTTTTAGATCTGTCCAGCCACAGTCGGGATGACGAGATGAGGGCTGCGATCTGGCCGTTGTCTGTCTGTCGATTATTGACTCAACCCATTGAACTGGAGGGTTCCGGAGTATTGCGTCCCTTCCGGCTGATGTTCTACCTCTCTAGAAATAGCGAGAATTCGGTTTAATCCTTGCCTCTCTGCAAACGAGCGACCAAGTTCAAACAGCCGTCTAGAGCTTTTCAGTAGTGAACTCTGGAGGAGAGACTTTTCAATACCGGTATAGTCGACATTCGGAATCCTCCTTGATCGACATTGTCTTGGTGCTCTTGGCTACTGCTTGGCTTGGTCTTTTGTTGGATAGGGAGTATCCATCTAGCGGATAAAAGTCTTCTTGTTTAATAGCATTTGAGAAGAATATATTCAGGGAGTTATGTCTTCAACACGAGGTCCTGATATTCTCGTAGCTGCGCGCATATATATCGCCAGACAGATTCTAGGACCGAGGTCAATGATAAAGTAAAATAACATGCCCTAACCAACTGTAGTAAAATCGATTTTCGCAAACCCCCTTTTCGACCTCTAGTGCTTCATTTCATTTCCACCTCGTCCATTCCATACCATCTAGTCCAACCGCTTCAATCGATAATCTCCGCCCACCTGCCCCTCACCCAACGTACATACTCAAAAACACCCCACCCACTAAATCTAAAGCGCCGCCGCGGCCATGGCCGCGCCCCCATACTGATACTCAGCCCAAAGCCCGCCGGCAAGCGCCGCCATAACCAGCGCATTGCCCCCGAAAAAGTACACCTCGCACTGCTTGCCGTCCTTCAGATCGACCTTGCCCACAATCGCCAGCAACGTCGCCGCCGACACCGCCGCCGCGGTGAAATACCACGCGCCGAAATTCGCCAGGACCCCGGACCCCAGGACCAATGCCCCATAGGCCAGTGCCATCGCCGACAGCACGGGCTTCGAGTACCCGTACATGCGCACCGCGAGCGAGTTGATCCCGGACTTGATGTCGTCTTCGACGTCGGCGTGCATGTAGATGGTCTCGACGGTGACGTTGGCGATGTACACGGCGGCGTTGAGGAGGAGGTTGCTGTGCAGGATGGAGTTGTGGGGCGGGAGGGAGAGGATGTCGAAGCCGAGGGTGCGCGAGGCGTTGAGGCCCGTGGAGACGTAGAGCAGGGCCAGGAACAGCAGCGCGTAGTTGGTCCAGCGCTTCAGGAACGGATACACGATCGAGCCTGCGATTGCGATGGGGACGTGGGTGGCCGGTTGGTCCGGGAAGAATGTTGTTGTGAGCGTGAGTGCTGACGCTGCGAGTGTCGCGGCGAAGAGGACCCCCTGTGTCACTGAAACGGCGCCGCGAACGAGCGGGCGATGCTGGCAGCGCTCGACCTTGCGGTCGAGATCGACGTCGGCGATGTCATCGACGACGCAGCCGTAGGCGCTGTAGTTGAAGCAGAGGAGGAGCCATTTCAGGGAGGCGTCGAGGACGGTGTCGGCGGGGAGGTGGGAGATTGTGGCGACGTGGAGGAGGGGGACGAGGACGGGGAGGTAGGAGATGAGCACGCCCGCTGGGAGGTAGCCGACGCGCGTGAGCTCGACGTAGGGGGCTATTGAGGGCGGGAGGGAGGTGAGGATCCAGGATTTGGAGTACATTTTGGTTCGTTCCTTTCTTATTATTATTGATAGGAGGGGGAGCTTTACCAACTTGGACGAAAGGTGTTGATGTGAAGCCTTTTATGTTTTGAGAGACATGGAGATAATCGGTATCTCGGACGAAACTACCTATTCGGTCTGTCGTCTCAGGCAAGGAAGATCAAGTGGAAACCGAGAATCATGCACAGCAAGACAGCCCATCCATGACATCTCACCCGAGTCGAGTGCCATCAAGATACACCGTGGCCCGTGAGGGCGGAGTATCTACCGGCCCCGAGAAACAGAAAGGATTGCATAGCGTGGGGCCTGGGTCTGGGCCTAAAGAAGCCGAGAAAAAGCAACAAGAGCCCGAGGGCGGAAAGACCGCAGCTCAAGCTTTGCTGAAGACCCCCGAGCGCTTCCTGCAGGCTTAGATTTTGCCTTGTGCGGCTGAGCTGTCGATCTGTTTCTGGATTGAGTATGAGGCGGTGCGGTGAAGGATAGGATTGACATGACATGACAATGACAATGACATGGTCTGCATGGCTGCCGTGGACTGGATGGGTGACCTGGGTGAGGAATCCGGCTATGCTCATGTAAGGAGTGTCTTCACCGTACGTGGATGCAGAGATGTAGGAGTGAATGAATGGCTGGGCAAATGCATGCAGGCCAAGTATACCATCACGGAGTAAACACGGACAAGATCTTATCTCCATCCCAGCCATCTCCATCAAAATGACATGTACGATGTATGATGAAGAAGAAACAAAGCATTATTATATTAAAACAGCCGCTCTATAAGCTCAAACGAAGTCACTACAGCAAAACGAACAACAAGAAGACCCAGATGCTATTTAATTCCCACTCTTGATATCCGCCGCAATCTTCTCCGCAACCATGTAGCAGCTGCTCTGCGGATGCCCAGCAGGCAACGTCGGGAAAATACTCGCGTCAACGACACGGAGGTTCTGCACACCAAAGACTTTACCCGTGGCATCAACAACAGCCATCGGATCCGACTCCTTGCCCATGGCACAGGTGCCCGCGGCATGGAAGACGGGGACAACAGTCTCGCGGATGAACTCGAGGATCTCCGCGTCGGTCTGCACATCCGGACCAGGACGGTATTCCTCGCCGATCGCGATGCCTGTGGCTTCCCACGCCGCGCGCAGCCGCTTGACGGCTGCAACGGCAACCTCTTGGTCACCGGGGTGCGTGAGATACCCCAGCTCAATCACAGGCGCGTCGTCAGCGCTATCAGAGCGGATCGTGATGTTTCCACGGGATAATGGCGCAACGAGCCCCGCCGCCAGCGACGCCCACTCGTGCCCCTTGCCCGCGAATTGGTCTAGGGCGCTGTGCCAGCCGTCGAGAATCCCGTCCAGAGACAGGTACTCGAGGATCGGCCAATCGCTCGGAAAAGTAGCGCTGAGCGCCTCTTGCGTTTCTTGCGAGAGCCCCTCGAGCGGACCCTGCTGCCAGCCGATGACGCCGAACCCAGGCGCAGTCAGGGGACCCGATTGTTTCGTGTAGTCGACACCGGCCTGCAGCGCGAATTGGGGGTCCGAGATGATGCGGCTCGAGGTGATGACGTTGACCTCGTTGACGACGCCGAACATGCAGTGGTCCCAGAGGTTCTGGCCGACGCCGGGGAGACTAGAGATGACTTCGATGCCCTGCGCTTCGAGCTGGTCTTCGGGTCCGATTCCGGAGACCATGAGGAGCTGCGGGGACTGGAATGTGCCGGCGGAGAGGATGACTTCCTTGCGGGCTGTGAGGGTAAAGGGGACGCCGGCATTGCTGCGCACCTGCACGCCCGTTGCAGTCGTGTCGTCGAAATTGATCTTCAGCGCCATGGTATGCGGGTACACAACGAGATCCGTCGTGCGATACGCCTCGCGCAGGAAACTCGTCTCGGAGGAACTGCGCGTCTGGTCCTTTGGATCGATCGTGATCGGTGCCCAGCTGGACCCGTCAAGCGTCCCCATGTTAAAGTCCGTATCGCGGGCGAGCCCAAGAGCCTCCAGGCCAATCTCGACGTATGTCGAAAAGGGAGATCCATAGTTTGGCCAGGAGACCTGCAACGGGGCACCGTCGGGCGAGTAGCCCTCGGGGTCGTAGGCGACGGTCGTGTTGGGGAAGCGGTCGGTCATGTCGGCGGGGGTGAGGGTGACGCTCTGCTTGAAGTAGGGGAGGACCGAGTCCCAGGACCACGAGTCCGAGCCGGTGACGTCGGCCCATTGCTCGTAGGTTCCCTTTGTTCCACTACGAACAGGTTAGGCGTTTCTAGAATTGTTCCAAGTGGTGAAAGGGCGCATACCGCTGGTAGACCATGTAATGTCTTGCTGAAGATCCTCCCAGCGTCCGGCCGCGTGCGTAGCGCAGCGTACGATCATGTGCTTCCTACATGCAGCAATCAGCACCGTTACCATCACCAGCCAAGATGACTGCATAATCAAGATTCACATACAGTCAACGGCTCCGCCACAAAATTCCAGTCAATCGGCGACTTGTCACTCGGGTCCGTCCCCGTGTTGGCAATCCCTGCAAGACCAGGGATGATACTCGGCGGACCACCCTCGACCTCGTAGTACCCTCCAGCCTCAATGACAGCGACACTGACGTCGGGATCCTCGGCGAGGCGCGCGGCGATTGTCAGACCAGAGGTTCCGCCGCCGATGATCACGTAGTCGTATGTTGCGTCGACGCCCGGCACGCCGTGGTTCTTCGGGACGTCGACGAGGGCAGCCGCGGAGGCTGCAAGGGACGCGATGGTGAGCGTTGAGAGGAGCGCCATGCGGGCCATGGTGCCTGTTCCTGGTCGTGGTTCTGTTCCTGCGTCAGAGTGCAGTTCGGCGCTTACAGATTGGTGGAGAAAGGGTTTCGAACAAGTGCAGAAGGCTCGGCGACGGGCTACAATAGTTATATATCATACTAGTCTGCGATCGGGCCACACTACTGTAGCTACGAAGGCTCCAAATCCGGTGCCTACCCAGTGGGCTGGACTCTGGCTGGCTGAGCGGATCATCAGGGGAAAGCGTCTGGAGGAACGAGGCTTCTTTTCGACAGGGATCGTCGAGCCGAGCTGAGAGGAGATTGAGTTGGAAACAAAGTACGATACCCGGAGAGCAGGCCACGGCACTTGGGACTCAAATGCGGCCCCCGTGGCCCCCATTTGGCGGCTGTCCAGCAGTGGCCCCCCAGCGCAGGCCACGTCGCTCGCTTCGCTGGGACAGAATTAGCACGGAACTACGGCATCACCATTCAATCCCTCTTCGGGCCGGGCGCACTTTTCGCAGAGGGCAGAGTACGCGAGGCGCCGAGCTCAGACGGGGTATATTTACTCCGGGGGTGGACCGGTCAGACAGCGGGAGGGCCGAGTGAAGAGGAAAAGAGCAGGATTGAAGATGCGGTGTCGGCGGTGGATAAGCTTAGCAGGGCTAGTGCACTTGGCTGCAGACTAGGCAGTGGATGGAGAATCGACGTATCGCTTTGTATGCGATTATTCGAGTTCTGCAGGCGATCGGCTCGATTATCGTTTGCAATGGGTCCACTTTGCCCGACGGGGTTCGGAATATCTCTATTGAACTCACAGTTGAGCTGAGGGCTGAGATTGAGACGCAGACCTCGTATTCGAGCTCCACAGGGCGTGGGTGAATTGATTCTGGTTCTGCTGTGCTGTGTTGGCCAAGAGAGCAAAGCTTCGGAGAGGTCATTTGCCATTCCCTGACAATTGCTTTGTACGTCTTTTGTCGTTAGATAGTTATACATAGCTAATCTGCTTAGCCTATCAATATGCACGTATGTACTAATTCCTTCTCACGTAGCGATAGCCAACACTGCGTATGTCCATCTCCCGACAATCTCGGCTCGCCCGTCCCCAGTTCCACCAGATAGCATCGCCATGATATAGATAGTCCGAACTCTCGAAACCAAGTCCGGCCGTCCAATCGGCAGTCGCAGCCTGGGTGCTGGAGGCTGGAGGAAGGGCCCGCACCGAGCAGAGTTCGCCTGCGCTGCCAGTGCTGGACGTGGCCATGTATAAAGGGAAAGCGCATCGTGGATGCGGTTTATTAGTTACGTACATAGATTGTTGCAGTGCCTTGTTGTACGGCTCACAAGCACATTCTCTGGCCTGGCCATCCATTCTCTTCTATACACCGGGCATTATTTCCGCTCCTAACCCGGCCTTCTGGTCTTATCCCCGGCTTTGCACATACGGATACAGATACAGATACACACCGCACATCCATACACACACACACCATGCAGAGACCAGACTCAGATACCCAGGGCCCGTCTGGCACGCTGCTTGTGTTTGGGCCGCAGAGTCTCACTTTTGACAAGCGGGCTCTAGCACGGGTCCGCGACGATATCAATGCGAGCAGTCATCGGGTCTGGATCCAGGATACCCTTGCTGGACTGGCGACATTCTGGAACGAACTGTGCAATGCCCTGCCAGAGGTTGCTGGGCTCCTCCCGGCTGCCGAGCAACACCTTCACAGCTTCTCGAGGGTTCTCGAACACGGCCTCGAGGAATCCATCTCGACACCGTCCCTCCCGAATATCATCCTCACGCCCCTCGTCGTCCTCACCCAGTTGATAGAATACGAGCGCTACCTCGCCACACGCCCACAACCCAATGATACCCCAAGCGCAATCGGCTTCTGCACCGGGTTGCTGGCTGCATACGCCGTCGCAAGCTCAAATACCCCAATCGAACGATCGCGCTACGGCGCCGTCGCCATCCGCCTGGCAACCCTAATCGGCGCCCTCGTCGACGCCGAGGAATCCCGCCAGGCAAATTCCGGAAACACCCGCTCAATCTCCCACACCGTCGGGTGGAGCACAGAAGAACAAGAAGCGACGGTGCACGAGATCCTAAGCCGTCGGCATCCCGATGTCTACATGTCGGTCCGGTATGACCGGGCCCGGTGCACGCTGACGAGTTCCGGGAGTGCTGCAGCCGAGGTTACACGCGAGCTGCGCGAGGCAGGGATGTCGGTTACAGAGGTGCGGCTGCAGGGGAGGTTCCACGACCCTGGTGAGGCGAGACAGGGGGATGTAGAGGGGTTGGTTGGGCTTTGTGCGCGGGTTCCCGAGTTGCAGTTTGCCGGCTCACCAACAATCAACCTCCCTGGGCTCACAGAGGGCGAGAGTCTGCACGAGCGCGCGATCCGCGGGATGCTCGTGCAGTTCTGCGACTGGTACGGCACACTCTCGAGCCTGCCCTCACCACCGAAAACCGTCGTCTGCTTCGGTTCCGAAAAATGCATCCCCCCAACCCTGACCGCCACCCTGAACCCGCTCTACATGCACAGCACGAAACGCCCTGAACCCCAAGGCTTCCCCGGCGTCGACCCCGCAAACCTCATCGCGGTCGTCGGCATGGCCGTGAAAACCGCCGGCGCCGACGACGTCGACGAGTTCGCGCAGATGCTCCGCACAGGACGGGCGCAGCACCAGCCCATCAAGACGGAAGACATCGACTTTGACACTCCCTGGCGCGACAACAGCCGGCAGTGGTACTGCAATTTCGTCCGGGATCGGTACGAGTTTGACCATGCGTTCTTCAAAATGAGTCCGCGCGAGGCGGCCGCGATGGACCCGCAGCATAGACTGTTCCTCATGGCTGCGTACCAGGCTGTTGAGCAATCCGGGTACTGGACTGGCAACCGCAAGCCAGAACTCGATTTCGCGACGTACGTGGGGATAAGTACGGCCGACTACGAGCAGCACGTCGCATGCCACGACCCCAACGCATACACGGCCACAGGCAACCTCCGCGCGTTCCTCGCCGGCCGAATCGCTCACCAGTTCGGGTGGACGGGGCCCGCCATGACGGTCGACACGGCGTGTTCCTCCTCCGCGGTGGCCGTCCACCTCGCCTGCCGCAGTCTGCTCTCCGGCGAATGCAGCGCGGCCCTTGCCGGCGGCGTCGCGACAATGACCAGTCCGTTCTGGTTCCAGAACCTCGGCGCCGCGAGCTTCATTAGTCCCACGGGGCAATGCAAGCCGTTTGACGAGGCGGGCGATGGATATTGTCGGGCCGAGGGCGTTGGATGTGTAGTGTTGAAGAGGATGAGCGATGCGCTGGAGAATGGGGACCAGATTCTCGGATGCATTGCTGCGACGGCTGTGCAGCAGAACCAGAACTGCACGCCGATGGTGGTGCCGAATCGGCCGTCGCTGTCGGATCTGTTCAGGCAGGTTGTGAGGAAGTCGGGGCTGTCTCCGGGGGATATCTCGCTTGTTGAGGCGCACGGGACAGGGACTGCAGTCGGGGATCCGGCAGAGTATGAGAGTATTCGCTCGGCACTGGATGTTTCCTCGAGGACGACGCCCCTCACGCTGGGCTCTGTCAAGGGTCACATCGGACACACCGAGGCCGCAGCAGGAATCGTCTCGCTAGTCAAGGTGCTCACAATGATGAACGAGGGCTTCATCCCGCCGCAGGCGAGCCACAACCGTCTGAGTCCCCGGATCCAGCCCGCGTCGGACAAGATGCAGATATCCTCGTCGCTGCGTGCGTGGGATGCACCGCGCAAGGCTGCCTTGGTGAATAGCTACGGCGCCTCCGGGTCGAATACGTCGACCGTTCTCATCCAGGCGCCCAAGACATCCCCGGTGCCAGGTGCCATTGCAGCACCGGTTGAAGATGGCTCCGCCGTCCCCTTCTGGCTTTCCGGTCGTGATGACCGCGATATCACTGCGTATGCTGCACGTCTGCTCGAGTATATCCGCTCTCACCCCACAGTCCGCCTGTCCGACCTCGCCTTCAACCTGAGCAGACAATGCAGCCGCACCCTCGACAAGCAAGCCGTCTTTAGCGCGCGGTCACTCGCCGAACTGCAGTCAGTCCTCGCGTCCGAGCAGCCCATCACCGTGACCACCGTCCCCGCACAACGCCCCGTGATCCTCTGCTTCGGCGGGCAAGTATCAACATTCATCGGCCTCAACCGCGCAGTCTACGAAACGGTCGACCTCCTCCGGCGGCACCTCGACGAGTGCGATCGCGTCATGACAGAAATGGGTCTGGACAGCATATACCCAGACATTTTCGCCTCGACGCCGATAACCGACACCGTCAAGCTCCAGTGCATGCTCTTTGCAATGCAGTACAGCTGCGCGCGCGCGTGGATCGAGAGCGGGCTGCAGGGGAAGATCGTCGCTGTGGTCGGACACAGTTTCGGCGAACTCACCTCGCTGTGCGTCTCGGGGATCCTTTCCATCACGGATACAGTCAAGCTCGTGTCGGGCCGCGCACGGCTTATCCGCGATAACTGGGGAGCCGACAAGGGCGCGATGATGGCCGTCGAGGGCGACGAGAGCGTCATCCAGGAGCTCCTCGCGTCTGCGGCTGCGCAGGCTCCGTCGGACCCGCATCCGGCGAGTATCGCGTGCTACAATGGGCCGCGGAGCTTCACGCTCGCCGGGTCCACGGCTGCGATTGCGGGTGTCAAGGAGGTCATCGCGGCGCAGTACCCGACGATGCGACACAAGGTCCTCAACGTGACCAACTCATTCCACTGCAGTCTCGCCGATGGGATCGTTGAGCCGCTGAGCGCGCTTGGCGAGGAGTTGGTCTTCAACCCGCCCACCATCCACATCGAGCATGCGCGCCCTGTGCCCTCGACGGGGGCACCCCTCCCCTCGACCTTTGTCGCCGACCACCTCCGCAAGCCGGTCTACTTCAACCACGCCGTGCAGCGTCTCGCGCAGTCGTACCCGGATAGTATCTGGCTGGAGGCCGGATCCAACTCGACGATTACGGCCATGGTTGGACGCGCGATCCGGACACCGGGGAGCACAGCGCACCACTTCCAGGCGCTGAATATCACGCACGGTGGAAGGGGCGTTGATGGGCTGACCGAGGCGACGACGGCGCTCTGGAAGGAGGGGTTGCGTGTCGGATACTGGAAGCATCATGCTGTGCAGATGGGCCAGTATACGCATCTCATCCTCCCGCCGCGCCAGTTTGCGCGGACTCGGCATGTTCAGGAGATTCGTGCGCCGAAGAATGCCCCATCTGCCGGCTCAGCCTCGACAGCACCAGCAGAAGAAGGGCTGTGGACATTCGTCGGCTACGAAGACGGGCAGAAGCGACTCCGTCCACGGTTCAAGATCAACTCCTCGTCACCAAAATACCTCGCCCAGGTCGAGGGCCACGTCATGGCGCGGACGGCCGCAATCTGCCCCGCGGGATTGGAAGTTGATATGGCGATCGAAGCGCTGTATAGTCTGCACCCGGAGTGGACGGAGAAGAAGATGCAGCCGATGCTCGTTGACATGGTCAACTCGGCTCCCGTGTGTCTCGATCCGTCACGGACGTTCTGGTTGCAGCTTGAGGCTGCGGACGAGACGAAGCGGATCTGGGAGTGGAATATCTCGAGCACGCGGGCTGGTACCTCGAGTACCCTCCTACACGTCAAAGGAGGCCTGCACATCCGCTCCCCCGAAGACGCAAGCTACCGCGCCGAATTCGCACGACTCGAACGCACAGTGCCCTACCGGCAGTGCACCTCCCTCCTCGACCTCGCATCCTCGACACCGACGAGCAGCAAAGAAGAGGAGATCCACCTTCTGCAGGGAAGAAACGTCTACCAGGGCTTCAGCGACGTGATCCAGTACACAGACCTGTACCGGAGTCTCTGGCGCCTCGTCGGAAAAGGCAACGAGAGCGCAGGCTGCGTCCTCCGCAAACGCTCCCATGAGACCTGGCTCGATGTCCCACTGAGCGAATGCTTCATGCAGACCGGCGGCATCTGGGTGAGTTGCATGACGGATCGGAGCCCCGACGATGTGTTTATTGCCACGGGGTGTGAGCTGTGGATGCGCTCGCCGAAGCTTGCGGCTGCGAGGGAGAATAAGGAGGAGGGCCCCGAGGTCTGGCATGTGCTTGCGCGGCATCAAAAGGTCTCGGACAAGGTGTATCTGACTGATGTGTTTGTCTTTGATTCGGTTACTGGGCAGCTGACCGAGGTGATTATGGGGACCAAATTCAGTCGGACTCCCAAGACGGTTATGCGCAAGATTCTCACCAAGTATGCCCCCGGCGCCTCTCACGGTGCGTCTGAGCCAGAGGGCATCAGGAAGAGGGTGGACAGCGCACCGAGAGAACTCCCTGTCGCCTCCACCCCCAGCAAGCCCGCGCAGGTCGACATCTCCGAGCAGGTAAGGCAGCTCCTCTCCAGCGTCTCCGGCATCGAGCCCGTCAAGATCAACCACGACGCCGACCTGGCAGATCTCGGCGTCGACTCGCTCATGGCCATGGAGCTCGCCCGCGAAATCGAAGGCGTCTTCAAGTTCTCCCCGGACCACACTGAACTCCTCGAAGCGACCACCGTGCAGCAGCTGACAACCTACATCTCCACCTCGATGCCCGGATCCCCTGCGTCCCCCGCATCCCTCGATACCTCCTCGTCCAGCAGTATCGCCGGCGAGTCGACAACGGGCGAGTCGACAGACTCGGCACCCTCTACCACAACCGATGTATGCACCACCGATGACTTCCACGAGCCCTTTATCATGCCTGCGCGCGACGATGCTGACGTCCTTTCTCTCCCAGAGGGCGAACACGAGTTTCTGAAGCCCCTCCCGCAGAAACAGCCCCCGAGCCTCCCGCACCAACCTGTGAATAAGGATGCAGGGCGTGAGGCGATTGCCGAGGAGTATGTTGCGAGGTATTCGGCGGGCTTTGCGCCTCCAACACCAGCAGTCGCGCAGCGTGGCGCCTCACCGAGCCACGACGACGGCGCGGTGGTCATCATCACCGGCGCCACTGGAAGTCTCGGCGCACACCTCGTCGCCAGCTTCGCGCGCAACCCCACCGTCCGCATAGTCGTCTGCCTGAACCGCCGAAGCAACACCCCCGGGACAATCCGGCAGCGCGACGCCCTGTCCTCACGAATGATCACGCTGAGCGAATCCGAAGCGGCCAAACTGCGCATGATGGACGGCGCAACCAGCGAGCCCAATCTCGGCCTCTCCTCCGAGGAATATGCCTTCCTCGCGCAGAACGCCACGCACATCGTGCACAACGCCTGGCCCATGTCCCTGCAACGCCCCATCCACACCTTCGCCTCGCAGTTCCAGGCCATGCGCAACCTGCTCGATCTCGCGCGCGAAATGGCCTCCTCCTCAACGAGAACAACCTCGACACGGAGAATCGGCTTCCAGCTCGTCTCCTCCATCTCCGTCGTCGGCTCCGCAGACACCACGCGCGTCCCCGAGAGCCGCGTCCCGCTCCGCTACACTCTGCCTCTGGGCTACCCAGAAGCAAAATGGGTGTGCGAGCGCATGCTCGACGAGACGCTGCACCGATACCCAAACCACTTCCGACCGATGGTCGTGCGGCCGGGCCAGATCACGGGCTCCCACGAGGGCGGCATCTGGCCGCATACGGAGCACATGCCGATGCTGATCAAGACGGCGCAGGCGCTGGGCGCGTGGCCGGATCTCGACGGGCCGCTGCATTGGATTCCAGTTGACACGGTTGCCGATACGATGGTTGACCTGCTTCTTCCGAGCGAGGAGCACTTTGATGGCGAGGGCGGCGGGGGAGAGCCCGATGCGTACCCCGTCTACCACATCGATAACCCGCTCGGCCAGCCCTGGAAAGAGATGAACCTCACCATCACGAGAATCCTCGGGATCCCGTCGGACCGGATAATCCCCTACAGCGACTTCCTGCACTTGTTGCAGACGTCGAAGCTCGATCGGGATCGCGAGATCCCTGCCGCGAAGATCATGGAGTTCTTCACGCGCGCGTTCTTGCACATGGCGTGTGGTGGGCTGGTCCTTGATACGAGTCGCTCGGAGGAGCACTCGGTCTCGTTGGCGGGGCAGGGGGTTGTCGGGGAGGAGTTGGTCAGGTTGTATATAGAACGGTGGAGGGAGATGGGGGTGTTGAAGGGTTGACTCGGGGAGGGCGGATGCCCCGGTGATTTTGAGTCTGGGTCTGGTGTGAGGATTGAGCCGGAGATCGAGGTGGAGGGGGATTACAATGGTGCTCAGTGCAGCGAGTGGGAGGCTGCCGGAGTCGAGAGCAGAATTGATATCGATGCAGATGTGCATAGCGACTTTGACAGCTATGCTGGTGAGAAACCTCGACACCCCCAGAAACAGAAACGGAAACAGATGGATATGCCGGCCAGGAGGACTTTGCGGCTGTGGCTCGATCTCCTCGCTGCGCTTACGCTGGGGGTGTTTGATATTTTTGTGAGGTTGGTGATGTGGGTGCTCAAACGATAGATTCCTGTCTTTTATCATGTCTTGTTCTGTTTATATGGGCATTGTTTGGGTGGTGTTAGATTGTATTTATTTATTTACCTGTATGTATCTTATTTGGCTCTTCGACGAATGCCCACCTACAAGCAATTAATACTTCATTGTTGTGATGTGAGGTATGAATGTATAGCTCGCCCGCAAGTCCAGTTCGCAAGATCGTGTCTCTGTCTCAGGCCTACCGACAACGACCAGTTGATCGCTGTATACCTCTCGCGGTACACCATTCCAAGACCACATGCGTGCTTCCCTGCCCGCACATATCGCCATTGGTGGGTCTGCACTGCTTTTTTAGGGCTCTGGAGGGGTTGAAAAGCGGCCTGGGGCTAAGCTGCTGCATGCAAGGCAGAGCCGTAAAGGTCCAAATGGGGCTGCCTATTAACCTTTGTCAGCGTCGTCTCCCGGCTTCGTACCTTACCGCCTCAAAACCTCCCCACTGACAGGTTGGCGAGTGGACGCGCAAAACCAAATAGATGGGGTAATATCTACAATGTGTCCTGCCGTTTGCTTTGGTAGCAATGCCGCTGGTGGTCCAAACTTAGCGTTGTCTCAAGGACTCGCAGAAGTGACGCACGCTGCATATTTAGGTCTCGGGAGAGGCTAAAGAACAAGCATTAAATCGATTCCTTAGCAGAAGATTTAGAGGGGGTGCCATGGAGTCAGGAGATCAGTGCACCGCATTTTTAGTGCTCAGGGAAAGTGAAATTGTAGGCCTCGGTCGCTTGGCGAGGGGTCACGCTAATTAAACCTCGTATTTCTACACTGCACTTTTAGATCTCGGGAGGGGTTGAGAGGCGGGCCTTGATTTCTTGGCAAGAGGCCTAGGGTTCAAACTGCAGGGTACTATTGCAGTTTTGCGCCCCCTGGGGTGTGAGCCGCGACGTGGGTGTGCGAGGCAGAGCCCTAAAGTCTTGAAGCATGAGCCACTGCACTGCATTTTTAGGGCTTGGGAGAGGTTCAAGAAGTGGGCTTTGAGCTATTTTTAGGGGACTGACGTCAGCGAACTGCATTGGTTTTACAGTGCTAGAGTGCACCTAAGCTATTCCGTGCAAGGCAGAGCTATGAAGGCCTCGGTGGGATTGCCTGTTAGCATACGTCAGCTTACACCCCACACCCCATACCCCAAGGCTCAGCTGACAAGCCGCCAAGGAGGTAGGAGGAGCCGATTGGATGTGCTGGGATCCATGGAGTCTCCTGCATTTGGATTTGCTATTAAGTCGCAGATGTCTGGTTAATCGCGGGGCGAGATGGTAGTGTACTGCACTTTTAGGGCTTGGAAGAGGTTGGAGGGTCATGATTCTTGGCTGGACAGTACTTTGAGGACACCTGCATGGAGAACTAGATATTGCATCCAGAGCGCTGGGATGGCTGGGTATTATTTGCCGTGTAGAGAACAGTTCGCTCCGCGGAACTACGGATTGGGATACGAAGAGAGGAAGAAACGGACGAAGGCCACAGAGTCTCCTACTTCTGCCCTGATGTACTACAATTTTAGACTTACCAGTACACTGTGGGTGGTGGGGCGGGGGAGTGTGGAGATCATCTGAGCTCGGGATCCTGCGACAACGCTGGAGTGGCTGCCCTGGTATTACCCCAGTGTATGCAGGCATGCGTGTGCCTTTGGAGTCTCATTCTCCTGGACTAGAATTTGCAGGTGTCTTGGACGGCAAATCCTGTTACTGGGAGTGATATGGCAATATCTAACCGTCTACATTGCATATGTCCGGCATGCCGTGATACTGTATAGAACCCCCAAGAACCATCTACGGGGTTCAACATTGATCTTACCCTTTGCCTCCAATTCTGGCAGGCGGGGATGCATTGGACGTCTCTTGGCTGGGGCATTAAGAGATCATGGCCTGCCGCAGAGCTAAGAGCTGGAAACATGAGCCGAAACGACTGAGCTAGGACTCTGCCAAAGGAACATCTGATAACCGCTAACCGCTTACCCTATAGAGAAACTAAATTACTTTCCGCTCTTGATCCTTCCTCCCGGAATATTATCGGCCATCACACTTGGTCAGCGCCAGCACTGCCACTTTAGTCTGGCAAGGGGGGGGTGTCATGACTGACCTGTCTTCGCGAGGCTCTCGAGGTTCGATCAATACTAAGTCCATTCCGCAGTTGATATCTCGCAAGACATTGACCAATTCATGATCTCTATTCGGTTTTGGCAGCGCATCAAGGGACCCTTCGGCAAGGCTGTCTTATTGTGCTAAAATGTGCAGGAGAACGGTGCGACCCGCACTGCAATTTTAGGCTCCGCGTGCGGTTGACATTAGGCAGCACTGGTGGCTACAACAGGGAGACGAATCTCCCCGAAAAGCACCAGCAGGCCATGTACTGCATTCTCATGGTGCTCCTTTACGTCTGCGAAAGACCCAGGCTATAAGTCCCGGAGCAACCTAGGACGCCCGTTCCTTTCATCAAGCATGCTTCTCCTGCTCCATTTTGATCCTGAAAGTGCCGAGGCCGCGACATCCCGATTGGATATGTCGGTTACCTGGCTGAGGCAGCAACTCTCAATATATCCTGGTCTATTGAGAATGTGCAATACGGTAATAGTTCAGGTCGGTCCAAAAAGCACGAATTATACCCGTAAATAGGCAGTTTAGTCCGACCCCTTAGAAATCGAACCGCGGCCCAGGCGCGCCATTTCATGCAGGGCTTTATACTGCAAGCTTAGACCCTGGAAGGTGGTATCACCGCTATCTTCGTCCAAGAGATAGTCGAAGCCTACGCTATGCGGTCGCTTGGACGAGAAACTACAACTTGGTGCAAGCAACGGTCAAGGTTACGACACTTTGTATTCGTAGCGGGAGCATGAAGGTGAAGGGCACTCACCGGACTTAACCTATGATATTAATGGCGCATTGGGCTAGCAGTCTAGACGTAGCCGGGTTACTTTCTCAATGTTGCCGGCGTTTTGTGTAGTACACCACTCGTGCTTTAGAGAAACCTTTAGGCTAGATAGCACGCAGTACCATGATGTATAGTGATACTAAACTAATTCTTTTAAGTAGAAGGAAATTGAAATCAAGTAGGAGCTAGAAGTAAAACATATCTGGAGAGATAGCACGCCCAAGGAACTGTCTAGCGTACTCTATACTAGTGATATCACACGAGGCACTTGCGTACTGTGGGATCTTGGGTTTAATGGCAGTTTCCTCAAGCGAGTTGCCTCATTTTTAGATCTGAAGAAGATATTTCGACGACATGCATTATGTAGTGTGATGAGATTCACTGCATTCTTAGAGTGTGGGAGTAGTGAGCATCAGTTGAACCACCTTGCGTCGAGGTGTTGTCAAGGCAAATTTGTATCAAATCTGGACATGCAATAATGATATGCTTCTGGCTGATGAAAATGAATCTTGCAGGCCTGACAGACGATGGAATTGTTCTAACCTCTCGATTGCTATATATATTCTGGGAGCGACCGAGACACATTAGAATAGTCTAATTAGCGCCGAGGGAAATTTTTTTGTGTATATATTATTAGCCTTATTGTATTTCAAGTAGATTATTTGAATCCCTTGTTATTGAGGAAGGACTGGATACCTATTGCATACAGGATACTTCTGGCCCTTAGTTCGCCACGACTAGAAAGTTCAACCGCTTGCAGAACCTTCTCATTATTATCCTTGCCGTAGGGTAGGGCACCTGTTCAAATGTGATGGAAACCTATTACCTATATTACCTATATACTCTATGTACTGCACTTTTAGGGCACGCGAAGGGTTGGTCCCCGGTCCTGGCCTGACCACAAAATCTTCAAGGATGACGTGAGACATGGCCTGATAGGCTGACTGCGCGGGTTGACTCCGCACTTGCATGCCTCTGTCCTTTCTTGGCGAGGGGCTGGGCCAATAGTGTCATCATTCTTGTGGAAAAGAAAGGGTATCGAGCGAGGCAGTGCTTTGTACTGCTTTTTTAGGGCCTGGGACACGTTGCTTGCATCGGAAATGGCAACATATAGCACTTTTAGGGGAGACGGAGGAGAGTTGACCTCACTATCCCTCTTGAAGTTCACATGGCAAGTCTCTGGTATATGAGCTGGTACTGTGGAATCTGACGTATCTCGAACTGACTATGACTACGGAATATGTCCCTGATGTTCTAGGCTTGACGTATTGAAGAGCGATGTGCGAGCCTAGCACTGCAATCTTAGGCCGCGGAGGCGAATGACAGCCAGGGCGATGGAGCTGCGAACCGAAAGTGTAGTGAAGAAGCCGGAACCCTTGGACTGGTCTGCAGAGTGCCGCAATAGGAAAGACCCATGGACTCCGCTCAGTCTCATGGTGTATGTTAGAAATGGATTCACTTTTACCATCGCCTTTAACTTCAACCAGATCTATAATGCACTGGCTCCATTATTTTTAGCCTAGGGGTTCAGTGATATCCATTTCTTTTCATTGCTCCCCGGCTCCGGATGTATATATGCCACGGATGTATATATGCCACACGCAAAATCGGTTGAACTCCGTCTGAGTATACATTTCTCGCTTCATTCCATATAATAAAGTGAGATGGCCTGCCACTTTCCCTCTCGGATCGACGGCAATCGAATGGCCATCTCCTCTCCTCGAGCCATCGAACCAATGATCTCAGCGCGGGCCATACACTGCATTTTTAGGCCTCGGGAACGGTTGTTCATGGCTTCAAAGCATAGAAGGCAGTCTCTCAGGATCCGGGTTCCCCTGATAGATTCTTGAAACACTTCATTTGTCGAGCACGCAGGCTACATATGTTATTTCGTTAGCCTGGTTATAGATGATCGTGTCTTCATACAACATAACACGGCTTCTCAATCTTCCAAGTTGCCTATCTTGATTCCTGCTTCTACATTGTGAGAAAGCCTTCAAGGCAGGCTTTACCCAGAAGACCCACGCACATGCTAGGCACTAACTTTGCATGGTAGTACTATGGTCTAGTCTCTAGCGAGCAGCCTGAGGTCTTTGCAAGGGGTGGGCGAGGGGTTGGATGGAGTCCCTGACGCAGCCTAGCGTCCTGACAGATGCCGTGAGACACAAACCCCAAAAGGCTCAATTTTGCCTTGCAACCTGAAAGATTATCACCATTACTATTCCATTGTTGGAGCCCTTGCTCGTGCTAGATATCAAATCAAATGAACTTTGATTTCCTATCATCAAGTATCCGTGATAATACTAGTCTTGCATACTAGAGCCTCCCCCGGGGCTCAACATGGGCGACAGGAATGGTGCACTACCAATATTGATTCCTTCCACCGTATCCTATTTGCCTTTCCATAATGAGGAATCGCTCGAAATCAGCTAAGAGCAATATGTGTATGGCCAGAGTTTGTGTCAGGCCCCACACCTTGGTGGTACAGACTCCACGCCATTAATCCACAGTCGCTGCTTATCTTCCTGCCTTACCAAATACCACCCTAACAGTCAGGATCTTGCAATGTTTAGCCACGTCGACGCCAGAGACTGGAAATGCTAATTACACTGCAATTTTAGGTCTCGAGGGGCGGTTGTATTGAATGTCCCAGACCAGTGCGGTGCAGAGCAGACCTGACTGGTACCTTGGCAGCGGGACTGTGTTTAGGGGCGCTGCGACTGCAGGCCTGCTAGCGGCGTCGCGTTCAATAACATGCATAGACTACTAGATAGAAATCTCCATCTCATGGCACGGCATCCACTACATTTCTAGGGCTGGGGGTTTGGTTGCATCATGAAGATTAGGCTGTAAGTGTAGCAGTGCACGGCAGGCATTTGCGCAATCTGATGAGGGAGTCGGTATTCACCGCACAATATATCTCACCTCCCTATCTTGAAAGTTCTGCAATTTTAGGTCTTCGGGCTGGTTGTTGTATGTCCGGGAAGAATCGGGGCGAGAGTAGAGCAGTGCATAGCAGACATGGGTAGAAAGGCTCCTTACGTTTTCGAGCCTACAGAAGACCAGATTTTACTGCATTCTTAGTCCTCGGGGGCGGTTGTATTGCATGGAAGAATTGGACTAGAATGGGGCAGTGCAAGTAAAGAGATATCTAAGCCGCAAAGCCATGATTGATAGTGAAGCCAATCAATTACCACAGCCTCAATTCGAAGATCCAAATTTGATGTACTGCATTCTTAGGCCTTGGGGCCGGTTGTTCGACATAGAAGGGTCAGCCTGAACTTAAAGCAGTCCATGGCCGGCCTGAGCGGCCTTTTGGCAGTAAGGCTCTATTTGCTAGTACCACCATGGCATCCATCTATGCCAATCGCCAACCTCACTCTAATACTATGTTGTACGTTTCTAGGCCTCAGGACCAATTAGATGTATTACATGCAAGAATCAGCCTGAAATTAGAGCGCTGCGTGATAGGCACGAGCAGTGATTGAGGCGCTGCCAAGATTATAAAAGTGTAGTGCGTGCAAGGCCACCCCAAGACCAAGTATCTTCTCGCGGACACTGGCTCTCTTTTATTATTGGATGGCACTCATGCCCGCTGTGTCACTGCACTGCCCCATCCCTAGCCTGATTCTTATGTTGCAACCGGCCCCCGAGGCCTAAGAATGCAGTGGATCGTCTCAGCGAGGGCTCGATTACATGGAAGGATAAGCCGGAAATCGGGGCAGTGCGCGATAGATGGGCATGAGAGGTGCCTTGGCTGTGATGCTGGCACAAAACTACACGGCTATCTTAGGGCCCCGGGCCGGTTGTAGGGTATTGCAAGAATCAAGCTAGAACTGGACTGATGCATGGGTGCTATCCTTGCGGCACGGCTGTGCTTGACCGTGGACTCCACGGCGCATCCCACCACCAACTACCCTTACTTCATCTTTAGGCTTTGTGCTGGCTGTGGTTTACGGGAGAGTTATTCCAAGGTCATACTAGTGCATGGTAGGTGTGGATTGCGCCTCGAGAGCAAGGCTCTGGCTAAATGGTGGTGCCGGCAAAGGATCATCAATCGCATTCAGTCCGTCCTGCTGTAAAGGCTGCACTGTACTGCATTTCTAGGCCTCGGGGGCAGTTGTTCCCACTTAGAGAACCAGCACGGTCGGTGTGTCTGATACTTCAGCAGCAAGGCTGTGCTGAATAGTGGCGCCGCCACAACATCGATTATTATATAGGATATACTCAGCCTCTCTCACTGTACGCTGTAGCGAGAGTAAGGCTGTAAATTGGTGCTTGATGGTGGTGCCGCCTCATTATCGACTTTAGCCTCTCACTGTACTGTAATCTTAGGCCTCGGCGCCGGTTGTCCTTGAGGGGTCAGGCTGAAAAAGAAGCGGTGTGTGGTAGGCGGTCCTTATATCTCAAGAGCAAGGCTGTACTTTAGACTGGCGAGTGACGCCGCCAGAACAGCCACGATTAAAAAAAAAAAAAAACACCCAACCACGGGCTTGAGGCCAGTTGTTTTAGAGCAATCATCAGGCTGTGATTAGAGCAGTACGTAGTAGGCGCCAGGTCTGCCTCGAAAAGCAAGGCTGTACTTTTGGCCGCGGCGCCACGACAGCCGCCACAATACCAAAACGGATGAGCTGAATATGTACTGCCTTTTTAGGCCCCAAAGGTGGTTGTATTTCTCTCAGAAAACCCTTGTGGTTGAGCAGTGCGAGGCTGTGGTTCTGTTATTATGGCGCCGCCACCAGTATTGGGTCACAGCCTCGCAACAGTACTGCATTTTTAGGCCCCGGGGGCGGTTGTCTCGATAGTCAGGCTGAGATTAAAGTGGTGCTTAGTAGGCATTTTTATGATGTCTAGGGAGTGGCCAAGATATGCCTATTGCACAGCCTACCAATGTACTGCAATTTTAGGCCCCGGGGCCGGTTGGAGTAGGTGCATTCGCAACCCTTAAGGTCTTTGGGGAGACTAGTTGTTAATGTGATTATCATCCTTGAAACATGCTGTCCTTGGGTAACAAGATTTTATTGCATTTCCAGTTTAAGTAGAAGAATTGAAGATTCCTAGAGAGAGAAACGCAAGCATGGACCGGACGGGTTTCGTACTGATACTTTATCGAAAGAGGATTTCTCGCACCAGATATCCAATATGAGGCCTAACCCGGGAGCATAAGTAGGTGCAGCTATATATAGGGAAATCAGTTACCCGCGCCTACGCTCATGAATCTTCTCATGCCTCTTCATATCCGACCTGCGCGCAAACCCCCTCCCACACTCCCCACAGCAAAACGGTTTCTCGCCCCTATGCGAGCGCGTATGATCCTCGAGAATATTCCTGCGAACAAAAAACTTGTGGCACTCCGGACACTCCCACCTCGTCGGATTAACCTCCGGCCTCGCCAGATTCGTAAACGACTCGCCGAGGTCCACTTCCTCCGGGTGATACCGCTTCATGTGCGTGTTGAGCTCGTTGTTGGATTTAAACCCGAAGATGGACTTGTGGCAGGTTTCCACGCGGCATTGGAAGGGCATATCGTGGTGGTTTACGTGGTTATCGCGCTGTTCGGCCCTGCGGTAGCCCTCTTGGAAGTAGAAGCAGGTGAGTTTCGGGCAGCGGAAGGGGTAGTCGTCGTAAAGGGTGGAGTACTTTTTGAAGGTGAGGTCTTGGCTGAGGGTTTCGAGGAGGTTGCGGTTTCTTTCGAGGGCTTCGCGGAGTTTAGTGATGCTGACTTTGTTCCGGGATTCGAGGTCGCCGCGTTGTGCTGTGCAGATGTGGTCCCAGATTCGGACGAGGTGCTCGTAGAAGGGGTAGTGCTGGAAGAACTCGCAGTCGGTTGTGTGCGGCTGGTTGAAGTCCGTTTCGGGGAAGCTGTCGGCGTAAAAGTGGATGAATCTCTCGAGCTCATGGGTGATTTTGTGCACTGGCGAGGTGTCGTTGCGGTCCGTAGACGTGACGGTTCCGTCGAGGAACTCGTGCTCCCGCTCTACTAGTGTGCGGATATGCAGAGACCACGCAGGGATGGCGTAGTCTTGCAGAGCAAGGTCGCCTCGCTTAGCGTAGCGGCGAAGTTCGCTGTCTGGCGTGTCGTTTCTGAAGAGGTCCAGGGTGAGGTATCGGAGGCAGCGGACGGTAAGATCACATTCTGCTGCTCCTAGATTTATGTCACTCTGGCGTAGGAACCTAACCCGCAGTTAGTAGATATATAGTGATGGCTTGGAATGGGATCTCACTCTTTCGCAGTGCTGTGGACGAGCTCAACTCTGTTTCCCTTCAGCACCTGAACCAGCGATCCACACAGCTCTTGGGCATCATCTCGCAGTGTCAAATCCATGTCAAGGTCGGTTCTTATCTCCGACGTGTTCATGTCGATAGAAAATGCAACCTCGACCTCTCTCCATTTCAGCGGCCGCTTGGAGCACACCAGCCAACCTAACAACAGTCGAGTGTATTCCCACTGGTTGTCGTTCAATCTATCCTTCAGGCGCTTCATGATCCGATCATAGCTGAAGCTCATTAGCACTTTCCCAAGCGTCAGCAGAAAAGGACACACGTACGCCTGATTCAGTTCTGTTGGGAGGTATTCGGCACTAATCTCCTTATAAAAGGTGCGTCTATTGGGCTGCCTTGCCAGGTTGGTCATGACGAGCGTTGCAAACAGAAACATGCCTATCATAACGTTAGAATGTATTGATATTCATGGAAGAGTCGGATACCATCTGCCTGGATACATATCCGTTCCAAAACCTCATTCAGAGCATCGTCATTGAACTCGAATTTCTGTAACTCGCGTGACCTGCGCCGACAGTACTGCTTGATATCCGCTCTGTTGTGCTCCGGTCCCAGAGGAAGAATAGCAGCCTCCGGAACCGCATTCTTAATCTCAGACATTGGTCGGCTCAAGAAGAGAACGCGCAGCTTTCCAGGCGAGAGCCTGTCGCTCTTGTTGATCAGGTTCTTGAAAGTCTCCAGCAAGTCTTTCCGTCCATTTTCGCATTCGTCAAGGCCGTCGACGACCATGTATAGGCGCGGGATCCGTTCACAGAATGTCTCTAATAGAGTGCTTGCGACAGATAGATCTGTCAGGGTTGGGATGCGGGAGTTCTTCCACTTGGAACGACAGTAGGGGACCAGCTCCCGGTGCTGGTGGACGAGCTGTGCAAGAATGCCGCGGACCACGGCAATGGCAGAGGTTTTCAACTCAGCCTCGTCGCAGTAAAAGTAAGAAGTAACCGCTCCTTCATCCTTTTTGCACTCCTCAATCAAGACGGACGCAAGGTACGTTTTACCTATACTTGGATGAGTATGCGGGTTTCAACAAATGCGCAGGCAGAAATGTACCTGTTCCAGGACGTCCGTGGATCCACAGTATAGAGCTGACCGATTGATCGGAATCAGGAGACAACCAGTCCTTGACCTTGCCGTTGTCCAGGATCCAAGCACCACTGCCAGGATAGTGGTTGCGGTCGTTGCAGATAGCATTATGCTTGGTCTCGGTTTCTGCGCCTGCTATCCAGTCTTTTACTTCAGAGTACCTCGCTTCTTTTCGCTCCTCTTCTTGACTTTTGAGTTCGAGCGCATCTTTCTCCAGCTGCCGTAGGTGCTCGCGGATCTCTTGGGCGTCTAGCTCATGTTGGCCTTGGTGGGTATACATTACTCGTGTCTTGTCTTCGATTAGCCGCTTATGCGCCCTCATACGGTTGAGGATACCCTCAAACATCGGCTCGAAATCTTGCCAGAGGGGCTTGAAGATTGTTTTCAGTGCTGTTCAACATTAGTAAGACTCAGGACGTGATTGAGCAAGACGAACCTCGGCCAGAATACAAGTCCAGTGCGTTGTGATGGAAATCCATTATATCAATGAATAGTCTCGCTAATATCCGCTGCAAGCCTAGGTGGTACTTGAAGATTTTATATTTATCCCCGAGAGTTGGCAGCTCATCACCAATCTTTTCGTAAGCCGACAGGAGCGCGTCGAGAAGCTCCGGATGACCTCTAGGGATCTGGATCAGGTCCGAATGACGTCTATCGATATGGATCGGGTCCGAATGACGTCTAGCAATCTGGATCAGGTCAGTCGAAGTACATTGGGTGAGGACACGAGTGGTACCTTGAGCAAAGCCTTTACGGGACCCCAAATGAAATTCATGTGCACGGATTCCACTAGGATATCGTCAAGGACACGTCCGAACTGCTCAAACTTCTCGATGAAACTTTCAAGTCGTCGAAGATTTCGCAGCTTTTTGTTCTTTTGCTGGGCTCGTTGGATTCTTGCTAATTCTCTTTTCAATGCGAGAACATCGGTTGCTCGAAAGCGCTCTACTTGATCCATCTCAAAGCGCTTCTCAAAGTCCTTCAGAACCTCGTCGAAGATTGTCTTGGGAAGAGCCTCGTCAACAACATAGAAGGGAGATATATCAGAGAGGGTCCGCGAAGAACCCGAACTTCGACGCGACGTGTTGGAGCGCACTATTTCTGTCAGCCGTTTTTGTATCACTCCAAGTATCAACCAGACTCACCATCCGGAGTTTCTGGCGGCGATGGCCTGTCTGGAGGCGCATAATTTGCCAGAACCTCCTTTGCAGCAGAGGCAGCTACCGCAGCCGCATAGCCCTGCCAATCTTTGTTCTTGTGGCTGTCCGCATAGTCACAAACGCCCTTGATGATGAGGCAATTGAACTTGGTCCACACTCCTGCCCCTTCCATCTCGAAAGCTATGATTCCTTCTTTTCTGGCAAGCGCGTCCCTGCGTTTCGCGGATCTCATCACAGTATCCGCAGTGCCGATAGAGCCGAAATGGACGCGATGAGTTGGTCCTTGGTCTGCTGACGCCATGGGCAGTCGCGATCGCGGTACAAGACGGTTCCTGTCACAACCCAGTTGCTCGCAGGAGGCGTCCTGCGCCGCTTTACATACTGCGTCCTGTGCGCTGCACCCATAGCAATCAGACTGGTGTTTATGGATGTATGAGGACTCGTAAAGCTTGTCTTGCGACAACACAGGATAAGTCGTTCTTATCTGCGGAGATCGCATGAGGCCCTCGAGGTGCTGAGCTAGTCCGTTCTGCAATTGATTCAATATGAAGGGGGTCCTCAATTGATTCAGGAGACCAGCAACCTCCTCTGGCGGCCTCGGAGCCTCAAACATAGTGTCCCGCCGCCTCTCAAAGCCATCCTCGTGCTCGCGCCCGAAATCAAACTCAACCAGCATCTCGCTGATGATAACATCGCCAAGAATAATTTCCGTCCGGTCGGCTTTGAACGGAACAGCGCCGCAGATCCCCACGAGGAGCGCGAGCTTGATGTTTTTGAAGCTGACTTTCAAGGTGCTAGCCGCGCTTGCTGCATGCGATTTCCCCATCCGCGGTAGTGTTACTACAACCACGGCGTGTCGACCGCAGCGTCCAAAGGCGTAGATGTTTGCGTCGCCGGAAACTTTGCCATACTGATGCTGCGCGTCGGGCCAGTATTCGTCCAGAGAGCAGAGAACCGCGTTTGTTTCGAGCGATAGGGCGCAGATGATGGCAATGTCGAACTCATCACGTCTCGATGGGCGATGCTGATGTTGGCCATTCATGGCGAGATGGGAGGGGGAAAGGCATGGAAGGCCTGAAGGTGAAGATGAAGATGAATTGTGTTATTTTGCGAAAACGAAAAAGGATTGTGGGCGGCAAAGGGGCTCAAGGCTGAATGCATTTTCAGCCTTGGGCGCAGTTGGCGATGAGGATGACTGCATAGCTACACTGACAGGCCTGGCGCCGCTTGTTTGTCCTGTCTGGATAGTGCAGGGATCGGCACGCATCTCGAGGTGCATTTGACATGGACGGGATTGAAATTTGTGCCACCAACTGAAGCTGTTTCTGCCTTGAGTTCGAGGCGCATCTCTAGATTAAAACCAGACACCTGTCATTGATGAATTGATCTGATATGTTGGGATGGGATGTTTCGACGAAACTGGTGGTGGTGAGGAGGAGTAGCATTTGCAGTGTTTGCACTATTCGGCTGGTAGATACACATGATCAGCTGGCGCTTTCTTTCGCTGCAGCGAATGTAAATAATGGCAGAAACTCCAGGCATCAACTCAATATACTGAATACAACCTTTGAGAGAACGCATCACTGGCTGATACCTTGAAATGAGTTCTTAAATCTAAGATTACCCTCACCGATCATCTCTTGCTCTGCGCCGCCTAAAAGCGCAGTACTATTTGCTAAGGCTGAACACCTTTCCTCCAACCGCTCTTAGGGTCTAAAAATGCAATGTAGAGTCGGGTTCACCGGGATTGTCAACCGCCTTCACGGCCTAAGATTGCAGTGCTAGGCATATTGTTGGGCACACTATTTCCTATTACGTCAAGTCTTGAATATTATACAGACATTCAGGGCTCCTTGTAGGTGAAATAGATAATGCTAAAATATTTAACAGGAACTCCTTCCTCTATTTCTCAGGAGTGGATGGCGAGTTCAACTCCCCGCATACCCTACAAAGTTGGAGTGCCGGGGCATTGATTACCGAGCCATCCGGCCCCGGGCCCTAAAAAAGTAGTGTTGGTTGTCTCATTGTTACTGTCTTGTTATTGTTGCAAGGACAATGGCACTGTTGGCTTGACCCTTGTGAGAAAATGCATCATCATGCAGGCATGGAGCAAAGGAGCGCATTAACCCTATGTCACCTTTAGAGGTTAATATGATTAAGCCAAATCAACACCAGGCTGCCCAGAAAGTGTAGTGCTGGAGACTGAGCTAACTCGCCTGGTTCTCTTCTAAGAAAGACCGCGAAACAGTTTGTGTATCTTGAAAAGCGGATCTCGCTCGAGTGGTCACGGAACTAGCATCACCGGTCAGTTCCCATATTATTCTCCTACCTTGACAATACCTGGAAGACAGCGCTGAGCACACGGCTGGCTCCCGCAGTCTTAAAATGCAGCGCCTCTTGGTATGGAGCGGGTCGACCCGGAGTATTTGGAACCTTGACATCTAATTGATCATTGGGCAGCAGAACCTTAGTGACGGGGATTCCCAAGAAGAGGGCTAGTCAAGAAGGATTGAGGGATGAAGAGACTTATTTTCTGATTTAACTTCCTTGAGGGCTCTGTGATAACCCCTTGGACCCATCGTGCGCGTTGAACCCATCGTGCGCGTTGAACCCATCGTGCGCGTTGAACCCATCGTGCGCGTTGAATAGACCCCTTCCACCCCCTCCCTCAAAATTCCCAGAGTAAGCAATGCAGCTATGCATGGTGGCTGTGTAGTAGAAATAGGTGGTTCGGACATCATGGCTGACGCAACGCCGAAGCCAGAAGGTTGTAGGTGTTGCATACTTTATGGAGATACAAAAAGTACCACATGCCCCGGGAGCAACTACCCCGGAAACTCTACCAATCAGAGCAACCCACACAAAGACGGCCTCCCCCAGGACCTAAAAGTGCAGTGCGCTTAAGGTTCTGGAGCTCGCAACGTTTGACGCATCCCGAGTCCTCCGGATCCTCTGAGTCTGCCTTGCATTGTACCACGCCAATCTCACCTTCTCAACTTCTCCCGCAACCTAAAAGTGTAGTTCACGTGTGCAATATTGCCTGCAGCTGCACTTGGGACTATCCTAGTGCACTTCCTCCAAGTCCTCTAAGTTTTTCTTATATTACACCTCCCGACCTTACCATCTTAACTAGCGCTATAGCATAGAAAATGCAGGGCATCCTATTTTTTATAGTGCAGACACAACACTATAAATCAAAAGTCTAAGGGGACAGACAGCTAATTTTTGCAAATAAGGGAACTAAAGGCATGAAAGTTCCTAACTTATCCTAAAAGGAACACTTATTATCTTATCTTACTATCTTTGAGTATACTACATGAGGCTTTTCGTCTAGACTAGCTCGCTGCGCAGATCAGGATTGTAGTGCATACACAGTATCAGCTGACCTTTCCTCAATACAACGGTCCCCAGCGTTTAAACGTGCAGTGTAGACGCCCTGATTCTCTGAGCATTGCCATGCTTAGCAGTCTGCCTCTGAAGTCATTATTGTACGCGCCATCTATAGTATTATGTATTTACTCTGTATACTATAGTTATTTAATACGCCGTCTTCATGTCAGAAATCTAGGCAGCCGCGAAGGTCAAAGATGCAGCATGATGCGCTTATACTACCTAATCACAATCACATTGAGCAATAGGGTGATTTATTCCATATCTAAAAAAAAAAAAAACTATGGCTCGAGTCCTCATCGGCTTTATCTTCAGCCGCACTGTACACGGCTGCTCGCTGATTTACTCTGGAGTTGGGTTCGAACCAACTGCCTGCCCAGTCTAGAATTGCAGTGCATGGAGACGCTAAGCTCCGTATTTGGAAACGGGCATCTTCAAGGCTTGCTCTTACACAGCACGGAGATTCATCGCTATAACTAGCCCTGCTGTCTAAAAATGCAGTGCAATTGAGAGTTTTTTTTTTTTTTTGCAACAAAGTCAGATGATTTACATTCTCATCTAGTATATCCAGTATGGGTTAATACCCTAATAATAAGAAGGAGAAGGCAGATATTAGAGGGTAGATTTGACCGCGGAAGCTAAGACTCGAAAGCAGGTACTATATAGTCTATAGTGTATTAGCGACCTTTTGCGCATTCCATCATAGTCCTTTCGTCGAAAGGTGACATCTTCCCCTCATTCAACTCCTCCCAGTGTCTAGAAGTGCAGTACATGTGGCAAGGCTAAGCTCAGCTGCCCACTCCTAGTGCTTACTAGTACAACCGGCTTCGGGGCCTAAAGATGCAGTGTTGAAGGGCCAACACACCATTATTAGTTCAGCACACCATTATTGGTTCAACAGGTGAACTTCCACACGAGATCAAGAAAGGGATAGCAGGCAGCCATGTAAGCAGCGCAATGAGGAGTTCAGTGGAGGTGCCAAGCCCTTGTGTTTTATCACCCGCCGTCCCGCTGGGTAAGTTTATGGCTGCGGGGCATGTCGTCGATTCCAGCACCGGCTGCCAGTCCTGTACATGATGCCGTGCCGCGGAGGATTGGCATTCTACTAACGTTTCATACCTTGCCCTCCACTTTATCGAGCAAAGCTCGGAACCTAGAAACGGATGCCTCCATTACTGTCGCAACCTTGCGAAGAACCTGAGACGTACGCCGCAAGGAAGGAAATCCAAGCCCATAGGCTAGGATCCGCATCACGGACTATCTCACGTGATGCCATATACGCGGATCCATCCTCTCCTCTACCTTAAAAATGCAGTACACCAGCGCTAAATGTTCGTCGGATCATTGTTGGAAGCCCCGCATATCGCTCTTTGTCTTCCACGGAAGATTCTAGCACACATGTCACATGTCTTCTTTCATGTTGTTTAGCTATATCTAGCGACTCCCTAGCTAGATAGCTCCATCGTTCCTTTAGATATCAGACACACTTCTAAATGCATGCATATCCTTCTGGTCATGGCTGAGTTCTCTCCTGGAGCCGAAGCGCCCTTTTGTCAATCATGGATGTAACAATCTGTATCCTCCTTGGCGCCCCATGCTCTGCTCTCTTCCGTGGGTCTGATACGGATTATGCATTGGCGGTTTTCCACGAGTTGCAGGTTGAGTATGTGCTACCTTTGTCCATTGATTTGGATTTGTTTAGAGGGATGTCTCGCTGATTGGTTGTGTCTCGTGGCTCCGGTTATTACAGCGCCGGCCAGTATGGTCAGTGTGAGATCTTGATCGACTGGCGAGACCAACGGCGATGTCCAGAACTGCAAGTTGGCTCAGAGCCCTCTTACTGTGAGTCTCACTGGTCAGTGAGCTTCTATGTGAAGTAGACATTGCTTGGACCAGGTTCTTCATGTCTGCTTTGAGGTCAAGTCTATATCGAGTAGGGTTTCAGAATCTCGAGCATGTGCTTATAGACAAGCGTTAGAGCTACCTACGACGGAGGAGGCCCAATAGGACTTTCATTAAACAGTGATTTGATAGAAAAAACTTCCACTTCCACTTGTAATGACCTAGGAGCACCAGAAGAAACTAGATTCGTGCAGATACAACAGAAGCGATACCTTAGATAGCTATTTGGCGATGCCCAGCTTGGGGCGGACAGACGGCCGCGATATTGATAGTTTCTGCTTTATCCACGTAGTGAATGATATGTCGGCATGTAGAAGGACTAGTCCAAAGCACTTTGAGCAACGGGCCCTCATCCAGCTTTACAACTTTGTTGAGGCTCCTGGCGATTGCACAGGCATTTTTCCGACGCTCATTGTCTTCGAAATAGCTGATGGCATCGATGAAACAAACCACGATGGCTGTATCCGGCAGTGGGGAGATGAGCGAGCTGAAAACTGAACAGAGCACAAGGGGCTCGTCGGACTGGATCTTGTCTGATAGACCTTTGACAGAAGATATTTTGGAAGGCGGCCACTGAGAGAGTAACTGACCAATGAGGCCGTGCATGAGTGAGACGGGATGAGCGTTCGGATCCTTTCGCCAGTTGATGTGCTCGCCGCAGAAGAAGTATACTGGAATTATGGAATCATCGGTGCTGGCAAGTGACAAAATGAGTTGGGCACAAACGTAAGACATTGCTGCGTTGTTTTCGGCATTCCCATTAACGACGACCAAGTCGGGTACTGGATTTGTTAGCCACGCCATAAGCCGTTGGTGCTGAAAGATTGTCGCTGCCCTGTGCTCTTCAGCGAGGGGGGGATCTCGGATGATTCTCTGACATGAGGTAAGACCTCGTTCGTAAAGTCTTGGCTCATACATAAGTTGCTCCTGGATGGTTCCTGGGTCGATTGACGCTTTTCGCGGGCGTCGAGACTTGACCACTGCAAGTGAATGCTCAGCTACATATCATTGAGGATGTCACTGGATGGATCTTACCAGATACCCGAGCATCCTTCATTTGGTCCTCAAAGCTTGCTTGAACCTTGTTTAAGAAGTTTGCCTGCTGTGCACCAACAGCCTCTTGCTCACGGGCGATTTGCTGGATTTCCTGGCGAAGTTCCTGACGAAGGTCTTCTACTTGCGTAGATATGGCGCTATTTCCCAACCTGACTGGTATTCTTCAATAAACTTCTGGAGCCGAGCATCTTTTGAACAGCATGCCACTCACGGTCCTTGAATCCATCGCTAGCCTCTTGCCTTCCAAGAGCAAGTCTCTGGTCGGTATCTTTCAGAGTGGACATGGCGCAACGACTGGCCGTATCGTTGAAGTCTGAGACCCGGGTTTCTATAGCCTCAATCCTTTCCAGCAGATCTTTTTTATAATTGGTTTGCTTCCAGGCAGCTTTTAATGATTTGCCTAGTTGCTGTCTCAGTTTAATCGTCCGTATCACGGGATGGGTAATCACATACTTGCTGTGCGTTCTTTGAACCTGGTCAGAATGCCTTCCAAGGCGTCAAAAATGGACACGTATAGTGCAGATGTTCGACGGTGCATATCCTCGCTCTCGTAGAAAATGGAGAGTGTAGCGGTTATCTTTGAGAGGGTGTCCGGAAAGCTCTCCAGGGCATCCATGACCTCTTTGCGGACCTCACCAATGTGCTGCGCAGCCTAATCGCGGCAAATGGGACACTGTCAGCTATATGAGCCAGAGCTGTATAGTCAGTCATCATCACTTACTACGAATATCAATTTTTAGCGCCCCACACAACGTAGCTGTAAAAACCGATGAGCTCGGGATAAGCTCCAAAAAAGCACAGCATGAGCCATTGGCATTGCTAAACTTGCGGAATCCCAGACGGATTCTGCCCCAGATCCCGCTTGTTGCTTGAACCTGGTATGCTTCGACACTCGCATCGATGACCCGGTGCACTTCGTCCCAACTGTACGCGTCCCGGATGCTGAGGTTGGTCTTGTATTTGGGCATCGCCACGGCATCGTACTGCTCCATGGACTCTAAGAACTTTTGACGAGCTTCGTTCGACTCGGTGTAGAGGGATTCGACGTTACTGTGTATAGAAGTTTGGTCTGTTAGTTCCAATGGCAGTGTCTCTTTCCCAGAGTGGAAGCTCACATAGGCTCCCATCGCTCCTTCTCTTTATTGTATCGGCAATTGGTCTTGGCCGTGCTCAGCGCCTGGGACACCTGCTTGTCTTTGTCGAGCCCGCTCATGAACGCAAGCACTGCTCGACGGACTTGGGGCTTCTGGTAGATCTGTCGGTCATAGTCGGCTGCCATCGTAGGTGGTTCTGCCTCGACGCACAATAGGATATGGCGACTCCGGCTCTTCAGTTGGTATGAGATACCTGGCGGTGCCATCTTTTGTGGCGTCGCCAGCGCGGCTGAATGCCCGTGGAGATGGTCGGCCACGTTGTTTCTGCGGGGTGACAGGACGTTTGCTTCTGACAGGGTCTCAGGTTAGGGCGTGTGAACCCTGCCATGAAGAAGAAGACTCGGGATGATTCCTACAAGGACGATGGCTCAAATCATGATTCGGGGTCAAGTTCTGATGAGGGCTTGGAAGACTTGCCACTACGTGGTGTATAGGTTGAGGATCAAGGAGTGTCTGCTATCTTACACACAAGCTTCTCTCCGCTGACCTTGCCCTCCCTCAACAGCTGCAGTCCATGCAATATTCCATCTAATCCCCCATTGCAGGCCCTGCGAGGATGTACCATGACCTTTCCACTCGCCAGCAGATCCTCAAAGATACCACAGAACTTTTCCATGAACGTTCTGTCATCCGGCTGAGCGGGAATCTCCTTTGGGCCAAAGATGAACCGTTCACCAAACACCGTATACGCCATCGTAGACCGGCTCTGAATATCCTCGCGCTCAATCCTGATGGGTAGAAGCGAGCTATACTGGCCTCCTCTGGAGGAAAGTGCATCATCACAGTACTTCGCACTGCTTTCCACCGATACAGTATCGAACGCCATGGTCAGCCCATCGTTCGTCTGCGCCCTTATCGCACTCGCAGAACCCGGTTCATTATAGTCAAAGACCGCATCAGCCCCAAGCTCCCTGACCCGATCAAAGTGTCGAGGCGAGCACGTAGTAAGAACCTCATACCCAGACAACTTTGCAAACTGAATCGCCAATGTCCCCGTCGCTGTCGACCCCCCATAAACCAATACCTGTTTCCTTTCTTTTCCGCTCACAGGCTTTGTCGGCAACGCAAGCCCCAAACTCCGATAAAGCCCTAGCGCAGCCGTGCTAACACCCAATCCCACCGTCGCCGCCTCCTGAAAGCTCATCCCCTCGGGAACCCTATACTGCAAATCCCCCTTGACGAGGATATACTCCGCGAAGGCCCCGACCTCCGGGTGGAGGGTATTCAACCCATGCACGAATCCGCAGATTCTATCTCCCTTTTTGAATGGTTTCGTGACGGCTGTGCCGACTTCGACGACGACTCCGGCGTAGTCGCACCCGATGAGCACACCGGGGGGCGCGAGGAAGTCGATGTGTTTCCAGTCTGTCGGATTCAATGCGACGCTGGTGGTTTTCACGAGGATTTCGTCGTCGCCGGGGGTTGGGATGCGTCTGTCGTGTACGACTTGGGCGGTTTTGTTGGTGGTGGTTATGACTGCTTTCTGAGTTGCCATGGTGGGTTGGTTTGAATATAGGGAGGGTATGTGAGATGTTTCAAATTGGCTTGTGGTGAAACCCGGGCAACTGCTGGCTATATACTCTGAGAGATTGTCCAGGTCCGCTGCTCACTCTATATACGTTGATTACAAACAATAGGACCCTACAAGGTCCTCTCTCGTTGTCCAGCTTAACTCCGAAGCCCCGGGGCCGTTTCTGGAATACCCACATAGAGAGCACTTTTCTATCCAATGAGATTTGTTCTGTAAGCAGCTTAATTTACCCAGTACATACTGTTCCATTTGAACATCCTCGAGTAAACCCCACTGTGTCGACCCAACCCTACGCACGGAGTAGTGCGACTTCCATAATCGACTTTGCCACGTTCCGCAATATTCTACGGTTACTAGTGTGTCCAGCTTTCTTTGGCATTTGCCGCGTGAAAAAAAGCTGTAGTAGTTTGTAAATTGAATACACTCACGAGACTGGAGTGTACATAATGGCAGCCGGCCAGTACGCTACTAGAAGCGCCAAGTTTAGACTTGAGATTGCCGATTTGATAGACCGTAGAATAATTCTGCAAGCATAGTCTGGCCATCGCGATGAGCTTTTGTGCTTGTAGCCCATATCTTCTACTTTCAATCACATAGAAGGAATATAGATACGTCTAACTAGGCAGAAGCTCCGGACACCCCCTCAGAAACCACCTCCACTTCCTCGCAAACTCCTCGGTAACCTCCCAATTCTACGGATCCCAGGGAGTCCCCCACACAAGCATCGTCGCATTCCTACTCCGTGTATCCCAAAACGCTGAGATATCATGGCACAGCTTGTCGTTGTCTAGTTAGTCCCCGGCAAGGATCATGTTATTGCGCATTTGTGGGAAGGGGAAGATGTCGAGCCAGGGGTCGTGCGGGGTTGTGCGTTGGAGGGGTGTTGGGTGGAGGCTTTGTTTGGGGGATGGTCGTTCTCCCTGAGAAAAGTTGTTGATGATGTTGCTGGTGTGGGTTGGCCATACAGAAGATAGAGATTGTATTGTCCTGGCACATCCATTCGACTGTCATGCATGCCTAGTGCACGCCAATTCTCGTACGCTGCGCGTAGGACGTCTAGTCGGTTTAGATTGAGGAGGAGGTCTGTTCGCGGTGAGCCCGCGATATATGCTGTTAGGGCTCGTTTCTTGAACTGCGTCATGAGCTCGTGCAGATTTGGTGGGGCGAATGTGCATTGAGTATGTTGGGCTTCGGAAAGAGGGTATGTTATCGAGTCGCAGTGTGCGAGATCATGGACTGTGCTACTACTCATAGTAATAATACTATTGGTAGGAGGAGTAAGATCATGACGCTGCTGCGTAGCAGACAGAATTAATGCCCTGCCTGTCTGCGCTCCCTTTGTATTCGAGCTTCTCGACGTAGCCCTGCAAAACGGTTAGTCTTACTATACCAAGCGTGTACATCTGTCTACATCGGACACTCTGATGGGCCATGGATCCTCACGGTAAGCTTGTTGATTCAGACAATTCTGCAATCTCCGGCTCGTGGCGGGATTAGTAACGCCTGTCCAGTCGTCCTCGCGATTGGCCAGTGTTGAAGTTTTTTGATCTTCATTGCTGACAAGTCTGGGTTCATTGGCTGCGAGATGTTTGAATTCTCCAGGTCTCAAGGTGGGAATGCTTGTGATGTCTTGAAGTTGACGTTGATGATCCCGAGTTGAGTTCATGCGGGAACCATTTGCTCTTTGGATTTCAAGCTTATGCAGGTTGCTTACAGGTCAATGCTTATTGGATAAGAAAAGCTTGAAGACCCATCTGCTGGAGCCCAAGTGGGACGTCAGACCCATATTTTCTCTCTTCCATACTATGTACACCCAGCTTTTTTTGCAGTATACAACGTAAGTGCAGGGGAAAGCTCGATTTATGACACATAGGTATCTTCGGTTTTCTTAGCACTCTTTTTTTTATTGGTTCTAGTAGCCATATCTGCTCTTAATTTACTTTTAGGGTTCCCATCAATCACGGTCACCCGGGCACTATAGACCGGATACCATATACGGCATTAAGGCTGTAGACCGTACTTAAGTCCGACATTGGGTCTTGCCACAGGAACACCATCAAAGTAGTGTTACGGTAACCTGACTGATCCAGCTCAAACTCCTGCACGAATACTTGAGTGGGTCAAGTAAGCAGCTTAATATCGACCCCAATCGAGTATGTATCTAGTTCACCAAGAAGAATCGCATCGAAGTCAGTCCATGACAAATTACGAAGACCTTTCGGAACAGTCTAGAAGGCGAGCTCCTTATGGCAATGCTTGAGAGTATCTCCATCACTCTCACCATCTATCCCACGAGCTCAGTATACACACAACATGCCCCCCGACCCAGGAATCACAGCAACCGACATCAAACAGCCTCTGACTATAATCAACGTCCCAACACCCGAACCTCAGCCAAATGAAGTCCGCGTTCGAGTTTAATGGGCTCCCTCCGCACCCCTGGATGTCTACCAGGTCAATGCCGGGCTGATGGCTCAATTCCCGCAGGATCTCGGGGACAGTGGCGCGGGGACCGTGGTGGCTTTTGGGCCTGGTGTTGAACGCCGGAGTGTTGGCGATAAGGTCTTTGGGTTCTTCTTCCATAATGAGGAGAAGGGGCAGCAGGTTTCTGTTACTGCGCCGGAGCATTTGTTTGGGAGGGTTGGTATTTCCTGGTCCTTTTTCTGGGTCTATGTTGCTAGCGTCCACGGGTATATAGAGAGTTCATGGGCCTGACAAGCATATCAGACACCCGAGGGCGTTTCTCTTGCTGCTGCAGCTACGTTGCCAACAAACTTCACCACTGCATTCTACACTCTGCCCGACAAGTTCGGCCTCAGCCTCACCTCGCCGCGTTTTGAAGAATTCTCCTCTGGCGACGACAGACACACCGACCCTCATCTGGGGCGCAGGCAGCTCCGTGGGCCAATTCGCCGTCCAAATCCTCAGGCACTAGGGCTACACAAATGTCATCACAACTGCGTCTCCCAGGCACCATGAGAAGATGTAGTGCTAGAGCGTGAAGCATGTCATCGACTATAACACCCCTGACGCCGTTGACTCGATTATCAAAATCCTAGAAACAGAGAGCCCGTCCGTCCTTGTTCGTGCTTTTGATTGCTTGGCCTCGAAGTTCGGGTCCTTGCAGCATATTGCCCAGTTTGCAAGTTTGCCCGGCTCAGTTGTTGCGGCTGTTCTTCCTGTTGTCATTCGCGCGCCTTCGGATAAGGAGGGGATCCACCTGTCGGCGGATGTAGCTGGGGAAGCACCTTGGGCGTCTGGTGTCGAGGTTCATAGCGTTGTAAGCTATGCATATGAGGCGGTATGTGAACTGCCCTCTTCTCTTCGCACATTCATTTCCTGTTTGGCTTTCAAAATAACTGACTTTATGATGATAGAATGCTTTCTGGAAAGACCATCTCCAGCCAGATATTGTACTCGCCCTTCTCACCTCGGGTGCCATTGAGCCAAACAAGTACCAGGTAATTGAAGGCGACTCGCTTCTGCAGAGGGCTAGTACTGCTATGGATACCTTGAGAAGCGGCACAGTTAGTAGCTAGAGACTTTTTTGGAGGGTCTGGACAGAAAGGAATTTCCGCAGTTCAAAAGTAGACTGGGTCCATAAAGGCGCGAATGAATCGTGATTATTCGGTGCAGTTGAACTGCGACACCTCTGACTCTGATCCCGGTATGACAGGTGGTAGGAAGTTATATGACCATTTTCTCATGATTTGCCGATATGGCAACTATAGCCCTATGTCCCGGGCATTGTATAGCAGCACTTCAAGTTTGTACCTAGCTTTCCTTACCTATCTGAAAGCCCATCGCACGAGATTCCCTCGCATTGGTCTCCGTCGTAATTACCCATGCGTTCTCTTAAATTGAACCAAGAGGCAAACATTTTTTTTTGCATGATAGAATAGCAAGGTGCTGTGTCTTCTTATGGACAAGAACGACATTTTGCTTACGCCAACAATCTAGAGCGGGTTGGATGGCCAATTGAGCCCGGAATAGTTCAGGTTTCGCGTAGTATCAGTTGTGCAGGGTAAATCTGGGTCTGTGAGAGACGCGGCCGGATAAGCGCCGTCACGACGTTGGGAATATCATTTCAGCTCTGATAGAATGCAGTAAAGACCATGATAGGATACCGACTGAGATCCAAGCGACCGTTGCCTCGCATCGAGGAGTCTGGTGTCTGATAGGAGGAGAAATCGCCTGCTTTTCCGACGTCACTTGGAGTCGGCCCGGGCTTAGTCACTCACCGGTCGACTCAAGGGAATCGGGCTTATCTAAGTCCGGCGCCCGAAACGGGCTAGCGCGGCCGGAAAGTTCCTGCGTTCCCAACATCTCCGACTGTTGTTGAAAGATAACCCATCCCCGTCTCACTCCCTCTGCTCCTCCCCTCCTCCTCAATTGGACCCTGACCGCCGTCCATCATGTTGTTCAGAACCGCGTGGGCCCGTCAAGCCGCGCCCTTGAGGCGCAAGGCTTTTGCTCCCCTTGCCCGCCGCTCCGTCACCACCGACGCCGCCTCGTCGCATGCTGAAAATATCCCAGAGGTCGGTACCAGCTATCCCGAGTGCTGAAAATTGCGCAATCGCCGCCAACACTGCTGGAAATGTGAATACTGACGCGCTCTCGCGATGCTGTAGGAAGAGGACAAGCCTTTTACCGTCCGCCTTTCCGATGAGAGCTTCGAGACTTATGAGATCGACCCTCCTCCTTACACCCTGGAGGTGACCAAGAAGGAGCTGAAGCAGATGTACTACGACATGGTTGCTGTGCGGTACGACGGACTTTTTCATTCTTGCGGATAAAAACAATATCAATACTAATACCCGATTCCAGACGCATGGAAATGGCCGCCGATCGTCTGTACAAGGAGAAGAAGATCAGAGGTTTCTGCCATCTGTCGATCGGTCAGGAAGCCGTCGCCACCGGTATCGAACACGCCATCAGCCGCGACGACAAGATTATCACAGCCTACCGATGCCACGGTTTCGCTCTGATGCGTGGTGGTACCGTCCGCTCGATCATCGGAGAGCTGCTCGGCCGCCGCGAGGGTATCGCCTACGGAAAGGGTGGTTCCATGCACATGTTCGCCCCCAACTTCTACGGTGGTAACGGTATCGTCGGTGCCCAGGTCCCCGTTGGTGCCGGTCTTGCTTTTGCCCAGCAGTACAACGAGGAGAAGGCTACCAGTATCGTTCTGTACGGTGATGGTGCTTCCAACCAGGGTCAGGTTTTCGAGGCTTTCAACATGGCTAAGCTCTGGAACCTTCCCGTTCTTTTCGGTTGCGAGAGTATGTTTCATTGTCTCTGGTTCTTGATCAATTCTAACTCACGAGTGCAGACAACAAGTACGGTATGGGAACCTCCGCCGCTCGCTCCTCCGCCTTGACCGAGTACTACAAGCGTGGTCAGTACATCCCCGGTATCAAGGTCAACGGCATGGACGTCCTGGCCACCAAGGCCGCCGTCAAGTACGGCAAGGACTACGCCGTCGCCGGCAACGGCCCCCTCGTCTTCGAGTACGTCACCTACCGCTACGGTGGCCACTCCATGTCCGACCCCGGCACCACCTACCGCTCCCGCGAGGAGATCCAGCGCATGCGCAGCACCCACGACCCCATTGCGGGTCTCAAGCAGAAGATCCTCGACTGGGGCGTCATGACCGAGGAGGACCTCAAGGCCCTCGACAAGTCCGCCCGCGCCTTTGTCGACGAGGAGGTTGCCATCGCTGAGAAGATGCCCGTCCCCGACACCACCCCCCGCATCCTCTTCGAGGACATCTACGTCCGTGGCTCCGAGCCCCGATGGATGAGGGGCCGTACCGTCGACGAGACCTTCTACTACTAAACTAGTTTCCTTTTCTTCTTGCATAGAGTGAGAGAAAGAGGGGGGTTGCGTTCTCTTGAGTAGTGAAAAGTGGGGAGAGAACGGATCGTGTCATACTTATCTATCCCATCAACATAACGTTTACTTTGTATAATTTAGCCGGATTTCGTTTGCATTGGGTTCTCCTGTAGCAAATATACTATTGGAGCTCTGCCTTTCTACTTCTAGTAGTATTTCATAGGACTAGTATGCTCGTGCTGTAGAGGTGAGTAAGATTATATGTATAAACTTTGAAAAGGTACCGCGATGCAATCATCACCCAGAGCAGAACAGGAAACAGCAATAGAGGTATCATAAACGCAAACCCAAAGACCAACACCAGAAAAGCAACACAAGACACGACAATCAACCCATGAATGGACCCAGCCATACCCGTAATCATAACGATAAGTGATAATGAGGTTGAAGGAAAAAAGCAAAAGTAAAGAAACAACTCGACCTCGTAGAGAAGAGATCAGGAAGGTTCCTGCCTCAGCATCTCGAGTATCATCTCCTGCGTGCGCTGTACAGAATCCAGCTTTTCCTCAAGCACCGCGCGCTCCTTATCCCACTCCGCGCGGAGATCAACCATCATCTCTCTCCGCAGGTCCTCTTTTAAACGGGTCAGAGTTGCAGTTGCAATGTCGTCTGCTCCTAACGTTCCGGAATCTCCGCCAAGGCCGCTAAAGGCGTCGGCGTCAGTTTGGGATTGTGAGGGTTGTTGTTGTTGTTGTTGAGCGGGTTGCTGAGATTGTGTTGGGGCGGTGTTGTTATCTTTGGCTTCGAAGTGCTTGTTTAGTTTTCCCAGGGTTTCGAGGACGGCGGTCATGATCGTGTTGTCTGGTGCTGGGGCTGGTGGTGGGGCGCGCTGCGTGTGCTGGGTGTAGGGTATTGAGGAGGGAGCTTGCTGTGTTTGTGTTTGCGAGAACATGGTGTCGAAGCCTGGCGGTAACCGGACGGGGGTTACAGTGGTGGATGTCGTTGGTGGTGCAGGGTGGGATTGAGTGTGGGTTACCATTGGGCTGTTGCTGCTACTTGAGGGCGCTTGCCAGGCTTCTGTATTCGGTGCGGTTGCGGTGGAGTTGGTGAGGTCCCATGCTCCGTCCGTCGTGATGGTGGCGGTAGGCGTGGTGACAGTCCACTTGCGTTTCCGCGGTCTCCGCGAGTCTCGTTTCTCGATCCGCGCCGCTTCAGCCTCTTCCCAGCGCTGCCAGGTCGGGATCCAGGCGTCGACGACGGCGCGCCATCGCGGGTTCGACAGGTCGTCTGCCTCTGTTGTCCCCTTGTCGCGCTGCTCCTCGAGGAACTTCATGCGCTGCTTCGTGACGATTTCAACCTTGCGCCGCACAGAGTGCCACGAGTATGGATGTTTCTGGCCGCGGGTAAACTCCGTCGTCACCGTCATCCACCATTTGCAGAGGTTACTGCGACGGCCGAAGTCGGCAGCGTGCCGGTTACAGATCTCGAAGAGGGAGACCTCCTCCTTTGTTGTGAGGCGTTTGCCGTGTTTCCGCGGGGTGAGGCCCGACTGCGCATCTTTGCCCGTCGTACTCTCCCCCAGTAACTCGACATCACCATCATCGTCACCCCTCCCCACACCAACAAGGCCATTCCGCCCAGACGAGAACTCCGGCTCCCCCAATGCATCCGCCCCGCTCACATCCCTCGTCCCCGACGTCGTCTCCCCAGGACTCTCAGACCGATCACTCTCCTCGCTCTCCACAGACTCCACCACAGGCCCAAGCCCAACACCCACATTCACACTCCCCGGATTCACCAACGGCGGCGGCGGCGCCCTCGACACATCAATGACAGACGCCTGCGCATGCGAATGCCCGCCCTGTTGCTGTGGATGCTGCAGCCTGAGTCCCGACGAGATGGTCGGCAGCGACGCCGCATTGTGGTTGTGGTTGTGATGCTGGTTGTGCGAGCGCGTAGTAACCATACTGGGCAGCCAGCGCATCTGCGACATGGTGTATGAGGACTGCGAGGAGGCCTGGGTGTGGGAGGGGGCGCCTCCGCCACCACCAGCGCCGCCGCCGACACCGCTAGGGTCCAGGTCCATTCTTGATGCTGCCCCCGGGACGCTCGATACGGAAGTCACGGTTGCCGGTGCGGCGTTGCCGTGGTGCGTGTGTTGCCCGTGGTGGGCGTGTGGGTGTGGGTGATGCGCGTGGCCATGGTTATGGGCGCTCCAGGGGTTGTACATTGCCCCCGTTCCTTTCTGCGTGTCTATATCTCTATCGCTTCTTTGATGGTGGTGGTTTGGTCGGCGGTTCGGTCGTTTCGTCTTGACTCGGGATGTGGAGGGTCGTCTCGAGTCTAGGGGGGAAGGGGGGAGGATGGACTCGGAGGAAGTATATGACGTCCCGAAGGACTAGACGACGCTCAACCGGACTCGAACGAGGAAGCAAGTCGTCTCGAGGTTGAAAGCACGATAGTAAGTTCAAGTTGCGGGATGAAGAGTGAAAAAACTCCCCTGAGGTTTTGCAATTTCGTTGCGGGACCGGCTTGGCGGGGGATTTGGGCAGACAGGGGCGTATTATTACCGTCTGGTGCCGCCCGCAAAGGCGATTTTTCATCCAATTTGAAAGTGTCCACATTGGATCCGTTACCCCCTCTCGGTCAAGGTTTGAAATCTAGTAGTCTCTTGAGATTCCTCACTACTATGAGATAGGATGTAATATCGTCTAGATTGCTTAATTTACATATACCGTACGTCAGCAGGCTGTTCACAATGGATGGACCCATGGCCACTCGACAAACAAAATGTGCGCCAAATCCCAGTAATACAGAAGGCGAAGCGAAGAAAGAGGAGAATAACAAAGGTATTACAAGAAGTCTAACGCCGTCTCAGGTACCAATGGTAGGCGCCAGTCGATACTTCCTCACTGAACGGTGTCGGTACTTCTGAGAATCCGGGTCGGGCAACGGGGTGCCGTACATAGACGGCCGCGCAGATGTTCTGATTGACCTCCAGGTACCGCGGAATAAACGCAAAGGCGTTCATATAGTCGCGGGGTCTCCAGGGGGTAGCGTAAGGCTTGGAGCTGTCAACGGGGTTGTCACGCATCTGGACGAGGGCGCGCTTGAGCACGTCGATTTCAGTCCACGTCAGCTCTGATACGTCCACCTTCTCGTCTGGGTTTAATGTAGCCTGGCGGAAGGCTTCTGTGAGGGCGTCTGTGGGCTTGTCTTCGTTGGCAGCAGCTGCGGCACCCTCGGTGGCTTCGGCAAGTTCGCTAGCTTCAGCATCCTTGGTAGCTTCGACTTCGGCGGCCTTGGTTTCTGTGGTTTCGGGACCCTCAGTGTCCTTGGACTCGGATGCGGCCTTCGCATCATCCTCTGTCGCCTTCTTGTCCTGTGCGTCCCTCCTCGAGGCCTGCTTGGCGTTGAGAAGGTTCAAGATTTCAGAAAACTGAGCCTCAAGGTTGCCGGCTTGTGTTTCGGTGATGCTGGATCGCGACATGACACGACGGACAGCCTTTTGGAAACCGCGCAGTTCCTGCTTGCGCTTGCCCGCCATAACTGTCTTGTTGTCCGACATAATGTTCTTGGCATGAGAGATCATCTGTTGCAGCGTCTTGCGGGTGTCGAGGGGCTCGGCTTCCTTGGTTTCGGATTCGGGGGTCGCCTCGTTCTCCTTTGCCTCCTCTGCGGCTTCCTCTGCAGCCTTCTCGGCAGCTTCGGCCTCGGCCTTTGCAGCGAGTTTCTTCTCGAGGCGAGCCTCGCGACGGTCGTACTTGTTCTTCGGTGCACCGGTCGCGAACATGACACGCTCAGGGTCAACCTGGAACATATCACCGGGGTTCAGGAGGTAGCCGGGGTGTCGCATCTAGATCGGTCAGATTTACTCCACACCAAAACCAAGGAGAGATAACTACCTTCTTCCCATTAACCGTCACAGCCCCATGCACAACGAATTGCCTCGCCTGTCTCGTACTGCTCGCAAACAGCGCCCGGAAGATAGCCACATCCAGCCGACGCTCCAACGGAGCATATGTCATGGACGTATATGGCGTCTCCTGGACAGTGCTGCGCTCGCCCTCCGTAGGCTCAAGCCCTGCTCCACGACCAGCAGCGGTCGCTGATCCGTCATCGGCTGCCATTCGGCGGGGGTTCATGGGGATGACACTGCGGACGCGGCGGTTGAACATGCGCTCCCATTGACTCTCGCGGACTTGCTCGCCGTGGTAGGCACGGGTCATGGACTTGGCCGACCATTTCTGTTGGAAGAATGTTTGGCGCTTGACTCCGCGCTCCCTGAGGCGTTGGAGGTTATACAAGTTCCATTTGCTCCATGATTGTCGAATTTTCTGAGCAGTTAGTTTGGGCCGCCTCAGAGTCGGAAAGGAAACAATTAGCTTGGGATAGGATATGACAAGCGTACCGGGTATTTCAACGCCGTAGTAGCCCTATTCCTCATTCTGGCGAGTCTGGCGTGGCCTCTTGTCTGCTCCCGAATCGTCCTGCTTCACTCCATCCTCTTCCGCCAGGCGGCCAAAACTTCACAAGCCTCACGTGAGCGGTCACCACATGATATTGCAGCCTCACCACTCAGGCCATCAACTCTCCCATAACACCCTCCTTCCCATTGGCCGAACCACTCTCGCTTGCCACTAGCGCGCTTTCTCCCCTGGCCGCCAGCTATAAATTGCCCTCGCTCCCGCCGTCTTTTGATTCTTTTTCTTTTTTCTTCTTCATACTTACCTTGCTGGAATGTTGGGGCGCTCAAGATGGCCTCCATTACAGATTAGTCCCTGCATTGCACATCGCGGCGGAAGAGTCTGTCCAATGGCTTTCGGGTCATTGGCTGGCGTATTCTTTGGCACTTTCCACTCTGTGGTTCATTCTCTTTTCATCATGGCTTCGCCTTGCGCGGGGGTATGGAGAAGAGGGTTGGGTCCTTTTATCTCGTAGAGAGCTTGCTTTAATATTAGACTTGTAACTGTATTCATGAGTCTGGCTCGCACCATGTTGTAATTCGGTTCAGTCGCGGTCTTGTTTCGCTGAATCTGTGTCTTTTATTTGCCAAGTAACACTCGATGTTTTGCTCTGCTTCGTGACGCCAAGTGTTGGTTGGGCTTGAGGTTCAAACTAATGTATGCGCAAGTCTGATCTTCATGTTTCGCTTTGACCACAAGCAAGCTCTGTTTATCTGATGCGATTCAACTGTAAACTTTTGCTTATGGCTATCTAATTCTATGGAATGCCTATGCAGTATTCTCAGTGCGATCGTAATTGCGTCGAAATCGTCAATATGTCCTCATGCCCAGGGTATATGTACTAAAATGTCAAAAAATCCATCACCAACGCCAGAGGTGCAGCGCCTCATTCCTTCATCTCCGTATCTTCCCACTTCGCATGTGGAAAGGCCTCTAGCAGCGCCTCCGCCTCTTCCGGATTGACTGCGTCGTCCAGAATCTCATGCGCCATCTCCACCGTTTCGTCCTCAATGTCAGCCTCGAGAACGAGGCCCTCGCTAAAAGCCAGTCGTGTCAGCACAACCAAGAATTTCTGTTTGCCCCCTGCCACCCGGTAAAGCTTGGATTGGAGGTCCACTTCTTGCGGGTGCCGTCGTATGACACTGTATATCAAGCGCATAAGGTTGTTCACCAGCGATGCATGCATATCCCTCTCGGGCGAGAAGGCATACAGTGCGTCCAGCTCGTCGTGCATAGCCCGAATCAGTCGCGCCAAAGCGGTCGGATGCGATGCTATAACCAGACTGCCTCGAGTACTTGCAGGGACTATCGGATTGAACGCCACACTCATCAGGAATGACAACGCTTCCAACCTCAGGTCGCAAATTTCTGCCCGCGAGTACGGAGGCTGTCCTTCGTCTGGCTGTGGCGTTTCGCTCATGAGGTTAGCCACGCGGTCCACAATGTAGTTTTCGTTTGCATTCTGGTCCTGTTCAGTTTCTTGTATTGAACCGAACGAGTCACCACGGACGCTCGTCATGAGAAGGCTCAGGGTCAATTTAATGTCTGTAATGCGTTGCGAACAGTTCAGCATCATCAGGACAAAGTCGTAGCGGATATGACGCCAAAACTGCTCCAGGTCACGATCCACATTCAGACTTCGGCAGGCTATATGATACAGTACACCAAGCGCCTCAGTCGAGTCCACCAGCGGTTCGATTTCAGAGCTCGGGGTTTGTCGTATTTGTCCAAAGTTCTGACGTGAAACGGGTGAGTGTCTGAAACGAGGAATACCGTTGACATCGCCAGAATCCTGCAATATCGGCAGCAAACGGTCGATCAAGCTCATGACCGAGGGCGGATCCACAGCAAGGATATATCGTGTTATCTCCAAGAACAGCGGAATTGGTTGGTAAAACTTCTCCTTCAGTGCTCGAGACCACAGCGACACTATAGCATATATGTGCTCTACTGCATAGTTATCAAGGTCGAGCTTGGCTGTCTCTTCCAAGAGAATGCTAGACAGCGTGCGGTCCGGTTCCGACGGAAATGCTAGCTCAGCCATTACTTCAAGGTCGGTTTTGTTGTTAGGAAATGTGCGATGGTTGAGAATCCGTTTGACCATTTGCAAACTCTGATGTGTGTCTTTTTGTATCAGCTCTGCGGTGATAGGTCCATCTCCAGCATCGAACATTGTCTCGTCCACCCCCTCCGCAGCAGCCTCAATGTCCGGTAGCTCCGCGTGGGGAGTCCGGCGAAGGGGTGTCGGGCTACCCTGGCTTGTTCTCCTCCGCTTCTTACCAGACACAGATGGAGTTTTCTGTTTGGATTTTCCCGACTTGCTAGGAGATGCTGCTAGAATCTCGTCATCGTTGAATCCGTCCCTGAATGGTAGGACTTTAGTCTTCCTAGGAGTTATCGGTGGCTCCTCCTCGACACGCGCTTTTGCCTTCAACTGGTTCATCCGTAGAGCTTCTTCGGCCAGATCCTGTCTGAGAAAGGCATTCTCCGTGGCCAGCATTCTGCCCTCGGCGCGCGCGGCCTCTGCCTCCTCCTTGTACTTTGCCATCTCTTCGGTGACCGCTTTACGCAGTACTGCTATTTGCCGCTCATACTCTTCAATGACTTTTGCTTGTTTGGACCGGATTATGGCGGCCTCGCCGGCTTTCGTTTCGGCCAAGGATTTGGCGGTTGCCAGCTCGCTTTCGAGACGGGAATACCGTTCATTTTCTTGCTGAAGCTGTTCAAGCACAGCGTCAGCACAGTATATTCATCTGTATACTCCGTAACGTACCTTTTCTGTAAGCAATTGATATTCCTTGTGCAAGTCGGAGTGGAAAGAAGGACCTCCATGAACCTGTGCGGGCTCGTCGTCGTCCAAGACAATAGTATCGTCTGGAAAGTGTGAAGCTCGGTCGGAAAAAGCGATTGTCTCGTCTAGGGGAACTGCCGGGCTTGGTCCAGCATCAAAAACCTCCGCGTCCAACTCCCCCACATCCAATGCCCCATAGTCGTTCGTCAATCCAGTATGTAGCTGCGCGGGCGGTTGCAACGGGACGGTCGGGACGGCGGACGCACCTGGCCGCCTGTGAGCCCCGGCCGGGGGATAGTGGCTAATGACATTTTGCGCAGCCCAGTTCACTTGTATAGTAGGTTCTGGCTGCGTAGAATTTTCGGCCTGTGTAGCGCGATAGGCTTCCTGCTCCAACTGGAGTAGAGCGTCCGGTGGTAGGTCATCGAAGCCGTCGTCCGAGAAGAAGTCATCGTCGATAGCTTCCATGCCCAACGAGCAAGATAGCCATGAATAACCGAAGAAGGGATTGGTTGAGGTGTTGGGAGGGGTGGAGAAAATAAATGTTGGCTAGGGTGTAAGAAAGCGGAGGGAAACACGGCCTGACGTAGATGGCAGTCGCCTGTGTGATCACAGCCTCAACCACCTGGGCTCTTTCTCACAGCTCTCCTCCTCTGCTTTCCAACTGCAACTGCTCGCCGTCAATGTCCGGTTGAGATAGAATATCTTCCTTGCAACTCGGTCTCTCTTCTTGAGGATCTCCCTCGATTGTTACTTTTTCTCCCCGGCAATCGGCCGTTCTCACATGAAATTTTTCTAAGCGACGATCCTTCGTCCTGCAGCCTGCTTTCTCTCCCTCTCCATCGTTCCCACATTTCTCTCCTCTCTCACGTTCAGCTCTCTTCGCCCGGTCGGCGCCATCCCGATCTGCCCTTTCTTGCCTTGGACGCCCGAGTTTCCCCTCATCTGTCCCTTTCCCCGCGCACCCTACCGGCCACCTACTCCTCGCCTTCTCCTTTTCCGCCATGTCCAAGTCACGCCGGAGCGTTCGGTTTCAGCACCGCGATGCTCGACGATCGAGCATATCAGACGCCAGTGATGCCGCCTCTGATCCAGGGAGCCCGACGGGCAACAACGCGGCTGTGGACCGACCCGCCACAATTCCGGAGGAGGTGCGTGGAGCCTGAGACCAGACCCCTACAACAGGCGTGTGTACTGACGCGATAATGCTCTTAGAAACCTGAACAGCCTCTATCCGAGTACGAGAAGAAGAAACAGACCTTTATCACGCGCACGATATGGACTTTTGTCATGATTGCCGGTTTCTTCATTGCAATGTTTTCGGGCCACATATACATCATCGGAATCGTCACTGCTATTCAGATTATCTCGTTCAAGGAGGTCATTGCCATTGCCAACGTGCCGAGCAAGGAGAAGAATATTCGCTTCACCAAGTCGCTGAACTGGTACTTTTTGGCGACCAGCATGTACTTTCTCTATGGAGAGAGCGTTATCTACTATTTTAAGCACATTCTTTTGGTCGACAGGGTCTTGCTCCCTCTGGCGACTCACCACCGGTTCATCAGCTTTACCCTCTATGTTATGGGTTCGTCCTCCTATCCAAGAAAATGGATTTTGGTACTAATTGACTGTTAGGCTTTGTTTTCTTCGTTGCTTCTCTGCAAAAGGGTCACTACCGATTCCAGTTCACCCAGTTCGCATGGACCCACATGGCACTGTACTTGATCGTCGTGCAGGCGCATTTCGTCATGAACAACATCTTGGAGGGCATGATCTGGTTTTTCCTTCCGGCGGCTCTTGTGATTACCAACGATATCTTCGCTTATGTCTGCGGTATCACATTCGGGAGGACCCAGCTTATTCAATTGTCGCCTAAGAAGACGGTCGAGGGGTTCTTGGGCGCCTGGGTCTGCACTATTATCTTCGGCTACTTCATGACCAACATCTTGATGCGCTACAAGTACTTTATCTGCCCCGTCAATGACCTTGGATCCAACGTTTTGACCGGCTTGGAGTGCGAGCCCAACCCGGTCTTTGTGCCACAGGAGTTTACTATCCCAGACTGGACTGGGTTTGGCACATCGTTCTATCTCGCGCCCATGCAGCTGCATATCCTGCTGTTTGCTACTTTTGCCTCCCTGATTGCTCCATTTGGCGGATTCTTCGCATCGGGTCTCAAGCGCACTTTCAAGATCAAGGACTTTGGCGAGTCTATTCCAGGACATGGCGGAATCACGGACCGAATGGACTGCCAGTTCATCATGGGATTCTTCGCTTTCATGTATTACCACAGCTTCATTGCGGTCTACAAGGCGAGCGTTGGTGATATCATCGAGGCTGCAATCACTGGCTTGACGGTCGACGAGCAGTTTGAGGTCGTTCGCGGTCTCACCAAGTATTTGTACAACCAGGGTGCCGTTCCTGAGTCGGTACGTATATGCACAGTATTTCCTGCTTTTGCTCATGCTAATCCTATTCTAGGTCCTCGAGGTCCTTAGCTCGGAACTCAAGCGCCGTTGAGGCCTGATAACCATAGCACCTACCGGAAACGATAAATACTCGTGCGAAGTACGAGTTGCTTACGAATAATACATTATAATCGACTATTCTTTTCTCCGTTTGCTTCTCCGTTGGGGTAAACTGGAACTGTTGATGTTTTGGGCCATGGGCCTTTTTGGATGAGTTCATTGTACATTTGAAGGAGATTCCTCCTATGCTTTGATAACTGTCTTTTTATTTCGCATTGGGCGGTGTAAAGATGGAGCAGATACGAAGGTGACAGTCATGAATTGACAATGGTGTCGGTATCTCTTGGGCCAGTGCTTCGTTCGCTATATGACGCGAAGCAACGCAAATATATAGCCAACACACTTCATGACTTGGTTACCGATGACTTCAATACATAGCTTTATATTCATTGTCACCCATTGACCAGTCTATAGCCTTTCTTTCGTCCTATAGTGTACAATTTCTGCACCTGTCCATCACAAGTCGCCCTGAATCCAAATAAACAACCATACGCCGACGCCAGTCACAGAAGGAAATCTCAAATCTAAGCAAAATAATCAAATCACATCATCGCCTGAATCCCGAAACCTGCTCAGATCCGGCTCTCGAACCATCATACTCAAGATCACCCCCTTCTCCACGGGGTCCATGGCCACCAAGCCAACTCGGCGGAACCCGTACTTTTCAAAGAATCGCACGTTGTACTCGAAGCATTCGGTGTATAGTGGTTTCTCACGGGCGTCGACCTATACGTTCATTAGTACTAGCTCTCGAAGAAGTAAGGGGCAAGAGGAGAAACTCACCATATCACAACAAACCTCCACAGCCCGTCCCCCAAGCCCAAACGGCCTCGATCCCACCTTCGTCCCCAACGCCGTAAGCATCCATGTCTCTTCGGCCTGGAAGCCCATAACTCCCGCCATCCGCGCCTTCATCCACCGGACGTCGGGGTCCAGATCGATTCCGTCGAAAATATCCTCCTTTTTCCCGATCCCGCTCTGCTTCAGTCTGTCCAGTCCTTGGTATCCAGATTGGCTCCCGAGTCCAAGTCGAGGAATCCGGTCAAGCTTCTCCTTCACTGCGCCCTTCCACATCCCACTCCGCAGATACACGCGCCAGCCCCATCCCTTTGTCAGATTTCGGGCTCGGCCACGTTTCTGTCCGGAGGAAGAAGACGAAGGCGGGACTCGAGGGCCCGCGCCAGGCGGGAGGAGTAATGCCACAGCGTCATGCGTCGGCTTTCCCTCGTCGCCGCCTGTTGAGATGACGAGGCCGTGCGAGAGGATGTGCGCTTTTACGAGGGTTGTGTAGGTGGATTTGTTCGTCTTCTTGTCCGTGCCCTGGTTGGCGAGTTTGGTTTGCCGTGGAACGTTGACTCCCGGCTTAGGGCACCGTGGCCGTGGTAGATGCGGATTCGCGGGGAAGGTCGAAAACGCGGAGGCGAGTGTTTCCGCCGCGGCTGTTGCGCTGGGCAAGGGAACTATATGCGCGGGGATCTTTTTTGGACGGTAGGGCAGTTGGAATGTGTCGTCTGCCGAGTATCTCTGGTCATACTTCTCCTTACCCTTACCGTTTGCCGGGGAATGAAAGTGAGAGAGCAGCGGAGAAAGGGTTGCTGCAGATGATGTCGTTGGCGTTGTAGGCGGGACGGAGAGTGCAGGCGATGAAGTACAGGAGAGGGAGTCAACGGATAGGATTGGAGAGAGGGTCGAGAATCTGCGAAGAGCGGGGATGAAGGGCGGTTCGTTGGTTGCCGGAGTTGATGGAGAGGTTTGGGTTGAGGCTGTTGATATTGTGATACTTAGAATAGGCTTTTCTGGTTTGGGTTCCTGTTCCTGTTCCGGTTCTGCTGGGGCAGGCGCAGGTTCAGGAACCTTTCTGTATAGCGTGTAGAGTGATTCCCACATTGTAAATTGATGTTGTGATGGTTGATAGCTGGTCAAATTTGTATAGAAGGGTATAGAAGGTATGCGGTGATAGACGAGGACGCTGGTAGATGCAGTATGTATATGGCTGAATACGTGAGAAGTAAATTCGAGGTCAACATCTCAACTCTGGGTCGGCATGCTGTATTAGTATCCCTCTGGACAAAGAGGCATGATTCATATTCTTGCGTAGAGAGAACAAAGGATATCTTGCTTCAGGTTGTATATAAAGGTATCCGAGTGTTGTCAGAGGGAACAAGAAGGTTGAGACACCTCGCTCCCGGAAGAACAAAGGTCGTATCCTCATGCTGTCTTTGACCTGGGTTTATAGTTCCGTCCGACTGCTTTGTTGGTTTCCATTTTGGGATAGCAGGTTGTTTTCATGGAGCTTAGGGGCCTCTGTGTTTATGCCGGGTGTCTCGAGGTGGGTTGTAAATATCTCACTGAAGTCCCTCATCAGCTTTCAAAAAATCCATAGTCCATATAGAACGCAGCAACTGCATCACGTACCTGGGACAAAGACTCAATAAGACCATAGAGACCATATATGAAACCCGACATCCTGCATAGCTACAGCACTGCTGGCCACCAGTATTGGCCACACTGACAAATGGCAGATTCGTAATGCTCCCTAGTATTGCCATAATCCCGACACCGTAGCGACCCTTCGTTGCGGTCGTTGCGGCGTAAAGATCAAGGTCGCGGAGGACTCACATGGAGTAGACAACCATCTTCAAGCCCATTAGATGCTTTCCTTTGATGTGTCTCCCTTCGCTTCTGCGTAGTAATGGTGATCGAGAGAAGCGCCAAGCGGTGTTTCATAGCCCGCTTGAAGATAAGAAACGCGTCCCACTCCCTCCTTCGCGTTCAAATTGAATAGAACGATGCTGAAACAGTTATTGTGTCCTCTGCCTTGAGGAAGCTTGATGGTATTGCATGATTATATCCATGTCGATAAATTTGAGATGTGTGGTTACTTGTCGGTTCAGTGTTGTCGTCGTGAAGTTTACTTGTCGCGCCGGCTGCGGGCGGAGATTCGGGGATAGTTCGGAGTCGTCTCGACAGCCTTTGGTGACTCTACTGTCCGATTAATGTGCTTCAAGAACTGCATTGGTGCTCTAATCCTGGAAGTAATGGTATTTTGATGTCTATCAATGGAATATGATGATTTATATTCAAGTGGTGATTTGCTCTAGTGTTCTTTGAAAATATATATCTTCGCACAAAGAGCAGTCAGTGATGACAAGTGTTTAATACAGAAGTCACCTTTTACAGATTGCTCTAAGAAGCTTTTAATATGGATATTAGATGAGAATCTGCTGCGCAGAAAGAAAATAATATATACCGCGCGATTTTGTGTGTTTGTCTACACATGTTTATATCTAGATGGAGTACAAAATATGAGGAAGACTTCTTCTGTCGTCTTGCTCAAGCATCAAGATCTCCAGATCTCGAGCGACCAATCGCGGGCGAGTAATTACTGGCCGAGATCGGAGGCTTGAGAGGTCGTTCTACGAAGTCAACTACTGCACCATGCTCCTATCAGAGCTGAAGGACTCGAAGGCCACGGCGGCAACGATGAACCTACATCCTCTGCTATTGGGGAATGAGAAGATGAGACGAGAATTATGAGATGTGACTCAAGGTGCAGGAATGAGAAGCTGAACTGACAAATCAAGTTTCGCAAGATTGTCAAGGTGATGGATAGTCTGATGGGGGCTGTTTGAATCTTTGTACTTAGCAGTGTTTGCTGAACGCCAATTCTCGATCATGATTGCGCAGTGTCCCGGCGTTCGCGAGGCAGCTGTGCATGTTATCGAGAGAACGAAGTGACCTGTCGATGCGTTCTTCCACCTTTGCGAAAACGGTTGTGAGGGGTCATACTGAGTGGTGTGGACTCACTTGACCTGTCAAGCTTGAACTCGAATTCGGACTTTGGTACTTGACTGGGAAGAGGGCCAAGGTTCTTACTGCAGTACTCCAGGCCCAGCAGCCGAAGAGCCTAATTTGAGATGGATCACAGCTCAAGAAAGTCTATGCCATGGATTGATCCCTCGTCAAATTGTCCAGAATGAACATGTCCTGCATGATGGCTCCAAGCCGGGCTGGTGTGGGAATCCTCTAGCTCGCTCAGGAAGGGGTGAGGGTCGGTGGCACCGTAAACAGGCTTGGTCAACAGATCGCAATTCACAAAATCCCTTCATGTCAGTCTTGATCCGCCAGCCCGCTTTTTGACAGTTCTGTGGAGTCGAGACGCCTGAGAAGAACACCAATCAGACCAGCAATTGTTGAAGAGACGCCCACTCCCAGGGACTTGGGACCTGAAAGAGGGACAAGAGGAAGACCCTCGACTCATTACATCGGACTCATATTGGCGCTTGACAGCGGGCTGGGATCGCCTGTCAAAAATCCTCGCTTCGGAAACAAAGAGTTTCACAAGTGTTTCACATGGCAATGATGCTGGAACCCGGCTCAGGGGACTAGGGGCACCCCCCTGACGACCAATAAATATGGAAGCGAAGCCACTTTACAGTGCCAGTCATAATCTAAACGACCCGGCCCTGCATGGCGCACCCGCTCGCTTCTGGCGAGGGACGGGAAACACTGACCGTTGAAGGCGTCGCCCTCGCCCCAGTCCCGCCTCCAAGCTTTGAGGATTTGAGGGGTTAGCGTAACGGCGCCGGGCTGGCTCCTTGAGTCCTGCAGAGTCAAGAGAGGAAGGTCAAACGACAGTTTCTTCGAGTTCGCGATTGTAAACTTAAATGTCTCCTTCTCTTTCATTTTCAGAGTTGACGTTTCGACCGATGTCACCTCGGTCGCGTTTTCGTTTTCGGGGGCGGCCCGGTGCAACTGCCGGGGTATGATCAGCAAACATCTCTGAAGGGCAAACGCTCTCTTACCTGCTTGTAGCGATGCTCGATGCTCCAGGTCGACAAGGATCACCGAGTCTCCCCCCCTCCATCCTGTCAGTCTGGGGATGCAGCGTAAGCCAATCTTGGCTGGCATGCTCGGGTCAACTGTTCGGCGTCAGGATTGCGGCAGGATCAAACAGTCAATCAATCTGATCACCTGGGGCGAGAATAGAATGGCAGCGACGAGACACCAATGTTTGCAAGGGAACCAAGTGGCCTTGACTACTGGCTCTTGCGGATGATTTCCAGCCATGACAGAGAGACCACTTATGCAGTGACAGTTAAGTGTTCGGGGAGACTGTGCCGGAGACCTCGCTCTATTTACTCCGAAGTACTTACTTTGGTCTTGAGTTCTACAAAAACGCGCAGGCAGGTGCACTCCGAAGCTGAGTTTCCGTCGCAGATTCCCACAATTTTAGCCTGCCCCATCACGAACCTTAAGCTCCAGCTGCGCAATGCGCTCAGCATCACTGCATCAGCCTGCGCATCAAGTTCCATCAACTTTTGCTGTTCGAAGGCATATTCAGGTCAAGCGTCAAGTCGAGATTTGGAATCCAGGCCACATGAGGGGCTTAAGGTTTGGTCGATTCCTTCGGTCTGGGGTTCCGATCCTGTCTCTGGCAAAGATTCGGCGAGATCCCTGAACACCTGGCAGGCGGGGGCGAACGAGCAATGAGGAGCAACTCCCTGCTGTTCACCTGCAGCGTGCATACTCGTGGAATTTTGAGCGCTGCAGATGTGGTGTCTCCGCTGGATGGAGAAAGGAGCTCTGTACGGTTGCCCTGTGATTCTCCCGAAGAACAGCCTGAGCATTGCATGTCCAATCATCGTGCTCGGGCCATAAAACCCGCAGACTACGACATGTACCTAGTACTAGGTACTTCTTCGGTTGACGCAATGAGAAAAGCATCACCATCACGCTCCGCGGCGACTTCGAGTTGGCCTGAGAGAGCATCAGGTTGCGACAAGCACATACAAGCTGAAACTGCGTCCCGCTGGAGCACGCCAAATCTGCCCACTCCCGATCGTACAGCGGCAGCAACCGATGCGAATCGCCCCTCGCCAGCGGCGTCGATGCAAGGGGCGGGATTTAGATCTCAGCTCATCACTTACTCAGGTTTTGGAACTGGCCCTGATAGTTTGTTTTGGTCTTGATTCAAACCATGGATGAGCGACGCGGAGCTGCCGGAGACGTGGGAGAGTTGGGCTAGCGCCGCTGGTTTTGGCGCTAAATTTTTGGGCGAAACCAGACCCGAGGACTGTGCTTGATTGGAGAACCAGCCTTGCTTTGTCGCCATTCAAGAGTCATGCTAGTCGAAATTCTGGGAACTCTGGCTTCCAGAAATTCTCCTGCAGTGGGGAATTTGGAGACTCGCCGACTTAGATGCAACCTTAACATCCAACAACAGAGGACCTCTTTGTGGTCGAGGACAAAGGAAGATGTCGGAGTTTGCTTCCATATGGCAATTGACAGAAAACGTCTGTGATCGACATGGGAGAGAATTCGGCACACTAGAGGGGAGGATCATTATAAGCATGGGCGATCTTGGGGCATTGAATCGTATCTCCTGAGTCTATGCTGGGCCTTGCTCAATGGATTCTCCCAGAATGGAATATGGACGAAACAAGTTGGAAACTTTACAAAGAAGACGATGGCTTGGGGTGGTTTGAAGATGTCATGCAGAAGGTGGCAAACCCGACTGGCCAATCGAACAATTCTCCGGGTGGGATAGTTAAATGGATAGATGCCCGCGTGGATTGGACAGGTCAGCCAAGCTCTTGTGAAGAATCCGATACCTTGGTTGTAGCTGAGACGAACAGACAAAGGGAAACAATAGAGATCGCCTGGGTATAATTCTGATGTTATACGGAGTTATTATTTGCGTCCAATTTGACTCCCAATATTATTATCAGGGGCATTTGAGTCTGTCCCTGGATCGACCCACCAAACAGTGTTGCCCATCCATGGAATAGAATTCCATTCATTGCATCCATCCTTCAAGCCGTAAAATTATTCTTTCTTTCTTGTCTCTCCTCCTCTCGCCGACTCTCCTTTTCACTCTGCCCACTCTCTGCTTGAACTAGCGCTGTCTCTCGTTGCCCATCGTCGACTGCCGCACACCCCCTGCTCCATCCATTCCTTCTGTTTCGAACAAGCCATCTCATCGTATTATTTTCGGTTCCCCACCAGGCTTCTCCCTCTTCGTCCTGGCCTTGCCTATTCCTGTCTTCTCTCCCCGCTTGCCCCCCTAAAAGTATCTTGTCAACGCTGGCCTTCTCCTGTTCTTCTCTCCTTTTTGACCCTTTTCCTGCCCCGTCAGGCATCTGACTGACTCTCTGTGGCCCATGTGGAAACACCGTCCCCCTTCCCGATCCGATTCAAAGTCTGGGAACACCGATTCAGGCGAGCGTGGGTTCTTTGGCTGGTCGAAGAAGAAGTCGTCTCCGCTCTGTAAGTCAGTCTAGCGCTGTTCTCGCCACTTTTTGGCTTTTGGGTCTGGCTGGTCGCTGCTATACTCCCTCTTATTATGACTACCTATCGTCATATCTCCCTTTTTTTATTCCTGTTTGATTACTGTTACATCTGGCCGTTTTCTTTGTCTGTCTTCCACTTTTCTTCTTTTTCCTCCAGGCTTCAGTTTCGCCTCAGTTTCTGAAGGTTCAAGGGCTCAGGCTTGACTCTTCTCTGCTCTTCCCTCCATTTCCGCACCCGTTCAGGCTACGCTATATCCGCCACGGGAACTGGAGGATTCAAGTTCCAACCCACCACATCCAGCCCTGCACCTCGCATGCAAGACAACCACACCGTCACCCTTCCGGCTCCTCTTTCATTGGCGACCATTTCTCTTTGGCTTTCCTGCTACCCTCCCTTCTTGCTAACCCGCACCGCTGCCTAGCTCTCTCGCGTCCGGATTCCCCCGCTCGTTCGCCATTGCGTTCTTTTCGCTCCTTTGCCCGCTCAGATCGCCCGGACAGCAGACTTTCCAGCCACACTGCGGCTTCGCGACAGCGCACTCCCTCTACCTTGACGTCCGGCTCCTCCTATCACCCTGACGGGCCCAAGCCGCTCTCTCAATTCAACCCAAACTCCAACACCATATCCAGGACTACCTCTCGCGCAACGTCGAACACTAGTGGGAAGCCAATGGCGGGCTTAATGGATGTTGACCGCAGTCGCACGCGGAGGGAACGCACATTTGTCGGGACCGAGTGCGCTGTTTGCGAAGAGCCGTTGGAACATACCTTGCGTGGAGAACGTGTGCTGCAATTCTCCTGCGCTCACGTAGCTCACGAAGCTTGCTTCTATGAATATCTTCGTGAAATTGAGGGTCAATACTGTCCGACATGCGACGCGCCATTGGGGCTTGACTCAACACGGGGCGGCAACGTTTTGGACATTGGTAGAATGCCTGTCGGTTCCTTCGTGATTGCGCTGTAACTGACGAGGATTACAGAGAAATTGAGCAATATCGTGCGTTCTGTCAACAGCGATTCCGCTACTCACCGGAGTGGGTTGACGACTCCGACGCCATGGGATTCAGTCACCAGTCGACAGAACCCTCCCAGCGAGGTTGGAAGTCGGCCATACAACCGCGATAGTCGGGAAATGTACAACCGTCGAGATAGCAAGGACACCGGAAGCCAGCGCGAGCGGATCGAACGTCTGACACAGGGTTCTCGACAGCAGCACTCGCGCAACGGCAGCGCTGCTGGATCTTCCGGCGACTACCACGATGGCCGTCGCCACGACTATGACCTTCAAGCGATGGAATCGGATTTGAGCCCGCGCACTGCACCGGCCATGAAGAACCCCGTCCCCGCGCCTACCGTCACGATCCGGAGCGAGTTCCCCACGCTCAACCGGTCACGGCAGCAACAGTCACTCACATGCTTGATCACGGTAGAAGTGCCGGAGGGCAACTGGCGTCCGGATGCAGATGACTTGCGCAGCGGCTCAACGACGCATTCACAGCCCAAGGATGAACCGTACCCGTCGGGTCGCTTCCCGTCGATACCGGACACCAAACCACCGCCATTCGAGGCTAGGGAGAACCTTGAGGAAATTGCGGAAGAACTTAGGACGAAGGTGGACAATTGGCACGGCCTGGAATTCTCGAGGTAAGGATTTCCCCCCGTGCCTGTACTTCGAAGCGCGCTCACATTCGTAGGTTCGGTAAACTTCGCTTGCATGGGCACATGCGGGTTGGGAAAGACCGCGATTCATGGCAGGAGCTGGAGTGTTATTTGTTCCAGGAGATGCTCATTTGCGTCAAGGAGAAGCGGATCCCTGAACATCAGCAGTACGATGGGCAGCAGAAACGGCCGAGTCGATTCACTCTCAAGGGGTCCATTCTGATCAAGAAGCATTTGAAGACGATCGAAGATCTTGCTGGTATGTGGAAAACAGCTTCTGTTATCAGCAAATGCTAACTTGCTCAGATGAACCCATCCTTACCCTTCATTTATCCGTCAGCGAACTCCCCTGCTTCTTCCTTCGCTTCCAGAACCGAAATCAGCTAGATATCTGGCGCCGATATCTCCTGGACCTCAACGCGGTTGAACCTATTCGAAGTCCAGAACTCGATTTCGACCGTCAGTCTGGGCAAGAGGAGGACGACTACCGTACCGGCAACATGAAGCGACAGGCATCATTGAACTCGTCGTATGGGGCAGCGCGATCGAACAACACAGCCATCACTGACTACACAAACATCGGCGTGGAGAGTGTCCCGGCATCTGTCCATATTCCGGTTGATCTTGTTGTAGTGATTCCGGTCTCATCTTCAATGCAAGGCCTGAAGATTACCCTCCTCCGCGACGCGCTCAAGTTCCTGGTGCAGAACCTCGGCCCTCGAGACCGCATGGGATTGGTGACTTTCGGCTCGAGCGGAGGTGGTGTTCCCCTGGTTGGAATGACGACAAAGTCATGGGGTGGCTGGTCGAAGATCTTGAGCTCAATTCGACCTGTTGGACAGAAGAGCTTGCGCGCGGACGTGGTGGAAGGAGCCAACGTGGCAATGGATCTGCTGATGCAGCGAAAGTCGGCAAACCCAGTGTCAAGTATCCTCTTGATCAGCGACTCGTCAACTTCGGACCCCGAGAGTGTGGACTTTGTCGTGTCCAGGGCGGAGGCCGCGAAGTAAGTATCCCTGTGCTGGTATCAAGGGATGAAAGCTGACATAAGTGCAGGGTGGGCATTCACTCTTTCGGGCTCGGATTAACGCATAAACCGGATACCATGATCGAGCTGTCGACGCGGACCAAGGGTTCTTACCTGTATGTGAAGGACTGGATGATGCTTAGGGAGTGCGTTGCTGGATGCTTGGGAGCCGTTCAGACCACATCACACCAGAACGTGAAGTTGAAGCTTCGCCTGCCGGAAGGTTCTCCAGCCAAGTTCGTCAAGATCAGCGGAGCTTTGCATACAACGAAGCGAGCTACAGGGCGAGACGCCGAGGCTGCGCTCGGTGATTTGAGGTTTGGCGACAAGCGGGATGTTCTAGTGCAACTGGTGATTCCGCCGGACAACGCGACCCACGAGACTCCACCCCAGGACCCATGGGAGAGTTTGGTATCAGGGTTGGAGGCCCTTGGAGGCGGGTCAGATGGTGATGAACAGCGCATCCTGAGTGTTGAGGAAGTTCCTCTGATCCAGGCGGACCTGACTTATGGTGATTTGCTTCGCGACGGCCATCTCACACATTCACCGCGACCTTCGCTGCTCGCGATCACCATGCTACCGCCGAACCCGAGATACAAGGGCTCTGGACGTCCTTCGACTCCACCTATTCCTCCACACCCATCAGTCGTTCAGCGCCGCATGGAGCTTCTCACTTCCGATATGCTAACCCGTGCCCTGACGCTCGTGTCTCGCGGCCAGCACGACCGAGCCCAGCACCTATTGACGGAGACCCGAAGTATCCTCAAGGGTCTGGGCAAGGGCAGCCTCCCTCCTCTTCCTCCACCCGCTGCAAAGACCCCTACCGACGCAGAACCCCGCGGTGACACACCGACATCGAGCTCTCCCAAATCTTCTACGTTCGATAGCCACTCTTCGGCTGCCTCCGACACAAACACCATCACCCCCGTCGCCGCAGTTGACACTCAAACCATGATGGCTCTAGATGGCGACCTCGAATCTTCCCTCGAGTGGATTAACCACCCCGCCGTCTTCGGCCGCGACTCCCGCAAGGCCGTTCTCCAGAGCATCGGCGTCATCTCCTCCCAGCGCGCGTACACTTTCCGCTCGCCGTCCGAGGCACACTGGGCACAGCGCATCTCTGGTGTCCGACGACTGACCGAGCGGTCGAAGGAATGGCGTGAGACGGGTGACGACGCGCTGACTGAGGAATAGACATGACCGTCTCCTCTTGGTTATGCTTGGCTCTTTCGTGATTCTCTTTTTCTCTCTTTTTGAGGCTGCCTTCCGTTTAAGAGGTCTTTTCCACATTTTTATCTTTCTTGTTTATGATACCACTTTGTTCACCATGGCTGTGCGGCATGATACCACGGTTTTTTGTTCACTTATACATACCTACCCTTATTGTTCCCTATTACCCCTATTCTTACTCACCATACCCTACCCTACCCACGTGTTACTTTACCTTAATTCTTCCCTTTTGTTGTCTGATGGATGTTCGATATGCTCTACTATATATGTGGCTTTGGATGTGTTGGTTGGATTCTTTTTGGGACACTTTTGGACATGACTAATGCGTATGCCTTAAGGGTGTTATGGGGTAGTGAGCTATTATGATGAGTATAAAAGAATTGATTAATTCTACGTCATGCCTTGTGATCCCTCGATATCCCAATCTCTGCCCGTTAGTGTTTGACAACAAGTACGTACCGTACTCGTTAAACAATGTAACAATCCCCTGTCTCCTCCCATGAGCTACACTACCAATAACCTCGCTGCAAGCGTCGAGCGAGAAATAAGATAGCCCACGGATTGAACGGAGCGGGGTATCCATTGCCGTTAGTCGTCCATCATGGTTGCGGATAGGGATAGGGTGGGTGACACCAGCGCTCCGCATTGGGTCGGCCCAAGCTACGACTTCGAAGACGAGCTATGTATAGCAACACCTCCAGGAAAGTCAACGGGGACAGAACCAATTGGTCCAAGAGACATCTAAACTTAGAATCAAAAGCTCGTCCGGCCATTGACCGTTGGAGAACGAAAACATAGCTCATCTGAAAAGCGCGAAGAAACCGCTCCGTCCACGAGGAGGTGAAGAGAGAGCAAGAGGGTCAACAACCCTGTTGTCGCACGATCTTTTGATTGTGCTATGCAGGTACGGACGACGGGACGGCTGAGGAAAGCAACCATTGGTTGCTGGCGAGTGCTGTTCTAAATATGGAGTCTTCAGACTTGTCGGTGGCCCAGGGGACGACGTCTCAGGGAAGGATTGGAACCTGGGGTTGCGTGGGCGCTTAGGGAGGGCTTGCTAGTGGCTTGATGGGCGGCGGTTGGGTGAGGTGGTTGATCAAACACCACCATGTCAAGAATAGGTTGGAGGAATACTGTAGGGATGAGGTGACGAGTCATGCATTAGCATATTAAGAGTAAGAGTAAAAAATAGATATCATGAGCTAAATCAAACTGAAGGACAAAACTTGAAGACAATTGTTCAGTGCGAAGATGTCCAGGTGCAGGGTGGTGGTGTTGGTCCAACTGGGAGGTGAGCCAAAAATAACCACTCCGGCGCTAAAACCAGCCAATCATCATCGCGAGGAGATATCAAGCTGGATGATCCCCTGCAACGACGAAGCTCCTCAAATGAAAGTATGTTTTGGATCGCGCTGGGATTCTTGCTCTGAGCGGAGCTACTTCCAGTCCAATGTCTATTATTAGATATGGTGACTCTCGTTGGTTCGTTCTGATGCTTGTTGTCAATATCTCGAGCTTCGGGCGCTACACTCGTGGCGGCCGGGGGTATATGGGAGAGGAAGTGGGCTGTTTCGGCGGTATGCTTGCGTCTGCATTGCCCAATCGAATCCATAATCCGGGGTCTCGATGGATATCTCCTTCAAATTGAAGGGCATTGTAGAATCATGGGACCCTGGCATTGGATGTTTGATCAACATGACAGCTGCTTTTTAGCGCACATTGTTCTATCTTTAAATCTGTCCCCTTGTCTCCTCCATTCACCGAAGCAAATGGCCAAGAGGTTGAGGAGCCGATGACGACAATGGCATCACGTTTTGATATCTAGTCTCAATATCAGAGTGAGTCTATAGTCTATTCCCTGCGTCCGCATTTCCGAACTCGCAAGCCACGATGTTCTACTGGCCGTTGCAAAGCTCCTTTTGACTATCTCCATGCAGTACGTTCCGCTAGTTCGCTACGTATACGCTCTCAAAATAGAAGCGCGAGCTTCGACATTTGGTCCATTCGCGGATCATGTCGTGTCGTACATACTAACTGCCCTCTCAACTTACTTACCTGCTCGAACAAATGCCATGTTCCTGACTCCCTGCCTCTGCTGATTGGCGCATACCAAGCTTGTCGTGCTTGATCCGATAATCTAGTACTCGACAGGGGGTTTCTAATCGCTTTGTCTGGGTATTAAGGCAAGTGCTACCCTTCAGAATATCCGCTCAATGTCCAAATTAAGATACACTTAGTTAGATCATCAAGTTATTGAAGAGAAGTTGGCTTGGTTGTCCGCGTTCAATGCTATCTATACTCTGGCGCCAGTCCCTCGAGGTGGTCCAGATGGTATCTGTGTAATACCGTCGTAATACGAAGCCATCGCTTCGCACCGAAGACTGACATCCCAGCCTTTTACCCCGATAGTCATTGACACCAGGTGAGAATTCTTCGCAAATATAATTAAGTCAGTTATCAGTACCCAGTGTGGTGCTTTTGGTAGGCTATCGGAATCGAAGAGGTACATTCCATAACCTTGAAGCGGCCGTACCTCCCAAGACGCAGGGCACGGATGAGACCGTACTTTGCCGTCGCCGGTCACTGCCCTTACCAGTACCCGCTAGCGATAATAAACATTTCGCGTGGTCCAGCAGCGGCAACGTATTCATAGAATTGATCTGTCGAGGCAGACCTCAAAGTAACAGAGAGACACGTGCTGAAAATCGAGACCTCAAGGAAGGGAATTCAGCCTTGAGGCTTGGGCAGAGTTGGAGACCTGGGAACCCAAGCGCCCTTGATCCTTCAAGCGCTTAACACGGACCTTCCGGGGTCAAGCCCCTAAGAACCCGACCAACTGAAGGCGAGAGTGGCATCCGTGCGTCAACGCTGATTGGCCCCTTTGTCCGCGGTTTGTATTCAGGATTCTGGGTCTTTGTCCATTGCGCGCTCGTTGCGAGGGGGGTTGAATGTTGGGAGGAACCAGAAGTCGATAGGTAACGCGGGCATGGGAGATGTTGGTTAGAGCCAACATCAAAGATCTAGGGTGATTGGAAGAGACTGGATTTGAGATTGTGTAGTTCCGTTCATTACTGGTTGAGTGAGATGCTAATACCTAGGTAGGAGGAAGATAGACTTGGATCCAACGCCGCCGGACCCACCAACATGACGAGGAACAGACAGACAGACCAACAGGTGAACCGGGAGACCTCTTTCGCTTGGACAGAACGCAGAACGCTGGAAATCGCATGAAAGGAATGAGAAACACACGCCAACTCCGTTTTCTTGCTTTCGCCAGACTGATTTCCAGACCGCCAGGGTTGTGGGAATCGGCCTCTCTAGATAATGCACCTATACTTCCCACCACATAGACAAAAGAGACATGAGAGAGACATAGGAGATACATGCGCTAGTTGACAACATCAAGACCAGAAACAGAAATAGAAACGAGATGGCAGAGTTCACCGCAGCTTCTCGCTCTTGGGCTGATCGACCTTTCTCCGCTTGCCCTTTGGGGGAGCAGCAAGAGAGGGTACACGCTTGTATGTCACGGTATGTGTGATGACATGCTGGATGGTGATTGATCTCTCGCCCGTAGTGGTAGGCGATTCCACATATCGTACTTTTCGCTCTATCGGTGGATACGGCGAGCGAGCAGATGGGTGTGCGCTCTTCGGCGACTCGACGAAACCAGGAGAGTAGTGATATGTCGGGGACATGCGAATCCGACGAATAGGCCCAGCCTCGCCTGCTGAGCGTGGCACGCTTTGAGGAGAGTGAGGAAGATGCCTTCCATACGGCCTCGTGTAGCTCATATCACCGGGGAATGACGAAGTCGAGGCTGTTGAGGGGATGGAGATGGGTGAAGGTGCTTGCTTGCTGAAGGATGCGCTTGAGTAGGCGGCTGTAGCAGATAGAGGTGGACTGCCATATGCTGGGCTGAGGGCTTTGAGGAACTCTGTGTATGCTGTGGGTGGTGGTACAGAGGGGCCTTTGGGATCGGTGCGTCTTGTGGGCTCTGGATTGCTTGTTGCTCGGAGATATTCTTGGAGCTCTGATGGAAAAGCCATTTCGCTGGGAGTCTTGAGAGGATAAAGTTCTGGCCGTGGAGCCATGATATGAAAAGTTAGGTGAGATGTAGTTGAGTGAAGGTGATATAGCAGGTGGTTGTGGTGTTGTTGTAGAGGTTTGTCGTAGAGGATGATGGTGTGGATAGAGAGGTAGTTGTATGAAGGTGGATGGATGAGTAGAGGCGGGAGAGATATCAAAATGGGAAAAGGTAAGAGCGCGGAGGATAAGATAATAATATAGCCTCAGCGTAGCAAAGAGGGTGGTCAGTGTTGTAGTTGCAGGAGGCGAATCCGTATGGGAAAGCGTATTATACAGTATCCTGCGGCGGCGGACGGTATCGATACAAGGCAAGCGCCTGGCTGTGCTAGGCTAGTACGGATCAGGTTAGCTGCCAAGCCTCGACTGAAAATAGAAACACAACAGAAATGCAAGTGAGGTGGAGGAACAAACAGTGCGCCTAAGTCTTAGACCAGCTAAGAACGGTAAACTAAAACAAAGGTAAAGGGGCCAAACTCTGGATCCTGCGGGATGCGAGAATGACTCAAAGACTTGAGAATGCCTCGCTGTGTCGGCGCTTAAGACGTTGGCTTACACCACAAAGGAGAATGAGCGGAAAAGGTTTGAGATGATCTCCAAGAAAAGAGACGCAAGATGATGATGAATGATGAGTATCGCCATTGTTGCAGAACCTGCCTCTTTATATGTCTTTCATCTTTTCCCCTCTGCCGCCAGACCCGTGTATCTGAAACTCGAGTTTTCTGCAGACTTTATCGCGCGGCATCTGAAGCAAGCCCGGTCGAGTCCAATCCCACATATCACTCTCTGTTTGGTTGTTTCCCCTCAGCCGTTTCCAGGGCATTAATCTCTGCGGGGGTGTCCGCGCCTCCTGAGATGACGGTGTTCGTCCGTTGATGGCGCGCGGCTTCCTGACACAGGGACTGCGACCCTCCTGTTGGTTGGGATCCCCTGGTGCTATAGCCGCCCGCAATGAGGGGCCCCTGATACACTTGCATAAGGGGGCAAAGCCCTCCCTTCTGCTGTTTCAAAAGACGCTGAACCAGAGCAGAAGGTGCCTCCTCTTACCCAATGACCGCATTCGATGGATGAGTCTTCATTACAGCGGCCGCTATATGCAGGAACTTGTTTGACCTGGCAGGGCCTTTCCCTCTGGATAGATATCTATTACTGGCTATCTAACCTTCGAATGGTCGAAGCACCAGCTAAGCTACTGTCTGTGCTTCCACTGTCTATCTCGCTTTGATTCGACCTCATCGCTGGGCGTCTATGCGCAAGCCAAAATAAGTCGAAAGCGGGGGCGGCAAAGTTCGGGATAAACAATCTTGAAGCTGGAGAAGAGCCTAAATTTGGAGTTTGGACCCTCAGTTGATGCGCTACGCGCTTTTGTCGTCTTTGAAGCTGCGTTTGAGTCCCTACGCTGGAGATCTTTTGTTCGACAAGTGACTAAATTTAGTATGGGCGTCAAGCTTTGAACATCTGCATATAATGGGCGCTTCCATTCTGCTTGACTCCAACCGCCAGAGTAATTTCGCCACCAAACAGCCTTCAGTTGATGGCCGACTAGTTGCCTAAGAGAAGCGCTTGAGGGGGTCTGCGGACACCCCCTCGACTTCCACCTTTTGCAAGATTTATCGGTTCCTACTCTTGTGTCTCTTGTGTCTCTTGAATCAACTTTGACAGGCAATACGTGTATGTTGTCTCTGACAGCAAAATCTGTCGGAGACTCCCTACGTTCATTCTGAAAGCGTGCTCACACGGGACTCTTTACTAGGCGGACTTCGAGGGCAAGCCATCTTCTTCTAGCCTACCAAATGGCCCGACTGTCCATCTGGATATGTACGCCTCTGACACCGGAAGCTTGCAGACCCCTCATTGCGATGGCTAGAGACCTAGAGTTCTAATACTTTTCAAACTCACAAACAGGTCTCAGGGTCGAACTGCATGCCATTTCCCTTCGTACCGTGCCCAGTGTCCTCTCCAACACCTCCCCTGCGAAATAACCGTTCTGGACGCATGTTCATTCGCTGTCTTGTCGTTGACTATGACATTGTGCTTGCAGGATACTTTACCACGCCGATCCTTTTACTTCTCCCCCGGCGACACAAGCTCCAGCACAGCAACGTTGAGCCTACGATACTAGATTCTGGCCGACAAGAACAGCCACTGCAACGACTGCCTTCAAGTTCTGCATAACTTACAGTACTAGCAGGCTTATTTGTACTGAACTTGTCACAAGATGGCCCTATAATCTTCTGGTGTATTCGTTACGCCAAGTTCTGGGGAGGCCGAGTACAACGGTCAACGTAGAGAGCGGCCGTTCACTCTACCGTGCCAGCGTAACCAGTCGAGAAAACGACCTTTCGTACATGGAACAAATGATTGTCCTATAGACAGCATCAACAAGTCGAAGTCTCCAGCGTACCTTCCCTATCTAACCGAGAGTCGCGCCTTCCCAGGGTGGTCTATGTCCAATTACGGTAGGTATGAGGGATGATCGCACCTTCCAAGGTTGGTGCGTCTCAGTCCGAGAAGAGAAGGTGCGACTAGAAGGCGTACCTGCCTTGATTGTTGGTGCGAGGGTCGCCCCTTCTTTACCTGCAATATTATCGGTATGAGGCAGGTACGACCCTATACCGCTCCTTCCTCGGGGTGAGTGCGCCTTACTTTGCAGGGAAGGAGTGGGTACTCTACCTCTGCCGTGAAGCTTCATCTATCGGAATGTTTTCTTTTCCTAAGGAGATTTTTTGCGGTCCTTAGACAATGAATAATCCTTAGAAGGATACTGATGATGATTTGAGTAAGCATTGGAATACTGGCTGAAGCCGCGAGGCTATTGGTTAGACCTCTTTCCGTCAATATATAACCACCGAGATCTATATCCGCTCGAGATATTCCACAATATTTCATACAGGTTGAAGGTCCGAGGCAAGTCATGATGCGGAAAACAAGAAACCGAGAATAAAATAAATTGAAAAAAAAGAAGAGCTCAAGTGTTCAATAACAGAGAAGGAACGGTCCATTGTAACTCGATTCGGGGGAAAAGAGCTGGAGTGGAAGAAGAAGAATAATATTGACACGCGATAAACACATTCAAAGCAAGACAGACAACTTCAGAACAGGAACAACAGAATAACCACCCAAACTATTGAGATATCAAGGAGCAACAAATCGGTACAAAAAAGGTGAAAAAGCCCCAAATTTGGGCGGCCGAAGCTTCCTGTGCTTCGAAGAAAAACCACCGAGTTGGACTCGGATACCGTGTGTATAAAACCGCGCTCTAGAGCCGTAGCAAGTAGGGATAGAGTGGATAGTCAAACGGGAAGAATGGAAAATATAAACTCAAAATAGGGGTGTAAAGAATGGACGAAAAATATAGTAAGCACGAAAGCCGCCCTTTCGTGATAACAAAACCAAATAAATAACTCTTAACGCCCTGTATGTACGCCCAAAGTTCACTGGAGAGAGTTAGGATGCGTTGTGCGACCTTCGTCGGACTTACTCACCAAGATTTTGAATGATAGGTGATGGGCATAGCCCTAGAGAAGCAAGTAACTCCACTCGCGACGTCTCATTGCTTCGCGCCAATGGACGGGCTGCTTCTTGATGCGTCGACCGATAGTCTCAATCCGAGGGGACGGTAGAGTCGTCTGGTCGTACGCAAACGTTGTTGAGGAGGAAAAAAGACCTGGATCGGCGTAGATTGTCGCGCTAGGGTCGTCGGAGAGTTTCCACACTTCCTGTAGGACATGGTACATGCGTCCAAAGCTGCCAAAGTCGCTGCACTCTCCGAGTGCATTTGAACGCTGCGCGAGGATGGTACGGAAGGTGGACGTGGGTACTGAGGCGGCGCCGGTTATCAGCATTGGCCACACGAGCGAGCGGTCGAAGCCGTAGGGCCCGGTGGGGATGTATTGAAGGATGCTGGTAACTCTATCGACGAGTTCAATGGTGCTTTGTTGTTCGTTCTCGAAGCCCGGTAAGAGACTGTAAAGGTAGATACGGGCTGCTGTGCGGAAGATAGAGGTCATGTTCTTTGTGAGTATGTCGGGTTGGATGGTGCCGCCCGGGGAGAGGGGGTTCTGGAGAGTTTGATCTGCAGCTTCTTCGGCGCAGTCAAGTTGAGCTGTTAATGAGGCAACCTTGTTGCAGACGTCAAAGTCGTCAATCTCGCCCTCATTTTTGAGAGCGTCAACACATGCGATTTCGGCAATTGTGTACATGATGCTGTCCTCGCAGCCCATCAACTCCTGGAGGCCTGATGAGATGCCATTGAGATGCTTTGTACGGTATGTGTTGATATATTCGGGAGATTTGGCAAGCATCGTGGAGCCGAGGATATCGACCCAGGCGCTAAGTGACATGTTGAAGGAAACGGGGGCGAAAGGATTTGTATCGACCAGACCGTGCGTGTTGATGAGGTTTTTGACGGTCGAAAAGTGATCATGCCACGGGACGTCGGGATTGGTGTCATCGTTGGGAGCACCGACAGCACAGTGAAAAAAGATCATGGCTAATGTGGCGTCTAGGATTGTGTCGTGTCCGCGGTCCGAATTCAGAGCCCTGCAGAGCTCTGATACCGCCCTGTACCGATGGACCATAATGTCATTGTTGATTTTGACACCACGGTGTTTTTTGATCGTCTTGAGATGAATCGCGGACACACTAAGACAGCAGTGATAGTAGGACTTATTCGAGTCAAGCGACACCAAAATTTCGCGTGCTCGTGACGGACCTTCCTTATGAAGGTCTAGGACGGGATACATGAGGCGCAGAACATTGTCAACGAAATGGTACAGCAGTCGCCGCTCTCTATCATTTTTACTCATCCTAGCTTCCAGGTAATGCGATAAGGGTCGATCAGGAAGCTCAGATGATGCAGGATCCGCTGGAGGGGCCTTGAGGGTGTGAAAGACAGGCGGGTCCACAAAGCCTTGATACCATTCCTCACTTTGTAGAGCTGGCGTAGTCGTAGCAGAAACTGGTAGGGGTGGGGGCCCCATGGGGTTATACATCATGCTGATGGGCTGCTGAAGTGTATTTGGGTCTTGTAGATCTTGTAAAAAACCGTTTTCGTCTGTCACAGTGTTCATCTCGAAGCTGTTGCCAGTGAGTGGTGCCGTGGTAGGAGTGGGTAAGTAGGATGCGGAAGGGTCATAGTAGTAGTATGCTTGTTGTGCCTGTGGTTGGGTTTGCGCTGGAATTTGCGCTGGAATTTGCGGTTGCATCTGGAGTTGAGGTTGAGGTTGAGGTTGAGGTTGAGGTTGAGGTTGAGGCTGAGGTTGAGATGGGGCTGGGTTGGTATGGTTTTCGCGGATTGCTGGTGATGGGAGCGCATGTCTCATGTACTCTGAGCCATGACTGTTAGGGTTTGACCTGCAGACTGCATTGGCATGTCATACCTTTAAGAGCCGCCTCCTTCTGTAGCACCTTTGTCTCTCTAACCCTCTCCTTGATTTTGTTCTTTTGTAAATTCCTCGCATCCGTACTAATCCACCAGCTCGGTTTCCTGTATTCACAACTGACATTGAGGCTGGCGCAAGCTCCGCAACTCGGGTGGCATTCGTCGCATTTCTTCCGTCGCAACCGGCATGTATAGCAACCTGCGAGCAGCAGCAGTGTCAGTTGCCCGCGTTCTCGGTCCCAAGGCATTGCGCCGTGCGCTGTATAGCGTTCGGCAAAACTAACCGTTGCGCGATCGCTTGTATGTCTTCGTCACCATACTTCCAGGATCTCTGGTCGCGGCACTGTGAGTCTCCAAAGCTCTGATCTGGCGGTGACGGCGCGGCTGCGACGAAGGTCCGGCGGCGCTCGACATGACGTGCGATATCACTTTGATCGTTCAAGAGAGTGGAGTCCGAGTAACCCAAGGTGTTGTCCGAGGTGTTGATGTATAGTCAAGTCTAAACCCCACGGAATATCGCCCGCTGGATGGTTGGAGCACGCTGCAAGCTGAGTATCGCAGGGTGAAGAGAGGTGTCGACTAGCGATCAAACAATTGACTGAGCTGATGTTGGACATGATGATGGATTAATATCTTAACGGACGAGGAGCTATATGTCCCAAACGGGTAATGAACCATGCTCTGATGCTTCTATTTTTTGCTCAAGTGCGGCGGTTGAGTTAGCTTGGATGCATGAAAGCTGCATCCACGCTGTTCGTTGAAGCGCGGGCGGGGAAAGATCTGAGGCAAGCGACGAATAACGGGCCGACACTGAAACTAATTTTGGATTATGGCCGGCGGATGTGCCTGGGGATGGGCAGGGTCAGGCTTGCCGCTGGGGAACTGGAGGGTTCGCTGGGACCCTCGTTTGGCGCTGACTTCTTTCATCGTCGAGTCTGGAGAAGCGCGGGCGCAAAAATGGTCTGAGGGTCAACAACGTGCGTCTTCTCGATGCGAGGTTTGTTGTGATTGGCCGATGGCTTGGTTTTCAGGTGTGTTTCTTGTTGAGCAGCCATCCGGGCGACTGATGAAACACGTTTAGACCATCTCATTTGCCGAGAGGGAAGAAAAGCTGCAAGCCAAGCTTCTGTTGCAGCATTTGGCCAGCCTGTCAGCGTATCGCCGAAAGCCATCAGCGGTTCGACAGCTGTTGTGATTGGTGGTAACATGGCCCATTTCGAAGATTTTAAGGGAATCAGGTTCAAGAGAAATCCGGGAGAGCGACATGGACCGTGCCGCACAATCTCCTCCAATGACCAGGCGCGTGTAGCCGCCCTGTACCTCTCGCTCCAAGCTAATCCTGCTTAATCTTTGACGCTTATGCATTAATTAGCCTGATATGTCACCTCGAACAGTTGGAATTAATGGGTTCTATTAATAGCTAATTTTACTTGTTTTGGCGCTTTTTCTATGCATCTAAGCGCCCAGCAACGTAATTAGTCCCATTTCTCTTGTAGCTTGATCGGCATTGACACCCCATTCACATCCCAAGTTTTCATGCCATATTTATCAGCGAACAGGGTTGAGAGCTGAAACACGCCCGATCGGCGGAGGGTTTGCAGGCTCAAGCCCTCGAACTCTCAAACAAGGGTACTATCCGAGCACTATCTTGGTGTTCGAGTTACCTGCTCGCTGTAAGCGCCGGCTTTTGATGATACATTCTTATTGACCAGTTACAGGAACCGTTCCTGAGGAACTGTTGGTTCCAACCATGTTTGAGATGTGCTTCACTTCAGTGAAACTTAGCACTAAGTATACCGGCGGGGAAGGATTACATCCCAGCTGCGACATTTTTCCCGCCAAGATGATTCCCCTCGGAAGCGAGGACGAGCTTCCAGAAGCCATTTCCAGAGGGATTTGATGGAACCGTCGGGCAACTTTCATAGATAGCTGGCATCATGTGCGGGCAGGGAGCATGTGACCACCGCACCTAGTCTTCGGTTGCGTTTAATATTCACAGAGATTAAGGGACAAACGGGAGATTGATATGCATATTAATTGCCCTAAAGTTAAATCATTGCGCGCCTTGCGGACTGAGTACTTATGTGTTCCGAGCACTATCTCTAACCTATCTCTGGTTCCTTCTGGGTCCATTGGTGGAGAGGAATATACAACCCTACGTAGGTAGCAGATACTCCGCAGGTACAAGATAGTAGCTGCAGAGTCTACAGACAAGGTTAGATTTGATTGCTTTGTACGACGGAGGATGACTTGTCAGTGCGTTTGCGGAGTGTACATGGAATTATGCATACATCGGATCCAAGTACTCCGTAAAAACTCGAACACCGTCGATCCGTGGCGAGTACAACTGAGCCTGATCTGTTGCAATGGAGGCGAGTTCAAAGGCAAGCCCGGTGATTGAAAGATTGCCGAGCTGACGAGGGCAATTTGAGGAATACTACAACGTAGGCAAAGGAGTTGAAATGACGATCAGCCCGCTGCCACCGCACGTCTACCCCGGAGGACTCTGGTGGCGGTCAGTCGTGCGTCGTGACCTTTGTTCGACTAGCCGAGTCAAGCGGGTCCAATACCGAAGGAACGAGCTTTGTACGACGTTGGGATCGAGATCAAGCTCTTGAAATGGAACTTTGCTTCGCAAGCGTGTCCGCTTCCTGGTTCTCAAGCGGCCATCCGCATTATCACATCGATACTTCGGATGTCGTACTATTCTCGACAGGATGATTGCGTCCCAGGAAGCCGGAGCCAACGAGTCCTCTTCGGCGAAGAGCCATCATTTGGGATGATTTGGAATCGACTTGTCTTCGGGAAATTTAGGTGTGGGCAAGTAGAACGGCGCCCCAGTTCCCAAGGCCGGCTCAACTAAGCCACACCAATACTTAGCGAAGGATGTGATATGCTCAAGTGACGGGAAACCGGGGAGAGAGGCAGGAAATCCATTGGTATTTGAGGTGTCTGTCGACTGTGCCCAAGAGTGACAAGTGGATCAGAGAGACTCTCATCACAAATATCTCGAGGACCCCGATCTTGGCGAAAGTGTTGCACAGACTGCTCCATCAGGCAAATTTATCCTGAAAAACAAGGATAACGGAGCTAATTGAGCTAAAAACAGCAATGCTTAACTGCCATTGGGGTGATCAAATCAGACGGGCTGCCTTAGCGCCGGCCTCACCGACCAACGACTGGCTCTCAGCCCAGTCAGCCAGTTGAGATCACGGCAGTAGCGCCCTTTTTCCCAGCCTCTCACCTCCCATATCACCCCTCCTTCGTGCGCCTTGTCCTCTGCCAAAACCCAAAATGGTTTATGTAGACCTCTCACTCGAGCCAACCAGAGTGGCTCATTGGCCTCAACCGCTGTCTTCTAGCCGCCGGGGAATCCTGTTGCGCAGGGGAAGATCCAATGAGGAACACGGGACTCGATCCTGCACCCGGCAACGAATGACGATTCGCTGGTTCCCAGCCCTCCCCACCCTCATGCAACTGCAGGTTCACTTCATCACATCCATCCCAGACGATATGCGAGTCGCTGAGGGGATCCTGCCGTTTCGGATTCGACCGATGTGTGGCCGGCGCCTTTGGGCGTGGCGTGCTCTTCTTTTCAAGTGTCAGATCCCCAGGAAGGGCGGTGCGACATATACTTAACTCTGTGTGATCTTCCTAGTTCGCTTTTGTCTTTCCGCTTCCTGATACCCAACGTGAACACCACATATCTTTGCCAGGCGGGAGCAGATATACATTCCTCTCCCCGGGACGACGAGTGCTCTAAGCAACGCTATCGAACATCGAATTGCAAACCGAACCCTCATCGGAATTGTCGTCTCTCGACTTTACGGAGCGTAGCGCTCCTCTTTCATCTAAAATGGTAACTCTTTTCTCACTGAAACCCCGCAAAAGAATTTGCATTAATCGAATCATAGGCTACCACTCAAGAGTTCCAGTCTTCTCTTGATTATATCAAGGCTCAAGAGAAGCTCTCCTTCCTGCCCGGCCAGGCCTTACCTCGCTTTCGATCTCACTCGGCAATGTCCGAATTGACCGAAATTGCCGATACAGACTATGACTCTGACTCCCTCGAGGGTTATTCGGACAGTTCTCCCTACAGAAGCAATGACTCGGTTCGTTTTTTCTTTGCCTACGAATAACCCGCCATTACTGCCACTAACGACACTTGTCCCACCGCAGCTCGTGGCAGAAAGTGTAACTACAGTCTCAACCGCAGACGAACTGAAGACCCCTGATTCCACCGGTCTTACCGCATTCCATTTCCACCTCGATGATAACCCTATTAAGGGCCCTTCCGGTCCACATCTCTTTCGTGCCAACTCGCAGGGATCAGTGGAGTATACCCACCATTCGAACACCGACTACCGACCCGAGAGTGCACCGACCAGTGCAACGACTCCTTTCTATTATTATGCCTCAAAGCTTGGAGATGATAGGAGAGATACCCCGCTGCCAAACGGTGAGGCAGTATCGCCTCGCTCGTCGATTCAAGCGTCAACCCGCGCCTCAACTCGACCCTCGTCAATCCGTACCGAGCCTAGGGAGGACAATGTCCTGAACTGGTCCCCAAATGATGTCGTTCATTGGATGAGGAAACTCGGTTTCGAGGACTCAATTGTCGAGAAGTTCTACATCAATGACATTTCTGGAGCAATTCTCCTTGAACTTCAGGCTGAGGATTTGAAGGAGCTCGATATCCCTTCGTTTGGCAAGCGCCATCAGCTAATGGGCTGTATTCGTCAGCTTCGAAGGAGCTCCTCGAATTCTTCTCCTCAGACATGCGAGTCTCAACCTACTCCTGACGCGTCTCTGCGCCTCAATACAGTCACCCCGCAAACCAACGCTGCGGAGTATGGTACCGAAATTAACAACGGGCTCTTCGAAGAGCTTCCACGGGCCAGATCTGGTTCGTCGTCTTCCGGGCGTCTCAAGCAGCACCGACAGACAAAGCGTGGGCGCCAGGGTACCGACGTTGCTCCCGAGGACTCAGTCTCAATTGTTGCAATTGAGCAGCTCCTTCCCAAGCTGCACACTTGCTCCAAAGGCGAGAACTGCCGCAAGTGGCAAAAGCAACAGGCCAAACTCGCCTGGTTGGCCAAGGACGTACCACCTGAATACTTGGGTGGGCTGGCTGGTGGTGTTCTCGTCACAGGTGACCCAGGGAATCCTTCAACTGCCCAAGCTCTTGCAAGGACGCCAAAATCAGATGTGACCCCTTCTTTGATCGCTTCTTCCGATATTATGGGCCCAGCCCAGTCCATGGCGTTCTCCCTGTCTCATGAAATGCTGAGTGGCGTGCAGCCTCGCGATCCGCAGGAGAATGTGCGTAATTTCCTTCAGTTTCAGAGCTTAGGCACGATGCCGCCAGCGACAGACCCTGCTACGCCTCCCATGGAACACACGCCTTCCCCGGATACCCCGGAATCCGCTAAGGCGAACCCCACTCTTTCTGAGAATCTTAGACACCTTCCGAAGCTTCGAATTCCCAGCATGCACGCTTCGCTAGACTCAGCCTTGTCTCCTGACTCCACTGCCATGCGCACAGTGACACCAACCATTCTACGGAACAGACAGCAACACGCCCAGCGAAACATGACCAAATCTGCTGGCCCATATGGATCGGTCCTCTCCCCATCGGACTTTTACCGTGACGACCCTCATTATGGCCAGTCAACTCCAATGTCCGAGGTCGACGCTCCAATGACAGCTATCCCCATGGGCCCCGTTGCCCGTGACTGTTCCCAGTCTGTGCCACCCGATATGCGATTTGGAGGCCACCATGCTCGACAGCCAATCGACCCCATTGCGCGACCGTCCTCGACGAAGCCCGACAATCACCGAAGGTTACACTCTGCTATTGGGCAAACCGTTCAAACATTGGTCTCTGTAGACGAGCGCTTGCCACTTCCGCCAATCGAGACGCCTGAGGACCTTGACCGGACGCCACGGGCCCCTCACTGCAAGAACAACCCATTCAGTCGCAATGGCCAGCACGCCAACGACATTATCCACAGTGGCTGGATGAAGAAGCGCAAGACAACAAAGCTCATTCGCCACGAATGGGATGAGCACCACTTCATCCTTCGTGGCACTCAGTTGTCCATGTTCCCCGATGAAGTCCCCTCCCGCCGCGACTCCAAAGCTCTGGAGCACATTGACGTCGATGACTACGCCGTTGCGTGCTCTTCCCTTGCGTCGAACTCAAAGTTGACCGCCGCATTCAAGAAGACCGTTCTCAAGCGCAACAACGACCCCACTGGGGAAGCAGCTTTCGCCTTTTCTTTGATCCCGGCGACGAGCACTGGCGCCGTCGACCGCAAGCATTTCCTTACCAACGGCCCGAAACCCCACCACTTCGCGGTCAAGACACGTGATGAGCGGATTGACTGGATGAGGGAACTGATGCTCGCCAAAGCGCTTAAGAAGGGCCGTGAGGGCGGCGACTTGCTTCACCTCAACGGTACCCCGTTTTAAGCCTGCTGAGCACAATTCACCTCCTTGACGATGCACTCTAAATTGATTGATACCCAACGTTTGACGCTTTATTCCCCCAGTTTCCGATCTTGATGTTTATGGTTTTATGTTTTGCTTGCTGAACAACTTTTGTGTTGATTCCCACTCATCATACGATATCCCAGCGTCATGACTGAACGAATTTCCTATTGGTATTGAGACTTTGTCGTTCTTTCTTCTACTGTATGCTGAGACTCACTACTTTTGTCTATTTTTCCGTTTATCTAAATTGGGCGAGAAGTAGCTAGACAGGATACATGTCGAGCGAGAGGATGGCCCACGCCTGACTCGCTCCATCTAATGTTCCCATCGGGCTTGAGCTGGAACTCATGGCTGTCTGAGGGATTGTATTTGAGCAGAGAGCATGTGTGTATAGTGTTAGTAAATACAGAAAAGTGAATTGTGAACGCTCTCCGTCATGATAATCGTAAACTCCATGGCTGTTGGATTTGGACTGGAACCAGTCTGTTCACGATGGCGTGTGCTCCTTGATCGTCTTTGAGATTGAGGAGCAAGAATTCTATGTAAGGAGCCGTTACTCGCAACTTGACAGGCTGCGAGGATCGATTTTTCGCTTCAGGTGATATGGGGTGGGCTGGCCCGGCGCTTAACAGTCTGTTGGGAGTGGTCAATGCACGCCAGGCTTGTGCTGATCACGCCAATGATATTGGGAGAATCGGTGACGCGCCCGCATTGCCCTGTTTTCTGGGGTCCAATAAAATAATGCCGCCTTTGTTGGTTGGCGATAAGAGCATTACGGTATCGAAATGGAATCCTTTGGTTCCTGAGGTGGGCGGATTTGGTGTTGGATTTGAGAGGCTGAGGGGAACCCCAAGGCCCTGGTACTTTGATCCTTGGTACGAACTGGCCTGAAGAAGGCCGTTGTAATCGGCCTTGTCCCTTGTTGACGAATATAGAGCTGTGTTGGCGGGCGCGAGGCATGCGAGCGAGGAAGATCTGTTGGTCCCTCTTTGTTTTTCTGCTGGCACCATCCATGCTCACGCAGCGTGACTGACGGATTCCTTGCCCACGATTTGGCGGTTGCACGCTGAAACTCAGTTGCTCCTCCATCCTTCTGCTTAGTCCCGACAAATGGGTCTGCTTTCTTACTCTCTTCTCTTCTTTCCCCTGGGTTGCTTCTTTTTTATTTTTTCCTGGGGTACACACCACACGACTTCCGGCCTTCAACTCCCCTCCTCCGCTCCGCCTCAACCCCGCCAAAGAGCAACCTCCTTCTGGCCGATTCCTATTAATGACTCTCTCGGACTGTGACCGCCGCTCGAAACTAGAGAAGAAATTATGGTCGACGTTCGGACCATCCGGGGCCAACTCACACATGCCACCCAGTCCGCCCGCATCGTCGTACGCTGTCTCCATGGTGGAAGGGACACACAAGATTCGTCGCAACGAGCGATTATGCTCCTAGTCGACATCCAGGACTCTTTATTTCGTCTAAAAGACCAGATCAGCTGGGGGGAGGAAACATGGTTCGTGGAACCGGCGCGGCTGGCCGCTCTCGCCGAATTGCTCGAGTGTTTTGAGTCAACCATGAGGTCCATTGAGCTCTTCTTTCAAGCTGGCGGGGTGGGAGTATCGTATTATCGGAAGAATTTGCTGGAGCGCACATTTTCGCCGCGCTTGGAGCAGTACAAGGTTCTGCTGTTGCTGTCCTTGCAGCCGGAGTCGAGGTTTGTTTCCTCTTTCTGGCGAGATCCCACAGCGATTGAGTATAGGCTAATTGCTGATTTCTATCAGTGAACGGTCGTCGTTGGATCGGAAGATTAGATTTAGTTTGACGGCCGCGCGAGATGTGGAATCTGGTACGCCGCGGACACATCCGCTTCGAGCCCAAGTTCCTCGATCACACTAACTTCTTGGGTATCAGCGACCCAACCGGACGTCCAATTCGACGAACGAGTGCTTGGTACCACAAATCGAATGACTTCAGAACACTTCGTCACTCTCACAGACCTCTGCAATCGTCGAACGCCAGGAACAGGCCAATGGATATTCGATCATGAGGAGTATAAACGTTGGCTGCTGGGTTCTTTCAAGACACTTTATTGCGTTGGGCCGCGTAAGACAAATATAGCCTCTGCTGGGTACCCGTGCTGACTTAGTCGTTATGGTAGCTGGTGCGGGGAAGTCCTTTTTATCGTAAGTACCGTGGCCCAGAAATTACCAAACAGGGTCTAATCATCCCCTAGAGCTACTATAATAGACTCCCTACAGAGAACGTTTACGTCTCCGGATGTTGCGACCGTATTCATCTATTGCCAAGACGAAAAGGAAAAGGAACAAACAACTCTAGAATTATTACAGATTATACTTGCGCAGCTCGTCTACCGCAGGCGAAGCTGCTCCCCCGCATCTTCCTCGTTGTTTCAGTCTGAGGCACAGATTAAGGGGAAGGCCTCGCCAAAGGCATACCAAAATGCCATTCGCGCAGAAGTAGACCGGTTTTCAAAAGTTTTCTTCGTCATTGATGGTTTGGACTTGTTTTCGGATAAAGATCGTTTTCTCACTCGGCTGCAAAAGCTCCCCGAGCAAGTGCAACTTCTCGTTACCCTCCGTGAAGCCACCCAGGTTGGGGACGCCGCGTATATTACCGTCCTTGCACCTCCGGACGACCTTCATCTCTATGCTGTTTCCAGGATTCAGCAGGATTCGAACCTCCATGCGCTTCTCACCAGGAGCTCAAGCCCGCGCTTGTACGAGGATGTCATTGATACCGTGGTTGAAAGAAGCCGTGGAGTGTAAGACTTTGTTTAGATTGTTTGCCTGCTTGTACAGCATACTTGTGTACTAACGAACTTCCAGATTTTTGATGGCGAAAATTCATCTCGATCTCCTGTCCCGATACCAAGACAAGAGAATACTCGAAAGAGCCTTGTATCACCTACCGCGGACCCTACCAGATGCTTATGGAGAAGCTATGAAGCAGGTAGTGAGCCGCAATCCCACCGCCACTCGTTACGTTTACTGGACGTTATACGCCCTTAGGCCGTTGTCTGTTTCTGACCTGAGATACGCGACAAACACGGCCAGCGACGAACATGAATTCGATGCCATTGATTTTGAGCACACCCTGCAAAGGGATAGCGGTGGGATTCTGACTGTTGATGGTGTGTCCGGCAATGTCTGTTTTATACATAGGACAGCAAGAGAGTATTTGAGTGGCGCCGCTGCTAGGGTATTCTTCCCAACTGCCCAGAATGAGATTGCCGAAGCTTGTCTGGCTGCGATCACGGCAGACGAAGTAATCGATGATTGCTACTATAACGGTGGAAATGCACCCCGGAGTACCGACAACGGTTTTATCGATTATGCTGCGAAGCACTGGGGTGACCACTCACGCGATATCCCCGAGGAGGAAAAGGCCATCCAGGTACTGATCAAGACCTTTCTAAATAAGTTACTCTGGCGGCGTCCGCCGTTGCAGGTTCTCACGAACGAACCTCGAATACCGTCAGAGCTAGGGCTAGGGAAGTACCCACAAGATTGGACTCCTCTACATGTCCTGGCTTACTTTGGCATCGTCGTCAAATCACAGCGCCTCCTCGTACAGGGAGCGGAGATCGACGCGAACGACAACTCATATAAAATAACTCCACTTCACTGCGCAGCCAGTCGCGGAAATGAGGAGATGGTGGAGTTTCTGCTGGACAACGGAGCGGATGGCAACGCTGTGGCCCGAGATGGCAGCACAGCCCTGCATTTAGCTACTCAGTACAATCAGCGAAAAGTCATGAAAATGCTTTTGACTCGGCGGGTGAACTCTCAGATTGCAAACAAGGAGGGTGCGACGAGTCTCCAGCTCGCTGTGACGACGGAATGGGATGAGGCTACCGTGCCCCTGCTTGTGAAGAACAAGGTCGATGTCAATATCCGGAACATCAAAACTGGAGACACGGCACTCCACCTTGCGATTGAATGGAGACGCCAGCGTATCATCTTATACCTCCTTGACCGAGGGGCGTCGATTGAAATGACCAATGAAGACGGACTAACGCCTCTTCAGCTGGCAGTCAAGGTAGACAACTGCGACGCAATCGCTTTGCTCCTTCAGCGCTGCGCGCAAGTTGAAGCCCGCTCACTGTCTGGCTTCACAGCCCTTCAGCTAGCTGCGCAGGAAAAGCACTGGGTTGCCTTTGACCTCCTGGTCATCGGCGGAGCCGACATCAACGCCTGGAGCAAGGAAGGTGAGACTCTACTCCATGAGCAAGCGCGAAAGGCCACCAGCCCATCCGTCGCCCTGAAGCTTCTTGAACAAGGCGCCAATATCGAAGCCATTACCGCCCAACGGGGGTATACACCCCTCCACTGTGCCGCCGCCGCAGGAAACAAGGAGATGTTCATGTTTTTACTCAAGCGCGGCGCCAAAATCAGTACACTCACCGCAAGAGGCGAGTCTATCCTCCATCTCACGCCTCCCCTCAACGACGACTGTCTCGACATCCTCCGCACAGCACTAGACTACGATCTTGACACCAATGCCTCCACAGCAGAGGGCTGGACACCCCTTCATCAAGCCATCTACGTTGGTTCCAGCCCAGAAAAATCGCCAGAATTCATTCACCTCCTTCTTCAACACGACGCAGACGTCACCGCACGCATCCCCACACCTTCCGCAGAGACGGCCCTCCACCTCGCCGCAACAGCAATAAACCCCCTCCCGGAAATCATCCCACTACTCCTCTCCTCCGGCGCCGAAATCAACGCCCTGACCGCAGACGGCAAAACAGCACTCCATCTCGCCGCCGAGCGCGGCCGCGAATCCATCTTCCGCCTCCTCTACGACGCCGGCGCGGACGGCTCGTTTGAAGCCCCAGATAGCGCAAAGGCAGACGATGGACACGGCGGCGGGATTGGTAATACGGCGTTTGAGGTCGCGCTCCGCAACCCGCTTGGGCGACTTTGGTTCGATTCTGAGGGGAAGCTGAGGCCGCCGACGACCAAGCTAGATCTTTTGAAGAGGGAGAGTGTCGGGACTGTTATTGACGATGGGGCGACGGAGAGTCGGTTCGACGACGACGATACGACTGAGGATGAGGAGGAGGAAGACGATGAGACGGAGGAAAGTATGAGCGAGAGCGAGTGTCAGAGCCAGAGCGAAATTGACCTTGAGGAGAGTACGCGTGGGAGGACTAGGAGTAGGGGGGACCAAAAGGCAAATGGAGCTGTTACGGGCGTTGGCATTTCGGTGGTTAGATATGAGACACCGTATGTTATTGTGTGAAACTGGTAGGACTTAGTGATGACCGTGTGTCTGCTACAGGTCCGTTTGAATGTTTTTGTGGTGTTGTGTTTTGGTCGTGCATTTGAGCGAGCATCATTTGTTTGATGCATGGAGCACAGGTGGTATTTTGTTTTTGTGATGAGATCAGACTAGATCTGTTATGATACCCTATAGTAAAAAAAGATAAATTAGTTTACATATCTGTTCATGCTAGGAATTGACTATAGAGCATCTGTTTGAGTAGAACTTATCCGTACAGCATGCCGCGTGTTACGACATAGTGATCACAGGATGATATCCCTGCTTAGAAGGTAGGACCTACTGGCAGGGTTCAGCCGGCTAGATTTACATCTTGGCTCGGTTGAATACGACGTAATACCTTTAGACTTGGTATCCATAATTTCTATGTGGTATCGACGAACCGATACCCAGCTTCATAATAAGATCAGTAGAGACCCCAGCAAACCCCGCAAGAGGTATTCTGGCCCCTGCAGAAGATAGACATCATTAAGATCATTAGAAAGAAAAAAAAATCATCAACCCATCATCCGTATAACAATATAAACCCACCCATCCCCATACGCCGAGCACCTTACAACCTCCTCAACAGGCGCAGACATCGGCACAGCAGCCCCATGCAAAACCGGCTTCGCCAAAACGGGCGTCCTCTTTGACGGGAACAGATTTGGCAAGAGCGAATGCAGCGCTGACCCGATCGTCTGCTGCTGCGTCTGCGGCTGCGGACTTCCCGTCCCCGAGGGGAGTCGTGAAGAGGATAGAAGAGTTGACTGCGTCATATTTGTTGTTGTTTGCGTGAGCGGGAGGGTTATTGTTGGTGGGATGGGGGATTGGACGACCTTTAGTGAGGGGGTGGTTGGGTCGGTGTTTGAGTCCGTGGAGTCGGGCTTTGGGGGTAGGGGGAGGAAGAGGCGGATTGGGAGGTTTCGGAAGGGTTGAGCAGGGGGTGGTAGGAGGATGTTCATTATGCGTTGGAAGGATGGGAGGTCGACTTGGTTAGCAGTGTTAGCATATGGATTCTGGTGGATGCGGCGATTTGCATCGGAAATTGGGTAGAAGAAGGGAAGGGAGGGGAGAGGTACCATCCTGAACAGCCTTCCACAACCCCGAAGAATCATCTTTCGAAAGACTCATAATCCCCTTCGCAGTCCCATTACGCACAAAATCTGCCTCTTTGACACTGTTGATAAACGCATCGTTCATGACCATGCCTTGGGCATCAAGTCGAACGAGCTCCTCGTCAGGCCAGTCGCTGAAATGCACGACAAGCTTCCAGGGTAGTGAATCATCAGAGGCGGACGAATAGTCCACGTCACTCGACTTCGTAGCTGGAGCTGCGCCCGCATACAGGTCATAAAGTAGCCCAACGGGGTAGTGCCATTTTAGCGGGACGTTCTCGAACGAGAACCAGCCGTCGTGCGAGGCTGAGGAGGCGGGGTCAATGAGCGATGATGAGAAGAAAGCCTTGAGTCTCGGGAGAAGAGATGGCAGATATGAGATTCGGGGGTAGGAGATCTGGATGGCGGTTAGCTTGCTTCTTGTCTCTTGCCCGTCTGGGGGTAAGGTGAATAGGGTGGGTAGGATGAGGAGGTGAGTAAGCGTACGAGATAGGGATCCGTTTGATCATATGTGCGGCTCTCTGAGGGAGCGAGCGTGATCTGCAAAGGGAGGTTGCCATCCCAGACTGCTTTCTGGATGCTACCCAATGGTAGTTGATCCATGGTCTTGTTCTAGTCTAGAAAGTGTTAGTATGTATAGAGCTGAACAGTGGGGAGGGACTCACGAACTTAACGAGCCGGGGATTTTCGCGTGGGTTACAACATCGTCTGTAGACTTATTTCTAGACACTTCCAAGGGAAAATAAATGTATACGAGTGTGTGGTGTGAGCCACACAAGTAGTACTCTTTTCGATGTCGAGTGTTGCGAGATTGAAGTTGGACGGAAGCTGCGATGTTGTTTCTTCTTCTGTGGTCCCGTGACGGTCGCTCGGACGCGATGAGACCGGATGCCGCTCTAACGATATAGTAGTCAGCCTCTTGATATAAGTTGAAAATCTTTACTTTCCCAGTCATTTGCAAATTAAATCTTTAACATTCTGAGCTAGTTTCAAAAAAGCTCCAAAATATGCCTTCTCAGAACCTTGGCCTCCGCATGGGCGGCGTCTGGAGCGCCGCATTCACCGCCCAAAGCGTTTTCCTCCTAGGCAGTGGCTGCTACAGCCTCATGTATCCCTCATCAGTAGCCAAACTCAAGGGCGGGTCGCCGAATGGAACCACCAAAGCCATTATTCAATTAGATGGGCGAGGATCTTCACCCTTCCAAGCCAACGGGAAGCAGATTGCTAACCACATCACTTTCTCAGCCTCACCTCTCTTGCTTTGGGGTTATGCTACCTTAACTCAACATACGAGAAAAGAACCCGCATGATGATATCTTTTGTGTCCTATCATCTTCTGAGTGATTGGGCCATGTATCGGAATGGCCGCAAGTGGGAATCCGATTGCAGCTTTGGAGACGGCAATCTCAGTCTTGGCTGGCGCAACATTGATTTGGGATCGGTATAGTGAGACTGGTCACTATGTATGATGTGGATGAGGGGAAGAGGACGGAGGGGATGGGAAAGGGAAAGTTATTGTTGCTGTAGTTGTATTGCTTAACGCCTAGCGGAGGGTCTAAGCCGTGCAAGGAGTCCCGAACCTCCTATGGGGTATGGGGGCGTGCCGAGCTGTCTGTCGAAAGTAACTATTTATAAAGGAGTCAAAGGGTAACTTTATGCTAGAAAGCTGTTGGAACCACCTGTTCTCTGCGCGTCCTCTCAATGTGTGGGCGTTTATATAGTGGGTTTAGTGACCACCAGAGTGGTATTTGGGAGGTTAGCGGCATTAATATAATGGTTGAATGCAGCCTATAGTAGGGTATGTGTATAATATATATATATATATATTTAGGAGATTTGGCGTGAGGCACGATTCAGGTATTTGACACAAGGTACTAAGGCTAGAATAGAGTTGAATTATTTGCAGGAAGAACTTTGCTAAATCTACACAAAGCCAAGTTTACCTCTTTTCAGTGGCCAAACAAGGGCCAGCTTTGCCGACAAATCTTTCAAGGACTATGGCACCTGGCAGACACAGTGTAGCACGTTTGTGCAAGGGAGTAGCTGGGATAATCGCCCAAACTGGACTCAAGACATAGAAATCAGATATCGTTGTCATTTGCCCTACTTCTGGACTCCCACAGTTGGAGTCTTCATGAAAGGGCGCTTGGAGGCATTCCATCGAAACATGCGGTGGATGATGTATTCCCCACTTGCAGTTGACCATGACTACAGTATATGCAGCATGCGCTCTATTCGGCATTTCATTCGGAATTATGCCGACCAATGTGTGGGGGTGGATCCAGTCACATTGCCAGCCTGTACGCAGCGCAGAATGCCTCCGTAATGGGAAACCTCGATCTTCAGATGTCCTTTGCGAAGGCGTTGCGAGTGTGACGGGTAGCCCAGAAGACACTGTAGACATCACAAGCCATCCACAGGTTGGCCACTGTTCAAACCTTGTGTTTGAACCCAAGCGAGTAAAGTGAGTGACTCTCCAGAGTCCACCATGATGTGGCGGCCTGCACCGCTGGCTCGCCGGACAAAGCTTCCAACCTATAAGCTGCTTTCCAGCGGTGCGCCCGGATCCTCGAGGAAAGCACGGGACGAAAGCCACGGAGGACTGAAATACTCAACAAGGATAGAACCAAGAGGCGATCGCTGTGCCAGTGCTGACCTCTGTGGTAATTTGTCACGCGCCCTGACATGCATTTCAGAACAGAGGCCCTGAATGTCTACAGCCCATGTCTTTCTTTATGAAATACAGGAAAAGTTGACTTCCGCTCGACGAAGAGACAATTGCCGGCGTATTTGGTATATCTGATAACCGGGTTGACTGCTGGGAAACCCGAAGACAGCAGTAAATACCGCCCTGTGAGACACACACAACGTCTCAAGCAAGGGGTCTTCTCAGAACTGCCGACACGGCGGCAACGGCGGGTCTGGGGTTGCATAAGGGTAAAACCTTCTGTGCCGCCCGTCGCTGAACTGAAGCCTGCATGATCTGTTCCATATTTCCTTTGGTATGCGCGAGGGCGACACGTGGCTTGACGGAGATTCTTAACGTCATCGAATGTATGCTTCTCCATCTGGGTGAATTACTCTGTTCTTCAACTAGGAGCGTGACAGCAAACTGGATTCCAGTCTGAAGGGCGTCATTGCAGTACCGTCATTTGTCCACGGATGATAAACAGACTTATCAAGCCTTTGAGCAAATGGACATGTACTAGTGGGCACGCATGCATGAGCTCCCCGACAAATTATGCTCAAACCCATGTTTGGAGATGGGATGTTGTCCGTCCGTAAGCCACTGCGCGAGGGAAATGTGACTGGACAACTTGTGGAAGATTGAGCGTCCAGCTCGAGTCAGCTTGACCATGATTGACTGTGGCAGTACCTGAATAACAGTAGGAGTAAGGTCGTTGTTGGAGGACCGACGAATGACCTCATTTGACATGTGCGCCGTCAGTGCCTAGGCCAAGTTTGAACACACTGGGGTTTTGAGAACCAGTCTTGCGCGAAAAAAAAAATCAAACAGCACTGTGTTTTGTGAGACATTGTCGGCCATGTGTCGTACAAATCCTTCAGTCGATACGGGCGTGCGCTTTCCCGCAGCTTCCGGAACGGTGAGGCTGAAGCAAGGAGTCGGCGTCGGTGTCTCCTCGTGCTGACTTCTGGCAGGAGGCGTGGACATCGCGTGATTCAGCTCTGCTGTGGCTTGCGCGCACGGATAGCTCTGCATTACCTGAGTCAATTCAAGGGAGGATCAGCAAGGAACGGAATACTGGGGTCGGCTGGCCCGGTGCTTCCCCCTCCCGCGGCGTAAGTACTACCGCTGCAGAAGGCCAAGAGCTAGAGTGATGTTACAAGTGACAGTGGATTCAAGGAGCGGACGGGAGAAGTACCAGATGCCCTTGCCTCTGCTGATCCTTATGATCAGGTAGTAAGTACTTATGTGAAACTTGGTAGCGAACTCGGCAAAGTTCCTCTCTGGCCCTGTTCTGGACAGGGCCACGCACTGAACCTCTAGCCAAGCGAACGAACGGCATGCTTGGCGTTCAAAAATAACAGCCGAATGCAGCGCCGTTACCTTCCCGGCCGAGCAAGGGATCCGTGCGTATGAGTACTTTATGATGACATGAATAAAAGTTTGTCAATCCAAGCTCGAACTAGGCGTAGCCCTAGATGTGATGGTGAAACAGTGATCAACTGTTCTGGCTAGCTGCGGAAAATATGCCAAGTGTTTCTCGCAGCTTCACAAGACTTGACAGTGATTGACAGGAGCCAAGTAGCAAAGCGAGCTTACTCTGCTGGGTCAACCTGGCCCTGCGCGCTCAGCGCCCAGCTTGGTGGACGACGATATTGTTGGACAGCCGAGGAGATCGAGGTCTTCGTGAAGTTGAAACAGAACAACTTGGCAGCTCAGAGTTATTTGACCAATCCAATTCACTCCGAATGGTGGTGAAGGAGAGCGCGCACTTGTTGCGCGGCGTAAAATCAGACTAGGAGCATCTCCGCGGATTTATCGAAATAGCCCAAATTGGCGGGCTGACAACCTGACAGCGCCTGGCCCCCTTTTCACATTGCACAAGAATGGGAGTCACAATAACGGCTGTCCCCAACTCGAGGCGCGACTTCGAGGTCGAGAACCCGACTCTCTGGGACCCGATGGAACTGGTAAGAAGCTTGATCACCCCCGCGGGGTTACTCCGTAGGCAAGTCGTCACTGGCTATTGCTGAGTGGCCAGCCCACGACCGCGAGCTTGGGGCGCAGCAGGGCAGAACGTAATTTTGTGACATCTCGTAAGCGTAGAATAGTGCCCAGCTCGAGCGAGCATAATTGCTTTTGTAAAGAAGGCATTTCTCATTTCCCCTTGCTTTGCGGCCCAAGCGAGACCCACGTCGTGTGAGACAAGATGATGGTTCATTTGGCAGCTGCAGGGGCTCTGACACAGGGGAGAGAATGAGGCTTGTTCTTCATCCGGCAAGCAGGAACGAAGCCAGCCGATCGACTTGTCAGCGACTGCGCTTCTCCGCTGCGAAGCAGGCGTTTGCTCCCACCAGTTCAGGGTTAAGAGACGGTGAAGAACGAAGTGGAGAGCCGATGTTGACCGGGCAAAATATCCGCCCTCGGTTCTGGGCAAGAGAGAAAGGCAAGTGTAATAATCAATCCTAATAGAAATACGAATTTATCGGAGGGGGGTTATCGTGGGGAGGAGAAAAATTCGAGTGGAAAAAGCAATTGAGAGGGGAAAAGCAAAAAAAATGTTGGCAGGACCACCTGCCGCTCTGAGCAGGAACCTGCATCACTTTCTCTCCTTCAAACACGTTGCTATACAGAGATGGATCAAGGTTGACAGCGCAAGTTACAGCGCAAACAGAGCGCATTTTAGGTCCGGCAATGGCGGTATCCTCGATCAAAAACCTTGCTCTGAAGACCGGAGAGTTAAATGGTATCAATTCTCATGCAATATTGCTGTTTTTCTCTCCCGAATCTAGGCGAATAGACAAACTGCATCGACCTTAATTGCTCTGAGTAGGGGAATAATACCAGATTTGGGTAGAGACTGGTAATAATCGAACGACACCACGATCCACAAGACCACAAGAGCGTGGGAGGCACTACTGACGAATGTTCGTCATCTCTCCATCACACAGATTAGTGGCCGGGCAGTGCAAGAACCCTTGTGAAGGTCGAATTTGAGGGAGATCGTCCACGTTCATCCGCTATGCCACATCGATTTAGTACTCGGCCGATCTGGAAAAACGGTGGTAGCCCTGATCCTTACTCCCTTGGGCAAAAAGGTTGTGCTCGCGCAATCAAACGGTCCAACAAGACGACCCCCAATGCCGATGACATATTGCGTGCGAATTGTGGCTCGTGTGAGTCTAGACTTGAGACATAGTCCCCCTTCACCTTTCGCGAATGCCCGAAGTTTCAGCCACTGTGCCTGCCAAGGAGGTGTTCGAAGTAGTGGTAGCATATCCCATGACCGTTCATTGTTGGCTAGCAAGTGCCACGCACTCCGAGCACTTTCCCAGGCAGGTCCAGCTGTCCTGCAATCTATTGGCCCAATGACTCCCCAAAGTGTATACCGAGAGAATGGATCTGGTGGCTCTCGGCTCACGCGCCCGACATGCGCCATCAAGGGTTCCCCAGAACGTCCATTCCGGACTTGTCATTCGTCAGGAGAGCCAGCCAGGGCTTCTTCGTCTCATTGCTAGGCTTTCTAGGCCCCCAACCGCGACAGACTTCACACTCTTTGCGGACTAGGGGCCCGACTGTCGAACCTTATAGCCCTGCCAGATGGGGCTAATTATTACCGAATGAACCTACCGCCGTTCCCAAGATTCGCGCGGTAACCAAGATTCAAGTCCAATCTTCGCAGTGGACGGTTCTTCCTGGGGCCACCTGATCTCGGTCGAAGCCTGTTTTCCAGGCAAAAAATCCGGTTGAAGAATCAAAAATCACTTTTCAAAGACGTTGCGAGGTAAAGAGACACCTGAGTACCTGCCCAGAATCGCAGTGCAACTGAAGATCCCTATCTTGCGGCGTCATTCATAGTCTTCGTTGCTCCATTCCTTTCTTATTCTGGTGTGCTAATTTACCTGTTTTATTTTTACCTCATCTTTCTTTTCGTCCTTGAGCCCTTCCGTTCTTGTATGGGGCAGCAAGATCTGTGTTGTTGCTCAAAGGTCCACTTCTCCTTGTGACACGGTTTCTAGATTCGATCATCAGTCTGGGCACCAGGATCATAACCACGCTCCTCACGTATATAAGGCAGAGGATCCCTCGAGGGGAGAGAGATACTCACCAGCACCCACGAAGCCCATCACCAACATCCATCAGGACAAAGCCTCTCTGTCTCTCTGAACAACATCTCTCTATTGCCACACCGGTCGATTCGATACAACCTATACATCGGTCACTGAATCATCAATCACAATGTCTTCCAACGGCCAAGACGGATCTCAGTACGTTTCCCCAATTCTTACATCAACATGCAGGCACTAACAAGTATTTCAGAATGACCAACGGAACTGACAACAACCTCAGTGAAGGCAACCTCAACAACGTCCCGGATGAAAGTGGCGTCGACCGCTACTCTCAGTCGTCCTCGTCGGACTCACCGTACTATGCTCATGCAGGCATGGGAGACCGTTCAGACCACATGAACCAACTATCAAGCCAGTTGGATGCATCAGACGAGCTATTGAAGAACTGACGACGCCAATTTGACTTCGAAGATAAAGCACAAAGCGCAGCGGGTAAAGGACTTCAGCAATTCTATAAGGACGAAAAATCTCCTATGTACATGGTCTATCGGCGAAAGCATTGTGAAGATGCAATTAGGGTCTGAGATTTCAAAGGTGTTTCCAAGGGTGCATGTTATGGGTCTAAAAGGAAGGAAAAGAAGGATTCAAAAAGGCAATGGGAAACAAAGAGTGTATATATAGAAATAAGCAAATCAATGCATTCTAAGACAATGTTTCAACAATAATTTGGGAAACCTCGTTGTATTTGGTGCTGGGAAACTCGTGACCAGCAGAAAAGTACCTGAATGCAACGCCGCTTCCGAGGGCAGCAGTAGCATCATCGAGCAGTTCATGATGAATGATAATAGGGTCAGTCTTGCCGCACATGATGACAACCTTGTCACTAGAAAGGCCTTTCGATTCTTGCTGGTCTGGGGAAATCTTTTGCTGCTCGGATAGGTATACTCCTAGGCGCTCCCATGCTGCGCGTTGCCGTTGAGCTAGAATTGGACCATACCGCATACTGGAAACAAAGGCGTGAACGAACCCAGTATGTGCGTTCACCTGCCACTGAACCGCATTGGGGACAGTGACATGGGGGTGCGAGCGGGATAGTCTTTGAGCTTCAGCTCCCGCTGCCGAAGGTAGCTCCTCGGCAGCCACATCGCTGGCATGGAGCTTTTTAGAGCTTTGCGGTACTTTGGGAGTAGAAAGGGGACCTGCACGCAAACGTCTGCCAGACAGGAATTTCAACACCCGAGTTGGTAGGCCGCCTGAATAAAGAAGTCGGGTGCTGAAGCTGATATGCGAGTCTCGTATCAAACCCGCTGGCGCAAGAAGGATGAGAGCCGACAAGAGCTGTGGAAAGAACGATGCGAAAGCTGCAGCTATACCGCCACCAAGGGAGTAACCGACGAGGCAGAATTTGCCAGACCCGGCTCCTGTCCATGAAATCGGAGAAGAGCTCAAAGCCATGAAGATCTGAGTCGCAAATAGACGGTCATCCTGAGGAAGGTCCGGAGGACAATCAGAATAACCTCTTCCAAATCTAGCAGAAGCGCTCATTAGCAAGCCCTACAATATAGGAGCGCATAAAATCAGCGGAGCTATATGGGACCTACAGATCGAACAACATCACTCGACAGCCCTGATCCACTAAGGCATGGGCGAGTCCACCCAGTGAAATGCACGGGGTGGTAATGCCATGCACAAGCAAAACCTTGCGGCCTTCCTCTGGACCCCATTCGTAGACGCGCATTGAGCCGTAGGGAGTCTGTACATCTCTTGCCCCTGGAAGTGCGTCAAGTGGCAGAGGGTGGTCCTTGTCGCTTGGGGCTGACCGCACAGAAGCTAGGGGTGAATGATAGACTCTGCCTTCTCGGGGTTCGTCGGACAGAATAGCACGTAGAAAGAGGCCTACGCTAAGGGATACCCCTGCTGTCGCTAGCAGTGTAAGTTGAGTGGGATGATTTGTTAGAGACGCCGAGAGGGCCTCGACGGTCTGGCTGTACCAGTGAGCCATGGCTGTGATTTCAGGCTAATAGCGTGCCCGTCAAGAACTGGCTCGGTTGCTACTTCCTTCCTGGACAATTGGAATGACCTGGGTACACGTTTGATGTGCGAAGGCACGAAAAGTTGCTTGTCCAGGTAAGAGCCACCAACAGCGGAAGGTTGAGGAAGGAGTGAGAGAAGGAATGACAAAATGGGGGACGGGTGCGCGTGTCTTCGGCACATCACAGATAAGGCAGAGGCTGCCTTGGAGGTAAGGCAGCCGAGGCTCATTCTTGCGCTAACCGTCCAAAGTTAGTACATTTTTGGTCAGGTGACCATGAGCAGTGGTTGTTTGACTACCTTCGAGACTCTAGAGTAATACTTCCTGAATTATTCATGGGCGCAGTTGTTTCTCCAAGTCTCCAAGCCTAAGGCCGCAGAAGCCTGGTTATGATCGGACCCATGTTTTGCGGGGAATGGCGCCTCTTAGTAACCGTGACTTAAAATTGTTGGCTTCGTCCAAGGCATTCGCAACCTCTTTGACTCCATGAAAAGCGGACGTTACCTCCGTGTTGGAGTTTGAAGGATGTTTTGAATTGGAAGAGTGTCGTGGCATGATTCCGGCTAAATCAGGAAGAAATTCGATACGAGTTTGAAGCGCCGTGTCGAGAGCAAGAATTCATCACGGTGCTGGGAGCGGCCGGACATTGTACAGAAGTACATCAGGAAATGATCGGCAAGGCCGGGGTATGTGCACTCCCCTCATCGCAGCCGACATCACTTTACGGCCTCCTCTTCATGAGTTTCTGAGTGGCTTCAAGAATCGTTCCCCTGTTGGGCTTGATCCCTGTACGAACCCTACTCCGGAGCAGTACTTGGCCATCTACCCCCGCCAACAGGCCGATGCTGCCGAAACCACCACGCATGCCAATATTCTTGTTCGTGGTCAAGGAAATGCCAAATGCGCTGTAGATATGCTTGTTAGGAGGAATTGCCCCGTGAGACTTGTGTCTGCGGCCCACACTTGAAACCAAAAGAGAAGAAAGCGACACGCGAAACGCGAAACGCCGTCTTTCCTCTGACCATCCATAATTTCCTTCGAAGCCTTGAGAACAGGCTGCAATTGATGGGATTCCAACCCCGCACCCCGGAGATCGGCAGGGTGAAGAAGTGCCCCTGGAATCCTGAAATCCTGGACAATTAATTAATCTCCATCAAAACAGTCGACGCTTCAGAGTTGGCGGACGCCCAATCCACGCCACATCTGCCACACCTTATGCTGGGGCTTGACATCTAACGTCGCCTGCAGGCGAGTTTCTCTGTCTCCCCCGGAATGGTCAAGGATCCCCACCCCCGCTTCCTCACGGACAGTCTCCTTCGGGCTCAATACGGTGTCTCCGGAGAAATTCTGGCTTCGCATATGCGCCGGCTGCACGAAGTGGATACAATAATATCAACCAGAGGTCTATATTGAAGCTCAATCAGTTACAACCGACAGCGCCACAGCGGCAGTCTACATATTAGCGCGCTCATTCTGGTTGACTACGGAGGCGTTCCTGAATGGCTGCATGCGCGCTTTGTCGGGTGTGACCGTGATTCCTACTGAAGGCAGTCGAAGGCTCCCATAATGTTGTCGGCATGGAGGATAGGCAGCTGGATCTGGTATTGAACATATTGCTCGTCTAGTTTCTCGTCTTTTTTGGCTCGCTATAGAGAGGAACTGGGGGCGAGTGACAGCCTCCAACTACCCCTGCAAGATTCAACCACATACTCGGATGAGATCGACAAACTGCTTTCCCCATGCCATCCTCCGCTTGACGGATTTCGCTCGGAGCTCTCTCCGTCAATTCATGATATTGGATGTGACCCAGACCAATTACAGTCTGTGATAGACAATACTCCACATCTTCGATGGAGCCGGATCTCATTTCTCGCCTTACCCGACGGGATTTGAACAGTTGCGTACGTAGTATGGAGCTTTTCCCGGCCTCCTGAAGCAGCCTTGCTATGCTATCTCTCTGAAACAGTGAACATAACGGCACCGCGGTCCGTACCACCGCTACGATGATACGGAGGTTGCATGGAATCCTCCCAAAATGGATATGCACGCGACTTGAATAGTGGCCTAGTCTGTGACAGCAAGGTATAAAGGAAGTTGTGTGCCGCGTCCTCAGGTCTGATCTTCAACTCTGCCGGACAGACCACCATCCCAAACCAGCAAAAACAAGTTCACCATCTCGAACAAAATGTATCAACGCGCTCTTCTCTTCTCCACCCTTTGGTCAGCGGCTCGGGCCCAGCAGGCAGGTACCCTGCAGGAAGAAGTTCACCCTGCGTTGACCTGGCAAAGGTGCGAAGCAAGTGGCACTTGTACTGAAGTCTCAGGATCCGTGGTGCTTGACTCGAACTGGCGCTGGACTCACTCTGTTGAGGGTTCCACCAACTGCTACACTGGCAACACGGTAAGTCTTTAGCCTCCGCTGTGTCGAACCAACTAAGCCAAATGATAGTGGGATTCAACCCTCTGCCCGGACCCCGAGTCTTGCGCTACAAACTGTGCGGTCGACGGTGCTGACTATGAGGGAACCTACGGTATCACAGCCACTGGTGATGCGCTTACCCTCAAGTTTGTCACTGGAGCAAACGTTGGCTCTCGTGTCTACCTTATGGAGGATGATGAGACCTATCAGACTTTCGACCTCATTGGCAACGAATTCACCTTTGACGTCGATGTCTCTAACCTCCCATGTGGCTTGAACGGCGCCCTGTACTTCACCTCCATGGACGCTGATGGTGGCTTGAGCAAGTACGAGGGTAACTCGGCTGGTGCCAAGTATGGAACAGGTTACTGTGACTCTCAATGTCCTCGTGACATCAAGTTCATCAACGGATTGGTATGCATAATTTTATGGCACTCATGCACCGGAAAACAGTTACTAACGCTTGATAGGGCAATGTTGACGGCTGGTCTGGATCCGAGAGTGACCCGAACTCGGGTGTTGGTAACCTTGGTACCTGCTGCCCCGAACTGGACATCTGGGAGGCCAACAGCATTTCTACCGCTTACACCCCTCACCCTTGTGATGACACTGAGCAAACCATGTGCGAGGGCGATGCCTGTGGTGGCACTTACTCCGATGACCGCTATGGCGGTACTTGTGACCCTGATGGCTGCGACTTCAACTCCTACCGCATGGGCAACACTAGCTTCTACGGTCCTGGCGGCATTGTCGACACTGCCTCCCCCGTGACAGTCGTGACCCAGTTCCTCGGCGATGGCGGTGCCCTCTCCGAGATCAAGCGCTTCTACGTCCAGGATGGTGTGGTTATCGCCAACTCTGCCTCCAACATTGACGGCGTTGAGGGCAATTCGATTACTTCTGAATTCTGCACTGCCCAGAAGGCCGCCTTCGGTGACGAGGACATCTTTGCGCAGCACGGCGGCCTCAGCAAGATGGGTGATGCCATGTCCGCCATGGTTCTTATTCTCAGTATCTGGGATGACCACTACGCCAGCATGATGTGGCTCGACAGCTCTTTCCCCGTTGACGCTGACCCAAGCGAGCCTGGTATTGCCCGCGGTACCTGCGAGCACGGCGCTGGTGACCCAGATGTTGTCGAGTCCGAGTCTCCCGATGCCAGCGTTACTTTCTCCAACATCAAGTTCGGCCCCATTGGCTCAACCTTTGACTCTGCTGGCACTGCTGCTCGCCGCTTCTAAGCGAGTTGACCGTGTTCTCAAATTCTTCACTGGTCATTTGTTGCTTATTGCCAACCATGCCAACCACAAGCATTAGGTCCAGGTGATAAAAATTGCTCCCACAAAACCTGTATATAGTGGATATAGATCCTTCCGAGGAGTGCTTGCCGCTTTTTCTATCTCCTTCTTGTCTATATATGCCCATTACCATGTCGAGGTACCCCCTTCACTGGCTTTTTTCCCTTCGTGACATTTTCCTCTTTTTGTCCTGTACTTAGTTCAATCATACAAAATCGAGTTTGCCAATATGCAGAAAATCTCTCCAAAACTAACTGAAAGGTGCCAGCCTAGTGAGGTATAACCTTTTCTCGCTAACAATTTTCTGAAGAATCCAAGCCCATGAAAACCGGGGAGCATTCACAGAACAACGCTTGACCCAATCAGATCGCGGATCATCCTCGGCCCGCCCCACTCAGGAAATAAATTGAGCTCCAAAGCTCTCGAGTCTTCCGCAAGGCTCTCGCCCATTGAACTCTAGCCAATTTCTCAAAACACTTTCTAACACGAAAGGGCGCAATGTTCGACACAGTCTGCACCCTCCCGCTCCCCGCGGACCTCTTCGCCCAGGCAATCCACCCCTCCGAGCCCGTAATCTCCGTCGGGTTATCAACCGGGCACGTCCAGACATTCCGGCTCCCCAGCGAAGAGGGCGAGGGCGAGGAAGACAGCGACAATGACGAATCGGCGTCTAAGACATCGGCGGCCTCATCGGCAAGGAGTAATGGGCGCGGACACATAGACACGGTTTGGCAAACGAGGAGGCATAAGGGAAGCTGTCGGACACTGACGTTTGGGGTCGATGGGGAGGTGTTATACTCGGCGGGCACAGATGGGATTGTCAAGGCTGCGAGCGCGGAGACGGGCAAGGTGGTTAATAAGATTATGATTCCGGCAACGAAGAAAGGGTGAGTTTCTTTGACTAGCTCACACGTTTGTTGCCTCGAGCAATTGAGATGGTAGTTTGTGGCCAATTTTTCTGGTGCTGATGCAATTTACTTTAGGCTTGACGACGCGCCAACTGTTGTTCATGCGCTTTCGCCCCAGACCCTCCTCCTCGCTACGGACTCGAGTAGACTACATCTCTATGATCTGCGCGTCCCATACTCAAAAGTCACGGCTCGTCCTGAGCAAACGCATCGCCCTCACGATGACTATATCTCCTCCCTCACGCCGCTTCCGCCGTCCGATACGAGTACGTCCGGGTTTAGCAAGCAATGGGTGACTACGGGTGGAACAACGCTGGCAGTGACGGATCTCCGACGGGGAGTGCTCGTGCGCAGTGAGAACCAGGAAGAGGAGCTGATCAGCTCTACATTCATTGGCGGTTTGTCGTCTGGCGGTACAAGCCGTGGTGAGAAGGTCGTTGTTGGTGGTACAAATGGTGTCCTGACCCTCTGGGAGCGTGGTGCGTGGGATGACCAAGATGAGCGCATCTATGTTGAACGCGGGGAGGGTGGTGTGGAGTCCCTGGAGACCCTTACTGTTGTCCCTGACGAGCTGGGCAAGGGTAAAATGATTGCCGTTGGTCTCGGGAGTGGGCGCGTGAAGTTTGTCAAGATGGGCCCGAACAAGGTCGTCTCGGAGCTTATGCACGATGAGACTGAGGGCGTGATTGGGCTAGGTTTCGACGTCGAGGGACGCATGGTTAGTGGTGGTGGTCAGGTGGTCAAGGTATGGCACGAGACGGCCGAGTCAATAGGAAGTTATGGGGAGTTTTCCGGCGACAAGCGCATGTACGGGGCTAGCGATGACAGTGACGATGACGATTCAGATAACGAGAACCGCAAGCCTCAGAGCGATAATTCGCAGAGGAAACGCAAGAAGCAGAAGGGCAAGGACCGGGGCAAGGAGCGGGAGGTGATGGCGTTTGCTGATCTGGATTGATTGGGCTGTGCATTGAGCGATACCCTGTTAATGCAAAAAAATAGAGCAACTTGAAATGTTTTCAACTTGAATGCTGGAAATATTCCGCCCCCAGGAAAGCGACTCTGATATCGCGGGTGGGGGATTTCCGGCGCGACGATCGCTCCACGACAGGAGGAGTATATGTTGTATGTACTCACAAGCGACAACAGTCGACCAGCTCTCTGAACGGAATCTTCACTAGCTTTTGAGAGGAGGGCCCTGGACAGATCATGACAATCAAGCGAATAGGATTGATTTGGTTATTCCTTCGTGCCTGAACGCTTGACGGAATTACGGATATGGCTTATCCGCCAGTACTAAGACTGCCCCGCGACCCCCCGAGACCCCCCGAGACCCACGGCAAAGGATTTGCCGAATCTCATGGATGAACATTCCAGCTTCATGACGTTCCAAAGCTCCCGGTGGGGTGTGGGGAGGATGGATTATTTATGATGCTCAAGCTTCGACATTTCTATATCAATTAGCGGCTCCCCTCCTCCACCCGCCCTCTCCCCTCTTCTAGTAGGTAGTCTTTCAGAACTCGTCCAAATTACCCCACAATGGACGCCTTCGAGTACACAGCGAACCCCGGCCGAGTCGTCTTCGGCAGCGGCACTCTTCAGAAACTCCCCGACGAGATCGCCCGTCTGGACAAGAAGGCTCCCTTGATCCTGTCTACACCACAGCAAGTCAGCCATGCCGAGCGCGTCAAGGAAGTCCTAGGGGGCCATGTCGCTGGTATCTTCACAGAAGCTACTATGCACACTCCTACCCACATCACGGATAAGGCTGTCGAGTATGCGAAGGCGCAGAACGCTGATCTGGTTGTCTCAATCGGTGGTGGAAGCACTATTGGGCTGGGAAAGGCGATCAGTATCCGCACTGGTCTCTACCACATCTGTATCCCGACTACGTACGCTGGCAGTGAGATGACTCCGATCCTGGGCGAGACTGCCGATGGATTGAAGAAGACTCGCTCCGATCCGAAGATTCTCCCTGGGACTGTCATCTACGATGTTGACCTTACCATGACCCTGCCGTCTGCTATGAGCGCGACGAGCGGTGTGAATGCGATTGCTCACGCGGGTGCGTTGTCTTCCCTCTGCTTTGGTTGGATTGGCTGCTAACGGGTTTGTCCATTCAGTCGAGGCACTCTACGCCCGCAACACCAACCCCGTCATCAACCTGATGGCCCTCGAGGGTACGCGCGCGCTGGCCTCCGCACTCCCCGACATCGTCGAGAATCCCTCCTCACAATCCGCGCGCTCGCTAGCCCTGTACGGCGCATGGCTTTGCGGAACCTGCCTCGGAAGCGTGGGCATGTCTATTCACCACAAGCTCTGCCATACCCTTGGCGGCAGCTTCAATCTTCCCCATGCGGAAACTCACACGGCTGTCTTGCCGCACGCAATCTCATACAACGCGCCCAATATCCCGGAGGCGATGAAGAAGCTGGCGGAAGTGCTCCCGGAGAGCAACGGAGATGCAATCCACGGATTAAACGTCTTGCTCGAGAAATTGAAGGTCAAGCGTGGTGTCAAGGACTTTGGTATGAAGGAGGAGGATATCGACAAGGCGGCTGATATCGCTGTTGGCAACCCTTACTGGAATCCAAGAGAGATCCAGCGGGAACCGATTCGCGAGTTGATTCGGCGAGTATGGGCCGGTGAGCCGGCGAAGGCTAATCTGTAGGGTATATAAAAACTATAAATTTCAACCTTGATTTCCCATCATTATTGGCCCTCGCATTCAAAATCCCCGTCGGACGCTTCAAAATAGCCCCTCATTTATTGGCCTGCGGATGGCGGGGTGAGGTGGAGATTGCATTTCGCCCGCGAAAAAAAATTTATCCCACAACATACCCCTCCTCACGAACGCTTCGAAGGAGTCCCGCCCAAAGTACGGGTTCTACGATCCAAATGGCAGAGCTAGAAGCCGCCCCTGTTTTATCCACTCCAGACGACCGCATCCTCGAAGCCACCGAGCCCGTCGTACCGGACACTAACCGCGCCCTCTCGGAAGAGGAACTCGCCATCACCTATGATATCGAACGCACGCTAAAAGAAATCCGCCAGGCGCGGTACAAGCGGATCGCTCTACAATTTCCAGATGAAATGCTCCCCGATGCTCCGCGGGTATTCCAGCTACTGAGTCGGGGCTTGGAGGCGCGGGATGTTGTTGAGGATAGCGGCGCTTCGGGTCACAAAGATGAGATTAATGGCGATAGGACAGGGGGAGACGGTTTAGCGGATTCGGTGTCCCGGCTTGAAGTCCGGGATGCTGAAGTGGCGCCGAAACTTTATATCCTCGCTGATACTTCTTACGGGACGTGCTGTGTTGATGAAGTCGCTGCGGAGCATGTAGATGCGGACGTTGTCGTGCACTACGGACGGTCATGTTTGTCGCCGACTGCCAGACTTCCAGTGATCTATGTCTTCACTCGCAAGTCTTTGCCTCTTGATCCACTCGTCAAGGCGTTCAAGGAAACTTACGAACCGAGTGCAAAGGTGATCCTCGCCGCGGATGTCGCCTACTCAGAGCATGTCGCCGAAGTATATTCTCGTCTGGTTGCAGAAGGGTACACCAACCTGTTCTCCACAGAATTGGTACACGATCCGTCGTCTGTCATTCCTAACCGCACCGTACCAGACTCGGTGAAGGAGACTCCAGCGTCGCTGTCCGACTGGCAGCTTTTCCACATCTCCGAGCCGCCAACTGCGCTACTCCTTACGCTGGCGTCCCGTGTCGCGGCAATTCACATCTATCCCACTGACGGGCCGGCTGGCGCGGACGTCAAGCCTCTACCCGCCTCAACTTCGGCGTTGTTACGGCGCCGCTACGCGATCTTGACACGGCTGAGTACAGTGCCTATTTTTGGAATTTTGGTAAACACGCTTAGCGTAAAGAACTACCTCCATATCGTGGAGCACGTCAAAGAGAAGATCGCAGCGGCAGGCAAGAAGAGTTACCTGTTTGTGGTTGGCAAGCTTAACGCTGCCAAGGTAGCCAACTTCAGTGAGATCGGTGGCTGGGTGGTTATTGGCTGTTGGGAGAGTTCTCTGGTCGACAGCAAGGATTTCTGGAAACCGGTCATCACTCCGTTTGAGCTGGAGTTTGCACTTAAGGGGGACGACGAGCGGATCTGGACGGGCGCCTGGCAGAGTGATTTCCAGAGCGTCCTTGACCAGCCACCACCAACTTCGGAGTCTCAAGGGGATGGCGAGGAGGAGGAAAACACAAACGGCGCAACCTCGACAGGGGACCAGGTAAAGAACGAGGAGGACGAAATGTCGGAGCCCGAGTCTGCACCACCCGAGTTTGACTTGCGGACCGGTCGGTACGTTTCCCACACGCGTCCGATGCGGGAATCCGCTTCCCGCGCATCCGCCCAGGGAGGTTCTGGCTCGCGAGGCGGCAGCGGTGTAATCTCTGCGGCTGATGGGCCGTCTGCAGCTCGAGCACTCGCTCGACGAGCCAAGGGCGACTTGGCTATGATCAGCGGCTCTTACTCGCCTGGAGCGGAATTCCTGCGGTCGCAACGGACGTGGACAGGCCTGGGGAGCGATTTCAATAGCGCAGCGAACAGCGTTCAATATGACGGCGAAGGGGCGGACGACAGCACACTGGTTGTGGAAGGGCGCAAGGGGATTGCAAGGGGATATACGGTGGGGGAATCAATAGATAGACACTAAATTGGGGCCCCTTTGAGCTAATTTAGGGCCTCATTCTTATCTCACATCTGAGATTTGGATCCTGGATGCCTCACGAGAGCGACTTGATGAACTGGATGCTTTCACATCTAGAGAGGCATGAGAGCCTTCGCAACAAATGGATGCCTTTAAATTAGTTTCCACTAAGATACAAGTCTAATAAACATTTTAGCCTGCCACATCATCATAAGTTCCTCTGTAAGAAGGAGAGAAAAGTCGAACAACACCCACTGCGTCCGCAGGTCACCTATCACATGATGGGCACTGCGCAAAGTCCAGGATTTTGTTCCTCATTCAACAGCCTTCTGAGTTGTCACTGAAGCGCCCCTCAGCCTCTTGCATCGCTGGCAGACCCGGTGTCGAGTTTTCCATCCCTTCGATGGCCTCCTTTTTCATGGTACTCGACTCCTAGGTTGTCAACAACCCCCCGCCTCTTCCTTCGTCCCGCCCTTTTCCCTGCGCCCTTATGATGCGCCGTGTGTCCCGCAACCTCCCATGTGTTCGCGATCTCGCGTTACCCTGTAATTAATCCCGTGATATCCGGAGAAAACGACAAAGAAGATAAGGAGCGAAACGAAAATAACCGAAAAGTGCTGTTGTTGCTGTTGGCATGGCTCTTGTTCGTGGTGCGCGCTCGCCCGGTGCGGAGAGCCGGGAGCGTGAGGAGACAGTGGAGGGGAGAATCAGAGAGGACGACAACGAGCGTCAACAGGAGCTGGACGAATTGATGGCAGACCAGGACTCGTTCGAGCTATCGGAACCACCTCTATCGACTTTTGAACGCCTCTTTACCACGCATGTCCCGATCCTCGAATCTCTGTTACTGCAGACGCCGACCGATGCCATACTCAAACTATCCCACACCTCCCGTCACCTACGATCCTTCCTCCGCTCATACCCAACAGCATGGAAACATTTATCATTCCGCTTGCTATACCCCTCTGGCACCCCGTCGCCGCTGCGGATCATTCTACCGGGGACGACAGAACCTAGGGTACCGCGACAGTCTCGACCATATGCTCTCGATCAGCTGTTGATGAATGTGGTGGTACCGTTCAGCCCGTGTTTGAAGAGCCTGGAGCTGGATAACACGGCTGTCTCTGGACAATTTCTCATATCTACCGTTCTGCACTCGCGGCGGGAAACGCTGGAACATCTCTCTGTTCGCGGATGCAAGAATGTCTCTCTGAAATACCATATCATCCCCTATCTGATGATGTACGGGTTGCAATACGATGTCAGCTTGGAGCGAAATATCGGTAGCTCACCGGCCACGAAACATCTCGCGCTGAAGAGTCTTTACACCTACAGATGCCGACACCATCGTCGACGGCCGTATCTTTCCTCTTCTCTCACGCGGAAAGATTCGGACTCGGAACCGACTCATGAACTTGTCAACCTCTGCCATAAACTTGGCATCTGGACAGACACTGCATGGTGCTCCACTCCAGCCGGAAGATGTTTCCGAAGAAGAGGCTATGTAACCATGCGCTCCCCACAGGGTTCTCCGGAAGTATGGGTGGTGTTTGATCGACTCTGGAGGTCAAAGAACTGGATTGGACCGATTGATTCGGCTAGTACTCGTCCTGTGCAGAAAGATGGTAAATTGTGGGAGCATGATGAAACTGGGTGTTACGGCGAAGCACTTGGAACCGGGGAGAAGAGAGATTTGGGGGAGGGCAAGTCAACGCCGGCGCATTTGCGTCAAAGCCACCGTCGGTTTGTTGAGAATATCCGCTGCGACAGTTGCTGCGAAGAGATTGGTGAGAGGTGTGAACAATGCAGTATCCTCATGCATTGCGTCGGGTGCCGAAAGACACTCTGCGCTAGCTGCGCCTACGAACGACCTTATCTCCACTCTCCACCACCCAAGTCCTCGGTAACGGGAGAATCAGCAGGGCCCTTCTGGTGGGCTCCGGGTGCAGCCACCTCTCCCTGTTTGATGCATGATCCTACAGCCGAAGACATCCAGGATGATACCGCAGTGCAGCCGCCCAATACCCCTACCTACCCCGCGCTGAGCTTTCACTGGTGCTGCATCGAGCCCATATTCTCTGGTGGCGGTGGCATTAGCATTGGTACACCTAATCGCGATGTTGACCAAGTTCGTGCCGCACCTCTTCCACGTGGCCAAGGATGGGAAGATCTCGAATACTCGGCCCAAGAGTGGAGCAAATCGTTTCCCAAGTATGCCTATGGCGACCCTCGGAAGCCAGACTACACCCTTGAAACCGGGCATATTGCCATGATGAAATGGTTGCTGGGTCCACCTGACCGCCAGCCTTCTGCGTGTCCTCGGAATCTGTGCAAAGACTGCTACGACACGCCTCAGTGGAAGGTACACTGCAAGCGCTGCTCCAAGCCGCTTTGCATTGAGCATGATTTGCGTGGACTCCGTCTACGGATCTGCGGGTATCGCGACCTCAACCTGGAGAAGCTGGCGATTCAGAACCAAGTCGTTGCAGCCGCGGCCGCACGATCGGCTATAGCAGGCGAGGCCGACGATACATCCTCAGCGGCCTATCAAAATGCGGCAGCTTCTGGCTTTGACCTTCCGTATAGAACCCACAGACTGATTGACTCCACAACGAGCAGTTTCACTGAAGATCATGGCGACGCTCATCCCCTCGGAAGCCCAAGCGCCGGCCCATCTCACCCTCCGCGCCGTCGCTCGCGCAGTATCTCAGTGTCAAATTCCAACCAATCTCGCTCCCGCTCCCCATCTTTCTACTCAGACTCGCCTCTTGAACACCAGGTCGCAAAGTGGCAAGGCTGCCAATCGTTCTTTTGTCCCACATATCGCGAGATTGGAGACCAACGAGAACGCTGCGCCACCGTCCTCCGCAAATGCTTTAGCTGCTCCGTCTACGTCTGCCAGGAATGCGTGACTGCACATCCGCCCTGCAAATGCTCATACTGCGAAATGAACTACCTCTGCCCGAACTGCGCAAAGCTGCGTGATCGGGACGGAACCTGCCGCCGTGCGGTGGAAGAAAGAGCGCTACACGAGGAGAAGATGAACCGGGACCTGCAGATGTTGCAACGGATGCTGGAGACAAAGTTCGCTAATGAAGTTGCAGAGTTTGCAGGGCAATTTTTCGACACCGTTGAACAGTCTAGTCCAAACGCGACTCATCTTGAGGAAGCCGCCGAGTTTGAGCCCGAGCCTCAGTCTCAGACGCCTCAACCCTCTGCCTCGGCCCAGCAGAACGATGTCAACGAGAGGCTACCTCATCCATAATCTCTCGGCGGGAACGAGTGATTCTTGCAACGTATCCCGTTATGTCACTATGTGCCTACCTGCTTTCATCAAGCGTCGAATGTTTGAACTTTACATAAGATACCTGGCGTCGGTCGGTCGGTCGGCGAATTTCTTCTCTTCTCTACGTCGCTTTCTCGAGTCATTTAGTATTCTTTCGGCAGGGGTTTCGGGTATGTGTGGTGGGATGGTCGGAGCTGGAGATGGCATGGCATGATTCTGCTTGTATATTCCACCTCCATTTACTTTTTCCTGTATCTGTCTGGTCTTTGCAAGGCATCTATCGGCGCACTTCGTCTCATTTTTCTGCGTGTCCCATTTCATGTTAGTAGCGGTAGATAGCTAGCTGTATGTCGTCTACATATTGTTTGAGTAAGCCCGCACTGCACATCTAGGCCAGACAATGTGGCACGGGACAAAAACAAAGTAAGTTACTATATTTTCACATTGCATTCTCGAGTCCAGCGTTTTAACAAATCTCAACCACTGTGATACAAGATCATGATGCATCCAGCTCAAAAGTTGGCAAACAATGGAACCTCTCAGAAGCTTCTTCCCACAGCTTAAGCTGCACAGCTACTAAGCTAAAGATCAACGACCGCCCCGCCTCTCCGCTCCAAAGCTCTTTTTTTACCCCCCATAATCATTGACCTTTCCTTCTCCTCTACTTGCTCATTTAATACGAAGTTCCGCCCTCAAATTATACACAAAGTAAAAATGTCCTCCACAGAAGCAGACCCAAACCCCGCCGACATCGCTGTGCGCGAGACCGAAGAAAAAGCCCGCAAGGCTGCCGAAGACGCCGAGCAGGCGAACCTCCCCTACAAATGGACACAGACGATCCGCGATGTCGACGTTACGATCCCTGTACCGGGAAACATCAAGGGTCGCGATCTGGATGTTGTTCTTACGAAGACGAAGATCAAGGTTGCGATTCGGGGGCAGGAGGCTTTTATTGAGGTACGCCGCGGGCACATCTTCCCTTACTTAACCTGTCATAGTTGCTGCTTAGGCAAGTCAAGAGGAAAAGACGAGAAAAGAGACTTACAAGACTGGAAATCCGTGTAGGGCGACCTAGCGCACCCGATCAAAGTCGACGAGTCCTCATGGACGCTCGAGACGACGTCGCATCCCCCCGGCAAGGAGGTCTCTGTGCACCTGGACAAAGTGAATCAGGTAGAATGGTGGGCGCATGTTGTAACAAGCGCGCCCAAGATCGACGTTAGCAAGATTACGCCGGAGAACTCGAAACTGAGTGATTTGGACGGCGAGACCCGGGCGATGGTCGAGAAGATGATGTATGACCAGCGGCAGAAGGAGATGGGTGGGCCGACGAGCGATGAGCAGCGGAAGATGGATATCTTGAAGAAGTTTCAGGCGGAGCATCCTGGTATGTATTTCTCTTCTTCCTTCGCCCTTGGTTTGGCGGGGTTTGTGCTGATGGAGGTGTTTTTACACAGAGATGGACTTTTCGAATGCGAAACTTGGTTAGATTGGCATGTTTTGGTTAATGAAGTCTACGATTTTTCTATCATCTTTTCCTCTGTAGGAAGCTGTATATTCGGCTCTCATTTTTGGCATGAACGTGATAAGGTGCAATATACTGTACGGAGTGTAAGGCTGAATGCGGAGCGCAATCTCTCCAAGTCTGACGTTGCAACTCCAACGACGATCACAAAGACCCAACACGAACACGATGCATTCCCCTCCCCCTATTATTCTCTCTTTTCTGCTGAACACTCTCACTAATATGGCACGCAAACCACCATGAACGGCCAAAACATCCCTTTCCGCGTCAAACTCCCACAAACGACAACGCAACACGTCTACCACCCCCGCCGCCCACACCGCAAGTCCCGCGAAGGCTGCGCAAAATGCAAACAGCGCCGCGTCAAGTGCGACGAAACCCGGCCGCGCTGCCAGAAATGCGAAAAGTTGAACCTCGAATGCACCTACGAGGTCATCCTACCTCCGGGATGTGGGAAACTGACGACGACGGGCAAGAAGCATGAACAAGCTCCCACGCAGGAGAGGCTCATTGCGCAGTTCCTGGAGCGGATTCCCGATGTTGGGCCTGATGCGACGGCGCATACGATGGCTGTGAAAGCGATCGCGACGCAGATTGATCACCTGCTTCAGCTCAAGCAGGGGAAGTTTGGCGAGTGCTTGAGCAATATAGATACTCTGCGACACTTCCAGGATACGATCACGCCGACGATTATTAGCAGGTCTGGGAAGGAAGTGATGCGGGGCAAGATGATTCGGTTGGCGTTGCAGGTATACTATACCTCTCCAGGGTACGGAAGCAGACGGAAGACTGACAACTCATGAATAGTCCCCCTACCTAATGCACAGCATAATCGCCGTCTCAATCGCACACCTCCGCCAAACCCTCCCCGCGTCCGACTCCTCCTTCTCAAGATACACCCTCCTAGAAACCCACCACTGGCAAAAGGCGATCCACCAATACAGCGCCGAACTACAATCCCCAATCTCGCCCTCAAACATGGACACCCTCTTCTCCGCCTGCCTCCTCATGACCGTCAACTCCTTCGCAATGGACACCTACAATCCGCGCGCCTCCTTCGTCTTCTCCGCGAACCCAGCAACATCCCTAAACTGGCTTTTCGTCCAATCGGGACTCCGCCACCTCCTCGGCCGCACGGCTCCTTGGCTGCGAAAAAGCATGTGGTGGGAAATGTTCATGGACTCGCGGGGCGATTCTTTCGAGGACATGCGCGCGGGACGCGAAGGACTCCATCCGCATCTCGCAGATCTCTGCGGGGTAACCGAGTTCTCGACAACGGAGAATAACCCCTACACGTGGCCGCTGCGGATGTTGACGCCACTCCTAAAGCTCGAGCTCTCTGTCAAGACGTTCCCCAAGATAACGACCTTCATGGGCCGGTTGTTGCCGGATTACTACGAGACCCTTGTCCGAAAGGAACCCCCGGCGCTGATTCTGCTCGCTTGGTGGCTTGCGCTCATGCTCGGTATAGATCTCTGGTGGGTGAATACGCGCGCGAGGTCTGAGTGTGCGGCTATCTGCATGTATCTCGAGGATAGCGCCGACCCGCTTGTGCTGCGGCTGTTGGAGTTTCCGGCGCAAGCGTGTGGGTATTTGCTTCAGCGGAATGTTGAAGTGGGTCTGGATCTGGGATCTGTTGGGTGGGAAAGTTCATTGTCGGGCTTTTCGCCGGAGTTTCTAGCCTTGGAAGAGGGGTGGTTGGACAGCAGCTTGGATCTCGACGTCTTTCCGACTACTGTGGAAAACCATCTTTCCGCATGAGTGGTCGCGGTTGGTATGGCCGTTGATTCAGAGATGCCACCCCTCCCGTTAGCACATATACCCGACATACGAGAGATAAGGTCTCGTAAGCCGACGTGTCTACTGCCCTCAACCGAAACTACCGAGACAAAATGCATCGGATCCGCTCGCTACATCGAACAATCCTATCATCATAAACACTGGAAGGTGGAGAGGTTATCCTAGTATTATCCTAATATTGGTGTTGATCTAGTACTACGGACTGAACTACATACTTATATTACATTCCCATTTCCGACAACTCATTTTCAAGCCACTTCATAACGGCCTTTTCCATAGCATCCGGCCAACACTCCGTCAAGAACAAACACAGCGGCAGTCCAAGGTCCCGATATTTGGCTACAAACCCGGAAACCATGCTGTTTACACAGCCATCCGAATGATGGAGGCGATCCTCCCCCGGCAACCTTTTAAACCTATTGAGACGCGCAGATCCGCATGTGTGTTGAATGCTCAGACATGCAAAGGTGCAGGCGCGCAAGAAGACTGGAGCCAGCATCTGCTCGTGCTCTTCAGTGTCTGGTAGGCAAGCGGCTTTGAGAAGCATGGTTGCCAGCAAGGATACTTCTTTCGGCGAGCGAAGTCCAAGTATTGTCTCGTTTATAAGGAAGGCCCTCGCCACAAGGACAGGCGAGCAGGTCACGATAGTCTGTGTCTTTCAGTATTCGTCTCAGAATGTCGGACTCCATTTCCATTGGCTTAACCAAGTTGATCCAGTCGGCGACAAACTGACGTGTCGTGGTTCCTTGATCGCCGTTCCCGTACTCTCTATACCAGCTGGCCAATATCGAAGCGGAACACTCTCCAATTCGGCCGGCAATGTGATGCAGGGGCGTTTGGTGATACAAACCGAACGCGCGATTCAACCTTGCACCCTTCTTTTCATACCACGCGCACATTTCGAGGTAACTCTTGAGGCAATCAGACAAGGTCCCTGGATGGTATGTCCCATGGTAAATCTTTCCGGGCTTCGGTATCTCCAACGCACTAATGGGCGAGTGGCCAAGGTTGTCGACCTGGTCCACTTCCGTGAATCCAGCCTGATGGAGCATCATTGCTGCCTCGCGGTTGCACTCGACCAGATAATACACGGACGTCCCACAGCTAGCCCACATCCAATCTGGGAAATAGTATCCGAGCTCTGCCTCCTCAAGTTTCTTGTGCTGCTGTAACCTTTTCGCCACAACAATGGCCTGCCCGTCGAGAATGTGGTGTCTGGGGCGTATGCCGATCTTGTACAGATCACGTTGTGGAAGGAGTAGACGGCCCTTGTGCAAAATGTGCTTCCGCTGGCCTGCAAGAGTCGTCGCAATGGCACGAAACACTTTGGGCGTGTAATCGGTCGTTGCCGCCTTCCGAATAAGAGCCCTGTCGAAGGGCCATTTCTTCCTCTGCACCAGTTCGGGTACGCGTTCCGGGTAGCGGACAAGCGCTTCTTTTAGGTCTTTCGGTCCATTGCCGCGAGGAATCGTCGAGATCGAGGAAGGGGGCCTGAAGGCTCGTCTCTCTTCTCTACGGGGTGACCTGCGGCCGTGATTCCTTCTTGCCATTCTCAAGCGGGCAGTCGTAAAGATAATAATGAGTGGGATATGATATGAAAGATAAAATGGCACCAGATTTGTAAAGGATAGGATTAGGTAGGAAAGGAAAGGATTGTGGCGGAAACGTGCTGCTGAAAGTCTGTTGATATTTGACCTTCGGAGGAGCTGGACTCAGTTGGTTGTAACTTCCATTTCCAGAACTCACCTTGGTTCGTAGACCGACGTTCACCTTTTCTTTCTCTAGCTCAAAGACCTTGTAACTGTATTTATTGCCTAATACATGAAGAGACTTACCACATGCGTGTGTGTGCAAAACTTTAACAAACGTCTTCAATCTTCAGTTCCTTTCCATCGTGGTCTCCAAGATCCAGCTTGAGCGTCCGCCCAAACAGCTCCAGGAGCATCTCGAAGCATACTTTCGAGATGGCTGGGTCATACCTTCCCTTGCTCAGCTCATCGCGGATAAAGGCATCTGCTCATGTCAGCACCGCTGCTTTGCGTTTTGATACTGGCGTTAAAGAGAGAGAGAGACAGAGAACTTACGCTGCGCCCAAGCGACCTCATAAAAGCTGAATAGAACGCCCTTCTCGTGCAGCGTCTTGCGAATCAGGTCTCGCCCCTCTGGGGGAACATGCGTGTCGTTCTTCCCAAAGATCTGTTTACACCGCACCGCATTAGCCACAACTCTGAACTCTCCTCAAATTTCCCACGCATCCTCGTCTTGAACTCAGGCAGCCAGACCAAGGATAACGTACCATAGTGATCTCTCCCTTGATATCCCCCGCCCTCGCCAAAGAATCATCATCCTTCCCCCTCCCCAGCGTCCGACTATGAATATCCGTCGCGAAATAGCAAACCGTCGCATGAACCCTCTTATCCAAAGCACACCGGTACGCAAGGTGCCCACCAAGACACATCCCCGTCGCGCCAATCCGTCCGGTACATGTGGGCAGCGAGAGCAGGTAGTCGACGCTCAGCGACGCATCCTCGTCGTACGCGGAGAGCTTCTTGGCGACCTTCCACTCGTTGCCGCGGTCTGTGTCGGCGGCGTCGTACTTTAGGGCGTCGGGGCCGGTGAATTCGTGGTAGCTCGAGGGGGCGGCGACGATGTAGCCCTGACCGGCGATTTGGCGCGCGAAGCGGGCGACTGGACCGGTTACTGTGCATCGAGGATAGTTGTTAGTTGGGTATTTTCGAGGGCGTCAGATGCGGGCAGCTCAATTGGAGCCAACGAAGGGACCATACCCTGGTAAATCTCACTGAACACAACGACACCTGGGAATCGCGCATTGGGGTAGTTCGGAATGGTGGGGTGGAAGACGTATATGCCTGCCCCGCGTCAGTATAGCGCAGCCAAATCGACATTGAAGACGTACGCATCGTGCCATTGCCATCGGCCGACGTGCCGACATCATGATGAAACTCCTTTACAAGCATTGTGAGGAATAGCGTTCAAATGATAGCAATCAATTGTGTACAGAGCAAACGAGAGCTTTGGAGCTTGAACGCGGGGTGATTCAGATAAGAGCCCATCACGTGATTTATATCTTTTGATTCCCTCCCACTTAGAAGAGGATTAGATAGTGATTGTGTAATGCATTATGCATGGTCTCAATGTAGATTATCGTAATTAGTTTCGGCTTTCGGCATTATAGCCATCCAACAAACAGGCCAAGCTGTTTCTTCGTATCAAGGTAGAGCGGACAAAAAAAAGGAATGGAAAATAAAATAGGGGAGAATAAGGAAAAGCAAGAGAAGTAGAAAACAGGCGCGAAATGAAGTGAAATGCATAAAATAGATACAAGAATGTTAAATGGTACACATTATGCGGTCCGAAGACCGGGGGGTTTGCGCGGGATCGCGCGGCAGGGGAAACTTTGTTGGCGGGTAGGGTTGTTGTTGACTGGCGTGGCTAGTCCGGTCTACCGCGAGGGTCTGCAGGGCAGCATGCGTGGCTTAGAATACGTACTAGAGACGAAGTTAGTGTGTGGCTAATGAGACAGATGGCTTAGGGCTTCGAGTAATGCTTACAGGAATGAAGAGGTACGGAACGCGCTTCTCGTACTCAATCCATGCTTCGCCGTACTTGTTCCGGCAGCGCTGAATATCGCGCAGGGCACGGTGAGAAATCATGCACGCGAAGAAGAGAGGATAGAACCATGGGAAGGGGCTGTTGAAACCAGTAATGAGACCCCAGTTCAGGGCGAAGTAGAGGTCGCAGGTGTAATGGATCTTGCGAGCCTTGCCGTCTGCGAGACGTTAGTATCTTGCTTGGTACACTGCGAGAGTCTGAGAAACCTACACCATCCGTCGACAAGGATCTTGGAGCCATCGGCGGCAGTAATCGTCTTGGGGTCCTTCAAGGTTTGCCAGGGGAGCTGGGGGAAGGCCTTGCGGAACACTCTCGTGCCGCGCTCTTGCTGGCGATAGCGGTTCTTCTGGCTGTTCGTGGTATCCCAGACCCAGTAGACAAAGAGGTAGGCCACGTAGAGGAATCCGAGGACGTATTTGTTCCAGTGGTAAGTGGCAGGGTCGTGGTTGGCGAGGTAGATTGTGCAGTGGCAGTAGCTCAACGGCACACCAGCTAGGTTCCAGAAGATCAACATGAAGCCCCATTTTTCATAGTACATATCCCTAAGTTTGTTAGCGGAGTTTGATTGCTGGCCTGGAATAACTTACCAGGTGGAAACAATGCACTCTTCGCCCTTGGAGCAGGCATTGGCGTACAGGAAGTGCGCCATCAGGAGGAATCCAACCTCTCCAGAGACGTATCCGTACACCTCGTACTGTCGGGCAGCCGTTCCCATGGTCACAAGAAGGAGAATGTACCAAGGAAGGCGGACTTCGAAGAACATCTTAAAGTCCAGAATCCCGAACATGCGCGGGTTGAGTTCGGCGCCCATGAAAAAGTCATAGATGGGATAGCCGGTCATACGGTGTTCCGCACCACGAGCCAATGCAGAAAAGTAGGCGATAAACGACACCAAGAAGCCAGACAGAATGGCGACGCTCATGAGGGAGCCAAATTCGTCAATGATCGTATATAGCTTGAAGAGACCGGTGAAGTGGAGCACACATGCCAAAGTGAGTGTTGTCCAGAAAGACCAGAGAGCAGAGCAATAGTATGGCAGCTGCTTTCCACCAAGGTGCGGCAAGGGACGGCCCATGACAGTGATACCAGGGAGAAGCAGGTAGCAGGCGCCTTCAAAGATAAAAAAGACCCAGTACATGGTCCAAGCCTTGAGGGTGGGGAATGCGCCCTCGTACACCAAGTGTCCCATATGCGCAAAGAATTCCCGAGTAGTCTGGCCTTCTGACGGACGAGGGAACTTGCCGTCGTAGTAGGTCGCACCAATCCACATGTAGTACATCAGGAGCGGAAAGCCGATCATCATGGCGAGAACGCCAGGAGAGCCGCCAAACTCGTAATGGCCGCTGTAGTCGATTTTCGGATCCTTCCCCTTCACCCACCCGTCAATCACCCGTTCTTTCTCGTCGGCGTGCCCATTGCTGTGCCCGTTTGTGTATCCGTTTGTATGCCCATTGGTGTGGCCATTCGTTGAAGCGGGCTTCAGATCATCGTCCGATAGCTCCTCGGACTTGATTCTTGTCGAGCGCCTTCGAGTAGTCGACCTGGTTCGTCCCCTGCTCTCGGTTGCTGAATCCGATGGCTCTTCGGAGGGCGCGACGCTGCTGCGGGTTATTCGTCGGCCAGGTGTCTCAACGTAACCGGGGCGATCCATTTTCCTACGAGGCGAGAGAGTGGTCAGTAACGAATTGAAAGCCATGGGGATTTGTCAGGGAAAATTGGAGCACAGTTAGGGAACTTGATTGTCGCAAAAGCGCTGTCCCCTTAACAAACGGATTGGGCGACTTACTTGGGGGTTTTCCCCGTCTGGGAGCGAGTGACAGTCATGATTCCCTGGGCATATGATGATTGACAGGATATACCCCGGAGAGAACCGAAGATAACGAGGGAAAGGGGAATTGAAACGAGAGGAGAGGAGAAAGGGAGAGGGAATGTTTTGGTGAAAGGACAACAAAATAAAGCTGGGGAACTTTTTAGCTTGACGATCTTGCACTTTTCAGGGGCCAGCAAATCAGCGCCACTCGGAATTTCTCCACTGATGCACGCTAATCAATCCTGATTCTTGATTCTCCAAGGTTGTTGGGTTCTTTATGCAGGAAGAGTCATCTATGTATATTCAGTGATTCTCTTGAGCATGCTTTATATAGTTTAAGAACGAAAAGTAGATTTAACCATCGACTCCCGCCAGTCTACTCCCAGGTACACCGATAAAAAATTGTACTCGCGCTTCGAAAAAATTTCAGGTTGTAAACAAGTGAGAGGGATGAGTGGTGAAGTATGAAAACTCAGGCGCCCCGTTGGATATTTGTAGACATCAGCGTGATCTTGCTCTTCTTCTTCCCCTTCTTCTTTGAGTTGGAGGTATTGGTTGCTTCCACTGCTGTTTGCGCAATCAGTTGGTTCTCCTGATGGGCGAATAGCTCGTCCTCCCATCCTTCTCGCCAGCCATCGTGAGGAGTAGGTCGGAAGTACTCTTGATGGGGCTGTGTAGAGGGTGCTACCGCAGTGGTTCCCCAAACGGTCCGGGAACCAGGAGGGCTGGTTGAAGGGCTGGCCAGGGCACTGAAGTGTGAGGATGACCGAGGAGGCGAGGCGGATGCTTCGAACTCCATGTTTGATGGATCAATCGCCGAGGAGCCACTCGCCAATGGTATAAAGTCACGGTCGGAAAACGGAGGGTCGTCAGCACTAAGAGACGGGCCCTTCCGGCGAGCCGCTGCCCAGCCCTTTTCATTCTCCTCCTTTTCAGCTCGAATGCGGCTCTTCTCCTCACGCGTTTCTTTCTCTCTATTTCGCTTCCGTCTTTTCTCTATTTCAGTGTTGAACTGCTCTAGAATATCTGGCGTGACGACGTCTCGCCAGTCGCACTCGAGGAAGCTAACTTCACAACCTTGAGGAAGATGGCCGAGGTATTTGACTCGTTTACGCAGCTCATCATCGACTATGTGCCCCGTAGATATGTGTTCAACGCGTGGTAAAATTGTCGCAGGAAACATAGCGAAGTCTCCAAACGCGGCTTTGAGGATCCGAATATCGAGAGGTGAGAGATAATAATGGGGTAGAGCCTGGTAAAAATAATATGGCTGATCTAATGGGTGAGGAGCGCTAGTCCCCTTCCTCCGATCTCGACCGGGGCCGTGTTGCTTCTGCTTAGAGTTTGTTCCGTTTGGAGCCAAGTCGATATGGTTAACCGCGTCTGTGGCTTGATCAATCTCGTGTTGGAGGTCCGATGTGGAAGGAGGTGCCGATTTGCCCGATTTGGTGGCATGCTGTGCTGTATACATAAGCGCCACTTCTTCCGGCGGCCCCTGAAGAGTGATTGGCTCCTTTGAAGGGCGGTTTGCAGCGGGCTGAGGCAAGATCTCTGGCGGATTTCCGATTCCTTGGATCTTCTGCTTGGATTCATTGATAGCGGCTACCGCTTTTCGTGTCCAAGTAGTGTCATCTCCAAACAGAATCTCATCTTCTTGCTCCTGCCTGCGCAGTTCTGATATCTCAAGATCATAAGATGAGTTCATGTAGTCCTCTCCTCCTTTCATGATCCGAGCATAGTCGGCAACCTCCGCAGCGTGGTACCATGGCAAATCTTCTTCGGGAGCAAGGCTTTCGGCGCCATCTCTAGGTAGAGCAAGAGTACTGCGCGGATCTCGTTTCACCAGCCTCAGCACAACATCGCCACCCTCAAAGGGCAAGACACCTTCCTGACCACTGAACCATCTCACAGGCCGTGTTTCGGAAATGTAGATGTTATCATAGCAGATGGGACACTTCTTACAGCGTGCCTTTTTCTCAGGCACCGGAGTCTCATTATCTGTTGAGTGCATGTATCGGATCAAACACGGCAGGCAGAATATATGGCCACACCGAGCCATCCGGGGTGCGACCGGAGTAGACAAGCATATAGGGCAGCTAGATGATTGAGTTTGCGCGGATACCAGGATCTGCAGAACGGAGTCCCAGTCTAGGTGGACATCTGCGTTGGCTGCCTGAGCGTGGTAAGCTCGATTTGGAGCTACAATAAAACGATAATTCGCATGTACGTAGCGGGCCTTGTCCATAGCATGATAGCCAGAACCGAGTCCCCACGAGTTATATCGACGGGTGTTGCGCGGCGGGGGATGGTACTCTGGCCGAGGGGGGAGGGAAAAGTTCATCAAATGGGTAATGGACGTCTGTCCTTTGCGACTGTTTGCCGATCTCATGATGGCCTACTTGCACAATTAGCTGGGCCATGTGGTGATGGTCCGGAGTACCCACCGACTCATCGATATCATCATCCAATAACCGGGGTCGCCTTTGCCGTTTGTGCTGACTCTTTAAAGCCTGGTTGTTCCGAGGAGAGCTCGAGTTCCTCGACGCCAATCCCGCGCCAACACTGCCTGATCCTCCTACGCGTCTGGCACTGGCGTCGATTGCCGGTGCGGAGTGAAAGGTCGAAGACAATGACTTGTTTGGGATATTTACTGCCTTGGAAGAGGTAGGGGTCTGGCCAGCATTGGACGACATTGCTCGCTTGACGAAAAAAAACAGTAGATGGCCCGGCTTCCTTGTCTGGTGAGGGGAGGTGATCGATAAGAGGGGCCGAATCGGCAAGACTCGAAGCGTCAGTTTCCGGTAGGAACGTGGACAATGCACAAAAAGAATGGACGTCTCAGGGAATAAAAGGATACAGGATAAGCAGCTGGTCGGGTCAAGACCCGCCGATAACACTGGAGAGGAGAAGCACCAGAAGCCTGATCCTCCTCCTGGCTCGCAGGCAAGAAAAGGGAGAAAAGCGGGTGAGGGGCGAGACTTCCGAGTATGTCATGGAAGGGCTTGGCGGATGCGAGCCTCAGGCCGCACGTGCCGCCCGCCGACGACCGAAAAAAACATCATCTCAACCCAAGTTGGGGAAACTCATCGTTTCTGCCCGCCTGTGGTCCTCTTCCTCGCCACCTCTCGCTCTCCCCAGCTATCCTTTTTCCTTCACCTGGACTTCACAATTATCTTAATCTTGGTGTGTATAATCCTTTTATTCTCTATTTCCCCTGTTTGTTTTCCTCCCTTTGCTGTTCCTCCGCGCTGGCTAACACACGACCTCTCCCCTCTTTAGACCCTTCTTAATACGCCCGCCGTCGAAAGTTCACGATTCCCTTCGCTTCATATACGTAACTATTTATTCATCCTACAGGGGCGATGGACGCCTAGAGGGCACAACAACCCCTCTCGAATATCTTCCGGAAACTCGTATGGCTCCCATCGAGGCAACGCGCGGCTGAAATAGTCAAGGCGGCTTTGTTACGAGCCTGGACATGATGAACCATCATCTGCCCGCAATGCCCCATGGGCAGCCACCCATGCCTGCTCCTCGGCGCCAGCAAGACCTCCCTTACGCCAGCGGACCTCCCAACATGCGGTCGCCTCCCGCATACATGGGTTACCCGCCCCAGATGAACGGCCATCCTCCCCCGGCGGCCTATTCTCCGCAGCAATATCCCCAATGGTATGCGCCGTTTCCCCCGATGCAGATGCCTCCTCGTCCGTATCCCAACCCGTATGCGCCGGCCTTCATATCCTCATACCCACCTGCCCAGCCTTTGATGGCTCCAGCCCACATGCCACCTCAGCCGCTCCCTTTACAGCCAAGAACATCAACTCCCTTTCAAAATCCGATGTCGCCTTCCATTGTTTCCACACCTGCGCCTATACCTCCGCAGCCACAATCTCCGGCAGTCATTCCAGTGCATTCAACTCCGAGCCCGGCCATGTCCTCGTCTCCTGCGCCGGTCTTAGTTCACGCCGCTCCGCCTCCTACAAAGGCCTTCCACGCTCCTGTAAGTTCTTCTACATCATCGTCATGCTTTCTCTGATGTCTAACGTATCATACAGGTTCCGTGGCTGTCTGTCCCTGAAATCCCATTCCCAGCCAGAGCTCCTCACGGCAGACGAAGAAACCGCAACCTGCAGGGGTCTTCTCTTGACGTTGAGCTCCCTGTAAAGGATGGTCAAAAAGCTCAAGAGAGCGGATCTACCAATTACAAATCTCAGGAAAGCTATGCCCAGACTCCCTCCGAACCTCAGACGCCGACCATGTCTGCTGCTCCCTCCATCGCCGACTCCACACAACCCACGACACCTTCTTCGGCTGTGCAGAGCTCTTCTGCCCGTCTTCAATCACAGGCCAAGGGGAAGCCCGCTATCCCCGTCGTTCCAGTGGTTCCGGTCATCCCTAGTCCTAGCACTCCGCGACAGGGCACTACCAAAGTTGACACTAGTCGCCTCGCCGACTCCGAAAAGTCGGCCGAAAAGTCGGCCGCAGTCACCACCGCCACGGCTGATGATACGTCGCCAGAAGCAGCTGCTCAGCCTAACGAGTCAGCTGAGGCAAAGCAAGAAGCTCCCGCGAAGCCAGCAGCACCAAAGTCCTGGGCAGACTTAGTTCGAAACAAAAATTTGGCCCGTGCTGCAGCCAGCCCCTCATCGGACGTGGTCAATGGAGTAGTGCAACACCGGAATCAGTCTGTTGCGGATGTCTTACAGAACTTGGGAGAGGATGTCTCTCAGTACAGTGACAAAGTAGCCTTTCTTGAACCTCGAGGACTTGTCAACACCGGTAACATGTGCTATATGAACTCGGTCCTTCAGATTCTGGTTTCTTGCGTGCCTTTCTACCAGTTCCTGGACCACATTGGAAAGCGAGCGTCTCACAGCTTCCAAAGCGACTTCCCAATGATTGATGCGCTTATCATGTTTATGAAAGAGTTCCGTATTATCGACGCCGCCCACGACGAAGACCAATTGCGGATGAGACTCAAGCCTAATGAGCTCGAGGAATACGGGGAGGCCTTTATTCCAGAGTTCGTTTACCAAGTCATTCGCCAGCTCCCTCGCTTTAGGGACATGCGCCGCGGGCATCAACAGGATGCTCAAGAGTTCCTCGGTTTCCTGCTGGAGGAGATGCATGAAGAATGCGCTCGTGCTCTTAAGGACTCTACCAATCCATCTACCCCAACATCCGAGGCGGAGGCCACTGCATCTACCAACGGCGAGGGCTTGGATGGCTGGATGGAGGTTGGCCACAAACAGAAATCTGCCGTTACGCGATCATCCGGCCACATTGCCTCGGAGTCTCCAATTACAAAGATCTTTGGAGGCAAGATTCGGTCCGAGTTCCGTGTTCCCGGAAACAAAGCTTCAGTTACTCTTGAACCTTACCAGCCACTTCAACTCGACATAGGCTCGCCCGACGTCCATGATATCGTGGACGCATTAAAGGGCCTAACCAAATCGGAGAGCATTCAAGGTGACTTCAACTCTGCTCGCGGACCTAACGTAACCGCCACGAAGCAAGTGTTTATTGAAACCCTACCCCCGGTCCTTATCCTCCACTTGAAGCGGTTCCAATACGACAGTGTCACTCACGGAACTCAGAAGATCTGGAAGAAGATCGGATACCCTCTCGACTTGGAGATCCCTCGCGAGGTGTTCCCACCCCACCGACGTAACATTATGATGGCTCAAGGCGGTCTGCCTAAATACCGTCTTATTGGAGTCATCTACCATCACGGCAAGAACGCAAGCGGTGGTCATTATACTGTGGATGTCCGCCGTCAGGAAGGTCGTGAGTGGATACGCCTTGACGACACGGTCATTCGCCGTATCAAGAGCGAGGAGGTCGCGGAAGCTGGGGGTAGGGAAGATCCCAAGGTGCTAGCCGCCGCGCTGGAACAGCACAAGCGTGACAAAGATCCCACCAATATCTACGATCATATCGAAAATGACCAGTCCGACGATGAGCGGGGATGGAGCCAAGTTAACGGCAGCTCCGGCGGTCACTCTAGCAAGAAGTCCACCTCCGGTGTCAACGGCACTCCGACCCAGTCTGGGGCATCCTCTGGCGTCCGTACCCCGCTTGGACGATATGGAACCCGCGACAACAAGGTGGCATACCTATTGTTTTACCAGCGTATTCCATGATTCTTCACATTCGACAGACGAGAGCAACCCGTTTCAACTATGGGATATGAAGCTCTGAACTAGGAAACGAACGAGTCTCTTGACTCCTCGAATCACACTATCCTCTTCAACAATCTACTTTAATCAAAGCCTTTCGGATACGCTACTTGATGCGCGACTTATCCATTCAGTGACTGTACAGGCGACTACCTTCTATGGCCTACTCAGTTACTTTGAGAACCCAAGCACGAAGATTATTGCATTTTCCCCCAATTATTTCGCATCTGTCGCGATATCGTCTGCTATTGCCGTTTGACCCCTTATCCTACCCTCTCACGTCGTTTCATGATTTGCCTTCAGAGTAGCGTATGCTCCTCTCTTATCTCCTTTATCTATACGTTTGCTCCAATTTTTCCCCTTGCTCTTCATTTTTCTGTTCGAAGCTGTATCTGGTGGAATGTCGCTCTGATATATACCCCGATTTTCCTCGCATAGCCCTTTGGTTTACCTCACTACGGATGTTCCTTTTATTGCTCCGTGACGTGGGACGGGATTATAACGACTGCATGAATTTCCTTTTCGATAGATGTGTGCTTATCGAGAGCGCCGCGGCTGCTGTTGTGGAGAGACGGGTGCGTTGGTGACAAGGCAGGAGGAGAAGGAAGTCCCCTATTCGTCTAGCTGACTACTTTCTTCTTGCACTGTCCTTGTCTCTTTTTTCTTTTTTCCTTTGCTTATTATAATGTGGAGAGGGGCGTGAGCTTGGATGCGGTGCCTGTCCTTTGGGGGTCGATTGGTGGCAGTGGTATCTTTTACGTACATAGGGGAGGGGGCTAGAAAAAGAAGAGAAGAAGAAGAAGGAGAAGAAGCGGAGGAATGATTTGAGACGGATATGGATGGCCGAATATGTGAGGTACAAAAGCTTGCTTCAGGAAATACAAAGCAAAATTTCAATCAACTGCTCTAGTTTCATTTCCAGACAGCCCAACACGCCTCCGATATTCCTCTAACCTCCCCAGCACCCTCCCCCCATTCCAGGTCTCCTCATATCCTTTGGCCACCATAACCGGCACACCCACCTGCTCCAGCGCAAACGACGCAGCCACAGCACCGTAGCAGCCCGCTTCAATGAGATTCCCTGTGGTAACGTATCCAACAGCATACCCACCCAGAAAAGCGTTCCCCGCCCCAGTCGGATCAACAATCTTAGCATTCTGTCCGCCCTCCGGACTTGGCTCATAGAAGGGCGGAAGCCATGTTGGTTTGAGATTATGGCCGCAGACCAGACATCCATGCTCTCCGGCACGGATGACGATAGTTTGAGGTTTCGTTCTCTTTCTCCGGTCTGAACCATCGTCTGTACCATAGGCTGCCCGACTATTCAGCATTCTCAGCGCTAATGACTCAATCTTTGCTATATCAGGCGTGGCCTCCTCCCCGAAAAGAGCCGCGAGTTCGATATGGTTTGGCGAGAAGACGTCGACAATGCCGCCTTGTAGTACTTGCAAACATGGCGCTAGGTTCTCTGCTTTGCAGGACAGGGGAGCCGGTTCCCAGACTATCAGTGGTGAATCTGGCCTGAACGAGCTCGTTGATCTTGATGTCAAAAGCTCTGAAACGCGTCCTGTGATGTTCTGTGGACTTTCGAGGAAGTGGAAGGCCTTTGACGATAGGAGAGGTGTGTTATGTAAACTGTCTATAGAGACGTGTAGTGGGGTGGTTGTGTACTTGAACGTTTTTGCTGGGTAATGTTAGCTTTCATCTTTCAAGATTAGAAACTCATCTAGAGAAGAAACAGGAGGATAGGTATTCATACGTCCAAACGTCGTATCTTTGTACTCCAACAACCCTCTCGTCGACCGCCTCTCGCTCTCCTTGTCTATGAACAACCTGACATCCCACCTTTCGAGACTCTCAATCGTAGATTCCGGGAAATCCCTCCCAACACGGAGAAACAAACCTACAGATCGACTCGCTGGGACCGGGAGAAAAAGGCGAGCGCCGAGGGTTGCTAAGATGGACTATGTTAGGCACTGGTGAAGTATATATATCGTTAAGGAGGAATGACGAACCGTACGCTCCAGATCCACCGAGGACATTTATTAATGGCTCTTGACCTGGGAGGCGGATCTCGTCGAGGACGACTAGGCCTAGGCTTAGGAAGCAGGTCTGGTTGTTGGGCGTGAGGTCCATTGATGGGGTAAGACTAGGAAGCTTTACTTGAATTGGGGATTGAGGTATAGGGGGATGGATCTAACAGGTTCGCATTTTAGGTCTTGGAAAACTAGTATCACGTGCTGTCCATGTCGAGGTCATCATGGATCTGTAGTTGGCTGATATGATATGGTTGGTAGGGTTATAGTTTTCGATGCTATGTACATTAGCTCTATCTAATTTTGTACGTGGCGTTTGTTCCATGTCAGATGTAGCGGTATAGGTAAAATTGCACGATGAGCACCTTTACTCACCAACAACATCACCTTAAGCTCTCCTCAGGCTCTACTCCACATCTGTCCCCAACGCTGTTACTAACACACCCCAGCCTGATCCAATGTATCTTCCCGTCACTCCGATCCAATGCACGACAACACACCCTCCTTTCGCTCCCAGGGAACCTCCTAGACACTCCCCTCCCCATCCTTATCCCGAACAACCAAATTCACCGGCCTCGCCGGTTCCCCCTCACTCCCGATCCCGATCCCCCCCTCCGCATCCCCCGGACTCCTCGCCGGAATAATACTGCGACCAATCTGAAACACCGTCCGCTGCGGCTCTCGTCTCTCCCTCTCCCTCCGCGGCGAGACATCCCGCTGCTGCTGCGGCAGCTGTTCCCGCTTGCGGGCGCGGTGGCTCGCGCCGCCGGAGTCGGCTGTATCGTGCGTGGCTGTGCTGTGCGTGTGCGCGTTGCTGGCGAGAGGGATCGGGTCCGGCTCTACGGTGCTGGTGCTTATCGCTGCGGAGATTGTTCGTGGGAGGTGATAGCCGGCTTTTGCGAAGGGGATCGAGAGGCCGTGGACGACCTGGTCGCGTTGTTAGTGCCGCTGGTCTCAGATGAGAAGGGAATGGAAGGGAAGGATGAGTGGACAAACAATGCTACAGATAACGAGGAACCAAACAATGACCTCAACTGCGTCAGAGACGCGCTGTGCGTCTGCACGGACCTCGCCGTTGACAGTGATTTTCCGAAGATACTCGCGGCAAACGGAGAGGTAGAAGACCGCGCCGACGCCGATAGGTCCGAAGAACCCGACGAAGGCCGTCTGAAACAGGTTCTCAATTTGGTCGATGTATTTGTGCATCGCGAAAATGATGGGGATGCGGCGGACGAGGAGGATGAGAACTCCGAGGAAAACGAGGCGGTAGAGAGGGATGATGTCGTTGCTTAGGAACAGGTGCCATGGGCAGACGGCACCAAACCACATGAAGACTGCTAAGTTAAGAAGCATGTCGATTGTGGGTTGAAGGGAGTCGTCCATTGTTTCGAGGCGGAACCAGTCACTGGATACGTTAGAAGGGTGTATATTCTAGAAGGAAGGGGAAGGGGTTGTACTCTTGAGTGAAGACATTTCCAGCAACGAAGCACGCCAGGAGGTCGTCTGTTCCGATTAACCCGCAAGTTCCAACGATGAAGAGCTGGACGAGTTAGTCTTCGTTCGTACAAGATAGCAGGAAACATACCGCAAGAGCAATGGCAAAGACCAGAAAGCTTTCTCGATCCACATAGTGATGCTCCTCCGCCCAATGCAGCAGCTCCCTAGATAACCAGCCAACAGTAACCCCATACCCCACACTCAGCAGAATCGTATAAGCCCAGGTCTCATAAAACCAAAGCCCCATAGCCTTGCCGGCACCCCCACTAAACCCCTCCCCACCCATCCCCGTATACTGCAGCAAATAAACCGCAAAGAAAAGGAACGGATACCCCAACCCATCATTCGCGCCAGACTCCGCAATGATAATCCGCTGCAGCGGCCGCGGCACATTCTTATCGGCAAACTTGCCCTTGACAATCGAGTTCGACAGCACAGGGTCAGTCGGGGTGACGCAGGCACCCACGATAAGCGCATGGAGGAATGAGAAGCTTGGCACGAGCGCCCAGATCACTAACGCGCTGCACATCCACATGGCAGCCATGCCGGGTCCCAAAAGGAGGGAGAGGCTCCGCCATTCGATCTGCAGGTAGCGCTTGGGGAGTTGGACGCCGGCGAGGACAAGCTGGACGCCTAGGACTAAGCGCGTGAAACAGAGAGTGATCTGTTCGAGGTTCTCATCTGTTCCAAGCGCGTATTCTTGCGGTCGGATGAAGTTTGCGGCGTGCGGGGAGAATGCGACGCCGGCGAGTAGCGAGATTACTGGAGGACCAATTACTACTGCAGGCAAAATGTAAGGAGGAGTACGAACGTGCTTCCGACAGGTAGAATCGTTCCTTGAAGAGGTAGGAAACCAGCCCGAAAAGGGAGATGAATCCTCCCAGCGTCGCACAGACAATGTTGAAGTTGATCAAGGAGAGAGTCGGCATGGCTGCAGAAGCTTCTCAGCAGACTTGGCGCGACCCCACAGGTAGATTCTTGAGATATACTCCTGATGCTGCTGATATCTTATCAGCTGGATGATTTTTGTCTCCGATCGTACACACTTACTACTATGGCGATGTTACGGCGATAAGCTCAAGGAGGTTCCACTGCGTGTTATTCAATCATAGTACGAATTGTGAGAGTAGGATATCTGATGAACAAGACTTGGCTCATTGAGACCTCGAGCGAGATGCAGTTACTGACGATGAACGCTATCAACAATCGCGAGACTGGCGATGGTGGGGGTGAGATCAATTGCAGAGTCCGCGACTGGAGTTTTTGGCGCCTGAGACTAGAACTGGCGGACGGCCAATCGGCGATAACCAGTATCCCCGCAATTCTCGAGTTATCGTGGCTTATCGATGGGAGGATAAATATGGCTGCTAAAGAGTTTCGGATAGTTGAGGTTTGCTTCAAATGGTCTATTTCTGACTTTATCGAAATGATACTCATAGTATATCATATTCACGTCCCAGAATCTCTGCCTGGATGCCGAGAGAAAAAAGAGATAGAGGGAGACAAGATGCACGGTGATTCGCACAATCAAGAGATACAGCCACCAAGTTCTTGTGCTAGAGCTCTGATTCCTCCTCTGCAACATCGTCGGCTGGCTCGCCATAGAGCTGTGCAGACACTCCCCGCTGCGCACCGTTCACCGCTAGACGGTCGGCCGCCTCGTTTCCAGGATCCGAATTATGCCCCTTCACCCACTCGAACAGGGTCTTGACCTTGAGTTCATTTCGCTCCTCAATCTTGCTGAGGATAGACTCCACGAGATCCTTATTTTCCACAGGCTTGTTATCTGCCGTCCTCCAGTTATTGCGCCGCCATTTCTGGAACCACACGGTAACACAGTTTATCGCGTACTGGCTGTCGGTCACGATTGTCACATCTCTATGTCGGGGTGCGATGTCGAGGCCGCGTAGGATGGCTGTGAGCTCCGCCCGTTGATTCGTCTGCCGGCCACCTTGGAGAGGCTCTGAGACGTTTCTGCTAGGAAAAAGGGACGTAAGTACAAGCACAGCCAATATCGTCAAGGTGAGACAAACCTCGTGTCATTAGGCCCGAAATATACGCCAACACCGGCCGCTGCAAAGGCCCTCCCGTTCTTCAACGAGCTGCCATCAGTGTAAATACGCAGCATACCCGGCGGCGCCTTGGGCTGCGTCTTCGTCGTAGCTTTCTCTCCATTGGACTTATAGACAACCTTCCCCGTCTTCGGATCAAGAAGAACATTCGGATCAAAACCGTCTTCCGCTCCAGCGGGTAGCGGGCCCTCTCCTGGCTCAATGGTATTCCCTTGATCGTCCTTCGGGTCCTCACTCGTCATTCCCGGAGCGCCCGCCACTTTCGTCAGCTCACCGCCAAGTTTTACAAAATCCTCCGCCTCCTCTCTCGTCGCAAACTTCTTATACCGCGGTCGCTGGAATCCCTTGATCTGTTCTTGTGCATTGGCCCAGTTGGTGTAGACGCCTGGCTTGTGTCCGCGCTGGATCGCGTAAAATCGCGTCGCCTCGATTCCGTGCGGAGACGTGCCGCGCGAGTTTGGCAGTTTCGCACCGGTGAGGAACGCATTCGCTTCTTCGAGGGTCGGGAAGGCTTGGACTAGCGATTAGATACGGGTTAGCGGAGCTCGAGACAGTAGTAAACTGAATGATAGTGAAAAGTCACGAGCACTCACACACGGCGCCTTTATATCCAGTCACCTGCGCCAAACATTCATTCCATTCATAGTAGACACCTGGTTGATACCCGCTCTTGACAGCATAATATTTCCCGGCAGAGCCTCTCTTTCGTTTCGTGCCTGCTGTGGACGCGGGACCGGGGGTCGGTGAGGGAGTAGCCGCGTCCATGACGGGGAAGCGCGGTTGGAGTAGGACGGACTGGAACGGAGTCGAGGTGCGCGTCGGAAACGAGGGATTGAGCGTGGTTAGAAAGTTGGTAAGAGCGGCCAGTCGTCGTAGATTCGCAGTCTGTGTCAATCGAGGGATGCAATAAATGGCTAGCATGCGCAGCAAACGGAACCCAGGGGCCAGGGCACGCTGTACTCAAGCGTGTGTAATCTTTGACTTCAGCTGGGATGATCGCAGATCGCCAAACAGAATTAAGCGCAACCGCTAGGAGAGATGATAAGGCAAAAGTGTCTGAATGACGGGGGTTGGAAGGCAAGTGGAGGAGCGGAGAATCTCTGGACGGGACTCCCGCTTGGGGGGTGTGCGGCGAGCCTGAGAAACTCGGTCTGAGGACTGACGGTCGCTTGATCGGATATTTTTGGACAACGATTGTTCGTACCTATTTCTTGACCTTTGAAACAATTTAAGCATAGGAATTGACCGTCAAATCGAGGTTAGGTATCGCTACCTGATGTTCGTGAATATATATATATATCCTGGACACCCCCACAGACACGGCAACCCCTCTTCTGCCCCCCTTCGCTTTGCTCCGGATACTCTTTAGGCTTCAAATTCTGCGGTGCCTGAACTACCACTAACCGCGTGTTTTCTACTCGAGCTTCCACAAGAGATTCCTGTATCTCGGAGACGATCTGTCTAAACTCCTCTATCTATATACATCCCTAATGCGCGTGCTCTCTCATCACGTCGGGCCTATTGGGAATTTCAATCTTGAGCAACATGAGCTGGCCTCATACCCTCCTAGACTGATATGTACTCATAGCTAAGTATGCTAACTGTGAAGTCGAAGCCGGATGTAAGTAATTGTCTTGGCCCTTTGCAAAACAGACAGACACAGCGGAGGGGAGTCCTCATTCTGAAGCTGCAGCCGTATTCGCAGTGCTTCCTCTGTTCAGATTAGAAAGCCATTCCATCGCTTTTCACCCCTCGCGATGAGACTCTTCTGTTCTGGAGGCCCATGCTACAGGCACCAAGTTGAGCATGGCTTGAACGGATCCATGGATGCTCGGTTGGATTCCATACACCAAGGTAGGGTTCGGAGTATCTCTTCAGGAAGGTAAGAGATTGCTTTCATACTTAGGAGTTGGGGCCTAATCATGCTGGACAGCTGTGGTTGCCTATCACGCTGGCGAAGTCTAGCGTTTGAGCAGATTATGTGGCAGATTGCTGTGGCCAAAGTTGCTCTGTTGGCGACATCATCATGCCCAAGGTTCATTCACTACTCCCCATATTGTCAGAAGATGGAAGAGCCCTTAGCAAGTTAGGGGAGGGCATGAAAGGCTACAACTCCTATACAAAGCCTCTCTTTATAGACTTGCATGGTGAAGAGAGTTGTGTACCTGTGCTTTGTATCACTCCACTCTCTGCCCTAAGTATCTATCCCATGTCTTTCAGGTAGTAAGAAGCAATCACCCCAAGAAGAGATTTTTTTGCATAGGGCTCGGCAGCGTAACCTTGTCTTAAAATATTCACTCTCAGCAAGCAAACAGGGACTTGGGATGGCTATAAATCTGCCCTGAAGCCCCTCCTGATTTTGTTCAACACCTTTGGCCGTCTACTGATCTCGAAGGTAACAAAAGTGAGTGACAACCCTGCTTCTTATTCTTTGATACATAGCACCATCGCTACATTCTCACAAACTATACTAACACGATGCAGTCAAACCCCCATGGACGACGACGAAGCCGCCGCGTCAGACAGCGACATCGCCGACTTCCTACTCGACGAAGACATGATCCGCGCCATGGACGCCATCGACCAAACCGTCAACCCAGCACTCCTCAACCTCAACGGCGCGCCCCAGCCAAGAGACCTCAGCCAGATTCTCTGGTTCGCCATCTTCAAAAACGACGTCGCCGAAGTCTCCCGGCTCATCGAGGCCGGCGCCGCCCTTCCCGGCTCGCGTGTCCGCTACGGGTCCACCGCGCTCGAGATGGCTGATAGGATGGGCCATCGTGAGGTAGTACGTCTATTCTGCCGTGACCTTAACGTTGCCGCTCGTGGAATGGGCGCTATACTGAATGCTATCCATGCGGGCAATCGCACTACTGTGCGTGTGGTTCTCGAAATGGGTATGCGCGGCATCATGGCGGGTAACCAGCTGATGACGGAGATTATCTTTGGGTATGTGGCTAAGTATGGGACCGAGGCGATATTTGATGTCCTGCATGAGTATGGGCCGTTCTTTAGCTGGCCGGAGTATACCAGCTGGCTGCTTGAACAGGCGGCGGATAATGATAATTTTGATGTCGAGGGTGCCATTATGAGACATCGTCAGGCTCATCTCGAGGTACGCCCCCTCTTCCCCCTCCTCGCTCTCTCTTCCTACTATGAAGCCCTATCCCAGCGTCCACCATTCAGCCGCAAGCTAACAAACCCAGCGCCAGTCCATGCTGACCACGGCCGCCATCGACCTCAACGACTTGAACCCGAACGACAAAGACGTCGGCACCCTCGAGGATTGTCTCCGTCGCTTCTGCGTCGCCTTCCCGCACATCGAAATGAGATATTTCTGGCAGCAGGAGGTGTTCAACAACAGAATCCGCAGAGCCCATAACCATGCGTCGTTCTCCAGTACTCCCGTCTCGGTGCTCAACTACTAGTTGCGGTGTCGACATCACATCTACACTCGTTCATGCGTCTGATTTACTTTGCCAATTCTGGGTTTCTACCGGTTCTGTGCATACTCTGGACTCTGTACTGCAAGGCGACTTGGATTGGCGTGGTGTTGGCATGGCGCTAGGTGGCTTTGCTCGTTTTTTTTTTTCTTTTGTACTAACCCTCAACTTGCAGTCGACGTACCTGGATGTAGTAGATAAGAAGTCCGTCCCTCTTTGTATTTGGCTGGTTGATATGGCTGATTGGAGCGGAGGACTAGACTAATCATAGCTACACCAATAGATACTCTAGGTATCGAATCTAGATATTGACTCTCCAGACAAACCTTTCCACATCCTCTGTTTCGACCATACGCTGATCAAAGCATTCCTCGCTTCCGCCGAAGCACGCTCTACAAAGTTCCTTAGGCTTCAAAAAATATTCGCATGATGCCAACCGCTTCGAAACGAACGCAGCCTATTCTAGCTTCTCTGATCTGCTCAACTAACTGCCTGTTATCGAGGAACGCCAACCCTCGTATTTCGACCACCACAAAGCCCCAACACTCGGGTATACTTTCCGCTAGCCGTCGCCCAAGCCGCAGGGGCTTGGCTTCTTCACAAGGATCCTTCAGCTCAGCCATGTGAGTGAGGCTGTGAAGGACCTCGTATTCCTGTCGCAGTCTTGATTAAGATTCGCCATGATCCCGTTGCGATTTGCAAGGGCCAATATGGCGGGATGAGCATTGACACACACCGACACGTCGAGATGTTGCTTTCTCAGTGGGGTATTCCGTTGTTTGCGTGCTTCGTCTCTGCGAGATTGGTGGCGTGTCTCCCATATCCATCTACAAGCACTACTAGTACCCGCGGAATGATTGAGGATCACGGTCCTCTTGGGCCCTGTACTAGTATAAGCTCTGAGGTACATTCAATGCAGTTTTGGCTGCTAGCTCAGATCTATTATTAACCCTACCGTCATCAGTGCCCTGGTACCAACCCTGCTGCTACCTCGTCTATAACCATCTGCACCACCCACACAAACATTCCACACACGCCACCAACGCCCGTTGCTCACGCAAAACGCCAAAATACCCACCCCAAGCGATCAAAACCCAATCTCACACGTGCCCAACTCATCGGCCTCACTGTCGGCGTATCGGTCTTCGCGGTGATCGTCGGAATCGGATTGTTCCTATGGATACTACATTTCTTCCCACTAGCACAGGAGCGGTTTTGCGCATGTTTCTGTGCGGTGTGCTGCCCGTGGCTTGTGAGGAGGACGAGGGACTTTGAGTGGGAGTGGGATTGACTGTGGAGATGAAAAGTTCAATATGACGACAACGATGAGCTGATGAGCTGATGAGCTGATGAGATGGAGTTTTGGATGGTAATGAGCAAGGAGGAAAGGATGCTGAATTGGAGATCCGCGCCTTCCTTAGGTCAAACTCCGATGACCCATGAACGGAAGGTGCGACCATGCCCTTGGTAAACGTCACTCCTTCCTCAAACGCGTCTTGACTCGCGAGGAAAGTACGATGGCCCGACGGGGGTGCATCGCACCTTCCTTTCTTGGGGGGAATAGGTGGCTGTACTTCCGGTTTTCGCGACAGCAACGGCGATTGAGAAGAAGGAACGGTGGACCTGAATGTCCCGCCGGGGCATGAGAGTATAGTAGGGTACTAGTTAGGTGGCGTCTTGGGAAGTATTACAACCAGCCTGGAGCTTCACTACGCAATATAGTGAGATTGAGCTAGCGTCCACAAGCCTTTTGTCTTGGGGGCCGCCTGCAGGTCAGGTGGGATAACGGGCTACTCCCCAAAACACGTCCTGCACAACGTCCACCAGTGCTACGACTTGGCACCCTTCTCGTGTCTCACACCCCTAGGCTCGGGTCCAGTCCTGTCAGTGAAGAATAGGAAGAACCGTTCTAAGTGGATCAAGCTGTACATACATCCTTTCCTGTAGACTAGACGGCGACATGGACTCATGCCTCGGCAACCTTGGATCCAGACACGCGGTATTGATCTTAACCCGGCGACGCATCCCGACCCTGCCGCGGTACAAATGAGCGACGAACGTGCTGGCACGACTTATCCTCGAGATGGTGAACTTGGATTCCATGACGATGGCCCGGACTGGTAAGATGGTGTTTACGCGGAATCTAGATCAGAGGTTTCTTGTTACCCAGGACGATCTGGATACAGGGCATATTGCGGTTGCAGAGTTTAGTTGTAGCGGACAAATCCGGTGCTCGTTCCGTCGCCGCGCTTGCAATATGGGGCCTGCATATCTGGAGTACTGTAGCGCGTATAGACCGCTCGAGTACGTGATTGAGCAAGGTGTTGGTGGGAATTCGCTGATGAGTTCTGAGTATGTGGCTTCAAGGGGCATTGACTATCACATCATGCAATGGCTAACACGGAGGATAGTTTGGATATGAATCTTCCTATTATCGATATCCTGGAAGGGGCGAACGCCCGAGGCGAATTTCTATTTGAGTTAGATGGCGGACGCGAGGGGTGGATGGAAGACATTGAGGTCTACGCACCTGGATATCTCGAGATGGAAGCTGTGGGGAACGAGTCCGAGTATGATCCTTCCCGTCTGATCAATCCTACAATGGCATACAGTATCCGGCGGCGGATGCATCAAGCACAGCTTGGCTAAATAGTGCATTCCTCGGCTTTCCCTGTACCAATTCCCACAGGTATTTGGTCTCCAGGATTAACTATAGCTGGACTTAAATACTTGTTATTTATTTTCGAAGTCTAGTTATACTATTAACGCACATGTCTAGGCAAGACTAAAAGGTTACTATGACCAGACCCTATAGTCTGATCTGCCCGGATCGCCGTGTAGCCTGTACGCTGTGACATAGATGGATCGGATCGCAAGTGTAAAGTGGAACAACTGCCAGACTCAAGGGCAGGCTAACCACAAGGTGTTGTATTCAATAACCTATCCTAGGTCATCCGCTCACACAATGCCTCCCGTCAAATGGACTGGTGTGTGCAGAAACCCCCTGCTTGTCCCTCCTAAGCCGGCCCAGACCCCTTCGGAACCACATTATCAACAGTAACCTCCTCAGAAGACCCATCCCTCTCCCCTTCCACAGCCTCCTCCTGCCCCTCACCCTCCCTACTGACCCCCTCAGCCTCCCTAACCCTCCAAGTCGCCCAGGTCGTCGGCACAACACTAGCCCAAAACAACACCGCGGCCACAAGAATATTCTGCAACAACGTAACCCTCCGACTCGCGCCCAGCGCGTAAGAAATCGTGCTCGCCAAACTCTCACTAGACCTCAACACCGCCGCACTCAACGTCAAATTCTCCAGCTCCGTGTCAAAGCACGAGAGGACCCAGTATCCCCAGACCGAGAAGCCATTGTAGGGAACGAAAAAAAGGCAGTAGACTGCCAATGCGCGCCCGAATCCGGGGGTATCGATGTCGAACACGGGGTTTGAACCTTGGTAGGATTTTTCCAGCACGATGTTGTAGATGTACGTTGCTGTGTATGTTGCAGCTAGAACAACCCACCCGATTCTGGCACGTGTGGGACGCGAGAGGGATTCGCGGTCGAGAAACCAGCCGAAGAGTATGTTTACGAAGAGGCCGACGAATGTCACGATGAAGCCGGCGAGGGCGCGCGCGCGGACGGTGAAGTAGGTCGTGAGGTAGTTTCCCTCGTATGTCTGCGCCCACTGGCTCGTGAGGAAAATGGGCACCAGCGCAGCGATCTCGGGTCTCTTGAGCACATGCCAGAACCGGCGCAGACCCTCGAGGAAGGTTGTCCGTGGAGGACGAGTGGGTTTTGTGCCGTCGCGCCGGATCAGTTTATTGACTGGGGAGATGAGCAGGGACAGGGGGAGGCCGAGGCATTGGAGGGCGATTAGCACGAGGTAGGTGGTTGAGCTGACAGAACCTTGATTTGAATTGCCGATATTAAGGCCTAGTTGGATAAAGGAGGCGATTATGCTGCCGATTTTGCCGAGCGAGAACCAGATTGCGACTGGGGTTGCGATTAGACGAAGGACCTACCCGATGCGGTGGATAGGGTACAGGGTGTGACTTACGATGGAGGCCCTTGCGGCTCTCTTCAGGGTAGCCGACGCCAATGGCGGCTTCTGAGACCCAGAGGGCTGCAGCCTGGTCGGAGAACAAAAGGATCAACAGGAACCCAGGCTGGAGATGTGGAGTGAAGGGGCACGAACCGAGATACCACACGTCGCAGCGCCGAAAATCATAAACCACTGTGTTCCATACACACTGTTTGTATACAAGGACGCCGAGTACGGCGCATAGCCGATGGTACCAATGGTGAGAATCCACTTCAAGCTCCACCTGTTCCCAAGCACGGCGAAGACAGGACTCAAGATGACCATGATCGCAAATGTCACGACATTGGCGGCGTTGACGAAGAACGGCTCAGCCAGACCACCGGCCCCGAGATCTAAAATTGGGCTCGTTAGGAGGTCCAGGGATTGCGAGAGTTAACAGGGAGGGTCCTGACTGGATAAGGCACCCCATATTCCAGGCTGTGTGAAGCTCACAAGACCGAGGACTATGGCGTTGAAGACTGTCCCTCTGTAGAAGGTATGGAGCGTTTCTTGTAAAGCCATAGCTGCTGGACTGTCTTTTACAGTAAGACGTGAATACTGAACTCGCAGGTATTTTCAGGTCATTCGAGCAGTTGACCTTTTATAGCTACATTGTCATGAAGTCTCGATGTGTGCCATCCATGATGCGAAGGGAGGGCAGATGGCGTGCTGCATAGCATCTCCAACAAACCTGGAAGCTATGGAATTGATTGTCCCGAAGATAACCCGGAATTCTTCAGCCTTGTTTATATATAGACTGCCACAGGGAAGCGACTGCCCTAGTTAGAGTTGCTAGTAAAAGAGAAACTATAACATGTCGCTTCAACCATTATTTAATGCTACATAGGTTTAAAAGACAAATTGATGTCAAAGTCATCGGAGAGTTGTCAGAGTCATGGTATCGGGCCGAACACCAGTTGAGGTCGGATCAAAGTTGACAGACTGACCCCGAAAGGCGTCATCCCGACCGTATTATTATACAAACGTTCCACTCTTTATCGGCCGAGAGTGAGAAAATAGAATCTAGAGCTAGATCTAACCTTTGGATCCCTGCTTGTTGATCCATTCTTTTCTCTGGGCATGTCGACGGCTTATCTTTAGTACGCGGCCCTAGTAGTCCGTGGTTTCATTTGCTGCTAGGAACGATATGTAGTGGAGAGGGAATATGCAGCCGGCCACGTGTATTTTGTTGGTATATAGATCGTGATAAATTGGACCGCTTGGTGGCTTAGACCTAGACTAAACCTCCCACGTCATACAACGAGAGAAAGCGAGCCGTTGGAAGGTATAATAGGCGATAGATACTAATATAAGTGTCAGAAGATATCATTTCCCCCGGCGTTGGAGGCGTTGGTTGCTCGACCAACGGGAGTAACTATCACTGCATTGTGTAGGCTGTCTGCCGCCACATGCGCGGCCCGCTGTGGCACATATAGTATCGTGAGACCGGACAAGACAGGGGTTGAGGAGGCAGTTTCAGCCAGTTTGGGCTTTGCCATACGCAAGCGGCGGCAAGCTTATCTATAGAAACTGCCATGCGCACCTGTGGGCATCTCATCTTCCTGATTATATCACAGAAACTCCCCCACCCTTGCTGATATCCTGCCCACGAGCGCCGAGTCCCACAAAATTTCCCAGATATTAGGAACAATCACCAATGAAATAGGTTGTATTAAGTAGAATTAAAGTGTAAAGAAGTAAGAGATGTTATATAGAGCGTATTTAACTCCTCTCATGGATTTTTATTTATCACTCTAATAAGAATGTCTTTAAACAAACCGTATGTTCAAGTTCCAACACGCTTGAAAGCAGGGGAATCAGCTGACCACCATAGATAGGGACAGTGTTCCCTGCCATAACCCCTCCTTGAGAAACTCACAACCTCTTCACTTGGTTTGGGACACCCGTGTTGCCATTTACAGTTTCAACAGTTAAAACTAAGTCCAAAATGGCGCACTTGGAACGTATTACGAGGTATGTCTATCCTACGACAGGGACTGGAACTACCAATATAATGGCTCTGCCCTTACTATATAGTTCTGCTGCATAGAAGACCCGTTGGTCTTCTATAGTGCCTTTTTGGTCGTGTGGTCCAACTCTAGTAAGCAGTGGACTAGGACTGTCACAACTAAGGAGTCAGCCTGCCCTAATATCCTTTTTTGATCGCAGCATGGCTGATTTCCACTCTCTGGTCAGAGACTCTACACCCTGTCTTTGTGTTTATTCTTTCAAACTTCTACACCGACTTTTCTCCCGAGATTTGACTGTTTGCACAGGACCACCGCCACCCTAGGATTTATGGCCTTTCTTATCCAGAGTAAACCTTGACTTGCAACCCGGGACAGACTTTATTCTTTGGAGGGAGGGAAGGCCGGTTGTGAAATTTTCCAGCACACAGGTTTCGGACCTAATGAGTGTTTTGCAGGCAATGGGTGTGTAAGTAGGAGGATTGAATTCCTGTGCTACTTCTAACCTATACCTTCTGTGTTATTGTTTTGTGGATTTTGATTTGGGTTGAAATATATTGGCGAGATGCCTGATGATTGGAATCTATAATCTTGTTATTCATGCATTGTGCCGAGTTCTGTTGTTGTGTAGTTATACTCTATCCTTCTTAGGTCAAAGGCCATGCATTACCCATATAATAAGAGAGTCAACATGACCCAGTAACATTAAATAGAGGTCATAATACTAATAATAACATGTAAGATAGAAAATAGAAAATTCGCAGCGTAAACAAAACAGGTGCAAGGTTTGTATCATGGCAGGTTAGCTAACGTCCCAGAATAGGTTAAGAAAATGTTTAGTTTGGCAGTAGATAATTTCATGCCTAAGATAAGCCGTGTTCTCTTTAACTACCTAAGACGGGGAATCGTGGGAGTTGGGCACTTAGGCTATGCTCACCTTGGCAATACTATTGTATATTGTACGCCACTAAGTTCAGAAGCATGAGGCATAAGATAAGGTTTAACGGCTTTTAACAGTCTCTGGGTGATGGTAATGTGCGATGTGTTTAACTTGGCGTGATCTTAAGCTATAACATATGCTAACTATATAGGAAGGGCGGCCCGGAAAATCGCTGGGACAAAGGCTTCCTTCTCATACCACAGAGCTTACAGCCGTGCCTGCTTTGTGCTTGAGATAGTTATACTAACCCCAGTTAGGGCTACCACTTACATCTGTGATCACCAAGCCTATTTAAATCATGACTATAGTCTAACCCTACCCCATCCCGAGTACATGCCATTCAGCCACTAGTTAAAGCTTGGTAATATATACTTTTCTATTAGTAAAGTAGGTTGGTGTACCATGTACTACTCTAGCCCTGTAAACCAGTTGTTCCTGATGTCATAGTCCTATATCCACTTTTCAAAGGGCACTTGCATTGACCGAGCTCTTCCTAAGTTGGTCCCGAGTCCGTCCTGATCCGTCATGTAGCTTTTAACAGTTCTTCTATGATGCTTGGTAGAAGGAGTAAAGACTGGCACACTGAGGTACAGACAAGAAGTCTTCCGAAATTCCTAGTTCACTATCTCTCTTGACACTTCTGTCGTATTGTATATGATGGACGCGCTGTCAAGTAGATAATCCCACGGCTCACATATCTACTCCGGAAGCTTCGCGGTTCCTGGAACGGGAGACGCCATGTTGACCCGTGCGGGAAAGGTTTGCACGTCCAGTGGGATCAACGGTCAGCTTCCATACTTCTGGTTCAGCCCACAAGTTTGAGCTTATAGAGTGGCGACCCTGGCGCAAATATGCGTTATTCGCGCAGCAGCTGGAATCGGCGATCTTACTCCGATTGCGAAGTATCCATGGATCACTAGTATTGACTAATTTATGATACTGGACTGTGCCTAATTTTTTCACTATTTTTTTTTTCTCTGACCTACACGATCCCTTGGTCCAAGCAAGGGGAACTCGCAACCTTGAAGACATTTATTAATAGGATTTTAGTCCCCCATGCTTTTAAACAATCCAGGAACTGCAGGTCTCCCGTAATGGACCACTAGGCCCATCGCCAACATGCCGGACCATGATAACCTGCCTTGCCAGCAAGTGCCATGCGTTTTTGATAGCAAGGCTGACACCGGAAAGCCCACACCATCGGCCATGGTAACTGTGATGTCTGAGTAATACTACATGCAAAGCACCCGAGAGAAGATTTTTATTATTAGCTTGACTAGTCTCGCCAAGATTATCACCATGATCGCAACAAACATAGTGCTTCCCGTGCTACCCATCCTACAGGCCCAGTACAGCGTGTCAACCACCCAGATGAACCTTCTCGTCACTGTCTTCTCCCTCATCCAAGGCCTAACTCCAGCAGTGATGTCAGCACTTTCCGATCTTCAAGGGCGCCGCATAGCATGGATGTTTACACCACTCCTCTACCTCGTTGCCAACTCGGACTCGCAATGCAGGTCAGCTACGTCGCGCTGATCGTCCTCCGCTGCCTGCAGAGTTTGGGTAGCAGCTGCGCCATTCCATTTGGATTCGCCGTTGCAGCAGATATCTCGTCTCCTGCTGAACGAGGCCGGTATATAGGTCCGCTGCAGGGGAGTGTCATGGGTGCGTTTGCATTTGGTCCGGTCATTGGGGGTCTGTTGGAGCCGAGCCTGGGGTGGAGGAGCATCTTTTGGTTTCTTGCTATTGGCAGTGGTGCGGCGCTGCTAGCGTATATCGTGGTTATTCCCGAGACTGCGCGGAATATTGTTGAGAATGGTTCCATGGAGCCGGAGGGCTGGTGGAGACAGCCTGTACTGCGGAATCTGCAACGATATCTCCAACGCGGTTCTATCAAGGGTGCAGACATGCAACGAGACAGCTCAACAGGTCCTGAGAAGGGAGAGATCAATGTTGCCAAGATACCCCGGGCCTCTACCATCCTCGCCGAAAAGGACGCCCTGATACTCGTCATATTCACCAGCCTGTTCTACTCTGGCGTGACTGCCATGTGGGCAACCACCGGAAGTCATTTTGGGGCTCTCTATGGCCTCAGCACGCTATCCGTTGGATTTTCTTTTCTGTAAGCCATCCCTCCTTTTGCTGAACCATATATCACAAGTCTAACCCTAATGCCACACAGCCCATACGGAATCGCCGGAGGCATCGACTCAATCATCAGCGGAAAACTCCTCGATCTCAACTACCGCAGGATCCAAAATCGGCAACAGCTCCTCACCGAGAAGGACGACGGCCACCCTCAATCCGCATACTCTGACTTTCGCCTCCAAGTTGCTATCCCCTTCGCGCTCCTCGCCTCCTTATCACTACTCACCTACGGCTGAATCATCGAAACCGACCAGCCCCTCGCAGTGGCCTTAACCTTTCAAGCCCTAATCGGTTTCAGCGGAACGCCGCTGCTGGGAGTTATATACACGCTTCTGATCGACCTTTATCCGTCGCAGGCTGTTGCGACGCAGGGGCCGGCTGATCTCGTACGGTGTTGGTTAGGTGCCCTTTTTGCGGCTGTTATTAATTATATGCTGGAGAGTATGGGGTGGGGGTGGTCGTTTACTCTTATTGGGCTGAATATGGTTGTTGCGCTGCCGTCGCTTGGGCTTGTGTATGTAAAGGGGCCGAAGTGGAGGACGGCGAAGCGGGTTAGTGAGAAGGAAGCGTGAATGATTTATTTTATAAATGCTTGTATATAATCTATAGATTAGAACCAGGTATATAAATCAGAACATAAAGATACACAGCTTTCTACATAATCGACTGGCTAGGGCTAGAGCTACATTTATTCCAACAAGTCAGGCTGCAAGGCACACATTGTACTCTACAAAACCAAACCCTAAATTGAGTAGAGTTGCCAAAGAAAGGGCGAAGCGGCTGCAAACCAGCGCCAAGGGGCAATGGCAAAAGAGTGCCTCCAAGTCTCTTACGCTGTGTATGGGATGACACATTCCTCATCATTTGGACTACAAAGGCACTGTGATGTGGAAAGAAGTACTTGCATGTGGTCGGGTAGCATGGGGCCCTGCAGGGAACTTCGTACTACTAATATTACAAGCCCTATAAGCACGGGGACAAGAAGACGAGTCTAGACTGGCAGGGAGTCAATCTCGAAAACTATACTTGACCGCTTGGCATTACGCTTGAGAAACAAGAGATGTCTTGGTTGTTTCGGTATCGCCTTATTCTGGCCCTACACTATCCCACACGTGCTAGAGTCATATTATGTAGTCGTGGGCGGATCTGTCGATCAAAGTTGTGGTCTTGTTTCACGACACATCCCGCTGGTAATCCTTATGAAACAGGCCTCGAACATTACAATAATGCGGTCTTCCCTTATAAGTGGAGGAGAAATGTGGAATGACAGTCGCTTAGTCTGTTCCAGGCGGCTGGCCAGACGCGACGATTGTTTCAGGTTGTCGGACCCCTCCATATTTCAATATAATCTTGCGGACACGGCTCAACGGTGATACTCAATCTGAGAAATCTACCCGTGCAGCGTAGTATGACAATTTGCTGAGAGTATTCCGTGTTTCACGACCAGGCGATGCTTATAGGCCCCTCGTCGGAGTAAGCCCTACTCCATATATAACAAGACGATCAGCCACCAGATGCGCTGAGCTCTTGTCAACCACTCACTCCCTTCAGTCACTCTTTCGCAATGTTTGTTCGCTTCGCTTATCTGCTGGCAGGTCTTACTTTGGCTTCTGGCAAGCCCGTTTTGATGTCCCGGCTGGACCAGGATGCATCGCAACTCTCTTTTGATGTCACATTATTGCCACTTGGAAACACCACCGTGCAGGCGCAGGTCACCAATACGGGCAGTGAGGATGTTCGGCTTGTTCGCCGGGGTGGAATTCTGGATCCTGTTGCGACGAAGAAGGTCACGATTCATGGCGGTGGTTAGTATGCCATACTTGCAGACAACAAACATGCTAACTGAAGGGATCAGACGCCGAGGCAGACTTTACTGGAGCCTATGTTGGCTATCACCTCTCGCATTTGACAGACGAGGGTTTCGTCCAGGTCTCGCCGAACCAAACAGTCACGTCCGTCTTCGACATCGACACCTTCTACACGCTGTCTGCAGGCCAGGAATACACCGCTGTGGCAAACGGAGTCCTCGAATACACCACACTAAACAACACGAAAAAGTTCCATACCTTCGTCTACGAATCCAACAACATCACCTTCACCACACCGTCCGATGTCAAGCGCCTCAAGGCCCGAAGCATCCTCGACTGCTCCAACGACGAGTACAACGCAAAAGTCCAGAATGCCATCGCGCGCGCCGCGAAAATGGCCACGGCCGCCGCCGCAGACGCACGCAATGGCGCCAGTGATAACTTCCAAAAGTTCTTCTTCACCACCGACCAAGACGCCCTGGATGAGGTGGCAGGCCGTCTCGAGGCCATTGCCACCGAAGCCACGACGACCGGGTTGATGACATACTACTGCGCGCCGCGAGCACAGGACGATTGCAGTGGCAATGTCGCGGCCATGACGTATCCGTCGGAGAACATCATCGTCAACTGCGACTTGTACTACAGCACCGAGGCAGACTCGAATTACTGCGGGTACCTGGACCAGGGTGGGATTGCGCTGCATGAGTACACGCACGCTACGGGCGTCTATGCGCCTGGGACGGACGATGTGGTCTATGGTTACGATAGCGTCCAGGCGCTTGATACGACCAGTGCGCTGAACAATGCGGACTCGTATGCGTACTACGCGGCTGGTATGCTATAATCTCCGGGAACCTCTCTATACTGATCCGTTACTGACATCCATGTAGCTGTCTACCTCCAATGTGCCGCGGACGACTCCACCCAGGAAGGGACGCCCCTCGACATCGATCTGGGCGACTCGACGAGTGCCAGTGCCACAGGGACAGCGACAGAATCTGCAGTCCCAACATCAACGTCCCAGCCTACCTTGACATCCACCTCGACCTCCACATCTGGCAGCGACTGGCCCTGGGGGCAGACCGGCTGGGGCTCCTCAGGCTCAAGCTCAGGCTCGGGCTCGGGCATCTTTCCTAGTGATACTCCGACTGCCCCAACCGACGTTCCAAGTACTGGGAGCGGCGGGTACGGAAATGGTGGCTACGGCAATTTCCCTCCGAGCGGCTCATACCCCAGCTCAGGCCCTGGTTCTGGATCAGGTGGATTTGGCGGATACGGTCAGGGGCCCTGGGGGGCAGGTTGGTCGAAGGAAGCGCAGAGTGGATCTGGTACCGCGCCGACTCCTACGTTTGTGACGTCTGCGGCTCCTGGTATTTCGACACCACTCACGGCTACGACAACCCCGGGTACGAGCACTGGCACTGGTGCGGGAGAGGGTACCTCGGGCAATGTGCCTTTCGATATTGAGGCTTTGATCGCCTGGCTGAAGAGTGTTTTTGGTGGACAGGTTGAGATCGAAGAGGTGGCTTCGGCTTAGGTAGACTCAGACTACGAACTCGCGGATGCTGGCCTGGTCTTGACGGGCGAGTCAATACCAGCGCCTGTGCCTGTGTTCTATGCGGTACTTCTTCCACTCCTGGCCTCTATGTAAATGTTGTTGAACTGAGCATCTACAAGTGGTACTAGGTATATATGGCCAGCCGAAGAACAAATGGGGATTTGAGGTTAGATCATGGCGTAAAACCATGATATTCCCTTTATAGGTCAAGTTTAACTGCCTGGAGAATAAAATACCCATCCCGGAGTCATACATCTGCATACAATGCATGAAATGAACGGGCATCCGACAAAATAGGGATCTAGACTAGCCAAATAGTACGTATAGAGTCAAGGTGACTAGGCAGCAGGTAACTACAAGAGTAGATCACTACCCCTGCACCTGTGAGCCCCTCTACTTACAACCCCAGTCACCTGGCAGGAGTGGCTTGTACATAAATACAAGTCTAGGCACGTCAAGGTTCCCTTCCAGGTCTTTCATGCTAAACTAGTCTATGATTAGGCAGAATATTGCCAAAGGATATTTGGGAAATTCTGCTTCCCATATGCTGGCTATTACGCTGCCTCTCAGCATGCAGCAATGTGGATTGCAATTGTTCAAACTTTTGGCCTTGTTCCATGTCAAGATCCATAAATTCCACAGCTGACACAACGGGGACGTGGAGCGGAGAGTAGGGCCGGGACTACAGGATACAGGCACGGTAACTACCAGATGGGAGCTGGCTGACTCACGTTTGTAAAGGGAGAGTCTTCTTGCCGGCCTGAAAGGTGGGCGAGAATACGGAACAGGTGAAATTACAAGGGTGATTAGGCAAGTAGTCTTGGTTTCTTTGTTCCTGGCACCAAAAAAAAAAAAAAAAAAAAAAAAAAATGCCTGGTAGAGAGGCATGGGGTTTGAACATCAGCTGGCTGCAGCCGGATTTGGCGTATGCTAGAGGGACTGCAATAATGTATAGATATTTTTAAACGAATATTAATAACTAGGAGAATTAGCACCATTGGCTAAGGTTAACACAGCGGGTGTATTTTGTTCTAGGGCGTTTGACCCAGCGTCTACTATAATCTCGCCAGAAATAGGTTGAAAGAACTAGTGCAGGTGGCAACAAGGACAACCAGAGCTCCTGTGATAAACAATGAAAGTCAACGCCTCCTGCAGATATTTTTGGAGCACTTGCAGCTCCTTCTTTGTTACCAGCTTGGTCATGCGTCTGGCATAAAGACTGTTGCCAGTTCCTTTCTCAGCACGAGAAAAAGAACTCTAGACAGAATAGTCTAACTAGATTATGCATAAGAGGTATAAGATAAAGACGGCAGCTCACGCAGCAGTTGCACTTTGTATCTGGCAACGCAAAGACAGACGCCTACACATTCCCAAGAGACACCATCCACTCCACTCCACTTGCCAAACGGGACGGACTTAACACTTTTCCATCCAATCCAAGATGCGACAATTAAATGTACGGTTAATTCCAGCAAAATCTTAACGAAAGAGAAAAATAGACTGACTTTATACAAGGGCGAGCGCAAGCGCAAGCGCCCAGCAGGAGGAGAACCACCGCAGTCGTTGCAACAGCACCCCCACCTCCCCCAACATCAGAAATGCAAGAGCGGGCTTAAAATCATCCTCGATCCCGAAGACCCAGACTATATCACCAAGCACTGGATTTTAAAGGGCAACACGCTACCCAAGATGGCTCCGCTGGGTCCCAGAGAACAAGCCCTTGCCCCCTTCCTCGCCAGGCCACGCCTTGCGCGATTGACTTCGGACTCGTCAGCGGCCGAGGCAAAAAGCGGCAGGAGCAGTGTATACGGCCAGAAAATCTGCGCGGATCTCCTTGAAGCGCAGGGGTGTTATATGACTGGCTATGACGAGCATGGCATTGCGGTGGAGAGCACGGAGCTGTGCCAGGAACTGCTTGCGAGAGACTTTGAGACGCCCAGCAGGTCAGTATTCGAAGACCAGTCAATCGAAGCTACTCTGGAGGACTTGGAGGCGAGGAATGCGCCCGCTGTCATCCGCATCATGGGGGAGCTGGTTGTCCCCTCGGCCGCAAGTGCACTACGCCTCGGTCAGATCAGCAACAAGAACTTGTCGGTCTCAATAGATGAGCCATGGGACCATTCGATCGCACTCGACCGGGGCCCTGGGGTGAAGCGTCCAAGATATCTGCCATCTTCCCAATCATCCAAGAGCAAAAGGATCCGGCTATTCCAACTCCCCCGTGTCCAACCAGACTATGCTGTTGGATTCTCAAAGTCAGCATTTACCCCCAAACAGCTTGACAGACTCGACCCTTTTCTTGGCTCCGCAGGTGATGTATCTTTTTTCAGGGGAACAAGCAGGATGTACTTCCCATTCATGGTCTCTGAGGTCACATCCGAGAGCGTCTCCCTCCTTATTGCCGGCCGACCTGTCTTACATGCCATGGGCCTCTGTCTCCGTGGAATAGTCAACCTTTTTAAAATGGTGGGCCGCGAAAAGGAGATTGATAGACAAGCCCTTGGCTTCTCCATTACGCACAATGTGCGCACCGTGGTGATATGGGCCCATTACCCGGTCGTTGGCAGCAAAACAACTACCTTTCACGTTCACAAGGTCAAGCGCATCTTCCTCTCCGACTCCGTCGGCAAAGCCAAGTGGACGCCATACAAGTTTGCCCTTGCCATTTATGAGCACTGGGCGCCTGTTCTTCTGAGCAAGCTATGCTCCGCCATCGACCAGATCCCTACGGATCTAAACTTTGACCCGTTGTTGAAAGAACGATCAAGTGCAGACGAAGACCCAGAGGGGAATAGGGATGGGGAGGTGAATGGGGATCAGGGTCGGGGTGAAGATGCGAATGTCTCGAGTTCAAGTTCAAGTGCGGACCCGAAGCGTAAGCCTAGGCCTTCCAAACCCTCCAAGAAACCCAAGCCGCACGCCTCAAACCAGGGTAAAGGTTCAAACTCAGGCGCTGACAAGGGCTCCTCCGATTTTGTGCCGGACGATGGCGATGCGGGCTCCGCTGATGCTGGAAGCCAAGAAGGCTCCTCGTCTTCATCTGTTCCGCCCCTTAGGAAGAGGAAGAAGATGGCAAAGAAGGCGACTAAAAAGACTATGAAGCAACGGTAGAAGACCAGGCCAATTTCCTGATATTGTCAATATTGGTTGTCAGGCGCAATTGGAGGATTGTAATATGGGGTTTGAAGGGATACAGAGTGCCTCTGTGTCTTCTCTTTTTTCCGTTTCACAGTCCAACATCGAAGATCGTGAGGTATTAGACCAGTTTGCTTAGCAGGCAGTACTTGGGCTAGAGAGATGTGGATAGTGAAGATGTTAGGTAAGGCTTCCTGGAATTTTCCAGCGCGAAGGACTTACAGGACCTGGTGCTGACTATACATGACTGCAGGCATTCGTGGCACCCTTGTACCTAAGGACTCGAGGTTTCAGCATCCAAACACCAAGATTTGCTCAGAATTCTCTGCATTTTCCATAGTTCAAGCGTTGTGCCTCCTCTATCTGCTTCACCAGGGTAGATAGATTGCTTATCATTCTAACTGTCTTTAAATCGCCCACCAGCAGCTAGAGTGAGACGGGTAGACCTTTGTTATTTAATGATTCATGAATATCAAAGACACATTTCGGATTCGTACCACGAGAAAAAGCCAGGTTACCTTACTACCAAGTAAAATATGCCAGTTACTCTTTTAAAGAGAGCACTGGGGTCAGAGCCATTGACTACCGGCCTTGTCCTAGACCACATTCAGCGTTTTCCATCCTCGGGCTATTTACTACCTTGGGTACGCGGGTGAGCATGCCTCTATCACGTACTATTATCATTTGCCATCTTCTCCTCCCACATAATAACAATTTGATCCTTCGCCCTCTCCATCCGCTCCACAACCCCGTCTTCAACGCCTCCACCGAGCCCTGTCACATCAACCTCCCTCCTCTCCAAACTCTTCGCCTCGACAAACCACCCACTTGTACGTGTAGCCTGAGGCACCGTCACAACGCGCTTCACAAATTCCGCGACACCCTCTACCCCCATCCGCCCAACCTCTCTCTTCAGAAAAAGATGCGAAAAACAGTGTGGCATAGCCTCATACTGCTCCCAGACAACCTTCACACCTTGCTTTGCTAAAATGGATGCAAAGACTTTACATTCGAGACTAATCGCCTCCTCGCCGCATGAGATGAAGATTGGCGGAGCACCCTTCCAGTGCTCCGGGCTGGCAGCAAGAGGCGAGACGAGCGGGTGCGATAGCATACTCGCCGTGCAAAATATCTCTGCGCGCGCTGGTGTACTCGGCCAGAATTTGCAGGGTGGTGAGGATGCGACGGGGTTATGCGTTGGTGAAGAGAGAGGGAGGTAATCGAATGGCGTTGGGGAGCGCAAGCTGCGGGTGAGGTCAAGTGTAGGCGAGATTAGGGCAAGGCCTGCGGGGGTGGGAATGGGGACGGGTATACCGCTCTCTTGCGCGGAGCGCTGGAGGTAGAGGATTGTTTGGAGGAGGGCGAGGGCGAGGTTTCCGCCTGATGAGTCGCCGCCGAGGACGATGTGTTCTGGTCTCACTGGGTCGTGTAAGGACCCATCGTGTGGGTATAAGAGCAAGAGGTAGACGAGTAGAGCGTCGAGGAGCTGCGATGGGAAAGGGTGTTGAGGCGCGAGGCGATATCGGACACTTAGGGCTCGACCGCCTGTTAACCGTGCATATTCCGCCACAACGCCCCTGTGGGACGCAGGGTCCATGAGGTAGTACGAGCCGCCGTGAAAGTACAGTAGAACGACAGGACTGGTCACCTCATTCATAAGGCACCTATACTTATCCCCCTCATCGATCTCCAGCTCCGGCGTGGTAGCGATCTCCACAAGGCGATACCCCGTCCACTCCGCCTCAACAGGTTCCATATCAGGGATATAATACTCCTGCCTCCCATTCCCAAGCGCCTGGACAGCGTCAAGCATCACGTTGCGAAGCGACTCACTTGGAAAAACAGGAAAAGTCACCCTACTAATCCACATCTCGCCACGGACAGGCCGATCCTGGATCGTGCGCTGCTGTTGAGCGGATATGCTCGATTTGTGTGATTGCGAGAGTATTGCACGTAGAGTTGCCACAGTTAGTAGGGTGTGGAGGTCCCATTTCCTTGATGTCGGGGAGAGGCCGAGCAGGTGGAGGATGAGGGTTTTGAGGATTGCGGGGGTTGTTGTTAGTAGGGAAGTGAGGGCTTGGAGTGGTATGGACATTTTGATGGTTATAGAAGAAAAGCTAGGAGGTTTCGTGACGGTGAGGATCCTCTGGAAGAGATGTGGAGGTTCTAGGTTCTTATGTTATGGGCTTATGTTGGAGCCTCGTATACGAGGCCACGTGGAGAGGAATTGCTTGGCTGTCTGATATCGAAGGAATATCGGCTAGGAGTAAAGAATATTAAATAGCCACAGAGTTTATGGTACAGGTACCATGAAAAGTATCCCTCTAGTCAAAGATTGGGTATTAACCAAAGCAAGTGAAATACGTACTCCTGCCGTTACCTCTTGTTGTATATGGGAAACGAAAGCAACACCAATACCTGGTTCAGGCTTCTATAGACCCTGGTAATGGGTTCATCATGAGGCAACTATCTGAGTGGATAGTATGGTATGAGTTTATACGTAGACCCTGATAGACAACGATCCAAGCCCGGGGCTACTTAGCAACGTCCGAGCTACAACGCCATCTACCTCTCCACAAGCTTTCGCGAGTAGAGCACCGACCTCCCCTCAAACTCAGGGCCACCCACCTCTTCTTCGCCATCCCATCCCCGAACATGCACCCAAACCCTCTCCCCAACAGCCTCCCCCTTCCTCGCCCCCTGCACAACATCATCCCCTTCACTCCCCTGCCTTGTATTCTTCCAAACATCCCACCCGCCCTTGCCCTCCTTGAACCTCTCCCCCACCGGCTCACCCTCCTCACCCCCAACACCTTCATCAACACTGACCACAACACCCTCCCCACCAACGGGTAACTCGTTAATATCAACCTCAATCTGCCTCAGCCAGATATGCTGTACATGCTCAAAGAGCCTGGGAAGGAATTTCTCTGCATACGCTTTGTCGGCTTCGTTGTTGAGTTCTTGGGATTAGTAGCCCGTTATCATGAGCATGTGGCTTGGCTTATTCGCTATGGTGTAAAAGGCGTGTGTTGGGGCATTGTTATCGTTTTCGGGGGCGGAAGTTCGATTGTAATGTGGATTCGTGAATGACGAGCATAGTTCGAGGATTTCGGCTAGGAGGGGTGTTAGGGTTGAGGGGTCGTGTGAGGGGTCCTTCAAGGTGAAGAGCCAGAATTTTGTTAAGGAGGGCATTGCAATTGGTAGTTTTTGTTTCTGGGTTTGGGATGTGGCCTTTTCAGGACAAATTGGCTAGAAATGGAGTAGATAGGAAACAACCGTGTGGCTTAGAGGAAAGAGTAAGAGGAAGTTGGGTATTTATACATCGGGTGTACCACGGCCTGGGGGCCAATTCTGTGTCCATGCATGACTGGTGGATCTGCATCAGCACTTGTCAAGCTATATGGGCTAAGCCTTGTTTTATACGCGCAATAGCCTGTAGGTAACTTTGGTTTGTCATTAAGACCCACAATACCAAACATAAGCCTTTGTTCAATGATGTAAACTTCGGGGCCCAGAGGTTCGAAATGGCAGGTCTTAACCACCCGCCCTAGTAGGATCTTCGGACTGTTGCCTTACTTCTTCACGGAGGCCAACTACAAGATTCAAAAGGCGGGGACGTCTCACATAGATAGAGATAGAGATGTTAGTGGTTTGAGCGCTGTCAGGGAACAAAAGAATAGGGGATTCACAATATACATCGTGGTGATATCCGCTGTGTATTTATGGAGTATGTTGATATTCACCTCGGAGCATATTCAAGGCAAGAGCTTAGAACTATAGCATTTCAGTAGGGGTTATTTTTCCACAATCCACGGGCGCCTATAGGTCAATTGATAAGGCTTCAAGTGCGTAGAAATCTCCCAGCTTGAGAAGAAAACCGTACTAACTAATAATCTACGATCTATGGCAGAGGAGCAACCACATTCTACATTACCAGCCTTGCCGTACAATCATGCGTCAATCAAAGCCCATTTCCCAGCTCGGGAGAATGGCAAATATCTCCTGTATGCCTTATCTCTTAAAGTTCATCAAAAAAAAATGAATGGGGATTTCTCTTTCATCACGTCGAGCAAGTAAATCAATTGCACTGAATTTTCCTCGCAGAAGTGTCAGATTCCTATCATCTAGATGTCAATAAGCCTCGCCTCGAAAGTTTGTTCGAGGTTACTGTCCCATCCTAGTTAGGCTTGGGTTCGTTTATATCATAGACGCAAGTATCCCGATGAGAGTCGAATACATGCCTCTTTAAACTGTTCAAAGGCAGTCAGACCTGCAATCTGTTAGGATACAATGTCGTGTTGCACATTCCAAGCAACTTACCTGATTGTTCACGGAGCAAAACCTAACGCAGTTGGTTGGCCGGTGTATCATAAAAGGTGAGTTCATATAGCTGTGCACCATGGCTCTCGAGCTTCAGTCGGGATCTGAGGCTAGGAAGGCTCACTCTGATATTCTTTATACTTGGTCCCGAGCCCGCGGCTCTTTGACGACTACACAGGCGTGCTCAACATGTACAAAAGAGCTACCCCTTGAATGTAATAAAGTTGATCTTTCGCTGGGTTGACAGCCTTATCCGTATCCAGCTTCTGTCCATGGTAGCAGGCATACTTGGACCAAGTTATGAACTGGCCGAACCTTGCCCCACGCGTTGTTCTTCGGCCACAGATAGTTGAAGAACTGCCTTACCTTTGGACTGCCTTGCCTTTCAAAGATAGTGGTGGAGCCGAGAACACTGCTAATTTCAATGACAGACAGTTTTGTCTTCGTCCTGAATCATGCCAGATTCCCGATGTTTCTGACTGCATGGTTTCTGTTTCTTGTCCTGCAGCTTGCCTCGTATAGACCCTCCATAATTACGAGGCCCTCTGCATGGTGATTCGTCCCAGCGCAAAAGCCAAGCATCGCCCAACAGCGCCGAGAGCACTGTATCAGTGTGTCCCCTTCCTCGACTTCCAAGCTCTTCTTCATCTGGGGCATTGTGTTAGCAAAATCGTTACATTCAATATGTATGGAAGGAGCTAGAACTGGAATTAGCATACTCCCAAGCCCGCTATGATCTCCAATTCTCGAGACTAGAGTAGAACAATTGACTCACATCACATTCAAAATAACCCTCTTGAGTCAAACAATCTCGCAAAAATGATTGTTTGTTGTCCAACTGACTCTCCTCTACAGCTGACGTCATCAGCGAATCAACGAATCCACTGCGCTAGTCCCAAAACGGACCCCTACTCTATCGAATCCCTCAAATACTTCAATCTTGCAATCCATCATTGACCGGAAATATCAAAATCAAAATGAGTGACCAAGACGTCAAAGATGCCGTCGCAAAGGAGCTGTCCGACAGCCCGTACCCCTGCTCAACCCTGACCCAGCTGAGCGGTGGAACAGCCAACTTCGTCTACCGCGGGGTCCTCTCTGAACCCCTACAGGATGGCAAGACGACGGTGATAGTCAAGCATACGGAGGATTATGTTGCCTCGAATCGGGACTTTAAGTTGAGTGCGCAGCGCTGTGTATGTTTCCCCTCAAGGCTCCCCACGGTCCTCACATCATATATCGAATATCCCGCTGACCGTATACACAGCTCGTCGAAGAATCGGCCCTGCGCGGCCTAAACGCCTTCCACAGCGTAACGACAACAAACTCGAGCACCGGGGGCCAGAAGTTCCAAATCACCGTGAAAACACCAGGACTCCTGCACTTCAACCCTGCAACCAACACGCAGGTAATGGAAGATCTCCCCAGCGCACTGGACCTAAAGACATTCCTCCTCTCGCCGTCCGTCTCGTCGGCAATCTCGCGCGAGTGGGCGACATCCATTGGCCGGACGCTGGGGATCTGGTTGCGCTCGTTCCATACGTGGATCGATGACCCGGCGCAGGCGGAGGTTGCGAGCGGGTTCGAGAAAAATGAGACCATGAAAAAGCTCAAGTTCTCGATTAACTATGATAGTCTGCTGAATATGGTGGGTGCGCATCCGGATTTGCTGGATGAGAGTCGGGGGGTGTTTGAGCGGGTGCGGGAGCGGGCTGCGGCTGAGCTTGAGGAGGGGGTTGGCGGGCCTATTGGGGCGATTCATGGGGACTTTTGGTCGGGGAAGTATGTACCCCTTCCATTACTTATATTTGGACAAGCTTGGCTGACAATTATAGCGTCCTGATCCCCAAAACTGCTCTCGACCAACCACTCCCCGTAACCCCGCTCTTCATCATAGATTGGGAGCTCGCTCAGGTCGGGAGTCGGGCACTTGATCTCGGCCAGATGATCGCCGAGCTGTATCTGCTGAAGCACTTTAAAGACATCGATGCTGGACTCTGGGTGATTGAGGGGTTTGCGGAAGGCTACCAAGATATCAGCGAGGAGATGGCCTTCCGGACACTCATCCACGTCGGGGTTCACCTCATCTTTTGGGGGAGCACAGTAGCTGGCTGGGGGACTCCGGAGCAAGTTCGCGATGTTGTTCGTGTTGGGAGGGATCTCATCACGAAGGCAGATGGGAAAGATCGCGAGGCATTCAAGGGAGAGGTTTGGGAGGCGTTGTTTAGGGCTTAGCGGACTAGGTCCAGCGGGGTTTGAAACTCAGCCGAGACAGCAGACACGATTCAACAGTTTCTCATTAGATTATGTAGATTCTTATTGATGGGGAACGTACCAGATTTCTACGAGTAAGCGTGGTGTGCCGCAAGCTGAAAATATTGAGAAGCTTGTCAATAGGCTATAGCCGGGTACACATCACGGAGCTGAGCTGAGCTGAATAGGATGTACAAATCTTGCGGGCCACGTTTTCTACAAGCTTACACCTTCGTCTACCTCCAAAAGATTCACTCTACTTTCTTTCCCTCTTTTCTTTTCGCCTTCATCCGCATTCCAGTGTATCCACCACGGCCATGCCAAACCACACTCCCTCCCCCTCCGACGAGGACCTCCTCCCAACCCTGATAACAACCCTCTCAAAAGAATCCCCGCAAACCCTCTGGGCCGAATATCCCTCCTCCCCAAAATCCTACAATCTTGGCTTTACGCAAATAACCTACGCGCAATTCGCCAACGCAATCAACAACTGCGCGCACTTCCTCGCAGAAACCCTTGGTCGAAGTGACACGGGAGAGCCGCTCGCCTGGCTTGCGCCTAATGATCCGCGGTGCGCGATTGCCAATGTTGCGGCTATGAGGGCGGGGTTCAAAGTTCGTTGTTGTCTTTCTTATAGTTTTCTTCTCAGATGGATTTGTCGTTTTGGTGTAGGCAGAGGTTAACTTGTTAGAGTAGATATTCCTCATCTCAGAGCGGAATAGCGTTGCGGCGAATTATAAGCTGTTCGATGAGGTGCAGTGCTCGACAATCCTGACGACTAGTTTGGCTTTTGCGCCTGTGCAGGCGACTCAAGCTGGAGATGGAAAAGGAGTTGGGGATGGATCGCGAAAACAGCTCGTCGTCATTGAGCTGCCGTCACTGGAGACACTCCTCACCGAGATTCGTCCGGAATACCCCTTCCACAAGACGCTTTCTGCCTCCGCGAGGGAGGCCGCGCTTATAGTTCATACATCTGGATCAACGGGTTTGCTTTCGCTACGCCAGACCAGGATATGCTTATGCTGACAGGGTATGTTGTGCAGGCTTCCCAAAACCAATGTTCATAACGCACGAATTCCTCGCGAAGACGATGCGGAACTTTCGAATCACGGCACCCGCGGGATATATCACGCAGACGTCCTTAATAGAGAAGAAGCAGTGTGTGTGCTTTCTCCCAATTGGCCATGTATGTCTTCCTCCCCTTCCCCTTCCATCAGTTCAAGTCGTGACCACTCAACCCTAGAAGTACGAAGGATACTAAGACAATGTATGAGCAAAACAGCCCGCAGGAGTCACATTCACCCTCCTTCTCCCCCTAACAACCCAGTGCAGCATAATCCTCCCACTCTCACATATCCCCCCTACAGGCGAAGCCCTGGTCGAAATCCTGCGGCATACAAGCGCGGACTGGGCGGCGCTCGCACCGCTAACTCTTGAGACTATGTCGAAGAATATCTCTCTGCTAGATGTGCTAGATTCCAAACTCGAGACCCTCGTCTTTTCTGGTGGAAGTCTGCCGAAGGTCTTTGGGGATGAGATTGCACAACGGAGGAGACTGAAACTGCTTTCGTTCCTGGGATCCTCGGAGACGGGGCCGCTGCAGGCGATTTATCGCGAGGGGTATGACTTTGTGAATGATTGGAATTATTTGCAGTTTCCGGAAGAGCTTGGGGCGCGTTTTGACCTGGTCCCTGATAGAGGAAGTCGTCACGGTAGAGAAGGACAAGCAGAGAGAGATGAAGATGGGGGAGTCTATGAACTAGTCTTCACCAAAACCCCGGCAACAGCGCCCTACCAAGCCGTCTTCGCCTCCTACCCCGATCTCACTGAATTCCGAACAAAAGACCTCTTCACGAAACATTCCTCGATCCCCAACCTCTGGACCCATGCATCCCGCTCCGACGACGTCATTGTCTTCTTGAACGGCGAGAAGGTGAATCCCGTTGATTTTGAAAGTCGGGTTTGTCGACATCCTACTGTTGCGGCGGCGCTGATGTTTGGCGAGAAGAGATTCGAGGCGGGGGTTCTTGTTGAGCTGGTTGATTCGCAGAAGAAGGGGGATTTGTCAGTTGCGGAGAGAGCGAAAGTTGTGAAGGATATATGGCCCGTTATTGAGGATGCGAATGCGATTCTTCCGGCTTATGCGCGGGTTGATGAGGCGCATATCGTTTTTACGGAAGTGGGCAAATCGGTGCTGAGGACGTTAAAGGGGACGGTTAGGAGGGCGGCGACGCTTGAGTTGCATAAGGAGGCGATTGAGAAGGTTTATACGGATGTCGAAGAGATGGAAGGTGCTGTTCCGGGTCAATTGCGACGTGCGATAGGGTCAGAGGTTGAGGTTCAGGAGCTCGTCCGTCAAGCTGTGCAAGAGACCATGAAGATCGATGAGACGGAGATGACCGAAGACTTCTTCAGCCGCGGAATGGACTCGCTGCAGGTCCTCCGCCTGATTCGGCATTTGCGGGGGGGTACAGCCCTAACCGGGATAACGCCGAGTATGGTGTATCTGAACGCGTCTATCAGTGCGCTCTCAAGCGCGATATATCAGCTCGCACAGAACAAGCAGATCTCCGAGCAACAGAAGCAAGAGGACCAGCTGAACATTCGAAGAGAGATACTCCAGAGACACCTCGATGCCATCGACGCCCTCGATACCAAGCCCTCGTCAAGCCAACGAAGCAAAAATGAAGGCAAAGTGATCCTCGTCACAGGCTCAACCGGCACAATCGGCAGCTACATCCTCTCCGTCCTTCTGGACCGGGAAGATATAGACCACATCTACTGCCTCAACCGCTCCCTGAACTCAGAAACTCTGCAACGGGAGCACAACGCCCACCAGGATCCGGCCCTGCCAATCACCTTCCCTGAGTCAAAGGTCACATTCCTAACAGTCGACCTGGCACATCCAATTCTGGGCCTCGACGGTGCAGTCTACGAAGCCCTAAGAGACAGGGCGACGCATATCATCCACAATGCATGGAAAGTCGACTTTAACCTCCCGCTGCAGGCATTCGAACCGCAGCTGCTTGGGACGGTTAATTTGATCCGTCTCTGTGCGAGCGCTTCTCGAGCCCCGACGATCGTGTTTATATCGTCTGTCAGTGCGGTTATGAACTTCTCTTCCACTTTCTCATACCAGAGTACCAATCAGACCCCCATTCCGGAGTCGATTATCGAAGACATATCCGCCCCGGCATCAGCAGGCTACGCAGAAAGCAAATACATCGCCGAACGCCTCTTATCCCACGCCGCTGACAGGCTCAGAATCAGCGCGAAGATCATCCGTCTCGGGCAGATTGCTGGTGCCGCGAAAAGTCCTGGGAGCTGGAACGCTGCTGATTGGGTTCCCGCTCTTGTTCTTGGGTCGACGGGGCTTGGTGCTATTCCGGATGCACTTGATGGCGGAGTGGATGGTGGCGGTGTGATCGATTGGGTCCCTGTTGATTCCATCGCGGAGGTGATTGTTGATATTGGGGTCCATTACGACTCTCAGCACGGTCCAAGCTCGGACTCAAACTCGGGCGACCGTGCCCAGAGAGATGCTGATACTTCGACTGGGAGTGGAGATGTCTCCATCTTCCACCCGCTAAACCCTCACGGAACAACATGGTCCTCGCTCCTGCCCCCAATAATCTCAGTCCTCGAGTCCCAATTACGTCCCGGCTCGCACCACGACCAGTCCCAACGGAAACGGGCTATCGAGGTCGTCCCACCAGCCGAATGGCTCTCCAGGCTCCGCGCCGCGGCGAGGCAATCGCTTTCAACGAGTGATGGTGGTGAGAACCTGCCTGTCAGTAGGAATCCTGCGCTGCGTCTGCTTGAATTCTTCTCTCAGAGGCTTGATGGTGTGAATGCGGGCCCAGAAACCAAGGTTTGGGAGACTGGGAATGCAAAGAGGGTTAGTAAGGCGTTGCGGGGGGTGCAAGCGATAGATGGGGAGTTGATGGGGAGGTGGGTTGAACAGTGGGTCCTGGGCATGAAGGAGTAAAACCGATACATATATCTTCGGGTATAGTTCGTCACCATAGCAAAGAAGTCAGTATATACAAGGAGACAACGCCACCATAAGCTCAGTCATCAGCCTATACACTGGTAATCCCCGCCTTCATCGCTGTCCTCCCATCCGCGGTCAAAATCTCGACAACCCCCTTCCCCTCTTTCTCCTCAAGCACAATCCGATACTCATCCCCAGCATACAACGGACTCGTCGCCCGGTAACTGATACTCTCCGGATACAGCAGATCCAACGATCCATCCCTCCCATCCGCACCGCGCAAATCGCGCCACAGGTCCAAGATAGAAATCAGATTCAGCGGGCCGTGCACAACGATGTCCCTGTGTCCCTCGACGTCGCGCGCCCAGGGGAGCGAGTAGTGGATCTTGTGCGGGTTGAAGGTGAGGGCGCTGAAGCGGAAGAGCGTCACGGCTGTTTGGGTTAGGGTTCGTGTGTGCGTGTTTCCTGTTGATGTTGTGGTGCTTGTTGCTGGGTGCGGGGTTGGTGGGGAAGGCGGCGGGAGGGTTGAGGATGCTTCTGCTGTTGTTGAGGGTGTTAATGGTGGGAGGGCTTTTCGGAAGACCCAATTTCTATACTCGGTTGATTAGAATCATGAGCCTTCTACATGATACGCTGCAATGTAGAGGAACGGTATACGCACCGCCGATCAACAACCGCAACACCCCCCTCATTCGCAAACTCCTTCTCAACACCCACAACAATCATCTCCTCCCCCGTCTTGCGGACAACCTTCGGTTCCGCACTTAGTACCCTCGTCGTCTCCGTAACCCGCTGTCCCACGCGCAACGGATTGGCCCTCCCGGACCCATCCCTTGGCCACGAGACCTCCCCGCCCGCCCACATGCGCCGCGTAAAAGGATGCGACGGGTTATAGCTTGTGTCCGTGCCATCCGCGCCGAGTTCGGTCTCTAGAAAGGCTGGCGTAAAGTAGACGAGGTGGTAACCTGGTGGGAGCGGGGTTCCGGCGGAGACCTCGGTGTCGATGGCATTGTCTGCGGTGGGGGTGGTTGTTGTGCTGGAGAGCGCGGGTAAGGAGGGGAAGAGCGAGGAGCGGTTGAGAGTTAGTGAGAGGAGGCGCAGTTGATTTGGATCGAGTGTTTGGGTGCGGATTTGGGGGCCTAGCGATTGGAAGCGGTTGAGGAAGGAGGACGCGATTGTCGATGCGGAGGTGGATGAGGATGAGGAGAAGCGGAGGTTGCGGAGGTGTTTGGTGAGGAGCCGCGACGGGCGGGTTGCTGTTGTGAGGAGCATCGTCATACTGTCCAGTGCAGTCGGTGCGATATCGATTGTCCAGCTCAAGATAGTCAAAATTCAGAATTGGCTGGTTTGCTCAAGAAGAAGAGCGTGCGGAGTTAAATTATGTTGGGGGGTTGGCTAGAATACCTCGGATGCGGTATCCCGAGCCCGTAACAGAGCATAAAGGCGTTTTCCGAGAGACTCGCCTTTTAGCTTATCTGAAACTCGCTGGAACCTGTCAGGTCAGATGCCTACTTCACAACTGATCAACGGTCAACGGCGATCGAAGAGTCGTCATACAGGAAGCTATCTACACGGCACGCCGAATATGGCAGTATCGGAAATCTACTGAATTAATTGCACGAATCTGAGGATAAAGATCTATAGCTTCACCTGTCCACCCTGAAGCTTGTTCCAGTCCTTCTCCTCGAACGGCACATAAGTGTCGCCTTGAAGCCAGTACAGCTTATCCGTGGCCCCCACCTTACCCGGGTCGACACCCTCGGTGCGCAGCACGTGCTTCTGCTGCTTGTTGTTGCCAGTGGCTTGCATCTCAGTGGTGACGCGCAGGAAGATTGGCGCAGCGAATCGAGGTAGGTTGCGCAGAGTATGTGCCGCAAGACTCTTGAATGTCTCTGGAGTTGGAACGACGAGGACCGAGGGGTCCGCCGCCTGCAGCTGTTGGCTGAACACAATGGCTGCACAGCCTGCACGGCCATCATGGTTCGGTAATGTTACACCATAAACGTTGGCCTCGTGCACTTCCGGGTGAACTCCCAAAACCTCCGAGACTTCGCTGGTGGACACGTTCTCACTCTTCCATCTGAATGTGTCGCCGAGCCGGTCTGAAAAGTACCAGCGGCCTTCGGTATCCCATTTGATCATATCGCCAGTGCGGAAATAGGCATCGCCTTTGCGGAGCACGTCACGAATGATCTTGCTCTCCGTCGCCTTTTGGTTGCGGTAGTATCCCTGGAATGTCTCCGCGGGGTCGAGCGGGTCGATGGCGTACAGAAGCTCGCCTGCTTCGCCTCGAGGGACTGCCTTACAGAACCCTGTCTGAGGATCGCGCCATGGCTCCTGCGATTCTTGATCCACCTCGACAATGGTCAAGCCTCGACTAAACAGCCATCCGCTGAACAAGCCGTTGCGCCCGATCGCTCCCGCTCCAAAGTCGTTCGTCGAAAAGTTCCAAGTTCCTGATGTACCTTCAGTGGCAGCGTAGAACTCTGCAACCGTTGGCACGTTGAAGCGCTCCTTGAACCGATTCCAGACGTCCGGTCGTAGACCGTTTCCATACACCATGCGGACATTATGCTTCTTGTCCAGATCCTCTCCCGTGACAGAATCGATGTCGGGAGGGGCAGCAAGCAGATACCGCAGAGTTTCACCCACATATTGAATGACTGTAGCGTCGTTCAGGCGAGCCTCTTTCATAAAGCTTCTCGCGGAGAATTTGCGCCCGACAATAAGCGTGGATCCGACAATCAATGTAGCCACAAAAGCCAGAACAGCAGCGGACGAGTGATAGAGGGGCATGCACTGATCATGTTAGTACTATACCGACATGGGGCAAGCAGACATACGGTGAAGACACGGTCAGTCTTGGCCAATTCGATGAACGTGCTGACAAAGATGCTTCCAGTCCAGCACTTCCTCCAACTGACAATGGCAGGTTTTGGCAACCCTGTCGTGCCGCTGGTGTAAATCAGTACCGCCATATCCCTGAGATCAACGCCTGCGCGTGCCTTGTCATCCTCCCGGATGGCCTCGGTCTGCAGGATCTGAGCCTCAATATCAGGCGTGTGGAAGATAACCTCGATTGACCCGCCATCTTCCCGAAAATCAGGTGCGGCGAACGTTGCCAGCTCGTCGGGACCAAAGGACGAACGAACGTCTTCGTCGACGATCAACAGTCGAGCGGTAGAGGTGCGGACAGAATGTGTCAAAGGCTTCCCGGTCAGGTTATAGTTGATAAAGGCAGGCACCGCGCCGATACTCCAGAGTCCAAGCCAGATGAACAGGAAAGTCGACGAGTTCATCATGTCCAGAGCAACAATCTCACGGGACTTGATGCCGTGGACTTTCTTAAACCATGTGCCATATCGCAAGGCGGTCACATACGTCTCGTGGAATGTCCAGCTGCGGCCGTTGAAGACGATGAAGGGGCGGTCTTTCGAGGTCGGATCCAACGCATGAGCTTCCAGAAGGTAGAAGAGGTTCAGATGGTCGCGACGCTGCGCAAGGCGGGATTTGATGATCGACTTGAAGAGGCCGTGGAAAATCTTCGCGTCGTAGAAGAGGGAATACCTGGCGTTCAAATAAGCAAGTGTCGTCGCAAGCGCGGGGCCGGCAAAGGCGAGGGGAAGATCTGTCCCAAGTCGTTAGAAGGCCCGGAGCAAGAATTTAGGATATACATACCAAGCGGCAGCGGAACAGGCATGGCGAACAAGCACCAAAAGGTGAGGGTATCTATAGGTAAGTGGGATGTCTATGGAGGGCGGCGGGAGGGAAGGGATGGTTTGCCAATTAAAGGGAACACTCAGAGGACCGAGGAACGGGAGTAGAGGGACAAAGCGGCCATGGGACAAAGCGCGGAGGATCCAGACTGAGAAGTTTGCATCGGAGTCAGCCAGGCAATAATATGGGCCATATGGGGAGCTGAATTGAAAGGGAGCTGGGCATTGAGGAGAAGCGGCAAACGTGCCTCGGCCTGATTGTGATTCTAGCGGCAAGTCGGAAGCGGCAATTTGGGCTCAAAGAGATGGAGCTGCCAATCAGAATCATGATGAATCATGATTAAACAACATTGTGGAGGCCTGCTGATCGTCACAAAGAGCTCCAGCTGCAAATCTGTGGAGAAACACAGGAGATTCTTGCTGCAGTTGATTGTGCCACGGAATGTTTGTATAGCTTGTCACATGTTCCCCAACGGTTTGGTCAACCAGAAATTTTCTCTATACATCTTGATCTCAACCAAGTCAAAGTCTATAAATTAAGCTGTGGCCTTCTTTTTAATCACTGGCACATCTTCATATCCATCATCCAAGAACGTCGCCAATGCCGCTAGTGCTTCCTCCAGCACGTGTGTCTCGCATACATATCCGATCCGCACATAGCCATGGAATTCCTCGCCGTTTCCGAAGCACAAGCTGCCGGGCACAAACATGACCCCGGTCCGCTCGAGGAGCGTTTCGCAAAAGGAGACATCGTTTACAGGCTTGCCCATTTTGTTGAACCGAACAAACGCCGTAGTCCCGGCTCGAGGCTTGACCCAGTCGCACGCCCACCGATGCGACTCAATGAACTTCTCCAGGATCGCAAAATTCGTTTTTGCGAGCTCTATGTTCCGCCTTAGAAGAGCGTGAATGGTACTTGGTGCTAGAGCGTAGCTTGCAACCGCATCATCTAGCTGCGAGACTGAAATTGTTGTATAGTCCCGAGCCGAGGCGCAGGCTTCAATGATAGATCGATCGCGGGACGCTATCCATCCTACGCGAATGCCAGCCAAACTGTAGGCTTTGGACATGGACCCTGTTACGATCGTGCGCTCGTAGCCAAGCGACAGGACAGACGACGGAAAGTCTGCGTCCATCGGGGTGATGGAATGGAAGAGCGGACGGTATACTTCATCGCAAAAGACATATATGGATGACTCGCGCGCAGTCTCCACTATCTCCTCCAGAGTGCTCTGGGGAATAATAGCCCCAGTGGGGTTCTGAGGGTTACTATTCTAGTTAGCACCCAACCAAATCTGGAGGAAACTATTGGGGCAATACTTGATGATGATAAGTTTGGTGTTTGGACGAATGAGCTCCTTTAGCTCGTCCAAATCCAACTTCCACCCGTCGGCCTCTTTCGACTTCCATAGGCTTACATCGGCTCCAAGAGATGCCGGGACCGAGTATAGCTGCTGATAGGTGGGGTAATGGCAGATAACATGGTCTCCAGGGCCAACCAAGGTGTACAGCAGGAGAAAGTTGGCCAGAATTGCGCCTGGAGTGACTAGAATGTTATCCGGTGGTAATGGAGTTGGTGTCCTCACGGAGTACAGATTGGCGAGGGTCGTTCGTAGTCGTTCAGAGCCGCGAATCGCACCGTATGTGAGCTTGGTGTCAAAAATATGCTCTAGCGGTTGAGACTCCGGGTCCTCGGAAAGCGCCTGGAGATCTTTCACTGACACTGAGGCGCTGCACGTCTCTGCCACGTTATACTTGGCCGTCGTCTCATACTTGTCCATCCACTGGTGGGATTAATTTCGGTCACAATAGGTCCGAAGAATGCGGGGGTGTTGGTGCACTCACTTGTTCCACGGCGAAGTCTTTGATCTGAACCATGATGTCGGAGTCAAACTTGAGCGAAGCGTCGAGTACAAGTAAACCAAGACGAACATCAAACAAGATTCCAATCGCACGACAGATGCAGACGCCCTTGTGGTGACAATTCGGCACCGCATCACGTGGGGAAAAGCGGAGATTGCCTTTCTCGGATAGCCTGCACTATCCAAGCCCGTCCATGCATGGCACGTTGCAGCAGGGCATTTCCATTCAACTTCGCGTAAAGGAAAGGGGAGGATGTGTAGTATTCAAGATGTCAGCTCACATGGAAATTTTAAGGTTGAATTCTTTCCCATCCTTCGGTGAGACGCACCTGTTCCCGGGGTGTTGACAGGTGGATGCCCCAGGCCGTACGACTCGGCGTGCTTGCTCCTCCGCCCTCGTCATCGCCCCGTTTCACCCCAACAACCCAGCGCCAACCTCCCCTTCTCTCTGCCTTGTTTCCATCCTTGCTCTCCTCCTTTCATCCGACCGCTCGTTTTATCAATGTTAGCGATTGTGTCTATTGCATATATATCTTGATTCCTCTGTCATTTGTCTGTGGGATACGAGCCCTGCATCGTTCCTGGCGATCTCGCCTTACTCCGCACCTCTTCAGAGAGATCGCCGCCATCGCTGGCCGACCAGCGCGTGCCGAGCAACATGCGGTTAAGGTCGACATTGCAACTCTCGCTGGCGCTTGGCCTCTCGATATGCACTTCCGCCGTTCTAGCACAAGGGAACAGCTCTGCCGCTGACTTGGATTCTCTCCTCTTCTCAAGCCTCGATGATCGTCCCGGCGAGTGTCCTCCGTGTTTCAACTGCCAGCTCGACGCCTTCCAATGCACCCAATTTGCGTCTTGCGATAAATATAGCGGAAAATGTCTATGCCCGCCTGGTTTCGGAGGGGAAGACTGCTCAACTCCGGTGTGCGGGTCACTCCCAGATCGTCAGCGCCCTCCGCGGAAGGATAAATATTGTCAATGTAAGGAAGGCTGGGAAGGCATCAACTGCAACGTCTGCCAGACAGACGATGCCTGCAGTGCGATGATACCCGGTGGTGAGGATGGTGTCTGCTACAAGCAAGGCGTTACGGTGAAGGAGAACTTTCAGATGTGTGATGTGACAAACCGAAAGATCCTGGACCAGCTGAAGGAGCGCAAACCACAAGTGACATTTGCTTGCGAAGCCGAGGACAAGACGTGTAACTTCCAATTCTGGGTCGACCAGAGAGAGTCCTTTTACTGCGGCTTGGAGAACTGTGAATGGGGCCTTGAAACCGAATACAATCAAAACAAGACACACTATCGATGCGAAAACATCTCATGCAAGTGCATTCCTGGTCGTATGCTCTGCGGTGAGGAGGGTTCCATCGACATTGGTGATTTCCTCGACCAGTCCATCAAAGGCCCGGCTTCGTTTTCGTCGCAATCCACTGTCGGGGGCGACGAGAAGGATGGCAGCACATTCAAGGAGCCGGCAATGGATAACCTGATCAAGAGCGTTTTCGGAGACGAGAGTATCACACTCCAATGTCGGTCAGGCGAATGTCTCCACAAATCAGAAGTGCCAGGGTATCAGCGTCCTGTGAAGAAGATCAACACTCCGCTTATTGCAGGTGTTATTGCTGGTTGTGCCCTCTTTGTCGTCGCAGTGATACTTGGCCTTTGGTATCAGTCACGTCGTTCTCGATACACCCGACTCCAGACAGCCCTTTCGGACGAATCCGATGACGAAGCATCCAAGCTCCTGGCCGAGCATCGGCCGGCCGCGCTGTATTGGGACAACGTTTCCTACTACGTCAACGGAAGAGAGATTCTTACTGGTATTCAGGGCGCCGCACCACCTGGTCAGATTACCGCTATTATGGGTGCCTCTGGCGCAGGAAAGACCACTTTCCTTGACCTTCTGGCCAGAAAGAACAAGCGGGGCATTACCCAAGGCGACTTCTACGTCAACGGAGAGAAGGTTGGCGACTCCGAGTTCAAGAGCATGATTGGTTTCGTTGATCAGGAGGATACTATGCTTCCCACTCTGACCGTCCACGAGACGATTCTGACGAGCGCGTTGCTTCGTCTTCCTCGAGACATGAGCCGATCTGCCAAGGAACAGCGCGTATTTGAAGTCGAAAAGCAACTCGGGATTTACCAGATCAAGGACCAACTAATCGGCTCTGAGGAGGGTTCAGGACGTGGAATTTCTGGTGGTGAGAAGCGCCGGGTGGGCATTGCCTGCGAGTTGGTTACCAGCCCAAGCATCCTTTTCCTTGACGAACCCACTAGTGGTCTGGACGCCTTCAATGCTTTCAACGTCGTCGAATGCCTAGTGACCTTGGCCAAGACGTATAACCGGACCGTGATCTTTACCATCCATCAGCCTCGCTCCAATATTGTGGCTCTTTTCGATCGATTGATACTCCTAGCCAAGGGCAAGACCGTCTACTCGGGTCCATTCTCAACATGCCAACAGTATTTCGATGACGCTGGTTACGCGTGCCCACCCGGATTCAACATTGCCGATTACCTAGTAGATCTCACAATGCATGCTAGTGTTGCTACTCAATTCCACAGCGATGAAGAAGATAGCCCGCTCTTAGCTGTGCGTACCGATCCGCCCAAGACCGCGTCGAGTAGTCTGAGAGCGGTGAAGTCCGTGGCAAGTGCGTCAAATGCCAGTGTCGAGGAAACCCCCAATAACAGCTTCGAATACAACCGACGGCCAAGAGGCAAGAGAAGGGCTTCCCTCAAGCAGCGCCAGGACCGTCAGCTCTACTCCCGAAGAAGAGACCCTGACGCGCCACCCACCCCCCGGACTGATGAAGAGGATGCTGTTGGAGAGGCAGATGGCAACCAGCAGTGGCTGCGCTTGTCACGTCAAGAAGGCCAAGCGCCAGCTCAGATCCTTGAAGACCCGGATGAGCTACCCCCGGCCGCCCCAGGACAGACCGACTTGGACATAATGGTTACCCATTTTGCAGAATCCGACGTGGCACAGTCTGTGCGAGAAGAGATATCAGCAGCAATTCGCCATGCTCAACCCGCCAATGGGTCCATCAACTCAGGAGTAACCTCATCTTCAGCTGCTGGCCTATCTAAGAGCTACGCACGTGTAGGCCTTGGCCGGCAGTTTATCATTCTGTCGCAGAGAACCTGGAAGAACCTTTACCGCAACCCGATGTTGATGCTCACCCACTATGCGATTTCCATCCTTCTCGCTGTTTTGTGTGGATTCCTCTTCTATGGTCTCACTGATGATATCAAGGGGTTCCAGAACCGTCTGGGTCTCTTTTTCTTCGTTCTTGCCCTCTTTGGGTTCAGCACACTGACCAGCTTAACTGTTTTCTCGACCGAACGTCTTCTATTCGTGAGGGAGCGTGCCAACGGATACTATCACCCTGTTACATACTATGCCGCGAAAGTGGTCTTTGACATTATACCCCTCCGGCTCATTCCGCCGATCATTATGGGAGTGATTGTGTACCCGATGACCGGATTGATCCCAGCATGGGGTGAATTTTTCCGGTTTATCCTTGTGTTGGTCCTCTTCAACCTGGCTGCTGCCACCATTTGCTTATTCATCGGTATTGTATTCCGAGATGGCGGTGTCGCCAACCTGATTGGTAGCTTGGTCATGCTGTTCAGTCTCTTGTTTGCCGGACTATTGCTCAACCACGATGCTATCCCACCGTCCGCACTCTGGTTGCAATCTGTATGCCCTATCCATTCCCCCCTGTTTTCAATAGCTAACTTTGCTTTAGCTATCCATCTTCCACTATGGCTTCGAGGCGTTGATTGTCAATGAGGTCACCTTCCTAACGTTGATCGACCACAAGTATGGACTGGATATTGAAGTTCCCGGCGCTTCCATCCTCAGTGCATTCGGGTTCGATACCCTGGCTTACTGGCATGACGTGATTGGACTGGCTGTTTTCTCCGGCGCTTTCCTCGTGATCGCATATGTAGCGATGCATTTCCTGCTGGTCGAGAAGCGATAATCCCCGAGGTATACGCTGCTCTGTTTGCTTGATTTTGGTGAACTCATGGCAAGCTCGACCCAGAACTTCAGGAGACGGACATGATAATGTAATTGGTGTCTACCCGTTTCAATAGACAAACGAAATTATGTACATATTTTGTGAAGGATGATTATTTAGCATTGAGTTCTCCGAAAGTGGAAGACGGCAGATGCGGATGGAAGCACGTGTTCCCCGCACCGAGCTGTCGACAAATTCTCAACAGCTCCCCATTCCACGTCGTTTCATCTAATCTTCTATAAACCACCTTGGGCATATACTTCCGGTCAAGAAGAATCCATCGATACTGATATCGCCCTCCTTTTCCGTTGGAGTCAAGCGATAATTGACTAGCCCTGGACTCACCGCCCACGCCTATTTTTCTCCATCAGTTCAAATCCACACCAGCCGCCGAACCCTCCTCCTGCTCGAATCCACCTCACTCACCCCTCTTCTTCCTACAGTCTCTCCGCTCCGTGCTTGTCTCATTCCCCTCGTTGCCCACCTCTCTTCCTCTTCTTTGCGTCATCTGTCTACCTCGTGCTCAAAATGTCTGGCGAGGCGTGGCTCTACCTACTGGCGGTGTTGATTAACGCCGTCAACCTATTCCTACAGGTCTTCTTCACTATCATGTATAGTGATCTTGAGTGGTACGCGTTCTCCTGTCTAACCAAAGGCGACCTACACTCTTTCATGCAAGCAAGATCATGTTTGTTTGCGATAGAGAGGAAATCGGGTAATTGTGTGGTCTATTTGCTAATCTTGCCGCCGCAGCGATTACATCAACCCTATCGATCTCTGCAACCGTCTCAATGCCTACATTATTCCCGAAGCTGGTGTCCACGCTTTCCTTACCTTTCTCTTCGTGATCAACGGTTACTGGCTCGCTATCTTCCTCAACCTGCCGCTATTGGCGTTCAATGCCAAGAAGTACGTCTCTAAGCTTGTTTCGCAATCCATTTGCCTGCGCAGACACAGCGGTTGCTGACCATGTATTTCGTGCTTAGGATTTACGACAACCAGCACCTCCTGGATGCGACTGAAATCTTCCGCAAGCTCAACGTACACAAGAAGGTTAGAATCGCACAACGTTTACGTCATGTGGTCGTGCGGGACGGAAGCTGACTCCGAGCTCTAGGAATCCTTCATCAAGCTTGGTTTCCACCTCCTGATGTTCTTCTTCTACCTCTATAGCATGATTGTCGCCCTCATCCGCGACGAGTCTCACTGACTTCGCACCGAGACTGAAACTGCCATGCACTACGGCCGGCCCGGATAAAGCTACGAGATATGTTCTTGTCAGAGAAGAGGGATATATATGCCCCACTGTGTGCCCAGCTGTCCTTACCGGATATGCGTCACAGGAGAATCTGTACACCCTCTTCTCCGATGGCACAGAGCCTCGTGGCTCCCGAGGACCCCGGTCAGAAGTGGGAAGTGGCAGCCTAGGAGTAGAAGAGGCTACGTTTTGTATGACATGATCATGATTACCAGCGTGCAAGTATTGGTGGAAGTGAACAACTGGGCGGCTCTAGTCCCCGTGGGTCAGGTTTACCACACAAGGTTTGACGAGTGGCCTTATGAGGACGTGTTATCATTACCCTTGCTTTGTTTTGATTTTATAGCTTTTGGAACTTTCCATGTGCTTGTGTTCGTTATGACTTCCTCTGCCCTATTGGAACCCGATTTTCTTCGTTTGATGATTTTTTCAAGATACAGGCTGTATATACCTCGAGCGGTGTTACGGTGAAGAGCGTTCCGCTTTTTAGGGATTACCAATTATTCTAAATTTGAAACTTCCTTTACAGCCCATTTCCAAGCAAGATTCTCATGATTTCATAGTGTTTTTACCAGGTACGTAGATCTCATCCATATCAAAAGCGGCGTCATACCTTTGCGCGGTTGGCGGTGTGGGCACCCGTAAAATCTCCAACGACAGCTTCTGGCGCAGCCTCTTCCACTGTCTCAACACCATAAAACAACCTTTCTCACAGAAGCCTAAAAAATGGCTTCATTACTTGGGGTCGGCTACGAATCCAGCGACGATGACACCACACATGTTTCGACGACGTCTGCTACCAAAATCATCGCTGCGCCCGAAGTGAACACAGAGGTTTGGTCCCTGCAATACCTTCCCCAAGCCATCATAGCACCATGTCTAATAACCCCACAGGATCAAGCGCACATGCAAATGATGCTCGCAAATACCTCCTCTAAAGCTCTGACCTACAACGCGACATACGACGATCTGTCTCGGCCCTCACAGGGCCCCTCAAACCCCTTCAAGCCCGCCGACGCAGGGAACGGCCTCAAGCGCAAGAATGTCCCGACCGGTTTCGCCGAGGAGGCTGCCATTAGCGCGGCGACGTTTACCGCGCAGCATCGCACGTTCCAGAGTCTAGGGTACACGCGCAACCCGACCGTCCCCGGTGTGTTTGTGGGAAACCTCGAGAATGCGGCTCGGTTTGGCGGGCGGGATGTCGTGCAGATGAAGCCCAGTAAGGAGGCGTCCGCGGCGTTGAGGGCGAAGCGTCAGAAGAAGGGCGATTCGAGTGTTGTTGAGGGTCCCGGCGCGTATCTTGGTCCGTGGGCGAGATACCAGGATGATGACCAGGTCTACGATGAGGAACTCGGGAGCGATGAGGAGCTTGTGGAGGTCAGCGAAGACGAAGAAGAGCACGTCGGCTCGGCGCCAATGCCGGCTATGAGCAAGGAGGCGACAGACTACCAGGACGACACGTCTAAGGTGGAAACGACCGAGTTCCACGGCTCGGAGCAGTTCGATTACCAGGGCCGCACGTACATGCACGTTCCCCAGGATCTGGATATCGATCTCAAGAAACCTACGGGCAGTGTGAAGAACTATGTTCCCAAGAAGCTCTTCCACACCTGGAAGTCGCACAACAAGCCGATTACTTCTCTTCGCTTCTTCCCCCAATCCGGCCACTTGCTGCTCTCCTCTGCGGCCGACGGCAAGGCCAAGATCTGGGACGTCTACCACTCCCGCGAACTCCTCCGCACATTCTCCGGCCACAACAAGGCAATCACAGACACCGACTTCCACCCCACAGGAAAAACTTTCTTAACAGCCTCCTACGACCGCCAAATGAAGCTCTGGGACACCGAATACGGGAAATGCATCTCGCGCTTCTCAACAGGAAAGACACCACACGTCATCCGCTTCAACCCGAACCCTGAACTCTCCCACGAATTCCTCGCCGGTATGTCCGACAAGAAGATCGTCCAGTTCGACACTCGCTCCGGCGAGCTCGTCCAGGAATACGACCACCACCTCGCGGCAGTCAACACCCTCACTTTCGTCGACCAGAACCGCCGCTTCATCTCCACATCCGACGACAAGTCCCTGCGCGCCTGGGAATACGGCATCCCCGTCCCCATCAAGTTCATTGCGGAGCCCTACATGTTCGCGCTCACGCGCGCAGCCGCTCATCCCAACGGGAAGTACGTCGCGTTCCAATCCGGCGATAATCAAATCGTCGTCTACGGGGCTACAGACAAGTTCCGGCAGAACCGGAAAAAGAGCTTCCGCGGCCATAATAATGCGGGTTATGCGATTGATCTGAAGATCTCGCCGGATGGGCAATTTATTTGCTCCGGTGATAGTGCTGGTTACGTGTGCTTTTGGGATTGGAAGACTGGGAAAATGTATCATAAGATTATGGCTGGGGGTAAGGAGGGTGGGGCGACGACTTGTCTTGACTGGCATCCGCAGGAGACAAGTAAGGTTGTTACCGGTGGGCTGGATGGAATTATTCGGTACTGGGATTAGCTTTTATCTTCTATCCGTTCAACTTGGTTTCTGGTTTTATATGGGCTGTATAGTATACCGTGATTTTTATCTATATTGGGCACGAGGGAAGTACACAATACAGTACGATGGGATGGTATAGAATTCAAGAATGCACGTCCGCGCAACTTGTTATCAAATAGCAGGATCCTTCAAGCGCATTTTAAGCTCATGCTTCATCATGCCATGCCATACCATAGTTGTCCTAATAATATACAAATATTTTCCCAGCGCATACCATGCATGCAAATAAGACTAGATAAAGCCAAGCGCTCATCGAGACAACACTTCCTTTCCCCGAGAAGGAAGAAAATGCCTAAAAACTAGCCATCTCAATCCAAGTCGCCACAAATGCCAAGCTCCTTCCACGATCCGCCGCCATGCGCCTAGAGAACTCCTCAAAGTTCAGCTTCGCGCCCGTTCCACCACGCTCCTTCGCTTCCCTCTCCACGCGGTTCAGGTACGACCAGCGCGAGAGGGTCGCCTGTGGAGGCGGAATTGTGGGCCCGCCCTGTCTGGTTGGCAGCGGGGAAGGGGAGTGAGAGAGGGAGGGTGCGGGAAGGGGTTGGATGGGGGACGGGGCGCGTTTCGGGGCAGTGGTTTCGGCTTCAGGGGAGGAAGGAGCCGGGAAGGTTGGGATTGTGGTGTTGGGGTGAAGACGGAGGGGAGAGGGTGGGATGGTTGTTGATGTCGTTGTTTGGGTTGGAAGGGTTAGAATGGTGTCGTCGTTGGGGCGGTGGTGGGGGAGGGTAGGATCGTAGTCTAGGTCGAGATCGAGGGGGAGGGTCGGCTCGTCCTCGTCCTCGTCCGTGACAGGGAGAAAGGGTGATTGCGGATGTGGCGTTGGTGAGAGGATGAGGTTGTCTTGTGGTTCGAGGAGAGTCAGAGGAGCAAGAGGTTCTGCAGCATCAGGCTCGTCTGGGTTGGCGAGGTGAGTAGGTCGGATACTTTCATCGTCCGAGTCGTCGCTGGTGTCTTCGTGGACGGGTAGTCGTAGCTCCTGAGACGGGGGTACAAGAATAGGGCCGTCTTGAGGGGACTCAAGGACGGGGCTGCCAAGAGAGTATCCAGCGCGTTCCAGTAGCTCATCGAGCGGGCGCCCTTGGTAGTGAGACAGGGATGGTTCCTCCTGCCCGTCGTCACTTGCTGGCTGCACATTCTCGCGGTTGTTATTAGAAGCCTCCAACTGTTCGGCAAGCTCGATCTCTCGGGCCCAGATCTTGCGTTCAGTGCGGGTTCGGAAGCATTCCATGAGTAGATCCTCCTTTGGCTTAAACATAATGTCCAGAATCTCGTTGAAACCTTGCTGGGTTACTTGGTACAGGATCTCCTTCCCAACATCTCGCTCGACTTCAGGCACCTCGAACCCGCCCCATCTCTCACCAACCAAGATGCTCCGAGAAGACGTTGAAGGGTTAGATCTGGCATCACAGCCTTCGTCGTCCGTTAAATCATCCTGGAACCGGACCTTGGATGAAGACCGTGAGCGTGGCGAAGGCGGTTGCGACTCGTACTCTGGCTCTGGCGCATCAACATCCTCATCTTCATCTACATCAGACTCAGTCCGGTAGCCGTCTGGTGCGATTCCACCATCTTCCTCATCGGTATAGAACGCCCTCCGGCGCCAGCGCTCATCGATCCCCTGTCTTCGAGTAGATTCAACCCGTCGCTGGTCGGTATCGCACATCCGGTTATACACAGCCGTCCCAATACGGGCCCTGTCATCTGGGTCCGTAACTTCGTCAATAGGCACGTACGATCCGAGTGCATTGACGATGTCTTCTTCCTGGATGTGTTCTGCCGGTGGCCAGCGATCGCTAGTAGTGGATGAGCTATCTGACTCGTCATCATGGTCGCCGTCCTCGTCGTCGTCCTCATCTCGAGACTCTCTCCTGCGTCGGCTACCTGAAGCCTCTGCTGCACTGGATCCGGCAGCGTTAGCACGTACAGACACTGGAAGGAGAGGCTGCGATCTCCCGAATTGGCGGCGCACGGCAGCTTCTCCAACGACAGAGTGCCGGTCGCCGGTATCAGCACCATCAGGTCGCAGGATGCCATCGCTGTCCACAATTTCCATATCTCCATCTTGATTGACCCGCTTGCCCTCTCCAGTCCTTGATGCTTCTCCGCTGGGGATACTTCCAGGGAAAGCGGAGCTGATGGGCTGACTACCCAGCACGACATCTCGCGCACCGCCCTCGAGAAAATCATCCTCCATACCAGCAACCATATCCCGAGTGAGCTCACGACTGAGGGTATAGTATGCTCTAAACACACGTAAAAAGTCTTTGCGTTCCACGTATCCATCACCGTCAATGTCATACCCGCGGAAGACGCGACGCAGCCTCTCATCGTTGCTCTTGTTGTTTAGACTGGCGAGGCCCTTCAAAAACTCCTCGAATCCAATGAGTCCATCGTTATTCGTGTCGTAGAATGCAAACATGCGGTCGTAGATCAAGCTCGGGGGCGGAGGACGGAGAGAGGTATTAGGGACGAAACAGCGATCAAAGGTTTTCCGGTCAATAGCCATGTATAGTTTGTTGGGATCTTCGGACCACTCGCGGTTTGCTAGACAGCGGAATTGATCCCACAAAGCTTCCAGCTCTGTACCTTCGAAGCCCGTTTCCTTCATCAACCGCTTCGCAAGTGATCGCGGAAGAGTGCGCGGCAGCATCGAAGGCTTGCCAGGATACCACACAGGCTGTGACTGTCGAGGGTTACCCAGAAATGGCGCCGGTATGCGGACTTTGTAAAACAGATGCGTCTTGATATGAACCTGCATCGCCTCACAGGTCTCACACAGGTCGTAATCAATGCAGTTCGCACACCTGTACCGAATTCCTTGTATTGGCATGGCCCCACAGCTATTGCACGTCACACCCCGATGAATATACCCATCTTTCCTCGCCTGATCCTCAGCGATATGATAAAGCAGATTCAACAGATTCTGCCCCTCACGCGCCTGCGCAGACTCGTTATTGCCCTCCCTCCACGAGAAAACACTCTGGTCATCAACGACCGTCTCGCCACCATCCATGACCGGCTGCTGCTGAGGCTCATCAGGGAACGTCGACGTCGACAGCGTAACCCGCTCCCCATTCTGCCGCCGACGCCGCAGTTCCTCCCCGTAGTTCTCATCCGCGTTGAACCGCTCAACGGCCCTCTCGATTCCCGACCGCGAGATCCCACGGCGGCGGAGCTGTTCCGTTAGATATGTTCTCTCGGGACTCCCCTCTTCCAACGTATGCGTCGACGGAAAATCCAGCGCGAAAAACGACTCTAGGAACGTGTCTTCCATCATCTCGCGCATCCGCTCGGCGTGGGCCTGGGGAACGCCGACCTCTTCCATGAGCTGATCGCGCGTCGCGAGAAGCGAGGGGAGTAGCCCGCTCTCGACCCGTCGGCCATCTTCAGTTTCTATTCGAAATGTCCCGTATACTCCGTTCTGACGCTCGAGTTGTTCTAGGTGGGCGATGGCTAGGAAGGAGGGAGTATCGGTTGGGCCAGTTGCGTCGGAATCATTTCTTCTGTGGCGACGGACTGCTTTCCGGCGCCGGAGGGAGTTTTGGGAGGAAGGGGATGAGAAGAGGTGGTTGCGGAGGTAAACGAGCGCGTATGCGGCTGCAACTCCGGAGAGCAGGTAGAAGAGAGGACGGTATCGGGTGAAGGTCAGCCGAGACTGGGAGTCTGACATGGTGAGTATAGTGAGTAAAGTGGCTATTGACGAGATATCATGGTTTTTGAAGTCGAAGGTGTAAAAGAGAAAAGGCGCATGGAGAGAAGGTGTGGTGTTGATGAAGCTGCTGAAGCTTGGGTCAAAGAATATCGGAGAAGGCGGAGTGGAAAATCGTCCTCCACAGCGTCAGAGGAACAAAGTCACAATTTCAACTTCACAACTTTTATTTGCGCTGTCTATCTAGATATATAGTTCTCTCGAAGAACTCTCCTCAAAAAATGCTTCTAAAAATTTTATGTACAATCCACATCCCAATTAACGTGACAAGCTACGTTCACGGATGAACAAGCTACTCACAAAGGCGAAGAACACAACACCGATCAAGAAGCCAAAGCCCTTGTTGGTCGCCCATCCATAGCAATCTCTAACGGTCTTCGCGACATCAGGATCAAGAGTTTTGATGAAGTCAAGGCTCTGTCGGACCCCGTCGACGATGCGATCAATGTCCTTGCTATCACGCAGAGCTTCTCTCAACCGTCCTCTCAGAACCTGTTGAACGACAGTAGAAGACAAGGCAAGGCCGATGACAGAGCCCAAAGATCGGAAGAGGTAAGAGCACGCCGTAACAACAGCTTGGTCCTCAGGTGTAGCATTTGAGACTGGTGCATTCTATTAGCGGCGCCTTTGGCAGACATCTGAGGAGACTTACTCAAGCTTATCAGCGTCGTCGTGACGCCAATACCATTTCCAAAGGCGCAAGCGATTGTACCAAGAAGTATTGGCAACAGACTGTCTGTGATACCTCCAGAAAAGAGGAAAATCACAGTCAGCCCGAGGGTGAGCAAAGTATATCCAAGTACTGTCAACCAATAGTACTTCCCGGTCCATCTCATGACGAACCCGGAGAATAGGGAGCCTGAGACTCCAGCACAGATACAAGGCAGGAGTCGTAATCCAGCTCCTGTGGCCGAAACACCGTCCATGGCCTGGAAATACAGCGGAAGGTAGAAAAGACCGGACAACCACCCGCCGAAACTGAAGAAATTGCATCCATATGCGGCGACGAAGCCACGGTCGAAAATAATGTGGCCAGGGGCAAACGGCTCTGTCGCGTAGTATATCTCAACTATGACGAAGAGGACGAAAAGGAATGCGGAAACGCTCAGTGAGACGATTGTCAATGGCATAGTCCAGGAGACATTGCTGCCTCTGTCAAATCCAACGAGGAAGCCAAGCACTGCTCCAATGAGCACAATCGCTCCGGGGAAGTCAATTCGGCGAAGCTTTGTTTTCCAATGGCTATCCTCAGGGGCGGGTAGATCTAGCATAATCGATACTGCCGTGAAGGCGATAATGCATAGAGGGAATTGCGCAATAAACGCCCTACACCACAATCAGTCATTGTTTATATAAGATACTTCAGAGAACTTACCATCTCCAGCCAATGTAATCAGACAAAACACCGCCGAGCGGTGCACCAATTCCAGAGCCAGTTGCATATATGATATTGATGACACCCTGCCAAACACCTCTATCACGAAGAGGGATGATATCGCTAAGTAGAATACTAACAACAGTGGTCATGCCGCCGCCTCCGATACCTTGGAAGACCTAGAATACGCTATCAGTCTGTGGGCCAAGGGCAATGCTTAAGGGGATCTGCCATACACGAGCAGCAATAAGCTGGTGAATATTCTGTGCAAGACCACAGAACAAACATCCTATTCCGAAGATAGCATAGGCAAACAACAGACACGCCTTCCGACCGAATATGTCACTTAACTTGCCATACAGCGGCTGGAAGGACGTCAAAGTCAGGAAGTACGAAGTCGCGATCCAGCTCGTCAAATTCAAAGCTTTCAGATCAGAACCAATCTTTCCATAGCTGGCCACGATAATCGTCTGGTCGGCGGCAGATAAGAAGACCTGACGAGGGTTAGCACGAGCAGGAGAAGAAAAGAGCCCGCACAGAAGACAAACGTAGACATACCCCAATTGAGATCGCTGGAAAGATATATCGGATGTTCAATGCCCTCTGCGAGCTGTCCTTGCCCGCGTCTACTTCCTGGCCCGTACGGCCTTGCTCGGCCAGTGCGGGATCGGGCTGGGCGCCGCCACCCCCAGCCGTTGAAGAGTACGAAGCATGGCCATTGCTTTGCGGACCCAGCAACGGAGATGTCTCTGATGGTAAGTTTCCTGGCGGCATAATGCTAGCAAGGTCAATTGCGCACAGCCTCCATCAACTGGAAACACAATATGAAATATTTCTTGGGTTGAGTCAAAGCAACCATTTCACCACGCTTTGGGGTAAAGATGTGATCAGTCACGTGCTGATAAGAAGCTTCCCCTCGGATATTTCTCTAAATTGCCGGACGGTCATTTGCTGGAACGGCTACTCGGAAGAGGGGCGCACTCAGGCACTGGCCAGTAGGGACTCAAGTAGCCCAGCGAGCGGAACGGAGCCGATCGGATTTGTTTGCGGGCAGCGGGGGAGCTCAGTAGATAATGATATGAAGGACAACGCGCGGGCAGGCCGTCTAGACTCAGAATGCTATGCATGGCTTGTGCTATATAACAATGCTATCAGACTGCTAACCTACGTGTACTATATACAAGGTTTAAGCCCTGATGAAAGTCCTCCTCTCATTAGCTCTAGTCGTGTCATGTCTTGTTCGTTATCTTTTCGTCAGCCATTCCAGAATGCCCCGATATCATGATTCTGTCTTCGCGGCATCTGCATCGCCCGTAGTAGGCATGGGAACAGGTCCACCAGGAGAATCCGGCAGACGCGCGGTCAGAACCTCGACACCGTCTTCTGTGACCAAAAGTGTATGCTCGAATTGGGCAGAGAGCGAGCCGTCCGCCGTTGTGCTGGTCCAGTCATCGGGCCATAGACGGTCGCGGTGTGTACCAATGTTGATCATAGGTTCGATTGTAAAGCACATTCCCGGCTTTGCGGTTCCTACTGCCTTGTTCTTGGCGTAATGAGGAACGTTGGGGGCGCAGTGGAACAGCTGGTTGATTCCGTGGCCACAGTAACTCTTGACCACGCTGCAGTTCCGGCTCTTAGCATGCTTCTCAATCACGTTACCAGGATCCCGGAAGAGCATTCCAGGCTTGACAATTTCAATAGATTTATCCAAGCATTCTCGGGCCGTTTCCACAACGCGCACTGCGTCTGGGTTTGACGTAGCCTTCTCTCCAACATAGTATGTCTCATTGATATCTCCGTGGAATCCTTTGTGATACAAGGTGACGTCGATGTTGATAATGTCGCCGTCCTCGAGCGGCCGTTGATCGGGGATACCGTGGCAGATGGTTTCGTTAATCGAGGTGCACACGGATTTTGGGAAATGAACGTAGTTGAGAGGTGAGGGGTAAGACTGTAGCAACGTCAGTATTGAACGCTCAGGATGTGCTCAGACTGTGCCGGTACTTACGTCGCGTTCGACACAAGCTTTGTGAACGATTTCGTCAATGTAGTCAGTCGTAACACCGGGCTTCAGCGCGCGCGCAGCGATATCAAGAACCTCTCGCGCCAAGCGGCAGACTCTGCGCATACCCTCCTGCTCTTCCTTGTTGAGAATAGTGATGTTGTGTCGGCCGACGAATTTCTGCTCTGAACGAGGAATGCCATCCTTGGCGTAATCCGGGTGAGGAATGGACTTGGGGACAGTCCTCATCGGCGACAGGGGATAGACAGGACGCAGGGATCCGGCAAATTGGAACGAAGGGAAAGGGTTGAAGTGTCCGGTGGCTGGGTCTGGTTCAGAAACTACTTTCGGAGGAAACAGGTTGGTGAGGAAATTACTCTTTTTGTGGAGAGACTTGTGGTCGCTCTAGATACATCAATTAGCATTCATGATTGCAAGAAGGATGCGCGCGGCAAGCGCATAATTCGAGTCGCCTACCCAGCTCCGTTTGAAACAGTCCTGCGAGCAGAAGAAGCTGTCCAGGCCCATCTTCAGACATGTCGGGCATTGGAGCGAGCCGGCGTCCTTGGGACATTCGAGTCCGCGGCATTTTCGGGTTGCAACTTCCGCCGCCATGTTTGATATATGTTCTTCAGGTATGAAGAAGGCTCTTGTGCTTTGTGCAGACCCAGATCAGCGTCAAGAAATACCTGGAGTCGTTGCAGGCTCAAGTCGCCGCCAAAAAAATTGGGGGCCACTTCTCCAAGCGGCTAGTCATATCCGGCCTAGCGCAATTCGCAGTGCAGGAACAGTCTAGCGCCTTTTCTTATGTCACGTGCCTTACTTCTCCGGGCGCTCGGAGAACGTCAAAAGTGGGCTTGGCAGGGCCTCTCAGCACTAAGCTCAAAATTAATGAAAGCGAAACTCTCCGAAGCCGCAGGTCTCGTGACACCGGATTACCTTTGCGTCACGACCGAAATCTCCGGCCAGGTACCACAGCAGAAGAATTCTCAATCTGCTTGTCCGTGCATAGAGCAGACCGTCGTACGGCGCATCCGGATCATTGCGGGACGATTGGTGCTCCGCAGTCGCTATGACGTCCCAAGCCAAGCAAAAAGTTGTGATTGTCGGAGCCGGTCCGGTGGGGGCTCTCGCGGCTCTCTATGCAGCAGCCAGAGGAGACGATGTCGAGGTGTATGAGCTGCGAGGAGGTTAGTTCTTCTCACCCGACGTCTTTGCGTACTTCAGACATGCATTTGTGCCCTCCATCAGGACCGTGACCCGATTTCATCACTTCCAATCGATCTATATATCTTCGCATATCCCCGCCATGTACCCCGATTGGCCCACTCATGGCTTCAAGGACAATACTTATCTTGACTCATGATTTCCAGACCTAAGAATTCCGGGCACCGTTCCCTTGAACTTCACCAAGTCTATTAATCTCTCGTTGTCGCACCGCGGTATCACGGCCATAGAGGGGTCACACCGACCCGATGTTATCAGCAAGATTCTGCAAGAGGTGGTCCCACTGTATGGGCGTATGATACACGGAAGGGACAATGGACGGCTCTGGGAAGCACCTCAAGCATACGATGTTCATGGCCGGGTTGGTGCTCCTATCACGTTAGCACGGACGAAACATGCTGACCGTAGCCCTAGAACAACCACTCGGCAGACAGAGGGATGTTGAACAACGTGCTTCTCAATGAGCTGGAACGAATGCCCAACATCAAACTCTTCTTCAACCATAAGCTGACCGGCGCCGACTTCCAAGCAAACAAGGCTTGGTTCGAGCGCCGATTGCCAGGCGAAGCACCTCTCCCTGGTTCGTCAGGCCGAGTCCCCGAGATAGAGGTCAACTTCGACTACCTGATCGGTGCAGACGGCGCGCACTCTGCCAGTAGATTTCACATGATGAAGTTTGCCCGCGTGGACTACCAGCAAGAATATATCGACACTCTCTGGTGCGAATTCCGCATTGCCCCATCGCCAGACAACGACTTTCTCATCTCCCCAGACCACCTTCACATCTGGCCCGGAAAAGAGTTCATGTTCATTGCCCTACCATCAGTCGACAAGTCTTTCACCTGCACCTTGTTTGCGCCCGCCATTCACTTTGCCCAGCTCGAGCGCTCTACAGAAGACCTCCTCGAATTCTTCGACGTCCACTTCCCCGGCGTCAGCCCGGAACTCATCGCACCCAAGGACCTTATCGACCAATTCAACACAAACCCGCACCTCCCTCTCATCAGCATAAAATGCAAGCCACATCACTACAGCTCCAGCGTGGTCATCGTCGGCGACGCCGCGCACGCTGTCCTCCCATTCTACGGCCAAGGCCTGAATGCCGGCCTAGAAGACATCCGCGTCCTCTTCGAAGCCCTCGACAAACATGGCGTCTACAGCAACAACAACAACACCGACAAAGCCTCACTCGCCCTCGCCCGCCAACTCGCCTTTCAAGAATACACCGACAACCGCACGGCCGACGCCCACGCCATCAACGACCTCTCGCATCAGAACTACGTTGAGATGCGCTGGGGCGTCAAACAACCCCTGTACCGATTACGCAAGTACATCGAGGAAGCACTCTACCACTACGTGCCGAGTCTCGGTTGGCAGACGCAGTACACCCGCGTCTCCTTCAGCGACCAGCGATACTCGGAGATCATCGCGGTGAACCGGAGGCAGGGCCGCATTCTGGGCGCTGTCTTTGGTTCGACTCTTGTGTCCTCGCTGGCGATTGCGGCTGTCTGGTTCTGGAAACAGCCTGCTCCGCGGGTCCGAATCTCACCGGTCAGTCTGATAAGGGAGGTATCACACGGTATCCTTGCGAGGCTGTCTAATTGATGCGCTGATGTGGCTGGTCTGGGGTGAAAGGGCTTGCCCAGGGCAAAACTAGAGAAGCGGAAAAAAGCAAGAAAAGTTCCTCGCTTCATTTCTGCTAGAGTATATTTTTTCATTTCCAAGAGCCATTTGTCACTTCGTGTTCACTCTTGATTACCTGCATATATGTTTCTACGATTAGATGCCCCGCTCCACCAGCGGTTGTACATACATACATTTACATTGTTCTCCGTCAATGACCCTGGTTAAGACTTAACCTTCCCTTGTTGCCGTTATGGGGACATTCAGAATCGTGAATGGGTAATCAATCCAATAGGCTCCGAGACTTCAAGAGGTGACGGGCAACTGCATGCTGAACCTAGTAGGAAAAGCCGGTATCAAAGAGGGTCCATGATCAGTGCGTCTGCAGTCTTCGGAGCTATTAGGATTTCGGTAGCCCAATCAAGACTGTTTGTAACAGAAAGGCCGACTGACACCTAATAGTTGATCGCCTGGCTACCGATTGTAGGGTTAACAATTACCGAATAGGTATTCCGGAAGCTCGCCGAGGGAATAACCGCGCTTTGCTGGCTCCGGTGTTCAGCTCTAGGGTTATCCATCTGGGTCCATCCGGGATTCAGTATTACTTGGGCTGCATTGGATGTTAGTAACCGATGGATGAGGGCTGATTGCGGATCGATCCATTCAGATGGCCACGGCCTTTACAGCTGGCAAAACATCGAGAAAGCAGAAAAAAGCAGACAGACGATCGCCGATGGAAAGGGAATCATAATATGAGATGTCAAAACAGCTTTATAGCCCATGAGGAACAACACATAGAAACCTATCCCGACATGACCGGGATTGACTGGCAGGGAGGGTCTCCTGCTCTTCATTTCCAGCCTTTGGTGCGTACAATACAGAAGACAAACATCACACATGCCAGATCACCTCGGGTTAGGTATTGGACATTGCAGACAAAGCAGAATACACAGGCACACAGGCACACAGACACAGACATAAACGCAACCACATAGTAAGAGATCATCAGGGAGCGTCCAGGGATGACAAGCAGGACCAACGGAGGAAAAAAGTCAACTGAGGCCGGGACAAAAGAGCAGCAGTCATTGCTGGGTAGGTGGATGTATTCGAGGGGATGTTAGTGGAAGAGAGTGTTTAGGAGGTAAGGCCAGAGGGAGCGAGTAGATTAGGGAGAGCATGTAATGGAGGACTCAGGAAGAGCCCTCCCATCAATTTCCAGGGCTTATGGAAGGATTTCCATGTAGTAAAATCCGGGCAAAGTTCCCAGGAAGTGTCCTCCATTAGGCAGGGGATGCGGATAACCAAATTCATTATTAGAGAGACATCATCATCTTGGTCCATGGAGATTTTCCACCTTGGGAAGTGGGTTCCTGGGATATGCGGGTATGGGTATAATTCCAGAGAAAACGGGACGTAAGAGGATCCGGGGACATAGTTGGACCATCGGCAACATCAGGCATATGGGAGAGGCAACATGAACCTCGAAAAGTGTCATGAAAAGCAGTCATAAGCCCACATCCATTCAAGGAGTGGCAAACTTGACCCGGCGGCTACTCCGTTCTTGAATTCTTTTTTCCGTGTCTTGGTAAAGACGATCAAGATAATCCATGGCACTGGCATCCCTTAGGATCCTAGCCACTTGAATTCCGGCAGAGATGAGTTGGAGGACATTTCGGTCATCCTTGATAGGTCGCGATTGATGCTTGGCAGCATGTCTCATTTCCTGAGAATTCTCCAGCACCGTAACTAGTTGTTTGATCTGGCCGTTATACAATACCCTGGCGGGTATACGCCGCTTCGTTGCTAGTCTTCTGAGAAGGTATACCCACTCAGTCCATTCACGGTCCGAGGGGACCCTCACCTGTCTTTTGTCTGACTCCAGGGGAATTGGGAATTGGTACTTGGCGACGAAATCAAATGCGCATTGCGATAGACGATCGTTCACCGAGGCCAATATACGATCTTGTTCTGAGACATCAAGATTAGTAGGAAGATGGGGTAGATCCCGCGCTTGAGCCTCAATCACCCGCGGCGATGGTGGGTCAAGAAACTGATGTGGTCCGTCAAACTCGTCTCGGTTTGAAGGGCGTCTCTGCGAGTGATGCCGAGCAGTCCCTTTGTATTTATCCGTGGTACGGCGCCCTTTTCTTTCGATGAGGTATTCCGCATTCTCCGGTGGTTTCCCATAGTCGTAGTCCGGCCTGAGAGCATCCACTGGGAGCCTAGCAGGGTGGCTCAACTCCCGATATACTGGCGTGGAATGTGATAACGGGCCTCTTGGGGATAGAGTAATAGCCGCAGGTGAGTGCGGAGCGGTCGAGATAGCTCCATGAGGGATGGAAAACCCGAAATCTTTTGGCGGCCTTGATGAAGCAATTTGGGTGCTAATGGGACCAGGGTCAAGTCGTGGCGCAGGTGTAAATGGTTGCGTACTGGGAAGCTCTTAGCATCAATGTTGCTTCATCTTAGAGAACACTAACGAATGAAATGGTAAAGCTGGGAAGTACCTTGGTTGATAGATCACCGGAGCTTCACCAGAGGTTGTGTATATCGGTGGCTGCCGGGGAAATATAGAACTATGCGGTGTGAGCATCTCTCAAAGACAACCACGAGGGGTAAAAATTCAGAGGAAGAGAGGGTGGGGGAATATAGATGCCCGTTGAAGCTAACCTCGGACGAGACCATGAATCTGAATCGGCGCTCAGCGACTGTGTATAGGAACTGCTGCTCCCTGTGCTTGTACCAGAGAAGTACGAGGACATCGCTGACAGTGGAGGTTGGAGGACGACGGGCGTATGATGAAAGTACATGGGGAAGAGAGGACTTGTGGAATAAAAGAAGTATAAGAGCTGAGAGGTGGAAAAGCGGGGTGAATTAAATGAAACTCAAAAGTTTCATGTGCTCTATTAGGAAGCGCCTTGGCTGTAAAGTGTGTATCATAAAAGGTGAAGAATTCATTGACTCGAACGGTCGTGAGGCATATATGTAAAGGTCAGGGCACGGGCAAAGGCGTCGAGGCGCCAGACAAGCTCTGGTTCTGTCGGACCCACGAATTGTGAAAGAGTGAGCGCTCCCACTCGAAGTAAGTGACCGGGATGCGCTAGGGCAGAAAGTCCATTCGTGCGAGGTAGGAGCCGGGCATCAACAGCGTATGGAGTGGTACACGGTGGACAGCGGAGCCTAGGGAAATCTCCACAGCTCCAGTGGGTTGACACAGGTTGACACACCTTGACAGGGTGGGAACAATAGATTGAGAGAAAGGCGGCGGTCACGATAAGATGACGATGGCGATCGAGCAATCATCGCAATAGTCAGAGCACTAGAGAGATCTCCGAGGCTAGACTCCTTTGCCGTCCCCGTTGTTATCAGGCGGATGGCTGCGACAGCCACTAAGAGTGTTTTGACATGGATGAGCCTGAAGGAGACTCCAAGAGTTTGCCCCCACAAGTAGAACGTGGCCAACTTTCGTAAGTTGATCCTACCCGCAAATGAGATGGAACAGCGAACCAGGTGATGAGAAAAAAGCAAGGGTCGAGATGGATGGTTAGGGTTTTGGGCAGCAATGCCAGAAGTTGGCAGGGCGCATCCACCCGAGCGACAGACTCCCAAAGGCTTGGCCCCATACCGATTCAGTCCAGCTGGAATCACATTCCAGAATACGTAGCTCAATTAGATTTAGTTCCCCGAAATTCGACTCTGTCCGCGTCTCCGGGCGGGTAGAGATGGCTGAGAATGTCTGTGGCCATTGGACATCACGATGGATCGTGAGAGCAAAACCATCAACGGATCAGCGAATCACCTGCAGCCACCAGGTCGAGGTAAGCCCGATTTCCTCAACCACTGACCTTCCCAGTAAATTTTCGAGTCCGAAGACCTGGTATTGCGCGGGCCCCGGCGGTCAACAGCAGCAATCTTCTTGCCGTCATTGAGCTACATTTCGCGGTTGGTGCAGATGATGTCCACGACGCATCGTGACAGGGGAGAGGCGCCTGAGTCGACCCTTCCAAGACCGACTCGCAACCACACAATGCTGTTACTACCTGCTATTTCTCAAACTCGGGGTTGAATGTTCCATCTAAAAGTAGCGTTGACACGGGAAGGATGACTGTCGAAAACGTCGGTTGAACCATTAGATCCAAGAATCGCGACCCAGCATAGAGCCGCCTAAGGTTGGGAGACAAAGTGTGGGGACCATGGGATCTTCATCGCGCGCTGGGATCCTGAGTTCCGATTCCTGACCCTTTTGGATGTTGGGCAGACATTTCACTGCATGTGCTGTTGCCCAAACCTCCAAACGTTTCGCTGACCTGGTCTGGTCTGTGAAGGACCATTCCGGGTGGCTAGAAAGGACTCGCAAATACGGGAACGGGAGCAAATCGACGCAATTACCGACTTCGCCAACTCCTTCCTGCCTGCAGAGAACGTTGGCCCTGGCGGAATTTGCCCAAGTGGCCCGCGCCCTCGCACGATCCCGACATGTTGGTGTTAACTTGTGAGATGTAACCAAGACAAAAGGGTCATGCCAAGAGGGGGTAAATGAAAGGAGGGGAAACAGGGAAGCGAAAAGAGATGAGCAGGGGCTCATGGCAGGCATTGCCTAATACCGGATAGACTATAGAGCTTCTCCGGGGACCACGGATTGAAACGCGTCCTCCCCGCATAACGGGTATCGTCGTTGAAGGCGCTGATAGCTTACCGAGTGTGACTCTGTTCTTGCCGCTGATTTCGAGAAGCGGAGACGTATCGTAAGATTTCATACTCTAATTGGGCGGAGCTTCAGTGGTCACATTGATATTGCTCAAAAGTTGAGCATGTCGACGACAGAAAAGCACGACCACATGCCTAGAGCAGCGATTCATTCCGGCTTCTGCTTGGAAGGGGGTGGTAGCTCGATTCCCAGACGGTGGGCCAGGTCCTAAGGCGAGATTGTTAACGGGACCTTGAAGAGTGTCAATAAGGGCGAGATGAACCAATCCTGGTTCCTTACCTCGCAGCTCATTCGGATCCCGTCTTCGATCCCCACACGCGCTTCATACCCCAAAACCCGTCTTGCGCTCTCCCCATTGGCATATCGAACAGCGCACGCATCTCGCACACTACCGCGGCTTATGGTCGTCGTTCTGCCGGTGACCCAGGCCAAAGCCTCAGAGACCAACCCAACCAGGTACGCCAATCGTTCCGGGATGTGGAGCTCAAAGGGCGGAATATGGCCATAATGGGCCCATACCGCCAGACAGAAGTCCCTGAAAGTGATGGGCTCGTTGTTCTGGATGAAGAATGCTTCCCCGGCGGCTGTTCTGGAGGACTTCAAGTTTTCTGCAGCTAGGACATGGGCATCTGCAACATTGGTGACGTACGTTATATCCCATAGGTTGGAGCCGGTCCCTATGACAAACGGCGTTTCCTTTCTGGCAATGCATGCATGAATTGCGGGGATTAATTGATGGTCGCCAGGCCCACAAAGAACGGAAGGCCGAAGGGCACAGGTCGGCATCATATCGCTTGTATGCTGGAGGACCAAAGCCTCAGCGGCAGCCTGATCGTGACCCGCAAGACCGTCAGCAACTCTAAATAAGGTCTTCCGCAAATAAGGACACGACAAATATCAGGGGCTCCAAACCTTGGACTCCCCATAAATGAGGAATCGAGGGGACGTGGGCCAGTGCTCATCGATATTGGAGTAGGGCATTCCCATATCATCCGCCACGACGCAGCACGTACTTGTGTAGACGAAAGCATTTGCTCCACTTTGCTTCGCAGCCTCCAACATGATTTTCGTGCCTTCGAAGTGATCACAACTATCGAGTGATTTGACTTTCCACTCTGTCAATCTTGCCGGTTGAATTATCGGAAGAATATAGAATCAACGTTAACTCTCCAGACGTGCTCCTCGATCCTTCTCCCAAATCGCTCGGCAAGGGCCGGAACAATTCCGGCCGTATGGATTACAACGTCGGGCCTCGCTTGCTGAAGCGCTTTATTGACTTCGTCAGCATTAGTGATGTCCACCTGAACAAAGGAAGCGCCATCTGGTACGACGTGCGATGGCCCCGGAGGATGTAGGTCGATAATAGTAATGTCACATTGTGGATATTTCTCTGCAACTGCTCTTGCCGTGGCTGCACCAAGGAAGCCCGTCCCTCCTGAGATAAGGACACTCTTGAGAGACGTCGAGTTTCCAGCCATGGCTGCATCTATTCGAAGTATGGGCTGCTTCTTCCTCTCACTGTTCGTGTTTGTCGCATAAAACACGAACGCGCACCCGCTTGGTCAATCCTGGGTTCGACTGGCTGTCGGAAGTCAAACCAAAGAAACAGGAAAGTAAGTGCTAAAAAGACGTCACTCAGCGGCAATGGGTAAAAAAAGATCACGATTCGAAGAGGGCGATCGATGGTGGTGTTGTCGGCAAGATGTGGTTGTTGTTGAAGCAAGGAGGGGACTCGGGGAGACCAGCTCGGCGGCAACATTAATACCATGGGATCAACAAGAAAACCCAGGGTGCTCGGGAGGCCCCTCAACAGCTACAGCACCGCACTATGAGATCATTCGAGGAAACATCAAGAATTGGTACATGAAGCTCTAAGTTAATGTACAAGGTAGTTGTTTATCCCAACAATCGCGAATCAGAACAAAATAGGAAGTTGCGACTGACCAAACTCCGGATATAATGCATCGTACATCACCCCCAAAAACCTGAACAGGACATGGTCGTCTCTGCGACACGTTCCGTCCCTTCCACAGTAATCATTACAGTACGCGACATAGAACAAGCCCTCCGACCTTCTTTTCGACACATTCTCGAGCCTCCAGGATGCCCAGATCTGTAGAAAGGTAGAGACTCTCACCGGGCGATCGCAATCCTTCCACAAACTTGGCCTTCTCTCCTCGGACAATTTCACGCAGTGCGGTAACATCGATATGAATCCGCCTCGTAGGCTTGCTGACCATGCTGATCTTCGAAAGTACCGGTTGACTCTGCCAGTATTTCAACCCCAACCATAGCCGCCTGGAGGCAACGTTGCTCTGTGTCAAAGGCTCAATGTCGTGTGTTTCATCTTTGGCGACTGGGATTCCGAGTAAGGGATGCATGGGGGGAGGCTGAGGACCTCCGCGGACAACAGAGGAAATGAAACCGTCATTCTGAAGGGCGAGGCAGAGCTTGAGGTGGAGATTGGAATTCGGGATTGAAGTGAATCCGAGTCTTGCCTTGGTGGCATTGTTCAGATGTGAACAAACGTGTGCAAGATTGACAAGCGACATTGTGAATCGTGTTTTGGTATCAATTGACCCAAAGGGCCTGGAGAAGTGGTAATTATGCGGTCCGTAGTAAGTCAATTCGTTAGTTTTCAGTAGTGGTGCGTGAAGGAGGTTTGTGAAGTTACCTGAAGTGAGCGATATAGAAGCAGTACAAGGGATCTCCGACACACTTGAAAGCTTTGGAACCAAGTCGCGAGACCTCGGTGATGCTACTGCGATGCGGAAAGCTGGATGAAAATTTCGGAGAAACAAAGCGACGGAGCCGATTCTGATGCCTCAGGCCGAAAGCCCAAGGTCAGGCACCCAGGCACCCACGGTTACTCAACCATCGTCGAATCATCTCCAACTTCTAAGCGCCCTCATTGCCGCCGGCCTCTGCATCTCACGCCCAGTCGCAGCGTACCTTGGTAAGTGGCTTTGCTCCTGTTGAGACTATAAATCACTGTGCTGCCTGTTTCATACCCTTCTCCCTTCTCATGTTTCGCCCATAACCTGCCTTCGTGGTCTCTTCTAAAAGCAACCTCGGACTAACTGCTAATCATGCCTCCGCTACCAGGCGAGGAGCGAGTGCTAACAATGTAAGTGGTACAATTACCCCGCAGGCATTGGTGAATTGCATTGCTTAACACGCGCAGCTTCGCCGATATCCATTATTATTTCACGGCACCGATCCCGAAGCCCGCCCTCCATCGGTTCGATAAGAGCTCCTACCTATATCTATACCACAATGCCGCGCAGCAGAAAACCAGGCTCGAGGTAGCTAATAACCCCGGCACCCCCGACCAAGATGCCTTCAACGGGAGTAAGCGCTCAGAACCCCACCCAGGGCAGGCATTCCCCTGACGTCTAATTAGCTCTCGATCATGCCCACCTGCGCCATTCCACAACATTTCCTACACGATGCACCTTGACTGTTGACGGCCAAGCACAATCGCAGGGAGGGCTGGCCTTTGCCCCGCCTCCGGGCAGCGCGAATCCGTACGATTGGCAGTTGCCGACGAGTAACCCTACCAGCGAGAATGCCTTCCAGCGGTTACACACTCTGGACATATACTTTTGGACTCAGGGCGACGCCGATCAGTTTCTGGATTCGATCGAGCAGTACTTGTCTCGTACTCAACTAGAGACCGACCGGCACCCCTTCCCGCCACCTCCAGAGGCCACCACCACCACAAGTACCATAGTACAGCAGCTGGAAAATGTGGCAATCACGGATCCGGCTTATCAGAATGGACAAACTCGGAACTCTCAATCCGAAGCTGTCTTGAGCCCTGCGCCTATTGGTATCCCTCCTCCTCCACCAGTGGGCGGTCCAACTCAGCCGGTCCAACAGGCGCCCTCAGCCAGTTCTCTCTCAGTCGAGCAGAAGAGAGAATCCGCCCAGTTCACTCCCCTTCCATATAATCCTGCTGCCCCCGCCGCTCCAGAACCCATTAAGCACCGTGAGAAGACACCACCTCCTCCGGATGCCGCTAACGGAACTGGTCTCGCCGCAGCCATGGCAGCGGACAATGGCGCCCCTTACCAAGTACCTACCCAGACACCAGGCTACGCGCCTCCTCCACAGCAAGCTCCACCAGAAACCTACGGCCTCCCGGGTGGTTATGCGTCACCGCATCCCAGCGCAGGCCTCACCCGCACCGGCTCTTTTCCACCCCAGGCATCCCTTCAGACCCCTCCCACCGTCCCATCCTACTCCCCGCAAGCATCTATCCAGAGCCCGCCCATATCTACCTACCAACCCTCATATCAAGCCCCAATTAATCCAGCAAACCCAACCGCGCACCCTTACGGTGCCCAGCAACAACAACAGCAACCGCAACAACCCCCTAGCTTCTACGGCACCCAGGTCCCCGCCATAGCCGGCTACTCTAACTACTCCTACGACCAATCCTCCAGCAACCCCGGAGCTCAACATCAACACCACCAGCACCACCATCATCATCACCATCACCAGCCATCTGGCTCCGAATATGACATCCATAACCAGATGTACCGGCCCACAGAGTCAGAGGCGAATTCGCACCTGCAAGACCATGCGAAACTTGCCGTTCAGAATCAGGCGCAGAGACCACGGAAGCTGGAAGATTCGGCTGCGAGGGTCGAGAGTAGCGTTAATCGGTTCTTTAAGAAGTTGGAGAAGAGGCTCTGATAGCTTCTCTTTTCCGTGTTGAAATGTGATCGTTGTAGCTGAATTGATCTGATGTTGCGGAGGATGGGAGGTTTGATATCCGTCTAGCCTTTGTTTATATGGTATAGTATATTATATAGCATGGGTACTTGTCCCCGAATTTAACATGACGGCCATTTCACAGATATCTTCATTGTCCAACCGATGCTACATAGTAAAGAACGCATCTACATAGATGAGAATCACAACGCTGAGAAAACAATAGTAATTCCAGGTGTAGGCTTCGTGATAGCGGCGCTCAATCGCCCTACGACAGCACATGGAGGAGCTCAAGCGCGAAGTCAAAAGAAGATTAAAAGGCATCTAGCAGCTGAAGACAGAATAATGCAGTATGTATAATGACAAGATGGTGGAAAGGTAGAAAAATGTAAAGTTTAAAGAGCCCAAGAAGAATGGAGCAAGAAATTCGATAAAGCGAAGCAAACAAGATCGAGGAAGGGACTCCTACACAGAACAAATGCAAGATGCGATCGATATGAAGACGCTAAATTCACCCAGAGTAAAATATGTCAAACACCAGATTGAATGAATATGCTTTCACCATGCAGAAACGTCTGTTTCTTTGCTGCATGGTAGAACGGTAACAAGTGTTCGCAAATCGAATCCGTCGAAAAGCGAAGCGAAGCGAAGTAGTAAAGTAAAGTGCAGAAAAGAAGTGGTTGATAACGGAATGTTAATTGCTTTCTAAAAGCTGCGAAGTGAAGAAGAAAAGGGTATAGCAAAATATGTCACGAGAAGTGAAAAAGTAGGTGACCGAATGCTGGGCGGAAAAATGAAGAAGGCTCGAAGCGGTTCGTCTAGTTTACTGCGTCTTTGTCGTTCAGTGTCAGCTTGCTGAGGTCAATGTCGACTTCGTCCGGCTTCAGTTCGGTGGTTGTAGGCTCAGTTTCGAGAGGGGCTTCGGTGGGAGCTTCTGGTTCTAGCTCTTGTGGAACAGCAACGACCTCAGGCTCGGTGGACTTGACGGTCTCGACGACTTCAACATCGGGTTTGGCTGGTTCAGTTGCCTGGTCTGTAGCCGGTTCAGTCGGAGCTGACACTTCTGCCGCGGAAGCTTCTGGGGTTGGCTCATCAAGAGCTTTGACAGGCTCCACCTTCTCCTCAGCTTCAAGAGAAGCTGTTGGTTCAGAAGCAGACTCCGTCGCAGTCTTTTCAGGTTGAATGGGAGAGGTATCCTTCAGCTCAGCGTCGTGAGTCTCGGCAGGCTCGGTAGCAGGCTCAGTAGTAGGCTCACCAGTGGATTCTGGGGTCTCTACGGCTGGCTGTTCACGCGACTCCTCGATCTCAATCGCAGGCTCCAGAGATCGGCTCGAAGACGGTTTTGAAACTGTTGGCGTGGGCTGCTCAGTGACATCTTTTACTGGTTCAGTCTCCGGTTCTACGTCTTTAGGGTGTGCTTCGGTTGGCTCGGCCACTGGCTGTGGCTCCTTCTTCGGCTCCTGCGGTGAAATAGGCGAAGCTTTGTCTTTCGCGGATCTGTTGGAGCGAGTGTCTAGCTTTGAAGGGGCCCTCCTAGGAGCTCGCGTCACTTTCGCCCGAGGAGGACTCTTAACCTCAATCTTTTCGTGTGCTTTGTTGGCCGAGCTTGCTGTAGGGCGCATCATCCTTGCTAGGAATGACTCGTCGACGGGTTTTGTAGTACTCATGCGGGAGCTAGAACGATCGCCTGATTGTGGTGGGCTCCGGGATGGCTGCTTGCGAACACTGGAAGCAGTTGGGGTAATTGCGCGTTGGCGAGTTGTAGCAGTAGCACCCTTCAGACTGGAAGGCTTGCGAGACAGACTGGAGGTAGTTCCACCAGTAGTGCTCAATCTTGATGATGATAGATTGGGCGCTGTTGTTGAGGCTGGAAGGCGAGCCGGTCTCGCCGTGGATGAAGATCGGACGTCGCTGGAACGAGTTGCTGATTTTGCGACTTCACGAGCCGGTGTCGATGAACGAGACGGACGTGCTGATGGTTTGGCTGCCGTAGCTAGGGACGTCCGGCTCGGTTTGTGGACCGGGGCCTTCGGTGCATCAGTCTTCAGTGTGGTAGTCGTAGAAGGCTTGGACGTGCGTGTTGCTCTGGTGGGCTTTTCACTGTCAGGCTTGGAAGCGGAGGTCGGCGTGCGTGGTTGCCCTGGTGCCTTGGAACTTGGTGCTTGCGAGGCAGGTTTGGTAGTTGAAGCCGTCTTGCCGATATGCACATTTGACGGCTTTTTTGCGACTGTTCTACCCGGTCTCGTAGCTGATAAACCTGGAGCGGCCGTTGTCGGTTTCGCGATAGGCTGGTTTTCCTTATTTGCCAATGATACCTCCTCAACCGCCTTCTGTTTCCCCTTCGTGTCAACGATCTCAGCGACAACCTCTTTTTTCTCCGGCTCGTTCACTTTCGGCGCGCTACCGACGCCGTTTGTCGGTGGAGGCGACGATCCATTGCTCTTCACGCTGCCCTCAAGATCCTCCGAGCTGAAACTCTTCATCCTTGGCGGGGGAAGAGGGCTATCGGTATTTCCATCTGTGCGCCTCAGTCCCAGAACGGGGCTCGACGGCGTTCCTCCCTCAACAGCAATGAAGCTTGCGCGCACCTTCGACAGGTTTTCCGAACCGGCGGGGGATCTATCTCGTGGTGGCGGGGAGGAAACTGTTTGTTGGCTGTTTTCGAATCTCGCGAGGAGACTCTTGACGCCTTGATGAGCGCCTGTGTCAGTCATGGCGATCGAACGGAGCGATTTGCGACGAGAGGTTGACTGGAAGCCGGTTTGGCGCTGGCCGAGGTTGGCCGAAGTTCGGTAGATGAAGCGATTTTCGTGATCCTGGTGATGATCTGCCCTGTCCGGTTGTTTATGAGAAAGAACTAAGGCGAACGTCGCGCTGGGTCGCGAAGAGCTTGGACACGCTGGTAACTTGGGCGGGACGGAAGCGGGGGAAACGGGGCATATAAACAGTGGCAACTGTAAACAAACAAAGCCAGGGAGCGGAGGAGAGACGAAGCACGTCAATAATGCAGTTGGGCTACCAAATGGGGGAACGCAGGCTCAACAGACATGATAGACAAGGCTCTAGAATGGTCATGGAATGAACAAAGCTAATTAATTTCCATGAGGAGGAAGAAAGGAGAGGAGGCGAGACGCTGACACATATCGCGCGCCTGAGGCAGCATTCAGGGGGTGGATCCGCTTTCCATTTCATACGCTCGCTCTGTTTCAGTCCTCCTGCAGTGCAATCCAATAATATTGCCCAGTTACGTGACGCCGTGACGGTAACAGCCATAGTGTCCGAACTATTGCTCTCAAATTTATGCTGATGGCTTGCTCTCGGCCACCTTGATGCCGCCACCTATAAAGGGGCCAATACATCAACCCTTCTGATCCCTTGAAGGCCCCGCGATTCTTTACCGGTCGTTGGCCTTTCTGTTGGCAGTGATGGCGTTGCCGGGTACAACGTATGCCAGATCATCTCTAATTTATCATGAAACAGGACCCCAAACCATACAACCTCGGTTAAGTGTTGCGTCCACAATGGTACTGAATTTATTCCAGAAACCTGGAGCAGTCCGAGGAGTTGGCTGTAAAAGTACTGCTGGTCTAATTGAGAGATAGCTTCCATGGCGCCAAGAGTGAATAGCCACAGTGCCAGTGGCATTTTCACTGCGCTTGGTCCGAGGGCTTCCATGGATGCGCGCAACCGCTGCAGATGTATTCTGGTGATCACGGGACTGATGCCAGATCTTCGTCGGAACTCAGCAAGGTACAATAGGGCCGCAGACCTGATGCAAGTATAGAAAGGGGCAGCATCGGATGGACTAGGATCCAGCATAAGAAATCGATATGTAAGTGGATGGATCAGCTGGTCGATCTCTATCGGGCACTGCCAGATAGCTTCGCCAAAGGATGCCTGCCGCATTGACAGCTGTTTGTTGGTTTCTTGTAAGGCTCGGAAAGCGGACAACAAGGATAGAGGAAGATCGATACCGCTGAAGCAAGGAGACGTCGAGTCGGGTGGGCTGATGTGATATGGCTCTCGAGCCTTGAGATCCCTTAGCTCTGGACGGGCGTCGAAAGCATAGGAACCAATTGATTCCACCCTACGCATGTTAGTTGAGCGGCGTATCGACCCATCAATGAGCAACAGACCATTCAACCAAGCCTAACACCTTTTGATCTAGTTCTTTGACTGCGAGTCCAGACTCTTCAACGAGCCGAGCAACAGCCGTAATATGCAGCTTCCATGACAGTGCATCCCCTTCGAGATGGGAGTAGCAAGCCAAAGCAGCGATTGCGCTGACTGCACCATTTAACATATGCTTGTCGAACATTGATGAAGAGGCCAGAGAGAGTCGGACTCCTGAAAGCGCTTTTGTATGGCTTGAGAGTATGAAGGGCTTCAGTTCGTATTCTACCCGGCCCTGAGCAACGTGGGTCGCGTATGTAGCAAGCATCTGGTTGAAGGCAGCCGCATTGGTCAGGCATATTGGATACCAGCGGTCCCTGTATATGCGAGACTGGTTTGAGTTGGTGTCCGAAAACACTGAACATGGTTATGACAGATCACAGAGTTGATTATTGCCGAGGGACACATACTATGGTGAAGGAGCCATCGCGATTCACGATCCAGAGCGAGCGAGCTGAGTGCAGGTGCAGGGCTAACAACAGGAGCAGCTAGAGCAGATGACATTTGAATCGCACCCCTCGTAATGAGCTGCGTTTCATATTCTTCCCCAGGTACAGCTTGAGCGTGCGCCTTGCGACGGGCGTATCCGATCTCGCGCATGACCCGCCGTCGCGCTCTGGAACGTTGGGATTTGTCCGGATGTCGGTGAGTGGGGGAGGTGGTGATAAAGACCCATTCCCGAGGCTGAGAAGGATGAGGAGGCGTCATGGTTCATATATCACATCGCGCTCACTGTATGCTGCTACTTGCAACTGATGAGGGGGAAAGCAAAAAAATTTGGAGGTTGGTTCTTTTTTGCGGTGACATCATCTCGCTCTGTTCAGTTGATTCTAAGCGCTTTGGTTTATCCTTCAGATCGGAATGATGGATAACTCGAACATAGATGTCTTAGTTTTCTGACAATACTAACAAATTCCGAGTGGGTGACCTTGTGTTGTCTTCGATCATGCTTAGCCTGCGCATATTGCTCCTTCCAACAGCCTCGCCCGATCTCAACCTTTACACCTGATTATGAATGCTTTCTCTATTTCTCCAAGTCTTCAGCCCAGAGCATTCCGTACAACCAGCATATATCATCGCGATAACAAATGCTAACGCTGATAGCCCCACCGAAGTCCAGAGAGCCGCCCTGTATCCCAGCAAGAGGTCTGCGCCATCATGGCTCACTTCAGCCTCCACGGTCCCTGCGATCCCCAATCCTATGGCAATCGAATAATTGACAACAGTATTAACCAGTGATGCCGCTGCTCCTTGATGTTTTACCGGTACAGAATCGCTCAGAATTGTTGCCGATGCCGGAAACGAAATGTCCATTCTAAGTGAGGCAAAAAGGTTAGCTTTGTCTGTGCCCAATTCCCACACAAGCCAGTTGATATCGGATGTTGCTTACCCCCAGGCAGTTACAATGAATGACCAAAAGGTATTCATCCAATATGACTGCTCAACCGGCGCTATGCTCTGCAGAAGACACCCGACAAGGAATGAAGCACAAGCGACCGCCATCAACCATCCACTGGATATCTTTACCATCAGATACGGAGTAGTGAGAGCAGCCAGGATTCCGGAGATAGCTCCCGGTGCAAACTGTACCGCGGAGGCCAAAGGCGATATACCACGAAACTGCTGGATGAATTGGAAAAGGTAGTAGAACCATACGCCAAAGCTGCTCCATCCTAGGCCTGTCGTCAACAGCACTGCTGCAACACGTCGGTTAAATATGGATATGTCAAGGATTGGGTCTGCCGCGCGCTTCTCCTGCAGGACAAAGAGAACCAGAAGAATGAAGCCCAGAATAAGCAAGATATACACATACGGTGTCGGCCAACCATCAATTGGTGCTTGGTTCCAGGAGATATTGAGCAACAGCAGGCCATTGACACCTAAAGCGGATCCAGTATAGTCGAATGAGTAGCCGACAGACCGTCGACCAAGATGAGAATCTGACGGGATCACCCAGATTGCAATCACCGCCATGATGAAACAGCCCAAACTGAATAACCACATCACCCACGGCCACCAGACGTACTCCGCCAATGCCGCTCCCATCACCCCTGCAGTGAAACATCCCAGAGGTGCAGCCATAGCGAATGCTGAGAAGATTATGTTCTTCTTTCTTCCCGGAGGATACGTTCTTCCGGCGATGGCGAGCGCATTTGGGAGCAGAAACGCAGGTCCGATGCCTTGCAGCGCTCTAGCGGTATCAAAGAATATTGGCGACTTTGTGAAGGCACTGCAGCCTCCAATGACAGACCAGACCCCAAACCATGTCCATCCCAGAATAAGTATTCGCTTCGAGCCGTACAAATCGCCTAGCTTTCCCGCGACGAGTATAAACGTCCCAACCGTCAGACTGTATCCTCCCACATGCCAAGTCATCTGGATTGCCTCATTGGAACTCTGTCCGAAGGTGTCCCCGACAAGGTGGAGGGGAATGAGAATGTAGCCGAAGGCGCCTTGAACGAAAAGTTGGGTCGAGCACAGAACCATGAGGAAGAGCCATTTCTTGATTCCACGGGGCGGCTCCAGATAGACATCGGAGGTCTGCTGTTCGAATTGCTCGGTTGACGCCATCTCAGAGTTGAGAGAAATGAGCTTTGGATTTGTAAAGTCCTCAAGTGAAGCAGAAGTCAAGTGCTAGGAGTGTCACGGCAGCATGGGGTTCTTAATTCACATCCCAGCACGCGGAAGACGTGAAATATGACTGCTTTCTTGGTTACTGACGTCGTCAAGCCTCACCCATCCCGGCGGGTATAGATCGAGTTCCAGAACCGGAAATCGAGCGATGGGATAAGTGGGGCTGACAGGGGACCACGCCCCAGATTAAGCTTAGTGTGGCTATTTGAGCCATGGTTTCAAGCTTGAATATCCACATCTCTCTCTACTACCTCCTCCAATACATGCGAAACAGACGAGCGAAGATTAACGCTTGAAAGACCGTCCTTATTGCGAACTCCAACCTAGTCACCTCGCTTAGCCAGCGCAACTTAGCCGCTAAGTGATAACAGTTACGCCTCAATGTCCCGCTTGGTACTTCGGCTGATCTTGCCTCTATAGGCTGGGTTGTCGAGATAGATACACACATCGAGGAATCACATGTGTCGACTACCAAGATCAAATTTGTCAAGAGCCGAAGCACCAGGCAGTCAAATAAAGCTCGCCTGCACAGCACATATCTTTGCTAAGATTGACGGGTAACCTGTCACAGCGGCAAGGAGACCTGGGGCAAGAGCTAAAAAGTAGCAAGACGAGGTACTGGTTTCCACGTTTCCAGCACTTCCCAGGCTTATCGAGCTAATGTTCCTTGCTGCAGAGTTATTACACAAGTACGTATTTATACTTTGAGCCGTGTACGAAAGCGCCTGCCCGTCCAGTAGTATCTGGAAATCGGGAGATCATGTTGGGAGTAGACTAAGGTCCGCGGGCTGATTACACCGACAATTTTTCGGGTACTGGAAGTAAGTCTAGCACACCGACATTTTCGTGTCTTTGTTCAGAATCACTAGAGTTGGGAACCTAGGTGTGGAGCTATCAGTGAGAGGCTGTTCATGGTACCCTAGGTGTTGACCACCATGAGCAGCTTTCCACTGATACTACCCACAGACTGCCGTTACGTCTCGTTATGCAATGGCCTCGCAAAACGGAACCCGATGAACAGTCCTCACCTGGCATTCTTACAGCCAAGCTCCAGCATCTTGCTCCAAGGCTCAGCGACGAAGATGACCTTGAGGCAAAAAGAGTGTGTCTACAAATCAGCAAAGCGCTCACAGCTCAGCTAGAACGGCCGGAGAACACAGCCGTGGGCCTTGCTTTTTTCAGTCAGGGTGGACTTGCCCGGACTCTCTGCCATCGATTGCTCTAATTCCTGTTCACGCAGCCTATGATTGGCGTTAGTGCGTATTGCTATCGACCTGAAGCTGTTCGAAGTTATTGTTTAATACGGGCCTGTCTACGTCGGAAATGCTGGCTAGCTTCTCTCCGGCTGAGGAGTTGCTGATATGTACATAACTCACAAGTAGGCCTCGATGACAACCCTCAAAACTGACGGCTATCCAATCTAGTACGTATTTTGCGTCTCCTGTCAGTAGTACACTGCTGAAGAAATCTCTCCTCGGACATGGAAAGCCACACGCATACCAAGGATCATGGCCACAAAGGAAATCGCAGCTGGCCATCGGATCGTGTTAGTTATAGATTCAAGTACATCCTACAGCCCTAAGAGCTAACATAACAACCCCTTACCTACAGCTCTGAGCTGATCGTCCCCGCCATGCAAAGCGCCTCGTCCTACTTCGCCCAATACGGCTACTCCTCGCCCACGAACCCTTAAACCGGCCTTGTACAATTCGCCTCCAACACAGATCAACCCACCTTTGCGCATATTGCGTCGAACCCGTCTTTACTTGAAGATTTCAACCTATTCATGGGCAACTCTATGGGCGCCCGGACATACTGGGTCGATTGGTACCCTGTGCAAAGCCGGATTCTGGACGGGGCGGCCACAGACACCGCACTAATTGTAGATATTAGCGCAGGAAAGGGTCATGGCTTGTTGGCATTCTCTCAGAAGTTCCCCAATGCGAGGCGGCTTGTTCTGCAGGTCGATTGTTGTGGAGGCGCTTGATGGGGCCTGGGGGACGGCAATTGAGGTGGTTGCGTATTATTTCTCACGGAGCACCCTATCAAAGGTGGGTTTAGTTCTCGGTCTCTCATTTGGGGAGGCAGGCAAAGAGCGCTAATTGATACGCATTGAATACAGGCGCAAGAGTCTACTTCTACCACCACATCTTCCACGACGGGTGCAATAGCTACTGCCTCGAGATCCCCTCTCGAGTCGTCGCGGCCATGGCACCTGGATACTCGAAGCTTCTTTTTTCACGAGATGATTATCCTCGGGCAAAGAGCATCGCAGTTCCACGCCCAGATGGGCATCACTATGATGGCGTTTAATGGCGGAATGGAACGGACACGATCGCAGTGGCAGGCTCTTCTTGAGGCGGTTGAGCTCCAGATCGTGAGGTTCTGGGATCCAATTAATGAAGGTGCAGATGGGATTGTGGGGACTATGAGGGTTTGATCGTCTATAGTTGTTCTATTTGGGGTTGGGTTTAGCAATCGATCATAACATACATTCAGTGAGCAAACATAGGAACGTTACCCAGCACGTGGGTACGTTCTGGTAGGATATAACAGTGCCTTTAAGGAGAAAACCTTACTGAGAAAAGTCTTAGATGGAATGATGAAGCACTGTTGCGTGAAATATATCTTTGAATTCTGTTGGATACTATTGGCTCTGCTCGGGCTGTCCTGTGAGCTCTTGAAGGTCATAAAGGCAGACCAATTGCCTTGAGCGCCTAGCCTACGAGTATGATAAACAACATTTGCCATCAAGAGAACGGATGGAAAGACGTTGGTTGAGTCCAAGCATCCGCCGACATGTCGGCGATAATGTGGCCGGATCAACAATCTTCCGCCGCCATACAAAATAGTTCCCTCCGATTGCGGACGTGTTTCTGTCCAGCAGGAATCTCAACATATTCACAATGGCTGCCGCTAGGACTCTTCGCATAGGTCAATTGCTCTTTTTTAGCTGGATTGCGTCTGTTATGACCGACTGACAGTTTTGTTCAGGTCTCATCCCCGGTGACGGTATCGGACGGGAGGTCATCCCGGTATGTCGGCATTTTGGCGGACAGGCAGGACAATGGTAGTAGCTAACATTACTTTGTCTAGGCCGGTAGACGGATCCTTGAATCCCTTCCCTCCTCCCTGAACCTGAAGTTCAGCTTCGTTGACCTCGATGCGGGGTACGACTGCTTCAAGCGCAGTGGCAGCGCTCTGCCCGACAAGACCGTCGATGTGCTCAAGAAGGAGTGTGATGGTGCCCTGTTCGGAGCTGTCAGGTGAGTCACGGATGAGAATCACAAATCAATGGCGCGATTTGACCTTTTTTCCGTATAGCTCCCCCTCCACTAAGGTCGCCGGCTACTCATCCCCCATTGTCGCCCTCCGCAAGAAGCTCGACCTCTACGCCAACGTCCGCCCCGTCAAGACCACCGCGGGCACCAGCGCCGGCAAGCCCATCGACCTCGTCATCGTCCGCGAGAACACCGAGGACCTGTACGTGAAGGAGGAGACCACCGAGGAGACCCCCAACGGCAAGGTCGCCCGCGCCATCAAGCAGATTTCTGAGCGTGCCTCGTCGCGCATCTCCACCATGGCCGGTGAGATTGCTCTCCGCCGCCAGAAGATCCGGGACGCGAACCCCGGTCTCCGCGCCCAGCCCATGGTGACCATCACACACAAGTCCAACGTCCTCTCGCAGACTGACGGTCTCTTCCGCGAGACCGCGCGCGCCGCCCTAGCCGCCCAGAAGTTCTCTTCTATCGAGGTCGAGGAGCAGATTGTTGACTCCATGGTCTACAAGCTCTTCCGCCAGCCCGAGTACTACGACGTCATTGTTGCCCCCAACCTCTACGGAGACATCCTCTCCGATGGCGCGGCTGCCCTCGTTGGCAGTCTTGGTCTCGTGCCCAGCGCCAACGTCGGTGACAACTTTGCCATCGGTGAGCCCTGCCACGGAAGTGCCCCCGATATCGAGGGCAAGGGCATTGCCAACCCCATTGCTACTCTTCGCAGCGTGGCTCTCATGCTCGAGTTCCTCGGCGAGGAGAACGCCGCTGCTAAGATATACACTGCTGTTGATGGCAACCTGGATGAGGGCAAGTACCTCTCTCCTGACATGGGCGGAAAGGCTACCACCCAGGAGGTGTTGGATGATGTTCTCAAGAGACTGTAAATAGCGTTTTGACCTACATGTAGATGCATAAAAGTTTCCTACACGAATGTATAAATCAATTCTAGGTTTACATATATGGCCTTGAGAACTCTACTCTACATCAGCAGCAGACGGCGCCTCTTCCCAGTTGAACCTACCATCAGCCTCCGCTTTACCAGTCCCACCCCCAGTTTGTTCTCCTGCAGCAGAACCTTGCCCTTCATCCTCCAATAAAACCAACGTAAACAGCACAACAAAATAAACCTCCCCCGTCGCCCGATTCTTCAACACATATCGCAGCGAATGCGTCTTCTCATCTATATAGTTCAACGCATTGATATTGAACCCAGGAAGGCGGAGTATGAATTCTACGCATAATCGTTAGCGGATCAACCCAGACCACGGAGATATGAACGAGGCAATGACGGGCAAACGTGGGTAAATTACGATTGAAATCCAAATACTGATTCCCAAAATCCGCCCAATAGACCCTCCCAGCCTCAAACTCCCAGTCCTTCCTCTTCGCCTCATCCCGGAAGTGACTCCTCCGCTCCGCCACAGTCCCCGGCACACCCTTCCCCTCTCTCACACTCACCCCGCCATCATCCCCATCCCCCTCGCCACCCTCTTCAACAACGACATCATGTACATCCGGCAGTCCATTCTCAACCTTCTCCCCAACCCGAAACTGGTTCCACGTCGCGACAGCCGGACTATACAGATACGGCTTGTCTGCGTACGCGTCGCCGTCGAGGGTGGGATCGATCGTCCACTGGACGAGACGGAGGGCTGCGTTGAAGCCGGGCGGGAGTCTGTCGCGGATGGGGCGGTCAAAGTCGTTGCCGAAAATGAGGTCGTTTCCGTTGACGGGTTGTTTGAAACAGATGGCGAAGGAGATGGAGTATTGGTCTTTTTTGTGGAGGGGATGGTTGAAGTAGGGGTGCGTGTGCGGGGCGTTGTCGGGGAAGCCTACAGGATGATTGTTAGTTACTGCTTGATGCTTGGGTATGGGCTGAAGAGCTCTGAAGGCCTACCGGTGTAGTTTTGGATTCGGACAGCGAGGTTTGTCTTTGCGTGGTCGTTTTCGATCTTTAGGGTTTTGGGTTCGTTGACGGGTACGTCTTGCTGGGTTGATGGGTCGTAGCCGCTGCCTGCGGTGACCCTGAGGCGGTACTTAGAGGCTTTTGAGTCTGGCATGATGTCTAATGATGCTGAAACTGTCTATAGGGACGGTCAAGATCAATGGCAGAAAACAAGGTGATGTAGAAAGAAATACGGAGTACGAGCTGGACATATCGACGTCATCGATCGATAAGATAACCCCCGCTCCACACCAGCTCATGCTTGTATACTCCGTACCAAAGGGCGATTGAATGCAGTGAAGACGTGAAGATTCTAGGTACTATACAGATTACATTGTCTAAGTAATCAAAACAATTTCTTGATCAGACAAAAGAAATGGTCAAAGATCGGCTGGGTCAGAAGGGAGCAACTGCTGGTCCTCCTCTAGTTCCTCTTCCAACTCATCCTCTGTAAGAATCCCGATTCCGCTGTCGAGCCGCCTGCGGTGCTTTCCGCGGCCAACCTCGACGTCTACAAATCGCGTCATGCTGACAGGGGTGATGGGCTCACTCCCCATTTCCATATTGTCCGACTGCAATTCCTCCGATTTCAACTCCCAGTTCGCCGCTCGCACCTTTGCCTTGCGGCGCTCAGCATTGACTGTGGCTTTCATGGACGCATACGCCCGTGTTTGTTCGGCAACCCATTGATCCAAAAGCCCGTCTCTCGTTTCGACCTCTAGGCGCAGCTGTTCCTCTAGTCCAGCATTGCTGAGACGGAGCTTCTCTGCTTCCGCTTTGACCGTGTCGAGCGCCGTGTTGAGTTCCGAGACGCGAACATTCATCAATCCAATCTCTTGATCATGTTTTAGAGCTTGCTCCGCGTTGGTATGTTCAAGGCTCTCGACCGCTTGGTGGCGCTCGCGCTCGATCATCTCAACCTTGGCCGTGAGGTCGCAAACACGTATTCTGTTTTGTTCAATGACTTCTTCCAGCACGCGAATCTGCCGTTCCCTTTCAGCGATGGTCGAATCAGCGGTTTGACGTGCCTTTTCTTCGTCTGCAACCTTCTGGTGCAACTGAGATAATTGCTGCGCGTGTTTCTCAGTACGCTGAAGTTTCTCATCTTCCAACTTTGTTACAAGATTCTCTAGGCTTTTGACTTCATCATGATACTTGTCAAGCGCAGCGTTCAGCCTGTCAATACCGACGACATGATCCTGTACTTCACGTTCTAGTTCCTGCATCCGGATTCGCGTGTGCAGCATATCGCTTGCAGATGATGCAATAGACTCTTCTAGATCCTGTATCTTTTTCGATGCGTCCTCGTACCGGACTAGGAGAGTATCAAACTGCCCCCGCAAAGCTCTCTCTCGATCGACTGAGCCGTGATGCCGTGTCTGCTCTTCGTCAAGCTCTTTGACCAATGCCTCGACTCTTCTGACCAAGACGCTTAGAGTAGAGTTGCCGTCGTTCAATCCCGCATCGGCAGTTTCTCCAGGTACGGCGCGCTCAAGTTCAAGGCGAGCAGTCCGAAATCGATGGCGCATCTCATTTATTGTGTCCAATGCATCTTCGCCATGGAATCCTAGGCTCGAAAGCTCATCTTGGATGGTGTTCAATGTATGCGTGGCGTCTGCGGCACGGTTTAGAGTCTGCACCAGGCTCGGAAGAATAACGTCTAAGAAGTCCAGAGGTGGGGAAGGCTGGCGAAGGTGCCGCTCAAGGGGAGTTCCGCTGAGTAAGTCAAGCTGAGGACGGCATGCTTCGAATAGGTCTCGCTTCTCCTTCTTTGCCGCGTCCAAGTCTCGTGTAAGGGTGATGAACTCGGGGTCAAGGTTGGGGTTAGGCTGCGAAGTTTGTACGGAAGCGTCAACGCCCGATGCCTTTGGGCTCAGAAGCGAGATATCATCGGGAACTGAATAGTGTCTTTCTGCCCCACGAATATCAGGAGAGTCTGACATAAAGATGGTTTCGCCTTCAAAGCCGCTATCGTTGATTATAACTGTGTCTATCGAGCTGCCGGATTCTGAGCGCTGGTAGTGAGGAATTTCGCTACCAGAAAAGCAAAGTTGTGCTCTTAACCGACTGTTACCATACTCTAAATGCTGGATTCGATCCGCGGGCGTCATCCACTGTCCATCGTCACTGATTGATTGGCTTCCCGGGGACATTGTGCTTTTCTTCGATGACTCCAGTTCCCGCTTCAACGAGTCTCTTTCGCGCAGCAGCAAGTCGAGGGACTTCTCATACTGGGCAGCGGCTCGCTTGTCGCGTTCTATGCTCGTAATTTCGTCACTCAACCCGAACCGTCTGATCCTGCGCTGGGTTCGTGTGTCCAGGAGCTGCCGCAGAGGGGTAAAGTGTAGTACTCTCGTAGTAGGTTCATTACCAAGAGGCAACTGGCTGTCGGCAATGCGACGAGACCGCGGAAGAGGGGTGGAGCGGCGCCGGGCTCGGCGACTTGGGGTTCCCTGCAGCGTATTGCTATACTCCCTTTCCTCAAAGGACGTGCGGCACATAGCTGGCGTGAGACCCGTGGCGTAGTCGGGGGTATCTTGCGTCACAGGACCCGGGTCTGAGAAGCGCACCCTCTTGTGTGGATGGCGGGGAGTTTCGCAAGCTCGGACATCAGAGTGGCGAGTCTTCCCAGCTTGAATGGGAGAGCTATGCCCGGCATTTGAGGCAGAGCTGTGGCACCTCTTTCTTCGAGCGTTTCGAGTCTCCATATTGAGGTCCGGCAAGTGTAGCAACGTCGCGCAAGTGCGTATCTCAATATTGGGAAGTTATACAATGGGCCAACCCCAGTAGATAAGATGCAGCGCTAGGCAGGCAATGAGAGGCGAATAACAACAACGGTGTTGTTACCTGCAGGCGTGTTATTATGATAGGCCCCACGCTTATTTTGATTAAACCTCAAACGGAAAGAAGGGATTGCCGAGTCGTGCCTTCCTTACGCGTGATGGAGCCAGCATCACTGCCTAATTGGGAAACTGTAAACAACCAGGCAGCAGTCAGGTGACACCCCTTGCCTGATCTCCCAGGCTGCCATTCCGCCCTTCAGGCTTCAAGGCTGAGCCTGGAGGCTGCGTCCTCGTGCATCGCGTGTCATCTGGCAGGCCGTGGGAGATTATGCTGCGAGGAACGCGGGACATTCGATGATCCCGGTTGGGCCAGCCGTCTTCTCTGTCGTTCCCGAGGATACAACGCCAGGGACAAAGCCTCGTCCACCCTGCTCGTTGTAATTTCCACACACTGTAGCATCGGACAGGACAACGACTCCGGAGTAGACTGAAGAGAACACAAAAGTGGAACAGTTGGAACAGTGGAACTCAGGAAGGTCTGGATGTCTTCCGACCTTTCGGGCCAGAGTTCGAGTCTTGGGTTGCGATTTGCGGGCGGCAGGTGATGTCATTTTGAGGGGGACAGCTCGAACCACTCACAGCTCGAGTCGCCTGAGTTCACTGATACCACAGCCTAGGTAGCTGGCGATAAATCTCCAACGACCTCTTTCCAGATGCTGCAAACAACCCTTCCAGAGGACATTGTGTGCTTGACTCGTCTCATTGTTGACCGCTGAGTGAATGAGGCTGGTACACCCATATTCATCTCATTCGCGCTCTACCACTTCAAACCCCCAGGCCTGATGGCCGTCGCACTGATGGACTGGCAACCGCCCCTTGGGCAGCCGGGACAAGATCATTCCTCATTAGGGGATCAACAGGACTCTAATGGACAAGCATCGCACTTAACAGATCAAGACCGCATAACGCTTCAGAATATAGAGACACCGCTCCTCCAACTCCCACCGGAACTCTTGTACGACATTTTCTCATATCTTTCAGCGCTCGACCTCGCCCGCGTCGCAAGAACCTGCCGATCACTAGCAGAGCACGCGAACAATGACCGGCTATGGGCAGCTCTCGTCAATTCGAATCTACTCGATCCGATCCATGATCCTGGTGTCTTCAAATCGTTCCGCGATCTCTACATTACACATCATCCGTGCTGGTTCATCCCAAGGAACAAGGTGTGGTTTTCGGATGTCGAACATACAGGGAATCTTATCTTGACTCGATACGACAATCGACGAGGAGTTATCGAAGGATACCGGGTGATTGCCGAAAGACGCTCTTCTAAGATCTCGTTTTGGGAGTGGAACCCTGATGTTGTCATCCAAGCATTCGAGCCCAAAGTGAGCCTGTGGCTCGATGATCCTGTTCTCTTGTTGCAGAAAGTTGAAGGCCAGCGGCCGAGGTACCTCGACAGTGAGACTCGTATGGCGATGCCGATCGAGGTCCAGTACATTCTCAATTCCATCATCCTTTGCAAGCAGAGCAACCAGGAAGATCTTACCGAAGACACGGAGTGGCCCCCGGAGAGGATCCCTAGCGACCATCGAGTTTTCCGTAACCCGGAGATACATTGGTCGGAATGGAATCGTTTGCCGCGGAACCTAGATCAGTTGTCGGAGCATGCATTCCGAATCAGACGATGGGCACATTTCCGGTTGGGCATGCCGATTTTTGCAGCTAGTACAGGGGAGACCATGTCAACATATGCCACGCTTGATGCAGATCTATACACTCCCACGAAGGACAAGCCTTACCAAGGAATCTGGGTGGGGGATTACTCGGCACATGGATGTGAATTCCTTCTCGTCATACAGCGGGACAACCCCGAAGACGACTCTGACAATCCTGATGCTCGCGACCCGAGAAATGACGACATTATCCAGAGGGGAAGCCTAGAGGCTGTGAAACTCACAGGGGATCCCAACGTCCCGCGAGGTCAACTCTCGTTTAAATCAGATGACATCGGATCTCGTGGCACCGTTCGAATTGCAACGGAAGCTTTGTTTGAGGGAGCAAGGGTGGTTCGCAGCACAGGTCATGTGGCGGGCCTTGGCTTTAGAGATGGTACGTTGGCTTACATGCACTTCCTATAGAGCTCCTCTGACCAGAACAGACACGTTCATCACTTCGCAACTCATTCTTGTCTCGCCTGATTGTGTTGCCCATTACTGGGAGTCTATGGGCCATATTACCTATTATCGTCGTGTTGATATTGATGCTCTGATCCGCACGTAATATCGACGCATATTCTCCGTGTTTCAGGCGGCATCATGACAAAACCTCGAGTAAAGAACCCGGTCACCCGGCTCAAACATACCCCCACGCTTTATGCATCGCCTTTGGTTTGCACATTACGAAGCCATTTCAGCTTTCTCGGTGGCGTTTGTGATAAGTTAGGTCATTTCTGTCATTTCATTGGCGCTTATTGATTTCTTCGGACCTCGTGGCAAAGGCTCTCTTTGACGAGTGACGTTTTGATACTCTTCGTTTTTGATATACGGGGATGGTTGGAGTTGTAAACGTTGTCGTGCTCCCACAAACTGCTTATTCACCTGGTCGTAAGATTCTCCTAAAGGCTTAGAACAGTTTCATTACTTTGCATGCACAGGCGTATAATATATCCATATCATAGGTTCCTGCAAAAACCAGAGTCAGACGCAGCCAGACACACAGAGACAGGTCTAGAACAAATAAGATTCAAAGGTATAGAGTGGAAAGAATAACAAGTTCCCAACGCCAGTTTGCGCAAAGGGACAAGGGCATAGCCGAAGCCCAATCATCAATCATAACCTACACCCCATCCCCCGGTATTGAAGCAGAGAGACATCGAGTAGCGCGCAGAACACGTCATTCATCCCCGCAGAGCCACTGTATTGCTCCTCGCATGCTCAGAAACCGTTGATACACCTCCCTACCCACACATTCTCAACAGAAACCCCTCATCGCTTCCTCTCAAAATAGCTCGTCGAGCTCAGCACCGCAATCGACTGATCCATAACCCACTCGCCAACGCCCAGGTATTTATTAATCCAGTTCTTGATATCCTTGCTATCGGTAATTTTGTCGGCGCTAAGACTGGGGCTGAAATGATCCCCACGCCTTACGCCCGACAGTTCCCCTACCCGGCCGGTAAGGGCCCGGGGAAAGGGAGTGCGGGCGGCGAGGGAGGAAGGTGTTAGTCTCATGGTTCTTCTTCTTCTTTTTGAGCGGGGGTAGGGGCGGCATGGTGGGTATGAGGAGTATGCGAGAATAAGGAGGGCTTACGTGAGGCCCGTTGAGCGCTTTACGCCAGCGAGGAAGGCGGAGACTATACGGGTTGTTAGCTTTGCTGATCGGGTTGGTGAGGAATCAGGGAAGGTAAGAATGGCTTACTGAGGACAGCATCAAAGGCGATGTGGGTGATACGACCGAACTAGAGGGAAAGTGAAACAAAGTCAGTGGCGGTGCGTTCCTGGCCTGAGTTCATTCTCGTAGCGGATCGCATCGGCTTGATAACGTACTACCATGTTGAAGTTGAGGGGTCGGTCGGTTGGAGCGGAGGGAAACGCGAAGGTAAGGCACGAGGCGAGGGGAAACTCCACGCCAAAGAAGCAATAAAGACCTGATGAGGAATATGGCTAAGCCGGTGAGTAGGTGGTTTGCTCGGTGAGACAGATATGGAGAAGGCAAGAGCTTCAATCGATGCGGCGGCTCAGGTGTACGGAGGAGCCTACATGTCTCTGCTCCGCGGGCAGATGTCGGGCGATGCTTCCGCTCTCACGTGCTATTCCGCATGACACTTTTTGGTGGCTGGGGTTTGGGAAAGATGTGGCTGGTGAGGTTGCTTCCTCCAAATCGACTAAGCCTAGTCCGATCTGGATGAACCGGACATTGGTTGTCCGGCACAAGAGTTACTCCGAAGTAGAGCTGGGCTGCGGGCAGAGATTGCCAGCGTTGAGCCTGTCCTGGACTTCTGATGGCGGCGCAACGGGGATGTCTATACAATACAGTTGGCCAATCAGGCAGCTCAAACAATGCAAGTGATTTGTGGTGATCTCTGACAGGCTTCGCGCGCTTCACCCTGGCATTGGCAAGGATACGGAGTACAAGAGCTCTATTCGAGATATCAACCTTGGCAAGTGGATGAGATCTGCCATCGATCATCAATCATCAATCATCACAGCATTATTCAGATGAGCGAAATCATGTCACCCAAAGTTCCTTGGAGCCTACTGTAGATCGCTAATTAGAGAGGCTTGCCAATGCTTGGGGTGGTCTCCTGATGCCTCTTCCAGGGATGTTTGACGTCAGATCATTGAGGAAAAAAAAAGCAACAAAGATAGCAGCCGGTTGTCAATGCAAATAACAGAGACCATTTAGATTGATAGTTTATTCTCTTAGCGAGATGGAATGAATAATGGAAAGAGGAGCCGGCCGATAAAAACCGCTTTCGCAGTCGGCCAACAGTATTTTCCCTCCCGGGCACACCCCAACGGAGCCCCTCCTCCCGCTCTGCGTCTCACCGGGGCTCGCGAACGGTGTTGGCCGATTTCTGGTCTTCTCCCCTCTCAACTTTTTTCCCTTATCGTCCCTCCACTCTGCTTCCTCCTCCTTCTCTCCTCCCCATCGAAACTCACCTTACAATTCCCCCTCCATCTTCTCTTCAATTATTCACCGTAGAGAAGCTATTCACAATGGCCGCAAGCTCGTCCCTCGACCATCTGAGCAATCGGATGAAGCTGGAGTGGCACTCCAAGCTCAACACCGAGATGGTCCCCGCGAAGAACTTCCGCCGAACCTCCATCATCTGTACTATCGGTATGTCCTTGTTCGAAGCGCCCGCATTTCGAGTTTCGGCCGTCCGCCAGATCTAAAATCCAGCGGGCATGAATTTTGACTGACGCGCGCTCGCTCTCTAGGCCCCAAGACGAACTCCGTGGAGAAGATCAACGCGCTCCGCAAAGGTACAGCAACACATTCAATGCAGCCCGTCGCGATTCAGACTGACATGCCTCAACAGCCGGTCTCAACGTCGTCCGCATGAACTTCTCCCACGGCTCGTACGAGGTAATTCTTTCCCACCACCTGTGATGGTTAAAGCTCAAATCGGTCTGACTGGCGCCTAGTACCACCAATCCGTCATTGACCACGCTCGCGAAGCCGAGAGGCAGCAGGCTGGACGTCCTGTTGCTATCGCTCTTGATACTGTAAGTCCGCTTTTTCATCCGGCGCTTCCGTCTTCGCAATATTGACAGGCGTCTAGAAAGGACCTGAGATCCGTACCGGAAACACTGTCGGAGATAAGGACTTTCCCATTAAGGCCGGCCACGAGCTCAACATTACCACCGACGAGCAATATGCCACCGCCTCCGATGACCAGAACATGTGAGTTTCCACAGTTCATCGATCAAAGCGCGACCGAGTCCACTAACACGGCGATCTTCAGGTACCTCGACTACAAGAACATCACCAAGGTGATCTCCCCTGGCAAGCTCATCTATGTCGATGATGGTATCCTTTCATTTGAAGTCATCGAGGTCGTAGACGATAACACACTGCGCTGCCGATGCTTGAACAACGGCAACATCTCTTCCCGCAAGGGTGTCAACTTGCCTGGCACCGATGTTGATCTGCCTGCCCTCTCCGAAAAGGATATCAGTGATCTGAGATTTGGTGTCAAGAACAAGGTCGATATGATTTTCGCTTCATTTATTCGTCGTGGAAGCGACATCCGTCACATTCGTGAGGTGCTCGGTGAGGAGGGCAAGGAGATTCAGATCATCGCCAAGATCGAGAACCAACAAGGTGTCAACAACTTTGACGAGATTCTTGAGGAAACCGATGGTGTCATGGTTGCCCGTGGTGACCTTGGTATCGAAATCCCTGCTCCCAAGGTGTTCATCGCCCAAAAGATGATGATCGCCAAGTGTAACATCAAGGGCAAGCCTGTTATCTGTGCCACTCAGATGCTCGAGTCCATGACATATAACCCTCGCCCGACTCGTGCCGAGGTTTCCGATGTCGCCAACGCTGTTCTCGACGGTGCCGACTGTGTCATGCTTTCAGGAGAGACCGCCAAGGGTAACTACCCTTGCGAGGCTGTCACAATGATGTCCGAGACCTGTCTGCTCGCTGAGGTTGCCATTCCTCACTTCAACGTTTTCGATGAGCTGCGCAACCTCGCTCCTCGTCCCACTGACACTGTCGAGTCGATCGCCATGGCTGCCGTGAGTGCCAGTCTTGAGCTCAACGCGGGAGCGATTGTTGTTCTCACCACTAGGTATGTCGTGTGCTCCTGTCCTCGCGTTCTTTCAGAAAAATCGCTAACATGTCTCGAAGCGGTAACACTGCTCGCATGATCTCCAAGTATCGTCCCGTCTGCCCCATCATCATGGTTTCTCGCAACCCCGTCGCTTCAAGGGTAAGTTTCGTGACTTTGTGTTTAGATTTGCCTGAGTGCTGACATCCTTCTCTTAGTACTCACACTTGTACCGCGGTGTCTGGCCCTTCCTCTTCCCCGAGAAGAAGCCCGACTTCAACGTCAAGATCTGGCAGGAGGATGTCGACCGTCGCCTCAAGTGGGGTATCTCGCACGGTCTCAAGCTTGGCATTATCAACAAGGGCGACAACATCGTCTGTGTGCAGGGCTGGCGCGGTGGCCAGGGCCACACCAACACCGTCCGTGTGGTCCCCGCCGAGGAGAACCTTGGTCTCTCTGAGTAAATCTCGTCGTGGAGAAGATCGCTGTCCCCGGTGGGAAAAGCGGCTGCGAAGACAGCGAACGGAGAGAATGCGTCACTGTAGACTGGCTCTGCTTAGACACTAGCCCCCTGAAATCTTCCCACACGCTATGCAGCTCCTACGGGATCTGTGTTAGCTCATACACCCTTCCATTCCTCTGCAATGTGCAAGGGAGGAGCGCAAACGATACCCGTTCGGACCCCTTGAATATGCGGAGGGTTTCACTTACTCTTGGGTAGAATGGACGGACATAGGCCTGTAATTCCGAATTCCTGACTTCGGCGTTAGTTTAGCAAACCGTCGTTTAATGGTTCATGAAGCACAAATCAAAAGCTAGAACAACTAATGAATGTCTCATTCCTCTTAGCTTCATGCAATATATCTGTCAGGGTCAGTTTCTCTGTAAATTAGTGGTAACAGTATGCGCTATCATCACGGCACCAGGCGGTTCAGCGCAGAAGGAGCTTGCGAAAGAAGGAACAAAGTCAAAGAAAAGAAAAAGAAGGGATTTCTGCGGGGAACAGAGGCTAGAAAAACCTCCGAGCCGCGGCAGGACCTCGGGGAGCTGCTGGGCTGTGGCCTGTGGGAGTTTCAAAGAAAGAAGGTGTGTTTCCTTCCCGAGTTCTCCCTTTAGCAGATTGTTTAGGAAGAGCAAATGCGACATTCCCCAGGGTCACGCCTTCCACACCTCGTTTTGGCAATTTGGCACAAGCATTCTTGCATCTGGATCACATCCTCCCATGAAAGAGATGAGTAGGGAAGAAAAAGAAAAGAACTTTAGCTGAAATGAATAATTAGTTCTTCATATGATCTCGGTAAATCATCAGCCCGGTCTGACGTCCCGACTTCCGCCGATGACTCGGCATCCGCTCGGCGTAGCGGAGATGGGGGTTTTCGCGGCAAACGGAGTAGACAACATCGAGGCGATATTTCTCTTCATTACTAGTGCAGACTATGCAGATGCCGAACACTATCTATGTATGTAGTAAGGCTAGTAGTAGGTCTGTGTCCGTGTCATCAAATTTATGGAAACGGGGTGTAAACGCCGTAAAAGTTGTACATAGAAATGGCAGCCAAAATGAATGTCTTCCCGCCCGCTTAGCAATTGTATGCATCAATGCATCGTCATCGTAAACTCGTATCTTCATCAAGCGTTTTTCTCATACACAGAACATCGTACATCTAGTATTCGTTTTCAGCCGCCCCGTCAGCGGTATCTACATCCATCAGCGGGTGGTGGTGGTGGTTGTAGTGCCCATGGACATCCACTGGCGCATATCGCTGCATTCGCGACGGTTGAACCTGATGCCAGCAACTGCGGGAGCGTTAGCGATAGCTTAGAATAAATGCACACTCGTCCTTACCTTGGAGCTTGAAGCACATATCGGGCCATTGCCTCCCTGAAACGACTCTTGTATTCTTTCGGACTGGTAACTGTAGGCCGGTTCTTACCGCCGCCTGCGAATCCACGGTCTTTGATCCAAGACTCGAGCTTCTTGTCCCAGGTATATGTTCGTATGCAGTCAATGACGCCGACCACCAATTCTGAGCGGGCCTCGTCGATGGCAATCATGAGTGAATAGTCCATCACGTTCTGGCGTGCAAGGAAAAGAGTGTCGTTCCAAACACTTTGGCTGAGAAGCTTCTTTGAGTGTTCCCTTGTAAACAAGGGGGTTTCATAAATAAATTCCACCATGTTCTCGTCCAAGAGGACTTCGTTGCGTTCACCGGTGCTTTGGACCTTGCGATTCCTCATTGATCCCTTGAGATCAAAGATGCGTGTAGGGACACGGTCGTAGAAGAGGTTCTCCATCAGAAGCAGATACCAGTTGAACTCCGTGTTAGTCGCAGGGTTTTTTATGATAACCTGGTAGAAACCAAACATCTTCGCGATTGCAGACGGCAGCTCGTGGAACAATACTTCGGACATGATCTGGAAGTAAGCAGGTGCAAATTTGAGGAAAGCTTGCGTCTCGATGGGCGACAATGATTTGAGAATAAAGCGATCATCTAAAGTTTTCAGGAAGAGAGAATTTGTTTTTCCTCCCTTGGAATCCCACTTGGCGCAACGAGATAACGACTCAACGATTCGATCTGCAACGCCACATTGCTTCTGCAAAGCGTCGAATTGCTCGGCGTAGAACACCTTGCACAGCATTTTCGCTTGACCTTCCTGAAACTGGTATTTCAAATGCGTACCAGTAGATCGGAGAAGGGAGTGCTGTACTCGGGATGCTTCATTGCCATCCTGGACATCCGGTGACTGTTCGTTGGCTTCCCCATGGTGTCTTTGTATGCTTGCCAGCTTCTCCTTGTAATCATTCGAATCTAGCGCAAAAGCTATCAATGAGCTCGGCTCATCCTCACGCACAATGATATCGCAGTCCGCGAAGACATGATCGGACATTGTGAGTGGATAGTCAAGAGGCGCCCAACCACTGGCCGAGCGCTCCGACCAAAAGTTTGTCAACAGCTTCAGGAGATTGCTTCGCTCGTGTTTTGGTAGCTCCTTGAGATCCATCGATTCGTCATCCGGTGACATTTTAGACAAGTCGTCGTTAGGGTCAATCAGTTGAGGGTCGTCGGTCGAAGTGCGTTCTTCGTCGCTATGACCTTCTTCTACCTCCACGTCCGACAAACTGTTGCTAGCAGGCTGATCGTGTTCTTCCATATCAGAAGGGAAAGGTTCGGGCTTCAGAGAATTGCTTTGTTCCTCAGTGTCGGGGCTCATTGCAAGGCCACTACTTTCTTTGCTGGGACGTGGCGGCGGTGAAAGAAGGTCATCTGCTTCCCCAGAAGGTTCCCGCTCCTCAACTGCCTCCCGGACATTTTTGTACACTTCGACGATTGGTTTTGAAGAAGCAAGCGGATACGCACGCGAATGTATACCTTTGGCCGCTCGTTGCTGGCGTTCACGTTGACGCTCCTTCTCAAATTCGCGGCTCAATTGCTCAAAGTGTTTCGCCAGAGACGATACGCGGTTCTTCTTCGTCGGTATAGAGCGAGGTATCAGGGATGGACCAGGCGTCAGCCGGCTGTTCCGGAAGGCTGAGAGGCCGAACCTCTCCGAGAGCTTTTTGTCGTGGTGCTTGGTTTTGAGTTCCAAGGGAGGACTGACGGTGCCACTGGATCGTTGTAGCTTTCCTGAGCCAACTTTAGTCCCTTTAAAGGAAGGTGGCTCGTGTCCCAAGTCCTTAAGGGACTGAACAGGCTGCGACCTCGCGCGGAGAAGAGGTGGCGAAGTAGACTTTCCAGTACGGCGGTATGACCCCTCTGAAGGCCTTGGGATCGATGAGAAATTGTGAGTTGACGCGGTGGGGGTATGAGGAGTTGACTTGTCAACTTCATCAGGATTCCTGCTACTCGCATCCGCTGTGGCCGTATCGTGGCTCGTCTCAGTCGACGTGATGTCAGGCTTGTCATCGGGTGAAACGGACTCTGGACGGCATTCGATGTTCGTCGATAGGGTCTCCGCTCTTTCCATATCGCCTTGATCCGTTTGGGGAGTTGAGCTACGGTCCTGCTTTTTGTCTACGGGTTCAGCAGACTCGGTGAGGGATCCCTGCGATGCAGACGTCAGCCGCTGCCCATGGGTAGGTGATGGCGCAGCGGAGCGATTCCCATCTGTACTGGTTTGGTCCGTTGGCATGGTGTTTCCCCGTTCTCCAGAGTGCTCTTCAACAACTGAGACAAGAACATCCTGCGCTTTTTCAGGAGAGAGCGTCATTCGACGAACTGGCCGAGGGGCTTCAGGACTCTGAGCATGTTCGCACTCAGCTTCAGTTGGGGTGGTTGGTTGATCGTCGCTGGAGGTAAGAGATGTGACCGAAGCATCTCTATCCAAGAAAATCTTTTTCAGCTGCAGGGTCGCAAGTCGCCTAATGTCCTTCTCTGACGGGAAGAAATTCTTTTCAAACTCAGCGAAAGCAGAATCCCACTCCACAACCTTTTCTTGGACGGACCTCATAACCTCATTCAGGGGGATGACCTCCCAATATCGGGAATTCATGTACCTCTCCTGCAGCTGCTTTATCAATAAAGCATGATCCTCATTAACTTTCCTGGTCAAGTTCTCAATTTCTTTCTTGCAGTCGTCGATAATGTTAGGGAGAACGCTTTCGACATTGATCGTTTTGAGCCGCGCCTTGACAGAGAGCATGAACTTGGTGATGCGGTGCTCAATTTTTTGATACACTTCGTTCTTGAGTCTCAAGTCATTATCGACTTTCCATGTCACCCGTGTTCTTGGGACAATTATCTCGAGCAGATTGATGGGGTCGTACTGGATTCGAATAGCAACATCCTTAAAGCCAAAATACCGAAGATGGTCACGTTGCAGGTCATGTGGACAAACTCCAGCACGAGCACGCAAGTTCTTGCTCCAAAAGGAGAGCTCCAAGTACTTTCCGAAAGAATATTTCCAGGTATTGTCAGACATGGGCAAGACTTGAGTCTCATTCCCGCAGATCTTGCAACAGCTCCACATCAGGATTGTATCCTGGTAACCTCTGAGCTTTGAAGGGTAGGGTTGGGTAAAGATGCTGATCTGAGCCTCGCCATGAACGTACTGACGGTGATGCTCAAACATGCGTTTTTCACACCCGTTCGCAGTGCAGATTGCATTTGCATGCAAGCATATATCTTCCACATACTGACCCACTGTACAATCAGGCTCATAGTTGATATCATCACCGTGCTCGTTGTAGAACTCCAAGGTAAGGACATCTGGGCCAGAGCATGGAATAGATGTTGTCGTGCAAACCAGGCTGAAGAGAACGGCAATATTCTGGTGCGCCCATGGATCGAATAGGCCTACCGTACCGTTTATGTATGCTTCCCACTGACGTTTTTGGGTTAGATAGTGGTGCAAAGCTCGGTCATACTCAGCGTCGTGGACGGCTTGCAGGACTTCTTTGACTTTGGGCGATGCATCTTTTGGAGCCTCATGGACCATCTCCGGAGTGATGAGACTGAATTTAAGGTTCTTCATCTTCTCCTCAGACGCCTGGGACTCGGAAAGGTTCTGGTCCCGTAGACGCTTGAGGTAGGCCAATCTCCGTTCCATCTCTCTGGCCCGCATCAAAAGGTGGGGAGGTTCAAACTTGACGAAGGGCGAGGCGGAGAGAATTTTTGTCTCAAAATCTCGAACTATGTCCTCATAATAAGTTGGCATGGGGACGTCGTCAGGAACCTCGGTAGCCTCAATTGCCATGACGTTATCTTGGGGCGAGGTATCCCTTTTCTTGCTGTCCAGCTCATTCTCGGGGTTCATCGACTGAGCACTAGAGCCATCGTGCACAGTAGCTAGTGAAGAAGCTGGTCTCTGATGTGCCGCATCCTCTAGTCGCTTCTCAACCCCCAATGTGGGTGACGTTGGGATTTGAGCAAATTCGTCTCGCATCACACAGGTCTCCAGCCTAAGGTTGTAAACAACATAAGTCATGAACTCAGCAATCCTCTTGACTCTGGAAAGGACATCGTGATTGCCTCCACGTAGGACAATTGTGCATCCGAGCTCCTTGCGACAGCCAGAGAGATAAATGTAAGTCTTCCTTTGCCCTTTGTAAACATATGTTTTGACGTCGAAACTATCACATTCGCTGTTTACCGGAGTTGTCACCAGCTTATCCATAGAGGTGATTATCGGCGTTTGTGTACATCGAGAAACTGCCTCCAAGACAGAAGATTTGACGTTGTACACTGTGGCGATACCGGCGCGGTCCAGCAATTCCAGGGCCAACCCGGACACATTCTTCTCAACAAGCAGCAAGTTTGGTCGTAAAGCAGATATTCGACTGACCAAGTTTTCTAGGAACTCCCGCTCCTGGCGAATCACAAGCTCCAAGCTCATAAATTGTTGCTGATGGCGAGCATATTCGAGAGCGAACGCGATGATGAGAATCTTAGGTTGAACAATGCTCCGAGGCATGCTTTTCAGAGCGACATTCTTGCTGAACACTAAGCCCGGAACATAGGATGTGTCACCAGGCCGCCCGCCAGGGATCTTTTTCAGCTTTATATAGTGACGAATATCCATATCGTCGCCGCTCTGAACCTGGGGGTCCACTTCGTCGGCCGCTTTGAGCAATATCGGAAGCAACGCTGTCTCCCAGCTCTGGGGGTTGGGCACCGAGGAATCCTCGAGGAGTTGCCGGAGGAGTTTTCGAACATGTTGTAAGCTTGCTTTGTTCATTTCAATGGGCGGGGCTCCCGCTCCCCTCATAGATGAACTCCTGGTCATCTTGAAGCCACTTGAGGCCACAGCTGCGGGTAGTAGAGGGCCGGAATTATGGGGGTCATAAGGATTGAAGATGCCCTCCTTGGATGTCCGGGGAGAGTGTCGGTGAATGCTGCTCGCAACGCTAAGGTTACGACGGCGAGAAGATCTGGGAGGATTAATAGCTCGTAGACTGTTCAAGCTACTGTCGTCTAATTCACGAACAGGTTGACCGAAGCCGATTGTGCTTCGGTCTCCGAACGCAGATCGTCCTTTTTTCATGGCAGCCAGAAGGCCTCCGAAAGTGGTCCTTTCATTGTCCCCGCCGCTTTTGGAGAGCGTGCCTTCTGACACCGCTGCCAGTAAGCTTGGCTGCTCGTCGCCGCTAGATGCATCATCGGATAAGTATTGAGCGAGGTCCGGGTCTATGATGTTGTCTTTATGAAATGCAGGGAGCCGTGTTTCAAATGGCGCATCGTCCGCATGACGGCGTTGAAAAGGAGCTCGCTCATCGTGATAAGACTTGAAATTGCGAACAACTTGCTGGCGGGAATGATGACGTTTATGGCCCATAGAATGAGTACGCCCACTCAAAGTAGATTTCAGAGATCTTGAGGATGTGGGCCTCGCCAACGGCCTATCGGGGCTGATTTCGAGGACGGCTGAGCGACGGTTATGCCCTTCTCCAGCACGCCTCGTTGCTGGAATTGCCATTGTAGGTGTCTTCATTACATGGTCCATGGACTGTGAGATAATGGATGCTGCATCGTCATCGTCAGCACCAAGGCGAGAAAAGTTCCCGGCGCTCAATTCAGAGACCCGAGGATTGAATATTATTGGACTTTGCTGTTCGCTGTCTGAGTAATCGGAAGAATCATCGTCATGCCCATTGATCATAGCCTCACAAGGCTTGCATACGCGTATCGTTCCTGGCTGCCCAAACTTTTCGCCCGGTATGAGAATAGTGCACTTTGAATCAAATATTTGGCCACAGGTGCGACAGTGATGTTTCCGACGAAACGTCGAGAAAGGCTCCCCACAATGGAAGCAGTCTCTGGCACCTTCATCCTTCATCCAGAAATCTTTACTGAGCAATCTGCTTCTGAGGTGTGTTACGACGCCTTCGCCGGGGTTCGAGCGCTGACTTTTACCCTCGTTAGAAGGTTTCCTGCTGAAACTAGTGTCGAGAGGTGTTATGACGGCCGGGGAGCCCATGGCAGTGTTGACTGACGATACTTGCGACGTTGGGTAACCTGGTAAACGGCCAGTGCGAGAAATACTCGGCCTCTCTTTAGTGTCGCCGTGAGGACGAGGCTCCGACGGCTCCTTCGGCGGGGCTTCCCCGTCAAGAAATGACATTGAAGTTGCGATTGTCGAAGGCGTACGTCCCTCAGCATAACCGCTGTCTTCTCCACTAGTGAATTGATTGACACTATCAGCCCCAGAGCCTGTATTGTTAGAGACGTCGGGTTGTACGGCAATTGAAGAGTTGGATCTAGTCCTCTCTGTTTTCTCTATGAACGGAAAATTGCCATCCCGCCCGTTGTCGATCGAGGGTTTAGCTTTCCTTAGCGAAGGTTGAAACCCGCTGTCTGCATCACGGCCTGCACGTGCATCTGGCTTCCTGGAGCTGTCGCGGATTCGGCCACCACTATGTGTGCTACCAGACTCTGCATTCGATGAGTGGTCGAATGAATTGTTGTGGCCTTTTGCTTGCAGAACAGGGGAGTGTGTCCGTTGTTGACTCCAACCTGAAGAGCTTAAAGAGGCGGCGCGGGGGTACTCATCATTCTCAGCACCACTCGATTCCATGGCTTGCGGGTCATGCAAGGAAGGGTTAGCGGAGGCATCACACATAGCCCGGGCCGTCTCCTTGATCGCATTGACATGTAATTCTGTGACAGTGGGATCCACAGCTCCGGAGCTCCCATGAGGTTTTGGCAGCGAGGCACCGGAAGGCTTGATTGTCGCCGAGGGCGGTACAGAGGCCTTGGAGGATATACTCCCGGCCTTTGAAGAGACTTTTGACGATTTCGCCATACTAGGAGCGTTCGAGGCGTCATGGAGAGACGGGTGGGTGACGGAGGTCGGTGAGTTCAACGTCGAACCTAGAGGAGATCCCAGATATTGGTGAGACTCGACGGACATGGCGTCTGGGGTACGCTTTGTGGACGGGCGTTCCGACGGCGGACGCTTTGAGGATGAATCCTCCGCTGACCTCCCAACGCCGCTCACCATATCCCGCATTCCGCCCACGGAGGTCCGTAGCCTACTATATAGACCACTTAGGCCACCTTGGAGCTCACCGGTCATGCTCTTGTCGTCCACCGCGGATGCTGGGGCCGGAGGGCTAGCGAACTCGTTGAAAACGGTGAGGGCATCTGACTGATAGGCAGCGGTATGTATTTGGTCAAGAGCAGCGTTGAGACTATCGCGTTCTGCCTGTGTTGATAGAGATGCGCGGGAACTTCGTCGACCGAGTGGGAGGAATATCGAGGACGCTGACGGACTCGAGGTCCCTTGAGACCGCTGGGAAGCCATCTCGACTATTCGGCGTCACGATCGAAGAGGAGACGAGGTGGTAAGCGACTCCGGCGGCTGAGAAGGTCTTAAGTTAGTGGAGTTGGGTCGTGGCAAACATCGGCGTAATCCTGCTGCGGAGAAGCTTCAAGGTTCAGTAGACGGTAGTTGCTATTCTGTGCAGCGAGTATCCGTGCAAGTGATTGACTTCGCATTTTGCAAGGATACGTGTCTCGGCAGGGGTCGTCCGGTACTGAAGCCAGGGTCCTGGGAGCGTGGATTTCCGTGGAGTGGGAAACGATGGCTGCTTCCAGATCGGTGCTATGGTATTGCAGCGCCCACACTACGGGCAGCCCTGCAGCTGCAGATGCCTAATCGCGAATGACGTGAGTGTGGCGCATGAGTCTTTATTGTGGCTGGTGTCCTGTGCTGTGGCGGTGACAGACGCGAGAAACCGCGTTTGCTCGGAAATCAGTCGATCAATCATGCCTAGGTTTCGCTCTGAGGACCTGATTGCTGTTAGCAGAAGCGATGAATGAGCATCTGCCGAATTTACTAGATACTTCCTCGCTCGAATACGGGACCTCCGATACTCTTAACCCTTCTTCAACTTTTCAATCAGCTACTTGATTCTGCTCCGATGCGGCACCCTCTCACAAAAATTCTGTGACTCCCGATGAGCGAACCTCCATTAGCTCTGGAACAGAGTACGATGTCGCATACGGCTTTACATATACTCAGAACGTAGTTCTGATCGACCCGTACAATGAGTGACTCTATCTGGATATCGCCCTTCATTGAACACTGCCTCTCCAGCTACCACACCGAGGAGGACTTGCGACCTGACCGCGACCTGAAATGGGAAGATGATGGAAGTAACCTCCGTTTCCCAAGTCCTGTCAAGCACAGCGCCTTGATCAACTCTGTAAGCTGCATTTAACATTCAATACGGCCATGCCTCTAACTTCTCTTCTTTCCTGCAGTGGAATCTCCCAAATGCCATTCTGACCGATTCGGACACGCAAATCGAAGCAAGACTATCAGGCGAATCCCTCCAAGAATATGGTAGAGCCTTCCCGCGGGAACCGCTTAGCAGCGATGGGTGCCGAGGGTATCTCATTCAGTTGGACAAGTTCGAGCTGGTTTACGCATACTCTACTGGAAAGCCAAGCGTTAACCTTTACGTCGAACGGTTCAGTATCATATGGGGAAGAGGCAAGACTAGGTCTCCGCCAACAGGGAAAGTGATTAGGAAAAAGCGCCCTCTGGTTTTGCTAATGCAGAAAGTTTATGGTGAGATCAAAGCCAGAGAATCACAAGAATTGCAAGCGAAGAACCGATCCAAGGAAGAACTAGGGAGCGAAGGGAGCGTTGGTGATATTCTCGCAACCCAAGCAATAAATGGTCATGCATATGCTTCCACACAGGCCCATTTTATGTCTCAATTATCTTCCCACCTATCCGCGATTGCAGAGCCAAGACATGACCCAGTACACGATGCAACCAGTTCGCAGAGCAACTCGAGACCAGAAACCGCAGAAGGGTCACGACCGAGCCGAGAGAGGTTTACGGATACGCACTTGTTGAATCGGCCATCTGTGACTGCTGCGGCAGGACATTCTCGCGGTGCAAGGAGTGTATCTACTACTAGTAATAGGCTTCCATCCCCCGACGAAGTGCAAAGACCAACGAATACACCTCTGAATAAAACTCCACCTGTGGAGGCAGAGATTAGTTCTGGGCCAGCTGGGCCGCAAGTCAGCACAACTCGTCCGTCTCCGCACGATCTTACCGGAAAGGGTAGTCCGCCTGTGAATATGGAAGGAATGTTACAGGGGGAAGACATTGAAAGGCGAGACTCTCCGTACTCTCCTGATAAGCAATTGAATTCCCAACTGCAAGCTTCACAAAATGTTACTTACCGGCCACGAAACCCACGGGCAGATACAAGTCAGAGTATGGTTGACCCCTGGGAGGATATGGCGGAAATCAGAAGCGTCGATGTCACGGTACCAGCAGATCAAAGGGAGATCCTGGGGCGTGAAAAGAGCCAGTGGTATCCACCTCTGATTGGGCAACCCAGTGTTTCCGGCCATGTGCCGCCGGCCTTGCTAGACGAATGGAATAAAATTGTCCTCCGAAGGAGCCGAAGAACAGCAAGCAGCAGATCGAATTCCGCGGAGGATGACCGGCCTAATGACTATAATACATGTTCGTCAGGAAGCCAAGGATTAGCAGATAGGAGATCAAAGTCTCCGGGAGATGATCGGCCTAGTGGCCATAATACCCCGACAGCAGAAGGCTCAAGAACAGCCGACAGTACAGCAGAATCTCCGGAAGGTGATGGATCCAGTGAGCGTGACACACCGTCGCCAGCGACAGAAACTTTTAGCTGGAGCGACAGCCCTGACCAACCTCCGCGTCGTGGTAGGGGGACTTTACCATTGCCAGACGATAGCAGTCCGCCCAGGGGACAATCTGTATCTCGCGCACTACAACGGATGAGCTCAGGTGCGCTGGGAGTCACAAATCCCACCTCCCACGATTCAACGAATGAGAACCATCCACCATTCGAGGCTGGTCAAGAACAAGTCCTTGGTAACTCAGCTAGATCCCTTGAACTCGCGAGGACTAAACCAGCGTCTGAAGTTATTGCACTGACCGTGGTGCATGGCAGCGGCGGACACGAATCTGATGACAGCGGCTCTGAATCAGAAATGGATGAAATAGTACCCCAGCCACAGAGCGGTAGTACGCAACAAGGAGTGTCTAGTGAGCTCGAAATGTCAAGCTCAGGCCCGCAATTGCCTGGGTCTACAAAACAAATCCAGGTTGCGGAAACTCCATCAACAGTTCTGCATAAATCGCGTGCTATATCATCCAAACAAGGTGACTTGGAGCTCAGACCAACGAATTTGGATCTTTCTTCACAGGCCGACAAGACTTCGTCTCAATCACGCATCGTCAACACGTACGCAAGCCTCGAGGGAGATAGCAGAGAGGAACTGTTTCAGGGTAGCTCAAAATCTGTTCTAGAAAACGAGGGCGACAGTGCAACCGGTGCGCAAGTAGTCGATACGCCAATAAGCGGCCAGGCTCCGCAAACGCAGGATTTCACTTCTCAATCCCAGTCGGGTTCTCTCTTGCCTTCATCGGCACCGAAGAGTACCGAATCGAGCGCACCTATCGCGGTCGCTACGTATCCATCGCAGTCTTCCAACGCCTTTTCGTCCTACCGCGACCTTCCTTCATCGTCAATGTTTTCGATGGTAGAGGAGCAGAGGAGCCCCAGCATACAGCGTTCTGCACCAGAAAGCCCTCTCATACCTCCGAAGCGCCTTGCATCTGAGATTGATGCCGACTTCAACACATCACCGTCAAAACGAAGCAAGGTGGATCAAAAGCCAACAATAATCGATCTTGAAACTGAATATGACGCAAAACTCCTTTCCCGCTATCAAGAATGCATCAACTCAGCACAGTCCACCGAAGCGTCAAAAGCTTATAAGGATTTCTGCCGCACCTACCCTGCGTACGTTGGGGATTTCGCTCATTTTGTGAAACTCTGCTCCAAACTACAAGCGTTCCGGGCACGTGGCAACCTACAAAGATCTCCACTGTGGGATGATTTTATTATCAAAAGTCTTGAAGACTATGGTGCCTATGCAGAGCAATGTATGGCAAATGGAACCAAGCAGCTACCCTACGAAGAATTTTTCGCTAGCTCTTTCTCAAGGCCTACTTACAAGAGTCGGTCTCTGTCCATAGACGGGATCAATGCCTGCGCAGCTCAGTTTATTACTATTGACGAGACACCAACGGTTACACCACCTGATCCAACGGCAGATACGAAACTATCCTTCACGAGCGGTATTAGGGACCAACTATCCAACTTCCACACGCATTCCTTCGCGGCGACGCGAGATTATGAATCCCAAGGCACCCAAGAAGATAATGGCATCGGGTCTCAATACAGCATTCCCGACAGCGAGCCTATTCGCGCCGCTGCACAGGAGATTGAGCACGAAGATACTCAGCAGACCGATGATAATGATGAAATCATGGAAGATGCTGAATATATTGGCGCAGCCCACGAAACAGCTAGCATTGAGCTCGGTGATGAAGAGTCCCCCAATGTCAGGCAAGCCCTGTCTGGCGACGACGACGACGACGAGACTATGGACGATCCTCTAGGTGACGAGCTAGCCGAGACCGCAAACACAGAGCCAGCGGTCACCCGTGAAGATCCGGCCGAGCACCCTTTTGATGCAGTCGTAGAAGCGGACAGTGATGTTGATCGCAACGATCAACATGAAATCACTGGCGCGGATGCTCTAAATGCACAAATGGATGATGAAGATGAAGTCGGAGAAACAGAGGAAGACGAACCCGAGCCCGCTTCCGCAGTTGCAGACAAAAACGCAGAAGTCGAAGAAACATATGATGACCAGTCCGAGGCTGCGAGCGAAACAGCCGCAAACGCAAACGCAGAAGTCGACGAGGTCGAAGAAGCTGTCGAAAAATTAGTTGACGAAGTAGTCGACGAAACGGCCTCGGACATAGACTTCGCAGTGCCCGACCCTGATGACGCTGACGACCCCAACGAGAACTGGTTCCTCTCCCTACGCAACCTCTACCCCGCAGAGCCCGTCTGGTCCGACGACGCCAACACTCCTTTCAAGAAATGGGCGCGGGCAGATCAGAATGTCTTCAGTGTGCGGAATCGTCGCGGGGGCGCGCATGTGTTGACTGACGAGCAGGGCGTTATCCAGCGGATGAACCGGACGAGTTGGACGCGGCGATGAGTTGCTATGTTTTGTTTCTTTTGCTTATTTTGATTGGTTTCATGCGATTGATACCTCTGACTCGATCAATATTCAATATTTCTTGCTTTTCAAGCCTTTCACGGAGGTTTTATTACTATATCATAGCGTTATATGGGTGCGCGAATCGTCCGTAATTTCACTCCCAGTAAAGTTTGCGGGAGAACATTGAATCTGTACACGGTATCGTTTGTGAGCACCTGAGGCACTCCAAGGCTAGTATTACCACATACGACATTTCTAGAGAAGATCTACTCAAACCAAGTAGCTACGTGATCAGTGTACTTTACTAGTATGTGAATGTGGGTAAAATTGATAAGATGTGATTCATTATCGAGATCAGGGTATCGTTATCGTTAGTAAGATCTATCAACATCCCATGCGGCGGTGGCAGGGCCCGAGGCAGTCAAGCTAACATAGCAAATATATATAGCAAAAAGAGATAGCCAGCCGTAAACTAATGCAATTGAAGAGCTATAACAAGTAAATTCAAGTCCAGTGCAACTTGCATGAGGTCGTCAATCCTTCATTTTGAGTTTTATTCCCCTTATGTGATGAGTTTTGTATGTGTGTGAAAGGATCGCTGGATAATAACAGGTGCGAAGTGCGTGCTTAGACGTGACGGAACGGCTCGTAGGAGGTCGTTCGCTCCGGCGCGTGAGGGTACTGAGGAGCCGCGCTGTGGTAGTGTTGTTGCTGGGGAGAGGGGAACGCGCCGCTTCCGACAGGCTCGTAGGTGTAGGGAGCCTTCTCGGCGGTGATTCCGCCGCGGTTGCGGCCGTGGCGGTGGTTGTAGGGTGAACGGCCGGAGCAGCAGCACGAGCTGATAGCCCAGAAGAGCGCAGCGGCGAGCGAAAAGGCGGTTGCAAGCCAGGTCGCGACGTAGATGTTTCGGCCCATGTGTCCCTCGATACCGTACGGCTTGATCTGGTCATTGAAGACACCCGCGACGACGGCGAACATGGCGGTTGAGGTTGCCGAGGCGGCGGCGGTGAAGAGGAAGGCGGCGATGGCGATGAGGGTCGTCACGCAGGAGCCCCAGCGGCTGAAGATGGCGGTGATTCCGAGGAGGAGCTCGAGGGCGGTAGCGGCGAAGGCGATCACATAGGCGACAAACATCCATTTCGAGACATTGCGATAGACGTTGAGGGCATCGTCGACCTTGTCGGGAAGGGCGTTTTGCAGGCCCAGAGTCTCGAGATTCCAGACCTTGACAGGGTCGAACCAGAACTCGGCTTTGGGCGAGGAGCAGTTGGAGACCTTGTAGTTGTTACTCGAGGTCACGTTGCCCTCGCAGTAGCCGAGAAGACCAATGTTGTAGAAGTCGGGAATGCGGAAGTATTTCTGGACTTCGTCGAGAGCGGCGGTAATGTCGCCGTCGTCAACGGAGATGTTGAGGTTGTCGAGGACATCGCCGACTGTCGACTGTATGGATGAGGAACCGTTTAGGTCTCGTAAATCGGCCTATCGCGATTGTTAGAATTGATCGCAGCGATCATGGGAGAGGTAAACTCACTCTGAAGAAATACAGATCGCGGAGCGAGTCTGTGCCGTTATCTGTGGAGCCGAGCCCAACGACGATGAGGCATATTAAGGCGGCGATAGTGAGGACATATGGGGTGAAGATGCAGACAAAGCGACCGGCTTTACCCATTTTTAATTATTGTCGATGGATGTGATGGTATAAAGAAGCAAGGGTGACAATTGATGAAAGAGGTGAGATGAGATGAAAGAGGCTATCTGAGCTGAGGAAGAGGCTGGATTTATGGCCGATGTGTTGCAGGCCAGCTTGAGGCGACGAAAGAGGCGCAGACCAGCTTCGCCTCTTGTTTTCTAATTTAAGGATAAACAAATAAAATTTCTGTGGCTTGATCATCACCCAGCCTAACTGCTTCTGGTAAAACCACGCGTCCCTGACGTCTGCCCTCCAGCCTTTCCTCCATCTCCATCTCGATTTCCACGTCACTTTCTAAGTTGTACAAGCAACGGTCGAGTATTGAACCGCGATATATTTTCTGCTTGTCCATCTATGATTGACTGAGTCTCATTTCGCGAACTCTCTCGGAAGAAATCTCACTGTTAGAGTTCTCATACGGGCTGTGTCAGCCTTTGGTTTCGGGTTAGGCTTCACTATTTCAGATCTTGGCACGCTGGCCTCCAGACTGCGGAATGCCCCCACACCGAACATCAAATTCCACTGCCTGCGTTTCCGCCAACAACGCTTCGTCATCTCCTGTCCCACGGTCTGCTCAGGTCCTGAAAAGCGGTCATTGGACTCGCGTAGGCATCGACATTCCAATCCTCCACCTGCCCAAGCTTCTAGAAATCGCGGTTCAAAATTAGAACTTTGAATAAACTACATAGCGGAGTTCCAGTTGTACGTAGGCTGTGTTAGCTTCATCAAATCTCAAAATCTCGAATCTCCGCCGTGCGGCTGAGCTCAGCCTTATCCAGACTCCAGAGTCCACTTGGCCTCGGACTTGGAGCCCAGCCCCCGTTTGTCACATGACCCCAGCCTTGACTTTTTCTGCCTCAGGCATGATGTCAGTATTCCATAGTGCAAACATTCAAGCTTCATTCTCCGGGGCCAAGGTACGTACTTATCTGAAGATGACGTCTGATATAGTACTAGTTGGTATTATATTCACATTAAATCAGTGTAGGAAGTGTGATAACGGAAATCTTATTGTCATAATTACGATGTCGACAGATATATATAACGGCCAAAGTTGGAAGAGTATATAATACCACGAGCATTTGATCCACCACGCAATCATCTATTAGGTCTTAGCCGACTAGGCTAGAAGCAAACTAGAAGAACTGGACAACAAAGATAACCAGAGTTTCTGCACTATTTCTATGCATGATTGAATAATGAAAAGCAACGGTCATTTCAAGAGATATGTGCATATCAATCTTTGTTATATATCCTCTTGGCCATGGCGTAACAGTCTAAATACTACTCTTAGTTTATTTCTTTGCATAATTAAAAGCACCCAGACTGACTAGTTTTATTAGAAACGGACAGGATATATGAGGTGGACAGTGCAGCTACTGTATTGCAAGACTTTATCTATTATTCAGCAGCACACATAAACGCATGCAAGGCAAACAGTGGCAATGCTGCAGGCTCCCCTGATAATAAGTGCCAAGTTTCTTCTTTAGTAAGAGGTAGGAGATGAAGGAAGGTGACCGAGAAGTCTATAAATCAGCGACCGAAGACCAGATTTACCTCTTGACATTGCCAATATCAGTCGTCAAGTGCAATTGAAGGATGTATTATAGGTGCTAACGGGGCATATAGTGCTTTGAGACCTTTCTCTTTTTTTTTCTACTTTGCTGGCAAGGCCACGGGGAACATGGGGTGCTGAGCATGATTAAGCTTGTTTTCCAGGACGTGCAGTTAGCAGAAGACTTGGTGGCTGGGACAAAGTGAGCTACTATTTCCTAAAGTTTCCTTCTTGGCCGCTATTTCCGTTTATACCTCTTGCGGTAGAATATAGTACTTTGACTTTTTGATCGCTTCTGGTTTGTTATGGCAGGTGTGTTTACTAACCACAGCGAACTTGGATTGGAGGAATAACAGCCTTGCAGGAAAGGAGATAGAGTCAGTTAATATATAGTGGCATTTCTGAGACGATGATCATTTAGGGAGAGATAATCTGGGTAGCTTTAGAGTGTCTCAGTTGTTGACTTAGTGACGTATCTTCCTGCCTAGATCCCTGTCTTATTATGCACACCTGCATTAGTAAAATTGGCCACGGAGGAGACGAATGCAGCCACCTCATGCAACACTGAAGAATTCGATCGGACCATTCCGTCTGGGCGATGCTTAGCTTCGATTCTCCGAAACACAACGGAGCAAGATTGCGGAGAAACTGGGGCATGTCAATCAATTTCCCGAGTGGACACGGCCTGCCCTACGCTCCGTTGTTGTTTCATCTCCTCCTCCCTCTCCGTCTTCATCTCTTCCGTCTCTCCATCTGTTACTGCGGACCGAATAACCGGCGTCCACCTCTGTTTCAACTTGATAACTTGTGGAGCTTAACGAGGTTTCGAAGCCTCCGTTTTCCATCCGACCTCCCGTCTGCTGATCCACCTCAAGGTTATAAAACGACCTGGCCACCCATCTTCAGTCATGGATCTTCATCCGCCGCCGCCGTTCTCTTCTACTGCACCTTCTCACCATGAAACTCAATGCTCTTTTCTTTGCCTTCGCGGCGGGTACCGCGCTGGCTGCTCCTCAGCATAAGAAGCGGGCGACGCTCCAGTGTTTGTCCCAACTACAAGCCTTGATCTGATGAGACTGAGAGACTAACACAGCACAGTCTTTGGCGTCAATGAGTCTGGAGCTGAGTTTGGCGAGGACAATATTCCCGGAGTCTGGGTAGGTTATAACTCAAGGACCAAGAAGAACGAATAAGTGAAGCTCACAAGTATGCCAGGGCACCGACTACATCTTCCCCGACCCCTCGACCATTTCAACCCTGATCTCGGATGGCTTCAACATCTTCCGCATCCAGTTCAAGATGGAGCGGCTGACTTCTGAGATAACCGGCGCGTTCGACGAGGCGTATCTTCAGAACTTGACTTCGGTGAGTGGGTAGCACAATTTTACCCTCGTTCATTCTAACAAGGCCAGGTCGTCAACGCTGTCACCGAGGCTGGAGCCCACGCTATCCTTGACCCTCACAACTATGGCCGATTGTATGTACTTCCATCCATGTCTGAAAAGCCGCCCTTAACAACCATGTAGCAACAACGAAATCATCAGCTCTACCTCGGACTTCCAAACCTGGTGGACCAACGTCGCGACCGAATTCGCCGACAACGACCTTGTCGTCTTTGACACCAGTAAGCTAGCCGTTCATACATTCTGCTCAATAGGTCAAATGCTAAATAGCCAATAGACAACGAGTACCACGACATGGACCAAGACCTCGTCCTAAACCTCAACCAAGCCGCCATCGATGGCATCCGCGCCGCCGGCGCAACCACCCAGTACATTTTCGTCGAGGGCAACTCCTGGACCGGCGCCTGGACCTGGGTCGACATCAACGACAACATGAAGGCCTTGACAGACCCACAGGATAAGATCGTCTACGAGATGCACCAGTACCTCGACACCGACGGGTCGGGCACATCCGAGGCCTGTGTGTCTACTACCATCGGCAAAGAGCGCGTGACCGCCGCAACGGAGTGGCTGAGGGAGAACGGGAAGATTGGAATCATTGGTGAGTTTGATGGTGGAGATAACGACCAGTGTCGCACGGCTGTCAAGGGGATGCTGGATTATCTCGAGAGTAACTCGGATGTTTGGCTTGGTGCGCTTTGGTGGGCGGCTGGGCCGTGGTGGGGGACTTATCTTTATAGCTTTGAGCCGCCAAGTGGTGTTGCGTATCAGGGGTATTTGGAGACGTTGCAGGCGTACTTGTGATAGAACCGGTAGCCGGTGCCGTTTCGATGGTGCTTGGTTGACTGTCCTAACGGTGGGATGGGGGTTTAGCTTGATGGGTGGTGACTGGTAAGATAGGTCTCTTAGTTACCACAGACTTTCTTTGACCATAGTATTCAATGTATATATTCATCAATGAACATTCTATGTTATCTACCAGAGAGACAGCCCTAAGCAACTTGCTCAACCATTCTCTCTACCTCATCACCAACCCCATCACCAACCTCATTCTTCACTGCAGAAGCAGCAGCAAGCTTTACCTGACGATGCAAAACTCTCGGCTCCAAACTCCCCACTCTCGCAATCCCCAACGTCCTATTTTTCCTCCTCGCCATTCCCCTCCCCATACTGGAACCCCCCTCATCCCTATCCCGAATATAATACGCCAAGTCCGCAGTAGGCTCCCACTCGGTCTGCGAAACGCCCACCCCCAGAAAACTGAACCGATTCCCAGTATATCGAACCTCCCAATCATCCCCCCTCACCTCCCTCATCGCCTCGAGGTAATGCAGCGTACTCCCTGGCCACGTCGTTGGTGTCCGCCCACCGACCTCGCGGTGGTTATTGTGCGAGTTGCGGCACTTGTCAGACCAGACGGCATGCCGGGCCATGAACGAGCTAACATGTGCAGTGAACTCCTCGCATGCTTGCTCCTTCGGCGCAAAGGAATGGATTGGCTCAGTGGTGTATCTATCGATAAACGCGCAGATGTAGTCTGCCTGGGCTTCAATGGCGATAAGCGTGGGCCCGTTGGAGACAGGCGTGTAGGGTCCCAGCATGGTGAAAGTATTTGGGAAGGAAGGGATCCCGACCCCCATGTAGCCGGTTATCGCGGTGTCTTGCTGTGCGGACCAGATTGTTTGCAGGTTTTGGCCGTTCGGGCCGATGATGGGGTATCGCGGGATGTAGGAGGTGTCGAAGCCCGTGGCGCAGATTATGGCGTCGCCGGTGTGTGTGGTGTTGTTTGATGTCTTGCAGCCGTTTGGTGTGAAGGAGGTTACACTGCCGTGGACTATAGTTACGTTGGGCTTTTTGAGGGTCTGGAAGCTGTTAGACAGGGTTTGTGGTAGATAAGATGGGAGGGAGGAGGATAGCGAACCTTGAGGTATCTGAAGCCCGAGGGGATGACTCGCTTGCAGCCGACGGCGAAGTCGGGAATGAGTTGTTTCTCCAGCTCGTCGTCCTGAAGGAGTTTCTTCATCTCTGACTCCAGGAGGTTTCTGCACTGCTGCTGCAAGATTGTATCCTTCAAATACATCGCTAACCAGAGCCATTAGCATCAACTCCGAAGAACAACAACAGCCAGAAAAGAGGGAATACTCACTGAAGATACTATTCATCGTCCTCTCATTCTCTCTCCTCAACGCCAACACCTTCTCCGGATGCTCAACAAAGTCCTTGATCTGCTCCGCCGAAAACTCCCCCGCCTCAACACTAATATCAGGCAGGACCCAAACGGGCGAGCGGATAAAGATCGTCACACTCTTGACGACAGGCTGAATCGCAGGAAGAATCTGCACAGCTGAAGACCGTCCCCCAATCAACAGCACATCGCGCCCTTTCAGAGAAACACTCTCATCATAGTCGGCACTATGCAGCTTCACACCCTGATACTCATCCAACCCGGGTATCGCCGGCCACGCCGGCTTGTTCAGGTATCCAGTGGCATGTACGAGGATATGGCACCAGTCTGAGACTGTTTCGCCGGTGGAGAGGTCGGTCGCGGTGACCTCCCACTGCCCTTTTTCTTCGGCCCAGCGGGTTGAGGTGACCTGGTGTGAGAGACGGATGAACTTCTCGAGTCCGTACTTCTTGGTGAAATCCTCAAAGTAGCTGCGAATTTCGGAGGAGCCCGCGTAGACGGAAGTCCAGTCGGGCTTGGGCTCGAAGGAGTAGACGTAGTTGTGTGAGGGGACGTCGCAGGCACATCCTGGATAGCGGTTTTCGTACCATGTGCCTGAGACGGAGGGGTTTTTCTCGTAGAGCTGTGTGTGTCAGTCATCATCTACAGGTCGTATGGTATGGATAGGGAGGAGAAGAGGGAAAAGGTAGATGATCACGCACAGTAAGGTCAAAGTTCTCAAAAGTCTTTTGCAGCTTGTAGGCGAGGCACAGCCCGGATGCACCGGCGCCCACGCAAATGACTTTTACGTGGCGCTCATTGTAAATGGCGGCTTCTCGAGGAGGATCCATTACGAGCAGATTCTGTGAGAGTTGAACTGAAAAAAAAAGGAGATGAGAGAATGTTAGCTACGTAGTGCCTACCATCGGAAGGGTACAGTATATATACTGCGCTCTGGGCGGCCCGCGCCGGGGGGCCTAGTTAGTACACATAACCAACAACCCTTGCCCGAGGCTCACCGACTGATTCGCTGAGCTGGAAGCGGGCCCAAAGTATAAATCAGCAAGGACAAAATATCGGAATGTATATCAACGCATGTGCAGGTCAGCCATAGGTCAGCGGAAAATCAGCAGGCGCCAAGTGGAGACTAGCGGATCGCCCAGTATAAACGGGGGCCGTCCGAATAGGGTAGGATATGCTAGGGTCTTTGTTAGACTTTCTTTCAACTCTGCCGGGGATGTTCAGATATGGTTATGGTATTTGAAATTAGTGCATAACGCATTACTTTGCCTGGTGGCTCAAATATGCGTCGGCCATCTAGTACCAACGGAAGCAAGGTTGGGACTCGAGGTTCGGTTCTGGAGAGTGAATCCCGAGGTTGAGAACTTGAGCCCCGAGGATGAGACTCGAGTATAAATACGTTGAACTTGATTGCCTAGTAGACAGCTTTTACTCTCTGGTTCAGTAGCCCTGCTCTTCCCATAGCTCCCCCAGAACCAACCCAGCGCTGCCAGAATGGCCTCCTCTTTGTTCCACCCCCACTGTTGGAAACTGCCTCGTTCTGTCACAGACCTTCTCCATCTTGTCCTTTCTTCCTACATCCCAAGCAGAGATTCCTCTGCCCTGCTGGACCCCATCTACCAGCAGGTTACAGATGAGCTCCAAGACTACCTAGACTCCCATGGACAATACTGGTGGCAGACCTCAGGGCACCTCCTCGCTGCCCTCCTCCACGATGCCAACTACCCTCCCACCTCCCAGCACCACATCCTCACCTTCTTCGGCCGCACAATAGCCCCCTACATGGGGCCGGCCTACAACCCCCGCTCACCACAGTGGCGCAGCTTCATGACAGATGACCATCATCCCATAGAGCTAAGCTGGGACTGGCATACTGGCCAGAAGCCCCCCACGGTGCGGTTCTCCATTGAGCCCGTGGGACTCGATGCCGGTACCTCCTTGGACCCAGACAACTCGCATGCTGACGCTGTCTTCCGCAAAGCCCTCTTCAAGGCTCTGCCGGAGACCAACATGGAGTGGTTTCATCATTTCGACCTTGCACTAGCTCCCACACACCAGGGTCCCGGCCTCATGGAAGGCCACCCATCCAAGCTCTTCTATGCCTTTGACCTAACCGCCAAGTCCATCAGAGCAAAGGCCTACTTCTTCCCCGGCTTCAAGGCCCGGGAGAGAGGCCAGACAAACCTCCAGGTCATGGCCGATGCCATCGCTAGAGCACCACATTGTACCCCCTCCTCAAACCAGCTTCGTGCCCTGCACGTCATTGAGGACTTCGTACACGACATAGACACCCCACGACTCGAAATGGACATGCTCGCCATCGACATGGAAGACCCCTCAACATCCCGACTGAAGATCTACTTTCGCAACCGTGCCTCGAGCTTCGCTTCTGTCCGACAGATGATGACGCTGGGAGACCGCATCATTAACCCTTCAATGGGCCGTGGACTCCAGAACCTCCGCCGACTGTGGGACGCTATGCTAGGGCAGGAGGGTGTCTTGGATGACGAGCCCCTGCTACCTGCAGGTGAAGACTCGGACAACCACCGCACCGCGGGCCTCCTCTACAACGTCGAGCTTCCCGCCGGTAGCGCGGAGCCCAAGCTCAAGATCTACATCCCCGTCCGCCATTATGCCTCCTCTGACGAGACGGTCATCTCGGCTATCCACGGGTACATGGAGTGCGTGGCTGGGACTGGGAATGGATTGGAGTATGGCTATGCTGAGACGATGCAGCGCTTGTTGTAAGTGAAATAACTACCTACCGAACATCCTGTTCCGGTGTCACGGCTTGAGTTGAGTGGGCGGGCTAACCAGAGTCTTTGTTTTTTTCTAGCAGTCCGGATGCGTTGCAACAGCGAGGTCTCCATACGTATATTGGGTGCTCCGTGCAAGCTGGTGGGCAGCTGAGGGTGGTGTCTTATGTGAATTGTCAAGGGGGGAAGATGGTGCAGTAGTTTGGTACATGGCGTATGATGTTATTATCTACGGGAGTATCTAAAGAATGATGAATCTACTATATTGTCTAATCGAGTGGATTTTCTAGGCCTGAAAAATCTAGTCGGGGGAGATGTGGCTAGTGGCGTAGCCTGACTGTACGAATCCTCCTTCGAAAGGTAAAACCAGCAGTCATAACTCATATATTCTATCTACTCAACACATCTATATATGCTCAAATATCCACTTTAAAGTACTCCATCCCCACTCCACAAACAAGAAGCCTCGTCTCTCCCTGATCCCGAACAACATCCACAGACGAGATATCTGCCACGGGGCTGAACCGATCCACAACATTCACCACCTGGATATCATCCACCGCCGGACGCCCAGTCGCTGCAATGTTATCAACATCCACCTGCCAAATCTTGACCCGGTGGTCGTTTCCTGATGACACGAAGGTGAGTCGGACTGATTCCGCTTCCGCCCCATTCTCGCTCTGGACAGTAGATTGTGAGATGAGCTTGACAGCATTAACCGACGCAGCATGAGCGTCAGGGATCGAGATGGTCGCCGCTTGCCGGTCACTCAGTTCAGCGTCACCTGTATAGAGTAGCGATAGCGTCACGGAATTATCATCGCCGCCTGCAATAACCAGCGTCGTTGTTTCCGATAGCCGCGCGAGGTCTACAGACTTGATGCTGTTCGAGTGGATCTGGTGTCTCCTTTCGCAGACAATTTTCTCTGGCGTTATCGAGGTGTTTTTGAGGGGTCGGTTCAGTTTAAGAGTGGCGGTAGGAGCGGAAGGGATCGTGTAATACTGTTCCAAAACGGTGGTCACGTCCCACAGCGTAAAGTGGCCGTCTGTAGATGTGGTGATTAAGCATAGCGAGGACGGACCTTGCAGGAACCGGGCCTGCGTGAGGCAGTTGCTTGTATATGTGCCGTTGGCGAGGAGAGTGAAGCGGCCTTCGTCATCTTTATCGGAGCAGGACAGATGGAAGATCTATATTGTTATTTTGGGTTCAAATCGCGAAGGGGTGTCTGCATTGGCTTACCGAGATGGTGGAGTTTGAGTATGTGAGACAGAGTAAGAAGTTGGCTTCATCTCCATCTCCGCTATTCTCAACTTCCAGAACATCAAAGCATGTTATGCGAAGTTCCGAATTCGGTTGGCTCTTGGGACACCAGCCTAACAGTGCCGCTGTTAGCCCAAAAATGGGGATCGAGTCAATCTTCCAAACGTAAAAGTCCTCCATCGCGCTGCTTGTGAACATGAACCTTGCATCCTTTGAAAATCCAATATGCTGCGGGCCCGAGTCATGGGCCGTTAAAACCCGTAGACACTCCAACGCGCCACTATATTGTGTAGTACTGCCCGATCTAGGCGCAAATACCCGCAAAGTCGTATCCTCCGACCCAGTCACGAACAATGGACGCCCATCGGGTTGCTGGACGGAACCCAGAGTCTTTATCTCTCTCCCATGTCCTCCAGTGCATATCGTGCGTGAATCATGAATATTGATATGTGAAGCGTTGAGGCCTCCTCGAGCCCAAAGTACCAGAGCATGTCCTGGCCGTTCGGTGCTCGGCTGGAAAGCCCATCGACGATGGGCTCCGCCGCAGTGAATTCGGGCAACTTCGGACTGTGTGGTTTCGTTCCAAATCACAAATTCCATTCCGCCAAAGCCATAGAACATAAGGTGTTGGGAGGACTGGTCGAGGTAGGCGCCTTCAATGTTGAAGCCTAGGGTTGTAGGGGAGTGCACGGTTCGGATGGTGACGGTCTTGCTGGAGTCCTTGGAGATATCTAGTGAGCTGATGCGGTAGTTTCCGTCTCGACCGCAAGACAGAAATTGTGTTGGTGGTGTGTTGATTGTGTGTGAGAGTGAAGAGAGTGGTAGGATCTGGTTGACGCCTTCTTTGCTGTGAAACCTGGCGAGTTTTAGGAGTGGCTCGAGAGATTCGGACCGCGACTTTGTGAAGACGACCAGTGAGCCTAGCTTTGACCCGATGGCTAGGTAGTCATTGTTGTGAATAAAAGAGGCGCATGTGATGTCGAAGCCCTGGGGCAGATGAAGTGTTGTCTTCGCCACACGAGGCTCTGTGTGGGAGAGGAGATCGATGTGGAATAGGTCGGCAGTATCATGAGTCGCGTAGGTTGCTAGGAATATCATTGTTGCTGGTAATTCCGAGGTCTCTGGTTGATAGTCCAGCGAGTGCAGGCTCACAGGTCTCTGGCCGATTTCCGCCACTTTAGTGATGGTTCTTGACTCATGCTGATACAGTCGAATGACTCCTTTCTGATCTCCAAAAACAGCAACGCCTCTAGAAGGTAATCCAGAAATTATGGTATATGATCGAAGCCCATCCTCGACGGATAGTGTTTCTCGAACAACGCGTCGGTCGATTGCTTCTGGAGACTCAACCCATCCAATCTGGATTTCACCCAGTGAAGTCGTTGCAAGGAAACAATCGGAAGAAACAAAGCCAAAGGCTCTCATCAATATCTTATCAGCAACTTCGGTGTCTTTCGATTTTGCGACGGGAACGCGGGTAGTTCTGTTGAGACATTCCACAGCCCCGTTCTCTTCACTGAGCTTAAAGGTCCTCACGGCTCCGTCCGCTCCTCCCGTATAAACTGCCGTCTCTGGGCCAGCTTCGGCCGTCTCAAGGGACCAAATATGTTTGCCATTGTGACAGCGGAGAGAGCATATGTTACTCAGCTTGAATTCGGACTTCTGTGACTGGGACCGCTCCCAGCTGAGATCCCATACCAAACAATGCACATCCTCGCCGCGGGAAACGAGGCCGATTTTGCCCTGCCGCAATTGCGCCGCAACAAAATTGACGCCCCAAATCCGCGCTCCATGGCCAAAAGCACTAGCAACGCAGGACTCTGAGCTCACTTCTGGTTCGCCTTTCACATGACCGAACCCAGTAGACTTGAGTTCGAACCCGTCTGTGGAATAAGGAGATGGTTCGTTGGGATCGGCTCGGTCGCAGTCCGATATATCCCATACCCGAACCGTCCTGTCATCGCTGCAGCTAGCTAGCAATCTTCCGGGTTGATCACGATGTAAACTGGCAATCTCTGGCGAAATTTGAACATCAAAGATGGACCCTTCGTGGCCAGTGAAGAAGTGATGTATAGAGCTCGTTACTTTGACATCTGCACTTGCGCTGCCTAGGAAAAAGCATGACCAGACAATAATTTCGCCAAAGACCGTTCCTGCCGCAACCAGAACGTGTGACGGCGAAAGCGAAATGATGTTGGCCGAATACAGGATCGATTTGACTCCCACGACAAGCTGCCTTAGCTCAAGAGCTGTGCCAAACCTCGATGATGGGTCTTCCGAAATAGTTAAGCCTAGTACAGCGTTGTGTGCCGTTACTAGATAGGCTGCGTTGCCTGCATCTGCCGTGCCCGCGCAACCAGCCAAAAGCCAGTCTGGAGCATAATATTCTGCGCTTGCGGGTTCCAACGATATCACAGAGGCTGAGCATCCATCTTGGGCGCAGCTCAAGTTAATGAGTCTCAATGACCGATCTCCCCAGGCTAGAAGCTGGGCTTCACTGGCTCCCGATTCATGTTCTTTCTGATCAAGGACGATGAATCCGTGAACAGCACTTCTTTTGAAAATCTTCACAGAAGCGAGAACTTCCCCGCTTCCTTCCGTAACCACACGCACGAATGACCCTTGGCCAGTTAGGAGGAGTTTCTTATCTCCAAACACAAGGGCCTTGATCGTCGTCAAGGGGAGGCAAGCATCAATGTGCTAGACAAGAGTTAGTGGCGTAGTAGAGGCGATATTCGGGGAAACAAGTCACACACCTCGAGTAATGAAGACATTGCAAGTATTATCAAGCCACATCAGCTCACCTCCTGTATACAATTGCTTGCACGGGAAATCTCGAATGTTCCCCGCATTGAAAAGCCTCAAAATCTCAAAAATTCCACTGATAAGGATTATGTAAGATCGTTATCGGCGGTTTCCCAATCGGGTATAATTGCCACGTGACTTCGCGCTTCTCGTGTTCAGAGAGTGGCGTCACGGGACGTCACGCTGCTGGGCCGCTTCCAAGTTCAACCTTTGCCGTCTGCGCCAGCAACCGGATTCCACATGTCCTGGCATGTCTTATAGCTGCTACGCAGACTACGTCTCTGCGCCTAGGCCACCATGGGTGTCCAAGGACTATGGACCATCGTCCAGCCTTGCGCCCGACCCGTAAAGCTGGAAACGCTCAACAGGAAACGGCTGGCTGTCGATGCCTCAATCTGGATCTACCAGTTTCTGAAAGCCGTCCGCGACAAAGAGGGGAACGCGCTGCGGAATTCACACGTTGTTGGATTTTTCCGCCGGATATGCAAACTTCTTTACTTTGGAATCAAGCCTGTCTTTGTTTTTGATGGCGGCGCGCCTATTCTGAAGCGGCAGACTATCGCGAATCGAAAGAAGAGACGAGAAGGCCGCAGAGAAGATGCGGTGCGGACCGCTGGAAAGCTACTTGCGGTGCAGTTACAGCGCACTGCCGAGCAAGAGGCTGCCAAGCGCAAGGCACGTCCGACCAGGCAGGAACCGGAGGAAGAAGTTCCCGATAATCCTGTATATGTGGAAGAGAACTTTATGACTGAGAAGGAGAAGCAGCAGTCTCGCAAGTTTAAGAAGAAAGACGCCTATCACTTGCCCGATATGCAGGTCTCTCTCCATGAGATGGGAGCCCCTAATGACCCGCGCATCATGTCCCGAGAAGAGTTGGAACAGTATGCCCTACAATTTCACCAGGGCGAAGATATCAATTTGTACGATTTCTCCAAGATTGATTTCGATAGCCCGTTCTTTCTTAGTCTCCCGGCTACCGATCGCTACAACATTCTAAATGCTGCGCGACTCAGGAGTCGGTTGCGTATGGGATATTCAAAGGAGCAACTGGATACCATGTTTCCAGATCGCATGGCTTTTTCTAAATTCCAGATTGAGCGCGTGAAGGAACGAAATGATCTCACTCAACGTCTCATGAATATCAATGGTATGAACGGCGATGAAGCCTTCTACAACTCTGGCCAAAGGATTGCCGGAGAACGAGGGAAGGAGTATGTTCTTGTTCAAGATAATGCTGTCGAGGGTGGTTGGGTATTAGGTGTTGTGGGAAATAAGGAGGGTCAGGAAGAGAAACCAATTGACGTCGACCGATACTTTCAGCACGAAATACTACCAGACACTAAAGACATCTCGGATGACGAGGATGGATTTGAAGATGTGCCTATTGAAGGTCTCAACCGTCTCCCAAAGCTCCCTTTTCTTCGAGCGGGTGTGCTTGACGATTCTCTCAGGCAACATAGGCAAGGTCTCACCGAAGCTGAAGAGGCAGAAGCCGATGCACTGTTTGTCCCAGACTATGGTCAAACTGTTCAACGACAGGATTATTCTAGTATTGATGACGTTTTTGAAGGGCAGGCCGCAAGCGAGGACGAAGACCTTCAGAGAGCCATCGAGATGTCTCTGCAATCTACAGAACACGTAGATCACGATCACGACATGCTTGACATTCCCGTCAACAAGATCATTCCGCCATCCGCGCCAGCGATTGAGCCTTTCATCGAACCCAATATCGAGAGCGATGATGACGAACTAGACTTTACGGCCGCTTTAGCACAGTCCAAGAAGACTGAAAAGGATCCCGCTAAATCTTATATTTCAAAACCGTTGTCTAGTCATCCTTTCGAAGGTCCGCTGCCTTTCGAAACTATTAAACTTAGCAAGCCATTCAAAGCTAAGCAGCCATCACGTCAAGTTGACCAAGATGAGGACGCTGGCGGGTTTGAAAAAGAACCTTCAAAAGCCACTAAGGAAAGCGTTCCTTTACCACCGTGGTTCTCTGGTGGAGAGCAGGCCCCCGAACTCATCCCTGATCGGGATCCGGCCGAATCTTTGGAAAGCTACCGGGACAGGGCTGTGACGCCGGATCATTTGTTCTTGAAGAACCACCGCTCTCCTAGTGTCATCGATGTCGACAAGTTTCCGGACGACAAGGTCATTGACCTCGATCCAGAGCCTTCGAGAAAGGCTGAGGCTGAACCCGTTCAACCGCAGACAACGGTAGACGGCGAGCTAAAGGATGAGCCAACCCCAGAACTTATTGATACAACGGACAACGAAGTGTTACAAGGGCCAGCAGCCCTAGATGCTCTGATAGACGGCCATCTTAAGGATGAGGCTATCTCGAAAATGGCCGACCCAAAAGATAACGAAGTACCACAAGCGCCAGAAGTCTCAGAGGTTCTAGAAGCCTCAGCAGCTTCAGAATTACTAGGAAGTGATGCCGATTCCGTCCAGGATGCCTATGAATGGGAGCCAACCGATGACGAGAAGGCCGAAAAGTCGCCATCGCCAGAGTTTGAAGATGTCCCAATGCAGTCGGAGGATATTGATTCAGGTCCTGTAGTCCACGACGCAGAGATAACCGAGCCGATTGATTTCGTCGACGAAGACGCTTTCTCCGACCCAGAAGATGAAGAGCTGCTAAGGCAGCTCGCAGCTGAAGGTGAAGAGCATGTCCGATTCGCTGCAACGTTGAACCCGACAACACAAGGAGAGAGCACCTTCGACTACGAGCAAGAGCTCAAGCAGCTTCGCTTGCAGCAAAAGAAAGATCGCAGAGATGCGGACGAGGTGACACAAGTTATGATTACGGAATGCCAGCAGCTCTTGACGCTTTTCGGCTTACCATACATCACCGCCCCCATGGAGGCTGAGGCGCAGTGCGCGGAGCTAGTCTCCTTAGGACTTGTGGACGGCATCATTACGGATGATAGTGATATCTTCCTTTTTGGAGGAACCCGTGTTTACAAGAACATGTTCAACCAGAGCAAATATGTGGAGTGCTATCTTACATCGGACTTGGAGAAGGAGTACGCTCTTCACAGAAGGAAGCTGATTAGCTTTGCACATTTACTCGGGAGCGATTATACAGAAGGCATTCCTGGAATCGGACCGGTGACCGCGCTAGAAATTCTAACTGAATTTTCGGCACTGGAAGAATTCCGTGATTGGTGGACTCGAGTTCAGACAGGAGCGGATATGTCTAATAACGAACACGCCAGCTTCTACAAGAAATTCAGAAAGCAAGCTACGAAGATCTTTCTGCCGCCAACCTTTCCAGACACTCGAGTTGATGAAGCCTACCTCAACCCCGAAGCAGACTCCGATCCCTCGCCGTTTCAGTGGGGTATACCTGATCTACATGGGCTTCGGGGTTTCCTGATGGCGACTATTGGTTGGAGCCAGGAACGAACGGACGAAGTGCTTGTGCCTGTCATTCGTGACATGAATTCGAGGGAACAGGTGGGAACTCAGAGCAATATCACGAGCTTCTTCAGCGGCCCGCAAGGAGCAGGAGCATTTGCCCCACGGGTACGGTCTGGTGGGCAGAGCAGGATGGGGAAAGCTTTTAGTCGACTTCGTCGTGAAGCTGGTGCCGAGATGGCCTCTAAAGAAACTCCGGTGGACGAGGAGCTGAACCCTCAACGACCTCGTCGAAAGGGAAAGGGGAGCAAACGTGGAGCACCTGAACCAGAAACTGCTATTGAGAATGGGGATGGTGCTCAGAATGGTGATGATACCACGACCAAGAGGAAGAGAGGGCGGAAAGCAGCGAGGACCTAGAGACTGAGACATTTTACCGTGAGATTTATGTAATAATGCTGGATAGATGCTGTTGACCCACCGTTCGTTCCGGTTACATGAAGCCAAGTGCGGCCCAGCGACTAAAAGGATGAGCTGCGGATACAGTTGGTTGATCACTTATTAAGATGCATAATAGATTGCATTCTATTTAAGCTTACTTTTAGCATGCGGTTGCTCTCCAACTGATATTCGCACATCCTACCATACCCTCCCAAGTTACACGGTACAGCACCATCAGCAACGCAAGATCTCTTAAGCCATAGTACAAGAGGACGCCAAAAGCAAACAAGATCCCCAGCATCATATCTCGAGTCGATGACATGGTTGTGTAAACGAGGCTTTGCAGTCCCTTAGAGTTTCATCCAGCTTGGAGAGAATAGATGACATCACAGCGGATCCGATGACGTCGCGCCAATTGCTGTCCACTCTTGTTGTATTAAAGCTCTCTCTTGGTCTCCCCCTGTGAGATCGTTCGGGTTCCTCGACGACGAAAGTCAATTGTCATATCCACCAGTCCAGACGGTTCATTCAGTTGCCAGCAATCCCTGCGGCTCCATCCATACTCTCATTAATCAATAAGTGGAACACTGTTGTTCACAAGGGGCAAGCGCGACTTCCATATTGGGTTAGCTTCTTTCCGAGTCTCGACGTCACCGACTCTCCGTCTCCTCTCTTGTGATCCGGGCAACACTAGTTTCTCAGCTCCGGAGCTTCCATTCTGCAAATAATTAATCCCACCACGGTTGCGGTTCCAGCTTCCGTCACATTCCGCTGCGACCTTCTTCTGTGTGCAACACGTCACCTCTGCGCAAATCGACCACTACAAGGAACCCAATCCCTCTGAACCGATCCTCCTAGCGAGCACCTTCCCCTCCCACCTCGCCGATCGCATTTCTCCTGAGCGGAACCTCCCATTCACTCGAGCTTCTATCTGGACATCGTCAGCCATGCATCGCACCTATTCTATGCGCACATCGCGCCTTCCGACCGCATCTCAGATCGAGAACCCCCCACCACCGTTATCAAGCACGAAGACAAACAGATGGATGGGCCGAGGCGGTCTTGGTGAGTTCGCTCCCTCTACCTCTAGTCCCGTCCAGCTTGAGAGGATATATCGCTGTTTGAGCGGTCTAACTAACCTATCCAACCGCAGGGCATGCCTTCCGTAAGAACGCTGCTGGCGCTTTCGGTCCCGACCTAGCCCGCAAGCTCTCTCAGCTCGTTAAGATGGAAAAGAACGTCATGCGCAGCATGGAGTTGGTTTCCAAGGAGCGCATGGAGACTGCCGTAAGTATTTACGTGATCACAGCAGACAGGCCGAGCCAATGCTAATACTTCGCTTTCTCTCTAGCAACAACTTTCGATCTGGGGTGAGAACTGCGATGAAGATGTTTCTGATATCACCGATAAGCTTGGCGTTCTGCTCTATGAGGTCGGAGAGCTGGAAGACCTTTTTGTCGACCGCTACGACCAGTACCGTGTCACCATTAAGAGCATTCGTAACATTGAGGCCTCCGTGCAGCCCAGCCGGGACCGTATGTCGATCCATCCTCAACCTAGCGCGCTGTGATTGAGTCTTACGTTTTTTATACAGGCAAGCAAAAGATCACCGACGAGATTGCGAAACTGAAGTACAAGGATCCTAACTCTCCTCGCATCGTTGTTCTCGAGCAGGAGCTTGTTCGCGCCGAGGCCGAATCATTGGTCGCCGAAGCGCAACTCTCGAACATTACTCGTGAAAAGCTCAAGGCTGCTTTCAATTACCAGTTTGATGCTCTTCGGGAGCACTGTGAAAAGGTAGCAATCATCTCAGGCTACGGAAAGCACCTTCTCGACCTTATCGATGACACTCCCGTAACTCCCGGCGAGACCCGCCAAGCTTATGATGGATACGAGGCCAGCAAGGCCATCATTCAGGACTGCGAGGAGGCCCTCGCCAACTGGGTCCAGTCCAAGGCTTCCGTCAAACCCAGCTTGTCTCAGCACTCGCGCACCCTTTCCCAGCGCCACCGTGAATCGGTTGCCAAGGGGCGTGAGAATGGTGTGGACCTTTCCGGCCAGGACCAGCCCATGAGGGGTGACCGAGACTCCTGGGTGGCCGCAGACCAGCACCACAGCTATCACCACGGTGCGGAAGACGGCGAAGAAGGCGGCAGCGAGCTCGGAGATATCCGCGGACGCGAAGAAGAGCGAGAGCCCGTCGCCGTCTAAACATAAAGGTGCCGGCGAACGATACTTGGTTAAGACCTCTTGCGCTCTTGGATTTCCAAATCACTTTGTACGAATTGACTTTCCTCCTCTTTTCGACCTTTTCGGGTTTCGCAACTGGTGTTTTGGTGGATGTTTATGTGGTGTTCCCTTCTATTCTCTGCTTCGTCTTAATCTCTCATCTACTTACCCGACGAGTTACCTCTGATGATATTTCAACATAATTCTGCCTCTGAAAAAAATGCACACACCAACCATGACTGGATTCCAGTAATCGATTGGAATCGCTCAGTACCATCGCTTGGCTTAGGGCTCGTTCAGCTACAAGTGACGCGCTCGCTCCCTTCACCATCGGGGGACTTTGTGAGATGAAAGCTTCTTTCTCACTTCTACTTAATCGGCTCAATGGATGTATTAATATTGCCTAGTTATGAATTTATGCTGAAACTCTTCGTCCTTTTTATTCATCGAGTATGGCACTCCGTTTATACTAATATAGCTGATTTGTCTTACCCAGGACGCAGAGAGAAATTGGTCTACGGTTAGCAATTGTATTAATAAGTGGTTTCTAATGCTCTTCGGTTCAGATCAGTTAGTCAGGGTGCAGTAATCTTCGACCGACGAGGTCGGATGAAGGAGTAAGCTGACGCGGACGGAGAGGAGTAGCCTATCGAGAGATGATACAAAGGTTGAATAAGACCCAATCTCACAGCGGCTTCCTAGTTGCGTCGCCCCTTCGCACCGCCTGGTTGCCGATTGAATCCTTCAAGGTTCGTTGTTCTAAGTTCCTGTGGCATGGGCGAGCCAAGCAAGTATTCTCAAATACCCAGTACCGCATCGTACTCGATGCGTCAGTTGGTAAACTTTAGAACCCTACCTGTTGTGAATGGCCACTTGGTGTAAACTGTACAGAAGGTCAATAAAGACATCCAGTGGTTCTCTGGCTCCATCTTCCTGTATGGTACACTCAATCGGCGTAGCAAATCTCGCGGGAAATCCCGGCTGCGTCCGACTAGAAGCGTGGTCGGTTTCTGAGCAGCGCGCCTTTCTTTCTCATCGTTGGTTTAAGGTTTAGTGTTTGTAGCGCGCGGTTGGTGATTGGGATTATTTTCTAGTACCTATTACTCCAAATTAGCTAATGCATGTGATCATAGTCGAATCGTTATGTAAAACTCTGAAACGAGGATACACTGAATTTGTAATAGTAGTAGTAACCCGCTTACCATCCGTCACCACAAGCATTAGCTTCTTCCTGGGATGTCCACTTCTGATTGAAAATGTGTTGATGAAAGAGCTAGGACTGCCAAGACGAGATTTTGGGATTATGTTGCAACAGCCGATTATTTTTTCGTCAATGATTTCGCCAAGGTTGCCATCGTTCGTCCAAACTAGGGTTCGGGGTTCGGATCCTCGGTGCCTAAATATAGCTATCTGAGGGAGTAAGTAAATAGTCGACCGGTATGGATTGATTATACTGACCCTAAGTACTCAATGCCCACCAGACCATCGGGTGAGCCTCGCTCCATCCTCAGGGCAGTCTCCTTTCGTCGTCAGTTCCGTCATGCGCGTTCATCTCGGCAGGAGCAAGAGCATGGCGCTCGACTCAGGCGCTTTGCTCATCATGTGAGCGCGATGGTGCTCCCTACCTGCTCTGTGGGAGAGGATCCACGATATGCGCTCTAACTTGTCTGGATGATATTTGGGCCTATAATGAGCGTTGTAGGAGATTAAGGGGATGATTTCCCGCGGGATTCGAAGCTTCTGTTCTCAGTGTGGATAATGCGGGACAGGTGGGAGACACCACACGCGTTGGCTGCTCCATGCTTAATTGGTGCGTCGGTTGTTATGAGATGGGCCTCGGGTTGAAATTCGTTTCATCATGGAGGTCACCAGGTCTTGAGCTTGTCCGTCTTGGACGTGGTGCTTTTCTCTCCCAGTTCAAGGAGTCCAGAGAAGCAGGGGCACTTGCAGCCGACCAAGGTTTTGCGCGGACTCCAGGATCCTTTGGCCTGTGATGAAAACTAAACTGCTAGAATGACTGGAGTGTAAGTACAGATCAACAGTGGAGTGTGAGAACGGTGAAACTTGAGGCCGACAGGTGTGCAACTCGCTCAGGGGCGTTAAAACGAGGACGCCTTGACCCTTTGCTGGCCGCAAGCATTTCAGAGGATAACATTAGTGATGATAGCGCTCTCGCCATCAAAGTGAAGTTGGAAGAGCCAAGTGTTGATAGACGCAGCAAAAGGGAGGAAAGCTTTTGTGTAGGCAGTATATGGAGAAGGGTTTCGCTTGGGTCTATGAGTGTCGTCGGTGTCTAAACGAGATCACGCAGGGCGGTTAGTAGAAGGAAATGGCTTTGGAGTCAGAGAATAAAGTGATTCGAAGCGCTCTTTCACCTCGCCGGATGCGATTTACAGTTGGGAGCAGAATGAAATAATACGCACTGACGACAAGGCCCAAGGATCGTTGGGATACCCATAGCTGAGGAATCGGTCTCTCTGCGGCTCAGCGCAGAGATAACTTTCAGGCAGGGAAGGGATGTATCCGTGCTTCAATGAGAAGCAGTCAGTCAGCACGTTGGTAAGAGATGGCTAACCGCGCTCTTCGACAGCACGCAATTGGCATGAGATCGAGGTGATATTGTGCCTGAGCCCTCAAACTGGCTCCAGGCGACTCGTGGAAGGAATCTGGGCAGCTTGGGCTGAGAGATATTAAAGATTTCTCGGATGTTTGAGGAAAGGATTGTGTTGTTGTGTACAAAAACTCCGTGGAGAGGTTGGTCACCCACGCTATTGCCCAATGCAGTGGTGCTGGGACCTGCTGCCTCCGTGGATCAACCACAATCAACAATTAATAATATTTTTCAGATGTTGTATGCAGACTATTGCCTTGAGTTATTGATTCCTCCACTGTGAGCACGACTCGCGACTATCTACATCCATATCTCTCATTGTTAGCCTCGATTGCGCAATGGATGACCCAGTCTTGGCAGCATGGTTGGCAGAAGGGCAGACCCCGGCCTCTGACGGCGAGATGAGTGTTCAGGTTGAGTATGCAACAGTCCGGCGACTGCAATTTGGCTGCCTGCAAGTGTCTGCTACTACCTATTGTCCAAAGACCAGTCAAGTCCAGTAGGTGATTGATTCTGTGTACTGTTGTTGCTGCTAGGTGAAACCAAAAAAAGACGCAATCCCAACCAAGACTCCAAAACAGCAGGTATATATATACCACGGAAAGGAAAGATATAGGCCTGATTCATGGCCGCGCCCGGTACTGACCCCAATCCCTCCCCCCCGCCCACAATTTCCCCTGCCCCATCCATGCCTGCAGTAACGACAGAGGCCGCAACGTAATGTAACCCTGCAAATAACGCCAGCACGCAACCAACAATTGAATGTATCAATCTGAAGCTGCCCCTTTCTTAGAAGCGACAGACGTAAAGGGGAGAGCGTAAACAAAAAGTGATATGTCATTACATCGTCAGGCTGTTCCAGCTCGCAATGGCTGGCTCGCCTAGGAGCATCGCAAACTCGAGGCAAAATCAACAAAGGGTATCAGGTCAATGTACCCATGGTACAAAAGACAAGCCCAGGCCCGCATAAAACACATAAGAAGATCGCGAGCGAGAGGATAGCAAGCAAACAAGGAGGTAAGTCGCGAAAATCAAGCACTAAACTTCATTTTGGGTGCTTAATTGTCGGTTCCCACTCCCTTCTTTTTTGGTTGAATATGTTTTTGCCCGCTTCCAGCCACGGTCGTATTTTGGTGGTTCAGTGCGGTATCTGATGGAGGAGGCATCCGAGTAGTCGCGGCTTCATGCTTCTCAGTTAAGAGGTTCTTGAGCCACCGGTTTTCCATCTCAAGTTGCGCTACACGAGCTTCGAGGGTGGCGTTCTTCTCAGTCGTCTCTCTCACGGTTCGTTCGAGTGTTTGTTCGCGCTGCTTCTTCTTCATACGGAATCGGGCGCTTGCAGCCGTGTTGCGACGTCGTCGGTCTTCTTCAGCGGCCCGACGAGATGACTCTTCCTGGCCGAGGGCGGAAGCGATGTGGTCGCCTGAAATCTGAGTGCTGTACTTGTTGTTTCCAATCTGGCCATTTGGTGGTGAAATGGAGGACGAGACGTCCGAGGGGGTCATGGCCCCTGGTGCATGTCCAATCTCATCATGGCCATATGAGATTGGAGGGTAGAGAGGATAAGCCGAGTGTGACAGCATGTGGTCAGGGACAGAATAGTTGATGGTCTTATCACCCGCTGTTCAGGAGAGCGTAAGTAAACGAAGATGGTGGTGGGAAGGTCAAACGACTCGAAGGGCCAACGGGATAAGAAAGAGATAAGACAAAAGGAAAGGGCTATCATTAAAAAGGGCGAAATCAAAAGCGAAATGGAAACCCCCGAAGGGACCTGGAGATGAACATGAACCAGGGTATGAAGCTTGGTGAGGGTCCGGCAATGACAGGCTGCCGACGGTGTCATAAGTGTGATCGATTGCGTGCTCACATCGTGTGTTTACCAGAGTGGGAGATCGGGAAGGGCAAAAAAAGGGAATGAGAACAAGAAAAAGAAACAAATAAGTGATGGTATTGGCTGGCTTCGGCTGGCAATTGGGGAATTAACCACGTTTACGCAGTGACGCTTTCCTTCATCAAGGACGGATTTCACGATGTCTGATTTAAGCGTGTCTCGGGGATAAAACGGGATAGGGGAGCGCAGAGAGCTGGCACAACAGCACAAACCCAGAAGCTGCTTCCCCAGAAAAAGGACGCACAACTCCCAGGAGAAGATGTAACCAAGACGAGTAGGGGTACTAGGAGTAGCTCTTGCACCATCCGACGTTGGATGAGCAAAGAATGCAAGGGAAACGAACCAGGTAACAATAAAATGGCGCAAACAATGCAATCGGCAGCGTCATTTGAGCTCAGACTTACCATGATACGGGTATCCTCGCACATCGATCGGGCTATGTTCGTCCTCGAGGCTCTCGTAGGAGCTGACGGACAAACCACCCATGCCTTCGGTTGGGTCGTAGGGCATGTTGAAGTTGGAGACGTGAGGCACGCCAGGGGTATCCGTGTCAATGGAGAATTGCCGGTGCTTAGCAAGCGCAGGGTCGTGTCGAGAGAGAAGAAAGTTGAAATTTTCGAGTTTATCGAATGTCGAGGGAGCCTGACGGGCGATTTGTTCATCTGACATATTGCCTGCAGGTGGTTTTAAGAGGGCGGCTTCCTCGTCTCTTTTCGACCTCTCCGCTTTTTGCGGCCCCCGAGCTTTGATCTGATTGGAATAGAGCTCTTGGTCGATGGATTTTGTTTTACCAATTGTCCACTGGAAATGCTTGGGTGGCTTGTCTTGGGGGGAGGTTAGACTGGAAATCGATGGTGACAGAACCACGCAAATGTCGCCAGCCGATCAGCTGGGGCAGGGGCGCAGGACAGGTCCGGGATGATTTAGAAACTCAAAAAATCCTGGTCAGGACTGGAATTAGACGGTTTGGCCCAAAGATATCTGTTCAGGTTCTGCAACTGTTCCTGCCAAATCGCGTAGCGCGGTAAGAGCAGCCACGTACGCGGAAGCACGAGGAGCGGATGGAATCCGAAGCCTGGACCAGGGTGGTCAACTCTTGAACGTGGGTGAAGTTACAGAGCGAGGCCAGGCCAGCAAAAAAACCGTGTCTCAGCGAAGAGAGTTGGCTTGAGGCGGGAGGGCACGCTGTGTTGGGAGGACGCAGCGCCAGCAGTGATCGTCTCACGCCTGCTTGTGCTAGTTGATGATCTGATATAATGGAGAAATGTCGTGATTGCCCTCTGTGATTGGTCAGTTCCAACCTCCGAGGCAGGCAAGCTCCAGCCGTTTTCAAACCGTTTGAGAGGGTAGGCAAGGCCAGCTGTGAGTTAAAAGGAGAAACAAGGAATAAAATCATGTAGAGGATGAGAACACGCCTTTGATATTGGTGAACTTCTGATGGAGCAAGATTCAAGAAGAAGGGAGCGCAAAAGGGGCAGTTTCCATCCAGACCTGAGCCAGAAAGCAAAGCCCCCGCCGCCTGGCGGAAATACGTGCCTTCCCACAGTAATCTACGTGTTACACCAGATTACACATCTCCACCCCAGGTTGAGCAAGCTTTGCGGGAATTTTTTGGACTGATGGTGTATAATTCCGCTGAGCCAAGTAAATTATACACTTTGATACATTTTGCCCTCCAAGACTGATTCCAGATCTTGTTGCCTTTCCACCCACGGGTACATCGGTAAGTCTGGTTTCATTTATGGGCAAATTACAATTGTCTAAACGCGCGTTACCAGCTCCTGTCTTCCGCTCTTTGGGCGATGCCGACAACAAATCTTACTTTGTAGCTTCAATTTCCCCGCCCGCATGACTGCGGAGCAGCTTCGAGCAGTTCGGAGTGGACAGGCTAAGCGTGGCTTTCCGGTACTTTTGCCCTCAAGGAGCGGAAGCAACTTCTGCATTTAGCGGCGCTGGACAGACTTGCTTGCAAGTTGCAACAAGGCGCATTGACCATGAAGCCTCTTGGCCTTGTGCTGGCTTCAAGACACGTTTGAATCATGACACATCCTGGACCGGGCAGATTCAGGAGTCATGCTCAGCTCTTTCCCCAGATCGAAAACGCCTGCATAAAAATAGGCCCAGTGCGCCGCGCGCCGTGAACCTTCGGACTGGACCGCTGGTCCAGCCAAAGATGATTTTGGCCTGCCATTGTTTTCTCGGTTCGTCCCCACATGCGCTGCGTTTCATCCCGCTTCGTGATGTCAAATCTTTTATTCACATTATTGTTCCTTTCCATAAAGTCCGATGCATTCCACTTCAGTCTTGATGTCGTCATATTTCGGGCGAAGACGAATGACTGCCCAGCGCCATGTTCATTCGGATCTTCTCCGGAATCCAGAGATGGAATGTTGCAGGAGCAGTTGCCGATTTAGACTACAAAATTTCTGTCGTCTGCTCTCCTGGCTATTGATGCTGCGGCCATACCTTGATTGATGTTTATGGCAGCAGGGAGCCTCTGTCCTCTGAAGTATAAAACAAGCAGGGTGCCTCGTGCCGTGACCGTGCCGAGGATAGCGACGGAGCAAGAGTCTTGCTACTCAGGAACGTCCTTGAGGCTATAACGTTCCATAGCATGTTTCATGAGAACATCCGGAGCAATCGGCGTTTGCTTGATAACGAGATATCCCGTCACAATGGAGAAGTAACGAGATATCCCGTCACAATGGAGAAGTAGCGAGTACATCCTATTAGACGTAAATTCTCCCCGCGTTCAAGGACAGAGCAAAACTACGCATCAACGTGGATCCACAAGCACACGCGGGTACACGACGCAAGGGGGAACTTCGTTCACCCTCAGGACTCCAGGAGGTCAGATGACAAGGTCGAGTCCGACTCCAATGCAATAAATCAATTACTCTCCCGGTCATTCTTGTGCAGCGAAGGAATCAAAGCATGGTGAACGCTTGGGCGGTTGCTTGGGCGTTTCGGCCGAAGTGAGCTGTCAGGACTTTGTACCTCTACCTCAACCATTCAAGAGGAACAAGACCGAGCTGGTGCTGACGCTTCCCCGCAAAGAGCATCCGTGGCGCCCCACGAGCTTGTTGCTACAGCCCGTGCATCAGTCCTGGTTCAGTCGCTAGGAAGAGCTTCGATTGGTCTTACGACAAGCGAGAGGACGGCGAAACCGTGCGCTCTTATTCAGAAGACTCCGATCTCTGTTCGGCCAGATCCCAAGCCCCAATCTCGAGATCCTGCAATCGGCCTCTCTCTTGGCGTGGAGGCAGAGGAAATGCCGAATCCCTTACCCCGGATTGGGTTTCCCTGCATATCATCATGACTGCAATGATTTCCGCCCTCGGGCCAGCCGAGAAGCCGCCGACACAATGGATTTCTAGCGGCCCCGTGCTGCCCAGGCTGTTTTGACTCGAGGATCGAGGTCTCCTCTGACGCTTGATAACTTGACAGGTGGTATTTTGTGCTGAATCCCGAAATAGGACGGAAAGGTGGGATGCCGACTTCCGAGTGCTTTTGTCGGGCGGGATTACTAATCGACCATTTCTCCGCCACGAACTTGGCTCAGGCTCAAGCCCAGATTTCGTTCCCTCACTGTCCGCTGTTCAAAGACTTACTACTACCTTATACATTGTGCTAACTCGCTTCTAATCATCTTACGCCGCTTGCCTGTTTCGTCGAACCGCTTTTTCACTTGCACGCGTTCGAGACTGGCGTATCCGTCTCGTGTGGCGCAGCTATTCGGTGTCTGATCTGGCGGCTGCTTTTTTCACCTGACAGATCCCCAACAAATCCTTCAGACGCCACTTCTAACTCGGCTTGAAGAGCTGCTACTACATTAATCAACCCTAAGAAGTCTCGTCCATCAACTGTTGGCTAATCAAGGTATCCACGCTCAACGTCCCCGCGAGCTACCGCGCAGCGGCCCCGGCTGCGGGCCGAGTCCACTTATGATACAATCAACCTCCCGTATCCTAGGCCTGGAGCTATGCAGCACTCAGCTGAGGCCGCTAGAGTAATCCCTACCTGGAAAATGCAGGTTGCGCAGCCTGCTTCTTCAGAAAACGCAAAACCCAGCAATAGCCGTGATCCTAGAGCCCGACGACGTAAATCACTGGTAAGCAGACTCCATTATACCTATTACTGAGGCCCCTTAGTAAACTTTGCTTCAGCAGCCTTGTGAGACGTGCTATAAGAAAAAGATCAAATGTGAATTCAACGAATCAAAGCATACTTGTACTCCATGCATGCGCCGTAGCCTGAAATGCAAGCCTATCTCGGGCAAGGGGACGAGAGATGGCCCAAGGAGGTATTCCACCATCGAACTATCTCAATCATTCATTGTTATGAGCTAAACATGGTTCAGGTCACGCTACGTGAGGAATCTGGAAGAGCGCCTGAAAAAAACCGAGTCTCTACTGCGAGCTGCCGGTATCTTGGTTGAAACAGCAAATCTTGACGAAATGAGCGACGTCGCAGAAGATCTCGACGAAGATGACATTGCCATGGAGGACGAAAGCGATACATCTACGGGCTCTCGAGATTCCAGCGGAAGTATCTCTCATGAATCAGACGTCACTACTGAAAGTGCCACCGCTAAACGAGCCTCGCCGACCAGTGTCACAAACAGGTCCTTCCATCATAATCCTCCGATTTCTTCGAACGTTCGGAAACGCTCGAATACCGGGAAAGGCGGCCCGCCAGTATACAAACCAGACAAAGGATGCTCGCTATATCTCGGTTCGTCTACTATAACCCTAACATCTGTCCAGAGCACTAATGCTAAAGTTTGACTCAGGGCGGTCCACACCCCTCTCGATATTGACCCGCGAAGGTGTTGAATGGGTCAAGAGCAGGTCCGGTGAAGCGAATTCTCTCAGTTCTTTGCTATCGGGCACGAAATTCGATAGTCCATGGGCATATTGGCGACCTGATGTCTTCTACGACGTATTTTCCTCCAAGGTGTATAAGCCGCTGCCACCCAGAGCTGAAGTTTTCTCCTTACTAAAGGACTACTTCCGGACTGTCAATCTCATGTTTCCTCTATACCATGAAGAGACGTTCATGCAGCTAGTCGAATGGCAGTACACTCAGCAGACTTGCGACGATGCAGCGCGGTGGGCCAGCATCAACATTATTCTCGCTCTGGCACACGAATACCGATTCTCTAATAGTCAAAAGTCAGAAAAGGATAGGGAGAAGGCGTGGCTCTATTATAAAAATGCTCTATCAGTGTTTCCCGAGCTAGTAATGCGACGAACTGATCTTCTGAGCGTACAAGCCCTCCTGGGCATGGCACTTTTCCTCCGAGGAAACTCTGGTACGCAATCGACTGTCCCTGTCGTCACGGCCGCAATACGATCGTCGCACCGAATGGGGCTTCATCGTGAGATTCCCAGGCCGTATCTCGGCAAGATCGAACAAGAGCAGAGAAGAAATGTGTTCTGGATTGCCTACGTCATTGATCAAAGGTGAGCTTCTCCTCTTACTCAGTAAGCACTAGGCATTGATGTGTTTCTATAGCATATCTATCCGACTAGGAAACGCACCCACGCAACATTTCGATGACTTCGACGTCGAGATTCCCTCCGACGAGAATGCCGCTGGGCTCGTGATGGCCGATAACAAACTCTTTTTCCCACGGCTTTGCCGCATTGCAGTGCTCAGGAGCCGAATCTACCGGCTATTCTACTCCGCGAGGGCATTGGAAAACAAATCAACGGCCGACATCTGTGAAATGATCCACCAACTGCATGCGGAACTCGATAACTGGAAAAGCGAGTGCCATTTTGATAACCTTCTGAAACGGAGAGGGTCAGGCGAAGATTTTCTCGCTGGATTCGCCTCTGCTGGTTTATTCCTCGTATACTACAACTCGTTGATTATGATTCACCGTCTACCGATGTTGATCAACTTCATCTACCAGTCGCGCGCTGACAGTGTACCGGAGTTCGACCTGAAACTGATATTGAGCCAGTCCTCTTCTTCGGCAGCCATTTGTGTTCAGGCTGCTCGGGATACTCTGAAGCTAGTCAATAACCTACCGTGGGGCGATATTGCATGGATATGGTAAGATCAAAGAATCCAACGCACGCATGGGTCTCTGCTGACGTTATTCTAGGTCGCTCTTATACTACGTATTCCTAGCGGTGATGACAATCTTCGCCAACATCCTCCGCAACAGCCAGCAGCCAACCGCCAAGGACGACCTGCAATCTCTAAACATGGCCGCAACCTTTTTCGCAACGCTTGTCCCGGCCGACGGACCTTGCAACTACGCAAGGTTCATGACTCGTATGAGCACGACCTTCGAGCGTATCGCGCGAACCGTCCTAGAGCGAGATCAGAAGCCACACCCAGACTCGAAACGCAAGGTTTCATCCAAGCCTCGGCCTTCAAGTACGTCAGGTCCAGATACAAATGGAAAGTCACGACCCGAATCCACAGCCACGAACAACAACCAGACTTCCTCTACATCCACAAACATCGACATTCCCAATAACCTCGAGGGCCTACCACCCATAAACTCAAGCGGCTACGTTGTCCGCGAAAGCCCACCACCCAGCACGAGATCCGACGACAACTCGGATACATCCCAATCACCCTCCACACATCTTTCCAATAATTTCCTTCCAGACCTTCGCCAACAACAACAACAACAACAACACCCTTCAAACCTGACAACAAACGTGAACCAATACCACACCCAGCAACAACACCCATACGCAACCGAAAACATCCCCATGCCATTCCCCCTCCCGGCCCTCGACGAATCATCCTTTACCTTCACACAGCCGGAACTGTGGCAGATTCCTCTCACTGCGGATTGGGAGTTCGGGTTCGGGGGGCAGTTTCTAGGTGGCATGTTCGGGCAACCTGGCACCGACAGTAACAATGGAAACATGGATAGCAGCGCTATTCACGCACAGAGTTATATGTTCCAGGGTGCCACGGGGCCTCAGTCGATCGGAACAGCAGCTGTTCCGGAGACTACTGCAGTACCTGTGCCAGTGCCTGTTTCTTCGGTGCCCATGATGAGCAGTACATATCCCACCATCCCTGGTTATCCGAATGGGAGTCAATGTAACGGTATTGGTGCTGGTGTCGCTCCAGAGGCAACGCCGGGTTTAAATCCGGCGGCGATGTGGATGGGTGGGAGCAACTGCTATGGGAATCCTTACTAGCGAGACGGCGTCAATGTTACAGCCATAATCCAAGCGATACAAAATATAGATCCTGCTGTCAACAACGCTCATGGACTCTGGAATTGTAATCCATTGCGTTCATTTCATGTAATACTCAAATTGTGGTATCAGCATTTGCGGACGATAGACGAATAACGCAGAGCATATCAACCTCCCAGGTACGTAAGCCACGAACTCCCGCTGAAATATTGCATAGACAAGCCGAAAGCAAGACCCGGGGGAAAAAAAACAGTCATAATTTCAATCAAAACACTGTGCCAGAGAGCATCTGAACCGCCTTGCTCCAGACACCGTTGCCGAACTTAGTTTCGCGCCCCTTGAGTTGTTTGTTAAGGATACTCTGCATCTCCTTCTCAGACAGACCTGTGCCGCTGTCGGTTCCGAAGCCGTAGACTTTACTGGCGAGCACTGTGGTCTGGATGTCCAGGACTCCAATTTCGCTCTCCTCTTTCTTCTCGAGAATACGGGTTGACACGGCAAAGTCGACATCGATTCTGCTTTTGCCTGAGGGATGAGGTGTCTTCGACGCGGAGGTTCCAAGCAAAGTACATCTTGCTCTTAGAGTGGGTTTGTCTTCAGCGTCGGAGAGTCGGAGCTTGGTCACGCCGTGGAATTCCAGCATGCGAGCTTCTTCCTCCAGATTCGATGCCAGATCCCAGGCCTCTGACACGAAACGCAAAAGCTGGTTTGGCGTGACTTTTGGCTGTTCGATCTTGGAGACGTGCATATGCAGGGACTTCAGGATAAGCAACGAAATGGGCGACAGCTGAGGTGTTCGCTCGGCCGGATTCGCTCTTTTCTCGGAGGGATAGGTCAACTCGATCGGTGTGTCAGGTTTCGTGTCAGGCAAAGATTCCTTCTTGTCGCTTTTGATGTAAAACGACCCTGGATGGAATTTCAGCTCGAGTTGATGCCGGTAAGACATGGTCAGCACCGGGCCTGCAGCTGATTCTGATGGAGATGCGGAACTGATCGACCAGCCAGTCGATTGTTCAATCCGGTAGACAGAATCTTATAGTCACGTTAGCATGAAACAACAGGAATAGCAGCATGGACATAAGGTATACCTTTCAGTTCGCGGATCTCCTTGGCGCTCCATCCCCTGCACTCTTCCTTGACCCTCTCCGCTTCCTGAATCTGAGCGGTCAATTCTGCTTTCAGCTCTATTCCCGTCTCGATCGTGTCCGTCTTGTCTTGAACCTCAGATTGCAGTTCCTCAAGCATCTTCTTCTTCGCGGCAATCTCGTCTTCTATGCTGGACAACCTGCTTCGCGCACTCTGAAGTTCCCCCTGATCACAGTTCTCCAGCTCATCCGCCAACTGCTGCAGGCGTGTAGCCTCTTCCCTCAAAGAAGAATGCTTCGCGGCAAGCGCGGGGACGGCATCGTTCAGAAGTGCTTCGTGTTTCGATAACAAGTTGTCATCTCCTTTCATTTCCTCCATATGGCGATCCAACCCGTCCTTCAGGCCCTCCAGAAGCTTCATACGCCACTCATACCAAGTAGCTTTGCTCAGGAGCCTAGTATGGGTCTTCACGTTTCGAAACTGGTTATCCATCAGAAGGCGGATATCAGGCGCCGCATTGATGTATTCTCGGAACAGAGGCGGGTTGTCGGCATAGGTTTCGGTCTCGATAGATCGAATTATTTGTCTGCCTTCGGAGATGTATGACTTCAGCTCCCGACAGGACTAGACCACGTTAGCATACCACATCGGCTTACATTTGACACACTTACATGTTGATATAACTCGAGCATCGGCACGGTACAGAAACCTGCCGCAACACAATCCTCGAAGTTGGAAGCACTTGATTTGGAATCACCCTCAAGGGACAGCCTAGCCGTCCTCTTGCTAATGCTATCCGGGGCAGTGGTATGTCGCCGTTTAGTGGTTGTAAGTTCCATGAAGTGGATGTTGGTCATGTCCAGGAATTGTTGTAGCTGTATAGGCTCAAACTCTGGCCCAGCATCTTCAGCCGAAGCGTCTTCGTGTTCCGCAGCACCAGTTGTCGGCGATGTGTGCGCGGGATCCGCCGAGCAGAGCACTCCTTTTGGTTCCCGGGTAGGAGTTGTGCTAGCTTTAGACGGAGATAAACCGAAGGGCTTGCGAGTCGGTGAACGGTTTACGCGCCCAACCGTTTCTTCTTTCGTTGGGGGAGGCGGAAGCTTCACGCCTTTCACTGGGCTCATATCTTCAGGGCGCCTCAGCCGTTTGTTAGGAGTATTTTCGTCTTCATCTTCGTCTAACTCTACCGGGCGTTTACCAAGCAGGCCTCGTGCGGCTCCCACGTGAAGACTCTTGCGGCCACGGACCTTGTTCTTCTTCGGGGTGAGACTGGAAATCATATCCCTCAAGTTTGCAGTAGGATCACGATCGTTCTGCAGTGGTTGAATATGACCATCCTCCCGACTTTCTTCTTCCTCCCGTTCTCTGTCAACCTCCTCCTGGAGTTTGAGTGGGTCTTCAAAGCGCACACCCTGCGGTCTTTCCTGAGGAACAAACCCCTCAGTCTCCTCGCCAATAGAACGCCGTTTGTCAAGAATGGCCGCAACCTTGGGAGATCCAAGGCCTTCCTTGTCAATCCCAAGACCAGAGGACCTTCTCTTTTGAGGGGGGCGCAGGACAAAGAGAGGAGCGGATTGTCCCGCTGCATTGGGACCAAAGAGGCTCTTACGGGGCGATTTCCTTTGGCTGTCCGAAACCTGAACTTCAGGCTGGGAAAGCTTTTTAGGAGACGCACTCCGAGCCTGCTGGTTCCTAGACGGCAAAGGTTGATCGGGGGTAGAGGGTTGGTTTGCTTGACTCAATTGCTTAGAGCGAACTGAGGCAATTTTGGTAGGTGAAACTTGAGGCGTCGTCGAAGTTGGGGTTGTTGGAGTTGCACGGCTTAGACTCTGTCTTGTACGCGAAGATCTAACGCTAGCCAGGCTGGGGCTACCATTCTCTGACGCGACTGCAGCAACGTGGATACGACTAGGGGACTTGGCGGGAGACGCTTTCACTGTTTCCTGAAACGGAGAGCTCCCCAATTGGAAGTCTATGTCTTGATCCTTGTCTGGGCTCAGGACTTGCGGTGGCAGTATCTTGCCAACAGCAGTGGTGAAATCCATGCCTGCAGTTTGATCCTCATCAACTGGTTCCGTTTGCTCCTGGATTGCTGGAAGAATGCCACCAACTGCTCCGGTGATCTCCATGTCAGCTCCGTCTTCCATGTCATCTTCGGTGTCGTCCCACTCAGAGTGATTGCGAGTTTGAGCTGGCGATTCGTTGTCCTCGTCAATGCTCTGAGAGGAGTTGTTTTTCAAGAGGCCCCCTACGACCGATGTAAACTCCATGGTCATTTCCTCGTCATTGTCCGGGTTACTGTCGGCACCGGTAGATTTTGCAGGCGACACAGATCGGGCAATACCTCCCACAACGTTTGTGAGCTCCATGGTCTGCTCTTCGTAGTTCGTTTCCTCGCCACTTGACTTGCGGCGGCTTAAGCTCTGCCGGCTGCTGGAAATGATGCGCCCAATAGCGTTCGTCACGTCCATGCTAAGCTCCTCGTCCTCATTGTCGCTTGCCATCTCGGACATATCTGCGTTTGAGGGCTTGTATGGGTCAACATTTTCCTGGTCCTGCCGTGCGCTAATATCCTCCCAGTCGAAACTTTGTCTTTGCCCCCGCTTGATCCAGGGCTGGAAGGCTCCAGTAATCTCCTGGGCAGCGATCTCCATGGAAACTTCCTCGTCATCATCTTCAAAGGTCCTTCCAGCTTCGCGAGCGGCTTGTCGTAGAGCATTGTTCAAACGACTAGTGCCCGTAGTGGATTCAGACCCGTCCGTTTGGCCCGTTATACCCGAGTGAGCTGTATCATCCATGCTCATCGCAGTGTTCTCGCCATCAAAATCAGAAGTAGATGAGTTGTCGTCGTCCTCGTCTCTACCAGCTGAATGTAGGCCAGTGTCCTCGCTAGCTTCGCTCCCACTAAATGGGCTCGAGAACATGTCTTGAGATGACCCGACCCCATCATAGTTGCCACTTGCGGGACGATTCCCAAACTGTGCCAAGTCGGGATATTGTACTGGAGAAAAGGCGATATCGGATTCCGCGTCAATCTCAGGTGAGCTAGGACGCTCATCTTGTCTGGGAGCCGCTGCGGGTTGCTGGTTTTCACGGCCTGCCATCGAAGAAGCACGTCGAGTAGAGTTGGATGCCGACGACGACGTTGAGTCGTCAGGTATTTCTACTACATTCCAAGTATGCAATGTCGCCTCAGGGGCGAAGGATACACGGCGGTTGGCTGTGTTAATCAATTAGTGCTTTGACGAGTACTTTGACCGGTTTAGCAGAAGCATACCCATCGACTTCCGTCGCGCTTCCCTCTGTTGCAATATCGCCTTCTTTTCTCTTTCCCTCCTTTCCTTCTCCTCCTGCTCCCTTGCCGCAGCCATCTCATCGCGGATAGTATCGGCGTTGAATGTGTCGAAAGGATTGGTTTGGTCGTCGGATTTAGAAGTGGATGGTTGGGCGGGTGTATCAAAGTCGATTAGAAGACCTTCCTGTGCTGCACTGCTGCTATCTCCTTGTGACTTTGCGTTGCGGGCCGGGGTTTTCTTGCGTGTTTCTTCGAACGTAGGAATATTTCGTACGGGGGACACAGGGACGGTCGGTTTGAGGATGGACTTCAGGGGGAAAACAGCGGCAGACTATGTGATAATGAGCGCCATTAGCAGGAGTGAGATGAAGTGTACCATGAGTGAGCCAATTACCTTGCGCCGATTTCCGTTCGAGTCTTGAAGCGCATCCAAACCGCCGGGTCCTAAGCTTTTGCTCCGAGACTTCTTATCCTTTCCAGTTCCCACACCGGGTCCGATCAATGGTCGTGCAGCATTAATGTCGGTGGTCGCATTTTCCTTGTCGCCTCCGGCAGTCAATCTCGAGCGCGGGACATGGGCGATAGAGCGACGAGATCGTGGCCGGGAGGACCCCGCGGTGTCACCTCTGGACGCCATCGGAGGAAATTGTCGCGCTCATAGACAGAAGTAGCGCAGTATATATCGCCACTAATGCCCAGCACTAGAGATGATGTCTTGGTGGTCGGACGATGGGTGAGAATAACGTCGTAAACAATGCTGTACTTCGTCCCACAAAGAAGCGCGTCGCCCCGGTCCCTCGTCATGTGACCTCAAAATGTAAACAAAGCTGCTGACATAACAGCCCTAGCCGATCCGCACAGAATCCATTCCGGGCCTAGCGCGGCGGTCGCACAACGCCCACACTTGAATTGTCCGCCATCGCTAAATTTGCATTCATCAAGAGTCGACGTCGACAACCGAACACTCCGACAACCCCCCTTCCTTCGCGACGAATCTCTCACCCAGCTCGACCCTGTTTCCTCGTCGGACTGAATTCTCGCAAAAATGGCCACCGAGTTGACCGTCCAGTCGGAGCGTGCTTTCCAGAAGCAGCCTCACATCTTCCTCAACCAGAAGACCAAGGCGAAGAGCAAGAAGGTCGGCCAGGCCCGGAGATGGTACAAGGACGTTGGTCTGGGTTTCCGTACCCCCAAGACCGCCATTGAGGGCAGCTACATCGGTATGCACGACCTGCACTGAGTTTTGTTGGACTTTTCGAATGCGATATGGCCGGATACCCTTCCCCAGAGTCTGAGATGAGAATATGCACGGATCTTATTGAAAGCGACAACTTCTCGGCACAGAGAATTGCGATTGCTTGGGAGGAAATACGCGATTGAATGGCAATATGCCGCGGTGGTTTTCAACACGATTTGGTCGAATCTCAGTGCTCAGACTCCGGAGAAGGACAATACGCCTCTGCTTTGCGTCAACTTGTCCTTCAGACTGCTAACCCGCCCGAATTATAGACAAGAAGTGCCCCTTCACCGGTCTCGTCTCCATCCGTGGTCGTATCCTCACCGGCCGTGTCGTCTCCACCAAGATGCACCGTACCATCATCATCCGCCGTGAATACCTCCACTACGTCCCCAAGTACAACCGTTACGAGAAGCGCCACAAGAACCTCGCTGCTCACGTCTCCCCCGCTTTCCGTGTTGAGGAGGGTGACTGGGTCACCGTCGGCCAGTGCCGTCCTCTGAGCAAGACTGTACGTGAAACACCTTGAATTTACCAATTTACGGGAGGAGTTTTCGACTGCGATTTCGCTCTTATTCGGTCTTTATCTAACATCTTCACTTTTTAGGTCCGCTTCAACACCCTCCGTGTTCTTCCCCGCACCGGCAAGGCTGTCAAGGCTTTCAGCAAGTTCTAAGCGTGTCGTCGATGATGAAGGGGTGTTCTCGAGAGAAAATTCAACCTAGGGCAGCGGCGCGAATGGATTCATGCGGAACAGTTTGAAGGGTTGGGATTGTTTCACGATTTCATGTCCCGGTACCCTGCGAAGGATATATCCAATGAAAAAAATTTCATCTGTTCTTCTTGCAATAGAACTCTGCCATACAGCAACTAGGGAAACAGGATCGTTGTGCTTAATAGTTTGGGAATCGGATTTTTGTGACGGTAATGGTCTGGGAGCCGACTTTGCATTCTCAGTGCCTTTGACGGACGTAGAATCTGCCTAATCCTAGACACACATATCCGGACTTTTTCCCGCCGATGTACACCATCTGCCTGACTCACTGTTTCGTCCTCTTACATCTTGTCTGTAGACTCATATCCTCGAGCTTGTTACAATTTCCTCCCCTTTCGACCATGTCTAAGACCTGTTGACTAGGGAAGTACTGGCAATATTAAGGTCAAGCGATGAGCATGTCAACGACGGGCAGGAAGTTTCTCCAGAGCAGACCTCACTCTTGCCCTGTCGTTCGCAAACTGATCAGTCGAGATCTCCAGCTGAGATTGCCCTAGCTCACCGGAAAGATCGAAATCCTGGTCATCCATCAAGCCGTCGATGTCCAGCTCCTCTTCGACATCATTGTCAAATCCAATACTGGAGAACCTAGGAAACGGCGCGGCTGAGCGATCCTCTAGGTCACTAATTGGGAACGTCCTAACCGTGTTGGGGGATTCGTCAGCACTCAGGTTCGCATGGATATCCCTTGGCGAGAGTACAACATTATCTTCATCGTCGGTGAATGCGTCGACCTCATCGTCATCACTGGGTGAATCAGATATGATCTCAAATGAGATAAGAGGGTCCTCGGAGTTGGTAACAGGAGATGGCGAAGGAGACGGCAGAGTATACTCGCCTCGAAACCCAAAATCAACCCCTTCGTTGAACTTGCCCCAGGGTTTGCGCCTCGATTTCAAACGCCAAGAGTATGCGAGGCCCTCACTGACGGCCTTGTAGTACTCGCACGGCACGCCTAACGAGGATAACAGCCTGCCAACCGCCGCCCCTGTCCTCTGGCTCAAGTCCATAGCCCTTTTTTTCATTTCCCGGTGCAGGCGTATACCAGCATTTTCAGATGCAGCAATACTCTCTAGCTGCAAAAACCGCTTGATATCTGGGTCGTTTGCAGCTATTTCGCAAAGCGTAGTGATGTTAAACGAGCAAATGATTGCATCGTTTTGGATAGAGCCCCATATAAGGTATTCGCCCCGTCCATCATATCTTGATCCTGGAATCCTCACAAAGTTCTTCTTGACGAATTCCTTAGCGGAGAAGATCTTCGAATCCGGCTTCAACTTGGTTGGGTCGATAATTGACACAGTAGCGCCTTCCTGTCCCCGCAATGCCCTATGTACCGGTGCCAGGGCCGACTGAAAAGTGGATATAAATGGAGATGGGTCGGGTGTGGGTGTAATGTGATCAAGGAATCGCTGCCGAAACTCGTTATCAGGGATAGAGTTGGATGGGTGAACTGGGGTGCATGGATCCATAAACAACCCGGCAATGAATAAATCCCTGCGGTTGACTCCTTGCGAGTTGACGTTCCACCATCGATAAAGAAGCCGTGGTGTCGTTTCCTCGCCTACTCCAAGTCTAGGGGCCTCTTCTTCCTATGTCAAGTTAATATAGATAGTTGCATGGCAGGTGATCAGGGAATACCTGATTGGGGCCCTCTGACCAGCAGAAGAAACAGAGCTTGCCCCCCGCAGTACATAGGGGTGCGTCTATGGCTGACAGCGATTCTTCCGATGGGTTAGGTTGTGCCGTGTTGTCGATCAACCCTTCTTGGACCTTATTTTGAGAGAACGTGTCTTGCGACTGCTGGCTCTGAAATATCAATCAACCATTCGATTCCAACATGGATGCTCCCAAAGTTCCACTTACTACCTGAGAGGAAGACTGTCGAACTCGGTTCTGATAGACGAACCGCGATGAGTCTATGGTATCATGTTCTTTTCCAGACATTGTCAGCCCAAGCGCGGCGGCAGCTCCTTCAATCTTGTCAAGGACTGGAAGCCAGGGCTCGCGGTCAAAGCCTGAACAGTGGACATCTCCCCATATAGGATCTCCATGCTTGTTCATATCCACCCACTGGGACTTAAGTCTGGCCCAACCAACCATTTCGCCGTTTGTAAGCCCGGACTCGATGAGCTCCTGTTGAAATACCGAGTAGAAGATATCCAAGAATGCGTTCCTGTCTTGCACGTAGTATTTGATCAAGCAACACAAGACCTTCCTCATATCCTCTGTCCACCTGATGCGCGGGGGTCTTTGGGAAAGGTCAAGAGCTGTGAGATCTGCCATTTGGGAGGAAAAAAGAGAGATTCGATTCTTTAATGATTAAAACGTTTCTGTCGATGCCGAAGAGGTACGACGACTGGCCTTCTGGTAGGTGGTTATGGAGTTTGATAGACTTGAAGTGGCTCACACTGCTAACAACAACGACAGGGGCAAAGGCTAAAGCTGAATGTGGCAGGAGAGAGGACCTTAACAGGTTAACTTCCAAGGTTGGGAAGCGACAGCTTAGGTCCAGTCATGTCTGCTGGAAGTGAAGGAAAGAAGAGAGTCGGGCTTCGTGGTGTTATTCCCATCCTCACCACAGGAAGAGAAACACCTCGAGAGGTTTTCTCTCTCATACACACTGGTGTTGAGGGAATTGTTAGGCTCCATGATGGCCAGGTGAAGCTGATTGAGTCATTTAAAAAGTGACTATGGATGCTGTGAGTTGATATAGTGATGCAACTCAGGAACAGGTGAAATCTTGGAACTGTTGAGAAAGTAGTGGGAGAGACAACAGAGCGGCTTGTTTATATACATCCAACACACTCTCACATGACAAACGAAAAGTCTGCTCAAGATCAAAGTTTGTTCAATATGTAGATTGTCACTCACCACCAGATAGTCACCATGCTTCTCAGATTTAGATTACAACTGATGTAGGTACTCAAACCAGCTGTGACTGACGTTGTGGTGGACCGAAGAAGCTTAGGCCGTCAACACCCAAAAAGGCGGAGTTGGACTCGGCTTCGTCGCGGCGATGGTCTCCGTCACATTTCGCCCCCTCCACAATTACTTCCGCTTTGCGAAGTCGGCCCAACGTCAAGTCAATCGCTCAATTCCCAGATAAGCTCTCCGATAGAGCGCGCTCATTATTTCAGCTTCTCCGGCTGGACCGATAGAACTCGAGCTGACCTCACTTTCGCGTCGTTCCTATCCTCCTGACACCTGTTCCGCAGAATGGTCTAGATAATCATGATTCTGATGGGCACCGGCGCGAACAAGACAAATCACAATCTACGATAGCCATTATCTGATCCTTTACTCCATCGTTATCATCGCCTTTCCCAAGGTGCTGAAGAAGCGACAGCCAATCCGACCAGCGGACAGTCTCCTGACCTTTGCCGCAACACAATTGCACTCCGCGAAGCCTGCATATAGCCTAAACAATGGCTCAGAACTTTGAGAAATCGGTAAAGGGGGCCACCAAGGTTAAGGTTGGTTCTTCCGCGCTATAGTTGTGTCTTGCGACTATCGTTCGGCAACATGCTGATTGTGTACTCTGCATAGCTTGCGGCCCCTAAATCCAAATACATCGAGCACATTCTTGTAGCAACGCATACGGGCGAAGCCGGAGTAGCAGAGATATTCCGGACACTACACCTTCGCGTTCGCGACTCGACATGGACAATCGCGTTCAAAGCCCTCATTGTGATTCATTTCATGATAAGGGAGGGCCAGTTGGACGCTACATTGCAATATATGGCAGAGAATCCGAGGAAAATAGCTGTCAGTGGGCTATCAGAGGGTGAGTCGAGTGGGACATTTCTGCTTGGTGCCATGCTAATGTCTGGATTCTGCAGTTCAACCGCAGGGCCGCAACATCCGAAGATATGCCAGCTACCTCCTTTCTCGGGCACGCGCCTTCGAACAGACCAAGACCGACTATGTGCGAAGCGGGCAAGGCCGGATGAAGCGGTTGACGGTCGAAAAGGGTCTGCTACGGGAAACGGAGGTTGTTCAAAAACAGATCAAGGAGCTACTACGTTGTGATGTAAGTTTACGGGGCTGTAATTGAGCCATGCTGACATATATCAGCTCTTGACGGACGAGGTTGAAAACGAAATCACCTTGACGGCTTTCCGTCTACTTACTCTAGATCTTTTGACACTCTATTCAGTCATGAACGAGGGGACAATCAACGTATTAGGTGAGAACAAATGGACGCATGTGTCACTGAAACCGGTACTAATCGCTTACAGAGCACTATTTTGAAATGTCACGGCCCGATAGTGAACGTGCGCTGGAGATCTACAAGACGTTTGCCGCGCAAACAGAGGAGGTAGTCAAGTTTTTGGGGGTTGCTCGACACTTTCAATCGGCAACAAGGCTTGAGATACCGAAACTCAAGCACGCTTCGACCGATTTGACCCGTCTTCTTGAGGACGATTTGAACGACCCAGATTTCAACCTTCGTCGGCGAGAATACCTTGCTCGACAAGGCAAAGGGGGAAGTAGTAGTGCTTTTACTGCTGCTGCCTCGTCAACAGAGAATAAACCCGCTAGTAACACCAACACTACGCCTACTCGACCTAAGACGGAACCTAGCCCACAAACGAAGACTAACCCTTCGAACCTGATGGACTTCTTCGACTCTATCGAGGCCCCAGCTCAACCTCAACAGCAACTCCAGCAGCAACCACAAGCTATGCAATTTCAACAGATGGGCCTCCCAGGACAGCAGCCCGGCTTCTTCCCGCAGCAAGGAGGATTTCCACAACAGCAGCCCGGATTCCCACAACAGCAAACAGGGTTCGAACAGCAACCCCAGTCCACCGGATATGGTCAGCCGGGGCCGTTCGGACCCTTTGCGACTCAGAATCCTAACCAGTTTGGCCAACAACAAGTGCCGGCACCCCTTCAGGCCACCCCTACAGGAGCTGGCTTTGGCGGGTATTCTCCACAACCCCAGGGGCAAGTGTATCAATCTCAACTTCCTCCTATTCCCCAGAATAATGTTGCGGCATTCCCTCAGCAACAACTATCGCCGAACGCGCTGCAGCCCCAAACAACAAATCCATTCAGACAATCGATGCTGATGAGCACCCCGACGGGGTCAGCGTCACCCGCATCTCCAATCAGTCGCCAGAATACGAATCCCTTTGCAAAGCGATTGTCAACAGTCAATCCTTCGTTCAGTCCCAGCGCACCGGAACCGTTTCCTCAGGCTCTGCAGCAGCCGCAAGCGCCGCAGCAGCCAGCGCCCCTCCAATCCCAGCGAACAAGAACAAACCCTTTCGCCCGCAGCTCATCTGTCCCACCTCAACAGTCGCAAGGGCTGCAGCCCGCTGCAGCACCCCTTCGGCCCACTCCAACAGGCAGTACAAATCCGTTCCGACAAAGCACCCTTGTTCAACAGACGGGCCAGGGTTGGCCGGTCAATGGCCAGCAAGGCACCATGGGCGGACTGGAGCAGCTGGACACGGTACCTATTTTCCCGCGTCCGGGATTCTCGTGAGACCCGCTGTGTCCTATTTAGAGAGCGAATGCTACCCAGCGACCTATGTTACTTTTATTCGTGTTGTTTTATCTATAATCGCATTCCTATTTTCCTGCTTTTGTCACCGCCGATTGACCCTCGTGTTCGAACTTTGCATACGGGCTTGCAGCGCGGGCGCCATGATTGTAGTGATAGCAATCAATATGACTGGAGCATTACCTATTTTGCATCTCAAGTACTCCGTCTAGACAATAATTGATGAGAAAGAGGAGATAAGGTGTCAAAGTGACAGGTCGGATTATCGAAGCATGCAAGGAGGCCATATGGGAGGAAAATATACCCGGCGACAGTGCACAGAATCGCTGATTATGTTTATCCATGGAACCTTCAGGGCCCACCCGGATTCCGGCAGCCGCAGCATCCGAGATCCAGCTTGCTCTTTTTCAGCAAGCCGCACGGTGATTGGCCGTGGATTGCTCGAGTTGGAGAGGAGCAGAGAACGGCCGAAGAGAAGCCAGAATCAGAAGTGCTGACTCTGGCGAGAGAGTTGAGAGGTGGTTTCCCCTCCTTGCCGGGCAGGCTTCGTCCGTCTCACAGACCCTCGCGAGCACCGTCGGATCCTCAGCCATCCAGACTAGGCCAGGCCTGTGCTTAGCACGCAGGACTAAGAGTCTAAGACGATTCATTCTCTTTCAACTGCGATTTTTTCTCTTCCCAAACATTCCCAGCACTGCGTTCCCACCTGCACTCGCCCCGAAATTTAGCAGGACATGAGGCTTTTCCTGATAAGGGCAGTGCGCTGACCATTCAGCATTTCCTCACCTCTTCACTCATTCTCGGCTCTCCCTCTGCCCTCCCCAACTTGCCTACCCAGGAAAATAATGAGTGCCCATGAAGATCGCCAACGAGATCTGTGAACTGCGAATCTTGCGCCTGTGCGATGGACGCCAAGAACTCCCTCCCTCACTCCACGCCTCTCCCCCCGGTCTCTGACCACCACCACGTCCTCCCCATTGTCTCTCGCCCGCCAGCCTGGGTCGCCTCACAGCCCTCGTTTCACGCCCACCCTCCCCTCGATATTAATAATAATTACCTTAATCCACCTTTTCACCCTCCCCCGCAGTCCGTCTCACCATCGACCTCATCGCCGTCGCAGCCGTTCCCCGCTCATGCTGCCCCTTCGTCGTCCATGGTCCCCGAGGCCCTCGACGAGCCCAATGCCGTCCAACAACCATTCGCCAGCGAGCCAACTCGGCAAAACTCAGGGAAGACGGCGGTGACAAAAGTCCGCAAACCGCGCAAGCAGGGCAATGCCTCGCAGGGACGCTCGACCCTCTTCTGGGTGCATAACGATCCGCAATCGGTCGCAGAAGGCACTCGAGAGGAGACGTTGAAGTTGATTCGCTCTCATGTCATGTCCGAGCATAACCGCAAGAAACGACTCGAGAACAATAAACGGTATAAGAACAAAGCGTGGAAGCACCTCGCTTTCCAACCGGTCGAAACCGCCGATTCCAACCCTGCCTCATCGTCCGCCCCTCCTGCTCTTGAGACGTCGCATCCAGCTCCGCGGAAACCATCGCGAAAGGCGTCGCGTTCCACCTTACCTCCCCCGACATACTCCTCCTCGTCCTCTTCCAAGTCGCCCTCTCCCGAGCAACCGATATACAAAGAAGACGACGAATCAGAGGAGGAGGAAACAAAGTTTACGGAAGTTGGTAACGATTACGAAGCGGTGCCGGCAGACTCAGTGGATGACTACAGGATCAAACTTGAAAATGAGACGACCCTTCCCATGGTTCAGAACCCGTCACCATGGGCTTATGTTGGCCAGGGGTCAAGCGATCCCTTCAGCACGATGCATACGCCAATTTCGGAGCGTATGCATCGGCATCTTCAACACTGTGGGTTCACCGAGCTAGTACGTTTATACCCTGCTAACTGTTTCAACCAGTTTTATGTAAATTGACGCGACTGGCTTACCCGTTACAACGACGCTATGGAGCCAAATTGGAGGCTCATTGGGCGACTCTCGTCCAACATGATCCCGCCTCTTTGCACGCCTGTATTTGCGTCGCCGCAACGAATTCCGCACTCGAATCCGGAGAGTTTCCTTTGACAGATAACAAGAAGGCATCAAGTCCCCTTCTTCTCGACACGTTCCACCATCGAGGCGAGACGATTCGCCTGGTCAATGAGGGTTTATCGGATCCTCTAAAGGCCGCCAGCGATGAGTTGATTGCGGCGGTTTCTGTATTGCTAACAGTTGAGGTATGTCGCCCCTTCTCTAGTCCATCCTACCTTTCACTAACCAAAACAGATTGCAACTGGAGATCCGGACTATCTGAAGATCCATCTCGCGGGCCTGAGGCAGATGGTTGGAATGAGGAACAGCTTCGCAGATGTCGTTGACGATGTTCGATTCCAGATTTCATGGTTTGTGCATTCTGCCCTTGTAGAAGCATTTGTGAATACTAACGGGTTAGGACCGATATTCGCGTCGCATGCATGTCTTTGACGAAACCTATATTTCCATTCGTTCGCTATGCTCGCCCGAAACATTTTACCATCACACCACCCACCAAAGAGCTAGAAGCTACTGCTTCAAGCCTAGTTTCCTTGATTCAGATACCCGGCATCTTCGGCGATGTCATGTCCAAAGTCGTTTATGATCTGGCCGATCTTCTCTGGTACGCAGAGTGGATTAAAGGCGGCCCAGAATACCAGGAGTTTGATGAGGAGACGGAATGCTACTACAACACCGAGGTGCTGTACGTCGAATACGCGCTACACAGCGACCGATACACACCAACCGGCGAAGTAAAAGGAGACGACACAATCGAGGGCTGCGTCCGCCTAGCCTGCCTCCTCTTCCACAATAGCGCAATCTGGGACTTCTACCCCCAAATTGCCCCTGTGTTCCCGAAACCAATCATCGCCCTCCAAGTAGCCCTCGAAAGCACAATCCGAACTGGCTGCTACCACCTCTGCCGCGACCTCCTCATCTGGCTCCTCTTCGTCGGCGCATGCAGCACGCGAATCCCCAGCCAGCGCTCATTCTTCGTCAACGAACTCGCTTCGGCAATCCGCCTCCAGGGCGTCCGATCATGGCAGGAGCTCCGCGCGATCCTGTTCCGCTACTTCTACGTCGATCGGTGCTATCTCGGCCCGCTGCGGCAGCTGTGGGATGAGCTGCAGACAACGTCGGCTTCGCAGCAGTGTATAAACAGTAATTGATGTGACTATATATATCTATCTAACTAACTATCCTGCCCTGCTATGTCTCCAGATATAGAAAGATATGTTTGGTTACATGCGTGGTATAATAATGAGAAATGGTACATACGAGATGAGCTATGTATGTCGTGATGAATTGACTTGTATCTTAATCTTAGCCTCGCACAAGTGTCCGTCCACGTACGTAGTCCCCTATTTTATGTCATAGCCCCATCGGGCCCTCAGCAGTCCCGAGTCTTTTCCGAGGCCCCATATCCCGACCTCTCTGTGCAACGACAGCCATTCAATGTCTAGATAGCATATTATGATCTAAACTGCCAACTTTCAATGTCCGACCGACCCAGGCGCTATATCAGTCAGGCCCTGAGCCCAAAAAAGGTATAACTTATCTACATCGTGACAGTAGTATATAAAGATACAGTGGGCATATTCGCAAGGAAACCGCAATATGCTCACTTCACTGCCAAGTCCTTCAACGAAGATACGCGCAAAAGCCCCATGATCAAGGAACCTGACAGCCTGTCACCATCAGAGAATCCGCCATCTGGCACAATGTAGCTTCCATAACCAATCGCCTAGATAATCGCCTAGACCTCTACGACGCCTTGGAAGTTAGGATGACACGGCTCGAGCCTAGCATAAAGTCCCACGCCGAACTTTCGCCGACCGAGTTTTCTCCCGGCCTCCCGACGGAGTACGCTATGACAAGGGAGGGAGCACCGAGAGAATCCCGACGTATCCCCACTGGCACCACTATGACTACTACTTTTTGCCCTTCTCTCCTGCCAGTGAGAAAGAAAAGAGCGCAGTGGGACTCCTTGTGATTACTTATATAAACGCGGGTTCCTCCTAGCTTTGTTTCAGGGATTTTCTTTCTATTGTTTGGTGTTTTGTTTCCACGACCGTGACTCTCTCTCTTTTACATATCTGTTTACATCTATCCATGATGATGATACACCTCTGCCAATTATCTCTTTGTGCTAACTCGGGATCTCCAATCCTCCAGTCTAGCCTTTCATACTGACTATGCTTCAGTCGGCTTTCTTGCGCGGACTTAGGTGTCGGAGTCCGTCAACATGAGGTTGAAGCTTGGTGGTATGGCATGACATGTCCGTGTCACCAGACCAAAGCTTCACGACGTGATGACTTGACGACTTGAACCGAAAGTTTCTACGCAAAGTTTCAAAGCGAAATCTTGATTTCCAGGTCCCAAAGGTAAAAAGGTATTGAGCAAATCATGAACTCTCATTAATATTGGACTAGGACTAATATAATTATTCGGTATAGGAAGACCAACACAAGGGAAGTAAAAAAGAAAACACCACAACAATTCACCACACAAGACGTCTTCAGACCATATATACGCGCCGCCGAATGTACGAAGACACGGCAATATCGAAACGGGGTGATCTAACGATCCAAAACGAGTTCGAAAACCGCGCCGTTTAAACGTGAGCAGTGTTTATGATCTTACAACCAAGGGTATCTGATGAGGATAATTATGGGGAATACATATTTATTGTTCCCCGATGGAATTGACGTGACGTTTCATGTCTCATCGATCGGATGATGCGGCGAGCTGATTTAGACAGTCTCGCGCTCGGTCTTGCCGCGACGGGCACGGCCGGTGGGCGACCAAGGGAAGTGGGCGACCGGGATGACGAAGAAGCTGTTGCTGCTGTCGGCAATACCGGCGAGGGCGTTGTACCAGGCAGCGAAAGCGGCCAAGAGACCGAAGAAACCACCGGCCTTGATCACGGGAGGGTTGGGAGCGCCGTGGGAATCGCGCTGGATGTAACCGACACCGAGCAACAGGAAAGCAAGGTCGAGGAAGAGGAAGAGCAGGAAGAACGCCACGGTGGACCTCAGGGTGCAGAACAGCAGGATGGTGGTGAAGATGAACCAGCCCTAAAGTGGTGTTAGCGCATCTGATCCCGCAGCAAGCGCAAGACCGGCCTCGGGGAACACTTACCATGAGGAACAATCCGAAGGAGTTATAGAACATGGCGGTGCCGCCCGTTTCGATGAGGTTGGCCTCGATGCTGAAACCACCAGGAGTGAGGACAATAGCGAAAGCGATCCAGAATCCACCATAAGACGAGAGAGCAGTGGCACCAAAAGTGTTTCCGACGGCCATTTCCCTGCGCAAACAATGCAGTCAGAATCAAACGACCATAACCATTACGGCGCGACGGAATATCACTTACCACATGCCGGCGAGCAATTGAACCAGACCACCATAACCAAAAGCAAGGGCGATGACAATGTTGGGCGCGGTGATATCGCGTGCACCCATGTTGATGCAACTGAGCACGAATGTGGTGAGGGCGAAAGCACTCAGACCAAGAGGAGCAGGGTTGGCGAACTTGCGCGCCTCGACGGACTTGTACAGACCGGGCTGGAATTCACCACCGAAGGGGCGCAAGACTGCCTCCTTGGTGTTGACATGCGACAGAGGCCCATAGCCAAAGCGTGAGTGATGCTCTTCGGGGGACAGATTATTGGGCGCAGCAGGGGCAGCCTGGGGAGCAGGAGCTGCGGGACCAACGTCCTTCTCGAGATGGTGGTTCTGTTCGGCAGACATGATGATCAAGCTTCGAAAAGAGGTTAGACTGATTTTTTTGTGAGGTTGAGATAAAAATTCCAGCTAGCTGGAGAGGCGAAGAGGTAATTGAGGGTCGACCACAATTGAGGCAAGAACGAAAAAAAAAATATCAGGACGCGCACAGCACAACTGGGGTGGGTCAAGTCAAAAGAGTACTTGATGACCTTCGAGAAACAGATGGGATGAGGAGAGGGGAATAAATAAAGGTGAGACAGGTAGGGCGAGGCGTCAATAATAAGTATGCATGGGCAGGATGAAAATGACGAGAGCTAGCGCGCGAGAGACACGCCGGACGAACGCAGATTGCAAGCAACTTACCGAAACAGGGAGGAGTCACCGTTAGCCTGAGGTTGATCAGCTAGCTCGACTTCGTTTTGTTTTGATTTGATTTCCCCGGTGGAAAAATCGTACGTAGGCGAATGGGTTTATTTTCCCCAGTGGCCGTGGCGAGTGGAGCGAGAGGTCTGCGTTGAGAATGATGTGCACCTGCGTCTACCCACAAAAGGGATGATGGCTCTCGGAGGCACGCCGGGGTTGATTTTAGCGGGAACTTTTGCGACGGGAAATATGGAGATGAGACAGCGGATAATGGATTCGATCAGAAAAGAAATCTCGAGCAAGGCCAGAGCAGCAGCCGGTACATATACGCAGTCCTGCCAGTCGGGGGGGGCGGCAACCATGGACGAGCCATCCCCAGCAGAGTGCGGAGAATGGAGAGTGAGGGGACGAGAGGACCAAGGGTGAAGGGAAGTTTTTCCATCTTTGCGACCCTGAGCCGTAACTCGAACAGGCAGGTCGCGCAAGCTCAGGTCGCAGCTGGTGGTATAGCCGTATACTACACTACGGAGTACTGACCGAAGCTCGAGGTCAGCCAGCGTAACAGGATTACCAACCTTTGCGATCCCCGGACAGAAAATGGAGCCGGTCTTGGTGGGGGATGTCCGGGGCCAAGGCCAATGAGCTCAGCTATCGTTCACCGGCAGGATTTATGGTTGGCTCTTGGTAATGCAGCCAAGGACTGGGCTAGCACAGACGGCGAAACCTCTTACGCGCTGGTACACGCCAGGGCCAGCTTAGACTACGCCTTTTCCTAGTCCTCGTATTACTATCATCACCATGCCTGGATATCGATCCTGTAGCAGGGCAACAGGGCTTATTTTCTTACGTACTGCCATTCGTCCTTTTGACTCTTTGCTCTCTGCCATGCCCGTCCCATGACTTCGGTGAGCCGGCGGTTCCGCGAGCGTTAGTCAGCTCCCCGTGATCATTGAAGTCATTGAAGTCATTGAATTTCATGACAATTTCTGTTGAAGACGATCGGCCCAGCGCGTTGTCACTCTGCCTATGGCCGCTTGCTTGTCTCTCCGCAACGACGATCCGCAGATGCCTTCCTCTTGGATCCCGCTTCTGTTGCGTCCATGATCTGTCGAGTTCAGCCGATTTTGTTGCGGACCCAGAAAGAAAGTAGCTGGACCAGGCTAATTTTTGAGAGGATTCGCTGATGGTCCTACGGACGGCCGGAGAACCGGCTATTTTGGAAAGGGAAAACTTGTGGAATCTGGATGATGGTAGCTGTGTGGGTCTTCTTTTTTTTTTTCTTTTGCCTCGGTTCCTGCTCAAAAGCTTGACCAAGCAGATGGCGTTTGAGAAACTTTTGGCTGCAAGCCCGTCCGCCGGTCGGCGGTTGTACAACCGCAATCAAAGAGCGATAATCCTCCCCTTTCTCGTCGCATTCCGCTCCTTGCAAGCGATCGATCGGGTTAATTTCATCACCAACGTGGAGTGAGAAACTCGAAATCCTTCGACTGCCCAGAGTGCCACTTCGATCAGCCCAGACTAGAATCCACTCCAAGAGTCCAGCCGCCGCAGGGATCCATCGCAACCGCCTGCGGCTTGCAGCAGCCACTGGCCCCAAAAAGCTGTCAGCGTGGCAGATTCTTCTTACGCACGACTGTTCACTCTGCAACGCTGGACCTGGACCCGTGGCCGCACGGTGCAGAAACCAGTCGATCAGTCCACGGTTTGCGACAAAATGAAATTACAGTTTCAGGTCCTGCCGCTTGTCTTCATGCACTGCCCGCGTTGTTGGCCCTAGCACATCCTTAGCACGAGACTGATTTAGAAGTAAGGCCGACGAGGTAGCTATCGCCAACACAAACAGCTGCCTTGTTCGCCATTAAACATGGTATGAAAGACCAAAGATACTCGAGACTACATCGATGTACACAAACTCGCCCCTGTATACCACGCAGTCAATGTTCCACCTGCGTCGTGCTCTGGATTCGTATATCATTCTTTAGTGAAACAGCGATTTCATCTTCAATCCTAACTAGCAGCACGAACTCATGGCGTGCAAGGAACCCTGCATTTTGTTTGGACTTCGACGGCCGCCCCTTTCTATCAGCCTGTGTGCTAGCCTCCATATCCAAATGAAACCCCGAAGTGCGCATTGACAGGAGTTCAGTCTCCGAGACGGTCGTTGTTCTCCGCTCCCCATTGAGCAAAAAATATCCTTCCACGCCGTCACCCCAGCTCTGACAACGCTTAGGCTAACTACTTAGCGTTTCGCCCTTGGCTGACTTCATCCCTGCAGGCTATAGTTATTGCATTTATTACTGTGACTAATTTAGGGCGCATGCGCCATGTCTTCGTTTTTGGATCTTGGACCCTTGATTGGCGCGAAATCTCTGGTGCTAGGTTGGTCTTGAGTGACACCACGCTCAGGATTGACTCTCGGTTTATTAACACCACGGTCACAAAGGCTTGATTTAATGAATGCCCAGCTGCGGCAATGCTTAAGTCTGCCACAATACAGCATGGGAGGCAGAGCGATTAAAAGGCCAAAAATCAATCGCAAGGTCCGTGGTCAACTGGACTTTGAAGCAACAACACTGTTAGTGAACTATATTAGTTTACTGAGCGAGGTCAACAATAAATTAATCAGCAGCTGACTTCAAAAGTTCAATTTTCCCCTCTGGCGATCCTGTCTGTGGCACACCAGACGTCTTGGCATACGTCTGGTATTTCCAATCAGGCCAGACGCGATGAGCACACCTGGCAGCTGGCGTATCTGGAATATCTCAGGGTTCAAAAACACGCGTGGGAATTGGCGGTCATCGTTCTTCAAATCCGGACAGCAGAACTGAGCTGGTCTTGGATGACACTGTTCATACATAACGAATTGTACGTACTTCTTCAGCAGGTACGCCGTACTTGCTGTCCCCGGTCGGGTATCGGTTGTACTTCAGAGCACCCTTCCTTTTCTCCGGCTTGGTGAGACTCCACGTGGAGAAAATCCCCAACCTTTGTCGATGATGTGTCTGGCTGGACCGAGTCCTCCGTACTCCGGAGTTGGTGCGGCAAGGCAGAGTCCGCCCCGTACCCGAGTTACCGGTTCGGGGAACACTGTTTGTGGAGTGAACTCCATTGACGCAAGTTGTTTTGGGCCTGGTGCTGGCAGCCTGGCAGCTGCAGTTGCCCCAGGAGCTGCGCGGCGAGATGAGCGATCGCGCATATGGTGTACGTACGGAGTACTGCCAGACTATACGGAGTAGCTGCTGGGAAGTTGGAACGGCCAAGCTACTTTACTGAAGCTGACGCAGAACTAGACTATCCGTACTAATGGATGACTACTTTCAGAGACCATGATACTAATCCTCGAGGCAGCAACCAGCGGTGCCATCAGGCAGAAGATTGGACTCAATTCCAGGATTTGATGTTCTATCGATCACGGGATGAGGGGGATCGACGAGTTACAGCTCGGCTCGGATGATGGACGCTTCTGTCCCCAAAAGAGCATCGAGTTCTTGTAGCTATGATGGCACTCTTCGCTCAACACCCGAAAACAGGCGGGGGGCGTTCCAGTTTGGCCTCAACCATGGAAAGACGTCAGAATCGTATTCGCCATCCACAGCCATCCTTACATCCGGTCCTCCCGAGACTGTCTTTGATTTCTGGTGCCGAGTCTCAGTGCCGAGACCTCCTTCGGGTCCGAACAAAAGAACGAGCTTATCCTCGTTTCAGGGCCTTTCTCCGCCATCTCGCGCTGTCGGCTCTGGGGAAATTACACCCGCTCTCCAGAATATGGTACGCATTTGGTTCCCACTGCAAATATCGGCTCTGCCACCTCTATTCCGGTCGGCGGAGCGGAATTTCATCATTCTCGCTCTTGATCCCAACTCCGGTCGAGTACCGAAGAGCTCTCTTCCTGTCGCCCAATGATATAGCTTCTTAAGACATACAGGCGAGCGCTATTGCTATCCAAGAGTCTTGGAACTCCACCGCCAATACTGAAATTCTCGGATATACCCCGACTATGTGCAGCGTAGCTGGACTATTGATTGATAATCAATCGTACGATACAATGGTGCCGATGTTAGATTTCTGAGTGGTGTCGACACCGCTGTTGCGAACTTTCTCAAGAGACTATCATATGATTTGATTGACGGCGGGGGTTGACTCGCCTGTTTGTCGGCGATCATGATGATATTCGCCTCTGATCTGCCCCTCCACACGCTCATGCGGAGGGAAGTTAATTTATCGATCGCCAATCCGGGGTCATACCGCTCCTCAACTCAGGTTTTTCGTTGAGACTTATGAATCAAAAGTAGATGCGGTCAAGTTTCGACGAAAAACCTGAGTTTCAACATACAATCTGATCACTGCATTCACTGCCGGATCCTTCATAGATTGGCCGCAGCTGGGTATAGTCACATGCTCGATGCTTTCATAGCAGCTACTCGCATTCGAATAGGGGTGGCCGAGGTGCGAATTCTCATCAGCGCTCAATCCTGTCCATAGCGCCATGGTCATATCACAATGATGCCTCGAAACAAGTGTTAATAGGTGTTGTCTATACATGTATACATGTTTCTGGAGCCAGGCTCCCTGCCCACCGTCTCCGCAAATTTATTAACATCTGTCATTGGCAAAATATCTCATCATGGCTGCAAAGGGTTGCCCTTGCGCTATAGGGAACTCACTATGCCAGCGCGAGATCGTACCTCGCCGAGGCCATGCTTTGGCCGAAACGCTGCGAACAGGGAACATCAAGCTGAAACTGCAAGGATTATTTCGGTCAGATATAAGGACGGGATTCATCAGTGTTTGAGTCGCGACAGTCAAAGAGCCCTTTTTCCATGGCTCTCATAAAGACGGAGGAAGGTGCGACCCAGCCATCGTGCCTTCTTTATTTGGTATACCCTGGGTCGCTCCCTCCCTGCGCTTTCGAAATTCGTATCAGGCAGGTGTGCTGGTCCATCGCGCCTTCCTCATCCGTCATTATACCTCACATCGAAGAAGGAAGGAACGGCCTCGTACCTGCCAAATTCGTTATGACCCTGAATGAGGAAGGCACGACCTTCCCTAAGGTTATTGAAGAAGGGGTGACCCGATCACCATGCCTTCCATATCTGGAGTGTAGTTTCCAACTGACGCCTCGAACTGCCTCCGACTGGAAAGATTCCTGACAAAGAATAGAGGAAGATGCTCAAGGGAAGCAAGAGCAAGGCCAGAGATGATGCGACCATACCCTTAGTGCTTTCATTATTGAGCCTGCGCACTAGTCACTGCTCAGAATCCGCCATGACAGCTGTTTATCCTTCCCAGTTGCCAGTAATGGCAGTAAGTTCACGTTCATACTGAAACATCAGTGGCGTGGACGGCTTGGTTTACAGCCGAATAGCCTATCTCAAACCTCTCAGACGAGCTGACAACAGCCAGAGTTCTGACACTGGATGCCGAGATCCGAACCCACTTGCGGAAGAGCATGAGAACCAGACCTGTCTATCAAGGATGCTGTCCGAGTTACAGTGCTATCAACTCTATTGAACCCAAGATCATATCAACGAAGCAAATCTATTGAGCATCTATGCCAAATCTAAAACAGCAACCGCACGCTATGCGAAAGATAAAACGAAACACCAAGAACTAAGCAGCAGCCGCCGCCGCGTTGAACTCGTCACTAAACTCATAATCAATGTACCCCTTCGGACTGCGCACAGTATAAAAGTGCTCGCGCTCATACTTCCTCAACGGAATTCCCTGCTTGACCTTGAACGGCAAATCCGGGTTCGCAGTCCACGGCCGCCCAATCGCAACAAGCACATCATACCCCTTGTACTGCACATCAACAGCCTCCCTCGCCGACTCCCCTACATACCCGCCAGCAACCATAATGGGACCGGCACGCCCATACTCACGGAAAAAGAACTCCAGATTCCGATCGGGATGCTCATCCGTCTCCGTATTCCCCGCAATCCGCGCCTCAACAACATGCACATAGGCAAGGCCCAGCTTCGCCGTCTCGCGGGCAAGATACCCAAACTGCTCAATCAGCTCCGCGTCGCTGTCCTGCCTCATCCCCTGGAAGGTACTCCAGGGCGAGTATCGGATCGCCGTGCGCTCGGCGCCGATGGCGTCAATGACGGCGCGAAGGGCTTCGAGCGGGAACCGCGCGCGGTTCTCGATGCTCCCGCCCCAGCGGTCGGTGCGCTTGTTCACGGCGCCCTGGATGAACTGGTCGACGAGGTAGCCGTTTGCGCCGTGGATCTCGACGCCGTCGAAGCCGGCTTCGACTGCGTTTTTCGCGGCGGATGCAAAGTCCGCGATGACGGCTTGGATCTCGTGCTCGCTCATGGCGCGGGGGACCACGCCCTCGTAGAAGGGCACCTCGCTTGCGGAGATCAACTGCCCACCAGCTTCGTCGCCAAGTTCCCCGCGCGTAGCCTCGATGTCAGCAACGCGGCCCAGTGTCCAGAGTTGCGCATAGATATATGAGCCCTTGGCATGCACGGCGTCGGTGACTTTGCGCCATTGCGCAATCTGCTCGGGGGTCCAGAGGCCCGGGACGTTCTTATAGACTCCTGTGCGTTGCGAGATGAGGATTGCTTCGGTGATGAGGAGCGTGCCGGGGACGCTGGCGCGTTGCGCGTAGTACTCTGTGACCATGTCGAGGGGGATGTGGTTTTCCGGTGTGACGCGGTAGCGGGTCATGGGTGGGAGGGTGATGCGGTGGGCGAGTTGGAGGTTGCCCACCTTTAGGGGGGTGAAGAGGGTTGATTCGGACATTTCGCTTTGTTTGTCTTTTATGTGTTTGGAGGAGAGAAGGTAGGTAGATTGCGGGAGAGGTAAGTATGTCAATTAATGTTGATTGAACTTCAGAACCTGGTCTGCAGACGGCAAATGTTCCTTATGTACTACAGCGAAGACCTACTTCAAATCATGGATCCCGGTTTACCGGTAGATCGAACATTCCATGAGCACAAATCCTGCAGATTCGCCTAACTGCTTAGCAAGAATCGATCATTCAATACCCGCGGTTCCACCAGGATTAAGAAGCGGTACCCGGCAATGCCCCGAGAGCTCTGATTTGCAGAGACGGGTTTCTTCCACATCAAGGTTCTGACAAAGATTCCTCGGATGAATGATCGAAAAGTCTCCGTCTGTGGAGCCTGAGGCGACGAGGCAAAAAAGGTTCTATAATCGGACTAGCGGCCAAGTTAGTGCCTTGGTTAGTTCCTCAGGCAGAAAGGATTTTGTCCCTCGATCTCGATCAATAATATGACCAACCGATGCCTCTTCAAGAGTGGGCTATGCGGCCACTTGACAGAGCGTGGCTACGGCTCCAGGAGAGAACTCAGCAGGCATACTTTCGCGCACCCCTTGGTAGTATAGCATAGCCACAATGTCTTCTATCTTTCGCCCTATGTTTCTTGTTCCCTTGACTGTAAAATATGGCGCATGGCCTGATGCATAGCATAGGTACCTAGCTCCGAGTCAGAGAGCGTACCAAGAATAGTTACCATATCTCCTGGACTGTCGGTCATGGTGTGAGAGAATAAGTGTAGTGCAGAGACAAAGGGGTCAGTGGTTCGGACACTGCTACAAAGCCAAAAGGTCAGGATCAGAGAGGAGCCCCAGGGTTGACTTGCAGCAAACAAACAAATATAACAGGCACGTTTTGTTACTATTGTTAGGAAGGAACGAAAGACCACTTGACTGCGTTCATCAGACCTTACATCTTCCTCTGACTAGCATCCTTCGTATCATCAACTATACCGCTACGGGATAGCTTTAATTGAACTTTACTTTATTGTTCATCTCCAAGCCTCTTCTACCCTAGAATAATCTTGAATGGTAAAACCTGGCTATACCAAATTCGGTCATAATGTTTCTTGGTGGAGTGAAGGGCCAGCGACCTCCCCTTGAAATTTACACCTGAATTTTGTTAGATCTGCTTGCTCTATTCATCACAAGACCTTTATCAAAGTATATGGGGGCTACTAAGTGTACATGTGATATATATTCTACCGTAGTGAAATCGTTTGTCCATAAATTCAATACCTGTCAAATTGATTCATTGAAAGCCAGTTTTACTGTAGGATGCATATTATCTTCCTAAAGTGGTGGTAGTAATCAAATATGCTGGGCGCTTGGTCTAGTGGTATGACGCTTCATTTGCAATCAACTCTTGAAGAGGTCCCGGGTTCAATTCCCGGAGTGTCCATTTCTTCTTTTTTTTATGCCATTTTAGCCTCTATTCCATTGCAGCGGCGACTTTACTTCGATATCTTACTATTATGCCGAGACTGAACATTTTGTACAATTATACTCGTGGATTTTATGTTTACTAGTATAATCGTCATGGTTAAGCACCTTGAGCTGTGTCATGAATGACTGAACGACTACAGACCCATAGCTGAATTCATCGACTTGCTTATCACCTAGCCTGTCTTGTTAATACTAACTTCAAGAATAGTTAGGGTAGGGGAAGGAAGGGACTCGGGAGAAGTTTCAAGATTAAGAAGGGGGAGGGACTCACGCCCTACAGCCACGCATGGCATTAATGCAATCTCCAGCCATTATTCTATTTGCTTTCAACGTCTCTTCGGCGTGATGCTTAGAATAGGAGTTCGTTCACCCTAAGCATATGCTTGAGTGACTGTCTACCGCCGTGCTGTGTATGTCTTGGATCGCCTGGGGATCTGCTCCAGCGAGTCAGATTGCGCAACGGAGCGACTGTCGCGCGCGGCTCCTTTTGAAGGTCGAAGATGATGAGCGAGTCTAGGGGCAGCACCGCACGGGTCCACACGCCAGTTGGTGTACTTGCTCACGGGCGCCAAATGTGCTTTCGAGCATCAAGTCGATGAAGCTTTAGCTGCGCAGGAATTTCCTACCCAGGAATGACCGGCTTCGACTTTCCTAGTCTTTTGACGGGCCTGATCTGGACACAGTGGAGACTTCGACTTCGACTTAAGTTAACTATCCTTCGAAGCCTGTCATAGATGCCAAGTTAGATACTGATCCAAGTTTGAGAGCTAGCTAAAAGGGCAAAGTACTGCGTACTGATATACCGACATTGGAATCAACCCTCCAATTGCCGTGCAGTTGCTTCCAGCTGCGCATTGAACCTTTTGATTTGATTCAAGATGCCGCCATGGGCTCCCGGTGCCGTCGAGCTGACATTCTGCGCGGCATTGCGAAGACGAAACTCCAGGCCGGCTGTGAGTGATTCGTCTTCGCCGGTTGTGCGATTCTGGCCTCGCTCGAGCGCGAGATCGAGGTTGTGCAGGGAGTGACTGATCGTAGAGCGCGCCTATTCTCCTGTTAGTGATAATAAATCTCTAGTGGCACGGTAAATGGAAACTAACCATTCGCGATTTCTCCGCTATCATATGCTCCCGACGCACAGCATCCGTTCTCAGCGCGATAGCCTCTCGCTCCCTCCGAACTTGATCGAGTCGAGCTCGAAGGTCCATCATGTTGCGCTTGGCCTTCTTTACCTTGACGCCGAGCATGAAGTTACTATCGAGCATCTCGCTCAGCTCGAAAAGGCGACCCTCGAGTTCAGTCCCGAACGCCTCCACTGCTTTTCGGCGGAGGGTCCATTCCTGGCGTCGTGCAGCATTGGCCTCGTTGTCAATTCCGTTCTTCAGTGTTGTCAAGGTCTTCTCCAACGTTTCGCGACAAATCTGGGCGAGAACATCCGCAGCGTTGACGCCGCTTCGGGTAGGGAGTTTGTCCGCCTGCCTAGTTGTCATCTCTTCGGGGCTTTCGGCGTCCTCTTCGCTAGCAGACTCGTCTTGGGCGGGCACGCCGCCAAGAGAAGTAGCGTTGACAATTCGATGAACCGTAACCGGTACAGTTTCGCCTCGCGGTTGGCGTGGCTTGCGTTTCGGGGCTTGGGACGTCTCTTCTGCAGGCTCTCCCTCGGCCTGGGTTTCTGGACGTCGGCCTCTCCGGCCCTTAGCAGTTTTGGCCTGTTCGCGATCAACTTGAGCTTCCTGTTGGTTTTCGGGTTCTGGCTCTGGGGTCGGTTGCTGTCGTCGGCCACGCTGCTGCTCCTTTTCTTCCCGTTGTTTTTTACTTTTCGCGGTTTGGGATGTTTCGGCTTCGGACTCCGGCTGTTCTTCTTGCTCTGATGGTCGTCCACCCTCACTATCCCGCTCCTTTCTCTTTCTCCTTTTATCAACTCGAGTTGCACCGCCTTCTGGTTGTTCGCGTTGCCTCTTCCTCTTGGCAGCTTGAGACTTATCCGACTCTGGCTGCTCTTCCAGCTCTTGGTCGCGCTCCAGTTCTGCTTCTCCCCGTTTCTTTCTTGTATCCGCACGAGATGGTTGTTCTGCAGGCTCCGGGGTCTGACTGACCACTTTCCTCGGCCGTCCAGCACGCTTCTTCCCTTTGTCCACCCGATTTGGCTGGTCCTTCGAAAGACCGACAGGCTCAGGAGCAGCAGTAGCATCCTGTGTCTCAGTGACCTTCTCCACCTGGTTTGCGTCAGGCTCCTCCGAGCCTTGTCTTGGACTGACGCTTTTCTCCGTGACTTCTTGGTTTTTCCTCTTCCGGCCCCGAACAGCTTTTCTCGCGGTGTCATTCTTTGATGATGCCCCTGCGTCTCCATCCTCGGCCGATGCCTCATCCGTAGGGGCTGTAATCTCGGAAGCTTGAACTGTTGCGGGTGTTCGAGTCCGTCCGCGCTTTTTCCTCTGGGGTTTCGGGGGTTCAATTGCTGCGGAGGCATCTTGCTCTTGCGGTATAACCGTAGGCTCTGAGGGTATCGTAGGTTGTGCGTCTTCCTTCTCGGCGGGTTCTGCGTTCGAGACATCATTCTGTTCCGGTGACGATCGAGGTTTCCTCCCTCGTCCTTTGCCATTGGTCCTCGCTGTATCTGATGGTGGCGATGTTGTGCCGTTTGCTGCAATAGGCTCTGACCCTCTCGGCGCCGCTACCTCGTTATCATCCGTCGCGGAAGGCACATCTGAAGCGTTCGAAATATCCTTGTTTCTTCCATCTGCAGGAGCCGGCGCGATTTCGGCGGACGGAGTTCGGTCTTGCGTCTGATTCTGAGCCGACGATGTGCTCGTTCTAATGGGCATCGCTTTTCCTTCGTCGCTTGTAGGTCTTGTAGGCTCTTCTACGGCACGTTCGGAAACCCCATTATCTAGTCCGCGCTGCGTGTCAACAGGTATAGAGTCCTCCATGGGGTTTTCTATCATCGTCAGCGCAATCACTCGTGAGAATGAGTCTGTAACACCCACCGATTCTCCTTCTTTTACTACTCCTCCCGCCATCGAGTGCTTCATCTGGCGCCGTTTCAACAGTGGACGGAAGTGGAGAGACGTTGTTGCGCGCATTGCCTGGAGCTTGATTTGCGCTCTGTTCCTGTGACGAGGCATTGTCTCCGGTTGGTGATGCGATAGGTTGTGATTCAGTCGGTTCTGTAGTTTCTTCTTCAACAGGCGCTGGCTCATCGAGGGGAGGAGGCTGAGGCGGTGGCGCTGGTGTTGGTGCGGGTTCAAAACTGTTGGTGGGCTGCGACGCGGGTTGCGAGCTTGCTTCAGCCGGAGGTCCGAATAAGGAGAAGCCAAAGTCGACTTCTTTGATCTTGCGCGTCCTGTAAATATCAGTGCGTCAGCTATCGCCGTCATACCAATCCCCAATCCAAGATTGAGGGGCGTACCCTGCTCCGCGCTGCCGCATCTGCAGCCGCTCAACTCGATCTGTCGGAAACATAATTAGTCCAAAGATGACAGTAGCCATGAGCGGAGTTGCATGACATACTAGAAGCCATCACCCAGCGACGCGTCAAATTGACGCGAAAAGGTGAGATCAGGGATGGAGATTGGCCGTGGGCGAGCTGTTATCCTAGGTGAGTGACGGGAGGAGAGCGTTTACATTCGACACGCGGAGTCCGGCCCGAAGCGGCTTAGCGCCAAATTATAGCAGCAATCGCTGAGCGTCCGTTCTTCAACTCTCCGCTCCGGCGTTTTCGAATCGCTATTGTTCTCGACGATAACTTTGCAACTTCTGTCTAGCTGTCAACAATGGGCTGGTTCTGGGGTGGTTCGAACGACAACGACCCGGTCAAGAAGATTGACCCCGGTCTCCGAGAGTATCTCGAGCATGAAGCTCCGCAAAAATACGTGCCCGCGCAGAGCCCTCCGACGGTAGAAAAGCCGACTCAGTCGTCGAAAACTGTACCAGCCGACCAGAGCGGCTCATCTACGCCCGCCGTCCCATCAAAATCGCTATATCCCGATGGCCGTTACGCCGATCTATGGAAAACCTACAAGCCGCCCGTCGACGATGCCCTGGTCATTGGAGGCAAAGAACACAATCTATCGGCCGCGCAAGGGGTGCAGCAGATGAACGATCGGCGCAAACAACGTCGCGATACGATAGGAAGAGTAGCGGCTGAGAATTGTGCGGTGGAGCGGGAAAATGCGTACCGCTGTTTTGAGAAGGGCACCTTTTGGGAGCGGATGAAGACCCGGTCGATGATGGGCCAAGAAGAGAACAAGATATACAATCGCTGCTATGCTACTCAAGCTGTGAGTCATTGTCCTTCTAGGAGTTTGTTCAATTCGGGCTTCAGCTAACTCGATTAGAAATTCCTCCAAGCACTAGGATACGCAGCTTCACCGGATTGGGACGAGGAGAGGGAGGAACGGATCCAGATGCACGCCGACAAGCTATATCACCAGATGCTTGAGTACGAGAACCGCGTCAAGGAAGCTGAGGCTGCTGGTCTAGAGCCGCCGCCTCTCACTTCCCTCTTTAACCCTGGGGCGGAGACCGTCAAGCACACCGAGAAGGGGTCGACGACCGTGGAGATTCCAGGAGGACAGGCGGTTCCCGCAGGCTTCCACCCGGTGAAACCCTGGGAACAGCTCACTCCTCACGAGCGAGAGCTGGAACTCAAGAGTCACTATGCAGAGTTAGAGTCGGAGCGGGTGTATGTCGAGGCAACGGCCCCGTATGTCAAGGCCCAGGACGAAGCTCGGGCAAAGCGTCGGGAGAAGGCTGTCAGCTGGTTTGGGGAAACGGTGGGAAAATGGATCACATAGTCTGGTTCATTGCAGTTTGTTTGTCTCTTGTATCATAATTCCTTGACTTGTAAGCGTGTAAGGCTGGCGTTATCATAGTAGCCAAAATTTTCTCATTTTCGATCTACACATGTAACATATATAGTTGCATTGACCAAGTCATGACATGAAACATATCCTCAAACAGAAACAAAAATATGTCCTGCATCTCATGCGTTATTTACCTTATTGAAAACAGCATAATAATGTCTTGCTAGACTCTTACCGCAGTATCGATAGTTCTACCATTGAAGGCACACTCCAGTATTCTCAGGGCTCGATGTGGGGCTTCCTCCACGATGCAACCACAGAGATCTGTGAGACCCCTCCAGGCTGCAAGCGACTCGGCCAATTATTTCCTACGAATTGTGCAACGACAACTATATAAACATATAGGCATTTATTGGCCTTCAGGCGGTTGAAGATTGGCTCGCAGCTCCAACATTGTTTGAGTGATACTTTCACCTTCCCCGCTGCAAAGCCGAAGATGACATCATGATAGTCAGGCCACGGCTCGCCAGGCCAGGAGGCAGCAACAATAACAGGAACGCGTGGCCATGCCCCTCTCTACCTCCCTTTGTTTTCCCACAACTATTCTTACCACAGTATCACTATGCCCGGGCACTTTGGACAGAAAATTCTACAGAAATTCGGCCTAGATGACCATAGAGGTCAAGGCCAAGGCCAAAGCCACCACAACTACCCCGGTGCCGGGGCCGGCGGCCCTCCACCCCCAGGGCCCCGCCTCGCTGGCTCGCGCATTGTCAACGACGACGAGCGTCTCCTTTGCTCGCACCCCCGCGGCACGTACCCCCGACTCGCAAAGCTCGCTGATGGCTCGATCCTCTCCGCATTCACCCGCTTCGAGGGCAATACAAGGGTGCTGCACATCGGCCGGAGCAAAGATGGCGGGTACACCTTCTGCGACTTCTCCGAGGTGACACGGGGCCAGGGGGACGTCGACAACATGTACCTGCTAGAGATCTCCCCGATGACCGTACTCGCGGCCTTCCGGAACCATGATCTGGGCCCGCACGGCCCGACGCATTTCCGCATAACCGTGTGCCGGTCAACAGACGGCGGGAAATCCTGGCACTACCTCTCGCAGGCGGCCGAGAAGCGTCCACCGTTTGGGATCTGGGAGCCATTTATGCGGATGAGTCACCGCGGCGAAGTCATGCTGACGTACTCGCAGGAGTACGCGCATAACAACCAGTGCACGATGCTTGTGCGGTCGATGGATGGTGGGGCGAGCTGGAGTGCGCCGCAGTGTCTTGAGGGGGAGAAGGATCCGTTCCGAGATGGGATGAATGGGATCGCGCGGACGTGGGATAACGGGCGCGAGGCGCTGGTTATGGTGTTTGAGACGACAACCTTTGGGACGTTTGATCTTGAGGCGCTCATCTCGTATGATGATGGGTATACCTGGGGGAATCGGCATCGGGTGTATGTGCCGCAGCGTGGTCATAACGCGGGGTCTCCGCAGATTGCGTCGTTTGGAGATGGCTCGCTTGCGGTTATCTTCATGACGGATGAAGACCATCAGCAGGTGCAGTGGACGAAGAACGCGGCTATCAAGGTTGTTTTTGCCGGTCCGCCAGTTAATGGACAGATGCAGTGGACGTCTCCTTCGGTTATTTGTCCGCATCTGAGCCATTGGCCGGGGATTATGGCATTGGACGATCGAACACTGTTGGCAACGTATGAGTGTGGCGGGGCTCCAAAGGCGAAGTCTATCACGCTGCATTAGAGCGGAATCTCTTGAGATGAGGTTCTTGGATATGTACAATCTATAAGGTTGGATATCTGCTTTTTGTATATCTCAGACGAATCAACAAATCAACATATCCTCATTTCAACCCCTCCACCAATTCCTCCACACTCTTCATCTCCCTCGCATTATTCTCCCCAACATCCAGCGCAACAAGCACCCGACTGACACAATTATAGCACGCAATCCCCGTAGTCAACTCGACGACCTCACGATCCGAAAACCCCTCACTCTTCAACCCCTCAAACGTCTCATCCTTCACCTTAACCGTCTGCGTCATCTCATCCGCATACCTCACAATAGCCTTCTGCCTCGCCGTCAAGGCACTCCGCCCCAACTCCTCAACAGCAGACTCAACATTATCCCCCTGCGCCGTCGACGGCAGTGTCCGTACGGCATGCAACTCCTCCGGTTTGATTCCACCCTTTAGTGCCAATGGCGCATGTGCATTCCACTCGTATACAGCCTGCGTGAGGACAGCGACGCGGGAGACCGCGAGCTCGAGGAGGCCCTGGTCGACGACGGTCTGGGTGCGGATTGCGCCGAGGAAGCTGTTCCAGCCGTCGGCGACGGGGGGCGAGTGGAGGAGGGAGAGGTCGAGGGGGATTAATGGGCGTGGGTTTCGGCGCGCGGCGATGCGGGCGTAGATGTCCGCTGTGGAGGGGTCGGCATCGGCGGGTGGTGTGGAGGGGGCGTAGGGGAGGCGCATTTTGAGGTTGGCTGTGGTGGAGAGGGGTCGAATGAGGTTGGGCTTGTGGAGGAGGTTGAGTCCGAGGCTGATTGAGAATTTGAAGGGCATTAATTATGGAGTTGGGGGAGGGAACCAGCAGTAGATATGGGGATGGAGTCGCCGAGTGACAATACCGAATTTCGTGACTGCGCGGGTAAATGTTTATTCTCCGTGCGGGGTTAGTTTTCTTCTTGTTTCCCTCCTCGTTTGTTTTCAGACTTTACTTGAAATCCGGGGATTAGGCCAGGCCATTGACTCCTGGATAATTGAAGGGCACATTTAATCCAACATGTCCTTTAGAGAAGTGGTCGCGGATGAGTGTAGACAGACCACCGCAGTGCGTCGCTGTGCCCCTCCTTGACCTTGAGATTTGACCCCGCATTTAGATGCCCTCGAAGCTCGAAAGACGGTCACTGTGCAACTGGACTCAACCAGCATATCTATTCGGCCAACTCTTGCACGAGAGTACATCTGGACGCAAGCAGATACGATGATTACATCGAATCATCAACTATCCTAGATGATCGACCTCATTGACTGCCCGAGAGCAACTCTCCACCAGCCCCACATCTCCACATGGCCGGTATAAGATCAAGTCTCACACGTCAAGGCTGGTCTCCAGGAAAAAGTTCACCTCTGCAACTACACCCAGCATACAAACATGGAGACCTTCCGCCCAGCCTTCTCAGATCGCCCCCGCCCTCTCTTATCCTACGGCATTCCCTTCCCCGAAGCCGTCGCCCGCCATGTTGTCGACACATTCGAAGCCACGCGCGTTTATGTCATATGCTCTGGCTCGTTGGCCAGGGATACGGACTCCCTCGGCAGACTTGCCGAGACGCTTGAGAAGGTCAAGGTATCAATTGTTGGCAAGAGGATTGGAATGAAGCCGCATACGCTCTGGTCGGAGGTCCTCGAAATCACAGCGGATGCTCGAGCTTGTGAAGCCGACTTGATCCTCACGCTTGGAGGGGGTTCACTGACGGATGGGGCCAAGGTGGTTGCGTTCGTACGTCATCTCGCATTTCCAGCCAACAGCAGAGCAAGAAGAGAATTAACAGAATATGATAGGCCCTCGCGAACAACGCCAAAACATTCGAAGACCTCGAAACGCTTTGCATGGGCAAGAACCAGGAGCCACCCTCCGCACTAGACCTCAAACCCTCCTCTGTCCCCATCGTCTCAGTGCCGACGACACTTTCAGCCGGCGAATACTCTAACTTTGCAGGCGCAACGAACGACAAGACGCAGCGGAAACACTCCTTCCAAACGCCTTTGCGTGGACCGCAATTGGTTGTCCTCGACCCCCAGCTTGTTGCATCCACCACCCCGGAATCGGTATGGCTGAGCACGGGCGTACGTGCGGTAGACCACTGTGTTGAGACGTACTGCGCCACGCAGGGAACAACAGAGGAGACGGATGCTCTGGCGCTCAAGGCGCTGGCGAATCTTGTTCCCGGGCTCGTGAGGTCACGACGTGATCCAGAAGGGAAGGATCTCGATGCGCGCCTAATCTGTCAGCTTGGATCTGTTGATGCCATGGCAGCTTGCACGAGTGGGCGAGTCCAGTTGGGAGCTAGCCATGGTATTGGACACCAGGTACGCCCATCTTTCCTTCCTTTCTAGTTCTACTGCTCCCTAAAACAACCTCAAACTAATGCTTTCTAGCTCGGCCCCCTTGGCGTTGGCCACGGCGAAACAAGCTGCATCCTCCTCCCAGCCGTCTGCAAATTCAACGCGCGCCACAACGCCAACGTCGACCGCCAAACACGCCTGCGCGACTTCCTCCTCAAGCAGGAGATCGTCACAAACGTGCTCGAATCCCGTGGCCTGAAGAAGGAAGACGTTGACCTGGGCGATGTGCTCGACGCAGTGATTCGGGAGCTCGGCATGCCACGGTCACTCGGGGATGTTGGGGTTGGACGTGATAAGCTGGATGGACTCGCGCAGAATAGTCTGCATGACCGGTGGTGCCGCACGAATCCGGTGCCCTTGAACGAGAAAGGGCAGGTTTTGGAGATTTTGGAGATGGTTGTTTAGGTTTCAAGCTTTGCGCTATTGTATATATTGAAGTTCCAAGGCCACATAACGCTAATACTCTGAATGTCTAATAAAGAAACCTGTTGCACCTCAAGCTGATAAGCATCTTATTTACAGCCGTCTGGGAGCATCGCCAATCCCAAGCGATCCGCTCGCTTCTCGTCGAACATTTCAACATTCTGTACTGCTATTTACCTACTATTATAGTATTAGTGCCCAAGCATCAGCCGGGACCCGCCCGGGGATGTATCCCACCCTTGCGGTCGTTTCAGCGAAAGGTCAATATACAACTCCGCCACGACCCACAGCTCCCATCCTTATCAAAGCTCGCAAACAGTGAGCTTCCGTCCCTGAGCACCGTACTCGATCCAACATCATTAGATAGGATACAAACCAGGGAGAAAGATCCTTTGCTTCTTCCGGGGAATTGCCACGAGATAGGTCACTATAGACAGGCAGGCAAGACCCCTTGCACCGCTGTTGTAGTCCATCGTCGAGGGCCACCCTCGGAAATATCATGGATTCACCCCGCCATGTTTCATCTCCCGAAGGAGCGTGATGGTCCATGCGTTGCACGGCTACGGTCATTGTAACAACGGACTATGCGTGATTACCCCTCCACCGAGTTCATCACTACAATTCTTTCCCGTGTGTAGAGCGTGGGATTCAAGACAGAGGTGCTTGAGGAAATCAAGACTCCGTCAAGGTGAATCACAGAAAGCGCTATGAAGTTCCCGCAGCAGTACTACGTACGCGTCTATACATCTTACAGGTAACCCCAGAAGACAAGATTTAGTACCAACTTCTTCTTGTATTCATTGACTCTGTCGAGGTATCAGGTAGCTCATAAACGTCATCACCAATATCTGCACCACCTCCTTCTCTGCCCGCCTCCCCGCCCAGGCCTAACTCCTTCTCCATATTCAACTCCAACTCCATCTCCTCCCTCTTCTCAGCAGCCAGCTGCTCCCTCGCCTTAACCCTCGCACAGAGCGTGCGCTCCCTCGAACAAATCCCCCTTTCCGGATACATCACCGGGTCGTCGAAGTGTAAATAATGGTACGTCCGCGACCTGTACCTGCCGCAACGGATACACAGCAGATATGGGCGGCTGCCGCTGGCGGCGCTGCATGATTCCGTTCGTGAGAGCTGGAGGGGCGCGGGAAGGTGGTTGTGGAGGCCTGCTCCTGTTTGTGTTCCTCGTGAACTTGAAGTGACTGAGCTGTCTGATCGGGATCGAGGGCCAGATGGTGGCGTTGATGTTGATCCGGATCTTCTGTGTCCCACCTCTAATGGTTGATAGGTTGGTAGAGACCAGGTTCGGGGTCTGTTTGCTCGTGTGCGTGCGCTTGAGCTTGCGCTTGCGCTTGTGTTTGGTTCGCGCTCCAAGTAGATGGGATTTGATGTTGACCGAGTAGCTCTATGGAGAAAGAGAGTTAGTCACTCTTAAATGAGAGCTCGTAGGTATGGCAAATGAGTATTCAGAGGGATGGCTACTTGTGTTTGGCCCAAAGCCATGTACCGTCGACCCAATGCATTGTCTTTTCTTCTCTTCCGAATGATCTGACAAGAATGTAGCAAGTAATAAGCCGTCGACTATGTAGCAGCGTCAAAGTGTAGATGCAAGCCCAGGACTTGATGAGAGAGGCGTGTATCCAATCCAACGACGACCCCGCGGTTTATATAGGCTGAAGAAATGCAACCGCCAAGACGCATATACACAGACATTACCACACTCTAGCAAATGAGATCACAGCATCCATGCTTCTGAAACAGGGCAAAATACCTCAAATTCCAACTTCCAAAACAGACATGGAAATGTAATTGTTTGGGATGTTTGGAATGGGTTCCCCGCCGGGTCAATGGAAGAGAGACCCGACAGGAGGGGAGGGGAGCAGTCAGTGCCCTGGCGAGGCCGTGAACTCGCTATTGTGCAATTGGACTCTGTCATCATACCTGGTCCAGGCATGGTGACTTGCGGAGCGGCTTACTCTGCTCCAGACCTGCAGTCGGCGCCGGTAGTTCAAGTTGGATGTCTATGCCGTCAGCGTCATGCAGGGCGTCTAGGATCCGGTTAGCGCCTGCATAATAACCTAGCTAGTCGTATCTAGATGCATAGAGGGCCATATCCGTCTGCATGGGAGATCTTGGATCTGCCTCCGTGGCAGGCGATCAGAATCGATTTTGCTGCTGCAGAGGTCAATTAGACAGGCGTGCCCTAGGACCCATCGGACGCTCGCAGTTGCCAACTCACCGAGATGGAAATTACATTCCAAGACGTAAAAGATTGCTTTCTCGTCTATAGAACCTGTTTTGGTCTCCATTTCTGCCTGCTCCGTACGGCAGAGGGCTCCACAGCACATGCAACTGGCCCCGGCGTCCCAGGACGAGGTAACAAAAGTACCTTTGCGGAGTTGATATTGATACTCCTGCCATCGCAATTGCGAGCGGGTAAACGTTTTTCTGTAACTCATCGCGCAAGGTACGCACTATTCACAGCCAGTACAACGTTAGACGGGGCTACTGATTACTAGTAACCCCTCTGGATCTCCGTAAGGGCCGTTTCTCAATGGCCGAGGCAGCAAAAGGATCGCCGCTACGTCGATAAGCTCTGGACTCTCGATCCCCGGCCGTTTTAGCGACGTCACAGCTGCCGGCTTGGTTTCCCGGTGTGCCTGGGGTTTCCACATGTAATATGTATGTATGGAATACCTGCGGGTGGGTAAAACGCCCGACTGTTTCAGGGCGGGCTCCGCAATGACACTGCCAACTTGATAGGGCCAAACGTGAAACAAAACAGGCTAGAAAAAAACTTCTAGAAACGCCGTGCAGTAGTGACGCCGTGACGGATCGTCCCGACATATGCATTCCGTGCAGGCCCGTTGAAGCTACTGCGAGCCACTGCATGGAATTGGCCCCTGGCGAAATCCGAGAAGGGAAGGTGGCAGGAGGGTCCGGGCCCGACGATCTACGCCGCAGGAGCTCTGGATCAATTGGGTATTGGATGCCCTGGGAAGTGGGCACTTCTGTCCCCGAGCCGTAGATTTGGGTGCTCCTTTGGTCGTCCTTTGATTGATCAGAGTCCACTCCACTGAGCGTAGTAAATACGATAAAAGCGGGCTTTAGAAAACACGACGAAGCCTCGCAGTCGCTAAGGCGGGAGAGCGAGGGCAGTGCCACAAGGTGGGCTCCGCTTCATTGCAGCCTTGTGGTAGACACATACCGGGACACAGATTTCCTTCTAAGATCATGGTTATTATTAGAAGACATCCCATTGGGCTACCCTCCAGCGGAGTCTGCCGCTTGGATTTCGCAGGTGGTACGTACATCGTGAGAAAATAGAAGTAATATGACGTCTGTCCTCAATTGCTTGGTTTTCTCTTTGCAACTTCCTTCAGTTCACCCCAATTGAAGGATTTTGCCCGGGCTCAAAGGTGAAGGTTCTCCGCTCATAGAAGTGAGAAGTCAAAACAAAACGCCTTTGTCGAAGGGCGCCATACATGATGAAACACAGTCGCATAGCGTTACATGGAAACCGTCCATTGATAATTACTCGTACATCAACCTTCCGATGTGTGCTGCTTCCTGTGCTCAGCCCCGCTGAGCCAGTACTGACAGCTCAATCCAGCTGTAGTGGGAAGCTATGCCAGTCATCCAGCCAGCTGTCTCCCTTTGCAGGCCACAAGTTGCGAAATGGCTTCGAATAACCGCTGGTCTCTTCAAGCCACTTGTTCGCTCCGCCTGGCATCCCCGAGCGTATGTCATCCCGCTTTCTCCAGTGGTCCGTCTTTCGTACGAAGGCTCCGCCAAGGAAGCGATCTACTTCCCAAGTGCTTTGCATCAGACTTGCTATTCGCCTCAGACCGCCTGGAATATCGCCCAGAAATATCTCGACTTTCAAAGCGCGCAATGACGAACCGGGGCCCGCGACAGTGTCAAGAATTGAGCGGATAAGCGTTTCGTCCACTGCTGCATTGATCAATGCTTCCTTGATATGTGGATTATCCGCAGGGGTGTTGCGGTCGCCTCCGAACATAAGAGGGACGCAGAAACCGATGCCACTCCTTCGAACAGTCCAGTTCAATAGCAAGATGCCTGAGGCTTGAAATCCTCCCAAGGGCTCGGTAGATGCTCACTTCGGCTGCGTTGCCGTTCGAGCGCGGGATACGGAGAGCTAAATGTCGAAGGTTAGGGCAGGAGCTCTGGATCTCGTCGACTATCTGTGGCGTAGTTCGGGCACCAAAAGAATCATAGTCGAGGAATACCATTCCGAGTTTTTCAAGGGTCTTGCCGTGGCGTTCCAGAGCTGTATTGGCACATTCCTTTGTGTGTAATAGCATTGGAGAAGAAGGCATTTAAGTGGTGGAAGACGGGAGAGGAGTATGCTAGCATCATTATCCAGGCGGGCAAGTCTGTCAAACCGCCCTTCGGTATCTATGAAAGTGCACAAACGTAAAATGAGGGATTGTAGATTGGCAAAGCGGTATTCTGCTACCTTGGAGAGCACTGTAAAGTTGCAGGCGGTCTCAACCTGGAGCATCTCCAAATTTGAGAAAAGGACATGTCCGTTCCATCTCTCTATGTCATCGAAGCTGGGATCATTCAGACTCAATGATCGAAGACCAGAGATCGTCTTCGGAAAGCCGACAAAGAGGTCCCGCGGCTCTACTTCGACTGGGGGGTCGGTGTCCGGGTCAGAGTACCTCCATTTCTTTATGTATAGTTCAGTGAGGTTTGGAGCAGCGCCTGCAGCCATCTGCATAACCGCAGCCTTATTGTTCACGAAACTACCCCAATCTTGGCGGATCGTACATACAATGCTAGCGAGTGACGGAGATGTTGCCAGGGCCGATTCGTGAGTATTGATTGCATAGGGTTCCTCTGTCTGTAAATAAAGGCTATCAAATTTGAAGCCTCTTATGTGCAAACGACAGCTGGCAAGGTGTCGATGGAGTACCTCCAGCAGACAGGGCGGGAACTGGGAGGTGTTCAACCAAACTAGGCTTTTTAGACCTTGAAGTTTCTGAAGGAAGCCGGACAATGGCCTCCACGCGTCTAACTGGGCTGGAGTTGTAATGTTGAAGTCCTCTATCCCGTCGCCGGTGTCTATTACATTTTGGAGATGGAGAAGATCGAAGTAGCGGGCTTCGAAAGAAAACCATTCATCCTCAACAGAGAAGCTCGTTTGGAAATAACCAGGGGTGCTTGTGTCGTCAGACGGATCCAGTTCCTTGTACCTTGACGATGGGGGATGGCCATCAACACTGAGGCGTCGAACGGTGTGAAAGCCATTCATGTTTTTGAGAACGCGTTCCCAATGCTGGATGTCAACCAGAAACCTATCCTCTGCATCAACAGCGAAGTGGATGTTCTGAAAACGGTATGAGTTGGCGAGGGCACAGCAATGTTGGTTTGCAAGGGACAGGGCTTGCAGAGTCGGGAGGTGCTCTGAGGCGAGGATCTCGCACACCGTGGCTAGGATCTCCGGAGGCAGGGTTTCGAATGAGAGAGACATGGTGCTGGTTCTTTAAAAAGGAGGACTGGAGACCTCAGAGCATCTGAAAGAGAAGTTGAATAGTAGCAAAGGCGTGGACGAGCTGGAGTCGTTGGGGGAAAGAGGAAAGTAAGCTGAGGGAGAAGTAGAAGCTGGCTGGGGAAGGAACAGTGTTACTGCAGGAAAATGGCCGTCCAGCCGAGACCACTGAATTGCCTGCGGCTGCCATGTTACTATAGTAGTAGTTCGCAGTGTTACTCCTCCTGTTCCAAGACTGAGTATACTTAGTTCGTACTTTGAGAAATCGATGATTTGAATACTAGCGAGAACAGCATATGTCAGAACGCAAAAGTGCCAAGGTATTCATGATTATCATTGCTTGCTAGGTCATAATTCTGGTTGTTTGGACGCGTCGCGGGTTGTCAACATGGGAAGAAGTCCTCAGCCTCCATCAGCGGGGACACGGAACAATGATGCTCGACTTATGTCATGTTCTTCGCTGGCAGGGGTGGGATTTCTAGATTCTGCCTAATGTGGTGCTTTTGCTTAGGGGGCCGCGCTGGGCTATGGGATGAGCGCTTAGGTAAATACTCCTAAGCGCCTCTAGAAGCAACTTCTGCGCCATGACTTGGGTTCGACGCAGCTGCCTCCCAAACATCCTCATCCAAGAGCAAACTCCCAGCACCAATGTTCAAAAGTTTGTCTAGAATCTTTGGGTCAAGTGTCGAGCAATTGCGGCGACTGCATCCTCGTCGAACATCGCTTCTTTTTCAGTGGGGATGCCAACCCTCCAGGGTTGAGTATCGCAATATTCATGCTAGGGAGCAAATGTTCATTTAGGCAGCGGTATCTGTCATTGGTCGTTTCGGCAAACTCACGGAAGACTGACAGCTGCAGACGAAGAAAATGAGATTGATTAGTGATCGTCGTGGAAACCATCATCTATGGCTTGTCAAGATGCTTAGCGGGCCCAACGCCGTGGGATAATATTGACAATGCCGCTTTTACAGTCGATATAAAATGTCCATGCGCGTTGTCGTCTCGGTACCCTTTCCCATCTGATTCCCAGTCTGTCTTTCTCTTTGCCTCGACAGGCCGCGGTATGTCAAATTCTGACTGCTCTGCCAAGCACATGGCCACTGACTCTCGTCTCCAGATACAACAATGAATCTTAAGCATACCCTCCTTGTTACCCTCAGCTCCCTTGCCTACCTCGTCCAGTCCAGCCCAGTCGAGGTCAGCCACATAGGGTACACGCCCTCGCAACCAGAAGCGCAAAGCCACGGTTCCAACCTTGAAGCCCGCAGAGAATGGGGCGTGTGGCTGGATGTGTATAAATCCGGCGACTGTAGCTCTGGCTGGGAGTCCCAGCCCACCTCAGGCTGGCTCTGGACACACCAGTGCAAGAACATCGAGTCATATACATATGGGGCTCGGTTGGGCACTGTCGAGCAGGATAAGGAAATGTGGCCGTTCTGCAAGCTAAAGTTCTGGGAGAGGCCAGATTGCCACGGACACGCGACAGTCACGTATATACAGGACACGGAGGTGAAGAAATGGAAATCTGCAACTGGGGAATACAAGTGTATTGCAACGGCAAACAAAGGGGGGCAGTTTTATCTAAGTGGTGGGGCGTCAAGTGTGGAGTTGATTTGTGAAGGGGCCTGGGCGTAGATTGCTTGCTCGGGGGGATAGGTGGGCTTGAGCTTGGAAAGCTAAGCAGACAGAAACAAGGCTATGCTTTGAGTATTTCATTAGAATCTGTTAGGGCTGGGCGAAGGCGGGTACTTGGTGTATATAATAGCGGAGTAGTGTAAACTACATGTATTAATCCTTGGATAGGCCATGAGGCCCAAACCTCAAAAGTCAAACTAGAAATACATATACTTCACATGTGTAGGAGGGTTATCCCGGCAGGATTTCACACGACTAGTAGTTATTTTCCTGCCTTGACGTCCTCGAGGCATAGCGCAAGCGGGACCTGCGCCGCCGCTTCTTTATACGTCCTAAATATTCCACTCTGACTTCGATTATCTACGTACTGCGCGTGTTTTTCTCATTGCAAGAATAACTACCGCTGCAGAAATAATAACTAGGGTGACACGGACGTCAGCATCAGAACGCATCCTGACCGTTGTGCCGGTACTGAGGCCCAATCTAATTTCTGGTGCTAAGTACGGGGAGGCATTGTTATGTGCTGTTGCACCTGCCAGACTGGCTGCTATGGCCTTGCAGTGCATTCAGAGGCGCGAGTCGGGGATGGCGTCCAGGCTCTGAGGTTGGAAAATTGGAATCTATATAAAGTACCAAAAACAAACTGCTTTGTGGCTAGATACGTCCAAGGGTACCCTGAGATATATCTGAATAACTCAATATAATAGCGGCAGGTTCATGTTAAGCGGCTCGCTTCCTGGGGTAGAATAGGAAGGTATATTCCTCAAACTCTTAACCAAAACTGTACTATCCGTCTAGATGTCTTGTTCCGGGTTTGACTATTGACAGCAAATATGTTATCATCCACTATCTCTATTCATTTTCACTCCCCCGGTTACAAAGATGATATACTTGTGATTAATAAATCATCTCATACCCCGGCTCAGGGGCAGGAGAACTGGAGACCTCCAATTTCTAATACACTGTGGACGAAGCCGGATCTCTTGCACCCAAGCAATCCCCAAAAGTAATTACAATCATAGTGTAACTATAGGCACTCTGCGATTCTAAGCCTCCAGACTTGTAGAATGACCTATTAAACTGACCGCCGCCTTGGGCCCACATTCCCCATCAATCAGTAATCACTTATACCTATTAATAACACTTTGTCCACTAGCTACTACTTCTCATATAAGGCGATGCCCCTGAATCAATTTCCCACATCCTTCAGCTTGAATTAGGTGACCCCCACAGGACGAGGCTGTTTGTGCCTTATGGGAAGAGGCGAATCTGTCATTGGCTCTATCGCGTAAGTCAGGGTAACAGACGCGGCTGGGAGACACCGCTGCTGATCAATGCTGTTGTGGGTAACATAATCAATTACATCGTAAGCCTTCCCAGGCCTGGATACTTCAACCAACACTTCTACAAGTAGATATAAGCTGTCGGCTGCTTCTCCATATTCCTGTACGGAGTACTCTTGATCAGCGCATCCCTCCTCCACCAGTCGTGTCTTGTTGTTCCTTGATTAACTCACCAAAGTAAGATACCTTCCAGCGTGCGATATACTAGCTGTTATACTAACCACCATGAAAGACATGAATCTCAAAACCATCTTCCTCCTCGGGAGCCTTGCTCTGATAGGCAAAGCCACCCCAACCACCAACCACCCGCCCGTCCCCGAGCTGAGAAGCAACGCCAACTCCGTCCCCAATGACACAGCATCCCTCACAGCACGCGGCGATGTCGGCGTCTGGCTTGACGTCTACCACTCAGGTGACTGCAACAGTGGCTACGAAGCCCAACCAGTCTCGGGTTGGGTGTGGTTAGGCCAATGCAAAAAGCTTGAGTCATATACCTATGGTGCAAGACTTGGCTACGCCCAGGGTGGGTGGCCCAGGTGTAAGCTCAAGTTCTGGGAAACAGACAACTGTGCTGGTGGGCGGGCAACAGCGATCCGAATCCCAACAACCAGTGATGGGAACTACAACTGCATGGCAGCGGCAAATAAGGATGGTCAGTTCTACTTGACAAATGGGGCGGCGAGTGTGCAATTTCTTTGTGATGAGCCTACAACTGCTGCAGAGCCTTAGTTTGTTTCATCTCAATGTCGATATTCTATGCGTGTCCGTGTGGAGGTGCTTGGGTATTTTGGGGTGACAAGACGAGCTGTATATTTTTCCTAGTGATACTTGAAGGGAAGAAACATCAAAAATACAGCAGTGCTAGGTATCTCCTGTATAATCAATACCTATGGCATATTCTTCGTGCGCCGCAGTATTATTCTGGACAAGTTTTGCGGGAGGGGCCACACAACGTGTTTCTTGCTTGCCGTAACCTCAACGCCAAAAGCGAGAGGTGGATGGCCATTGCTAAGCTTTGAAATAATACTTCAAGTACACATCCGGCTATAATGCAGGTCAACTACCCATCCCAAACCGTAGACCCTCAAGTCTGAAAGATACCTTTCCTCCTCCTGTTGGTCTGAAGAGCGATTAAACAGTCCGTTGTGGATAAACTTTGAGTATATTCCTCCATCGCGTATGCTGCTGTACTTGGCATCTATCTCCGCTGAAGCGAGAGCCCTGGGTTGTACATAGTTCAAGTTAAAACAAGTAGCAGTACTATTAGATATAACGTATCTTGTCTAGTCTTCCGTCTGTTTTATATCTTCCCCTACTCCCTTCTCCAAAAGCCACTATTGGGATGGCAAAGCAATAATTTCAGTTAGGTTTGATTGGTACAGGCCAGCGGTTGTTACCTCGCCACAAGTTGGCTAATAACGCTCAAGGGCTAAGTCACAGGCAGGCAATCGCTGTAGAGATAAATCTCCCTTCAAATAATAGTTTTTTAAAGCCAAGAGGGAGTCATCTCAGCCGAATGAGATTCCACTACAGCCACCTCATTTGCAATTAATCTTGTATAAGGGCGGCTGCGGAAGCTAACACACAGCAAAGCGCTGCAGCGGTCATTCTGCGGTCTAATTAGAATGATAAGATTTAGGCCAATCTCACAACACTAATTAGCTGACAACAAGGGGTTTTTACCCCGCTTCAGGGCGCTCTCAGCTGAATTGACCCCAAAACCTAAGGATGCTCACCAGCGAGGACTGTGCGTGGGGCTCAGGAAGCACTCGGGCAGGGATTGCTCTGGAATGGTTCAGTGCGTGTTCCAGGACTGCACAGGACGTGCCTGGCCTGGCCTGGAGTGATCGCTGAGCGTGGTTCATTACATAATCCCCTCATAAAAGCGGCGGCATCCAAACTCGGAAGTCGAGCCGTGACCGGCGAAGAACACATCGGAGCTATGCCTCTCGCTCCATGGAGTGACACGACGTCAACCTCACATCGTGCACTTATTCTAGGACAAATTGCAGTTCGCCCAATGAATGAATGCTTATCTTCTAAACAGGGCCCTTGGGTCCATTACTCCGTCGGCCTTTCATCTCGCGCAGACTACACGCCTTGTCCACAGCCTTGAACCAGCCCCCGGAATCCGCTTCTCGAGCGACGACAAGGCAAACACTCAGATAGCGACTCCAGATGCCCTCGTTGCTCACAAAGCAGGAGCAAACGTCCTAGCCCTTGATCAATATGAGGGTCGCTTCATGGTATCCGGCGGTGCGGATCCATCGATACATTTATGGGATTTGGAGGCTCGAGGCTCCGAGTTGAGCTACGTTCACGAACCTGTCGCCTCGATCACAAAGTTCTCCCATGACGAAGCGCATACTCATGCGATTACCTCCGTCTCGATATATCCATTTGATCCTACACCCTCCACTATTCTCACAACCTCGCATGACGGCACCCTTAAGCTCTCCGCCCTACAGCCAGCCAGTATCGTACCTGTCCATACGTTCAAGCTCGATTGTACGCCGTATACGCATTCCCTGTCCTCTCATACTAGCTCGCCTCTACTTGTTGCGGTTGGCACGTCCGAGAAAGCTGTCCGATTGCTCGACCTGCGTTCCGGCCTATCCACCCATGGCCTCCCTGGCCACAGTTCAGCAGTTCTCTCAGTATCTTGGGCACCGCATCAGCCGCATATACTGGCGTCCGCCTCCACAGACAATCGGGTTATAATATTTGACATTCGTCGAGCAGGGCACAATTCCGCAATTGCAACTCTTGACATGGAAGATGCAGTGGGCCTCGTTGCCCCAGGGAGTACTCCAACGGCATATCGCAGTCGCGCAGCCTTCTCACCTCACGCTCGCGCTCACAACGGTGCTGTGACAGGTGTGCGCTGGACGTCTGACGGTACCTATCTGGTGACTTCCGGTCAAGATTCCCGAATCCGTGTCTGGCAAGCTGCCACTGGAGCCAACACGCTTGCACACTTTGGTCCACGGATTCAAAATACCTCGTCATCTCACTTGGCAGAAAGAGCCCCGATGCTTATACCGCAAGGTTACATGGGTGTAGGCCACGAAACCCTCTTATGGGCCAACTTTAGCGACTTCGACGACCGAGGAGAAATCTTCATGCTGGAGCTTCGGGAGGGCTCATTTGTCAAGCGCCTTCGGACGCCAGGTCTTCTCTCCCGCCGACCACCAGGTCAAGGACGTTCTACTGCTTTAAGTGGTGCGCGCATCAACTCACTAGCGTGGCGTGGCAACGGAGCTTCCGGCGAAGGAATCGAAGTGTTTTCGGCCCATGGCGACGGGACACTCAGAGCGTGGGTGTCACGGGTGCCAGAAGAAGCGCCAAGTGAGGAGGAAGAGATGGAGCAAGCTACTCTCAAGCGTAAACGTGATGTACTGGACGAGATATACCAAGGCTTCCTCTCCACTTAGATGGTTAATGCTAAAGTTCTGCCATATGCTGCCGCCTTCCCAGTCAGCAGGCATTTTGCCACGCTCAAACCTGATTCGGTGATCCCGAATTCATTCAGCGCAGGAAACTCCAGCCGACATCCACGACTGGGCTGACCACTGTCAGTGTCGGAGGACCCCGACAGCTTCAGTCCCACTCCGTGAAGCAAGGATCTCGACAGTCCCACTCACAGCTCAAACTCTTGCGTATGATTGGCAGTTCGAAACCCCCACGCGGTCTCCGTCTCGTTTAGATCTCGAGCCCAGACCTGCTACCACCCAATTACGAGCTGCGCTCGTCCCGCCGCCTCTGGTCTATCTGCGCTTTCTGCACCTGCTGCAACTTTTCTGCCCTCCCCTCGCTGCTTGCTTTTTTCTCTCCTCTTTGCTCTCTCTGTCTTCCACCTCCTCCAAGTGGGATATTTCAACTGACCGCAGGCGAGCGACTTCAGGGAGTTTTGCGCTCGTTTAGGTCCAAAAGCTCCTACCAGTTTAATCGTTACCCCGCCGCTTTACGGAGCTCATCCTCAGTTAACCCATTCAATACCTTGAGACCTACCGCCGACGTTCAGATTTTTACAATGTCTGACAGCAAGAACCAGTCTACGGTCGAGGCGTATGCTGCGAATTCTAATGGCGAAAGCCCGTCGTCTGCGGTGGCTGTAAATGCTACCGCGTCGGGAGAGGATTCCGGTCATGAAACAGCCGCAGACCAGATTGACCAGAAGAAGAAAGGCTTTTTGGCGTATTTCCACACCAAAGAGTTCTACATAACCCTGCTTCTTGGGTAAGAAACTCCCATCCCCTGCATATCGGTTTGCGTCGCTGATCCCTGCCTAGTCAGTTCCTGGCTATCACCAACACTGGCACCAACACCTTCAACGGACTGCTTGCCGAACGAGGAACGAACATTCCGGCCTTCCAGTCTTTCTTCAACTATTGCCTGTTGAACCTCGTCTTCACTTCCTATACAATCTACCAGTATGGCTTTAAGGGCTGGTTTGAGATGTTGTGGAAGCGGGGTTGGAAGTGTGAGTGCCATAGTTTAGTCGGAGAGAATTGCCATTGGATTGTTACTGACTCTCTTCATTGCAGACATCATCCTGTCCTTTTGCGACGTCGAAGGCAACTACTTTATGGTGCTGGCGTACAAATACACCACCATTCTCAGTGCGCAGTTGATCAACTTCTGGGCCATTGCGATTGTCGTGGTGGTATCCTTCCTTTTCCTCCGCGTTCGGTATCACGTCAGCCAGGTAGTTGGTATTCTCGTCTGCATTGGCGGTATGGGGGTCTTGATCGCATCGGATCATATTCAAGGCACGAACGGGGGAAATGCTCTCGACCAAGTCAAGGGAGATCTTTTCGCCCTTCTTGGAGCTACCTTTTACGGTCTCGCCAACACCGGTGAAGAGTACTTTGTCAGTACTGCCCCTATGTACGAGGTCATCGGCCAAATGGGATTCTTTGGCATGATCATCAATGGCGTTCAAGCGGCGATCTTCGACCGCAAATCTATTCGAGATGCGCACTGGGACGGCCACGTTGGTGGGTACTTGGCCGGGTACACCCTGTGCTTGTCGATTTTCTACTCTACAGCGCCGCTTCTTTTCCGTCTGGCATCTGCGGCCTTTTTCAACATCTCTTTGCTGACGATGAACTTCTGGGGTGTTATCATTGGTATTGAGGTCTTCGGCTACAGTGTGCACTGGATGTACCCGATCGCTTTCGTCTGCATCATTGTTGGCCAGCTCATCTACTTCCTTGGCCGTCGTGTCCTAGGAGAAGCTCGCAAACCTTGGCTGGGTGAAAACCAAGAGCGTGGCGTCGCTGGCTTCTTCACTGCAAGACGCAAGATTGAAGCGGACGCTGGTGCTGCGACCAATACACCGGCTGGCCAGCGTGGTTCTGGCTCCGATAATGCTCTCACAAACCATTCGACTGAAGTTTGAATGAATTGTGGGGAGTTGCGCAACGAGGTGCGCAACTGGAAGTGGAAACGTGGGCGAGCAGTCAGGCTCGTCTCCGACAAACCTATATAGTATGAATCATCTAATTTGACTCTGATAATATTAGATTACTCTTGAGACACGAAATCTTACTCCTTATGCCGACAAGAGCCAGTTGACGTCGGTATCTAAACTATGCCTTTCAGCTCTACCCCCCCGTATCTATCTGGCCAGCAGGGTGGCCTACGGCACAATAACCTCCTTCCCGATACTATGAAGGCCTGGACCTTCACATCGAGGACTGCTTCTAGATCGACAGCCGCGCTTCACTATCAGCAAGTGGGACCTCACTATACTGCCGCTGATATTGGACAATAATCACCCCTCACGGAAACCTTAAGAGGCCGGCGGCAATTCCCCCAAGGTCCTCTTGGGGATCACACTTAAACATCTTTCAAACCCGCAGCTTCTTCAACCTGAACCATCTTAACTACTTCCTCTAGCTGCAGTTCACTCGGACGAGACACGATATGTATGTCTTGACGCTTTATTCATGATTGTCTTTCACGATAAAGCTACGTTTACTCCTGCAGATAGTCTCGGATCCAGTGAACCCCACTGCACGAAGTGCATCACTCCACAATCATAAACTAGATACGATTGCGAAGAGAACAACTGAAAAAAACCCAACACCCTCATTCCTACCCGCATACCCCCCGTCCCAAAACCTACTCAATCTTCACAATCTTCCCCGTCTCAACCTCATAAATATACCCCGTAATCGGCACATCCAACACGAGCGGACTATCTTTGAGCAACTTGATATCATCCAGCACGCTCTGTCGCAGGTCCGGGAAGGGTAGGAACGCAATGTGGTCCGCGTTCTGGTTCAGTTCCGCTTTGATCTTGGACCGGATGACGTCGTCGGTGAAGGTGAGCATTCCGCAGTCCGTCTGGAGATTGGGAATCGTTAGTTGATTATTCTGTCCAAGGTAGAGATGGAGCAAGGGAGGGTAGAGGTAGGAGCAGCGTACGTGGTGAACAATGACAATCTCCCGCGTCCCCAACAGCTGCTGGGAGATCACGATGCTGCGCAGGGCGTCCGTCACCCGGCCACCGGCGTTGCGTATGACGTGGGCGTCGCCTTCTTCGAGGCCGAGGGCGCGTGCGGTGTCTGAACTCGATCAGTTTGTGTGTTACTGTGGATGGTTCGAAGTACCTACCGAGTCTGGCGTCCATGCATGCTACGACAGCAACGTTACTATCGCATCGCTCCTCGTTAGGAAGGATTGTTGGCCCGAGCAGGGACCAAGACCATACCGCTGAGGAGGAAGCACCAGATCCCCCTTGGTAAAAGATGCCGCATACTTCTCGTTCGCAGCCTCGAATTCCTTCGCGACGGACATGATGATTACGACGATGAGGTCGGGGATTTGGTTCGAACGTGAACAGGTGGGGTACACTAGAAGCCGCGGATGAAAGGTACTTATCAGCAGTGACGAGAACTGCCACACTGCGAGTCAGTTCAGAGGGGTATTCCCTCCCTTTTCTGTTGCTCAAGGACTGCAGTTCGTCATTGCGTGATAAACTCTGAAAGAGCGACGCGCCAACCACGAAGAACCATCGTGAAGCAGCTTGGATAATTGCTTTTCAGAACTCGTTGTTATCGTCGGCTCTCGCCATTTACCCCGCTGATGGCTTCATAGGGCTGTCCCAAGACGGAAGGTCCCGTGATCCGTTGGTTACCGTGCTGCATCAAAGTGCTATAAATGGAGATTACAATCCGGTTGATCTGTTCAGCGCGTGCTTGTATGTTGACGGAGCAATTCCAAAGATGGATTTGCAACTACTGGTTCTGTGCTACACAGGTGATGCTACTGCTATCAAGTGCCATTGAGACATCAGAACATTTGTCCAGGACTGTGGGAATGATATTCGATGCATGTTTTTTGAGAGCTTGCATGCAATGCGTGCTGCGTGGGAATCGTCCGGGGGCGCTCTATGGGGCCAGAGAACACAGGGCAGAGCTTGACTTGTTCTCTCTCAAGCATCGATAGCTGGCTGCTAGGCCGAGTGAGTTCTTTCTCAGTTGGAACAGTGTCCGGTTAACGTTGGAAAGAGCAATTTATCGACTAGAAGGACCTGACACCTCAGAACTCTCATCAGCTGGAGACTTGTAGAAAGACAAGGACCATGCAATGGAAAATGGAAAAGAAGAGTAGTTCAGCCCCAGGCCATATGTAGGTACGTCTCAGCCGAGGAGTATCTCACGTGGAAACTAAACCAGATTGGGCTCTCAACCGGCGACTACTTTTGGAGCCGAGGCCCGACTACTTAATCTCCTCCGCATACAACTCCGATGGGCAAACTACCGTTTTCACAACCACACCACTCACGGAGCCTCTCGAACTATTACAAGATGTCCAAGCTATCACCAAGTCTGAAGGCGCTCATAAATGCGCCAGCTGCCCGGCCAAACACCGTCCCTGCCCCGCGGAATATCCAGTCCATCTATGCGAAGATCCACCAGACGGCGCAGGCGAAGAATGTCTCTCACTCGTCGTGGGTTGCTCTTTCGGTATGTCAATCTGGTTTTCTGGCTGTAGCTAGGCGATGAGCCAAGCTAATAGAGGATTGACCTGATAGACCGCCGCAACAATGACAATGAACTCCCCCGCCTCCCTAACCGCGCTATACGAATACATCACCTCATCACAATCACCGAACGACGCAATCCACACGGCCGAAACCATGCGCGAAGTCGGCCTAAAATGCATCAGCTTCAATGGAATCCCACGAACGATAAACTGCCTGAACGCATTCAAATCCTCCCTCCCCGAACGTATCTCCTCCGCGCTCTCCACAACCCCAACACGCACCCCGTCCCCCTCCAACATCTCCGAGATCTCCGCCCGCGGAAAGGCCCTCTGGGACTCCATCTACCGCCCCTTTGACGTGAAGCTCTTCGACAAGCTCGCGGACAGCCACCCGGATCTCCCCGTGCATATCCTGCACGCTAATTATGGGGCTCTCCTCTCCGATCCGGCGGGGAGGACGACCGGGGCGAAAGTGGGCCGTGTCGCGACGAGCATTGTTGCGATTGCGTGCTTGAGGGCGCAGACGGGGGTTGGGCCGCAGGTTGTTTCGCATGTTTTTGGGCTGAGGAAGGCGCTGGAGGATGGGACGTGGGTCGAGGATGCCGAGGGAGAGGAAGGGGCGAGGTGGTTGGCGAGTGAGGAGGGGAATGAGTGGATTCTGAAGAGTGTGGATGAGATTGTGGAGGGGATTAGTGAAGGGGCTGGATCGAATTTTGCGCCGGGGAGGGCGAAGTTGTGAATATACAGATAGAGGGTGATATAGCGGATGTAGATGTATATAGCTAAAGACTGTACAGAACGACGACAGGATATATATTGGTCAGCAGATGAAAACGATTTCAAGGTTTAGATCCACGTCCAAAGTGCCCAATTCTGTTGCTAAAATTGGCGACCTACGAATATAGAGCAAAGCATAGTCGAAGGCTTAGCTATAGTTGGTCTATTCAAACAATATATGTACACGACATTCAAGGAAGCACAATGTACTTCTCCAAGTGCTTCGGAATCGCACCCCTCAACCCCTTGCTCTCAAGCCACTTGCCCGAGAACAACCGATCCGCATACCGGTAGGCTCCGTCAGCAAGCACAGTAACGACCGTGCTGCCCTTGCCCAGCTTCTCCGCAACCTCCTTCGCAGCAACAACATTCAGCGCAGAGCTAGCACCAAGGTATAGCCCCTCCTCATCAAGACAGCGGTAAACCATCTCAATCGACTTTTCATCACTGATATTCAACGACCCATCCAGCGTCGCGATATCCGGCTGCAGGTTATCCGTCACACGGCCTTGGCCAATTCCCTCTGTGATACTGCTCCCCGTCCGCTCAATCAGGTTGCCCCCGCTCTGGATATAGCTGTGCAGCACACTGCCCGGCGGGTCGGCCAGGAACGACTTGACCCGACCCCCACTGACTTGCTTAAGATAGTACGTGATACCAGCAAGCGTACCACCGGTCCCTGTCGAGCATGTAAACGCATCAATCTTCCCACCGGTCTGCGCCCAGATCTCCGGGCCAGTGGTCTCAACATGCGCGCGCCGATTCGCCGTATTATCAAACTGATTCGTCCACACCGCATTGTCCAACGCCTCCGCATGCCGCCTCGCCTGGTGGTTATAGTTCTCCGGGTTATCAAACGCGACAGCCGGGACAGGGTACACTTCCGCGCCGAGCAACCGCAGCAGATCAATCTTGCCCTGCGACTGCGTGTTCGGCATGTAGATGACGAGCTTGTACCCCTTTGATCTGCAGACGTGCGCGAGCCCGATACCCGTGTTCCCTGCCGTGCCTTCGACGACGGTCCCGCCGGGCTTTAGCAGCCCTCGCTCCTCGGCATCTTTCACGACGTAGAGCGCTGCGCGGTCTTTGACGCTGCCGCCGGGGTTCTGGAACTCGGCTTTCCCGAGGATGTTGCAGCCCGTTTGTTCGGACAGGCGCTTTAGACGGATGAGGGGGGTGTTGCCGATTGCTTTGCGAAAAGAAAAGAAACGAAGTTAGCAATTGCGTGCACTGCTTTTTGGTGTTTCTCTCCCCGCTTACCTTCGGTCAATCCATTGACGACGCCCTGGGCCGAGGACACTCGGACGGAGTATGAAGTCTCTGCGGAACTGCGCAGAGCAGTTGTGCCGAAGCGTCGGATGCTCTGTCGGAACATGATGCCAATGCCTGTTTGCGAAGTTGTTCCTCGACTATCCGCGACTTGAGGCCCGATGATCGGCTTGGAGACGGCCGTGTCACGTGAGCTATGGCGTGCTCGAGGTAGCCGGAGCGGAAAAGTAGTTTGTCCGTATTGTTTACACCCCGCACGAAAGATGTGGAGCAGTTGAACCATTCGCTTGTCCGGAGTATAACCAAATTATCACTGCACGTTTGGGATATAGGATTGGTATCCAATTGAATCACTTTGAGGTCTCGCAGCCTTGGCACCAAGCCTATAAGACATTTTTGTTTTATGTACAAGTATGCTCGCCCTCTACACTTTTCTCGCTCTCCAAAACTGCGCATCATACGCATTCCGACTCAACCCTCTGGCATTCTGCCCATACGGCACATACAAACTCTTCACTTTGCCCTCCAACCCCTCCCCAGGTGTCTGAGCCCCACAGATGTCCTCCTCATGATCAATAATGAACTCAAACCCCAGCGCCTCACTAACAAGCACAATCTCATCGACCGAAAACTGCAACCACGGGCCCGTCCCATACAGCAATGGTCCCAGGTTAATCCACGTCCCGCCAGGCTTGAGCAGCCGGTGGATGGTCTCGAGGTAAGCCATGAGGTTTCGTGCGGTGTCGATGAAGAAGAGGGTTACGAGGACGTGGTAGGTCCCAGATTCGCTGTCGGGGAAGACGGAGGTGAAGTCGCCTTCGACCATGACGACCTTGGACGTCGAGGGGACCCAGTCAGGAAATGTCACGCCGCGCTGCATCTCGCTCGTTGTGGCGTGGTGTGACCACCAGTCTATGTACGGGTGGTAGGTTAGGCTGTTTGGTGTGGAGACTTGGGTTGCGTAGCGGTGGACAAGGTTCATGTATGCGGACCATTCGTTGAGGGTTACTTCGAAGCCTGCACTCATCAGTCGTCGCCTCACCAGCAGGAAAGAGGCAGTCGACACTCACCTCCAAGCGCATCAATCTCATACCCCAACCTCCCCGCCCCCGCACCCGGCGCCAACACACGGAGTGGCCGCTCAGACCGATCGATATCCGCAAGATGCTTGAGAATACAAGGGAACGAGTCTTGCCGCTCGATAATCCCCTCCTCAGACCAATCGCGCACGAAATGCTTCATGGCCTGCACGACGCTCGTCCGATCAGGCGTCTTCTTGTCCTTCTCGACCTCCTTGATGAACTCGTCCAGCTCGCTCTGCGAGACATCGTACAACTCCAGCGCGTGCCGCACAATATCCGCGGCGATCTTGTCGTTGTCCTCGAAGAGGTGCTCGACGGTGTTGAGTTTGCGTGTGTAGCCGATGGTTTTTTCGACCAACTAATATAGCCAAATTAGAGAGGGTGTCGCGGGCAGGACCTCGGAGAATTGCTGCGTACCGTCTTCTGCTTCTGCGGAACATGCTTATACAAATCCCGCCACCGCTTCACCTCCACAAGGTTCTTCTCCTTGTACCGCGAGAACCCATACAGCGCCATGAGCAGCCGATACCGCGGGTGGTTCGCATTCCACGTCCCCGTCGACCGCTGCAGGCGGCCCTGGAGGCGGACAAACTCATCCAATTGCCGCGGGTCCGGTTGGTCGATGTCGGTGATGTTTGCGACGATCACTTGCGTTATGTCCTAGAGAATTTTGTCAATTGATCAATGCATAGAGAGCACAAAGGATGTAGGCTTAGTACATACCTCCCATCCCTCCAGCTGGGCGACAGCCGCAGTCGCGATGCAGAACAGCAGCAGGCAAATGCACAGGAGCTGCATCGTGGGACAGTGACAGCAGCAGTGACATGGTGAGGGGAAGTTGATTTGACTGGTGCGCAGGACGATCGAGAATGTCGCTCGCAGGGTCCTCATCCTCAAGGTCCTTGCCAAGTGCCAAGAACCCTAAACGTAGCTGCGTTTGAGCATACTAATAACGGCTCGTTGCACTGATCTATAATTGTGTATGGCGGCCAGGGACTTGGGCCAAGCTGTATAGGTATCCCAGCGTGGCGCTGGATGGCACCTGGGTGCCGTGTTAACGTTCCTCATATACTTTAGCAGCAGGACTACTCCGTATATCCCATCCCCGTGACTATCTTGTGCTCAAGTCGAGTAGACGCTCTTTCTTTATGAACTCAGCGAACTTGACGATAAGAGAAACATTTGTCTGTGGAAAGGGATAGACAATTCCCGCTACACGGGCGACGTGTATGTTGCGAGGGCACGAACGCTACTACTTGATAGTAGCCAACCTTTCCATCCCACGATAAACGAGGGTGACCACACGCAACAGACGCTCAGTAGGGGGCTCTGGCAGATATACGCGAGGATAATGTATAGGGAGGGGTTAACCTGGAAGAGACCTCCCCCGCGGACCCCTTCAGGGCGAGCCCTTCTCCAGCCCCGCTGCAGGTAGATTGTTCCTTCTCTCAAACCGGACAGTCCAACCTCCAACTTTCAAGTACCAACCTTCTCCTCCCGACTGGTACGGTCACCCGTCAAGGCGTTCGCTTGAAGCCAGCTCCTCAATAATACTCACCAGAATACTCGCTATAATCCCGCAGATCAATCAGATCCATCACCTCCTGCCACCGTGCCTTCCCCGCACCTGCATCTCAAACGACTCCCGCCAAAGCGCCGGACACGTGCCCCCGCGAGGGAGCTTACCCCCAGGCATCAACAAGTGGTCCGGGTGCCGGCAGTCGCCACTGTCAAAGCCAACTGTGATGCCTGGTTTCTCCAGAGCCCTCCGGAACGGTTCCCATCCCGGCTCGGGCTCGAGGACGTCGAGGTGCGCCATGTCGTGTAGCCGGAGGGCTTTAAGCGCAGGGAGCGTCTTGTTTAGGAGGATGTTTTCCTGCGGGTCGCTGTAGATGTCTAGGACGCCTAGGAGCTTGTTGCTTGATATGCAATCAATGGTGAGGTGTTGGAGCGCGCTGGAGCCAGAGATAGGGAGCGTCTCCTTGAGGGGTGGTAATAGTGATGGGTCCATTGTATCCCCAGCGCCGAAGAGCACGTCGGGCTGGATGCAGAGGTGAGTGAGGCGGGTAAAGTCTGTAAGGGGGCCGAGGCGACCCATCTCCCTGCTGCCACCGGTCTGTTTGCGGAAGATGTCGAGGTACTCGAGGGTTTCGCGATGCCTTGCGAGAAAATTCCAGAGATCCGGATTGCGGATGCAGCGCTTACTGTCATCCCGCTTGGGACCGTACATTTTGGATCGACAAAGCAAAAGGAGAAGCTTTTCAAGCGCGTGAATATACCTAGAAGGGCCTGCAAGTCCCCCCATGTGCCCTGCGTCTCCTCGTAGCAAGTTATGGTGAGATGTTGCACACTCGAGCTTCCTCGCTCCAAACCTAGCGCGTGCAACAGCGCCTTGACGCCCTTGATATCCACCTCGGACAAACGCAGGACTTCGAGTCCAGGAAAGCAGAGAACCGGCCAGATATCATGCAGGAATAGAGATGTATCGTCACTGTTTGAGTCTGCCTCGACGTGGACCTCGCCCCATAGCCGGAGGGACTTCAAGCGTGCGAGAGGCGCTGGTGGTTCTGGTGCTGTGCCGTCACTTTTTCTTGCGCTCCGCTGTCGCTCGAGAGCCCACTGTAGAACCGCACCCAGCACAGGGTTTGACCTCGGGACATGCGCCTCGATCATAGTAATATTCGGCAGACAAGTAAGGAGCACAGCCACAAGCGGCCGACAATCTCCACGCGAAAGATCCCTAAATATCTGCTCTTCAAGTTCAGAAATACTCACTGGCCGAATCGCCTCACGGATATACTCCGAGTCATGGAAAGAATGCTTGAACTCCTCCCCAGTCGCTTCATACTGATTAAACCCCCAGTTTCCAATAACCAGGGTCCGGACCATACTCGCTATACGCGGGTTCCGGAGGGCAGTTATGGCGAAGCTCCAGAGAGAGGAGAAAGAGTGCGCTGCGCCATCGTAGGTCCATTTTGCGTAGATGTGGGGGAGGATGAAGTAGTGCCATCTGTGGTTTACCAGCGAGAGCTGGCAGAGCTGCTTTGGGGTGGATATGGGGTCACGTATGGCGAGGTCTATTATGTGGTCGAAGAGTTCTGATGGGAGCTCCGCGGGGTCGCGCATCTTACTCCGTGCTTGACTAGTTTTGCTCTGCTCGTTCTGCGTGAGTGGCGATGGAGAGACAAAATGATTAAGCACGTTGCGCCTGAATACGAGATTCACATAGCGGCGCTTGGGCGAGGGATATCCGCGGCTCTCGGAATGAGCCGCTTATCCTTTTACTTGTAATGACGCGAGCATAACCGGACAGGATGGACAAACTTTTAAAATCAAAGTAAACCGATGGCTAGGAAGAGGAGCACCTCGCTCCGGCTCTGCCCTAAGAGTTGCATCTACGCGTCTTCCGTTCAGTTTGATCATGAAACATAGGTACCTAGTAGCGTCTACCAAGCCCAAATTCAGTTTCTGTATTGCACTCGAGCTTGGGGACGCCAGAACCAAGATGATACGAGATCAACGGGATCCAAACGTCGAGTATGTGTCTATATTATACCAAGTATGATGCAACCGAAGCCCTACCAACACAACAGGCTGTACGCAGCCTCTCGCACGGCCCTGCTGTCAACCACAACCAGCCGCAACTATTTCAGGCAGACATACTGCACCTCTTCTTGCAGCGTCCGATATCTCTCCTCGTGTTTTACGGAGGCAAATTACCCCAATTTCACCCCAGCTTACCCCGCACGACAGCCACCCGAGAGCATCTCCCTTTCTCCGCGGAGCGGAACAGGGCAGATGACTCTCGAACACTAAACTCTCGCCCTGCGAGTAAGAACAAGGGCACGGGCACAATTGTACGGGCCCGTCGGACAATGGACAGGCGCGGAGCATCCCGTCCGTTCCAATCGCTGTCGAAGCCATCGTGCCTTGGATGCTAGACACCGGAAGCTTGGGCCACATGTTATTTTGACGGTATACAGCTGGCATGTTTTCTTGTTCTTTGTACTAGACGGATGATAACTAACATAAAGATAAGTTTCAGGTATAATGCAGTGGAATGGTATACGTCCTTGACGTCATCTGCACCCCGATTATTAAACGTGACATCATGCACCTCATACCCCCTTAATCAAAAACAATACCTGACCTTTGCAAAGAAAGAACAATTATACACCAACCCCACAACCCTCTTGGAGAACGCATACCCATATCACCAAATCCCATCTTCAATGTCCCGAATCTTCATAACAGGCTCCACCGACGGCATCGGCCTCGCAACCGCAAAGCTGCTCTCCGACCAGGGCCACACCGTCGTCCTCCACGCCCGCAACGCATCCCGCGCCTCGTCCACAAAATCCGCCGTCCCCAACGCCGCAGGGATACTAGTCGCAGACCTCTCCTCCATTTCCGAAACGAAAACTCTCGCCAGCGAAGCGAACAACTTCTTCCCCGATGGCAAGCCCTTCGACACCGTCATCCACAATGCAGGGATTGGATACGGGGCGACCTCGTCGAGGCAGATTACGGCTGATGGCGTCTCGGCTGTTTTTGCGGTGAATACGCTTGCGCCGTATATTCTTACGTGTCTTATGCGGAAACCGCGGAGCAGGTTGTTGTTTATGAGTTCGGATAGCCACTACGGCGGCGACGAGACTCTAAAGAATGTAACGAAGAGCCATTCGTATAGCGATAGTAAGCTGCACGATGTGATGCTCGCGAATGCGTTTGCGAGGCGGTGGACCGATGTTCAGGTCGTCAGTATGCATCCTGGCTGGGTGCGGACGAAGATGGGGGGTGGGATGGCCCCGGGGGGATTGGAGGCGCCGGCACGGGTCCTAGCGGAGTGGGCGGTGGGGCAGGGGGAGTTTGCAGGGTTGAGGAGTGGAGCGTTTTTTACGACAAGTGGAGAGGAGAGGGCGCATAGTGGTGCTGGAAATGTGGAGAGGCAGGAGGAGTTGTTGAGGGTCTGTAAAGAGGTTTCCGGGGTGGGTGTCCCGGGAGAGTAGATGGAGAGCCAGCCTGGAGGTTATGGAGGTGTACCTGGTTGAGATATAGGGTCTTCAATTGTATAACCAATGGGCTAACCCTAATCCTAATCCTAACCCTAACCATCCCCCTCACCACCACCCCAAGACAACCAGTGCAAGATCCAATCTAAACTGTATACCTGAAAAACGTCGCATTATCCCCCTTCTCCCTCTCCCCCACCTTCTCCGCCTCCGTATACTCGCTCGGCGCCTTGTACTCGCGATCCCTCCTCGCATTCTCCCTGCGCAGATAAATCGTCATCAATGTACAGAGCACCGTACTCATCGTCAACGTCCCAATCAGCGTCCCGTGGCCCGTCGTGTACTTTGGCCCGTCACTTCGGCGGTAGATGTAACTGGAGATAACACCGCCGAGGTTACCGAATCCGACGTGCATGGCGATGCCGACGCCGCGCTTGAGCGACCCGCCGATGTTGTTGCCGTTCCAGGCGACGCCCTGGGGCACGTTGGGGTAGATTCCGGACGCGGCGAAGAAGCATCCGGCGTATTTGACGCCGTGGCTCTCTGAGGAGATGAGCATGATGAAGCCGATGATTCTGGATGGTCGGTTAGTAAGTGTATCCCTCTTTCTTTCTTTTTTTTTTTCCTGTTCGGTGAGTAAAGAGGGGGTGGGTACATACGCAACAACGTTAAAGAAAATCATATACAGCCCGCGCTGCCCTTGCTTATCAGCCAGGAACCCACCGCCGATACAAAACACACAGGCAACCACATAGGGCGGCACGGTCATGAGCTGCGCCGTCTCATTCTTGTACCCGAGCGACTGCACGATCGTCGGCATGAACAGCGAGATCGAGTACAGCGGCGTGTAGATGCCGATCGTGATGAACATGTGCACCCAGATCTTCCAGTCCCGGATCGCGTCCCAGAAGAAGCGTATGTGGAACTCGTCGGCCAGCGAGCTGCGGTCTTCCTTGAGCCGCCGCGCGACTTCGTCCTTTTCGGGCTGCGTGAGGAATTTGGCCGTGTCCGGGTAGTCGTTCATGACGAAGAAGGCGGCGACGGCTGAGGGTTATTAGCTGGCGACTGAGCCAAGGGGTATATGTGGTGGAAACGTACCGACGACGAAGGTGAGGAGACCCTCGATGATGAAGATCCAGGCCCATCCTGCACGTCCGCCCAGCCCGTCCATTTCGACGATACCACGGGCGAGCAGACCACCAAAGGCGCCGGCGGCGGTGGCAGCGGAGAAGAAGATGGCCATGCGGAGACCGCACTCGTGGCGCTTATACCACATGGTAATACTAGTTTTGTTAGGTCGGTCCTCAATCTCGAGGTGAAAGGGTATGCATACTAGAAGGTAACTCCCGGAAACAAACCGCCTTCAGCAATACCAAGACACGCGCGAGCAGCCATGAGACCAGGGTAGTTGTGCACGACACCCATGAGCGAGCAGACAATAGCCCACGCGAGCATGATGGTGGGAATCCAAATGGCGGGTCGCGAGCGCTTCATCATGATGTTGGAGGGGATCTCGGCGGCGACGTAAAAGGGGAAGAAGATGGCGAGCGCATTCTACCAAGTTCTGGTCAGCATCGAGAAGATACTCTCAAGGGAGGCGACGCACGTTGTAATCCAGTCCGGTCATGCCCAGGTCCTCCTCCAGATTGGCCAAACGCGCATTTCCAATATTCGTGCGATCGAGGAAACTCAGTCTGCGATGGTCAGCGACTCCCACATACCACATATCGCATAAACAGATGCTTGTCGTACAAGTAAAGTAGGGCAAGCCACGGAATCAAGACAAGATCAATCTTGCGAATCAACTTCTTGGTATCAATTTCGCTGTACCCAGCAGAGGACGACCCCTGCTCCAACTCGTCACTGCTCCCATTATCGACAACGGTCTTCTTCTCGTCGACTGCGGTCATTTTTCTTTTCCGAACGTACGCAAAAGTAAGACGGAGATGAGAAAAAAGCGCAAAAAGTGGGCTGCGTGTCCACTCTTATAAGATCAGCAGGACCCTCCCCCGCCTTTTTTTTCTCACCATGACAGCTAAAAGCTCCGTCTGACACGCGGGGGAACCTCCCGGACTCCATTGGGGACTCGGGGTGCGACGAAATGGATCGTCGGGGCCATTCGTCAGCCTTGGATTGGGTCATTGGGAATGGAATGGTCGCTGGAGCGCCGGCAGTCCGCAGGGGAATCCACTGCCGCAAGGAGGAAACACAGTCAATTAGGCTCAAGGGAAGAGATAAGCAAGGAATGCACCCCCTGTCCAGATTCCACACCTAATATGAGCTGAGAATGTCGTAACCATGGCAAACGCAGGAGGTGGTGCAGTGAGACGGACGGTGAAACTGCCCAGCGGAGGGATCGATTTGCTCTGTCCTTGTGTACCCAAGAGTCCGCCAAGGCACGGCGCCTCGGACACGGGAGCCCAAAGCAGCCAGGTCACTCAGCTCGCGTCGCCAATCCCCGTCGTGGCCCAGCCCTGGGCAGACTTGGCACCTGTGCTTTGCACGAGTCGCGCTGCACCGGCGACGCCCGCAGGATGCCAGCGTTGCAATGCCTCTATCTTGTGGCTGAGCTTCCAAGGCGCCCCGGCGATGGTCTCAAACAGGGTTCGCCTCCCTTGAGAGCAGGAGCTTCCTTTGCTCCTTGCGCGGGGACCCCGGACGGAGGGGCTGGGCGGGGCCTTGGCGCAGGGCCCAGACCGGTACGTGTGCGACTGTGGCGTTGCTTTGCTGGATTTTCCACGAATCTGCGGCACACAGAGGGAGACGTATCGCATCCTCCTTTATTTGAGGATGCCCTTGGCGGGCTCTGCGCCGCTTGGCTTATCATGGATGAAGCCAGCTCGTCCTCCATTCTCCCGAGCCCTTGTCCATGGGGTACGTACATTTGGCCGGGGGGCAGAGGAACTGTTGAGCCCAACAATCTCCCCCTCCAGTCATCTCGCCAATTGCCCCAGGACAAGCCTTGGTACCTTGTCTCCCTCGTGTTCGGCTCGCTGGAGTGACAAGCGCCCAGCGACGCCGGAATCAAAGGATCGCTCGTCAGTCGTCGAGCGCCGCTTGACCGATCGAATGAGAGGGACTGACAAGCGCCTCGTTTAGAAATGATGTCCGCAGAGTTGTTCCAGAAGGTCTCACTCGTTCGCTTGCATTCACCCACGGGCACATGTGCCATGCATCGGGGGTTTAGCCTAAAATTCTCCCGATTGCCTGTGGATCGAGAATCTCGAATCTCTAGCGTTTGTCCTTCCATGGTTAGGGCGGTTTCAGCTAGATCTGAGGGACCTCCTGCATGGTCTATTTTGAGATGAATCTGGTCTGTCGGTGAGAAGGTCTGTTATGCAGCTCATTTCCGTGGATGCGTGCCCCATTCGAATCGGAGGCTACTCTTCACCACGTGCCTTGTCGGCCACGCGGAACCAGCTTCCTCGTCTTATGTACATTATTAGCTCCGTCCATGATCAGATCGGCTGGAAGTCAGTCACCGGACTGACCTGAAAGGGGTGCCTCCGGTCTGCCCCTCAAAGATAAGCCAGCTCAACCCTTCGGCCTTCTAGAAGCAACTCTTCGCCCTACCCTGACCACCCGGTATACCCTGGCGATCTGCCGAACCTCGGAGTCAAGTAATTCCATCTTGCAGCTGACGTGAGAATGGGACCAGATCGTCTGGCCAACCGCGGATGTTTTATACGAGGCATGGTGCCACAATGGTGAGAAGCAAACAAATCTTCGTTTGGAAAATCTGGCCTCGGCTGGTTGCCACGAGTGGCAGGGATTATCCTGCTAAGTACACATGTCGGAATGAGCTTCGACTTTTACGAAAAGAAATCGGCGTCCCTCGCACCATAAGGCTGAGAGAGGCGTGTATGACAGAGCAATGCTCGGAGATGACAATGCGGAAACATCATGCTCTCTATCTATTAGTGTCCGTTTCATCCCGCTGTACGCTGTGAACGGCGTCGACCACACCTATGCATCCCGGCGAGTCTCGCTTCTCGCACCCTTCACTGTTGTGAGGTGGATGCGGTACCCAACAGTTGACTGATTCATGCTATTCGGAACCCTCAAGATTTCACTCTGATCTACGAAGATGATGCCTGCATCCCAGTGCTAGTCTACAGTCATACACGTCGCCCAGTTACCATGTCTCGCTGTTATATGGCTCGAGCTATCCAATGGCTCCCAGAAGTGGGAACAGACACATTATCAGCAATAGTCATTGTCATTGCATTGTCTTTCAGCCCGCCTCTGACTTTCCGCCTTCCGATATCCATTCATCGCATTGAACGGGACTAGCTGAATTCTTTCACTAAATTCAAATACTAGGTGGGTAGGATACTACTGCGTGGGCCCCGCTGCAACATATACATGTTCTTCAGCTTGACTGAAAGTATGCTTGGGATCCTTAACCGGCAAGGAATTTAGCAGTCCTTCTGTCAAAGAAGGACAGAATCAGTAGAAATCATATGGCCTGGCTTGACTTTACTGGCTTTTCCCGCCTAGTACTGCCTGTGCTTGCTGTAATTCAGGGTGTTTACGGTGAGCTTTCTAGCTGTTTTTCTGTGTTTACCTTTTTATTTTTGGCTATAGTGCCAATACCGCAGAAGACTATTACGACCGCATCCAGAGGAAGCATGAGACACGCCCTCCTGCTAATCCGGGCGAGGAACCTGGATCCAATATCACAGAGGACACGCACGAGTTCTCAGATTCCCTATCTGGCATGGCAGAGGTTGACGTGCCCGCATCAGACGAGACTATCTCATCTCGTACACCAACGGCCGAATCACAACTTCGACCTTCCTCTCCAACTCCTTCCCACGCACCGCAAGATGCGCCAACACCAACACTATCGCCACCAACGCTCGAGGAAACTATCCGCAGCATTTTCGCATCCTCAACTCTCCCGCTCCCCGAAGACTCCTCGATCGAAGCACCTACAGAGGGCATCGACCGATCTCTCTGGCACTGGTCCCACGGCGACAAGGAATTCTGCCAGCGACCATTCGCCCTGGGATTCGTATACGCACACACTATCTTCATGCTAGCCTTTGCAGTTGCGTTTGGCTGGGGACTGGCAGCGGGCCCGCCCGAGGCTGTGTGGGCGCTGGGCGCAGTAATGCTAGCCATCAGCGCAAGGCGAATTGCTGGTTTCGCATTCTTTGCGGCCTTGGCTCGGTGGTATAGGGCGGAGATAGCGGAGATGGAGAATGCCTTGGGTGCGGAGGCGGATGCGAAGGGCAAGGCTGGCATGGGGATGCATCATAACCACGCTGTGATGCATGCACAGGCTATAAATGCTATGGATGAAACCTCGGGGAATGATGAGGAGTTGGAATTCGCTGACTTGTGAGTATATAAGTAGTAATAAGGGCATTCTAGTGTGTTGATCAAGTGAGAGCGCGGCAAGAAACAGCTATCATAATACTGATTTCAAAACCAAGGGAGTATTTAATAAGGCTTGCTGGATGTAGCGAATCTCTGAATAAAAAGGCAGGTCCTTCCACCATTTGTAGATGAAGAGGCTGGGAATCAACTATTCCATAGCACTCATCTATGCATGATTCAGCGGATATTAACGTAAACCCGATTTCATGCTTGCCCTCTTCTATTACATCTACTCAATTACATTACTTTTATTACATTACTTTTATTNTCAGCCCTAACCCCCTCATAACACACTGCTACAGGCCATTATCTATACTGCAATCCCCCCGCAGCTCCCTCTACACGCACTCACGAACCAGACTCCTAATCTCCCCCTTCCCATTCTTGAGATACACACATGTATTCAGTCAGGAACGAAGATGCGGGGACGCCCACACCAACAGCACCGGTAATAGCCATCGTGACATGGCGAGGAATCTCATCCGCTCGGCAATCTACCTCCTGAGGTAAAAAAAAGGCGGCTCTGCCATTCAGCACCATCTCCACCGGCTCGTCTCCCAGAACGCGAAGTCGGGCGGGGATCGCTGGGCTGTAGTTGCAGTGTCAGATTGGGAGAGCGCCGTTGCACGACCGGTTGTTGGTCTGGTCGATGGGGTACCGGACCATTGCGATGCTGTCTTCAAGGAGGAAGAGCTTGCGTTTGAGGAGGTCGCGGGAGCTTCAGTCGGATTGTGGCGCGTCAGTCCGGAAGGAAGAGAGGGGGCATTTTTTGCGGCAGACGATATACTCGGATGGATCTCGTCGGGCGCGGGGCGTGTCGGTGCTATGGAGGGTGAGGGTGCGGATGTTGTCCACGAAGGCGAAACGGCCATTGTTATTGATGGGGGTGATGGAGGCAGAACGGAGCCGAGGAGGAGAGTAATCAAGAAGAAGGAAGATGTTATTTCCTGTGCTGGTGAGTTGGCGAGATCTAGAAGAGTAGTCGAACGACGAGCTTTATACAACAGCAGTGGCAGGACTTGTCTCAGGGGATGATGCAGTGTAACATGCAGGTGTCATCGAAAGTGCGCACTGCGAAGTGCGAGTTACTCGGCGTCCATGCTTCCCATTGCAAGAGCTGATAAGCTTTACCGCCAGATCACTACGGGGATCATTGAATCCATACGACCGTTAAACGGTAAACCGGTCGAGTGGGCTGGCCCGCACTCGCATCCGCCTCGTATACCTGCATCTACACCGTCGAGAGGCACTCAACTGAGAGGCCCTTATTTACGCCGCATGCTGCGACGGAAGTCTGCCAGCCAATCGCACTCTCTTACCGGGTCGGCTAACATTTCCATCACGGCCTGGGACAGCGTCTAGAATATCCAGCAAACAGTCGGGCACTGTAGGGCTGAACATTGGCCGACGCGCTAACAAGGCTCGGCGGCTTGATCTGGAGGCTTCAGCTCGGTCAAATGATGTGGAATCGATCAGCTTGGGACGTCATTGTGGCTGGATCCGGTTGTTGCTCTGGCTTTGGGGTCCAAGCCTGGTAGTTAGGGCTGCCCCCCCATGAATCTCTTAGCCAGCCGCCCCGCGGAGGTTCTTGTCTGTAATCCGAAACCCTCTCTAATAACGAATGCTAGTAATTTCTCATGTCTTAAGAACTCCATTAAGATTATACGCTAGTCTCATTAGCGATGCAACCTCGCTAACCCGCCGTACGACGCCAAGAGAATCATGGCTCCGCATCCACGGGGGCGCAGCGCGACATCCAGACTCGTTCCTTATCAGCGACATCAACAACCTCTACCTTGAACAATTTCCCACATAACCCCCAAAAATGACAAGTATATCCCTATCCTGGACTGTATACAGTATAACCGCCCTCCTGGGCTACATCATCTACAGACAATTCTTCCAAACCAGCCACCAGAAACTCCCACTGCCCCCAGGCCCAGAACGCATCCCCCTTCTCGGCAACCTCGGAGATTTCCCTCCCAATGGCGCAGTCGAGTACGAGCACTGGCTTAGACACAAGAAACTCTATGGCGGGATTAGTTCTGTGAGCGTCATGGGGATGACCCTCGTCATCATCCACGATCGAGGTGCCGCGCGCGACCTCTTGGAGCAAGGCTCGAGTAAGACTTCTGGACGGCCGACGATGGTCATGGCAAATAAGCTCTGCGGGTATGAGGATATCATCCTCTGCCAGGATTATAGCCCCACCTTTCGGCGCGCTCGGAAATTCCTGCATCGCGCGCTCGGGAGCAAGGGTTCTGCGGCGGAGTTTCGGGGCGTGCAGGAGGCTGGTGTTCATCGGCAGCTTTTGCATGCGTTGAAGGAGCCGGAGAGCTGGTTGGAGCATTTTAAGACGTATGTTTACCATTTCCTGTCTCCAACGATGATGACTATTAACCAACAGAACAGCAACGCCGGTTCCACGGTGCTAAAAATGGCATACGGGTACACAATCTCACCCGACAAGCCCGACACCCTCGTGACGCTGATCGACAAGATGATGACCGAGTTCTCGCTCGCGGCCGTTCCCATGGCCTGGGCCGTCGATATCATCCCGGCGCTGCAGCACCTCCCAGACGGATTTCCGGGTACGGGCTTCAAAAAGACCGCGCGTAAATGGAAGAAATCCATACAGGCATGCGCTTATATCCCCTACCGCTTCGTCCAGCGCCAGATAGCCGCTGGGACAAACGAGCCGTCCTACGTCTCGAAACTCATCGAGCAGCTTGGAGCTGAGAATGACGGTGTTCTCAAGGAGGAAGACGAGCGCGCGATTATCTGGACGGCTGCGAGTCTCTATGGGGCGGCGGCCGATACGACTGTCATTGCACTGACAGCATGGACGCTGGCTATGCTCCGGTTCCCGGACGTACAACGGAAAGCGCAGGAGGAGATTGATCGTGTGGTTGGGACAGGCCGTCTCCCGACGGTTGAGGATCGCGAGAATTTACCGTATATCAACGCCGTCGTGAAGGAGACGCTTCGGTGGTGGCCCATTGCGCCCATGGGATTCCCGCACACTGCAACCGAGGATATCACGTATGGCGGGTATACGATCCCAAAGGGCTCATTCCTTCTCCCCGCGGTGTGGTGGTTCCTACACGACCCGGTTGTCTACGCAGACCCTGAATCCTTTGATCCGGAGCGATACCTTGTCCCGCGGAACGAGCCTGATCCGGCGGGTGATGCATTTGGGTATGGAAGGCGCGTCTGTGCGGGGCGGTACTTTGCCGACGAGAGTTTGTTCTTGCAGGTTGCGCTGAGTTTGGCGGTGTTTGACATCCACAAGGCGGTTGGGAAGGACGGTCAGGAGGTTGATGTGGATCATGTGAAGCCAAAGTCTGGGGTGCTGATGTATCCGACGGAATTTGCGTGTCGGGTTGTGCCGAGGAGTGAGGGGCATGTAAAGTTGATTCGGGAGTTGGAGGAGCGGTATGCAAATGATGCGGTCAAGGGGGATGCGGAGTTATTGGACAGCGTGGAGGATTTCGAGCTTGTTGAGTAGGCCCAACCGGGTTGATGCTGCTATCACATTCTTTGTTCTACGGGATACCTACATTTCCAACCGACCGGTGGGCACAAAAGCACTCTACAAGGCCATTCCAGGTCTCTACACCTCAGAGAGGAGCAATACGCGAATATAACAACGATTAACTCTTCCTGGTATGGAGCCATGGGGATGCGCACGGCGCTTTGAATGACGAGGTGATAATTGCGGGTGACGCCGTATTTGGCGCCGTCAGCACAAAATAAGGGGTGGACTTTTCATTCCAAGGTTGCTAGAGGCTTTGCGAGAGGGAACCGACTCCCGGGGGAGACTAGATTTTGCGTCCATCTCAGGAGCTCAGTGACCCAGGCAGCCGCGGGAGAGCACGGTGCCCTGACTCAATTATGCAGGTTGAGAGTCTCGGGCTGCTTCCCAACCTGGTTATGAATCCGAATCCGAATCCGAGTAGACTGTGGACAGCCCGGGCGGTTTTTGCAATCCAACTGAAATTTGATTGAGGATGAGGTGTCTCCGCGGCCCTGTGATTGGGCTACGGACTAAGGCAGCAGAAAGTTCCCGCAGGTTGTTAGCAATGCTATCATCCGGGATGGGCTGCGCATCCTCGAGTAGGTGTGTAGTGTATCGTTGGTAGCATAAGGGATTTAAGGGACTTTTTGTAGACTTCCCAAGGTAAATATACGTTCCATAACAACTGAGCATGTGCATAATGATGCGAAGCTGGCTATGAATCGACCTCCTGAAGAATCCCCCGCCCACGTTCCCCACCTCCACACGGAGAAATCTTGCGGTTGCCCCGGATCTCCGCCGTTTTGCCTGAATACAGCAGATATTCTGCCTAAATGCAAGTGATCGTCCGAGACATTGACGTCCAACAAGTCATGATCATTGGCCTGAACCATGTTTTGTCCATGACATCTTTGGCATGGTGGGGAGGGGTCGTAGACAGATTCAGCATGACCCCCGCACAATAGAGCGTATAAAGCCTTTGTTCCCACGCAACGCAGCCTTTATTAGCCCTTCCAGGAGATTTGACCGCGAGTTGCATCTATTCGTTCAAGATGCGGCTCTCAACCCTTTCCACCATCGCCCTCGCAGGCGTTGGAACATTCGCATCCGCATCAAAGGGCGTGCCCACATACATCAACCCCCTCCTCCCAGGCTGGCACTCCGACCCGTCCTGCGTGTACGTCACCGAACGCGAAACATTCTTTTGCGTCACCTCTACATTTATCGCCTTTCCGGGCCTTCCCGTCTACGCAAGCAAAGACCTGCGCACCTGGGAGCTGGCCAGCAATATTATCAGCCGACCAAGCCAGATCCCTGATCTCGCCGAAACAGAGGGCCAGCAAGGAGGCATCTACGCCCCGACTCTGCGCTACCACGAGGGTGTCTTCTACTTGATCGTCTCGAATCTCGGTCCGGATCTCAATGGACTAGTCTTCTCATCTACGGATCCCTACGATGACAATGCATGGAGTGAGCCGCTCGTCTTCCCCGTGTATGGGATCGATCCGGATATTTTCTGGGACGACGATGGCGTGACCTACGTTAGCTCCGCGGATAATAACATGATCCACCACTACTCGCTCGATCTCAGCAGTGGAGAAATCGGCCCAGTCACCTACCTCTGGAACGGGACTGGCGGCGCGTACCCTGAGGGACCGCATCTGTACAAAAAGGACGGATACTACTACCTCCTCATCGCCGAGGGCGGCACAGAAACAAACCATTCAGCAACAATGGCGCGCTCAAAGTCTCGAACGGGGCCCTGGGAGCCATGTCCGCATAACCCTATTCTATCAAACAGGAATACAACCGAGTACTTCCAGACAGTCGGACACGCAGACCTATTCCAGGATGGAGGCGGGAAGTGGTGGGGCGTTGCGCTGTCTACGCGGTCTGGGCCGGAGTGGGAGAATTATCCCATGGGCCGCGAGACGGTTCTTGTTCCGGGGACGTGGGAGGAGGGCGAGTGGCCTGTTTTCAGTCCTGTGAGGGGTCTTATGCGTGGGCCATTGCCTCCGAAGCATGCCGTCAAGAAGCCCATCAATAAGCCCGAGCATCTGACCTTTGCGCCTGGTTCAGAGATCCCGAAGCATTTGATGTACTGGCGTCTTCCTGATGAGTCGGCCTATGCGGTGTCGCCTAGGGGACATCGCGATACACTCCGTCTGACACCCTCGAATTACGGTCCCTCATATAATGCGTCTTCGGTTACCGATCCGATTACCTTTATCGCTCGCCGGCAGACGGATACGCTCTTCTCTTTTAGCGTTGATCTCGATTTTACCTCGAAGACTGCATATGTCGAAGCAGGGGTAAGCGTCTTCATCACCCAGGAGCAGCATATCGACCTAAGCATCGCCAACACCGCCATCCGTGGGAAAATAACCCGTGCTATCCAACTCAAGACCTACGGCCGAGGGAACTACGACGGGCCATTGAGAAACATCACGACAGATCTCCCGCGTGAATGGGCGGGCAAGAAGATTACACTGACTGTTGAAGCACACGACGATGAGACCTATCAGTTCTCTGCTAGTCTTGCATCAAGACCACGCAAGGGGATAAGTATTGGATCTGTCGACACGAGGGTTGTCTCTGGGGATACGGGCCGATTTACGGGTAAGCCCTCTTCTATCTTCGCCCCATATCATTTACTGCTATCGCGGGATTAACCAGTTATGCAGGTACTTTGGTGGGAGTATACGCTTCGCGAGGCGGCCATAGCACGGCGAATGTCGCTGATAAGCAAAGTGATTTCGCGTACTTTAGCAACTGGCGCTACAAGGGGCTTGGGCAGAAAATCGACCATGATTTGATTGTACCTAGCAACTAGCTGCCTCGCGCTCGGGGTATGCACAAGAAAAGGGCACTTTTCCCGGTATGTGACAGGTGCCATTCAGGAGCCTCGAGATCACCTTGATAGAGCAGCGTTCATTCGAATGGCCGGTTATCCATCCATGATGCTCTACTTCGATCGTACACCCTTCACAAACATCATGATTCGGTCCAGATATATAGAGTATAGTAGGGCCCTATACTCCATGGTCGATCCGGAGATTTCCCAGTCTCTTCTTGTCATTAGACGTTCTGTAAACATTACACGCGTCTAGGTTTGGGAAATTCGGGCAGTATATAGAAACCCCAAGCAAATGGTTCAATTAAGTGTACACTACACTTGTCGCTACGTATAATAAATTATATTAGCCGGGGCCTTTGCGCTATGTGGTATATTGGCCTTGAAAACACCAAGAAACGAAGAGAGTTGATTCGCGCAATATTTAGATTTTTTCTTGACGTGACCTATAATAACGCTTATAGCACATATTGCCCATGCACTGAGATGTATAGTGTTCATTGAGATAATAGTTGCCTGTTTTTATATAGCTGTACCCAGAGAGCTTGGAGGAACCAGATAGCCGTGTCTAAGTAGATACCACGCGTAAGTCGTCCCAAGCTATCAATGCCAGATTAACTTTCAGGGTGCGATTAGACTGGACATAAGAGATAAGACTTCACAGGAATTAAGTCTAAGGGGGGACATATTTTGTTTCTCAAGAAATTTAGAATCTAGAAAGAGCGCCCGCCAAGAAAGCTACCTCAAAAGCCTGCCTACATATATTTCCAGAAGCATATCTTGTTTCCCTTGGAGTAAACATGGGCGTACCTGATGACTTTCAGAGTCCAACACGTGGGAGACCCTTGTGCGTTCATCCTAAAAGCCAGGTACGGACCGCCACCGCGGATAGATACGATGGAGAGTTTCTGGAGATAAGCCAATAGTGCCTCGTTCCGTTATCAAATTGCAACTAGATGGCGTGTTGGTCTATTGAATTTCTTTATCCTGGCCTATCAGTGCTTGTGCCTGATCCATTATCGCGTGCCCACTTATCAAGCGGCGGAGCTCTCCGATCAATTCAAGATCGTATTTAAGCCTGTGGAACTGTCAACCCCGGAGTTCGCAGAACGCAACGGCATCATGTCGGCCTCCGTTGACGGACCGCATTTGCTGCGGGATGTCTGGGCATTCGCGGGGGTGTCCATTGTGGTGATGTTTCTGAGGATACTGGCGAGAGCTAGGATCAAGAAATTTAGCTGGGATGATATGCTCATGGCTTTTGCATTGGTTAGCCTGTTTGCCTGTTTGCCCAGTTTGCCCTTGTGTTTGCGTTGACCTGTCCCTGTGTTGTACGAAAGTCGTACTGATTCGCGCTGTCTGACCTCGTACCTAGACACTCGCCCTAGTCGGATCCGCTATCCTAACAATCGCCGTTCGAAAAGGCTACGGTAGCCCGATAGATCAAGTCTCCAAGCCCTCAACGGTTATTCTATATGACTATATCGGACAGACATTCGGGATAGCCGGTGGCGTTGCAGGTCGAGTAGCGTTTGTGATTTTCATTCTGGGGATCCTCGGCGTCGACAAGCGAGACCGCGTCACTCTGTGGGCATTCGTCGGAGGGCAAGTCGTTATCAATCCCCTCTTCATACTGATAGTCTTCCTGCAATGTCCGGGCCATGCGTCTGCTATCCTCTCTCACTCGGATGACGCAGAGAAATGCTGGGATTTGCGTGTTCAGACGTACTATGGGTACTTTCAGGGAGGTGAGTCGCGGCATTGCAGGATAGGACTTTGGACAGGTGCACAGGATGAGCTGACATTATGATACCACGTATCCAGCATTCAACTCAGCAACAGACCTCTACCTCGCCGCATTCTCAGCCTACATATCCTGGAATCTGAACCTGAAATGGCGAGTCAAAATCGGCTTAATCATTCTTCTCGGATTGGGAATCTTGTTCGTGCCCACCCTTGTTGATCCGTCTCTTGGCGTCTAACGAACCCTACCTTTCCTTATATCAAGTGCAATGGTCGCCTCGATCATCAAAACAATCCAGCTCCACATCCTCTCCAACGCAAACAACAACCCGACCCGCGCAACCGTCGATCTTGAGCGATGGCTGTATATCGAAACATATCTCGTTATCATCAGTGCGTCTATCCCGTTAATCCGCCCGCTCTTTCGTTCCGGGACCGCTGGACATGATGCTTCCTACCCCCAGCCTTCGCATTCTCGTTCTCGGTTTACTTCTGGGACGCACGAGTCGATGCGCACGGGGATGGGGACGGTCGTTGTTGGACGGGGAAATTTTAGTAAGCTTGTTAGTGACGATGATATCCCGCTTCGCAAGGCATCGATAAAGGCAAAGTCGGATGAAGTTGAGGTCTGAGGAAGGGGATCCTCCGAGTATCTAGAATGAATTACAAGTAGTCTTCAGCCCGTCCCGTCCTTATATTTGAGAAATAGATCGTCTGCCTTGAATGGTGTTGAAAGCCCTGCTCGTCCGATGGAGATGATCGTGTCATGTGTATAGATTAGTATACGGGAGGTGGAAATCACATCTTGGAGACTCATACGAGGACATGAATCACGAACTGGAGTGTGGTAGAAATGACAGTTGGAGAAGTGCAAGTGACGTAGGATTATCAGCCATTGCTTTGGACTGGGCAGTTTCGAACCCATCGGCATCAAAATTCCTGCCCGAGGCATGAATTTGCCTCGTGGCTCCACTACTTAATCGAGTCAAGTTGCCGATCCAACGAATCAACGCACGGACTTTGTGAAAAGGTGGGACTGTCCGAGGAACGGTTGTACTCCGGAGTCTCCATCGAAGAAGAGGGAAGATCCATGGATCTTTATATCTGGAGGAGTCATATTCTCTCGTCCTTTTGCCGTCTTCGCCCACTTACAAAACCTCTTTCTTCTACATTGCTGTCCACAAAACCGCCAAAATGGTCCATATCAAGGAATTTGCGGTCGAACAGGCAAGTCCTCCAAGAAGAGCGGCCAATAACCAGCTAACGTCATCCCCATCACCAGTGGATGGACCAACACGAAACCTGGGCAAAGCACAACCTCGCCGAAACATGCTGCGCCTCGCTCTCGCTCGAGTCCCTCGCCGCACTGAGCGGCGACTCGCCCGCCACGGCACTGGGCCAAATGCTCGACACCAGCCAGGCGCAAGTATACGGCGACATTCGTGGCTCGCCTGCCCTGCGGTCCCGAATCGCGGCCCTGTATGACTCGGAGCGTGGTGGTGTCTCGGCGGACCACGTCCTCGTTGCGAATGGGGCTATTCAGTCGAATTTCCTCGCTCTGTATACGCAGGTGGGGCCGGGGGATCATGTTATTGTTCATTATCCGACGTATCAGCAGCTGTACTCTGTCCCGGAGTCGTTGGGGGCGGAGGTTAGTTTGTGGAAGGCGAAGGAGGGCGTGCAGGGTGGGTGGGGAGTGGATGTGGACGAGTTGGAGAGGTTGATTCGGCCGAACACGACGATGATTGTGCTGAAGTGGGTTATCTTTTCCCCAAGTATCGAGCCGTGGTATCCTGTTGAGGATGGTATGCTAACACGGAATATCCAAAGCAACCCCCAAAACCCCACCGGCGCCGTCCTCACCCACGAAACCTTACAGACAATCATCTCCATCGCCCGCAAACACGACATGACAATCCACAGCGACGAAGTCTACAGACCCCTCTTCCACTCCCTTCCCAATGGATCCAAGCCACCACCATCCATCCTAGATTTCGACTACGAGAAGACTGTAGCCGTAGGCTCCATGTCCAAAGCATACAGTCTTGCGGGTATCCGGGTCGGCTGGATCGCTTCGCGGAGCCGCGAGATTATCGACAAGTGTGCGTCGGCCCGCGACTACACGACCATCTCAGTGGGCCGCATCAATGATAAGATTGCGACGTTTGCCCTTTCCTCGCCGACGGTGGATAATCTGCTTGCGCGGAATATCGACCTTGCGAGGAAGAATCTGATCTTGCTGGGTGAGTTTGTGGCTGAGTTCGCGGACGTTGTCCAGTGGGTGAAGCCGCAGGGCGCGACGACGGCATTCTTGCGGTTTACGAGAGAAGGCAGGCCGGTTAATGATGTCGAGCTGTGTGAGCGGTTGCAGTACAGGGTGGGAGTCATGTTTGTTCCTGGGAGTGGGTGCTTTGGAGAGGATGGGGATTTCAAGGGGTATGTTCGCGTGGGGTTCGTGCCTGAGCACGAGGTTATGGTTGAGGGGTTGAAGGCCTTGAGAGAGTTTATGGTGTCTGAGTATCGGGATGTGCCTGTTATTGTTTGATTGGGATATTGCGTATACTCGAATAAGACAATAGATGACCAATCCAAAGGCAAAAAGTCGATATCCCAATGTGATATATCTCAGTTAACAGCAAGTGTAGGTAGGACTTTGCACCCCATCTTTGTATCTAGATTGCCCATTCGCCCCTGAATAATTCTTCGTTTCCCCGGGCAATCTTTCTTTCACCCGGTACGACGTAATGGCAGCTGTCTTTTTTGACAAGAAGATTTTGGGAAGTTGACAGATGCTCACGGCCCACCAATGCCTTGGCTTCTCATCGAGAAGCCTCTCCCTGGTGCAGACGTTCACCTCCGCTCCGTCGTTCGCGACTAGTCGCATGGGTATGCCATGAGGATTCTGCGTGCGCTGGCCCTAGTGCTGAAACCGTGTGTCAAGGTACTAACAGTCTTCCCGCTGTTTTTCAGGGGAGAAGAATGCAGCATGAAACCTCGGGCCTTGGAACAGCATTCAGAAACGAAGATTAATAAGATATGTGTTATAGACCGACTTCTAAGCCTGCCTTGTGTAGTGGACGGGAACAAGATTGGTAAGGAGAAGGTACAGCATCCGCTAGAAACAAATGAGAAAGCACAAAATAGCAATACACCGAGAAGGATACAACGACAGGAAACTTGTATACAAAACATCCCCACATGAGAACTGATTAAATTATCCTTATATTAAACAAAAAAAATCCATCTATTCCAGTCAAAAAATGATACTTCTCTTGTTTGCTTTTTTTCTTTTAGACCTACATTACCAAGTGTAGATGAAAATCTACAAGCTATTAGATCTCTGTATCTGATAAGAATGCCTCACCCCTAGATCATGCTTGATATGATCCTCCGTAAGCCCATCCCTCAAATCCTTCAAATACTTCCCAAACTTTCCACTCACCCTGATCGCCCGACTAAGATGCCTGTACTGAAACTTCTCCCCTTTAAACTGCGCAAGCTGCCGCGCAATCGTAATCGCATTGCGAATCTCTCGCCCATTGATATCCTCCCGACCCAACTCATCCAGATGATCTAGTATATCGTCAAAGTCTACATTATCTGTATCGACAGTCTTAAGTCTGTTCATGAAGTTGCGCCAGATCTTGCGACGTTGTGGGTATGTGAGGTTCTCGTAGTGCAGGGAGAGTTGGATGCGGGATTTGAATGCCTCGTCGAAGGTGCCGACGCGGTTGGAGGTTAGAATTAGGATTCCGTCGTAGTATTCCAGGGCGCGGAGGAAGACGGAGACGAGCGCGTTGCGGTTTAGATCTCGCACGTCGCGCTCTTCCAGGAAGACGTCGGCTTCGTCTAGGAGGACAACTATATCAAAGGCATTAGCCGGGCTCGGGCCAAATTGAGATCTGGCTAGGCTGTATGTATGTGATTAAAGCCTTACCACAATCCCATAGTTTCCCTAAGCGAAAAGCAGCTTGCAGATACTGATCTACGGCCGTCGCCTCAGTACCGACATCACCACAGGTGACGCGGAATAGAGGTTTCTCAGCAAACTCCGCAACCCCCTCGGCGGTAAATGTCTTCCCGGTGCCCGGTGCCCCGTGAAGCAGCAGTATCAAGCCATTCCCTTTACCACTTATTGAATCTGTGGACTTCCGAGAAGCGATTTGTTTGGTTACTAGTGCCTGCACTAGCTCTTTGATTTCCTCGTCGACGACGAGATCTCGAAACGCTTGCTTGTTCCAGTCTATGTCGTATATGTAGTCGACATATAGGTCGGCTGAGTATTTCATTCTTAGTTAGCTTGAGGGCTGAAAATATAGGTAGAGACGACATACCCCAGTATTTTCGCAGGAGGTTGTATCCCGGAATAACTGGTGGGAATAGCAGCAAATGATAGCCTCTGGGGGGCTCATCATTAGCCATTTCCCTTTGGTCCAAGTCAGCTCGTAGATGTTTTTTGTTTAGCTTGGAACCAGGCTGCAGCTTTTTGTATGTCCGGATATCAACCATATACCGATCCTCTGTCTGTTCCTGGATCAGCGGGGACGTTCATAGAGTCAACCCTTAGATATACGCACGTTGTCCAAACCATCATTACTAGGCTCTTTGTACGTGACGTATTTTCTAAATCGCAGTGACCAGAAAGTAATGCCTCTGCGCTCTAGAAGCCCGGGTATATCCGACGGCGTGTGGTTGAGGGGCACATAATCCAAGTATTTGATTGGGACAGTCTCACTCTCATACTCGACACTCATGGTCAGTAACAGGGAGGTTTCTGTTCTTTCAAAATTCCCGTCAAAGCTCCAGTGAGCTACAGGAACCGTCCAACTATACGTGAGCCGCTTGCTATGATGAGACTTGCTGTCCGGGTTCGAGGTGCCTTCTTCTTTCATATAAGCCAGTGCTGCTTCGTAGTCTCCTTCCATGGCGAAGAGTGGTCGAGCCCAGTCCAATGCCACGTAGGCTTGAGTGTTTGGGCCCGCTAGATTCACCAAGACGTCCCCGGGCTTAATAAGATACTGCAGTAGACGACTTGACGTAAGACCCTCGGACTCGTATTTTCTGGCGCTGGCGTATTCCAGCCCGTGACTGGAGTCAATGCACTTGTACAGGAGGTCAAAGAGCTTTTGGCCTTGCGCATCTAACTTGCTCCGGGCGTCCCCCATAGACGGTATCGAGTAGAAAATAAACAAGTACGGGCTTTGGATTTTCGCTCGCGGATCAAACTCCGGGAAAAAGAATTTGAAGCCCGGTACGTTCTGCACAAAGTCTTCCACAGCATTGATCATTGCCGAAGCCACAAGAGTCAAGGTCTGTTCCTCAGGAATCGCGGTACGAAACACCCCATCGCTTCTTTCCAGAACGGATGGGTCCTCCGGCACTACCGATGAATAGCGTTTTATTATGTAGAAGGCGATTTCCGGGTGCTGGTCGATGTAGTAGTCAATGTTTCTGATGGGGTTGGTCGAGCGCAGCACTGGGCGATAGTCCCCTGCTTCCCAGTGTGGCTCGTCCAGAAAGTAATTCTCTTTGTTGAGGCAGTAAAATACCTGAGGGCGATATGAGAGGGGTGCAGGAGCATCGCCGAGCCAAGGCCCAGAACCAGACCTCAATCGCTCATTCTCAGCACGCAATGCCTCAACATCAAGCAGGAGCTGATCTACGTCAACTTCGACTGACTGAGAGTCCATCAGTAGCCGCTGCCGTCTGCCGCGGTGAGACATTTCCCTTGGAGATTCCCTGAAAGACGAGCCCGAGTACTCGTCACCAGACCTTTCGCTAAAGGAGGAGCTATTCTCTTCCAAAGGGATCCTGCTCTCCTTAGTCACACGCACCCCATACACAGGCAATGAGGTTGAAACCGACGCCTGTCTATCATTCTCCATTGCCGGGCTCGCTAAGACTGTAGCGGACTCAACTTCAGGACGGCTGGCTTTCGCGGAAGTCTCGTCCCTCGAGATCCCAGAGGGGCCTGAAAGCGGAAGGAAGTCATTTCGCTCCTCGTTCGAGCGTGAGCTGACTGGGCTGACTGGGCGCAACGGACCATCACCAAGCGGGGCACGCTCTCGATACCTTGTTTTATATGATGGGCGGGAGATTTCGTGAAAAAACAGAGCGTCTCTGTTGCTTCTGGGCGGCATTTCCCAAGTGGTATAGGCTTGAATGATCTAATGTTCTTCTTTTTTGTGCGAATGATGAAAGTGAAGCAGTGGAATGGTTGAAGTTTGCTCCGAGCTGCACGTGCATTGATCCAACACCACCTGACTGGACTGCCCCGCCATCTCACGGAGCAAATTAGGTAAAAGTTCAGTGCACTGCTCGAGCACCTCGATTGATATGTTATCTATATAAAATTAAAGCTTAGAGGCTGTTAAAACAAACATGTGGGGTCATGAATTTTAGGTTAGATATAATTAATAGTAGTACTGTAGCATCCCTAGTACTTGGTAGCTATTAGCATATCCGTAGTAGGTCTAGTCAATATATTGGCTAGAGTACTGTTATGGGGCAGATGGCATAATTTAGCATTCTTGTATTTGAAATCCTCTTTATTAACTACTTGTAAGCGGCGAGGTCGGATCAGTGACGGATGCCAGTCGGTCCTCACCCGCGGCGAGGTCCTAGCAAGCAACGAGATGTCGAGCTACAAAGGATGTACGAAAAAGGAAGGAGAAGCTGTATGCTAATTGATTCAGAAACGAATCGCTGGGGGTCAGGAAGACCAGCGATTGCAGGGGTCTTTTATGTACCGCGATGCCAAGAGAGTTATACGGGAGTTGGCCCAAAGGGGTTAGGCCTAATCAGGTCGGATCCCGGGCTGCCTGAGGCACCCGCTGTGACTACTAATACTTCCTCCGCCGTACGAGCAACGTGCCCCTTGGAACCGAGCGCCCTAGTAGACGCCGACTATGAGCCGGAATGACAAGCTGATGCTGCTCAGCAAGGCGTAGCTCCATTTGAGACTCGAGAGCTGCGCTAGTTGTACCCGCGACAAGGACTACTTTCACCCGTGTCCTGCACTCGCGCTTGTTTAGCGTGCCAAAAAGCCAGAGAAAGGCTTCTACCCAGGAAAATTGTTCGGCGGTACTGACTTCAAGTAGGATGTAGATCATAGGCAGTGACGATACGGCTCTTCCAAGCAAATCCATCCATTGCATGGGACTTTGGGTGTCAGAAATCTGCGCGCAACACGTAGAAGCGTCCTTCTCAGTCCGCAACGATTTGCTCAAGTGCAGGGTCTGACACACGAGATCTTGGAGAACATCGGTTGTTGGCAATGTATTTGGCCCAGGACATGCAGTGGATTTGTGAACCTGCAGTGTCCAAATGACTGGTGAATTTTGCCTCCGGACCAATTCGATGAAGTCGACACAGAAGGACCGTATCGCATGGTGGCTTTTATAATCGCCTTTGATGAAGACGAGGTCGTTCTGGTTATTCGACTCCCATTTTCGGAATCTCGGATGGAGCCAGAATTGGCCAATGTCTATTAAATCGGACCTGGCCTGCCTCGTGTGTCTTCTGCTAAGCGCAGCTGCGAAGCGTAGGGACTGCAGAGGGTCTACACTCTGTTGGCTTGATATAAATTGAGTTATTTGGTCGCTTTGGACTTGAGTAAGCGGTAAATTCGTATCCAGAGGCATGCAGTAGTCTAGAGATTGGCACCCTATGAGTAGAAAGGAAACGTTTTAGCAGCTGCCCGTGTTCAAGAAGTTCCCATAGCTTACTTTCGCAAATACCACAAACAGGTCGCTGAGCCTGCACGCGCTGATCGGCTTTGCGGTCCATAAGAGGCCGGACCTTAATATCATCACTGAAATTCCGCATTTGATCAGGCTCACTGCAAGAAGTTGCGAACAAGAGTTCCTTCGCATACGCAGCCGCAACAGAAGCCGCATATCCCTGCCAGTTCTTATTCTTATGAGAGTCAGCATAATCGCAGATCCCGCGGATGACCAAGCAGGGGAAGTTATTCATCAACCCGGCTGCCTCCATTTCAACGCACAGGACTCCATAGTCCCGGCCCAGCCTATCCCGGAATTGACTGTCTTTAACCACCTTATTTCCTGATGCAATGAGACCGTAGTGAACGACCGGATGGTCATTGGCTCGCTTAGGCCGAATAACGGTCTCCAACGGATCACATCGATCGCACGAGTCCCTCGATTTAGGATGCATATAGCTAGCTTTGAACAGCTGGTCCAGGCGCCCTCCAGCAACACTCGTATATTTAGCCTGCATCGAGGGATATTGGTCCCTTACCTCCTTGAGGAAATAAGGGATACGACTCCCGTTGACATCATAACTGGCCTGTAACTTCGTAAGCGCAGTCAAGAGTATCTGAGGTGGCCGATTCAACATCCCCGTGCGCTCGAAGCCGCCGCATTCAGATTCACCGGCAACGGCCACAGCCTTGCCATAATCATACTGCATCACCCCACCGTGCGTTCTTGTCGGCTTGCTAACCACAATATCACCAAGACGAACATCTGTTGTTTTGCTGGGCACTCCGCCACCAATACCGACAAGGAGACCAAAGCGCACGCAGTGGAAAGTCGACAGTAGTTGGACAGCAACGGTAGCGGAAGAGACAAGGCCATATTCACCGCTGGGTAAACCGGCTATCACGATGTTGTGGTTGCCCATCTTTCCGAGAATATAGGCGTTGTGGTCGTTTGGTTGCACAGGGAGGTCTTCGTGGATTTCATCGAGCATGGCTTGTGCGGCTGCCATTTCGAGTGGTAGGGCGCATAACCAGCCAACTTTGTAGTCATTGTGGGCTAAATTCTTAGCGGTTGGCATCATGTATTCGTTCCTTTGTTCCTTCTCTCTTTCTTTATCTCTTGGAAGTTTCGACACAGAGGAAGAAACTGTGTGTGATTGCTGAGAGCGAAATTTGGGTCAGTCTGTGTAAAGCGTATACCGATGTTGCTTATTGCCTGACAATCATGGATCATCCCACTTATCACTCACACTGAGTTAAAAAATATTGGACCAAGAGCTTGTAATGAAAATTTGGTGAATGGCCATCGAATTGTATTCTCTTGATCTCTGATCTGATAATGTATGTCCAGTGCATATGTATTTACCCCTCTTGGGGCTCAAGCACAACAAGTTCACGTGATATCCTAACTTGATATTGACTAGCTCCGCCTGACAGACAGCATGACGAATGCTGCATTGATTTTTTTTATACAGTCCTGATATATCATAAAAGGAAGAGAGCCATAAATCCTTTCTTTACTAACTACAATAGCTAAATTAAGACCGGCACACCGCTATCAATGAAATATAAGAATAACACCCCCAACTATTAGCCCTTATGTACGTAGGAGAGCAGTATTACCCCCTTTTTTGGTTGAACCTAATATAGACCTCGATACAAGATCTATTCAATATGAATAAGCGCTGGCAATAACGGCGTCAATTGGGATAGCTATTCATAAAGTCTAGAGATGAAATGTTCCTTCTAGGCCGGATCACCCGCGAAGGCCTTGCCCATCATTGGTGTTTCCACTCACGACGGACACACCGCGTTGACGCGGATGCCGCGGGGGGCGTTATCTAGGGCTTTACTAGACCATTAGCGCATTTAACTCTCGTTGGAGCAGCGATAGATAGGAACTGGAGTAGGGAGTGATACCGGCAGTCTTAGTAATCCACAAAACAGCATGTTTAGCAGCGGTATATTACACAATAGCAGGCATTGCAACGAAGGCATTCGCCGGCGCCAGATTGACAATGCTTCCGCGGCCGGTATCGCGTGGCCCTGCTCGGGTTGCAATGGTGCAGCGACCCTGGTGGTTGGGACCAGCCGCGACAAACCTGGTCCTGTTGGCCAGGCAGCTGCTGGGCACGCATCCGGGAGCAGAGCGTGAATCAGGTGGTCGGCCAATAGCAGTAACGCAGTCTGGACTCTCTGAGCATGTCTCACTCTCATGATCTGTCGGGGAGATTGCAGTAGCGTTGGGAGAGAGACCGGTGTGGAATCGGTCTACGGCCCAAGCTGAAGGGATCTTCACCGAAACCAGGGTGCATGTAGCTCTCACTCCGACACGAGCTCATCTCCAACCCAATCGAAAGAGATAGATATACCACCAGGTCACAAGCTTCAGTACGGCATCAGAAAACAGAATCTACTATCGGTCAATCTTGTACGTACAGCTAAGCAAAAAGTAAAGAATTCCATAAACCCAGAACCTCCCTGCCTATTCCTCCAAGCCCAGGAACTCGCGCCACCTTCGCAAGCCCTGCAAGTCTCCTTCCACCGTGTCCAGCAGGTCCTCATCGACCCAGCCTTGGGTAACACCCCCTTCGAAATCGATCAGCCATGCCTGTCGGTCGTCATCGATCAAGATGTTGGCCGGCTTCACATCCCCGTAGGCGAAGCCATGGCGATGGAAGCCATCAAACGCAGCAGAAATTTCGTCAAACCATTGCTGACGCTCAGCAGTAGTTGCTTGAAGTCGATGTGCAGAGTCTCCAGAGCAATTGAGATCCGAGAGATCAGAGGAAGCTGGAACCAATGTCATCAGGAGTCCGCCCCATATAGTATCCGCGCCAATGACCCCTACAAGTCTTGGTGCCCGGATGTTCAAAAGCTCAGCCCCTTGTAGACCGGTCGTTTCCCGACGAAGGGAGTAATACGTTTCCGCCCTTTTGTATATCACGGTTTCCCCATCGATTGTAACCTCGTAGACCCGTCGGGTGAGTTGGCGGAACTTGGTGACATCTGAGAGTTGGTAGATGCGGCCCCCAAGATGCGAGACCCTCTTCTTCATGAGGTCCCAGTCGATGGGCTCGGGCATCATGTCGAAGCGAAAATCCGGGTACGGTTCGAGCGTTTCGGCACCGGAAACCACCCTCAAATAGATCTCTGCGCGCGACAAGAAGGACTCAAAGGTATCTACCGGAGGTTCTGGCGTGGTCTTGACAAGAAGCTGTCGAACGAGCGGTTCCAGGAGGTGGGCGATGGTTTTGTACTCTCCTCTCGCAAAGAGGCCGATGCAATCCCCCGCGAGCGTGTGGTCCTGGGTCTGGTCGTCATCGGGCTTGTCGAAGGCAACAATGTAATCAGCTCCGTCTGCTGTGAAGACGATGAATGCAGCGTTCAAGACGCCGTGGCGTGCTCGGTGGCCGGCACGAGACAGGGTAAGAGCGCAGTCGTCGCGCGGTGCGGCAGCGGAGGGCGAAGCGGGCATCTTGAACCAGATCTCATCGAAATTGTCTAGGAGTAAACAATTTTGCTTAGCAAAACGAGCATAGAGGGCAGCTAGCTGGGACACCTACCCCAGTAACGCTGGTCGGAAGGCTCCGCGGAAGGAATGCACTGTTTGGTCTTGCCATCACTTGCGCAGGAACCCTGGTCATCTGCGGAGTCTACGGGCTCGACGGACGCTCCAGGCGCCTGGTGCTCCACCTCCGGATCACAGCCGTCGCAGGTCTGGTCTTTGATCGAGCTGGGTCGTTCTGTTGGATCTTCCGGACTGTTCAGAGGCTCGACAGAAGCTCCAGGGGAATGCTCGTTCGCCTCCGGTTCACAATCGTCGGAATGTTGAGTTTCATTCGAACTTGATCGTCCCCTCGAGTCGCGCGGACTGCCTGGAGGCTCGATTGCCTTCCTCTTGCGCTCCTTGCTAGTTGAGCGCTTGACGTCGCCGAGCGCGGGTGAAGGGGCTAGAAAACCAGGTATAACGATTAGTCTGGGCAGGCGGCCGGGTGAAGCTCCGCGCGACATACCGTCTGTGGTCTGGTCATCAGATCTTTCAGCCTCGGGGGACTCGCGGGTCGGGGCAGGGGAGCGGATTGGAGAAGCGGTTTTCTTGGCCATGATAGAGAATGTAGGTGGTGGATAATCAGAATAGATGTGAAACCAATTTGATAGAGAAGGAAGTAGGAGACGGTGTTGGATATAGTTGTAGAAGACGGAGGGTAGATGGGGGTTTGGATGGTCACTCGTGGCCAGCGTTCTTTGTCGATAGAGATCTCGAAAGAGAACATGGCTGCAGTCAAAGAGTAGCCAGGAATAGTATTGGTTGCTTTGTTTCACCTGATTCTCTTTCGTCTTCCTCTTTTTGGTAATACGTCAACTGAAACACAGCCATGGAAACAGGAAAAGAAAAAGAAAACAATAATAATAGTAATAATAATAATAATAGTAATAATAAAAGTTGAGGACGAGGAGGAACTCTCAATTACCACTGTCTCAAAGTGGACTAACAAAATAGATAAAATATATATACTAAAAAAAAAAAAAAACCCAAAAAAACCCAAAAAAAACGGGTGTAACAATAAGGCTGCATAGTCTCCTGAGCCATTATTACCAGCCCCTGTTCGTACACGTATTGCCAGCGTAGTCTTCATCCGTTTGTCTCGCGTATTGCTCCCACATCAAGGTCCAACCCCGGTCGGTTCGAACCTGCTGATGGCGGCCCTGGAATGCGGTTCTTAGATTCTGCAGTCGTCTATATTTGCATTGGGCTGTCCTCAGCCTCGTCAGGGAGATGACCCTCTCTTTGGCCGCATCTGGAAACTTTAACAAATTCGACAACCCTACTGTTAATTTGACAAACAGCTATTATCACCTTGAATGCGGCCTTCTTCCCCATCATCATGCAACTTGGATCCCTAAAGCTATGTGACACGAGTCCCCAAATAACCCATCCCCAGCATCGCAAGCTAACAAGTGCAAAGAGAATCTTCATCCTCGTCGTCTTCCCAACCCATCGCCACCCCATCGCCGTCTCCGGCTTGTTCGAATACACCAGGCGGCACTGAAGATCCTCGTCCTCAATCCCTTCATTGTCGTCGCCACCGACCTCGCCTTTGGGGCCGTCCCGCAAGAACGATACCCCATGGCAAGAACTGACAGGATGGACAAGGCTTCCTCAGCAGCTCCAATAGTTCCGGGAACATGGTCCTGCTTGTGATGCTCGCCATCAGCGCTAATACCTTTTCAGGACTGCTCGCGAGATGAGCTCAAGCCCGGCTTCTCTGTCGCGCACGCCGTCTTCCTCATCCCCACTCGCGTCGCAGTTTCCTTTGTCGCTTCTGTTGCGCTCATTAAGATCTTCAACTCGCCAATTCATGACGATTCCCTCGGCAGTAGCGGCATCACAGCTCCCTGTTGCCATCGCGATCGACCAATCCGGAATCATCGGCCTCGCAGATTTCGTCAACGTAATCATCGTCTTCGCCGTCGCGCCCGTCGCAGCGGAGAGCGTCTTCATCGCATTCCAAATTCTGCAGTCCATGAACAAACCACAAAAGGCCTGATCCCCGCCTGGGATGCAAAAAGTCGCCCCGCGCGGCCGGCACACCTCGCTCGCGATCACCACAGTATCATCTGCGTCACACTCACATACATCAGCCCCAGCGAAGAGATCGTGGAGGTGCTCAGCCCACTGGCGCAGATCGCAAGCCCCGGGTACTTTACGGTGTGGTTCGCGATTGGGTTACCCTCGTCCCAGTCCCCAGCTGCCCGGATTCGCCTTTTAGCCACATATACTTGTGCGCTCGGCTTGTGCGTGGTTTGGCCCACTCCGCCGGTTTGGTTCTTTTCAATTCTGTGTGTCATCCATTGGGACGTCGCCGTGTCTTGCGCTTTATCCTTTTTATGCGGCCCCTGCCTCTTCCACTCCTCCCTGTTCCCCCTCCAACAATGTATCACGCGCTAATGATATACAGGGCTCCGCTTTACCCACTGCACGACTTTTCCCGATACATGGTTGGTCTGCTGCGCATCATCGCAAGCGAGATCGTGTATGAGGTGGTCTTGCGGTCAAAGTCCCGGGCCTCGCTCACGGCGGGTCTGCACACAGGGCTGAGGAGGGTTGGGAGCTGCGTGAGGATGTGGGTATTTCACAGTGGAAGAAGTTTAGTTTGTTTGTGCAGGTGTGGTAGTCATATTATAGGTTTTAGGTAGCAATGGCGCCCGTCCTATGAAGTCGGGGAGCAACCATACCAGCTGTATTGAAGTATGCCAGTGCTCAGAAGCCAAAGATGCTTGGTAGAAGCAATTTCCATGACCGAATATATAAACTCGGAAACCTTTGGCCGATTAGCTTTACCCAGCGACATGGCTCTAAAAACCCTATTCCTCGGGGGATTCCTTTTCTTGCTGCTGACTATTACGACAAGCATGACTTGCGTGTATTAGATTTTTGGTCGATGATGTTGATAAAGACCTCGCCGAATCTCTAGTGTTGGTCCAGAGACCATATTCAGACTGCTGCATTGCACTGACAACCTCCCGCCCTCAGCTCGGAGAACCGTTGTAAGTACAATCGACAATCAATCCTCAGTCGAGCAATAACATAAACTGAGATCGAAAACTGAACCCAGGTTTCTGAAAGGTATTTCTTGGGATTGTAAGGCTGGGGTGGGTATCATGGCGAGAACCAAGTGGCAGATATCTCACTTGACACGCTTGCACTGCCATATGGATGTGAGCTAGGTACTGGTCTGTTTCTCTTTCAACGGGTCACCCACCACCTGGGCACCTCCTAAAGATCCCAGAAAATTGATGGAGGCCAATGAGAACCCCGCGTTGCCCCGGATTTCGTATTGAGGGCGGCCAAGTCCACTAGCCAAGACCGTTTTCGACAGACGGGCACTGGCTCGCATCAGCCCAGCCCTAACTTCCGCCCTTTCGCGCTTGGCTACAGGTCACAACAACGAACTGATTCGCTGGCCTCTCCAGTGTGGACTGGCAATCAACTTTTCCTCGCCGATGAGGCTCCCCGGCAACGTTGTCTCACCTTCTAAACGTCCTATAAAATGCCCGATGACCCTGCCTCCGTCATTTGCTCCTCTTCTTGTATCCATTTTTTTCAACGAGTCTATCTCAAATCCTCCGAGCCCGCCCGGTCAAAAATGCACAGCATACTCACCCGCACTCTCTCCTTCCCCCTCCTCCTCCTCCCGGCCACGGTCCTCGCCCAAACCTCAGTTGAAGACCTCATCAGAGACCTTCTCCCAGGGTGCGTACACTCCTGCGCACTGGACACCATGGAGTCCCTCTACAGCTGCAGCCTAGACGACGCTGCATGCTTCTGCGAGGGCGACGTGACCACGCTCACCGTGCTGGAGGAGTGGCTCCAGTGTCCAAACTCGAACTGCGATGAAGAGGATATCCGGGCTATGATGCTTGGGCCTGAGGATATTAATAATCAGTTTCGGGGTGTTTGTGATCGTGTGGATACTGGAAGTGGTGGTGGAAGTGACACTGCAAACGAAAGTGATTCTGGCGATGAGACGAGCAGCGACAGCGACAGCGGAAGTGGTGACTCTGAAGAGGAGACCAATGAGGAGGTTTCTGAAGGTATATTTTGTTTTAATTTATCTTATTCGTGTCCCCCTGACACCAGACGCTGATGAAATCTAGACGGTGCCTCGACCCTCTCGTCTGCGAACATTCTCCTCGCTGCTGGGGCTATAATTCTCGCCGCATTCTTGTAGATGATGGAGTGGACATGACGGCGGCCTGAGAACCTGTTCTTGATTGTAGACATGCTGAATCCCGATATATAAGTGTGCTTAAAGATGGACGGTGTAATGCGGAGTAGGTAGTACATCCATCTCACTAGTCTTGCGGAAGTGGATCCATCTCTCAATAAATATTTACTCCTTATACATGATTCGTGGATGGCAGCACTGTCACTAATATTACAGATATATCTACTAGCATGCCACTTCATACCCCTCCTGTCGCACCAAGGCCTTGATAGCTGCTTGGCCCGCGGCTCGAATAAGACACCACGGCTTCCTTGGACAAAGAGACATTTGCTAAGAAACAAGGGCCCTCAATCTATGTGGATCTTTTAATGAACAGCTAGACCCCTCTAGCCTATAATGAGACGTGGAGACCAGCCGCGCATGGTTTCAGAAGAATCAATCATACATAGCACTCTTGTCAACTGTCACAGAGTCTCGCCCTTGAATGAAATATTCCGCGTTTCCCAAAGCCACACAGCCAGAAAGTACGCCTCCGCCGTCAGACGCACTCTTGGTGAGCCAATGTCCCAAACCTCGCCATTGTACAAACGTTATTGCAACACCAGGCACAGTCGCGCCAAGTGCACCAACTGGCTTTTCGCTGGAGATGGCAGTTTTCTAGTCAGGGTGTCAGAATCAGCAGTGCTTGTCGCTAGTCACACGACACCGCTACAAGCGTATACCACATACGGTTGATATCGATGGGTTGAGAAAGTACACCCCCCAAGAAAGATGCGCCGTTGTCGGGCGGGTCTTCGCAGCAGCTCCAGCAGTCGCCCTAGAGAAGTGCGTTGAAAGGTGCTACCAAACAGACATGGAGCAAGGTGCGTACCAGGTTTTCAGGACGCTTTATGGACGAATCCAGTTGAGTAAGTAGATGTGGTGATAATGTAGTGAGTTTGTGGAGGATAGAACCTCACCATATGCTCCAAGAACGAGGGCTTGTGGTCGTAGCAGCCGCGTAAGCAAAGTTTCTACATGTACTGGGTGTCGCGTATAAAGTTCCGCAGAGCATGCAAGTTTCCAGGCATGGCGAGGGTGAGTAGTCGGAATGGGAGGGTAGCTAGCACGAGGGAGAAACGCATTTTTTCAATTGGAAGAGGTAGCAAACTTTGACTCTAGTTGAGGCTAGTGAGATAAAGAGAACTGGAATAGGTTACAGCTTTGAATAGGGAGGAGGTCTTTACGATATAAGAGTAAGAGTAAACCCTATTATGACGTGTAGGTAATGTGGGACATTCCGGCTGGGATTGAGATATCAGAAACGAGCAGGCACAACTTGGAGACCAGAGTCTCACGATTACGCGGAGTGCATCATCTGGCGGGAAGCTAGCGTCCAACCAGAGGGTCCACTATTGGACGACATTGCGATGATGAACCGGGGCCGTATGCTCCTCTACTGCCATGTGTTGTAAGTTTGAGACATGTCTGTCCATCCTTCATATCTGCTTGCACCAAGGGAATGATAGTCTATCGGATGCTTGTGAGCGCATGACTCAACCCTGTTTTGGAGGATATCCTGCGAGATTGGGGTAATTCTGAACCGTATGTCTCCCAAGCGGTTGTGTATGTATGAATTCACCACTCCAATGCAGGTTACTCGGTCGTCCCGGGGGATGGGCAGACAGTGCTTGACTTGGGCTTGTCTGCCATGATGGTCGGCGCATGGCATTTGTCGGCGTGGTCCTCCATAGCGGCAGAATTGCTCGCATCGAGAGGTTGGCCCGCTTGTTCATCTTCCGGGCAACGTCCAGTCGTTTGACCGACCTTGTACCCTCTGGTTGTCCATTGTTGTTGAGTCAGACTAGGGTACCAGGCTTCGGCAACGTAGAGCAATACCGGCTCGACGAATGCTCTGATGGATCCTCGTACGGGGCTAGGAAGCAGGCCGTGCTTCACGTTGGATAGCCCCTGTAAGTGGAAAGCTAAGTCTTCGGGCCTTGGTTGTCCACTGCTCGACGTGGGTCTTAAAAGACAACGTGCTGTCCCGCCTCATCCTTAGCCTATCGCATGGCCTTCTCAGGGCGCTTCTTAATATCGCCGTGGTATACCGGCGGAATTATTTTGCAGGGGCGTCGCGAGAAGTGCTTCACTTCCGTCCCTGGGTCGAAGGCTATTCCGTTTGAGGCACCCCATTTTCACAAGTTCGCCGATGTGGCTTGAAGCCCGGTCAGCAGTTTCTGTCAAGGAATGTCCTGTACAGAGGATGGCGGTAGTGTCTGCGTAGCCGAAGTAGCCCTCCGGGTTGCGTAGACGATAGACTGGCTCGGTGGACAGGAGGAAAGAGTGCTGGCGATGTTGCTGAGCCTTGGCGTAGGGTTCCATGCATACCTAATTGGGCAGTACTATGGGGACTGTGGGCCTATTGGGGGTCAGCTATTGGCTGCCCTGATGCTATTTGGATAAGCTCTCTCAATCAGCTTCTGAGCACACCATCGGCGAAATAAATTACGTGTACCTGAATGAAGGCCGTTAAATACCACCACGGACCTTCAACCCGCACTCCAGCCTGCCGGGTGCTGCGTGACCTGCCGGACACGAACCAACACCAGAGACGTGACTGCAAAGGTTAACCCCGGACCTGACGATTGTTTGTGGCAGTGCCGCCTGGGGGAGGTAGCGCAGTTTGGCCGGAGCCAATCGACCCCTCCCGTTGGGATCCACGATACAGACACAAGGCCACGGACACCTCACGGTCGGAAGGATCCAGTGGAGACGCAAGTGAGGTGACCACGAACAAGAGCTATCATCTCAGTGAGAGCACCGCCCGTTATCCGCGGAAACGTGGGGCGACTGCATGCCAGCTCTGCCGGGTCCGGAAGACAAAGTGCGACAATGCCCGGCCGGCCTGCGGGTTCTGCGCCCAGCACAAGGCCAAATGCGTGTATGGGAGCTCGTCGGAGGCACGCCTACCTTTTGATGCCGCTAGCGAGGAGATCTTGAGTCGTCTTAGTGCGATACAGTCGCTTCTCTCCCACGGCAACGCGGTTCCCCCGACCGCTGCTGGTAGTGCTGCTGGCGCCGCTGCTAGGTATGACCAGACGTACTCGATTGCTGGAACACACCGAGGCGTCGATCTCAAAACAGCCTCGGCCTCAACATCGGCAAGTGACATTTTATGGAGGCGAGAATATCCTGCGTCGACCTTATCGGCGACACGATGCGAAACACTACTACAGTGGCCAGTATTTGAAGACGTGGTTTCTGCCAAGGTATCGAACACCAAGTCGTTCCTCCTCGATTGTAGCGCTGATCGAGATGAGATGGTCGACCTCGCAGCGTCGGGAGACCGGCTGCCTTCAACCTCTGAGCAGGAGAATGCCTCAGAGGACCTCACAGAGAAGCACCAGGTTCATGGGGCCAATTTTGTCAATCTATGCTACGTATTCCTCTCGACGATACATAGGAGGAACCCGATTCTCGATGGGGACAGATTGATGGAATCTGCTCATCATGTTATGGCGCACGGGCTGAGATGGGATGCGAGGACCTGTCTAGTGGTGAGCTTTGACATGTGTTGTATATACCCGGACACCACAGCTGGGGACTGACCCTGACTAGCTTCTCGCTTCTGCTCTGGCCCATTGCGGCTCGTCCTGCTCTTTGGACGGCCGGGTCGAACTAACCGCCGAGGGTATAGAAGATGAATTAACACCAGAGGCGTACTACACAGAGGCTAAGAAGCGGATCGGCTTCTTACAATCGTCCATCACTGATATTCAATGCTTGCTGCTCGCCTCCATGTACGAAAAGGCAACCCTGAACATCATCAAGGCATGGGACTATATCAAGGATGCCTGTTCCCGCCTCCAAACATACCTGTCAAGTCGTCGCCGGGTGGCGCACGAGCAACAGGCCGATCATCTAGAGCCACGGATATTCTGGTCATGTATGAAGGCGGAAAGGTTCGTCCTCATAGCCATCGCTGCCCATGTTTTACTTGATCGGTTGTTGCTAACGTGCTGACTAGCGATCTAGTGGCAGAATTGCCGTTGCAGCCGAGTTGGATTGAGAACTTTGAGTACCCCTATCCGTTCCCATCTCCCCCGCAGAGCCTGGCCAAGGCCACCGGCCTGCGTTCGCCATCCAGCGGTTCAGTTGACTCAAGCGGAAGCAACCCTCGACAGGTAGAGGAGGAGGAGAGCTGGTTTTTTTATACTGCAGATATCTCCTTTAGGCGGATCCTGAACCACCATCTCAAGGTACTCTACACCGAAGCCGGTGCCGGTTGGATGGAAAACATAAACCTGGCTTTCGCCCAATTCACAGAATGCGAACGACAGATTGAAGTCTGGTAAGACTTTGTGTGTCCGATATGCAGACTACTCGTTCTTTTCCAGCTCGTTCCCATCAGATACACTTGCCTATGTACCCTTCTTTTAGAGCACGCAAGAACGTCTCTTCTTTGCGTTTAGAAGATTCGTATATTTATTACGGATATCAAGATTCTATGCTGATGCCCATATATGGTTCTTATAGGTACCACCATCTCCCATCCGTGATACGATTCAGTCTCGAAGGGCACCCAGAGAATGAACTTTCGGTGTTCCTTAAAGGCCGCTTTCAGGGTTGGCGCGAGCTTGTTCGTCGGCCCTTTCTGTACTACGCACTCCACCATGGTGGCGACGAGCCCGTAGACCCGCAGATGATGGCGCTGGCCACGGAGTGCCTTGGCATCTGCGCGTGTCTGATCAATCACTACTTTCCGCAGGGTCGGCACGGCGGTACATGTTTCATCTCCCGGAGAACGTTCACCTGCGCGCTCCTGATCCTGGCGGCCGTTTTTGCCAATCGACAGGATCTACAACCGCCAGATGACTGGCCCACCGTGCTACAGATTGCGATTGATATGCTAAAAAAGTGGGAAACTGCAGCAAGTGACATTGCAAGAATGCGTGTCGTACTTACTAAACTTGTTCATGAGGCACGCCAGGAAACAGGGATAGGGCCGACATGGCGATGAAGATGTCACGCTGAAGAATACTACATAAATCACAAATGCAACTACAATAGCAGGAGTGCTCCACTTTTGTTAGTTTGGCGTAATCGGCCGTCTTGACGAAAAATCCAGAACCCTCTACAAACCACAAACCATCTTTCGACAACCCGACGGACGATATGTGTCGCAGATTGACTCGGATCGAGGACAGTTTTTAACTATACAATTCAAAAAATGGCCCGCACCGCAGATTGGGTCTCCTAAAACACGGCGTCATCTCTATACATTCGAGCCACATCATGCCTGGGTCATTCAGTCTATTCACTCGGCGTTATATTTTAGGTCGTGTCGAGTGCGCGCCCGACTATTCATACATGTTTAACCATGCTGAAATTCTGCCCCGGGTCAAACATGCCCGTCTCTGAGTAGTAAATCTCCCAGTGTTTGATCAATCTCTTCAAGATTTCCGGTTCCGCCAGGGCAACATTGTGGATCTCGCCCGGATCACGAGTAACATTATACAGCTCCCACGTGTCACTACCTCTAGGGGCGTTCATGTAAATAGCCTTCCACGGCCCCTCCCGGATCGCACGGAGCCCAAATAGCTCCCAACCTGTGATCTTCTTGTCCTCGTCGTGGAACGAAGCAATCCGTCTGCTGAGGTGGGGAACCCAGGATGAGCCGCGCATAGGGACGATATCCCGACCACGGAACGGACTGCTAGGTGGGGGGACGCATGCGAGATCTAGAATGGTGGGCATGATATCCATGACGGTGCAGAAGGAATCCGTCTGTGAGAGGGTTGGGGCGACGGCGGGCGGAAAGCGTACGATGCAAGGGCAACGAATGCCCCCCTCGGTGATCCAGCTCTTGAAGCCGCGCGACGGCGCCATTGATGCGCACGCCCAGGCCGGGCCGTACCAAACATAGGAGTCTCTCATGCCGATGTTGTCGAAGCGGTTGTTGTAGTACTTGTCGATGACCTTGCCCATCGTTGTCTCCCCACCCATGAGCGGGACAGCTTCCAGCTTCGATCCCTCGGCCCCGTTGTCAGACATAAACAGGATGAAGGTGTTGTCGATTTCGCCAGACCTATCGAGATGATCGACTACGCGCCCGATGCTCTGATCCATGACATCGACCATGGCGGCGTAAACCTCCATCTTCCTAGCTGACGTGGCGCGCTCCTCGGCATTCATATGCTCCCACTCATGCTTCGCGCCCGCCGTCATCTCTGCGGGCTCGACATTTTCCAGAATGATGCCCAGTTCTACCAGACGTTTCAGACGCTTCTCTCTCAGTACGTGTGGCCCTTCATCATAGAAACCCTTGTACTTTTCTATTACCTGGCGGGGGGCGTGGAGGGGCCAATGCGGGGCGGTGAAAGGGAGATAAGCCAGCCACGGTTTCGCCTTGTCCGTCCGATTGTCGAGATATTCGACCAGTTTATCGGCAAAGGACGTACTGGAGTAAAAGTCGTCGGGGATGTCACGTTGGCGGTCGAGAAATCGGTCGCCCTCCATCCAGAAATTGCCGCCGGACATGGGTCCAAACTGGTCGGCGGCAGGGTCATCCAGCTGCGGCTCGTGGTTGAAGTGATTGCCACAGCCGTAGAGGAACGCGTAGGCCTCGTCGAACCCTCGAGAGCAAGGTGCCGTTTCTTTTGTCAAACCTAGGTGCCTGGAGCGACTCGCCATGTTAGATGGTGAGATAGCCAGCAAGACGATTGGGCTCGCATACCATTTGCCGGACATGAATGTGCCATAGCCGGCGTCCTGGAGCACCTCCGAGAGCGCTGCAACTCGGAAGTTCAGATATCCTTCATATCCTGGTTTACCATCGTAGCGGCTGTCCTTCATGAATTCTGCCATCTGACCGAGGCCAGCTATATGGTTATCGGTGCCTGAGAACAGCATAGACCTCGTCGGCGAACACGCTGATGCCGTATGAAAGTTGGTCAGTCGTACACCGGAGCTGGCCAATCTACCGAGGACCGGTGTCTCTATTTCCGAGCCAAAGGGCCCAATGTCGCTGTATCCGAGATCATCGGCGACGATGATGAGGAAGTTGGGCCTTGAAGCTTGTGTTTGGGACATCCTAACGTTTGCTTAACGTTTGCTTAATTGTATGCAGGCGAGCACTTGATCACGCCACTAGCCAGCGATGATCATAAGCTGGGAAGTAGAGGCGTAAAGTATTGCCCAGGAAACATCTTACGGCTCCGCTGCTGCTCTTGTACTCCGGTATTGTTAGGGAGTGGTTAAATTGTGCTCGCATCACGATCCGAAGAGCCGGGTGGAGCAGAAAATGATTCAACAAAACTTTAGTTTTGACGGGCGCTTTGGCTTTCCTAGAAGCCTTCCAATCATCGAAACCAATAACAATAGTAACGAGATATGGGCATAGGCCTATTACCACTATTAGTCCCAATGAAGAGGCTCAGGGCGACAACGCCGCTTTCGAGCTAGCGTCCCACAACACTCGAGCGCAACTAAATGCACTGCATAAAATTGCTCCCCGGTGCTCCCCGGTGCTCTTGTTGGCCCCTTAGCCTCCTTCGGGCCAGCGCCCAATACCACTCGAGCACGCAATTGCTCTTGGCAACTGAATCCACAGCATGAAACTGCTCCCCCTTGCTCCCCGGTGCTCCCCGGTGCTCCCCAGACCCCAGCAATTTAATCCATGAGGATAGAAGCCTATCTAGAAACCTAGGAACCTATCCGATCGATCAATTGGCATTTATCGTGGGCTCTCCCCTATCTAGCGGATTGCGTGCTTAGGACGTGGGGCGACCATGAGCATCTTCGCAGGGGCCTTGGATTACAAGCCAATCAGTGCTGATTACGTCTAAAATGACACAACGCGTGCCTCAATACACGACTTCTACGGCCTGTTGGGCATTGTCTATATAAGAGCGGTCGCTGAAACACTGCTGAGAGCAAGTATTGCGAGACTGCTGCGACATTCTACAGTTGGCCCAAGTTACCATTTCCTTCAACCACTCGAGATTTAGTAACAATGGAGCAAGCTACGCTAGTCCGCCCAACGAGCGGCTTCCGCCGTATTCACGCTCTTTTCGCAGTTGCTGACCGACCGAGTTGGCCGTAGGTATGTCTGCCATATTAACCCTAACCCCTTCCTCCCTTTTTCTCTCACAACACGCACGCACACTCCAACTATGTTTTTTTTTAAAAAAAAAAAAAAAAAAAGAAAAGAAAAAAGAAAAGAAAAAAGAAAAGAAAAAAGAAAAGAAAAAAGAAAAGAAAAAAGAAAAGGGGATACAGGTAGAGAAAGAAAGGTTTCTTTCTTTAGCGTGAAGTAAATTATTATTATAGTCATGGTGACTAACCTCCTACCAATGCAGGCCACTTTTACTTGTTGGCGGGGTGATCCAAGCCGCGGCTCTATTCACCATGGGCGGCTTAGGAACGATTGCCAACCCTGGCTACCCGGTCCGAGTTGCGATTGCAGTCATGACGACAATATTCGGCGTGGGCTTCTGTCTTGGCTGGGCCCCCATCTCACACATCGTCGCGGCGGAAATCCCCTCTGCCCGACTTCGAGACGCCACCTACTCTTTTGGCTCCGCGTTCAACATCCTGGTGCAGTTTGTCATCTCGTTCTGCATTCCGTATCTGCTTTATGCCCCATATGCTAACCTGGGCTCCAAGGTGGGATTTATATTTGGATCTTTCGCCGTCCTTGCCATCTTATTTTCTTACTTCTGCGTTCCAGAGTGCAAGGGCAAGTCGCTCGAAGAGATAGACGAACTCTTCGCCAGAGGTGTCTCACTCCGCAAGTTTAACGAGACGACCATGAGGCGAGTTGAGATTGAGGAGAAAATCTAAAGGGTGACAGAGCACCAGGCCTATCCCCGTATAATGTTCCACGTTCAAGCTTTAATGATTATGAAGCATATTGTTGTTGCGTCTAAGAATGCTGGCGAGCCACGATGAACCGCGTCTAGTGGGAGGAATTCTGTTAGGTTATTCCCTATATGAAGTCTTCTTATCGTGAAATCAAGGCACTCAAAGCCCCCACTGAGATGGTAGATTCCGCTGCAGAGCTCGAGTTCGGCGACTCTAAATGTGACGGTCAAAAAAGGGGAATTTACCATAATTAAAATTGTTGCAATATGGTCCGGCTAGGTGTCTGTTAATTGCACCAATAAAATATCTCTAAGTCGTTGCGCCGACAACACCTTCCTTGATCTGTTTAATGCATTCGAATAATAGCTGCCCACCCCAGAAGAAACATGAGGTGCACGAAGACACCGCCGTCGCAATAGCATGGGAGGATCAAGTCTACTGTCAAGGGCTCAGGGTGGCCGCTAGCAAACACCGTAACGTGCCGGGAGCCCGCGTTTCAAGCCACGAAGATCACACACTCCGTCACAGGACTGATCCCTAATATGGGCACTTAAGACCCTACAACTAGCTAGAAAATCAAGCTGCTCTTGACCCCTAATCCATGGTAACTTTCATCGCGACATGTCCCTTGCAATGTAAACAACTCACCGTCCCCTATTAGCACCAAAGCGTTCGCTGCCATTCCCTCGATGAATTCGCCCAATTCTTACATTGCACTGGTGAGCAAGATATATTCAAGATTGAACAGATTTTGTATTACCATTAACTTGGTTGGAATTATGGCTTCATCCTTATTGACCCAGGAGCCCTCAAGTTCCGTAGGACGCTGGCATGTTTCGAAACCATCGGGGAGCTTTCAAAGTTACTAGATATATATTTATACATAGTAATTAATTTATTAAAGGTTATATTTAATATAGTATAAAAGGGAGTAAAATGTAATATATTTTTAAGGGGGATTAAGCCCTATAAGGCCTTATATAATATTTATATTAACTTTTTTATATAGGATATTTTTTTTTTTAGTTTTTTTTTTTTTAATAAGTTACGCTGCCGGATCTGTATCGGCGAAAAGAACACTGAGATAGAGCGCCCTCCGCTCGCGCTCAGTTAACCCCTCCAACAACGAGCCAACCGATGCTTCGAAGGACGTGTCCAATTCTCAACGCACAGTGACCATGGCTATACAGACAGAAGGAGCGGGACCCAGTGCACCTATAGTGTAGTCGGGCGGATCGATAGCCGCATTATGCTGCGAGATGAAATGCCAGGCCTCGCCCTCACGGGAGAGGTTGTAATCCAGATCGTAGACGTAGTCCTCCTGGAAGAAGGCTGAGTGTGGATCGCGCCAGAAATTGGTTAGGCAGTAGGAGTATAGCAGAAACCAGAGGAGGAGACTGGAGAGGAAGATCCGCGACGCGCGCAGCTTGACGGTGTGTGCGAGTTGAGAGAGAGCTTTTTTTGGCCATGGTTCTTCTCAGAGGCAGATGCATCTTGGGCATCTTTCGGTGGACGTTGGACTTTGGGGGAAGGGACCAAGACTATTTAAGTAATAGACTATGCCCCGTAGAGTACCCTAGTTGTCACCATCTGTGGCTAGGGCTTTACTGCGTGCATTATTTAGTGCATATGGATAGATTAGGGCCGGGTACACTCATCAGACCCGTGTTATTGGGGTATCAAGCTCATTTAGTCAATCACCATTTCTACTTGGTCGAAGTACAAGCTGTCTGTGCTCATTCTTGGAACTGGTAACCCTCCTCAATCCCCTGCAGAGCAGGCCAAACTGTCACAGGCCAGGGCCCGCTCACGTGACCTTGGCATATTAACGCGGAGAACACGTGTGAAGAACTTCTCTTCTCCAAGCTTTTTGTAGAAAGTTCGTGGCCTAGTTAGATTGAATATAAATCTTACTTCATCCCTTCACAGAAACCTCCCACTTCGATGAAGCCGTGCAGCTATTTCTATCTTCTATTAGGTTGCAAGTTCGTCCTCTCTGCCTATTCTTGCCCCCTTGAATTGGAGCAGGCTGAACACGCTGAACCATGGATGATAGCGTAACAACTTCGTATGGGCTTTCGTTCAATGAGAGACTGAAGAAACAAAGGCTGCAGCATATAGTCTTTTTAGAGGTGGAACACGTGACTCCAAGGGCTCGAACGCCAATCAATTCAAAACAGCTGTGGTTGACACAATAGCTGCAGAGGTGCAAAGTGTCCCAGTTGATGATCGCTGCGCTCTGCTATTAGGTTACGAGGAGCAAATGGAGGAGATGTTCCAGAATATCAACCCAGGGCTATACAGGCGATTTGCTATCAATAACGCTTTTATATTTAAGGATTTATCTGACCCGGAACGCCGACAGATCCTTGATCTGAAGTTGATAATAACGTCCAGAGTCCTAATACCTGGTCGGATAGGCTTTAAATATCCAGCAACTCGGCGTACCATATCAAAGCTGAGAATGAAGTTTTCAGAAATCTCCGTCGCAGAGATAGCGTGCTGTGGCAGGCCAGCGATGTCGATATCGATGCGAAAGGACTTGATTTTGCGCCATAAGGATTGATTGATAGGAAAAGTGGCCCAGAATCTTTTGGAGCTCTTCGTGATATCTGCTGAAAAAGAAGATAATTTATCTGGAGATAAGAGTTGGAATAAATCTTTTTTGAATCTCGCAAAGGTCGGCGCAACAATTTTGAGTAGACGATAAACATGAACATAATAGATTCAGCAAACGGCCGCTTATATCCTCGAATGGGATTGATTTAGTTAAGAACTACTCTATAATCTCTATTCCGGTTAAGTCCCTTTCAGGACCAAGAATCAACCTGAGTTGCCTACCCCGTGAAACAACACCCTTCCTTAGATTGTCCATGTAGAGGAGATACGCAGGCATGTAAACTTTGACTGCGATAGAAACCGTAATTCATCAGCATTACATAATTTCAGTCTGATAAGAACCTTGAACGGACTTACTGAAGGCTTCAACTTGCTCATCTGTCATACCCGTACCCTTTAATTTTCGCAGCTGTTGCTCCTGTTCCAGCCTCCAGTGGAATACATTGTTCAATTCTGTAGGGTCAAGATGAATGAATGCCCCCCAATTTACCTTACAAGTGAACGCCGTCACTCCAGCACCGCAGGTATAATTTCCCAACGCTCTCTTCATGGATCGCAAGCTGTTGGAGCTGTGTTCTGATAATGGCGCAATGCTCGCTTTGCCTTCCGAAGACCGGCTCTCTCCAGCTGTAATGTGTGCGGCTTCTGCCGCAGCCTGCTCCAGGACTTCATCTAGGTCTTGATCGGGCAAACTCTGGAAGCCAACACACCACCCTTCAAATATCACCACGTCCACTGGTGCTTGAATTGTGGTCCATTTGCTTGGCGGATGTCGATCACCACGGCCGCCGAAGGCGCTCTTATCATATCTGGGTATCGCTACTGTCCGGCTGTTATTGGGGCAATTGATGCCTGCCAGTGCCTCCATAGTTCGTGCGGCAATTATAGTATCATGTGTGCCAGGTGGCCCGCGAACCGATACGAGTTTGTTGGCGGGATCAACTTCTAATAGGCGATCGAGATCCTCTTTTGTCAGGTAGAAGTCATCAACCGATAGTGGCACGACACTGAGTCCATATGGGCTTTGAGATAACGTGTGGCACAGAGCTTCGGCAAGGGTACTCTTGCCACTACCCTGGGGACCTGAGATCGCCAGGAAGAATGGTATATTAGAGCGTTTCTGCTTTTGTTCCTGTTTATGTTTCTTGAGCAGTGGCTGGAGAAATTCAATTGTGCAGGAGAGGGCGGAGCCGTAGTTGCTATTCGTGGGCATTGTTGTGAACAGTGGTCGAGGTATTCTTTGCTTGCCAGAGATGCGCTGATGTGTCTATTAGCCGTCCCCCGAATTGATAGTTATTCTAAGAGGCACTTACGAAAAGCAATTCGGTTGTAAGAGGGCAACTGCTTATGCAGGATAAATTTAGACATAGTTATTCATCTCTATATGGCCAATCAAGCGCCTGTCGAGAGAACTCATTAGCTCGTCTACTTCAATGGTACTTCGGTCACATGGGGAGAGAGCGGAGTACTGGATAGTAGGGCCGCGACTGCGGCTCATTGTTGAGCCGTATTCATTTTGGCTTATTGTTAGTCCGTTTTCACGCGACGTCGTGACTCCTCTGGTCATACCACCAAAGATTCTGCGACGGCACGGAAATTAGAGATTGCGTAGTTCCTTCAGCTCTTTCAAAGTAGTTTGGAGTATGTATTTTCAGGGCTATTGAAGCTGACATTCAAGCTTTTTTGGCAGTTTCAGCTGAGGACAGGCGCCTTTCATAGCCAGGGTGGGGCCCAACGCTCTTGGAGTGGTAGAACCTTGAGCCGTAGTTTGCCACCTCACTTGGGTACATCGGGCCTCTGACCGAAAGTCGTTCTGGGTTTCAGCTAAACATAGGGCACGAGATCCGAAGTCCATCGGCAGCTGAAAGCTTTTAAGACGTTCATTTGCTGCCTAATCATACCTCGGAATTCATTCACTTGAATAGGGCGACTTGTCAATTGAAACAACCGTTGATGCTAAACAAAATGACGACCAATATTATCAAGAATTATAAAATTGCCAGCATCCCCGCAGATGGCATTGGACCGGTACGTTTGATAATTCCCTTTTGTCGTCGCTAAATGATAAAGTTGCTGATTTTGTGGGACAGGAAGTTGTGAATGTCACAATTGATGTGCTCAAGTCATTGCAACAATCTTTGAAGACCTTTGAACTGGAATTCACTGAGCTTGACTGGGGCACCGCGCGATACAAACAAACAGGGGAATATATGCCCAAGGATGGGCTCGACATTCTGAGGAAGTTTGATGCTGGCATTTTCGGTGCCGTTGGCGCGCCAGGTATTTCCCCTTTCTTCGAGTTTTGAGGTTCCCAAATTCTTCCTGAGAAATACGAATATACCGATGGTTGATATCGCGCCACAATGAATAGATGTTCTCGACCACATCTCGTTGTGGAACCTCCTTCTGGCAATTCGCGGGCCCATGCAGCTATACGCCAATGTTCGGCCTGTCAAGACTTTTCCCAACGTGCCCTCTCCATTAAGTCATGCGAAACAGGGCGATATCGATTGGGTTTTAGTTCGAGAGAATAGTGAGGGGGAATACTGTGGCCAAGGCGGGCGCACTCATCGTGGACAGCCCTGGGAAGCAGCAACAGAGCTGGCGATCTTCACCCGTGTGGGAATTGAACGTATCATGCGTTTCGCCTTTGAGACTGCGCGCAGTCGTCCACGCAAGTTACTGACCGTGGTCACCAAAAGCAATGCCATGCGCAATGGCATGGTGCTCTGGGACGAGATCGCTGCCGAGGTCGCGAAGGATTACCCGGACGTGGCGTGTGATAAAGTACTCGTTGATGCCATGACTGTCAGGATGGTAGTGAATCCCAAATCTTTGGACACTATTGTTGGAACCAACTTGCACATGGACATCATGTCTGACCTGGCCGCTGCCCTTGGTGGGTCGATTGGTATCGCCGCTTCTAGTAACCTCGACCCAACCCGTCAAAATCCGTCCCTTTTCGAACCAGTCCACGGCAGCGCTTTCGACATCACGGGGAAGGGAATCGCTAACCCGGTAGCCACTCTTTGGTGTGCTTCTGAGATGCTAAACTGGCTTGGTGAGACCGAGGCTGCTCGGATCTTGCTTCAAGCTGTTGAGGAGACATGCAGTCAAGGCATTTGCACGCCAGACCTTGGCGGAAAAGCGAACACTAAGGAAGTTGCTGCCGCAGTTGCAGCCCAGATAAAGAAAATTGCAGGTGTATCATAGTAACATTGGACAATTTCTCTGCATTTTTGGATGTTTATTTTACCCTGAGAGGCTGCATGATACCTCCAGTACTTCAAGTCGATCAAAGGATTCTAGATTACAGAAATGATTTACATTGACATATTTTGTAATTTATATGAAGTTTGTGAGATCTACATTAGCATGACAAAGGTCTGCCCGTCTTAGATTTGTTGGACCCTCAATATGAGATCGAGCAACCTTAGGCACCGTATTAATAAGCTTGGCGGGTAACCTAATTTTGGGAGTTATTGTTGTTTCACCATCTAGTTGATTATATCATGACTAGGCTACATCTGTGTACATACGTACCATGTATATAGGGAACTTGGGAGCCTCTACATAAGGAGGACCCCAAGGTCTAGTCTTGATTTAATCCCCTACCTGTAACAAGTATTTGTATTTTTACCCTGGTTAACAGGCAGGTCTATCCTGATGAAGTAGATCTTTGACATTCACTAAGTTTTGACGAGTTTGACATGGCTTTGTAGTTGTTTGAGTAGTTACATTAATTTAACGCATGGAAATTTGGATAAGTGGCCGGATCAGCCAGGAATTACGTTATTAGATTGGATCGATAAGCATATGTTCTCCAAACACAGCTGAGAAAGCTTAGTACCCTAGACATAGTCTGCAGTGCGAGTACAAACATCATATTTCTATCATAAATTGAGATATGTATGGATAAACAACGAACACAGGTGCCTCTTCAGTCAACCCATTTTATCAATAGAACAAATTCAACAGCTGGAACAAAGTCTAGCTGATGCTGCAATGTAGAATCCATATACTTACAACAGCATAGACCTAAATTGTGTCTGTTTTTCCACCTTCAAAATGTTCAACGCTTTCCTTCACGTTCTCTTCCAACACAGGACGCCTGCTGGTACGTGTGTAGGCAGTCACCCTCCACCATGTCTGAGGGTGGGAGAAGAGGCTATCCATCTCTTCCAGTGATCGACCCTTTGTTTCCGGAAAGAAAAAGTAAACAAGCACCGCTGCATTGAACCCAATCACAGCATAAACAATGTAATAGCGGTACCTGATCGTGGTGAAGGCGACTGGGGTAATCTCAGCTATGACGAAGTTGAAGAGCCAGTGGGTAGCAGTGCCCACAGCGGCAAGGTGCACACGTAAATCCTGCGGAGCAATCTCGGCACTGTACAGAAAGTTTGCTCCTAAAAATCCAAGCGGGAAAAAGGTCATGTAAAAGAAGAGAAAGAAGGTCGCCGCGACTGATGCACCGAAAGTGTATCGGTACTCAATTGCCCAGACTGTTCCAGCTAACCCGGCCATGGATAGGCCCATTCCGAGGCAGGCAATAATGAAAAGCGGCTTGCGGCCAAAACGGTCGACAGATAGGTAGGCCAATGATGCCGCAAAAATCTTCCAGGTAAGAACGCCGGCGTTGAGAAACGAAGCCTTCACTCCTTTCAGTCCTAAAGACTCCTTAAATATTGTCTTGCCGTAATACGAGATAACGTTGGCGCCTGTCATTTGAGCGCAGAAGTTGATACCAATAGCTAGGCAAAGTCGGTAAAAAAGGCGCTGAGGGCCGGGTTTGAATAGGTCCAGAAATCCGCGTTCTGATGTAGGTATCTGCCGAAGGGCAAGCTGCAGTTCTTCCATCTCTTCAGGAGATTCCTCTCTTCCTGTGAGAGCCCTCAGAGCCTCTTGGGCCTCCTCTTTGCGCCCCTTGCAAATAAGCCATCGAGGCGACTCGGGAAATGTCATGGTCATGGTCATGAGGGGAAGGGTGAAGAGAATTGGTATCGCGAGTGGCAGGCGCCACGCCGCCTCTTCCTCCTCAATATAGGAAAGACCAACGTTCACCCATCCTGCAATTGCTATGCCGCTAGCAATAAAGACTCCTATTATGACCACGTTTTTGCCCCGGCTCTTTGGCTTTGTGCACTCACTCTGCCAAACCGGGACGATCGCATTGACACCGCCGTTTCCAATGCCAGATATGACGCGACCAACCACAAGCTGACCCAGGCTGTACGAAGAAGCCTGTATAATAAGGCCAGCTGTAGCTACAGCTGCGGAGACTATAAGAGACTTTCGACGACCGAGGCGGTTTCCAAGTTGAGTAACCCCAAGGGATCCGATAAGGCAGCCAAGAGTGTATACCGAAACAACGGTCCCTTATAAAGCGATGGATTGTCAGTTGGAAACAGTGAAATCTTCAGAGAACACTTGGTACTTACCCTGGATTGTGGCTTTGTGGTCTTTTAATGCTCCCTCCGAGCTGGTTGTGTCAATGTCAGGGAAATGCTTGGTGAAAGACGGATAGTCTAGCACGCCTCCAAGGTTTGATTGATTGTAGCCAAACAGAAGAAAGGCCGGAACGATGATAATGAAAATGCGAGCCGTAGCCAGAGGTAAACCATTCAAACCCATGAATGTCATCTTGACAAAAGGATTGGTAGTCTGGAAGATGTAGCAAGAAAGAACTCTGAAAATGAGAAGCTGAGGCAAGGAAAGAATACTGTTCAGCCTATTTATGTATGATGGGAATACCTAAGAACCTCAGACTAAGCATTAACCCCCCTGACACTAAGTAAGCAGCCAAGGCACCTTCGGCAACGAAGGGATAGACATCCCACGACCCACTTTAGTGCTCGTTTCCGCAAAGGATTGGCATGGAAGGCCGGGGTGTTTGCGGGGAAATTTCAAAGCGACAAGACTGGGTTACCTCATTGGCAAAAGAGCTTGCAAGAATCTTGAATTCTTAGTGTCTTGGAACAATGACAACCGTGGTCGTGCTTGGCAAAACGGCATCGACCGCTTGAACTATTGTGCCGAATTCTTTTACCGGACACAAAAATTCAACCGTGAGTTCAGCCGACGACTAGTATTAAATACACACCAAGTAATATGAATTAAATGTATGAACTAAGAATATTACTGGATTTGCGTTGAGAAGCACATTGCCAGGCCAACCATGATCATGCAAGCAACCAAGCCCCTCGTGCTCTTTTTTAACCCTGTCAAGTTTGCCCGGCCCTTTTATGAGCAACTTCAAAAGGTTGCCCTTACAGAAGTGGTGACATCTCGAAGCAGGGAAGAATTCTTCCAGGACCTCCAGGGCAAGTACGAGGATGTCTTCGCTATCTACCGAACGTCATCCAGTGGTGCTGTAAGCTTACTCCATGAGACATGACTCGTTCCCTATCATCAGTAACTGGAGCTTACACAGCAACTCTGCTTCTAGATTGCTGGAAAGTTTGACGCAGACTTCATCAAAGAACTCCCATCAAGCTGCAAGTATATCTGCCACAATGGCGCTGGTAAGCAAGGCCCTCGAGTAGGGACGTCGAAGGTTTCTGACATTGGTGGCAAAAGGTTACGATCCTATTGATACGGACGCCTGCGCCAAGCGGGGAATCATAGTCACTAATGCACCGGATCCAGTCACCGACGCAACAGCTGACCTTGCCGTCTTCCTCCTACTCGGTGCGCTGCGCCAGCTGAATCCTGCCATGACCTCTTTGCGCGCTGGCACCTTCAAGACAGGGGTTAACGTCGGCAATGATCCGCAGGATAAGGTCCTTGGTATCCTAGGTATGGGAAGGATCGGGCGTGCCATCAAGAAGCGGTGTGATGCGTTTGGTCTGAAAACGGTCTATCATAATCGCTCTCAACTAGCGCCGGAGCAAGCTGCCGATGCTGAATATGTCTCATTCGAGAAACTATTGGCTGAAAGTGACATTATCAGTGTGAATGTGCCACTGACTGCAAAGACCAAGCACCTTATCGGCGCTCCAGAACTGGCGCGAATGAAGCCTGGCGTGGTGATTGTGAATACTGCGCGAGGAGCTATTATTGATGAAGCGGCATTGGCCGATGCCCTGCAGAGTGGGCATGTTGGAGCAGCAGGTCTGGATGTGTATGAGAAGGAACCGGAAATTAATGAGAAGCTTCTCAGGCAAGAGAGAGCCATAATGGTCCCCCATGTCGGCACGCATACAGCGGAGACATTGGGAAAAATGGAGACGTGGGCAATGGAGAATGTGCGGCGGGCGATTGTTGGGGAGTCCCTGCTATCCCCTGTGCCAGAGCACCAGGGGCTGGCCTTGGAAGCACGGAGTGCAATTTAGAATGAGGATATAGATTAGCCGAAAGTGGACTTACCCTGAGCTTTGTATTCCTAATACCAAGTATTCCAATCCAGTTTTCCATATTCCTCCTCGTTCCATGAACGAGCTATCATAAAGGAAATACTAAAACAATGAGTGCTATACCATACTGGAAAGTTTCTCAAGGTTCAGTCTCCTCGGTCGATTAAGGGTCCTACACCTTTTCTTACTTCATCTATCCGTCCTGGTATGAGTCCTGGTAATTGTGATACTTACATTATCACGATTCTTGTTGCTTCTTTATAATAGATCTGTAAGTCATACTCGAGCAAAAGCGAGCTTGATATATGATGCTTCTATTGCTCATTGCTAACCACGTTCACGAGGACTTGCTGCAAGTCTGAGCCCCTTGGCAACAAATCTTTGTGGAGGAGAAAATTTACGATGAACTAACTTGAAAATGACGGAACTTTAGTAGGAAGAATTGAAGTGGGCCTAAGTGAGTGATGGTCCTTGAATGGATACCGTCTTTATGGAATCTTTGCACAACGACAATGCTCCTTGCGTTGATCACCTATTAACAGTGTGACTCCTAAGATGACATGAATGACAAGCCCGTGGCAATATTTACCTTTAGCTCCTTGATAGCAATCTCTAACAGACTGCTCTCATTTTCCAAGATCTTCCCCAATGGCAAGGCCTGGGTTGCCCCGTTCTGACCTAAAGTGACCTTGACGGCGAAGTAATCGACGCCAAGTTGGCTTGCAATCTCCTGCCCGCCTGCAATACCGGGGAGGTAGACGTATGCCTCTTCTGTCACAGTTTCACCATTCATGGAAGCCACAATGGCTTTGACAAAGCGGAACCCAGCGTACGCCATGCAGGTGGTTGCGCTACCGGCTCCTTGTTTGGACTTGACAATCTCGTCTCCGCCGAATTGCACACCTAACCCATGGTGAGCGAGGTTTTCTTTCTAATAGTGGAGACGCAAAACTCACGATGAATAACAATAGCCAAGGTGTCCTTATCCAAATCCACGGCAGGCTGAGCCTGGCTGTAGAGCGGCAGGATTGTCGCACCACTGTGGCCACCAATAACAGGGACCTTGTACCCCTTTGGGTCAATATTGTCACCTAGTGCGTGGGCAGCAAAGGTGGAGGCGCGCACGACATCAAGGGTAGTCACACCAAATAGACGGGTGGGATCAAAAACGCCTGCTTTCTTGAGCGCCTCAGCCGCAACAGGTACCGTTGAATTCACAGGATTGGTGACAACGCAGCATACAGCCTTGGGGCATGTTGCTGCGACCTCGGTGAAGATATCACGGATGATGCTTGCATTTGTCTGACTAGTTAGCACACGTTCTTTACCATACCGTTAAATCGGTTAAAATATGGTTGTAAAGTAGGTAGGTCTACCTTGAATAGATCTAGTTCCTTAAGTCAATTATTCAGCGAGAGGTTGCAACGGCGGTAAACTTACCATCTCTAGTCATTCCCGGCTTCCTTGCAATCCCAGCGGTTACGACTACAATATCCGCACCAGTAAGTGCCTTTCTGAGACCTGAGCCATCGGGCAAATGACCTGTCACGGCAGCCCTGGTGTCAATGTGCATCAGGTCTGTGGCAATACCCGGCACATGAACAACATCGTACAAAGCAATTTGATCAAAAAGATCACTCTAGAATGGTCAAGATTAGCGCCATTATAGCAAAATGTTGACCATGCCAGAAACCCACAGCTTTGCAGAGAAGACTCAGAGGAGTGCCAATTTGGCCGGCAGCGCCAAGAAGAGCAATTTTGACCATTTGGAAATAGAACTTGCTTTGTTCGCTTGCTCCTTCAGAAATTACCCCAGCCATAAAAAAGGAGCCTTTTCATATACGAATAAGGCGATACAAGGTTAGTCGTACTGGAGAAAGCTTAGGATGAAGGTTCAGCCGATGAGGAGATGGGATATGGGATATGGGATATGTGGTGGAGGCAACCGACGCCGAATCATTCTCCCGCGAAGTCTGGTTGAGAAGGCGACAAGCGGGTCGATGACACTGACACTACCGAGTCCTGAATTTGTTACTCCGCGGAACTCTTGAACTGTTACATTTCCCCAAGTTCTCTTCTCCCATGTTCTCTTCTCCCATGAGAAGAGAACTTGTTCACAAAGGGTTAGACTACATGACAAGTGCTTTATCTAACGCCAAATATCGTTTTTCCCTATCCAAACGCCCTTTGCAGCAGGTAACACGCATTGACCCTTCAATGCTCCAGTCAGATCATGGGGAGGCGAAGCTAAGGGCGAAGTCGAGAGAGGATCCGTCGGATGTGTTGGGATATTCTTTCTACCACTGCCTCTTTCAAGACAGCTCTCCGTATTCTCAGATATTTAAAACCTTATGCAAACGCCACAAGGTCTGCTATTGGTAAATGAGTAATCAATGGATGGGAGCTAGATGAACCACAAGGTCTTGGTTATAACTCGAGCGTCTTGGCTGTCGCTTCCCTTTTCCTTCGATGGCGAGAACAAAACCCCTTGATTCACACCTCGCGCTGCTCGTTGGGACAGTCTCACTTAGAATCACCAAGCACATATACCATTTATATTGTATATTATTTTAACTCAAGAGGTGGCCTTCATACTCGTGGCTCTTCTTGAACATTTCCATCTAGGTGTGCTTCGAAACGAAAGGTAGTATATGCCAAGACTTAACCTCCCTAGGCCCGTGGCTTCCAGCTCGCTTTAATTTCCAAAGGGTGAAGGCGTGTCAACCCCGCGCAGGATCAGGTGTCAAAGCTGGGGAATTGGCAAAGAGGGGAAGGGTCCCGTATTCCACTTCCTGCTCAGTCCTTTGTACGGCGTATTATAGCTGCCAGATCGCAATATAAAAGCCACCATCATCCATGGGTAAAATGTTTCCTCTTCCCCTTTAATGCATCAACCACCTTCTCTATCCTTATTTTGATATTTTTGGTTCCGCCTCTATATATCATCAACAATGTCCATTGCCGAGAAAACAAATAAAGACTCGTTCGTCGACGACAAACTTGTCACAAGCCAACACCACGAAAGCCCAAGCGTCGTGGATGAAAAACCTGATCTAAGAGCAAGAGGAGACTACTCTGGTGCTCAAGAGAAGACTGATCCAGTCGAAATCCGCCTCGTACGCAAGCTTGACTTGTGGATAATGCCAACTCTCTGGCTAATGTTCTGGTTGAATTACCTGGACCGGAATGCTATCGCCTTAGCACGTCTAAACGATTTGGAAGAGGACCTGAACTTGTCGTCGTCCGAATACCAGACCTGCGTTTCTATTCTATTTGTTGGATATATCTTGGGACAAATCCCAAGCAGTGCGTCCTTCTCTCGATTAGCTTCTAGGCTTCTAGCTAACAGAAACAGACATGATCTTAACAAGGGTTAGACCTTCGTGGTACATGGCTGGATTTATGGCCCTATGGGCAGCTGTCAGTGCTCTGACTGCCCTGGCCAAAGACTTTAAAGGGTTACTACTCACAAGGTTCTTCCTTGGTATAACGGGTATGTTCGTCCTTCTCGATCATGATAGATATTTTACTTGTAGTAACTTACTGTTCAGAGGCTCCATTCTATGCAGGTATCTTTTAATAACGGCCTAATAGTCTATCTTATAGCTAATAGCCTAAGGTGCCCTTTACTTGCTGTCGATATTTTACAACCGCAAGGAAATAGCTACTCGCATTTCTATCCTCTATACTGGGAATATCCTAGCCACTGCCTTCGCAGGTTTGATCGCTGCTGGAGTCTTCCATGGTATGGATGAACTCGCCGGGATCAGGGGATGGCAATGGTTGTTTATCCTCCAGGGCACTGTGACATTTGTTGTTGCTGTGCTCTCGGTTTTCACCCTCCCAGATGATCCCCGAAACACACGCTGGCTTTCTCCCGAGGAGCGACAACTCGCATATGAGCGAATTGTTGCTGATACCGTGGGAGCACGGCAGCAATCAAGCACATTCAGCGGCTTAAAAGAGGCCGCAACTGACCCTCGGCTCTGGCTCTTCGCCTTTATGCAACATATGCATCTTGCCGCGAATGGATTCAAGAATTTCTTTCCTACTGCTGTTGAGACCCTTGGATTCAGCACGACAATAACACTGGTCCTTACCTGTCCACCATATTTGATCGCTGGGGCCTTCTCTGTTTACTGGTCATGGAATTCTGGACGAACGAATGAGCGTACATGGCACATCACTATCGCCAAATCAATAGCTATCTTTGGATTTGTCTTGGGATGTGCAACGCTAAACACTGGTGCTCGGTACTTCTCTATGATTGTGTTTGCCATTGGTACCTACGCGGTAAACAGCATTATTCTCGGCTGGGTGTCCAGCACCTGCGGGCAGACAAACGAGAAGAAGGCGTCGTCGTTGGCCATAGTCAACACAATTGCTAATATCTCATTTATTTGGACCCCTGTAAGTGTCTTAGACCACAGGTTCTTTCACTGGAAACTCTGAGTGCATGCTGATGACGTCTTTTTTAGTACTTGTGGCCATCCTCGGACGAGCCCCGTTACACAATCGCCATGTCATCCAGCGCGGCTTTCAGTCTTGCTTGCCTTTCCGGCGCATGGATCATGAAGCTATGGCTTGTCCAGCTGAACAAAAAAATACGCCAGTCAAACGACGAAAGCCGATTGTATTACGCATATTAAGTAGTAATTTCGGTTCTGAGAGATTGCCGGTTGCCCAATGTGTCCACCCTCTTGATGGCTGATGCATCATTTACCATTGGGACCAATCTGCCTAGTGCCAGACGTGCACGAAATATGATGAAACTACTGGTTATATGTCTAGCTTACTCCTTATTGCGTCTCAATTACACGGGTTAGAATAGCTTCATAATTACTATATCCATCAGGATAATCTAGAGGGTGGTTATAGGATATAGAATAGTATTATTCCTAGTAACCCAGGCTCATGACTGTGGGCTAGAAGGAGATGGAGGCATATAAAAAGTTAAAGCTCTTATTATTCTAATTATTAAGTAAGAAAGTACGATATTAGATATAGGTGAAAAATCTAAACGGAGCTAAACCTAATTAGGAAAGAGGGGCTAGCTGACTTTTACTACGGTTAACGGCTCCAATCACTGAACCTTCCTCGTTGAGCGGTCGAGCGTTTTGCTCGGCTGAGTTGTCGTATTGTGTCAGCCGGGCCGTCGATCTAGGTGGAGGATCTGAAGAAGTTTTTGGAGGTCTGATATTCTGAATAACTGGGGAAACGACACTATTTAAGCACAGGGATCGACTAAACTAAATAAGGAAACAGGGGCTATCCAATATTATTGCTCCAATCGCTGTATCTCGTGAGTCCTGAGAGGAATGTTCAACGGAATGGTGAGAGGAATGCTTGAGCAGGGTCCGGAGCCAGGGGCTCCGGCCGACATATTGGAACATCGCCGGAAGGACCCTCCGGCTGACAGGAATCCACTCATGGATTATGCAGTCCCGAAGGCCTCCTCTTTTCCCAGCTTGACTTTGCTTTCAGCCTCACGCAGGTACATCGAATCCAGACCATGGCCTCAGGCCTCTTCATCAATTCTACTGATGGCACGGAGCTCGGCTGCGCAGGCGTCAGAGTCACCCCAGACATTGGGAGTTCCGCTTCCGGTATCATCAAGTACATCCCAGCAGCCGTACTCGCCATGATTCTTATCGCATCCTCGCGTCGACATTTCCATACACCACGAACCGGCGAATTCGAACGTATTGCGGCTGCGAATGTCTGGAGATCCACCTGGAAGATCGTCCTGGATGTAACCGACTATCTCCAGTATTTTCAATTCGTCTTCCTAGCTGGAGCTCTCACAGTCGACTACCCCGGCTTCTATCAACCAGTCATGGGCCAGCTGCCCTGGGCTTCCTTGCTCTACTGGGCAGGCCCCGTTGACCATGGATTCATCTACCCCGGTGTTGAAGATGGGATGTACATCAGCAACGCGTCCTATGGATTGGACTATATGGCTCGCATGGTCGCGCATCCCCAGGTGCCGGATATCATGATAAATGCGCATATCAACTTGTGGTGCTATGTTTATCATTGTGACATTCTGGCTTGCAGTCAGACCACCTGGCCAGCATCCGCTGAGCACAACAGTCTGCGAGACCGGATATCTTGTCTTGGGTGCGGCTCTGGTATTCTTCAGCTTTCCGCTCATGGCCTTCATGTGCAAGGGGCTGAGGCTTATTGGCTATCTTCCCCAACTATTATGTCGTGATTATTGCGCTTGTTACAACTGTGTTTTCCGGCTTCAATTTTGTGGCGCATAATAATTTTAGCAGTGATCAAGACATCGTCGCAATACCTTCAGAGGACTCTACCCAACGACCCCGGCAGACAAGTCTCAAGGCCTGGCTCCTCCGGTTCCAGCATTTCCTCCCACTGGCCGTCGCGCTCCTCGATGGCCTAGTTGTCGGCTGGCTTCAGGATTGGGGGCTCGTTCAATTGGCAAAGCTCAATGTTTTTGAAATGGCGCTACTAGCATATCTCGTCATACAGCGACGTTGGAATTCGTTCATGTCGAGGAGCGTCTGGTGTACGCTTATTCGTGTATTGACGCTTACCTTGAGCCTCGCTTTTGCATTCCCTACCCCGGAGTCTACAAAGCAATGGCTAGGTTACTTCACCCTGTGCCTTCACGCTGCAGCGGTTGTTTTCGGATACCTGTTGCTCTCAGGCTTGGAGATGTATCGCGCCGCCCGGTTGAGGTTGCAGTCGATTCTCGCTCCATCGGAACCCGATTCAGTAGGTTATCCCCTGATCGAAACCGGCCCCTTTCCTTATAACCCGCTAACAAACGCAGGCAATTAGCCTCTGCTCGTTACCCATACGCACACACCTCACACACCACACGGAAAGCCCAACCAGCCGCCCAACCTCCGCTGGTACATCCTACCGAGCCTGGAACGAGAACCGACCGGGCACAGCGGCTTCGAACAACAATCCACCCCTCGACACAAAGCACTACGTGACGGATTTCTCCGCGTTCTATAGAGCACCCAGGTCGCGAAACCAGACACCCGTTTCGGGCGCGAGTTCGACCGCCTATCGCTGATCCCCGTGCTTCCGAGATGGTAGGTTCAGGCTCAGTCTCGGGGCCTTCTTCAGGTTCTACGAGCCAGGCTTTGTCGCGCTCGGGGGATAGTTTCGACGAGTTGTTGGAGGCGCCCTTGCGACCTGGGGTTGATTATTCTGTACGAGAGTCGCATTCGTTCTATGGGAGGCCGAGGGCAACCTTGGGCGATGAAGGGTCTCCTACTCCGGGTAAGGACAGTTTGGAGAGCTCCGACGCTCCTCGACCTAGTGTTTTCGAGCGGGCGCGTAGGAGGCTGAATGAGCCGAGGACGAAGGAGAAAGGGTTCCAAGTTGTGAGGCCGCCGCGGCCTACATGATGTCTAGCAGGGCGTTAGATCGAATGTACATCAGCTGTTCTGAGACAATATGCTCCTTGGAATATACTACCTTATCCGGCTCCAAAATTTGTACGTCAGCCTCAAAGCCCTAGTGTCATTGAGGCCTAAACAACCTTTCTATGGAATGTTCTTTGCAGCTTCGCCGTCGGGTCCGACAGATACGAACAATCTCCGAGGGATATGGGGCTGCGGGTCGCTGCCGACAACGGTGACCAATCACACTCCCAGTCTACATCGGCATTTGGGCCGACATGCTCGTGATTCCAGGGCAGGAGACCAAAATAAATGCAGGTCCGGGGCCAAGTCGTCATCGCAAGTCAGCTAGGGAGGGTTTTATTTATGAACTCCTTGACCCCAGCCGAGTGCTCTAAACACAGAACTGCTGCTTTTGCTTCCATGTTTTCCCGGTACCGCATCTCTTCGTGACCAAAGCAAGTCTTCTCCCTCCATTGCTGAATCAATACGCGGCGTTTGTTAACGTGAATGTACAAACAGCAACTCTCCACTCTCCCTCTCCAAAATGCTAATAACGCGCGGAATCTCCCTCGTCAACTTCGCGGTCGCCTCCTCCGCCCTCGCCTTTCAGGTCTTCGTCCTGTACCCCTGGCACAACCAGCTCGACCACGAATTCAAGGCGCTCAAAGACGAGCATCGCAAAGTGCTCCGGCATCTACAACAGAGCTCGTACTCGCCCATGAAGGAATAGACTGGGATGGAATAAAGTTTGCCGAGTCGAGTGGAACTGGATGGAAGATCGGCCGCATTAGAGGATGACAAGCGGATCGGAATAGAACGGTCTCGTTTGTCTTATGCTAGAAGAGAGAGTCCCATTACCCAATGTACATAGATATGCAGTAGAAGCGAAAACTGCTTCCATGACGCAACACCACCATGCGGTAACTGCCTTGCCTACCTTGATCTACCTTGTTCGACCAGCGCTCCGGATTGCGGAGTATCTCTGGATTTAGACTATTTTTCACAGACTGGGATTTATGCACACGAAAGCAATACCCAAGTAGCACCGGGTCAGGGTAAGCCTCGTACACTCGTTGCTGTAACTTTTTCGTAGTGCTGATGTTTCCTCATGGTGGTGAATGGCTCACAACTCGGTGAGCAGTAAGTGCTTCAACAACATGGCTGGGGACTGGCGTGAGGAGGCATTGCCTTTTTACACAAGTGGCGGGAGGGTGAGGAAACGAGTTAAGAACTTCTGAAGTTCACAAGCAAATAAAGTCATTATCTCCAATCCCCTTCCACCGCGCCAGGTCTTTATATCTCATCTCATGCCCAGCATCAGTACAGTGCATTAAAAGCATTCAGTTCTAGCATTAATTTCTCTCTATCTGGTTGATTTACTTTGCCAGGATGGGGAGCCCCGGCCCGTGACCGCTAACACCAAGGCGGAGGCCATGGAGACGGGATTGAAGGTGACCTTACAGCGAGCATCCAAAGGTTCGCTAAAATCTACAAAATTCATAATGCAGAACTCATTACGCCTCTACTAGATACTTTCACGCATCAACGTTCTCTGACTTGACAGTAGTCACCAGTAATCAGAAATTTGAAGTGCACAAATTAATCGCTGTGGGCAGTTAGAATTCTTCTCTCGACTTTTTAATCATAACTGGAAGGTAAGTTAAGTTCTACGCCATTATAGATCACGCCTGAAGCTCATCAAAACCCGTCAGAAGTAACAGAGAACGAAATACGACTCGAGGACGACGACCCCAGAGCCATAGAAGCAATGATTCACTTTTTCTGTGGTTTCAATTACGATAGCAGTGGCAGCGACCAGGGTCGAACGTCTCCAATGCTGTTTAACATCAAGGTCTATCAATTGGGAGACAAATATGGCATTCCTAACCTCAAGGCCCAAGCGAGGGAAAAAATGGATGACTTTCCCGTTGCTATTGCAAGCGCATATTCCACTACGAGCTCTGCAGATAGAGGCCCTCGGGATATTCTTGTGAGCACGTCTTTGGAGCATATCAATACCTTGTTGAAGAATGATGATTTCAAGCAAATCTTAAGGGAACCTCTGGGCATTGCGGCTGACCTTGTACAGAGCCAAGATCATAAAATGATTATGACAACATATCGTTGTCCCAGCTGTGACATTTTTTGGAGCTTGCAGAGCATGGGAAGGTCAAGCACTGTCCGTCATGTTCATTCAGTGTTGATTGGAGCCGTCATGTTAAAAAGTGATGTTTGTGCTCTTATCAAGAGATGCAGAATGCTAGGGTTATAGCTTGAGAATCCGGGAATGTTGACTTGAATCTGCTCCTGACGTAATGTATCCGCTCAATTTATGGCTAAAGGTTACCTATGATTCCCCGAAATCAGTGTCAAAACCATTCATTATCTTCACGCACCTGTGCGTGATATTGAGTGGCCTAACCGACCTAGCATGGTGTGTTGTACGGCAGCTTGAGAGATATACTGATCCAATCAAGAAGCAGCCGATGCGTGGGTCTGATCACCATAATAGTATTGAGGAGAGTATATTCTACAGGAGAGTGTATGTATCTTCCTAATAAACAGCCATTTCTGTCTTGGTGGGTTTATCTTAAAACATTCCTTCAACGCAGATGCTCATTATTATTGACAGAAGCAACCAGATTTAGTCATAGCTTAGTATACCGAACGAGATCGTGTGCGTTACTATAATGGTGCGCTAAGATCTTAAGATTCGGTCTATTGGCAAGCGCACTATAGTCTCATGTACGAGGCAGTGGGGTTAAAGTTTCTAGAAAAGTCCATCGTAATCTTGCCAATGGTAGCTATTCTGTAAGTGACTTCAGCGCATGCTACCTGCTTCCCTTGATTATGCTAAATCGCGATCAGTAGATTATCCATAATGGCGCTTCTTTCACTGCTGTTGCTCACGAGCACAGAATTGTTGGGTTCGTATAGGGGTTTGCGATCTATTCGCTGTATTTGATCGACCTAGATGAAACTCAAGATGAAATGGCTCTGTACTTAGTTCCCTCCGTCCCATGGCACCAACTCTGCACTTTCTCTACGGCAACGTTAGCTTTTCTTACAGATGTCCTATTACTGTACTTGCCCAGTGCAAGAAGGAAGGGGAGAGGAGACTGGACTTGATCAATAAGTCGTGCGTTTCATAGTTGCAAGGAACTGAATTGGCCCATCGTGAAATGTTTCGTCAATCCTAAGATCGGTAACGTTTCTTATTCTATGGCTTATTGACCCACATGACAGCAAGAGAAAGACATCCAAGGAGTAAAGACTTCCTCTTGTTTCAACGTGCTTTTGTTTCGACGTCCAACATCCGCGGATGCTGCGTGCGGCTCACAAAGCTGTCAACCGCGACAGCCATTGACCTTATGTTTCCACGCATAGAGGACCTACTCGGGACGCAGAGTAGTGCACAAGGTATCTACGACGAACTGAATGGCCAGACTACGCCCCGAATTCGAGAGGTTGATGTCGGAGCGCTGGGCCTGCAGTGTCACGACGTGGAAACCTCAGGCTCACTGTCCAGGGGAAGGAATTCTCCCCGCGATCGTACGCGAGTTATAGCCAGATTGAATCGTCACTTCTGCGACCAGTTCGTCAAATTCACGCTCTCTACCGTTGTCTATCGCCTCGTATCCTGAATTGAACTTGTCACAATCGCTTCGTCGGAGCCATGAACGGTCGCGCCAGGACCGATCATCCTCCCCGGCTTCGCCGCCGGCCGTGCCTGGAGACAGAACAAACCCAAGATCTCTAAGATTCGACGCCTTCAAGGGCTTCTACGCAGAAATTATCAATCAGAATCCTCATAACTTCCCCGCTCCTCGACCCTTGGGCTCTCCAGTCCCCACGCTCGCCGTCACCGCCCCACGCGACTCCGGCGCTGCCTCCACTAAGGGCCGCAACAGGCACAACAAACTCAAACGACTCCTTTCCCGCAGACCCAAACCGCCTCGCAAGACCAGCCCGCACCCGCGGAATGGGCAGCTCATCCTCGATATCCGGCGTATCGGCGTCGTAGTCGCCGTCATACTTCGCCTCCTGGAACCGGTGCCAGTCGTTCCAGTATTCCTGCTCGAAGAAGTCGGCCCACGAGCGCGGGTCCTGCGCCGCGAACTGCGCGTCCGGATGCTCGTTCCACATTCTTCTTGACCAGGGGCGGCACTCTGGATCGTTTGGGTCTTCGGTTTCCCTGTTGTTGTAGTCGAAGGTGGGGGAGGGGGGTTCGGGGCCGAAGTCGATATCGTTGAAGGGGATAGGTGTGCCTGGTGGGGAAGGGGAAGGGGGTGGATCTTCGGAGTCGGATTCTGATGCTTCTGAGTCGTCCGGAATGTGGATATTGAGGCAGATATCGCTTTCCTCGACGGGTGAGGGGTGCTGATCATCATCCGTGGTGATATCCATATCCAGAAACATGCCCAGAACGTCCATTTCCGATGTCCCACGCGGAACCAAGATCCGACAGTCAACAAGGTGTAGAACCTGCAGCCCCGTTCTGCGACTCCAATCAAGCAAGTAGTCGGAGAGTACCTCCCTCGCAATGGAGAAGCTGTCCAATACCAAAGACTGGAGACGCGGCAACATCGGCAATCGAAGCTCGGATAAATCCTCCTTGCCATTATTCATCCTCAGCTCCAACGTGCGCAGCTCATGGGCTGATACCAACAGCCGGTCTACGTACGGCCTCCAGGTCGACTCCTTCCCCTCATCGTGCCGATTTTCCAGGCAGAGACAGAGCCGCCGCACAGAACGAAACGTGTCGGCGAAGCCATCGATTAGTCCAGTGAATTCACCAAGGCGACGCACGTCAAGACCCTGGAAGCACGGATGACCCGCTAACCATGCGACGTGCGAGACCCGCCGGCAGAACTCGCTATATGTGCCCCCGCGCGCGGCTTCTACGGCGAAGCTATTTAGCCGCCGACCGTGCGCATGGAATGCGGCCACTGCTAAGATCGGTCCCCTGTAATATTTGTTGCGAAGACTGCTTATATCCAAAGCGGGTGTCGTGTCATCACTACTCGGGCCCTCATTATTGCTCATAGTCACGTTCAATCGCTTGACAAACCCTTCAGCCCACATCTGCAACTCGCCATACACGCCCGCATCCGGCTCTGGACTCCACGGAATACGTGCAGGGCCCAGCCCGCCAACCTTCACACGCGACCACTCCCGCATAGCGGGCGACTCATACGAGCGCATCCCCGGCCTCGCCGGTAAAACAGAGGTGCGATACAAAGTCGCCGTCTCCTCCTTTGGAATCGCCGCCCACTCCGACATGAGGTCGGTAAACACCACCCCGCGCAGCCGCGGGAACCGAGGAAGAGCCGTCAGCAGAACGCGAAAATCCTCGCCCTTGCAGAGGACCTTGGCGTACTCATCCATCGTGCACGCCACTGTCGCGTCCCAGTCGCGGTCCCGGGCGAGTGGTATTGCCGTTTCGCTTTGGCCGATGTATTGTAGGTCCATGCTCACGTCCCAGATTAGTTCTGTGACGCGCGATGCGAGTCGTGGCGTCGTGGATATGGCTTCGAGGACGTGTAGGTCGGCTTTTGCGGCTGATATGTAGGCGCGCTGGAAGAGGTGGGATTGTTCGACGACGATGTCGTCCAGAGCGCGGCAGGTAATTCGGAGACTCTTCAGATCCCGCCGATGGAGAGAGTTTAGGATTGAGTCTGCGCATATTGTGTTGCACAGCACTGTTAGTGCTAGCAAGCCTGGGGTATTTGGCATGACCAGGAAATTTTTCCCAAATGTCCGGCTTTGTGAAGCCTATACGATGCAGGGGTCGTTCGTATTTATATTTATGTACGAGAATGTCCATCTCGCAGGTAGGCGGGGGAAATCGCTTGTTGGGGTCGTCGCTGGAGCCTGCCAGGTGCCAAGCGGCCTCGTATTCATCCGGGGGTTTTTTTGGTTGTTCGCACGTCAACCAATCAATTGTTGCAACACGGGCGAGCGAAATTTTGGGGATGGCTCTCTTATTCGTGCTTTCAAGGCTTGAACTACACTATACCGATTCAAGAGTGGCGCTGCGGGTTCAAACGAACAACGGACTGGGTTTTCGAAGAGGACCGCCTGGCTGGATATGGATAGTACTAACCCATGAATATATATTAATGCAACGGAAAGATATCTAGCATACCAAAAAGAAAGAGGTGTGTGGTGACGATATAGACAGGAAGGCAGGAGATAAAAAAAAACCTAGATAACTATTCGATGAACGACCAATTCGTTTCATAAGGAAATAATTACCCCTCAGCCTCCGACTCAACACCCTCGACAACAACTACCGTGATATGTCTGGTAGGATGTTTCGGTGAACGATCCGCACTCTCTGTATCCTCCCTCTTACTTGGCTTGATAGGACTCTCCGACAGCTTGGCCCATTGCTCGATATCGGATCTTGTGGCAAGCGCCGTCTTAGCCTCCTCGATCTCACTTGGGAGCGTCGAAGGCGGTGTTTTGACTATCGATTTACAGTTTTTGCTCTTAGAGAACCTCGCGCCCCGACTGCGACTGTCATTGTTGTTCAAACATCCAACCGGACGTGTTCGTTCGTATGATCCTGTTCTTCCCGGTCCAGGCTCGCTTGGTCTCGTTTTCGGAGATCGATGTGGAGGGGAGACGGGGTAGGCGACGATGAGAGAGCCAGAGTCGTCGGAATCATAGTCCAGCTCAAGTCCGTATGCCTGCATCAAGCCGCCTCGTGACAGCTCGTCCTTGATGTATTGCGGAAGGCCAAACGAGGGCCAGTCGTGGGACGTATGACCTGCAGACCCTCCGAAGTGGGATTCCAGCGCACTCGTAACTACTTTAGTGCATCACAATGTCAAACAGATCGACGGGATGGTGGACGTGGCTTTCGGGTGGGGAAGTCTCAAGATATCTGATAGCAATGCTCGGCGACTTCCGTCATCCATGGTGAGGAGATATTGAGTTAGGCGTAAAAAGGATATAATATCTTGAAAACATATAAGAACCTACTAAAAACCAAATAAGCTATTTAAAGACGATGTAGAGAGCCGCGCTAAGACACGGGATGCTGTCAGCCAATGAATCTGCGCCAACAGACAGCAGTATGATGTGCCATCACGTTGATAGCCGGGTTAGTAGATGTTCTAGTCAGGCTGGCTAGGAACATGGTGCTAAGACAAAACAGGACTATGGTTATATTAGGTAATTAGACATGTATGAGCAAGTGATACTACAAGTATAAGCAAGTGAAGTGATACTATGGGTATAAGTAAGTAATACTACATGTAAGAACAAGTAATTAATATTAGATAGTATTTAAGGATACGTATTATTATATATAATTAGTTTTAGCTACTATCTATTACTTTTAGAATTAAAGCTACCCTACCTTTTAGAAACCTAGTTACCTTAGTTCATTAAGAAGCAGTCTTCTCTTTTAATATCAGAATAACCTTAAGCCCTTCCAGACCTTGAGCAAGATCGGTTGGATTTATCTGACATGAATAAGTGACTGGTAACAGGGCACAAGGCATACGTAATCCAAAAGTTCCCCCGCTATCCATCCCTCAGTTGGACATTTCTAGGATGAGATAGATCCCAGCATTAAGAGGAATATCATGGACTACCTGGACAAACAACAAACACCCTTGCGCAGCGACACAAAAGGCGGACCCTATCAAGACTACATAAATAACAAAACAACAATCAGCTCTACTAGCAAATCTGTCCCAACGTAAGTGCACTCCGCGCCATCCCACTCGCCTGCCGATTCATCCCCTTGGGAACAAGCCAAAACCGCACCGCAATCCCATCGCCCCTCAGACTACACACCAACCGATCGACAAGCCTCCATGCCTCTGCATTCGCAACCTCCACGCCCCTCGAATTCATCCACCCATTCGCCTTCCACCGCGGCATCAGCTCCGTCACCCCGCGGACGATGTACTCCGAGTCGGACTTGATGACAACTAATCGAACATCGCGTCCCTGTCCATGTGCACGCCCATAGCTGTGTCCATCGGCAGACCCGAGCGCGCGATCCTCCCCAATCAAGCCCGCCTGACAAAGCGCCCTCGCACAAGCTTTCAATTGCGCAACTTGGCTCGTATGCCTTTCTCCCACATCCTCATCCGTAAGCCTCTGAACGCGATTATACGGGTTCGCGAACCCGCAGAAAACACCCAGCGACGAAACCGGTTTAGCAGAAGGGGCAGTGCCATTACTTCGACACGCCCCATCCATCGCAATAACAATCGCATCCGTATGTGCAACATGAACGCCGCAACTTGAGCATTTCACCCGCGAGTGCGGGCACGCGAGGTAGACCCAGCGGCCGCGGGGGACTTCGATGTCGCGGGGTGTGAATTGCGCAGGTGGGTAGATGAGCGAGGGGCGGAAACGGAGGGGAATGAGAAGCGTTGGGTCCTGTTCTGCGTCGGCGTGCGTGGAGAGGGATGTGATTGTTGAGGATGTGGAGGTGGAAGAGGCTATGCTTTCGGTGTCGCTTATTGTGTAGGTGTCGGAGTCGGTATCAGAGTCGTAGTCGGCGACTGGCTTTCTAGTCTGGGTGGGTTTAGTATCTGGTGCATTGTTGTTGGAGAGTATGGTGGTCTACCTTGACCCAGTCGGGTGTTCGTGGTGTATATCGGACGGGCATGACTGCCGTAATGATCCTAAAACAGACTCTGTGAGATTATAAGATTTCCTGCAAGGGCCGTCAATGTTCAGGAAAAAATGGGAGGCCAAGCACGACCAATTTAAGAGGAAATCCAGCCTTTAACCCTGGGCGCGCGCAACGCGGGGCCCGGGCCCAAGGGTCCTCTCCGCACCCCCAAGGTTCCATTCCAGACCTCATCGATTGTGTAGCTACGAACCTATGATGTGAGTATCACATTTGCACAAATGACACAAACTTTCTCCACCACGGCATATCCACATAATCATCAAACTCCCGATGTACGCTGCAAGCTCTTGCGTGCTCAGTCCTCCGTCCCGTGCGCAGACCCGCATCTCCGTCCGAAAGCTGAGCTTATCCCCGACTCCGCTGGTAATTATGGAAAGAAATTAACTTGAAGGAGTAGTTTTAGCGTCTGAAGTGGGTAGACATGCAGACACACTCGCTACATGCACCTCGCCGGTCTCGCTTCACGGTTCTTCAAGTAGTAGCCCAACTCATCAGCCACCCAGGCAACCAGGAGCTGAAGAACAACGACCATGTCAATGCCCCCCAGATTCCAAAGGAAAACTCGCCCACCCGCTAGACCAATCATCCCGCCCAGCCAGAGCAGGCCAGAGCGCAGCAACGACCTCCTCAGCACCCCCGCGGTAACACGCACAGCCCACCGGGGCCATACGTATCCTCTTGCCAGACCATCCCGGGCATCCGCCCAATCTCCTCGATGACAGGGTCGTCGACCCGAGCCGCGACACGAGAAACGACCGGGCCAGGAAAATAAGGAAGTAACTTTCATCAGGCGAGCACATTTCCAGCCCGAACGGTACGATGCGCAGGTTCTGCAGACACCCAGAGGGCTGCGACGTGGCGATGAGATCCCAGATCCCCAGCGCTAGGATTTCGTCCGTGGCCGCGTTGATTAGTGTTGTTCGCAAGAGGACAGGGTCAACTGCTTGGCCCTCCTCTTCGTCCTCGTCATCGCCGCCAAATTGATCGGGGGACATCCTACGCACGGTGTCCGGGTCGGGCCCTCGCTCGCGTGGGTCAAAATGGAGATCCAAGATGAGAGCGCGCAGTCTGGGAAACTGCCCCAGCGCTCGGTAGATCTCACATTCCTGCGTGTTTCCCTCGGACCGTCGGATCTGGAGACGTAGTTCGGCCATTTCCAGGAGGTCTTGGCCATTAGGATCAGATCAAATGCTGCGATCTTGGGGTATTTGTATGACCCTTCTTCAGGACCACAGTTGTGGTCTCGCACCTAGGGTCAAGGCTTGATCCGCGCAGTGTTGCACCATGGTAGTCTAGAATACGATGTAGGTTTGTTGTTTCCCTTAGGCCGCGCAAGCAGAGATATTTCAAAGGCTTCACGGCGAGAACTATAGCCATCGCCTCGGGGTTATCGGTGGATAAGTTCGCCGTTGACAGATCGGGAGATGAAGAGGGCTAACGCCCGCGAAAAGCCGTTCCAAGTTGACCAGCGACGGCGCCAGGCCGATGAACACGTCTATATCGTAAGTGAGGGTAATATCCAAAGACCGGAGGCTGCTCAGATCTATGATAGCAGAGAGCTTGGGGAGAACGTAAGTCGGGTAGGCATAGTCGAGCAACGTGAGAGACTCTAGTGAGGCAACCGGGACAGGCTGGATAGCCCGGGCTGCGTTCACCCTATCTCGTCTGGATTTTTCGATATCCCACCCGGCACTTCTAGAGGCAGCGATGACGAGATGTTTGAGATTGGGAGCAGTGAAAAGAAAGGGCAACATCTCGTCCAGATCCTCATACCCATGCTCATCAGAGTACTTGCGGGTCAACTTGACGGCAAGTGTACGGATAGTCTCAGATTGCAGAGCAGTCAAGTCGAAGCGAACGTCTTTCCCCCAATTCGACGATGAGTGACCATATATTGACACTACACGCGGGATGACAATATGTAATAGCTTTGAACAACACCGGTTCGAACGGGGTCTCATCGGCCACGAAATTAACATCTTCCAGACGACTCAAGCGGCCAATGAGTTCTATGATAGGGGTCCAATTTCGCACCCACTCTCTAGAGTGATATCTCCCCAGGTCATTCCTTGGAATGCCCAGTCCACGAACAGATGTGGAAGATCGCAATTGTGGATATAGGAAGCCGTTGCTGATTGTCGCCGGCTCCTCCCAATGGACATAATCTATTTCCCAGTCTTTGAGGCTCCAGAGGTAGTGGCTCTTCTCTGTGTCTAATGACAGGGGCTTCAAGCGTACAATGTCAAGTGTTTGGGCATATTTGAGAAATAATTGTCTGCTCTCATCAAGGACCTCATTGACTGCATTTCGAAGCGTATCAGGATCGCGGAAATGGACTCGAAGCGACCTGTACAAGAAAGGTGTTGTAATCTCGTGATTGGACCGACCAGTGTGGCTGAGGGATGAGATGTCGGATTTCTCCAGCTAGACCCTGTCAGAATTGCCAGATATATGATCTTAACGTACAAAGAGACATATATGCGCCCAGATCGCTGGACGAAGGGCAGTCATGGCTGATCGACAGTGGTGGGTGTGAGGTGGTTGTTTTGGCGGGGTAATTCGTAACAAAGGGGGACTCAGCGCTAGACAGGGGTTCGATTGGTGACCGTTTAGACCCTGGAGCTCCAGGAGCTCATCCTAATTCTAAACAACATTCTTGTCGTTGCCAAATGGCTCCCAACTCTAAAGACAGAGAACGTGGATGCAATGACGGACACCTGCAGGACAAGGCTATCCTAGCACAAGCTCGGATCAAATGCAAGGCCAGCTCCCGTTCCAGCTTGTGGGTGGGATGGATCCTTGCTAGTATAGTTTGATGTAGTATCAATATCCTCGCGGTCTATGAAAAAGAAGGTACCGCCTGCGCGAAATTCCAGAATGATATCTTCTCCTGTTTGTACAGCTGTCGTAACTTTAGTATCTCGTAGGTCTCAGTCTGCTGTAGCTCCTCAAAGAGGAATATCGCCTGAAAACGTCGCATTGTAAGGTGCTGACGGCGTTGAGTGATGGGCCGTCGGTGAAGTGGAAGAAGGACCATGATCTGCTGAAATCAGATGTTATCTGCAGGAACGGTCCCGAGGGGAAGTCGTCGTCGTCTTGTGTTTTTGTCATTTGGCTTGTATGTGGGTGTTGTCGCGAGTGGGGTCAGGGTTGCAGGAAAGGAATCTCCGTCGTTCTTCCTGTCACTTGGCATAGGGTTAGGGTGGGTGTTGGCGTACTGGAGATAAGGACGCTGGGGTTGGTGTTGCGGTTGCGATTGGAGGTGGTTTTAGGGTCCGGTTTGTATACTCGGCTTACGGGATCTCGAGAACGGGGGTTGGGCGTCATACTGGCTTGAGGTCGAATTGGAGGCTGTTCGTAGGGCCGTACCAAGGTGATAGAAAGACAGTCGCAGAAGCCGCAGGGATTTGGCGGCTCATATATCGATCAGGGTTGTAACATGATAAACACTCAGCCTCCAGGCAGTTCGCCTAGCTCGTTACCGCAGCCAAAGTTCTTACTGCTGTTATTCAACACGGGTGTATTATCGCGTAACTGGGCACAATCTCCATTGGTATTGCCATGTCTTAGCTGCTGCGAGGGTGAGATACATGACCAGAGATGTGCCTAGACCTCATACGAGAGACGGCGGTCTTTTCTCCTCGCTGGTTCATCAAATCCCAGCCGAGCCTCGGATTATATTTCCGGGCTCTTGCAAGAGGTCAACGTCCTATAACATATAAATGTGAAACCTACGAATTGCAAGTCTTGCGTGGTATGATGTATCATAATTTCCCACCACATAGCTTATCACGCTGTTACAAATTGGCAAGACTTATGGATAAAGCTTTTATGGCCGCATCTCTTATTGACCCTCCAGTAACCTTGACTTTTCTCGCATCCTAATCAGTGACTTCACTTTGGTCTCCGAAATAATCTTCAGCAGTAGTATCACTCTCCTGAGAAAGCGGACTGCTCACAAGTCCCGTGCTAGGATAATCCTTGCCATGAAAGCCTCCATCAGCACCCGTTACAACATTACTGGTGTTGGGGATCGGCGCGTAGGGATGCGAGATGCTGCCGCGGACAGGATGCGAGGTGCCAGTATGGATGGCGCCGCTGTCAGTCTCTCTCTTGGCTGCAGAAAGGGCGTAATCTCCCGAGTCGAAGTAGACTCGCTGCTATCTTTTTATCAGCTATGTATGACGGGGGGGATGCCCTGTACTAGAGTGAGCCACAAGACACAAGACGGACATACTTTGGCATGCTGTCCGAGGATCCCTCCAGATGGCACCGTTCCGTAGATGCTGAGGATATGTTTGTCGCGCTCAGAGAGCGGCTGACAAAGAGATGAAAGCGATAAGTATGGATATAGTACTGGCGAGAGCATACATAAACTTGCCTTGGTATGAGATTCCACGTTCCTTTTGCCTTCCATCGTTGAAGTTGACTGCATTTGATAAGACATGAAGGGAGTCAAATTGACGGAAACATCAGTTGTTGGAGTTTCGGTTGATGTCATGAGTCTCAGTCATGCGACAACCCACGATTTTTGGCGCCTGCCAAGCCAAGCGGTTGTTGTTTGGTTGGCAGGGAAGCCTCTTCCAAGGTAATGATCATAGGTACGGAAGTCATTTATGGGGGCCCTCGATGTATTGGCTCGCCAAGAAGCTGCCTCGACCTTGGAACCAAATTCGGCCAAGGACCAATAAGCATGTGCCAGTAATTCAACGCAAAAAACATCCAAGTTTACCAGTCGGTCGTAGGCAGCTGTTGAATCCTTGCCTCTGCACCAGAAGGGTCGACCTTTGTACCACTCCAACACATAGTACACATGAAGTATAGCGAGGGGGAAAATACCCCGCAAGACGCGCTTTTCCTCAGGAAAGACCCTCTAGAACCCTCGCATGCGCCTTCTACAATAGTCCTCTCAGGTTCGATTTAGTAACAGGGGATGCGCAAGCCGGGGATACACGGAGAACTAGGCTCACTAACTGCCTCTGTTCTTGATATGGTTTCCAAACCAGTCCTGGAACAATATAGAAGTACAAGCAATTACACACCGCAACCGATTGTCGCTAAGTAAATATGTATCGAGGGAAAAATATACAATATTAAAGAAACAAGGCAGCTCTAACCCGGCTGTCCACACGCCGCATGCCCGACACGCATCACTGAGGCGGCACAGACCTTAACCCAATCGCCTCCTCGCCATACTCATCCCCCTTATGCCGATACGGCTGTTTCCCTTTCGCTCGCCTCCGCAAAACACCACAGCACCCACTAACAAACAGCGCATACGCAAGCCCAAGCAGCATGACGAACAGCAAGAGGCCCCCGATCATCTGCAGGAGGTTATACGTGTCATCAGCGACAGCCAGGACCTCTTTGACGTCCTGCTGGTGCGCTGTCGAGGGGGCGTAGCCGCTGGAGGCCAAGGCCGCAGACGTCGAGTTGGCTGTCGCGGCGGAGACGAGGTGCGCGGGGTTCGTCGGCGTGAGATCATCCTGCGACGCAAAAGCAGCGGAGCGCCAGTACTTGGGCGTCTGCGTGCGTTGGACGGCAGAGGAAGCCAGGACGTTCCCGTCGCGATCGACTGCGTCGACGCGCACCCAGTCGAGGAAGCCCGACGAAATAAACATGGTCTCAAAGTCGACGCGCGGCGTCTCGCCGACAAGGACGGGGCTACTGTATTCCGTCGCCTGCGCGTAGAACCTCCAGCTGGCGACCTCCGTCGCGCCGTTCCAGCTTACGTACAAGGTCGTCGAGAGGTCGACCTTGTTTGTCCCCGAGACGGTTGCGACGAGGTCCGGGGGTGTCTTGGGGCGGCCGATGAACTCGCCCTTGTATGCGCGGTAGGTGTTGAACCGTGTTGAGGCGAAACGCGCTGTGAATAGGAGCTCGCCGGATTCCGCAAACTCGCTGATATACCCGGCTTCGCTCCACCCGACAAACATGTTTTTGTTTGGCAGTTGCTGCGCGTTTCCGCGGAGGCGCGTCAGTTGGCCGTCTGGCCGGTTGTACCGCCGCAGGACCTTGGCTGTCATTACACCGGGTGTTGCGTCAAGTTCCACGATTAGGACGGAGGAGACGACCTCGCCGGCCCATTCCTCGTCGGAAGCGTTATTGAGAAAGGAAATGACGTGGTGTGTCCCGTTCGACTCGAGGAATTTCGCGTCGTGCTGCCGCGAGAAGATAAAGTCCTGCTTGAAGTCGCTGGTTTTCCCGCCGAGTCGCCACATGATGTGCCCGTCGACGCCGGAGATCATGTAGATTGTGTCGGTGAATCGCATGGACATGATATAGTTGCCCTCGGCGTTTCGGTCAATCGAGTTGGCGTGCACATAGTCCCACCCCGGGGAGGCTGCAGGGAGGGATTCAGGCCCGTACCGATAGCTCTCTGTCAGACCGATCTTGTCGACACCATCCCAGTCCCAGAGGAGCTTTCCGGACTCGAGATCTAGTACGGTGAACCCCGCGGCGGCCACATGTGTCTTTTCCGCCGGACGCCCAAGAGAATCCATACCGACCTCATGGATCCGGTAGGCGATTCCCAAGCCTGTCTTTCCATCGTCCAGGACGTTCCACTCGTGGATGTCGAATGCGCCCAGGCCTTTATCCGTGGGGTATTTGATCTGATGCTTGATCTCGTAGTCATTGCTCATGATCATGCCGCTGCCCAGGTCCCCTTCATGATTGTGCTGGAGGACAAATGAGAGGTGCGGTTCGTCTCCGATACTGTGTACGGCGCGAAAGTCGAAGACGTTGCGATTCTCGTAAAGCGGGGAGCCGGCCCAGATGAGGTTCTACGCGATAAAGCTGGTTAGCATGCAACTTTTCAAAGAAGCCGCTCCATTTCAACTGAACCCACCCCATCCGCATCATAGATATACGGCCCAACCTGATACGGCGTATATCGCTGCGTATGCGGCTCGGGATCCATCTGCCCATACGGCGAGACGAACCAGTACCCCGGGCTAACGCGGTCGCGATCTTTATAGTCGACATCGAATCTCAGTGCGCGGACATTCGGGAGCTGGTCACTAATCCCATCAGCGCGAAATCCAGAATGTCTTTTACCGGCGGCGTGTCGCAAATACCGTCACGAAGGAGAGCAGATCGTCCTCGGATTGAGTCTCGATCAGGGCTCCGAGTGCTGGGCGTGTATAGCTGTAGCTGGCAAGCAGCAGCCATAGGGGCGCTTGGGAGAACATCATCCCGTAGGGCTATGGCGTGATCGCGCCTGTGGGTTCCGCGGATGAGGAGAGGGAAGAGAGGAGAGAAAGAAAAAAAAAGTGACCTGAAAGTTTGGTGAACTCAGGGGGGTCGCGGCTGAGACGCCAAGCCCGCTGCGAATCTCCACATTCCATCCGACTTGCGTGGCTGGATCCGCTTCGATTATCTGAGACAGCGGGGAAACCAATCGTTGTCTACACCGGCCCCGCTCTTTGCATGACAATCGTCAGCGTCTAACGAGTCCTGGTTTAGTGCCGCGCCACGGATGAAATGAACAATACACTTGTGCGCTTTGTGCAAAACTGCAAGCAGTCAAGAGGGAAAAGCTTCAAACCACGACCTCGAGGTCGCGCTTAGGATGATCTCTTGTTGATAGAGGCTTTGAGACTTGGATGGCTGTTTGCAGGCGGAAAAGTCAGGCTACGATATATTGGTTTAGCGCCATGAGCTCTTGGGATAATAACCAGCGAAAAGTATGGAAGAAGTTGGCAAAGGCGAAAAGGCAACTAAGCAAGGAGGTAAACTAAATACCCAAGAGGTTCACGGATAACTGAACTCAATTGGAAACAAGCAAGAGAAGTAGCAAGTATCAGCCAATTACTGCTGCCACATACATGGAGATGGTAGAGAAGTTTAACCTCCAAAACCACGCGGTATACATTAAACATAAAAGAAGTGTATTAGTATACATCCGATGACTGTCGGAGCCGTACCTTCTGAACTGTTACTCCCCAAACAGAAGGCAGCATAGCTATGCTTCTGTCTTTCGGGGCAACCTATCTCAAGTCCATATACCTCAGTAGTACACATACAGAAACCCCTGTAAGGGCTCAAAAAGACCTACACGTATAGAGACGCAAAGGCTACACCCCCTTCGATACCTCCTCGCGCTATACCATCCTCCATCCTCTTCGCGGCATAGTAAACACCCTTCACACCAAGACTTCCTCGCAATCCAGCTGTGTGGCCGTGTCACTTTTCCGCGGCAGAGTCGACGCGGGTTAGCCCTCCACCTGCCCCGATACCCTTTTCAACACCTACTCTACTCCTCAACAATACAGTGCAGCCAATTGTCCTGCGGGGCTACATGAAATGGCCTGTAGTCTTTCTCGACTGGAGCCTTATGACTGGCGTGGTCCTTTCTTTTTTTTCGAGGAGAACGAAGGCGTTGACTCTCGCTGTGTATGGGCTTCAATAGCAGTAGCCACAGCAGAGGATATACAGCAACGAAATACTTTTCTAAGACCCCAAAGGTCTTCAACAACCCTGGGAAGATAGCCGTACATACACGGTATACGGGCCGTATTACTCACATCCAGAAGTCGGTATGCGGGCCAACGCGCTTTCGGGCTCGGTCCTGGTCGCGTGCTCCTTGAGCCTCCATCACTATCCAGAGCCGTATGCTATCCGTCGACAACGCTCGATATCCAAGAGAAAGGCGCAACTTGCACGGTCAATATCTATGGATAACCAATGATGGGTGACGTCATTCTCTCTCGCTATCGAAGACAAGCCAGACATCCAGGCTTGAGCACATGGCTACTATCTAAAAAGGCAGAAAAGACTGAACGCCTCGCAAAGCACAACAACGCTTAGGGTGAGTCGTATGCCACCCTGACCTCACAACAACACGGACAAAGTAGAGACGTGACCGGTCTTCTATCCAACTACTTCTCAGTCCGCGGACCTCAGCTTGTCCCACATACCCCCTCTAATCTAGATAATTCCGTAGCGAAAACATACCGACCCACCAAAACCCAAAGACCACACTCCAATCTGCAAGAGGTTTATTGATCCTCCTCCTCCAGGTCTGACCCTGCTCCTTTATATCTATCCCCCGTAGGAACCAACACCGCCGCTTCGCGCATGATCTTGCCAAGGAGGCTGACGATATCTTTCTTGTCGTCAAACGTCCACCACTCGAGAAGACGGTACGAGTACAACGAGTCGTTGTCGACGCCTAAGAAGTAGAAATCGCAGCCATCGGTTCCGAGGCCGAACATGCAACAGTTTCGCTTGCGGAGGGCTTTACGCACCGCGTGGATCATACCTATGGAGATAGCCAGGAGGGGTCAGGGATAGACGCGGGCTTGGACGGAGGAAGGTGGGAGAGGTGGGCGGAAGAGAGAAAGAAGCAAGGCAAGTTGAGAGACAGGGAAGACTCCCACAATGCCAAGACAGGATTTCTGCTCTAAGACTCACACATGGCAACAAGCGCCTCGCGCGCCAGCGACGCCGTGCCCCGACTCGGCCCCGCAACAACAACGAAATTCGTCTCTGAATGCTCTCTAGCCCCCCACAACAGCATGTAATCCAGGACCCCGCAGGTTACCGTAGGGCTCAGTCACTGTACCTAGGCTACATATGTAAAGTGAATATCATTCGAGGCTGGAATCACGACTTCCGGCCTCCCCCCGTTGTCGCGCGGGTCACAAACATACGTCCCGAATGAGGGCAAGGACACCACAGTATCAACGTGGTCTTCAACACTGCCCCAGTCCCACCAGTCCAGTCTGCATCCATCAAACCGAAACCGAAACTGATCCCCTGATACCACGTCGGTGGGAAACGCATAACTGATATCAGCCACTGCATAGACAGTCGTCCAGCTCTCGCCGGCCTTTAAACTGACAAAGTCCTCGTGGTCACCGACATGCACGCGTTGATTGGGGAAATCTACGTAGCCCAGACAACCCTCTTCAGACTCGACCTCCTCCCATTCGTTGTCGTTTCTCTGGCGGTAACACGACATGGCTACGGTCGGATCTGTTATTGCGTACGTGTGGAAGATAATTGGCGGCGCTTCTTCCAGCCTTTCGTTGCCGTTCTCGTTGACACCGTGGTAGGTGACCGTCACGTTAACATCAACGCGGTGCCCGTGATAGCTGGACGGGTCAACATTTCGCAGCTCGATGGGCTCAGGCCCGTCGGTTGAGAGTTTCACGCTGAGAATCGGCGCCCCGGGACTATGGACATTGCAAGAAAGCTCAATGTCAATTTCCCAGGATCCGACCAGAGCATGTCTCGAGAATGACTTACACCCGATCTTCGGGCCTAAGAGGGGGCCGCGACTCATAGTGCAGCGGAGAAGCAGCAGGGGCTTGAGCTTGGTGGCGCCTGGATGCGTTGTTAGCGATGGCGAGTAGTAGCTCACAGAGTTGATATGGATTGCGGAGGCGTACTTTTCGAGGTTTGTCTGAGAGGAGTGGCGATCAGAGTCCATTATTACTCCTCTGTAGAAGACTTAGTGCGCTGGGGTGAGAGGCAGAGTTGAGGTGCGAGCCTGGCGGGGTAAGACGTCCCAGTAGCGCCAACGGCTCCTGGGCAATGGGAAACCCTCTGCTGCGCGCAAATCTAGCTGAATTAGGTTAGCTTTGCGCCCTGTACGCATCTAGTATGACGATGACGACCCTGAGAACCCATACAACTGGTCATTTGGCCAAAAGCTCTGGGTTGCCATGCTACTTTTCGTTTACACCTTCGCCGTCTATATTGGCCCCTCGATGTATACCAGCGGAATAGTTTCTATCATGGAGACCTACGGTGTTAGTAATATTATCGCCTCCTTAGGCTCATCCATGTACGTTTTCACCTATAGTCTGGGACTAATACTATTTTCACCTCTTTTAGAAATCCCTACTATTAGACGCATACTACCCTATATTATTACCTATATCCTCTTTGCGATTCTTTGTGTCCTAATGTCTCTAGTTAATAATATTAGTAATATACTTATTTTATAATATCTTCTTAGATTCTTTAGTTCAACTTGTCTTACTACTATAGGGGCCAGCTATAATAACTTTTATAGTGTAACTACCATGCCCTATATCATTACTCTGGGGGCGGAGGAGTAATACTAGGTCTAGTGCTTAGCCTACTTATTACAGGCTTCGCAGTCTAGGCTAAGGGCTAGTGATAGAGCTCATGGGAGCTACTATAGTTATCTACTCCTATCATGGCTCTCATGTTTCTCCATGCCTAAGACCTTGTTAGATACTATTCTCCACCAGCGAGCTTAGCGTCTTAGCACTCGAACCAGGCACGCGGTCTAAAAACCCCATCCGAAATTTGGCAAGCGTAGATAAACCCTCGCTAGATTACATTCAACGCCTTGATCAAGCCATGGGAGATAAACGCCGTTAACCTAGTGGTCTTTTTCTCCACATTCTATACTACTTTAATGTATGGGATTTTACTACTCCTTCAAGTCGTTTCCTCTCGTCTAAGGAGATATGTGTGGGTTTAATATTGGCGAGCAAGGCCTTGCCTTTTTGCCTGTTTTATGTAGGCTTTGCGTTGCCGTTGTCTTGCTCTGCTGTTATTTCTACTTTGTAGCCCCGAACGTTGATTCTAGAAAATCAAGTCTGTATAGGTACCTATATACTACGCCCACATGTTGTCTCTACCAATTGCTGTACATGGTTTAAATATCATCCATTTCTCTCCGTATCCATCAATACATAGATCGACATGATTTGAGCTCCTCATTCCCAGAGCCGAAAGTCTTCCCATCCCCTACCCCACCCGGATAACCACCGCACCCCCCTCATACTCATGCAACCGCCTATAATACTCCGGCGCTTCCTCGATGCCCACAGCACTACTGGCAATAAAGCTCGGGTGCGCGATCCCACTCTCGACAAGACGCACACGCTCACTGGCAACCTGCAACGGATGAACCACGCCTACCCCCGCCCGGTCCAGAGATGGCTGTTGCTGTTGTACCTTGTGTGTGCCAAGTTCATGACGCGCAAGACCGCTCGTTCGACCGGGTTTATACATCTTTGCGCCTGGAATGTGGAGGTCGGTCCGGTCGTCACTGGGCGGGCGAGGACCATCTCCTCACATCTGCCAAGCGAATATGGCGATCGCACCTTCTATGATGCTTCTTCATCCTGGGACCACCAGCTCGTCACGTCCGCCAAGCTCACTCTACCCCAAAGAGAGAATATCAAGATACGCCAGTAGCATGTTGAGCAGATTCGGCCTGCGCCAATGGAACCCAGGCAGCTTGGTCTTGAGTAATCGCGAATCATGCAATAATCCGGTGCCGCAAGAGAAAGACCGTAGGTATGTATGTACTGCTAGTTTCGTCTCGGGATTGAGATAATGTAGGTGCAGACTCTGAAAGAGGCTTAGCCACTGTGGTGCATAAGCACTCTGCATGACTTGGTTTGGAAGGGACCGAGTTTAACTAGTAGGCGAGAGGATGGCTTACCCGATCCCCCGCGTTTATTTAGATTCATTTCAAATATCGCTCCGGACGGGTCCCATATGGGTAGCCCTAGCCCCTGGGCGTCCATGTCCCGTACGGAGTATGCGGCAGCTGGCCCCCGGGCCCGGACGAGCGATACCCTGCAAGCTTGGTCTATGCCGAGTTCAAAAGGGCATTTAGTCGCTCAGGAGAAGCTGGTATATAATCAAATCCGATGATGCTCTTTTGCTGATGATCGTGTATGTAGCTCAAGACAACCCAAGAAGAACTCCGACATTAGGCATGACAAGACAATATAAAGCAAGGATAAGCACATTGGCAAGCTCTCATTAGAGTACATGTATATCAGCCCGATTTTTATGCTAACATTAAGGGATATCTGGCGTTGTAGCGTGAGAAAAACGAACAAACAAGCGGAAATAACGAAAAGAGACAAAAACAAAAGGACGGGATATACAACAAACAGCGTAGATGCATCACAAACACCTTCAGTGCCATGCAGACCCCCAACACCGACCATCGTACATACTTACTTACTTACTTACTTACTTACCCCCTCCCTCTTTCAATACCTGTACACCCTCCGCCCACCCCTCCATCTCCGCCATCTCAAGCACATTCCTCCCGGCATCATCCGTTACCTCGAAATCCACCGGTCCTCCTTTTCCGATAAGAAGCCTTAGTAGCCGCAGATCCCGATTCTCAATCGCCTGCATAATCGCGTTCCACTCGCGATAGCATTTATTCGGATCCGCCCCCTTCTCCAGCAGGAGTTCGATCATCGAGAAATCCCCGTTTTCGGGACACCGCCGGATGGCTTTTACGAGTGGCAAGTGCTCACCGGGGGCATTGGGGTCCGCGCTCGCCCCGCCGTTGGATTTCGACTCGAGGAGGTACGAGACAATCTCCGTGTGTCGTTCTCGGAGCGCGGTCGTGAGCGGCGAGAAGACGCCGCCGTTCTTCCACTCGGGACTTGCGCCTGCTGCTAGGAGCAGTTTTATACTCTCGAGCTGGTTCGCATGTACGGCTTTCTCAACAACGCCCTTGTGCGCCGCAAGTGATTTTATTGATGGTAACAACAACCGGAGGAGGGCGGGTGACTTGGTCGCCATATAGATGGGCCAATCCTGCCCGCGGAGATTCGCGTCTGCGCCGTGCGCGAGGAGCCATTTAACCGTGTCGGGTTTATCCTCGCGGATGGCTGTCGTCAGCGCCGTGTGGCCCAGGCTGTTCCGGTCGTTCAGGTTCACGCGCCCGTGTTCGACGAGCCAGGTGAGTGCCTTCATGTTATTGTGTGCAACCGCGCACTCTGCTATTCCGGGGGGCGTGTGCAGGTCCACGCCCGCGGCGAGAAGATCCGGGAGGAAGTGAAGCCGGTTATGCGTGATGCATTTCCACGCCGGGTATTCCGAGGCCATGAGGTTTGGATCAGCCTTGTGTGTCGGGTGCGAGAGGAGGAGGGCGATTATATCCGGTCTATCGTCACGGATGGCCGAGCAAAGGGGCGTGTAGATTCCGTCCTTTTTCAGATTCGGGTCGACGCCCGCGTCGAGAAGGACCCGGACGGCGTCGATGCTGTTTACGCTCGTCGCTTGTTCCATGAGGCCGGGCGCCTTGTGGATGTCTGCGCCGCGCGCGAGGAGGATGCGGAGGCAGTCGGGGCGGTAGACGGCGGACCAGAGGGCGTGTTCGGGGCCCGGCAGGTTGGGGTTTGCGGCGTGATCGAGGAGGGTTGTTACCAGGGTGGGCTGGTTGCTCTGGACTGCTTCGCAGAGGGCCGTTTTCCCGAAATTGTCTTTGCGGTTTGCGTCGCAGCCTCCTTCTAGAAGGAGGGCTATCAACGGCGCTGGTGCTCGGTCACGGATGGCCTGGATGAGGAGGGTTGTTTCGCTGCGTGTTTCTTGGTTCGGGTTGGCCCCGTGAGCGAGGAGAGTCTGTGTCATGTCGGTGTTTTTATTCGCGACGGCGCATTGCAGAGGCGAGTCGTGTTCTGTGTTTGAGCGATAGTTGGCGTCGGCCCCGAATTTCAACAGCAGGACTGCTTCTTCCATATATGACTGCTCGACAGCGAGGAGAAGGGGCGTCTTGCCCTGCGCATTGGGGAGGTCGGGGTCCGCCTTGTAGAAGAGCAGGAGACGCATACTCTCCATGTCTCGTTGACTCACGGCTTCCACCAGAGGATGAATATCATCCTGCGTATCTGGCGACACTCCACTGTTCAGCAGCTGCTCCAGCCGCGCGTAATTGCGTCCTCGAATGGCAAAGGTGAGACTGTTGCGCGGAATGTGCCCGTCAACCTGCGCTCGAGGCAACGAGTCCGCCATCGGCCGACCGGACTGGCTGGGCGACGACCGAAGGGGACTGGAATCGCCATTCTGTCGCGTGTAGACGTCCGAAACGGAGCTCGTGGTCACAACGGGTCTGCTCGTTGTTCGAGGCGGCGCGGAGCGATGATCAATCGATCCAAACTTTTCACCCTCGCGACCGGAGACCAGGAACGTGTTCAGCGACAAGATGGAAGACATGTCGTCCGCAAGACTTTGTGGATCCTCCTGCGACAGACTCTCGCGCTCCTCGACCGGCGCATACCGGGCTCGGTTCGGCGAACCAACCGAGTCCTTGGGTGGAACAGACGGCGACGAATTCGACGAACGCAGTGAGTTGGATGACTGCATGTGCGAGGGCGACTGCGACCGCGCTGAGCGATCCAGCTCAATGGGGTTCACCTTGTCGATCGCCATCGCCGAGCGGCCCTTTGCAATGCGATCTAGGGCAGCAGCGAGACTCGCGTATCCGATCCCGACAGACTCCTCGGGACGCGCCTCGCCGAGCGACCAGTGGAACGCCATCCCGGATATTTGCAAGGTTTCATTCGTCTTCTTAAGGCTGTCGTGGATGCGATGCAGTTCCTGGTTCGGGCGATGTAGCCCGCGCTGTAGTTTGCCCCATGTCCCACGGTGTTCGTACTGGACGAGTTTCAGGATGAGTTTCTCGAGGTGTTGAAAGTCGGCGTATGCGGCGACGAATTTCTTCTCGACTTCGGTGATGATCACCTCGGGGAGGGCGCGGTTCGCGGACGCGAGCTCGGTGACGCCTGCTTCGATCGCCCAGAGGGTCCGGCAGGTGTCGAGGAAGGTGTGGGACAGCTCGCGGAAGCCGCTTGGGAGATCTTTTGTCGTGCTGATGTAGTTGAGCATGTGCACGGAGATCTGGTTGCCGAGTTGTGTGGCCATCGCGGAGACCGCGCGAATTGCTTCCTCCGCCGGCGCCGGCATGATTGCGTGGTGGGAGATGGTCGAATTGAGGTCAGTTTGCGATCAAAATCAGGAGGAGAAGGGAAGAAAGAGAGAGAGCAGGGAATGCGGGGGGTGTGGGCGCAGGATCAGGATTCAGTGACAGTAAATAATATCAGGGATCAGGAATCAGGATATCCCAGATGAAACCACAAGGGGCTAGATCCACGTGGCCAACCAGATCTCGATTTTGAGTTGGAACCCCCGATGCCTCGTCTGCCTCGATGCAGGCCATTGGTCACGGCTGATACCAGATCGTGTGCCGCGGCGGCGAAAGGGGGTGGCGCCGGCGCACGATAATGGCTTTCTTCCGAGAGCAGAGTAACTATGTATACATGATACAGGGGCCATTCAATGCCTCACCCGCTCCCTCCTGAGGGATATCTCGAGATAGCATGACTCGGCATCACCTTCCGCAACCTCTATTCCAAACGGAACCCTCTTCCATCAGGGCAAGTCGACTCCGTCGCCCACCGGCCTCGTCGGTTCGAATTGTCGCTTTGGCCCTCTGGCCCCACAGAAATCGAACTCTAAAGACTGGGATCATGACTCGGTTGGCCAAGTTTGAGCTGGTGCGTCCCTTAGCGCCTCGACCTAACCTCGGGTGTCTCTGGCCGAGCTGCGCGAGTCCATTTGGAGGCGTCGAGGCCGCACTCGAGGCTCCACCGACTCGTTGCTGGAAAACGAGATGAAACAGGCGAGTCGGCGACCTGAAATTTGGAATTGCATGTGTCAGTAACTTCGATTTTGTCGGAGGAAGCTCGAAGAAGGCCAAGGAACCCGAAATTGAACCAGGGGACAGGGTTGGAGCTCCTCTATCTGCAACCTGTTGCTAGTCCTGCCCAGAGTGTCCACTTGGCCACTGCGTACGACCAGTACGAGGTTGAGTATCTCCAAGGACAGCGCATTGGCCAAGGCAGACCTCGCGAGTTGTAAAATCCCGCTCATCCTCGTTGTTCAAGCTGCAAGTGAAGGCATTCCCAAGAAGATCCCGCAGCAGTCCATCGCTCGGCACAAAAGCCCTCGTGTCCATCGCTCGTGGGGCGATCCGTCTACGCCGATCTGGGGTCGAACCGTTGGAGCGAGAAATGTGATGTATCGATCGACACATCAACTGTCTCTTTTCCCGCCCGAGCTGTGTGAGCCGCACCGCCGGATATTCAGTCGGCAAACCGACTCTTATTATTACTTTACGAGGCCGTTGGCGTGAGATGTGCTCCCATCCGGTTACCTCAGGCTGACTGAAATCTGAGTCCGAGTCTACACGAAAAGACAGCCCCGCCCCGCTCGAAGCCTCGACTTCGTCATGACTTTCTTCCCCACCGCAGAAAAAGCAAGCATGCCTAGCGTGGCCCAAGTTTGGGCTTTGGAGGGCTTATTTTTGCCCAGTGGTCGTAGGACGGAGGATTCTGAGCGAATGGATTTCGGTGCTTCTTTTGCTGTCTGCGATGCCGCATATATATCCATGCCCGTCGGATATTTAGGCCTTGAATACATCTCATCTGACAGCACACAGCATGCTCAGTGACAGGTAAGGACATATCATTGCAAATACTCTGAACCTTGGATTCTCGCTGGAATGATGTGGGCTCAACGTCAAAAGATCTGTCTGGAGTGGTGCACCACAACAAAGAGAGCAAAGAGCAACTCCTCTATAATACAAAACAGCGGGACCGAAAGAACAATACTACGAGATCTTCAGTGTAGGTATTAGAAGAAAGAACACCAAATTTCTCAATGGGGTCGCTGGCCGGGATATACCACTATATATCTTTGTATCAATATTTTGATGGGGTACAGTGGACCATGACCTTCTTTTGTCGCCCGTTGGTCAAAATCTGAACAGGGCACTGATATTGCGTGAGATATGTTTAACTTGGCTTCGAAAGTTCTACATGAAGAGCACTATTGGCGCCCAAAAGGCGCAGTCGCCTTTCCTGTCACACTTGGTAGACGCGATTCGCCGGATGGTATTCGCATACTACTTCTGAGAAAATATTACGGATATTATATACTGTATAGTATGCGGGTCTAGCCACGAAAGGTATTACGAGGAACCGGGTTTCCTGGTCAAGGTTTTTATTATTATTATTCATGAAACCAGAGTCCCTGCAAGCTTTAGATACGCGGCCGAGTCCATAAATCTTGCAAGGAGAAAATACCCAAGGGTAATGGCTAGTTTACATACTTAGGATATGCCCAGTGCACTTCGTTTCTCCATGTCAGAAGTTAGAGGGGCGCGCCTATTGATCAGAGGTGAAAGTGTATATATCCTTCTGACAGCACTTTATGATGAGTTAATATTCGATTTCCGCGTAGCAACCTACTCTGGACATCCCTTTAACTAGGAGATATGTAGTCGTCAGGGATCCTTCCTGCCAAGACTTAATAGACTATAAAGCAGCTTCGGCCATCGCAGTAAAAGCATGCACACTTCCCCTAGGATGGAACCCATTTATTGCTGAGGTCAACCGTTGTGAGGCCACCGCAGGCTTTGACAATTCATCCTCCTCCGGCATACCCCAGCCGCCACCACTAAGCCTGTAAATCCAATGCTAGCAGCGAACATAACACCTTGCGCTTCGCCCAAGACGAGAATACGTTATCAGACGGTTGAATGATACATGAGCTTAGTCTGGACCTGCGTTTAGTAGTTGACAGCCTTTGTGCGTCGCAGTTTGTTCAGCCAAACAGGGGGGAGTGTCGCCGTCAGCAATATCATTGGGCACCGCAACACCGGGAGATGGCCCAGCTGCCTCAGTTTCGGCCGGTAATCGCTAGCTGTGAATGAAAGATGACATTGATCAACCACTACTCGACGTAGTAGCCTTCTCTTCCGCAGCATCGATGCGTGCGGCTATAGCATTGCTTGAAGGTACCTATCTGCGATAAGATACTAATGCTGATAAGGATATGTTTGCCAAATCCCTAGGACACGTCTTGTCTCTAGTTCACTCATAACAACACGTCATAGAACCCTGAAGCCCATAGCGCGATGACATTTGAGGGCCGCCACTGTCCATCACGCACACTCTAGCCATGATGTTGCGAAGAATAAGCCCTCCAGCTTTACAGACAGAACCCTTCTAGTTTATTTCGACCAGCAATTCACAAAGCTTGCACCGGTCCTCAAGAATGTAGTACAAGAACGCAATGATGCAACTCCCGAACTTGAATTCAACAACGATACGAATTTGAAGAGAACTATGAATCCTTGTGCGAGCATTTGGTCCGAACCAAACCCGTTTAGCTATGAGACTAAACTCCTTCAGCAGCCTTTCGAATAAACTCTTTAACCTGGCCATCTAAAAGGCTTTCCACTCCAAGCAAGCCATTATCATTTTCCGCCCAAGTATACGTGTGAGCTTTAGATGTTATTAACCATCGCAGTGTCGTTAGTAAGACCTCTATGTCAACCTCGCCCTTTTGTAGTTTGCCTAAAGCCCACTTGTAGTTTTCTTTAATATTGAGGATAAACTCTTCCTATTAATCGTCTCCAACAGCCTCCTTTGCTAGTTCTGCCAAGCGCTTTTGATTAATGTCAATAGACGAGATATACACAACTCGGTTGGCTGTCTCTTCTGGGTGTAGAAGGACCTGGGCAGTTGCTTTCCCAACGGCCTCCAACGTAGAGAAAGGGGCAACAACATGCCCATTATCTCCATACCATTTAATTCGTTTGGTTTGGGGGTTGATGCCGAAAAACCCGTCCTTAATGGCTTCCAAGAAGGCTCCACATGCTACGGCGGTCCAGGTAAGGCTCGAACCTTTCAACCTCTCGGCCCGGTATTTAGCAATTTCGGTTTTGCGCTGGAAAATTGGCAGCGCCTGAACGTCAGAGTTAGTAGGATCCAAACCGAATTCGGGCGGGATGTATCGGTAAACTCCGACTGCAACGCATGCATCAAGTAGTCGGCAAGACCCTTGGGAATCATGACTATACGTGGAGTCAATAACCGCATCTTGACCTCGTACTGCACCACTGGGAGATTCCACAGAAGTATAATCAACCTCTCTGGCAATGACTCCCTCTGGGAAAGTGACAGTAGAAGCGTTACGGGTTAATACAGTGATATTGAATTGTTCAAGGTTATTGAGAGCTGTCAAGATGCGCGATCCTAGTCGTCCAGTTGCCTGTGAATCCAATGTTAGGGCAACATATCCAAAATTTGGCAATACGTTCGTGAAAGAACGTCGCCAATTGGAAGTCGGCATAAATGGCACTCACTCCAGCAAGGGCAACATTCTTAATGACTGGAGCCAATTGGGATAATGTTGTGAGTTGAAAAGGGTAAGACGTGACGACAGTGGAAGTGAGGTATTGCAATCCTGACAAAAAAAGGGAAGGGGTAGTTTTTTATAATTATTTCACTGTCGTGTAGAAATTCGTTGACATATCACGGTACAGATTAGCACTGCGTGTAGTTGTTTTTAGAGATCAGCGATCAACTTCAGTGTTCGGACAATTTTGAATGCTGGTAATCATATCGAGGGGAAGACGTATACACCGAGACCGAAAGGAGCACTTACCCTCCATGCGAATTCAATTCCTATACAGCGTGATAAAACTCCGTTGGAAGTCTAGAGCGACGTTACTCTATAGCTCAAATGATGTAATGCGTATGTGTGAGTGTCTACAAGGACAGAGGCAGCGCGTCATAGGCACGGAGTCAATTTACCCTGCCTCAGCCTTCCCTGTACTGGTATCATACAGTGGCGCTAACTCGCCGCTGGCGGATGATGTATTCTGCACCCGGAGCAATCTAGGCATTATTGATGCTCCCCGCACACGACCATCTGGCGGATGTTTTCTGCACCCGGCGCGCTCTAGACATTATTAATGCTCTGCCGGATGCATTTTGCACCCGGAGCTCTCTAGGCATTTTTGATGCTCCCACCACACGACCACCAAGAGCCATGTAATCAACAGCGATGACAGCGCCTATGGAGAGCCGAACGCTTCCAATGGTGACCGGGCGTCTAGAAAGGGCGGAAATGTTTATAAGAAGTCGTAGATCGCGCCCCTATTCCAGCCGCCCTGTGCTCAAGTCTCAATCAAACATTGGACTACCCAACTCGTCGCTCCATCTCTGACTTATCCATCCCCATCTTGCCCCTTCTTCAACACTCAACATGCCCGTCATTGCTGTAGCCGGAGGCACTGGCAACCTGGGCCGCGCCGTCGTCGACGCCCTCAACGCCACCGGCAACATCACGGTGCTCGTGCTGGCTCGTCAGGTAAGTCGGCGCACTCGTCCCGTCAACTCTCCTTGAGCCGCTGGCAGACCTGGCCTTGCTCCTGTCACGCGTAGGCTTCGGAAGACAGGGAGAGGGAAATTGGCGCCAAAATCATCGCAATCAACTACGACGATGTCCCTAGTATCACCACGGTCCTGGAGAAGAACAAGATCGACACCGTCATCTCGACCCTGACATCAAACGCGCCTGTTTCTCCCGATCTCGCTCTCATCGCGGCGGCTGACAAGTCATCCACCACCAAGAGATTCATTCCTAGTATCTGGGCCGTCCCGGACCAAGAGAGGTAAGCAATTTACGGATCTTTATCAGGCACGACCCCATCTCCACGGCCTACACTTGCTCACGCCAGTAACAGCATGGCCGCCATTTTCCCGCCTGCCAAGCACAAGATCGACACCCTCGCCGCGCTCGAGGCCTCCTCTCTCGAGTTTACCAGTATCTTCAACGGCTACTTCATTGACTACTTCGCCGTGCCCAAGGTCCAGTCGTACCTGACCCCCCTGGTCGTCGTCGCCGACATTGCCAACAACTTTGCCGCCATCCCTGGCTCCGGGGACGTCCCCGTCGTGTTCACGCATACTTGGGACATTGCCAAGTTCGTGGCCGCCTACGTGCAAAAGTCCACTTGGGAGAAGGAGGCCTATATTATCGGCGGCAAGGTGACCTGGAACGAATTCATCGCCATCGCCGAAGAAGCCAAGGGCACCAAGTTCACCGTGAGAACCGACTCTATCGAGAAGCTCAGTAAGGGCGAGATCACTGAGCTGCCGTCTCACCCGGCTATTTACCCCTTCTTCCCGAAGGCGATGCTACAAGGCTTCTTCGCCGCGTTTGGTATCTTCTTTGAAAACGGCCTCTTCGACCTCAATCCCGCCCATACTCTGAATGAGGAGTTCCCCGAAATCAAGGCGCGCACGGTCAAGGAGATCATCGATGCGGCTTGGCGGGAGTAGGGCAAAAAAGGGTAGTTTACAGCGTATAGTCTAGGCCTACCTGCTTACGGCTAGGCCTAAGGTCAGACACACAATAAGGCTTCATAACTCTCTATCTTTCCAATACTAAACGGTGAAAGTAGACTAATCAATGGAAAGGTGCTAGAAGCATCATGACATGGGGTACGATTATTTATCCTTACCACAGAGTATGTAGAATCACATGAACGAGATCTTAATTTATGGAGAGGAGCCTTGCCTAAGCGCGTTGTTTTGGTTGTTTTTAGTGACCACTCCTCATTAGGAAAGGGATCTACCAATCTTGTAAGGTCTATGCGGCTATGTGAGTCATTAGCTAGAATGGGTCTAGAATGGGTCCTTCTACCCCGCTTGATCATTTTCACCGTCTAATGCTCTCTCATAGACGAAGAACAAGTAGAAATGTCGTTAGGCCTAAAGCATCTAAATGCTCTCTCAGTTTCATGCTATGTATGTCGCTAGCAAGCATCCAGCTGAGTGGACTTCGAAAGGTTCTATAGGATTTGATTCGTTCATTCCATTCTAAATTAGGACTTAGGCTGATGTTACTAGTCCAAACCTTTACAGATACAGTCAAACCCTTGTGAAGACAATGGCATCCATAGTAAGGGTTTCCATCGTCTTATTGTATATGTTCCCGTCCAGTCGCCAGTTTAAGTAGTGGCGTAGGATTCATATATACACCTATTTCAAACCCCCAAGTCAACTCTCTACTATAGCTGTAGCTTATAGCTACTGTTGGAGCCCAGTTCGTGCGCTGAGAGAGCTGTCGCTAGGAGAGGCTCCTGCGGGGAGCCAAGTCCGAAGCTGCCACGGGGAATCAAACCCGCAGTTAAGCTCTGGACCTGAGCTGGGCATACGGCTGGCCTACAAATAAGTACGTAGGCCGGCCACGTGGAATCAGCGGCGTTTTTAATTCAATCGCAGGAAATGGATATTCACCAGCGAGACCTAGCTGGAAAGATGGCTCTGTCGTACGCCGCTTTCGGCGGCCACTCGCAAATGGTTGACTTTCTTGTTAAATTAGGCGCAGAGGTTGACGCCATGGTCTTTGCGGGCAGAACTCCACTCTTTTCAGCGGCCACTGGCGAAGCTTTAAGTAACCTAATAGGCAAAGAGAAGGAAAGAACCATACAGGGTTAATGTCAGGCAGTTTTGGCCCTATTGCGACATGGTGCGAATATTAACCATTAAGGGCCGTATGGGCAAAGCGCGTTGCTGAAGAATATAGTCTTTAATATGAAGGGGATGGTGCAACTTCTCTTAGACCACAATACAAACATGTTTTTAATAAACATTCACGGCAAGACTGCTTTGAACTACGCTTGGAGCAATGATATGATTAAGATGCTGTATGCCCGCATGTGAGCCTGCAGGCCTGAAGGTCAAGAATCAACCCGTATGCTACAATTAGAGAGCTTGAGCCTATGATAGTAAATAGATTTGCGCGTAAATTATATAGTAAAGATAATAATAATAAGTTTAATTTTATTTACCCTAAGTTCTCGCTATAATAATATGGAATTATATAGTATAGTACATATAATATGACTCTACCAAGCCTAAAGAGGATTAGGAGGTTGGCAAGGGCTAGAGTATGTATTATGGCCATTATAGCAGGCCCCATACCACAAGGACATGACCGTTCCTTGTAGCCAACCAAAGAGGAGGTATTGCATCCTATTCAGCCGCATTAACTCGGGTATCTGCGCAAGTCAGTAGGCAGTCAACAATCTCCAGGTCACCCTCCAGGCCTCACAGCTAAGTGCACCCCGACCCCCTAAGTTAATAAGATTGGGATTAGTAACTAGAATGGCGAGTAGTAGTCACATGATCTGTACTTTTCGCTTCTGGACCACATGGTGAAGGGTAAATAGACTGGCCTATAACCATTGTCTCGCGACCTTTGGTGAAAACAGCAATATTCAGCTCGGCTAGCAACCGCACAGCCACACGCTCATGCTCACATGTGGCTGGTCAATCACAGTGGGCTGTGGGCATATCTACCTGTTGTGCTTATATTAATATTCTCCTCCGCTAGAAGTAGCTGAACCACTTCCAGGTGGCCTCCTACAACAGCTTCGTGCAACACTATTAGCGCCGTCTAATCCCGTGCATTGACATTAACATGTGCATGGCTCAGGAGAACAATAACTAAGTAATGCCCCTGTGCACTAGCCAAATATAATGGCAATCTCTCTCCAATGTCCGCATCATGAAGTATTCATACTAGTCCGCACCCACCCCGGTGGTCCACTGAGGGATGGACCCGTTATTTACACATGATCTGGAGACGGCTGGATTGCTAGCTTCGCCTTTCAGACTGTTGAACAGCTCCTGAAGACGGGCCGGCCGATCCTTTCCAGACCAGCAGAAGGCTGGATATCACGTCACATCGTGGCTTTCAATAGTGAGAGATGCCTTACAGGAAAGCGGCTTGTCGCAATACATAGTATTACCCGGCTTGGTAAGGAAGTGGTGTATCGCTCGATGCACATACCCAAGTAGATTTCTATAGCAGCGCAAAGTGCCAGAGCCTCACCTGGTGGAGTAACCACACCTAGAGTCATAGTAGGGCGGACTACCTAGCAGAAACCATTACGAATCCACGTACCCCAGTCGTTTCTAAACAAGTTTACATATTGCTTCCGAAGCTGGCGTACTGTACATATACTGCATGTCGCAAATGCTGGCAAAATGTTCATGGGACTAACGGTTAACAATACAACCGCAGGGCAATAAAACGACTTTGGGGTATCTTTCTGATACTCCTTGCTGCCCAGCCTCGCGTGGCTGTATGGCTTAGTCGGTTTAGAGCACTGTGCAAAGTCAGAGGATTGCTCACCAACCCAAACCCTCTTGCGCGGTACACGAGAGGCTGAGCTAAGAAAAAAAGAAAAAACAGATTTAACTAAAATCCAAACAAGTAAGCGCCATGCATGCAGAAGCTAGCGCCAGGTGGCTGGTCGCATCTCAGCTGAGCGAAGCGCCGACCCCGCCCCCAACCCACGACCTCCTCGCACTCGATTCCGCAGTGACACTCGTCGACAGTGATGCCAAACACAGAGCAAGAAACTGCAGATGATGCTATGGATGAGGAAGCTGCCCTCCTGCGACAAATTGAGGTGATCGACGCGCACGTTGACGGGAATGGAGGATCTTCGCATCGCGAGGCTGAAGCCGAAGCCGAAGCCGAAACCCACCATGACGCGCAACCAGGCGATTCCCACGGGGGCAGAGACTCGACAAGGTTGGCAGAGCCAGAGCCAGGTCCGGATCCCGAGCTGGAAACTGCGATTCTCGACGCCGCCAAAACGAATCCCGCCAGACTCCTTGAACTTGATCTAACTGGCGCGGCCACGCATATTTTTCTGCGGAAACAGAAACGGACGCTCCTGCAATCACTAGTCACGAACTTCGATACCACCTCGGAAATTTTGGTCAAGGTCTTTGCGCATATGAAGCGCGGCCGCGACGAACGAGGTGACAAGGCGGAGCACGATGTGCTGTCTCTGGCCCTAACCCAGGGGAAGGCTCATCTCGCAAGGACATTGCTCGAAAATGGGGTCAGTCTCGTCCAAACACATGACAGTGGACACAGTGCGCTGTGCCATGCGTGCGAGCACGGACTCGAGGGGACCGTATCATTGCTTTTGGAAAGTGGCGCCGACCCGAACAGGAAGTGCGGCCAAGAGGGTGATACCCCACTGGGTGTGGCATGTAATTCTGGTCAGGTCAAGGTAGTATCACTCTTGCTGGGGGACCCCAGGATAGACTTTGACAAGAGGGATGACACGGGCTGGACACCATTGAATACCGCTGCCATGCACGGGTATACCAATATCGTAGAGATGTTGCTAGCAAAGGGCGCGGATATCAACCTCGTCAATGGCTTTGGTTGGAGTCCTCTAGCCACTGCCTGTAACTACGGCTATGAAGAGACGGTGTCGCTTCTCCTGAGCAGGGAGGATATCGAGATCGATGCAAAAGATGAGGAGGGCTGGACACCCTTGAACACGGCCGCTGAAACGGGCCAAGCCAGCATAATATCAAAGCTCCTAGCCAAAGGTGCAGCAATCGACATCTCCAGCGATTCTGGATGGATGCCCCTGACCGTGGCATGCCAGAAGGGCCACATGGAGGCAATCAAAGTCCTAGCAGCCGACAAGAGATCAGATATCAATGGGCGGGATGGCACAGGTTGGACGGCTCTGTTTGCGGCGTCTCGACACGGCCAAGAAGAGGCCGTCAAATTTCTACTAACGGACCAGATAATAGACATCAACAGGGCGGATAACGAGAATTGGACGCCACTGAGAGCTGCGAGTCGTTATGGCCACGCGGCAGTGGTGGACCTATTACTCGCCAAAGGGGCACAGGTCAACCTGAAAGATGATAATGGCTGGACACCCTTGATGGGGGCCTGCAAGTGGGGTCATTACGGGATCAGTAAGGAACTCCTCGTTAACCACCAGGCCGATGTCAACGTCGCCAATAACGAGCAGTGGACCGCACTACACTGGGCCAGCCACGGTGGCCATGCCAACCTGGTGACGCTTCTTCTGAGCCACAATGCTGACAGGAGTGTAAGAAACCGGGACGGGTGCACTCCATTGCACCTTGCCAGTCAACAGGGGTATGAAGATGCAGTGAGGGCATTGTTGGACCAGCATAGCGGCAGACTGGACGTTGGTGACAACGAGGGCTGGACCGCCCTGCACAAGGCCAGTTTCCACAAAGACGTAGATGCGAAGCGACTTGACTTTGAAGACGACGATGTAAAGCCAGACTCCTATCACGAACCTGTCTCGCAGCATCATCGAGTTGTGGAACTTCTATTGCAGCACACCACAGACATCGCCAGTACCACATCGACCGGAGACACACCACTACTACTGGCAGCAAAGCAGGCCAATACCAAGTGTCTCCAGCAGCTTGTGGCGCGTATGGGCCAACCTGACATAAATAGGCGAGACGCTGCCAGCCACACCGCACTTTATTACGCCGCGAACTCGAGAGATGGCAATATGCTGCGCGCCGTGCTTGAAAAGGTCACAGCGGCGGACTTTGGCCTCGATGGGCCAGACACGGAGCGGGACACCCTCGCGTGGGCGGCCGACGACGGTGAAAGACACGAGTTGTTTGTGATGCTGGCTCAAAAGGGCCACTTGATGACGAAGAAGAATGTTCCTGATACACACAGGAAAAGCGCGCTGTGCTGGGCTGCCTGGAACGCAGATCTGGAGCTTGTCTGCAAAATCATGCACAGCAGTGCTTCGGACACAAACGCCGACAAAGAGAGAAAGTCCGTCGAGGCGGCAGCATCTCGGATACTGTCAAGCATGAAAAGCGCAGACGTGCAACGCAGCAAGAATCCGCAGATCAAGGCCAACGCCACCAAGCATCTCGATCGGAAGGTGCTCAAGGATGTTGATAATCGGAGGAAGGAGCAACCAACCGGGTCTGCCGCCGAGCGTGACAAGTACGAGACGATCCTCGATCTCCTTCGCAACCCGCCGATTGTCCCAACCACTGTATCTATCCAGCCGTGTGAGATGCCGGTGCTCGGTGCAGATATTGATATCAGCGCGTTTGAGGCCGCGGTGGTTGACTTTTACGCAAAGGAAACGTCGTCCGGCTTCTTGAGACGAGAGCGGGGGGTAAAGGAGGTTATCTACGACCCAGATAAGGGCCCGACAAAGCTGATGGCTGCTGCGCAAGAGACAATGAAGGCGCAAAGTCACCACTTGGGGAGCGGGGACGTCTTTTCACCCGCCGATTTCAAAGTCAGGTGGATTCACCTGCCGGCGAACAATGTCAGTTTCCCTCCAAGGTGGCTATTCTTCTCAGGCTGACCATACGCAGATGCAATGGATGAACGTCAGTTGTCGTGGTTTATTGGTTCTGAAGCGCTCTAATTGGATCTGTAGGACTTGATGTCCCGAATCTACTTTGAAAAGAAGACCGACAACACTGACCGAATTTATGGCGACTTGAACAAGTTCTTCCGAAGGAGCTGGCATCAAGTCCCTGATACGTCCTCTCGGTTCCGGTTCATGAAGCCTGAATGCGTGGTAGGTTGAGTCAATCCTCGCTGTACTACCAAGACTCAAATTCCTCTACAGACCCAGAACGCGGAGGGAGACGGCAGTGTTCCTCGCATAGCCCTATACGTGAGTACCATACAATAATAGCTTGGCTCCGCCGCGTTGGTAAATAACCGCGAGAAAGATGCCATATCTCACTTTCGCCACATACCCATCGCAGCAGACGAGCAACTATGACGCTTTGCTGAGCACCTACAGCAAGACCGCTATACATCGATTTCGGACGTTGGACGAGTCATACTACCAGTTCACTTCGGACGACGTGGACAAAGAGCGCGAACGTCGTAACAAAGATCAAGTCGTGACGAGACGGCTCTTCAATGACGATATGGAGGAGGCCATATCGTGGGATTTGATTGGTGTTGAGCAGCTTTGGCTTTGGATCGTTGACGACAGTAAGGCAATTTCTGGTTGTTAATATGGGAAATCCAGAAAGACTCACACATTTTATATCCACTGCAGAAACCGTCATCACCTCATCAACTCATCGGGCAGACAACCGGTCGAATGTCGTTCATGGCAGTGTTTTGGATCGCCTGACAGAACTCGGACACGGGGAGAACAGGCGCTCGCAGCCCAGTACGCCGCTCGAGCTCAGCAAATTCATCGTCGACACATGCGTTCAGTTTTATAGCCGGAGGAAGTACTCACCAGCCGATGGAACACCAATTCCCAATCCCGTCCCCTGGTCCATTCAGCAATTCTTTTCAGATTCTGTCAATCGAGCGGTTCGTTGCCCCCTCTGCGCCCTCGCTGTTCTGTTTTCCCGATGGCATGGCTGATCCTCCCTAACAGGCAGTAGAAGAAGCCGGGCTGTTCAAGAAATTTAGCGACAAGGGCCTTACCAAAGCACAGGCTCGACTGGGCCACCAACACGAGGAATCTAGCAGCGTCAAGGACATCTATGTACAGCAGACCGCTGGCCTGCTTGGCCATGTAAAGGATATGCGTGATGAGCTCAACATGATCAAGGCCATTGTCAGTGACCAAGTGGTTGTTCAGCGTGGGCTTGAGGAGAAGGAATGCTCTGCAGCTCGCATCATCAGTGACCTAGAGGAGATGGACCAGGCTACGCAGCGAGTGTACAAGGCAGTAAGTCAGCTTTCAGGATAATCTACCTCGTCCAAATCAGTCATTATGAGCCAATTGCTCACCCATCCCAGGTTGAAGCAACCTTGACGCTGGAGCAAAACGTCATCGCTCTCACCCAGTCCGAGGAGACAATTCAGCAAGGAAGGATCCTCATGGCGTTCACCGTCGCGACTATTATCTTTGTAAGTGGATACTACCAGCTTCAAACTACCATCACCATTTCTCGCTCTGAAACAACTTCAACTAGCACTAACTGGACCCAACGCACAGTTACCAATGTCCTTCCTCGTCTCTCTGTTTGCAGTCGACATCACAGCCTTCCCGCACAATCGCTCGGGTGATCTGCAGTATACACCAGGTTGGGTCTTTCCGATAATCTGTACGTGCCGGTTCATCCATTAATTGTCGTTCCGGCATGCTCTATTCGCGAAACACACTAACTCATCCCATCACAGTCGGAGTGTCGGCCGTGATTTGGATACCGCTTATCCTCTACGCATTCCGCTCACAGGTCCTTGGGTCCATGAATACTCTCACACTGCGCTTTCATGCCCTGCACATGCCCCGCTCGCAGGCTACCAACAATCCCGGAAGCACCTCAGTCGCAGATCTAAGGACGAGGCTCGAGGCTGTATACCAATCAAAGAAGGATAAGCTCCGGCAGAGATTAGGAAAGAGAAAGAGCAATTCCGCAGATGAGGAGGCGCAAAAGGTCGAGCCTGTCATAAATGGACATGAAACTGTTACTCCGCCTAAATGAGTAAGTTATGTAGCCACGGATTTGAAAGCTTGGATCTTAGGTTGGATAATTTCGATTGGGCTTGTGCAGCACTATTTACTCTGGCCACAGCGCCCTTTGCTGGGCCATGTTATTTAGCTGTTAAATTTATCCCTGATACAATCATCCAATCTCTTATTGGGCCCCCTTGAGCCGAGCACCGAGTGCTCACAGCCAGTGGGTGGTCGTGTGAGCGAGCCATATCTACGGCTCAGCCACGTATTCCGTGGTGGGTTCGCTTGCTTGCCGCCGTTTGTACTCGCGTCGCCGTTGACGGCCTGCAAATCTATATCTCAGCAATTATCATATCATGCATTGCAGCAGAATAAGCTAGTCGGTTACACGCCGCCGCGGGGAACAGGCGTTCAATCATGGCTGGACTCGGACCTTGGGCAGTGGTCTTTGCCCAGATACGCATGACCTACCTACGGAAACCTCTCCTCGGCGTGTGCTCCGTATGGGACAAAGAAAGCCAATGTATCTACACGACCGGCAATGAATGCTAAATTCGGGGGTTCCCGTCGGAGTCCTGCAGAAAACCCAACTCGATCTAAAACAGTGGGTCCGGAGAACTGCATGTAGTACTATCCTGTCGGCGTCATGCAGGGACGGACGCGTGCATTGCATGCCACATGGGATGGCTGCCCACCGATGCAAGTCATTGTCCGTTTCCGTTATGCAAATTCGCAAACTGAGCCTATCACCTCCAATGTATATGAATCTACTACCAGTGCCTCCGGTTAAACTTTCCAGGTACTGCATCACAAAAAGATGACGAGAGAAGAGTACATTTCTGGTGCTGGATACATTGAGCACTGCTTTTGAGCCTTCAAAGCTCCAAGTCATCTAGTCCATCACTCCTTCTTCTGCACATCTTCCGCCTCCCCAATCAAACGCGCACACCACAGCGACCCAACAAAGAATCCAACATTTCCCACAAAATCCAACCAAAGCCACGGCGTAAACACCCCCCGTCCCGGTCCCACCCCAAACCAAGCATTAAAGCCCAGATACGGAACCATCGCCGCTCCAAACGCCAGAAAGCTCTTCCGGGTCATGTCGGCGACGCCAAGGAGAAGGCCGCATGTCATCGCTTGCGCTCCGAAACATCGCATGATGAGGACTGGGGCGCGGTCGAGGGTGATGTATTGCGGGCTGAGGCTGAGGCGGATTGCGGAGGTTGGGTGGAGGAGGCACCTTTTCGTGGAAGGGGTAGGTGTAGGGTGAGCATATAAACTCATGAAATGCATGGGCAGTCAGGTGGGGAGTTTTCACGGGGTGCACATACCATGCTCCGAGCCCAGAGTATCCGAGGGCCATGGCGAGCTGAATGCGCCGGGCGGTACGCAGGTTTTGCTGTGTAGTTTTGCTGATAGGCATTTTCGGGCTGGCTGTGTATACGAGGGTTAAGGGAATGAGAAGGCTGAGGGTGTGCGTTGGCGAAAGCAAGGGGGCTCGATATGTCATCGCGCCAAGCATAGGAATCAAAAAAACTTACCAGTCACGGGGTTAGTTCTACCACATATGTGTCTCCTTATAGGACTGACCGGGCATACAGAACATGGACGAGCTGGAGATAGTCAATACATGTCTAAGCGTCATGCGTAGCACAGCACTAGCTATAACTATATTCCTCGGTTGAGGTGTTCTTAGGTGTCGGCATGGGTGCCTCAGGCTAATATTAAGCGGCCGTAGCGAGTGGTCAAGCGGCTGATCATTGATGAAGCCGATAACATCTGCAAAGTACGATCTTGCCCCAGGTTTTCTGCGTGTTATCGATGAAACTGATAAAAAAGACCATGCGCCAGTTTCTCAAAGCAGCGTAGTGGTAGAGGCCGGGAAATAGATGTAATATGTGATTCGCGTCATGCATGGTGAGAGAAAGACCAATAAGATAGACCTTAAGAGAATTCGCGACTTACCAGCTGATGTCCTGAATCAACTACTGTAACTCATTTCCGGCTTCATAACGAGAGGTAGTTGACCAGCCCCGGTAGTCTGATCGCAGGTGGGAAGTTTACAGTTCGAGTCCTGCTTACCTGTCTGACCCCAGCGTCTAAGGGTGGATAAAAATCCTAGCTCTATCTAGGCATTATCCAAGGTAGTTGCTTGGGATGATGCTTGGGGTACATTACAACTAGAGGAAAGAGTGTCTTTGTTTGATTTCACTACTCAGTTAACGTCTCCCTCGTGTTACTGTCCATACATTGATACGATAAACGAAAGCTCCAGGGAAGGATTTCATCGAAGTCAACAAGTCAAGTCATCACCTAATCCCACTTCACTTGCCAAAGCCAGATAGATAGATGGGTATACTAGTTTCCCTCCGACGACTTGTGGTTGTGGTCAGGCATAACGACGGGCCTGCAGCTCCCTCTGGCGCCGCACCTCCATCTCGCCCCTCTCAGCATCGGACATCTCCCGATACATCAGAGCCGCGATGCACCGCCTCCGCAGATTCCCATCCTCCAACAGACGGTGGTTCAACCAGAAATTCGGGACGGGTATGTTGTCATCCTCCGGGTCGGGAGGCGGTAGACCCAAGGGGACGTACTCGTCCGCGCAGCGCTGGTCAAATCGGCGAAGCTGCTCCTCATTCCAGCCGTCCCAGTGGCGGAGGGTCAGGTGGATATGCTGCTGCCGCGAGGGTATCTTGGCGAAGTAGATGTCGCATTGTTGGGGAGTCCAGCCCTGTGTGCGCAGGCAGGTGTAGACTCTTTTTTGTTGCTGGGGCAGCGAGTCCGGGTCGATCGGAGGAGGGGGTGGAGAGGGTGGAGGGGTGCGGTCGCGCGGTAGTGGTCGCGGAGGGAAGGCATCACCTGATGAGTTAATCGGTGCGGCGGGTGAAGGAGATGCTTGAGAGGCTGTTGATGGGGTGTCGTGAGCCATGTTGGACGGTCTCAAGTTGAAAGAGGCAGTGTTGGTGAAGAGAGCAACAGGGCCGAGAGCAGTGGAAGAGGCGACTTTCTTATGTACCTCAACCGGGGCAGGATCAGGCGCCAAAATTCAATGACACCCTATTGGTTGAGCAGCACACGCGAAGATCTAGTTCTTGCATGCATAAATTGCTAGTCTAGATTATGGAATAGTCTTCCAGCCATTTTTACCCTCCCTACGTGGAACCACCACCTGAATCCCTTGTCCCATGCGCCCACAGAACCCATCAAACCCACCAACCTTATATTCTCGCCGCGGGTTGAACCAGGGCAAGCCTACAAGATAGTTGCCAATCCTCTGTACCCCCGAGTAAAGCCCCTCGACCCGGCGCGTGGTCGAAAGCCACGAGAGGGTGACAGTGTCATATGCCACCCGAACAAAAGGGTTCATGTATACTCTAGTCTCCAGTTCCATGGACGAGCCGTCGTTATCCGGCAGTCTTTGGATATCGGCATGGATCAAGCAGCATTCCGAAGCGTCCCAGCGATGGTCGGAATCTGTCAACGAACGAAACCGAGCTGGGAGATCTCCTGCTGCATCTATCAAACCATTCTCGTCCTGGAAATATCGAGCATCAAAGGCAACCATGCCACCCCAGCAGCTACGCACAGGGACACTATCACTCCCTGCTAGGACAGCTTGCCGGCTCCTTTCACTGCCAGCACTTGAGAACCATGGGAAAAATGGTAGGCCCATGATATACCGTCCAAATCTCGCGTGGCATATGTATCGTAGAATTTAAATGGATTAATGAAGTCCACCGCATACGCAGCACGATACTGCGCGATTCCGTTGCTGTCCACGTTCGTTGAGAACAGGGGCTGGAGGGCATCGATGGGGTCAAAGGCCACATCGTTGAGGAAGAGGAGCTTATCAAATCTGATCCTTGTTGCTAACTTCATCTCCTCGCTATCCCTATCGCTGTTGCTGTTGCGGTTGCTGTTAACCGGTCGAAGGGCGCGGTTGCGAGTCTCGGCGAGATACGTGATCCGTTTGACGCGCTTCTCGCCCGTGGTTGGGATAACCACGGTGGGCAGTTGATCCAGGTCCATCGTCTCATAGAGAATGGACTTGTTGCACGGGATATGGCTACTTAGCTGCTCCAGGGCGAGTCTCGCGGCGCTGCTCTCTGGGCTTGAACTGCTTCGCGGCCGGGTTTTGTTCTTGTCTTCGATTTCGTTCTCGTATATGCTGACGAAGACGTTTTCTTCTCCCAAGAGGGTGATAAGCTGTAGAATACTAGAGCCCCATGCCCCCTGGGCCAGCTTGCCTGTTGGATCATACAAGCTTGCTGCAATGAAGACCTTTTCATTGCGAATATTCCCATGGCTCGTGTGCTCTGAAACTTTGCGGCGTAAAGAGGAGTAATGAGCTGGAGGATGGGTATAGGACGGGGAGGCTATGGCGGTAAAACAAAGTAGGATAGCAATAGAACACAAAATAGCTAACAAATAGTAGCATATTCGAAAGGCAAAGCGTCTATATGTGCGGGGAGGCCGGCGTACAGCAGAGTCCAACAGCTTGTACTCTCTTCGGCGAAGCAAATTGAGCGAGAAGAGCCCAGTAAGTGAAGTCATTTGGTGTGTGGGTGTGTATGTTCGTCACTTGGCCTGACGAGGGACTCGTTTCTCTAGACGTTTATGAGACTAGCAATGGTTCATACGGAGCGAGGAGGGAGGCGGATACCCCTGGGAAGACAAGTGGTGGCATGATGGTAGATACCCCGGTGACGCGTCGTCTGTCTTTGCCGCAGGCCTTAGAAGGTTCCCAGGTACAGAAAGTGCATTAGAAGGATGCAAATCCCCCCTCTACCGTGCGTCAGTTGCCTCGGAAGAATGCGTCCCACAGACGTATCGGCGGCGTCGTGATCCTCGTCGCGTATGGAGGCAAGACAGGGTTCTGCGGCGATGAACCAGTCTGTTGGGACAAACTATCCAATCCAGTGGCCCTGGGTGTGGATTAAGCGCAAGGATGGCTGCCGATCACCAACATGGACAGATGGGACTTAATGCTGATTTGCTAAAGCTGAGCTGTCGCAGGCGCCCGAGATGTCAACATCCATGACTTGTCTCCACCGTGATCAAACAGGAAAGAGACTTTGGATCTCGAAGCCATCCGAGCCGCGGCGACGCTCAGTTCCCGCCAGAGACGATCCTTGCCTTAAGTGCGTATCTTGGCTAACCTGCTACCTTAGCTTGGGGGCAGCTGCCAGGGTCCTCGATCAGGCCGGCTTGCCCAGGTATCTATTGGTGGATTCGTCAACGTGATGGCACAGATTAATAAGGGACAGTGCCCTTAGCCGCACTTTCCAAATTAGGACAATGGACCTCCTACCCAGCCTTGGGGGCGACTGCGGGCCCTTCATCGGGCCAGCTTGCCCAGGCATTCAGTGGCCATAGCAAGTGGTCATGTGGCGCACAACCGCCACGATGACGCCGCTTGGTCCTCCCGTAGAAACGAATACCAAGCGTTTCCTCATTAGGTCAGAATGAGTGGTCTAGGCGAGTCCTGGGTTTGACCAAGACAATACCCGGCCAAGCTTTACCAGCATCAATCATCAATGTTTCACGGCAATTCCCAATTTCCTGGACTAGCGTCTGTCTACCAGTAACCAGCTACACTGCAGAACATCTCCGTTTCGCCCCAGGTATCAGCCAGTGGAGTCTAGCCGCATCTCATCTGTAACTCCAGCGAATCACATTCCCACAGGCTATCAGCCCCGCAAATCCTCCCCATGCCCTCGGTTTCTCACCGTAGAGACTCGGGAGTTGGAGTCACTCCTCACCTCTTTCCCTCCCACTTCCCCATCTCCCCTGCAGCGATTGAGCCCTGCGGGTCACAATGACGAGCATATCGCGTGCCCGAACGGGCTGCTGGACGTGTCGTGCCCGGCGGATCAAGTGTGACGGTGAGTTTAAGCTTATCTGTTCCTATTTTAGCGTGCTTTGGCGCTGATATGGACAGAGGCGCGGCCAAAGTGCCGTCGGTGTGCGCGACTCAATGTTGACTGCGGGTACGGAGTGAGGCTTATTTGGCACGAGGAGTCGATGGCCAGGGGGGTTTGTCATGGAAGAGAGGCTGTGTGGTCGAAATGGGATACTTTAAACAGGAATAAATGGACGCGAGGGCAAATATCTCGACAAAATGCTGGGAGCGCCACAGCAGAGCAGATCCCACGCAATACGAATCGAGATTGGGTGTTTTTAAACACATCCTCTCACGACCTTGAGCTCTACCTGAATCTCCCGCACGATACGGACATGCCACCATCGACTTCACTATCCTTCCTAACACGTCCCTTGACGACCATTCCAACAAAAGCACGATACCTGGATGACCCCGCATTGCTTTCATTTTTCGAACGCATAATATGCAGCAGCTCAACCCTCGTCGACAACGCACACTACAATCCCTACCGCTACCTCATCCTCCCAATGGCCATGTCATCTACCGGTCTTTACCACGCCACGCTGGCCATCGCCGCAAACACGCTACGTCTATCAAACCCATCCTACCGCGTCCCAGCACTCGAACACCATAGCCGCGCATTAGCTCACCTGCGGTTCCTCCTATCCCAAGATGAATGGACAGAGCGGGAACTCGATGAGATGATCGGGCTTGTACTGATGCTTTGTTGGTTCGAGGTACCTATCCCCTTTGACATCCTATGGGAACAGCCAGGTTAAACTTCTTGTAGATCTCAGATAACAGCTGTCCCGCGTGGATAACCCATTTGAATGGATACCAGGATCTGCTTCATACGCGGCAATGTCGGCCTGCACGGTCGGTGCACAGTGAGCAATTAGGCAATTTCTTCAATCGATACTTTGCCTTTCACCATGTCCTTGCGAGAACTGCTTTCCGGCTTGATTCGTCGTCGTCTGCACTCCAGTTACCCTTGGTTCCGGCAGGTATTGAGAATACTGCCGCCGGCGATCCGGATGTGATTGATACATACATGGGCCTTAGTCCGTCGCTTTTAGTACTGATTAACCAGGTCACAGAGATCGCCTGGTCGGATCCCGCTCATTCACCGACAAGCAGCGAGCACATCCTACATCTTGAAAGGCAGCTCGAAAACCTGCACCAGGTCCCACCCCTCGGGGACGGCATGATCGATGAGACGGAATGTGTCGCGATCGCAGAGGCGAATCGACTCGGAGCACTACTCCTTCTGCATGAAGTCGACTCCACGGTGGCAGCGTCCGGTACTACAAAAGCTACGACGACATCAAGGCACGAAGGGAAGAACCGCTGCGTTGAGCGCATCCTAGCCCTTATCCTCGAGAAACGCGCGAATATGATGCGCACGGCGGTCCTACCGCTATGGCCGTTGTTTTTAGCCGGGTGTTGTGCGCCAAGTGATGCAGAGCGAGTCATTGTTATGCAGCTGTTTGGAGAGTTGGAGGGGATCCACAGGTTTGGTGTACGTCTCTCCATTCTTTACTCTATATAGGGGAACTGACGGGTCTAGAATATCGCACCCGCGATGCAAGTCGTGCAGATGGTCTGGCGACAGCGCGATCTGGCCGCACAAGACGACAGGAAAAGACAAAAGAACAACGGAACGAGACAAGCACGCTTCGAGTGGGAACGCGCAATGATGATGCTGGGGAATTGGAAACTGAGTCTAACATGATCCATCTACCTCTTCCCCCTACATCAGCCACTACAGCTCATCAGCAACTACAACTTGGAAGCAGGCCCCTTCCACCCTGTCAAATCACTTAATTCCATCTCCGGATCCAGATGCGCCAGATCCGTCGCCGTCTGCACCATCCCAGCCCTCCACCGCCACGCTTTCCGGATCCCCTCATCAAGTCTCCCCTCCAACAGATCCGCCACATACTGGCCAACAACCGGCAAGAACTTGAATCCATGTGCCGACCCGCCCGTCGCAAGGAACAACCGCCTATGATCGGGATGCGGCGTAATCAGGAAATGCCTATCCGCCGTATCGGCATCCCAGCACAGCCGCGTATAGCTAAAGGGCCGATCCGCCAGCTCAGGGAGCACACGACGCAGGTTCGCGCGCATCGTGCGCTCGATCTCTGCAGGGAGCGTGTCACCAGGGGACTGGACAAAGGTGTGTGGGATTGAGGTTGTGATCCCGGAACCTGCGTCCGTGCGTGTGTTTGTGATGAACTGGCTGTGCGCAAGCTTGAATGTGCCGTCCTCTTGCGGCGGGAAGAAGTAGCCGAGTTCAAGGTTGTCGAGGATTGGAAGCTGCGAGTAGTGTTTTGTTTCTGACGGGGTGAGCTGGATGTGTGCGACGCTGTGGCCCTTTGCCGTGAGCTGGCCTTGCAGGTCGATGAGGGAGGGCGTCCATGCCCCTGTGGCGAGAACGACCAGATCGGCTTCGTAGGCGCCCCCATCTGCCGTCGCGGCACCTGTGCATTCCCCATCACGAAAGACAAGCCGGCGCACGTAGCCCGCATCTCCCGAAATATACCGCACCCCCTTGCCCATCGCCGCCTGCGCCATCCTCTCCAACGCCTCTCCGGCTTTCGCCCACCCGGCCGTCGGATTCCAAACATTGATATTCCATCCATCCAACTGTCCCATTATCACCGGAAACCTCTCCCGAATCCCCTCCGGCGTCAACACCTCCAGCCCCTTCACTCGCAGCCGCGTACACGTCTCAATGCTGCCATGCACAAACGGGACAGAGAGCTTCTTCGCGCTCAGGATCCATCCGGGAACTTTATATAACCCCTTGAACAAATCCCAGGAGCTCCATGCCTCTATACTCTCAAGACCCAACCGCACATAGAGCGGTTCGTTGTAGTCGCTGCGGATGATCTTGGATATATCGGTGGACGCGGCCTCGCAGGAGGGCGGCGGGTACCGGTCTAGGACGGTGATTGAGGTGTAGCCGCGCTGGGCGAGGTGGTAGGCTGTGGAGGTGCCAAAGGCGCCGGCGCCGACTATGAGGATTCGGGTTGATTTGGGGCTGGTACTGTTCATCTTGCGGGAGTTGGTCTTATCGGCTATCGAAGTTGTTCGTGGACACGTGGAGAGGTGATGGATATTTATCGGTCGCTACTTAAATCGTATGTGGCCATTTATCGGACTCTCTTCCTGTCCGAGACGGCAAAAGTGGAAGAACGAACTCGCTCCGACCTTCCCTGTGTGCATGTGCAGGCAGTTGGAGTAGTGTGGCCATGTTCTCCAACTCGTTCCGACCTTCCATGATTCCAACTGACCACCCTATCTCATCGCTGACTCGATATTCATCTGGGCTTATCAGAGTGTGGGGTTAGCAATTGCAGGCTTGCCGCTGGAGTCCACGTGGCGTTGGAGGATTTCTACACTGTCGGCGATGGAGATACGTTGATCACGCCTGTGGAGTACGGAGGGTGTGTTGGAGTTGTTCTCTGCACCAGTACATCGGTTTCTGATTGATCCCAACTGCCTGGGGAGGTACGTCCTCGGTAAACAACACATTCATACTATCCACTTCTTATCAGCCATGGACTCTGGGTACCCTCCTTCATCTACACACTCCGCCAGCCAACTGATCACCAAGTATCTACAATCAATACGTATACCGAAATCCCCTCTTCTCCTTGTCCGTCAAATCCGAAAACGCCACCTCCTCCTGCCCCTGCACACCCTCCTCTCCACCCTCCATCGCCTCCCGATCTCTCCTCTGATTCTCCCACCAACAGAGCCCCCCATACGCAGCGATCGAAAAAACCGCTACAACCAGACACGCGAGCAACCCCTCATACCCCCTGGAATAGCTCGGCGCATCATCCGCCTGAAACGCCTGCGGGCCAATGATGTTGCCGATGCAGTAGCTCAGGAAGAAGATGGCGTTTGTGGTGAGTTTCTTCGAGTGTCCGCTCGTGTTTGCCATTGGGAGTGAGGTCGAGAGGACGTAAGGGGCCCAGTAGGTGTAGAAGACGTAGTAGGCCGCCAGGAGGCCGTTTTTGTTCTCGCGCGGGAGCTTCCACATGAGGATTGCGCAGATCATCGGGACGAGGTCGGCGAGTGCGATGATCGCGCACCGGCTGTTGGGCACATACGAGACCACAACCCCCAGGAAGATCTGCCAGACCGTCGCGAGGACGCCAGTCGGGATACCCAGAACCGTCGTGACAAGGCGGGAATAGCCCAGGCCATTCACAATAATCGCGGAAAACGTCACGAGCCCTCCATTCGGGATATTCTGCGCAATGGCAAACAGGGCGAGCAGCCACGTTTTTGGATCGGCCAGACACTCCCGCACTTGGTACCACTTTACCGTCTTATCCTCCATCCCCGTGTTGTTATCCTTGACGCGCTCGAGGCAGACGAATTTCTCGCGGTCGGTAAAGTACCAGCATTGGACTGGAGAGTCGGGCAGGAAGACGAGGAGGATTCCTGCCCAGAGGGCGGAGAAGGCGCCCAGGACGATGAAGAGGAGGCGCCAGGGTGCGAGGGATGTATTCGTCTGCCCGATCCCGTAGCTGACGAGCCCCGCGAAGACCGAGGAGAGCTGGTTGAACCAAAAGGCGACGCGGAGCGGTTGCTCCGAGGTCTTCCACCACATTACGGTGAGGATGCTGGAGATGGGGAAGGCGGTTGCTTCGAGCATGCCCATGATAAAGCGCACGGAGGCGAGGCCTGCAAAGTTCTGCGTTGCCGCGGTGCAGAGCATGAGTACGGCCCAGCCAAAGACCATGCCCACGTACAGCTTTGCGACGGGGAGGCGCTGGATGAGGAGGGCGGCTGGGTACTCGAAGAGCAGGTAGCCAAAGTAAAAGATGGATCCGACCCAGGAGTACTGGTTCCCCGTGAGGTGTGTGTCGGCGGACATGCCGTAGATCGACGCGTTGGAGATGATGACTTTGTCGACAGCGGCCAGGATCACGGTTACCATGATCAGTGGGATCAGGATCAGGTCGATTTTCCAGAGGACGCGGCGTGCTTCTTCAGCCGTGACGGGGGTCGACGTGACGGAGGGATCGAGGCGCGCGAGGAATTGGGCCGCGACATCCTTGTCTGCTGTGTCGACTATCTCGCCGACTTGGTGAGGGTCTTTTTCGACAGGGGGTTGTTTTGTATCTGGAGTATCCATGTTGGAGGAATTCAAGATGGAGATGGAGATGGAGATGGAGAAGGCTAGTGCTGCGTAACGATGGAGTGCCACATGGTATAAATACTCCGATATCGTCCTAGCAGCAGCTCAGGACCGAGATACACAGCTGATAGCACTGATCCCCGTGTTATCTCCAATACTCTGGGCCTGCACGGGGGGAAGGTCGGAGCGAGGCCGCGATAAGACGAGGAATCCCCACATTCTCCAACTCGACTCCAACTCTGCAGACCGCGTTATTGGCTTATCGTGCCCACCAGGAGTTATAAGAGTACCTAGACAGTACCCCTCTCCAAGGAGAAAGGCAGACAAATCACACTCGCCATGTCTCCCCACAAGTTACAAGGCCCAAGCATCAAGATCGCCATCGGTGAGGCCAAATAACTCAGGCTCCCACCACCAGAAAGCAACTAACAATAGATATAGACCGCGGCGGCACATTCACAGACTGCCTCGGCATAGTCGACGGACGCGACGACATCGTCGTCAAGCTCCTCTCGCAGGACCCCGCCAACTACGCTGACGCCCCCATCGAGGGAATCCGGCGGATCCTCGAACAAGCGACGGGGAAGCCCCTGCCGCGCGAGGAGAAGCTGTCGTTTTCCGATTTCTCCTCGACGAGCATTCGCATGGGCACGACGGTCGCGACGAATGCTTTACTGGAGCGCAAAGGCGAACGCCATGCGTTGCTTGTTACGAAAGGGTTCAAGGATGCGCTTCGGATTGGGACACAGTCGAGGCCCAAGCTGTTTGCGTTGAACATTCAGCGCCCGGATGTGTTGTATGAGGATGTTGTGGAGGTGCATGAGCGTGTTACGGTGGAGGATTATCAGCAGAATCCGTCGCCTGATCGGGGGAGTCTGGAGAAAGCGTTGGCGTCCGATGCAGCCTTGAAGCGAGGAGTCAGCGGAGAAATCATTCGCGTCCTCGAGCCTCTGGACGAGGTTAGCACCAGGGCCAACCTACAGCAGCTGCACGACAAGGGCTACCGCTCGGTCGCAGTGTGTCTGGTCCACGCATACACATTCCAAGAGCACGAGCTGGCCATCGAGCGCATTGCGCAGGAGATTGGTTTCACGCAGATTTCCCTTTCAAGCCAGCTGCTCCCGATGATCAAGATGACGTCGCGGGGTGCGTCTGCTACGGCCGACGCGTATCTGACTCCGGTCATTCAGCGTTATATCGAGGGTTTCCGTGCGGGATTCAAGGATGGATTGCGGTCCGCCGACACTCGGTGTGAGTTTATGCAGAGCGATGGCGGGCTTGCTACATTTGACAAGTATGTTCTTTCTCTGGGGTCTGTCGGCTGGACACTGGCTTATTGCTGCAGGTTCAATGGTCTTCGAGCCGTCCTTTCTGGCCCTGCTGGAGGCGTGGTTGGCTATGCGGGAACTTCATTTGATGAGACGGACAGGAAGCCTGTTATTGGGTATGTTCACCCATACGCTCAGCCCCCTTGGACGATAGTTAACATCTGAAGGTTCGACATGGGCGGCACCAGCACCGACGTCTCGCGCTACGATGGCAAGCTCGAACACACCTTTGAAAACACAATCTCCGGCGTAGCAGTCATGGCGCCCCAGCTCGACATCAACACCGTCGCAGCCGGTGGCGGCAGCATTCTCTTCTGGCGCCACGGCCTCTTCGTCGTCGGTCCCGAGTCCGCTGGTGCTCATCCCGGCCCAGCATGCTACCGCAAGGGCGGCCCACTTACAGTTACGGATGCGAATCTGTTCCTGGGAAGACTGCTGCCAGACTACTTTCCCAAGATCTTCGGTCCGAACGAGAATGAGCCGCTGGATGTGGGGATCGTCCGACGGAGATTCACAGAGCTAGCAGAGCAAATCAACCAGGAAACTGGGCAGAGCAAGTCCCCAGAGGAAATTGCCCTGGGCTTCATCCAGGTTGCCAACGAGTCCATGGCGAAACCGATCCGGGCCCTGACTGAAGCCCGTGGTTATGACACGTCTGCTCATAACTTGGCCTGCTTTGGCGGTGCTGGTGGCCAGCATGCCTGTGCCATTGCCTCCTCGCTCTCTATTCGAACGGTCATCATCCACCGCTACTCGTCCATCCTCTCGGCCTACGGCATGGCCCTCGCCGACGTGGTCCACGAAGCTCAGGAACCTGCATCAGGCGTCCTTACTCCCGAAGCCATGGCGTCCATCAACCAACGAATCACAGCACTCAAGTCCAAGGTCGCTACAGCTCTGACGAGCGATGGCATCGCCGCGGACCAAGTCTCGCACGAGGTCTATCTCAACCTCCGCTACCAGGGAACGGACAACGCACTCATGGTGCTGCAGCCCGCTGACGGCGACTTTATCGCCGAGTTCGTCAAGGAGCACCATCGTGAGTTCTCCTTTACCTTCCCCGGCAGGGACATTCTCGTCGAGGATATCCGGGTCCGCGGTGTCGGCAAGGCCACCACCGTCCCCTCTGAAGCACCGCAGAAGGAACTCGCGAGCGTCGCCACAGTACCAATCGACTGTTCAACGCAGGACGACTCGTCGGTCGTCTACTTTGCCAGTACCGGGCGCGTCACAACCCCGGTCTTCTTTCTCGACAACCTCCAGCCAGGAAGCCAAATCCACGGTCCTGCAATGATAATCGACAAGACGCAAACAATCGTCATCGAGCCCAACGCCACAGCGACGATTCTCTCACGCCATGTAATCCTCGACGTGCAATCGTCCAAAAAGCAAGCAGCTACAGACGCAACAGTCGTCGACCCCATCAAGCTCTCCATCTTCGGGCACCGCTTCATGTCCGTGGCCGACCAGATGAGCCGCATGTTCCAGAAGACATCTGTATCAACTAATATCAAGGAGAGGCTGGATTTCTCGTGCGCGGTTTTCTCGCCTGATGGGAAGCTTGTCGCGAACGCGCCGAATGTGCCGGTGCATCTTGGGAGTAAGCATCCACCCGCCACCCTTTCTGGCTTTTTCTTGTGATCGACCAAGGGGTGTACTGTATGCTGATTGGATACAGGCATGGAATACGCCGTCCGCTACCAACACGAGCAATATAGCGGCAAACTCAAGCCCGGCGACCACATCCTAACCAACCACCCTCTCGCCGGCGGGACACATCTGCCCGACATCACAATCGTGACTCCTGTCTGGGACAAGGGTGGTACGCGGATTATATTCTACGTCGCATCTCGGGGACACCACGGTAAGTCTTCCAACCCCAACCAAACATCATATCCACCCTCCAACAATGCAACAGACCAACTAATCAACAATCGCAGCCGAAATCGGCGGCATAGCCCCCGGCAGCATGCCCTCAAACAGCAAGCTCCTCTACGAAGAAGGCGCAATGACATTGGGCTTCAAAGTCGTCTCAGAGGGCCGCTTCAACGAATCCCTTGTGCGAAAATTCCTCTACGACGGACCAGCGTCGTACCCGAAATGCAGCGGGACACGTACATACAACGACAACGTCTCTGATCTCAAAGCGGCCATTGCAGCCAACCACAAGGGCGCTACCCTTCTTGAGAGTCTTGTTGTCGAGAATGGGCTGGAGGTTGTGCACTTCTATATGGATGCTATCAAGCGGACGGCGGAGGTTGCGGTGCGGGAATTGTTGAAGAGGATCGGGAGGGAGAACGCGGGGGTTCCTTTACGGTTTTCGGATTTCATGGATGATGGGACGGAGATTCGTCTCGAGATTTGCATTGATGAGGAGACTGGTTCCGCCGAGTTTGACTTTACGGGGACGGGCCATGAGACGTTTAATTGTCTCAATGCGCCAAAGGCAATCGCGCACTCGGCTATCATCTATGTCCTTCGCGCCCTGATCAACATGGACATCCCGCTAAACGAAGGCTGTCTCGCCCCGGTGAACGTCATCATCCCCGAGGGGACGCTGATCAACCCTTCAGGCCACGCGGCCGTCTGCGCCGGAAACCCGATTACTTCGCAGCGAATCACAGACGTCGTCCTCGGCGCATTCCGCGCATGTGCTGCATCGCAGGGGTGCTGCAACATCATCTCCTTCGGCATGGGCGGCCGCGACGAAAACGGCGTTGATATCCCCGGTTTCGGCGTGGGCGAGACAATCTGTGGTGGTTCGGGTGCCGGGCCGGATTGGCATGGGACGTCTGGTGTCCATGTGCACATGACGAATACGCGGATTACGGATCCAGAAGTATACGAGCTTCGATACCCGGTTATTCTGCGGCAGTTTTCGATTCGAGAGGGTTCGGGTGGGAGGGGCAAGTTCCGGGGTGGCGATGGGGTGATTCGCGAGCTGGAGTTTAGGATTCCGCTGTCCGTCTCTATGCTCTCGGAGCGGCGCGTGACGAGGCCGTATGGGCTCGTCGGGGGTGAACCTGGACAGGCGGGGCTGAATCTCTATGTGAGGAAGGAGGCGGACGGACACGAACGAGTGATTAATATCGGCGGGAAGATGGAGTTGAATGTGCAGCCGGGAGAGCGGATTTTGATTCATACGTGAGTACTCCGAGTAGTAGTCTTCCCATGAAAATGGGGTGCCTAGTGCTAACATTACAATTAATAGGCCTGGTGGCGGTGGTTGGGGCACGCCAGAGGAAGAGGAGCAGTCCACAAGGGGAGTGGCCTCGCAGATGAGCTCGAGTCCAGCAGCAAATGGGTTCCATCCTAGGGGCAGTGTCCATGCCTTCACTGCGATGGCTGAGGCTGCCCTATAGTTCTGGTATAGTTCCGATAATTTAAACGGGAACCATCGTGTACCCTGTACGCTTTACGGCTTTATTGGTGTTAAGACTAGTTAGGCCGAATTTATATATCAATTCAACAACAAATCCGGCTATTACTACCCGTGATCGTGTTGGAGTCTTTCGCAAAGGCAATCGATACCAACGGGATCAAGAACGAAGCAGCAGTTATTCTCCAGAGTTCTAAACAGCCTGCACCGCGCGAGATAGCCCTAGCTACCACACTTCAATCTCCAGGAAACGATCAAACATGGCTCTTTCTTATGATGTCTATACCTGTGGTCGCCCTTTCCTGGTCTGGTCGCTGGGATCGTTCTTTCCTGGTTTATTCTAGGAAGAGCCGGGGCTCGTCGTGCCTGCCGCTCGTGTTGGGCTGAGAGTATACAAGGAGCAATCTCTTGGATGCATTGGCTGTTCCGCCCTTTCTTCCCAATAAAACTCTTGGTTATGACCGCTCTTTCCTCGTCGAAATACTGTAAACTCTCTCGTTCCTTCCTCTCCTGTTTTCGCAACGCGTGTCAACAGATCCCATAGCGAAGATGCGAGGTGTGGGTTACTTCTTCCCACAGATATTCAGGCGCTCGCCTTGGCCTCTAGGTACAGCACATAGTAGAGCTCGTTAGCGAGCATATATCGTAATTTCAATAACAGCAAGGATCATTGAATGTGAGGAGGTTGATCTGAGCAGGTGTCGTCCTACCTCGGTAACTTGGAAATATATGGCGATTGCCCTAATCCTCCCCAGAGTTCCACAAACAAAGTACCTGCGTCACATTGCTTGATCATACGGTTGATTTCTCTAATTACATCGTAATAGCTTGTTTCATATTTTCTAATTATATTTGATGTTAAGTGGTGGTGTAAGCAAGGATCATTGAATGTGAGGAGGTTGATCTGAGCAGGTGTCGTCCTACCTCGGTAACTTGGAAATATATGGCGATTGCCCTAATCCTCCCCAGAGTTCCACAAACAAAGTACCTGCGTCACATTGCTTGATCATACGGTTGATTTCTCTAATTACATCGTAATAGCTTGTTTCATATTTTCTAATTATATTTGATGTTAAGTGGTGGTGTAACCGGTTAGGAGCGGGAGGTCGGAGGTGTGACGTCAACGGACCAACATGATGTCAGTTTGACACTCGACAGCTCCCTTATTAAATCCTGCGCCTCCCCCTCATTTTCTTTTCTTCCTACCAGAATCTACTCATCATCATCATGGCCGAACAGGATATCTACGGCGGCCGGCTGTCACCGGGCCCTGTACCGGTCGACAGAGCCACAGAGCGTCTCTCCCACGGCCGCTCCGAGCAAGACATCTACGGGCAACATTTCTCTCAAACCTTTGACAGAGCACGCGACACGATCCGCGAGCACATCCCTCACCCTGGCGGTGGAGACCGAGGCAGCGGCGCAGAGCAAGACCTCTACAGCTCGCGCTTTGGCAATGCTTTCGACAAAGCGAAGCAAAACATCCCACACGTCGGCGAGCGACGCGGAGCCAGCGGCGCCGAGCAGGACTTGTACGGCTCGCACTTCCACACGGGGAGCAGCACGACTACGCTGGGTCTCGTCCAGAGCGCCGTCCTCCCTTCGTTTAGCTTCCAGGCTGCCTTCTCGACGATCGCCTATGGCGTCTCGCGATACACGGGAAGGGCCGAGGGCAAGGACTGGTACTGGCCCACGGGTATTACGCTCAACGCGTGGTGGAGCGCAATCGGTGCGCGGGTCGTCAATGACGGTCTTTCGGTTTCGACTGCGTGGTCGATGCTCACGTACTCTGAGAAACTGCTTCTCGGCGGTGTTACCGCTTGGGGAGGACGTCTGCTGTACCGCATTGCCAGCCGCAGCATCAGCCGTGGACGCGATGACCCTCGCTACGACGCCGTCAAGAAGGATCCTGGGTTCTGGAATAAGGCTCTCTACACCATGTTCTGGCCTGAGGCTGTCGTGCAGACGCTCATTTCGCTTCCGTTTGTGCTGCCCTTCCGTGCTCCTGCGGCGAGTATCCAGGCCTCGCCCGTGACGTCGAATGCGACTGCGTGGCACTCGCTTGCCGTCTTCTTGTTCTCGACTGGATTTGCTATTGAAGTCCTCGCGGACGCTCAGCTCGCTCACCACAAGAAGAGCAAGTCGACTGGTCTCTGCCGCGAGAATGTCTGGAGTATCGTCCGCCACCCCAAGTAAGTCCTTCGCCCACACATATCCTCCAGAACAAAAAGGCTAACCATTGTTTAGCTACCTCGGCGACGCCCTCATCCACGCCTCCTTCCCCATCCTCCTAATCGGCGCCGGCCTCTTCCACCCACTCGCGGCCCTCGGCCCCATCGCCAACTACGTCTTCCTGCGCTTCATCGGCGGCGACCGCGAGAACGAGCAGACGCAGGCGGAGCGCTACGAAAAGGAGGATCCCGTCAAGGCGGTCGAGTTCCGCCAGTACCGCGAGGATAAGAATAGCTTTTGGCCAAATGTGCGGGAGCTGGGCAATAAGTGGAGTTGGGTTGTGCTTGCGGCTGGTGTCGGGGGTGTGTTGCTTGAGAACGTGGTGAGGTCGGTTTTGGCGTAAGCTGGATTGATTTTCTGTGATATGGTGCGTCGTATAGGAGTTTTCTATGTTTTATGATAATGTACTTTTATGATTTGTTGAAATGTTCGTATCCTGAGTGAAAAGGGCTAGTATCCAGTGACGCTACATTGTGCTCGATAATATACAAAGTACGGCGCTCTTGATTGAAGCAAGTCCCAGCGAAAGCCACAGTAACGTATCGTAGACGGGACTTTTGAATCCTAGAACGGGCCCCGAGCCGTCATCGGTTCGAGCCTCCAGTTCAGTCGTATTTCCATGCCTCGGAACCGCTAGTGGTATGGCTAAATCAGGGATGCTGTTTCTCTACGTGGGTCTCAAGGACATCCAGGTCAATATAGACTCGAAACCCACGTTTTCCGCAACGCCAGCTTCCTGTATTCCCTCAACACTGGGGTCTCATCCTGCAATACGGCTCTCCTTGGACCCTCATCCAACTCGATAGCAGGCCCAGTATCCATTAGGAGGCCGAGAATTGGGACGCACTAGTTGTCACCTTGTACCTGGTCGAGCACTTGGTCGATATCTTCCCCCGTAGCGAGCAGAGTACTTACTCTGGCTTAATACCAGGTGGGCTACCACCCAGAAGGTATAGCGGACCGGTGTCGTATGTTGTTGTGGCATTCACAATTGTCGTGTATGGCAAAAGGAGTGTGGCAAAGATTGGGCAGAATATCCCTGGATAGTCTGGGCAAATTTAAAGATATCATCAACAACGGGGCGGTTATTCCAGTCCTCAGTGGGAAAATCTGCAGGGGGACCAAATGTACACGTTTCTGGATCGAACCTCTCATCTGTATTTGGCCATTCCGTGTAGACAAGCGGTGCTAGCTCAGTTGCATTCATGCCAGCACAAAGAACATCCACTGCGGGCGAGGCCACGGATGCATCCAATTCATAGTTCCCTCCCTAGAGATATCAGTGCTCCGTGGCAGACCATTAGATACATGGTCTACTGCTGCGAGTATACCCGCGTGTGGCATTGCAGCCGTGACGTTTTGGACGAACTGGCCGTGTTTAGGCGACACAGCGCGGTACCTGTGGCCAGAACCAAGGGGAATAATGGTCTCGCAGGCTTGGGGGAGGTAGAAATTGTTGGCAAGAATCCAATCCTGCACTGGGCCCCCGGCCAGCTTGGGAGCCACTACGTTGTTAAGCTACAGGAGCGCATTTCTGTATAATCAGACGAGGCGAAGTTGGCTTACCCAGCGCTTCTGCCGCGGCGGTGTACAGCATTGAGACCAGTGTTGAAATGATAGTAAGAACGCCCCGTACCGAGTAGCCCGAGTAGCAAAGGCTCTCCCAAGGCATGAAAATTGAGCCGGATTGCATGATCCACGTTCGCATCGACATGTCGGCGATAGATTCCACGCGAGAAGCGGGAAATCGCTCGGTAGCCAAGAACCTGGCCAAGACAAGCAATGCATACCGTCACATATGATACCTCGATTGTTTTTCGCGGCAAGTGCGCTGACGAGAGTGGCCGCACGCAAAGGACCCCCCAGCGTACGTCGGAATTCTCACAACAGCTAGCGTCAATCTTTGTTTCTCGTCTGCGGGAGATTATCCGAGAGACGTACACTTAGTAGGTGTCGACCGAGGCGCCCATCAGCTCATCGCCGAGGACTCAGGCGATCGAGCGAACAGCCTAGAGTATGGGTGCAAACCTGATTGAATGAGAAAGTGCAATTAAAACCTCGTACTCTCAGTATCTATCGGAAATACTTATGCAAATCGAGATTCGGATGTTGGAGTTGTATGCGATATTCCATACAGCCTCGCAACAACGACTCGGCAGTTCGGCCGATTTGATGAATTAGCCTTGACGAGAAAAGGAGCTCAACTGAGTGATTCGTAATCCACGAGCACGCCATGTGGTCGATCTGTAGAACGTTGGTGCTGGGGTGACGCTTTGGGCGTGGACCAGTTCGGCCGAAGTCTCGGGCCAAAGATATACTTAAGTCCACTCGCTGACTCTAAATACTTCATCAACAGTCTCAAATCCAGGAGATCTTTAATATAACTGAAGAATCATATCCTCCTCTATTTACAGAACAAAATGGTCAAGATTGCAATTGCTGGCGGCTCGGGGAGTATGTCTCCTTCTCACGCTGTTCTACATCCCATGAGCTCGCTTGTTGATATGAACAGACGTCGCCTCGGAAATCATCGATGTCCTCGTCGCCACGAAAAAGCATGAGATTTTGATTTTCTCGAGAAAGGTGAACACCCTATTTACCCGATGACTATGAAGCCAAGTGAAGTCAACTAACTGCGTTGCAGGATGCTCCCGCTGGCAAACCCGTAGAGGGCGTAACATGGATCAAGCCCGACTATGACAGCGTCGAGCAGCTCACCCAAACTCTGCAAGGAGTGCATACCCTCCTCTCCTTCGTCACTGAGCAGGAAGGCGCGGAGAGTCCTATTCAGAAACGGCTCATTACTGCCGCTGTCCAGGCTGGAGTGAAGCGATTTGCGCCGAGTGAATGGGCCACGTCTACCACTCAACATCTCCCCTGGTATGCGTACAAGGCGGAGATCCGGCGGTACCTCACAGAGCTGAACAAGGACAAGAAGGTACACTAGGCCCCACCTCCGAGCTTGTATGCACTTAGTGCTAACCAGTCCAGGTCCTCGAGTACACCCTCTTCCAACCAGGCCTCTTCGCAAACTACTTTACACGCCCGTACAAGTCATCGACCTATATCCACCAGATTGAAACTCCTATCGACTTTGAGAAGCGCCGCGCGATTCTCGTAGAGGACGGCGATGAGGGCGTGATTACCTTGACGACAGTGCAGGACTTTGCGGCCGTCGTCGCGCGAGCAATCGAGTACGAGGGCGAGTGGCCTGTCGTCAGTGGTATTCGCGGAACGACGCTTTCGGTGCGTGAGCTGATTGCACTGGGCGAGAAGCTTCGAGGTACGCATACCTTCCTCAATATACAACCTTGCAATTCTAAGACAAGTCCTAACCTAACACTACCAGGTCCCTTCAAAATCGAACGCGTCAAAGCCTCCGACTTCGAAGCCGGAACGTGGGAGACCTCGTGGATCCCCCGGGTCGACCACCCGTCCATCCCGCCGGAGCAGGTCGATGTCTTCTCGAAGCTCGGCGTTGCAGGGATCACGTTGGCCATCAGTGCTGGTGCATTTGCGGTTTCGGATGAGTGGAATCGACTTTTGCCCGACTATGAGTTTACGGCGCTTGAGCCGTTTTTGAGGGGGTTTTGGGAGGGGAAGCCCTAGAGTCAGAGGGTCGAAGCTTTATTTTGCAAGGTCAAGCGAGAGGGGTAGTGAGAAGAAATATATATGCTCATCACAATTTTTCAGAGTATAAATCACACCGATTGAGTCGAATAATCAGACTGTGCTAGCCTCCATTGATTGGCATTGGTTAGTAGTTCGGTCGAATCGCCGAGATTTCGGGCGAAAACCCCCTGCGCTCCTTCCAACTCTCACGCATCTCTGGCTCTACCCCCGCCCTTATTCTTCATCAAATCTCACCACAATCTCAATCGCGATGCTAAGCACCCGACTTGAATCAGACTCTAGACGAAGAAAAGTCCGCAAAGGGACGCAGAGCTGTTGGGAGTGCAAGCGACGCAAAGTCCGGTGCATCTTCTCTTCGGCCGAGCACGCCATTTGCAACAACTGCCGGCGACGCGGGACGGCGTGTATCGGCCAGGAACTTCCAGATGAGAGGCCGTTATCGTCCAGTGCTGAAGCTGTTGAGTTGAAAGCCCGGCTTCAGCGACTTGAGGCGTTCCTCGAGCAATCGATCCATAATGCCCGCGGAGAGGTTATCGTTGAGCCGCCTTCATCCGGGGCGCCGACAGGGAGACAAGACGCTCAGAACCCAACGCCACCGGGCGATACATCTACAGCGCCATCGCAGGTGTCGGAGAGATCGGCAAGAAAGTACGACGACGTGTCCCGCGAGCTCATCGCGGCGTGGCCCAGTGAAAACGATCTCGATACGATATGCGGTCTCCCTGTCGGTCTTTCGACACCTCTCTACTGGGCAATATGTACGCCGTATTCCGGCATAACGGGGGTTGAACCTCCGTTGCCGCGAGAGATGCTGCAATTACCGCCACCAGGCTCGCATCCGGTGCTCATCGCGCGCAAACTTCTTGTCCTGGGGACTTTTCTGCAAGGTGTCCTCCCATCCACGATTCGGTCACTTGGGAGCTTCGAGAAGACATACCGCGACATAATGACTCGCGTCTTCGATCGCGCCACCCGACTGGTAACTACCAATGACGAGCTCACCGGCTCAGCCGAGGGCATCGAGTGCATCATGATGGAAGCCATGTACCAGAACTATGCCGGCAACCTGCACCGCGCATGGCAGGCCACATGTCGGGCGGCAGCTGTTGCTCAGATGCTTGGTCTACACCGCGGTCTGAGCTCGCCGTCGATGAAATTTCTTGAGTCCGAGACCCGAGCGAGGTTCAGACCAGAGTATATCTGTTTTCGCCTCGTACAAATGGACCGCTATTTGTCGCTAATGCTCGGTCTACCGCAGTCGTCGCTCGAGTCGCGTTTTGGAACGATCAAGGTAGCGGGTGTCGAGCATCCGATGGAACGTATGGAGCGCATTCATTGCACAATCGCCGGCCGCATCCTGTCCCGCACGGATGTCGAGATAAATGACCTCGCCAAGGTATACGAGATCGATAAGCTGATACAAGAAGCCGCCGCCGAAATGCCGCCGCAGTGGTGGTTGGTCCCGAGGTTTAGCGACAGCGCAGAGCTCCTGCCTGATACGATGCGGATTATGGATCAGTTCACTCACCACCACCTGCTCGTTCGCCTGCATTTACCATATATGCTCCGCTCCTCCTCCGACCACCTATACGACCACTGCAAAATCACTGCCCTCAACGCCAGCCGCGAGATCCTCTCCCGCTTTATCATCTTCCGCACCTCGAACCCAGCGCACTTCTACTGTCGCGGAACAGACTTTCTCGCCTTTGTTGCGACGACAGTAATGTGTCTAGCTCACATCGACTCTCGGAACAAAACCCCAACCAATCTCGGAAGCCCAATAATGTTCCTAGCACACAGTCGGCCTGCTGATCGGGGCATGATGGAACGCACAGCGGAGATCATCGAGTCAATGGCGAATGCCAGTGGTACAGATCCGATCGCCACAAAGCTCACCCGGATCCTCCGCCATCTACTCGTCATCGAGGCGAACGCTGCAAGTGGGACAGTATACAGCACGAGCTCTTGCAACGCCGACGAGGGCGAGCATGACGGCGGATTAGCGCAGGAAGGTAAAGGACTTCGCATCCATATTCCGTACTTTGGGACGATTCACTTTGAGAAGGGGGCGATTTCAAAGTCTGCGCAGACAGAGGTTGAAAACACTGGCTTTATTGATCCTCACCAATTGGCCGAGCAGGTTGACCAGCACCCTACCTCGCATTATCCGCTAGCATCTCACATGAATGACCCCATACAGTTCGATCAAACATTGCCGGAATTACCCATCCCCCTCGATTTCTCCCATGCAGATGAGAACTGGGACCTTCAGGGTATTGACATAGCGCTCTTCGACAGTTTGTTCCGTGGGACGGGGATCGATGACGATAATCAGCAGACATGGATCTTGTAGGCCGAGAGAGGCATATTTCTCAGGCATGCGGAGTACTTTGGAACGATTGTGGCCTGCCAGGCAGTCCGCACTGCGAGGGACGAGGCTGCCACGCAAAATCGCCACTGCGCGCATTTGTCCTCTCCGTGACTTTATCATCACCAATTGGGTTTCATGTGTTACTCCTACTTCGTCTCACTCTCTCCTCTCGCTCCTCCGGTCGCCCCTTTTCAAAGATCACTCCCTGTCCGGGCACCCGAGTATCTTCCCATCGCAGACCGATCTCTCCAAGAAACGAATCAGGTATCCTCGATGCGCTCTCACAAGCTACCTCTGAGCATACGGGAAAGTTGCATATCCTGGCTGCTGCCGACACTTTTGAACACAAGGACCCCAATGACATTCAGCGTTGCTTTGTGTTGACGTTATGGGCCCGAGCCTCGCATCTGCGCTAGAGGAGCCTTCCGAGGACTTGAAAAAGTTATGCGACACTCGCGTCAGATATCCCGAGAGATACCCCATATGGATGGTCAGATCGATACTGTACCAGACATTACTCGGTATTGACTTTTTGCATCGGAACGGCGTTGGGCACGGAGACCTTTCACAGAGCAATCTGTACTCTGTGAGGGATCTGACTCACCAATCGCTGGGCCCCCAAGTATCTGGCTTTATCTCAGCCGCTCGATGAGTTCCTCAATGTCGCTCTCGGCTTCAACATCAAGATCTCGGGTTTCGGAGGAGGTACGTCGAGATCCATCCACTACAGCGCTCCCATCGCATTCCTCGCTCCATGCTAATAATTTACGCAGCCTTCTTCCTATCCCATCCACCCGCCAAACTCGTAAGCCCCATCGCGCTCCGCAGCCCCGAGCTGATGTTCACAAATACGATAAACAAAGACCAAGTTATCTGGAGCTTCGGCTGTCTAATCTTCGAGCTCTTCGCCGGCCGCCCCCTCTTCGTGGTCCCGGACATGGGCAGCAGAGAATCAGTCGACGACGACCACTTCTTGCAATTCCACGACATCCTCGGTCCGATTCCGCATTCGCTTTGGTCGAAGTATTCACGCGCGCATATCTACCACAATGAGAAGGGTGAGCTGGTGAAACACTACATTGGTGAACTCTCATCGGGGTCTGAGTCCGATTCGGTCGAGCCTTTGGCTCCTCTTGAGGGAGCGTTTGAAGAAGAGAAACCGGAGGATTTGACCGTGAAGGATGCTGAAAATGTGAAGAGGTTGTTGCTGTATATATTGGACTATGATCCAGGCAAGTGGCCTTCTGCCGGGGAGCTGCTTGAGGATCCGTGGTTTGTCGGAATTGCCGCTGCGCTGGGGAGAGTTGGGAGGAATGAGGGGTTGACCAGAGTGCTGTACTTGCTGCGCTGAGGAGTTTTTTTGAATGTGCTTACTGCTTCATAGGATACCGTGAGTATCTATAACGATACAGGAATACACAATGTCCTCGCCAATTCGGCAGTACGGAGTCCGTTAGCCCTCGGCTTCAAACATGTCCTGCTTAACTAAGGCAATGACGTTGGCGCACAGCCCCAGTGCTTGGGCCAACCCCGGGATGCCGATCGGGTCGGCGGGTCTGATTTGCCACGCTAAGCGCTCTGGGCCCTTGTGCCTGGCTCTTCAGCGCCGGTAACTAATCATCGTGAACTCAACCGAGCGCCTCTGCGGACCGCCGAGGGCTATGATTTTGTCGGGTACGTCATTGAACCCCCTTCCCGGTTTCTGTCGCCACGATCTCCCTCATATTTCAATGAACCCATGTCCGGCTCGAAATGTCTTCAATCAAACTTGCAGCTTAACTCCCATCGCATCACTATTCCCTCACTCTTCCCCTCACTTTCCCCACATACACCGCAAAGAATTACTAGAATGGCGCCCTCGACGAGAAAAATCGTCTGCTTTTCAGGTACGCGCCCAAAAAAAAGAAAAAAGAAAAAAGAAAAACCCCACCCATCCCATCCACCAGCTAACAACCCCACCTTATCGATGTAGACTTCGACGGCACAATCTTCATGCAAGACACAGGCCACGTCCTCTTCGACAACCTCGGCTGCGGCGAAGCGCGCCGCAAGATCCTCGACGAGCAGATCAAGTCGGGCGAGCGCTCGTTCCGCGAGGTCTCCGAGGAGATGTGGGACTCGCTGCGCGTCCCCTTTGAAGACGGGTTCGAGCTGCTCGAGAAGGAGCTCGAGATTGACCCCGGGTTTCGGGAATTTCATCAGTTTTGCGTCGACAATGATATTGATTTTAATGTTATCAGTGCTGGCTTAAAGCCGATTTTGAGTAGGGTGCTGAATTCGTTTTTGGGTGAGGAGGTATGTTATCTCTTAATCATTACAGGTCTGCTACTGTAACCACAGACCCTTTGATGATTGATCAATCCGGATCACAGGCCTCCCGCATCGAAATCGTCGCCAACGAAGCCGAAATCAAACCCGACGGCTCAGAATGGAAGCCAGTCTGGCGCCACGACACAGAACTCGGGCACGACAAGGCCCTTTCCGTAAAAGAAGGGCGCGCCCTCGCCGCCGAAGACCTCGAGGGCGACGAAATCCCGCTGATTATCTTCATCGGCGACGGCGTCTCTGACCTCGCCGCTGCGCGCGAAGCAGACGTCCTCTTCGCGCGCAAGGGGTTACGCCTGGAAGAATACTGCGTCGAGAACCAGATCCCGTATATCGGCTTCGACTCGTTCTCGGATATCAAGAGGGATGTGCAGGCGATTATGCGCGAGGATCAGCAAAAGACGGGGGGTGTTGGGAAACCCGCGCGGTTTAACCCGCGCGCGAACATGTGGAGGCGGATTTCGAGTCAGCAGGCTGTGAGTTTCATTCATCCTATTGATCCACCAACCCCGTCTATTTAGTCGGTCGAGATTCGGCCTGCGCTAGGTGGTGCGCGCGGGCAACGTGCTAATGATCGCAGGTCCCGAAATTCGTCGCTGCCACGCCCTCGAAAGAGGAGAAGATGTTCTTGTGGCCCGAGAGCTTTTCGGATTACCAGCCTCGGGCGCAGACGAACGGTGGGGCCGCCTAGTGCCTTTGTTGTGCCCGTGAAATGACGCTGTAAAGTCAGTAGAGTGGTGGAGGTATATATATAACTATAGACACGCGTAGATCTAGACCAGCCATATTAATGAACATCATGACATGAAAATGACTACCATTCGCCCTTGCATTGCATCTCGTAACCGCGTATTTCCACATGGTGCTGTTTCCAAGGTCTGTCGGGATTGCGCTGCTGCGTCGCCAAGGCTGTTGTGTCTGTCTGAACGCTCCGGTAAGAAGCTGCGCTATAAATGAGGCTTGTGGTGAGGGGTGTTGTGGGTGCTATAGCATTGCGAGGTTGGTCGCCTCTTCGCAGTGCGAGGTGGAGGCGTTACCCGGTCCAGTCAAGTCTTCAAGGTGCCCATGTTTGTGACTGTCCTCCTGTGGTGGGTGATGTCTTGCCTCTGTACCCTGTCGAAACGGTTACTGACGCCAGGCTGGAACTCGTAGACCCTCGCATTCATTCCTAGTCACATAGTCGAAGATTCGATATGTGGTTTTGTGGATTATATTCCAGTGTGGAATATCCTACTGAAACTGTCATGTTGCAGAGATTACTCCTGATGAATATATCTCAATATGGGTGTGTGAAGAACATACATACTGGCGCCGGTCTCATAGCGCTAGCTAGGCATACCCTCTAATAAACCGTCTCTGCAGACAATAGAGTCATGGGACGGGTTATAGACATTGGTGATATGGCATCCCTAGGCACTATAGAAGACTCGACGAAACAGCTCACCAGGATCCTGTTTATAGCAGGCAGCAAGGCTGTGGTGTGCGATTGCAGAGTACATACTTGGGGTTACACCAGCGCAGGCTTCGGAGTCGCGGAGGAGAACAGTGAGTGGCTCGACTATTGGAATCAGCCGTGGACGATCTAATTTTACTCGAATGGCACTGGTGCACGTACCCTCAGGAAGGCGCCGCATGCTTGCTATTACCTAATTATAACCCATGCCATGTCGGTGGTGAGAATAGTCCAGGCCCCTATTAGACGTCACTGTCACCTGCAACTTATGGTCCGCAATATCATGAACCTGATCGATCAATACCATGCCATGGCATGCGCTGTTTTGGTACCCCTGGAAGTTCATTTGCAGGATGCGCGGATTAGTTGTGGCATTAGTGTTCCAGGCAACATATACTGTAAACTCGTCAACCACAGGCCTTGGTTCCATCGTGGTACGCTCTAGGCTGTAGACCAACAGATGTAGAAAAAGCAATATGGATAGTCCCACAATCAAAAGACCAGCTTTGCTGTCGGGCGACCCCAGTATACTTCTATAAATGGGGTTGTTTTCCAGGATCCCCGTGGCCAGATTTGATGCGCCTCTCAACAGCCCTTTTGCGGGTCTGTAAGAAGACGCTGCATAATATTTCCTGGCCAACTGAACCAACGGATAGTCGTCTCCGCCCTGTCGGTTACAGATGAGGCGAGGTAAACAGCCTCACGAGGACACCCCGGCGGACAGGGTAATATTCCCTTGGAAAACATTGTCCCAGCCGCACAGGCTAGCTAACAGAGCCTATGGGAGGCTGTAAGCCCCCAATAATAGCATAAACGTTGTGCTGGTGGTGATAGACGGTCGCGCGAGTCATGCGATGGGTTCGGCTAGGCACATACATGGCCCAGCCCAGCATCTTCCCTCAAGGAGCTGCACGCCTTGACGGCATAATTCCTAACCGAATCCTGCAGAGTGGGCAAAAGCAAAGGCTTAGTAACAGCAGACGGAGGTGGTTGGCTCGTGGCAGGTGCGAAAGATGCGCTTATGTGTAGTTAAACTGGTGCGGCTGAATTAGTGAAAAGGCTTCTGGAAGGATCCGGCTCCAGCACCCGGCATACTCACCATTCCACTCCTAGTAGTTGACTCGTCGTGGCGTGTCATGTCACCCTTGCCTTAGATAGGATAGCCTGGATAGGACCAGTGTTGTAGCGGCTACGCAGTGCAGGCGTGGAATCATTTTGTATGCGACTTAGAAGTACACAACGGTCAGTTTTCGGGTTCATAAAGCCAAGATTAAGACGTGCATACATGTAGAAATGGTGTAACATACTCCTGAGTCCCTTAAACACGATAGCCCTTGGTGGGCTCAGCCTCACCGTCCTCATGAGAGATCAAAAGCTTTGGTTTGATGTTGGTTCCCTTCCTCAGACCGCTCTGCTGGACAATGTTGTCCGTAGCGGGCCCACACAAGCTGAACTATGCCTTGCGTGACTAGCCCTGACGATCCTAATCAGGCACAGGTCGTACCGGGAGGTACACAGTACACGGTATAGTACCGTGGATGGCTCTGGAGGATGTAGCCTCAGCGCCATGTGATCTGTGATGAACTCGTCTATGTACATCGTATGTATTGCATGGCTAATGCAACGCCAAACTCCACATTTTCGACTCGTCGCTCGGCAGCAGTCCGGGTGGTTCTGGAGACCCGCATCTGGCAAGCACTGCCAGTTCAAGAATAGTATACATAGTATTCAACAGGGGAATGCAGCTGCTAGAATTTTTTTTCCTCGAGTGCTCGGAAAATGCGGAAGTACCACGTGCAGCATTCAGACCGTCTGAAGATATCGAGCTGCAACTTCGGCGGGACTCCTCTCTCCTCGATTAGAGAGAACGTTCTCAAGCGAGCGTAACTTTCGCACTAATCTGGAGGACATTAGCAAGGAAGCTTAGCTTGTTAGAGCTCGCTGCTGCGCCCTCGAAGGTAGCCGGGGGCCCTTGTAATAAAAGATTGCAACAAAATGAGCGACGGCTGCGACCTATCAAGCCCTCCATCCAATGATGATGGCTTCCCGTGCTACTAGCTCAACGTTCAATGCTACAGTAGGGCTGTGCAGAATGCGCCCTGTTTCGGCCTGGACTCTGCAGCCCCGCTACGACTGTTCCTAGCGGATCGGCGAGTGGGCGTGTTTTGGCTGAGCCCTAAACAGTCAAGGCTGCCCGCCAAGAGTTGGGGGCCAGGGGCGCAGCACTAAGAACGCCATGCTCCAATTCGATTTGGCCATGGTTTTGGACGATTATCATTGGATGAGCCGTCTAAATGAAACCTGGGGGCTGTTCTGCCAACACTCGATGATCTGGGGTGGGCACATATCGCGGGACGCCGGAAATGAGCTCGTCTCGCAGTATATAAGCTGTGCAGAACTCGGTGATGGACTGACGATCAGAACACCAAGCTTTTCTATTGCGTCTACAAGTATATCATCTCCCTTTTCGGTTACTTTTTCATCATCTCTCTTACGTCTTACGTCCTTTATAAATACATCTTCACCATGACCATGAACAAATCCGTCTTCCTCGCCGCTGCCCTCGCAGCCCTCTCCCCTGCCAACGCCGCCCTCGACAAGCCAGCCCTCACCAACAACCTCGACTACCTCCTCGATGGCAACGTTGCCAACCTGCCCTCCAACGGAGGCCCCTACTGGGGCAAGTGGGAGGCTGGTCTGATGCCCGCCGACTGCAAGAGTATCGCCGAGAGCCAGGGTCTGAACCCGACCGACTTTGAAGTCTGGGATATCTTCTACAACGATGTATGGCCTGCCCTTGAGGACAATAACAATGGAAACGCCCTCTAACATATATCCGCTACAGTGCCAAGATGGCTGGAGCTTCTGCCGCCACAAGGATTCCGCCGACAGCTTCGAGACCCTCGTCGACACCTTTGGACGTGTTCCCGTCCGCATGCGCAGCTGGGTACGCACTCACTCCCCTCCATTTGGTCTGATCCATTTCATCCTAACAGGATATCGTCGTATAGGTCCGCCACATCCTCACCATCCCCGGCAACAACTGGGCCTTCAACTCCAACGGCAACATCGCCTTCTCCGGCACGACCTCCTCAAACCTCGACGTCGCCCTCCACGAAACAGGCCACAGCCTCGACCTCCTCGGCGCCTACGTCGACGGCGCTCTCTCCTCTACCCAGGAGTGGCTCGACGCCTACAACGCCGACTCGAATGTCCCCGATGAGTATGCGCGCTCGAACCAGGTCGAGGTAACCACCACCACCACCCCTCCAACACTACAATCTCCCAGTGGATATATACTAACATGTCCTGTCATGTCATAGAATGTCGCCCAAAACACCGTCGTGGGCATCTACGACAAAGTCGTCCCCGGCGGCTTCCCCGGCGTCCAGCCCAACTACGCCAAGATCCAGACCCAGTACACGCTCCTGCAGAACAAGGCCGGGGACCAGATCATCCCCGGAGGTGTCTGCGACCGCCACCTCGAGAACTCGGATACCGTTTCCGCGTCGGGATCCTCGTCGAAGCGCGATGGCAAGAAGGCGCGTGGTGTTGCGCATGATCCCGCTTTCAAGGGCAAGTATGACCATATTGTCAAGGACTTTGAGCCCTTTAACACTCAGGATTTCCACCACTGAGTAGTGGTTGCGGAGCTGGTGGAGGAACCTGTATTAGTGGTGATGCATTTGTTGCAGTGAGGTGCATGTTTGTTTCTGGGAGCGAGCGAGCGAGCGAGAGGGTGGGTGGGGGTTGGTTGCTTGGTTGGCGGCGTGGCGTTCGTTGATGGTAGTAGAGTTGAACATAGACTATACATGAGCGTGATAATCCTTTTCTGAGATGCTTGTTGATGGTATCATAGACAAGTCTGTACTGTGTCTATCCTAGCATACCCCCATGGCGACAGCCCTATCACACGATCCTAGTATCCATGTGCTGAGGACTTGAGGCTACCGATACACTACATACGACCATACAGTTCGACAATCTATCGGGTTCTTCCCATAGCAGAAAAACAGGAGGGCTATGCGCTTGTTCCTGAGAAAGGCGGGACGCTTGCTTCTGATTTAAGCACGTGGCGGTCGCGTTGTCAAATTCCACCGTGATGAAGGTACCTAGCAGAACTCGTGACATTATATTGCTGCTTTCTTAAACATTACTTGTTGTTATATCCCCACAAAGCTCGTAAAAGGAAACTTTATGGGTAGTAGAGTGCTCGACATTCGGCAACATATTCATTGCTATCCTTTAACTTCATAAGCTCAAAAGAACGCTCATCGGACTAGTTGCCGTATAAAGTCGTTTAACGAGGTATATCAAGTGGCTAAGATATACATACCCTGCACATGGCGTTATGTTGGGCGCGCGGGCTATTTGAAGCCAAGCCGGGCCCGCGAGTCTCCGCTCCTAACAGCTTACGCCACAGTCCACAGTAAGCCCTAGTATATCGAGGAAGAAGAGATGGAGTGAGTACCATGGGGGGCTAACCCTAAGTCAGGCACACGTCAGCCAAGTTCTCATGTATCGTGACAGCCCCGACTCAGACAAAGCAAGGCCCGTAGTGGAGTTGATACCAGAGTCGAGGGCCATCCGTCTTGGCAACCCTGATCGTGTGCTAGGTAGTTTCATGAGCTATATAGACTATGGAACTTCCATGGCAACTGAATATTCCTAGTTATGCCGGCTTTGCTGTGCTTATATCGTGGGCCGACGGAGCAGTATTGGGGCAATCGCACCCCACAACTATACATCATGGAGACGACATGATACCTTCCGGACAATCCACAAGTACTGCCCCTGGCCAAACGGTGCTGTTACAGAGATGCACCTTGCGATGCCAGCGCCGGAAGTTGCGGCCCATGTTAAGAAAGCAACAGCAACAATCGAATTGCCAGAAAGAATAAAGAACCAGCTCATACAATCGTAACGACAGCCCCTTCAAAGCCAGCCAATGCCTCTGGCTCGTATTGTCCCCGAAGCCGAGAGGGTTTGGACGAACCAGGCTCGTTGATCAATTCATCATCCGCAATCCCGAGGCGCACGTACTGATTCATATTATTCAGAGACTTCCCAAGAATCAGCTAGATGTTCTTCACGCGCTGGACAGGTCTCCACCGTACAGGCGGACCGTTAACGTAGAACAAGAAGACAGCAGTTTCCGACTCTGGTGGTCTCACAGATTGTCTTGAGACAGTGCAGTTCGCGGTATACGTTCAGGGTCCCAAGGTACCCCGAGCCTTCTGGGACCGCGACCGCAATATCCTGTCTCCCCAGAGCCTCGATGTACTCCGGCTCAAGGATGATGTTTTCGTCTATCAAGAGTGAGAAAGGTCAGGAAGCTTTCATTCAAGGTTGACGCTCCTTGTTCCGTAATGGGCCTCACAGAATACGTACAGTTCAGCAAATCATGCCATGCCCGGTCTAGCTGCGGGCTTGGCCTTCCGGAGAAGCCTCCATGGTCTTGGACCCTGTCTTCGAGGGTGAACTTGTGAATTTCCCACCGGATTGCCTCTGCGGCTGGTGCTGTAGGCCTGTTAGCGGTCATACCGTTAGTAGTAGAGAATACTCTCACAAGAAGACACGCAATTTCGTCTATGACTGTCATGGGATCGTCGATGGACCACTGCTGTTAGAACAGCCACGTAGCCCGCGATGATGATGCCATGGATCACGAGCAGTAGACGCCCATGTTGCCACCACGGCTGATACCTCTGTCCCATTGGGCTAACCAGGCCATCGTTTCCCAGGAGACTGTCCCGTGAAGATTTCTCGTAATCATCATATGCCTCAGAGTCCGCTGGCGGGGGTTTGATGGGCAGGTATGGCTTGGGCAGTCTGGTGCGTAAGAGTGAGTGCTGGAGACGGCTGAGATACGGCATGATTATCTTGTCGTTAATCACTGGAAGAATCGCGAGGCGGATACAGAGCAGAGAACTGTGCTACTGACAATGTCTGGGTGTATCATGGCGAGGTCATCCCTTGACCCAGACATGCATTTGTCATCTTACGCAGCATGACCGCGTGCCAGCACGGCAGAGAGACATGACAACATGCAATGTCACACGTTGGTATCATAATCAAACAGGATAAAGCTGATATGCTTGGTCTGTGCAGTAGGGGTGCGGGGAGATTACCTGCGCGGCCATCAGCCTCATGCAGCGTCATGTACATGAGAATTCTGTTGCAGATCCAGCCTGGGACCTGAGTGCGTACGTAAAGAGCGATATTTGATCCTCGGCCGTCGACCCAAAAGCTCGATAACTTGGTAGTATCCTTGTGAGTGTCCAAGTATACGTCATGCGTGCTGGGCTCCTTTACAGCCTTGTCCTATTGACGGCAAGTGCACTGGACTCATGGGGACCATACGAGGTCAAGGAGAACCACCGAGTTCCGCCACCGTGGACACGAGCTGGTCGGGCAGATTCATATCTAAATATTACACTCCATATCAGCCTCATACCAGAAGATCTTGGGGCTCTGGAGAGGCGTCTCGTTCAAGGTAGGCTTGTGCTACGAGCCATGTTATGAGTACCTTGGCCTTTCTAATACTGGTTGATAGTCTCCGACCCCACACACAGAGATTACGGCAGGTTCCTCACGAGGAACGAAGCGCAGGAGCTCGTAAAGCCCCCTTCCGCCGCTACCTCGCTCGCTCAGGGATGGCTCAGCACAGACGATGCGGGAATGGAGATTGCATCTCAGTAACGCTGACGATTTCTCAGGCCGAGGCTCTCCTGCAGACACAGTATCATGTGTATAGGCATGGCGGTGTCACAGCTGTTCGGGCTGTAAGATGGTCACTACCGGCGAGGCTGCATGATGTAGTGGAGAGTGTCCAGCCCACAACCTCGTTCTTTCACATCCGCCCTCGTCGGATGAGACGGCAGCATCCGGACACTTCTGACAACGCAGATCTGAATGAGGTAGCCGTTGAGGCTGTAGAGGGCGCAGGAAGCCTCATTGACGTGCACACCATCCCACTAAATCTGACGGTCAACGACGCCTGCAACGCCACCGCTATAACGCCTCTCTGTCTGCGCACTCTATACGGAACACTGTCTTACAAGCCCCAAGTTCCGGGCCGTAGCCGGATGGCTGTGGTGAATAATGCAGGCCAGCTCAACAATCGATCCGATATCGCTTTGTTCCTCGCGACGTACAGGCCCGACGCCGTTGCCGGGGCGCAGTCGTTCCAGGACATTGGAATTGCCGGCGGAGCCAACCAGCAAACCCCAGCGACGCCAGAGCAGATACAGACCGGTGCAGGGCGCGAGGGAAACCAGGATGCCGAGACAATGCTGGGGATTGCGCACCCAGTCCAGTTGACAACGTATACCATCGGTGACGTCGAGCCGCCGTTCACACCGGACCTGCCCACCCCTACCAACACCAACGAGCCATTCCTCACACGGCTCGATTTGATCCTGTCGCTCCCGGACTCGGACCTCCCGAGTGTAGTCTCGACGTCCTACGCGGATCTCGAAGACACCGTGCCGCTTTCCTACGCCGAGCGTGTGTGCCGCGGCTTTGCGCAGCTCGGTGCCCGCGGCGTGTCCGTCATCATGGGCGCCGGTGACCAGGGCGTCGGGCGGGACGGCAAATGCTTCCTCAACGACGGCGGCTCTCTGAGGCCGCGCTTCCAAGTCAAGTTCCCTGAATCCTGCCCCTGGGTGAGCTCGGTCGGGGCGACACGGGGAATCGGCCCGAGGCTGTCGCGTACAACGAGGCCAATGGCTTCGTCTCTGGCGGGGGTTAGTGTGAATACTGGAAAACCAGCCGGTATCGCGATACCTCTCGGAGATTGGCGATTTACATGCGGGCATGTTCAACCCCGGGGGTCGGGCTTATCCTGACATTGCAGTCCAGGGGTTCCGGTACGTAACGGTGTGGAATGGGGAGACACTCTTGGTAGACGGGACATCGGCCTCAACGCCGGCCTTTGCAGCGATTGTCGCCTTGGTGAATGACGCTCTAATCGCTAGCGGGAAGCCCCAACTGGGCTTTTTGAACCCCTGGCTGTATTCCGAGGGCTACAAGGCGTTCCGCGATGTCTCGGTGGGCTCAACCTCGGGATGCAACACGACAGGATTTCCTGCCAAAGAGGGGTGGGATGCGGCCAGTGGATGGGGCACACCTTGGTTCCCAACCTTGAGGGAATTGGCTTTGCAGAGGAGGTTCACGGGGGTTAGACCTTGGTATGCTCGGTGGTACTTGTAGTTCAAATTCGTGCCGTTGTCCTTGCATCAATCTGCGCCTTTGGCTACATCTATAGCATCGTCTTTCCCCTGTCTCTGAGCCGCGCACCGTATCTCCACAAGATAATAGGGGCGGGAACGCCCAATCCCAGAAAAACAAACGCCAGCAAGCTATTCCCCCATCCGTGGCCGAGACGGTCGTACATGGCCGGCGCAAATAGAGGAAAGCAGAACGCAAAGATGTTCCGCAAAAACTGGCTGGCCGCGCTCGCCGAGGCGACATGGCCCTGGAAGGCTTCCATGACATACTGCTGATACGACTGCGTGCTCATGATCGTGCCCAGGTTGAAAAACGCCGCTCCGATATCCACGGTAATCCAGGGAGCTCGGGCTTGCGCTGCCCATCCGTGCATGAACAGACCGGCAGGAATGAAGAACAAGCCTGGAAGTAGAAGAGGCACTCTGTACTCTGGCGCAGTCTCTCCGTGGGCCCTCTGCTTCAGATACGCCCACAATCTGTCGGTAACTCGGGCGCCGATTTGGGATCCAATTGTAGACCCGACGACAAGGGAGATATAATGGAGCCCACTTACGGACACTGACTGGTGGTAACGATCGGTCCAGACAGATGCGAATTCAGTCAGGACAAGGTAGAGTGTGCCAAAGTTGTAGGCCAGGAAGATGGATATTATTTGTAGGACGGGCTGCGTGGCGAGCATCCAGAAGGGGCGGGAAATGCTTCGCTTCAGCTTGATCGCCAGGGGTTGCGAGTGGATATCCCACTGCGTGTGGTAGGGACGATCAGTTTCCTTGCGCAGTTTCGTTGCTTTCCAGTGGAGGAGAACTTGCTCGTAGCATTCAGGGAACCAGAAGATGGCAGCCACGGTCAAGAGTCCGTCAAAGATGGACAGGACCCAAAACAGCCAGCGCCAGCCGACAGAGTTTGTGATGACACCGCCGAGGATGGGGCCGAGGGCCGGACCGAGTAAGGGTACAAATGTTGCTATTGCAAAAGAGTAGCCTCTTTCTTCTGATCTCCAGCAGTCTGCAAGCGTCGGGATACTCACCTTCGGATAAACGAGGGTTAGCGCAGTCCAACAATGTCAAAGCCAATACTTGACTGAGGACCTACCGCAAACTCTGCACTCGCACCTAGACCCGACATGATACGCCCAGCCAGCATCAATCCCTGGCTATGCGAGAAGCCACAGACCGTATTCCACAGCACGTACCAGGCCGAGCATACGATCCAGACCACGCGACGGCCCTAAACCTCGCTCAGAGGAGACAGCACCATCGGTCCGCAGCCAAACGCCAGGACAAAGATTGAGAGAACCATATTGGTGGCCTCTTCTCCGGCGTGAATGTCACGACTAATGTCCTCGAGTGCAGGTGCCAGCATTGAGCCACTCATCAAGGTAACAAGCCCCCCTGCAGAGGTGATCAAGGTAGGGCCCCATTTGCGCGTCTTTGGCCAGTTGAGCGGGTTCTCTGGATCATCGGGGCCGGTCCATGTTACCTAATAGGTTGAAAACATTAGCACTTTCAGGACTCGCATGGTCACAGGGATACTTGCAAGCAACTCATCTTGCTGCTCGGGGTTGCTCTCCTTCGCGGTGGAGTTTGGAATGTTGATGGCCTTCTCAGTAGAGCTCATTTTCTTTTCTTTTTCCGTTGGAGTTGACCAAAGATCAAGAAAGCTTGAGTCTTCCAAGGCTGGCGCCTGGAAATTTAAGCAATCAAACGGCAGATCAAAGTGGTTTGAGTGGGATCTTCTGCTGCGGGGGCGATGAAAGCGCAAACAAAGAGAATCAACCCACAGCTATCGCTGTAATGTGATTCGTCCACGGGCAGTATTACAGTGCATTTCAAAGAAACACACTTCACCGAGTCTGTGTCACCTCCAGCAAACCCCCTGAGCGCTCGCTGGAGGAGGGGATGAATCCCAGACATGGCGAGATGGCGATCATGCCGACACGGCTACCCGCATATCACACACTTCGATCAGATTATCAATCGGAGCGAGTTATTCTGTGGAAACCAGCCATAAAATTCAAAATTTTCACACAAAAACCGACCCGGTCGAGACGCCCCAGGCTCACGCCATTGCAGGAGGTAAGCTTACCGGCATTGCTTGTTCGGTGTTGGTCCTCATCAACCGCTGATAGGCCTGGTCTGAGATTGCTACCGCGGTATGCTTCATAATCTGGATTCACATGAGAATCATGCTTCCACGGTGCCTATCCATTTGGCATGATTGCTTCTGGCGACACAGTAGGGGCGAAAACGGCCCCTAGGCGCTGAGAACATACTGCGGAGCATGCTGTTATATATCTTGCCAAGGTCAACTCAAAGGCCTTGGCCTCGTGCAGTAGCATCCAGTCGCTGGCCATGTTTCCTTCACCACTGCTGAGCGCGCCCTCTGCAGCTTTCGAAGGCAGCGAACTGGAAATGCGAAGAGAACGCAACAGATTGGCCCAAAGGCGACACCGTCAAGGTTCGTTCGTATCTCGCCAATCAGCGACTCCGCCTCTCGCTCGTCACCAATACAGCGAAGAGGCGAAGGCAGAGCGAATTGAACTGCCCAGAAGTAAACGCGGTGCCGCCCCTTGATGTGTCGCAGCAGCAGGAAGCGCTTCGGCAGACGTGAGTCGGCCCGTACTGGACGTGTTGATCCAGTCGTGTGTCTCGCCGCTATCGGGGTAGATCGCGCCATGCTCCATGGCAGGGAATACCTAGTAGATATGGCAAAGGCTGTGCCACGAGTGTTCCCAAACATGAGAGAGCAATTCTGATTTATTTGGGCTCCATGGGACTCTCACTGGAGCGGGGAGCTTTGATGGCCTATACCAGGGTCTAATAATATTTCTAGAATAGTAGACAGACAGAGCAAACTCTCGCACTGCCTTGCTGACGAGGAATAGCGCATGGGGAATGTTCCAGCATGTATGGATGCTTAACACAGAGTTTGATATCGACGGGCAGTAGCCCCCCAATGTAAAATCCTCATTGCAACTCGCGTCGCAAGAATATTCCCAGCACATCGGTCCGAAAGATTTGTGAGTGGAGCGAGACCTGAGTGCTTCCTCTGGAACCACCAACTCGGAATATTCCAAGATGCGAAATTGAAGCTCTGTTGGAAGGGCCAAGAACGGAAATGGCTCATCACGGAGTTGGGGAAAGTACAGTGTTTTCTGGGGAATGGTTGACAAAATCATGTACTGGAAATCAAGGCTTCTTGTCCCTCCCAGGCTGGTCGATAGTCCTTTCAGGCGAGGAAGATCATAGAGCGGAGCTAGGAACTGGGCCGCAGCATCACATACCATCTGAAGTTCGAGCTGATCATCCTGCGTGCAGGAGGTGGCCAGTCTGTCGCAGAGCAGTCTCCAGATAGCGAGGTCATCCGAAAGCTCACGTTGAGCGTCAATGTCACCCATGTTCTGGACCAGCAGTCTATATTCATCGTAGCGGCCTAAGGGATAATCCCAAAATCGGGGATTTTTCCTACAAAAGCTGATTGTAATGTTCCGTAGTGATCTTCATCCCAGCGGACTCCACTCCAAAAGCTATTCGAACCCAAAGCGGCGTTCATCCCGAAACCACAAGTGGTTTCCAGAGTAGAACACGGAACGTGCATCCTCTGATTTTGCCCGAGACACACAGAAGAGCTGATTGGAAAAGTAATAGCGGCCTCCAGCTTGCTCGACCAACTTTTGCTTGCGGGGCGACCACTCCCCATAGAAGATTTCCCCTGTTTCTGAACAACCTAGCTGGAACATCCACAAAGATTTGTAAATCTGGAGTCGAACCTTGTAAGGAAGACGAAGAAAGTTAGGTTGTTCGATCATTCTCAAAGGATAGAGTGTAGCTCGAAGAACAGGTGGGTGAAGGAAAGACACTTGAAGGTCCAACGCAACAAACGCAATGGTAAACTTTTAGGCCTTGGGGAAATTGTGCTCACGAAGGATACCTATTAGGCTCTAACCAGAGTGATCTGCGAGATCTATTTTTGAGTAGCCATTTCTAAAGTGAGACGGGTTTCGGAGTCAACCAGGCAGGGCTATGAGTTGCAAAGCACTGTTAAAAGCAGTGCCACGTGCCTCATCGACAGTGTCCTAGCAAACTGGGCTTGTTGGCATCGTCGGCAGCACAGCGCGTAACGACTGGCGACGAGCGCGCGGCCTCGAAAGACTCGAAGGCTTAGCCCTAATGCACACCCAATCACATATCATCCATGCTACGCAAGCGCCAACGCCGATCCCAGGGTCCGACTAGCTCCCGTAGTGGCTTGGTAGGGTCCAAAAATTTGTGGGAAACAGATTCGAGTGGTTCACCCCCGATTGTTTGGCCAAGTGTCTACCACTTGTGCTTTAGGTATAGGGTTCGGCCTAGACGGCAGGCACCTGAGCAATAGGCATATTCAACTCGGCTGATGTTGGGTAAAGCCCGTCACGGCAGTGCCATATATATATATATATATATGTCCTTCCTTAGCGTAGTGACACACGCGACTCTCCAGTCCAACCGCCCGGTCCCTTGAGCCCTTCCGGTGACTGTTCTGTCGGCCCTTCGCCGCCTACCAACTGCCTTCGAGCAGGAGCATGGCATGATGGGGACAAGACTGATCAACGGAAGTTTGCAGGTTTCAAAGTCAGAGACGGAATCATCATTCATTCGCCATTACTATCAACCATCAGAGTATCCGTAGTAGCAGGTAATAGACGCCATTCAACTGCCAGTAATCTGTTTGCCCACCCAGCTGTTTTCGCAGCCAAGCATTTCACCAACGATGAGGTCAGATCACATAACACCCAGTCGACCAGCAACCGGCCAGATTTCCCCTCCGACAGCTGAGTTTTCATCGGCCGTTGGAAGTCAACCCATAGAGAGCATGAACCCTGGACCCATCATCACAGGTATTACCCCCGTTCAGGTCGTTCTGTCCTCGGTTATTTCCATTATTCTCTCAATCAACCTCCTGCAACCGACTCTCCTTGCCGTAAAGCGGATACCTGTTTTCGAAGCTCAACAAAGAAGTCCTTCCCATTCGCCATTGTGTTTGCTGTGCAACCGGTCAGTCACTGAAAGTGTCTGGTGGGAAAAGAAAGCGCGTACGTTTCGATCCCCACGGTCCGCTCGCACGGTTATTGGTATCCTTCCCTTGAAGCTTGTAGAAGAAAGATTTCGGCGCTAGAAGATGTATTCGTGATTAGTAGCTCGTTCGCGGCGGTAGTGCGGGGAAATCATAGGACAAGTGTTCGCGCGCATACCTCCGGGACCTGGGATAAAAGAAGGCTGCAGTTAGCAAGGGGATATTATACCAGGGCGAGCAAGGAATGGAACCATACCTCTTTTCAGAGCAGCCTTGGCCTCTGCAGCGTTGAAGCCTCCCACTGGAACGTGTTGCTCCAGGTTTGGCCCTGACAGCTGCTCCCGCGGTTCGCCCCAGTTATTATTCGATGTATTCTGATTCTGTTGGCCTCCGCGGGGCCCACCGTGTGCGCTCGAGGTTCTGTTGTTCGAATGTCGTTGTCCGGATTGGCGGTTCTGGTCGTACGCTCGGCCTCCGCGCCATCTAAAATCGAATCAGTTGCTGCTCTCCCCAAGCCAATAACAGGCCCAAATAATGGGAACAGAAGATGAAGAAAATACCGGTCATCGCCTGCGCCACTCATGTTGTAGGACTAAGCTTCGGAAGTAAGCCTGATGCACGAGGGGAAGCAGCTGAGGAATGCGACTAGTCGGCTGTCAAATTGCATGAGGAGAGGAGCTTCGCTGAGTCGCTGGGCTGTAACGAACTGTCCGGTGCGGAGTCGCAGTGGCTGTACTGGTAATACCGATCGCGCCTGTAAATTACCGGGAATGAAAGGCGTCGTGCCTGAGGCAGCCATCGCGCGTGACTGGCGCCGATTGACCGACGGCCTCCTTCTACAGGCCGCGCAAGTTTAAACAGACGACAGCTCAAAAAAGCCCAGTCGCGCGTTGTTCTACAGCTCTCCAATGCTCGCATGACTGGCGCCTGCCTTGCATCTCCTATATACCAGCCATGATTGGCATTTTATATGGACTAACCTCTGTTTTGCGTTGTCATTCACCTCATTGAGCAGATTAATCGGAACTGCCTTCACAACAGCACTCATTCACTATTTACCTCTCTTTTAACCTTTCATCGAAATTTTTTCTTCGCCTATACCCAATATGGCGCCTTTTTCTTCCCCGAAACACCGCTCCTCCCCCGGAGGGGCACTTAAAAACAGCTCCAAGGCCCCTCTCCAGGATTCAGTGAATTCGGAACCCGCCGTCGTCGAAGGGCCCGTCATCAAAAAGCTAAAATACGTCCCCGGTGGACCAGGTGGCGGTGGCAGATACATCGAAGTTGAAGTTAGGGAAACGATCAAGCCGAAGCCGAAGCCTAAACCGAAACAACCTAAAGTGAGCCCCATGAAGAGGAGGCATTCGTCCATCTCTCGCACTCGCCAACGAACAAAAGGGATGGACTCACCCGCGCAATCCACGCAGCTACCTCCGCCTCCGCCAGTCCATGCTCCGACGACCCCGCCCTCTACGCGTTTGAGAAGGGAGAAGAGTCAGAGCCGGGGGCGATTCGGATCGTCAACGGCGGCGGCGCTGGCTTTACAACAGGGAGATGGCTACAAACCACGAGAAGAGAGAGGCTGGGAGGAGTTCCATCCGGAGCTCGACATCGAAGCGAAGTTCGCCGTGTTCCCGTCCTCAGAGGTTGACCGGCCCCCTCCCTCCGCGCAGCTTGCCAACATCTTGTCTCCTAATGGCCTCGATAAGACGGACGAGAACGATCCCATCGCAGAGCTTATTCGCGCTCATGCGAATGGCACCGCCCAAACACCGATCAAACGGAGACCAGGGCGCCCCCCGCGCCGTCCGGAAGCTATCTTACAGGCCCTCGGCGTTTTCACTCCTCAGCCAAAAGTCGTTCCCCCGCCAGGGCCCAACCCGCGCGAGAAGCTTACCCTTCCGAAACCTTCCTTCCGACTAAAAGACCCCTTCACCTTTTACGATCAACCCGGTGTTGGTCAGCAGAACTACGTCGATCGGACGATGGCTAGTGTTGGATACCAGGAAAGCGACCTCTTCCTCCGTCATGACCGTCGTTTGATCCGTATGGCCGAGGGCACACAGGACGATGATTTGGATATCGGAAATATTGTTGCAGGCGAGGGAGAGGTGAATGCCGCAGTGGGTCGGGTCGAATACGACATGGATGAGCAAGACGAGAAGTGGCTGGAAGAATACAATTCGAAACGGCGAGAAGATCAGTTTGAACCGATCAAACCAGCCATCTTCGAAATTACAATGACGAAAATTGAGAAGGAGTGGCACAGTCTCGAGAAGCGCATCCCAAAACCAAATCCCAAGCCTCCACAAACGCAGCGGCCCAGGTCAAGCTCGGCCGCAGCGGTCAACGGTGAGACGACAGGTCCTGGAGAGGATCAGGACACCAAGTGCGCTATTTGTGATGACGGGGATTGCGAAAACGCCAATGCGATTGTGTTCTGCGATGGCTGTGATCTAGCAGTGCACCAAGAGTGCTATGGTGTTCCGTTCATCCCAGAGGGCCAGTGGCTGTGTCGGAAATGCCAGCTTATAGGAAGAGGATCTCCGAACTGCATATTCTGTCCCAACACCGAGGGTGCTTTCAAGCAGACAACAACTTCGAAATGGTCGCACCTTCTCTGCGCGATCTGGATCCCAGAGGTGTCCATCGGCAACCCCTCTCTGATGGAGCCCATCACCGATATTGAAAAAGTGCCTAGGAGTCGTTGGAAGCTCCAATGCTATATCTGTCGCCAAAGGATGGGTGCGTCGATACAATGCAGCAATAAAAACTGTTTCGTGGCTTTCCACGTCACATGCGCTCGAAGAGCACAACTCTACTTGAAAATGAAATCAGGTCATGGGAACCTCGCTGTCATGGACTCGCATCTCCTAAAAGCTTTCTGCGACAAGCACGTGCCCCCGGAATGGCGTCGGGAACATGGGACAGATGCTGCCACAGCAGAAGCTATCGAATATTACCGTAATACGATGCAGGGTCGACGGTGGGGAGATAGTCAAGCGGCGGCTCTATCGCTAGAACCCACCAACCCGCTTGGCGGCGATCATGAAGATGACGATGGGCAGCGGACCCATACCCCGCGTATTACGCTCACCGTCGGAGGTAACAAACGGAAGAGGCCGAACGCGCCTCGGACAATCTGGAAGTTGCCGTCAGGGGCACCCGTCATCCCTCAAGTTGTTTTGAATTCTGTGTCTGCCTCGCTTGCACGTTTTACTGTTCGTCAACGAAAGCAATTTGCAGAAGACGCGTGCAAGTATTGGACCTTGAAAAGAGAGGCGAGGCGAGGCGCTGCCCTACTCAAACGTCTCCAGTTGCAACTAGAGACATTCTCATCGATGGAGATGACCCGACGAGATTATGCTGCTATGGGAGCAACCGGAAGCAAACGATTACAGCGGCGTATCGAGTTTGGAGACCGTCTGTATCGTGATCTTGACCGGTTGCGGATGCTGTGCGATGAGGTGAAGAAACGCGAGAGGGAGAAGCTGAAGGATGCCGAAATGCTTCGCGGCATTGTGGATAACGTCTACTTCCCAATCTTCCCCCTGCTTTGGCCGATATTCGAGAAAGCTCAAGTGTAAGCATCCTAATCCATCCACTAGGGACTCTTGACTAACTGCTATACAGGTTGGACAGCAAGGGAATTTTCAGGCCAGGACTCGCCGCAGTCCGCGCCAAACTAGACCAACGCTACTACCCATCCGTATCGTCCTTCTCAGCTCATCTTGCTAGCGTCTTTACTTCGGAGATTGGAGTCCAGCCGGCTGGAGATACCGCTGAGCTTCAAATGCAGATCAGTGGGCGTGCTCCTGAGCTCAGCCTTGAGCAAAGGGAGAAGCGGAAAATGGCCAAGCGGATCATCAAAGCTATCCAGCCCGCTCTTGAGGACGCGATTCGTAAAGAAAGCGAACTAAATCGCCAGCCTTTCGAGCAGGAGCTGAAGGACTTGGATGTTATGCTTGAAAACAGTCTGTTATCCGCAAGAGGCTCCGAGATCGACTCTGGGGAGCGTGCTGGGGACGATACCTTTGAGAAATCCGAAAAGATCGAAGTGACTGAGGGTAGTGTTCACGACGTGGAGAATGCGCCCGGTGCTTCTGCGAAGCTCGAATCTCAAGACGAAACAATGGAGGAACCGGCAGATGGGATTTTACCAGAGGTAGAGGGTACACAACCTCCCGCAACTTCCTCAGATCCGCAAGCTATGGATATAGATATTCCAGAAGGCACGCCAGCTCTTCCCAATGCCGACAGCGCTACTTCGTTGCCGATCCAACCCGCCAACGAAACTCAGCCGGTGACTATGGATGGGACTCCGCCCATTCCTGAACAAACCGATCTACCAGTCCCCGGTCAGGTTGCAGAAGCTCCAAAGGTGCCCTTATCCCCTCCGATTCTCCAAAGTGACCAGCAGCATCCGTTGTCTCAGGGAGGGATCCAGTGGTACATGCAACCTTTTGATCCTATAGGGACAACCATTCACGAAGAACGCTGGACGGGCCGCGAGGTCATGCGCGGTCTGAGCGAGGAACTGAGTGAACTAGATGAGGACGAACTGAAAGACCTCGTGGCTGATGACGAGCTCGAGGAAAGTGCCGCTGGAGCCGACGCCTCAAACAGCGGGGCGCAAGACAACTTGGGTGGAGAGCAAGGGGTGAAGATCCATCGGACTCGGCGTAGATGGCGCGGCTTCAAGTGATGTTTGCTTACTATTATTGCTTCGACTTAATACCTCTTTGTTTTCGAGTATGTGTTTGCTTTGAGGTTCTAGGGTCACGAGGACGGGCGTTTCACTCTTATCTTGTTAGCCTTGTTCATGTCTATTTAGAGATTCAATTACCAGGGAACAGCAATGCAATAATGAATTCGATCCTTTGAAAGTCCTTTTGTTTGGTCGAGTGGGCGACTTGGCAGCCCTGCTTTGTATGCAAGAGCCGCGTGGGTTCTGGAATCTGCTGACTACGCCGCTCGCAGCCTGAGGATCCCGTCGACTTTCCTTCCCCCTTCTTTCATCATCAACCTCATCGCCATCCTCTTTCTCCCTCCCTTCCCCCTTCACTCCTCTTCTTCTTCGTTTCTCTTCCTCATCTTGTTCTTATTCCCTGCAGGAATCCATCAACTCCTGTTTTACTCGCCCTCGGGTCCCTGTTTTTAAGGTAACGATCTCCAGTGTTTTGTGGCGGAATTTTCTGCGCTGCTCCCCAAACAACAACCGCCGCGCCCTGTGCCACCCTTCTTCGCACGCGCTCTTTCCGTGTAGCTTCGATTTAACCTTTTCGAGCGTCTTTAGATTATCATCACCCTTCTTCCAAACACTCGATATGTCTGCTGAATACGACCACGACAGCAGTCGTTACGACGGTATGTTGGACTGCGGTCATCTCACCAGCTGAAATTCTGGGATTTGGAACAAACGCGACTAATACGTCTTCTTTTCGTGCCTTCAGACGAGCCTCGATTCGCCCGCGATCGCAGCGCCTCTCCCCGTGATGAGCCTAGAGCTGATCGCACCCGCAGCCGTTCCCCGAATGGTCGCGCCGATGATCGGTATGTCATGCCTTTTGTCTTGGTCCTCTTGATGGCGATGTCTGCTAAGGCACGGGCCTTCTGGACAATGTGCTAACATACAGTTCTTCAGTGCCCCTTCTGATTCCCGCAAGCCCCTCGACGATGAGGAGGGCGCCCAAAATACCGGCTCCAACCTCTTCGTCACTGGCATCAACCCCCGTCTGACTGAATCCGACATCTCCCGTCTTTTTGAGAAATACGGTGATGTTGAGAACTGCTCCATCATGGTTGACCCCCACACCAAGGAATCTCGTGGTTTCGGTTTCGTCAAGATGGTTACTGCTGAGCAGGCTGATGCTGCCAAGGAGGGTTTGCAAGGTGAGGTTATCGAAGGCCGCACTCTGAGCATTGAGAAGGCTCGTCGTAGCCGTCCCAGAACCCCCACTCCCGGCAAATACTTCGGCCCTCCCAAGCGTGGTAAGTTCTCTTTAGCCAAATCGCTTAGGGTCGCTTTGACTTACGATCTATCTGCAGAGTTCGGTGGACGCCGTGGTGGCCGTGGCGACCGCTACGATGACCGCCGTGGCGGGTATGGTGGTGGTGGCAACTTCCGCCGTGGTGGTGACGAATACCGTTACGGCCGCTACGACTCTTACAGCGACCGCCGCGACTACGGCGGTAGCCGTGAATACCGCGACTACAACCGCCGTGAATACCGTGACGACTACGCAGGTGGCCCTAGTGGCGGCAGTGGTGGCAGTGGTGGAGGTAGTGGTGGATACCGCGGTGGTGCTGACCGCTACGCCTCTGGCGGCCGTGAGGAACGGTACGGTCGTGATGAACGTCGCGATGATCGTCGGGGTGACGAACGCCGTGGCTATTATGACCATGATGCTAACCCTCCCAGTTATGGCCATGGTGCTCCATCTCGCGATCCCTATCCCGGCCGTTCTTATGAGCCCCGTGAAGATCGGTACGCCGGAAGGTAGGTCCGTGTTCGCCAGCTGCTCGAATACGTGTGCCCTCTTAAAGACAGGGTGTCGCCTACTTTCCTATGTCCCTTTCCTCGTTCTTCCTTTCCCTTTGTCCTTTTACTCTGTACCCCTTTGGTTTCTTATGTTCCTCGGTCTGGTTTTCTTCCCCATCTCTTTTGCAGCACGATTCGAGGGGTTTCCCATCTCGATAAATCAACGCTGGGGCGTCATGTTGTTTTCACTACGGGAGAAAAGTCGTCTTCGAAATTTCACACACCTGTTGGGCGGACTTGGCGCGTCAGCTTAGCGGCCATTCGACTGTTCCCCTTCACTCAGTCGATAAAGAACAACCACACGATAACCAGGGTCGACACCTGCGAACACGAGCTGTTGTTTTCTTTGTTAATACGCTCGATACACCGGAAATCTATGGCGGCAGGGAAAGTGCAGGATTTTCTATTAACGTTGTAATTCCTCGGATTGTCAGATGGGTCAGCACTGCTACATTTCAGCTCTACCGGAAAATTGGTCGTTATCTCGCTAGTCAGCTCTTCGCCTTTATTGCGTCTTATACAACATTTCTTCACGTAACGACTCGATTGTATTCGGCCAGGAACACATCTTAAATCTGTCTCAGGCCATCATCATTCACTCATGCCAGTCTTCTTCAATCCACGCCCTTGACCAAACAAGCAGACCACATGAGAGTCAGGCCATTCCTCGCCAGTCCGCCATACCGTTGTTTGTGTGCCTGTAGTACCCACTCCCAGCAAGTGTGTCGAGGACAGCCTGGCCTTTCACAACCGTCTCTAAATGTCGATCGGCGCAGGCTCAACGTATTCTGGGGCTAGGTCTATGCTGCCGGAGGTGCGATATCAAACATCGCCTCACCGGCCAATCCACCCACTGCTTCCCGCCCTGCATTAACAGGGTGCACTGCTCGGTCAAGGTAAGTTTCTGGTGGTGACTGCTAATTGACCTTGGCTCTTAGGTAAGAGTTACATCCATTAGCAGCCGGAGTCAAGGTTCTAGTAAATAGGACTATCTTCAGTACTTTTCCCGGTCTCTCGGGATTGCCCTTGCAAGTTTCAGAGATATCGGTCTCGGAGTTTCTAACTGCTCCAGAGTCCAGACCCTGGATGGCCGATTAATGTCCTGTCGCGCTATATCCATCCTTATGCTAAGTCTCGCATAATGCTTTGCTGACTATGCTATATTCACGTGCCACCGTTTCTCCACCCATGGTATATGGCTGTCCATATCTTGGTCTAGTTTGCACGGGATCTACTTCTGGAATCAAGGTAGATTTCACATATATCATCTAGCCCTAGATGGCTTGGTATCAATAATCACCAAGTGCTTTGCGAATGAAAGCGATAGGTTTTCCTAGACTGCATCTTGCCTCGCGTAGTGTCATCGCTCCTGTCGCTCATTCTTCTTATACACATCCAGCAAGGAGGGATAGAGACCAGTCGCAGGCATACTAGGTAGCCTGTTCGATGGAGCCAAATGAGCCGAAACGAGCGGTGCGAGGGCCAGTCATAGAGTGCGTAAAGCGTCGCATACACGACATAATTCGAAAAGGTTGTAGTCACCCTTCTCCAATCATGAAAGCTCAAGCTCGCGTGCGCATCGCTTGGGGTTTTGTGGAAAAGTCACGCTCGTAGGTAGACGCAGAACGAAAGTAAACTAGAAGTGGAGACCCGCCTACTCCGGCGCCTTCCCCGACTGTCCGCCCTCAACCTCATTGCTCTTCTGTATGAGGAATTCACCGAGCACGCGGAGAGGATTCGACGGTCTATACTCCGCAGAGAGATGTCGTTAGCAAGAGAAATACCAGAATCATAGCCACGAAAAGCGTATTGCATCCGTCTCCTCCAGACACGGTAGAGATAGGCTATCAACAAGTGGAAGAGCACATACTGTTCCTTCGTTACATTTTTCATCCCCTCAAGCAAATACGGGACGATCTTCTCATTCATGTACACACGCGCTGGCGCGCCGCCGGGCCGCACGGGGTTCGAGTTTGAAGCGGAGATGCTGGAGTCTGCGGCGGGGGTATGCGAGCCTCCGGCAGCTTGGTTTGTCGGTGTGTTTTCATTGGCCATGTTGAATGCTGGGCCTTGGTCTGCGGGTTGGTTTGACGGTTGTGGTGTGAATGGGAGAGATTGTTCTGGAGCTGGTGCTGGGATTGAGGCTACTGAGTCGGCGGTGCCGGGTTTTGAGATGGAGTGGAGATTGAGGGTTGGGATGGTGGGGTCTGGAGTAGGATTGAGATGGTGCGAGCTCGAAGGCTGTTGAGAATATGAGTTATGGATGAATTTTGGCCGCAATTGAGCGAGGGAGTGAGGTTCAAGTGTGATGGAAGAGAAAGGGAAATCGCGGGCAGTATTTGAGATCGCGAGGGCGGAGAGGACGGCGGAGAGAGGTGTGTGGATCCAGTACGGAGTACTCCGTAGATGGAAGTGTACGTACATAAGATGGGAGGAGGAACTCACTGGGACGTTATCGGCCATAATTCTGGACTGTCCTATTTATATATATTGATATATAGGGTATAGAGTGATGGAGATTAAGAGTCAAGAGCTTGTATTGTTTGCTGCGATGATTTGTTTGCTCTGCGCCTGATCAGCCTTGGGAGTTTCCCCTCAGCAGATTAAGGTCAGGTGATCTCGTGTCTCGTCGACACGTGCAGACGCATCACACTTCTGCCCTTGACAGGCAGCAAAAGGCAACGATTACTCTCCGAGAGTCGCTGCGAGTTTTGGATACTTGTTCTACGTTGTTTTCTTCGATAGTTGACGTTCTTAAAAGGACATTATCACTCGTTTTTTGCCGTAAATCTACGACCGACGATATCTACCTCCAGCGGAAATATATATCGATAACGCGTGCCTCCATGTGCTTTTGTTGGGCTTAGTCGCGGAAGGAAGAATCTACCATTTCCCCGCAGTATGTCCCTTCTGGACTACTGGGATACGAAACGTCCATCTGTAAAGCGCCGCAGACTTTCACAGGAAGTTTTAACTCCAGAATCAAAGTCTATCCGCGACAGCAGGAAGGGAACCGCGGACTTACCCTCAGACGAAACGCCGAAGGCCAAAGACGAGGACACGAAAACGACACCTGCCGAGTTCGCCGACGACGTATCCTTGAAGAATGATGAAGATGCCGTCCCTAATAGCCAAACAGAGCTCGAGTCCGCTCTTCCCACCGTCGAAACCGATACCCACGCGATAGAAGAATACGAGTCTTCGCAACGAGCGAAGGAAGATGAGGAAGAGGAATTGTCCTTACAGGAGCGGATGCGGGACGGGAAATGGCGCAAGGGAAAGAGCTCGATATACGTGGATGCATTCAATCTTGCGCTGGATACTGTTCTAGCCGAGGAGGCGCATCTGTTCAATGAAGCGGAGAAGGAGATATTCCAGCATTGGAGGGGGCTGCCGTATGAGTCGCAGTACTTGTATGTCGTTCTTTGGCTATGACCACCTACATTGGTTTTGTCGAGTGGATGCAATGGCTGACGAATTGCTAGATACGTCCGTTTGTTCCTCCGCAAGACCTCCGCATGGCATCGTGTTGGTAGACTAGGTTACTACTCGGACATTGCCGACATCCCGCAAGTAGTAGCAGACCTGCAGAAGACTAGAGCATTGTCTACCCCTCTGTCTACTGATGAAGAAGACGACGCATCCGATGCCTCATCAGCAACTGAATCTGGCTCAAGTGGCGGGTTCCGCTTCGCAGACACCATTGATCGGATTACTACTGTGGAAGAGGCGTCTTCCTTGCTTCTGCTAGACGAATTGAAGGCCCTTGCAAGAGAGGCCAAGATACAAGGGAAAAGCAAGCAAGATCTCATCACAGCATTGCGCGAGACAAGCCAGAAGCAGACTGGATTGGGATGGAACAGCACTGCCCACTCATCAGGCGCCAACCGGAAAGTGCATTTTCTAAACAAGATCCTGGAATACACAGGTGACTGTGTTAGACTTGCATCTGACCCCTGTGCACTGTTTGAGCGTGTTCATTTGGTGTTTTATAGGTCGACAGAGTGGACGGAGAAATCACTGACCACCATTATTCTTGCGAAGATCTCTCGCAGGAACTTTCCCGAGTATGTCGTCTGTCGCTCTAGCTCGATCTTTCCGTCAAGGGAGATCTTGCTAGAATTTGAATCTGCACTCCGCACTCAGTTCAGAATCGACAATGTGCTCGAGTTTAGCGGGACACCTACGAGAGAGCGATTAGAAGAGATAAAATATCTCGCATACAAGGTCTATCCACGTTGGAGGGCCCTCCTCGAGCAAGAGCAACAAAAGGAGGATACAATCTATGAATCTGGAGAAGGAGCATACCTACGGCGCTTCTCACCGGCTTGGGTATATACTCGAATCCTACACAAGGGGCTTTATCCACTTGGCCGATTTAAAGAGCACAAAGAAGAACACAGGATTCTATCCGAACTACTTGCCCAGCGGCTATTTCATCCCGCGCGGCGCGGCGCTTGGTATCAACGCAAGGCCTTAGTAGAAGAACACTACATGTGGGCTTTGATGCCCTCGGAGGAACGCAGCGAAGAAGCACAAAAGAAGTACTGGAGACGCATTGCGTTGCGTACATGCGAAGAAGGCCTCGAAGACCCGTCATGCCACCTGATCTACCACTACGACCTCCAAAAGCGCATCCGCAAACTCGAGAAGGCACTCAAGGTTGTGAAGCGAGAACAGCACGACTTTGGACATGTCACACTTACCAAGCCCGAAGAACGCACCGTCGAGGGAATCCGTATTGAGCGCGAGGAGTCACCCGTCCGAAACGGTCCCGTCAACAACGATGATACCCCGACGCCCAAACGCAGCGGTCCCACCATCTGGCTCGACGAGCGTGAAGATGGAGCCGAGTGTCGAGTCGAAGACATGTGTCTGAGCTGGTATCGTGACCAGGGCTGGAAAGGGTACCACTCCGAGGGTGGAATTATTCGTACCCTGGTGAGCCAAATCTCCGCCTCTAGTGAGTGCGCATACTAACACATCATACAGTTCGGCTACCTCTTCTACGACATCCTCTTCACCTACGTCCCGAACGTCTTCCAAACAATCTTCCAAACCTGCCCGCTGGACCTGCACACAGACGCCTTCTACCCATCCCGCGCCTCGGAGATAAACCACCGCCTCGTCCAAATCACAAACGGCGAAGCGCCCGACCTGATTCGCACCATCCACACGCAACACGCCGCGCGGCAGCCCTGCGCCATCGGCATCGATTGGTCCTTCGAGCTAGACGACCTGCTCGAGATTGCGACGTGTTTCTCCGGCGAAGCCCTCGCGACCATATGCAAGATCATGGCGCAGGAGTATCAGGCGCGTGGTGGTGGAGTGCCGGATTTGTTGCTTTGGAGGACGGATACGAGCGAGGTTTGCTTTGTTGAGGTTAAGAGTGAGAATGATCGGTTGAGTGATACTCAGAGGCTGTGGATTCATGTGCTTTTGGGGGCTGGAGTGAAGGTTGAGCTTTGTAATGCTGTTGCGAGGGAGGTTAGGGTTCGATAGTCTCGAGACTGGGTTGTATATGGATGGCTTGAATAAATAGCTTGGACAGTTGGATATAGAACATGTGCACATGGCATACTATACCTAGCACATAGGAACTCATATAACGAAGTCTACGAGCCATACAAACGAAGTGGCAGGGTAATAACTTTTAATCATTGATTCGTGGCGGCCAGATCTAGCCTAAAACTAAATCTAGGACCGGATATCAACACCGGCGCTTCTCTCCTCTCTAGAGTGAGCACGTCCATTTCAGAACGAGCCCGCCAGAAGGTGAGTCTTGACTGAAGAGAAGCGCGGCGCGACCTAACCCCGACCCAAGAACCATTACACCGCAACAACAAACAGCCCGATTTTTCTTCACGGAGTGTTCATCGCTTAAGCAACCATGGTGCTGGCGGTGGCGGACTCGTACTTCCAGGTGGGAGGGAGGACACCGACGGTCTTGTAGTAGCGGGACAGACGGTGGATACGGGACTCGATGAGAATGAGGCGGAACTTGCTGTCCTTGTCCTTGCGGTTGCGCTCGAGGTGCTTGCGGACGGCGACAGCCTGGGAGATATCGTTAGAATCAAGGTGCGAGGGGAGAAAGTGAAGAGCAGGGATTGTGCTTACCTTCTTGATGAGATGGTACAGGTCCTCAGGGATCTCGGGGGCAAGGCCTGTAGGGGGCAAAATCACTCTGTCAGTCTGTTGTTTGACCAAGCAGAGGCATAACCGCAACTGCATTTCTGCGAGTTGGGTGGCATTTCTACGACGGTTGGGCTGAGTGTGAAGTTGGTTCGAATGTGTTAAGCGCGCAACAGTATCATCCCACATTCTCACTCCCAAGCCCAACCAAGTCTACGTGCAGGGTTGAAGAAGGTGATGTCGTACCGCTGGACTTCAAGATACGGAGGATCTTGTTACCTATCGCATAGTTAGCTTTCGCGATCCCGATCCCTCTTTTTCCTTTTATCATGCGAAAACATACCGGTGACAGTCTTGACCTGGGCGATACCGTGGCTGTCACGGAGGACAACACCGATCTGAGAAGGAGAAGCACCTTTCCTGGCGAGCTTGCAAATCTGATCGACGACCTGCTCGGGGGTGGTCTTGACCCACGGAGCAGGCTTGCGAGAGTAGGGGATGGCGGAGGACGAAATGCCCTTTCCCTTGGAGTGAAGACGACCCATTTCGAATTGGTGGTGGTTGGTTTTTTTGTCGGATCGGACGGGTTGCGGTGGTTGTCGATGTGCAAGTCGGTCGAAGGAAAAGTTTCTTTTGGCTTGTTGGCTCGGGTTTGAAGATGCGAAATTGGATTGTGGGTATTGAGTCACGTGGGTAGTTGTGGGTCACGTGCTGCGGTGCCTTCGCTTAGCTTTTTTGCTTTGCTTGAGATTTGCATCGCGGCTTGCGCTTCTCTTGATGTTCTCAACTCGACTGCCAGAGTATTTCCACAAGCACACCTTGTTGGTTTTTCGACTGGTGATACGTGTTCTTCATTCAGAGCTTGATGTTGCTTCTTTTTACACCAATACCTTCATTTAGAATGAGTTAAGGTAAGCTTTTTGCAAATTCCCTACCTGTTCGGACGCTTTTATGATGAAACATCACCTTATATTTTATTTTTTCTGGTACCTCTTATGTCAGGGTTAGATCCTCGTGGTCGAGCCCGATGATCTAAATGGACTTCTGATATCGTCTCGTTCTTATTTGTTGTCACCTACATTTTCCGTGACCTTGACTAACTTGAGTCCGAGTTTAGGTTGCGACCTGGAAACATCGAATGCACCCTTCTAGCCTTCCACGAACTAGTCAGGAAGAATTAGCATACTGTTTAATCAAAGTTTCATCAATGCCAGTCATTGCTCCACACACGCTCTCGAGGCTTCCTTGTCCATCCAAACTTGAAAGAATCGCCGAGTCGAAGCTAGTGTTACTTGGTCGCATGCGCAACCAGTCTACTGGGACTGCGTCGTGCGCTCTCTTTGTTATCGGGTAGGCGCAGTGGGCAGCTTGCGCCCTGTAATATGTCCGTAAGGACTCAAGTATAGTCGTCATCGCAGACTGGTATCTCTTGGTACACCGGTTCTTTGCTCCCACGCGCGCCAGTAGGGCAAGGCCACGAAGTACCCCGCTTGATGCCGAACGACGACAGGGGATGAGTGGGAGCAGTGGTAGGCCTGTAATCACGCCCGAGATGTAAGGAGTAGTCGTGTACGAAATAATCCTAGCCCTCAACCCCGCCAGAAAGCCGGAAGCACGCATTGCGGCATTGGACCTCAGTTGATATCACACACGCTGCTCGACTAATCTTCAATATAGTGAGATTATGCTGTGCAAGGACGGAGCGCATGAACAGCTCATTGCTGCAGCCTTTCTCAAAAGACCATCCTTGTCCCTGGCCGTCGGGGCGTAGATGTCTGTGCAGAGTTTGAGCGGAGGGACCCGGGAGCTTCTGTAATGTCCCGCTAGTATCCTGAACCACTTGCGATATATGTCATGTGTAACACGACACAGACGTAGTGACTGGACAGATGGCAATGGCTCGAGCCAACCGCAAAAACTCGCACATCTCTCTGCCCTGACCAGAGTTTACTGGATGCTCGGCGGCGCCAAGCTGGCCGTGACTGAACTGTGCATCTCTAATCCTTGATAGGCGTGATGTGATGCTCGACACTCTCATTGCCTCACGGCGGCAACCAGTTGGTTGGATCAACGCAGAGTGCGCAAGCGAGAAATCGAGCGAGTATGGCTTGTACATCATGTGGACTGCATCTATTACACTTGGCCTATCTGCCTGCCCTGGTATTGAAAGTCGATAGGTAGGCTGAGAGATTATTGATCATCACGAGGGAATAGAGCCAATAGTTAACCATATATCGGCTGTTGGTCAGCTTGAGTCTTGTCAAGAGGAACGACTGCGGCAGCCGTACAGTTTCGTCAAAACCAGGACCGTAATCGAGGTTGCGTATGATAAAGCCTAAAGGCAAGAGCTGAGCAAAGGACTCGCTGCCTCGTTCGTATTTCAATCGAGAAACTTTGGCGCTGAACACCGAGGATCAATCACAGTCTGCGAACGACAGCAAAAGGGGTCATTCAAGCACAGGACCAAGCTGCGAAGTTGCGCGAGCTGTGACTTATACCGACGGCAACCTATGATCGCCACCGGTTGGCTTGCCTGCAGAACCAACAGGTCTCACCGTCACCACCAACGCCGAGTATCCGTCGCCGATTGGCGCTTGGAGATGTGATCCTGCCGACCGCGCGCTTATGTCTCATCCATACAGGATGCATAGTTTGATCGTCATTGAGAGTTGGGAAATGCGGAGGATCGACCAGAGAGACGCCATGGGCTATGCCATCGATCTGAATGCAAGATCTTGCGAACGTGAGCTGACGAGCGATCAACTATCTCGTTCGAGCCTATCGTGGCGCGGAGGGGGCACTAATCCCCAATTCTCGCCTTTACCTGAGCGTCGCCGTTATCTAAATCTCTCGATTATTTAATATCGTAGACTGTGTAGGTTATTAAAAAACGGTATTGTTGGGGCGAGGGTTCGTCGGTGTCATTGGTCGTCAAGCCCCTTGTGCTAGGATGCTGGACGCCTCCGTTCTCCGTTGAGCTCTCTCATCCCGTCTCTTGGGGACTTTGCTGCGTTTGTTCCAAGCTTTTAGCGAAGTCATGCTGATCTCGTTGGTCTTCCGTGGTTCTCTCTCGGTACCTTTTTCCAACAGTTTCTGGTATCGGCGGAGGCGCGATACCAGGCTCCTTTGCCGTCTTGTCGATACCATGCGAAATCCCTGGACTGTATTGTTTCCGTCTCTCTGCTTGAGCTGTGCCCAGGAGTACAATTGGCCTTCGGTAGCTGCTGACGCAATGCAAAATGAATTCTACGAGAATTTCGGCAGACATGCCTGATTGTGCTGTTCCACAGCTGACTGCACAATAATGCGTGCGCATGGGAGCGGAGATTAATGCAGCCCGTCAGAGGAAGATGGCGCTGCTTACTCCGTACTGCGATTGGAAGCATCCTCGCTTGTCAAGCACGGGACGGGGGAATGCCCTGAAAGTCTTTTGAGAAAGCCACCGTGATATAGTGGCGGCTGTTATTGCAGGGTCTCGAACGTTACACTAACTTAATTGCAAGTCTTGGGTCGGAGTGGTATCAGTCTCTTGGGTTCAGCTCTTGATTGCGGGAAAATTGCGGCGCAAGCTAGCTCCTCGCCCAGATTCCATTAGATCTTCTGGGCGGAGGGTTCTGATTGCGTGGCGACCAAGAACTGTACCTGGAATAAACTCCACGTGCAAGCTTAACAGCCTTGTCAAATTGACAACTTCATTATCTGACATCCCGCCACCTGCCCACAATCGGTTATCGTAGTCTGATCACACCAGAATGACAGCAATTGCGCTCAATCCTAAAGGAGCAGTTGCACGCAGAGTGATGCGACAGAGGCGGTGGGCGCCCATGGATCAAAAGAAGAAACGGATTGAAGGCCCGACAATCAATACTGAATTGCGGAAAAGCTCATGCTCAAAACTTAGGCTGAATCATGCGGCGGACCTTTGGAACCGATGCCGGGAACTCTAATTGCGACTCGATTGTTCCACGGTTGTCCGGGAAGACGCCGGACAGTGGAACGCTGATCAAGAAACTCTCACACGCACAGAATACCTTATTCGGATGTAGTGTGTTCTGGAGGCTGCATATGTATGAGGCTCTTGCATCAATGTTCATCGAGGTAAATTCTTCAGTGTGAGGATTGCCAAGCTAGCTGACGAGCAACAAGGCGACGCTGCGAATAAGTTAGGAAGCCGATGGAAGCATCAATTTGATGCCTTGGAGTTGGATTGAAATCTAGATTCTCCATTCCCAGGCCAAAGTGAAACCTAGAGCGACGAGAATTTTAGATCGATCATCATGGTGGGCTCTTTCAAAGGAACCCACCTTCAAAACGTTGACGGCAGACAAAAGTGGAGGAAATGCAGGACGGGGCGCCTCAAAGTCCGTCACAGTGGATCAAGCTGCCTCGTTTTGATAGTCACTGACATTGATTCTTGTACAGTCAAGCTGTACCTCCGTAGCGATAAAGACGATAGACACGCAGCAGAGGACCAAGAAGTGAAGAAGATAAATTTCCCGACTGCCAGCGGTTATTATTCGCTCAGACCAACAGTTATTGTCACACAGAGCCGACCTGACAGAAGGTGCTATGCGCGCAGCGGCCTCGTGTGAGCTTGTAGCCGAGATGCTGCCAGGACAAGGCACCAGGGGCAAGGTCGCAGCTGTGCAGCAGCATCATGCAGGCCGACTTGGGAGCTGGAGCAGTGGTGAGGAGACGGTCGAACTTTCTTTTGAATATGCCTCCAACGGCAACGGAGGAAGCCACAGAACCTGCATAGCCAAATCCGCCATCTCTCCGCTAGCGCAGGACTTGATACTGATTCGAGTTTAGCGGGCAGAACGTGATACTCGGGCTGCTGAGTGAGAGCCTGATGGAGCCGCGAATCCTTGTCAGCTGCGGGTAAACGACAAGCGGGCTAGACTATCACAGACACTTCCTCAGGTTCTTGGGGAAGAGACGACATCGTTCAGACAATTCGACGGAATAATAGAAGTGGACTGCTATTATCAACACGGTGGGTGTACCGACGAAATCTCCGGAACCTCGCTTTTGGCCATTATTGTGGTTGCAGATGCTGAGCGCTCGCAATGTCGAATGGACTGTCCCCAAGAGACGGAAACTAGAATCGATCTGAGATGCAAATCGTGGAGCAATTGATTGCGCTGGACTCTGGAGAGGAGACGTCGACCAGTTGAGAATTGGATATTTTGCCCCTCGTGGGAGTGTCACGGGTGTGTATTGATGTATTGGGGCGTACGGCCAATGAGGGGACGGCCCTGGTAAGAAATGGGACAAGAACGGAAACAGTACGGTACGGACCTGACAGACCAGACTCGGGAGGAACTGGAAAGCCCCGCTTCAAGACTCGTGCTCCTCCACTTTGGCCTCATCTGTGACACTCTTTCTCCCCGGCTGATTGGAACCCCATGAGACTCTAGCCCGCGCTCCTCTTGCATCTCCCTCTGCTCTTTGGATGCTCACTGCTTTTGGTCCCCACCTATCGCTCCCTCGCCCTTGTGGCCAAGTCGGTCTCCGCCGTTGGCTCGAGGATTCGTTCGCACTGGTCGAAGCAACAGGGACCAAAATCCAATCATGTTCATCCGGGGACAAATCGCGTCGAAATTCGTACCTCTGGGGGAACGGGCCTCTGCGCCGCTCATTCGTCCCTCAGAAATCTCTTTTCATTGGGGCAGGTAAAGATAGACGGGCCTGTCCCCAGTGGCCCAGTCCGTACTATATCTGGCCATGTCTCGCCCCTCTCCCTCCCAGGCCTGCCTTTTCTTCCCTTTTGCCCCTCGATGCGATAACTCGAGAACAACGCCCTTTCCTCGCTCAATCGCAGTTGTCGCGTGGCTGCGAGCCTCTGCTACGGGGCCTTCCAGCCTGGGATCGTTTCGACAAGCACACCGCAGCCCTCTCGCCGGGATATGACTAATTCGCCCTACGTCGCATCGGCCGCATTTCCCACGTTTCAACAAGTCCAACAGTGACACTTACAAGATGTCTGGAACCGATTTGCGCGGATCATGCCCGGAACCGTACTACCAGGAGGACCTTTTTGACAATGGCGGATGTATGTTGTAGTCGCCTCTTTTTTCTCTTCCGGTCACCATCCACTGACTGTGATGCGACTTTGTATAGTTGTCGGAGGACGCTTCTGTCAAGTCACGCCGATCGCAGGTAATGCTTCTTGCTGCCTTCCGTGTCCACAAGCCACGTGGCTGTATGGTGAAGGTACAACACCCCCCGCTGCCCTCACCACCGACCATTCTGACATCTTCGCTGCAGAAATCCAGGAGAAAACAAGGATCGCGAGTTGGATTTCAGTCGCCGTGTTGCCTTTTTGCATATTCCTATTGGTATCATATGCTGTTCTACCAGCGAAACGAACACACCGTCATTACTTGAGCATTTGCTTTACCCTCGGCATCTGCTGCATGCAGGTAGGCTTTGTTGTTAGGAACGTCAGGAGCACAGCTGACTTTCCCAGCTCGCATTCGTCATTCCTCTCGGGACGAAACCAGACCAATGCTATAACGAGATCACACCCAGGGATATGTACTCCAGTTTATCATGCGCCTTCACCGGCTCCATGCTTCTCTTCGGTGGGTGGGTAGTGGTAGTATTCAGTATGTTGCTTCCGATTGCGGTGCCTGGTCCGAGCTGACTTATATTCCAGGTTTCATCCGTACAATTGCCTTCCACCTCCAGGTCTGCTGGGAAGTGATTCTCGGCCCCAAGTTCATGTGGGGTGCGTTCATCTGCGGCTTGGGCATCCCAATCATTGGAACATCAATCATGCTAGTCTTGACCGGAGTATCTTTCCGATTCGGCGATGTGTGCCATATCAACATTGAAAAGAGTTTACAGGATTACTGGATTCCGATCATAGCATTTGCCGGCGCGTCCCTGATTATGCAGTTCACGACAATGGGCTACTGCGTTCATGTCTACATCAAGTCCCTTTACGATACGGCACCGACCACGAACAGCTCCAACATCCAGTCGTATACTGCGAGTGTCGGCACATTGACCGCGCGTCAAGCCTACCGACGTGTTCGCAAGATTCTCAAGCTACAGTGGAGAAGCAACTGCCTTGTTCTGGTCATTCTTGCCAACGTTATCGTTTTCGCTGTCATCTTCATTCGAGCAGATGACCAGCTGGAAGTTACACCCGAGAACCTCGCCCGAGCAACGCCTTGGCTACTCTGCCTTGCTCTGAACGGTGGTGATAAGACGCAATGCTTTGAAGAGGCCAAAGATATTGGGCCAACCGAACCAACGCTCTTGGTGTTACTTGTCCTTCTGACCCTGGTCGGATTTTGGAATTTCGTCCTCTTTGCGCGCCCATCCATGTTTGTTGGATGGTGGGACCTGATTACGCGAAGAGACACCACCCAGTTTGAGTTTGTGTCTGCCGACGCTCGCAAAATGCGGGCCGAGGCGCACAGCTACGAAATGCTCAGCAGCAACGGACTACCGTCTTACAAGAGCCCCGAACCCCACGCCGAGCCCTATGTGCGGTCTCCCAGTCCCGCCTACACGGCGCGGACAATGAGTCCCGATCTGAATAACCACTACGGACGGGACGCACGCTATGTCCGACCATCAATGAGCTTCTCCGGACCACGACCCCCAAGCTCGCCGCAACACAATGGACGAGACTGGGATCCCGAGGCAACATTCGCTCGCGCATATCACCAGCGATGACACCTCCCTTGCTATTACTATAATGTGTCCATATAAAAACTTGCATTGTGATTTCTACGACGCGCACGACTGTATACCCATCTAATTCCTTTTTTTTTTCTCCTACCATCACCTTCATTCTCTGTCATTGATTCTGACTCTTCCCTGCGTACCCTCCTGGGGAGGCCAAGGATTGTACTATCTCGCTTCTTTTTTCCTTACGTGTGGCGGGCCAATCGGTATTGCAACGGCACGGAGTAATTATGGATGTCATATTAGACTGGGACAAAGGAGTTCAAGCATTTATTGCATAAGACAGAAATACAGCAAGTTAATGATTACGCCGAGCTCAGCTCACCTCTTCGCAAGATTGGAGCGAGGGTCGAGTTCCATGGAACGAAACCTGCTTCTCATCGGCTCCGGCAGTTTGAACATGGCTGCAGATCATCCTAGAGGAGTCGTCAAAATTCTTGTCATGTCGATGACAATAATCTGCTCCGAACTCGACTGGTTCGGTGCGTGGTGGGATGCCGATCAGCCACGAACGTGCAGCGGCCCTGAAGTTTGTTGAACATTCTGGAAGCACTCAAGAATTCGCTCCCCGTCAACTCATGCATGGGCCATGGCACCGCGACCCAGAGTTCACCAAAACCCTTTTCCAGCGTTCCTCCCGCCTTCCATGCTTCCATGTGGTTTCTTTTCTTTTCTTTTCCTTTTTCTTTTTTTTTTTTTTTTTTTTTTTGTGACACGACAGGACGCACGGGGTTTAATTTTACAGTATGCAACGACTGAAGCCACATTGCTGGCCTGACGAGCTGACCAGGAATTTTGGAATTCTGGATTCAAGACAAGACTGTCAACCAATCCTTCAAGCTCCGCCTGTCACGCGCCACATCCTCTACGGAGTACGTATGTGCGATCCTGAGACGAGCTTGAAGCTGCATCAATCTCTGGTCCGGGTCACAACTAGTCTGAAGCGATCCATGGGCCATCCATGCATGGTCCGACCACGTTGAAGCAGGAAGCAGGAATTGGAAACGACCTCCACGTGGAGAACTCTGAAACCCGTACTCGGGCCGACGAGACTTGGTTTCATGCACGTCAGTCGCGCTAGAGGCTTGGAAGTTGGAAGGAATCTTCGAAAAATCAAGAGGGAACTTACTTGGGAGGGAAGGTGGAGGATTCAGTCTTGAATACGCATCTCTTGTACAATAATCATGGAAATTCGAGGATATCTAACGGGTAGCTGGGGAAGAACCAAGTACGAGTGTAAGATACACTTGCGGGTTCTCTTGGGCCGTAAGCATCTCATTATTATTCCAGCCATGACAGCTCTCCAGCGTATGCAGGGTTACACTTACCTTACACCAGATGGGCCCGGACCAAATTAGTTTCAACTTCCCAGCAGCCCTGGGCCTCGGAGGAAGTCTCCTTGTAGATAAGTCCTGGGCCTGGGTGTCACCGTACCTGTCAGAATTTAGCGCGCCCTTGGCTTTGCCTTCTGAGTGCCTTGAGCTCGGGACCTTGGAAGAAGTTGTCTGGCACTCTGACTTGAATTAACCAAATTTGCTGGCATTATCCTCGACCCCTAGTTGAAATTCGATAGTGAGGTCGTAGTGCTACTTTAGCCCTGGCTAGCCCTGGCAGACTGACAGGGGAGGAACCCCGACTATCGATGGATTAGTTATCAATAATAATACTCGAATTCGTCAGTTTGACCCTCGAGGCGTGGCTTCGAGGTCTACAACGTAATAGAAGGACCAACGACGACATCGAAGTAGGTTCGTATTCGTATTACAAGACACTTACCAGCAAGACAGGATCTTCCTGAGGAGGTCTGAAGAGAATCCTTCAATATGCAAGGCTGAGCATGTTCATTCTCGTTCTCTCATCAACCGAAGACCCCAATCCCACCATTTCCGAGTGTCCCCAAATTCCATCGAGGATTTTTAGCGAGCCGCGACTCCGCGAGCGAGCGTCGTCTTCCCCACGGGGAGGGAGAGAAGAGCCAGGACCCATAGATCCACGACTCCACGGATTCCACTGATGTGGATTTTCGATTCGCGTTCTGGCGTCGAATTTTTTCGGATGCTGGCCAGGACGATCCATCTCATGGGATGGGGCCATACTATCTGGATGGAGTGTGAATCTACATAGGATTCGGTATATGCGTGTGTGTGATTGGTGTGCAGGAATGGCGTGCCTCGGTTCTCCGTGTCGGATGTTATCGATGTTCAATACAGATGGGCGGGGGGCGAAGTTGGGATTCATGTGATCCGACAAGGGTCTGTTATTTCTCAAGGTATGTACTTTTGGATACCCTATAGAATGGCCAGAATATATTCCTGTGGAAAAACGAGGTTGGTAAGAGCAATGACGGTCAAAAACATTTCTTTGCAAGGCATGACTTGTCCATTCATTGTGTTGGCGATACCTCCTCGGCCCTGGATCATGATATCAACGCGAGATTTCTCTCCAAACTATGTATACTGCACTCATTGTTTCTCGAGCTGGCTATTACAGTGCCCCTTCTTGCATACAGGTAACCAAATCAAGTATGAGACATTTTCGTTCTCGCAAAGGCCGCCGGCCGTGAATGCCTGATCCTCTAATAGATTTCAAGACCCGAACCCTCGAGCTCATGAAAGACTATACTAGTACCTGTTCGTCAGACATGCATGATAGAAAGTCGTACACATAGTAGAACAGTCCAGACCAACATGTTACCGTACCTTTCCTCATCGACGTAGCCTTGAAACCTACTCGTATCCCCGAGCCTCCTTCGGGCAAGCTAAGCCTAGGGCAAATACCCAAGCAAGCCCTATCTAGCAATCGTCCTCAGCCCTGCGCTGTATGAAAGCATAGCAAGATCGAAGACGAGGCAAGACCTTGAATCGATCAAGAAAGCACTTGCACTCGGTAGGAGAGAGATTAAAGGATATTACAAGAACCATCGACGGCCCCAGGCTACGCACGAACCGCTTCGCTACCTAGGCCTCGAGCATCCTCGGTCAACCTGATCGGCTATAATCAGAAAATAGGCCAGCTGCGAGGGGGCAAATGGCGCGAAAATCACAATCTGTGGCCTAAAGCCAAAGCTGATAGACGGCTACAAGGGGAAATCAGTCTGCAGTGTCATCCGCATTATACTCAAGCTACGCAGACCATCTGGCAGTTAAGCGAAGATGGCGCTCTGGAGAATACTTAGTATAAACAAACTATCATCCGTGGACAAACTGCGCGAGGCCTCAAGGGAGATGCAGCAACTGACAGCAGTTCAAGCAAATAGGCAGGGTAGGCACTAAAGGACTTGAATTAAAACACAAGAAACACATGTTTCAAGAAAATAATGTACTCCATGAAAGCTCGCTCATCGTCGTTGTATGTGCTCATTCAGCATTCCTCGGCTTTCCAGCATCCATACTCTTTTCATCCTCCACCGAAGCCACTGCCCTGTATACCGGCTCAACCTCTTTGTCCTCTTTCGGGTCGTTCACTGTGCGGAATACGTATGGCCGGGTGATACCAAGAACTCGATGCCCGTTGATCTGACACTCTTTCTTGTCGCCGTATGCAAGGCTATAACCTTCGGGTTCAAGAGTGTCGAATGTCTCTGAAAACCGTGTATCAACATGATCGAGGATGCGATATTCGAGAAGGGGATTTGCACACTCATGTCGACCGCGGACTGCGCATGTGTTGTAATGCGTGGTTGAGGTTATCCAGCCTCCGCTCTTGCTCATCAGTCTTCTTCAAGAGGCACAAAAACGGGTTGTTCGCCAGCGACTTCGAAGCGAGTGCTGCGCATTTGGCGTCGCGGTGGGCTCTGGTCGCCTCACCAAACGTGAGGTCCCTGGTCTGCTCCGTGGCGACCGATCTCCAGAGCCGGATTGTTAACGGTGCGCCAAACATGCGAGTACTAGTTTGCGAATGTATGCCAGTCAGTCGACCCCGTCAGTACGGCACAGGCTCAACAAGTAGATTGCTCTGGGGAACCAGGGGAAGATCATACCTTTTTGAAACTGTCCATTCAACGTGTTCAAGCGCTATTATCGTCTCCAGGCTGAGCATTCTCATCAACATACCAAAATAGGTTGCGGAAGAACGTCTCAACAACGGGCTTGTTTATAAACGTTTCGGCCAACCTGCGGAGAAAAATGTCCCCGGTGTACGGGGTGCGGGCTGGCATGAATGCTGCCAAAGTCCTCCTGGACGAAATAGCCCTTCAAGCTAGCAATCACTTGCTGTTTTTTGTTTTTAGTCAGACAAGTGATGTCTTCGGCCCCCAGCTCTCAGCGAAGTTCCATAACTGATTGAAGAGTGCGTCAAATTCCCTCGGAAAATCCGTTGGGTAGACAATATTCCACGCAAAAAAAAGTCGCCTTCCAAGAAGTCCTGGTCCCTGATGAAATTTCGTACGTAGATCTCGAGACTCCGAACACGCTCCTTCAGACTCTTCACTTGGTTCTCCAGTGGCTCGTTCTCATTACACTTCCAATTGAGGATCCCATATGGGCCGTATGGAATGTACTCAAGTTCCGGCTTGCGTACTGCGGCCATTTGCTTCCATGACTTCTCGAGGGCTTTCTGTCTCTGGCTGGCTGGGCGAGGAGACTACGACAGTAGCATTTAGCAACTATGCTGACAGTCGCGAGAAGACAAGGTGGGTAAGGAATTACCTTTTTTGCCTTCTTGACCTTTCCCGAGCCCGTTTCATCGTCCCAAAAGAGCAGAGCAGGACTTGATCGATAAAAAAGATGGATTTCAATACACAAGAGCAGTAGCAAGAAAACAAGAAGAGAAGAATAGATACCCACTAAACATCGCTTGGGATCCGATTTGCCTAAAAATCAGGAATCAAGATGGCCTCGTCCGTGTCGGGCACGTGGCGAATAAAAGAAGGAAAAAAATGTTGAAAGATAAATGAAACAAAGGAAGTGCAGGAGAAAAGGAAAGGAAGCTCCGCCAGGGGAAAAAGAATTCGAGGTTGATCGGAACGGTTAGAATAGTCTTCAGCTTGACTTCGAGTTCATTTTCTGTAAATTCTCGCTATGGTACATCATTAACCCAAGGACGAAGACATGGCCGGACCCTCTGCTATTTCCTGGGAATATCAGGTAGAAAACATTGTAGAATAATAGAACGATATATGAAACGTGGCTACCAAGCGTTGACGTCGAAGTTTTCCTGCACGGGGTTAGAAATTACTGACAATTTGTAGAGATATTTAGGGAGGACTCACCTCAGAAAAGTACGTTGTGACAACTGTGCGATCCGAGAACTTTCTGCCTGCAAGGGCCTTCAACGCGGCGGTTGTCGATTCAATCGTGTCAAACTTGACGAAAATCTTACCCACGCCGGGGGACTGTCGGCTGCCGCCCGTCGGGCGCGGAATCTTCAGTTCAAGAACCTGTCCGTATTTGGAACACTCCTCGCGTACGTCGTCGCAGATTTCTATCCGAGTCAGAATGCTTTCAAGGAATAGGCCACACGAGCTTACCTTCGTAATCTTCATTGTCCATGAGCTCCTCCGACGTCACCATGTTCAACAGCTGCAAGACCCGGCTGACCTCGAGATCTTGAGATGTTGTCTTGGCGAACATTGACATCGCGTTGACTCCCATGTCTAACCCAACAGCCTGTGTCATTCCGATACTAGCGCGGACAACCTTGAGGTGACGATCTCCCAGCTCCATCCCATTGAGTCCTTGAACCGCAATGGTGGTTATTGCGGGATCAACGTATTCACAGAAAGCGATGCCCTATCCACCAGTTAGCTGTGTAAACCTGTCAAAGAAGAGTAAACATACCCTGGACTCCTCGGTGGAACTGTCCTTCACTAGAACAAAAGCCTTAAGCTCGCCAAAAGACTTCAGGAGCATTGTCACGGGCTCCTCTGGGATGTATTGGGGAATATTCGAGACGCAGATTTTGTTAGGTGAGTCCGGAACATCCTTCAACAGCATTCCCTCCTCGAGCTCTTGGTCCGCAGTGTTGGGAACAATGTAGTCCTTGGGCCGTCGTACTTCCAGACCCTTGGGAGCACCATTCTCTGCTCCATTGCCAGCATTTGCGTGCTCCTCCATCGTGATTCCATCAAACGCAAGCGCAACTGTAGCGTCGTTGGGCGACTTGAACTCGAGCAGCGCATAGCTACGATCGTCGGAGATCTGGGCAGAAATGCACGGGTCAATACCTTGAATTACATTAAGTCCGTTGAGCTGAAGGTTGAAGAACGAGGCAAGGCCGTCCCCAGTCACGTTTTGTGGTAGGTTATAGACGAATAGACGCTTGGCTTGTCGAGAATTGGAGGGTTTGAGGGCTGATGTGTCTGCAGATCCACCGCCAGGCTGGTTCATGAAAGCTTGGAGACGGCTTGGATCCATTGGCTGCTGCCGGGGGGCTCCGGGAAGGGGAAACATGCCTGAATCGTTAATTTTTATACAGGTCAAAGATAATGATAAACTTACCAGACAGCTTTGCCTGCTCGGCGGTCACATTCTCGTACCCAGGAGGCTTTATGTCCCATTGTGTCAGACGCCGTTTCCGAGTCAATACGGACTGGACATCGGTCAAGTCGGGGGTCGCCTCCCTCTTGCGCGAAGGAGAGGGACTCCTTTTGCGATCCCTGCCTCCGCGATCGCGCTCGCCGCGCTCTCCGCCACGCTCTCCTCTCTCCCGTCTCGGCCTCTCGTCAAACAGATCTCTATCTCTCTCGCGGCGAGCTGGTCGTTCATCATGCTCCCTGCGTCGGCGATCACCGCGCTCTCGATCATAGTCCCGATCATCCCTGCGACTCGAGTAGCGGTCTTCCCGTTCCCTGGCGCGATAGTCCCGGCTGGACGAGTATGAGTCGGCTTCGGCTTCGCGTCTGGAACCTCGTGAGCTGTAGTGGGGCGATCTGGATCGTCTCCGTTCTCCTCTTTCTCCGCCACGTTCGCGTCTCTCGTCGCGCTGTACGTTCGATGCGTTAATGCCGGAGAAATCAAAACTGGGTTAGTTTACTTACGTAGTAGTCCCTGGGGCGACCAGATTCTCCTGTTGAATGTTAGAGCATCATCCAAGCAGCTGAGAAGGATATGATCATTTCAAGTCAATAGCTTACCACGAGACGAATAGGTATCACCGTTCATCTTTGAGCGCGGCGCGATTTCACTTCCTAAGTTCCTTATCTGAATCTTGCCCTCTCAAAGTGGCGACGCGGACAGCTGTAAGTACTTTCAAGCTGGCAATCTCGAGAAATAATTAGACGGTTGAGCGATGGAACAATTGTGGAAGATGCAGAAAAAGCCGGGCGAGAGCAGCAAACGATGGTCGAGGCGAGCTGCGCTGGGCGAAAACTCGCAGGCGCAACAATCGGCGGAGAGCCTGGGCCTAGACCAAACAAAGTTAGCGCAGCACCTTTGTGTGATGATACCGCCTTCTCTTCACAGCAGAAACGTGGCAGAATAAAGCTCTCCATGCTTCAAATCTTGGGGATTCACAATACAGTTCTACCCTCAATTCTTGCTAAATCGAGTCGATGATGACCGTGGGCGCTTTCTCGGAATGGCGCAAGCTACCCATTAGCTTGAGCGAATTATGCATCAATACCACCCTGCGCTGCGGGCAGTCATTTCGGTACCATTCCAACATCCTCCTGAGCTCGATTGCTAGCGATTAACTTGCTCAGATGGCATAAACTCCCGGATAATGATGAATGGCGCTGTGTCCTTTACGGTCGTCTTCTTTCCCTGAAACAAGACCCGACTCATCTCTACTACAGGACCTACTCAGCCGCATCCGCAACCAACGGGGCCGACGAGACCGAAGACACAACCCTGGCTATTATCAAGCACTACTTCAACCTCACCTCGAACCTGACAACGCTCTACGCCCAATGGTCCTCCTCGGATCCGAATTTCCGTAAAAAAGCACCCCAGTTTACAGGTATTCGCATCCTACGCCAAGACGCCTGGGAAGCGCTTGTCTCGTTCATTTGCAGTAGCAATAATAACATTGCGCGGATATCGCAAATGGTCGAGAAGCTGTGTGTGAACTATGGAGTCCATGTCGCTGATATTGATGGCCGGGCGTATCATGACTTCCCGTCTCCGGAGCGGTTGGCGGACGGCGGAGAGGTTGAGGCTCGGTTGAGAAGTTTGGGGTTCGGGTATCGGGCAAAGTATATTTACCAGACGTCTCTTATTGTTGCAAAGCAGAGGGATGAGGGGTGGTTGAATACTTTGAGGAACCCGGAGGCTCCTGCTTTCGGTGTTGAGTTCAAGGCTGTCTCAGAGGGGGACGACGAAATAGCACCTGAGGGAAGAAGTGGATATCGCGAGGCGCACGAAAAGCTTCTCGAGCTGCAGGGTGTTGGGCCCAAAGTCTCGGACTGTGTTTGCCTAATGGGACTGGGCTGGGGAGAGTCTGTCCCCGTTGACACTCATGGTGAGCATTTCCTTGCTTATATTATAAATGGCCCGCAGCTAACCCACGAAGTCTGGCAAATTGCTCAAAGGGACTATAAGTTCGGCAAAGGGGGCAATAAGTCCCTTACCAAGGCTACGTATGACGCCGTGGGAAACCATTTTCGGAAGCTCTGGGGTAAGGAAGCTGGGTGGGCTCATAGCGTGCTGTTCACTGCGGACCTGAGGACTTTTTCGGACCGACTCGTTGCAACGACTAAGAAAACAGAGGTCAAAGTCGACGTGAAGGTGAAGGAAGAGGGAGAGGAGGATGGAACGAAAGTCACCGCGGCTACGGTGGTGAAGAAAATCGCCTTGAAACGGACAACAGATGAAGGCGAGATCAAGCTTGAACTAGATGATGAGAAAGATCTCACAAAAACGCGGAGGATGTCAAAGCGTCTTCGGAGCAGATGAGCAGAGAGCAAGTTCGAAGAGAACACTCTTCCGTCGGACTGCTCCCAGGAACCGACTCCTTCTATCTCCAAATGCGGCCCACCATCAGATTCGCTGGCAACATCTTCTCGCCACCATCACCCTGGTCGACATTGCCTCACGGATAAAGGATTTGACTAGCCTCACTAGCCCTGCTATCGTGTCAAAGTGCGAAAGTGTCCATCAGACTGGAGCAAAAGACCCAATGTTGGCGGTACATGCTCTAGTCTTGAGTTATTGGGCCTTGTACCTGCGTGGCTTCTAGTCACTACCGAAGTTAGCCGACCAAATTCGCAACTGCCGCCTCGTTACAGGGTCTAGTCTACGCACTATTCCATCTAGCGCAGTGCCTTTCGCTCGGAATCATCACGAGCTGGACGGAAAGGTTATATATATCGTGCCTCATTAGTCCCGCTCAGACCATGCCCTAACAGAGCTTGGGAGCCAAGGTGCTTCGGCGAATAAACAGAATCATAGTTTTCTGGTCCCTCTGCTACCTTCCTACGGTTCTGAGGGCTCGAAGCATAGAACGAATTTTTGAGTCTCTGCCCACAAGATCATAACACCATATAATCCAAGATACCCCTAATTCGCCTCCTATTCCATACATTAATCACTCATAGTCACATCACACTAACCCCAACTAACCATACTCCCAAACTAACCGTTCTCATCCCTTCTCCTTCCTGTCCCTATTTCAGCCCCCTCTTCCCTGTAGACCCGGGCTCTTTCTCCTCACAACCCCTATACACAAAGTCCACCCTCCGCGGCCCCCGCACACTCCGCCACCAAAACCGCACCTGGGACCCAGGGTACAGCGTCGTGTTCCGCCCCGACGGATGGAGGTACCAGCTCGCGCACCCACTCGTCCAAACGTACTTTTCGCTCGCGCGGGCGATCCAGCTGGCGTCGCGCGCTTCGGCTTCGGGGGTTACGGTGACTATTCTTGGGTGCCGGTGCTTGTGTCGGTTGCGGGGGCGGTGTTGCTGTTGAGCCCAGGGTGGTGATGGTTTTGGTGGGATAGATGTGTTCTGCGAGGAGGAGGAGGGGTTGCGATTGCGGATTGACCTTGATCGGGTCAGAAAGGATGGGAAGCGGAGGGATGATTGAGAGGGCGAGTGGGAGAGGGGTCCTATGTTTGTGGTCGTGCTCAAGTGGAGAGGGCAGAGGATAGGATCGAGGACCTTTAGGGCAAAGTTGATTTGGCATTCGGCGGTGAAGATAACGGAGGTGTGGCCTGTTGCCGTGTTGGGTCCATGGAGGATGAAGAAGTTCGGAAAGGAGGAAATGCATGTGCTGTAGTATGCATGTGGCACTTGAGTAGGGGTATTTTGCCACTGAGTTGACAGTATATGCCATGTTAGGGCTTGTGCTGCTGAATGTTGGAGAGGGAAAAGACAGGCTTACATGTTCAGTGATGCTAACCCCGTGTTCCCCTTTAATCTCAAGAGGAAAGAGGAACTGCGTCGCCTTGAAGCCCGTGGCGAGAACAATAGCATCGGCGTTGACCTCGCGACCCGACTGCGTCCTCACCCCAGTAGCCGTGATGCATTCGATGGGATCCGCATGGACAAGCTCCATATTCTCCCTATGCAAGCAGGCGAGATAAGCCGTATCCATAACACGACGCTTACATCCGAGTTCGATCTTGGGAATCAGGGCCTCATAGTACTTTTCCGGTGCCGTTCGCTTGAGATACGCCGTTTGAGCCTTCATCTTCTTCTCGCGTATCTTCTTGCCCGCGCGGCGATTGAATGTGATAAAGTAGCTCTCAAGGTAGAGGAAAATGGCTAAACGGAAAAGGCGCATGGCAAGAGGAATGTTACGGAAGATCCATTTGGTGGCGTCAGAGTATCGAGGGTTAGGGCGCTCTTCGAGCCAGTGCGGTTGACGGATGAATTGGACGACGCTTCTAGCTTTGCCTGGGTCTGCGCTGAGGATGGGGACGAACTGGGTTGCGCTGCAGCCATTTCCTATAGAAAATCAGAAGATGGAAACGGACACTAGGATGGAAGACTTCATCTGACCAATGACAACGACATCTTTCCCGGCCCAGTCGAATGAGTGATCCCATCGGGCACTGTGAAAGAGCTTCCCTGTAAAGTCCTGGGCACCGGGAATCTCGCAGTCATTTGGTTCTGAAAGCAAGCCAACCGCTGAAATCAGGACTCTCGACCGCCGCTTATATACCTTCTCCGTCTGCTGGTCTAGAATCCTCACGGACCAAGTGCCAGACGCTTCGTCCCATGTCGCACCCTGGACGGTGGAGCGAAAAGTGATATGCCGGGGTATATCATATTTATCGGCAACAGAGCGACAGTAGGCTTCGATTTCGGCTCGAGGGGCGAATTGCGTACTCCATTCGGGGTTAAGCGCGAATGAGTAGGAGTATAGATGCGAAGGGACCTGATATCGTCAGCTCTGACCTTCGACTTCACCAGAGCATGGGTCAGAAGCAAACAGGCATACATCGCAAGCACATCCGGGATATGTATTAAACCACCACGTACCCCCCAACTCCTCGGCCTTTTCGTAGACCTCATATGTCACCAACGGGTACTTTTGCTGGAGGCGGATCGCAAAGCCCACGCCTGACAATCCGGCACCGATAATGAGGATGTCGGTATCGATCAACATAGTAGCTGCTTAGGGTTGGAGTCCCCTGGTTCCCGGTAGGAAGGCAGGATCTAAGACTGTTTATACGTCCTGCGCACAAGCCTGGATGGTCATGTATGTCGTGTGAGGCCCTTATCGAATGGTATCACTCTCTGCATTGTGAAAACTGCGGAGCCTGCCATTGACAGGTACGTAGTACGTGGTGATCTTCATGTGAGCTCATGCAAGTGCGACGAAGGGGCGCGAGCGTACGAAGGTGGGAAAGAATACACCGAGCTAGTCGGTGATCGGAGTATTTGCAGATTGAAGGCGGGCTTGGGTGGTGATTTGCTTTGCCAGAAGGGACACTTATGCCGTAACCCACCTAGCTAGTCAAGGAATGATGAGGTGATGAAATGGAGAGTAGTTTCTGGTTTCTATGGTGACATTGGCTGAGCCGTAAGGATGTTGAGAACCTCAGGCAATCCGAGCTGATGAAGCCGATGTCATCCCTGGAGCTCAGAATTGGACAGACACCCTTCTTGCCGAGCAGAAACACGAAAGCATTGCGGTTCAGGACCAATAAGCCAGGTATGTATTTTCATTGATTATAATATCCAGTTTCAGAAGGTAGTATCTCGTTCGAAAATAGTGCTCTATTACTGCCGGTGCGCCGCGCTAATGGATGGAAAATTCGTATAAGAACGCTCAAGAAGTTCAAGAATCAAGAACGCATGGGCCGTCAACTTGTGATGGGCGTTCCCGGCAGGTAATATTAGACTGCCGGTGGGTATAGAAGCACAGTCTGAAAGAAGCAGGTTGCAATTGGAACGGTGCCCACCTGCGTAGTAGTGGAATGCAAGTGCAGCTCCAGCAGCCATTCAGCCAAGATTTTGAGGGCCGAGATCGGGAATCGTGGGACCCATCTCCCTGCGGATGCATGATCAAAATTTCGAAAAGTAGTAGAGAGAGATTGCGAGCCACTCCCACAAACAGTAAATGCCTCCAAATTCCAAGTCCTTTGGCAGACTTGCGGTGCACAGCTATTGCTGGGACGCTGGGATACGAAGTCTGGAGTGTCTGTTTGCCACCAACACTGTGGAGGCCATTCAGGCTGAATAATAACCGACGAACGTCAGCCCTCAGTATGTTCATCCCAGCCCCACTCCCGGAGAAGCTGCTTAACACGATACTCAGTCGCCCAACCAAGGTCCACTTCAATGTCCCGTAGCAACCTCAGAACCATACGCCGTTCCCCAGGGTCAACCAGGCACTGACCACTAACGAACAGCGGTTGTAGGGAGTTGATACGCACAGAGCCTGCTGGACAGGCCATTGCTATGCCGACAATCTCGCGGCTGTGGAATTGAATGTCGGTCTCCGCTGAACGATATGAGTTGTATCGGTTGATGCTCGCACTTGTTCCGGGCGTGGGCTCGGGCGGCTTGTGGATGTGGAGGAGAATGCGGGACATGTGGTAATGCTGCATGGCTGACGAGCACATAGCAAGGCTATACCAAATCTCTGACAATGTCAATGCATCGTCGACTGGATTTTCATCCTGGCCCGCAATCTGAGGTCGAGCGATACGAGCGCATGGGTGGAAACTGTCTGGGAGGCCATTGTACCAAACATCAAGCTCAGCCTCGAGACGATACCATCGCTCAAGCGAAACTTGCTGGTGTAGGCCTAGAGAGCCTGCATTACTGCCGATGTTTATGAAATTCACGATTTTTGAGGTTATCCAAACCAGCGCATTTGAGATGATGTCCTCCTTCATAGGATCTTCTCCCGAGTAACCACCTGCGTTCGTATTGCTTGGGCGTACAAACCCGATACTATCGACCTGAAGGCCAGCCTCTGTCCACAGAGCCAAGTCTTCGGTATTTAATCTTGTGCGCGTCCCATTGATGACTGTCAGGGTCAGCAGACGACGGGAATGTACAGTGGCGGTAGCACTTACAGGCAGATAAGTAATCCTGTCGAGCAAAGTTCCAGAATGTTGCTTTTCTAGCTTTCGAGAGGCTAGGCCTTTTGGGTTGCAAAGTGAGGTCGCCGGGTGCAAGCCGTTGAAGAGGTCGCATCCCAACCTCAGCGAGGTCTAGCAGGGATTTGACACCACTCAGATGACGGTTCCAGGCTGGGCCGGTGGCATCGAGCAACTCGTACACAGACAAAATGGCGGTTGCGGCAAGTATCTCGTCCGAACGGTCCCCATGTGACAGTCGGTATTCAGTGTAACTCCTTGCGCGCTGATCCGTGTCATCCCCCATCTCATTCGTCTGACCCTGTGCGAAAGTATCGCGGTTACCACCGTCTGGTTCCAGTTCTTTCATCAAAATCTGAATGGCTTTTTCGTAGTACTTTGCGCCTTTCCAACACCAATCAATATTTTTGGAGTCTGTCTGCACACCGGGAAAAGCTTGGCTGAGTCGGACTCCGCCGACTGGAGGTTTGTCCACTTTGACATGTCCGAGTTGCTTCGCAGCATGGGCGCACGCCGCATACTTCAGTAACGGGTTGCGGAGCGCTTTGACGGGTACATGGGAAGCGAAATACGTCCCCAAATCATACAAATCCATCCTGTGAAGCAATATCAGCCTTTGTATCACTATGACTGCTGTTTGATAAAGACTGACCAGGGTCCAGGAACCTCCGAAAAGTGTCGTAGCAGAAATGTAATCTCATAGTCGGTTTCCACCGCCCCGTCAAGGCTGATTTCGGTGGATCGCAATACCAAGGGAGACCCCCTCGACTCTGGAGTATGCTGGATGCTGGGATCGACTGGTGGTGATATAGATTGCGATGGATTGAGAAGGAAATTGATGTTGTTGTTGTGGCCATTATCAGAGGGTATAGACATCGGGGGAGATATCTGTGCGGGTATAGTTCGAGGGATGTGGCTGTGACTAGCTAAAGTGACGGGGATGTTGCGAAAGTGTGTTGCGGCGCTATCCGGTGTCGAGACCGATTTCTGATCTACAGCCAAAGCAGGGTATGAAAGGCGATCATGCGTTGCGACAGCTGAGAGCGCTTCGAGGCCATGAATTTCCCCTCTGTCGGCCGAGGATAACTGTTGTGGTCCTTCCCAGCCCACGCTTTGCGAGTTCGCTGCAAGTATCGCTGCTTCGGATTCTGTCAGAGCGGCCTCTAGGTCCTGCGCGTAGGGATCTGAGTTGTCCACGAATATAACTAATCGGCGCAAAGGTTCAGCATCAGTCCTTTCAGAATCGCGGTCCCAAGGGCCTTACCATGCTTCGGAATATCCAGCCAAATACTGTCCTTATCGAACGTATTCTTGTACGAGTAGAATCCTTTCAGACTCCCACGTCCATCAGAGGAAGAATCCTCGATACCCTCGTTCATCGACGCATTCTGCTGATGCCGAAACACGATCCCCTCGCTTGGTCGACACTCCCTGCCTCCCTTCAGACATTGAGAGCATACAGGCTTCTGCTCGTCACCTAGACGCGCAAGAGATCAAACAGTCAGTTGCTGAAGAACGATAAAGTAAAGAGATAGCAATCAGCGACAAACTCACATTTCAATTTGCGGGTGCGACACGTCAAACTGTGCAGAGAAATCGCAACCCAGATCAGCCTCTGAACTCCCCTTCGGTCCAGTAAAGATTAACCCGATCACGAGAGCACGCCGCATCGGATTATGCAGCTACTCGAGCCAAGCAAACCTCTGCATCGCCGTAAAAGAAAGGGACCGACCAGGGTACACGTACCAACCTGTGCGGGATCGCATGCCGTACGGTAACGTCGGCGATTTGGCGGCACCATCCGAGATTTGTCCCTATTGCTCGAAAAACAATAAGAGAGAGGAGAAACGAGAAGCAAAAGGTAATATGGGCTGCCCTTGCGAACAGCCAGGGGAATGGTGGGTGGACTCCGCGATTTTGTCGAGAGATTTGCGGAGCGCGGCGGTGGAAAGCGAAGAGGCTCCAAGGCTCGGAGGGGAAGCGGGGAGTGGGCGCAGTGGAGGCTGTGGCGACAGCCCGCGTATGACATGATTAACGTGATTCAAAGCTACTCTGCCGAGTCCTACGATTATACGCCGGTCTTACGGAGTAAAGCCGATATGCAGTCAATGAAATCATAGCTCCACGGTCTAGCGCATGCTATGTATGTACATTTCCAGTAGCTAATAACATCACACCCTCTGCCGCGCCTGGCAGAGCCACAGTCAAAGAGACTATAGTACAAAATATCAAGCTAAAATCACAAGATATGCAAGGACGGAGAACCTCCAGACATGTCAACACGGGAGGAAAACAAAGCAGCTCCATGATTAAAGTAGGGGGTATAAGACGGGTTGTCCCAAGAACGCCGTTCTGAGATACCAAAGAATTAGAATGGTCAACTAAATGCCAACTGTCTCGTAGCAGAAGCAAAGAAAAATGTCGTCTAAAATCATGTTTCAAGATCATATGGCCGGTGCGCCTGGATTTGGCTGTTTCAACGAGTTGAAAAGGTACTCCGGAGGGAGTCGACGCATGGACGTTGGTCGGTCTGTTCCAACCGCTTGAGGGGCTGCCATATAACCCTGGCGACGGCGCTGGATCTTGTTGAAGATCACACCGGCGATGACGATCAGGAAAACGCAGCCAAGCGCGCAGCAAAAGGCTACCAAGACAACAATTCCATTGGAATGATGGCCGCCTACCAGAAGGTTAGCATTGCTACCATGTTTATATCAAATGAGCTACTCACTTTCTCTGGCGTAGGGATTGCTGTTCTCATAGAACATCCGCGACATACGGCCGGATTTTCCATCAGATGTAGAGATAATGAAAGGCGACAGTGTGGTGCCATTGAATAGGGCAGCCGATGCATTGCCAAAGTCTGGGACGGCAAGGTCACCAGTAATCAGCAGAGTCAGGTCCTTCTCGAGCAGATCATTGTCATCATGATCATCGGATAGAGGAATAACTTCAAGTCCACGTATCACAGTTCCGGCATCGAAGATGTACTGGGCTGGATGAAAAGTAGATCCATCATAATTAACGACAAAGCTCGAGCCATTCTTAGATTGCCCAGCAAGCCAAAATCTGGACACATCTCCAATAGCTGGGCTAAAGGCTGTCACAAGGCCCGGAACGGCAGAGGCCTTTTCAAAGGACTCCCAGGCATGGTTGTTGACGGAGTAGGTTGCAACTGCCGTCTCATTGCCTAGGACCGTGAGGTTGCCGACAGCTATAAGGGTATTACCGCTAGCCCATTTGAGAGCCAAAACGTCGCCCTCGAGCTCCAGTCCTGGTCTATTCCACTGGTGGTCCTTAAGGTTGTAATAGCAGACTCCTGGACAAGGAAGGCCTCCGGCTTGTGAGAAATGTCCTCCGACATAGATCTCCTCCGCGTCCGGACGGGGGGCAATTGCATGCACAGATACTTCGTCACCATGGAATCTTGGTGGCTGAGTTTGTGCTATGGTCATGTTTTGGAGGTCATAGAGGACCAAACCATCCAACCTGGAGTCATCAACGGTACCAGTGACGCGGCCACCAGCGTACAAGATGTTGCTAGAAACTGCCAGAGCTAAGAACGTGGAGTTATTGTCGACTTCGGTTCCGAAGCCACTAATGGTGCCGTTCGAGCCATCTAATAAGGCCAGGTTTCGCACAGTTGACCCATCATCGGTGGTAACATTGAAGTGGCCTCCTAGGATGGTAAAGTTACGGCCAGAGCTTGTCTCGTAGATGCCTGTGTAGGTTTCTCCGGTTGAGTTGGTGCTGCTGAGCAGAGGGTCAAGATGGAGTCCATGCTCGTGAAGTAATGCCACGGCGCCACCAGCAGCAATCCCTCCTGAAGTAAGGTCACCAGCAATAACTGTTGTGCCGTTTAACTGAGCAAATGCTGACACGTGCCCAGAGTACTGCAATTGGCTGACGTTGAGATTCTGGAGCCAGTTTTTGCGTGACGGAACCCAGGCAGCGAACCCGGAGACCGGAATAGCAGGATTATCGTCAAACGCAAGTAATCGATTGAATTCACCGCTTACAGCAAGGATCGTCTCGTTGAGGTCGGTCGACACATTCAGAGGAAGGGCAATGACATGCTTCACAGGACCATTGACGCCACCGCCAAGAGCCGACCAGGCTTGAGAATTGAAAGAGTAAGATGCAACATAGTTGAGGTTGTCACTTTCTCCAGAAGACGTTCCAGTAAAATTCCCACCAACGTAGAGCCTGTTGTTGAGTACAGCCATTGTTGCCGCCTGTGAGTTCAGGCCCCTCTGGGACAGAGCAGTGATGTTTGCGTCTCCCTCGAGGGCAAAGACATTGCTGACATCGGAGTTGGAGAAGTTTCCAGCGGCATAAAGCACGCCTTCATGACGCACGAGACTTTTGATTGAGGCCTTGGAAGAAAGCTCTGTAGCTGCCCGATTGATCGTGGACTCCAGGAGATTGGTACTGGCGTTCGTTGCTGCTGGATCGTACTCGTACATACCATTCAGCTCCCCGCTTGTGCTGTTTGAGGCGGAGCGGAGTTCAAATTTCACTCGTGAAGCCACAACAGTAATATCTCCTTGGCCAGCGATTGGAGTCAACGTCACGCGAGGACGGAAGCCGTCTTCGCTAGCATCTACGGGACCACTGTAGATGGTGTCGTATTTTTCGTATACGTTGGTCTGATAGAGTTGGGTCTCGATGGGCTCGGCAGCTTCAGAATCAGATTGGACGGTAGCCGTAACATTGACAATGCCTCGAGAACCGCAGGTTCCGTCCTGCTGACATCCGGGGGTGAAAAGAAGGATCGTGTAGTTTCCGGACCGCTTGACATCCGGCTCAAAGACAACGAACGTGCTGGCGGCGTCAGAGTCGGAAACCTGTGCCGTTAGGTAGTCGGAGGGACTTTCAGTAGAGTTGGTGACAGTCCAAGATCCTGATTGAGTGGATGTAGAGGAATCTGCAATATCCGCACAGCTGGGCTCGTTGAAGTCATTAATAGCATAGGCGTATACATCTGACACTGTTAGCCCGCGCTACACTTGACAATGCGTCTGTAGAACTCACCATTTGTGAACACTTCAATGCCATTCAAGCCGGCACCAATGCCATAATAGTCCCGAACCTCAAGGTTAAACCCAGTCATACCCACGCTATTCACAAATTTGAAGTCACGGTACTCTTCCTCCGAGCTATCAGAGAGCGTGCAGTACTCATCGCAATTTACGTCGTCGCCGGTGTCTGGGTCGGTGTAGGTCAGGTTCATGATTCCGTTGTCAGGCAAGGCCCTAAACAGGAAGGCCTTCGTACCCCGGCCTTCGAAATGTGTGTTATACAAGCGAAGCTTGGACGGGGAGAAGTTGAATCGCATTTCCGCACGCCAGTATCCTAGGGCATAGTCGGCTAACAACCATGTGTCCCCCGCGCCTTCGGCACCGCTGGCTGGGCAAATGACGTTTCGCGCATCGGTAAACCCACTTCTTGTAGATCTCGTGTCGGAGGAGATTGAGGCATCCTGAAGGTTGATGACTTGTTCGTTCTTCTTTGACGATGTTGAGTTGCCAATGCCATCGAAAGAACCACCGAAAATAATTTGACCGTCAGCGCCCTTGACAATTGAAGAGACTGGCCCGTTGAGTCCGCCGAATAATAACCGTTTCCAACCCTCACCGCGCACCCAGGCCGCCGCATTCGTGGTATTCCCTTGCTTGAAAGACCCGCCGACATAAACGGTGTTGGTTTCGTGATCACAAAGCAGGGCCGATACTGAACCCGAGAGACCCGGAAGGGTGGTTATGTTGTTAGAATCCAGATCATACAGCGCGATTCCCGGTGCCTTGGTGCCCCCCAAGCTTGTAAAGTTTCCACCGACAAAGATCCCCGAATACGATCCGTCTTGCTCTGTGAAAGCGCACATTGCGCGAATGTCGGCATCGGAGGAGGATAGCGCGGTGAGAATTCCGTTCGGTAGGGGGGTGAGGATAGACTGCGAGTCATCGTCGGTGGCGGGCGTGTTTGACTGTTCGGCGTACGAGTAGAATGTTACTGCATCAAAGTCTCCTGTAACAGCAACTTGCCCGAGGCGTGAGAGGTCCAGCTCCGGTTGAGCGACTGATTGAAACGACAGCGCGGAAACACGAGGTAATTGGCTGAAAAGCCAAAGCTGAAGAACTGCCGACGGGCCAGCCGTCGCTGGCCCAAACAGAGAGGGGAACCTCATTGTTCAGGATCGCGACGACAGCGCGGAGTATTTCAGATTGAGGTCAGGGAGTTTCGAGAAACCCGGACCGTGCAAGATTTTCAGCGAGGCATAGGAAGGTATAAGACGCAAGATTAGGCGGGCAGATTCCAGTCACGTCGTGGACAGGAGTCGACGTATCGCGGAGGAGAACACGAGAAAAAGGAGTGACCAGAAAGGAATGTGGAAAAAGAAAAACCAGTTAAAGCTTGAGAAAACGAGAGGATAAGGAATGGAAAAGACTGTGGGACGAGAGTGTGTCAATACATAAACGAGAATGGCCAGAAGAATTAACGAATGACTGATGGAAGTTGGATGGACCAAACGAGTGACATGGCAGGGCCTTGTTTGTTGCGTTCCTGGAAGCCTGAACCTCGAATACGGACGCACTTCAGCGCTGGGACGGGAGGAGTGATGGCGTTCCATGGAACGGGACCACGGAAGGGGATTTACTTTCCGCCGCCCGCTCCAGCCACTGCCAATCATACTCTCTCGCACAAGCCTCTCCTCAAGTTGCGCGTCTTGGTGGGGACTCACCGATTGTTCCATCATGAAACCGATGTTTACCAGACCGTCTTAACTGCCAGTTCTTGATCTACAGACTCTGCATCCCGACACCAAGGACTCGCCGTCTCTTGACATGCACGAGCACAGTTGCATCTCTCAACATTAGTCTTCTGGATGAGACGCTGGTTGGCTGTTCAATGCCGACAGAGACGTTGTGAAACGCTCAAGACTGCGAGAAATATGAAGGGTCAAGTTCGTACCCCTCGAATAGATATTCGGTGCACTTGTTGCTGGCCAACCCAATCCTATTTTTGGAATCTACCTTCGGCACGACGACTCATGGACCCAGAACGTGCCCTCCAGCCTTCCGACTTCGAGCCTGACTTCATGAAAAGCGGAATAGATACTCCGTACCAGGCCTCCTCCCGCTGGCCAAGCAGTCACTAATCCCTTACATCCAAGTCCCCTCTGCGATTAGAGGTCAAACAGACGTTCGTGTCCGAAGGGTGTTTACACTGTTGCGAACAAGCGACCGTCTTTACTTCGACCAAGGCGCGAGAGACCCGCAGGCCAAACCGATCAAGCCGTGGCGTTCGCGAGTGTATCGAGGATTTTGAGATCGGATCTGGGTTCTCCATAGCCTTAGTTCCAGTGTTTCACCACCAAGAGCTTCCCTCTCATTCAGTCGCTCGAGGGTTAGAGAACTCCTAAACAGACCACAAATTTGTTTACAAATTAGTATGATGCATCCAGGGTCGTATCAAGGAGGCTTTCGTCCGCGTCCTCCGGCCGCTGACTACAGGATGAATCAATTACAACTCTCCCCGTGGCTGAGCTGGATAGAGAAACTGACTGGCCAGCCTTTCATTCGGTATCCGATTAACGCAAGGAGTCGTGTGCTGGATACCTCTCTGGATATCTCCTCAACAATCCCATCGGAAGTCCAGATCTAGACCGGATCTCAAAAAGCCCTTGTAACTACGTGTTCGCTCTTAATGGGAAGCGAGAATAACATGACAATGGCGCTTAGATCACAGGCTCTCGTAACCGATGAAAAATGGTTTCAAGCGTCTTTTGACCAAGGGTGTTCTCCAACCTCGTACAGCAATGGCTATATAAAAAAAAAACACTAACTTTTTTGATAAGAGATGCCATAGATCTTCAGGAGATTCCAGAAAAGGGTCCAGACCCAGAGGGAACTGGCAGCCTTTGATAAACAAGCGTTGGGAGTTTCAGATATATAATTGTTGATGCCCCCGAAAGCCAGCGTCTTGGATTCCATAAAACTGTGGATAACTGGCAGCAAATGACTTCGTTCAAAGACAACAAAGTGTTTCGATGGCTTGCCCTCCGCCTCCAGGAAATACCAAGATTGTAGCATGTACTCCGTAGATAAGGATCTTCAGCGTTACAGTAGCGATCCTGAAGCAGCTCATCTGATTCTCGTCCTCGAGAACTCGTGAGATAGAGAGTCAACAACCACACCTTTCGCCTGAGATATACCCCAGGAAAACAGGCTCAATCAATTTCGACATTTCGTGAATCCAGAGACGAGGACCCTTGCGACGGCGCGGCCTGGGTCGCCCTCTGGGCCTGTTCCGATATACAGAAATCCTTTGATCCTTATCCGCTAGGGCGGCCGTTACGATTCCGTCAGAGGCTTTTGATACCTAGCCCTGGAAGACTCCTAAATTTGGCGCATCCGCCTGATGGGAATGGCTCAGAGAGACCAGTAACCACCCGCAGAACGATCAAGATACCTAATTGGGCCAGGAATGCAAAAGCACTGACGGTAAACGGATATTTTTGGGTGGTGTCTTCTCCAGGAGGCGGAGCGAAGCTTCTCTTGGGGGCCAAGTCAGGCGTCCAAACCTCCAAGCCTTCTCTGCTTAGCGCCAAAAAAACAGATCCATCCAAGTATAGGAGCAAATCATCATTCAGGTTCCTGTTTTGTGAACTCAGCTTGCGGGTCCGTTGATATTGACCCAATGTAAATCATTGACATGATGTTTCTTCAGCCTCGAAATCGCCGCGTGGGTCGACAGGTTGGTTGGTCCTGCAGTCGAGGGCGCAGGGTTCGCCTTATAAACTGTCGCAACGATCCCCGAGTATCTCTTCCTCATACTTTGTTCATTACACTCCATTCTGCTGAGTCTTACCCTAGCTAAGATCTCTTTAACATGGTTGCTACTCTTTCAACGCTCACTTCGCTGCTACTTGCAACAGGAGCAGTCGCTAGACCAGCTACTCTCGGCCGTGAACCCATTGCCAAACGAGGGATCCGGGCTCCTGCGCACCGCTATATCCCTAGCAATAACCATGTCTCGCGTGATACTGGAGCAGTGTATCATATCTGGAATGGGGGTGGATGGATTCTGCCTGTGCTTATCGGTGGCCAACAAGTCTTCCTGAACCTGGACACTGGCTCCTCGGACCTGTAAGAAGCAATCACAAAATCGTATACGGAAAGGAAGAGAGCTAACGAGATGTATCAAGATGGACGGCAAGCACATTGATGCCCACAGATCAACAATCCACCGTCACGCGGGGGTCGGTCTATAACCCTGATAACAGCTCAACGTCTGAAGTGGTGGACGGGTACACATTTGGTCTGGCCTATGCAGATGGCTCTGGAGCTTCAGGGCCTGTATATAGAGATACAGTGAACATCGGCGGTGCGATCGTTCCGAACTTCCCTCTCGGTGTTTGCGATGATCTGAAGTATGGACCTGGAAGCGACGGCACTCGAGACACTGCTGGTCCAGTTGGTTTAGGCTTCGGCAAACTCAACTCGATCCGACCCGACCCTCAATGTACCTTCATGGAATGCCTCGAACCATACGTCCCAGAGCCAATCTTCGGCACAGCATTCAAGCTCAACGACACCGGTTTCATCAACTTCGGCTACTCCGACTCTGAGGCGTACACCGGCTGCTTTACCGAAGTCCCAGCCGCCAACACTAGCACCGGGAACGAAGGCCAGTGGATGAGCTTGGGCGTCCAGTTCGGATCCGGCGGTAATTTGTTTGACGTCGAGCCTCTGGACATGGACTTTGACACGGGAACCGCATCATTATCCGTTTCTTCGGACATAGCTGCAGCCTATTGGGCCCTCGTCGAGGGCGCTGACGACTCCTCCGGGTCATGGCAATACCCGTGCGGCACTGAACTGCCTGATCTCGACTTTGTCTTTTCGAACGTCACCAGTGGCCCATCGACGGTGACAATCCCAGGCGAAAACCTCAAGAATGGAGACGCTTCTTCGGGCATGTGTAGCACTTGGATGAATGTTGTTGATGGTCGTGGTAATGCCGGAGTTCCGCTCTATATCAGCAAATATATCGTCTGGAACCAGGCTAAGCCCAGTATGTCCTTTGCGGACCAAGTGAATTGAGCGATCGGCATATCTTCGTTTCCCCCCTTCTCCACCCCCCTCCAGTGTCCAGCATCCGAGATACGGTGTAAATGTGCAGTTTTGGATAGAATATCTATAGATATATATATTGCGCATGTCACTTACCATGCCCTGAAGAGATTAAAAAAAATCAAGACTTTGGTAGACCCTGTAAGCTGCGAGAATCATCGACCAATAATTACCATGAAGGTTAATAGAGAGCAGCGAGCGTCCCAAGGGCTGGTCAGTGGTGCTGTCTCAATGATTTTTCAAGGGTATCTTAAGAAGACTAGCGTTATGTGTCGAGTATTTACTCCTTATGTTGATAGCCAGTTCGCAAAACGATGAGCGGAGATGCTGTGAGTGTTGAAAGAATTACGAGTCCTGATCTTGAACAGAGTATGTAAGGTAGCCTGGGGCATCAACGCTATTCCCCATTTGTCGAAAGTGGCGCCGCGCGGCGCGTTTCCCTTCGCGACTCTGACAAAGGATGAATTCAAGCTCTTTGAGCACAATCCACGAGATTTAACCAACTCAAGCCCAACCACCACACTCTGAGCGAACATATTAGATTAATCCACTCCGTCGCCTCAACTCAAACTGTTTTGTTCGCTTTGCCATTTACCTCAGACTCTAGTGTTCGCGCGAGGGCTTCTCCAAGATGTGCGCCTCGCCCCCGAATCTGCCTGTGTCTCCATTGCTGACTTTGATATTAGGGAGAGCTTTGATAACATCTACCTTGACCTTTCTAAGCAGCCTGGAAAGTGCAAGCTTGCAGAGACGGGGTTGGGATGGCGACCTGCTGGAGGCGGCGATACTTTCACCCTTGACAGCAGCAATATCGGCGCGGCCCAGTGGAGCAAAGCAGCAAAGGGATTCGAGTTGAAGATCTTGTCGCGTTCTTCAGGCGTTATTCAAATGGATGGTTTTGACCAAGAGGTAAGTCGTCGAATGGTCCCTCGTCGCTCGAATGGTAATCTCATGATTCGTCTCAAATTCTCTTAGGACTTCGAGCGGTTGAGCAAAGCATTCAAAGTATGGTACGGGATAAATGTGGAAAGCAGAGAACACGCGCTTCGAGGCTGGAACTGGGGCAAAGCAGAATTCACCAAGGCGGAGCTAGCCTTTAATGTCCAGAATCGACCCGCGTTCGAAATTCCTTACTCCGAGATTTCAAACACGAACCTTGCCGGAAAGAACGAGGTTGCTATAGAGCTTTCCCTCTCCGCCGACGCAAACGATTCCAAGCCGGCGGGTAGCACCAAGAACCGTGGTAGAAAGGCGGCTGCCGGACCCGATGAGCTGGTCGAGATGCGATTTTACATTCCCGGAACGGCGGTCAAGACAGAAAAGGGCATCAAGGAGGAGAATGCGGACGAAGAAAACGAAGAAGAAGGTGCGGAGGAAGGAGAGGAGCAGAACGCCGCCAACTTATTCTATGAGGTACTCATGGAAAAGGCGGAGATTGGAGATGTGGCCGGAGATACATTCGCTACTTTCTTGGATGTACTTCATCTCACACCAAGGTATGCATCGTCCGGCATTGGCTTCCTCTACGTGATACTGACAGCTACTTGAGAGGTCGATTCGATATCGATATGTACGAGGCCTCATTCCGTCTACGCGGAAAGACCTACGACTACAAGATCCAATATTCCTCCATCAAAAAGTTCTTCCTGCTTCCAAAGAACGACGACACTCACACGCTTATTGTTCTTGGCCTCGAACCTCCATTGCGCCAAGGCCAGACCCGTTACCCTTTCTTGGTAATGCAATTGAAGTTGGATGACGAGATCAGTCTTGACCTCAATATGACAGAGTTCGTATCCTCAACCGCAAGTTTTGTACTCTGCTAACGGGCCACAGTGATCTTCTAGGATCTCGCTACAAGGATAAGCTAGAATCCCATTATGAAGAACCCATCCACCAAGTTATTACGAAGGTCTTCCGTGGGCTATCAGGCAAGAAGGTCATCATGCCCTCAAAAGACTTTGTTAGGTCAGTCAACCCGTGCTGCGACTACACAACTGTACCATGCTAACAAGCCCCAAGCCACCACGGACATAGCGGAGTCAAGTGTTCTATCAAGGCGAACGAAGGCCTCTTGTACTTCTTGGATAAGAGCTTGATCTTCGTTCCCAAACCCGCTACCTATATTCAGATGGAGAATGTTGCCGTTGTCACCATGTCTCGTGTTGGCGGAGCTGTCTCGGCCAGCAGAACATTCGATATCACCGTTACCCTGAAGGCTGGCTTAGGAGAACACCAATTCAGCAATATCAACCGGTAAGCCGCATTGGATTCCTATCGCACTCAGCTCTCACTAACATTTTCCCAGCGAGGAGCAACAACCACTAGAGGAATTCTTCAAGGCAAAGAACATCCGAATCAAGAACGAGATGTCAGACGACGTATGTACCACGTATGATCACGCTATACAAGAAACCCACAACTAACCATATTATACAGACCAACGCCTTGATCGCAGCCGCCCTAGACAACGACGACATGATGTCGAGCGAAGACGAAGGTGTCCGCCCCGACCGCGGCTCAGCTGACGAAGACGAGGAGTCAGTCGACGAGGACTTCCAGGCGGACTCCGAGTCCGACGTTGCAGAGGAGTACGACTCGGCCCACGAGAGTAGCGGCAGCGGCAGTGATGCTGAAATGGACGACGCGTCTGACGGCGGCGATGATGGAGGAGATGTAGATATGTCCGAGGACGAGAACCGGCCAAAGAAGAAGACGAAGGTTGCGAAATAAGGGACAGAGTCGTGCCTTGGCTTCTGAATTGTACTTTATGATTTACTAGGGAACTAATAAATACAACGAAGCACTGACTTATTGTCTTATTGTCAGTCCTATGCATTCTTTCGCTCGTACACGAGGACAACTATCCCTCTTTCCAACTCGGTTCTCAAACACCTCGCAGTTGTCTAGCGAGCGGAGAAATCACGCTGCAAAGCACCGGACATGTCACATCTAGTCGTCTTACTCGCATGAACCGCCTCTTGAAGACCTGCTATTGACAATACTATTGGGCTTCTCCTGCATATGCATAGATAGGTCTGAAGGGCACCTTGTATGATACTGTACATAGTCGCTAGTAGTCCGTTCCAAAATAGATCATCATCAGCAACAGTGCCTAGGAAGAGGATATAGTAGGGTATGTCAAAGATGTAGTAAATCTTGCCTCTTCAAGGCCGACGCTAAGCACTCTCATAAGTCTTGCATGCTTTGATAGCTTTCGCTGAGCTTCATCAAGTTGTCGTTAACTACTATGCCGAGGGGATTTGAGCTTCGTGTCTCGAGTGTCAGGAGCAGAGCAAGAGTTGCGGTGTACGATTGAACATTGGACTACATAAGTTCATTCCATACTTTAGAGCATGGCCAATGGCATGTTATGGTTATGGTTATCCGGCGGTTGGACAGCAACGTCTATCAGGATTGCCAGGTTGGCTCTTGCAGTAGGATCATGGAACAAAGGCGGACGACTGCTTACCTAGGCCAATAGTAAGGCTACATGGTACATGGTACTTGCATATCTGTAACTCCAGCTAGCCGTCCGCTTTGCTGTTCCTTGACCCATAGCAAACAACTTAGCATGACGTTGACCTACGGGCGGGCTTCTCAGGATATCTCCTATCATGCTTCTGGGTGTCTAGACGCCGATAGATACGTACTCCGTTTGCAGTCAAGGCAAATACTGAATGACCTCAGAGAGGCCGGTGACCATGACTTCGGATAGTTCTCATCAGATGTGTGAATTCTTCCTACTCAAGAGGATCCGGGTTGAAAATGGGATCAACAACTGTATTCAAAGCACCCCATGGTGTGACAATACCGCGGGCCGTTGGTGTCAGGATTGATTGGCTCTCAGCCAATCGACCCCAGGGCCACGTATTTTAACCCCTGACTGATGACAGCCCGAATACCAAGATAGTACCGCCCGAAATCTTAGTGATCATCAGTCGGGTCTTAGGGTCTGGAGAAGATCCCAGGAATAACTCTTGGAGTTGCTTGAAATTTGGCCGTGATATCTGTAGTGCTGGGCACAGAAATCCTTGTGTCTCACATCGATGATGGCGCCAGGGTTCCAGACACCGAGGGCCAGGTTGGAAGCATCATGATAGATCCGAGGCCAACTCGCGCACACCGTTGAGAGATGGCTTTTAGGTCTCAAGCGACGCAATTGTAGGAAAGTTTTGGTTAGGCTTGATGCTGGCTGTTTTGATAGTTGTTCATCTCAGTCATTGAAGTTTGCTGTTCAACACGTCTGCTTGGGGAGCTTGTAGAGTGCTAGAGGTACTCGCCCAAGTCCCCAAGCAAAGACAGAACATCAGAGTCAACATGATGAAAAAGCGTGAAGAGCAGAATTGTCGGAAGAATGAGAGCTGCAATAAATTGTAGAATTGGCTTTGAACGGGAATTGTTCGACTAGCTCCCATCGAACGAGAGGCCTCAGAGTGAACCCCTTTCTTTGCCTAGTCTGGCTGCTGGCTTTGGCTCCGGACACCTGAACTGCTTCAACCACCCCATCAACTCCGCAGGTCCAGTCCTTCGACCCTTCCCCCTGTTCTTCATTCTTCACTTCTCTCTTTCAGCGTCCTTTTCTTTCTCCCTTAATTCTTCTCTTTAGAATAATTCGTTTTCCGGTTGACTCTGACTTCCATTTGAGCGGACCCTCTCCCGCGTGGATCTCAGTCCCGTTCGATTCTCACCCTTTTCCTGATCAACGACATCACAGGTAAGATGGCATCTTTTTTTTTGACGGCGGCCACCTCGTCCTACAGAGCATCTGCGGGTGCTGTGGTTTCATCCGGCCTGCTTCGATCCATTGCTTCTGAGCCCCTCCCCGTTCTCCATTCTGCCCTGCAAGGACTCGGTTTGCTAATTCAGAAGGTGCAACCTATTCAGGGGAACTTTGTCTCTCCCGCGCTCTCTACCTCACGCCTCCACGCTCGCTTCCAATATCTCGTCCCTCTCCTTCCACAATGGGTAAGCTCAGCGCCTGCAGCATTTCATATCTCATTTCACGCTCGTCTGCCCATTCCTTGAGCCTCCAATCCGTGTCTGCAACCCGGAGCACCCCTCCCGTCTCGCCCAGAAACCATGTCCCCATCTAGACGGCAGAGTGCGCATGGCTGTTCGCAGTTGGACTCTAGGAGCTCCGACGGTGGTGAACGAGCGAGCTCGCCGCGCCCGAAGAGTGTCTCGTACTCATTGATCTCTGGACGATTGTCCTCTGAATGTGACGACCAACCTACAACATTAGCTGACACCATCTTCTCCCGTCTAGCTTCACCTCCTCCCAGCAATGGCACTCCTGCCACCGCCTCCCCGCCCAGCAGCAAGCCCGGCTCTCCTTTTGTTGAACGCAGCAACCCAATGGGTGCTGGAAACGCCCAGACCGTCAGCTCCAAGGACCCCAAGGCTGTGGCCCAAGCTGCCACAGATCTGAAGAACGTGGTTCGCAGGAAGTTGACCGGCTACGTTGGTTTCGCCAATCTGCCCAACCAGTGGCACCGCAAGAGTGTCCGTAAGGGATTCAACTTCAATGTAATGGTTGTTGGTAAGTGGCATACCATGAACGAACTATACGCCCAGAACGGGATAAACTGACTTTCCCCTTAGGTGAATCTGGTCTCGGAAAGTCAACTCTCGTAAACACACTGTTCAACACTTCCCTCTACCCCCCCAAGGAGCGCGCCGGCCCCAGCCACGACATCATTCCCAAGACCGTCTCTATCCAGTCCATCAGTGCTGATATTGAGGAGAACGGAGTCCGCCTCCGCTTAACCGTTGTCGACACCCCCGGATTCGGCGACTTCGTCAACAACGACGATTCCTGGCGCCCAATTGTGGAGAACATCGAACAAAGATACGATGCTTACCTCGAGGCTGAGAACAAGGTCAACCGTACGAACATCATTGATAACCGCATCCACGCCTGTGTCTACTTCATCCAGCCCACTGGCCACTCTCTGAAGCCTCTTGATATCGAGGTTATGCGCAGACTTCACACCAAGGTCAACCTGATCCCTGTTATCGCCAAGGCCGATACTTTGACAGATGACGAGATCTCCATGTTCAAGAAGAGAGTACGTCTTCCTCCGTATTTCAGAGAATGTATTTGTCACAGTGCTAACAGAACTCCGAATAGATTCTTGCCGATATCCAGCACCACTCCATCCAGATTTTCGAGGGGCCCCGCTATGAACTTGACGACGAGGAGACTATTGCGGAGAACCAGGAAATCATGTCCAAGGTCCCCTTCGCCGTAGTTGGCGCGAACGCTGAAGTTGCTACCTCTGATGGTCGCAAGGTCCGCGGCCGTAGCTACCCATGGGGTGTCATCGAAGTCGACAACGAGGAACACTGCGACTTCGTCAAGCTGCGCCAGATGCTTATCCGCACACACATGGAAGAGCTCAAGGAGCATACCAACAACCACTTGTACGAGAATTACCGCTCCGACAAGCTTACTCAGATGGGTGTTGCCCAAGACCCAAGCGTCTTCAAGGAGGTCAACCCTGCTGTGAAGCAAGAAGAAGAGCGTGCTCTGCACGAACAGAAGCTTGCCAAGATGGAAGCAGAAATGAAGATGGTCTTCCAGCAGAAGGTAGCCGAAAAGGAAAGCAAGCTAAAACAAAGCGAAGACGAACTATACGCCCGGCATCGCGAGATGAAGGAGCAATTGGAACGCCAACGCATGGAACTCGAAGAGAAGAAATCCCGCCTCGAGAGTGGGCGGCCACTCGAAGAGAAAGGAAAGAGAAAGGGGTTCTCCCTCCGCTAGACGGACTTTTCTTCGGCGCCCCTGATGATTCTCTCCAAAAGGCCATACTGGAACCACCAATTACTACGTATGGTCGTCGGTGGCTCGCGAGTGGTTCTACGTTTCATTCTCCACGACTTGTCGATTGCTCGAGCGCTCTCTACAACATCCCACCTTTTCTTATTCGTGTCTTTTCGTCGTTCTCCACGCTCCCTCAAACCCGTCTCTCTTATCTGCTTCCAGTAATGACTGAAATCTAATTGAGTGGACCGCAAGGAAGGGAAAAAAAGGATTGCCTCGTTGTCTTTGCCTTTCTCAGCCGAAGCCAATGCCAATTGTGGCTTGCACGGGAGATGTACTTGAACACAACAGCCACTGCCAGGGCCAACTCGGCCTGCTCGCGTGATCTTGTTCTGGATTTGCAAAATGATGCACGAGGTGGCGGCCTGCAAACCGCCTCAGGTTGGGAATTTACTGCCTCATGTCCACAGTTCACTTCTTGTTATGTACTTTTGCCCACGCTATACCTTGTTCCCCGCCTGCTTCCAACTACCCCTCTGTGGTCCAGTGCTCCTACCGTTTTATATTCGTTGCACCTTTGACTCTTCTACACATTTTAGTGAGAACACCCACTCCCGACCGTCTTTCTGGACGCTTTCCTTAAACTCCTTCTCGTCAAGTTTGTTGTTAGTTCAATTTGAAGACCTTTAAAAGCACAAGTAGCGGGGCCGTCTGCGGACAACCACAAAATAAGAGTGATGATGTAGACAAAAAAAAAAACAAGCGGCCGAGATAAAGAGTGTTTTGTCGCAAAATTCATGCCGAAATATCGTAGTTGCATCATTGCGGGCAGCCGGCGACGTCACTGATTCCACTGGTACAAGAGGCTCAGCTCCCCATTCACAGCCCATGGAAGCTTCCCCATCTGATCCCCGTTCGCCGGCGCACACCAAAAGCACATTGTTCCGAAACCCACCACCGCCTCCCCGCCCAGCCTCCTCCACGGACACCACCTGCCGACACACTTTGTCCTTTTTGCCCATTTCTTATTATCTGGCCTATTCTTCGCTCTGACTTCCCTGGCCTTCCTATCCTTGTGTACGCCATTGTCGGGTAGCTCTCACTGTTGTACTTCAGTCCTCGCTGAGACTACCTACGCCATCGTCACTCTTTGAGCTCACAGCTACACCACACCCATCACATCTCGCGAATTCGTCTTCCATGGCGCCTCCTCCTCCGTCGAATGGCTCATTGGTCGAGAGGCTGAAGTCTCTCGCTCAGACGTTGCAGTATGTTCTCTGTTGTCCTCAAACTGTACTCTAGGCTACTCGGTTACTGACCAGGTGGCACCCTGCAGGTTTGCGTGGTTCATTGGGTAGGTTTCTCCTCGCCATTAGCTGTCGCCGTCCTCCGAGTGGCTTCGAGACCATTTCGACACTCCTCTTCTCGCCCTTTCCTCTCCCAATGGCCGTGTGATCGCCGTTCGGCCACCCATCGAGTCTTCGTAACTGCGCTAACTGGCTCATTCTAGGCATGTGACGCTGCTGGGTGCTGTCTTCCGATACCTCCTCTCTTATGTCACCTTCAACTATTACTCCGGTGCTGCCCAGGTGTCTTATCGCCTTGCGTTCGTATCTGCCGCTGCGACATACGGAATCGTTGTGTACAAGGGTCATATTGCACGTGGTCGACTCCAGGGCAGTCTGCCCAGCGTGCTGCTAAAGCTCGCTGGCGATGAAAACGTTCAATATCTTGGTAAGTGGGCTCCGCCTCACGGGCGATGGAGCCCTAGGTCCTATGCAATATCTGACATTTTTGATCCCAGGTATGGCCTTGGTGTGGCTCTACTCTCGCCAGGTTCCTCTTGCTCTGCTGCCGTTCAGCATTTATTCGATCTTCCACGTTGCCACGTACACTCGTGCCCATTTGATCCCCACCCTTCAGCCTCCTAGTGGCCCGGCGGGATCTCCTGCTTCGCCCAGCGGCTCCCGATCCGGCGCGAAGCAATCTCCCTTGGCCGAAACCATTGGCAGATTTGTTAAGCAGTACTATGACGCCAGCATGGATCTTGTCGCTGGTCTGGAGATTGCCCTTCTGTTCCGCCTGGCAGTGGCCATTCTCACCTTTTCCAAGGGAAGCATCCTACTCTTCTTCATCTACCTGGCTTTCTTCCGTGCACGCTTCACTCAAAGCACCTTCGTTCAGCAATCCGTCCGTCATTTCATCGCCAGAGTCGATGCTTCAGTGTCTCATCAGAGTACTCCCCCAGCGGTCCGTCAAGCTTGGCAAGCGTTCAAGGACGGCGTGCGCCAGGCGTATCAGGCTACGGATGTCAGCCGCTTCACCTCTGGAACGGGCGCCAAGAAGCCCCAATAAGTGGCGACATCAGGGGGTATTCGACGATATCGCGATATGCAACGGGCACGCCGAACAAGTTTTGACCTAATGGCGCTCCGGTCGCCCTCGCCTTGTTCCTTGTCGTCAAGCCTCCCTGCACCCCGTAGCAATTACCCTTACTGATTGATGATACTTAACGAACCCACAGGCTACCCTGTTCAGCGCCGGCTGAGAGGATGGTAGTGTGTGACGAAAAGACGGCTATCATTTTAACGAGCAGTGTGAAATAGGTGAAGAGAATGGAAGTTGTAACTTTTGGAGTCAGTGTTTGACGAGCATTGAAGATGAATGTTGTTTTTGTTGGAGCCAGCAGGCCTTGAGGGGTATAATTCCCGCACCTAGGTTTTTTCTTGTTTTTTATTTTTTACACTTTTGTTTCCCTTGCATCACTAGTATTAGTTCATATACTGAATGCCAAAAAAACTAGTGAATTTGTGTCGAATATTACCCCCAACTCCCCATTAGCGTGGCACGGTGAGCGTAGGCTTAGTTACAGGACCTAGACTGAGCTACGATGGAGTACTGAAACATGAAAGGGATACCAGAGTTTCCTAGTTGTAATTAAGCTTATCTCAGGCAACGTTTAGCTAGCACGGAGTCCAGGTCCTGCAAAGAAAATAGATCAGTGCCTGAGGCTGCCTCGGCCTCGGGCGGCGGAGAAAACAGAAAACCGGTCGGGACCAAAATTTTGGTGCCTTTCTCAGCCACAACCAGCTCCAGCCGTTATTTCGACCTCAGCAGCTGCAATGTCCCTATTTTTGTCCTTTGACCTTTGTTGAAGCTGGCATAGCCTCATATGTTTGTCTAGTTGTTGTGGTTCTTTTACTTTCGTTCCGTCACTCTCTTCCTTCCTCGCCCTTACCCTCGCTAGGTGGCGTCCTCTAATTGACCGGCCTCGCCGCATCACAACTTACCGTGGTCTCGCCCGCACCACGCTTCGTTGGGTTGCGGTGTTCTTGAAATGAGCTTGACCTCGCGCGTATTCAGCTTGTTTACGCCGACCGACAGTTCCTCAGAGTCCTCAGTACCAGGGTTCCTTTCCACCAACACCAACAATGCCGTACAGGCAACGAGTCCGATAACGACAGAATCCAATGTCCAGACACACAATGGACAGTCCGACCTGGAAGAGGAGGAACCTCGCCCTCCGTATCTACATGTGCGTTGTTTCAGCACTCCCAACCAGTGCTTCGCCCGGCCTTTCTTCATGTTGGGAGCACGGCGCATCATTTTTGAGCATGAGCTGACAGGACGTTTCCATGCAGGCAATGCTTGCTGGAGGTACAGGCGGTACCTGTGGTGATATGCTCATGCATTCATTAGATACGGTCAAGACGCGGCAACAGGGCGATCCTCACTTTCCTCCCAGATATACTTCAATGACCTCATCGTATGCGACAATCTACCGGCAAGAAGGAATTTTACGCGGGCTGTATGGAGGTGTTACACCTGCGCTACTTGGGTCATTTCCGGGAACACTGATCTTCTTCGGCGTCTACGAGTTTACGAAACGGAAAATGCTGGACGCGGGAATCAATGCCAATGTGGCGTACTTGTCTGGTGGTAAGGACAGCCCTGACAACGGCCATTCAACTTCTCAAGCTAGATGCCGTGCTGATCAAGTTCTTGCACAGGATTCTTCGCCGATCTGGCTGCTTCTATCGTTTATGTCCCTTCAGAGGTCTTGAAGACGCGGCTACAACTGCAGGGCCGTTATAACAACCCCTATTTCAAATCTGGATATAATTACCGCTCTACAACGGATGCTTTCCGCACGATTGTCCGACAGGAAGGATTCTCCGCGCTCTTCTACGGATACAAGGCCACTATTTTCCGTGATCTTCCATTCTCGGCCCTACAATTCGCCTTTTATGAGCAGGAACAGCGGATAGCGAAGGAATGGGTCGGCTCAAGAGAGATTGGTCTGGGTCTGGAGGTCTTCACAGCTGTGACTGCTGGTGGAATGGCGGGTGTCCTGACCTGCCCTATGGATGTGGTGAAGACGCGGATTCAAACTCAGCAGAACACAGAACCCGCTCAGACAGCACCGCCCAAACCTCAGATGGACCAGAAATCCAAAACAGGTGTGCGAACACAATCGCGGGCGATTTCTACAACGGCGCCTGTGTCTTCTCCGGCCCCGCCTGGACAAATGCCACTCGACACCTCATCGTTCTTCAAGGGCCTGCGGATGATTTACCAGACAGAAGGCATTGCAGGATGGTTCAGAGGCGTCGGCCCACGTGGAGTTTGGACCAGTATTCAGAGCGGCACGATGCTGGTCATGTACCAATACCTGCTCAAACAGTTCGAGGCATTCGAGAACCTCGAGGATTCGAATCCCCTCTAGATGCGCCCAGCCGGACGGCGAAGAGGTGGAATGAGCTGTACCTTTCGACTGTAGATATAGGACTTTGGATCGCTGCGTTGGTGGGGCGTTGGGGGACTCTGTTTTCTTCTTTTCTTCTTCTCCTTTGCACGCCTGTTTGTTGATGGCGTGACGGCATTTCCTTGGACCCTCCCCTTCTCTACCTGTACACGTGTATATACACATTTCTTGGGGGACTGCTACGATGATAGACTTAGAGCTGACTTAGGTAATTGTACAATAACATAGAGCTTCTTATTGATGCATCGTTTTCAACAATCGTCGTCATCGCCCACCTGGCATGGACTGGAGGCATCCGAAATAGGCAAAAGAGGGGGTTGCGATGTAAACAAAGGCGGGAGTGGGCAGCCCCACGGCTGATCGACGTGATTGGCTCCTGCGCCGAGCGGCAGCCTGAGGCGTGACTTGACCTCTCTCCCTCGCCTCCCCAGCTTGTTATTTGTTGTTATTCTTGTTCTTATGCTTCTTGGTGTCCATACATAGTCTCATCTCTAGAGCACTCCTCTTATTTGTTTATCTATTCCCTATCGCTGCCCCTCCGTGATCATACATCCATCTGATCTTCTATCCCCGTTGCTCTGTCTCGGTTATCGCATGGTCCGGGCATATCGTCATCATGTCTGCCGCATTGCATTTTCTAGAAAGACAGCGCAAAGCTCAGCTCGTAGAGCTGGCTGAAGCCACCGCGCTCCAAGAGTAAGCTCGCGACTTGCTTTCGGCATATCATCCCTATTTACACCCGGCGACGGATTACTGACGCGCGACAATTCGCTCTAGTTATGAGGACTTCACCAAGCCCGAACTTGCCGCCAAGCTGGACGAGCATCTCCAAGCGAACCGCACCATCTTCGGTTCAGAAGATCGTCTGTCAGAGTATTACAGGCGCCTATCGCAAGGGTCGCGCTCGTCGCCGGTAAAGAGGGAAAGCCGCGAAACCAGAGGCGAGGTCTCACCGATCAAAGAGGAAGCCCCGAGGTCCGTCCGTCGACGGACGACAAAATCGAGGGAGTCGAAGGACTCGAAGGAGGACACTGAGGACAAGGAACCTGATCCTACGTATGACGCCTATTTTCTTACGCGCCTCGGCGTTTCGCACAGTTTACAGCGAGCTAATGAGTCTATTAGAGATGAATCCGACGTGCCTATTCAAACTCCTACGCGTGCATTAGCCGAAGTCGCCGTCCATTTGCCCCCGTCGCCGGCTGTTGTCACTGAGGTGATTGATCGTCAAACGACCGAATGGCTCAAAAGCATTGGCGAATTCTGGAACAAGTCCGGCGTGCAGGAACGCTCCGACTCGCTGCGCACGACTCTCAGCAGCGTGAGAGCTGTCGAAGTCATCATCACAATCCTCGAGGCAATCGGCGTCCTCAACGAGGCCCTGCCTCGGCGCCACCTCACGACAATACCTCCCATCGATGCCATTCACTCTCCTGCGCTTCCAATCAAGCTCCCTGACGTCTTTGTGCTGGTCGACAGCTCATTCTGGGCCCCTGTCTCGCTGTGGCTGCTTACCAGCGTATTCCTACCTCTGACTGTTGCTTATTTCTTCAACATTAGCCTTCAGGTTGCGCAGTCAAGCGGCGGCCCTGCGTCACGTACGCGCCGTAGCAGCAGCAGCCGCAACCCCCAAGCAGATTTTGACCCCCTGAGCTTCAACATCGCCAAAGCGCTCCTTGCGTACCTAGTTTACGCGCATGGATTTACCTTTTGGAACATTTATAGCGAGGTCTCCGTTCAAACTGTGAACGCGTCCATCCCGTTCCAGTACGCCGGTATCCTGACTGGCGCTGCCATCGGAGCTGTAGGTACTATCTATGAGGCTATCCTGAGGAAGTAATGCGCTTCTCCCCTTCGATCAGTGTAAATCAGGCCAGCAGAGCTAGGTCGGTTGTGTTTATGTTGCTTGTTCAGTGCTGCTTATCTCCGTTGGAGTATATTGGCTTTTGTACAGCTCGGGTGCGCGTGCCCTTGTCTGGTAAGGGGAATTGTGTTGAAGTAGAAGGTCAGGTCTGCTTGGGTTCCTTTCATGGGGTTATTACGTGTGAATGTCTTGTTTTTGTGTTGCTTGTCCCTGTTTTGTTCACTTATTGTTCCTGGAGATGCGCTAATGCAGCTTCTTCTATTGTTTCTCGACGTTTTGGTTATCGGCTTTCAAGCTCCTATTGATATCCTTTGCTATTCCCGGTTTCCTCAAGGCGTGGTGAGAAAAATGGGATTGATTCGGTCTTGTTTTGCTTTACGCGTGAAGAGGCGCCTGTTTGTTAGTTAGTCGAAATCTAATGAGCTTTCTGTCTAGACTCTCCTTTCTACTTTCATCTGTATGCAAGAAACAAATCTCCACGCCGCATAAGTTCTAACCCAAATTGTGTAAATTATCCAACGAAATAAGATCCAGATCAAATGCAAGACTCATAATCACCTCGAAACCCTCTTCAACCGCCTCGCTAACTCCACCGTGAACAGCACAGGAACATCCGTATGAACATGCACAACCTCAGCTCGAATATGGTTACTCGTACTAATCTGCCCGCCGATTTCCGTCGCCCAGTCCTCGACGTCCCACTGGAACCCGCTTGTGGTTATCCGCGCGGGGCCCGAGAGGGGGATAATGCCGACGTTTTCTTCGAGAAGATGATCTTCCTCTTCTTCTTCTTCTCCTTCTCTTGGTGCCGGAAGTTGGTGAGTTTTGGCATTTGGACTGTCGGTTTTTGATGCGGTGCTTGTGTGTGGTCGATTTGTCCGAGGAACGTGGATTGTGTTGGGCCCCGGTTGCAGGATGAATGTTATGCTTGCTTCGGAAATGAGGTAGAGGTTCCCTGTGTTCGGATCTGCGCCTGAGCCTGAGATCGAGGTACTCTGCTCCTGATCCATCATATATAGATGATGGATCTGCGAGAAAGCCTGGTCGACGCGCCCTCCGAGTCCGCCTAGGATGAGGATTTCAAGACGTCGTCGCTCGCCGGACACGAGGTCAGACGTAATGATGGGATGATGAGCCGTAGAGTTTGATGACGGAGCAGCATAAGAAGAGAGAATGCGCTCCTCCTGCTTGCGGAGATACCTCAGGCTCTTAGTGAAATCCGTCGAGTACTGGTCGTCGTCGTGGACGATGTTCACGCCCAGGTTCGCGTAGTGAGTACGAATCTCGGGGCGGATGGAGTCGAGGTCGCCGATTATTATGTCCGGGATCTGAGAGTTTGATTAGTGAGACGGGCCCTTCTCATTCTGCTATATCTGGAGTTGAAGGGGATGAGCCATACATCAGTACCTTCCACTCCGCGTGACTTTGCAGACTCGAAAAAGCGGTTTGCGCCGCCGTCTGCACAAACAATTGTGAGAGCTATTTGGATCGGTTAGTTTTGCTGTCGTAGGGGGTAGGCGCATGCAGACATACCATGCTCCCTCAGCACAGAAAGCGCAATCTCATTGATTGGTTGGTTCAACACCACCAGCGCAAACGGCGGCGGGGTCTTGTTCTCCTCCTCGCGGAAGAATTGCGTCGGGTCCCATTCCATTATGCGTTTTCCGAGTCGTGTCAGATTATGGTTGTGAAGGTCTATATCCAATATCGGGGATGCGAAGGTGAAATCGGAGTTGCGGAAAAGGGAATGGTGGGGGTGAGTGGAGGGGATATTCAAGGTGATATGCAAATCTCTCACTCCCTCTATACTCCGGTCAGCCTACACTGATGATGTCTCCGCGACTCTGCTTGCCCGAGCTCAAGCAAGTTACAGGGTGGATCTGAACATGGATCAACCTGGGTAACTCTTTTTGGCAGGTGGGCGCGTTGGTTGCTTGAGGTCTTGTAAGCGCTGACTCAGCGTGAAGTCTTTCCCCACCGCCACGGCGAAGTATATATTTTGGTTAATTGGTGACGGCGGATTATGGATTCGATAAAGTGCTAATCCACGACCTTGAAGTTTAAATCCATACCGCAGAGAAAGTCATTGCTCCCGGATAGAGGGCGGCTGAAGAATAGGACGTCCTAGGAGAAGCATACTCGTTGACTACTGTACCTGGGTAGTACTACGGAGTAGATGTCGGTATTAGATCGCTCGGAGAGTTGAAGGTCCATTGATAATACTGTGCATTATTCTGCTCAAGACCTCAGTTACTTTGCCAGCCTTGATAGGGAATCACCAAGCTTCAGCATCACCTGTATAGATGCCGTTTTTGTCCATTACATGAATCATAGTATCGTTTAAGATTACTTTACGGAGTGCATTCCGCTTGGGGTGCTTACTAGGATATGGCAAATGATCAGGCAGAAAGCAAGTTTATTATTATAGCATATACTTTATACACCGAGACTCCGAAAAGAGACCTTTCAACAAGAGCTAGACAGAGCGAAAAGCAAAAGCAAAAACAAGAACCCAAATCACGACCCATTATATCATCATAACCGTGAGAGTATCGTATCAGGCCGACCCAAGTGCATCGGGCCGGCCATCCATAAACGGTCCGCCTCGATTCTAGGGGCGGAAGGGAAGGAGGCTAACGCAAGGCGAAGTAGGTAGCGAGGGCTTCGTTGTGGAGAGCTGCGGCCTTGTTCTTCTCTTCGATGCTGGGCTTGTTCCGCGAGAAGAACTTGCGCTTGGCCTCTGCTTTTTCTTTCAAGACGGTTGATGCGGAAGCGGCTGAGTAGGTCGATGCGGCATCATCGACCGTCTTGGTGGAGGACTTGGTAATGCTGAAAGGCATGGCGGAGGTTTTGCTTGGGAACGGTTTAGGCTTTGTTCGGAGTGGTATCTTTGGGTATTTTGAGATTCTCGCAAGCTCTTTAGTCCTGGCAAGAGAGACTTTTGAAGACCGGTGTTGAGGCTGGTTTCGTGGTTGAGGAATGGGTATGTAGAGCGATATCAAGGAACTAGACGTTCGGTTGCTTTGTAGGAGGATCTTGAGAGTATTGCTTTTAGATTGGCTGAAGCGTTGCTGATGCTGGTGAGAATAATCCCAAAGACAGCTCCCAGCCTCTATATATACCCATTTTCTCAGTATAGCGAGTCATCTCGACCGCAAGTACTCCGGTGTTTTTACTCCGATGAAGCTCGGAGTGAGCCAAGAAATGGCAGGATGCAAAGAATGACGCATGCTAGCCCGCCAGGGCGTCGGGGTCAACCAAAGCTTAGCATGATGGGTAAATTTGACAGCCAAGGCTCCACTCACATTCTCACGGACCAGTCCTGTGCAGCGTATTCAGCCTGCTGCTCGACTAAACCCTCCAAATTTGTATCATTTGCATGGCCTGGACACTGAGCCACGATTTCAAACGAAGGGCGTGCAAGCGGGACTGTGTGAGTGACTCAGGCTCCCACTATTGGATTCGAGACTTCCACGTTCTCGTATTTGCGGAGAGAGGCGCTATTGGTGCGCTCAACGCTTGGAACGAGGAAACAGCATTTGCATTGTAAGCTGATGGCCTCGACTGGCCTCATGACTCAGGCCGAAGCCATCGCCCGAGGACATGTCCCAGTTGAGACTTGATCTGGGAGGTGTGAACGGATTTGGATGGAGGTTGATTTCATCTGGCGCTGCCAAGGGAGTTCTGGCTCTCGGTGTTCGTATTTCTTGATGGAGCCGCTGAACAATCAACTTTGAACTCCGACACTCGTTCTACAGAATCTACTCCGCGACATGATGGACCCCGACATCGTGCTCCAAGGCAGAAGTTGCGTACGTGGATTCCAGGCAGAAAGCTCGGCTTCGTCCAGATTGACGGTCTGGGACTCACTAATGATCATCCGTTTGTCCTTTACGTTCATGACTAGAGGGTCCGTTTCGACGTGGGGTCTGTCTCTCAATTCAGTGTCCGCTGTTGTCGAGAGCGAACTCCGAGATGGCAGGTTTTACTCCGAAATGTTGTAACTCCGATAGGAAATCATACTTCGCTTGCAAGGCGAGGAACTCGGCCTTCGCGCACGGCACACAAAGAGAATCCAGAGAAGGCTCCGAACATTTCTTTCTTTCTTTTTTTTTTCCCCCTGTCGTTGGTTCATTTCGATACTCGACAACAATATCGTGGGGTCCCTAACAGGTGCCCGCCTGAGGCACAGTCTGGAACCCTCTAGGCCTAATTAGGCAAAGCTCTTAAGGGCCTAATACAGTTTAGCGCTGATCTACGCGTCTCGCGTTAGTACTATCAACGCGTTGGGCCAAGATGGAAGACATGATACTGCCATTGAACGCTCCACTCTGTATACGATTCTCTGGTTAGATGACGGGTTCCTCTCCGTTTGCTCTTCCCTCCTTCGACCCTGCCCTCCACCTTCACTCCGAAGACCTCAGAGAGCCCTCCTCCCAGAACTTCGAGGACGAACTCGAGGCATTACACCAGGCGCGTTTGAACAAGACCCGCAACAAAGTCGTGATCCAGCATCGAGCTTGGAATTTGTCCGATGTGTTTCGCAGTGACGAGGACGTGAGACCGGGTACGCTGCGCACCTTTAATCCTTGGGGAGGCTGCTTTCTTATACTTCAACAGAGACTCCCACAAGACCGCCAAAAAACTCGCGACTACGAAGCCTGTGCTCTCCAATTCGAGAAGACGATTCGTTCCCGTCTTCACCCCCGACCCCCAGAATGCCGTTCATATCCTCGCCTGTTGCCTTTCCCACGAGCGCACCTTCGCCGGCCTCTCAGAAACGGAAGAATGGCGAGCAATCGCAATCGACGGAGCCCAAGCGGCAGAAGATCATGGCAGGGTTCCTGGACGACGATGGTGAGGATGAAGACGAATCAGATGCCTTTGACGCTGCGCATTTCAAGACACAGTTTGAGATTCAGGAAGAACTTATCGAGCAGCCCTCTCAAGAACTCCCTGAGATCCCTCGGCCTACACCAGCTACACAGCCTATAGCAGTCGCCAACCCCGTCATGTCTATACCTGATCGTAGTATAGCGGATGCATCGAATACATCGACAAGAAAATCACTGATCTCGGTGGAGATTAAGACGTGCTCAGGAAAGACGTTGAGTGTTCCGTTGCGCAAATCTAGTACCAGGGTTTCTTATGAAAGACTTGTGGCAGGCCGCTCCATCACCGCTCCTGGACGTGCTCAGAAGAATTATTACGGAATCGAGATCCATAAATTGCTCGACGACGCTGCCAAAGAAATCGAGCTTGCTGCGGCATCCAAGCCAGCCTCTGCACCCGCCGTACAACCGTCGATCGAGGCTCCCGTCGGCGACAAGAAGAGCAGGAAGTTTGCTGCAGCCATGTGGACAGAAAAGTACCGTGCACGCAAATACACTGAGCTCATTGGCGATGAGCGGACAAATCGGTCTATCCTTCGCTGGCTGAGAGGCTGGGACCCCATTGTGTATCCAAACTTGGCCCGGACCAAGAAGAAAGCCAACTATAATGATGATGAGGAGGAAAGACCACACCGGAAGGTCATGTTGCTGTGCGGTCCACCCGGACTTGGAAAAACGACCCTAGCACACGTTTGTGCACGACAGGCGGGCTACGAAGTTCTGGAGATTAACGCCAGTGACGAGCGCAGCAGAGACGTAGTCAAAGGCAGGATCAGAGATGCACTCGGTACAGAGAACGTCAAAGGCATGAATGTAGAGGTGGGCGAGCAGAAAGTGCGCAAGGTCGGACGGCCGGTCTGCGTTGTCGTCGATGAAGTCGATGGGGTAGTCAGTGGATCTGGCGGCGCTGGCGAAGGTGGCTTTATGAAGGCCTTGATCGACCTGGTTCTTTTGGATCAAAAGAATTCCGCACGCACATCTGAGCATGCATCGAACGGAAGAAAGAAGAGGGGTGACAATTTCCGATTCCTTCGCCCGTTGATATTGGTATGCAACGACGTGTACCACGCTAGTTTACGGCCCCTCCGAGCGTCTTCCATCGCAGAGATCATTCACGTTCGTCAGGCGCCGTTGGAGAACGTCGTTTCGCGGATGAAGTCTATATTCACCATTGAAGGTATTCCTTCTGATAACGACGGCGTGAGACGGCTTTGCGAAGCATCGTGGGGACTTGGAAAGAGAAAGCAGGCTGGAGTCAAAAGCAGCGGAGCGGCAGAAGGAGACATTCGGAGTGTCCTCGTTGCCGCAGAATGGGTGGCTCACAAGCTTAGAAGTGAGAGCTCTGCTTCCTCTAGGCTGACAAGGAGCTGGATTGAACAGCGCGTCCTTAGTGAAGCTGGAGGTGGCTCGTTCTTCAAAGGGATGAACCGTGGTGGTGTGCGCGACATCGTGGATCGAGTTTTCACCGAAGGGGCTGGCTTCCCCGACGTGCCAATAAGCGCGGAAACCTTCCAAGACCCATATGATCGCTCAGCTGGACAAGTACCTGTTGATGTGGCAAGTATCAAGAAGCGGCATGCAATCAACAGACTCCGCGAGATGGTCGATGCCAACGGCGACCACGACCGCTGTACCTCCGAGTGCTTCTCTTCATACCCTCTACAGCCCTATCAAGACGACACCTTCCTCACAAAGCCCAACGTGGCATACGACTGGCTTCACTTCCACGACACCATCTCATCTCGGGTGTATTCCGCCCACGACTGGGAACTCGGCGCCTACCTCAGCCAAGCAACATCAGCCTTTCACCTTCTCTTCGCTACCGCGCAAGGCAAAGCCCAACCCCAATATAAAGAAACAGAAGATGAGGAAGAAGAGGCACACCCTTTCTCTGGCCCACGAGCAGATTTCGCAGCCTTCGAGGCTTTGAAACAGAACCAGGCAATCCTTACGGGATTCCAATCCTCCTTCTCAGCTCCCTTACTCCGCCTTTTCCGCTCACCCAACTGCGTTGCCACCGAACTCGTCCCCAATATCGTCCGAATGCTCTCCCCAGACGTGAAACCAGTCGTCGTCCGCGGAAGCGAGCAGAAAAGCGTTGCAAGTGTCCGAAAGGATAGCGAACGCGCTCTCGTCGAGGCCGCCGTGCGCGTCATGACAGGTCTGGGCGTAACTTTTGAGAAAGTTCGCGTCGAAGGCGAAGGTGGCGCATATGGCGGATGGGCATACAGAATGGAACCGTACGTCTACCCATGTCCTCGTTATTCCCCTTTCAATCCCAACATTCCATCTTGGACCCTCCCTCTGACTGACCAGCTTCACAGCCCCCTCGACAGTCTCGTCACATACTCAAAAGCAAACGGCCTCTCCTCAACCTCCGGCCCAGTCCGCTACGCCGTCCGCCAAGTCCTCGACCAGGAATACCGCAAGGAATCAATCCGTAAACACTCCGAGGCACTCGCCAAGAAGAAGACTGCCCAAGCCTCTTCCTCCGGCGCGGATGGGGCTAACCCGACTGAGGCTCTTAAGGCTAAGATTGGTGCCAATGCGGTTAAGCGGGATTTCTTTGGGAGGGTTATCCAGGAGTCTACGGCGCCGGATGAGGATGCACGGACATCGAAGAAGTCTGGTTCCGCGCCGCAGCAAGACTCGGGCTCGAGTAAGGGGAGGAAGGTCTGGGTTACGTATCATGATGGATTTTCTAATGCGGTACGGAAGCCGATTTCCATGGCAGAGTTGTTGGGCGGGCTCTGATCTCCTATGAATTTGATGTGATGAGTACGTGAGCGTTCAATTCGAGATACCTATTGCTATTACATTGTAGAAATCACAATTTAAGAGCTGTGGTTGAAAGTATCGTGCGTGTATTTCACCTCTAGATATACTGTTGAAGCATGGTATACAAAATCAAGCTCATGAACCCTGTATCAATAAAACAAGCAAAAGAAACCCTCGAATCTACTTGATTTAAGCAGACTTAACCTTCTCCGTCAACTCGGGCACCTTCTCAAACAAATCCCCAACAAGCCCAACGTCCGCAACCTGGAAAATTGGCGCATCCGGATCTTTGTTAATCGCCGCAATCACCTTGCTATCCTTCATACCAGCAAGATGCTGGATCGCACCACTAATTCCCACAGAGAGATACAGCTGCGGCGCAACATTCTTCCCTGTCTGCCCAACCTGCAGACTGTTATCGGCAAAGCCACTGTCAACAGCGGCACGGGAGGCACCAATCGCAGCGCCAAGCGAGTCAGCGAGGGGCACCATGATGCGGTCGAATTCCTCCTTGGACTTGAGACCGCGGCCGCCGGAGACGACGCGGCCGGCCGTGGCGAGGTCGGGCCGCTCGGATTTGGCGAGCTCCTCGGAGACCCATTCGGTTTGCGCGGGGGCTTGCGGGTCGACACCCTCTGTGATTTCGGCGTTGCCGCCTGTGGCTTCGGCGTCTTGGAAGGCGGTGCCGCGGACGGTGATGACTTTGATGGGATCGGTGGATTGAACGGTTAGGATTGCGTTGCCGGCGTAGATGGGGCGGATGAATGCTTTGGAAATCTGGTTAGAGATTGGGTTGCTTGTGCGTTGAGAGAGACCGGAAGAGAAGAAGACATACTATCTTCGCTTTCAATAGAAGTGATGTCGGAGATTTGCTGGACGTCGAGAAGGGCCGCGACGCGGGGCAGTAGACTCTTTCCGAAGGCAGAGTGGCCTCCGACAATGTGTGTGTATTCGCCCTTCTTGATGTTCTCGACGAGGAGAGGAGCATAGTTTTCCGGGAGGCCCTGAGCGGTATTAGTATTCTCTTCTCCTCCGACATATTCTTTAGAGCGGTATGTACCTTCTCGTAAGCCTCACTCTCAACAGCAACAACCTTCTCCACACCCTTATACTGAGCGGCCTCAGCGGCCGATGTCGCTTTCACGCCATTCCCCGCGACGAACGCCGTAACAGGCCCACCGAGTCTCAATGCAGCAGAGATAGCCGAGAGAGATGAGCTCTGGAGCTTCCCATCGCGCTGTTCAAGCACTGCGAGTGTGGAGAGCAGCCGGGCGAGGGCAGACTGGTTCAAGGTAAAGGCAGCCCGGGCCGGAGCGAATTGTGCGCGGGCGGCGCGGAGGACGGAGGTTCTGGCGGCGAAGACCATTGTAGTCGTGAGTTGGGTGCTTGCTTTTGCGGAGAGTCTTCCTGAGAAGCAAAAGCAAGTCGTGAGTTGGCGTGGTCGTGGAGGATTGAAGAGCGGGTTGAGTCTCGGCGGATGATGAAAGTTCGACTGCAGGGTCCGGTAGCGGGATGTAGAGCGATGGCTATCGTCGGGACCGCCAAGAACCCGCAGATCCTCGGATGGCCTCGGTTATCAGGCGGAACACGCGCACATGAAGTCGCCGTCTTGTCTTAGAGGTGATGACTTGCGGGTTTCTTGACGGATTGCCGAGTTGGTTTCTATTGAAATCTTGTATACTAAAATTCCGCAGCAGACTGTCAAGGGAAATTATTGTATTCCGAAGAGAACCATGCATAATCCTAACTGTACTATAGAGCAACATGAAGTAAAGTCGTCAATGAACTCCGTAAAAAAAAATCAAATCATGAAAGAGACTTTTTCTTCTTCTTGGCCGGGCCAGACGATAATTTGAGCGACACAGCTTCTCCGTCCGCCGATGCCTGGGCCTTCTGCTTCTCCAGCTTCTTCTTACGGGCCGCCAGTGACGATGCCTCCTCCTCGTCCTCAGGCGCCTTCTGCTTCCGCAACTTCTTGTTGCCGCCCTCTAGGAGCTTCTGTTCACCCTCACCCTCGATCTGCTTGCGCTTCTTGTTAGTCTTGTCGTCGGCCTCCTCGCCCTCGACAGCCTCCACCACATCAGTCTCCTCAACCCACAGTTCACTCGCCAACCAGATGGGCATGGCCATTGTGTTGGCGCCCTTGACGTGAATAGCCTTGATATTCCTCCAACCCTTTGAGACATACTTTTCCGTCATACCCTTCACAATAGCATCGATGTTCTCGGACAGCTGCTCGCTCGTAAAGTTGGACGAACCAACCCGGATAGCGGCAGTGGTGGCCGGGGCCAAGTGCACAGGCGCAGAGTTGAGCGCCTTCTCAATCTCCTTGGCGACAATCGCCGTGCTGGCGAACGTACTAGGCTCATCGTCACCCTTCTTCTGCTTGGGATCCTTCTTCACCCTCTTTCCATCCACCTTGTCAATCTGCGCAAGACGCACGGGGATCGGCCGCTTGCTAGACTTGTAGAAAATCTTTCCGAGCGTAGTAACCAGGCGCATGACGATCCGGTCATCGGCGAGGAACACATCGTGCTCAGAGAGCAGCTGCCTCCGAGTCTCAAAGCTCTTGTATCTATCCTTCAATTTCGAGTATCCAATGACCTTCTCAATGCGGGAGGACAGGTGCTGCGGGAACGACGGGTCGGAGACAATGTTCTTCACGGAGCGCTGGGGGTCTGCGGTGATGAGACAGATGCTCAGAGACGGCGAGGCGTTCAGCGAGTGCGGAATGGCAATCCGCCCAGGCTTGAGTCGGTTCTTGTCGACAACGTGCTTCTTCGTCGTGAGCACAAGCCAGACGGCTTCATTGTGTAACGGGGTATCATCGGCGTCGGAGTCAGACTCATTGTCTCCGATCAAAGTCTTCTTAGTTGCGGTCGCTTCCTGCTCGTCTTGCCGGGACTTAATGTGTCGGAGGAGTGCAGATGAAGCTCTAGAGACCTGCCGCAATTGCGAAAGACATTAGACACGGGAGATCGCTAAAATTTCAAGTCGAACTGCACATACCTGGTTCTTGTCAAGCTGGTAGGGTGAGCCCGTTGTCACCTTGGTTGTAAGCGCCGTAGAGGAGCCCATTTTGACTTTGGAGGGTTGTTATGTTGACTCGACCAATTTCAACCTGCTTGAAATTTCCTGATATCGACCGATTAAAAAAAAAGTCGGACAGCAAAGGGCGGTGAGTATTTTGCCGGATATTGATTACTCATGCACCTGACTTGGTGTGTGTCACGTGACTACTATAGATCTTACTCGGCGATTGGTATAGTAAAATCTGTTGCGTAATACATAGAAGTTCTCGATAAGAGTTGGCCTAAGAAGCTCTTTGTCCGGGTACTATACCTCAGCTTTACTTGCTGACTGCCTGATATTTCGTGGTTTGTTAGACAGGGGAAACACTCCACGGACTCGAAAATATATAGTCTGCCATACGCATTGAACCACCAAAATATCCCTAAAGTTCCATTAACTATTGTTGTTGTCTTAATACAATACCCATAAGCCGGAAATTAAGAATCCTTAACCAAAAAAAAGCCTATCTTCGTTACTCGCAAAAGAAGTTGTCTATGTAATCTGGCGACAAATGAAGATACCATTGAGCGACCAATATTGCAACATACATGGAAGCTGTGACTTACGACCCAATACAACCTGGAGTGTCTTCCTCTACAGAGCATGAGTTCAAGTTCCAGAGGAGGATACAGCTTATTATAGAATTCGATTCACGATGGCTACGGAGGTCGAGAAATCTCTGCCCCTGACTCTCTCGAGGCAAGAGAAAGCGGCAGCCGCGGAGATGCGAGAAATGTCAGGTTGGAGTACTCGGCAGAGTATCTGTGAAAGAACGTTCAGGCTTGTTGGATACTCCGCGAGTTCAATGAATGGAAAATTCTTTATGCTATCGGTATAGAACTACTAGCGATAGTGATTTCCTGAGGATCAGTGCCAAGTTGATATTACGATAGACGCTGACGACGAATGGTCCCCATGATACTAGGACCGTTGGAATAATGATAAGCGACCAGGCAGCTCAAAGCTCAGGGGTAAAAAGCTTGTTTACAAGCTCTGTTCATTTTTAGCGAAATGATGCCCGGCAGATGTGGATCAAGTGGATTGGGATCATCCTGCGACTTCATTATTGATGGCACCCGTCTCGATTTTCGAAACAACCATGTCGCTCTGCATCACGGAGTTAGCTGGCAGGAATGGCCAGTGCGCGGATTGAGCTAGATTCGATAGTGCTACGGTCGCACAAGGTGAAGGTTGACTCGACAATAAAGTAGACTCTTAAGGATGCCGTCCAAGTCCTCTTCTCAATAATCAGAGCCGACTGCAAAACAGACATGACAGACTATTGTTGATCAGTCTCAGACATTCTGAAGACTGAGCGGACCTCGGCTATTATTGTACCCTTCTGAAAGACTCGGATGGATCTGATGGTGGACGAGTCAGTCGTGCTACATCGGAGCAATGCGGGGAGCCGGAGTCATCGGAGTCAATCTTGAGTAGTAGGAGTGAAGGTGAGTCGCCCATGATTTATTATTACATGGCGTCCCCAGAATCTTGCAGCCTGGGGCGACCGTTTGCTAATGCTGGAGTATGGTCCGCAAGCAATTACCAGCGCTCGCAGATGGTCAATTAGGACTTGACAGCACAAGATTTCTCGATGCTGAGTTCCGATGCCATTCCTTGGATTTAAAGTTCCTTTGTCAGCACTGCCTTGCTGAAACAGAGCAAAGGAGGCTGGTTCTATAGGTACCGAAACAACTTCAATGCAGAGTCAACAGTAGTGGGCCCTTGAGGTGCATTAGCCAAATACTCCTGCATGCTGTTTGTTTTAGAAAATGCTTGACTCAAGGGACAATTTCACAGAGCTCAAAGAGTCAAACAGTATGCCAGGAGCCGACATCATTTGCCTTGCAGTACTCCGTAGTATCTCGATACTCCTGCTAGGAGGCTCATCGCTCGGGCTCAAGCCCAATTCTTTGATCATCTGCTCATCCTTTTGCTTTGAACAACGGTACTACTGCTTGCCCCACCTATCGGAGGCGTCGTGCGAGTTCCACAAAACCCACACATCAGGCGTTAGACACCGGTTCATTTTGATATCTTCTGCCTGGTTGATATCATCGAGTAACAATCGGAATCTGAGATCGAGCACTGGGGGACCACTAATGAAAAGGAGGAGAACCTTGGAATGAAGTGGCGGGCTGGAGTCTGAGGCGATTGGTGTGCCTGGCATAAAACTCAAGTCCCCACAGCCAAGCAATCGTGATTGGCTAATATAAACATAGTGGCTAAAATCAGCAGCGCCAAGCTCGGATTCAGGAACAGGAAAGCCAAACGCTTGGAAACGTTGCCTGTTGAAGGCGAGACGCCGTGGCAGGAGGTCCAGATGTCGTTCCAAGACGCGATGATGTCCATCCTCACCCTCCAGGGTATTTCCTGCCGAGTCTGAGCCCCCATTGTGGATTTCTTTTGAAGTTTCCCTCCGAACATGCGGGAAGCGGGCTCAAAACAAACACTATGGGGGAGTCTGGGCGGTGGCCACGTCGGCCTCCCCACTTCTGACTGCAAATAATCAAAAGAGATGCGCATGGTTCCGTGGTAGACTGCCTGTATTATAATTTGGCCTTTTCTCAACCTTGGTTGTGTTTCTGGTTCCTGGCGCAACAACCACGGACTGCCGCCAGTTGGCCGTCTGGAGATCGGCCAGGGGCGGACCGGAGAACCTGTATGAATGAAGGAATAGAGCATTGATGAACACCGTTCGAGTGGCCAGAAGCAAGCGCATGTTTTGAATCTTGCAGTGGAACCCCCTGAATTCGACAGGCCAGGTTTAGCGCGAGTGTGTTGATTATTGCCTGCCGATGGGGCGAGCTCATTCGCTCCCTCTGCCCGTCTGCTGGGGCCGCACGCAACTCGCAAGTCTTTCTCCTGTTGACTGACCGACCAATTCAATCTCGCCCTCCATTAAGGTTAAACCTCCTGGGCGTCTCTCCTTTCCCTAAAACCTCCCTCGCCCTTCACGATCCTCTCCTTCTCCCTCTCCGTCCCTCAGCCTCCCCTTCAATCCTATCCCTCGAGCGATCCGTTGCCTTTCGCCCTTTGCGCGTTCCACCCGACCAGAGAGACCCGTTTCTCTCCCGTACATTCATTTGGAAGCCTCCTTTCTTTCCTGAACGACGATTTTCCGATTTTGAATCGATATTCGCCGTCTATACATACATTGATTTATCTGCCGCCCGTGATTTCATTCGTGTACAGCACATCATAAAATCGAACACGCGACTGGATTTCCGTGAAGTTGATGTACGTCGGAGCCTCCCGGTGTTGAGAATGTTCCAATGTGTTGGTCACAATCCTCGTTCAGTCCAAGTGGTCACGATTCGCTTTCTCAAGTGACTGGCTGGACAAAGGGGAGCTCAATAATTGAAATGGACGAGCTTAGCAGCGGGACAAACTGGGGTTGAATGTGTTTTGCTGACCGCGACTAGCGAATTGTCTAGGTTTTGTTGACATTCCGCGATCTATACAAGATGAAGTTTAACTCTGTCGCCCTAACTCTGGCCACCGCCGGCTCCATGGTTGCTGCCCAGCACCAGCACGGTCACCGTCACCACCACAAGCGCGAGGTTGTCACCGTTGACGGCCCCACGGTCGTTAGGTACGAGCTAGATGGCCAGATCATCTCCGCCGAGGACGTGTGCCAGGGAATCACCGACGGCGATTTGGCCTGGGCTGATGGCAAACCGGCCACCGACCCTTGCCAGACCAGCACCAGCACTCAGCAATATACCCCTACTGTTGCGCCCGCTAAGTTCATCGAGACCTCAAGCTCGACCACGACTACCACGACCACGACCACCACCACGTCCACCACCACCGTGAGCGTACCAACAACCACTTCGACTAAGCCTGCTGCCACTTCCAGCGCCAGCTCCCCAGCCGCTACTGGATTGGATGCAGCCTTCCCCGACGGTGAAATTGACTGCGGTACCTTCCCCTCCGACTACGGTGCCGTTCCTCTGGATTACCTTGGTCTCGGTGGCTGGTCCGGTATCCAGTACGTGACCATCGTTGGCCAGCTCGTTAGCGAAATTGTCACTGCCATCACCGGTGATAGCTGCACCGAAGGAGCCATGTGCTCCTATGCGTGCCCCCCGGGTTACCAGAAGGCCCACTGGCCCTCCGCTCAGGGCGCCACTGGCCAATCCGTCGGTGGTCTGCGCTGCAAGGGGGGCAAACTCTACAAGACCAACCCTGACCTTTCGGATACTCTTTGCATTCAGGGAGTTGGTGGCGTCAAGGTCAAGAACACCCTCAGCCAGCATGTCGCTGTTTGCCGTACTGACTACCCTGGTAAGTTTGGCTTGAGTACGCCCGGTTAAGTTCTCTCACTAAATGTCACACAGGTACCGAGTCTGAGACTGTTCCCGTCAGTCTCGCCGCTGGCGCTGAGGATGAGTTGACTTGCCCCAACGGTGCCACTTACTACCAGTGGCAGGGCAAGACCACCTCTGCTCAATACTACGTTAACCCCGCCGGTGTCTCTCAGGAGGATGGATGCCAGTGGGGTGATGGCAGCAAGCCCATCGGTAACTTCGCCCCCATCAACCTTGGTGTTGGAGAGAACAACGGCAAATGGCTCTCGATCTTCCAAAACTCCCCCACCACCAACGAGAAGCTCGACTTCAACATCAAGATCAAGGGTGACAATCTCAGCGGATCCTGCAAGTACGAGAACGGCGTCTTCGTCTCCGACACTGGCTCCAATGACTCAGGCTGCACGGTAAGTTTGGATAATCGACTCGCCTTCAAAAGCTGGTGACTAATTCTGTTTCCAGGTCCAAGTCATGTCCGGTGAAGCCACCTATGTGTTCTACTAGACTCGCCGAATCTATACTCTCCTTCTGGAGCGCTCGACGCCAACCCGGTTCGACTGGTCCAGGCCAAACTGCAAATAGAAGACTTTTTCATGCCTTTCCACACTTGTACGCTTCACTCGCATTCTTGTGTATCTAGTATATTGTGCCATATGACTTGGAACCCTTGATCATCTGTCATTTTCTTCTACTCACTATCAGACCAAGACATTTTACCAGAAAACTATCTTCCCTGCTGTCAAGTAACCTCAATTTCTGTTTCATATACCCATTTCGTTCTTCATCGTATAGGCTGCGGAATTTGGAACGCTAGGATTTCCTAGACCTTATTATATTATGCAGTGTGCGCATACGTTTGCCCTATGCGTCGAGATTGTCGAGATCTTGTCATCACCAATGTTGTAACGGTCCGTGTTTGGTAGCTTTGGCTTTCGGGGATGGCTTGTGGGGTCTATCGGACTGGCCGCTGGTGTCATCAAGAATGCTCAAACACTGCCGTTGGAACGGCCATGGATTGAGGATGATGAGAATCTTTGCTTAGTGCTGCCTCCTCCTGCGTCGTGTTGAAATTGCAGGCAAGAGATTGTGATGCGCAGCCACATTCTCGCCCCGGCGTCGGGTTTTAAATTGGCTGGTTTGCCGGTAACTTACCTTGATCCCAGCATGATTGACAGTACGAGCGCGTCGCGTCGGCGCAAAGACTGGTAGACGTGACAATCACGCACTGAACGCTCAACCAACGGGGTGACTACGGACGTGTTTATAGTACTACAAGATGTTCCTACAGAAATTATCTCTAGATCCATTTCTTTTTGTCTGTTGTAATTTAGTGCAGATGAGAGCTCGAGGCGTCACGGTTCTCCAATCTGTCAGGGCGCAACCTTGCGTCTGATCCTTCGGCCAATCATGAGCAGAATAGTGTATTTCCACATGGGCGGACTTCAAGTCTAGTCTATTTTTGGAAAAGCTTAATGCACGGTCCAGGCAAACGCGCCCACGTGACCTGGCGCGAGTCACGAGACTCGACCCGAAAAACGCGAAGCACATGACATCGATCGCGGACGCGCCACGCCGAAGTATACAATTTGTCAAGGGACACACTTATTGACGTCGCTGAGGTACAGATGGTGTCCGATATGAAATTCTTCGTGTCACTTTTTGCTAACCGCCAAATATGCAGTGCAATGCATAGTTTCTGATAATCAGGCTGAGGGGATGCGCGAAGTGAGGTGGACCCTTGTTGGCGGCGGCTATCGAACGCGTCTCGGACTGTAAGCGTGTATTTGCACACCAGGCTCGTCGTTCCGCTTGCATTCCACCTTCGCACCATTCTCCCTCCCTTTTTTTCTCCTCAATGCACTTTTCATTCTTTTCTTGAGACTCGTTTCTCTCTCGTGCCTCCCAACCTCCTAGTCGTCATCCTAGGAGGGAACCTCCAGGGCCTCTCTTTCCTTTTCGTCCTCAACAGCCTCCCGCCCTGCCTCTCACTCTTTCTGATTGCTACTGTTGCTCGTTCATAGAGTAGAACATCTGCACTGTCCTGGACGCGAGCTCAATTGAGTCTCGTCCTCTTTCTACATAGCTGCTCAAGAAAAGAAAGGTTTGAAGTCTTTAACCCGGGTTTCTGTACAATGGAGTCTTCTCCTCCGAGGAGCAATTCTGTTGCTCCTGTGGCAGGCGTGAAGCGTCCGGCGTCTCTCTTACCTGCTTTTGAGCCATTGAATTCCTCTCCGTCTCTCCCTCGACCGCAAAAGCGTGTAGCACGCGAAGATGATGCCGTCGTCTCAACCTATCCGACTCCCGTCCCGACCTCGTCCACCCATATCATGTCGTCCTCGCCCCCTAGGATGGCCCTACCTCGTAACCTGTCTCGCCGTACTATCACCTCCGCCGGCCCCGAACGAAGCCCGCTCTCAGCCGTTCCTACACTGATGCTCTCTGAAAGCGGCGAGCCCATCACAATGGGCAGATCGAGCGCTTCTTGTCACTACCAACTCGCTCCCAATCGGATGATCTCAAGGATACATGTCAAGGCTGCGTATAAGCCCGCCCCCAATCCTTTCGACCGGGATAGAGTGGAGATAGTCTGCATGGGATGGAATGGAATAAAGCTCCACTGCCAGGGGAAGACGTATGATTTGGCCAAGGGAAAGACATTCACGTCCGATATCAAAGATGCTGATATCATGATCGACGTCCATGAATCACGGGTTCTTGTTCAATGGCCACGCGGAGAGAGGAAGGAGGACGCATCCACAGACTCTGAGCAAACTTGGGAAGAAGCCACTCCGACACGCAATAAGCAAGCCCGCCGCAGCTTACAAGATAGTCCCAGTGCTGAACGCAAACGCTTGGCCTCCCCCATTTCTCCATCACCCGCCGTTAGGTCTATTATGCCTCCGTCGTCCCCTCTTTTCACCCCGACTCGCTCTCGGAATGCAGTGGTTGTGTATGAAGATGAAGGGTCTCCAGTTCGCCGCAGCAACTCTGGTGACGCCCTGAAGCCGTCTTCCGGCGTAGCGTCTCTTCTACAGAGCTCGCAGTCCAGTGACCTAAGTGACCTCAGTAAACCCGAGGACCTGTCAGATCATGATGAGGAGAATGATCCCATTATCCACTCGTTCGGACCGTTTGGTGATAACCTTCTTCCTCGCATGGCCTCCTTCACTGCCGAATCGCCCCTTCGGCCCACGCGCCCTCGATCACACATTCCATCTCAACCTCTGCAACCTGCTCAGTCCCCGAGGCAACCTTCCCAAACAGAGCCTGCTGAAGATGAGCTGGTCAAGCCGCCAGTCATGGACGAGGATGGTGAACACGTTCAGAACCATGCTATCAACCAACTCGCCTTTTCGCGTCTCTCGTCTACACCTTTTTCTACTATCCTTAGTAACCTCCCTCCCTCCCTCTGGAAAGCCGATAGTCAGTCAAGGCATGGACCATCCAAGGCAGAGATTCGGGCGATCCTAGACTCGACCAAGTGCATCGGCAAGGTTGCCCGTGAAGGCAAAGATGCTGCTGGGAAACCACTTGAAAGTGAATACTATTATATTCCCGACTATGACGAGGACCCGATGCGTCGTGAGGCTGTTGTTACCGACCTGAGAAAGCCCGGCCTTCGGAATTGCCGCAAGCAACATAAGGTGAGTCTCATCAAGCTTTTGCCCTAACGGCGTTGCAACGCTAACCCGCACAGCAATACTTTTGGCGCAAACCGAAATAAATATCCTAAAGCCAGGAACAGCACTTGTTATAATACCCGACATACTATTCCGTTCTCAGTACATACTTAACTGTTTTGGGTTCTATTTGATTCCTCTTTTTCCTTTCCTCTAAGGAATCGCATAGCGTGGCGTGGGCATACCCTTTCTGACTTTTTACGTTTTATATGGTGTATGAAGTATGGTGGCTCTTGTTATTTCTCTCACATTGTTCTATTTTGGCCTAGAGGTCCCGTTTCGTCTCATTTTATGTGTGACAAGCCGCTAAACTCTGTCACAGACACTATCTGTGTGGTCTTTGGGCGTCTGTACGGTGGCTGTCAAGCGTCAAGCGATCCGATGGCATCGGCATATTGTACTTGGTTATTTTTGGATACAATTATGATCTGTATGTTTATGTTACCTTTAGTGGAATAAATGAATAAAAGTATTATTACCATTCAACTATATGCTCCTGAACACGATCCTGAACACGTCCTGAACCCATTTAGTGTCTAGTTAGCCAGTGCCAGAAAATTACACAATCAAGAGGAAAGGCGCTTGACCAGGTACTTCAAGTTGATGTGGCCAAGTACCAAGCGATCTAGGGCTCGTGTCGAAGCGAAGGAAGCTCGTATCTAGTCCCGGCTGATCCGCCTGCACGATTTGAGTTATTGTCCTACCTGGGAGACATCTCTTCCTGATCCACCTTTTCTTTCATCGCATGAGTCAAGTCCGAATGGACGACTCCAGCAAGGGCCCTCTGCTGGGCATGCGGCTATTACAGTGACCCCGAGGAGGATGTGGGTAACGAAAAATTCAGTACTTCGAACTCGCTTGTGCAAGAACTACGCTTACAAGGACAATATGTTCGGCATTGGAGCGATGGGACCGACGACGAGCTCTCAACGATGTACTTCCACCACCCACGGGCGTGGACTATGTTTTTCTGCGCGAGTAGGTATCTGCCCTCGCCTCTCTCCATCATAGTCTTTGCATCCTGTAGAAGAGTGGTCGGATGCCTGGCTATAGAAGTCTTGTTCTGATTGGGTACTTGTAGTAATTTCACCTCACGCCAAGCATCCAGCTCAGTGATACACTTTTGGAATACCTATACGTCCTCCAATGCATGGTCTGATATCGACGTGACCGAGCTACTACCCCATTCACTCCCGCTGCATGACCATCGTCGACCGCGTGATCGGGCTCACGCTTGCACGGGAACACCCGAGGGTCTTCCTCAGCGTTATGCTAGGTAATGACTGGCTCTTGAAGGGGTCCACGAGGAGACACATGATGAGGACTTCGGTTGGCAATTCTTGTATTTTGTAGTTATGTGGCCGGCTATTGAAGACCAGCCAAGGAATATGGAATCAAAGAAGAATTATTCGACTGATGGGGAGGGTGAAGGCACGGATGGGACAGCGCTTGGAGAAGAGGATGGTCTATAGGGTGGGCACACACAAAATCATCCTATCACAGGGAGGATCTAAGGGTATTGTGTATCTTGCGTTTGGGAATGGCTAAATAGGGTGAATAAGGTGCAGAGTTCTCAGACTTGCGGGTTCCTTTCTTGCAGTTGATACTGGTGGTTTTGTTAGTGATCTATCACTTGGTGACATACCTTTGGAGAGGACCTTGAATCCATGAGCTTAATCGCCATCAGTAGGTGTGAGATTGTGACATGGGATCCATGATGCCGTTACTGATGCAACTTGAGAGCTTCTGCTCGCTGCTGGCAATCCGCCATGAATGACGCAGGCTCAATCAGCGGCAAATTGGTGCCCAGGCGCTTGGTATACCTTGAATCAAATGTTTCAAGCAGGTTGACAATGAGGGCATTGATTTAGCGTTGATGTGTGCCTCACAGAGAATGAAGAGAACCATATCCAGCGATCGTATGTAGTGTTGGATCAGATTAACGCGGGGCAAGACGATACTGTGGCCACGACACGCTTCCGAAGCCGGTTGATCGAGGGTGGGTCAAAATTGACCATACGTCTACCGGTATCTGTAAGAACTGCTCGAAAAGGCATGCTATGATGGCGGCTGCTCGTAAGACCTGCATATCCGGTGCAGTTGCAGGCCAATGGAGGAACTCAGCGATCCAGAAAACGACATGGTTATATTGGGAATTGATGGGTGCGAGATTTCGGCGCCCGCTTTGAATTTTCTAATTATTGAAGGTTATATGCTGTAATCGCGGCCGCTGCAGATTTAGTGGCGAAAAGCGACGGCTTGTCCGCACAAGCTCGAGCATTGAGCTGTATCTTCCTTGCAATGGCTGGTATCCGAATACGGCTGGCGGAGAAGATTGGTTCTGCACTGTGCTTTTGCACGGGTTCCAAAAGGCACTTATTGAAATCCAAGGGCGGATGGCTGTTTTGAAATCGCATTCCGGGCATCGAGACGAACGAAGGGACTAGGGGGCATTTTGTACGATTGGTATTGCAGTCAAAGTCATGGACGGGAATATTGGTAGGGATTTCGCAGCAGTGGTTTGAGAGGCTCCAGACTGGGCCGCTGGAGGGTCGTTAAACAGCTTGCAGCGCTTCACTATTCGGACATCTTGAATACTGCTGGCGTTGACACGGACTTCCTGCACCCATTCGAATCACGACGGATCTGACGACAGCCAACCGGTCTGCTTGCTGCGCTGGCACGTGCTGAAAAGCAGCATTAATAACCTTGAAGTTTCTGCTTGGACGTATGAGAGAAATAGCCCTAAAAGCGAAGAGCAAGAAAGTGTAGAAGTGCGACAAGTGAGGTTGAGCGACAAAGAGAGTTAAGCGCAGAGGGATGACGGGGTCGCACCGAAAGTCAAGCACTCCGTCTCCGCCGCCTTCGTCTTGCAGTTTCGCCGCAGGGCCTCTTTTCAGCATCGTGCAACATCCCTTGAACCGACCGCACCCGTTCCCTGCGAGACTCAGGCGTGGCGCATTCAATTTCTATTTATCTCACCAATGTGGCGTTCAAGTCACTTCCACGCTTTCCGTTCCGACTTCTTAAGATCTCTCCACGACAGTTGAATTCATCGCGGGGGTAACGCACTGGGCGGTAAGAGATGGATCGGCAGAGAAAGGGTACGCTCACACACATACACTCGATGGAACTGTGTAATATTGGGATGCATTTCTAATCATGTTCGGTGTATAGGGGACCTACGCCTTCTTAATGAGAGAGCCTGGGCCGGCGAGAGTGGTAATGTCCCGCTTTCCCCTCACCAAGCATTCTCCTAACATTTGACGCGCTACAGATGTATTCCCTGTCGGAAAGTCTCTCGACTCATCGTTGAAGAAGAATACGGCCTTTATCAAGCGACTCCGCACCGGAATCAACGCTGCTGCTCAGCAGACCCTTCTGACCGATATCCGCACCCTATCCCTCCATAAATACCTTTCGGAGATCATCTCGGCGTGCTACGAGGGCTTATGCAAACTCAAGTCTCCTGGAGAAATCACTGCCGGCGTCGAGATTACGAGTGCACTTCACCAGCGATTCGGCCCAGCGGAGTTTACCCGACAAATTGGATGGCTGCTCGGACGAGGTCTTAGCTCACCGGATAAAAGCCAGCTGAAGGCTCTCAGCCAGGAGCTCCGCGAGCGGGAGGAAAAAGAGCGACTGTCGCGCCACCGAGTTCTACTGAAGGTTGTGACGGAGTTATGGTTGGTCGGAGTGCTTCGAACACTCGATGACGTTGAGCGGCCGGAGGATGTGGGTGCAAAGGGCAAAGATGGGGCCGCTGGACTGAGCAATAAAGTGGCCGAGGGGGTATCAAGAAGCAGACCCGCGATCACGGGTGATAGAGAACCAGATCCATTTCCCTTGGAAGTTCTGAAGGAGCTTCTTGGGCATGATCGTGACCACTCGAATTTGCCGCTCGCAGTACTGTTTGCAAAAAGCTTCAGCTGGGATGTTCTGGGGGTTAAGACCACGGAAGAGGGTAGGAAGACTGTCGAAGCTGATGGTGCGACCACGACGAGTACGCCTGCCGAGGCGTTGAACGGTGCTACAGGAGAAGAGGTGGCCCTCGAGGATGATGCATCCCTTACGGGGGAGAAGACACAGTTCCGGTTCAAGAGTATCCTGAACCGGTATCTGGAGGATGTTAAGGCTCATGTTGTTCGCGACCAGAAAGCCCTTACCGCGCAGAGGGGACGCAATGCTGAAGCCTACGTAAAAAGTGGTGAAATTTTCGAGGATCGGCAGGCAAATTTTGAGAGGCAGACCAAGTCGTTGGAGAAGTTGGTTGCAAACACTCAGGTCCTGTGCGAGATTTTGGGTGTCGAGATGCCTGCATTGGCTGAACAGGAGGCTTCCGATCCTACTGCCAGTGGTGGTATTGGCCTTGTGAAGACCTCAGAGTACCTTCGCGGACAGGGAGAAGGACCTGGTATTTGGGAAGACGAAGAAGAGAGGCGTTTTTACGAGAACCTTGTCGATCTTAAGGGCAAAGTTCCAGCTGTGCTGCTGGAGGATGCCAAGAAGAAAAAGAACGAAAATGGCGAATCTGCGAAGAAGAAGGCTGACGGCGAATCGATTGCTGAGCCAAGTGCGGAGAAAACTGAATCTCCAGTTCAGAACGAGGAGAAAGTCGCTGAAGCTGACGATCAATCTATGGCCATTGCAAGCAAAACTGTCGGAGCTCAGGTCGATGCACTTCTGGCAAAGCTTCCTGATTTGCAGACCAAAGACCAGGTTGACCAGCTGGCGCTTGATTTTTGCTTTCTCAACTCGAAAGCCTCGCGAAACAGGCTGGTCAAGGCTGTCTCGGAAGTCCCAAAAGGCCGCATCGACCTTCTGCCTTTGTACTCGCGTCTTGTTGCGACTCTCGGACAGTACATGCCCGACATTCCTCAAGGATTGACAGCGTATCTCGATGAAGAGTTCCGCAGCCTTCAACGTCGCAAGTCAAAGGAGTTCCTGGGCCAAGTACGAATGAGTAACATTCGTTACCTCGCCGAATTGACCAAATTTGGAGTGGTTCCCGAGCATATCATATTCCACTGTTTCAAGGTCTCTCTTGACGAGTTTTCACGCATGAACATTGAGATTATTGGCCACCTCTTGGAGAATTGCGGACGCTACTTGTTCCGCAACCCGGATACCTCGCCGCGCATGGCATCGTTCCTGGAGACTCTTAGTAGAAAGAAAACCGTCCAGCATCTCGGCCAGCAGGAACGAATGATAATCGAAAACGCGGTCTACTACGTGGATCCTCCGCATCGTCCGGCCATCCAGCAGAAGGAGCGCACTCCCATGGAATCCTACATTCGGAAGCTTATATACTTGGACATGAATAAGCGAAACTACACCAAGGTTCTAAAGTCTATTCGGAAGCTTCACTGGGAGGAATTAGAGGTGGTGAACATCCTGGAGCGAGTTTTTAGCAAACCCGCAAAGGTCAAGTACGGCAACATCCATTTGCTTGCAATCCTGGTCAGCGCTCTTTATCGGTATCACCAGAAGTTTGTGATTGGAGTCGTGGATAATATCCTCGAACATATTACACTCGGCCTGGAGCAAAACGATTTCAAGTTCAACCAGAAACGCATTGCAGAGGTCAAATATCTCGGTGAGCTGTACAACTATAAGATGATTGACTCTCCTGTGATCTTCGATACCTTGTACCGAATTGTCACCTTCGGTCACGGTACGTCTAATCATAAATATTCTTCGTTCATGGCTGACTGTTATTCAGAGGGTGGTACCCCGATGCCGGGGAAAATCAACATCCTAGATCTTCCGGATGACTTCTTCCGGATTCGTTTAGCATGCACGCTTCTGGACACATGCGGTCACTGTTTCGACCGAGGCTCTGCCAAGAAAAAGCTCGACTTCTTCCTGAAATTCTTCCAGTACTACATTTGCACCAAGGATCCCTTGCCGATGGATATCGACTTCCTTGTGCAGGACACCTATTCTCTGACCCGACCTCAGTGGAACCTGGTAACCGACCTCGAAGAAGCCAGCCGTATTTTCGGTGAGGCGGTAGCCCAAAATTTCAAGCCACAAGATTCAGAAAAGCCTGCTGAGCCCGAGGATGAATCCGAGAGTAGCGCGTCCGAAGAAGATTTGGAGGAAGACGCAATCCCAGAGGCCGAGGAGGAGGGCGAGTCAAGTGACGAGGAGGTGAGTAAAGGAACCTAGTATAAGACTTATGCTGATGAAATAGGTGTCCGGCCCCCGCACCGAGCGAAACGACGACAGCGAGTCGGAAGAGGAACAAATTTTCGTCACCCGTCAAGAAGAAGAGCGCGACCCCGAAGCGGAGGCCGAGTTTGACCGCGAATTCGAAAAGATGATGGCGGAAAGTGTTGAATCGAGAAAGTTTGAGCGCAAGCATGTTTTTGACCTGCCTCTCCCAATGAAACGCTCTGCTCGCGAGACCACTGTTGAAGCCCCGCCAGTTCCTCAAGCCCCCCAGGCCCAGGCCCAGGCCCAGCCCCAGGCCCAGGCCCAACCCCAGCCTTCGGGCAATACGATGGCCTTCTCCTTGATGACGAAGAGGGGAAATAAGCAGCAGACCCGAACGATTGATTTGCCATCCGATTCTACATTTGCCGTTGCCATGAGGAGCCAGCAACAGGCTGATAGGGAGGAGCAGCAACGGATCAAGAACCTTGTCTTGAACTACGAAATGTCTAATGAGGTTGAGCCAACTGAAGGTAAGTGGCTAGTTCTTATACACGGGCTTATTCTGACCTGTCTAGATGTTGAGAAACGCTCTCCACACCGCGACAGTAGGATGGACAAGTCAGCCGCCAACCGTTCCGCGTTCCGTTCCCGCAAGCTCCAACTCAGTGACGTGAATTGGTAACACTAAGATGTGATTTACTATCGATCATCATCCATGTCCAAGACGCTGGATTTGTACACGCGCTGGACCAGAACCAAGCCATTGGATTCTGACATGAACGTGAATCAGACGGGAGCAGCCGACTTGCATGCATATAGCAAGAGCAGAAAACCGTTAGGGAGCTATCCCTGCTCCACTAGTCGCAACCGCCAAAGAATTTATGCTCTTCAATTAGAAAAGCATTAAATTCGACTTCGACTAGTGGCAGCTTAAACTTATCCCCGCATTTGTGCCTTTCGGCATGTAGAGTGCTGTGTGCAACCCGAAGCCTGGACACTCCGCTGTGCCTTGGCATCGGGATTATCTACGAGCTTTATGTCCGCTAGGTAGTCGATATATGGGATGCAGCAGTTTGCCATCCAAAGCTGGCGCTTCGAATGGTCGACTTACACATCGTATCGGATCGCATGTAGACTACCACGTACTTATCTTTTCATGCGAAACAAGAATGTCACTAGATTTATTCATAACCTCACTCAAGCTTAGTGTGTAGATGGATTAGTAAAGTATTGCACTCTTTAGCCTGATTCAAGGACCACTGTAGATGCACAAACGGCTTCACTTGGAGTTCCCTCATGTTTCCGTAACCGGAAAGCAATCCCATAGAAAAGATAGTACCAGGAATAGAAGCTGCAAGTCAGCCCACAAAATACATCTACGGCCTTATCTGCCAGTGTGTCTCTTCAGCTACAATGTATCCTATTATCTATGTGCATCCCGGACAAGGAAGAACAGCCTCACAGTTTCTATACAGAAATCTGTGTATCTCTCCAATACGTCCTAGAAGTACATGTGTAGGTAGGGCAATAAAATTACTCTAGAATAAATACTCAAATCTCCTTAAGTACCGTTCAAGGTTTTAGACTGTCGAGTGATTATTAAGAGACTTTTGGAAAGCCACAATATCTTCAACCTTGAGCCGGGCGAGTTGCAGCCCTACATAACCCCCAAACATGAAGCGCCATGTCATTGTCAATCATTGCACAGACCAGCCCTTAGGAGCAGGGTCAACATCCGTAGGAAAATCTTAGTCAAACATGCATAGTGGCAGTGACAGCTTGTGTAACAATCACGTGGTGATGTCTAGAGACAAAGGGACACCACCTCAACACCCCCCATCCAGGAACAACCATCCTGTCGGGCTTATGCTTATGACACTCCAGACGCTTTATACTCTGCCCATGTACACAGTCACCCACTCGAGTGCCGAAACCAAAGCACGAATCCCCAGATTCATACCTTAGACATCTCATACTATCAGAATGCCACCCCTCAACGACCAACGCCCTGAAACAGATTACGAGCGCTGGCTACGTGAGCGAAAACCTGACTTTGAACTGGGAGAAGCGCCGCTATACGATGCATCTCAAAGAGACACCCTCGACCTGGAGAAAGGTCGCGAGAACTCAGCGCCTCAGCTACCAACTCAAGCTCAGAATGTTGGCTACTCCAGTACACCCTCACGCCTGCATGCACCTGGCACACCACCGTGCCCTAGAGACCTTGTTGACTGCCCAGTGGGGCTTACTCCACATGCTTGCTGCTGGATCGTTGTGTCTGGCCTTGCGATAGCGCTACTCGCGATAGTTCTCAAACGAGCGAAAACGGCGTCCCATCGTGACTGGACTATTCACCGTGCAGGGCACGGAAAGCTCGAAAAGCGCATTTCTTGAAGCAACGTCTCCTAAGAGATGTTCTTCTCGGAATTACACAAGGTGCCGGCGAGGGAGAAGAAAAACGCAGTGTCTAGTAAGAGAAAATCCAACGCCAACAATCTATAATTCATGCTCTGCTAACTCAACGAAAGCCTTCATATCCCCCAAAACCTTCGCTACATGTCCACCCAAGACCTCATCGCCCTTCAACACCCACCACTTCTGATGCACCGACTTAACCCGCCCTCGTACTCTGCTCGACCCACACCTTTGTGATTCTAGTGCTGTCCGACACCCCTCTACGGCATCCGACCATCGCGGTGGGCACAGCTAGGAGATTTTGTTCGGGGTAATTTGGGTCAAAGGCGCCGGGCTGATCGAGAAGGGCTAGGTAGTAATCAAACACCGTATCCGGAGGAGCAAGAACGAAGAACCCGGCATTCATGTAGTTATCCCTAACGTAAACGTCCTTCCCAGAGTCCCGCGTGGGAGGTAAGTTCTGTTCGACCCGGAGATCGTGGATATGGGCAATCATGTAAGTTGGTGGGAGCTCCAGAGCATCTCCTCCTTCTTCCTTTTCTCCTTCTTCTCCATCTTATCCAGCATGTCTGACTTTGTCTGCTGAACGGAGTAGCGGCCACCGTAAAAATCCCATCAATCCTCTCGAACAGCATTGAGTCAGCATCAAGGAAGGCGATCTTGGTGTACTTGGTCACCTTCCAGACATTCAGCTTCGCGAGGACCCGCTCCACCGCTCCTATTTGGCATAGACCCATTCCCGTGTTATGTTCTCGACCGGGATGACGAGGGTGCCGTCTTTGGTGAGAGTTGTCCGCTGCTCCTGGGATATATTCTCCGTGACTAGCACGAGCAGCGGGACATCGTCGGCGCTTCGAGTGTCGGGGTTGTGGAGGAGTTGGTAGGTGAGTAGGCGGGCGGCTGTGAAAAAGTGGCTTTCGACTTCGGACTCGGTGTCACCTTCGCCGGTCAGGATTGTTGCGAAGGCGTAGGGGATGGAGCTAGGATCGGGGCTTGCATGTTGCTGGGGTAATCTTCTGAAATGCCGATAGAATCAATGGATGTCGACCGAAATGTCAACCCGACCATTAGCGCCGCCCAAATGAAGATTTGGATCAAGACAACCTTCACTGGTCTTGCGGAAGGGTGGTACGAATGGAATGGACATCTTGAGGCTCTTACTTGTTGGGTGGGCTTGCAAGAGTCCGAATCACACAAAAGAAAAATCATGATGCAGTAACCAGAGTAGAAAGACTTCTCTACCAGTGGCAGAGGTCCTCAGGACAAAGGAGGGGGAACAAACGCCATAATCTCGGATTCAAAGCAGCGAAATGGGGGCGTCTCCTTCCTAACATCTTTCCTTCATTCAAATTTCCACAAATTCACATAGAAAGAGTAAGCAACACTGGCAAGAATATCCAGTAAGATACCACGGGCTATGCATCAATTTCTGGGGCATGCGCCCTGTAAGCTGACTGACTGACTAACTTCACCATCGGTACCTTCAAGTCGTTCTCAGCCTCCCATGGAGTGACGTGGCCGCAGATGGGATGGTAGCACGACGTGTGTTTGCTTGAAGCCAACAGGGAAATCTCAGTTTCTCCCCGGCCTGCTCAGGATCCTATTAGTATAGAACGATGCATGGGGTCGCCTGTTTTCATACACAGCGGCGCCTTCCAAGGTTGACAGCAAGGCCCCCGGAGCGCGTACCTAATGCCAAGTGAAATCCATGAAGTCACATTACTCACGCTTCAAGAAAACAAAGAGCCTTGCAGCTTGAGTGGCTCCCTAAGCGTGCCTCTTCGATTTCTCAGCTACCGGCCTTGCATACTGGATCTCTTTGATCATTTGCAAATTAGTTGTCAAGGGCTTACCTCCTTGTACCATGGCTTGCCCGCCACTGCACCTGCTCTGTGGAAGGTTGCATTTGATTCCGGCAGAGCATCCGTGGACCTTGTTTGAAAAGTATTCGCCGCAAGGGAGCCGCGGAATCCGAGTCTCAACAATTACACCAGATTTATGTACTTTGAAGAAATTGACACTTTTCAGGACAATCTAATAGATTGGTCGCCGGGGACATTTTAACTACCTAGCTAGGTACCGTTCAACGAGCGATGTGCGCAATATCCGGGATTGAAACGCATTTTTTAGAGACAGCCCCGTCCAACCAATCCGTTGCCCTTATGATGTTGAATCTTGGACTCTTGCTATCTAGGTACCACTCAGTCACTCATCACTCACTCAATCAATCACTTAATCACTTGACCTGCCGACCCTGGAGCATGCCAGTCCGTCGACCATCTCGCCGGCAAGGAGGAGGAGGGCAGGAGTTGATGAGAACCTGCAGTCTGACCATCTGTCCGTAGATATACTGTAATTGCTATTCCTAGCGCGCAATGATCTAGCACCTGGCACCGCCGTCGTTGCCGCCGCGGCATGAGGCACGGCGGCAATCCTGGATCTCCGTCCATCTACCACCCCGGCACTCGACCTTGCCGCAGAGATGACATATTAGCAGGAACGGGACAGGACGAGACGGACTCAAATTAACTAGAATATCGGTAAGAGGATATCAACATACCACACCTGTCCTATCGCAGCCACAGAAGTGCCTGTCTCCATTGGAAGCCTGGCAGGGACTGTTTGTGCGTCTCTGGTCGCCGGCGTAGCCAGGGCCACAGGTATCTCTTGCATCGAGGACGGGGACGGAAGCTGCAGCGCCGACGGTAGCAGCGGCCAAAATGGTGTAGAGAAGAGCTGTGACCTTCATTGTAGAAAGGTGGTGCTGGGGTATATCTGGAACAGAACAAAGTAGGGACCCTGGAGATATATTGAAAGAACGAGAGGTGTTCTGGTAATGCTTGGGGTTCTTTCTTGTGCTGGGTTGGGGAGGTTCTTGGGTTCTCAGGTGGAGAGATTCTGACCTTTTTATAGACCACTTCCTCGAGGCAAAAGTCTCCTTCCTGGTGCAATTGATTTGGGCTTACTCCCGAGCCCTGGTGCAAGAGCACCACATACGAAACAACGGCCCCTACAAAAAAAAGCATACATGTTGAAGATCGCAGTCTGAGGTTGAGAAGAGAGTTTCCCATGACAGATTGTAATACAGACTACATCGGGCACGCCGATGACATCGACTAGCTGACGACCCCAGGGCCTTTACGATACCAGGCAGGCAAGATCCAACGGGAATATTCATACCACCTGGCGTCGGACAGGCTGGCTCGCAATGAGTGCGAATGGAACAACTACCTATTTGAGGGTTTGTATACCCCACAGCGACTCAGTTTAAAGTGTGAAGCGAGAGACATACGCACCAACAGGTGAGTAATGAAGAGTTAGGCGCTGGCTTACGGCATATCATTGCCACTCATCAGGTTTTTGGTGGAGCAGATCGCTGAGATGCATTGGCGTGATATGCCTATAGGTCAATGTATGGATCTAATAGGCACCCGAAAAGCTCCGCTTACCATCACAGACGTATCTAACTAGGCAAGCCATGCACCTAATCTCATAACGTTCCAGCTGGATGGTTATCAAGCGCAGTTTTCTACCATGTGCCACCAACCCGCTAGCCTAGTGTACCTAGAGCACCTGAGAACAAGACCTCCTTGTAGTACAGTGCATCCAGAGTGATACTAAGGTTGTGAAAAGCATCCGGCTACATGATGACACGGGTTAGACAGGGGCTCTGATCAGGTCTGTACTTACTCGGCATCAGCGCCGTCGAAAAGTCTGCGCAGCCAATGGTCAGATGTGACGACAGATCCGGGGTTGATTCGCCACTCCATGTCGGGGAACGCCATAATAAATTAAGCCACAGACCGTCGGAACGGGCCGGATTCAGAATTAAGATCAACCACATCAGGAAGGTGAGCCGGTATGGAATGATAGAAAGGCGAGTGACTCTGTTTGAGGTGCGGAGTGGTCACCACTGGCAGCAAGCCCTAGCTTGATGAAGCTAATAATGACAAGGCCGCTTCCCTGCAAGCGACGCTTCTTACTCAGACTCTGGGTAGAGTAATCCCGCTTCTCGGCTCTTCATGACTGGTAATGTGAGGAATGTCCGGCAAGAGATGTAAGTGAGGCGATGTATTATTCTCTTTACTCACTTCGATCTCTACCATGAGTAGGCTTCAGAGAAGGTAGGTTTGATGGCTTGATGGACGTCCCACCCCAGTGACACCACTAAAGCTGACACAACGCCGCATGTGACCGGCCGACTCTGGCGTGTACGGTGTATGGGATATGCATCGTGATGGGCTGTGTCACCCACTGTCTGTCTCTCGAATCCGTCGCACGAACCCCCGCCCTCGCTGAGTCGCTGACTCGTTGATCGTTGTACCAAACTCAGTATCCAACGGCCAATGAATCTTTAAGTTTGCAGGGAACGGCTTGATGTGCTTCTTGTGTTCATTGAGATTTCCCTTAAAAGGACGGGCTGGGAAGGGAAGGTTCGTGAGATGGCAGTGGCATTGACAACCGACTGGGCTACTCGCGCTATGACACACAACTTGAGGACGAGGCATCAGTCGCAAGTAAAGCCATTGGGATCATGGACAGAGAGTTACTTGGTTGCAAAGTTCTCCAAACCTGGACCCTGTTCAAGTCTTTGGGTAAGTACTTAGGCTGTACTCCGTTGACGGCGATTTTCTCGTTTTCCAAAGTCTGCTACACAGCCCAAGAGATCAAGCCATAAGCGGGGGAGAGTGTCCGCCCAGGACATCTTACAGACATGGAAAGCCTGATATTAATGATGAGATAACCCGATTTTGCGGATCAGCTGTGCCTTCTTGGTCTCAGATGATGAATGGCCACAGCGGAGTCAGAAGGGCTGTGCTTATACTAGTAACTCAAATTCATGGATTAGCTGTAATTGGAAATTGGAGAAGAAAAGCTAAGAGGAAGCCTGACTGGCCTTCTTGAGTATCTGCCCATGTTTTCAAAGTGCGAAAGAAGAAGACGAGCAATCTGGTGTTGATTTGGTCAAGTGATCATCTAACTTCAATCCCCGCTCTCTGCTTGATGGCAGTTTGGATATTTCAGGAGTTGTGTTACCCTAGTGTGTGGTCAGCGGGCATATCGTAAAAGATCATGTGGTACCAGGACCTTTATTAGTAGATTGGCACCTGGTACGTAAAGTGTTGGTGTAAAGTCAATAGGCGCGATGCCGCACGACGCAGGTACTCTGTCGGGGCTCAGTCAGAGCCACAGTGGCACAGCTGCGCCCCATATATGACGGTGGTTACTTTTTGTGTAGAAGAACAAGAACAGCAAGTGGTCTGGTGTTACAGCCTATCATAGTCCTCTAATTATCATACCATGTACAAATACTCTATCTGGCAGCGAGCGGAAATATCAAGAAAGGAAATGATCTGGGTGTCTGTAGTCTTATGCTCAACAGGTCAATATACAGGGATTTGCGGGGCTTGAGAAGGCGTGACAAAGATAGAGGAACGGGAGGTATGGTGAAATTGGATTGGGTTGGGTTGGATGATATAGTACACTCTAAATATGCTTCTCTGTCTGTATCGTGGAAGTCCGCACTGGGCATTCAACCCGCATACAAGAGGTGTGTTTATTTCTCCGTCTGCTGCTCGGGTGCCTTCTCGACTTCTGACTCGTGCCAGGCCTTCGGAACGACCTCGCCGGTCTCGGCGACCTCGCCGCCAGCCTTCACCTGGTCGCGGGCCTCCTTGGCATGCTCGTGCTTCTCCTCCGGGGTCGTAGACGCATCGACCTGGGAGGCTAGGGGTTGCTCAGAACCGGCGTTGGGCGCTTCGGGCTCGTCATCTTCAAGCTCCGCGCCGTAAACTTCGGGATATTGGCGGAAGCAATCTTGCATAGCCCTGTAATCGCGGTCAATTATGGTCCCTCAAAAAGCAAACGCGCGCGAGAATGGAAGGCGGAATGGAACAAACGCACTTGAACTTATCGATGCAATCAATCCCCTTGGGCTCCTCCTCGGAGTAGACGAAACAGCTGAACGCATTCCGGAATTCCTCGCCGCACGGCCCGTAGGCCATCCCACCGAGACATGGGCAGTCCCAGTTGATCTCACCGGTCTCCGGGTTGAATGCGGCCTCCTGGCCAGCCTCGGCCTCGAGCTCCTCTGCAGACTTCAGGGTTGCTTCTGACTGTGCGTTTTCAGCGTCGGTGACGGTCTCGGGTGTTGCGGGAGCGCCCGGGGTAGAGGGTGCGGCGGGTTTGGCTTCGCGCGACTTGGGCTTCACAGACTCGAGGGTGGGAAGGGTAGCATCATCATCTTTCGGTGTGGGCTTTGGTTGCGAGCGGAAGGAGACTGTTTGCGCGCAATTGCACCATGTCAGTTATCGTGTTCCTGGATGGATGGGGACGGAGGGTGTTGAGCTCCCGAAGGAAGGAGTTTTGGTGTACGCACGCGACGGGCTCTCGGCGAAGACACTGCTCGTGTTGTAGTAATAGACGGCACCGGCGGCCAAACCCAATCGCACAAAGGTGCTCTTCCAGCTTCTTGACTTTGTCCCGGAAGGTGTGCTGCTTATCAATCGTCGACTTGTGGTTGCTGGGCTCCGGACAATGGACCCGGGAGCGCGGAGGAGCGCCCTAGAGGCGGGGCGAAACATTGTGGGTGGACGGGAGGAGGTGGGAGGGGAGCGTAGAAATGGGAAAACGAGCGTGCTCAGCGAAGTGAGCGAGACATGGACGAGCGATGAGGTCAATTGAGCGAGCGGAGGGTGCGTGGGCCGGAGAAACGTAAGAATTCGGAACTTTGAGGTTCCTGGCCTGAGGCTGCAATCGCTGGCCAATCAGGTTTGGCCTCAGTTGTTACTTTCAGTATAACCGTCAATTAGGGCTGGTCAGGCATTGTTGCGCTTTGCCTGATTATTATTTTTGTTTCGGTTTAAAATGAGAGTATAATGCAAGTTAGAGAAGCTATTATTACATATTATGCATTCTAGCAAAGCACGATTATCGTTTCTAGATACCTCGGAGTACAAACCAAGCATACGAGGCCCATATCAACGGTATTTACTACTTACTAGTAGATATTATCAAATTCATAGAGGCTGTACTTTGTATAAACGTTGAACCAAGGTCCATTGCATCTACCTCATGCGGCGCTGATGCTTCTCACAAGACAGGTATGGTGGACCACGGTACCTGTACCCGCTGCCAGGGAATCAGTCGCACCTTCCTATCTCATAGACTTATCATCGCACCTTCCTCACCTATTCATCCTTATTTTCGAAAGAACGGGAAGGAGCAACCCAGTTACCTGGTAGCCTAGGTAACGAATAGCTATGGAGGTAAGAGGAAGCTGCGACCCTGGTCGCACTTGCTGTGCACGGTTTCATTTTATTCAAGCCGTGTACTATTCTTATGGTCAGACCCAGCAGTTTTAGACCGTCTTAATTACTTCTCTTCCGCGGCCGCCTTTGCACCCTCAGGATCATGCGCAACAACCTCAATCTCCACACGCATATCATCCTCACCCAGTCTCGTAACCCCCACACAAGTCCAAATAGGCTGGTGGTCGGGCATGTACTTCTTGAAGTTTCGTACCATGGCGTCCAGAGCCTCGTTGTTTATTGGGACATGGTACGAGTTCACACGGTAGACCTGCGACCAGCCCTTGCCGCCAGCATCCTTTAGGCATCGTTCAACGTTGGCAAAGGCCAGGTCAATCTGGGCGTTGATTTCTCGCGCGAACTCGCTGGTGATGGGGTCCCATCCGCCTGGATTGTGTTAGTTTCTCTTCATTAAATGTTGGGGATATATGTATGGGGCACTTAGTTACCTTGGCCGGCGCATTCAATCCGGTCTCCAACGCGGACGGCTTGGTTGTACCAGAAGTTCTCCCGGTTTCGAACGCCGGTATTCTCGTAGGCGTAGTATCTGAGGTGAGACATGATGTAGAAGTCATTTGATGAGGAACTACTAAGCGGGAAAATGCATTGAATTTGTAGTATAGTTAACTATAGTTAAAGTGGATTACGTCATCTCGGCGGAAGATGAGTTCCTTCCTGCCGTGTGGGGCACTGTTTCTGAGTCCAATTCCTGCTTAATCTCTCATATTTGGATTTGTAATATGGAACATTCTCATCTTCTGCTCAACGATGGAGAAGCGTGTCCTCAGTGACCGGGAGACGATCCCATGAATGCCGCCGGCGGAGAGCAAAGGTACGTTTATCCACCGAGTTTGCACTTCAATTGCTAAGTTATAGGCAGTGTAATAGCGACAAGCCTTCTTGTTTGAAGTGCTTGGATCGTGAGATTAATTGCGTGTACGCCGCCACGGGAGACCAACAGGGCACAGCACCCGAGTCGCTTGCTCATCTATTGCGGTCACAGATCAACATGCTAGAACAGATTTCGCAGTACTCGTGACGCTCTGTCTCAGATGCGGGAAGCAGTATTAATTAGGTCCTTCACGCATAGTAGATGGCGAACGGCAGCCCCTCTCATATATTCTGGGTATCCCAGATATAAGATATCGAAGCCGTGGTCCCAGAAGCAGTCAGCTCGGGAACATCTCAAGAAGTTACGCATGAAGCTTCGCAGCAATTAGTGACCTCTCGCTCAGAGATCGATGACTCGTTCCTCGAGGACATGGTGGGGGGAAATCCAGACTTTACTGGAGGAGGTGTCTTCCTCCAAGATGACCGATGGTTGCAGGCCTTTTGGTTTGATGTTTTAACTGAGCGCCCTGGTCTTGATGTTAATGATGGATATTTCAGCTACATGCGCGATCCAAGTAGAAGATTCTCCAGAAACAAGAAATCAGCCAGGGTGTCAGGGATAAAGCGCTACGAAATGGAAGGGGGATGAAAGCGTGCGGTTGCATCCAGGTTATTACCCGAGCCTGGAGAAGTGAGGTGTTGTATCTGCCGGTGTTCCTTCCACCAGCAGCAAGAATCTTTGAGTACATGATATCAACACAGGTAGCCTAAGCAATCTTTTCACTGCGTGGCATCCGCAAAGATATGCTAATGATGCCACAGATAACTAGGCCGGTGGCAAAAACGGGCAGTCTGCTCAACTCATGCAGGCTCAAATTATCATCCGGGCTTCATTTACAAATTCCCTCAATGGCTTGAAAGACCTATGCACACAGCATTCTATTGTGAAAGAGATTTCACCACTTTTCCCAATCGTCCTTCCTTCCCTTCTCTTTTCCTTTCTCTTCCTCTTCCTCTCTTCCCTCTGTCACCCATCACCATCTCAGCTGGGAAGCTCATTTATCTACCGACCTTTCTCCTCTCATCACCACCACCACTACAACACCAACAAAAACAAACCACTCTACTTGCAAAGCAATCTTCTCAAAATGGTGCGCCCAAAGACCAACTCGATTAGACCATCGCTCCATCCCGCCGCCTCAGCCGCGCTCGAATCCTCAACCCCGCCGCTCAAATTCACCTTCAACCCCAACAACACGGACGAAGGCTGCATCAAGTCCTACGACACAAACATCATGGGCAAGTTCACATGCCACAACCTTAAATGCCCCAACGACGGCCGCAAGAACGTCTGGACCAGCAAAAAAATCGCAATCACTGTCCGCCTATATCGCGACGAGAAGTACAACGTTCGGGTCTATCACCAGCACTGCAAGCTGTGCCATTGGGTTTGGAAGCCCAAGTTGGATGAGGGGTGTTATGCGGCGCGCATTGTCTATCGTTTGAAAACGTGGAGTGGATGCAAGCATATGGAGGTGCCTCCGTATAGGAAGGGGAATGGTAAGGGACCACATATTAGCAAGCTGTGTGAGGGGTGCAAGGCGGGACATTGTACAGCGTTGGGTAGGGGCAGAAAGGAGGAAGACAAGTCGGAGGGGGGCTCCAGCTGGACTCACATTTCGGGTTAGGTTTCTGGATTAAACTTCCTGGACTAGACTTCTTAGGCTGGACATTGTATGTATGTATGTACCCTAGTTGGCGTTCAGTTGGACTTATCTGAACTGGATGTATGCTGTCCATCGGGAGGACATATGTATTGAGTCAAGCTAGACTGTTTCTACAGACAAACAAACAAAATTTTACGTACACGCTAATTAGTAGAAGATTTATCTTCACTTGATTATACCAGATTGGTGTTCCCCTCAGCTATAGTCAATACCCTATCATTCAACGCCCATGTTCCTCCTATACGCCTCGGAAAGCCTGCCATAACTCTTTTTCACAGCTTCCACCTTCGCCGCATATTCCGCCTGCTTCTCCCTATCCTCAATAGCCGCCAAAATCTCCGCAAAGCTCAACGCAACCAACCGCTCGCTCCTGAGTTTATACTGCGGCCTAACCTGTCCTTGTTTTCCATCCAAGCTCGCCTGCCTCGCAACCTCCCCCTCACGTACATTGAACACGTCATTGAAGATGTCCAAATCTCCATGGCACTCAAATACATAATGCGTCTCTTCATACGTATACATATAAATGAAGTTGTCGAATCCACTCCACAGAATTGCCGACAGACACAACGAGCAGGGTTCGTGTGTTGTGAGAAACAAGCAGTCTTTCACGTCGGGTCGTTGATCAGCGGGAATCTCGAAGAACTGCTTGAGTGTCCATGTTTCACCGTGCCAGAGCGGGGATCCCCGCTCCTGATTTGTGTCAGCGTAGACGACGCTGAGATCGGATTTTAGGAGAATTGCGGCGCCAAAGAGCTTTGAGCCGGCGGCGACGGCGGGCGCGGAGAGGGGATGGATTTTCTCGGTGATGCAGGTGCACAGGGCATCGAGGAGGGTTGTAGGGGGATGGAGCGCTAGAGCGTCGGTCATCCTGCTTCTCGCCGTGAGTTCCGGCTTCTCGGTGTTGAGGATCTGAAGGCGGGTTGTGCTTGTCGGTTGTCGGAGGATCAATAGTGGAGTGAGAGCTGGAGAAGTATAAATGGTCGTAAGCCACGTGGGAACTCCAGATCTTATCTAGACTTCTCCAATTTCTAGCGCTTGTCAATGATCTTTATAAACGATAAACAATCGCTTATCGGCGTTGGGTTCGGGCCCGGCCAGCTTCGGAGATCTCCGAAGCATGCCTTGACCTTTGACAGCCTCCTCCATCCCCACAGACCGATTGATGCAGTACTCCATATATGCGCATGTACTCTTAGCGGGCTTTGTATCACATCCGTGCTACTGGGTCCACCAAAGCAACTGTTCTTGAAAATAGTATAGCTCCTGTGGTTGACCCTGCAGGGGGTGGTGCCCCCGAGTTAACTCCGAGTTTACTTCCATACCACTACTGGTATCCTTATTATTATTGCTTTAAGGGCCACGAAGATATTTTGCTTTCATACAATGCGCAAGTTAACAACATCACACTTCTTGGCTGGAGCCAATTCAACGTGCGGGGTATTCCGTATGACTGTGGAACTAGGATCTTCTTCCCATCTTCCTTCCTCTTCTCTTCTGTCTCTTTTTTATTTCCTCCCGTCACACTTCCGTTTCTTTTTCATCCCTTCACTATCTTGATTCTTTTTTTTTTTTTTTCGACGACACTCCGAGGTCAAATTGATAGCAACCTCTCGGTATGACCCTGTACGCAATTACCGGGGAGGGTGCTTAAAACAGGCGGGCAGACTGAAGACCTCAAGTACCGTGCGCAAATATGGTGGAACGGGCTTAAAGTCCGACTCCTCCCAGAAGGACACCACAAACGTGGCCGAGAGTGGGTTGAATGGCACAAGTCCAAACTTCGAAAGGTGTTACGCCATCCTGCCAGGCGAGCGCCAGCTCAGCCAGGAAGGCGGCGATCAAATCTACATATACAACCTGCATCCGCGCAAGTCCCTAAACGCCAGATACGCATCCAAATCCAGCCTCAGCGATGAAGAATGAGACCAGGAACTCCGCGTGTTACGAGCTGAGTTCCGCAAACCCCAGAAAGAAATGACCACATCTAATCGCCCTGATGATGCCCTGACGTGGATGTATCGGATGTATTGGAGGATACCTTATAATAGGAACGGGCGACATGCCCTCTGGTATCTTCAACGCCAAGATTGCTCTGATAGAGGTGGATGCAGTGCACGGGAGTGTGGGTGCTGCGAGAAGCTTCTCCTCGAGTACGTGTTGCACAAGTATGAGCCTGGCAAACAGCACGCGAAGCGTCCCCGGAAAGTCTATGGTCACTGTACATCAGGGTGTGCCTGCTGCGTCATCACTCATGTAATCTACGAGCCTCACGAACACCTTCCCATACCTATGTTTATTGCTCAAGAAGGTACCAGCGGCCAGCGAATGGCTATCGAGCCAGCGAAACCAGAGGAGCCAGAGAGTGTCTAGCAACACAGCCGAAGACTAAGTACGTTCTCTTTGCATTCCAGGATTCTGACATCCGTAACAATCTATGTAGGAAGAAAGAAGATCTACCTATTTGCTTCGCTCTACAACCTTCGACAGAGAAACCCGACCACGACCATGGACAAATTAGATTCGAGCTGATTATCCAACGTGTGCAATTTACTGCATCAACAGAAGAGCCGTCCTTTCTATACTCTTCTTTGCTACAATACCTACGCGTAATACGCCTTCAAAGGACGATCCATACAAGAACAGACGCGACGGCTAAACACTCAGAAGACCCCAAATCAACCCCGACTACTTCGTTCGGAGGACCTTGCTGAGAACCCGAATTAATACCAGGTTCGACCCGATGGATCGACAGTTCGATTTACGAGAAAAAGGGTTGCCATACCTCCTCTATCATAGAAGGCTGCGTCTGCTTGCAGTGCCCGAGAGAGCTTTACGTTGCCTTATGCTGTCATTTCCTCATCGTTGCTTTCCCAGAGATAGTCGATGCTCTTCTACCTGACCTGATATGTATTCAGAGTACCTTAAAATCATGAGCCTCGGGGGCGTTTCGACATGCGATCGGGGTGCACGTTATCCCCCTGCTGGTCTAAAATAGGCATTCGTCCGGTAAAGCCATCAGCGTGAGTCTTGATTTGGAGAAATATCCCATTTCAACTATCCTGCTACATAGGGTACGTCAAGTAGACTCGGACATTAAACAAAATTTCGAACCCAACATCTCAGCACCTTGCACTCTCCAACGCAATCCATGGAGTTCTTTCCTTGTGATAATATTCAAAGTCCAAAATCAACCACCCCCCTTAACATACGAATTATAAATCAAACAACCAACCCTCAAACTGCCCCCAAACCCATTCTTCGTCACACAAGACTTCAATGCGAAATTCTCCCTGATGATACTCTGACAATCATACCCCACCATAGGATACTGCGGGTTCTGCGCTGGACCCTCACACCGTGGATCGAATTTGATTTCGGTGAAGTAGTTGTTGACAGCCCAGGAGATAGAACTGGGCTCTCCGGGACCGCCGAGGGAGAGCTTCTCGGCGGGGATGGTTGTTCCATCGAAGCATTTGTCAGATAGGGTCTGGACAGTAGGTGCGTCGATTGTTGTTGGGGCGGAGTCGGAGTGCTCATAGCATTGGAGCTTTCCGATTAGGCTGGAGTCGTCTGGTAGAGGAACTGCGCCTGTGGCGGTCTCGGTGGCTGATGTTGTAGTTGGGGACTGACTTGCTGTTGTGAACGATGCAGAAGGCTGCTTTGTAGTCGTAGTAAACGTGGTGGAAGTCTGCGTCGATGAAAGCGTGGAGACAGGGCATATGCCTGCGTAATGGCTATCACGAGCCCTAAGTACGTTCAAGCCATGGCCAACAGCGTTGACAGAGCCCTGAGACGAAAACTCCCACGTAACAGTTTCTTTCCCATTGATCCACAGCCGGCAACGACCTATAGCAGAGAGATGGCCTTCGGATTGCTCATAGTGGTCGAGTAGTGTGGCCTCCAAGATGATCTTTCCTGAAAGGCTTTCAGGGTTCTCGGCGAGGTACCGAGGGGCGATCTTATAGGGAATCGACTCGGGCTTCTGGTCATATTGTCCGGAGCCGTCAGGATAAAGGTAATTGTGAAGCTGGTCGGGCAACCACTCAATCCGTTTCGCGTACATAAGTGGACCGATTCCGCCGTGTTTGAAAGGTGTGACAGCGAAGATCTTTGGTTGCAGGGTATAGTGTAGTGGGCCGGGGTTTTCCGTCGTTCCGATGAGGGTGTTGAGTGGTTCAAGCTCATAAGATTCGAGGTCACCGTTGACTAATGCGCTGAACGAAGCTTCTTGAAAGACATTGTCAGTCGTCGGCCGAAGAAACCCTAACTTGGTTTTCTGAACGAAGACCGGATCCTCGTAAATATGCGAGAGGTACACTCATGCTTCGAGACGATAACTATCGAGGTGCATCCAAACAGACCAGTAACTCCCGCGGCTGTCTTCTCGTTGGCGAATGGGTACCATTTTCCTGTTGTGTCGCCATTCTTATGGCTCAACCATTTCCCCTCTATGGTTAGTCGTCCTGCAAGATCTTTGAGATGCTCGGTCAACTCGCTACCTTGTGCAGAAAGCGAAGGAAGGGAATTCGTGGGATTCTCATCATTATCATGCTTGATATAAACCCTGCGAGTCACTCTTGGTGGAACAGTGTGATCCGGGCGACGAGTTGCAGAGGGCAAACCGCCGACAGTAACGGTTGGAACTTTTGCGCAGTCGATAGGGCTAATGGTCACCCATTTTCCATCTCCAGCAGGACATGATCCGCCAGCGCATGACTCCTGTGCGCATGCAGTCTCAGTAGGAGTCGCAGTACTAGTGATAGTAATGGTAGTATCTGTGGCAGAGCAATCGGCTGTTGTAACGCTTGTCGTCAACGGGCACGTTGTGGTTCCTATTTCCTGGCCAACGGAGGTGATCGAGCTTGGCTCACAGAGGATTATGACCTGGTATGCCGTTGTCGATGTGCAAGACGATGAGGAGACACTTGAGCGGGTGCTGTAAGTGACCGTTGGGCTTGTCGTCGATGTTGGCTTGTCATCGAGTGAAATCAACCTGGGAAGGAGATTCTTGACAGCTTCAATATCTATGCCCTTGATTTCCTTCTTCAGGCTCTCTGTGTTGCTCGTAATGCAGTTCAAGGCGCTGATAATAGTGTCCATAGCATTAGCAGCGATGTCGAACAGGCTATCAAAGAGACCTCGCTTGCTCTCTGGACACTTGGGAAGGCTTTCCCCACCGAGTCTCTTGACAAGGTCTTCAATACGATGTTCGACTCCCTGCACTCCATTGATGATGCTTGTCTGAAGGGGCGGCTCCGGATTTATCTCCCAAGGGCTGAACGTTGGCAGGAGCTTGCGAAACTCAGAAGAGATGGCGGACATGCTGGATGAGATGGCGTCTTTTGAGAGAGTTTGCCAGGGAATGCAAGAAGTGAGCTCGATACAGTTCGAAACGGGGATGATGTTGCCCTCAGCATCAGTTGTAGTAATGAAATCGGGAACTGGGGCGGCCGTGGTCTGAGTAGCACTATTCAGGACGGTGATTATATTGCCATGTTCATCAGTAGTAGTCGTCATAATCGCGCCAGGGAACGCATTATTCGTCGCAAAGCCCGGGGTATTCGAGGTAGTAATTAGAGAACCATGTCCATTGAGGTTAGAGGTCATGGTAGTTGAGGTCAGCGACGCCAGTGAATCGGGAGATGAAGTAACGCTCTCGGGTGTGCTAGGGACCGACGACTTTGGAAGAGGGGAACCACTCGTATCTGAGCCTGTTCCTGCACTGGTTATCTCGGTGCCGCTGTCGGTTGTGATGCTGGTACTGACGCTTCTAGTGCTACTCGAACCGCTGTCACTGACGCTTGTGATTCCGATACCCCTGCCACCAGTAGTGGGAATAGGCTCTGACAATTCGGTATGCGTAGTCGTCATAGTCGAGGTTCTGGGACGAGTGTAAGTGTGAGTAACGCCCGTAGTGTAAGTGGTGCAATCGTAAGTCGTAAAACCCTTGTGATCGATACCGCTGTCGAGGGTACTAGTTGCAATGCCAGTCATTACCACGACGATGACTTCGAAACCGAGGATAGAAGGCGGATGGGAAGTAGTCAGGGATTGGTTCGATATCTGGATAGAGGGAAGGGTCGAGCTGTCCCCCGCTGCCACGTATTGAGCAGCAGAAGACAAGACACATCCGCACAACAAGGGGAAGAGCCTCATTGTGTTGATGTGTTTTCTGGCTTGAGAAGGGCTATAGGTAATAGGAGGAGTAGGAAGGAGTCGAGGAGGGGGAGACGAAATAAGGAGATGAGAAGAGGCGTGCGAATAAGACCCGATGACTAGCTGGATTTGGAGGATGGGGAGGGTTGAGAGAGAAGTCAAGCTGAGCGCTGCTGTGAATCCCATGAAGAAGGAAAACTTTACATACGCCAAATTGGGTAGATATTTGCTGCTGAATGTCTGCATTCACCTTCGCTCATTTGACCGCAAATCTGCTCAAGGGACGTGGAAACTGTGGTCGAATTGTCCCACCAGTTGACAGGATGATTCTGAGTGTTGTGACAAAACTTGGACTATTCAGATTAACTACTCAGTCAATACGGCAACATGGTAGAGTACCAGAAAGCTAATAGCGCTTTCTTTAAGGCTGTGTGACTCAATAACAGGCGCTACACGGCCTGGGAAGCCTAGAAGTGCAGGGTATCTATAGAAGATACCTATCTCCTGAATGGAGAACACAACAACACAGACGCCAACATTTTATTTTCACACGAAATGTCAAGTCAGACCAAATGCTCCCACTGTAGCCTGTCCACAGATAAAACATCCCCATCCGAAAGTCCCCTGATGATCGTGTGTCGTCAGAAGACCGCGGTGCAGTATGCTTCCGGTTTACTTGTCAGTGGGTTCAAACTTCGAAGGCGCAGCTACACTCCATAGCAGGAAGATGACAAAGACGTATGGCTTAAGGAGAATGTAAGAAAGCACGTCGGTCTTGGTTGAGATTTTGTAAAGTATGAGCACGTATCTTGTGGACGGCGCCACAATGAGGGAGGTCGAAAAGAGGCTGTGTTTTGGAGGAAAAGAGAAAGAATAATGGTTGCCAAGAAAACAAGTTGATACGTTAGGTGAACTCAGATAAATGGACGGGAGAAGAAAAATAGACGCTGTTCCATATGATGAAATATCTCCTACCCGTATAGACTAGCCGAAGTAGAACCGGCTGTGAGATAAAGAACAGACACCTTCTTCTCGCCTTCCGTTAGCACTAGCAAGAGCGAGACGTCCTCAAAAAAGTTCTTCCATCCGTAGTCAGTCTACCACGGTGGCCAATATGAGGTAGTCAGTTAAACCAGCTTTAACTCTTAAAGGATACAAGTCTTGCTTCGATACTCTTACAGTAAACTAGACTGAAGGAAATGGAAGTCGGTATCAAAAAGCCTATTCGACAAGTATAGTTGTAGTACTACTAGCAGTTACTAGTTCTCCTCGCACTGCGGCGATGATAATCTCTCCTCGAAAGACCTGGCAGGTAGCGGAGAGTCCACCCGTCTGAGGCCCTCCTTCCTCTCTCGCCCAGAGTAGGAACTGCCCCTGGGTACAAGGATAGAACAGAGACACAGCTCTCATATTCCCACGATAATACTCACTCGCATCTTAAAAGCTTAGCTATCGATCCACGTCCTCTCGTTATTATAAAGCTAGACTTTACCATATCACTTTCGAGATTTACGTCCCAAATGAATGCGGTACAGCTCTTTTCACCGTCTTCCTTGATACCTAGTACACAACTAACCTCTCCTCCTCTAGCCCCAGAATAACGAAGATCAAGACAAGGGCAAAGCCCCAGAACGGTCCCAAAGTCCACCGGATGAGCACTCCGAATCTGGAGTTGATGCCGTAAATCTCAGTTTCACGAGACTCAACATCTAGTACACAGCTAATCTCTCCTCCTCCATCTCCAGGAAAGCGAAGACAAAGGCAACGCCCCGATACGATCCCCAAGCCCGCCAAATGAGCATCATGGATCGGAACCGGAACCCGATACAACGAACGTCAGCTCTAAGAGGATAAGCGTGCCTCCTCACACAACAACCACATCATCTCCTGCTTCACAAATCCCTTCTACTCCCTTCCTTACAACTGCTTCAACTTTGGAGTCTGCCCCTGCTTCGGCAGCGACGCTGTTATCTACGCAGCACTCTGATCAACCTCAGCCGAGTCTTCACCGACTGCACCCGCGAAGGCACCGATCTCAAAAAGTGCCCCAGCTCCAGACGCACCCCGCTTGGATGCATCTGCTTCGCAAACACCCACCGCAAGTGCCTCAGCACCTGCCACTACTACCTCACCTTCCAGCACTCCCACTACCACCACCACGTCCAGAACCCTCGAGTCCGAGGAGCGCAGCGCCCGTGAGCTCTGTCGCTACTTTGACCTGCATATCAACGATGACCAGACTGTCGAAGAGGCCCTGGCAACAGTAACGGAATTGATGTCGGATCCTTGGTTCAGTAGGACCCGCCCAAAGCCGATGGGTTGGATGGATTCGCAACTTTGGATTAGACTTCGGGAGACGGTTCGTTTCTCTTACTATTCTTTTCCCCCTGCATTGATTCCAAGAAATAATGTAGGGTTGGATTGAAGCTAACTGGTGAGATAGGCGATAATTAGGTTGCGGAGCGTCGTTGAGAGGAGAAGGCGGTTGGTCGAGGGTGAGGATAGCAATGAGGAGGGTAGTGGCGAGAGCCGGAAGGATGAGGACGAAGAGAAGCGGCGTAGAGACAGTGTTTGACCTCATCCGCTCAAGCATCTGCCAGGGAGGATAGGCATAATGTGTGTCTAATTATTGGTTTTATTGACCTGGTCTGTGTTCATTTTGGGACATAGATCTTGCAAGGTTTTTTTTTAGACTCTTATATTAGTGTGCGTTATTATTACCACCGTTAGCGAACTAGAGAGAATACTAATAAAACCTCCAAGTTTGTTCCTTACATATCGTATCATATAACATAACATCACATAGCACATACTCTACCCCATTCCATAACGAGTATACTCGGGAAGGCAGTGAAGATCTAAACCTGAGCATGCGTAGTCGTCCCCTTCTCAAGATGACTCGCGTCCCCACCATGCCTCTCCTGCACAACCTCCCTAACATCGCCATCATGGGCAACATCAAAGTCCCTCCCAAGCCTCTCGGGGCCTAAGAGCGTAACGATAATTGTATACGCAAAGACACAGCCCATGAAGATGCAAATCACCTTCCCATACTCATACCTCGCCTGGCCCTCCTCCGTCGGCGGAAGCGGGAACCGCTCGCCGATCGTCGACTCGATTGTTGAGCTCGCTGACGAGACGAGGTTTCCCAGTTGGTATGCCGTGCCTACGGTGAATGTGCGGATTGAGCCCGGGGCGAGTTCCATTAGGTGGATGGGGATGACTCCCCAGGCGCCCTGGACGCAGAATTGCTCGAAGAAGGCGGCGGCCATGACGCGCTCGTTTGTGACGAATGTGTAGGGGTAGAGCAGGGCGCCGCCAATGACACTGATGAAGATTATGGAGAAGCGGCGGCCGAAGATTTGAGACGCCCAGCCGCAGAGGGTTCCGCCGGTTAGGGCGCCGAGGTTGGCGACGACCTGAGTGACTGTTACGGCGTTGCGGGAGAACTGGAATTGGCGTTCGAGCATTGTCGGGTAGAGGTCTTGGGAGCCGTGGGACTGCGGGGGTTAGTCTGGCTTTTGAGATGTTACGGGGAGAGGGAGAGCATACCATGAAGTTGAAGCCGGCCATGAGGAGGACGAGGTAGATGAGGATAATCCAGTGCCGCCTGAGGGCTACTTTACCCTCTGAGAGGAAAGTAGAAGTCACATTTCCGGGCATCTCTGCACGAAGTGCTTGACGCTCGCGGTACGCGTTCGTCTCGGGCAGGCACAGGCGGAAGATGATCACCAGCACCGGCAGACAACCAGCAAACCAGTAAAACGGTCTCCATCCGTGCGAGGTCGTCCCAACCAACGCGCGCGCAAATGCAGTAGCCAGCAGGTATCCGAAGGCGTACCCCTGCTGGAGCAATCCAGATATAATACCGCGCGCTTCCTTGGGACAGTCCTCAAGCGCTGTCGCAGCGGCATTACCATATAGACCACCCATGGCGATACCGAAGAGCGCACGAACAGCAAGGAATTGCTGGTAAGTCTGTGTGAAACCAGTACCGATTTCAAGAGCAATGAAGAGGAGGTTGTTCACGATAAACGGCCACTTTCGGCCCCAACGATCGGAAGCGATTCCAAAGGTTATCGCACCGACGCTACGGAGCATGAGTACAAGAGTGATTCCCCAGGTGATATCGCTGATCTCCTTGTCAAATTCCTTGGCCAACTCGGAGGTGGTCAGGGAGACGGTGAAGAAGTCAAATGCGTCAAGGGTCCAGCCCCAGAAAGCGACCTGTCATAATCAGATATTGCAGAGGGATTGGTGTGGCTGGTGATCTGACCGAGAAGAAAAGCCATTGCTGTCTGTTCAAGAGAGCCAATGCCTTGAAGGGATTGGGCGCCTTGCGCATAGGCGGCTTCAGTGTGGGTAGTCTCTCCTTCAGGTACTGGGCGCAAGTCCCCAAAGTAAGACGTCTGTGCTCCTCCGGAGCTTCAACATGACCAACCGCGGTCTTGTCCTGCGACTCAGCCATTGTGGGTAATCCTGGGACGTAAACAATAGGGAAGGAATGAAAATCAGACGACGCGAGGGAGGGGCAGGTTGAAGAGCGAGAGACCCTTTATACGGTCACCCGGGGAATAAGCAAGAGATGAGCCCCGCATGATTGGCAGCCAGTTGTATGCAAGTGGCGCTGTTGGCCGCCGATCAGTTTCCTAGAAAGTTGGCTTTTGTCGAGCTACCAGGTTCGGGGAGGCATGGGACGATGGAATGGACCGGAGAAAGGCCGATGGGGGGGGAGAGAGTTTGGACTCAAGGGCCGGTTGGGCCTCGGGGACTTGGGGATTTCTTTCCACAGCCCACAATCCAAGTCCTGGCAAGACTGGGGGTGGGGAAGAGCGCTCCCACTCAATTCCATCGCGTGAACAAATGACGATCCATCGTTCTCCACCCAGATAAACCCCGAATGTCACTCTGGCGGGACTCTGGGGCTTGAAAAACACACGGCCGGCCTCAAGAATGGCCCCTAAGCACACTGCTTCATGTTGGGGAAAACATATCATCAGGATTGGAACGAGGACGAGCAGACTATCAAGAAACAGAACCTCTGGCTTTCATCATTATTCGGAGTTGAAGTGGGGATGTGCCCAGACGCCCAGCGTTCTTGTCTCGACTTGGCTTTCCCACACAAAGCTTCGCCCGCATTGACTCGGGAACACAAGAAAGTGCCGAGAATTAAGTTGATTAACCATGAACGAATGAAACAATATCGCGACTAATGAAGAAGCAAAGGAAACATATACAGAGAAAGAGAAGAAGGCAACAGTCCTTACTTTTCTTACCAAAAAGCTCAGGCAAGTTTATTCCCGATTCCGGAGTGGCTTCAAGTTGGACCTGTTGACTCTGGCGGCCTGCCATTTCTGGCTTAGCCCCGACTCGAATTTCAGGGTGACATCGTCTTGTCCACGGTGACTTTCTTGCAAACCAGAAACCATTATCAACATTATGTATTCAGGTGATGCACGCTCACTACAATTAGTACAGCCATCTATATCCAGATAAAACCATATACACAACCAAGCCCCCAATCACCCGCAGTCAAGCAAAACAAGTCTGGGCGCCTGCTCTGTGCAGCTTGGCCCCTGCGCAAAAACTAATGCAAACACGCTCCAGTGAGAACTCCGGGTAGGTGCTGGAAAGCTGAAATGCAGAGAGAAGGCTAAAGAGAACTCTAAACAAGTAAAACAAGGCGTGGTCGTCATGGCTTCTTCTTCGTGTGGCTTCCTGCTTCAGGGCTGTTCGGAGTTCCTTCTTCGCCTTCGACAATCTTCCAGAAGCGACGCAACGAGAAGCCGCTGCGGAAGAGATAGATGCTGACGAGCCAGCCGGCGAGAATGTTGACTAGGTGGTGTAGTAGGTAGGCGTAGGATACTCCATAGACCGCTGAATATGTCGCGATGGAAAAGAAGAGGATTGATGTAATGTGTCGGAGACTATTTGGTATTCGAGTCAGTCAATGTATGTGTAAGAGAGGGCGGAATATGTACCGAGTGGTAACTCTGGGCACCATAGATCCAGTAGTCATAGTCTCGACAAGGAGGATGAATGGCATGATGGACAGCACGTTATGGTGCGACGAGAATGGCATGAACCAGTGTACCACAAGGTTATGCGCCCAAACCAGGAGAACGAGAATATTAATGGGGAGAACCCAGAGCATTAAAATGAATATCGAATGTGCATAGTTGGAAAAGTTATAGTGGGCGGTGGATCTCTGTTGACGTTAGCGCAATTAATTCACTTGAGAGGTTCGAGGAGCATACGGTCTCTTTGGCATGCCATTTCGCTCGCACACACGTGGCGAGCTGCACAATGCAGGCCACCAAGTAGGCGAATTGGTATGGAATCGCGGTCGAGACGAGAACCAGGAGAACAGCCATCTTGATCAGCCGTCTTCTGGGGGACGGGGCAGGAAAAACGGGGAGGCACCTAAAATATTAGCAAGGTCTTCGCATCAATACTGATATCAAACTTACCCCTTATCATCACGTCTGATATATCCAGACTTGCTATTCCAAAAGCCATAGACGAAAGACAAGATTTGCAGCAGGAGTAGCGAGACATAGCTCAGCAAAACACACACTCCCACGCTGATGAGGCCGAAAAGCGGAACGAGAAACCAAAAGAAGGCGTCCTGCGAGCCTAGTAAAAGGTCATTCTTCGTGAAATCAATCGGTGTTTCGGTCGAATTTGTCGCCCAATGGAACGGATCATCTCCGGCCGGCATGGTGGTTGAGGTGGCGAGTGAAGATGCGAGAAGCGACATCGCCAACAGCAGGATCGGCATAGAAGAACGCAGGGCACGGTCCAAGCCCTCGGCGAACGTGATGAAAAATCCCGTTTCATCGTATACTTGAAACTGCTTGCGAAGAACCATCGCCACGACGAGAAGGGGGAAAGCAGCAAACACGGTTCTGTACCGCATCACTAGCTCGCCCAAGCTGCTGGTAATGTCCACAGTGAGGGTGATGTCAACCGTAGAATCGCAGGTCGGATCAGTCCACAACTGGAAGGAAACACCATTCTGACTTGCTTGACGAAGGGGCGGAGGCATGTACGGCGCGAGGCCATGCAAGTTCACATTAACCTTGTCAACATTGACGAAGAACTTTGACTCGTGTGGATCGGGGATCGACTGGCGTAAGAGAGGAGAGAAAAGTTCCGGCTGATCGCCCACATGACGGTGGCGGACAACACGGAGCTTGTAGTCCAGTAAGCTCGAGTACAAGGCCGGGATCTTCACCTCGGTGAGCATAGGCCGGTTAGCCGGCAGTCGCACTTTCAATCCGGCGCTCAAGAGCCCACCTAGGCCGATACGGGCTTTGATCAAGGCGTCAGAGCTGTCGGAGAACTCCGCTATAACCCAGCCTTTTGTGGGTACACGCGCTTTGTCGACAACCGCCACGAACTGATGCTCAGCTAGATCCTCTAGGTCATACTGAAGATAAGAGAATGGTCGAACTCGGTCGTAGGCGTTCTTTGAAGTGCGCGTAGACGCAGGGAGGTGGATCTCGTCAAACGCTGCATTCTTGCAGGCAAGACGCGTCGAGCCTGTGCTATCTGCAAGGTCCATATTCATGGAGAACACCGTCGATGCCTTGCCATTATGCAGCGGGAACACGCTGCAAAACAGAACTTCCAGGTTCCCTTGCTCTCCGGTTCTGTCCAGGCGCTGGTCGGTGAGAAGGGTAAATTTCTTCCCAGACACCCCTTGTGGAGGAACAGGCAATAGATGGACATTAGGTCCAGTACGGTGGCCGAGCTCGCGAAGGGTGAGTCGCTGGCCTTGAGCTAGAATCGTGTTGGTATTATCTTCCAGTGTCAACAAAGTGCTCGGTTCTGTTTAACAGATTAGTTAGTTATGTTAACAAGCACGGTGAATTAAGATTGTTACCATTTCGTGGGAGCACCCTTTCCGATACAGACTCCAATCCCGTTAGGTACCATTTCTTGAAAATGCGCATTCGCTCGGCTCGCGGTTTGGTCTGACTAGCTCGCCGCACATCGACCACCTCAAACAGAGACTTGATGATAGCCTTTCGAAACTGGTCACACCATGTGATGGAAAGATGGTCCACTCCTATCCAGACGTCGGGTATTGTGGATGTGAACACGGTGAAGCCGTGAGTCTCCGGCACGAGAGACGAGATGCTGGCGTAGTCGGACGGAACAACGGTATCGCGCGAGCCGCCGGCGATCGAAATCAGCGTTACATGCCAGAGAGGATTATTGTTCGCCCAAGTCTGTGAATAAGCGTCACGCCAATAGTCATTAATCTGCTTGTACGTGTGGACGATGTCCGAATCGAACGACACTGGGGGTTTGGCGTGCGGCGCCGACATGGTAACGATGGTGTTGACCGAATTCTCTTGATAGTTCGCCATTGTCAGAGCGGTTCGGGCGACGATACCGCCCATCGAATGTCCGATGAGAATCACAGAGCTCGGATCGGGTAGGTCAGGGTCTCTTCGTGTCCGTCGTGGGTCATGATATAGGGAAAGGATATACGCCACGGCTTCATTCACGTACTCGGCTTGATCAAGCAGCGTCTGTCCATGAAAAGCTGCCATATCTTCATTGAAGTCGATCATGAAAAAATCCAGGCTCCGTGTCCCGGCTTTCAGTCGTTCCTGATCATGTTGCACCACCTGGGCATAATGTCTTGACGCTTCGGCGGCCAGGGATCGGACCTGGCGGTAACTTCCTGCATTTCCGGGGAGAAATAAAATGGGGGCGCCATTCAACTAGATCACAACGGTAGTCAGTATCTTGACCTCCGGAGCCGAACCACGTCTCCAAAGAGATGGGAGCACTCACCCCCAAATTCTCCTGATTGTACGGGTCAACACCTTCCTCTCTATAGAGGAACAGATTATATTTGCTCGCAAAGCGTGTATGCTCCGTATCAAACCCCACCATCCGAAGAAAGGTCGGACTCATCACAGGTACCCCACAGCCATCGCTTCCGGTTTGGAGAGCGGAGAAGGAGCGGAAGATCGAGAAGAGGAAGACGCAAGCGAGGACGGTAGTCAGGGCCGTCAGAATCGAGCACGACCACGGACTGCGGAGGCGAGACAGCCGGGACCGATGTTGTGTGTCGGGCGAGGCCTCAATGGAGAGGCGCTGAGAGGGCAAGGGCATTGCGGACGTATATCGGGGATCGTGGGTGGTCCAGGTGGCAGTGGTCAAGGAAGGTGTCCTCCACGTGCTCGAATTCCTTGAACGAGGGGTCGCAATCCCGTTGGTGTCGCGACGGAGTTCGATGCTGGTTCCGGTTCTGACTACCTCAGGGCGCGACTTCTCTGTTGAATCGAAGGCATTGGGGCCATTGCTGTGTTCGCTGAGTCGAGAAACCAGGGGCTCTTCGGCGTCGTCCTCGGCAGGCGAGCCAGACGAGCGTCTGTGCATTGGAAGAGGCCGGGTCCGTCGTACTCATCCAGCACGCAACACGCAGGGGGGCGATCGAGAAGGGAAATTGGTGGTCGCAAAGGGATTCCTTGGGGGCGGCGGGTTCCTGACGAGAGGCGGCAAGGGGAACAGGGGAAACGACAGGAATGCGCTTTGCGCACTGGATCTGGGGTCGATTAGCAACTGGCCAGCCGGAGCTGAACGATTGGACAAAACGAGTGCCAGCGAACCCCCAGATTATGAGGCCTTGTCTTTGTCGTCGAAGCCGGGAAAATTCAAGGTGGCTTGCCCCTAGCAGCCGTCTCGTCCGAACGCGTAATTCCGCCAAAATCTCGAGCAATTTCCAGAATTGGTTGGACGAGCCACGGCCGGATGATGCTTGGCGCTCTGCCACCACATTGCTTCTGCTTCGTCAGTTTCTACATATTTCTGCTTCAAGCCGCTCAGAAGGGAGTATTCTAGATAATTCAATGGGCGGTCAATCTAAAACCCCCCGGCAACCTAAGTACAGAGGTCCTCGGTCTGTCCGCGAGGGCAATCAATTGTTACTAGGGTACTCTGTTGCCTAGCTCCACCTGTATAAACTCCCAGTTCCTTCGATTTTGATATGGACTGATGTCGTCGTCATCGCCAGTTACACGATCGGATATAGAGCGCTCTAGATTTAAAGTAAGCGCGAAGCCTCAGCCTGAGTTGTCTTGCTTGACTACAGCGAAGCCGCCATGTCACACACAGTCAGAAGAGTCAGAGAACAGAATTGAACTGCTTCATCATGATAGCGTTTCTCTACACTTCAAAGGTGAATCGGGTGAGAGCTAGTACATGATCCTTATCGGAAACATGTTTAGGTTATGCGCTGGGAAACTGGTCGAAAGACTGTCAGCGCGATGGCAATTATATATTCCCAGATGCCTCTCGCTTGATGCCACTGGACGTCATTGAGGAAAAAAGTAGGTGAGCGGCATCGAACTTTATCCGATATCACTATCTATACGCCAAAGGGCTTACAGCTTTGAGCAAGTTCTGATCTATCGCATGAGATCTCAGTTCATCTGCACCGATCTGTATCTCGTGAGGCTTGGAGCGACCAAGCCTACCGCTAGTCCCAATGTGGTCATTCATCTCGAGGTCTCCACTCTGCAGGCTATAGTATATACAAGCCCAGAATACGAGAAGCACTTATTGCAAGCAGGTCAGAGGCGTGTGTGATGATTTCAAAAGACTATAAGGTTATAAAAGCCCTCGAAATTCTTGAGTTTGAGGACTTTTCTGCACTTACTCTACACTATCTGGGGAATCTCAGAAACATCATTTTGGACACCATTCAACCCATCCTGCCATTCGAACACAATTTGAACAACATGTTGGAGGATAACTATAATTTCGCTCTTTGGGAACTTGCCATATTCTCAATCATCCATATCGTCCAGTTTGTGGTGAGGTTCATCCAAGAACGTCGATACTGGCATCACGACAGACCCCGCAGCTTCGGTTGGTGCTTCACGTACTCCTGGTGGGGGATGATAGGCATGTTGTCGCAGCGTCAGTACTCCTCTTGCACACGTCCGGCTTCTAGCTGACAGCAGCCCTAGTCCGAATTGCCGGGTCAGCCATGCTTATTTCTCGCCCTGAACCAACCAAGCCAATCCTGGTTGCCGAGACTGTTCTGCAAGGGATCGGGCTCTCATTTCTTCTTTTTGAAGTCAGCCTTGTTCTTCTTCGAAGGTACGACCCGCCAATCTGTTGACGATTCGCTATATGAAGTTTGCTGATGCGGTCACAGCGGACAGTCAGGTCGGACAGGTCCTGGGAACTCGAGACATCCCACCCATGTACGATTCACCCTTCATTTTTTTCGCTTTCCGGCTATAATATCCATTATCCTCGTTTTGGTGGGACGGACCATCAATATCCGTGCATGTGCCATCATCGGGCTTGCGGGGATCGTGGCCTTCGTCCTCACCCTTGCACTCGTGTGGTGTGTTGTGCTTGGGCTGGTGGCAAAATCCCACAAATTGCTCTCCGTCCCCGCACAAAGGGCTGTGCTAGTAGTCTTTGCGTCGCTTCCGTTTTTGACATTGAGGACAGCGTACTTTCTGCTTGCGGAGTATCCAAGCAAGTATGGAAGAGTCGGTGGAAATGTGAATTTCAAGGGTGGAGCTGAACTGATGATGGAAATCATTGTAGTTGTATTGTTGATTGTCGCCCGCACAATTGCAGAGCCGCTATGGGCCGCCCTTCCTGAGACTACCTTGTTTTAGCAGAGCTTGGTTATAATGCTTTACCTTGCTTCCCCCGGGAAACACCAGACAGATATCGGATCAGTAGTTTTCCTCGCGCATGACCGAATAGAACTCAGAAAAGGTCCTCAAGCATCCTCTGATCCATTTTTTGGTTACGGTATCAGCAACTTCCCACGCGACTCTCAAGGCAAAGCCCATCCGAAAGGGCCCAAGAAGCCCTTGCGCTGTATATTCGACCGACTTGCAAATCTGATCTCGGAAATGAGCAACCATGAATCCGTGTTCACCGGGGTGACCGCATGTTCTCAAAATCTCATGGATGAGAACCATATAGGAGTAGTAACTGCAGTATATGGTGGCGCTGTTAACGTCGGAATACCAGAGCACAATCGGATAAACGGGATCGCCTGTGGATGAGAGCGCTTCATAGGGAACCGGAGTTGCACGGCAAAACTTGTTGTACCACAGAACGAGTTTTTCTTGGAACTCGAGCGCTTCCTTGAGCAGACAAGAGAGTTTCGATAAGGTCGTCGTATTGGTGAAGTCGGCCTTCTTGAGGCTATATAGTTTGTGAACGAGGTTGGGCGAAAGGGCGAAGTAGGTGAAGAACTCTTCCACGAGATGGCCTAACTCGAACGACAGACCAGGATTGCATTGCTGCTTCATTACGTAGTGCCACTCATCAGATGCAAAGATGCATTCTGTCCCGCCGAAGAGCGAATACATCACCTTGAGAATGTTAATCTTTTGCTACTAAAGAACAAGAGCAACATACAATAAGGCCACGAGAGGCTTTGAGGAGTACACTGTCAAGTTCAGTCTGATAACGTGATGGTCCTCGAGCTTCTGTCAGTTGGCTCAAGGCTCTGGCATGGCTCATCCAGACGTCACCACGGTCCGTGTCTGCAAAGAGCTGAAGGAAGAATTTAGCATGGTACGGATTGTCGAAGGTGGGGTACGCACTTCATATAAGCATAAGATCAGAACTGAGCAGTATATCTCGGGAGAAAGAGCTTCAGACGAGTTATTTAGAGACTTTCTGAGTTTCCCTAATGCTTCCACATAAGTTGACCTGGCATACTGGATAGCCTGCTTGTTTAAGGTTACATTGCCAACATGATGAGCAACGAATGCTTTCATAGCAGAGTCGAGTGTTCGGTTTCGCCCATAGATTGAAGGGAAAAGGAGGAACCACCGAGAGATCACGTAGCCTGAAGTCGTAGGAAATGGTTGGGAGATTTCATCCGTGAGTTTGTCGAGGCACTGCGTCACATTCAGGTCTCCCAATCCCAGCGACAAACGCCCCACTGTCCACACGCCAGTTCTCTCAGGCTCAGCATCTAAAGCATTACCAGGGGTAGCGGCGGTCCAACTCCGCCCTTTAGGAGAAGCTGACGGCTTCCCTCGGCGCTGTGAGCGATAAGGCTTTGCTGTAACGAATTTGAAGCCTCGATCGTACCCTGGACAGCTCTTTCCATACCTTTCACACCTCATACAATCTGGAAGCCTCTCATCGCACTTGACCCTTCGTTTCACGCAAAGCAAGCAGCCAGTGCTTCTCTGGACCATCTTCTCCGTCGTCAGACGTGTACCAGCCCACAATCTGTGAAACTGTCTCACACCATAAAGCCTGTTGCCTGAATACGAGGGCCATAACTACCTCATTGTGAGGTCTGAGTCAGCAGAGGGTGCTCTGAAGCCGAGCCACAGCACTGGGGAGGGGCGGTGGCGGTGCACTGTGTCGCGAACTTGCAAGCGAGAATCTGTCGCTGTTGCGGATTGCGGATAGAAGAGATGCTTACTTTGGTTCAAGGCTGTGTTAATCAAGATATACGAGGCGTTGAAGCATTGTCAAAACAAATGGTTAGGGGGTTGGGCATCGTGAATCGTGATTCTGCACAATAATAATGTTGGTACAGTCTCCTGTATCCACAGCAACACTGCACGGACGAAATCCTCGGCACAAGCTTACATCGATGTATTTCTGCATGGTGTCAGGTCCCAGGGACAGTCGAACACCCTATCGAGCGAGAAAATGCAGCCTCGCAAGTGCCTTCGAAAGTGGATAGATGCATACACCGAAGTACGGACCCTCTGGAATGTGTGAGAAACCTCGTTCCTGAGATGAACAATAGGATTTCAAGGGTCCTGAGGTTACCCCTCACCAGCCTCAACTGTCGCCATTTGCAACCAGCGATCAATTTCTCGCATACCACAAGGATGCGAGCTGAATGTCCTACAGCTCAGCCACGTCTCTGGCTCTTTCTGACTGGACCATGCCCCATGAGTGGTTGACTGCGCCTTTTCATTTCCCACGTTCCGAGCCCCTCCATCCTGACACCCGGCTCAGCCGTCGAAGGTGCTTTCCTCCCGTGGGGACTCGTCAGCCGCTCCTTAAAAGCCCCTCTTCCTCTTCAACCCATCGTCATCCTTTCTCCTTGTGAAAGCAAACACTGTCCAAGCTACTGCCCATTGTCAAATCGCTTTTTGCTCCGTACCGATTGAGCGCAGTTCATTTACCATGTCGTACAACAACCAATACGGCGGCCCACCCAGCCACGACCAGGGCTATTATGGAAATCAGGGCTACGGAGGCCAGCAGGGTAATTATCCTCCTCCTCAGCAGCAGCAGTATGGAGGCCCTCAGCAAGGCTACTATCCGCCTCAGGTGCGCCCCTCTAATCTTCATCAACCTCAGCTTGTCTGCCCGCATTCTCATCGGCCCTTGTCGCGCTCCTTTTTTTAGCGTACAGTTGACTAATTCGAGCCATGGGAATACAGCAGCAGCAACAGCCATACGGCCAACCCCCTCATGATCCGTACTCGGCCGGACCTCCGCCTTACCAACAAGAACACCAGCAATACCCACCTCAAGGGTATGGACAACAACCGCAGCACGGACAACACCCAGGACCGTACGGGCAAGATCCCAATGCGCCATACGGACACGACCGCGGACACTCCCCTTATCCTCCCCAACAGCAGCAGCAATACCACCAGCCCCCAGGTGGTGAGAACTCTGCCTACTACGGTGGCCACCAGGGAGGACACCCGGCCCAGGGACATGCTCCAGTGCCAGCAGGCGCTGAAGGCGAAAGGGGCCTGGGTTCAACATTGCTCGGTGGCGCTGCTGGTAGCTTCTTAGGTCATAAAATGGGCGGCGGAGCTCTGGGAACCGTAGGTGGCGCTGTCGCTGGAGCAGTGGGAATGAATGTGGCTAGCAAGTTGTATGTTGAGTCATACCCCTTTTGATGCGCCTGAGATATACTAATCCTTTTTGATAGGCACAAGAAGCACAAAAAGAAGAAGCACCACAGCCACGGCCACAAGCGCAGAGGCAGTTCGAGCTCTTCGAGCTCTAGCTCCAGTTCTAGCTCCAGCTCTTAAAACCTCATGTCTCGTTTGATGGCAGGTTCCGTTTTCGAGATGTGGAGTCAGTCATGAATGCTTTACGATTGTCATACTGAATACCTGTTTTCTGATGCCAGTATTGATTGTGTTGGTGACTCCTGCTTGCGTTGTATCTTGTATCCTTAGATTATGAATGTACCGGATGACCGTTGATCAGAAGTACTGTGAAGGCATAGAAGGACTCCCAGCAAAACTTTGAGAGCTCTTGGACCGAATCAATTATCGCCACACCGACCTCCCGGGTATCCGCTTCTAATAATGGGTTGCCTCAAAAAAACAACGCGCAACGAAGAGGATATGAGGTTGATATCCTACACATCGCAGCGCCAAATCAGCGGCTCGCTCCTGAATCACGGATTCTACTGGATGCTGATTGATCTGATGATGCCAGTGGCGACATGGTGAGATTACAGTGCAGAGACGAGGCATCTCTGTTCCGTAGAGAATACCGAGAAATCTCCCCAGTTCCAGAACTCTCTAAAGTATTTGCCCCGGCGTCGAGAACGAGTCAGATCCGGCCCGCCGTTTGGATGAATGGGTGTGCTTCGTGTCGACGTAGATGGTGGCGATTTCTCCTTTTCCCGGGATTTGACTTTTGAAAGCGATCGATACGCTTCAAGGTTTTGTACATCGTACTAGCTCCCTAGTATTCAGTAGTGTGGCCTGATGTTCACCTACGGTTGAGATGTACCGAGCTTTGAGACTCGGGACTCTCTGATCTGGTTCGCACATGTCATAGTGACTGATGCGGAACACAAAGAAAGGGCAAGGCCTCTTCATCCAGAAGCAGAAAAAAGAAAAAGAATAAAAAGAGTAAAGAACAAGGGAATGCCAATGGCTGGGGATTCGGCAAAACTTCGCGCTGACGATGGACGGGCATGTGGTTGGATGATGGGCAGGCAAGGTTCTGATTTTATTTTTCATTCCTTTTTTTTTTTTCCCTAAGCGCGTTAGAGTCGTGTAAATTTTCCCCGACAGATCAGGGGGGCACTCCGTAGGCAAATTTGGTTTCTTTTTCTTCCACGTTATTTTTAGGCGACTGGGATGCTGGCTTGCTGGCTGGCTTGTCGCTGTTGGAGGGCGACTGACTCCCTTGTTGTTTGTTAATCAATCTCAATCTTCTATCGATAAGACTCTCAAGGGGAAAAAAAATCGAACAAAAAAGTAATGTGATTGAAGGATAAAGTTAGACCCACCAAATGTACAATTTCTTTTTCCTGAAAAACTTTCTCCCTGCTGCTTAGCCTTTATTCGAATCCTGATCCTCTTCGCCACCGACTCCATCCGGCTGTTTTTCGCGGGGGATAAGGGGAGGAAAATCCGGAGAATGCTGACAATCGATAAGGATTTTACTCTTTTCACTTGAATGACCGGCAACACAACAGCGAATAGTACGAGTATACTATTTAAGATTACGGACATAATTTGCGTTTCGACCAGCGGAAGACGCGTCAAGAATGTTCCCTTGATTTAGATTATTAAATCCGACTGATGCAGTGAGAGGAGTCAGGAGGAAGCCTTGCTCCCAGGGAAAATTTGTTCGACAAATGGCGGTGATGTGTCCATCCTCCAACGACGCCCATTGTTTCAGGCGTCAGGGATCCTCGCAGGTCTGAGTCTGAGCCCTTATCCCGATGGTTGAATTTTTCTTCTTCCCCCTGGGAGATTGCTATCAAAGGCTCGCCGAGGTTTAAGGAATCTGTTCAAGGCTTGAGCGCTGATTAACATTATTGGATGTACTCTGTAATTCTCGTCCTGATAATCTCGTTTCCCAGAGCGACTTGAAATTGGCCGTATTCAAGCGAGAAGAGTTCTCAACAAGTTTATTATTAGCCCTATTAGCCCTTGTCAACAACGTAAACCCGATATCAATCGTAATGCATCCTATTCATGCTGACGAGGACGGGGCAACGCCTCGACTCACCCACGGTTCTCAGGAACCTTGCTCAGCCAAAATTAACTAATTTTATTTCGAAAGACAAACAGAATTAAGAATACAGTCAGCCTGGGCTGCGCCACAGGTTGAAGAACAAGTCCCTAAAATATCGTTTCATCCATTGTTTTGATAACCATGTGGAGGATACTAGCCGTAGCAAGGAGGATGGCTGCATGCCCCGGATTCGCAGCGGGCCAGGGACTGAAGCCTTGTTTGCCGGAGAAGTGGATACACATTCCTCAAGCGAATCTGAAGCGATGTCAATGACAGAAGAGGGAGGACGGAGTTGCCGGCAGAAGAGGCTCGTTCGGCGACGGCAGTCTTGTACGCAGGACGGTGATGCTGACTCGCTGCATCCCTTGCCCTATGCGGTTATTCAGCCACGACCGTGAACCCGACTGATAGGTTGCTACTAGTGATGGTGTCTTCAGCCTTGAAAGAAAGGGCCCGATGGTGTTCTCGTTCGAAGATTGGTTCCCCTCCATATCCCTTTCATCCCTGAGCGCCATGTATGAAGCGCCATGTGTCTTGGCCCCGGGCATTCTTGACCTCCAAGTCCATGTTGTAGACAGTAGTCGTCGACAGTGGAAATACACGTTCACCGGCCGTGATAGCAGGATCGCGAGAACATATCACTGTGTCGACTGTAGAGTTCCGACAAAACACCGGACACTGCCAGTGCCAGATCAGCCTGACGCTGTTACCAAGGATCCAAGATTGGTTGGGTGCCAGTTGCTCCGAGCCGACCAGAACCAATGGATAGACGGCCGCAGTAATCGGACGGTTCCACTGCTGAATCAGGTTAGCGCGCTGTAAAACTTTTTTTTCAGAAATTTTTTATCAGCACTGAAGAGGGTGGCGGTTCAAGGTTGGAAACCCACAGAGCGGGCGATAAATAGAAATAGAGGGCTGCCCCTCGTCTTCCTCCTTTCCTCTTCCACATCAATAACCCTTATCTCTTCGATAGAGGTCTGGTCCTCTTGTGCTTCAACCTTTTCTTTTCTCTTTCCTTGTCTTTGCGTCTTAGACAAAAAAGAGTCTTAGATTTTTATTTGGTCGGTTTAGATCGTTGCCTGCGTCTCTTTGCACGGGCGCAGTCCTCTCGCCGTCACACTCTCGAGATACCCTAATAGAACGCCTTTCGTTCTCGATTTTTTTTTCTTACCCCTCGTCCTCTACGTTTCCTTCAAAATTTCGAATTTTACGACTTCCAAAATGCCTGCTGTTGATGTCGCTTCTGTCCCTGCCGTCTCCGGCAAGGAGACTGCTCAGTCCGTCGCTGTCCTCGAGGATCTCATCAAGCAGCTCAACATCTCTTCCAGCCAGGATGAGGTGAACGCCGCCAGTGGAAACATCGCTCACCTTTTCTCCGGCCCTATCCCCGAGCAGACTCTTCCTCTGAAGTATGTTTTGTGCCTCAGGTGCCACCTAATAGATTTTTTTGTGAATATGCATGTGTATCAGTATACTGACTCGAGTGCTTTTTAGGGCTGTTGAGGCTTTCAAGAAGCAGCTTGTCAACAAGAAGGATGGCAAGGCTCGTGAGAACGCCCTTCATGCCATCCGTGCCATCGCTTCTCACACTTCGATCTCTCCTGCCGTTGAGCCTCATCTCGTCTCTCTCCTCGAACCAGTCATTGCCGCAGCTGGCGCGAAGAAGGCTACGCCCACTGAGCTCCAACTCGCTAAGAGCACAGCTGTCGCCATTGTTGGTGCCGTCAACAGCAACGCTGTCAAGGCCGTTCTTCCCCCAATCATTGACGCTCTCGATGATTCGAAGAGGACTGTTGAGAAGGAGACCGCACTTGAGTGTATTGAGGAGCTTATCAGGACTGCCCCTGTTCAACTGTCTTTCCGCGTTCCCGACTTGATTCCTGTTCTCTCCGCGTCTGTGAACGGCAGTGACAAGAAGATCAGCTACATCGTCGGTGGCAAGCAGGATGACCCGGAGACCAAGCAAGTGATCCTGACCGGAAACGGTACCCTTGATCACGTTTGCGCTTTGATCGTCAACAATGATATCAAGGAATTCATTCCCGCACTCGTCAAGTGTATCGTCAACCCCAACCTCGTCCCCGAAACAGTTCACACCCTGGGTGCCACCACCTTCGTCTCCGATGTTACCAGCCCTACACTCGCTATCATGGTCCCATTGCTTGAGCGTGGTCTTGCCGAGCGTGAGACTGCTATCAAGCGTAAGTCCGCCGTCATTGTTGACAACATGTGTAAGCTCGTCGAGGATCCTCAGATTGTCGCTCCTTTCCTGCCGAAGTTGATGCCCAAGCTTGTGGAGAACTACGACAACATTTCTGAACCCGAGGTTCGTGAAAAGACCCAGCAAGCTTTGACCACCTTGAAGCGCGTGGGTGCTGTTAAGGACGGCAAAATTCCCGAGATTTCGACCGCTGGCCATATCCCTACTGTCGCCGGAATTCTCAAGGACATTCTCGCGCCAAAGTTCAAGGCCCAGGCCGATAAGTCTGAGGCCATCATTTACTACGTCTCTGCTATCGCCGGTGAGCTTATTGATGAACAAGACGCCGAAGCCACGAGCTGGACGAACAACGCTGTTCCTTATATTGCCGCCATCGTCGGCGAGGGTGATGCGCAATCCATCACTGAAACTCTCCGCAAGCGTGCTTCTCCTATTGCTGCTGCTGGAGAGGATGTTCCCTCTGATGAGGAGGAAGGCGAGGATCTTTGCAACTGCACATTCTCTCTGGCCTATGGTGCCAAGATTCTGCTGAACCAGACCAAGCTTCGCTTGAAGCGTGGCCAGCGTTACGGTCTGCTCGGACCCAACGGTACCGGAAAGACCACTCTCATGCGTGCCATCAACAACGAGCAGCTCGAGGGCTTCCCCAAGAAGGACGAGGTCAAGACTGTCTACGTCGAGCACGATCTTGATGCTGCCGACACTGAATTCACCGTCATTGGCTGGACCATGATGAAGCTCCGCCAAGTCGGTCTTGATCCTGTCGAGGACGAGGTCAAGGCTAAACTCATTGAATTCGGTTTCCTTCCTGAGCAAATGGACGGTCCCATCACTGCCCTCTCTGGTGGATGGAAGATGAAGCTTGCCCTTGCCCGTGCTGTCTTTGAGTCCCCCGATATCCTCCTCCTTGACGAGCCTACCAACCATTTGGATGTCAAGAACGTTGCTTGGCTCGAGAACTACCTCTGCAACTCTCCCTGCACCTCCATCATCGTTTCTCACGACAGCAAGTTCTTGGATAACGTTATTCAGCACGTTGTCCACTACGAGCGCTTCAAGCTCAAGCGTTACCGTGGTTCCCTGAGCGAGTTCGTCAAGAAGGTTCCTTCTGCTCGCTCATACTACGAGCTTGGCGCCTCTGAATTGGAGTTCAAGTTCCCTGAGCCCGGTTTCCTCGAGGGTGTCAAGACCAAGGCCAAGGCCATCATTCGTGTCTCCGATATGTCCTTCCAGTACCCCGGAACTCCCAAGCCCCAGATCTCCGATATCACCTTCCAGGTCTCTCTGGGCTCCCGTATCGCCGTGATCGGACCCAATGGAGCTGGAAAGTCTACCCTGGTCAACGTTTTGACCGGAGAGTTGCTTCCCACCACTGGTGAAGTTTACCAGCACGAGAACATCCGTATCGCTTACATCAAGCAGAACGCCTTTGCTCACATCAACGACCACCTCGGCAAGACTCCTTCCGAGTACATCCAGTGGCGTTTCCAGACTGGTGAGGACCGTGAAACCATGGATCGTGCCAACAAGATTGTTACCGAAGACGATGAGAAGGCCATGTTGAAGATCTACAAGATCGAGGGTACTCCCCGTCGCGTTATTGGTGTCCACTCTCGTCGTAAGTTCAAGAACACCTACGAATACGAGTGTTCGTTCTCGCTCGGTGAGAACCTTGGCATGAAGAGCGAAAAGTGGACTCCTATGATGACTGCCGACAATGCCTGGATTCCTCGCAGCGAGATCATGGAGTCTCACTCCAAGCAGGTCGCCGAGGTTGATCAGAAGGAGGCTCTTGCCAGTGGTCAGTTCCGTCCCCTTGTCCGCAAGGAGATCGAAGCCCACTGCGCTCAATTCGGCCTCGAGACCGAGCTTGTCACCCACTCTCACATGCGCGGTCTCTCCGGTGGCCAGCGCGTCAAGGTCGTCCTCGCCGCCTGCACATGGCAGCGTCCCCACGTCATCGTTCTGGACGAGCCTACCAACTATCTCGACCGTGACTCCCTCGGTGCCCTCTCCAAGGCCCTCAAGGCCTTCGAGGGTGGTGTCATCATCATCACCCACTCTCGTGAATTCACTGAGAACCTTACCGAGGAAGTTTGGGCCGTGGTCGACGGAAAGATGACCCCATCAGGTATGTCGAAAAGCTTCCCTCACTCTAAATTCTCGCTAAAACTCGATTGTTAGGTCACAACTGGGTTCAAGGACAAGGCAGTGGGCCAAGGCTTGAGGCCAAGGATGGGCCTGAAGAAGTGGTCGATGCCATGGGAAACAAGGTGAGTTTGATAACTTTTGTTATACGCATTTTCTGGGTGTTTCAATATTCGGGCGGTCTGGGGCGGTCTGGGGCGGCTCCGGTGCATTTCTGCCGCTTCAGGTTTCTGGCATTTCACTTACCGCCCTTTACTATGCTTCCCAATTCATCACCATCTCAACTACCGCAACATTACAAACCAGCTGCTAACTGTTGTTCTCTCTAGACTGTCGTCGAGAAGAAGAAGAAGGAGAGCGCTTCCGACAAGCGCAAGGCCCGAAAGGAGCGTCTTGCGAAGAAGAAGCGTGGTGAGGATCCCGATGAGGAGGATTTCTGAGCGGAGCGTGAAAAAGTTGTCTCCATTTAATTGCTACGGGTTATGCTATAGAGGCTATGATTCAATGAATTTCTGTACTAATTCGCCCTTTTCCATGTTCAACTTGACCAATAAAACATCGTATCCTCTACCTTATGGAGTTAGTGGCAGACTGGGAAGAGTGGGGAAGCTCTAGGTGCTCCGACTTAGCCTCTAACGTAGTGATCCTTTAGACTTGTCAAATACAACGCGATTGCTCTGTTGTCCGTTCGATTTTGATGACAGAGCCGTGATCCCACTAACTATAACTCTGACCCCCCGACCGGCTGCTAGGTATTGACAAAGTCAGGAGTAGGTGTTCACGCCCTCGATGTAAAGCTCTTCGTTCCCAGCGCTCTACCCGTCAAAGCAAGGATATACAACCTTCATATGTCCAACACATTTGGCCTGGTATAATGCCTCCAACTCCCTCAGGCTCCCGGCTACCCTAATACAACTCGATTGCAGGATCAAAGTACGTGTATACGCAAAACCTTTGTCTCTATTAAGACCGAGTATCTGTTATCATCTTGGTGTCTAGAAGATCTATCTAATGCACAATGAAGAAACAAATCAATTCTTCAAATCCTCAGGCCCCGACGAGGTCTCAGCCCCAGCCGCCGCTCTAAGCTCAACTTCAGGATCCGACTCAACAACGGGAACCTCATCCTCCTCGTCCTCTGGCAAAAGCAGATTCAAGATCAACCCTAAGAACCCCGTAACAGCGAACCCATTCGCCATAACCAACTCGACAGCCTGAAGCAACCCCTGCAGAGCATGGTTATCACCTTGGTACGTAAAGACATACGAGAACCAATCCGGCACCAGCGTCGCCGCCATACCGATTGCAAATGACGCGGTGAGGATGAACCGGTTCCGACGCGTCCAGTCGACGCTGCACATGATGCGGACACCGGAGATAGCGACGGAGGAGAAGAGGAAGGTTGTCATGCCGCCGAGGACGGAAGAAGGAATCGCTACGAGGGCAGCGGCGAATTTGGCGAAGATGCCCATGACCACGAGGAAGAAGCAGCAGCAGTAGCCCGCTTTGCGGTTTGCGCAGCGGGTCAGGGCAATGACACCGTTGTTCTGCGCGAAGACGGACATGGGGGTTATTGTGCAGAGGCCTGCGATGAGGCAGGTTATGCCATTTCCTAAGACGCCGCCTTGGATGCGCGAGTCGAAGGTTGCACCTTCGACTTGGAGGCGTGAAACGTCGCAGGTGGCTGTGATATCTCCGATGGATTCCATCATTATGACCATGTATACGGCGAGTAGTGGGAGGATGAGTGGCGGATATATGTGAAGTGGAAATGTTTTTACCCAGATAAAGGACGCAACGGGGGCTGCGTCAATACCGGAGCGGTCGAAGTAGCCACAGGCGGCTGCGACGATACAACCGACTAGCAGGCCGACAATGACGGCGCAAGATTTCATGATTGGGGATCCGAATCGCTCGCAGAGTATGATCGTCACAAACACTAGGAAGCCCAGGCCGATGAACTCGGCGCTGCCCCAAGGAAGGGCGTGGGGAGCGTCCGCGCTTGGGCATAGAGAGCCGCCTCCTGGGTTGCTGCCGCAAGTTCCAGAACCACCAGCCCAGTCTTTCATTCCATTGGTGATGAGACTTGCCCCAATCAAGAACACAGTAGGGCCGGTCACCAGGGGCGGGAAAAGCGTTTTAAGCAGCCTACTGCTCATGAACGAGAGCCCGATTTCTAGGAGGGAGCATAGACATGAGGTCGCTAAAAGCGCTCCATATCCTTTCGGGCACGGAAGTCGAGTGCCGTTCTCGTCGACGGGACAATACCCGGTAGAGTACATCTGTGAGAATGTCCCTGTCGCAACGGTGATTGTAGCGAATGACGTGCCCACTACTGATATCAAGCCTGTGCCGATGTAATAGCGTGTTCTGTAGACATGAAAACGGAACATCTGAATGGCGGAGAGAAGCCCGGACACAATTAGCGATGTCGAGACAAGGTATTGATATTCTTCAGAACCGAAGTTGGCGCCGGCTGACCCGCCTAAGAGGATAGGAGGAGTAATCACTAGACAAATCAGCTATGCGCGATGGAGAAAGCTTCAACACCAAGGATAAAGTGTACCTCCAGCCAACATCGCTAGTGCATGTTGTAATCCTAGTAGCAGCGCCAGGGCTACCGGAATCTTATCTTCGAGGCCAAAAAATGGAGCAGACCTCTTCTGCTTCTTCATGAAAGGAAGCCTTGGGGTGAAGAGGAAGGCATAGTCGTAGTCACCAATGAGACCATCCTTGGTGGTGAGGACATGGACGGTTCGACGTATGCGTTCACGAAAAGTCCGCTTTGGACTGAAATCCGGCCCAATCTGATCTGGCCCGTCCATCTTCGGATTGTAAAAGAGTTCAAGATCGTGGCAACATCCGGAGGAGAAAAGTAAGCTAACTCTGACTCGAACTTTGCGCGGGGATAGTTTCGGTTAGTCTGGGGCGAATTTCCGGGATTTGCTTGAACTGGATCCCCCCAAGAGCTGGAGGGAAGCTTCTCTCTATATACAGCCAACATCGAGAGTAACATCGCGATAGAGAACGCGTGGGAGACGCAGTGAGTGAAGGAATCGAATAATGCCAACCGTTATCGACCCCATAATGCGAGATTAATTCGAGATAAAGGCCGGCTGCGGCTGGAGACTGGAGTTCGTTGCAAACAGCGCCCCAAAATCTTATCGAAGACAAGGCGGGCGCCGCGAATTCCAGGTACACTGTCTAGGTGCCACGCCTCTTAGCCTCTTCTGCACTGAGTGTCCTTTTTGACGCGAATTCTCTCATTCGAATGCTTCCTTTCAATCTATATCAGATGTCGGAGAACAGCTTCAAAGAGCATTGCGTTGAAGTTAAACCATCCAGGCATTGATGTGAGTCAACAGCTTTTGTCAAGCAGGCTGATTCCCCGCAATTCTTCCCAAATGGTATTTCCATCTGTCATAGAAACATTTTAGCCTTCTGGAACTGCTTGGCCTGGACTGCTCCATCATCCTCCGTTTCGACTTTCAGGGTTGGACTCCAGATCCTGACTTACAAGCAAAGAGTGTTTTAGAGAACGAGAGAGCTCGAAGCTCTTTTTTGCCACAACTTGACCTCATGACTCATGATTAACCCGTAGCGATCATGACTCATGATTAACCCGGAGCGATCGAGGTTGGCGCATGTTGGATATCGTCATGATAGACCGCGAGTTGCCTGTTTGGGGACGCCCTTGAATCATTGAGATGTCACAAAAGTACAGAGCTCCGAGTTATCCCGGCTGAGTCAGCTGTGCAAGCACATCCAGCGGATAAAAGAACCACACTCGCCACTCAGCCGCACCGCCACCGCCCTACGAGCCACATCTGCCAGGGCCAAAAACGTTGGGGATTCAACAGATGGATAAGGTTGCGTGATTGGTGGGCGGGCTCGCGCTTTACCGGAATTAGCCGGGGCGAGCTTGGATTTGCCTTCCTCAGGTCCAGCCCAACAGACGCAAAGTTTGTATGGGTTGGTTGGAGTCTCTGCTTGGAGACTGTCCTCCGCCCCTATCAGGAATCCGACAATCATTCTTTAGATTTCGTTTACCTCGGAATTGCTGATGCTTCTGATCAGCACGTTGCATTGAGATGCCTGGCCACTCGTTTTGCTGACTTTCCGGCCCTCCTCTGCTCGCTGAGTCGCAGTCGTTACGCCTTGCATTGGCAGCAAGCGTCCGTTTAGATCATCCTCTCCCCAACCATCATCCCTCCAGTGGACCCAAACCGGTGTCGACCTCGTCCAACTTTTCTCTCTTCTCCGCTTTCTGTCTTCTTCTCTTTTAAAAATCCCTGCTTTCCCTTTTGTCTTTCTTTCCTCTCCCCACCGATCAGATTTCACCCACGTTGATCCGGCTCACACAACTCGACTCATATACTTCGGACCAGCCGCCATGTCTGCACAACCCGCAGACGCCCGGGCTCGCGCCGCCGACCCTAAGAAGGTCCATATCGCCGATACTGCCATCACGCGCCAGAACTGGTACAAGCATGTCAACTGGCTGAATGTCACTTTCATTATTGGTATCCCTCTGTTCGGGTGCATCCAGGCTCTCTTCGTGCCACTGCAGCTCAAGACCGCCATCTGGGCTGTCATCTACTACTTCTTCACCGGTCTCGGTATCACAGCAGGTGAGGAACTCTCTTCTTGAACAACACACGTACAGAAGACGCTAACAATGGGCAGGCTACCATCGTCTATGGGCTCACTGCTCTTACTCCGCCACTCTTCCTCTGCGTATATGGCTCGCAGCCGTCGGTGGTGGTGCTGTTGAGGGCTCCATCCGCTGGTGGGCTCGTGACCACAGGGCTCACCACCGCTACACCGACACCGAGAAGGACCCCTACTCTGTCCGCAAGGGTCTGCTCTATTCCCACCTTGGGTGGATGGTGATGAAGCAGAACCCCAAGCGTATCGGCCGTACTGATATTTCCGATCTCAACGAAGACCCTGTTGTCGTATGGCAGCACCGCAACTACATCAAGGTCGTCCTTGCCATGGGTCTTGCCGTGCCGATGCTCGTCGCTGGTCTTGGCTGGGGTGACTGGATGGGCGGCTTCGTCTACGCTGGTATCCTCCGTATCTTCTTCGTCCAACAGGCCACCTTCTGCGTCAACTCCCTTGCTCACTGGCTTGGTGACCAGCCTTTTGATGACCGCAACTCACCCCGTGACCACGTCATCACCGCTCTTGTCACCCTTGGTGAGGGTTACCACAACTTCCACCACGAATTCCCCTCCGACTACCGTAACGCTATCGAGTGGCACCAGTATGACCCTACCAAGTGGACCATCTGGATGTGGAAGCAGCTTGGTCTGGCCTACGACTTGAAGCAGTTCCGTGCCAACGAGATTGAGAAGGGCCGTGTCCAGCAGCTCCAGAAGAAGATCGACCAGAAGCGCGCCAAGCTCGATTGGGGTACCCCTCTCGACCAGCTCCCTGTTATGGAATGGGACGACTACGTTGAGCAGGCCAAGAACGGCCGCGGTCTGATCGCCATCGCTGGTGTTGTCCACGACGTGACCGACTTCATCAAGGACCACCCCGGTGGCAAGGCCATGATCAACTCCGGCATTGGCAAGGACGCTACTGCCATGTTCAACGGTGGTGTCTACTACCACTCCAACGCCGCCCACAACCTCCTCTCAACCATGCGCGTTGGTGTCATCCGCGGTGGCTGCGAAGTCGAGATCTGGAAGCGTGCACAGAAGGAGAACCCCGAGTACGTGCGCGATGCCGCCGGCCAACGGGTCATTCGGGCCGGCGAGCAACCTACCAAGATCCCTGAGCCCATTCCCACTGCGGATGCGGCTTGACCGTTCTAGAATACGATCTTTCCTTCGTTCTTTCCATTGTCCCTCTTTTAGGGTTTGCGACTTAGCACACTGGCGTTATCCTTCCTTAGATTTGGAGTTTGTGGAGTTGGCTGGTCCATAATACTGTCGGTGTATGTTACTACGTTTTTACCCAAAAGCGAGACTTGAAATGAGATATGCCATCAACTACGAGACTGTGATTGAGTTCTGATTCTGTAGATCTAAGTTTTCCTCCTGTGTTCAGATTTAACCCCCTCTCAGCAAGTTTCGCAAGTTTCTTGAGATCTTCGCAGCCGTTCTACGTCGTCAATTTAGTATCGACCCTCTCTTTTTCCATGGGCTGATGAGTGACAAGGTGAAGTCCGATGTTAGAGCAGCATTTGCGGGTAGCAGCGCCAGCGATTGCCCTCTTCTTATAACCGCTGAGGCGGGAGGTTGTGGGCTCAACCTCCAGGCCGCGTCCGTCGTCATCCAAGCGGAGCCATGGTGGAATGCCAATTCGGAGCGGCAGGCGCATGCGCGCTGCCACAGGCAAGGACAACTGAACATAGTTCACTGCTATAGCCTCTTTGCTAGCAATTTGGCGATCGACGGTGAAGTCCGCACAGTCCAGAAAAGGAAGACTAGGGTGAATTCTGTGATTCTCGAAAAGATCACAAAAACAGACAGCGAGGCGCTGAAGATCCCGGCTTTTGAAGATGCTGTTTAAGATGACGTTGGTGAAGGCAGCAAGCTCTTCTTTTTCTCTCCTCTTTTTGTTTTCTTTACCGTTTCCCATGTCGCGTATTGCGACTCAGCAGGATTTGAGGGTTGGGAACTTATTACATCTCCAAGTTACTCGGTCCGTTGCGTTTCGTACAGCCCGCTCACAAGAGATGATGTATCTACCTCGCCGGTAGGAAATCTAACACCATCGTAAGACCTGTTCTTAATCTGGATCTCTGGAAGGAAACGTTGAGAAGGACCGTGTAGCGTAATGACTGTATTGGATTGTAGCTATCTCAGAGAACTGGTGGTGTTGACGGAAGAGAACAGTTGGGGCGGAGAGCATGTGACACGATCAAGTGTCCCGACAGGATCTCAGAGAATCATTCTAAATTGCAATACTGTACTGCAGTCTCCATCCAGGCTGCAGTTCAGGTTGCCTCGACCCAGAACTCTATCGACTCTTCTGTATAGCGTTACAAGGCCCGATAGGTAAGCGCGCCGGATAGGTGTGGTAGAGAAGGTCATTGATGAAACAAAGTCGGACTACCTCGAGAGAGGGACAAAGTAGCTTTAACTAAAAACAGTTTTCGAGAGTACAAGTACAGCTAGATCTTTACTTGGATGCCATGAGATCATCCTTACAGATCCCGTGGCCTGAGCAGCTTCTTCCAAAATGTCGCCTCTTTTCCTTGAGTTTGGTCACAGCCTTATACCCGTCACTTCGCTTTTTAGGTATATCCTTTATAACTCAATGCTCATTCAGTAACCGAACTTCGATATTGTGTTGTTAATTTAATGTAGATGCCTGGACGAATTACAACATTTGGAAGAGGCTCGCTCTGTCAGTGAGACCAATGGACAAGGTTGAGGCGGCGAACAATGCCGAGACTTCTTCTATCATACTATGATCGCTGCGGCCTGGTGCGAGTACGATGCCAGCTAGGAGCATTGTGGGGAATTCGAATGTAGTATCAAGAGAGTAAATTAGAGCACCATAATCGATCTGTGCTGCGCCTTGCAGTCAGTTGCCACGAATGTGGCCGGATAGCGAAATCGCTCGGAATTTTGGCTGGCTGTATGGAATGGAGCGGCTTCTAAGACACAGTATTAGCTACCCATCTTGTTATATGTATGACATGGCTGCACTTACGACCCTATTTTTCACCCACTCTTCTCCGAGGTACTCGCGGACTGGTACCTCAGAGTCGCCTATCTTCACGTGGCCTTCCGCCACACTGGGGCCCATAACTGGAGCCGTTATCCTGTATGCTGGTTGCCTTACAGGCCTTGATTTGTTGAGGTCCTTCAGATGCAAGTTAGACACATGCGCCGAGGGGCCTGGATATTCCAACTCACCTTTATTTCTGCATCACTGATAGAGTATGGGCCGTCCGGGAGCTGCAGCAGGTATTTGTTGACGTCCTCGACGTGGCCGATTGTGACTAAATCCCGGATCTGGGAACTCTCAAATGCGCCTTCTCGCTTAAAACTCCCCTCCTTGAATCGTTTGATGTTCTTTGCCCAGATACTGGGCTCGTCTTGGTCTGAAGACAACATCTCTGCTTGCAGCACAGTCGCCAGCTCAGCAAATGTTTTTGAGTGAAAGACCAGAGTGTACTGCGCTGGGTCAAGATGAGTTCATGAGGTTGGAGAAAGAGTTGAGCGGAGGATGTGGGATGACAAGATTGAGAGAGTGAGAATACTGGGCGAAGGAGAGATCTGGCGGGAATCGTTCAATGTCTGAGACGCTAGAAGCGTGGGGAGTGTGCAAAGTAGAGGCTCTTCGGATTCACTTCATATGTCTAACTCGTCTGATTTTAACAACTTCACCAGTCAACTAGAAGGTGCCATGACATCAGTCTAGTGACCGATGTTGAATGTTAGGTCAGGTTTCCGGCTGACAGATTTGAGCTGCTGCCAGTTGCTGTGTTCTATCCAACGTTCAGAAAACTCGACTCCTTCCCAAGTCAAATCGTTACTATTCTACAATAGCACAAGATAAGGTCAGTACACTCTAGGTTAGAGCCTGCTAAAACAGTATTGCTGACGAGATATCCGGCTTTTCAGGATGGACGATAGCGACACAGAAAAGCAAGTAATACCAGGACTCGATGGGGACCTCTTGGACCGACTGAAAAAGGCCACGGACAACCTACTGCGTTGCAGGAAATCCTACGGGCTTCTTGCGCAATTGGAATTAGAGGACAACGTTGCTGCCATGAAGGCAGTTCGGGACTGTCTCGAAAAAGCGAGGCGGAGACTTTTGGAGCTGCTAGACGAGGCCAAGCAACGACAGGGATGCGCTCTCCCAGGTCCCATAGCTAGAGCAGGGCTTTCAGAGGGTGTATACGATGTCGCACGGTCGCTGAGTCCTGTCTTGGTCTGTATTATCGAAGGCAAGGCCTAGTCTGATGCAAGGAATCAAGTCGTGCCGGTAAGTCATAAGCAACACCCGCTCCAAGGGCCCGACAATCGACACTGTAGTTTGAGGTGTCTGTGCAGAGTCTTCTCGTACCTTTTCTCCTTCTCAGCCTATCTTCGCATTAGACCCTTCTAAATTGCGTGGAGTCGCAGTTACGACAGTCTTCCCCTCGCGCAGCGACACCCGTTCTCCACTCAGCGCGGGAGCACAGGATGCAACCCTTTCTGTTGGCCTGGTCGAGGCCGATCATATCATAAGCTGGGTGAAACCCGCCATTGTCCGCGAGCTGGCAACATCCGCAACCGCTCTTCCTCGTGGTAGACACGGACGCGGCCATCGAGTCCCTTGAGGGTATACCGTGTCTTACGCTGATTGAATTACACTTGTTGAATAGATTGTCTATCTATATACTACAATCGGACTACATAATCATACTAGGAGAGCCGGGCCGTTGACATTACGGAGCGGTTTTATACTCCCTCGACCACTTCCCCGGGTGCCAACATCTTGACATAGAAATGCTCTCCCGTCTCAAGCACAGAAACTGCATCACCGACACGAACTCTGGATTCTATATTCGTTAGCAGCTAATCCATGATTCAAGAACTCAAAGACAAAACATAAAGCGGATAAGAAGGAGGCAAAAGAAAGTAACGAACCTTGAACAGCCGGAACACCCTGCATCCCCAAGCACGCATATGCCCTCTCCCCGGCGTCAATGACTCGGTAACTTCGCAATGTTTGATCTGGTTCCCGCGGATGTCGGATGCCAGTGTCCGGGTCAACGTTGGGAAGCTTGCAGCGGATTGTGCGGCAGACTGTGTGGATTGTCGTTCCGTTGGTGCTTGTCCGGTTCTCCTCAGCAGAGGAAATGCGAATTCTCTTCCAATTATCCTCGATGAAGGCCCCCGGGCCCTGAATGATGATATTCGCTCTGAATCGCCGGATACTTAGTTTCGGTAATGAACTTGCACAGCGTGCCGCTACATCACGTACGCTAGATAGACTGAGGATATGAAGGGGGTATGCGTCCGCGAAGCCTGTCGTGGGCTGAAAGCCAAGGTCTTTCTTCCCGGGTGCGTTGCGGAAGATCTCTCGGTAGTTAGAGGGATGTACACGAAAGAGAGTTATACGGCCGCTATCTCGTCTTTTCTCAGAGTCACGTTGGTGGGCGAGAAAGCGGTGGAATGAATCAGGAATGTGCTTGCCGTAGTCGTAGGCTAAGGGGCAGTCTTTCCAGATTTTGACTGGGGTGAGAGGGTATGCCTTTTCTGAGTCTGGAGGAGGAACGAGGGGAATGCGAAATGAAGTCTCGTGGCCGATGAGGTTGAGATAAATTCCGAAGGTAAGGAAGAAGGAGTGTAAGGCGTTATGCCCAATATGTGGGTAGTACAACATTATCACGCCTTGTGATTTGACTTCCTCTAGATCAGGACTGTACCCTGGTACTGAAGAATCAGGAACCCAAATCTCTGAGCGGACGAGGGCCAGTTTGTTGAAGCCGCTGTTGCGGAGGGTTCGAGCTATCCAGCTCGTGCCCAGGTTCGAGCTAGAAGGGTTCTTCCGACTGGCTGCTGCCGGCGTCACTTCCTCCGCAAAGCAGAATTGCCTGTCAAAGGCGAGCCCGGTGCTAACTATATCAGCAGTGTCAAGTTCGATCCCGGCGCAGCTCTTGATGGGGTATGTGAAGAGAGCCTTGATGCGCCATGCTGGATGCCCTTGTTCATCTGTGCTGTTCTCTGGACCACCATTGGCGTATGTTGGATCGTACTCGTCATTGAGGTTGCTTTGTTTGGGAGATAGACCTATTTTCTGACAACCTTTAGGAGCCGCATTGGAAAACGATTGGACTCTGACCCAGTATATGAAGAAAAGTGCGCCTACTATGGCGAGGATGGTGTTTATGATGGCAGCATTTTGCTGCGCGTATTCCAGCATCGCTGGTAGTGAAGCAGCGACGATGAGAATGGACAGGTATGTCTGCAAATATAACATAAAAGGTTCCTCGACTTAAAAAATTCAGGGTAAATATAATAGATCAAGACATGTTCAAGGTCGAAGAGGTTCTGGTGTCTCAATAAGAGGCTCTCTTTGATTGGCTGACCTCTCTTCGACGTAAGAGGATTAGCGTCAGGTCTAGGGTCATTACGTCACGTGGAATCCTGTCACATTCATCGAGGCAAGTGCTGCCTTCCCTTTTAGGCAAGTCCTCTCGCGCGCGGTCAGTTGGTATATTTGCAATTCAGCACGCACTACGCGTACGAATGGAGTATGAATGGCGGATGGAATTATGTGATCCAAAACTGACCTGATTCAACCCGTTACTCGTGCCTTCTTTGTCTTCAACGTCACAATGAACACTCAGGAGTTGCTCAGTCCTGCTACTCAGAGAACGCGTAAGTGTGGTGTGGCATTGACGCTATATGGAATATTCGGGGAAGAGCCGAGCATCTAACAAGCTACAGGCCCGGTCGTCTCATTTCCCGCATCCCAGTCTCTGCAAGCGTCTGCCGCCCTAAGAGCAGGCGCGGTTCCAACCGGCCTGTCTCGGCTGGATGATGCAATCTCCCCGCTGTCCATAGATAAGGGGGAGGAGGTCCCCCAGGGCATTCCTCAAGGCCATGTGACGGAAGTGTTCGGTCCTCCTGGTGTGGGAAAGACGTCCTTGGCGTGAGTAGTGTTCCTCTGCTTCGCCTGTATTTGCAAGTCTAACATAGAAGCAGGCTGAGTGTCATCTCCAGTGCTTTGCGAACTGGGAGAAAGGCAATTTGGATTGGTACTTTTCGATTCATGTATTTTCTTGTTCAGCAGCTAACGCCTCCAGACACTGGATCTCCCCTTCCACGGATCCGTCTGCGCAACATTTTGCAAAGGTCTATTCAGGAGTCAGGATCTACTCAAACGGTCGATGAATTGGTCGAAAGCTTGGTATACTTCAGAGCCCAATCTCTACCCCATCTTCTCGCACTTCTGTTCCACGCTCCCGGGGGCTTTCCCCATGACGATTGTGATTTGTTGGTCATTGACTCTGCATCGGGGCCATTCCCATCATACTTTCCTAACGCAACCGAACTAAAGACACGCCTTGCTGAATCAAAGATTGTTGACAAAAATCAGGTTCAGTGGCTTATGAACCGAAGTTCGAACGTCACCAGCGACCTGGCAAATCAACTAACCAAGCTTGCTACAACTCACAATATGGCAGTCCTTGTGATTAATCAGACTCGTACCAGGATCAAGGGCCAAGCTCGTGCCACCTTGTGCCCGATACTAGCAGGTGGATCATGGGAGAGGTGTATCAATACGCGGATCGTTATTTATCGTGACTTCTCGGCTGCTGAAGATGGCGCTTCCTACGGTGTTCGGTTTGCGGAAGTGATGAAAAGAGCTGGAAAGCTGTTGGCTTTGCGACTGGATGAGAACATTTCCCCTTTCCAGATCGATAAGGTGAGCTCTACGTTCATTTCCTGCTTTTAATGAGCTAACAGGAACCTAGGACGGGTTGACCCTTCTGGACAACCACCCGTCGCCTCCAATAGTTCAAGGTCAATCTGAAGAAGTACGAGAGCTGTCCATACAGAGGAAGCGTAAGGTCGAAGAAATCGCAGACAGCCAGGATGAGGACGATTCAGGCGATGACTACGGATGGGTTGACGGGGACAACGCAGGTCTTGATGAGAAGTAGTGCCTTCTCGAAGTCATTGAAAATACTACCATCGTAATTGAATGGCCCTAAATCCCTAACGATCATACATCATGCTTGAATCAAGATGGGATTATGAAAACCCAAAAATCGAGCGGACTATTCCGGTCAGCTTTCAAACGGCATTGCCATTTCCCCGCGGGTGGTGCTCGACCCACGTCGAAACTTCCGTCATCGCCAATATCTTATCCTCTGGTACATCGACGGTTGAATGGTTAGTCTGGTGATTTCTCGCGGCTGAATTGACGACCGAGCCGCGGCAGAAGCTCAGGCCTCCGTGGACCGCTGACGACACACCAGGGTGATTGGAGGCCTGTAGCGACGCCAAATGTATAGGACTCCCCACCAAGCCAGGCCGTTTGTTGCCGTGCACCACATCGACAAGCTTTCCGAGAACCGCGAATTCCAGCTTCAGCTTCACGCTGTAGATCACACCTTTGAGGCAGATCTGGACGGCATAATAGCTGGCATACTCTAGCCCGAGCAAAACCAAGTCCATGATGACGATCATGACGTTGATTCCCACAAGCTGATGCATGATTCTCCGATTCTCGCGACTAGACCCGAGTTGCAGCATCTTTGTTGTCTCCCAGACGTATAATGCCGAAATTATGACTTCTTGGACGGTGAACCCGGTCATTTGGATTTTCTCCATGATATTATACGCCTCCAAGAAGGGGTTTTCTTCGGTAATGTTTCGCACAGTTGAATTGCTGGGATTGGATAGCCTGCTTCGGTCGGTTTGGTGGACGACATTGGTGCCATACGTCAGAACGGTCGTGGGGACGTGAAGCAAGAAAACATTGGCGATGATCATGTATAAGACACGGCGGAGGGTACGTTCATCTCGAAGAACAAGATGCAGCCGGGAATAGAGGACGAAGGCTTGTCCCGTCACCATCGTCCACCAGCCGACAGTGAGGATAGTGACGGATACCGCAGGGGCTGCCTTCTCGAAGAATTTCAGGAGAAAGCCGAGCGAGTATGGCACAACGCCAACGACACCAGAAATGAGAAGACTATAGAAGTATAGTCCCTTCCAACGGCGAAAGGTCGAGAGCACCAGAATGACGAGCTCAATGATATTGTAGCAAGAGAGGGCGATGAATATCACCAAGACCACACTGAGTTTTTCATCTTCCCCAAGCCCTCCCGCAAGTCCTGCTGGGTTGTTTCTGCTCATTGTGATGTTCGAGATGTAAAAGCCAGGACATCTGACTGGCAAGTCAGCATGAAGAAGTTGCAGAGAAAAGTTGAACGAAGCGTCCTCTTCAACAGAAGCAAAGACCATCAACATAGGACGATATTTCAAAAGCGCCTGAAGGAGAATCCGCCATCCACTCTCAAATCGGAACTGTTCAAGAAGCACAGCAACCACCGGTATCCGCTGTCGACTTGGGTCACGGACACTGCTGCAGTGCTCTTATACAGAGCCAAACAATAAGACGCAATGACCACCAGCTGTCAACAAACTGAACGTCCTGCGCACCGATCTCGACCGACACCTCACTTCCCCTCCATGACAGTAGCAGTTGGTCGAGTCCCAGGTCAACAATGGAAATAGAATTCGAGGACGAACGTCGAGTGTAGCCGCACTATCATTCAGAATCCTTGTCGAGCGGCCAGCTAAACGCCGTCACGATGAAACCGACAAGGATGCAGATGTTGGAGTTGTACAGACAACCCGCCTGCTCATGTACTGCGATGAAAAGTCGACAAGGTTGGTTGGGCAGGGAAGTTGGGGCTCCGCGAGAGATTCTGACCATTTAAGCCCGGCCTGGTGAGCATCCTGCAAACAGAATCGAGACTGAAATTTCTGACGCGGATAAAATCCGGGGGTGAAGGTAATCAAACACACTTTGCTAGCAGCTTCGTATTTCCAGGGCGAGGCCAGGGGTTGGTTGTACCATTTTGTCGCCTAGACTAGCCACAGCTAGTATCGACTAGGCCTGGATTAGTTCAACTGCTTACGGGTCCGGCCTCTGGGGGCAGAACTCAAATCACACGGTACGGACTCATCCACAGGTTCCTTTCGCTTGCGCTTACCATTACCATTGTTGCCGTCCGCCTCTTGTTCATATCAATTCTCGCGAGAATCAAGGGGCTAGCCATGGATGAGCTCACCGACATCATGTCGCGGCGTGTGGTCCTGCGAGTAATGTCTTGCCACACTATACCCTGTACGCACCAGGTGTTACTTGTGCAACAGTATGCAGCAAACCGGTTCCGATAATGAGGATGGGATAACCAGGGTACGTTGGGTAGACAGCTTGGTCATGTTAAGTTACCTGTTGGTGTCTACGCTGGATTAGGTGTTGATGAGAAGACAAGGTACCGACAAATCGGATTTCAGAATCCAAAAGCTACAAGAAGTATGATCCACGGATTAGGTCGGAAACACTAGTAAGATCGTTCAAATTGTAGGCACGAAGGAAGTGCATTATTCCGTGGAGGTTTGTTTTGAGCGAAGACTCGCGGGTCAAGTGTTTCATCAGCTGTGCCATCATGCGATTTCACTGTTGGTAATTCTCCGAGATCGAGATTGACCCCGACACCCCAATCGCAGGTGGAGCGAGTTATGGAATAGGAATCCTTGTCAGTCTCAATAGACCTCTATTATGCTACAAAGTCTTGACTGAATCAACATGAACGAATCGCTTATAGACTGGTCAGGTAGTCTTCGATCTCCTCTTTCGTCAGCTTCCTAAACCTAGGCCCGCGGGCTCCTTCGACGCCTTCGAAGCCGAGTAGATGATCGGCAGGAGGCCCAACAATACCTATGTCAGGTGGTTAGCACGTTACCATCCCAAGGAGGCACTTTTCCAGAAGCTCACCAATTTCTATTGTGTCACCATTCATCTCGCCCTCGATGGTCTCCTTCAGGGTCAGCAGAGCAATGTGGATAGCGTCTTCAAGCTCCAGCCCCTCGGTGTAACGCTTTTCAAGGAATGTCTTCGCGCTTGTAGCATGCTTTCCGATGGCCGTCGCCTTCCATGGGTAATAGCTGCCACTGGGGTCGACCTGGTATAAACTGGGGCCACCCTTCAGGATGCCACCGGTCTTTCCTGTGGCCTTCTTCGGTTCCTCCTCATCTCCCTTCTCGGCCTGAGCAGTCTCGGGTTCAATACCCTCGTCCCAACCCGCGATCAACAGACTGACACCATATGGCCGGACTCCACCGGACTGGGTGGCTTCTTGCACGACACGGGCAACGTCCTGCACCAGTATCCGGGTCGGGGGATATTCGTTATAGATGCGCTTGTAGCCGGTGTGGGAGACCTTGCGGGCCTTGTCGACGAGCACTCGATAGTCGGGGCCCATGCCAGCATATACCATGCCGATGTCGGGTGTGATGAGGGAGATCTTGGAGAGGGAGGGAGGGTCAATTAGAGGGGAGGAAGACTTCTTTTCGGTAGCAAGGACAATTCCATTTGTCGCTGTATAGAGAGCGGTGTATTTAGTAGCTGCGTCAAGCTCGAGATGCGTGCTTGATGGTCGTGTTCATACCTTTGATTCCGAGAGCAGTTACTCCTTGGTTGACCGCGTTCAATGCATATTCTGATTCAATCAGCATGGGGACTTGAAACATCAGGCCGAGGATATTTACCAATTTGAACGAGCTTTCCACTGCGAGATGGGTTAGCAGCTGTTGGCCCGCCGATGCTTGCTCGGAGCTCCGCTTACCTGGGGGAGAAGGTGGTCAAGGAGAAAGAATATCTGTCAGCCATCGAGACGTCTGGTCACCTCCGAAAGCTTAAGTAAAGAGTCAATAGAGTAGTTAAGGGAGGATGAGAGATATCCGAGATGAAACAAGGCTGTGGGGGACCAAGATGAAGCTGCGCTCAATTTAGCAGGCGACAGGATGTTGACGCAGCTCAGGTCGGTTTGGTGCCAAGCCGCGGCGGGCGGTGACGATAGACGAGGTGAGCTCTTCCTTTTCGGTCGGCTTCTCTCCACATCTTCGGTTTCCGACCTCTACAATTTTTCTCCGTCTCTCACTCCTTCTTTCTTTGCACTTGGTCGAACCGCTGGCAGCTTGATGCTTCTGGGACTCTTGGCCATCCATGTAAATGGTTGCTATGCTATGCTCCGTTATACTATGAATATATCTTGAGTTTCTAGAGCACCAATGGACGGGCTAAATATGCCAACCTGGCAGTTTCCTGCGGAACCTTTGCACACCGATACAACTGCACCAGAACCTGATGAGGATCAGAATTTCGAAGATACCCAGCAGGCTGGGGAGTCTGGTACTGCTCCTCCTCCCGAGTCTCCCAAGAAACATTATCCCGCTCGCGTGTGCCGCATCTGCCTGGAGTCCGTTCCTCCCACAGTCCTTCCTCCATCGGAGCATGTGCCTGGCTTTCTCCAGCGTGAACCGCGAGTTGTCTACAGGTCTTCGGATCCAGAGCTCGGTCGGCTCCTTCGACCCTGCAAGTGCAAAGGATCTTCCCGTTATGTCCACGAGGGATGCCTACAAACTTGGCGACACGCCGACCCAAGCTATGGTCGAAGACATTATTGGAATTGCCCTACTTGTGGCTTCCAATACCGACTCGAGCGACTCGCCTGGGCTCGCTGGGTCAGTAGCACTATGACCCAGCTCATGTTAACCTGCGTTGTTTTAGTTTTCACCATTTTCGTACTTGGTTTTATTGCTGACCCCATCATTAACCTCTATGTCGACCCTATGGAGACGATCTATTATTCCGATTATTGGGAGGGCAATAGCTTGTCTGACTCGGGGCCGGCAAGCTGGTTTGAGCACTTCGTCAAGGGGATGGCATCGTTAGGCCTGTTGTCTTTCATCCAGGTCATCTATGGCTTGTCGCCCTGGCATTGGTTCAATGTACGATCGAGCACCATCACTCGTGGCCGCGGCAACACCGGGAGAAGCCGAGCATCGTCACTTAGCTGGTTCGTAATAGTGCTTGGTATCGGCAGCTTTCTCTGGGTATGCTTCCATAATTCCTTGTCTTGATAACCACTAACATGCGCAGGCCGTTTACAAAGGCGTAAGAGCCTGGAGCCGCAGAACATTGGAAAAGGCAGGCGAGCGGGTGATGGATGTTCCTTTGCCTGATGACGAAGGCGATGAGGAAGAGGAAACCGAACGACCGAAAACCGAGTAACGTACGCAGATGTTTTATTAGCCCTGTGTCTTCGGATTGGCGTCATCTGATCTATCTGTGAACTTGCACAAACTTAAGTTGTCACGCTTTTTGCCAGTGGTGTGCCAATTAGTCAATGTGCAAAGAACAACACTGATCCTCTCAACCTCGGGGTATTCTGAGAAGTTGATAATGACCGGTTGGAACGTTTTGTCCCTTCCTGTTCATCGACTTCGTCATATCAGATGCTTTGAGGGAGGATCGGACTGCATTGACTCGATCCATTTTAACGTCCTGTGCGGTGGACGTGTTTGATTGAGGCGCGGTACACCATTTGTCATGTAGCGAGTTTTGTATAGTGATCAATAACTTGGTATCTCTTCTCAGATAGATTGGCTTGTGCTTCGTATCAAGAAAACTGAACTTCCTTGCCTTGATTTTCCAGACCTGAAGTCGTCACGTACTTGGCGTGCTCGAGACTCGACGAATGTCTGTACAGCCGGCAAATCGATTTGCGTGATTTCTACTTCTTGAGTCTTAACGGCTCCTCTGCCTCGTGTCAAGAAGTAAAGTCGCGGGCTTCTCTTCGAAAGCTGCCAAGTTGAAACGCAGCCTCCCGTTTAGAGGATCTAAACTAGAGTGATAAGATATCGATATCTTTCCAAGTGTCACATCCCCGAGCTTTTCGTTCGTGAAGCGTCAAAGTGGCATAATTAAGAGCTTTGACTGGCATCCATCCAGAGACTGTCTGCGAAATTCTGCTTCCACAGACGGCTGGGCCTGATAACCTTGCGAGATCCGGCTCATTCGGGTTCAAGTCGACTTGCTCTTAGTCCTGCCTGTCTATCTTCGTTATCGAGAGTTCTTCTCGAAGGGTCCGATTTGCCCTAACCGTATGATATCCCGCGTGTTGCCAATGTCCATCAACAAGGTACAGGCACAATCACTTCCTTACTATGGCGCAGATCTTTTGTTGTTTTTAGGAAATCTCAGGCTTCTTTAGGTCATTAGTGATGGCTACCACAATCGTCCAGCTTTGGGTCTTGCAGCCTAGCCTATTCACGCTAGTTCAGCTTCTTCATTGCGCCCATTATTATCAGGCAAACCAGCTTTGCTCCACACACCTTTTCTTTCCCTTTCCTTCACTGAAGATATGGGAAGCATTCACAGGAGGAGAAGGAGGCTGGAGGTCATGATTAAACGCCTGTCCCGCTGACTAGCGGACAATAGCTCCTTAACTCCGTTGATGTCTGGGAGTGCTGTGTCTGTATGCAGCCAAAATAAGGCCTCTTCACCAAAACAGGCTTTCTCTGTTATCTAAATGCGCACATTACTGCCTACCACTGAAATCACTGTGAAGACTTTTCCAGTGCCCTTAAACACAGGGGGGCACGAAGAATTTTCGTTTCTCTTTTAATAATGCCCTTTCGGACTTTGCAAGTCTCCCCCCTCTCTTAACTCGTCTCTCTTTTCTGTCCTTACTTCTGTTCAGTCTAATCTCCCATCATTTGCTCTTCTCAAAGCACTATCCTGCTTGAGCATTGTGAGCACCTCATCCGTTCTTTGTCACTCTCCAGCGTCCTGGTTCGAGTCTGCCGTCTTGTTACGGAGGCACAACCATGGACAGCTCTGGTAGAGTCCCCGTTCCTGCAGAAGACTTGCTCCCACCCTTCGCTCCTCGCCATGCCACCAGGGTTGAACTTCCCTCTCTCAACTATGCGACCCTCTCTGAACCTCCCATGGCCCATGGCAGTCGCTTTCAGGCTTATGTCGAAGACGGCGATGAGCCACCTGCGTACGAAGAGTACTCCAGGAACACTATGGGCGAGCCACGCGCCAGGAACGAGGCATTCAATGCTCCTTTCGACCCTAGGCTCAATCAGGGCATGAGCATCCCTCCGGATTTCCAGGTTCGTGAAATCAACCCAAGTGCTCAGGCTGGTCAGGGCAATATCCGTGAGACCCCCGGTGTCGAGCCAAGTGCTCCCCAGCGCCCCGCTTCTCGTGCGTCCACCGTCTCAACCGAACCCTTTCCTGACTTCGATGCAATTGAAGTCCGTCCCCCTTCGCTGGTATATCGTTGTCAGGAGAAAGCATACGAGTATGCCTTGGCAAAGCTAGCTGAGGACCTCGTCAATGCCCGTGGCACCCCAACTGCTGCTGCCAGCTTGAGTGGTCCCAATTTCTCAACAGACCAGGAACGTCTTCCCAATGGGCCCTCATTGATCGCCATCCAAGGTGTCTCTCCGTGTTCCGAGCTGTCGCATCATGATCATTTCTGCCATGTGCACGAGAAACAAAAGCTCAGAATGCGTGAGAAGATCCACTGCACTTTGCTTTACTCCGATGACATTCCCATGCATTTTCGAAGGAGATTCACTGCTCTGACGAACATGGTCATTGATATGGAGTTCATCTTCTTCCGCGTCAATCACTTCCCCAGGGAGCCCCTTCGTTTCGTCACTCAGGAGAGCCTAGAAAAGGTTCGCTACTACGGCACGGAGATGCTCAGGTATCTCTCTCGCCTTGGGACGACTCTCAACCAGTCGAAAATCACCGCTCTCAGCTCACAATGCCTGGTATCTCAGGTTGCGTCTCGCACCGATCTCACTGCCCTTGGTCGTTTCCAGAAGATGGCCGAGATTGTAATCCAGTAAGTCCTCCTGTCCTTACCTATGTGTCCGCGCGTAAGCTAACCTGATTGCAGGCCCCACAAATTTCTCAACAAGGCTCGCACGTTTGAACAGGAGTTCTTTGAGCTGTTTTCCAAGTTTTATGATGGGTTCTTTTTTGATGATTTCCACATCATCTACAACAATTACTTGGTGAAGAAGCCCGAGACTGAGCATGTCCCCCCTATCCTCGTGGACGTCAGTTACCACCTCAACTCAGTTTACAAAATCCTCAACCGCTTGGTGGAAGACTACAGGATCTTGAAGGACACTCACATTGAAATAGGCGAGAAGTACCTCCAACCCGTTTTGGAAGAGCTTTCTCAGGGGCCTGGCGTCTGGGAGCAGTGTGTCCGCGCTGCCAACCCTAATAGCTTTCGTCAGAGCGGACTTCACCCGACGCCTATCATTCACTATACCGGGCCCCATCCGATGCAACACTTGGTCTCCGATCAAGAGCCCCAGCCTCAATCGGCATACCCCACTTTCAATGAGCGCCGTCCTTCCCCGGCCAGGATTGTGGACTGCCTTGGAACACAGCGTCGTATGGCACAGATGTCTCACCTTGGTCACCGCGGCCCTGTGAGAATCGTCGATTCTCCCGACACCCAGCGTCGTATCGCGCAGCTCTCTTACACCAACGATAACCGCGGCCCTGTCAACATCGTCGACTCCCCAGGTACCCAACGCCGTCTGGCACAAATTTCATACACCGAAGGCCGCCACGGCCCTGTCAGGATTATCAGTCCCCACAAACCCCAACCTCCCTCAGCCCAGGCTTCATACAATGAAGGCCGTCGCAATCTGGGACACATTGTTGGATCCTCGGAGACTCAGCACCATTTGGCTCGCGCTCCTCAAGGGCAAACTCACTCATCACACGGTCAAGCCTACAACATGCTCGAGCCTCCGGCATATTTTCCCAATTCGTCTTTTACTCAGGGCCGTCAATCCCAATCGCCCATTATCGGTGAAATCATTGACATCTACGACAACCGTGCCCCTATCACCCAAGGTTATCGCCTCCAGAGCCAGATAGTGGACTTAAACCTTCCTCAGACTCAGACTCAGCATCAGATTCACCAGGCGCAGCCTGAATGTCCTCAAGCCCATGCACAAATCCACCACCCCCAGCCTCGTCGCCTTCATCCATTCGAGTTCATGCACGCCAATGAGGTCCAGCGCACAGTTGAGAGCCACCGTGCTCACCACTTCGCCCACCCCGGAGCCTTCGGTGTCCAGTCCCCTCCCCCAGTTTACGTCGAACAGGTTCGCCCTTCTGAGGCTCGCTACATCCATTCGATGGTCGAGATTATCCGAGGTGAACGTCCTCACTCGCCTGGTCGCTGGGGACGTGCTCGTGTCATGTCACACACTCCGGAGTATCAGGAACACGGCCTCCCTTTCCACGGCCCATTCATCCGCACTCAGCGTGCCCAACCTTATCACTACAACCCCGGAGATCACTTGCACTGTCATAGGCCTCATACCCACATTGCAGGCAACGGTCACGATCACCTTCCTCCTCACGCTTAGGAGTCTAGTGCATGATGTCGTCCATCGTCCCGTCATGATGGACATCAATCGGTAGCGTTGAATATAAGACAGCGCCGAACTTTGAACCCCTCCAATACCTTGTATGGATATCACCAAATCCTCCGAAACCGCAAAGGTTCACAAAAAAAAATCGAAAACGAAAAGCACAAAAAAAAGGTCAACGCCCTAACACAAAACCACAAAAAAAAAATTCGAAAGGAACAAACCTCCCGCAAAAAAAAAAGTATCACCAACCGGAACCGAGCTGGGCATACTGCCTTATGGATTCTGAGGTATCAGATAGTTCACTCATGTTACAGACGGACATCTGATCATGGCACGGACCCGAATCATGGATCATGTCGTCTTATTTATGATAGCTTTCATGAACAACATGTAGATAGACTTTCCTTCAGAAGAATGCAACCCGCTCTCTTATGACGTTAACTTTCACCCGTAGACACTGCTTTTTGAAACAGCCTAAGCCTCCGAGTCCTTGTAAGCCCCCAGTCTGAACAGCCTCTTCGCATTCTCCCTCCCAATCTTCGCCTTATCCACGAGGTTCAACTCCGCAGCATCAAACCACTCACACGCGTCCCCGAACGTCTCAAACGGATAATCAATTGAGAACAGAATCCGATCCGCCCCAACCTCAGCCATACAGAAATTCAGCGTCGTCGTCGAGAAATGTCCCGAGGTCGTGATCCAAAAGTTCCTTGCAAAGTACTCCCGGATCGTCTTCTTGCACGTCTCCGCGAGTCCCAGCTGCTTCTTCCGGTCCTCAAACCAGTGGTTGATCCGCCACATGTCGAACGGGATGTGTTCGCCCAAGTGGCCCAGGATGATCTGGAGGTCTGGGTGGCGGTCGAAGACGCCGTTTGTTACCATTCCCAGCGCGTGCAGGGAGACGCCTTGGGCGAAGGAGAGGGGTGGGCCGATGAGCCATTTGCGGTCGGCCCAGAGCTTGTCGTAGATTGTGCCCGTGGGGTTTCGAGGGTGGAGATACAGGGGCACGGAGAGGTCAGTGCAGGTTTTCCAGAAAATGTCCCAGTCGGCGTTGTCATAGAAGATCATGGCGTCGCCGTCGGGGCCGGCGCGCTGGGTGTCGTTGACAAGGGCGCCCTTAAAGCCGTATTTTTCGACGCACCGGCGGAGTTCAGCAGCGGCTTCTTGAGGGTTGTGCATTGATAGTGTACTGATAATCATTAGCACCCATCGAGTCGTGGCTCCACGTACAAGGGGTAGTATGGAAGACACACGCAAAAGCCCCGAACCTATCAGGCTTATCCTTAATCTGCTCGGCGATATAATCGTTAATCTCAACAGCGAGGGCTTGTGCCTCAGTCGGATCCCAGATATCCTGAACACCGGGCGCGGTATACGAGAGAATTTGGTACCCAACACCATGCTTGTCGGCAAAGTCAATGCGAATCTTGTTGATGTCTGTAATCTCCTTGGTGTGGGTGTCTGGATCTGTGGCGAAGAGGCTGGCCCACCAGCGGGTTTTCTCTTCGAAGCGCGGAAGCGCAAAGGCTTCTTCTAGAGCGATTTTCCCAAGCATTATGTCTGATTAAATATGGTGAGGAAGAAGGAGAGTTGATAGGAGGTTTATAACTTAGGTTTGTGCGATGGATGGAAGATGGGAGTGGTACAACAAAGGTTTATATATCCGGGGAGATGTGCCGCATAACCGATTAAAGTATCTCCACGAAAGTCCTATGTGAGCCCCCAGCCGATCTTGATATCATATCGGAAGCCATGCTCCAGACATTGTATTGCAAAATAATGATGCTCAAGATGTGGTCGGAACGCCATCCGAAGTGCGCGGTCCGCCTCCTCCGCCAGCAATTCCCCACAGAACTGATAACCGCCGCTGATAAGTAGCGCCACTGCGGAGATCTGGGGAATGGAATCCACTGCTACATAATGCTATGTACCTAGGTACTAGTTCCCCGTCACTTGGCTCCTCATTATAAAATGGCACCATCCGAAGTCGCCGAGTTGGAGCTACGATAGGTGTGACAATGTCCTCGTGAGTCCTGGATGCTCCTCGTACAGAGATTGTAACACGTCCTCAGGCTGTTAGTTGTTCAATGCTCAGATTGGTGTTTACTGAGAGCTGAATCGGAGGTTAAAATTCGCTTCTGGACGACCCATCGCGGAGATTGTACTGGTTTTCGGAGTCTGTGATCAATAGATAAATCCCGACTCCACTGGAGAAGGACAGGATGCGAGGAAAAAGCAAAAAAGAGAATACGTCTCGAAGCTGCATACTCTGGGCAGCTTTTCAGCCTCCCGTCAGCCTTCGGTCGGTCTTCCCATTTCCACATGCTTGTGCTTCACTGTCTCATCCAGGAACGTCCAAAAACAGTTATTATTAGCGGAAAGTGCTTCCTGATCATCTTCTTGATGCTCGAGTCCGAGTCCACAGCCACGAGCCAACTGGCTTGACAGCAGCCCCGCTCGTCATTGGGCAGAACACGAGTCTCACTGCCTCCTCGACTGCACAACCCATCGGTCAATGCTGCAATCCCACGCTCTCTGACCCAATCACGACTGAGCAACAATTCTCTGATGACAGGGCTTCAAGAAGAATCAGCATTCCAGCGAATGATCGACATTGCCTGTGTCGAGCCTGGTCATCTCCCTCGTGCCCTTCGACCCGTTCGGGGCGCGCAGCAACCTACACATAATTCCGGCTGTGCGCCATCATCAGCTCGCCAACATGTCTTTCTTCTCTCCTCCTTTCGGGCTTTCTGTGTTTCTTAATTTCCTTCTTTGTCCTGCACCCAGATTTCTAAATTAGCCACGCGTGCTGTGCTGCTTCTTTGTCTTTATGCGTTTGCGGTATCAAATCAAAACGAACCACCTCTCACTTGATCTTGGTAGGATCTGCCCACCATAGATGTTATTCCGTGGCTGACCTTCTTGTGCCTAGCTTGTGGATCTGTGCCGATTATAGTCCAGAGCGGAAGTGTTCCCATCTTTCGATTGTTGTCACTGTGCCATCGGCCCCGGGCCTGTGATCCCCGGAATTGGTATCGATTTGCGTTTACGAGAGGCGCTATAGAATTTGCGGGGGTCTTGTTTGTTTCATTGATATAGCTCGCTCGACCGTGCCTTCAAGCTCCTCCTCTAGCGACGCAAAACCTCCGAGCACCTATACCCCGAATGCAGACAAAAGACCACACCAGCCCCCTGGGGTTCATTGGCACTGAGCCTCGAGCGGGGAACTACGAGTATGCACCGGAAAGCAATAAAGGATTCGTACCACAGCGCGCGTTCGGAACTGCAGCAGAGCGCGCTCGCCGGAATCTGAATGCGAAGCTTGCGAATCCGCTTGCTGGCTATTCTCACGAGGAACTCCGCAGGCAGGGAATCAACTTCGCTATCACAAACCAGATAGGTGACGAGGATGACATTCGCGCTTTTGCGCTTGGTGCCATGCTGGCTCAAGCGCCAGAGAAGTTTGAAAGTGTCCCTGGTCTAACGGCCGAAGAGTTCGAGGTTTTGAGAAATGAGTTTGAGCACCGATGGTCCCAGCCGTGGACAATGTATCTGGTAATTATACTGTGCTCTTTGTCGGCTGCTGTTCAGGGAATGGGTATGTCATTACCCCGTATATTAGGACAAGTGCTAATGAATCCCGTTGCTAGATGAAACCGTCGTCAACGGCGCCCAAATTTTCTACAAGCACCAGTTCGGGATAGAGGATGAAACGATCTCGAGGCACAACTGGATTTTGGGACTCATAAATGCTGCGCCGTACTTGTGCTGTGCAGTTATCGGCTGTTGGCTGACAGTTCCGTTCAACTCGTGGTTCGGCAGACGGGGGACAATCTTTATAACCTGCATCTTCTCCGCGACGACATGCCTCTGGCAGGGATTTGTGAATACTTGGTGGCACCTATTCATCGCTCGGTTTGCGCTGGGCTTTGGAATTGGCCCCAAATCGGCTACCGTACCGGTCTACGCAGCAGAGACTGCACCGCCGGCGATTCGGGGTGCTCTCGTCATGCAATGGCAGATGTGGACGGCATTTGGAATCATGTTTGGTAGGCACCAATGCACTGGAGGAAGGCTACTGCTAATTGTAGTAGGCTATGCTGCCGACCTGGCTTTCTTCCAAGTTCCCGATTCGTCTGGCATCATTGGTCTTAACTGGCGTCTGATGCTGGCATCTGCCTTGTTCCCCGCACTGGTCGTCTGCTGCTTTGTCTTTACGTGTCCGGAGTCGCCCCGTTGGTATGTGTCACGCAAGCTTTACGACCGCGCCTACCAGTCAATGTGCAGTTTGCGCTTCAACAAAGTTCAGGCAGCTCGTGATATGTACTATATGTATACTCTGCTGGAGGCGGAGAATGCCATGAAATTAGGGCAGAACAAGCTACTGGAGTTAATCAACGTGCCTCGTAATCGCCGTGCTATGCTTGCTTCTGAGATTGTCATGTTTATGCAGCAGGTATACTATTGACTTCCGCCATTTTGATCGAGGGCTAACGGGAATAGTTCTGTGGAGTTAATGTTCTCGCCTACTATTCTTCGGAGATCTTTCTGCAAACTACCAGCGGACATCTCAAACTGACCTCCTCGAACCAACAAAAAGCTCTAACAGCATCACTTGGATGGGGGCTGATCAACTGGCTCTTTGCCATACCGGCTGTATACACAATCGATACCTTTGGTCGGCGGAACCTGCTGCTAAGCACATTCCCACTAATGGCCCTTTCCATGTTCTTCACAGGCTTCAGTTTTTGGATCCCGGAGGGGACAGGAGACAACGCCCGTCTTGGATGCACAGCCCTAGGAACATATCTCTTTGGTGTATTCTATTCCGTCGGCGAGGGGCCTGTTCCATTCACTTACTCCGCCGAAGCCTACCCGCTCTACGTCCGTTCCTACGGCATGGCTCTCGCCACCGCAACAACCTGGCTCTTCAACTTCGTTCTAGCTATCACTTGGCCATCACTGCGCATAGCATTCAAAGAACAGGGCGCATTCAGCTGGTACGCCGGCTGGTGTATAGTTGGCTGGTGGCTGATTTTGATGTTCATGCCTGAGACAAAGGGCAAGACGCTTGAAGAGCTGGACCAGGTGTTTTCGGTCTCAACGCAGTTTCATGCAAAGTATGGCCTGCGGCAGATTCCGTACTTCTGCAAGAGGTATATGCTAAGGCAGCCGGTGCAGGCGGAGATATTGTACGAGCGGGATGATTCGTCGACGAATCTAGCTGATGTTGGGTTCAATACAGTTTGACTTGGATAGTTTGATGTTTACAGAGATGTGGATACCCGATTTATGATGTATACGAATGATTGAACATTATCGCTATGGAAAATCTATTAATATTGTCGATCCATCTACAATCCCACCTACAATCCCAGCGTACTGGAAGATCAGCCGAAGACTCCGACCTTGATCTGTTCGATATCAGTTAGCATCACTACAGCAAGAAGTGAGTATGCAATAAGATAATAACGTGTAGCCAGTCAGACAGCAGTTGGTACGATTGTAGATCCGCATAGAGAAATCTCAGAACAGGTCTGTGTGAAATCTTGCTTCATCATTAGGCTGGGGCAAGGGAAAGAATCCATCATACCTTGGCTTTTCACCTAGACTTCATAGTCAAACCATCGTCATAGCTTGATCTCAGATTGTGATGAAGTCGTTTGGCCCAAACGGTCGTGAAGGAGTGGTGTTGGCTGAGGAACAGAGAAGGCGGCCCCAAAATCTGGAAGGAAAAAGATCAGCACTCGTCCCTTGATCAAATCACCCAAAATTTAAAAAAAAAAACCAGGCTAATCCACTTTGGCTCTCAGCGCCTGCCGCAATATTCGCTTACCTCACCAATCGGAGCAATTAAATCCCCAAAGGCACTCCACATGTTTGCTGCCTTTGCCTCGTTTGCGACATTTGCGGAGGACAAATTCTAGATTTTTGAGATTTTTTTCTTGGGCTGACGCGGGTGTCGATATCGGGATTGTTTTTTTGGTTTCGAATTTATTTGCCTGTGGAATCTGTTGTCACGGGAATCTTTGTCCTTGCTTTGCTTTCGAAGTCAGGGATTTTTCTTTGCGGTTGCCAATTGAGACTGACTCGGAAGACATACTTCTGAGACATTGAGTTTGGACGATTATACTTGGTGAGTGAGCAATTGTTTGTCTGAGTTTACCTGTCTTCCCCCACTTGCGATTGTCGATAGGGAGTCGGAGGAAGTGGTATTGGGCATCTTTACTTATATTCTCAATTTATACAGGTTACCACCCTACTCGATTCCTATCTCATCTCCCTCGCATACAATCACCCCAATCCGTCAGAATGGCCGACATCGCTCCTGAGAGCCCTGCGCCGCAGCTTCAAAGTGTGTACTACGAAGGACTCTATCCATCCATCTATGTTCAATGGGGTGGTGCGCGCGCCGCATCTTGCCACAAAACCAATCGTGGCGCATCCCAGAGAACACAAGACAAGCCCGAGAATGAGACGGAAAAAGTTGACTAACACCATCTCTCTCTAGCCCCGCAAAAGCAATACCAGAATGGCGTCCGGACAACAGGCCGCGCATTCAACTCACCTAACTGGCGCGTGAAGGGCGAGGAGCCGTCGCCGAGTACAAGCCGCGACAGCAACCAGGAAAACACTCAGACTCAAGGTACGCCGCGGGGGTCGTCATATGGTGGCAATCGCGTTCCGCAGGCTATTTCCGAGGGACGGAGGCTGTATGTTGGGAACATGCCGTATACGGCAAAGATGGAGGATGTGCAGACGCTTTTCAATAATGGAGGGTTTGAGACGTATGTTCCCGTTCCTTTCCTGATTTTGTTGATGTCTATATCTTCGTGATCTATTAAAGTGTGTTCGTGTGGAAAGAATGTCGCTAACACAAGCGCCGGTCAACTATAGTGCCCGCATCGACATCTCAATCGACCCGTTCTCCGGCCGAAACCCCTCATACTGCTTCGTGGACCTCCAAACCAAGGAATTAGCCGAGCGCGCCATGAGGGAGCTCGACGGCTCCGACCTCCTCGGCCGCCCTGTGAAGATCAAGCCCGGTGTCGTAAAGAGCGCCAGTGAGCGTGCTCAACAGAGGACCGGAACATCAAATGGTACCGCGGCTACTGGAAGTGACGGTCTGAACTCGGGCTCGCCTCGCGGAAACCGCACGTCGCCGTTCAATGCGGACCGGTGGAGACGGGACGATGCTTCTGCGTCTGCTCCCAGCACACCCTCGAAGTTCAACTCTAGCGCGAATGGGAGCGGAAACGGAAGCGCCAACTCGGACTCGAGCAAGCGGTTATACGTCGGTGGACTCCCACGTCTGACGGATCAGGAAGCGATCACTAGTAACATTACCGCGTTCTTCAAGGACTACACTATGTGCGTTTTGTGTCTCCCTCTCCCTCCACCGCTAGCGATCGACGGGCATCCCTGAATAACCCTCATAAACTAACGCTTTCCTTTCTGAAACAGCACAAACATCACGAAACTCTTCACGCCACACCCCGCCAAGCGCTTTGAACCGGGTGACCACTACTACCTCTTCGTCGACTTCGCGACCGTCGAAGACGCACAGAACGCTATGGCCGCGCTCAATGGCGTCGAGGGCCCCTGGGGCTCCGGGATCCGGGTGCAGAGGGCTCGAGGCGAGACGTATAACTCCGCTTCCGGATCGAAGGAGAGAGACGGTGGTGAGGAAGGTGGGGAGAGGGAGCGCAGGGGGCGCTGGACTTCGTCAGTGCTTAGCCGGGGTGGTGCGGGGACTGGGGAGGTTGCTGGTGATGCCTGAGATCTGTTTCAGGCTGGAATGGGATTCGGGCAGGGCGTGCTTTTGTTTGAGTTGGATTGAAAATGGGTATGGGTATGATTGACTTGACTGCATGAATTGGGGTTTCTTGAAAAACGAGATACGGATATGCATACTAACTAACTAATATGGCATGACACCGCTGGATGCATGGTATTGATGTTTATGGCATAGCATGACTTCTATAAGGATAAAGCATACCGTTTGGAGACGGCATATGTACAAATAATTATTCTAGTATTTGGGCTTCATCGTTTGTTCTGCATTCGGGGTATGCGCTAATTGAAGGATGTACAAGAAGGCCAAGTATCAAAATAATAAGTACTAAAGAAAGTTTAAGGAGAGAAAGTGGTACTTAGAAGATCAAGTCGTGCTGCCGTCCTCCGGATCAATCTCGATATCAAAAACCTTCTCACCTCGATACCAAGTCTGGCAAACTCTTGCCTCCAGTAATTTGTCCGCCTCCCAGTGCATATCAACAACAACGAAATCCGCACTGAGTCCCTTGCTCAATGACCCAGTCCAGCCTTCTGCGAATCTTGAATACGCCGCGCCTTTTGTGAGGGCTGCAACAGCATCTACCAGCTCTAATGCGAATTCGGGATTAAGCGTTTGCTGACTTTTCAAATCAATTGCGGATCGACGCGTGGTAGCATTGAACAGATTTGGAAAAGGGAGATGAGCTGCTGTGGGCGCGTCAGTACCAAAGGCGAGTGTTGCGCCGCCGTCAAGGAAGTCTTTATATGCGAATGCACGTTTGCAGCGGTCGTGGCCAATCAGACCAGGCCAAGCATTGAAGAACGCTGGGTCAGAGTGAACAGGCTGGACAGAAGCTGTTATTCCTAGTGCGCCAAGGCGTTTTGCATCCTCTGCAGAGGTGAGTTCTAGGTGCTCAATTCTGTGTCGACGGGGCTTGGTTTGGTCTTGTGCGTTGATGGCCGAGAGCAGGTCTATTGATTGATGGACGGCGAGGTCGCCGATGGCGTGGATTGCAATTTGAAGACCTGCGCTATCGGCGCGGTGAATGACCGAGGACATCATTTCAGACGGCCAGATTGGTTTGATGGGATCTTTCTTACCGCCATAAGGTTGACAAAGGGCAGCGGTGCAACCTTCAACAACACCATCACACATAAGTTTTATTCCTGCAACGCAAAATTCCGGCTCGTTGAATCGGTGACGGAGCTCAATGGCTCGATCAACATAGCTAAAGTTGATTCCTTGGTCTTCGGAGAAGGGGATAAGCCAGTGAACGGCCATATGGAAAGGAAATCCGTGGGTTCGGCGGTGGAGATAGAGTATAGACCAAGTGTCCTCAGACATGGCCATGTCTACGATGCCAGTATACCCGGCAGCGGAGTATGTCTTGATCGCCTTGCGGAGGGCACCCAATTTGTCCTCTTTTGAGGTCACGCGCTCTAGAAATGGCCATACAAAGTTCATCACGGCTCCTTCACTCAGGAGACCCGAGGCTCGGCCTTTCTCATCACGGTGAATCGTGCCTCCCGAGGGGTCTGGAGTGGTATGGGCTTCCATTTCATCGAGAGCTGCAAGATTGCACCACGTCGAGTGAAGATCGGCAGCCTCAATATAGATAGGACGTGCATCAATCCCATCCAGCATACTAGCTAACGGTTCTCCGTTGATTGTGTCTTGGTTCCATCCCCGGCACAGGATGCGAGGAACAGATTGATGGCTCTGAGCATAGGTCTGGATGGCTTCTCGGATCTCCTCGAGCGAGGTGCAAGCGATGAGGTCGAGTTTGCGCAAGGACATACCGTATTGAAGAAGATGGACATGGGCGTCGATAAAACCCGGCATTACAATCCGATTTTGGAGGTCGAAGACGACGGCATCCTGAGGTGGATCGAACTTGTCCAGAGAGCCAACATAGGCGATGCGGTTGCCCGTTATCACCAGGCAATCTGCGAAGCCATTGCTGGTCGCAGGCGTTCTAGAAGGGCAGAATACCCGGGCGTTCTGGAAGATAATCGTCATGTTGATCGGTAGATATTGATATCAACAACGGGTAGTACTTTGGGTGAGCATTGCGGGGGGTGGGATTTGCTCAGACTTAAATCTCCGATGGTCACAAGATGGCTATAAGATGGCAGTCCCGTGGCCTGAAAATCGATAGCCCGCCGCTCAGCTATTGGCGATCCTAGAGAGATCATCCAAGCTTCTGTTCGTCGCATCGGCAGGGTTCAACCCTGTATGTGGCATAATCTCTCGGACCCTGCAGCATATCGATCGAGAGCTGCAAGTCTAATTATCGACCAATCCAGACGCACTGAGATTAGATCGATAGCCTCCGGCCGTGATTTGTCGAGACCGAAGTTGACTCAAATATCCGCGAATCAACCAAGGATGGAGGCTTCGGCCCTTTACCGGCGCCCAATTCGGACCGGCTAGTGTAGGAGCGCAGTATGAAGCAGCACAGCGTGGTTGACCATTGTGTTCTTGAATCTGCCTGATGAGAGAATGTGTCACGCTGATTGTTCTCTGAATGGCATTCTTGTCATCATTGACCAACAATAGAAGCGCCAGCAAAGGAAAACGACGGGAGCGACTTTACCCGAGCACGAAAATGGACAATGGATATGGATCACGTGGGGGGCTCAGTCAGGCGTTGTTTTCCAGGTGAGTCGATCAATGTTCGAGATTCACTCCTCCTGGCTGAAAATTCGTGAAGATCTGGAGCCGCGGCTGACTCCGCACTCGCTATATAACCTCCTGCTTGCGTTGCTCCTCTCTCTCTCTTCAGTTGCGACTCCCACCTCTGTCAACCAGTTAGCCACTGCCCCGCGGTATGACGTCTGCGCCGGTTCACTGCGACTCTTGCTTGCTCACCGCATCGACTGTTAGGTTAAACATATTTGGCGCCCAGCCAGATCTACTGTTATCGATTGTGTGATATTTTTTTCTGAGATACTGCGACTTTGGAAAACCGGAAATCCTTGCGGAGAAGCCAATTCCACGGAGATTACCCAGATTGCTCCCTCCGCAATTTCTGTCCCCAGCATTTGTTTGCCAGTCCGGTCGGGAAGTCTGGCCGAGGTCCTGAAGAGCCGGGGTCAAGGAGCCAAATTTCGCCCAGCATGTCGGCCATCCGGAGCGGGAGCGGTCATAAGACCTTCTTTGCTAGTGTAAGTCTAGTACACACGCGCTTGGTCCAAACCCCTGTTCTCCCAATGCCAGTGTTCATCCGCCATCGCCTCCTAAAACTGAGGCCAAGCCATAATCAATTTCAACAACTGATGTCGGTCCTAGTCAGATGATTCAAGAATATGCGTGGTCATGGTCGGTTTACCGGCCAGAGGCAAGAGTCTCATAGCCGGAAAAGGTATGTCCTCACAGCATCCATTATTGAGGGAAGCATTGCTAATGCATACAGCAATGCGTTATCTTGCCTGGGTTGGTGTAAAAGCTCGCATATTCAATGTGGGGACGTACCGCAGAAATGCTACTCCCCAACCCAGCGCCAATTTCTTTGACCCTCATAACTCAGAGGGAGAGAAGATGAGGCGCGCTGCTGCTGAGGCGGCCATCACGGACATGATCAAATGGTTCAAGAATGGCCAAGGCGTTGTGGCGATTCTCGACGCTACGAATTCGACGAAGAAAAGACGCCGCTGGATCCACGAGACATGTCGTGATGCCGGTATTGAGACGCTATTCGTCGAGTCAGTATGTGATGATGAAGAACTTATCATGAACAATATCCTGGAAGTGAAAACCACATCGCCCGACTACAAGGGGCAGGACCCTGAAGTTGCTGCTTTGGACTTTCGCAATCGAATTCGTAACTACGAGAAGGTGTATGAAGGCATCGACGATGATGAAAAGGAGTTTACCTATGTCAAGCTCATCAACGTCGGCTCTACCGTTATTATAAACCAGATCAAGAATTACTTGTCAAGTCGCTTGGTTTATTACATCCAGAATCTTCACATCAAACCCCGTTCAATTTGGCTTTCTCGGGTATGTTGTCGCAAACAATGTTACGTATGCCTTGCTAACATGTTCTAGCACGGAGAGTCGCAGTATAATTTGACAGGAAAGATTGGAGGCGATTCAAGCATTTCTGAGCGCGGAGAAGCATATGCCAAGGCCCTTCCAGGCCTTCTCAGGAAGTCCGGTGTCCCACCTAACACCAAGCTTGTGATTTGGACCTCAACTCTCAAGCGTACGATTCAAACCGCCCGCCACCTTGCTGCCGAAACCGGTTACGAGAAGCTGGAATGGAAAGCTCTCGACGAGCTTGACTCTGGAGTTTGCGATGGTCTTACATATGAAGAAATCGCAGAGCGGTATCCCGAAGATTTCGCAGCTCGAGACGAAGACAAGTACAATTATCGCTACCGTGGAGGAGAATCATATCGCGACGTCGTGATTCGGCTTGAGCCCATCATCATGGAGCTGGAACGCAGTGAGAACGTCATCATTGTTACCCACCAAGCCGTCCTGCGCTGTATCTATGCATACTTCCTCAACATTCCGCAGGAGAAAAGTCCGTGGATGGAGGTTCCTTTACATACTCTGATCAAGCTCACACCTCGCGCATACGGAACCGAGGAGAAGCGCTTCAAGGCTGATATCCCTGCTGTTTCAACGTGGCGTGCTAAGGGCACATCCGCAAAACACCAGGACTATACCACTGAAGTGAAGGCTTAAGAACTCCTCAAATCATATGTTCTGCATTTGGGCATTAATGCCTGGGACTCCGTCTTCTTGGTATGCCGTACAGTTTGGAGGCTGCGCCTTCTGCGATTCGTGCATCATACTTCTTCTGGTTATGCCGTCCCTTGCCACTGCCACCAATGGGAATTGCCTCGTCTCCGCTCGAAAGCATGCCTGGTCTCCCCGATTCGTATGTCCTTTCATTTCAGTCGGTGATATTTTTAAAATATTTTATTACACGAAGAGAAAGGCGTTCCCTCGTTTGTCACACACCATCCCGCTGTTTGGAACAGCGACTTTCTACTGGCGGAACTAGTCGTTTTTAGCTTATAGTAAAATTCATGTAGATAGAATACTCCAATGAAGGCTCTAATCAGACTCAATCAGCTGGCAAGCACTTCACATATGACCACAATGGTAACTTTTTGTTAGTACAGTACCTAGACGGCGAATGCCTCAGGCTGTCACATGGGCGGGAAGCGTTTCGGGGATCATCTGGCTTGGCGGCGGAGCATTGAAGCTCAACTCCCCAAACAACGATTGCCAGCATGAGGAGCTGCTTCGCAAGCTGTGCTCGTTAATCTCTGGCGGCTTCGCGCTGGACATGACTCGAGTCTCTCTCTTTGAAGGTCAAGGGGCGCGACGACCACCATAAAAGATCGCCGCCCAACCAACCATGCTCTCCGCATTCACAGCTCGGCCTCTCGTCGAGCTCAAACAACGAGACAAGTCGCGAATCGAATCGGTCCTTGCATACGGCGACAAAGTTCTCGTCGGACTGAACAACGGAAGCTTACGAATCTACCGAGTCAACGAAGTTGAGCACGATACGCCGCACCAGGCTACCGAGAATAACAACCGCCATGACGATGGTGACGCTGGAGGACGGCCCATAACGCAGAACGGGGATAGCGGCGATCACAACAATGCAGCGGCAAAAACAATAGTGAAGCAGACAGACTTATTACGTGAACTAGAGAAGTTCTCGCGTTATAAAATCGAGCAGCTGGCGTTGATCAAGGAGGCAAAGCTCCTTGTCTCCTTATCCGGCGGATACGTCTCCATTCATGACTTGCAAACCTACGAACTCCAGGAGCAACTTACGCGGACAAAGGGGGCTACGAATTTTGCCGTGACGTCGAATATTGTTAATGATCCCGAAACCGGTGTGCCATCGATCGTGTCCCGCCTTGCGGTCGCCGTGAAGAGGAAGATACTCCTGTGGTCCTGGCGGGATATGGAGTTGGAGAATGATACGGCCGAGTTGACGCTTGTGAGTGGTATAAAGACCCTTACTTGGGTTTCTGGGACGAGGCTGGTGGCTGGGCTGGGCTCGAACTTTGTCCTGGTGGACATTGAGACGAAAACGGTCACTGATTTAGTCGGTCCGGGAAGCATCGGAGGCCTTGGAGGGCAGGAAACCGGCCGTCTAGCGGGCGTTGGTGTTGCCAGCATGAGCTACATTGGGATTGGCGGTGCGGCCCCGAAGCCACTGGCTGCCCGGCTCAGCGAAGGACAGGTCTTGTTGGCCAAGGATATCAATACGCAATTTATCGATGTCGAAGGGAACTCGCTGGGGCGGCGGCAGATCCCATGGAGCAGTGCGCCTGCAGATATAGGATACTCATATCCATTTTTGCTGGCGCTGCACGAGTCCTCGAAGGGGATCTTGGAAGTCCGAAATCCAGAAACGTTGTCGTTGCTTCAGTCTATCTCACTACCGTCCGCAAATACGATGCACATCGGTCAGCCTACGATAAGCTTAGCCCATGCCGGCAAGGGGTTCTTGGTGGCAAGTGACCGAACTGTATGGAGAATGGAAGCGTTGGATTATGACAGCCAGATCGACTCTCTCGTAGAGAAGGGTTATCTTGATGAGGCCATCAGTCTCGCTACCATGCTCGAAGATGCACTCCTCAGAGACAAAGAAGGTCGAATACGCGCGATTAAACTCGAAAAGGCGCAGGGTCTATTTAGTCTACAGAAATACCGACAGTCCCTCGAGCTCTTTACTGACGTCTCTGCGCCTCCGGAGACGGTTATACGGCTCTACCCTAAGATTATCGCCGGTGATTTGACATCTGTCAACGAAGAGGAAGATGAACTGGAAGAGAGCACAACAGAAAGCCAACCGAAACCACAAGATGGTCAAACCCAGGTCGACGGAAATCATTCCGAGGAAGCACCCCCCGTCAAAGCCTTGAACCATACTCCGTCAATGATGTCCTTCCTTCGAACGCGCGATGAAGGAAGCGGCAGTGACTCGGGCAGCATCCGTGGAAAGCCAGCAGAAGAGCTACGCCCATGCAAACCTCTTACTGGGAAAGATCTTAAGCTTGCTGTTCGCGAGCTGCAGGCGTACCTCGCTGATGTCCGTCGCAGATTCCAACGATTCTTGAATCCCGACGGCTCTCTCAAAGTAGCTGACCCGCCGACCAATGCAGCAAACGACGAGTACACCGTTTCCGTGATGAAGCTTCTCGACCTAACGACAGACAGTGAAGAGGACTTTGGCGAGAAACTGCGCGAGAAGGCAAAGCTCGTCGATACAACCCTTTTCAGATCTCACATGTATGCCACGCCTTCTCTGGCAGGGTCCCTCTTCCGCATAGCCAACTTTTGCGACCCTGAAGTCGTAATGGAGAAGCTTGAAGAAACCGGCCGACACAACGATCTCATCGACTTTTTATACGGCAAGAGGATGCATCGTCAAGCTCTTGAGCTCCTCAAAAAGTTTGGTCAATCTGACTCTGAGAAAGAAACGGCACCACAACTGCACGGCCCTCAGAGAATGATTGCTTATCTGCAGCATCTACCTCCAGATCAGATAGATCTTATTCTAGAGTTTGCAGAATGGCCCGTCCATGCGGAGCCCGAATTAGGCATGGAAATCTTCCTTGCAGACACTGAGAATGCGGAAACGCTACCCCGAGATAAAGTGCTTGAGTTCCTGCAGAAAATTGATGTCAAACTGGCTGTTCGATATCTCGAACATGTTACTGGAGAGCTGAATGACTTGACACCCGATTTGCACCAGAGGCTTGTTAGTCTCTACTTGGACCGCTTGCAGAAACGCAAAAGCGATGAGAATGAGTTTCCTAGTGAAGAAGACTACCTGGAGTGGGCAGAGAAGTTCATCAACATGTTACAGTCTAGCGACCAGTACTCGCCTTCGAAGATTTTGGGGCGCCTGGATCGTGAGGGTGCGTTGGGAATCTCTCTTCTACTGGATATCCGGTGCTGATACTTGATAGACCCGGAATTTTTCGAAGCCCGTGCAATCCTATTTAGCAAGATGGGGCAGCATAGACAAGCTTTGGAGATCTACGTTTTCAAGATTGAAGATTATGACAAGGCCGAAGAGTACGTAATCAAGCCGAGGAGCTCTTGACAGAGTGCAGTGCTAACATAGACAGATACTGCAATCATCTTCACCGGACAGAAGATACGCCCACACCTAGCCGCCCAGCAGCGGAGTATTCAGCGCTTGCTCCATCGGATGAAGAGCCCTCGATATACTTGACCTTGCTGTCCCTGTACCTAACCCCACCACACGGGCACAAACCACGGTACGGTCCTGCCCTTGACATTCTAGCCAAGCATGGATCCCGACTGCCCGCCAACTCTGCGTTAGACTTAATCCCTGAATCCCTCCCTGTCAAGGAACTCGAGTTCTACTTCAAGGGCCGCATGCGCGTGGCAAACACAATCCTGAACGAGAGCAGAATTACTGCAAACCTCCTCAAAGTTCAGAACATCAAGACACGTGCGCAGCTGCTGGTCGGCGAGGGAACGGATGGGAAGTCATCGAGATCGAGGCATGTCACAGTCACCGAAGAACGGGTCTGTGGTGTCTGTTACAAGAGAATTGGCGGGAGTGTGATTAATGTGTTCCCTGAGTAAGTCGGCTTTTTTCCCTGCAAACAGTGTCGGCTGATCTTGCTAACACGTCGCAGTAATACTGTTGTACATCTAGGCTGTGCCAGCCGCATGCCCTCTTCGTAATTGTATGTGTTCTCAGTACATAGATCCGAGATTTGTGATATGTGGCATTGATTCATTTGAGCGCGTCTTTTGCATTTTCGTCGCTATCCAGTTCAGAGAGGCCATGGAGCGTGTGAGATGGCGGATCTTTCGTTCTTGATACCCAGGGATAATGAGATTACCCAAGGACTCAACATTGATTAGCGATTTGTCGATGTACTATAGCGTTCCCGCGGTGGGATCGGGTCCTCCCAATATAGGCCTTTTCTTGTGGATCTGACATCGGCACTTCCACATTCGCATAGCCACCATATGATTTGCGCTCGCTCAAGCATCGTCCTCGACAACTTCTTCTCCGTAGTTTTCTTCCTCTTTGGCTTCCTTCTCCGACAACTGACGGCCTTGCGCTTCGGCAGCTTTTTTGTCTTCCTCCATCTGCTGGGTAAGAAAGACGTTTATATCATTCTGCAGCTCGGGAACGAGTTTTCTGAGCTCCGAGAGATAAGCGACCTTGGTTTTCACGTCTTGTTGGGAGGGATTCGGTGGGGTTGAGTGGATTGTGTGCTCGAACGTGCCATTCAGCTGGGGCGAGGAATATGCGGCGCTGAAGGTATTCGTCCGACTGGGGTCCGTGGAGGGGGCCATTTTGTTATTGTTTGACTCTGTCTGCTTGAACTGACTCTAATATTTTGTGCAGCGAAGAAAAGTTGAAAGAGAGTGGGAGAGGAGAAATTGTAGGCGGGGCAGACTAGCAACGGAAAGCGGCTGGAGACAGGTTCGAGTCCAGCGTGTTGCGGAGCTGAGGGCGAAACGATCGACAGCAATATTGATCGTCTGGCCTAAGTCTTGGGGTCTTGGACTCGTCTCAGGCTGCTGAGTTTCAACTTTCTGCTCATCCCGATGCGCTGAACACAATTGTCAACCCAGAAAATGGCGATGCTTGCGGAGTAGACGCCTGACCCTTGCAGCCCCCCTCGATTACATACACAGCCTCGTTCCAACCTCCGCCCAAATGCTGCGCTCGCCTGTCACGCTCTCGCCAGAGCGAACCGCCTCGCGCTCCCCAGTCCCCCCGCGTCACTCCTTTGATGACGAATTCGACCGCCCAGGCTCCTCTGGAAGTGATGCCTCCTCGGTGATCTCGAATGCGACGGCCATCTCAGCATTCCAAACGACCCGCTACAACCCCGGGACCTCCTCCCCTCGACCGACTCTCCGCTCACCTCTCCCTTCCAACAACGGCATTTCCGGCCTCGTGATACCCCCCGCGCGTTCGCCCACCTCCTTCATGCCGCATCATGACTCTAGCAGAAAGCCGTCGGGGCGAGTCCACCCGTCGGATCTGCATAAGCGCTCACGTCACCACTCGCAGGGGTTCTTCGAGCCCTCTCTACCAACCGCATCGACAACCGACGCCACGCTCTCAGCCTCAAGGATCGCTGCCCAGGCGGCTATGCTGAGCCAGCAGCATTCTGCTGTACAACAACCCTCTAAACGAACAGTGCATGGACACGGCTCAGACGATGGCTCGGTCTCACCCCCTCCGCCGCCGCCCACAACTTCGCAAATACCGCCAAGACCAGGATCTTCCACGGGTCAGCATCTACAGAATACGGGGCAAGGTGTAGGCCAGGCTGCTGCAACAACGGCAGCAAACCATGTCTTTCCGCGGATGCCGCCGCCGGGAATGGAACATGCGCTCCCTGAGCGGGAGCACAGGCACAAAGGCGAGAAGTCCAAGATGAAGCTCTTTTCAAAGCCCAAGCATATTGTTATTGGTCGCGATAAAGATGTGAAGGACAAGGCGCTTCCGTCGCCGAACAAGATGGGTGGACTAACTCGGATCGTCAGTGCTTCTACGACCAGCCTGGCAGACACGTTTCCTTCAAATAACTCGTCTATGTACAGCTTGTCGAATGCTTCAGCGAGCACCGTTGTACCGGCTGATAAACCCCCAGCGGTCCCTGAGAAAGACAAGGAGAAGGAGAAGGATAAGGACAAGGCACATCGACATCATCATTTCTTATCGCGACAGAAATTGAAATTGAAAGATCTGAAGGATAGAGACGACCATTTTAACCTCCCCCTCTCGTCTGCGTCAAGCAATTCCAGACCGTCAGATCCAAATGCTCCTCAGTCCCTCTACTCCTTTACACCGGCGTCTCCGAGTGCCACGACCACTACCTTTGGCAAGTCGGTAGGAGGGCTGGATCTCCTTCACGGTGGACGAGCGCTTCGCGACAAGAAGAGGGAAGAAAAGGCGCTTGCAGAAACCGAGCCACCTGAATGGCTGGTAAATTCGACGATGGCCGGTGCAGCATCAGGAGGATTTGCGGGTCCCTCATCGCTTGGAAGCACGGGAGGCATCCTCGCTGAAGCCGCCCTGCGCGAGACCTTACAAGGCTTTGGTCTCCACAATATGAGCCATGAAGACGCATGGGACTTTCTAAAGGCAAAGCTCTTAGTCATCTTTGACGGCGAGAACGTGCGCATTGCGATCGAAGACCTCAATAAGCTTGTTCTCATCCATATTCAGCGCTGCGTGCAGAGACGTACGCCGACGGCTATTGTTGACGATTTGCGGGAGCTTCTTGAGGCCGGATTTGCGACATTGAACCATACACTGAATGGCGTTCCTGATGAAAAATTGGTTCCTCATCTTGTGCAAATCTGGATGCTAGTGTTTGGGACTATACTTCCATTCATCCAGGCTGTTTTCCTGCCCCTCGACCTCGAATTCAAAGGATGCGGGTCAGTGATGAACTCTCGAGAAGCCAAAGAATTCTGGAGTGTCGCTTTGGAAGGAGAATACTGCGGGTGCGACCTCGAAGTTCGCAACCTCGTCCTCATCGCATTCCGCGACATGGTCATTATGGCGCGCTACGACAGCCTCAAGGCTACTTTTTCCCGGCTCAGCCTCGACAACATCAAACTTGGGACATCCGCCTTAAGCGTAACAACAAAAAGCAGCAGCAACAGCGGTCGCCCCGCAACTGCTGCGTCACTTGATGGCGGCTTCAGCAGCTACGGCTCGCAATCCTCGACTCTCCTCAACACAGCCGGCAGTTACTCCTCCGACTCCCTAGGCTATAACCGTAGCCGGGCAGCGTCCAACACATCCTCAAACCCAGACCAGCTCATCTTCCAATCCTTCTCATCTCCCACACAGCGGCCAACCATCATCCACCGTGCAAACACCGCTGATACGTCGCAAGTCATTACCGAGACAGTCGGCCGGATGCTGCAATGCGTGAGTGTCCTCGCAAGCGTCCAGACAAACGACGACTCGCAGGACAAAATCGAGACGCTAAGCAAGGATCTCAAACACAACTGGCTTGGTCGGGGTCGCACAGGCCGGGATAGACGCGGGTTCGTCGGAACCAAGATTCGCCCACCAATTGTCACGAGAGCGGATAGTGACGAGTCTGTGAAGGACGCCACCGCTGCCTTGGATGGGTTGAATCTCCAGCGTCAGGAATTGAGCGTCTCATAGCCTTCCACTCTGCTTTTACCTCTCGTTTTCTTGTACCTTTCCTGGGGTGTACCTTCCCTGGGGTTGGCTTCGTTCCTGTCTGGTACAGAATGAGGCTGCTTGGTGAACATGCGTGGCGCATCAGGGACGTTTTTTTTCAGGTTGTTTGCGCGAGTCTCGCTTAGGTTGGGCAGGCTTCTCAAGGCTGTTGGTTCTGAGTATCATTATCGGCGGTGTTATCTATGTGTAGGGTTACTGAATGGAGTCACCCAGGAATTTCAATTATGAATTCACTTCAATTTTGTTAGATGGAGAGTAAGGTCGAGCACTCCTTCTATAACTGATTGCCCACTAAACCATGGTAAAGCCAATCCTGCACCTATGCTATCTCTCGGGGCATCGTATCCAGCCTCCCAACGCCGAGTCCATAAATCCACGAATCAACTAACCTAATCACCAAACTCCCCGTTCCGATGCCCTCCAAATAAACGAAATGAAACAAAATGCAACCAGATACTCCGTAGATCTCAGTGGATTAAGGGGAGGAAAAAAGAGACACAATCATTGACTACTCCTCATCCTCGTCTTCTTCGCTATCGTCTCCTCCATTCACATTGTTCACAGCGCCTGTAGAAGCAGTAACACCACAATTGGCTGCAATAGAAGCAGCAGACACACCATCCTTATCCAACTGCTTGAACTTCTTCTGCAGTGCCGCGGTGGGATACTTGGCTCCTCCGTCGGTGACAATCGCCTCTGAGATCCTCGCCCACTTTTCAGACTCGAATTTGTCTTCGATTTCCTTCTTGAGGCGGAGGAGGCGGGTGGCCTGTACGTGGACACCGGTCAGTCTCTTATAACAGAGAAGTGTAATGGCAAAGGAGGAAAAAAAAAAAAGGAAGAAGAGGATGAAGAGAAGAACGGGAGGAGGGTAAAAGCAGCATACATCCTCATCCGGAATCTCCACAAACTTGGCCTTCATAGCCGCATGCCTAAGCCGCAACGTAGTGCCCCCGACTTGAATACCCGTAACGGAGATGAACAGCTTGGTGATCTCCCCCCACGACTTGCCCTCAACGTCGCGCAGGTTGAGGATCATCTTGTCCTCCGTTCCTGCTTCGGCGAGCGAGGAAGGGACGGGCGGGAGTGCTGCTTTGCGTGGGCTGGCTCCCTTGGTGCTGGGGCTGCCGGTACTGTCTTTTCTGGCTCGCTTGGTCGGGGTTGTAGTGTCGCCAGCGGTCTTGTGGGCTCGCTTACTAGGGGTGGATGAGGCTCTAGAGCCCTTTGCAGGCGTGGTGCCGGGCTTTTTGGCGGGTGAGGATTTGGCCTGTTGTGTTTGTTAGCTGGTCGAGTCCGGAACTGCTTGGTCTTGTAGGTTTCTGTGGTGTAATGAGGGCTCTGAAAGGGGTAGATGTATGGTAGAGGTATACATACTTCTTTCACATTTTGGCTTCGGGCAGCCGAGGTAGAGAGGTTCTCGTCCTGTTCTCCCTGCTTTGGTTTCATGGCTGCGTCAAGCTCTCGGCCCTTGGGGGAGTTGATGGGAGTGAAGGAGTTAGAGTCCTCGGTGGGAGTTCCAGCGCGAGAGGTATCTGAGCTCATGTTGAGCGTGTTGGACAGTGTTGTTGACTGGAGAGTAGGAAGTTGATGTTCGAGGGTGTGTAAGTGGATATAAGAAGAGAGGAGAGGTATGGAGAGGAAGGTGAGGAGTGATTGAGAGGTTGGTTCTGGTTGATCTTTGAGAGGGTTGGTGTGGTCAGTGTTAAACGGTGTAAGCAGAGAGGTAGAGAGTAACAGGGAGGGTGAGGAAGTGTCACTCAGGGCTGGAGTGTTAACTCGCTATTGTTGGAGCAGTTGAATAGCAATTTGACGACTGTGGTGATGAGCCTGTAGTAGGCTCCTAGCATCATAGGTCATAGGCTTCACTTTGGTTGTCTATCTTAAGTTGTATCTGTTCATACAAAGTGAAGTCCAAGGAGTTGGAGCGAGTCTCATTCTCAGTCCACCCGGTTCTAATGTTACATATTTGCTGGAACATTCAGTCTAGACAACCTCAAGGGGGCTCCCTACATGAACTCTTCATCTAGCTATCCTATTGTTGGAGGGAATCGTTAATCGATGATAGCAGTAAGGTGTTGGTGTATCTCGTCGAGTATACTACACAACCTTGGAACCAGGCTCAACTATGCAAGAAACTGATTGGCGCGCTAGTTTGACAGGTTAGTCCTGACGCTTGGTTGCTTATTCGTGTTCAGTTAGCTGCTTGATCCTTGCTCGGCGGTCATTCATACTTGACTAAAAAAAGAAAGTGAAGCGACGCGATTCCTTCGCTTTTCCACCTAATTAATCCGCAGCCCATGAAAGCGCCATCGAAGCGGATGTCCACTCGTCAGGTGCCAAACAAATGGGAATAACAACTGGCTCTCACTGGTAGCGCTAGCTCATGGGTCGGGTTCGAACTTCTCGACGGGGGATTCCCTGCCCTGCTTGACAAAGCTAAACTGGCTGTTCAACTTGAACTGTTCGCGGTGCTTGAAATGCTTGCACTTGCCCTGTCGAAACAACTTGCATGGTATTCGTCTACTCCGTACACTCCGTAGGATCATATCAGTAGGGACTTAACCTAAATGATAATGGCGCAAAAAGCAATCATGGGAAAAAAGTACTTGCACTAGCCAGAGCACTGATGACTTTGCATACAACAAGTGAAAAATGAACAATGTCATTCGTCAGGCCTGCCCCATCGTACTTGAGCTACATTTTCTCTTGGGACCTCACGATCAGCGATTCGTGTAAGACGGATCCAGAATTTCGGTGGTCAGTCTAGTCCTTCCGCCCATCCTCCCAGCTCTTGTTCGTCCCGTGTCCATGTTCCGTTCCTGACTGCAATTTGGGAGCGGGATGCCTGGCGAGGGAAGCGCCGGTGACCAGAATCGGGTACTTTGTATTATGACGTTGCCGCAGACGATGGATGGATCGCTCGATCACCAGCCAAGTTCCGTCCGAAGATGGTACGTAGGAATAAGAAACTCACCGGGGATGCGCAGGGAGGAATAGCCCGGGAGTCCGCGCGGAGGAGGAAGGGTGTTGTATGCGCGCGGATCCAGGACCCGGATCTGTATGCCAGCTGGTTAGAACGCTGTTCGATGAGCAGCGAAACGGGAGAACGCCCCAAGGTATATTGGTCAAACTTGGAGAACTGGAAGGTATTTAGCTCAGAAATCTTGTCCCGGGGTACCAGGCATTAAAAGCTGCGACTGCACCCCAAATGTCATCCAGAAACCAGACCCCTGTTGATTTCTTCAGCTCGTTGGGGAAGACGAAGCTGATAAGATGGACTAAGTTCCGCCTCGTCCAGGCTAGTGACGATCGTCGAGATAAAAGGAGGTCAAGGAAAGCCAACGTGCATCGTGGGGCGAAGAAGAGGTGGCCGACGGCGCAGGAGAGTATTCAGGTCGGGAGTCATCAGATCACAGATCACATTACCCTCCTAGATCTGGAGTCAGCCTTCACCAGGCATCAGCTCGAGTGAAGCAACAACGGGCATTGCCTGCCAGCTGTGACTCTTGGGGCCTGCGCTGATTGCTTTTCTATCCCCTGTCTCTCTCTTCGACTGTTCCCATTGCTCAGGGTTATATAAGGCTGATCTCTGCCTGTCCAGCCTGGCCGCCTGCATTTCTGCTTTATTAGAAGCCAACTACTGACTCTCCCCGTTCGCTCATTTCATCTTCCACATCTCTTGGGCTTCAGCCCGTGTCGACCCCATCCTCATATAAGGTTCTTTTTTCCAAGCTTCCAGCAAAGATTCAGACTAACACACCGCCAGACCAGCTTCACTTGTTCCCAGCCAATAATTCTCTGGGCCGTCGATGCAAGGCAGGCCACGCACTGAAGCATCGTGGTCTTTATTTTAAGTGCGTCACCTTCATAGATCATCTCGCTGTCCATTTTTCTTCTTCGTCTTTCGTCCACCGTTCTTTCTTGTTGCTGGAAACTTTCACCACCGGCACCTTCCCGCTCCCCGCCCAATCGTTCAGCATCTGCAGTCTTTCAACTTTTTCCATTCTGCGCCCTATAACTGTTCCAAATCACACTTACAAATTATTCTTACTGTCCGCAAATCCTAGTCCTTCTCCCCCAAGCTCAAGCAATCCCCAGCGGTCTTCTGTCCTGGAGTTCGAGACGCAAACGAGTCCAAACGCTAACCACAACCTCAGTTCATCTACAGCTCCGCTCCGCGAAGCTCCACAGTGGGTCCCTTCTCCAGTCTCTCAACAGCGCCAGCAAGAAGCTATGGCCGACACTCCGAACACCACGACCACTGCCACAACGCCCGAAAACAAGCACGAAGCTGACCCAGCTGTCGATAACAATGCTGGCAAATCTGAGGCGAAGCCGGCAGTATCGGTTTCGGAGAGCAATTCAAAAAAGACCGCTTGCAAGAAGCACCCTGGAAAGGAACAGGATCCCAACGCTCGAACTCGCAGCTCCAAGAAGAAGACCCGCGCGGGCAAGAGTTCATCAATAGTGACCCCCAGCGACGACAGCTCCTCCGACTTGAGCTCCTCATCTGAGAGTGCCAGTTCAAACGACTCTGCCCCGGAAGATGAAGACTCCTCGTCAGACTCGTCCGCGCCGGAAGTCGACCGGCATTCTCGGCGGAGGCTAACACGAGCCAAAACGAAGAAACATCGAAGGCGTAACAAGAAGAAGAAGCTCAAGTCGCGCTATGAGTCTGAAACAGACACCGAGTCAGATGTTGAGGAGACCGAGCACGATGATTCCCTTGATGAGAAACAGCTGAAGAAATTCATCAACAAGATCAAGTCGAAAAAGAAGTCCAGGATACTTGATCCAAAGAGCGACTCTTCTGAAGATCAACAATACGATGATGACGATACGGAACTGCTTGACATATCGCTCACCCTAGCCAAGGCTAAGCTAAAGTCAAAGCAGGCGCAAACGGAAGGGAAACGTGGTAAAGGGCGCGCGAGACGGTCCCTGGGTGATCAGCTTGGGGAAAGCAAGAAGCTGAAGAAGAAGGCTGGTTCAAAGGTTGCTTTCAAACGAGTCGACCAATGTGCGTAATTCCTCCCGCTCTCCCTCTCCCCTCTTGGCGCAACTGGAAATGATTGCTGACTTTTTGGCCTGGCTTTGCATAGTATGGGACAATACAATCCACAACTTCAAGCTCACCGAGACCGTCGACGACCCCTCCGTGAATGAATGGGACCAGTATCTCTTCACTGTTCGCCGCAAGTTTGACTGGGATAACAAGTACTTGGAAACGGTTGTGGACCTCAAGAGCAAGCACCTTCGCGACGCTTTGAGCAAGGTCATGGATGGCGTCAAGGGTGTCAGCCTGGTCCAAGAGACGGCTGTGGTCGATCCCAACATGCTCTTCCTGTACCTGGAGGAAACTCGTCAATATATGAAGGAGCTCAAGCAGCAGGCCAAGACTGAGAAGAAAAAGAAGGCAAGGAAGATAGCAGCTATCAAAGCCAGTCATCTGAAAGTCCTCATCAAATACCTGGATATGGACTATGCCGAGACGAAGAAGACGCTATATCCCTTGCTGGAGGCAAATACAATTACCTTCGACCTGCTGTGGGCATTGTTCAAACCGAACACAATTGCGTACGCGCCTACGTACGGAAACCAGGATGAGCCTCGCGCGTTCAAGATTGAGTACGCCACCAAGGAGTCATCGTTCATGAAAGGTCAGTGGTACAGCATTGAAGGCCGGTATCTCGAATACGATGGGAAGACGTTCGGAATGGGAACCATGGCAGCTGAGGTCGAATCGTTTAAGGGAGCCCGGAAGATCACCAGCCTGGGATGTTACCCGCTCAAGTATCATCGCGAAGCCGAGGAGGTTAAAGCGAAGCTCATTGAGCGTGGTAAGAAGTTCGTGGCTTTGAGGGGTATGAACTATCGGTTCCATAAGGGTATGGCATTCTATAAGAAGAAGCGCACGGTCATCAAAGTCAATATCAACGGGCGAGTTATGATTGACCCGGCTATCCACCGTCGGATCAATCCGAACTACCCCATCAGCACGGTCCGCCCTAAAGACCCCGATTTCCTGGGTGACTCGGATGATAGCGATGCTGGGTGTTGTTGTGTCTCAGGGTCGGAGTCGGATCAACCACAAGCTCACCGCCGCGACTCAGATTCACCGCAGTACAAGTACAAGGTTGTTAGGGACGACAATGGCCGGCCTCAAGTCATCGCGGTAGAGGTTGACGAGAATGGGAACGAAATCCAGAAGGAAAACATGGATGAAGTTGGTGATGCTTCTGAGCGGGATTTTACGGAGGAAGAATTGCTTATAGCGAGCCCGGTCGTTCTGGGGTTTGCTTTTAGTGAAAAACTATGGCTTGAATTCAGCATCTCTGGAATCAGTGATATTGAATGGAATGAAGATGCGTTCCGGTCGCTGGTCCTCCCAGACAATCAAAAGTCGATTGTCAAGGCTTTGGTGGAGTCACACACCTTCTGCGCCGCGCAAAATATCGACGATGTGATTCAAGGAAAGGGCAAAGGCCTCGTTGCTGTGCTCCATGGCCCACCGGGTACTGGCAAAACACTCACAGCTGAAGGAATCGCAGAGCTTTTGAAGCGGCCCCTGTACATGGTGAGCGCTGGAGAGCTCGGTACAGACTCACGGACGTTAGAAGCAGAGTTGAACAAGATCCTGGACATTGCTCACTCTTGGGGAGCCGTGCTCCTCCTTGACGAGGCAGACATCTTCTTGGAGAAGCGAACAATCCAGGACATCCACCGCAACGCACTCGTCAGCATCTTCCTTCGTCTTCTTGAGTACTTCCAGGGTATTCTCTTCCTCACGACTAATCGGGTGGAAACGTTTGACGACGCCTTCCAATCCCGTATCCACGTTGCACTGCGCTACGGTGACCTCACCACAAAAGCCAAGCGCAGCGTATGGAAGATGTTCCTTGAAAAGGTTCAAGCTATGGACGGTGTACAGACAGCCACGTTTACGGACAAGGACTACGATCTTCTGTCACGCCATAACCTCAATGGACGACAGGTGAGTTACCCATTTCCTATCAAACTTTGTACATCTAGCTAACCGTTACACAGATCAAAAACTCCGTCCGAACAGCTCAAGCCCTTGCCGTCAATGAAAAAACCCCTCTATCCATGGAGCACATCAAACGTGTTCTTGACGTGGCAGAGACATTCGATCATGATCTACGCGGAGGGACTGGTTACATCGATGCGATGAGGAGTTACACTTGATTGAGTTTGCTTTAATCTCTCCACCTCTGAAGTTCTCTGCTCTGTCCTTGGGATAATGCTTTTAGTACCTATCTTTCTTGCTTTCTTGCTCCTCATTATTGGATACTTTTGCTCTTTTGTTATGCCTAACAAGAGGTGTTCACGAATCACGAATGATGATTGCTTTGCCGCCTGATTTTATGCATTTGAGGATTTGCATATCTCCACTAGGGAGCTAGACAGAATAACAGAACAGTAGTTAGTTTTGCTCAAGACATCCTCCAAGCAGCTAGTTTCACCGCGTAGTCTATAACGCAAATATATATCGCAGAGTTCTCCTTCATCAGGCCGTTGTCCAGGGTCCAGTAGAGAGAAGACAATAAACGCAAGCCAAGCCAATGAGGACTACCAGGCGGCAATATCAGACTGCCTCACCCTGTTTGGTTGATAATCCGAATACCTTTCAGGATATCTTCATCGCGCCTCTATGGTCTAGTTGGTTATGACGCGAGTCTCATATTTCGATATGACGTTCCTGCTCAAACAGGAATGACAATTATCTGCGACATCTCGAGGTCCCCAGTTCGATCCTGGGTGGAGGCATGATATTTTACAGGTCATCGGCTTTGTCTGGTGGGTACGTCTTTTTTGTTTTGTGTATCTGGTCTCTCTCTAGGGCTTTTTGTGCTTCGGTCACCGACTCACCAGGTGGCAGGGTGGATGAGGGTGGGTCGGCAGGGGACGCTAATTACGCTATCAGATTATCAGATTGAGTGGGCAGGAGAGGTCGAATGACAAGGAAACATATGCCTACGGGCTATTAGACAGTGATTGTTCTTATGCGGAGAACTGAAATCCGGGTGTTGGCTCTGTTTGGCTATGGAATATTTCATTATTGCAGCTTGAGCCTGACTACAATCGAGTTTACTGGATGCGCAGAAATATGGAGTTATCATGAGTCGTAATTACGATTTGATTTATATTTTGTAGGAAATACATGTCACATCTCCCCGTCACCCGGCCCCCTGAGAGAATACTCCATCAGCAGCTGCGTTTCTCCAAAGTAGTACTAGTCGATGTGATGGAAATGAGGCAGGTAGATGGTATGACGAGACTGTTATACAGGGAGGAACGCCGCTGCAGAACTTTCAAAATTCATGAAAAAGTATTTAAGGGTTGGACTTGACGAACTCAATGCCCTTCTTGATGTTCTTGGCCAGGTCGCGAAGGCAGTCATCAAGGAGCTTCTGCTCATAGGCGTTGACCTCACCGACGGGGAAGATCTTCTCCACACCGTTGGGGCCGAGCTCAACCTTGGAGGCGAAGAAGTTGACGCCACGGTCCTGGTAAAGGGGGCTCTCAACGAAGGTGGGCTCGATAACTCCCTTCTCGCCCTGAGCAGCGCGGAGGAGGGACTCGGCGAAGCGAGCACCAGCCATGGCCATGGAGAGAGTGGCGGAGCCGGCACCGTCCTTGGCCTTGACGACCTCATCACCACCGAACTGGATGCGGTTGACGAGCTTGTCGCGGGTCTCGCCGTCAATGTTGGGGTGGTTGGACTGGGAAAGCAGAGGAACAATGGTCACACCGGAGTGGCCACCAACAACGGGAACGGCCTCCTGGGCGGGATCGGTGCCCTGGACTTCGGAGATGAAGCGAGAGGCACGGACGACATCAAGGGTTGTGACACCGAAGAGACGCTTGGGGTTGTAGACACCCTTGGCCTTGAAGACCTCAGAGACGATGGGGACGGTGGAGTTGACCTGGTCGAATTAGCCACGGAAGTAAGGATCTTGATAGCAAATGCTGGAGGAGCATACGGGGTTGGAGATGACGAGGATGTTGGCCTCGGGGGAAGCTTCAGCAGCGGCCTTGGCAAGGTCACGGACGATGGAAGCGTTGGTGTTGAACAGGTCTGTTGAAGATGTGATCAGCTCCTATTCCTATGCGCTGTTGGCTACAGATGATGCCATTCATACCGTCACGGGTCATGCCGGGCTTGCGGGGAACACCGGCAGGGATGAGGACGATCTCGGAGCCCTTGAGAGCATCACGGAGGCCAGACTCGTTGGGCTCGTAGCCAGAGACGGTGCTGTTGGTGTTAATGTGGCTAAGGTCCGCGGCGACACCTAGAGGAGGGTTCGGTCAGTTCGAACCGCGAAAATGTTGCGAACAGCTTGAGGTAAGACACATACCGGGTCCACCGCGGATATCGTAGAGGGCGAGCTCAGAGACACGGGGGTTGAGCTTAAGGAGGAGGGAGAGGGGCTGTCCAATACCACCACCGGCACCGAGGACGGTGACCTTGGAGGCCTAATACTCGAAGAATAGTAAGCGATTGAATAGATCAGGTACCTCGGAGGTACATAGCAAAGAAGCGAAAGCACCGAGCTCTCGCCGAGTCTACGTACCTGGCGAGCAGAAGCCGAGAAGGCCCGCTTCTGGAGAAGACCGAAGGATTGGCGAGCAGCGAACATGGTATCTGAAGGCTAAAGACGGCAAAGGTGTATCAAAAGGAGATAAGGAGGCGGGGAGATACAATTGGGATGATGGGGAGATGGAAAAGAGAAGAGAAGAAGAGAGCCGTTGCCGGTGAGAAAGAAAAAGAGTTTGGGGGGCGGTTAAAACGCTCGATACGTTTTCGATCCCCACGGCTACGGGCCCCAACGGAACCACTTCGGACTCACGGGACATGCTTGCGACAGTCCCGGGATTTGCTCGGGCCTTAGTCCCTTTCAATCTATGGAATTGACATCAAAACAATGCATAAATTCCCGCCCATTGCTCAAAACGCCTGCGCTAGTGAAACTATTTACCACAGCTGCTATCAAAACAACAACCGCTGTTATTACAATCTAAGCTAGGGAGAGATCAACCCATCACCTCAAATAGCGAAGCACCGCCCAGCAGAACAGGAAGAAGAGTAGCACTCCGACCCAGAAGATCCATTTATCTTGCTTCGCTCGTCGCTCGACCTTGCGAATTGTTTCCCCGCTTACACCCAAGGTATTTGCAACGCTGTAAAGACGACGCTGCGTGCCTTTGAGGACCTCTCGCTGCTGTCCGAGATCGGCAAGCACTGCCCGTCCTCTGTCGAGGAAGTCGTCGATTTGAGAACTGGTATTCGAGAGGAAGGATTGCTCCCGCAGAGCATGTGTCTCCCGGGTAAAGTCCGACCCTCCAAAGCCGGGACCTGACCGCGATGGCAAAGGAGTAAAGGGTGAGGCGTTGGGAGCTGATGGTTGCGCATATGGGTTCTCAGGTGTAGCCGTATGATGTGGTCGTCGGCCCAAAAGCTCGTGGCGGTTTGTTACAGATTGCTGCCAAGCAGAGTCGCCTATTAGTTATCATCTATAAGCAAGACGAAACTACGATTCTTGTTACTTACAGCATCCTCTCGTTCCTTTCGTAGTTGGTCGAAATGTTGTCGGTAATCCTGCAGCTCTGCCCGGAAGTTCTTGACTCGTTCAAAGGCCTTTTCTTGTTTTTCCGGGATCAATTCCTTCTTCGACAGCGCGGAATAGTCGTCGATTGTTCGGGATAGTGAGGCTAACGAGGCCGCGACTTGGCCTACGTGGCATGTTAGTATCGATGTTATCGTACAAGCAACATGTATGTCTGTGAGGCCTAAGAGACACAGACTCTCCGGTGTTGATTACCTTGCAAGGCAGCAGGAGTCGTTGCGGGCGATTGTGCAAAGGTGTCAAGGTCACGGCGAATAGCAGACGACTGCTTGAGGGCGGAGTTAAATAAAGAGTTCTAGACGGTCGAAGATTCAGTTAGCGGTGAGCTCTAGGACGGTAGAAGAGCTCCATACCATCGTATATTTGACCGCAATCGATCTTTCGACACAAGCAAGATATCAGTGTCAACACGGAGAGGTATATGACAAAGAGCGGCGGTGCGCAATGCGGTCCAAGCTGGTCTAGAGTTGGAAAGACCAGTCTTCAACCCATTCAGTGTCCTAGTAGTCGCGACGTGTTTGAAATAAATAATATTCAAGACGCTTGCGCAACTGATACAAGGTGCTAAATATATCGACAGGCCACATGTTCTTGCAGCGGCCACGATTCTGACGTCGTTGACCGCCTCTGATGAATCACCCCGTGTCACTTTGCCTTGCAAGGTCGCATTTATTTCTGGGGTATACAAGTAGGAGAAACGTCTGAAGCTCTGGTTGTCTTGTCTCTGTCATTAACTAACAGTCGCACTGGGCCTATGGTGTCTCCATCTTGCAGGACATAAAGGTAATCCGTACTCCCGGCCCCACTACTTGTGATAGCACTGGCGAATGCGGTTTCTAATTCTACGACTGCATATGGTGTCGCGGTGAAATGGTTCGAATGTCAGAGCTGGGAAGTATCTTCGTTGAGAACTAGAAATACATCAAAACGCGCCAGGTCGAACCATTAACCACTCCGAAACAAAATCCGACAAATCCTGGTATAAAGTATGTGCAACATTGGAAGGCTCGAGATCTTCACCTCCAGCATCTATTTCGGAGGGTACTTGTTCTGGAGGAACCATCTATAGAGTTCATTCCATTAGCATTGGTTGCCAGACAACGAGGGAAGCATGAGCCACATACTTGCTGACAAAGTAATCGACAGCACCGGCGGCGCCTACGATCCCTGTCCAGAGTCCAACAACCTCCCAGGAAAGCTTTCCCTGGGTGTGTTTCCTGTAGGCACCGAAACCCAGACCTGCACCGACAAGGGCCATGAGCGCAGCGTTCCCAATAAACACAGGGTTGCCTTCATTGCCGCGAACACGGGATGGTTTGGCCTTTGGCTTCTGCTTCTTCTCGCGGGCTTCCTGGGCTTTTTCTTCTTGCTCGCGTTCTATCCGTTCGGCCTGAGTAGTAGTCTTCACGTCCTGCTCCAGGAAATCAGGGTCGACAGCGGTCACATGCGGGCCGTCGACGTCAATGAGCGAAGCGGTGGATTCGGATTCATCCTTGTAAACTCGGTTGATATCAGGGGCGCGGCTGGTTTAAAGAAAGAAACTTTGTTAGTTTGAAAGAACAGCGCGTGCATTCCTAGTGTTCCAACTTACGCCTGCAGTCAAGTTAGTCACATAGTAATTGGCCACAATGAGACAGGGAACTGTACCTCTTCAGGAGTCTGCTTAGGGCCCTTAGCAGCAGCTTCTGCGTAAGACATGTTGTGAGGTCGTGTTTAAAGGAGCTATGAAGAGTACAGTGAGCTTGATGGCACGATCATCCAGGACGGAACAAGAGGACAATATCCCAGACTCGGCAACTTACAATTTCGGAAGAGTGAGAGGTGAAGGATAACCTGAGAACTTGGTCAAATGTTGAGCTGAGGGAAGAAGTATCACGAGATTAGATTCCGACAAAGGGTGGTGTCATGTGTATTTATACCGCTTGGAACTACGGTTGAAGCAGCGAAAGTTGGCATGTTAATGATGTCATAAATCAGTTGAGAGTGGAGTTGGCGGCACACGTCGCCAAGACCGGCTGGAGTTGTCACATCAATGGGCAATTGCGAAGATTCAAGAAGGTATGTACGCGCGCTTTTCAGTTACTTGTATAACGCAGTTTCCAACTGATTCGCTGGCTTGAGAGTAAGTATTTGTTCCCATATCTCGCTACCTAGATGACTGGGGCTGAAGGCTTCATGATTAAGTCTCAAGAAAATGCTGAAATTTATAAACTGTACCTGTGGTCGAAATCGGGGGTTTTTAATACATAATAAAACAAAGCCCAGAATGAGGCTCCGGGCCGATGCGCTAGCACACATGATTGACCGGAGTTACACTCCGGAGTTGAGAACTTAGAGCATAAGCTCCAAGGGGTTCTCGACAACCTTCTTAAGCTCCTTGATCCACTCCGCACCAACAGCACCATCAACGACCCGGTGGTCGAAGCTACCAGTAACAACAATCTGGTCATCCCACTCAACGGACGTACCCTCCTCAGTCTCAACAGGAACAGCAACCTTGCGAGTGGTACCAACGGCCAGAATACCGGCCTGAGGGGGGTTGATGACAGCAGTGAATCGCTCAACGGCAGGGTTCATGCCCATGTTGCTGATGGTGAAAGTGCCGCCCTGGAACTCCTCGGGCTTGAGCTTGTTGTCCTTAGCACGCTTACCGAGATCCTTGATCTGGTTGGAAATGCTCGCCAAGCCAAGACCCTGCGCGTTCTTCACAATTGGAGTGATCAATCCAACAGGGGTAGCGACGGCGACACTGATATCAGCGGCCTTGTGCTGACGGATGACAACCTGGCCGTTCTCCTCAGTCCAGCTGGAGTTGACCTGGGGAACCTTCTGAAGAGCGGCAGCGCAAGCCTTGACAAGGAAGTCGTTGACGGAGAGTTTGTACTTGCCATCAGCGGAGGCGTTGAGGGCTTGACGAAGCTTCAGAAGCTTGGTGACGGAGAGGGTGGTGGAAACGAAGAAGTGGGGATTCTGGTTCCAGGATTGCTGGAGGCGAGTAGCGATCGTCTTGCGCATCGAGGTGAGAGGGATGTCCTCAGAGCCAGCCTCAGCAGCAGCAGCTGGTGCGGTAGACTTGTACTTCTCGACGTCCTCCTTGGTGATTTGGCCACCGCGTCCGGTACCCTTCAGAGCCTTGATTGGCACACCCTTCTCAAGAGCCAGGGCCTTGGCGGCAGGGCTAATGGCAGGCTCGCGGTCGAGACTGGGCTGGAGCTTCTCGCCGGAGGTGTCGGGCTCGTAAGCACCAGGGGCAGGCTCGGGTGTCGAAGGTTCTGAGGTCTTGGGGGTTTCCTTGGGGGCTTCCGTGGCTTCCTTGGCGGGAGCAGCACCGGCGCCCTCGCCAGCATCCTCCAGGCTGAATGATTCGAAGGCGGCGACATCAACGCCCTCCTCGACCAGGACGGCGATGGGCTGGAATTGCGTCATTAGTAGGTGCAATTGAACGTATTCGACAGGGCACACCTACAGAACCAACAGGTACATCCTTTTCGCCAGTCTCCTTCAGCACCTTAGCCAAGACACCCTCTTCCTGAAATTCGAAGTCCATCTGCGCCTTATCGGTTTCGATCTCAACCAGAACATCACCGGGTTGCAGGCTATCACCCGGCTTCTTTTGCCAAGCTCCGATGTTTCCGGCGGACATGGTCGGCGACAAGGCCGGCATGCTAATAATTGTGTGAGGAGGGAAAGCTATAAATTTTGACTGTCAGCATGGGTAAGACTCGAGCCCGAGGATGCCAGATAAGCATACACTTTGAAGCATAGAAGCGGGAAAGGGCAGAGATGGCGGGTAATTGTTGTCTATAGCACGGGGATATCGAGTTAGTTTACACGAAGATTAATTTGTCCCGTTGTAAAAGGATAGCAAACGTACTGGATCACGGCCGTGAACTTGTAAGTGGCCTGCGGTCGCCTCAGGGTAGAGGCGCCTTTTGAGAGAAACATCGCGCTGGGAGTGCGCATTCTGAGAGCAGAGGCGACCATGGTGCGCGGGTTCTGTTGTAGGATACAGATAGAGGCCCGCGGACTATAAGGAAGGGAGGAAATAGGTCGGAGGAGGAGCCGAGAAATTCAAACTGGCAGCAACCAAGAGTTGAGACTTTTCCGGCTCGCGGTGAGCGAGAAGCTCCTCAACAGAGATCGGGCCGGATCGGAACTTGTTAGTTCCGGAACATACCGCAAAAACTAGGACGATGTACATATCGCTCTTATCACAAACTCAAGTTATCTTCAGAGTTGCACGGAGAATATTGTGCTGCTACTACTAGTTGAGGCGTCTGGTATATTACTCCTGCATAGAACAATATTTGTAGTGGATAAATTATCCCGAGTCCCGCGAAGTGTTGAATGTTTGCCGATGAGGTGCCGTTGGCATCCAGTACTCAGTTCATCGGTATATCTGCCTCCGACTCAACTCGGAGAAGTTGGACCGGAGTAAATTGGCAGCTTTGATCAGTTACCAATGCTATACACCGTATTGACTGCCCCTAAAGCGTCGGCCAAAGGTGCCTGTAATCTCACCCTACCAATCAAGTTGTTACCTGGGGAATTGGATACCAATGAAGGTATCCTTTTTACTCCTTTCCTTTCTTAAGATCTGCTAAATAGGTCTCTTGCTGGTTACCGACTATAATTTGAATCATGAATTTTTATGCCAGCTTTCAGGCTAGGGCGTCGTTATGTCCAGTGCGGAGAGCGAAGAAGGTTGCGTTTGACAGGGTTCAGGCCTATGTTAGTTGTACAAGAGCACCTCCATCTATTAGGGAGCGCTTGGAATGATATGAAATACGCCGAAGACGCTTCACACTATTGCCCTTTTTTTGTTGAGAACATGGCCGACGGAGCAAGCTTAGCTCGACCTCCGGAAAGTAAAACACCGGCCCCTCATGTTTGTTTCGTCCCTCTGTGGTTAGTGACAATTGACGGCAAATTAGGAGGTTTTCGAATATAGATGTCAGATTTGGATAACCTAAGGAGGACTTTTGAGCCATATACCCTTCTGTACCCTTACCTAGCGCCAGGACGAGAATTAAAACAAAATTCGCCATGGATGATCTTCAACGCACATCACGTGAGTATATACGTTACGTAAGCCGCTCGCGGCTGTGATGGCTCCGCCTGTCTTATTGATGCGTGTTCTTACTGCCTGGCTAAGAGTTCAATACTCAGAGCTCCTTTACATTTTTCACTACTTTCCATGTGGGACCTCCGCCTGCCTGGTTCTGCAAACTCCAGACGGAGTCTCGCATAATGGCGGAAGCTGAGAACGGCTCTATCGAGCCAACACAAACATCCGTATCCCAGGCAGACAATAAGCAGAATGGGGTCGATGTTGTTACAGAACCGCAGATTCCGGAGGAGGTCGCAAGGTCCAAACCCGAGATACCAACCGAGCCAGAACGCCAAACAGTCGAATTCGACGTGCCAGAGCAGGGCGATCCGTCATCGGACCGATTGGAGACCAACGATAGTAGCCTATCCCAAGAACAATCCGCAACACCTCCGCCAGCGGCGACAACTTCCGAATCCCTCGATCCCGCAAACCAGCAGAGCCAATTAGAGAAGGAAGAAAATCAGAACGATACTACACTCGAAGATGAGACGGCTGCTGCTGTAGAGCAGGCAGAAGAAGGCCCAGAAGCGCCATCGACTGTAACCCAAGATGAGCCGCTTGCTCAAGAGCCGCGAATGCGATCTGACTCGCGATCGACTACCGCGACTATGGCAACCCATCGGTCATCGACAGTCAGCTCGACAGTCTTTATCGTTACGGCTTTGGACACAATTGGTGCCTCAAGGGAAGCTCGGAGGAGCAAGGAATTGGAGGATTCTGTGAAGAATGCGCTTGCCAATGTCAAACAGTCAGATCGCCAGCCGATTGACCCCGAGGTTATATTCCGCCCACTGTTGATCGCCAGTCGGACAGACAGCATACCTCTCCAAGTCACAGCTCTGGATTGTATCGGCAAACTAATCACTTACTCTTACTTTGCCTTCCCATCCGCTCAAGAAGCCAAGGCATCCGGCCCGGAAAGCACACCGCAACAGACTCCTCTCATTGAACGAGCAATTGATGCTATTTGCGAATGCTTTGACAATGAGAATACGTCGATCGAGATTCAACAGCAGATCATCAAGTCACTTCTTGCTGCAGTTTTGAATGACAAGATTGTGGTACACGGGGCGGGTCTTTTGAAAGCCGTCCGTCAAATTTACAATATGTTCATTTACTCCAAGTCTAGTCAGAACCAGCAAATTGCCCAGGGATCTCTCACACAGATGGTCAGCACGGTCTTTGACAGGCTTCGTGTGAGACTTGATCTGAAAGAGTTACGTTTGCGTGAAGTTGAACAGACTCAGGGTACCTCTTCTGATGCGGTAACTATTGAACCTTCCGAGGTAACCCCTTCCGGTGAGGAGGATCAGGTCTCTGATGTTGCGTCCATAGCAACAGACCAGCCTCCTCCAAAAGAGCCTACCGAGAAGCTCACTTTGGAGAGTTTTGAGTCAAACAAGGAAGTTACCACCGTCAATGACAATGCCCCAACGATGGTTACACGCGCCAATATCAGTCAGAAGCGAGCGCAGTCCGCGCCCGTTGCAACCGGGGAAGATAAAGATACTGCTGACGCAACGAGTGACGAAGATGATGTGGATGAAATCTACGTTAAAGATGCCTTCCTAGTCTTTAGGGCTCTTTGCAAACTGAGCCATAAGATCCTCAGTCATGAACAGCAGCAGGATCTCAAATCCCAAAACATGAGATCGAAGTTGCTCTCCCTACATCTGATTCATTATCTGATTAACAACCATGTCGCCGTTTTTACCTCTCCTCATCTCACAATCAGGAACAACGCGGGTAGCTCTGACGCTATGACATTTCTCCACGCTGTCAGGCCTCATCTCTGCCTCAGTCTGAGTCGAAATGGCTCTAGCTCAGTTCCCAGAGTATTTGAGGTCTGTTGCGAGATCTTCTGGCTCATGTTGAAGCATATGAGGGTCATGATGAAGGTCTGTCAATCCCCAAGCCCGCCATTGCGGAGCAAAAAAAAAAGCCTATCTGACATGAGAAAAACAAATACAGAAAGAGCTCGAGGTTTTCATGAAGGAAATATATCTCGCTATCCTCGAAAAGCGGAATTCTCCAGCATTCCAAAAACAATATTTCATGGAAATCCTGGAGAGACTGGCCGATGAACCTCGTGCTTTGGTCGAAATATATCTCAATTACGACTGCGATCGGACGGCGCTGGAGAACATCTTTCAAAAGTTCGTGTCCCTTCTTTTAGCGACTGCCAGTTTTTTCAAGTCCTAACTAGATCCCAGCATCATCGAACAATTATCCCGCTACGCGAGTGTGCCCACAACCGTGAGCCCCGCTCAACAACAGCAATACCACGAGCAACATGTCAAGGCCTCAACCGTAGGAAACGAATGGCATCAGCGCGGTACCCTGCCACCGTCGCTCACAAGTGCCCACATGATCGGCAGCCCACAGCCTACCCTACAGACCATACCGCCGGAGTATACACTCAAGCACCAAGCTGTTGAGTGCTTAGTTGAGATCCTTCAGTCACTCGACAACTGGGCCTCGCAGCGCAGCGTCGACCAGACTGCTGCTCGGACATTTTCTCAGAAGTCTGTTGACAACCCTCGAGATTCTCTGGATAGCAGCGTCCCCACCTTTCTCTCCTCACCACGTGTTGATGGTGCCGACGGCAGTACTGGCCGGTCCACTCCGGTCCCAGATGACGATCCAAGCCAGATAGAAAAGATGAAACAGAGAAAGATTGCGCTCACGAATGCGATCCAGCAATTCAATTTCAAACCCAAGCGGGGCATCAAGCTTTTTGTTCAGGAAGGATTCGTCCGCTCCAATACTCCCGAGGAAATTGCAGCTTTTATACTCCGCAACGACCGCTTAGATAAGACCATGATCGGAGAATACCTTGGGGAAGGCGACCCCGAAAACATTGCTATCATGCACTCCTTCGTCGATATGATGGATTTCTCTAAACGACGTTTTGTGGATGCTCTCCGCTCCTTTCTGCAACATTTCCGGTTGCCGGGAGAAGCTCAGAAAATTGATCGTTTTATGCTGAAGTTCGCAGAACGCTATGTGACCCAAAACCCGAATGCGTTTGCCAATGCCGATACAGCGTATGTCCTGTCATACTCTGTGATAATGCTCAACGTGGATCAGCACAGTAGCAAGATCAAGGGACGCCGAATGACTCCTGAGGATTTTATCAAGAACAACCGAGGTATCAACGATAATCAAGACTTACCTGATGAGTATCTTACATCGATCTTTGAGGAGATTGCCAATAATGAGATCGTCCTCGACACTGAGAGGGAGCAAGCGGCGAACGCTGGCGTTCCCACATCTGCTCCGGCTGGCCTTGCATCTAGAGCAGGGCAGGTGTTTGCTACTGTCGGACGAGATATACAAGGTGAAAAATATGCCCAGGCTTCCGAGGAAATGGCCAATAAGACTGAGCAACTATATCGAAGCCTGATACGAGCCCAGCGCAAAAACGCTGCTAAAGAGGCGCTGTCGCGATTCATTCCCGCAACTTCCGTTCAACATATTGGCTCCATGTTCAATGTGACTTGGATGTCGTTTCTCTCAGGGCTGTCGGCTCCTATGCAAGATACACAGAATCTCAAGACCATCAAGCTTTGCATGGAGGGTATGAAGCTCTCTATACGCATCAGTTGTGCGTTTGATCTAGAGACTCCACGAGTTGCGTTTGTCACAGCATTGGCCAAATTCACAAACTTGGGCAACGTTCGGGAGATGGTCGCGAAGAACGTCGAAGCATTGAAGATTTTGCTTGACGTTGCACTCTCTGAAGGGAATCACCTCAAGAGTTCTTGGCGGGAGATTCTCACATGTGTCAGCCAGCTCGATAGGCTTCAGCTTCTTAGTGACGGGGTTGATGAGGGTTCTTTGCCGGATGTTTCACGGGCTCGTGTACTACCTCAACCTTCATCCGATGGCCCTAGAAGGTCAATGCAAGCTTCACGGCGTCCCCGTCCCAAGTCCATCACCAGCAATACCCCCTTCCGAGCGGAAATCGCCATGGAAAGCCGCTCGGCTGAGATGGTTAAAGGAGTAGATCGAATCTTCACCAACACGGCTAACCTCTCGCATGAGGCAATAATCGATTTCGTTCGAGCTTTGAGCGAGGTAAGCTGGCAGGAGATTCAGTCGTCTGGTCAAACCGAGTCTCCCCGCACATATAGCTTGCAGAAGCTGGTTGAAATCAGCTACTACAACATGACTAGAATCAAGATCGAGTGGTCTAAGATTTGGGAAGTTCTTGGGCAGCACTTCAATCAAGTTGGATGCCACTCAAACACTAATGTGGTCTTTTTTGCCCTCGATTCGCTCCGCCAACTCTCGATGCGCTTCATGGAAATTGGAGAGCTCCCGGGATTCAAGTTCCAGAAAGATTTTCTCAAGCCATTCGAGCATGTCATGGCAAATAGCAATGCTGTTACCGTGAAAGACATGATTCTGCGGTGTCTCATCCAGATGATCCAAGCCCGTGGAGACAACATCCGCTCAGGCTGGAAAACTATGTTCGGGGTGTTCTCCTTCGCGGCTCGGGAACCGTATGGTAGGTGTTAAGCGGCAGTTTCCTCTTACGAACCTGGTTGGGCTAACTTTGTGGTGCAGAGGGCATTGTGAATATGGCATTCGAGCACGTTACTCAGATCTACAATACCCGGTTCGGTGTGGTAATTACACAAGGAGCCTTCCCTGACCTCATCGTCTGCCTCACGGAGTTCTCCAAGAACATGAGATTTCAGAAGAAGTCCCTACAAGCAATTGAGCTTCTGAAATCGACAGTCGCAAAAATGCTGAAAACTCCTGAATGCCCTCTATCTCATCGCAGTACGCCTTCGGAAGGTGCCCACGAGGATGCTACGAACCTCAGTCAACAACTCACTCGGCAGTCGAAAGAGGAGCAGTTCTGGTATCCTATCTTGATTGCTTTCCAAGATATACTCATGACTGGTGATGATCTTGAGGCGCGATCGCGGTAAGCGGACTTAACCCCTTTGCCTACAGTTCTTCACTAATTTGATTTCTTAGCGCTCTAACCTATCTTTTTGACACCTTGATACGGTATGGAGGTAGCTTCCCTCAAGAGTTCTGGGACGTTCTCTGGAGACAGCTCCTGTACCCCATTTTCGTCGTTCTGCAGTCGAAGTCGGAGATGTCCAAGGTTCCCAATCATGAAGAACTTTCGGTCTGGCTGTCGACTACGATGATTCAAGCGTTGAGAAACATGATCACGCTGTTCACGCATTACTTCGACGCTCTTGAGTATATGCTTGCCCGTGTTCTCGAACTGCTCACGCTCTGCATTTGTCAAGAGAACGACACCATCGCGCGAATCGGCAGCAATTGCCTACAGCAACTGATACTACAGAATGTGGAAAAGTTCCAAAAAGAACACTGGAACAAAATCGTTGGTGCTTTCATCGAGCTTTTTAACAAAACTACCGCATACGAACTGTTTACGGCTGCAACATCTGTAGCACCAAAGCCTACAAGTTTGCCTCAAACTCCAAATGGGCAAACATCAGCCAGCCAGGAGCCTGAGCAGGACCCTACCGAGCCACTCTCAACCCCAGTGGTAGAAACCCCTGCGGAATCTTCAAAGCCCAACGGGACGGAAGGCGTAACACCCGAGCATGAAGAAGGCGACATGCCTGCAGCTTCGAATGCCGATTTGGAGGACTACAGGCCACAAGCAGATGTACAGCAGCAGCCGGCTGCTGTTACAGCTGCGCGGCGCCGCTATTTTAATCGTATTATCACGAACTGCGTGCTCCAGTTGCTTATGATTGAGACCGTTCACGAATTGTTCTCCAACGACAAAGTCTACGCTCGAATTCCCAGCAACGAGCTACTCCGTCTGATGGGCTTGCTTAAGAAGAGCTATCAATTTGCCAAGAAGTTCAATGAGAACAAGGATCTTCGCATGCAATTATGGCGTCAAGGATTCATGAAATCGCCGCCGAATCTTCTGAAGCAAGAAAGTGGGAGTGCTGCGACATATGTCCATATCTTGTTTAGGATGTACCATGATGAGCGAGAGGAGAGAAAGAGCAGCCGCACTGAGACGGAGGCGGCATTAATTCCGTAAGCAGCCTCGGGCCACTTTCTTCACCATTGTGGACTTTCTGCTAATCAAAATGTATCTTCAGTCTCTGCGCGGACATCATTCGCGGCTTTATTCGACTTGACGAGGACTCACAGCACCGCAATATCGTTGCCTGGCGTCCCGTTGTTGTTGATGTTATCGAAGGCTACACGAACTTCCCCCGTGAGGGCTTCAATAAACACGTTGAGATATTTTACCCCTTGGCTGTCGACTTGCTGAGTCGCGACCTAAACGCCGAAATTCGTCTTGCGATCCAGTCTTTGTTACAACGTATCGGCGAGACAAGATTAGGTATACCTGCGCGACCTTCGCCGATGCCTATCAGCCCAAGACATTCAGTATCAGAGCGGCCGTCCCGCAAGCATAGTGTCGGCAAGCACTGATCATCTCCGATCCCCATAGTCACTCTAGAAAGCTTGTGTACCTGGTTTTCTCCCTGCTTTTTGGATATCCTTGCATTCCTCGTTGTGAGGACGTTTGTTTCGTGTTCAAGGAAGGGTATCAAGTGTAAAATTAGCCATGCTGGATTATTGTTTCTTTATCTCTCTGCTTTAGACCCCGGATTTTTATGCGACAGGGGTTTTTATATACACCATCTTACATACCTCACATTCTGGGACTCTCAGGCTTTTACTCTATTATTTTTCTCTTTCTGGGGACTTCTGTCGAAGCATAGATATACCTATGACTTGAGGCCATGGTGTATGGAAACAAAGACTGTCTAAGTACAGGAGTGCACAATGCTGCCTACTTAACATTGATTCTCAGTGGAGCTTTCGAACCGCTTGTTTCCAGACAAGTTCCGCTAGCAAGCCACTTCCTTCTACTTTTGTCCCACATCATAAGTGGACCTCAAAATTCAATAGCCCTAGCATCCAGGCATTCAGGCCGAGAAGCACTTTGCGCCAGTCCATACGGACTGTTGAAACATCTGGCTATAGCACAGACATTCAATATCTAAACAGTATGTACCGGAAGGTTGGAGCGAACCTCCCCAAGCGTGGGAATCAAACCTGACTCGTAATGTTTGAGTAGGGCTGCCATGTCTCTCTCATCCATTTGCACCAGATCTTCCAAGCGCCACGCTTCACAGATCCCGGACATCCTGAAGGCCCATCAGCTTGGAACATAGACAAGGGTGGGATACTTCACATACCACTTCATCCGTTTCGGTCCCTCGGCAGGATTAGGAGCGACATCCCTCAATAACTTCCTCAGCTTTCCAACATTTTCAATGGCCGCTCCCATATTAGCCGGTAGAGTATTGGCGATCTTCTTCCGAACAATGCTTGCAAGTTTCGGTCCATTTCCGTTTGTACTGACCATTATTTGTAATGGGCCATCTCGGTGCACACTTCCGAAGTAAAAGTCGCATTCTGAGGGTACATCGGCTATGTTCGCCGGGATTCGCTTCTCCTTGCAAAGTTTCCAGACCTGGGTTGAAGCCTCTGGATCATCGATTGCACAAAGGATCATATCGGCGCCTTCCAGGTCCGTGGGCTCGAAGTTCCGATCGATGTGAGACACTTGGCCCTCTGAAACTCGAAAAGCTACTTCTTCATTCAGCCCTGAGGCTGGGCACACAACGGTGACCTGTGCGTCTGCATTAAGGGCATGTAATATGCGTCCAGCAGCTACCTGTGGGGTTCATGAGCAATTATATATCCGGCTGGGATCTGGTGACTAACCTCGCCTCCACCAACGACCAGGACTTTCTTGCTCTTTACTTGCCAGGCAACTATCAGCGAGCCGCCTCCTTGGACCTCTGGAAATTTCGGCGATGACATCCTTGGCGGACTGGATATGTTGGACGCAACTTCCCTGTTGATAGCAGAGGTGGGGTTAAGTAATCGACGGGCCTGATACGGTCCGCCGCAGAGACCCAAACCGTCACGGGCATTTTTTTTTCTTCTCTCGCTTTTGCTTTTTGTCTTTTCCTCAAGCTCCGATCCTTTCCTTTCCATCCTTCTTCTTCCATCAACCCTCGGAAATTCTGTCATCTGCGTAAGATGACATCCTCACCTTGACTATCTTCCATCTCTGCAGCTTGATGCCTACTTTCGTTTAAATTTGCTCTGTTCACACAATGCGGGGAGTTCAGATTTTTTCCGGAACTTCCCACCCCCTCCTTACGGAGACCGTCTGCGAGAGGTTAGGTACCTCGCCTGCCAGAGTCGACCTTGGGAAGTTTAGCAATGGCGAGACCAATGTGAATGTCGGTGTCTCGGTACGCAATCAGGATGTCTACATCATCCAGAGCGGCAGCAAGAAGATCAATGACAGCGTCATGGAGCTGCTGATTATGATCTCTGCCTGCAAGGGGGGCTCCGCAAAGTCTATCACAGGTATGATTTACCTTTTTTTCTTTGTAAAATACCCTTGTCATCGCCGCGGAGACTGACTTGCATATCCTTTTTTCAGCGGTTATGCCGTATGGATCCTAGCTAGGCTGAATGCTACACATTTGATGCTGACGCAGACGAGGTACTTCCCATACTCCCGCCAATCCAAAAAGAAAAGCCACCGCGGATCTATCACCGCGCGTATGCTGGCAAACCTCCTGACAGTTGCCGGGGTCGATCATGTGATAACATTGGATCTCCATGTGCGTGTTGAACAATGCTCAATTCGGTTGGCTGGGTTGTCTGTCATCTTAGACTCAACTAACATCGGTACGTTTGATTAGGCGTCCCAAATGCAAGGCTTCTTCGCGAAGCCCGTCGATAACCTCTTCGCTGAGCCTTTCATTGCACGCTGGATCCGTAACAATGTACCTGGCTGGAGGGAAGCTGTCGTCGTGAGTAAAAATGCTGGGGGGACCAAGCGCGTCACGTCATTGGCGGACACACTGAAGCTCAACTTTGGCATCGTGACAACGGACAGGCGTCGCCCCAAGCCGGTCGCGACCCTGGCTGACAGCACAGTCTTTTTCGAGGCCTTGGACCAGGACAGCACGCCACTGCCTAAAGATCAGGATCCTTTCGTTGTCCGGACCCTCACTGAGAGCACCAACAATTCCCAGTCAGGGGACTCACAGCCCGAGGACCCTGCCATTTCACTTGGTGGATTGCGCCCCGAGACCCCAACCGGTGCCCGACGACCTTCTGAGCTGGAAGCTGTAAATGAATACACTGATCTTCGGGTACGAGATGTGATAACCGGGCGAATCGTACAAGGCCACCTTGTTGATGACGACTATCCGCCGTCAGGTCCTACATCTATGCCCACATCCGGAGATGCAACGCCTGGACTACCACTCACCCAAGACAGCGGTGATGGCGTTCCAGACTCAATGGCAGATTCTATCTTTTCGACCACCTCCTCGCTCCCCGGGGACCACGCTCTCGGCGGCTCATTCGATGCTGCGGAATCTTCCGACGAAGAAGAAGGAAGCATCGGGCGAAGCGTTGAGCTGGAGAAGACCATCACATTAGTTGGAGACGTTCGTGATAGAACTGTGTTCATTGTCGATGACATGATTGACAAGTCGGGCTCGTGGATTGCGGCGGCAGAAACCGTTGTGAAGCGAGGCGGCGCCAAGAAGGTCTACTGCATCGCTACCCACGGACTCTTTGGAGACTCATCCCTCGAACAAATGGAGGCTTGCGAGTCCATCAACTACATTGTTGTGACTAATACTTTCCCAATTCCTCCGCAAGTGGCAAGGAAATCCAAGAAATTGATTGTCATTGACATCTCAAGCCTTCTTGCAGAGAGCATCAGACGCCATCACTATGGTGAAAGGTCAGTAAAGATCCTTGTATCAACGTATATCTCGATAACGTGCTAATCCTTTCGAAGTGTTTCTGCGCTGTTCCACCTTAATGACTGATTTGAAAACGAACGGATTGTTCCGTCTTTCGGTGTTTCCATTTGCATATACAGCAACTTTTATGAAGCGTTCATGAAGCCATCTCGCAGAAATCTGTACGTTGGTAAGGTGATGAATGAATAATGACGAAAAATCTTATGCTTGATGATGTCTTCATTCTGTATAGAATTTGGGCATTTCTTTCTTACATGGGTCTAACAGGGCGTTTCATTTCGTGGAGTTTCTTGCCACCATATTTACGTGGGCAAATTCTGTATTGGCGAAGCCGAATCCATTTCATGCAAACCTGATCTCATCTTCAGTGATGGAAGATAATGCCTGTCATGATGTGGACGGGCAACGACAGAAAGTGAAGCTCCGCTAGGTCAAGTTTTGAAATCGCCGTCTCCCTCTGCCATTTCGTAGTCAACCCCTTGTCCACATTCAAGCTGAAGGCAACGCCTCAGCAACACCAGCGATGCAGTCCACTCTGGGTACTGCAGGAGCGTCTTGTTCATTCACAAGATCGTTCCTAACGGAGCGTTGGGAGAACAAATGAAAGACTGTTGAGCGTCCTATCTCTTTTCATGGCCTTGCCAGGTGAAGGGGTAATCGCGCGAGGCAAGCTTTTCGAGGAATGAAGGCATCATTTTCTGAAGCTTGTCTTCTGGCCTTGGCCTGTGGAAATGATGCAAGAGAACATCTCGAACAACCTGTAGCCGTATTCTTTACCCTGAATCCAATACAAGCAAGTTATTTCGTACTCTTCAGATGCTTCCCGAATCTCCTACAGCGTTCTCCGATCTTATTTTGTTTGTGTCTTCAGGCTCTTGTACGACTGAGGATATATGGGAGGAGCCAACTGAGACCGGGAGTCCGAGACTCCGAGTGGCTGGGCTTGCTCTGGTATGCGCTCCGAATAGGGTATATTGATCGGAGGTCGCGTGACCAGGTTGCGCTGTTAAGGTTTCGGACTTGGTGAATTGATGATGTCCAAATTGCGTTGACCCTTGTAGACTCAACCAAAGCGGACAACAGACAGCCGGGTCATGCTGCCTTCTGAACGGGGCCCGGCTAAGCTATGTCACACAATGATCGGTCTGCCGGGTCCGTGAGAGGATATGTGCATGGGAAATTAGATTCCAATGGAAAAAAAAATGGAGCGGTGTGCGCGAAACCGACAATGAGGATTACGATATGGAAATATTTCTCCTGACGAAGCCCTTTGATGCGGTGAAATCGAAGCGCGTACGTTGTCTGGAGTGGTATGACATCACTTTTAGAACCTGTGCTAGGCTAACCTGTGCAGTTGGCCATGTTGTACTTTGGTCTCGAGGATGCTGCGTACTCCGTCGAAGTCGGACTTCTGACAGGTACACGAGGCCGACGACAGCAAAAGGGATACGCGCTCTCGTCCGCGGACTGGCGATCTCGACAAAAGTTGGCAACGAAACGCCAAAACGCCATGGGGTTGCACAGACGCGCTATCCACCCAAGGCGATGGCTTCTCGGAGAAATGATAAAGCCTGTGGAGATCATCCAAAATACAAAAAGACAGTCATTCTATGTATGTACTTGTCGTCGTGAGGGGCAGTGTCGCGGATCTGAGGCGGGAGCCAAGAAGACAAGTCGAAATACCAAAAGTACTGAACTCGAATGAGTGGGAGCAATTCGGAAATCAGAAACCTTGAGAGGTTGAAACCCGGCACCGCAGGCCTCGAATTCAGTAGGTACACGATGTAGCGTCACGGCTAGTTGTGACTTAAACCAGTCAGAAACAGGATTGAATATGTCGCGGAAGCGATTCCGGCAGATCAACTGAGTGGGGATTAGAGGTTCGAGAATGGGATCCGACTTGTCACCCGAGTCAGGAAACGAGCATGAGAATCTAAAGTTGGAATGAGCGAGAGATAAGCGGAGGAGAGGTACCACTTTGATAGATCAAAGATTCGTCCCGGAGGTAGTAGCACTGCACTCTCCTGCTTGTTGACTCTGTCGCCAAGAGTACGCCCTGGAAAAACGCGTACTGGAACCAGAGCTCTGGTGGAGGGTCGTCTCGTGAAGTGCCAAGATTTCGAGTAAACAACGCAGGCTTTGAGTTGAGATACGAGGGATAGTACGGAGTACATAGGACTAACTAACGGCTCGAGTCTCAGTTTAATGACTCGATCACCGTCGTCTTTGGATTGAAACCACGGCAATCGGCAACTGCCTTGTAACCTAGCATTGCCAAGTCGGTATCAAGACTCTGTGCGAGCAAAGTATGCAAGATGAAAGTCTGGAACGCCTTAAAGCTCCTTTGCATCCTGGATTCCTGGGTTCCCGGTGGTTGGGTTCTCCTGAGACAGCGCGTGCTCCTTTGATCTGTGAGCTGAGGACTGCATTGGTTGATCTGCACCTCAACGTCAAGGAAATGTCAGAAGGTGCTTGACTTGAGCGGTGATTTGCGGATGATATCTCGATCTACTTTTTAGCGTCGACAACTTCTGGATTAGATCAAGCCTCAGCCCCTTCTAGGCTTAGTGCAAAATCAGTGGAACCGACCCCCTGGGCGGCCCTGGGCCCCTGGTCGGTGATCATCATTTTCAGGCAATCAGTGACTGGTTTGGAAAGAAAGGAAGGGGAGTTCCGTCGGGCATTCTCATAACCTTTTTCCAGTATGAGACATTGGCTTGGCAAGGAGAAGAAATGAGGCTAACCTTGCTCAAAATCTCGAACAAGGGAGGACCCCAGCCCAGGCTGTTTTCTTGCTGATCTTTCCAGGGTTGGTACAGGTTGGGTTCCGCCTTGCACCAAGGAGTTGGTGGCTGAAGGAGCTATGTAGCATGAAAGTCAGCCAGCTCAAATTAATTTGCTGGACAGCTCGTTGAGTCTGATCTGACTACGGAGTACTGCGAACCTGGTTGACGGGACCGCAGATGGTGGACAAATCTCCGCCAGGATCGACCATGATCAGCCAGAGTATGGGAAAAGAAAAAAAGAAAAAGACCAAGACGGAATTCGAGTGATGACGCGGGATTGTTTGATCATAATCATGGCTTGGCTCTACTCCATCCATATGAGAGGGCCTGGATTCGACCTGTTGAGTCCGTCTAGACTCTAGGTAGGCTCTAAACGTAGCCGGTAATGCGATATGTGTGCACTCATATGGTATGTCTGAGAGCAGGGGTAACAGGACGCCCAAAGCTTCCGCCATTCGAGAGCAATCTGGGCTTGGTTCTTCTGCAGGATGGAGTCCCCTGCTCATTGGCTGAGAGTCAGATCCACTTTCAAGGAAAATTGTTCCTCTGAGCACGCATCGTGGACCCAACGCCAGAGGAAGAACGGTGCGTAATGAAAATGCGAGGAGAATAGCCTTCAAATGGGAGAGGCTCCTGACCGGATGAGAAAGATGGAAATTGAGCTGGACGGGCCTGGCGAGTTCTAAGGGCGCCAGTCTCAGTCAAAGTTTGATGATCGTGGGGTGTGGTGACGAGTAGTGCGGGATGGGGAAGACGAGGAGCCTGGAAGAGGGGATCAGAAAGATGAAGCTGGATTTTGGTTCCGCTGAATCTGGAAAGGACGAAAATCGCGCCTCTGAGGACCATCGAATTATCGGCTTCCCTCAACACTTTGATTATCGAGGTATTCCATTTCTTCCCAGAAGCTGAAACTGGTACTTTTTCTTCTTTGCTTCCCGCCAAAGCTGGTCCTTTCTCTGCAAAGAGATACGAGCTCCAGATCTGATGCAGGAGCGGCCTTGTTTTCCACACAGGCCCTCGCGATCTGCACGCCAAAGGAGATCCTCTGATCCAGTAACCATAGCCCTGGGAGCGCGCCGGCTTTCTAGATCTCCCAATGATCAATTGATCCTTTGCCGATCCGGCAAAAAATTATGTCTATTCTTGGTCTGATGCGGCTTCTCGAATGGGTATGGATTCTTCCTTTCAAACTCCCTCGGACCTGGTCACTGACGGGGAGACGCTTGGAAAAAAGAAGTTAACGACAGACTATTGCATGTCTTTCTCCGCCCCCGAAAGCTTTACCCACCCGGCTGGCCCACTGAAGATATATCATTTATAGTTCCCGGGGGTCTCGACTTTTCCTCCGAATGGGCGTCGCCGTCTGCGATTTTGGATCCTCATTCCAGCGCGTCTTTCTGTCTTCCTCATAACTCAAACTGAACTTTCATATACGACACTCGCAATCTGGCAAGTCAAGTCGCTCTGACGAATATTTACTCCGGTGATTTTCAAATCATAATTCGCTTTCGTCGCTCATTGCTCCACCCACTCACTCAATGGCCCGAGAATAGTCGGGTACTTGCATCATCGAATTCCTATCCGAGAGGAAGAACCTCTTCATGCAGCAAGCCCTGCTCCTGGACGTACAGCTGCTGGGATATCTGCTGTTGAACGCTGCTCTGGCAACTGAATGTACCCGTTTAATCCTTGACAGGATCGTCTTCTTTCTCTGGTCACCTTTGAAAGCTCGTCCTATATAAACCTACTATGGGGCCCCAGTCCAACTTCCTCATCATTCAGAACATCAACACCAACTTTTCTTGTTCGCTCAGCTCCTTGTATAATTTCCACTTTTCACGATATCTCGTCTGAGAACCTCTGTCTTTACCCACCGTCTTGTTAGGAAAGAGATTCCACAAAGGCTCAACTTTGTCCACACTGTTTCACATCCCCTTGCTCCCTGATCTTCGATTCTGGCCGGTTGCTGTTCCTCAGGATCCTCGAACGAAGTTGCCAATCCCTACATACAATATCTTAGTCCGGATTCCTGCCGGACACGAAGCTTCTCCAAACTTTATATTTGAAAGAGGTACTTGGGCACCTGAATCTGAGCAGCATTGGCCGGAATCTGTGGTGCTAATTGCTTTGGGTCTCTTGCTTAAGACAGCAATCACAATGGCCAATCAGTGCTCAGGTCATGTTTTCGCCATCGTGCAGGCCACAAATGGAAACATCCTTACCTGGCGGTGCTCTGACTGCAACTCCGGGCCATTTGTTGCTATCTGGCGCTGCAAGATCTGTGGTCATTGCCGTTGCAATGCCTGCCACACCGCTAAAGCATAAGTAACAGTTACATCTCTCGCTACCACCCGGTTTATTGTGCCTTACGATTTGTATGAATCTCTCTTGTCCTATTTCTACTTTCCGTCTGCGCTCTTTTTGCTCCTTTGTGCGAGCTTTGAGCTATAAGCTAACTTTCAGTTGTAGAACAGGGCGGCTTCCTTCTGTTCTGGAAGGCCAGTTCAACTGCCGCAGTCTATTTGTTTCATATCCCACGTTCTCAGCCAGCCGCGAGCCTGTTTTCCTTCATCCAGAACCTACGAAAAAATTTCCTTGAATCTCTCGTCAAAGATTCTGGCGTTCCGACAAATCAGCTCCTACGAGAACCCTCGATCATCGACGATTGCTCAATCGGATTGCTTATTGCACCCGTTTGCGACCCAGACGTCTGTTGGTTGACCATCAGTCCCTGGCCAATATGACGACGGCGTTCGGAGCCGATACTTTGGCTAAGAAAGCACCAAATCTGCAAACGCAACCACAGAAGCAAAATCAAGGAGAGGGGAAATGGACCCAACTTTCCTTGATTTATTTTTTACGGCCTTCCAATTTTTCTTTTCTTCTTGCTCTTCTTGGACCGCAGATTATTATCTTTTAATGGTGCACTAACGGCCGACTATGCTACATGCATGAGAATTTGCCTTCCTGTTGACAACAAAGCATTGCCATGGTGTTGAAGGATTGGGAACAAAAGCAAACCTTATTTTATCGTATGATTTATCTCTGATATTTATCGTCCGGCAACCTTGTCTTTTGTTTGTTTCTCTACTGCCTCTCTTTTCCCTGATTGGCGGATCAACTGTGCTCTTTATTGCATCGCATTGTGAAGCGTGGATTGTGATACCTATCCTTAGATTGATTACGATCCTTCTTTCGTCTTCGATAGAAACAGAATTCAACCTCGACGCAACGCTGAGATCAACCATTTCATACCTTTTCTCTATCTAAACCATGAGTAAAGATCACTACTAAACGAACTCAAAACATTACAGGCAGTGCACAATCACAAGGCAATGTTTCTTCAGTGGTTGAGGCCAGCCGGAAGGCAATGAGCCCTCGGACTCTCCCGTGAGTCCGTGTCTGTGATATGCTTGCTCTACCAAGTATGGTATGACTGGGCACCTGACCACCAGGTATAATACCAGGTATAGTTACACGATGAAGAGGCCCAAAAAAGTTTTTTTTTTTTCTGCGTCGGCATCGTCGTCACTCATGACAATGGCATTAATTTCCTCATTCTTTTGTTCTCATGAATTGACATCCAGTGCTGCATCACATCGCACGGCGTCGCGTCGCGTCGCGTCGCATCGTATTTGTATCCAGCATTATCCTGGCTCTGGTGAACGTGAGCGGAGTGAAGACGTCGCATGTGGCTAGAGCTAGCTAGATAGCTGTCTAGCGAGGGTATCCTTGAATCAATCTATGAGCTAGGATGTACGGTAGCTAATAGTGTCCTTGACCTGGGATTGCTTGGAACTAAAAATGGGTTGTAAGTATGTATGTGTGCAGGCCCTAGCTCGGAATATGATTGAGAGAAGCGGAAAAAGAAAAGGGAAAAGAGAGAGACAACTTGAGAGGCGGAACCTTGGAGGAGAGGTGATTCAGGCGAGAGAACCTTAAAGAAGGAAAGAAGGAAAGAAGGTAGCACGATGCAGAGCGCTGTGGTACGCACGACGCATGTCTTCTTGGGTGACCAATGCATGCGTGGGAGTTCTGGGCGGTAAAATGGGTGGAAGGGGACGTTCCTTGATCCCTGTCTTTGCTTTTGGTCTCATTTCTGTGGGAGTTTGTGTTGGCTTAGGTTTTCGTTTAGGTTTGGGAAAGGAGTTGGGGGCGTTGCGATTGGGGTTGGAAGTGGGGGACTTTTGAGGTCTACTGTAGGGTTATGGGTTGGAGGGTGGATAGTAGCCAGGGTGGCTAAATGAGATATGTGATAGTGGCTTAGCGATTTGGTATCAGATTCTTCACAGAAAAGATGCGGATCCGAGATAAAGCACATGTACAGATTGGCGCGCCGAAGAACAAGGGTATAAGTCCAAGAGAGGGCTAGATGCCTCCAGAGTCTGAAGTTATGGCAAATCCAACTCGAGCGGAAAAATTATCCGGGCGGTTTCGTGATATTACATGGATTATTATGTGTAGATGCTCTGGATATGACGTATCATTAGGAATCGAAGGAATGCATACGTGACGAGGAGAGAAAACTCACTTCAGTATACTGGTTCACCTGCAAACCGGGCTCGGCCATCTCTGCATCCTTCAGGAAGTCTAGAGGCATCCAGACCAAATGGCCCTTGATCTTATCGAGCTTCTCGCGGACCTCCTTGACAGGCACGAATGGGTCGTACAGGTGGCCAAGCTTGTAGCCGTCCTTGGCCCGGTATCTATCATAATCTTCAAAAGTTCGCACATTGTCGTCTGGATCGGTACGGAAGAGTTGCCGGTAGATGTCAGTGTTGACAGTAGCCTGCTCTGTCCAGGTGTTCCAGAGATCATCATTCATGGGGTCTGCGACGAAGTCGTTCTCGGGGCCCTCTAGAATTTCATTCATGCAGGCATTTGGTGGCTGCGCATTTGGATGCTTCGAGGCATCATAGTCTTGCGCTGGGAGCAGGCCAAGGTGCTCGCGCCATAACTGCCGCCGAAGGGTTGCGGCAAGGCGAGCTGCCCTGTAAGGCTTTCCGTCCATCGTGCTCTCGATCGTGTCTTGATCTTCGACGACAATGGCTAGCTCACTATCGTGATAACCGAGTTGGGACTGGGAAAGTCAGTTTGCGTACCCTACAAGAAGCGGTAAGAACCCTTACTCGATCGTTGATATTTGCACTGCCGCAGATCGCCACCCTATCGTCAACGATGCAAACCTTGCCATGCACATACAGCTCCTCCTGGACGAAGTTCTCTTTCTCCGCCTCGGGATCACCTTCCCAGACTTCATCAGATAGCTTGCCCGCGTTGAGCATCGTGACATGGGCAAGGGAATCTTTGTTATTGGCAGTGTGGCTGGATTCGTGAGCTTTGTTTCGCTCCTCATATTTCTGCAACCTGGAGATGCGTTCTTCTTTCTCCTTCTGCGAGTCCTCGTAGCTAACCTCGTTCGTATCGCCTTCCTTACCGATGGATGGGTGAACACTCTCGCTTGCAAGGGTTTCTGCAACGCCACGTTGAATGTCATGGAAGGTCACCCCTGCTTCTTTCTCCAGCTCTTCTAGAGCCGGCGTTTTGTTGATTCGATCGTACGCCCGCAGATTGAAAACGAATATGTGATCTGCGATGTCAACCTCTCCGTACGGGAAAAGCAGGGCGTTCTACTCACTTGTCGGATCAACCCCCTGAGCCGCGATTTGGCCAAAAATGGAGTGCTCTCCTCGATTGATTGACTTGTACTGATAGTCCATTATAGCCCGTGTCCCTGTGGCTTCCTTCTGTCGGAGGTCTCCGGCGAATCCGGGAATAGCGGGTATCACAATTATTACTCGAAACTTTCTTCCCTCTTTGCCGGCTCTGACGCAAGCCTCAACGATAGAGCGTCCTATTGTGTTGAGGATCGGACCTTGCTGATCGCCAGTGGCAGTAACTGAGGGCATATTAGCAGAGTGACACTAACACGTAGGACAAATCACGCAAAGCTTACTGAAGAACTGGTTCTCAATATAAACGAAATGCTCCGCTTTACTGATGACCTCCTTGTAAGCATTCTGAATGCTGTGTTCGACGAGAATCCCACTGCTCCAATCAGCACTGCTACGCACAATTTGTGCTTGACAAGATCCTTGCTGGCCTCGAGGCTTGGTGCTCAAGGGCGAAAAGGGATGCTGCACGTAGTCACCGACTGGATACTTTGGGCGCTGAACCCCGACGAGATCCTCATTTTCCCCAGTACGACCTTCCAGCAGAAGCCAATCAACGCCCTCGTCCCGCTTATACTTGTCCCGCTTGATAAAGTTCCACCGGAGGACAAAGTGTTCGGCAATGTCATAGACACAGTCGCCAACCAAACCCATGGCAACATCATGCCATGGCATCCGGCCGTAGTCGGTCTTGCTGAGTTCATTTTTCTGCCATTCGCCGACGCTCTGGAAGTCCATGATGCGATTATTATTGAAGTCCTGTCCTGGGAATATCTCCATTCTAAGGTTTGATGGATGGACGTCAGCTAGTGGATGTTGATTTGCATCCCACCTGCCGAAACAAAGGTCAATGCCTCCAATGAACGCGAGTTCATAGTCGATCACAATAAACTTTTCGTGATGTGCCTGTGACAGTAAGCAACACATTCTGACTAGGGGTTCAGACTGTGCAAACAGGGCTTACCCAATACAATGTCATATCCGCTGCATTCTCGAATACGTTATGATCTGGATGACGAAGGATGCTAATGTTGCCGTGTCCAGGGCTTCCCTCCGGACAGAGAGCCCGCAGAGCATGCTTTGTGTGGGCTGAGTTACATGTCAGTGCTTGGTTCACCTGTAATCAGTTAGCAGCTAGAGTAATGGATGTTTTTTTGCTTGAGGTCACAGACCTCCTTGTATACAATCACGTAGATTTTTACGCCGGCTTCAGCACGGCGCTTGAGAATATGGTCTAATCTCCACTCCTGTGTTTTGAAGGGCGGTCTTCGTAAAAACAGCTCTGGCGAAAGCCACCAATCTTCAATGTAGATTACCTCCTTCGCTTGCTCCAGGGCGACAGAAGCAGCCCAAAGGTAGTCGAGAGCATCGACATACCATTTTACCCTGTTTCCTGCACGAGCTGGCGCAAAGGACTTGAACCGATTTATTTCGCAGATCGCAGACCTCTTCTTGTCGGTTTGTTGCTCATGTTCCTCATCATGACGGTGGTTTGGGTTCACAATGTTAAAGAACTTGCCAACTCTGTGTTTTAAGTGGTGCGCCTTCTCGCTGATACGAGTATCTGCGCGATACCATCGGTCAGCACTTTGTAGAAAGGCATGGAGGGGGTGTTGACCTCTCAAGTGATCCTCCAAGTGGTCGATCTTCTCCTTGAGATGGGACATGGTGACACTGACAACAGGGCTGTGCTGCGGATCCAGCCAAGCAGTTTGAGTGAAGGCGGATGAAATGGACGGGCGATCGAGAGTAAATAATCGTGTTCAACAAGAGGGGAAATGAGGAGGACAATTGCATGACATCATCAACCTTCCGTCCAGAAGAAGAGCATCTGAGCTTCTCGACTGGGAACTTCCAGACTGTCACCTCGATCGAACCATCAACGTCACTCCGTGCCTTGCCGCGTGTCGATATTCCAACTGGATAATTCTCCGTCTCCTTTAGTCTACATCTTGGCGTCTTTACCTGGACAGGAGAGATCCGTCCGTAGGGCTGGTGTTGATGCCAAAACCGATTGGTGAGAGACTCCAATTCCCGGTGCCTGGGAAACCTCCACACTTCCCCACCTTATTTCAAGGAAAACCGCGGTTGATCATCACAGTGATCAGTATCTGCCATCCAGATTTTCCCGTCAAACGATAATCACGCATTTCTCTCAGCCGATTTCCTGACCCTCGTCGAGATCGAGTCCACCGACGCGGCCCCTTTCTTAATCGTTGGTGACACCATGAGCACGCGTCATGACCTCTACAAAGATGGCGTCGATTTCACCACGCTCGCACTGCAGTCGCCGGACTTTGCCAAATAGTACGGTGTCCCTCCCCTGTTTGAGATGTCATCGCCAAATCCGTGACTAAAATTAGCATAGCTTGAAGCCGAACAACCAATTGGATTTCACAGATCCCAACGCCGTGAGGTAAGTGACGACCTTGGATCATCGATATGGCTCGGCTTATTGACTGATTCTTGGCATCTAGACAATTGACCGTCAGTCTTCTTCAACGAGACTTCGATTTGAAGGTCGACATCCCGGAAGCGCGATTATGCCCTCCAGTAAGTTCTGAGCTTTGGTTAGCAATGGCGGCTAAATATCCGCAATAGGTGCCTAATAGGTAAATTAAAATTTGAGGACTCGAAAAATTACTCCTGCTTACAGCAATAGGTTAAACTATATTCTATGGTTGCAAGATCTTATAGACACCACCGGAGACGAATATCGAGATGAATACAACTCTGACAGAAAAGTCACAGGCCTTGACATGTTCGATTCCCAAGGGCTTTCTCTAGCAAGTGGCTGGCTGACCTTACTAGCGGGACAGGATGTTGCAGCATATACCCTTTGCTAGGAACTTCAATGCGACCCAATTGGAGCTTTCTAGCGACTGGTAAGACGCCATTACAGCGATTGCGCTATAGCGTATTTGACTAACAGTATGCAGATATCGACCATGAAAACGTCCGGACAGCTACACACACGGTCAAGTCAAATGACCTCGAGTCGCGCATCCATGTGGTGAAGACTATCCCGAGCGACAATCTGATTTCCATCAACCTGATACCCGGAGCTGAACGGTAAGACTGTCATTTGATTCGTGCACGTTGGAAATTGACACCGCAAGGCTCGACTTTACAATGTGCAATCCTCCATTCTACTCTTCACGAGAGGAGATGGTAATGTCTGCCGAAACAAAAGAACGACCTCCATTCTCGGTAAGATCGAAAGGCCTTGTGTATGCCTCAAACTTACCATATTTTCAGGCATGCACAGGCGCCGAAGTCGAGATGGTAACCCCAGGTGGGGAGGTATCCTTCGTCTCCCGCATGATAGACGAGAGTCTTCAACTACGCAAGAGAGTGCAATGGTACACATCAATGCTCGGAAAACTGAGTAGTGTCTCCGTGCTCATCGAGAGACTGGCCAAACTCGGAAACAATAACTACGCCGTGACCGAATTCGTCCAGGGCAACAAGACGCGAAGGTGGGCGATAGCCTGGTCATGGGATGACCTTCGCCCAACTGTGGTATGCACCGTCCGTTTCTCTCTCTTACTGCTTATCATTCTCTGACTACATATCAGGCTGTGGCACGCGGCATACCCAACTTCCCGAGACAACTTCTCCCTTTCCCATCGGAATACACATTCGATCTGCCCAATAGCTCCATAGATAGCATTGGTACCAGCGTTGATACACATCTATCAGCACTTCATATCAACTGGACCTGGAAGAGGAACCTCGGTATGGGTGTAGGCTTCGCGCCCGAAAACGTCTGGTCTCGCCAATACAGGAGGAAAGCAAAACTGTCCGGTACTCATGAGAAACCCGAGATTGAAGAGCGCAAAGCAGCTCTGGGGTTCAAGATGCAGTTGAAGATGGAACCCGTTGAAGACAAGATTGTGCGTGTTGTAGTGCGGTGGCTCAAGGGGACTGATTCAGTTTTGTTTGAGAGTTTCTGTGGGATGATCAAACGGAAGCTTGAGGGGCGTTGACCACCTATAGAGAATTCTAGGACTGCAGAATGATGGATTGAAGCGTAGCATGCTGTCGAAATTTCCAGGGACGTTGCATAACATGGATATCAAAGCTTTTTCTATTCCAAAGACATGAAACCAAAACACAAAGGAACAAAACAAGAGGCAACCAGGTAATGGCTCATGTGCAAAACTTGGGTTGAGGGTCTATTTCCCACCGACCTCACTTTGCAAACTCTTTAATCTCTCCCACCCCTCTGTATCCTCCCAAAACTCCTTGCCCTTCCCCATGATTCCCCTCACAGCACTCCTAGCCTTGAATCTCCAATCCTTCGCCACGAGCTCTGTCTCCCCGCCTTCTCCAGCCCCAGCCACAGCATCCTCCCGATCCATAGGCCCATACTTCGCATACCCATTCCGCACCAACCTCTCCGTCGCGCTAACAATATCCATCCACCTCTTCTCGTCACCCATTTGGAAAGCACCTTGCGTCGACGACGCAACCGTCGCGCGCCACGCCTTCTCATGCGCCTCGAGGGCTTTGGAGGGCCGCTCGCGGAAGCGTTCGACTGTAGCGATGAGGAGCCACAGCGGAGCGGAGTGCGTGATAAGCGGAATGATGGACGTCTCGATGAGAGAGAGGATAGAGCCGGGGATTGTACCGCTGCGGACGACGCGCTCGGGTTTCGCACCCTCGCTCTCCGGCGCGACCTCGATGAGGAGGTCGTTGTAGTCGTAAGCGGTGACGAGGTGGTCGACAAGCATCCCCAGGATAGGCAGATCGATAGCCTTCTCGCCCTTTTTGGGGCCTAGGAGTTCAATGACTTTTCGCTGGGCGGTGATGACGTCGCGGAAGGGGGTGTAGGGGGGTGGGATTGAGGCGGCGACGGTGAGGAGGTTGTCCCAGATGCGGGAGTCGGTGTTTTTCAGCTGCGCGGCGCGGTGCAGGGCGGCGATGGCTTCGCGTTTGCGCTTGTGTGGGTCTTCGGGTGCCTTTTGCGTTTGCTCTTCATCGACTTCTTCGTCTGCTGCTGGGGTGGGTGGTGCTTGCTGTTCTTGTGTATCGTCGGACTCTGAGGGTTCGGAGGTGCGAAGCATGGCTGCGGCGAGGTTACTCCATGCTTCGGCGTCGGTGTCTTCGAGTTGCACGGTTCGAGTGAAAGACTCGATTGCTTCGTCCCAGCGTTGAAGTTCGAGCTGAACGCAGCCGAGGGCGAACCAGGCACCGTGGTTCAGGCGATTGATGTGGAGACTCTTTTGGTAAGCTTCTGCTGCCTTCTTCAAAGCCGGGGGCTTGAGGGTGAGGAAGTGGCGGGCTAGCGAGCGTTGGGCACGGGCATATCGCCGGTTCGAAACTTCCCAGGCACGGTCATAAAGGTTGGGGTTAGATTCCAGATCACCCAAGATACAGAATAGACGGGGAGCATCGGCCGGAAGTGGCGATAGCTCGGGACCCTCGAACTTCTCATCTTCAGCATCTGGGTCTTCTCCGGTTGGCTGGTAGAGTTGCCTGCGGACGACGACCTTCGCCTTGTCTTCTTTCTCCGTAGCAGCGTAGCAAAGTGCGACTTCCGCCCACAGTTGCAGACGCTCGTAGATATCAAGAGCAGTCCGTAGACCACCGAGGTTGACCCATCGATTGGCTAGCTCGGATTCGAGGTCCCAGCGTGTAGAGAAGCTCAACAGCCAGATATACTTGAGTCTGTCTGCAGCTGATGCAGACTCCTCTTTCTCAGGTCTCGGAAGAAAGGTGGATGGCTCCTGCGAGGTTTCACTGACTTGTGTGTCTTGTGTAGCAGTGTCTGCAAGGACTTGGTCAACCAGGGCTTGCATTTGAAGAACAGACCTCTCCACAGTTCTAGATCGATAGCCCTCAATCCGACTTCGCAAAAGCAGACCCTGAGTGTAGATCTGCCAGTTGGAGCTACCACCGTCGAGGACACGGGTAGCATAGGGAGCAGTCTCCTCTCGAGTAAGTCCGTTCTCCGGCGTTGTGTTGGTTATTGCTGCCGCCAAGGACAGGAGGATAGCGGAGTCAACGGGGTCGAGCATTGGCTGATCTCCTGGATCGAGAGAAGCCAATGCTGGCGAGAGAGCAGACTCATCCTGTACCGTTACGGCCTTGCCTTGCGACTGCTCTTCATCCGGTTTAGTGAAAGAGATAGCCTCCAACAGAGTGTCGTCATTGAGATCGAGCTTCTTCGGCGCAACTGCATCTCCATTGGCCTTGACGGCGTTCTCGGACTCATTTGCCTTGCTTGTATCCTCTGCGCTCTTAGCCAGGATAACAAGTTGACTGATGTCACGGTCCTGGAATTTTGTCCGCTTTCCTAGTCTACCGGTAAGGGCAAACTCAAACTTCCGCTCAGCGGCAGCCCGCTCAAGATCAGCTCTGGCCTTCGCATCGAAGCCGTGATGAACATGGACCGTAGCTCGTTCTAGTAAGAACTTTCCCTTCTCCGAACCGGGGGTCTTGTCAGTTAACACACTCTTGCTGATCTCTTCCAAATCGCTGTAGATGACTTCCTGAAGCGTGCTGGTGACCTCAGAGAGCATCTTCTGGTGGAGCAAGTTGACGCGCATCCTCGTGGTTCTCGCTACCAACGGGCCATTGAAAACCAGAACATCCGCATCAACGAGAATAGCCTTTGCAACAGCAAAGAGCTCCACATTTGGCGTGAGCTTATACGCCGCCTCACCATCCACGGAGAGATCCCGAATGACTTTATCACGAAGCGCACGAAGAGTGCTGCTCGAGCGTAATGCTGCAGGCACAATGACCTCGGCGGGGCTGAACTCAAGTGGAGGGCCCGTGACATTGGACTGTAAGAAGGCGAAAAGAGAAGCAAGACCAATGTAGAGCAGTTGTGACTTTTGCTGTTCAGGACTCAACCCATCGACAGGCGCAGAGGCCACCGCTTGTGTTTTCTCCGCCACGAACTGAGTGTACGAGATCTCTCCTCGGGATACACGGTCGAGCGATCCCTCATCTGCCGTATTGTTCCCAAAGATTTCCTTTGCCAGCGGGAGGCCAAGAAGATCTTTTACCCCGCCATCTTCCAGCTGGACCGGGTCATACTGGCCATTTAGCGACGTCTCGTCGAACAGTGTGCTCAAGGATGTGGGGTAGTTCGGCGTCAAGGACTCGGCCATGTCGAAGTATGGGGACGAATGGCTGCAGACAGCTCTTTAAACCCGAAAAGAAAGGCGCTGGCAGGAGGTCTGGCTACAGCGGAAGCGACGGAATGACTGTGAAGCAATGCGGAAGATTAGAATTAGTCTTGTGCGCTTGACCAACACAACAATCGGAAATCACCCAACCATACCTGGAAAAAAGAGGATGTAAACAGTGACACTAATACCGGAAGTCCCAGCGGTTTGAGAAAGACTAACAGGAGACAAGCAGAAAGAGTGACTTGATGAGTGAGGGGAATTGATCTGATTAACCCCGCTGTCTTTTTTCCCGCTCCAACTTTTTTCGTCGCCTTATCGATAAGGCTACCGTTCAACCATACGTACGTCCAGATAAGTAGACCTAGTGACCTCTGGACCATTGATATGGCAGTTGAGGGTCTTTTGTAGGTCATTCATTATGCAAATAATTTGATTAAAGTATTCTCAAAGAAGGATTTAATTAACTTTGCCTGTTCTGTGAAGATACTATACCACCATGTTCCATGCGCATCAAAGGCACAAACAACTGGGAAGGTTCTATTGTCTGTTACAAACCCTAATGTCTTAAAACAATCTTGACAACTTTGAGCTGTCCACATAGCCAGGCCACTACGGAGTCTTCAAGTAGAAATTCGATGGTCCCAATATAAGAGGCATCGTCACATCTGAAGTGAGCAATATCTTGCAAATTCAGTATGGCCCATATTCCCCCAAGACAGGTTTGATCAATCATACAAAAGACTAGCCTTGAGTTACGCGAGCATGTTCACGCAAAATCTCATTAAGCCCTTCGCGCTGAACGCACTGCTCAAAGTGAAAACTGCGCGCCAGTGCCTCCAGCTGCGCTTCATCCAACCCCCTAAACAGCTCCGCAAATTCATCTGAAAACGAAGCCGCCAAGAACGTCTGATAAACTGTCCTAAGCAAATGCCGCTCCGTGTTCCACGACGTCGGATACGTATCCTTCGCCGCGGGACTGACCCGGTCAATCCACTCAACAAGCGGCTTGAAGGCTGCCTCTGCCTCCTCCGACGGATCTCTGCCCCAAGCATCCAGCATGAGTGCTTTCTTCTTCTCGAGGAAGGGAGCAATGGTTTTGTTCCAGGGGCTCTGGGGACTCGTGTGGATCATGCCTTGCAATCCGACATCCTTGTACAGCCAGATGGACCAGTGGATCTTGTACTTGTCGTATATGCACAGCTGCTCGCCGAGGAGGTTGTAGCGCTCTTGGTTAATGGTCTGGGCGTCGGCGGTGGTGGTGGGGTTTGCGTAGACGGGGCCGAATTCACCATTCCAGATCGCGGTGCCGTTTTCATTCATAAACGCAGCTTTGCGGAGGTATTGCCGTTCGAGGTATTCTTTTTGCTCGGGCGTGCCCTTGTAGCGTGGGCCTGTGGGGAAACCCATGGACTAGATCTTATCAGCGCGAGGAACTGCAACCCTTACTCGGTAACCAGAGCCATACCGCATAGTCATGCATAGCATAAACGCAGTTCGGAAGAACCTTATCGAACCCCTTCCACTCCATCGCAAACGTATTCCCATCCAGCCAGAGGATATGGTCAGGATCAACTGTTCTGATCGCCTTCTCAACACGGTCATAGAAAGCTGGAAGTCTGACGTGCTCAGGATCGCACGGCTCGTTCAGAGGGTTGTACCCGGCAACCCATGGATTGCTCTTATACCGCGAAGCAATCTGCTCCCACAGCCACACAGTCCGGTCCTGATGATCCTTGTAATCCCAAAACGCAGCGTAGTTTGTCCGATTATCTGAGTGCCAGTCGGGATTCTGGCCGCCTGGTGTGGTGTGCATGTCAAGGATTGTGTAGATGTTTTGCTGTGCACACTGCGAATCCACCAAGAGAAGTCCCTCTGTCAATACTGTCCATGACGAAAGCTAGAGAAGGGAAGGCATCACTAGCTTACTCACCAGCTCAACAACCCGATCCAAATGCTTGAAGCCCTCCTTTTTCAGCACGCGCGGATTCATGTCATCTTCAAAATGCCTGAAGTTGAAGGGAATCCGGATACAGTTGAGTCCAAGCCCGGCAAAGAACTTGGCGTCGGCTTCGGTGAAAAAGTATTCCAGCCACTTGTCGAAGAAGAATTCGTACTTTTCGCGGCCGAGGACTTTGAGCATGGAGGCGCGGTGCTGGGATTCGTGGGCTGGATAGCCGGTGATGAAGTTTTCCATGCTGTTTGCAGTTACAGATGTTAGCTTGGGCGAGCTGTCATAACAGGGGGTTGCCTGTGGCTCTGGTCGGTTTAGGGTCTGTATACGTACTTCATCCATCCGCCAATGGCTGCGCCGCGGAGGATCACTTCGTCGCCATTTTGGTCTACGACTTTGTTGCCGCTGACTTTGAGAATCCCGGTAGCCATCTTGGGTTTGATTGTATAACCTGTCGTCAAGGAGGAATAGGCGATGCGTCAAAGCTCCGTAAATTCAACTGGTCTCGCAGGACCAGAGCTTGGGGTAACTCCGTTTATTTATGAATACCAAAAGCCGCGACACGTCGGCAAATGGGTTAAGGGACTCCGCGCGAGGTCCTTGGCAACTGCGGTCTTAACCAGCATGGCTAAAACAAGGCGGGGTAATGAGTCGTGTCAGGATATTCTTTGCGGAGATACTTTCTTTTTCTGCTGACGATGTTCTCCAACATTGGGAGCACAAGACGGATAAAGTGCGCCTTTAGCCTGAATCCAGCAGCTCGGGGTTCTTCCCCGCTTGCGCTCAGCCGGAGTACACAGTACGTACCGGAGGCAAGATGTTGGAACCTCCAACTAGGTCCAGCGAGGTAAGCTATCCAGGGCGACAGGATGTGTCTGGAATTAGAATTCATTAAGTGCCGTCAGGGTATCTTGTAAATACCGACATAAGAATCAACATGAATGGAAGAAGAAAAAACCCCAGAAACGCCGTATGCCCATGAAAACGCTTCATCGCAGAATATAAGACATCGTAGATGGAGATGTAACAAAAACATAGCGTCCACCAATGCCTAAGAAGGCTGACGGTAGAGGTTGCTCGGGTCGCATGTACCTGCATATGTATTCTTGTATGTTTTAACCTTCATGCCCGGTCTCACCAGTCCTGACCGCGGTCTCGCATGAGAATTTCAATGGCTTCATCCTCCGGAACTGGGTTGTCATTCAGCTCCTTGACACACTGAGTTAACCCTTCTGCGGCTTCATCGACCTGCTCAGCCGACCATCCTGTACAAGCCATAACCATGCGTCGGTAGTTCTGGCCGAGAACTACGTTCTTAGATTTGAGAGACTCAACTTCGTCTAGAATCTCTCTATTGAATGCTCGATAGCAATCAATCCGTTGTTGCAAAATCTCTGGAGATGGCAAACTGCGGAGGTACGCAGCTTGTGCTTGAGAGAAACCAGATACCGGATCGAAGTTCTCTGGAAAGAGCGCCTCGAACTCAGCGACTTCAACTCCTGAATCCTTATCAGCATCACCAACTGAGGCCGTTTGAGACGCAGCGCCGTCCTCTCGTGTGTCTTTCAGGGTCGCAAGCAGGTCAGCCGAGGACTTCTCCAGATTCTTCAACCGTCGACCAGTTTCCGTCCGTTCAATAGATCTGCGCTTCAGCTCATCTAGTTGTTTCTGTTCGATTTGACGAGCTTTTGCCGACTCTCGAATCTTCGCGTGCCAATGATCAAATTTCTCTTGCTTCGTCGTCAAGTTGGAAGCGAGGTCCTTGTCGAAGGTGCCAAAGGCTTCCTGGATAATAGCCGTTACTTGCGCCATCGTTGCTGTACTGTGGTTAGCGAAGAATCTATGATTGGGGCGAACAATACGTACAGTCCATGACCTCCTTTCTCGTCTTCGCCAATTGATCGGCGAAGGTGTCGTTTCGACCACCGGCTTGCTGGGTACCGCCATCTACCATATCCACGCCAACACCATAGTCGGCCGGGCGTAGACCAGTATGGTTAGGAATATGTGGATCTGCACCGACTTCGAGTAGCTGTGGGACGAGGACGGAGCGAGCTCGGCCAGCCAAATTTAGAGCGGTATCGCCTTGGTCATCTCGGAGGTTGACGATTTCCGAGATAAAGCGGCCCAATGTGATTACTTCATTGGTAGGGGTTCCTGGTTGGTTCGCAGCACCGTTTGGCGCTTGCGAGACAGACGTACCGCCGTGACGGACTATAAACTCGAGCAACGCTTCCAGGTAGTGTTTAGCAGATACATGACCGCCATGTCCAGTGGCTGCCATCACTGCTATATGATGCAAAATCGTGCGCCCGCTATGATCAACCATGTCAATCGTCGGGGCCAAAACCTGCAACAATCGCGGAAAGCTCCTATAGTCAAGATTGTTCCGCGTGCCAACAGCCTTTTGCAGCGCTGATTCCCCTGCCCCGTTCAAACGGAATATGCTGACACCTTTTTGTATCAGCGCGTTGACAAGCGGCATACGGGCGAGCATTGCCGCCCAGTGCAAAGCATTGTTCCGGTACTCGTCTAGCGGGACTTCCAAGTCTGCACCTGAAAGTTGAATCAACGCCGGATGAGTGGAAAAGTCCCTCGTGGTTTTATCCAGAAATAGTGTCATGATTAACTTCATTTTCTGGAATCTTTCGGGGGTTGTCGCTGGCGGCAGAGGCTCGTTTCCATGGCTGATGACATCAACTACCGGGTTGATGGGCTCTAAGTCCTGGTAGAAGGAATCGTTTGGCTCGGTGGGGGTAGGCTCATTCATCGACATAGACGCAGATTCGTAGGGAGCACTGAATGGCTGCGAAGATCGAATGCGCTTGCGAGGCGGTTCCATCGATTCCTCGTGTTCAAAACTCATCGCATCTGGCTGTGCATACCGGCCATTGCTCGGAACGTTGCTCGCAAATCCGCTATCAGAAGCAACGCTGTACATACTCTGTTGGCTACCGAACGGGGGAGGTGCTTCTTGACTGCCTATCTGTTGCGACGACTTTCGTATGACACTTGATCGTCTGCTGTCGCCGCCCCTCGCAACCGGAGAATCGAACCGCGCTTTGCTCATAGCATTGACTGCGGTAGCAGCGGTGCGAGAAATGTTCTGAAAGAAGGTGCCCTGTTGAGGTTGCGACATGTTCCGGTTTTCCATGCCACTATAGAGTCGCTTCCTCTGCGCCGCCATTGCCTGCTCCTTTGTTGGTGTTTCCAAAGAGTCTTGACCCGGGGCGCCAGTGCCGTTGGGGTTCATATCATATTCCAAAAGGGGCCTCAGCAACTCTTCAACATGGTACTCGCGGCATAGTTCCACTCCTCTTTGGTAATTCACCCACGTTCCTTGATATTTTCCATAACCTCCCTGGACCTTTTCATGTTCACCTGCCGCGATTTCTTTTTCTAGGGTTTTAGTCCTTCGCGCTTTGACGACACCGGCAACCTTGAGGATCTGGGTTGCGTTTAACCATGAATCGGATCGGCGCTTCATCACAGCAACTCCATTGACTTCCATCTCATAAACGGAAACATTGGAGTAAACAGCCTACAAGTCAAGCCGCAAGCAGTATCAGTACAGTACGGCGAATGGAGCTAGCGGCGATATGGATAGACAAACCCGGTAGATCTGAGGCTTAAATTCTTCGTGATAAACCATTGTTCCATATCCGTTCATGTCCTCAAACCCGTTAAAGCTAGCCCTCGTGCCGTTTGGGAGACCGTTGGGGAGCCCATTAGGAAGGCTGTTTGAATAAGTAAACGACATGGCGGACTGCTGCGAGTTCTTTGGAGGGGGAGTAGCGCGAGGCGTCGAAGCGACGGACTGGGAGGCGTTGAAAGAGCCCAGTTGAGATTGCGAAAACGACATGCCATTAGCCGACCCGATGCTACCTTGAGAGTAGGACATAGAGAGGCTCGGGCGTGCGTGGTGATTGCTAGAAGCCATGCTGTTGAGCGCTCCCGACCCAGGAGTCTAACGCTCCTGCGTTACGGATTAGCGGACCTGACAATGTCGCCCGAAAATCACCAATGGCATGACACGGTGCAACAATGACGGTAAAATAAGATATAAACTAAGCCGGTAACACCTCGCAGAGAAAAAGAGATAGGTAAGAAAGGGCGAAGGACATGTGGGGAAATGCACCTGGTTGAGGATCAACCGACCAGCGCCGGAGGATCGATATTAATTTCCAAGTCGCGCGAGGCGAGGGCGGCGCGTGTGACTTGGGCGGATTTAGATCGCGACGGAGAAAGAAACCATCAAGACAGTCCAGTTTCGCGGTCTGCTAATGTTCAAAAGGTATAAAATCATGCGCAGGAATTCTGTCGGATACTTGAAGTCTAATTCATGCAGGAATCCATATGGAAAGAGAGAAGAAGCTGAAGAATCATAATTCTGCTGCAACACTGAAAGTCGCGTTACGGGACTAGCGCCGTTCATTTTCGCGTTTCCGGCAACTTTCCTTTTCGGGATCACCGCTTTGGCGGACTATTCTGCCGCCCCGGCAGACCAGCAGACGAGAATTTGATAGCGATGACATGGGGTAGCCTGTCAAACCTAACCGCTCATGAATCGACAGTTTCCGTTCCCCAAGTCGGAATGGCGAAGTATCCTTCGCAGCCTTCTCCGTGAATCATCCTACCTCCCCGACCCCATTGCCCGGGTCGTATGGCGCGACCAAATCCTCCAACGATTCCGCCGATACCATGAAGAACCGCGAACACGGATACGGACCGATTATATGCGTCTGATGCAACTGCACAAAAAAGCGCGGTATAACCTTTCCCTTCTCCAGCGCGCAAATGAAGGGTTCTCGCACCCACTCGAGAAAGTCTTACAATCCGCATACGGACGGCGTGGAAGGCGCAGGAGGGAATTGCTCGCCAATATGCTTGCCCTTGATACCCCGCAGGATTCTAACTGTCTCGAGGCCCTCGTAACGAACCCCCGCCAGTTTGAGGACGGTTGGATGCCGCCGGCGATCATCACCGCTCTCCTAGCCGCACAGAATGCTAATGCGGCGGCTCTACGACTAAGAAGCAAGCCTCATGTCAAGCACCTCAACCCGCCGATTCCAGAGACGAATGCATGGGGAAGAAAGGTGCCTCTAGTACGGCGGAGGAATATCCGGCGGGAATGGTATAGCAAGGTGCTTGGCTACCTCCTTCCACCTCTACCGGACACGGAACTACAAGTACTGGAAGGCTTAATATCGGGCGAAATCCCTTGGAACCCACCGAAGCGCAGATCGAAACGTCCGGGCAACACTGAACAGCCTAATTGCGTGATGATCCGAACGGTTTTGACGGCTGGACCGCCAAAGGGAGAAACGTTCAGGCCATATACTCATGGACGGCCGCACAACATCACACGGCGGTTCATGCAGAGACTCTGGAAGCGGATATCATGTATCGTCCCGAGGCCCTCTTCGGATGGTCCGGCTGGCAAACTTCGATTTACATGGGATGTTATGAAATCTCGACCGGCGCTTGCTCTACATGTAAAAGAGGGACGGTCACAGAAACTCTTTGGCGACGGTGGTGGTTGATATAAGAGTCCTACAAAGTATCCCCGAATGATTACAGGAAGCCGAAGCCCGGCGGCACAGACGCTATGAAATAATAATATTGTACATTATGAATAGCCTATATTGTCTATACATCATGATTAGAACCTGATTCTCTGGAAGAACAGATTACAAATTGCGGCGCGCTCTACGAAGTAAACAAATCAAGCTTCGAGAGGTCCTACTTTAACCTCGCCTCTCCTCTGAAGCTCTTGAATGTCACGGATCTTCTCATCATGTTTAGCACGGCGCTTCCGCTTGACCTCAAATCGCTTTTTAGAGCCAAACCGCAATTTGATGATAAGATCTGCGGCCTGGCCTCGCGTGAGATCACCATGTTTAATGGTGCCCTCGCGAATCTTGGCCGCATTCAAAAACTCGATTTGTGCCGACGAAGCTGGATTGTTCCGCCACCGCTGCCGGGCCGATATATACCGGTCAACAAAATGAGTCGAGGCGAACGTGTCCGCCGCACGAACAGCAGTCTCCAAGTCTTGTGTGGACGCAATCAGACGAGGCCGGGTGTACTGAGTCTTATCGTCCGTGGTTTTGAATGTCATCACATGATGGACGCTGTACGGGGAGGAGAAACTGTCGTCTGATGGGTCATGATGTTCGAGTGTCAACCACCCAGACCCGCCAGAGAGATGGTATTTATTCTCCCCAACTCGAACCCACGCATAAGGGCTCAGAGAGCGGATATGCTTTTCGGACTTCATATCATGGATAAGGTCGTAGATGGTGTCGTACTTTGTAAATGTGAGCTTGATGTCGGGTACGTCTATTTCGTCGTCTGCTGCAGGCACTCCTTGAACGGCAGAAGTTTGCTCCACAGCGGATTTCTTTTCCTTCAGCTTTTCTGTGCTGGCTTCTTTTAGAACTTCATCGGGATGAAGACCAAAAAGGGTGGGTGTTGAGATAACGCCGGTATCTAGAGTAGCAACCATGTCGATTATATGGCAGTCTTTCTTGCCGGGGTATAGGCGTAATCCTCGACCTATCATCTGAATGAGAAGATTGCGAGACCGAGTCGGCCGTGCAAGCAATACACAGTCAATATTGGGTATATCGGTACCCTCTGTAAACAAGCCGCAGTTGAGTAAAACCGGGTATTCCCGGTCTCTGAATTTGCGAAGTTGCTCATCTCTCGTTGTTCTGTGTGTATTGCCGGTGATGTACCGAGCATCGATACCGTGCTGACGGAAGGTCTCCGTCAACCCCTTCGTGTGTTCAATATCAACGCAGAAAACGAGTGTTGATTTACGCTCTGACGCATTGGCCAGCCATGCGCGGACGGTTATATCGTTAGATCTGATGGTATTGACGGCTCTGGATAGTGATCCAACGGCAAAGTCTCCAAACTTGTCCTTCCTGACGCCTTTCAGGTCCGCCTCGGATCTTACGGTCGTGAACATAGCATTGGCAAGCCAGTTCTCATTAATCATATCTGTGTAATCTTTATGGTAAACGATGTGGTCGATAGCGGCGCCAAGCTTAAGCCCATCAAACCTTGAAAATGTGGCCGACACGCCAACCAAGACTGGGGAATCGGGTGATTTTTCGCACAGTCCGAAATGTGCAAGGACCGTACGGTACGTTGGGGCGACAATATGATGCGCCTCGTCCACCAAAACCAGCTTGTAGTGCCGAGGATCAAACTTTTCGAGCCGATGCCCTGATGTGAGGCTCCTCACAGAAGCAATAATAATATCACCGTGCCCCGAGGCGACGCGGCTTCCCATTTCGATCTCAACCGTGTTGTCGGGATATGCGAGACGGCAATGCCGGTATGCTTGATCAGCCAGTTCTCGGCGATGAACGATGATTAGTGTCTTATCTCCCAGTGTCTTTTGCGGAGGTACCCTTCCTATAAGTTGAGTAAATATGACCTAGCGAACCGTCAAATTAGTCTATGCTTCATATATAGAAGCACGCCACTTTCCACTGACCGTTTTCCCGGAGCCCGTGGCTAGGGAGACCCCCAAGCGCTTATGGCCTTCGCCAATGTGGCTCAAAACTGATTGAATGCATTCTTCTTGATACTCGCGGAGCTGGATAGTTGGCGTTTCCAGAGGGGACGCGGTGGCTACTGCAGTATTCCATCGCCGCGGCTGTCGCCAAATTGAGGTTGGCTGTCTCCAGTGAAGCCTGGTGGGCTTCAGGTAAAGCGTTGACGCCGCCACCAGTCTCAGTTTTCGGCAAATGAGCTCCATCCAGAAGCCATTAGTGTTCAAAGTTAACTATCGTGGGGACCAATTCAAGAGCTGGTCGCAATTTGCGATGCGATAGTCATGCAAACACCGCAAACACCCGGTGGCCTTATCGCAGATAACCAACTTTTTTCCACCGAGACACTTCCCTCCTGCACACTTTGTCGTGGGGGTTTTCATTTACTACATTCTGGAATCCTTCTCAGTGACAGGTCATGGTTGCCTTATCTCATCGAAATCCATGTCTGTGGCGCCGTTCCATTTTCGACTCCCGATTGCTCGACCATGAGCAGCTCTGGCCTCTCTGACCCGGAGAAAGATGACGAATTGACGGATATTCCTTCGATAACACCAAGAGCGAACAGAGGCACCCGCCATAAAGCGCTACGAGCTCTACGGTCCTCGCTGTCGCACGAGTCGGTCGAAGCATACAAGAATTTATTTGAGCAGCCCAACGACCCGAACGCAGAGGAAAACACCTTCACCAAAACACAAGATGGAATCGTGATCTGGACAACGGAGGAGAAACAGCTTCTCTACCGAGCTCTTGATAGGAAAGGGATTAATGGGATCCGCCATATTGCCGCAGCGATTGGTTCCAAATCAGACCTCGAGGTTCAGGAGTATTTCCGGCTTCTGGAAAAGGGTTTGCGGCGACAGCATGTTCGCGATGCACGTCTTAGAACGGCAGTTCTAGGCGACATCCCTGCAGCGGCCGAACTCAGCGACCAATGTTGTGAGTCGCTTGACCAATATGCGGAATTACTCTGTCTGGCGGAGCAGGCGGAGGAGGATATCGAAGGGAAGTTGAGACATGGGCGACAGTGGATTGTCGATCACGAAATCGCAGAGCAGTTGGATTCCACCTTTGGCAATGTGGATGAAGGACTACCGGCCGTTGATGGCGAACCTGCGGCTTCTCCGCTGAGTCCATTGCACTCGCAGAATGAGGCTGAATCTGTCTCTGCCCTCAACGCTCCTGCTGAATTCTTCAACATGACCAAGTGGATCATCCTCTCAGAACGTCTGTTCATGAACTTTGGTGGTCCCAGACAGGAGGATAACTGGGTCAATGTTGCCTTCGAGAAAGAGACGCCATCAATCACTGCTGATGCTTTTACGGTATTCCACGACATTGCCCTAGCCCTGACTCGCCGTCTAGTTCATGCAACACATTTCTTTGCTACGTCAAGGGTGCAAAAATATGCGAACTCTACCCGTCCTCCAGCGAGGATAGTGACAGCCTCCGACGTCAGAAGGGCAGCTCGCACACTCAACGTGAAGACCGACAGCTCCGACTTCTGGATCGGATTAGCCCGGCGATGTAGCCTCGATGTGGTGGACGAACGCCATAAACGGGGCTGGAACCCTGTTAGTCTGGACCACGAAGAAGTGGAAATTTTACTATCACGCAGGGAGTTGCCCGAGGAGCCTTACAAAACAGGTATTTTCAGCCCAATGCCCATGAGACGCTCCGGCAGCGTCTCTAGTGGAATGTCTGTGGATTCGCTTGATCTGCTCGATCTCGAGGCCCCCGAGGACCCTGAAGACGAGCAAGCAGAAGAACACGCCGAAGCGGTCGACCGGCAGAACAGTGCTGTCGACGAACAGTTGTTCTGGGCAGTGCTCGGAAAGTCACCACCAAAAACTCTCGAGACCCGGCTCTCAGACAAAGACATTCCACGTAAACCAACAGCCAAACGCAAATCAATGGAAGAGCTCATCGGCTGGCGAGAGCGAACGTTCCCTCAAAACGACTGGGAAGTATATGGGCACGAGACTGAGAATATAAACCGCGAGTTCGACAGTCGGCGCAAAAGACCCCGATTAGCGACACTCTCTCCCTCTCCTTCTCCCTCTCGTTCCAGGAGCAAACACGAAGTACGTGCCTCCAAGTCCCGAGGCCTGCGCGCTTGCCCTTCCTTCCGTCGGCATCGTAAGTCCCAGGAGAAAATCCTCAACTCGGATTCGGAAGTCGACTCGGACCCGACATTCCAACCAGAGTCAGCAGAGCAGAAGTCGAAATCAAGGGTCACGAGAACAAGCTCACGCAAACGCGTACCCGTCTCATACGCTCCGCAGCAGTTATTTGACTTGGATGTGGAGATGGAAGTCGATGCTGGGTCGGAGCGTGATGATTCTCATCCTTTAGATAATCGACAGGAACGGAGCGATAGCGAGAGTGCAGATGATGTTGAGGATGATGTTGAGACTCGTGGCGAGTCACCTGCGAAATCAGCCGATCCTGGAGATGGACGCGATGCCGGAGACGAAGTCTGGGATGAATTCCGAGACGACTTCCTGGGCCCTGACGATAATCTTCCCAGTCATGCAGGAGGACTGCCATGCGGCAGCGATGAAGAATATCAAGACTAAGCCGAGTTTTGTCCTCCATCTCAGGTCTCTTGTGGTTCCTGGGTTGGCAGAAATTCTGGAATGATCCTTCTATTCCGCTTCTTCTTTGCATTTGGAGCGTTTTTTTCCATCACCTTTTAGCATTGGGTCGGGTGTGTTAGTCGAATTTTTGGTGCATTTACATGGAGATATACTTTTGTATCTACGAGAGCTACGGAATCTACAGTGTGCTTTGGTCAAGCATTCGAATTTATCATGAGACCTCATCTTAAAAGATATAGATTCATCGAGTTGGATTTATAGCATAAAAGCAGTAAGAGAAACTTGAAACTGAAACTCCAAAAGCGAAACACTGGTGCGCCCTTTTCCTAATACTCAATAATAAATCGAATCGAGTTCGACGACCGTACCGATGTAAATAAGTAACTTCATGTAAAGCTCTCTCTTGCTTCTCGTTCACCTTAAAAGTGTCCATCCCTCGTTGTGAGATGAAACCTGTTCCGGATCAAACTCAGATCGCCCCTGCTTCTACCGCTCGCCAGCCAGAAAGTGTTGTACATAACAAATGGGTAAATTATGGATTTGAAATTCCAGAAAAAGCACTCTCATATCCACCTTAATACTGCGACCGAGCATTTAAAGGTCAAGAGTCTTGAAATCTGTACCCGCAGTGGCGCTCAAAGGCTGCGGGGCTCCAACGGCATTGGCAGCGGGTTGGAAGTTGTAGCGGTTGTTGATGCCGGCTGTCGCAGCGTCGGCAATGTTGTTGCCAGTGGCACCGCCGAGGCTGACAGACTGCAGTGTATCCTGGACTTCCTTGACGCGCTTCTTGAAAGCGAGGCGGTCGAGGAACAGTTGCTGGCGGGCGAGTTCGAGTTCGCGGCGTTCGGCCTCGATGATCTCCTCCATCTCATTGAACTGCTGGAGCTTGATTTCGAACTTCTGGAGGGTGACGTTGACGGCTGCGGAGACGAGGCGGGTCATCTCGCGCTCTTCGTGGGATGCGAGAGCTCCGGCACGGGCTGCTGCAGCGCCAAGGGCGACGGTGGCGAGTGAAGCCTTCGGCTGGTTGTCAGTGCTGCCGGCTTCAACGACTTCTGACGGCTCTGCGCGGGCAGTGTCCACATCCATGGAGTCTTCGCTCTTGACAGCGGCGCCCTCCTTCTCCTTGCCCTTGTCTTGCTTATCCGCGCTGGTTCCTTTCTCCAACTGCTTCTTGAGCTCCTTTCGAATCTCGTCTACAGACCTGCCCGCGGCCGCAGCGGCGACAGAAGGCTCTGCCATTTGGGCCAGGAAGGCGACCACGGATAGAACTGGGTTTTCCACGTGGCTGATAGGATCACGTCCGGGACCAGCCCGCACCTCGGGACCATCTTCAAGGTACTGGTCTTCGATTTCGAGCTGAAGGAACTTCATCACGCACTCTTCTCTTGACCTTGTGCCGACATGGTTGGCAATCTGCTCCCAGTTCTCGTCAAAGTTCTCGAGACCTTCGAGGAGAAGGACAAGTTCAGAATCTGACCAGGGGGCATCTCGGTCAGGCGCCCTTGAATATGATGTGTCTTCCAGCTTGACGAAGTCTGAGGCGTTGTGGCTTGACGGCATCCGACCCTGTAAGAAGCAGTTGGGGCAAAGGTCGTACTTGGAATCTGGACCAGTTGCGCTCCCCGTAGCCGGTGTTGACTTTGCATAATGGAAGCGAAGGCGCGTGCAGTCGATACCGCATGTGAAACACTGAAACTTCTTTCGTGGCTCTTGTGACGCGGCCTCTAGAGCCTTAGAGGAGTCTGCGGTACCATTGGCGGCAGATTCGCCGTTGGCCTGTTTCTCTTTATCTTCAACTGCTGGTGTGACCTCCTTTCCTTTATCGTCGTAGACATTTCGGCGAATTTCGAGGTTAAGGTCGGCCTTGGTTGCAGGAGTAGCGGAAGCGGCACGGTCGGTTGCCGGCAGCGGCTTTCCAGGCTTGACAAAGTGGTTCGGGCCAGGTTGGAATGGCTGAAGGCCTCGCGGTGTATCGGCGACGACTCTAAAATGTCCAGTAAAGGGAGGACCGATGTTTGAGGGTCGGGTTTGAGGATCCACCTAGACATGGGTAAGCACACTTGGTGTCAAAGGTAACAGCAGGCGAACTCACTTGATAGTTAATCAACCCCCACTGTTCAAGGAACGAGTGAACTCGCATGATCGCACACACATCTCCAGCAAGATTTCGTCGGCAGGCCGTCACAGTAAGATATTCGATCGGGTTCAATCGGTAGGTATTGATCATAAAATCCCTGTAGTCCTTATAAACAGCTGGCGTCTTGCTGCGGTTGCGGCCATTGAAGAACTCGGCCAGAGCTTTCTTCTCGATCGGGTGAATCGTGTGCATGTCGAACCATGTCGAATAACTAGGGAGGATGATGGCATGTGTTTGAGAAACGAGATGCGAGCGCGCCGAGGCTTCGAGTGAGGATTTGGCCTGTACAGACTGTTCTTCCGAGCCGCCTTCAGCGCCAGACTGTGCGGCAACGTCGGCTAGTTCCTCGCTACCTTCGCTCTCCTTCTTGGTCTCGTTCTCTGTGCCGCCCATTTCCTCGTCCTCCTGTCCGGTGTTCCTGGGTTTCGGGGAAGCGGGAGTATCTGATAGGTTGCCAGTCTTGTCAGTCTTTGATGTATCCGTGTACGCAACTGAGAAACTGCTGGGCGCGACCGCAATAAAGGGATAATGTCACGGCGGCGAAGGAGAACCACGGCATGGTTTAGTCAGGGGATGGATGGAAGACGCACCGGAGGCATTGACCACATCACCGGGGGCATCTTGGCCGGATGTCAGCTGAACATCATCGGCGACGCCGCTCGAGACAGCGGAGTTCTCATCCATGGTGGGCAGTTGATGAGTTCGAGATGGCTCACGTCGCGGCAACGAGGCGAACAAGGGTCCTTTAATGTCCTCAAGAATAGAGTGGAACGGACAGGGGGCGCATGCAGTTTTGGAGATGGGTAAGGAAATGCGACGCGACGGAAAGTAATTGGGTACGGAAACAAGTGGGAGTGGACTCCCAGGCGGGTTGCTCTTGAAGCTCGACTGACACTTCTGAGGGTGTTGAGCAACTTTGATCAAGCGGGTTTGTCGCGACTTCGCGCCAAGACCGCTAACTCAATTGGGTGCTTTATGTAAGCCCGCTCTCTGTGAGCCCTACAATGTACTTCTTTCTTTCCAGTCTCCTCATATTTCAAGGTCTGAAAGTGAATGAAATATGACTGAAAGTAAAAGAAAACGGAAACTAAAATCCAATCTCTATCCGGAGACGCTAGAGTCTCATGTTTCGAATTGCTCTAAGTACATGCTTATTTGGCCCGGTGTCCTAGCTCCGGCGCATTGATGTACTGTATCTCTCGAAACAACAGACTAATGTTTTCTCGCCGCAGCTGCTGCTTTTGCCCTCTCTTCCCAGACCTTCGCAATTGCTGGGCGCGTGCGAATCTTCTCCAACCAAGCCCAGAGATTGGGAAATTCCGTGTCGAATTTGATGGCATCAGTGAAGAACGGGATGGAGTCGAACCAAGGAAGGAAAGCTGCATCAGCATAGCTGAACCTGTCGCCGACGAGGTACTCGCGATCCTTAAGGACGCCGTCCAGAACGCCGGAGACCCGACGGATCTCATTGAGGTAGCGGTCAATAGCGCTTTGGACCTTTTCTGGGTGGAAACGGGTGAACCACGAGAACTGGCCAAAGTATGGGCCTTGGCCGGACATTTGAAAATGAAGCCATTGTTTGGCGAGGAAGTAATCCTTAGAGCCGTGCTCGAAGCTAATTGTGTGCTCTTTGTCGTAAGTTTCGACGAGATATTCGATGATTGCCCCGGATTCCCAGATGGCGATCCCAGTATTGGGATCTTCAATAGCTGGAAGGCGTCCGTTAGGGTTGATCAAGGTGTAAGGCTCTGACTTAATCTGCTTCTGGTCGAGCTCTATCCAGTTGTATGGCAAGTCCAGCTCTGCGAGGAGTGCTGCGACCTTCCATGGATTGGGAGAAGGGCCGTGGCCGTATAAGGTGATAGCTTGAGTAGACATGGCTATTGGTTGAGATCAAAGATGCGGAACGCACGTTGATTGATGGCCGAGGACTAGATTTGATGGAGGTGATTTCAGTTGCAGGCGGTGCTGGACGGATTGATGGTCGGTAAGGGGAGCGCATCGTCGCCATTTTATATTTGATTCTCGAGATTTGATCGAGAAAGTGATATTCGTGCTGAACAATATCGTCATGGTGTAATTGTAAGAAATGGCCCCTCGCCGAGACTCGGCGAGGTCATGTGGAACCCGTGAAATCAATCGATTCAGTAAGCAGTGCCCAGCAGCATCTCGGCGAGAGTCGCCGAAGCATCTTTTATTTGTCAGATATATTCATCTTGCGAACCGGGTTGCTGCAGGATACCACTGACAATGCCGATGGCACGACGGAATTAAGATAGCCTGTTCTGCTAGGACACTGCTCCAACGGACTGTACCTATTTCAGATACGAATACACTGACAGTGGTGGACGGAGTCAACCAATTCCTCAAGGCACCAGCAGACAACCGCTACCTAATTCACGACACATTATGCCCTATTCAAACGTCAGCTCAGATATCCTCTCATAAGGCCACCATATATCGTCACAGTCATACAAAATAGTCACGTTGAAATCACCCTTGATCGAAACCTTGAGGTCAACCTCCCGCGGCGTGTCGAGGTTGAAAACGATATCAAACAACTGATCGGGTGAGATGTTGCTGCCTTCTCCATCTTCATTTTCATCTTCATCCTCAATCGAGTCTCCATCTTCATTGAGTGTATTGATTCTGTAAATTCTCGGTCTTTCACCCGGTATGCTCGCGCCAGATCCGGTATCTTTTTTCTCCTCGCTCTCTACTGTTGGTCGGTCCGTGTCTTTTGCTTTAAGGTCTCCAGAGCTTGAGTCCGTTTGCGATAGTGAGAGGGTTGCCAGGCCGCGTCGAAGAGCATCGTGGTTGTCGGGCGTTGAGCTGGCGGCGTGCTCGTCCTGGTTCTGGGGATTATCAGAATTCATTTCGATTTCAGCAAAAATTTGTCACTTTCTTCGAACAAAAAGTTACTCCTCTAATGCGTGAGGTCTGTTGCGATGGTTCAGGTCGAAGGCGCTGCGCAAAAGGAGACTTGATGATGGGACGCGGCAGGGTGAGTTGAGGCAAGGGTCGCCTGGTGACGTCACGTATCATCGCAAAGTACCCTCATCCCAATTGCAGGATATCGAAGTTCAGTTACTGAATGACCATTGAGTCATGAAGGAATGTGTATCCGAGCTATCCAATACGCTGCTGGACCCTCCTGAGAAATATCTTTATCGTCTGGCTACCAGCTGGAAGATCATTCCCTTCCGTCTCTTTACGGTCGAAGTATAGCCTCCATGCACCGTCCTGGGAATCAAACGACTCGGAAGCAGTAGACTCGCCAGTCTGCGCTGCAGTTCCTTCTGTGATCTGTACAGCCATCCACCTCTGCATATCGTCCAAAGTAAGATACGCATCATTATCAGTCAAGTCGAATGGGCCGCACACATGGCCCTCGGTATCCTCCTTACCACCCCAGCGTACCTCGTCCGTTTCGCTGTCAAGGAAAACCCATCTCGCCAAAGGCTTGTCCTCGGTACTCATTGAAATGAGCCCACTCAAGTTGTCCTCTTCAAAATCAGGGTGGTGGTATAAATGCCCGTTGAACGGAGTCATCGAGGAAGTCGGATGTTTCGTTATATAAAGCTGGGACAATTGAAATCCGATTAGCTTTTGATCTGAATCTTGAGGGACATCACATGGATCCCGCGCGATAGCTCTGACGACACAAGTAATATGAGATATGTAGTGCTCACCTTCCGATCCCTGCCTAAATATACCCGTGAATTGTGAACTTGTTCCCGCTCGTGTATAGAGCCCTCGCTGGCATCGCAGACAGCGCAGAGGCCGAATCTTGTCTTCCGTGCACTCTCCTTTGGATTCTTCTCGCGGTCTCGCATTGCGTTTGATGCTTCGTTTAGCCCAAAAATCGTTGGGATCGTTGTTGCTATCATTGCGATTCCCAGCACCATGTTGTCTGTCAGGATCGCTTTCGACTCAATCAATGTGGGTTTAGTGACTAGATTGTGGCTGGAACGATGAGCATATAAACCACGAAAGCTAATAGATGGTGACATGCGAAGTCAAATAGTAGTGATCCCTAAGGTCTGGTTCTTCACCAAGATCAATCCAGGTCGCGGTCGCCGGAAATGGAAAGCCGCCACAGGGTCGGGGGCTGCCCAGCGTCATATTTGATAGATAGTGACATCACTAATGAAGGAATCATGAGGACGAAACGATTGATAGATGTCTCATTTCTTTTCACCAATGGACTGATCTTTGTCGTCGTTATCCTCCAGGCACATCCTACAGTTAGGGCTAATCTCAAGCCGAACTTCCCTCACAATGGCAGAACGCGATAGGCACTTGATCCCCTCCATACAAGCCAAAGAAATAAACTAACATACCCATCCAGCGATGGAAACGACTACCAAACCGGCAGCGAAAGCGAGCGCTCCAAGCGCCCTCGCCCACCCAAGCTCAAGCGAGTCGTCACCAAGACCACTTCCACCGATACCACCCAAGGCAAAGAGATCAATCCCAAAGAAGCATCCGACTCCAAGTCACTCGTTCAGGATGATACCGACCTTCCACCAACGGGGCCGTGGGGAAACAGGGGAGTGACGTCGCCGAAAGCCGGGACGAAGAGGGCGCCGCAGAAGGACTCGAGTCTTAATGTCCGAATTAATCTGGATTTACGGGCTGATGTGGCGTTGGAACTTCATGCCGTGTTGCAGGGAGATATCACGATTGGGTTATTTTGATCCTGGCTTCCAGCGTTGTGGTGGATGTGCTTCGCTTAGTATGAAGTACCGTGTATGAGCTAGGTAGAGAATCGGAGGTTTAGATGTTTGTCAATCACACTTCGAAAATCTCATTCAGAGGTAATACAAGACTCCCCATAGCTACCTTATGTGTTCTGAGATCGTTGTGAAAATCAGCTGAGTATTTCTTCTTTTCGTTCGAATCATGGATGGCTTCACACTAGTACTGACGACCTACTGAGGCTCTGACCACACCCTCAACTCGCCTAGAGGATTGATACGTTCGACATACTCTTCCGTTTCTAATATGCATTCCTCGATATCCTCACGGTTAAGTTGACGGGCGATATCAACGGCAGTCCAGTTTCTGTACCGAAGATTCACATCAGCTCCGTACTCGATGAGCAGTTCGACGGTGTCCAGGTGGCCGCGAAAGGACGCGATCCAGAGCAAGAAGTAACCATCGGCATCGCGCGCATCTACGTCAGCTCCGTCATCCAGGAAAGCTTTGAGAATTTCAGTGTGGCCTCCAGCAGCAGCAGCCACCAATGTCTCGTTATCATGGATATTGAAGGGGGAACCCTTCTAGATCAAGAAACGCACTATATCAATATGACCTCCCCGTGCAGCTTGCAGAAGAGCCGTGCCATTACCAATAGGGCCCGGACCAGTGGCGTCCGGCACAAAGTCCAATAAGTACGTCAGAGTTTGGAGGTCACCCTGATATGCAGCAGAGTGAAATATGGCATTGTAGTGAGCAGCGTCGTATAGGCCTTTGGTGTCCCATGCAATCAGTTGTTTGATGACCTCGAATTTGTCGTTACAGTAAGCGGCATCCAGAGCACACCCATGATACCCAACCTTCTTTTTGTCCTTGGCTCCATTTTGGAGTAGAAAGCCGACTGTCTCGAGATGGCCGTCAATCGATGCCGCCTGTAAAGCTGTTCCGTAATATCCATCCTCATGTTGGGCATTGACATCGGCCCCATTACTCATCAGAAACTGTATAACGTCTATGTTGCCCCCTCGAGAAGCAGCCAAGAGAGCAAAATCCAGCTCTCGAGCCCCTTTCTCCACCAGCAGCTGTACAATCTCCAAGTGGCCTCCGAAGCAAGCAGCCCATAATGCAGACCCTCTGTGATAGGGGATATAGGCGAACCCCGGTAACGTAGTTCTTGGGTAGTGGGCAAGCCACCTGGGGCCACATATGTGGTTCACTTCTGCTCCGTTGTCCAGGAAAAGTTTGACAAGCGCTTTGTGCCCCTTGAGAGAAGCAACAAGCAGCGGGGTACCGAGTCGTTGGCTCTCAGCATTCACATTCGCGCCTTCTTTCAAAAGTAACTCGGAGATTTCATAGTGACCGTTGTAGGAGCTCCATATCAGGGCGGTCGTATCAATATCGTCTGCCTGGTCTGCGCTCACTATTTTGTCGTTGATCAATTTAGGGAGAACGTCCAAATGCCCGTTGAGCGCCACCAGGTGGATGGGAAGCGTCGGCTTGGGTACATGCTCCCGAGGGAGAATCGTCTCCCAAAATTCGTTTGCCCAGACAGTAGATCGTGTATATAAACGGTAAAGTGACCCTCCCATATTCTCACGCGATGACAAAGGCAGACTCTTTAGGTGGTCGGCCCAATTTTCTGCCGCATACCACCTAAGTGATTGATGAACAGACTTATGACGCCCATTTGCATCCACAAGATCCTCCATCAACAGATACCGCACACAGATGCCAGTCATCGACTCCTCTGCCTCCAATAAGCTGAAAGAGAATTTTCGTTCTGGGCGGACAGTTGTCACATCGTGGAGGAGAAACTCCCTGGCTGTTTCGTGGAGGAAGTAAATATCATAGTCCTTAATGACAACAAACGGACCACAAATGTTCCGAATCGTTGCTTCGAGTATCTCTTGATCAAACGCGGATTCTGCCAGAGTCCGCGAACTGGGAGACCCTGCGACCCCCAGGGCTACGCCCATTTTCCGTGTGTTCAGCGGACACCGCGCTGCGGCGATGATTTGGAATATCAGTCGCACTGTTTTGACGTCTTCTCTTCGGACTTGCTCAAGAATGACTTCGTACATTCCTTTCAAAGTAGGTGGTAGGTGAGGAATTGACATTGTCTTTGGCCTAAGATTCCTGGGCAGGTTGGAGCGAATGTATTCAATCGCCAAGTGCACCCAAAGATACGTGCGATTCTCTGCCCGGCAGAGTTGTTTCTCTAGGTTGAGTTGGACATCCTGAGAGTAGGCACGAGGAAGACCCGATGTGCTCACAAATTCCTTCACTTTGGCTTTGATAAATAGATTCACCTCGGCCTTGATTAGCTCGCCTACTTGGTGGCTTTCCAGCTTGGTATCACTAGGGAGGGAATCAAACGGGCTTCGTATGGCATGATAAGGCCGACTTGTAACGAGGAACTTCAAACCATGAGCCCATGCTGCGCTACGGCTTTTTTCGTAGAAGTCATTGAGCTGAGAGCCCAGCTGCTCTAGGTCGGCCTCGGGGCACTCATCGAGGGCGTCCAGCACGCATACCGTACTGCACGCGGTAGGGTCCCCGGTAGCTGCAATCAAAATCCGCCAAAGCTCATGTGTGTCCTCCCGAAGCTTTATCCCATTGCTGTCCCACGGACTCGTGGCATGCCGAATGAGATGGGGTTGCTGACTGAATAGCTGATGAAGGATTGCGCACAACGCCGCGGAAAGGGTACACTCTTGCTCCCCGTGCTTGAAAAAGTAGTAACAGACGGTTGTTGCGGAGCTAGGGGCAATGAGGCTGTCGACAATCGACTTGGAGAGCACTGATTTTCCAGATCCCGGATCCAGAAAGAGAAAGAGCAATTCACTGTGACGACTATTCTTCCAGCGCACATACTGTCGAGTCTGCGGCATCCACTCGCATGTTCTCGGTACAGGCGGGGACTCTCTCCTTGAGTCTCTCGTAGCCTCCTGGGAGCTTAAAGCTTTGAAGGCAAAGATTCTGTTTTTCTGCAAGGGCCTGGTTCACTCTCTCCTGGTGATAACGCTCTTGTCGCAGATGGACTTCGTTTAGTCGTTGACTAATGCTCCGGACTTCATCATTTATGGCGGTGAGATATGCTACATGGACAAGCACAGATTGTAAGCCAAACATGTCTTCAGTGAGTGTGATTTCTAGGTTGTCTAAGGACAAGTACTAGCACTACAAGTAGAGATAAACCTTTACTTACGATACACCTTCAATGCCAAGACTTCCTCTGCAACTTCCTGAGCAGGAAGGAACTCAAGCAGTTCCTTCGCATACGCAGCCGCCGCCAGTGCGGCGTATCCGTGCCACTGGTCATTCTTATGACTATCGCAATAGTCACAAATCCCGCGCACGATGATACACGGGAAGTCATTCATAAGACCGGACGCTTCCATTTCAACACAGACCGCATCCGGTATATCCCGCAGGAGCGAGTCTTGCACCGCCGCCGACTTGACAACAGAGTTGCCAGATACAACCGTTCCGTAGTGGACGTTGGGGGCATCGCTCGCCAGCTGGGCTCGAGCCACATCCCATTCCATCGGGTGCTGCGCACAAGTTGATTCAGGAGGGTGTGGTTGGTTTGCCTTGAAAAGGCGATCTGTTTTTTGGTCGGGGGGCGAGCACTTGTTCTTCAGAACGTTGTCTTTCTCGAGGGCATCGCGCACGCTGCGCGGGAAGCGGGTTCTGTCTAGGTCGATCTGCAGCCGAAACTGACCGACTGCTGAGAGTATGGAATTCGGGGGCCTATTGAGGAGGCCCGTTCGACGAAATTCGCCGCCTTCAAGCGCCTTCCCAAAATCGTGTTGTCTGACCCCGCCACAGTTATCGCTGGGGTAGCTAACGGCAACATCCCCAAGCCTGACGTCGTATTTCTGGGATGGGATGCCACCGGCAATACCAACCATAAACCCAACGCGAATATCACAAAACGTTCGGAGCAGGTTGATAGCGATCGCGGTCGCCGGCGTATTTCCGATAGATCCCGCACGGGGGGGAAGCTATTGCGATGCAATGATTTGCTATCTTCCCTAGAAGATAGCTGTTCGAGTCTGATTTGTCCTGAAACTGAAGGGGGCCGTAGGTGATATCCAGCATCTTTGCCGCTGCTATCGCCTCTATGTGAAGGGCGCAGATCCACCCTATCTGGAAGTCCAGAGGGGGAGAGACATTGCTGATGTGCTGAAGAATGGGTGTGTTTTTAGGCACGATGATAGAAACGGTTGGGGAGGATAGGAAGAGGTAGAGAGGGCGGACTGTGCAGATCAAGAGGCTGGCGCGCTTCGTGTGTCTTATGAGAAAGAGCCTGACCGGGGCAGTCATATGAGCCCAGCGCCTGAGATCCCAAGGCCTTTCCCATGACTGTCAATCTCTATCACCTTCTGCTGAAACCCGTTAACGCGTCCTCTCTTGCCTGGGATGCACGTATCCAAGCGGCAAAAGACATCTCTTTATTGGTGATTTGTAGTTCCGAGACATGCAATGCACCAATAATAACATGCACTAGACGCTGCTGGGCTTGGCAGCGAAGACCACCTGCAGCCCTGCGCTGGTCGAAAGCTGTCAAGAGTGGATCCTGCATTGCTGCATATTAGAACCAAGTCATACATTTGGGGTAGAGGAGTGATCTTGTGGTCGGACTCATGTTATCTTTGCCCAAGCCAATAGGAAGCGGAGCAAGCAGCAAGTGGAAAGCAGTAGAATTTATGCCTTTGAAAGGACTTTTGTATCAGATTCTCCCTTCGGGTGTGCTATTCCGCAGGCACCCAGATACACTGTACAGCAGTAGAACTTCTGGCGATTCACCCTGGGCAGCATTCATGGCTGACATGTTGATACCAGAAATATGTACTCAAGGCTTGGTTGGCACAACCCTAAAAAGGAACTAGGAGACTTATGCCTGTGGGGAAATCCTTACTATGGAGTAGGAGATCCTGGCATATCTCGCAGACAGCAGGCTCAGCTGTTTGCTAGGGTGGATGGGGTCAGTTTCTTTTGTCAATAAATTGATCAATGAAACATGGCCCGTCTTTTCTTGACTTCAATGAAACAATCCTATCCAGCACTGCTGTTGGGTACCTTATACCACTCTGGGCTACAGCATTTCATCTGCGTATGGTTGATATCATCCTGCTGCCACCCTTGGAACAGAGGCTCATTGATGGGCTTCCTTTAACCACCAGGTATCCCAATTGCTTAACACCTGTAAAGGAGAGGAGCCTTGGCTCTTAATAATGGTATGCGGAAAGCATGTCGCCTCCAATTTCAATATACGCCAAGAATGCCCTCTGTTAACTAAGTACTTCCAGGTCAGTCATGACATGGAGGTTTTAGGCATCATAGAAGGCTCTGGTTTTTAACAGACAGACCAGCGCCTGCGTATTCCTTGGCCTCACCCAAAGAAACGTCATGAGGATGGGTGCTTAGGGTATATCCGTCGCAGTAGCACAATTTCTGTCCTTATCCGATGAAAATTCTCCAGATTAAAAGTCCAGGACGAGCCTGTAGCCAAGGATAATCGGCAAAGGTAAGAGCAAGGCCAAACACCAGGAGCCAGGTTTGGTTCCGGTAAGACGAATGGGGCAATCTTTTTAATTTCTTTTTTCCTTATCTCCCCTCGGTTTGCGCTGTACCAAATTTCCTCTTCGATCAAACCAGGCCTGGGTGCTGTTGAAGATATTGACAAGTGCTTTCGTGCAAGGACTTGGCTTGACACTATTGCTTTCTTGTGCACTGCCTCACACGGCACAGTGGTTAGAACAGAGGAGAAACTTCATACAGGCCACAAAGCTCCGTCCGACTGCCGCGCAGCGTGTAGTGGTATTCTAGCATCCTCCCGGTCGGACAACGACAGACTTCAGAAGCCCGACTTTGCGTCCAGATTGCAGAAGTAATTCAGATCTCCGCGCTGCATCGATCCAGACGCTAAATCTGCACCTTGAGCAGCCGGTCCTGCTAAGCACAACGGAGTCCCTAGAGACATTCAGAGGTAGAGCAGTGCCAAGTCTAGTTCTTAACATATGGGCGTCTTTCATGCTTAGTGCTCTCTGCTGATGCGTCATTTTGGGTGATGGTCGTTGTGAGCCCAGGTTTCACTTTCTTTTCCAACTAGATTTTTCTCCAAGATCTCAAAAAATTCCTCTATCGCCACACCTGACTGGAATGTCGTTTGTGCGGTTTGGCTTTGTACCCCTGAGGTCCAAGGGAGCGCTTTGTTCCGTTTGGCCTGGAGGGTCATCATAACCTGGCATACGATGACGGGCGGGTCGTTCATCTGGAAAATGAGAGCGTTTTTTTTTCAACAGCCTTCTCTACCTTGCGCCTAGTGTGAACCAGGACCATACTGCGTCTGGCAGTCTCAGCGGTGACGCAAGTATCTGTAAGGAGCGGAACTGTCTGAGGGGAAGCAAGTAGAAGCGCGCAATAATACGCGTAGTTTCATGGTTCAGGATGAAGCGGTCATGGGTATAGGAAGCATGTCACTTTAAAGTATATCATGTGATCGTGGTGCAATTGTTGCGAGAGTACGGGCCATCTCGAAGGATACATCACCGGGCCATGGAACGCGTTGCTTGCTGGAAAGCGGTGCAAGAAGGGCGAAGTGCGCACTAGCAAAAGTTATAGAACATGGACGAGCTAAGACGATTATATAAGAGTCAACGTTTTTGCTTCTCCTTCTGGCAGCATTAGCCACTTACCCGTGTGTTCTGATTCGCAAGCTTGAAGCTAGTACAATTGTGTTTGCTCAAGCGAGTTCTTTTGCTGTGCGGCAATCGAAGTTTAGCACAGTCACATGACTCCCTGTCGCCTCCAACTCCCCGCACAATTTAAACTCATCACTCAGTGACAGAGTTTTCCCCGCAGGTTGTATATCCTTTCTCCATCAGAACCGACTTTCAGCGTAAAACATCGAGATCATTCCTTTTCCTTGACTCTTCCATCTTAACATCAAGACAGAAGCTGGCAATTGGGCTCGCATTAAGTTAATCTTACCGTGCCTCTAAACAAAATAGATACAAATGGAGAGGCCAACACATTTGAGGTACAGCAAAGTAACCTCCTTTATTACTTAAAATCTCCACAGCAACATTGAGCAAGATAGCTGAATATGTTGGCGCCTGCCCCAGACTCTGAAAGGCCTGCTGGACTGCTCAGCGACTATGCTTTTACGACTGCCGGTGCGGCCTATGAGTTTGAAGCTGTTTTCCAAACTCGCTATCAGCTGTGGTTCTAACAACTTCACCAGTCGACTCAAAAGGTGCCATGACATCAATCCAGTGACCGATGTTGAATATAGCTCCGATTTCCGGCTGACAGGTTCATTTCAGCCCTCGACGCCATCAAGCACCACTTATGAAGATAGCCTTTTCACCCATCCTCTTCAGGACATGAAACAGTTCCCGTCAGCGGAAAACGATGAGCCTGTTAAGTACCGTGGCCAGTGTAGAGGCTGTCCTCAATCTCTGGAATGAGGTTACCTAGAGGCACGCAGGTAAACGCGCCGTAATCCTCAGCCGTTTTAGGAAGTTCCTAGAGCTGTTCGCAGCCATTCTCGAAGGAGAATTTATGTTGAAGCCCACCCTATTTCACGGCATGATGACAGATCTAGAGAAGACGCAGGCCAAAGACGCCTTTCTGAGTGGCCACGCCACATTATCGCCGTTGCTGATTACCGCGCAAACCGGTGGATGCGGTCTAAATTTGCGGGCCGCCTCCGTCGTATTGCAAGTCGAACCGTGGTGGAACCCAACGCGGAGAGGCAAGGTCGGGCTTGCTGTCACCGACAGGGGCAACAGACAAGTGTACATTGCTACACTCTGATAGCCAGCAACAGCGCAATTGACGGAGAGATCATCTCCACCCAGGGAAGGAAGACGGAAGTCAACACCAAAATAATGAATGGAATCATGAAGACTAATGACAACCCACTCGTTACTCCTGCCGTTGACAGTTCATCTGGAGTTTAGATGAGAAAGGCTGATACCTAGGGCCAAAAGTTTTCTTATTTCTTGTTTTGATCTTCGTACTGGTATTTGCCAGCGATCGCGGAGGTGCTGTTTTGTGTTGTTTTTCCCTCTTCTCAAATTACCGATCAATCAGAAATTGAGATTCAAGAAATCGGCTAGTATCAATCAATCAACCTGGTTTTCTTTTCTTCCAGCTCGCTAATACATGATCATTTTAGCCATAGGAGGTGCAGCCCCAAGACTATCTGCTTTGACCGCAGCCTGAAGGGCACTGTCCATCGACACTGCAGTTCAGGTTGCCTCGCCCAAGAACTCTGTGACTGACAATAAGGTCATTCACAGTCCCAATAGGGTTGACGTGGCGCTGCTTGACCAGGGAGTCATCCATGCTGCTAGTCTTCGTGCCCATGAGAGTGCTGACAACCCATTGTCGCGGAAGATCCGCACAATTATTAAAGCTCTAGTCGCCTGGGTCAAGAACCCTAATACTATGTAGTTTACTAATGGCGAAAGTCCAATGACTGGAGGCTACCATGCCTTGTTAAGACAGGTATCATTTAACACCGTGGCTAATAAATTCATGTTGGGAATCGACCTAGAGGTTCAGCACCTCTTTATAGTTGATAGCTAGTCTATCAAGGACTTCCTGGCTCTGCCCAACCCTGGCGATAATTAGAAATAGGTCGTGTATCTTAACATTGCCACTAGTGATCTTGACAAGTAAAGAGCCACCACTTGTAATAGCTACACTGGGTCTGCTGACTGTTATGTAAAACGCTCGGGTCAGCGCCTGTCTATAGCTAAGAATAGACACTCGAAACCCCGCCGGCGTGCTACGCAAAGCAAGAGCCTCTTCCAAATGTTGTAATTCGCCCTGGCATCTACATCACATTAGCAACATAATAGTCAGCATACTAGGAGCCCATCATTCCTAGGGATCCTCTGCGGAATTATAACATATCTATATTATCTTCTAGAATACTCCTTCTCGTATTATGCACCTGTTTCTTGTCAACAGCAGGCTGCTAGAGTTTTTTTATTCAAAGTTCCTCCATGTTAACTCTTTGCAGTGGAGGGGGAAGAAAGACTTGTGTAATAATTATAGGACTTAGGCTCCTATTTTAAGCAGAGGTATGCCCCCGCCAGAGCTTATACTGGAGGGAAGGGAAAGCTTATCGATAAGCAACACCACCAAACAACTCAATCACCACCGCCAGGCAAAAGCTCACTCCACGTCCACCGCATCACCACCCCAACACAGACACCAAACCCCATCAACACAACCTGACCGCGGACTGTTAATTTGACCAATACACCACAATCTCTCAGATACTAGTGCCAACTGATACTCTCGGTTTTTATTCAACTACAACACAAATATCCCATCCGACTCGCACTAGAAAAAAATCCAACCCAACTCAACTAAACAAACCACAACGACAACGACAATGTCCTCCTCACCCAAAACCCCCCACCACACCACCCTCCCCATAACAACGCACCACTGCCGCTTCTGCACGAACCTTGTCCTCGCAAGCACACGGAAAATTGAGTCCCTCCCACGGAGACGAAGCTCAGACGCGCAGATCCTACCCCTCCGCATGAACCCTCTCTTCGATAATCCCGAGAAACCAGACACGAGTGCGATGGAAGAACAAGGAGGAGAAGGAGAGGGAGCAAAAGGTGCCGGGAATGCTGTCAAACACTACACGATTCTACTCTCGACGACGATCCGCGATCGGAAACCGAGTATTCTTCGGTGCAAGGACGGGTTTGAGAAGAGGTATCTTTTCCGCTGTGGGCGATGTCGGCTTGTCATGGGGTATTTCCTCGATGAGGTGCATTTTCCCGAGAAGGGCGGTTTGTTGAGTGAGAGTGAAGAAGGAAAGGAGGTGGGGGAGGACCGGGCTGTATATCTGCTTCCTGGGGCGTTGACGGAGACGGAGATTATGAGTGACGAGGAGAAGCTCCAGGCTGTGGATCGGGAGTGGAGTGCATGGTTTCGGGACTGATTGTCTTGTCTTGGTCTGGTATTCTGTATTGGAGCGAGGTTTGTTTTGCTTGTATATTATACTGGAGTAGGATTGTTCTATTGGCATTCATTGACACTAAAGGAGCATTCTGTTGTGGATACGTTGAGCGGTATGGAATAGATTATGCAAAGTGGTAACATCATAAGAAGAATCATGAGAACGTAAGGGTATCGTGTGGTTTAGTTGGCCAGGATGGTGCGAACGAGATCTGCAGCATTAATTAGCGAGGCCCGGAGCGCAACTTAGGAAGGAAAGAGGGTCCAAACATACCGGTATAGTTGATCTCACCAGAGCTGGTATCAACGGCCTTGAGCAGCTCATCAACCTCCTCATCCGACATCTTCTCGCCCAAGTTCGTCAAAACTAAACAAATCGTCAGCAACATATCCTTAAACCCCAAAAGATTATCGTCGCAAGCGCAAGCGCAAGCACATACTGTAGCGAAGCTGCCCAACACCAATAACACCCGTCATATCCTTATCAAACACCTGGAACCCACGACAATACTCCTCTGGCTCACCGGGCTCACGGAATCCACCAGGGCGGTTCAGGACCTTGAGGAACGACTCGAAATCGACTGTTGCGCACCATGTTGTTAGCCCTCATTCGGTCACTGCCATTTTCTCGCTTGGTGTCCCACCAAGGGACAGAACACAACATACAGTCACCGCCAATCCCCTTCTCCAAATCTGCAATCTCCGCAAGGGTCGGGTTCTGTCCGCACGCGCGGAGCAGGTCGCCCAGGGACTCGAGGGCGACGCGGCCGGTGCCGCGCTTGTCGAAGAGCGAGAAGGCTTCCTTGTAGTTTGTCGAGGCCTGATCGTGGGGGTCGGGTGAGTAAGAGGGAGACTTGGATTTGGACATTTTGCGTGCGCGTGGTTGTTTGTAAGGTAGGGAAGATACAGAGAGTAGTGCAAGTAGTAGGAGAACGAGAATCAGGAGAGAGGTGCGAGGAAACTGCAAGAATGCGGAAGCCGGTGCCAGGGATGAAGATGCGGGAGGATTAAGTTGGGTGTGGTCGGAACCGCCGCTGGGCCGTCCACGGCTGGGCTGGCTGAAATGAGCTCAGCTCAGCGTGAAGCTCCCACGGGGACCGTTCTTAACCGAAACAATTGTGTCCCTGGGGCAGGCACGGCTCAGGGCGTGAGATTGTCCCTTTTCCCTCCGCACCCATCATCACACTCTTTCCCTCCTTGCAGGACGAACAACGAGGGGGTATTCAACGATCGGGGCGACGTACCATGGTGATTGACTTGTTTGTTTCGGACGCTGAAGTTGGAATGTAGTTGTGTGCACGAGAGAGAAGATCTTCAATCGAATTGCTGTTCAAACTTGGAAAGCAAAAGCAGGTGGACTGGAATGCAGAGAAAGGAGGGAGGTTTTGAAGTTGGGGACAAGGGGACCAGATCGGCCGGAGAGTTCAATCTGGTTGTTGTGGTAACCGTCCGATTGCTCCGCTTTGTCCGGCGGCTGCCACATCAAACGTCACCTTATCGATATGATTGGATAGACGAAGACAAGGTAGTCCATGAAAAGTGTCGATCGTTGTATGTACAAAAGGTATGATATGTACTCTATGTGTAGTCGTAGCACGTGTAAATGTATAAAACAGGCAATGCCTATATCCTCCATACTCCATATTCATAACCTTTACCAAATCCAACCCAGGTATACAAATCCAGCCTTTCCAGGGACTCCAAGGGTATATATGCGGACGAATGTCTATAGTTGAACGCCTCCCAGTTTGTCAATGCAACTGCTCAGCAGGTTTGCAGCTTCGGCCAACAGCTCCCACCGCGCGTTGGCAAATCCATCCCGCAGAATCATCAGCAACCCCAGGCACTGGTTGCGTCCTTTCATACTTTCAAGGTCGCTGGGCTCACGAACACCACCGACACGACGTAAGAATGCCTGCATGTCTTGTCGTTGCTCTGCGACGGTCGTCAGTTCAGGAGCGTTCTTGATCGGTCCGTCCAGGGCATATCCGTAGCACCAGACGACCAAAGCCGCGACGTAAATCACCCACGGGCGGTTGAGCAGGTAATCTTCGCGGCCACAGTACAGCTCCCCTTCAACATCTGGGTCATCATGATGGTTATCCAGAAGACATTCGGAGAGAAACTTGAGCGCATAAAAGGTAGCATCACGGGCGGATGCCTTGGTCGCCCAGCGATCGACCATCTTCTCCCGTGCCGCGTTGTAGTCTCGCGGAGTGATAGTCCGCCCCATCAATCGCCGAGCCCCCGCAAAGATTTGACAGTCGACGACGTCGACGTGTGAGGCCATATGGGCAAGGCCGTGCAGTACGTCGCGCGACTCAAAGATATTGTCTTCGTCGAGTGCATACCGACCGCGGTACCCGTTAGGAAAACAAGTCATCCCAGGTTGACCGAGCGCTTCATCAAAATCGCGGCGCCAGTTATCAAAGGCACGCAGTAAAGCAGACCTCCATTTGTCACGGCCGCCTAGAGCATGGGCAACGCCTAGCGAGTTGACCTGGAGGTCCCGCTGGTTCATGTGCCAACTCACACTAAGCAGCCCGGCCATCAGGATTGTCCTTCCAAAAGCGTTTGTCCGGACTCGTTGTCCATTGAGGGTTCTCTTGAGACCGTCCAAGAACATCACGGGTCGGACACCGTTCGCATGCAAACTTGCCTGCACCCGAGCCACTTCTGCAGCGCTAGTAGCCGACCACAAGGCCTCATCACAAGGAAGAGGTAGACGCAATTCGTGGGCAACCATTTTGGCGGAGTGTCCGAACATGGTGGCGTGAGACGAGTCCAGCACGAACGCGGCAAAGGCAACCCGTCGAGTCGCTTCCGTCTTGATCCAATGTGTCCAAGACTCGTCGGCCGCAAAGTCTGGGGTCATTGCTGACCCTGAAGCTGAACGGGCCTGCCGGTCATCTCTCAAGCTCGCGGGGGAGTCGAACGAATGGCGGCCAATAAGGGAGCTTCCGCGCCGCATCAATGTCAAAGTAGTGTCATGGTGGATATGTGCTCGCTCATGGAGAGCTCGGGTAGAGTACATCTTCTCGTAGACCTCTAGCAGCAACAGCGCCTGGAAGACCCAGAGCTTGGCTGGTGGTCTGAAATCACCTTCCATGAAGATTTCCCATCGAAGATGCCACATGATGAAATCGGCCAGTTCGGAAGCGGCCTCGGTGACCTCCTGGCCATGAATCGTATCAAGGGTTGCCGCACCGATAGCCATCACGGCAAGTAGCAGTAGGTTTGGTGCTTTGTCTGCCACAAATGTTGGTCGATGCAAAATCGGTAGTTGGACATGGAAATGGTACCAGTAGGACCCGATATAGGTCTGCATCTTCGAGAGGCTCAGGACATGGCTGTCCTCATCCATATCGCCGTCCATCAGGGCATCCTTGCGCTTCGCGACAGCCGAGTAAGCGGCCTCGTTGAAGCGGGTGGACATGAGATCCAACAGCTCCTGCCGCTTGTCTTCGGACATGATAGCCCGCGGCGAACCAGGATCAAGGATACTTGTAACGCTCATTGGGTGAGTTGGAATGACGCCACTGAGAAAGTTCCCATAAGTAGGGTCCGCCATCAGAAACTGGTTTTGCAACTGAGCGTCCATGTATCCCGGAACCATACTCGTCGCTGACGGATTGGCGACCGACGACGACCCTGGCGGAGGTTCATTAAAGAGCCATGCTGTGAAATCATCGGCCATGTGGAAAGGTGAGCGATTGCTTTCACCGCCAAATACCGGGTAAACAGACGAGTTAAAGGCATCAAATTGCATGTCTCCGACTGTCGAGCCCTGGCCCATCATTCCTGCCATAGAATCGAGAACTCCTAGGCCAGTTGCCTGTTCAAGTGGGGCAGATGCCGAAGTCACTGGCGCCATATCCGAGTAACCATCGACGGGAATTTGCAAGCCCGCTTGGGAAGCGTAGGCGGATGGGCTGACCAAAGGTCCATTGAGATTACTCTTTAGAGCATAGGCGGCTCCAAGATCCTGTGCGCCGGCCGAAGCTGGTGTGGGTTCGTTCAAAGGATGAGCTGAGCGCAGATCGAGGCCCAGCTCGTTAGAAGTGGGGGAGCCTGCAGGGTGGCGAGCGCCATAAGTGACAAATGGACGTTGAAGAGGTGGCGAGTTGAATGCAGCAAGCGAGGCGGTAGGAGAGCTGATATCCAGTCCATTCGCCTGCGGAAATTGAGAATCCGTTTCCAACCCATGCTGCCGAACGGCAGGTTGATAGTGACCGAAAGGCTGAGCGAGCCCAGCGGACGTTGGGGATGAGGAGGCAGGCATGCTTGTGACATGTAAGGGCTGATCCGGGCCTGTCGATCCACGCTTCGAATCCGGAGGCGAAAGCACAGGTGGAGCATGGCTCTGGGGTATTTGCGACGCATTGCGAATGATCTGAGGTTTGGGGATACCGTTGGGATTCGCTGAAGCGGCTTGCGCAAAGTGATCGCGCTTTTGCAGCTGAGAACCCTGCGTAGTGTGTCGCTCACGGTGCCGGACACAGAGATCCTGTCGCACGAACGACCGATAACAGTCGGGAAAGTCGCATCGATAAATCTGCTTGGGAGCGTCTAGGGCAGCGAAGGATCAGTATCCATGCTAGTGGAAAGAGAGGAAGATTTGCGAAGCATACGGTTCAGTTGATGGCGGTATAGATGTTCTGCGCGCGAATAGCTCTTGCCGCAGCCTTCGAATGTGCAATCGAATTTACGGTCCACCTGGATCTTGCGAGTCCTCTTTCTCTTGCGCGGCGGGGTATCGGCATCGTGGACATCTGGGCTCTCCGGCACCATCTCGGATTCTCCTTTGCGGATGCCGTTCGCCGCGTGGTCCAGCGAAGCCATTGTGGCAACGGCGAATGTCATCCTGAGCTGTTCTGGTTTGTGTTTCGTATTCCGTATCCAGTATGGTCTATGCGTGTCTGTTCTATATCTGTCTAGTTGTTGTATGTAGCCCAGTCTTAGCCAATACCCTTGAGGCGCCCTGCGAATACTCGATTCTTGTCAAACACGCTCATCAGACCAAGGTTAGAGGAGCTCGAGTAGGCGGGCGAGGGCTAGAATGACGGAAGTCGACCGACAAGCAACAGCCATAAGAGTTGAGGGTGCGTGACAATGTGAGCGGTGGTCGGCGAAGCCCCGTGGGGAAATCGGCAATCGGAGGATTATCGGCGGTAAGGATGAGGGAGGATGGATGCCAGTAGGTAATATTTATCGGTAGGAACAGGGATGCAAGTAAGGCCAGAGGAATATGACAAGACTCATACGAGGGAGGGGAGGAAAAAAGAGGATGATGACCTCGTGCGGCGGTGGTCCGAGTCGTAGAGGTTGGATGGTGAGGGGAAGCGGAGGACAGTCGCAGAGAGTTCAGGAACTGGATCTGGAACCGCTCTCTACCAGAAAACCCAGTGGTAAAGGCAAGCGACCGGAGGCTGGGGCGACCGAAGAGTTTTAAATAAAAGTGATTCAAGGTTACTGTCTCTGGCTCTCGAGTCTCATCGACCTTCTTCCATCTGAAAAAAAAATATTCATTTTTTGACTTCCTAAGAAAACCAGCTGCACAACGACTCACCACCTGCAGTGGGGCCGGGCACAGCTTCAGTCCGGGAGAGGTTCTTACAGCGGCGATGCTAATAAGATGGTATTAATTTTCAGCGACAGGGAACCCTCAGAAAGGCAACAGAGAGGAGAAAAAAAAAGAAAAGAAAAGAAAAGAAACGCCATTACCAATCCCAGCTCGATTCATGATGGCTTCAGAGCGTCATTTCTTGACTGCCGGCTCATCTGAACCTGGGGAAAGCAGGAAATCACTCGCTGAGGCTGCCTCTCAGGCTCGGGATCCCGAATGCCATTGGATCAGAGACTGGCAGAGAGTCGCAGACTCAGAGCAGTCCCTGGCACTAGCAAATACCAAGAATTCCCGGGCAAGATGTCAGAAGACCAGCAGCAGTCGTCGCAGGGAGTCCGGACCAATCAGTTGCCGTGTATGTGGTAGGAAAAAGACGTGCTGCGGCAGCGGCGGTTAAGCAGATGGGCCCCTCTCCTTGGGACCTCCTCGGGTTGGAATCGAGTCACACACGCTGCTTTGGACTAAAACTAGTCTCGAACTCAATCGAGCGATCCAAGTGCCTCTCCGACTCCCAATTCGCAAGCGATTGGCATGGCCCAACTGCCAGGAGTGCGGAGAAAGGATCTGCGGCACTGTCCGCCGCTCTACCGTTGGATTCAATCAAGGGTCTGCATTTAGCGAGGCTGCAGCCATGACGCACCGGTGACCGAGATGGCAGGTCTTTCCTGACGAACCTGGGGTGTGCAGATTCCTTGGATGCTTATAGGGCTAGGGTACTCGCGTGCGCTGATCGAGCTGGTCGAGGGGTGTGGGCTGGAGCAGAGGTGCTCCACGAGCTGTTACAGGGAGTACAGGAACCCGTTTACGAAATCTCCCGACCATGAGCTGATGATGGATACCTTCTTACCTCGAGGTGACCTGATTCACTGGGGCCTGGTCCTGAGCGTCGTCCCACCATAACAGCAGCAGCCTAACAGTGTCCACTCGTGTGGCACGGTGGCAGTGGCAGTGGCCTCCAACTGAGGCATTTTCAGACAATGAATATCCTCATTTTCGCTCGAGCAGGACGCGCAGTGCAAAGGGAAGCGAGAGACAGCAAGAAAAAGTAAACATCAAACCTCAAACAAGCCACCTGACGCCCGGGCAGTTGGCGCTCTCCGCTGGTTCCCCAGTTTGGGTCCCGACACCGCGGAGAACAGATCGCTGGTGCCAGGGACAGCGCTGCAAGGACCGTCAGTGCGGCGGTGATAAGAGGCAAGAATTGATGCAAATCTATGACTGATCGAAAACTCAGCCTCGACTTTATTTCCTCGGTGCTGTCAGAAAACGGAACTCTCCGATTATTGCGCGAGCGTATTGGGCTATTGGTTCCCAGCTCCTCGGGCCTGTACGACCAACGCTCTGATACATATGATGATATCGAAGAAACAAGACAAAGCTATTGAAAGGATAACCCGGCTGTTGGATTTTGAGTTGGAATGATCCTCACTTGGCTTCGTGTTCTCGATTTTCTGCTATCGACAATCATTTAGTTTCGAGCGCCTTGCCAAGGGATCGCCCTGATCCGTCGCTAGCAGATAGATATCCTATCCTGTTCCTTGATTAATCTCAGTTTGTGGCATCCAGCCGCCTCATCCCCGGCGGAGTCGACTTAATACAACCTGCCCCATCGCATTAAACCCTTCGTGGGCCGTGCCAGACGAAACAGGCGAGGGGAGAAAACGTGCCGCTGCAAGGTCGAAGGCATCGAGAAAAAGAAAGCATGAAACAAAATGAGTCGGGCAATGAGGGGACAATTTCATTAGTTAACAGGAACCCAAGACAGGGAAGCAGGAAAAGCAAACCTTTTCCCGATACAGCCTATAAGGTCACCGCGATGGCTCAGAGATGGGTTTGATGAAGACGATCTGATCTAGATTGTTGTCTTTCGACGCTTTTCCTCAGACTTGAAGGCTAGCGTGTCTGCGCAATTACGTACGACTCCATTCGAGAGCTCTACAACATAATGATGTAGAATAGTTGGGCCCAAGGCTGAAGAACCATATTGGCCAAAGAGGGGTTACTATAAACTTTGGAAGCCAAGAGCTATTATTATTTTATGCTCTCCCCGCTCCAAACGCTCAAAAGTCTATGCGAGGTACTAAACGTCCTTCTCCATCTTCAGGGAACCCATCACAAGACCCGCTTCTCCTCCTCCGTAGCAACCCATCACTAAGAACAATCACTAAGATTATCTCTGAGGGACGAATCCCTCGTACTATTCTGGAATGCCCAAGCGCAGGGCGAGGCCTCAGCGACCATCTCTCATCTCCTCCTCTCCTCCCTTCTCGTCCGAGATCCTCCAACCCAGCCCCGATGAGTCTAGTTTGATCCCATTTAGGAACAGTGTCCTCGGACCTGTATCGACTAAGGCTTACCAACTCAGCCTCGACCCAAGCTTCCGGTTTTCCTCGTGAGTTTTCACTTTGAGTTTGACTTTTTTTTTACTTTTTAGTCTTGCCGACCTTGCCTGGCATTAAAAAGAAAATACCGGTCAGGGAGAAAAGAAACCCTTGAGAAAAGACGGGATCCCCAGATTCAGATTCAAGTTCGGGCTGCTGCATCCACTGCGTGGTTCTCGTATTTGCAGGGGAGCTGGAAAGCCACGCCGATATTCAGACAACCCAATCACAGCTACTGAAGCCGTTTCACTCGGTCGACAGAGGCTGGGAGGCCGAGGCCTCTGCTGTATGAGTGTTACTGAGGTTACTATAGTCCGAGTAGGCAAAGAGGTCCGAAGTACCCCTGTACCTCCTGTACACCCAACCGTAGTATATACTGTAGATACAAGAGGTAAGCGAGTCGCCGACTCAAGATTCACTCACCTGTGCAGTGTGCCTAGAGATTCTGGGAGCAGAAGAGGAGGCGAAATGGACATTCCAATTCTTTTCTTCATCAGCGCCTTCTAGACTTGTTTCTGTCAACGTCGCCAAGGCGATGATGGATGGTTTCTTTTTCTTCTGCTTCTTCTACCACCTTACAGTAAATGAGCCAGGCTCTGGGCTCCAGTCGGCTTCTTTTTGCCGCTTGCAGCCAGCCATCCCAGCCCAGTGGTCACCGACCCAGTTCGGAGAATTTTTATTTTCGTCTTTTTCTTTTGTCTCGTTGGTGCCCAGGGGGCAAAAGGGTCCTCTTTGTTAGGTAACGGGATCCTCGATGATGGATTCTCATATTTTATTGTACTGTTTCTATGAAGGGTTGGAGAGACTGTGGATATACTTGCTCCTCGGTTCGGCCTACCATTATCGGCGGCGGCGGCGGCGGCGCAAGATATATACCTATAGTCTCTTAGCACTCAAGAGTCAACGCTGGCACGCTACTCCGTGCATCCCGCTCCTAGCTTCAAACGATCCCGACGCATCCACCAGGAAACACCACAGAACCTAGAAGAGCTAGTCAGAAGTCAACCAGAACTCGAACTAGAACGCGGGGCACAGGACGGGAAGAGTCAGGAAGGCTACCTTTGTCCTAGCTGCAGTCCAAGAGGTTTGGAGAGCACGCACGCTCGCAAGCGGCAAGCCTTATTTGCCAGGCTAATTTTCCTAAACTATAACATGGCGCAGATACAGACAGGGATGAAGGGGGTCAACCGTCAGTCGGTTCTACTGTATGAGTTGAGATAACTAGTACTAGTACGGAGTACTCCATCATCGTGCGTCTGTGGCTTCTCCAAACCGCAACTCGCGCAGGCAAATCAGAATCGCTCCGATGGGAGGAAATCGCTGACAGGAGGAATATGATTGGGTAGGAGTGTTTATTTGTGTTTGCGTGAGGTGATGGATGTAGGTTGGAGCACGCGAATGTCTGGGATATCTGTCTGCGTCTCTCTTTCTTCTCTGATGCGACGAGGTCTCATGACGTGCGCGATTATTGTATATGTAGTGTAGTTTGACAGCGGGGGTTTTTGTTTGGTGCATTCAAATTCCCCACCGCTTGAGCTGAGCGTTTGCAGGACATATGCGAGCCGCGGGGTGGTGAGAGGGATGCATGCTCCGATGGAAGAATGGTGGTTATGATGATGTTGACGATGATGATGATGACGGGGATGACGGGGATGACGGGGATGATAAATCTGTTTCCAACGCTCAACATTTCTTCACTCTTTCCCATCAGAGTTGTGTTCTGACTCAGTTCTGTCCAGTCCGTCCCCTCCCTTCCCAAGTGATAACGAATAATAGTAGAAATGAGAGATAAATATGAAGACAAAACGAAAGAAGAAATCTATCCGCTAAACCGGAACCGGGTGGCTTCCAATCGTCCCAATCCTTCTCTCGGGGCCACGTTTCGACGTCGGTATGAGTTGGTAAAGTCTATAAAGCACGTGGTCAGCCAATGGAATCACACCTAATTTGCGGAATCGTCAGCATACCCTGCAAGAGAGCTCGAATCTTCCGCGTCTCTCCTGACTGAACTTTATCAGAGATCCCCTTTAACAGCCGCTCAGCCTCGCCCGCCTTCATCGTCCCCGCGGGGAGCATCTGGAGCGTCGACTGCACCCAACCTCCTGCCTCCAGAGGCATCAAATAGAACAGAGACATCAGCAGACCTGATGCGTCTGGGAAGCACTCTCCGGGGAACGTAAACATCATGCCGGTGAGAATGCGTTGCACGAGGACTTGGCCTTGAGAAGCGATCAGCTGTTTCACTGCCTCGCGGATTTCGGGAGGGTTGGAGAAAGGCTCTCCGTCCGGCGCTGTGAAACCAGACACTGCGGGTTTCTCGAAGGCAAAGCTGAAGAGATCGTGATAGTAGTGCAGCGTGGCCATTAGAGGGTCAATCTGCTGTAATGTAAGTGCGCTCAATGCAGCCGAGAAAATCGCCACTGCGAGGTTCGAGGTGATGCACTCCTTGGGATAGAATCGGACGGCATCGGAGGAAAGCCGGAAGAAGTCCTCAATCACTACTCACATGTTAGACAACCTAACGTCGGTGAAATGGAGGATACGTACCATCAGGCAGATTCTCCGGTGCTAAATCATTGAGAGCGCGCAGAAAGGCGACCGCCTGCTGCTCATAGAATTGGAATACTGCATTGCTAGTGGCGGTATCAACGAACTCCGCGCCCTCGGAGAATTCGCGGACAACAGCATCTGTGGCCCATAGGAAGCATCCTTCCCGAGAAACCTCGAATCCGTTTGCAAGGCTCTGTGCGAGGGTTGGGAGTAAAGGCGCCATGGCTGTTCTATAGGTGATGATCATGTTTCTCCAGCAACGGCATACGCGTTCGAGAATAGGCGTAGACGATGTGAAGTTCATCACTAGCGTGGTCATGATAGGGAGGATCTCGCCGCAGTACTTCACGGCCGGATTTTCTTGGTCTTGCACGGCAGGATTCACCACGACGATGAATATCGTGATTAATTGAAGGTGATCAGCAACAGCTCGCTGTCCCTGCTCATCCTTGGCATTGTTGGCCAGATTCATGATTCGAGCCATGATGGGGTCACAGAACATCTTCATCGTTTCATAAATCTTCTCAAGCGGCTGCACAGCGACTACAGCCGCAACACCTTCCGTCACCTCTTCCTGACTGCTCGGTTTCAGTTTATCGATGACCGATTCATAGAAGGAATGGAGCTGCGCAATATGGCCTCCAAGGAGCTTCTGGCAATCCGTACCAAGGAACTTGAAAGCCAAGGCAGCTGCCTGAACAACTTCCACGGAACTGTGCTGGAAGCCGGAAATGACATAATTAAGCTGTGCTTCGAGGGTCTCTGGATGTTGCGCTGTCCATTCAGTGTAGCGCGCAAGCGCCATGATGGCTTGGAATCGGACTTTTTCTTGGTTCGGAATCTGCACGATCAGGGGAATAACCTGAGGTAGCACCGCGCTTTCTTCCGGATCGACCATACGGCCCATGGCTCTCAAGCTGAATAGGGGTGCTTCGAGCTCTTGCCAATTTGGAACATGCTGATCTGTTGATTGAGAAGCATACTGCGAAACCCATCGCTGGATGACTTGGTATGCTTTGGACAAGCATTCTGTGACCCCAATCACGGCGCAGCAGTCCTTGAGAACGTCGCCCATCTGGTGCCTGAAGTGGCGGAACTTCTCTTCCTGCTCCCGGTCGCCCCCGAAGAGATCAGATTCACCTTCATCTGGGTGTGGAAACTGGAGGTGTTTGATCATGATGTCCACCAGCTTTGAGAATATTTCAGCGTAAACAACCCGTGATTCGGCGTATCGGTCTAACGTAACGTATTGCTTCAGTTCGTACCAGAAGCCGAATGTAATCGAAACCACGTCGCGCTCCCAGTCTCGCGCGCAGCATTCAAGCACCGCTTCCACAAGCTCTCGAAATTCCGACGGCAGACGTGCCACCAACACAACCCATGCTTCGCCCGCCTCTGCAAAGAGTCTTGTAACACCTCTGAAAGCATCGGTATCCTCCGCTTCGGCAGTCTGGGCGATTTTCGGACGGAGAGACATCAAGCGCGGGTACAAGGCCTGAATGATAGGCAGCGAGTCATCCACCTCACGCGTGTCTCTGTATAGAGTGCACATGCTGTCCACTGCGGCATCAAATGATCCATCGTCATCCAGGGCCTTCACGATGACATCCATCAGCGGGGAGTCAACGATCCTTGCGGCCGGAATTTCGCGCATCCAGGACGTTATACAATCAAGAAGGCGGGGGTTCGTGGAGGCAGTAGCTGACTTATTATTAGCGTTTAACAGGAACAAAAGTGGACGGTACGTACGCGATGACTGAGCATACTGAATCAAAAGGTGCATGACTTGCTCGGCGTTGTCTTCCAGCAGTTCTTTCGTTCTCATCGTAAGTTCATCTTCCTAAGGCGAGTGTATTAGATCCTGAATTATGGCCGCGCAGAGAGTCGTCGCCGATCGGTGCTGTAAAGATGGGATGCTGAGTTTGCCGAACATACACTTAGATTGATTTTGCGACCTTCTGTCACTTCCTCCGGAAGGATTCTGAGAAACTCCAGCACGCAGTCGCCGGCACTGCTTCCCAATGAGGAACCGACGGTGACTAAAACGTCCTTCCATTCGATCATTTGAATTGCAAGACTGGCGAGACACACGCAAAGCTGTGTTTGGACTGGCCGGGGTCCCGACCCAAAAACCACCAGCAGGTTGAGTACCGAGTCTCTCAAATCAACCACTGATTCCGCGGGCAATTGATCTAGATCAAACATAATCTGGGACAGTCAGTATGCCAGTATGGTCTCATCGGAGCAAGCGCCTGCTTCACCTTTCCCTTTAATGTTGTCGCGGCGAACAATTTTGCTTCCACAGGAACGTCCGTCGACTGTAGCATTTCATGTGTAATCGTCCAGGCATCCACCTAGAAGGAACAAGCACGCTGGTCAGTATGGCCTTTCCCCAGAGGTGCGAAGATTCATATCCGGGCGAGGGGCTACGGGCGAACGAACAGATTTCTGGAACTTTTCAAGGAATTCATGGGCGTGGGCTTTCTCCGAGCGCGGGACATTTCCTTGCATCGTAGCGACTGCTGCTAGGACGGGGCCAAAGGCCTGCCCTGCAGCATCTGCCTTCTCGGCCATGGTCGGTTGTAAGGAAGGTGTTTTGGTGTGGTGGACTCTGGAGAAGCGGGCAAAGAGGGGTCAAAAGGCCAGACGGCTCAACACCTGCGGGCCTCAGTCATGAATCATGAAAACAGCGTAAAAGAGAAAAGCAGTCAATAATGTCGACTATAGAAGAAACAGAAATGGTCGGGAGCAGAGCGTAAAGCAGTGAATCAGTAGGAGTGGAAGTGGGATGGTGGTGATGATCCGCTCCCACGGAAAAGTTGGTGAGCCGCAACAATCGATGGTGCTCCGAGAGTGGCCTGGAAACCCGCGGTCAAAGGAAGCTTCAGATCAATCTTTTTCCTCCTCATCAACCACCACTCGCGCGACTAACCACGCTTGCTTCTCAATTACCACTCACGCTTCGGAGTCTCGTGTCTTTTCTTTTTTTTCATAATATATCCACACATCTATTCTCATCATGACTGGCCGAGGAGGTGGTGCAGCTCGCAAGACACTGCTTGCGCCGATTCACTTTATCTTCAAACTCCTCCAGCAACGCTCAACAGTCTCCATCTGGCTCTATGAGCAGCTCGCATTCCGCATAGAAGGAAAGATCAGAGTAAGGGTTCTTGTTTTACGGCGAAATAATCATCGCTGACTGAGTGTCTAGGGGTTTGACGAGTTCATGAACCTTGTCGTTGACGACGCGGTGGAGGTCAAGCTAGCCACAAAAAGTGAGGAGGAGAAGAGACGGCCATTAGGTATGAAGACACACTATCTTAGGTTCGTCAGAGCTCGGGATGCTAATACGCTTTCAAAACTAGGCCAAATACTCCTAAAGGGCGACAACGTGTCGCTTATTCAAGCTGTTCAGTGATTACGAGTCGCATTTTTTCCTACATAATACATCGTTGATTTGAAAAAGCTCTTTGACCAATCCCCGATGCTACAAAGACTTTGATGGCATCTTCTTACGCCCTGCCACTGGAGGACACGGATGGGATAGATAACTGCGGACATGAGAAGGAACTTTTCGGGGCGTTCGATTTCACCGTCGGCGCACGAGACACCGACCATCGCCAACGATTAGGATATCTACAGGCCAGTCATGATTTGTAACGGGTACTTCTTCGGGTGCGGAAAGTGTTTGCTCTTTGAGGGAGAGAGCGACTGTGGTCTAGTCAGGAATTTATCGTCTCATACGTCTGGAGTAAGGATATTGCTTACCGAGTAAAGGCATGTCTCGCGGGGCTGTCTCATTTTCTGCTTCCCATCTCAAGTACCTTGACAGGAAACTGTCATAGTAGCCTTTCCCATGGCCGAGTCGTCTGAATTCGGGGTCAAAGGCCATCCCTGGCATCACGATCAGGTCTAAGCCAGAAGATCCAGATGCAGTCTGATTATTTGGGGCCGCAGGGAGTCCGGTTCCGCCGAAGCAATCCTTCTTGCTCAGCGCTTGTGCCTTTGTAAAGGACGGGATGCCCCATTTGTCGCGCTCCAAGGCCATGAATTCCTCCATCGAGTCCAAGGCTAGCATATCCATGACAGAAGTCTTCTGCTGCGTAGTTGTAGTTTCGATGCTGTGAATATAAGGCACGAAAACTTCCTTGTGGTTTTTGAAGGCGTCCTGGACTATGTCTGTCGTCGACAGTTCGCCTGTCGGCATCGAAAGATATACACCTATTCTCTTGGCCTTTTGGTATTCAGGAAGGGCGAATAGTCTAATCGCAGCAGTCCTAGCTATGGATAGTCAGCTTGCGTTGAAAATATAGATTGAGGCTAGAGAGTTGTGTATCCAACATTGAGTGACGATAGATTCCGCGGGGATTCTCTGCAGGACATCCCGCATTCTTTTGCGGAGATCCTTCTTTGCTGTTTGGATTCCAGCCATCATCCCGATGAGAAGCAATCGGCGAGGCTCGATAGAAGAATTGGATTGTTGTACACAAGAAGACGGAGAAGGCTGGGTTCGTTCAACTGCGTTGTTGAATCATTGTCCAACCCTGCTAGTGATTGATCGCTAACGGCTTGGCATCTCATGGATTCTTTTGTTGTTTTGGCGCCGTTTCGTGGATTAGCATGGCTGGATCGACAGGGCCAGTCTCCCTTCGCAGGGGAAGTCAGGATTGCGCCCTTGAATGAGGATTCTCTTCTCTCAGTTCCTTTCATCTCTTCCAACTTGACAACCACTTCGGTAGCTTCCTCCAGCAATGATTGTGTTATACTCCGTGGCTAGCCTTCTGGCAAGCACCGTTAGTGCCGGCAACGCCGCCGATCTAGTAGGCACCTGGACCACAAAGTCCCGCGCCGTTGTTACTGGCCCAGTAGGTTATCCCCGGCTGAGGGCGGTTATTCTGGGCATGGCGCTGATAAAGTTTTGAATACCAGGGATTCTATGACGCAGTCAACGACAAGTTCATCGAGCCAGACCTTACGGGTATCTCGTTTTCGTTCACAGCTGACGGGCACTTTGAGGAAGCGTTCTACCGGGCTGTTGCCAACCGTAAGTATATACAAACCGAGATTCATGGGGGAAAGCTAACGGCGAATGCGACGAGTAGCTCAGAACCCCGCATGTCCACAGGGCATCATGCAGTGGCAGCATGGGACCTACACCATAGGTCGTGATGGCTCTCTGCATTTGACACCAATCGCCGTAGACGGCAGACAGCTACTATCAGACCCGTGCTCGTCTTCGATGGGAACATACACGAGGTACAACCAGACTGAAAAGTACAATGTATGTGTGAGCTCGTCTAGGTATTTCGGCTCCTTCTAACACCACTAGTCTTTCACCGTCGCGGTGGACCCATACTATGAGAGCATGCGCCTGGATCTCTACTCGTTTGATGGATCGCCAATGCACCCGATGTACCTTGCCTACAGGCCACCGGAGATGTTGCCGACCACGACTTTGAACCCCATCTCATCCAAAAGATCAAAACGGGACAATAGCCGAAAGACAACCCCGACTTTCGACCTGGGGAAGATCGTCAGTAGAGACAACCTCATTGATCCGAATCGCCTGATGTGGGTTGGCATCATTATGAGTGCGATGGGTGGAATTGCTATGTTCATGCCATAGTTTGATAGCTCCAGCCGATACAGAGTAGATGTATCGAGGATCGAGTTCGGCGTCAGGATTATTTGAAACCCAAGGCTACCGGGTGGCGTCTTTAGAGCATGGCGCTGAAGCTCCGTTGGTGTACTGAGTGTTTCTGATTTGGATCCGGTCCTCGCATGCGGGGGTTTTTTTCCGATCCTAACAGAGGCTGTGATATAATCAAATGAGTCTTTTGCCACGCTGTAACACAATGCCGTTGTGCAATCGGATCGGGCCAAGCCGTAATAGGGGAGTTCTTGCATAGATCGTATAGTGGTACAGTGGTTAATATACATTGCGCTTTTGCTTTTCTTCTTTCACAGAAGCGTCATCAATCATGCCGACGAAACAGCGTCTTTGGCGATCTTTGCAACTTCCGATCGTTCCGCGGGCTTGCCGTCCAGGGGACCCCCAGGAGCAAAAAGGGATTTAAGAACTGTGCCGACCTGGAATTTCTCTCCAGCCTCCTTCAGCTTTGCGACTTCCTGCGAGACGATCTGCGTGATCTCCTCAACGCTCATTGTCTCGACCTGGCTTGCGTACTCCTCCAGAATTTCCTGCGCCTTGTCTTCCTTCTCCTTTAGATCCGGTCGGTTGGCTTCAATGAATTGTTGAACCGAGTCTTTCGAGGCAGCGACACGCTTCTTAATGAGCGAAAGGAGCTGCAAGTCGGTCTGAATAGGAGAGGCGGTCTTTTGGGAGTTGTTTGTTTCGGAGATGAGAGCTCGGAGGACGTCTAGTCTGGGAACAGAAGGTGGTTAGAATGAGCGTTATAGGTGACATTGATAAACTGCCGAGACCTAGTAAAGGACATACCTGGCAGCGTCTTTGGCTCTCATCGCAGTCTTCAAATCAGTCCTGAGTTTGGTCATCAGCGGCGGCAGTGACGGGCTGCCAGTCGAGTTCCATCGTGCTTGGTAGAGACCCAAGCGGGTTGTTTGTCGCAAAGCTCTAAACATGGCTGGCATGGGTAGATGTCGAGGATAATGGAACAACAGTAGATCACAGGGCCAGAAGAGCTATACAACTTATTATGAAAGCTATGAAAAAAGGGGTTTGCACAGCTCTGTTTATGAGGCAGAATAGACAAGCAGGCAGAGCAGCAGCAAAAGGCGGAGAGCTCAGTTTGACCTTGACTGGTCCGTGCACAATTTTGTTTCTTCCCTGCTTATTATGATCGCTTCATCATTGTTTCTTCTGTATTGAATGCTGCCTCTACTTCGGCCTCAAGGACAACACCCCGGCTGAGGAACACAACCGCGTGTCGATTCATGCTTCTTTTCCTCCCGCTCCAGCCTACCGCTCTTCTCCCCGGCCTGCCTCTTTTCATTCGAATTTGCTTCCCTTCCCCGATCCTTGCGCTGCACGAGTCGCTTCCACGCCGGGGAAGCGCGACCACTTTCTTCACGCCTTAGACAGGCTTCGGAGCTGCACCATGTCCTACCCTACCCTGCCGCCTGTGACACCTCAGAAGCCACTTCCTGGAGCCTTTTTCCAGACGCCCGCGACCAGCAATGCGCCCGTTTCACAGTCGATTGCGTCGTCCCAGACGGCGACACAACCAACAAACTCAAGTCCCCAAACTGTCCTTCCTAGGTTCCCTCCGGCGTCCGCCTTAAAACCAGCGACAGCTCCGACTTCAACCACAGAGGACCGTGCCGCGCGAACGGTCAATGATACGCTTGCACAAGAAGCTCGATACCCAGATCTCGATAGCTATTTGTCTCGTAAGTGGACAAACCGGATAAATTTGAATTGAACGGTCAAACTAACAATCTGGATAGAGGGATTTTCGTCCGATTATGATATCCCATTGTCCTCGTCATGGGCGCCGTTCCAAAAAGTCAAGATGTACAACATCCCCGACCAGATTTTCGACCAATATAACTTAGCCCAAGTATCAACCAGTATGGGATTGTTGGCAGAGTTGCACCACGCGTGGGTGGCGATTGACAACGCGCTGTACATTTGGGACTACACGCACACAAATCCTCAGTTGGTCGGGTTCGAGGATCAACCTAATAGCATCAACTCTGTAAAGCTGGCCAAACCCCGAGCTGGCGTGTTTCTTCCTTCGATCACCCATCTGCTTGTCATCTCAACGACCGCCGAGGTTATCCTTCTAGGAATGAAGTGCGAAACCACACCCGGGGGAAGTCGTCAAGTCACATTGTTCCAGACGGGAATGTCGACATCCATCCGAGGATTGGACATTCACATCCTAACCTCCTCGGACGCGACTGGCCGTATCTTCTTTGCCGGAACATCAGATAACGACGTCTACGAGCTCACATATCAACAGGAGGAGAAGTGGTTCCAAGGTCGATGCTCAAAGGTCAACCATACCAGCTCCCGGCTCGCAACGTTTGCGCCGTCTTTGAGTTTCACACAATCGGCCTCGGAACATGTTGTCCAAATGGAGATTGACGACTCCAGGCGATTATTATATACTTTGTCATCTGCATCTACCATCAGGGTCTTCCACATGAAGACGGATGGTACTCTCTCTCTTGCTATCACGAAGCCGGCCCTCGATATCTATGCCAACATTGGCCATATAATTGCTTCAAACCAAACACTGAACGCTAAAGTCAAGATTGTTTCAATCAGTCCTGTGCCGGCGGCGGAGGCATCGAGGTATCACTTGATGGCTACGACCGCAACTGGCTACCGTATATACCTGAGCGCGACTGGTTCCTACAGCTGGTCTCCTGCACCAAATGGCGCAACTGCTCCAACGAGTATGCAGGCCCATTATGTGAAAACCCCTCCTTTCGATAATCCCGCCCCTGCAGCGCAGGGCCAACCGCGCTTCCAGTCATCCATGGCAGCCAAGGTTCCGATAAACACCCTCAATCCCACAACATTCGCGGCCCGGTATCCACCAGGATACTTCTTTTGCTTTACCTGCCAAGATGCCACACAAAAGACGGATACTTTATTCATATCAGCCCCCGACTCCGGGCGCGTGGCTCGTTCACAGGAGAATGTAATCCCCGGGAAAGCGGCTGAAACCGGGATATGGCTCTCCTTGGGCAGCAGAGCGGAGGATATTGGACTCAGCTCACCAACAACGCCAGCATCAGCGAGCCCAGGGGGCTTCGGTAACGAACTAGCCGTTCAATTTGACAACCCAGCCGCGGAAGTCGCTATACTTACCAATACTGGTATTCACGTGTTCCGAAGGAGGCGACTCGTTGACATATTCGCTGCTCTAGTGCGCAACGGAGGTAGCGGCGGTGACGAGGGGCTTGAGGGCGAGATTAAGAATTTCATCCGTACGTATGGCCGGAGCGAAACGCTTGCAACTGCCCTCGCGGTTGCGTGCGGTCAAGGCGTCGAAGTATCTACGGACTCCCGGTTATCAAAGATCAATGACCCGGAAGTCCTTGAGTTTGCTCGCAAGGTCTTTATCGACTACGGCGGGCGGCCGACTTTGAATGAGAATGCGGTCGCTGACAACTCAACACCCGCTATTGACACAGTTGTTCCATCCCCTCGACATGCAGGTATTGCGCTGTACATTTCAAGGCTTCTACGTTCATTATGGAAGAAGGAGATCGCCAAAGTGGGCAGCGCGCCCGGTGGAGCGCAGACGATCTCGTCTTCCTTCCCGGCTGCCAAATTACAGGGTGTTCAGCGAGACCTGTCTGCTCTCCAGGAGTTCTTCAAGTCGAACAAGTCTTTCATCGAAGGCTTGAGTGGCCCTGAAGCCCTTGCGCGCGTCTCGACGAAACAGGAGGAAATTGAGCTGCAAGCTGAGCACCGGGCGCTGCACTCGCTCGTCCAGCTAGTGTCTCACACAATTGAGGGCATTTCGTTCGTGTTGGTCCTGTTCGATGAGAAAGTTGAAGAGATCGTCGCACTGTTGCCGGAGGAATCGAAGCAAAAATTCTTGAAACTCACGTTTGAAGAGCTCTTCAGCACCACCAAAGGTCACGAAATCGCCAAGGAGCTAGTCAAGGGGATTGTAAACCGAAACATAGCCAAGGGTGCTAATGTCGAGACTGTTGCAGATGCGTTGCGCCGCCGATGTGGCAGCTTCTGTAGTGCTGAAGATGTTGTGATTTTTAAGGCCCAGGAGCTCTTGAAGAGGGCTACAGAGGCTGGTTCCAACTCCGAGCTTGGCCGCAATCTGCTGAACGAGAGCTTGCATCTGTTCCAACAGGTATCGGAGAGCCTCCCAATGGACTACCTAGTGCCTGCCGTCGAAAGCTATATCTCAAACCAGTTCTTTGCTGGTATGTTTTCAAGTGTCCAATTGAAACGTCGTTTTTTAACTTCTATAGGTGCTATTCAACTTGCTTTGAATGTCGCTGGTCGATCAGACAAGGCTAACTTGGCGTTGTCATGGATGATGGATGGCCAGCCCCAACCGGTAAGGATTCCGATTTGAACATGCATCTCGTGCGCTGACAGTAGACTCGCTCAGGACCCTCGAAGAGATCACTATCTGTTCAGGAAACAATGCTACGACCTGATTTTCAAGGTTATACTCGCCGTCGACACTCTTGCCGCTCAGGATCCCGGCGTCGTTGATGGGCAGCTGACAATCGTCGCCAAACGCAAAAATGAGGCTTATGGGATCATTTCAGATTCGACAGATGAAGTATTCTTGACAAGCTTATATGATTGGTATTTGGAGCAGGGATGGAGTGATCGACTGCTAAGGTCCGACTCTCCATTTGTCGTGGTATACCTCAAGCGCAAATCGGCAGACGACCTTGCCCACGCCGATCTCCTATGGAAATACTACACGCAGTCGGAGCGCTTTTTTGAGGCGGCCAAGGTGCAACTAGAACTCGCAAACAGCTCCTTCGTTCTTCCTCTTAGCCGGAGAATTGAATATCTCGGCCAAGCGCGGGCAAACGCCTCAACCTTCACACAAGACGTCGGACGACAAGCCCGCCAGCGATTGCTGCAGGAAATCTCCAACCTCATCGACATTGCGAATATCCAGGATGACCTTTTACAACGACTAAAGGACGACCCAAGGCTCGAACCCGAGCAACGAGCCAGAGTTCTCGAGGACGTTGACGGCTCCATTCTTACGGTCTCTTACGTACGCGCCCCGTCTTCTCCTAAATCTCCACCCCCACGCTTTCCAGATCTTAACCCATCCCACCCTTACATCACTTGCATATACTAACAAACTCAATTAGATGTTCAACCAATACGCCGACAGCGCAAGCTACTACGATATCTGCCTCCAGATCTTCTACATCGCCGATTATCGCAACCCAGCCGACATCCGCGCCACATGGCAACACCTCCTCCAGGACTTGCACGATGAGACTCTCGCCCGCGGTTCCCCTCAGCCCTACGAAGCCGTTACCCAAAAATTCCGCTCTCTAGGCTTTCGTCTCCACATGTCTGAGACCATTTTCCCTATCCCCGTTCTTCTTCCCATGCTCGAGCGCTACGCCCTAGAACACCAGCGCAATGTCGGACCCCCAACGTGGGTCATCGACACTTTCTTTGACCTCGGCGTCGCCCACGAAACTATCTACTCCGTCCTTGAGTCCATGTACTACACCGATGAAGCTCCTTTCCAAGGCACAAACCGCAAATTCATCGCCCGCGATCTCCTGTACACCATCGAACACTGGTTCCACGATACAGTGCGCCTAGGCGGTATTGTTTTCGGAAGCGACCTCATCGCCGAGCGCGTAGTTGAGATGCTTGTTCTTTTGCAGCAGGGCGGGATCACCCAGGAACAGATGCAGGTCGCGCACGAGCTGAGGGCTAGAATCCAGGATATTTTGCGATGATCTTGATCCTACTTCTTGGTCTCGATCGACGAGTTATAGAGGGTAGTTTAGTTCTTGGTCGGTCGATGGGTTTGACGATGGATGTTGTAATGAAGACGTCTTCTGTTCATTTCTCTTTCCTGTCCTTCTACTCTTCCATGCAGAGACTTGGATCGTAATTTTTTTCTCTTATCCCGTCGCATTCGCGTTTTGAGATTTGGCGTTCCGAAATCTTTCTTGTCTTGTTGATGTGTTTTGCTTTTGTTTCCCCTGTCCTTGCAGTGTACTGGGCTGCGATGGACTTGTTATTTAGTTGTTGTAGAATATCCTCACGGTATCGAAGATCTACTATGTATCCGCCGACATACAATAAATATGAAGCTCTAAAAGAACGAGGGAGAAGAGAGATTTGGGCGAATGTATGTAGTCTGCTCATGAAATCACCTGTCTATTAATATCATTAAGACTGTCGCTAAAAGTCCAGAACAATCCAAGGGTCGCTTGCTTGCTCAAAAACAAAGATGTCAAGACAGAAAAAAAAGCAAAACAATCTATACCGAATTTCGCGCATTCCATCATGAGGGCCGGGAGGAACATAACAGACGTAGCCAGAATCAAGGAAGAGAGAGGGAGCAGAGCAGCAGATAAAGAAAGGCCGTGTCTAAAGCCATCCGTCCCTCGAGAAATGATAAGAAACCAAATTAAAAAAAAAGAAAAAAAAGAAAAAAAAAGAAAAAAAAAAATGCTGGTAAAACTGAAATCCAAAAATCCATCAAAACTGTCTATCGAAACCGGACCGAGGTATCAGCGAGAAAATGAGAAGATAAGCAAGGTGAAACAAGAGACAAAAAAGGCCACAGGCGGGACCAGCGGCATGCATGCAAATCAAGCAATTCAACCGACGGGCGCGAGACGAATAATAATAACCAGGGCGGGCTGGATGCATTATTGACGTAGAAGAAGTGGCTCCAAGAAACGTATTTTTCCCATGTTGTGGAGGACAAAGAAAGTAGTAAGCTCGGGTTTGCGGGATTAGATTATTGGTGGTGGTCAGGGTCGTTGTTCATTCAAAGTCGTCGTAAACGGGGATTGGCTTTTCGCCCAGAGCACACAGACGGAAGATATGGCGGAGTTTGGCACCGTAATCGTCATCGAGATAGTCGACAATCGCCGAATCTAAGGGTTGGAAAGGATTCTGGTTAGTCGCCAATTTCCTCGGGTCGCAAGCTAATGCACGGTTTAAAGAAAACGAGGAAAAAGGAGGGCCCCGAAAAATAAAATACGTACGAATTGTGCTGCGATTGTCGAAAATGACGATGGTTTTGGGCTGCCATCGGACTCTCGCCTGGAAATCATGCCCACTGACAATGTGCTGCATGAGAAAGTCGAGTAACCAGCGCTGCTCCGGCTCCTTGAGACCCTGGATCTTGGTGATGAATTCTCCATTGAGGTACAGGCATTTCTCTCCAGTCACAGGATGAATGCGCACCAATGGGTGGACAGTTTCGACGGCGTCTTTGCGCACCAAGCCACCAGTAAGACGCGCATGGCTGATCATTTTGTGAGATGAGTGGACTGCACTCAGAGTATCGAGCCACGAACAGATAGTGGGGGATAAGCGCCTGCTCGCCAGCGTTAGCTCTGCATGTACAGTACTTTGCGGCCGGAAGGGCTGTTCCTTATAGGTTGACTCACTTATAGGCCATGTCGGTCGCAGCAAAAACAGTATCGCCTCCAACATCCGGCCCCTCTAGTAGACCCAACATGACATAGCCTGGCGGCTGAATCTCGTAGCTTACATCCTGATGCCAGAGCGTGGTGGTTGTACGCTGCTCCAGAAAACGGGAGATTTCCTCCTTGTTTCCATCGCGGTGGATGATATGGAAGCCAGGAAATCCACGAACTGTTCCGGAGACGGGCTGATAGTTGGGCTTGCCAAAGTAACCCATGAATTCTGCCTGCGCTGCGGGGCCAGCATCAATCAGGTCTTGGTTGGGGAAAGCAACGACCTTGCGCTCGGAAACAAGGAGCGCAAGCTCGTCCTTAGCGGCCGCAGACAGTTGGCTCAATTGCACGCCCTCAATCACGCTGCCCATCTGAGGCTGAATCTGCGTGACTTTCGCATTGGGGGTCAAAAGATTGGGCTTTGACTTGTCCTTTACGCGCAGCGCGGGGTCGTTATATTCGAATGGAGGGAGCGGATCGAACCAGAGCTTGTCCCATGTCGGAAGATATGCAGGGTATCTTGTTCGCAGGTGGTTTTCCTTGGTAACATCCACGTAAGGAATGTTGATGTCGTAGTTGATCGGTTGCTTGTCCTTAGGTGCAGTGACGGGCTGCGCCTTCTTAGGCCTGAGGACAGGTGCGGAGGATGGCATTGCGCTTGGAGGATGGGAGTATGATCGCAAATGGTGCCGTTTCTCAGATAAGTACTTTTGGTCTCTCTTGCTGCGGAGGGACCGAGGAGAGGGAGATGCAGGAAACGTTTCTCCAACAGAGCTTCGTCGGTGATACAAGGAGTAAAATGATATACAAAAGCGCAAGTGGAGGGATCAAGGATAAATAGCCTTGGTCAATCCTGAGAATTGAGAGGAAAATAATATCGATCAAGTGTGTTTCAGGAGATGGACGAAGAGGATCAATAAATAATAATAATTCTTGCGCGACCAACTCGTCATCACGATAAAGCTGCTGGTCCTTCTGAACTGGGAAATAAACCTAAGTGGATGATGGTTTGATAATAGCGGCAGCGCCATCATGGCATCCACCGGGAAGTTTCGCTTAGACTACTATCCTTCATCTCCGGGCCGGTCAGCGTGCTATGGAGATGCGCAGCGTGACGGATAAAGGAGCTGTCTCCGCGATGCTATGGCGCGCAGGGGTGCATCATCGGTGGCCGGACAGAGTACATACTCGAATAAGGTCGTGAAAAGGGGGGCTGAAGAGGGGCAACGGCATACCAGGGAGCCACTCAGATGAGAGAAACAAACTTGAAAAGGACGTTGAAATCTACCAAAAGGAACAGAACGGAGAGGCGAAAGGAAAGGAACTGGACGAGAGGAATTCTGGAAGGACCATTCGGAATTCAGCCCGCGCGTTGTCAAAGGAAGCAGCAAGTAGAGAGGCGGTCAAGAGGGCCCTTGACGGCTCATTGTCGGCACATAGCTTCTGCAATCTGCAACGAACAGTTGTCCCAAACATCCTCATGGACGCGACTATCAGCATGATTGGGTCTTGCGGCGATTGACGGGCCTTCGACTAAGCACCTTCGACTCCCTGCTCCCGGCGTGTTCCGGGGGATTGGCTCGCCAGTGTCCATTCCAACCAGTACCAGAACTGTTTCACCGCTCAACAACCCTTGGTGTAATAATTTGGGCGAACGATAAGAGAGCCGAGAAGCCGCAGAAGGATGAATAAGTGGGACCATAGAAATAGCATGCATGTTGGCCGAATATCATCCATTTTCTGGTTCTGCTTCTGGTCCCAGAACGGGCTGGTTCTGGATCGCGGAAGTAGCCCTTTGCAGTAGCTAGCTGCCCGAGTTCGAGAATGCAGCTGCAGCTTGCTGTAGCTTTGCTATCTTGCATCAGTCCTTACATGGCTTGAGAGAAGATGGTATAATCCCGATCAACGCCTGCTCCTGCGGTTTGTGCTACCGTGGCCTTTCTGGGAGTATGTCATGTTCCACATATGCAGCACAATCAGTAAGTCATTTCTTGTATTACATGTCTCATTCAAAGTGTCACAGCGATACTGCAGCGATTTTTCCGAGTCGTCCCTTGGTGGATTATCCAATATTTTCTTTTTCTTGATTGATAAGGCGAATGCAGGTGGTGGTCCCCCGGAACTCCTCCGTGCCACGTTAGTGGGGAGGGACATCAATAAAACGTATCTTACCTTCATATGGCTTCGTTCATTGGACGGATTCGGGGAAAGCGTCGTCCTCTGAACTGGGATCGCTCTCTTTGCGGAATAAGGGGACCCCAGGAAAACACAGTCGCTTCCCCGAGACGCGGACGAGATGTTCTCTAAAACAGACTCATCTCACACCCTCATAGGTTGGCTTTGCACCAGGGCGAGGGCGAAATCAAGGGTTGCACATGGACTTGCTTTGTTGGCGACTGCGAGTGGTCCGTCGAAGGGAGATGCTATCGGTATCCCTGCGCCGGTAGGCTTGGTTGTTCAATATCATTCGTCTGCGACGGAGTTGACAAGGGTGGAAGAAACAGCACAAGCTGATGCGCTTGTTTCAAGCCAAGCGTCCTGCAACCCTCGTAACTCCACTTCATTTCGGGAGAACGGTCCAATGCCCATAGTCTATCTCGGGGTCCCCACATCGGTAGATTATTCCTGGGCTGGAGAGTCAGACAACTATGCATCGAAATCGGCCCCAGACGACCGGCGAGGGCATTGGACCGTCTTTTCCATGCTTTTCGAGGACCCATCGAAGCCTGACGGAAGAACACAAAGAATGTTTGCTCTGATAAGGCGCAATACGACACCGAAAAGAGCTAATCTTGGCCCGCATGCCGAGGTCCTGACGGTCCACATCACGGCAGGAGTCTGGTCCACCGTCCTGGCCAGCAGTTGGGAAGAGATCATATCTCGGTCACGACTGCAGGATGAAATCAGCCGTGCATCGAGAATATTGCCTAAATCCGCTATCGAGTGACGATATCTACTTGTGCTACATCGGAGAGCCCAACATGGGACCTGACCGGGCAGTCAAAGACGATCTCGGCTGCCGCTCCTTCAACCAGGATAGGAAACTGGTTGATCGAGCTGGGTCTCTTCCTCTCGCCCATTTGGCCAATCGACCGTGAAAGGATTCATGGTGAAGGAATCGGCATGGTGACGACAAATGAGCATGAGGTGGCAACTTTGAGACCAACTGATTCGCAAAGGGCCTCGTAATTCTAAATGCCGGTAGACCAAGATTCCGCATCAAAGTCCCGGGCAAACAATGATAATCAGAATAATGTCCTCGCAAGGTACCAGAGCCTACTCCGTAGAGGGGCGCGAGTTGTACCTTTCGGGTTCTGGAGACCGGCCCACTTGGACTCGAGACTATGTTCGACGAAAGAGGTATCATTGGACAGGCTGTTCAGAGCTTCTGGCACTAAATGTAAAGTTCCCGTGCTCTGGCCCCAACGTGTTGAAGAGCGGGTCCCAGTCTCGAAGACAGTTACGGAGTAGCGCGACGCTTCAATGGGCCGCAAAACTTCGAGATTTCTGGATCGAAGAAACTAGCTGCATTTCATATGCAGCACCCATGCTTAGTCTCTCTGATTCTGAGCAAAGACTGGGAACGAGCATCCTTCGTGCTAAGAACAGCGATGGATGAGGCGATTAGTCCTTGCAGGAATTCGACGGTAAGACTGACCAAGGCCAATCCCCAAGCAGATGCAAGATCAGCACGTACTTTCAAAACGGTCGACCGGCTCAATTCTGTGTCGATAGTTGCTTCTCAATGAGGACCTTCGTTCTTCTCCCTGTCATCCTGTGCTCCAACTGGCAACGGGGGTATCGCACGAGCCAGGACCTCAGTAGACTCGGCACCTGAACGGCAGAGCTCAGAGTTGCGGTGAGACACGTTCCAATCGTTATTTCCGTCACTCATGGCATGGTTGAGGCCCGATCGCTGTCTGTGGTCCTTAGCATTAGGTCATAGATTCTGCTTCACGGGGATCAGTCGTCCCTGTGATGTTGACACAATGTTAGAATATACTACAACACCAAAGACAAGCAAAAAAGCAAATTGAAGGGTTTCAGTCCTTAGGCCGCACACTAAACTTTACTTACCGCAGCGAGATTGCGTACAGCCTGTACAGCATACGATCCACGCAGCTAAGCTTAAGCTATGTTTAGGGAGCCTAGGACGCGTGCATTTTGAAAAAGCAAGCATGGCCCTAGTCGTGCGTTATCTCTGACTCGAGCTTCCACCGGCTCGGATCTGGTGAACGGCGGGCCAGCAGGATCCAGGTGGTTCTTAACTCTGGGTGAAGCTGAGGAGGGGGAAGTTAGCTGGCGTGACCAGTCACATGACCGCGCGGCTTCACTCGCACAGTCTCAAGACTCGCGGTTGTCCTCCTGAGCGCGTTTGGAAAGATCAACTTGTGAGACTTGCGCTCTCTTCTTCGTCCCTGATTTTCCACTTATCACGTCTCGTAACTCCCAGCTCTGAAACCAACCCCGACCCCGACTCTGGACTGGCTGCACACGGTTCTCTGTTCGTGGGTGAATTGAATTTCCCGCCCATCAACCAGCCATGGCTCTGAGTCTCTGGAGTCGGAAGCGCGACCTAATCTACTTCGGGTTCTTCGCAATCCACATTCCTATCATCCTTTGTGAGTTGTTCACCCAGGTCCCGCAGGGATTCTTCCCAGTCTCCACATCATCCATTCATTCCATCATCATCTCCCGGGCATGGCACACGGCATGGTGATGAGACTCTTTTCTCTCGGCTTGTGCCCGTCCACCGAGATGCAGCCATGTGCAGCCACGGGCATGATAATCTAGAGTACGTACGGATCAACTGACGCCGGGTGGTATGACATCTTCTCAATAGTGGTTGACGCTGTTCCGATCCTCCCAAGCCTTTTCAACAACGACGTCTCTCGCCTACTACGCAACTACTACATCACAACATTCCGCGATAAGTTTTTTATCGGCCCTGTTCCAACATGGTTCACATCCTTCATGTATATGGAACTATACTACCACCTCCCGTTGAGTACCTGGGCACTCGGCGCTCTTCTAAGAGGTGACCCACCCTCTTCCTCTGGTGAACTTTGAAAATTTGCAGGTTATGGATTCGAAATTTCGAATCCCGCAGTTCCAGCCTCGGGATTCTGCATGCTGACTTATCCGGTGAATACACAACTAACTCGCCGTTTGATGATGATGACAGATGATCCTCTAGTCCCAGTCCATTTGCTTGTGTTCGGGTTCCAGTCTTTCCTGACGTCCTGGACCTGTCTCATGGAGGTCTGGGACTGGGAGGACCGCACGACGGCGGAAAAGCGGAGCCTCACCTCGCTGTACGGTCCATATGTCGCCCTTGGTAAGCATGGCTCCGCCCCACAACTCCTCGGGAGCTTGAGTTAATTTCTATTTCTACCTTAGGAGCTTTCATGGCCTTGGATATGTTTTGGCGGCTTCGGGGGAGGCTCCTGAATAAGTCAAAACAGGAGTGATCGTATCACCCTCTTATCTTCAGTGGAACATGCGATCTCCTAGCATGATAAGGAGATAGCAAGGTACGACCACAGCACAAAGGTCGAAACCAACGTACAGTCTTTGGTTTGGTCTACATACATCGATTGCAGTCAACTGCAGTCGATCGCGGTTCAATGTCCATATATTTCTGGCTTAACGCTAGAATATGTCGCGCGGGAGGTATACAAAGCACGAACCAGACTTTGTAGGCTCTGGAAGAAAATCGTAGAGCGATCGTATCATTTTTACGGGCCCTATATATCCTCGATTCTTGAAATAGACTTCACAAGAGCATAATACAATATAGCAACTATCATAACATTCATTCCAAAGGGTAAATTGCCTCGGGTGACTACCGTAAGGACACACCAGTCAAAGACACAGGTTGGATCGTGGAGCCCAAGGCTCGAAAAAAAAACCCCCCGTTTGCGAGTTAGTATTCTGCGCAGAGATACCAATTACCCGGGATGCCTAGTATCACCCGACCTTTTTACCGTGCACAATCAAGGTAGCGCTAGAAGGTTAACCAAATCGCATCGTCGGGTACAGGTATAGACCATTGCGTCTAAGATGAAGATAGGCATTACCGAAACTCATCATCTCCCTCGGAACTTGACATTGATGTCCCAACGCTGGATATAACGGACATGTGGACTGCGGATCATATCAAAAACCCAATAGCCCCTTCAAGGTCCCCGTTAGCTGCTTCGAGAGCACGAATGGCCTCGTCGCGGGTAAATCCAAGTTCCGTGATCTTCGCAATGGCAGCCTCAGGATAGCGTGATGGTTGCGGCTGCGAAGGAGCAGGACGAGACGAAGATGGTGTGGGCGCGGCAGGGCGAGGGCCACCGGCACTCTGGGCTTGACCCTGGCCGCCAGCTTGATGAGTGACAGCGCCTGTACGAGCGCCGACCTCGGCGCCATCGGCCCCCTTGATCACGGGCTCGTCTTCAAACTCCTCCAGGAGGTGTTTGGGGATGTCCGCCTCGCCGAGAAAAGGGACGGCTTGGTCCTGAATCACGAGCGCGCCTTGTTTCAGATCAATGCAAGCCTGGTGTCGTTTTAACATGTCCAACCCCAGGAGGAGGTCGATGTGTTTTCCTTCCATGACGGTGAAGGAGCAGGGTAAGAACATTTGGCCGATCTTGATTTGAGCGGAGTGCACTCGACCCAGGATATTCGCTGTTCCGACACCTTTTGCGATTCCTCCGTATCTTGTGTCCACCAGGCGCATGATGTTGCACGCGGTCGCGCAATCGGGCGACATGATCGTTACCTGAGCGCCAGAATCGACGAATGCGTTGACTCTATGGCCATTGACCTCTACGGGAATATATAGCATCGTCACGCGGCCGAATGCTGTGACACAGGTTAGCGGTCTGTGCTCATCCTCAGCGCAGGGCAGAAACCCCCTCTCAGCAACCTACATTCCGGGTGATGCTCCATTGCATTATGCAAGTTCTCCGTCACCGCATTTTGCCTAATGATTTCCTCGATTTCCTTTTGGTTGTCTGGGTTGAATGGATCGGCATTTAGCATCGCGATGCGGGCTTCCTTCTCCGCCTCTCTCTGAGATTCCTGCCGCTGCTGACTGAGGAGGACCTCCCGGAATCGTTGAGGATCGTGGGCAACATCTGCCAGCTCGGGATTTCGCTGTCGCACGGCATCGCGCACACGGGGATCACCAAGGATGTGCAGTCGGATCATCTCGGGATCGGGATTCATTTGCTGCTGCCGTCGCTGAATCTGCTGCGGGGAGGGACTTGGGCCGCCTGCACTGCGAGGCTGCGCTGGCGGTCCCCGAAGCGTCGTAACGTGGACCCCTAGCATGTCCCCCTCTCCGATTCCAACCTGTTCAAGAGTCTTGGAGTCATCACCGAGTAGCTGATTATTGTAGACGAGTCTTTGGGAGGAAGGAGGAATGGATGTTTCGCTTTCGACGATGCTTTTAAGGAGCTCGATCGACATGTCGGGACCGACCACAAGAGGAATGAGATCCAGATCAGCTTGATCCGGTCGGATTACGTTCACTGTAATGCGCCTGGTAGAAGCGATTGTCAGTATTGTTTCTTGTCTGTAAGCTTCAATCCTCATCTCATAGAACTTACATGGCGGCCGGAGTGGTGCGGGGAAACTTGAAACGTGGAGGGGAGCGTTGAGCGAGAGATAAGGAGCAGGACGGTCGGGATTGCTTCCAGTGGTATTTATTGTACACGGAATAAAGAGCGCAGGTGAAAAAAAGGTCGGAGAGAAATGAAGGAGGTTCAACGAGGCTGACAGCAGTCTGATATAATACAATGAGGCGAAGAAGCTGATGGATCACAAGGGCATGTGAGAGGGGGGGGGGGGGGGGGTTGGGGGTTCAAAGGAGTGAGACGGATAAGGACAGACGGCAAGAGGAATTTAAGAGTAGGCTTGAATGCAACAGAGGAGCGGGAAGAAGTGAGCTGGGTATCTGAAACGAGAAGCTCTGGTTGAGGGGGGTTGTGGTCCTGGGGAGGAAGCAACACTGCGGACGGAGGAGAGGAAAATCACCCGCTCAGGCAACCGTCATGCGTCATCTATACAACAATTGATATACAAGTCAGGCACACGCGGAATGTTCCCGAGCGGTCGAGGAACCTATGTCCATATATATATATGTATTGATTTCTCAGCAAGGGCTGACTTTTCGATTATCTTCTAGGGCGAGGTCGCTTAGAAATGATTTCCGATAGCCGCGCTCGTCTGTCGATATATATTCGCACTCCTCCACACCACCACCCCACGGCTACCGTACTTTTGAAAACGAAGCCTAGATGCGTCCACAACGACATGTCTCGAGGATGACCCTTGGACCTAGCAACCCTTGCGGCCTAACCTGGTTTGGGCACTCTCCCGGAACTATCCTTCTGGCTTGCGGCTGCAGCGTGCGCTCAGCTCCAACCATGACTCCGAGAAGGGGACTTTTGATAGACGAGTCGCACTAGAGAACAAGTTGGTTGCCCGTTTCGGTACTCTGCAGAAAAGGCGTGGACTGAAGTTGGCTTAGCTTATGGTTCATCCACGATTGCGGGACTTTTAGGAGCATCAAGCTGAGAAGGAAGGGCCTCGAAAGCGAGCATGTTCACCAGCTTGCCTATTCTCAAGACCGGAATTATTATCCTGACCATAGCTGTCGAGCGCTCAGACCATGCGCTGTTGGGATCTATACTACCTTATCCGCTATTCTAGAGTTGGCCAAGGCGAGGAGGGATTAAAATCCTTGCTTGATATTGCATACACCACAGCTAGCATTACATGAAACATTAAAAGGGAGTACGAAAACGGGGTATAGCAGTACACAGGAGCCAACCCGGATAGCAAAGTCAACCGCCTATCCCAACTGCATAATCATGCCGTTCTTGATGGCGTCGAGCTCCTTCTTGCCGAGGGGGTCTTTCTTGTTAAAGCTATGCTTCTTGCGCTCCGCCCTGGTCATGGCGGTAATATCGTAGTTTTCGCCCCCGATTTTACCCTTTTTCGACAAGGGTCCCTCGCTGTGCTCTTTCACATAGGCTTTATGAGCTGCAGCCCACTTCCATGGATCAGCAGAAGGAGCCGGGAGTTCGATATCACCCTCGTTGAACACTTCCTCAATGCTCTTAACAAGCTTATCTAGGTCGGATGGGCCTTGAAGATTGATCTGATACTTCTTCGCATACGCCAAGACGTAAGCATCGAAGTGACCTTCGACCTTGGCCGAATCATCAAATTGTACTTCCGCATCTCGGAAGCGAGAATAAGATACTGAGCCATGACGAAGTGTAGGTTTCTGACATCCGAGTCGGGCTTGAGAAGGTCCACAGACTCGAGGTTGGCGAGCAAGCCAGTGATGGCATGCACATCGCTTCCGTCAATCCTACATTGACAGACGCAAGTTAGCAAGGGTAGCATAAACCTCCATGAAGACAAAAGTCGCACATGGTGAAAGGCATGATGGCATTGCTGATCCAGTAAACTGGGATTGACTCGCATACAGCCCACTGCTCTTTCCAGTTATCCTTGGCCTCGATGAAGTCGAGAACAAGGTTTTGCAGGACTTCGAGGACACCATATCTTTCGAAATCGTTGAATATGTACATGTCGAATGCATCAGGTGAGCGCAAATTGGTATGAGCGATGAGATCTATAAATTTGCGATACCCGGAGACGGAGACGGTGTAGGGGTGTTCTGGATGCTCTGCGGCGGTTTTGTTGCAGATGCACGTTCGCCCGCCGGCGCATTTGGCTTTCTTTGGCTTCTTGGCCTCACCATCATCTCCATCCTCATCGTCCTCATTTTCATCTGCCTCCTCGTCGCTGTCGTCTTCAAAATCACTGGCTATATTCCCATCCAGTCTTCCCTGACAGAGGCAGTTGTAGGTGTCGTAATCGAGGTTTCGTAACACCCTGAATCGATGTTACCGGAGACTGAGACGGCTGACCACCGCTTGTTTCGTGGTCTGGTGGTGGTGGTGGTTTTCGCGCTCGCAGCGGTTCCCGTCTTCGACCGTTTCGCGTTGGTCGCGGGAGGATCTTGAGGGGCGCGTTTCGCAGGCATTCTGGAGAAAATCGAGCTGGTTTGAAGGGGTTGAGAACTCGAGAAAAGAGAGGGAAAGAAATGCTGTCTTTCTCGCCCAGAAATGTCAGGGGGTCAACGAAGGATCGTAGTGGCATCAACGCTCGGCGCGACATGTAAGACGCGCCGCGCAAACAGACGTCATCCACTGTCGGCGGTCATTCGGAAACATCACTGGCCGGAAGCGATTGTTTCCGAATACCAACACATCGACTGGGATAGGCAAATGAGCGAAAGATATCTGACATTTGTGATTTCAATATCAATTGACAGTTGACTGGTCCACTCGGTGTTTGTGTTGATGGCAGTTGGACGGTAACACGAACCAAATTCTCAAATCTGGGAGAGGCTTGGCAGCCGACGCTCCTTTCACAAGATGATACGATGCCAATGTACGGGTTACAAACAAATCACGGATGTGAGCTTGCATTCATCATTGATTGATTTAAACAATCATTCTATGCGCCTTGCAGCCGAAACATCTGACACTCCCTCACCCTCGACCACCTTTGCAGACAGAATCTCATCAACAGGAATCTCTGCCAGACGCGAAATGATGTGATGCAGTGTTGGCAAGGCCTTCCAGTCGAGCCCATCAATCTCGAATCCAGCTTTCTTGGCCGTGCGGACCCGTGTTACCTTCGAGACCAGGAGCTTGGACTCGTCTGCATTTGGTACGAACACTGGATATTCCACCTCTGCCTCACCCTTGCCTTCTGCGCCGACTTTAGGAACGTAGCGGTGAACTAACACACCACCCTCTGTCGGTGCGGCGTGTGCAGAAGGATCCTCATCCTCCAGCCCCTCCCAACGGAATCGGCCCCAAACGGCGCCTTGCCAGCTAGCCTGCAGGTAGTAAGACTCGTCGCGCTGGTTGGCGTCAATCGCGGAGTACAGCTTTGGCATACCGAGCTCCTCGCGCCCGCTCACGATTGGATCTGTCAGACTCTCGAAGAGAATGGGAAGGTAGGTCCCATTGACGACTTCCCCGTCCGCCTTCTTGTACTGTACCCCTTCGATGTACAAGCCGAGATGTCGGTAACCACCGCCGCCGAGCCAGTCCATGCCATTGAGCAGAGTCTGCGAGATGCTTGCAGTTGCGACTGTGCTGGGCGTGGCAAATGAGTACAAATCGTTTGGAAGGAGGTTTTGGAGCAGCGTCCGACTCGTCTTGAACCGGATCGAGGTTGTCTGAAACGTGGACTTGTGTGATCGACTGAGCCGGCTATGACCTTCGAAATCTTGTCTGGGACCCGGCATGGGGCCGAATACGATAGGCTGCCGCCAGTACTTTTGCGGTCCTTGACCCCAGAGGCGTTTGCGGAGGACCTGAGTCGAATGGTCGTACTCGTCATGGCCGTAAATGTACTCGGTAATTGATTTCTCTGCATGCGAGTCAGCCGGGCCACGCAATGGTAAGTGGAGTATTTTACCTTCAGATGGTGGAAGAGGTCCATGAGAGCTCTTCCGCGTCAACTGCTGGACGGTTGTTGCTCGGATACGGCGAGCTTTCTCGTACAGCTTTAGACGCTCAGGGACATCTTCGGAGCGAACACCCCTCGGCAGCATGACCGCTATGGATACAGCGTCTTCAATAGCCATAGCACCGCCTGATGCACGGTACGGCAGGAAAGGATGTGCGGCATCGCCCAAAACAGCCAATCGGTCCTCAGTCCAGGTCGGCAGATCATCAGTATCTAGCAGCGGCCACACCTTGAGTGTTGTCGGATCAGCCTTAGACAGAAGCTTCCGCACCTGCGGACTAAAGTCCTTGTACACCTCCAGCAGACACTCCTTGCTCGCGCCCTGGTCCCACTCGGATCCATCGTGGATCTTGGACATGGAATCGGGATGAATACACACGAAATTGAGCAGCTCGTTATTTGCGCAAGGATACACAACCACTCGCAACTCAGGACTGTCAAACATGTACCATGTTCCAAGTTCCTGGGCTAGATCCCTTGTCTCCGGGTCATCAAGGGCATCCTGTCGGGCAATCAGAAAACGGAATGCGTTTTTGCCCGAACTGAAGGTGCTGATATTCTCCCCACCGGGTAGTTTCGACTTCGCTAGTGAGTGTACTCCATCTGCGCCGAGGACGAGGTCTCCGGAGAAAACGTCGCCGTTTTCAAGTGTCAAGGTGGCGTTGTGAGGGTCGATGTCCACAACTTGACTGGATATGTGCAGCCGAGCGGGAATACCTGGCCCCGGAGCCTGAGCAGCGACTTTCAAGCCTTCGTGGAGATGAGCTCGGTGGACAAGCAGCCAGCGCTGTATCGGTTACTATTGGATCGTGTACCATGGGTGGACGCTTACGTGTCGCCAGAAACCGGAGGTCTTCTTGATATCTAGTGAAAACAGCTCTGGACCGTTTGGAGGAAACACACGGAGCTGCTCATGTTAATGCCTGCGTATGATCGCCCCGAGTCGTACCGACCTTCTCAGATTCTACAGCACCTAGCGTCGTGGCGTCGATGCCGAGTTTCAGAAGAGCACCGTTGGCGTTAGGTGTGAGATGGATGGCAGCGCCAATTTCGCTGGCGAAGCGCGATCGCTCGAATAGCTAATGATCCGTGTCAGTAATAGCGATTCTTGCTTTAGCAATGGGCTCACCTCGACTCGATGCCCTTGCTGTCTCAGAGCGATCGCCGTCGCAAGGCCTCCAATTCCCGCGCCCGCGATAAGAACATGGAGCCCTTGGCCGCCGACTTCTGGCTTGGTATTGCCCATTTCGATGAGTGTATGCTCGGTGGTAGTAGTGCAGTGATGGTGCGCGGGCCCGATGGAAGACTCTCCGTACCTGCCGTCGACCCCACAATCCTTTATAAGTAGGAACACTGAAGACCCCTCGCGACCTAGGACAATAATCTTCCGTCCTCCGTCCTCCGCCCGGCCCCAACTGCCGCGAAGTGACACGCTTGGACTTTGAAGTGGAATGGCATCGGGTCCCCCGAATCGGCTCCACGTCGGATGCCCCAAATGGCGCGATGTGCGCAATGAGGGGCACAACCTCAACTATTTATCCCACATTCCGTAGGATCTTACGATACAATTTGGTCTCTTGATCACTGGAAACGAGAATTGGATCGTTTCGCCCGCCAAGTTCCTGCCCTCACCCACCATCATCATGCCGAACCCAATCCGCGAAGACCTCACCACGATCGATGAAACATCGTTCCCTTACATCTTTGAGCAGAATGCAACCATTGTGCTGAAAGACGGATCTGGCCTCGTCCGGTGCAACGTCTACCGACCAAAGGGTGCGGAAAAGTCGCCGGTGCTAGTGACTTATGGACCCTATGGCAAGGATATCCCCTACGCCGACTTCCACCCAAAATCGTTCAGCGAGGTGAACCCGGAGCATCGCTCTACACACTCTGCGTGGGAGACTCCAGACCCGGCCTTTTGGACGAAGCATGGCTATGCTGTTGTGCGAGCCGATGAGCGCGGAACAGGCCAGTCGCGGGGCAAGCTTGATACAATGTCGCGCGAGACAAGCGAGGCGTTTTTTGACGTCGTGGAATGGGCCGCTGAGCAGTCGTGGTCGACAGGAAAAGTTGGCTTGCTAGGAATCAGTTATTATGCTGGGAGTCAGTGGAGGGTTGGTGCGCGACAGCCAAAGGGGCTGGCTTGTATGATTCCGTGGGAGGGAATGTCGGATTACTACCGGGATCGTTGCCGCCATGGAGGGATTCTGTCAAACGCATTCATCAAGTTCTGGTGGGATCGCCAGGTTGTCTCGAACCAGTACGGACGCCCTGGACGGTCTGCGCGCAACTGGGGTGTGGACACAATCGAGGGAGATCTACCAGAGGAGGAGCTTGTTGCGAATCGGCAGGACCAGACAATCGATAATGCCGAAAATAACTTCCGGGATGACCTTTACTATGCCAGCAAGGAATATACCATGTCTGATATCCAGGTTCCGCTGCTTTCTGTAGCCAACTGGGGTGGCATTCTTCTGCACCTACGCGGTAATGTCGAAGGATACACACAGGCAGGCAGCGAGCTCAAGTACCTCCGCTTTATCACCGGCCGACATGACCTCCCGTTCTACTATAAAGAAGAAGTCGACCTTCAACGCAGCTTCCTCGATGCCTTTCTGAAAGGTGAAGACCGACTTGGTTGGTCTACCGGCACGGCGCCGAAAGTTGATATTGTTCTGCGCAAGGGAGATGTGGGCTTCAACGACGCCAAAGCTGAGCAGGCTTATCCCCGCCGCCAGGAGAACGAATGGCCAATCGCCCGCACGCAATACACGCGGTACTACCTCACCTCAGAAAAAGAGCTCGTGACGAAGCGACCAGACGAAAGGCCAAGCAAAATCACCTATCGCGCCTTAGGGACGCTGGATACACCGCAGCTAGTCCAGTTTACAACGCCCGCGTTTGAGCAGGAGACCGAAATTACAGGCCACATCGTTGCCCACTTGAACGTCTCGATGAGCCCTTACCCCGGCTCTCCGACACCTCGCGACATCGACCTCTTCCTGACACTACGCTACATCTCTCCGGAGGGCAAGGAAGTGTTCTACACAGGAACAGCGGGAGACCCTGTTCCGCTGTGCAAGGGCTGGCTCCGTGTCAGTCTCCGCAAGGTAAATGACCAGCATGTACGCCACCGAGACTACCTCCCACACCGCGATTACTACTCGACGGATGTTCTCCCGGTGATCCCGGGCGAGGTATACCCTGTTGACGTGGAGGTGTGGCCAACTAACGTGGTCGTCGAGAAGGGGGGTAAGATTATCCTCGAGGTGTCGTCGGGGGATACACAGGGCAGCGGAATCTTCCTGCACAATTCGCCGACTGATAGGTAAGTCACCTCAACCCATCGAAGGCAGAAACATAGCTAACATGAGTAGGTCTCCCCAACGGTTCGACGGCCAGAATCACATTAACTTCGGACATGGAGATAACTATGTGACCCTGCCGATTATTCCTCCGAAATAGCCGAGCGCTGCGTGAATTATCAGCCACAGAGCATATTAGAAATCCATGCATTGAATAGTCCACATCGGTACTTGCTGCTAGGGAGCTCCGAGAGATCCGCGTATCCACCCTGTAGTTCTCCGCAATGCATACTCCGCACCCGATGTGGTCCCGAATAGCAAGTAAAGCCATGGCGATATAAGCACGCATTCAGGGTAGTATACACCAGCAGTGAACAATCCGACAATTACCACAGAAAGCAAAACTTCAATTATCCCACCTGTTTCTTACCAAAAAGAACAGCACCACCACCGCCAAAATGTCCTCCAATTCCGAAAAGACCCTCCGCCCCCTCTCCCGCTTCATAACCACCCACGACTCCTCAGGAAAAGCAATCTTCTCCACAGCCCTCTCGGAGAAAATGCCTGTCTCCCCAATCCCCGACGGCGCCGACTTCTCCCTCGCCTACACAACCTCCACCTACCCCGCAACGCTCTCCTCCGACGCTGACATCAAATCCTACGCCTCGTACCTCGAGCCCGGAGGTAGCCCGGGCCTCGTCATCTCCTCTGGCACCGTCTGCCGCATCGTAGATATGCAGCCGAACGCTCTGAGCCCGATGCATCGGACTGTGAGTTTGGATTATGGGGTCGTCCTTGAGGGTGTTGTTGAGCTTGTGCTGGATAGCGGGGAGACGAGGGTGTTGCATCGTGGGGATGTGGCGGTTCAGAGGGGCACGAATCACGCGTGGAGAAATGTGACGCCGCCTGTCAAGGGGGAGGATGGCGTTGTTAGGGAGCAGTGGGCGCGCATGTTGTATGTGCTTCAGCCGGCGGAGAAGGTTAGTGTTGACGGGAAGGAATTGGGGGAGGAGCTCGATGGAATGGGTGTTCCCAGTAGTAAATAGACTCTATAAGAGTGATTTATTTGAAAGCAAGAACAGAGATAGCTTTCTTTCTTGAATGCGGATGTGTTGAAGGGATAGTATAATGCTGAAATGAACAGTAACTAGGTAAATGATAAAGATATCCATATGAACTGCAACTTCGAAAGACCAGTCTAAAACTCCCCTCCCACATCATACCGGAAAATGCGGTCATTTATCCTCCCGCCCGTGAAGCGCCATAATCTCGACACAGACTGACAACACAGCTTTTGTTAGCATGATCTTCTCTTCGCCTTACTGCACTCCCATCTACCTGAATCATAAGAGAAGGTAAACGTACCGCATTCAACCAAACCCCATGCAACATCGACTGAATAAAGATATACTCGGGCACATTCGACCCCGCCGCTCGCTCTACTCGATCGAGGTTGCGGTTCACGGGTCTGTGAGGGGGCACGCGGCGATGGTTCGTGGGCCAGTTCGCAGGCTGTGATGAGGATGCAGATGAGGAGTGAGAGTTTTGGCTGGAAGTGGACTCTGAGCCGCTGTGGTGGAGTTCGTAATCAGCGAGGATGGAGAGTGTGTTGTTGGTAGTGGTGTTTGTGGTGGTGGTGGTGGTGGACATTTTGGCGTTTGAGGGCGTTGAACAGCACAGTTGAATGCGAGACGGACTTCGACCGACGACGATGTTTCCAAGCAAGAACTCGAAGAGAAGGTGTCTTTGCTTTTACCCAGGGATTCTCAGTGGTGCGGCAGCTCTGGAAGGGGCTCGGAGGGGACCGAGGCGAGACAGGCTGGTCAGCTCCTCCACATCCCGACGCGACCACATCACCACTGCCGTCGTGCGACAAGCTAGCTCCCTTGCTTGATTTCGGGAGATGGGGGGGAATCAAAGACGGAGATTGCGAGCTCCGGAAAAGGGAGCGCCCACATCGAATCTTATACAGGTCCTGCTCCAGGCTACCCTAAACAACAGAACTCCTCTCGTCCCCCTCCAACGCCCCTCCTTCTCCTCAGATTTCACTTCACAGAGAGAAATACAAGATGGTATCTCCACAGCCATTCGCGCGCCTCGTTGCCGCCGAGATCGACGGCCGTGCTCACAACATCCGCTACCGACAGTCCCAGTTCCACCGTCTGCAGTCGGCGCTGGTCCAGCACATCGACCAGATCAGAAATGCGTTGCAGACGGATTCCAGCAATGCGCCGGAGGAGATTCAAGCAGAGATCTGTCTAGCGCTCAAGGAGATCCGGACTCACTACCTTTCATTGAACATGCAAGAAGATCTGGAGAATGAGTATCGCGTTACGAGGGGAAAGGACAATCAGGATGCTACGCGGGGATCGGGGATCGTGTATATTATCCCGGCTACGCATACGATGTTCTTTTCAGTCGTTTCAGCGCTGAGTGCAGCAATTGCGGCGGGAAACTGCGTTATTCTCGAGGTGCGAGCTGTCTGGTTCGTGGTGTGAAATGGTGCTGACGGCTGCGATGTAGTTGACGAAGAATACTATGGCTCTGCCTCCGCTCCTTCGCGAGATTCTGCTTCAGGTTTTGGACGCGGATACGTTTGCGATTAGCGAGGAAAGGCCGGACGCTACTTTCCTCGAGAAGACGCTTGTGGTCGCTCAAACGAGTACAGCCTCGCTTTCTGGACGCGGTCTTGTCTCGCCTGTCACAGCTCGAACAGTTGCCGTTGTCGACCGAACTGCTGATGTTCAAGGTGCCGCGAGATCTTTAGTTGCGGCGCGATTTGCGTTTGGTGGGCGATCTACATACTCTCCAGACGTCGTACTAGTCCAAGAGTTTGCCATGAAGACCTTCGTTGAGGCTATCATCCACCAGTCATCCAAGTATCTCGCCGGCCCAGCAGGCGAAGAAAGACAAAAGGTCCTCAATCCACGCCGATCAAGTCCCGGTTTATCTTTTCTGGATCTGGCACACAAGGACCCGAGTGCGCGAGTCCTCGTTTCGGGGTCGGGATGGGGTGTTGTCGAAGTTCATGACAGAAATTCACAGTTGCTGCAGAAAAAGGTTGAAGAGAAAGTTCTCGTCTTGCATCCAGTTACGAGTCTGGACGATGCAATCGATCTCAGTGCTCAGTATGTTTACTTTCTTGAATCGTCCACAACCAGCGCTAATGATCCTAGATTCGGAACCCTCGCAGCAACATACGCCTTCGCCGAACCAGCCTCATCCAAATATCTAACCCAGTTCATCGACGCTCACGTCTCATACATCAATCAAGTCCCCGCAGACCTCCTCATTGGGCCCGCCTCACCCACAAACGTTCCTCATAGCCGCGAAACTCGCTACGCGACAGCAACTTTCCAGGTGCCTCGACCTCAGTTTATCACTCAGAGCACCAACACCGCACTCATCCGACATGTGCTTGATAAACCAAGCTCACAGGAAGCACTTGCCGCCTGGAAAGAGGCTGTGGCACCCTTGCCAGCTACGGGACAGAAGCTAAACAGCAGGATTGGGTTTTTCGAGCAGGGTATTATCACGGGAGGTGTGATTACCTTGTTTTCGTTTGTTGCGACGGTTTCGACGTTGGGATACTATGGATTTGTGTTTGTGAGAGGGTTGAGGAGGGGTTAGATATTATTGATTTTTATTTGTAGTATACTTGCATATTGATATGAGCTTTTCAGACAAGATACAAGGTGTTTTCATGGAATTGTGATGCATGGTGCGCCTAGCCCTAATGCCTTCACTGCCATTCCCATAAAACATAGGCATAAAAAAGGAGCTTTGAGTGCTACAAAACAGTTTCAATAGAGTAGCCGATGCTATCTTCAATAGAATTCCAATCTGATACAAAGATCTAACCTACATTGGGATAGAAAATCCAAGCCATACAATCTGAGACAACCTAGCTCGCCGCAACAAGCCCCTTTCCGAGCGCATCCCCCTCCCACGCGCCAAACGTGAACTGCGAATTACACATATTCGTCAACTCCCAGCTCTCCACCGCCAACTCCCCCTTGGTCCCGACATCCTCCCAATCCCCAACAAGCCCCGCAACAAACAACGCCGCCATGAAATGATCATCCGTCGCATGCGCATCCCTAAAGCGTGGGTGCTTCATCAGCCTCGTCATCGCCCTCCTCAACCGCGGCCCGCCCCGATTTTTCGTAATCACATCCTCAACCGCCTGCCGGAATTCCAGCGCCCAGTCCTCCGGCGGCGTCTCCATCGCAAAGTTATCTCGGTACCGCAGCATCGGCGCCCACCGGTTCCGGTACAGGTTGTGCACGGCCCCGCCCGTGCCGATGAGGAGGTAATTCTCCTTGCGGAGCGGGCGCAGTGCGCTCCCGATCTTCACGTGGTAGTGCGGGTCGTATCGCGCGTTCATGGAGATGATTGTTGTTGGTGGGGAGACGTTGGGGAACATGTGGATGAGGATGAGGTAGACGTCGTGGATCCAGTCGAACTTGTCGTTTCCGGTTACGCTAAAGCCATCGGCGCGCAGGAGCGAGATGCACCGGTTTGCCGTGGGGATGTCTGGGGTGAGTTTATAGTTGATGTATTTCTCCGGGTTGACGTAGGCTACTGGTGATTTGCCTGGGTTTGGGTTTGTGGCTACTTCTAGGGAGTCATGCGAGCAGTCCCAATGGGCGCCCTGTACTCTGTTAGATGATTTTCTCCTGGAGGTTCTCCATGATAGACAGTACCATAATGACGACGCCTTTAATTCCACGCGCGAGAGCTTCGGCGCCGCATTTGCGCCAGTAGTCGGCGGACTCAGACTCCTCGCCCAGCATCATGGTCGAGCCGTGCGAGAAGAAGTGGACTGGTGTAAGGCCTGCATTTTTGTTAGTCAGTTATAGAAGCAATAGAGGGTCCGCAGTACATACCCATGTTTGCGGTATTAGTATCACGTAGTCCAAGATATTGTCGAAACGTGAACAGAGTAAGGTCAGTGAGCTATTGGGAAGCATCTGAAGTAGCCCTGGACTTTTAATGAATTTCTCCTCACATGAGTGAGCCAAGTAAGGGGGCTTGCATTGTGTTTCCGAATCATGGGGGCCAGTGATCGGGATGCGCCTCCACATTCCGAGACTGCTCGGGACCTCATTTTGCCCCTCGGCGAATCGGTGGAAATCAGTCGATGTTTCTCGGGGGTTGGGAGGAGTAATGTCAGGTTCCGCACCGAGATCATGTGTATATATCTATTCCAGAGTTTTTGAAATCAATCCAGTCCAGTTTTCAGGACCACAAAGTAAGAATTGTATGTAGTTGGGGTGTTACCCCAGACCTCCATGACTAGTAACGAGCGCGTGGCGATTGGCCCCCGCAAAATGTTAGATCTCCACAGTGTCAGAGAGGATGGACGAACTCTCCAGACTCCAACTCCCCAACTCTCCAACTTTTCTCCTCCACCTTCCATCCCCGCGTTCTCTTAATCCTTTGTCTCTGCCACAATCATAAATGCAATGCATAATGCCCGAGGACTCTCCTCTGGATTCCAAGTCCCGTCAAGGATACTTCCAGTGCGGCTTCGGCTCGTGTCGCAAAAGCTATAACCGGGCGGACCACCTTATCCGCCATGTCCGATCACGTCTGTCTTCTTTAGACTGGATAAACTAGGTTGCCCACTGCTGACTTGTGCAGACACCCGCGAGAAGCCATATGTCTGTCAAGTGTGCAACAAGGGATTCTCGAGACCGTGAGTCTCGCCAAGACTTCCCCCCCTCGTCCCTTGTGTTAATCGTGTAGGGACCTGCTGAAGCGGCACGCGGCGGGACACAGCCATTTGCAAGACGGGAAGCGCAAGAGGGCCTCGACGCACTCGAAGAACGGGCGTGTCTCCCAGGCTTGCAAGGCGTGCGCGACCTCCAAGCTCAAGTGTGACGAGGAGAAACCCTGCCGCCGGTGTTGCGATAGAAAGCTGTTTTGTGACTACCAAGAGTCTGGGGTCAATAATGACAACGACTTTGCGGAAATTGATATTGATCAACAGGGTATGTCGCTTCGTAAACCGTGCCGAGTCCGAGCTGACGATGTAGGATCAATTGATGAGCCACTTGATGACGACCAGTACTCCCCGATGGAATCGCAGCCGAGCCTTTCATCCCCGGTGCACCCCGATCTAGCCGCACAGATTGTTACACCGGATATCCCCATGGATGCATTCCTCTCGCAACCGAATATACCACAGGATCAAGCCCTGCCGACATATGGTGGTAAGCCAACTCCATACAGTGAAAGTTTTTAGCGTAAGCTGACGCTGACCGTCAGGCCAAACGATCTCGCCCCTCGTCGACCACGAAAGCGGAGTCTTCAGCGTCGACGGGACATTCTTCCCAGAGTTTATTCCTGACTCGCTCGTCTCCCTTTCACGACCTGGAGAACTAGATCCCACCGCTTTCCCTCCGAACGATTACTACGCGCATCGCCTTTACGACCATGACCTGAATTACGACTTTGACCTAACCGAGGTGGACTTTGGTCTGATCGACTTCTATAACTCCAAGGGCTCGGTCAATCCCATTTTCCAGGCCGCCGATGAGCCTCATGATCGGGATGCGGACAGCGGTATCGCCCTAGGCGCAGAAGCGTATCAGCGTTCATCGCTCTCAGCCTGGAAACCGGCACGCGAGGACCATGCCTTTGCGGACCAGGGTGACCTCTCGGTGCCCAAGTCCATTGATAGCCCGGAGGCAAGTGTGCGCTCGGAGCGCCAGATTCTCTCCGAGCGGTTGTCGCCAGGAACCCGGGATCTGATCTTCGGTATGGTCCTCCAGACCAGTCAGAGGGCCAACCTGGCTCGAATCATGAAGTCGTTTCCAAGCACCGAGTTACTTGACAGTCTCATCCAGGACTTCTTTGCGCGTCAGAGTGAACAGGTTGATTCGTGGATCCACGGACCAACATTTCACCTAAACGAGGAGAGCCCGGATATGGTTGGTATTGTTGCTGCTGCTGGTGCTGTGAAGTCGCCTATACCGACTATTCGGAAGCTGGGCTATGCGCTCATGGAGGTCGTCCGATTGCAGATGTCTACAAAGGTATGCCGTTGACCTCACATATCTGAAGTATCCATGTCTGACATTGGCTGTAGTATGAAAACGATAACACTACGATCCGGCATCTGCGAGCCTCGCAAACATTCGCTTTGGTCATTGACGTTGGTATCTGGAGCGGGAGTGGTCGACGGACAGAAATCGCAGAGAGCTTTCAACAGCCCTTGTTAACGGTGCGTATTCGTAGGCGTGTTCGTGCACTTTATTAATCTGACTGTGTAGATGCTGCGCCGGGGGCTTCGATTTCGACGATCGTTGTACTCTTGCATTATACCGGGCCTGGACGATACACATGAAGCCCTCGAGCGAAAGTGGCGGGAGTGGGCGGAACAAGAGTCGTTTAAGAGGTATGTCGTTTGACAAGCTATATCCGACTTCGCTGACGGGATAGGCTTGTCCATCATCTCCTCCTGCACGATGCGCAGTCGTCCTTGATGCTCAACATCAACCCTCTTATTTCTTATGCCGACCTGGAGCTGCCATTCCCCATGATCCGCCCGTTGTGGGAGGCGAAGACGGCTGTAGAATGGAGGGACATCTACCTAGCCACTGCATCCCCTGGCCCAGAGCGGCTGCCATCGCTGGTCGATGTCTTACGGGACATGTCGCAGTGGCAAGGACGGATCGACTACCAGCTGTCCGGCAGCGTCATCCTCCACGGCATGTCGGCTCTGATCAACGAATACCACCGCCTGAAGTTCATCTCGCAAGGCGACTCAAAGCACTGGAACGCGCTGGTGATCAACTCGCGACAGCAGGAACTGTCGCAGGTTCTGCAGCATTTCCGAATGATCAGCTACGAGTGGGGCAACATGCCCGGCCCCCAAATCTCACTCATCTATGAAGTCATCTCAATGTTCCTCTTCATGTCGCTGGAAGAACTGCAGCTCTTCGCAGGAAAAGAAGACAAGAAAGAAGCCCGCCGAGTGTACCACAGCGCGCTTCAATGGATAAACAGCGTCGACTCCCGCCGAGCCATCTGGCACGCGGGCCAAGTAATCCGCGCAGCGAAATCCATGGCTCCGGGGTCGCTGACGGGGTTCTTGGCCGTGGGAGTGTACTACGCTAGTCTCGCCTTTTGGTCGTATAGCGTGGTCTCCAAGGCGCGTGACTCGAAGATGGCGGCCGCCACCACGGCGAGTCCGAACTCGGATTCCCATTCGGCGTCGGCGAATAACAACAGTAGCCTACGCGACCGATACCCGATGGTTTTCCTCGACGGCGAAGAATCCACGGACGTGCACAAATTCATCTCGCTGGGCCGCGGATGTCCAGCCCTGCAGGGAGTCCATGGGCCCGCCGTCGTTGCTGATCCAGGACGGGTGATGGACGTGGCGCAGAGTCTCTTGCGCGCAGATGCACCTCACGATGCGCTCCCACCGCTGGTGCAAGGGTTGTGTCAGTTGATGGACGACTTGGGAAGCGCGGCGCGATCGAGTGTCGCCGCCGTCGCGTAAACCGAACAAAGTGGAAATCATGGAAGCCTGAAGCAACGAAGCCATGGAATTAATGCGGCCCACGTTTTGTACTATAGATGAGATTAGATTAACTTTTCCGTTTGGAGCGAGGCTTTCGGGGCAAACCCACGGATCTGGAATTCTAGGCTCGCGGCGCTGATTCTGTTTGCTAAGAGCCAAGACCCTCCGTCTCACGCAATACGAGTCCCCTGCAGCCCTGATTTGCCTGCCCGGATCGTGGCCAAACTTTCACAGCATGAGAGAAATAAAAATTTTCTTGCTGGATGTGGATCCATCTGATAAGATGGGCTGACATTGATTCGAGCTCCTTCCGATTTCCGCTCCTGCAGCCAAGGTGACCGTGACTGTAACATTGACACTGCGGGTCTCGCGTCTCCTCACTTTGATCCCTGTCCTTAAGCTCTTACATCTCCTCACTCGGTTGACATTTTCTTCTTCCCTTTTCTTTCTTTCTGTCATCTCGACAGACTCTGATTCCATCGCAATGGCTGCTGATTCAGAGTGGAAAGAAACCGGGCACAGCGTGGCCGTGCACCCGCCGCCGCCCGTCAACGACGATGCGTCCACCGACTCGACGGAAATGAGCCCCGGTGTCAAGCGCATCGAGCTCATCAACCAGCAATTTGGCCTCTGGGCGCGCGTTGCCATGTTCTCGGGCATCTGGCTGATTGCCTATGTTTATGGTCTGGATGGCACTGTGCGGTATACGTACCAGGTATTTCCCCTGCGCCAGCTTCTTGGATTTTACTCTTTCTGCGCTCGCGGCCGACGCTGACAATGATGTCTCTCCGCAGCCTCGTGCAACCGCAAGCTACAGCACTCACAGTTTGTTGTCGACGATCGGCGTCTTGCGTGCGGTGATTGCCGCTGCTGCTCAGGTATTCCCTCCGTTCCACGGAACACGGTTTTGGATCCCGGTGCTGATACACTGACGGTAGCCTACGGCGGCGAAGATTGCGGATATGTTTGGTCGTGTGGAGCTGATTTTCTTCTCCATCTTCTTCTATACGCTGGGTATGCGAGAATGTTTGTGATGGCTGTTCCCTGCTGACTCGCCAGGAACCGTTATCGAGACGGCTGCGGATAATGTGCAGACCTTTTGCGCTGGTGCGGTCATCTACCAGGTATCCTGCTATTATCCACAATTTCGGACTTGCGCTGACAACATCAGATTGGATATACAGGAGTCATGTTCTTGGTTGAGGTTCTCATCGGAGATACGACTTCTACCCGCTCTCGTCTGCTCTTCTCTTACATTCCCGCGACACCGTTTATTGTACGTCTCTCACCAATCTGGGTTTACTGATAACTGACGAGGTAGATCAACACCTGGATTAGTGGAAACTTGACGGATGCGGTGCTCAAGGTGACAAGCTGGCGCTGGGGTATCGGGATGTTCGCGATCATCTTCCCTGGTATGTTGTCCTGTGCGTCCCGTGCATTGACCCGCGCTGACTCGATAGTCTGCTCGATCCCTCTCTTCTTGACCCTAACGTATGGCCACTGGAAGGCGAAGAAGGTCACCTCATACCCTAGCCTTGTTGATGTGTTCGGCACGAAGAAATTCCTGGTTGAGATCTTCTGGCGAATGGACATCCTCGGAATCATCCTGTTGATTGCCGTCTTTGCGCTTATCCTTGTCCCCTTCACCCTTGCTGGAAGCAACCCCGATCAGTGGAAGCAGGCTAAGATTATTGCGCCTTTGGTGATTGGAGTGCTCTGCATTCCGGTGTGGATCTACTGGGAGAAGACCTGCAAACATCCAATGATTCCTTTTAAGGTAAGATATCCTCTCGATTTGTTGTTGAATACAGCTAATGTGCGTAGCTTTTGAAAGACAGAGCCGTCTGGGGTGCCATTGGAATCGCCATCATGCTTAACACTGGTATGTTTCCCCGGCAGAAATAAGGAGCAATGCTAATAGGACTAGCGTGGTCTCTTCAAGGTACATATCTGTACACCGTCCTTATTGTCGCTTTTGATGAGAGCAATCTCAGCGCCACCCGTATCGGTTCGCTTTACAGGTAAGCTCAGCAAAATCTCCACCTAGGATGTACTAACAAGCATAGTTTTGCCTCTGTCATCACCGGCTGTATCCTTGGTTTTGTCGTCATCAAAGTGAGGCGCCTCAAACCGTTCATTGTAGCTGGTACCCTCCTCTTCACGGTCGCCTTTGGTATCTTGTACAACTACCGTGGAGGAACCGGCGGCTCAGCGCGCTCTGGCATCATTGGTGGTGAAATCCTTCTTGGTATTGGTGTGTATAGCATCCCGCCGACGCCAGGTTCAGACTAACAATGAATAGCTGGAGGAATGTTCCCCTACCCCGCTCAAGCAAGTATCCAAACTGCCACGAAGCATGAGCGTAAGTCTTGTTCTATTCTTAGTTTACCTCCCATCCTGACTTCGCCGTCCAGATCTCGCTATCGTGACTGCCCTGTTCCTCGCCTCGTACAACATCGGCTCCGCCCTCGGTGGCACAATCTCCGGCGTTATCTGGTCCCAGACTCTCCTGCCCGAGTTGACCTCCACTCTAGGCAACGCGACTTTGGCCGCATCCATCTACGCGGATCCCTTCACATTTGTTGCCGCAAATCCCGTTGGAACACCCGCCAGAGAAGCCGTTATTGATGGATACAAACATACACAGCGCCTGTTGTGCATCACGGGTCTCTGCTTGTCAGTCCCGCTGATTGCGTTCTCGCTGTGCATTCGCAACCCTAAGTTGACCAAGGAGCAGTCGCTCGCCGATGCGGAGAAGGATGTCAATTGAATTGGTTAGTGCACGGCTTATGGGTCTTGGATTTACACGGTCTATACATAATGGGTGAAATGCGGTCGGTCTGTCCAGGGTTTACCTGGCAGCTGAGAGCATTATATAATATAGCTAATCCGGTTTGGTTCTTTGAGACTTGGACCAAATATATACTCTCCTCATGATCGAGCATTGTCTATAAGTTTAACGCTTTATAAGCATAAATAATCACCAAAGTCTATCTGCAACGCTTATTCAAAAATCGACGCCTTGTACGCACTGGGATCGATATAAGGCGTACCACCGCGTCTTGTAAATCCCCAGCGAATCTGACTGGCCATCGCAATCTCCACATCCAAATGCTGCGCAAAAGTCCACGCCAACCCAGGGTCCTTCTGGAACCCACGTCCCACAAGCGCGACATCCAACCCGTCTTCCTCGAGCAACCGGTTCGCCTGCTTGCCGTTCGTGATCGTACCCACGGTAGCAACGAGCAACTTGTCCCCAACAGCCTTCTTGATCGCCACGGCGAAGGGTGCCTGGAAGGCGGGACCAGACTTGACCTTCTGTGCAGCGTGAACACCACCAGAGGAAACATCAATCAGATCTACAGCGCCCTGCGCAGCAAGCGCCTCGGCGAAGCGCACACTGTCCTCCAACCGCCATGACTCGGCGGGCAGCGTCTCCTCGATCCAATCCGTGGCTGAAACGCGCAGGAAGACGGGGACATTGTCACCAACGGCGTCGCGGGTGATCTGCGCAATCTCCAGGGAGAGACGGATGCGGTTCTCGAACGAACCACCATATTCGTCAGTCCGGGTGTTCGCCGATGGCGACAAGAACGAGGACAGAAGGTATCCGTGCGCATTATGAATCTCAATGAAATCCGCACCCGCGGCAATCGCCCTCTTCACCGCATCGCGCCACTGCCCCTTGAACACCTCGATATCCTCCTTGCTCATCGCGCGCGGCGTCGGGAAACTCTCGTGGAAAGTCACATTGCTCGGACCGATCACCTTGTTGGGCCACCCGCCGACCTTCTCGGTAGCAACAACACCGAGGTTCATAGCCCACGGCGCAATGGTGGAAGCCTTGCGTCCCGCGTGCGCAATCTGCACACCGATCTTCTGCCCCTGCGAGTGCACAAAGTCGATGACGCGCTTCATGGGCGCGATCTGGGAGTCCTTCCAGAGACCGACGTCTTGCGGGGTGATCCGGCCTTCGGGGGAGACGGAGGTCGCTTCGATCATCATGAGTCCGGGGCCGCGCTGTGCGATCCCGCCCAGGTGTGCGATGTGGTAGTCGGTCATGTGCCCGTCTTCGGCGGAGTATTGGCACAGGGGGGCGAGCTGTTTCCATGTTAGTATATACTTCGCTTGACTTCGCTTGCAGGAACAGTGTCGCTGTTTCCTTGACGGAAAATGAGGAGAGAGGGAGGGCATACACCAAGTCTGTTCTGGAACGTCACGCCGCGCACCTTGAGCGGCGTATACAGCTTGGGGATCGCATTGCCGCTCGTCTGCGGGTTCGCGGCTGTGCCTGCGGCCGGGCACTGCGCGGGGGTGAAGTAGGTGGTAGCCTTGGAGGGCTCAATCTCAACGTCTGGGAGAGCCATTGCTGTCGACACCTTTGAATGCGTACAAGAACGAAGAACTGGGATGTGTTGCGAGAACTAGGAACGAGAATGCGACAAGGAACAGGAAGGTTATATATACCTCCGCACGCCTCCTCTGCCTTGCTCGCCCCCCTCACCTGTTTTCCATCATCCCCACCCGCTGCAGAAATTAGTCGAAGATCACGAAAGAAAGACAAGATCCACTTGCTTTGAAATCGCGGCGGGTCGAACCTCGGCGAGTTGGTTGGCAGCAGCTGTGCAAGGCACGATTAGTCATCATGGGTGGCACTCTGCTCTACATTGTATCGTCTGAACAGGGCGTTTCTCTCTGTAGATTTTCGATATCAAGTAAGTCTTGCGGGTGTATACTATGGAAGATAGGTACCCATATAGTCACCGAGATACCCTAGTCTAATATCAATCGCAACCTATCGCACGCCTTGAAGAGTATAAGAATCTGACACGAGTCGGCCCAATTGACCCGAGCAAATGTCTCCGGGTCTAACTGCTTTGGGCAATTTTTGCTAGCCTGAGATGTGAGGCGGCGATCTGATAGAATCGGGCGTGGTGTGCGGCCGATGCGACGCTGTCTGTACATGCGCGATTTGATTCCCGGTTTGATATTTCAGGGGGTTTATAAGCAAGTGGCACTTGAAACGTCATTGATGTGGATTTAATTGCGGGTTTGCGATTCCGAGCTGGATTATGAATCAAGGTAGTAAGGGCAAGTAAAGAAAGAGTGAGTAGATTTGTATAATCGAGCCCTATATTCTGTCTAGCTCTAGCTCTATGTCTAACCTTTAAACCAAGATAAAAAAAAACACATCGAAAGAAAGAAAGATATCCCGACTTGCTCAAATCATAGCTTGCTCTTTGGCGGAGTATTCTTCAAGACATTGTCGTTCCACGGATACGGGTCAAACACCAAGTCGTTCACTGGGTTCTCCTGGCTCGCACGCCGGAAGAGATCCGGGTAGACGTTACCATCATACCGGCCAAGACTGCTATCCATCTGCCAGTCGGGAATCTTCCATGCATCAACGAGTCGGACGGCGTGCGGCCGAATCTCATCGAGGAGCTTCATGACCTCGCTTGCTTGCGTAAGACCGATCTGGCGGACTGTGACGGCGGCGGAGGAGAAGAACTCCGATGCTTCGCGCTCAAGTGTGTGTAGGGCGTAGAGGCGGAAGAGGGATCGGAGGAGACTGGCGGTGTCGGGGTCCAGGGTTGAGGTTAGCTCAGGCGAGGTGACGGCTTCGTAGAAGTTCTTGACGACAATGTACTGCGAGAGTGCGGTGGAGAGGCGCCAGAAGTTGACGAGGAGGCTGTTCCATGAGCGCTTCTCAACGTCGCGGTATTTGAGAGTCTCAAAGGTGAGGTGGGCGGTGCGCCAGGCGAATGCGGCAACAATGTCGCTGTCATCGCCAAGAATGTCGAAGGAGGCACCCTTGTCGCGACGGGAGAGGTATGCTTGGAGAATGCGGGAGGTGTCGTTGGAGGTTCCCTTGCCGGCGAGGACGGCTCGAGCGGATTTGAGGAGCTAAACAATCAGTATCGACAGGGGACAATGTAGATGGGCGACTTACGTAGCGCGCAACCTGCTGCGTCAGCATAAAGTTGTCACCTTCCCAGGTCAGGGTAGGCAGATAGTCAGAGTACCACGGCCCAATACCGCTGTAGTTGCTGTAGCCGTGGCCACCACATGCACGACGGCAGACCTCGAGACCCTCTCCGGCGGTGGTACTAGCCAGAGCCTTCAGACCGCAAGAAGTTGCGTGAAGGTCAGCGAGAAGGTCAGAACCTGCACGCAGCTGCTCAGGTCCAGCACCGCGCTTCTCCTGGTCAGCCTGCGAGGCAGCTTTCATTCTGTCCTGGTTCTCCTGGTACAGGCGCATCATGCCGCGACCGGTAAAGTGCAGGGCATACATGGCAGCAAGGAGGGGTAGTAGACGGATTTGAACCATCTTGTAGTTGAGGACCTGGTTCTCCTCTGCGCTTGCTTTGGCGTCTCGGTCCTGGAACTGCCGTCGTACAGCGCAGTAGCGGATTGCGATAGTGACACCACGAGCTAGGACGCCGCCGGCCTGTAGGACAATGTTTGACCGCACCCATGTCATGGTTCCATATACAAGGGAAGGAGAGGCGGGCCTCAGGTACTTGTTTGTGGCTTTGTCGACCTGCGCGAAACGGGCCAGCATGTTGATGTGGGGAATCTTGACCTTGTTGAACAGGAGGAAGCCATTGTCCATGGTGCTATACGGGTTAGCTTCTAGCTTCGTCCTCACTACTATGTGACGGAACTCACTTGTAACCGAACTTCGGACCAATGTCGCCCACATAGATGTTCTCCAGCGGCTGGTGAGTCTCAAGATCACGGATCTGGACAACGAACGGGTGCGGGCCGTAGTTCTTGCCAGCAATGAACAACTGCGCCATCACCACAGCATGGTTCGCCGTGCGGCCGAGCGAGCCAATCCACCACTTTGAGGCCGTCAGCGTCGGCGAGTGGATGATGAACGTCTTGTCCTCGGGATCCCATGTAGCCGTGGTCTCCAGTCCACGCACGTTGGATCCGTGACCCAATTCTGTCTGCGCATAGCATCCGATGATCTCGTATTTCGCAGCTCGCTCGTAGAACAGTTTCTGCTGTTCCGGGGATCCTTGTTCCCGTAAGGTCACCTACCCGACGTTAGCCGATGATCAGTAATCCGACCGGGAAGAATTACCAAAAACATGGAGGCATGCAGGCCGTAAGGGGTTGGCTCTGCAAGCAACTCATTGGCCACGTAGGCATCTTCATCTGACCAGCCGTGCACCTTTTTCAGCTGTTGTAGACGCTTTCCCCGAGCCAGGGCGAGCTGGATCTTCTCGGTCCGACCAAGGGTGTGGTTCCGAGACTTGTCAAACACCTTCTCCGACTTGAGCACGGAGAGAATACTATTTTGCTTGTCCAGGGCTTCTTTAGTGTGTAGGAGCTCGCCGAGCTTGTCAACGTCGATATTCGACTGAGCACGCTCTTGGGCGAGCAATTGTGTTCCTTGCGGTTCGGCAGGCGTCAAGGCCTGGACCCAGGCAGGAGGAGGATTCGGCATCGTGTCGGGAGGAACGAAATGGGGGATGTGGAGGGAAAAATCTGGAGGGAAGGATCGGTGAGCGTGAGCGAAGAGAGCAAGGAGACGAGAGGTAATAAATACCTGGATTGCCCCAGGTGAACCAGACTCCACGGGGAACAGGCGAATTGACAGAGGCGCGGCCGGCCAACGCTGAACGTCAGCTGGGCTTGAGCTGGCCCGAGGGTGTCGCCGAAAGAGGAAACTACCGAGGCATTTTGGGTAGATGCCTTGGTGCCTTGCGCGGTCGAGTGCCTCCGCGACACGAAATTCGAACCGAAGCTCAATCGGTCGTCACAGAATCAACTCATCGGGGCGAAACCGGAGGATGGCTCCTTCATCGGGATATCCTGGACCGAGTGAGCAGGTGAAATGCACGATGGATTTAGCGCCAGGCGGATGGCTCATTTCCCTCTGGCCGAAGCTCGAACCCGGCACTCAAGAGCCGACATGGGTTGTTATCTTATCAGGCCTGATCAGATTGATTTTCACATGGAAGCTGTTGATTAATTCTCGACTACTTCTTCTGAGCTCCTGGCAGTCTACGCAGAGAACTGATGCTGTCTTTTGATTGCAATCACATGCAAACCCACGCGTCTGAGGGCCTGCTGAAGCGCTGCTTCAATCTCGTCGTTTCAATCGACGTGCCAACGCGTTTCCCTTGTTGAATCGCTGCGGCTTCTTCCGTAGTGTTACCTTCGCCCATCAGACCACTTCCGGTTGAGCTGGCCAACAGAAGCCTTACTACGGAAGCCCAATTTTGTCACAAGCCGCGAGAATCCATCTTCATCGTGCTATCTCGACATCGCAACAAGCTCTTCAACCCTGCATGAAGACCCGCGTCGATCCGTGCTCGGAGAAAAGCGGGAGTCAACACTCGCTTGAGGCTGCCAGTATGCCGGAATATATCGCCGATTGAGCTCCAACACTCTCATCAGCAAGTCACGCATATAAGTCGCAAATCAAATGTGGTCGACACGCCCGATTACCGTGAGCATCATCAGCAATCTGCGAGGTCCGATTCAGAGCAATCGCCTCTAGGAAGCATGTGGGCTGTCCGATCGAGGCTACACGGTAACACCCTGAATAAGGGACCGCCGAGTGTTGCGAGCCTGCGTTTTTGTGTCGGGTGTGAGTCGGAAAACATGACTACACCGGTTGCTCAATAGTCTTGTGACCATGTTACCTCAGTACAAATAAGTGTACTCAAACCTCTTCGCAGTACCTGGCCACTGGTAGCGAAACATGATTTCCAAGACCCCCACATCAAAATGGGAGCCGCGAACAGGATTCGTATCCGTACCATACTCCGTATACTCCGTATACTCCAAAGGAACCGCTAACCCATGCCAACCAATGCCAACCCATTTCATTCAGGCTAATTACGTTTGAGGCTATATACATCGTACGGAGTACATCTCCCCAACTTCCCCCAATTTACCCTAAATTTCCACCAATCACCATTGTCGGGATGGAATATATGAAGCTTCATCCCGCATTACCCCTCTCTAGACCACCAAGTTCGAGATTCTACAACAACACCAGAGGTTGACCTCTTAGGAAAGATGTACAACAACCCTATTATCCCCGGCTTCAACCCGGACCCCTCGATAATTCGCGTCGGCAACGACTTCTTCCTCGTTACGTCGACCTTCGAATACACTCCCGGCGCACCTATATACCACAGCACAGACCTAATCAAATGGAACCTGATCGGCCACGCCCTGACGCGCCCTAGTCAATTACAGATCCAGACCCCGGAGCCCGGCGGTGGAATCTGGGCAACGACAATCCGCTACCATGAGGGCGTGTATTATATCCTCGCCGCAAGCTTTACACGGTATCGCCCGCAGGACGACGATAGGGTCTGGCCGCGGGGATTCTATGTCAGCACGACGGATATCTGGGATGAGAGCTCGTGGTCAGACCCCGTGTGGTTCGACCAGGTCGGGTTCGATCAAGATGTATGTTCTCCTTTCCCTTGCTGCATGTACTCTTTTGTCAGCGTAATCAGCCGCGCCAGTCGCTAACCCTGGAAACAGCTCTTTTGGGACGACGACGGCACAGTCTATCTCTCAAGCACATACCGCAAATCTCCCCGAACGCCCGGTACCCCAATCAAAGATTTCGCAATCCACATCTCAACCGTCGACCTAGCCACGGGCGCAGCGACCTCAGTCCCCAAAATGATCCGCGCCTCCCCATCCGGCGTCTCGGAAGGCTCGCACATCTTCAAACGCGGGAAGTACTACTACCTCTTCACCGCAGAGGGAGGCACCGAGAGCGGACACTGCGAGTGGGTGTGTCGGTCTGAAGTCTCCCCTTTTGGACCGTGGGAGGTTGGCCCAGCCAATCCGCTCTGGAGGAACGGGGTTGTCGACGAGATCCAGAATACGGGACATGCGGATCTAGTGGAAGATGCAGAGGGGCGCTGGTGGGCAGTTTTTCTTGGTGTCAGGCCTGTGAAGAGGGGAAATGGGTGGGAGGAGAGTGTCTTCGGTACGTCGTCTACCTACCCTACTTACCTCCTCCAACTCATCGATAATATGAATGCTAACTCCCGAGCAGGAAGAGAATCCTTCCTCGTCCCCATGGAATGGACCGCAGAAGGCTGGCCCGTCATCAACTCTGGCGAGAAAATCACCCTACAAAACAGCACCCCCTCTCTCCTTTACCAATACAACCCACCAGTGGCCTGGAAGGACACCTTCACCACCCCCAAACTACAAATAGGCTGGTACCGCAAAAACACCCCGCTGAAAAAGGACTACACCTACCTCCCCGAAAACGGCATCCTCCGTCTGCACGGAAGCCCCTACACACTTTCGACACCGGCGTGCCCGACCATGTTCCTTCGGAAGCAGACGCATAGGTTCTGCGTCTGGGAAACGAGACTGGCGTTTGAACCGAATTCAACGAATACCGAGGCCGGTACGGTTGTCTATCTGAACTATTTCACGTACGCCAGTATCGGGGTGCGGTTGGCTTCTGAGACCGCCGAAGGGGGCAATAAGGGCAAGAGGATAATCCGTTTCACGCCCAGTAACCTCGGCCCCACGCACGAGGCCATCGATACCCCGCTATCCAGCTCTACGAGTGACGTGATACTGCGCGTTGAATGTGGGGATGAGTACCGGTTCGGGTTCCGCGAGGTCGAGGCTGGCACCAGTAACAGCGGAGACGATGGGGGCGAGGTACAGTGGATTCAGGAAGTGGGTAACAAGAGCCTCGTCGAGGCACCGCTGCCCGTTGGCGCGCCGTTTACGGGGATGATGCTGGGATTGTATTCGTTTGGGGACCGCGAGGCGGTGCTTGTTCCGGCGGATTTCAGGTATGCTGAGTTTAAGGACAGGCAGTAGTTTATTCCAGGCTTTGGCTTTGGAGGAGAAGGGGGTCATGTATAGTTTCTCTTGAGTTTCTGATATATGAGATGGGTTGCTCGTTTTTATATGACACCAACAGAGTACTCAGATGCCGCCGGCGAGTCTTCATATATATAGTATCTGTGCCAAATGCTAGTTCTTAGCTTGGTTATCAGGTACCTTCGTCATCCCCTTGGTCATAATCGGAGACTTCAGCACCTTCTGCCAGTCATGCACCATCTCCGTATTCGTCGTCGACATGCGTACCTCCCCTCCAGCTCGAGCAATCATCTCCTCTTCATACAACCTGATAGCTTCCGCCCTTGTCTTCCGCCCAGAGTAGAAGTCCCCAATCGCAGTTGCCAGCTTCCTCGCGTCAGTCACGGAGTGGTTCAACCCCTGTCCACGCTGATAGGTCATTGCGTGCGCTGCATCGCCGGCTAGCGTCACTCGTCCGCCCTTGTTATCCCAGCGATGTCCCTCTGCTCCTGGGTCAAAGTCCGTCAGACTCATGTACCAGACTTCCTGATCGTCGGGAAGCCAATTGAATGCGCTCTTCCAGGGGTCTGTGAACTCCTTCGAGAATTCTTTTACCTGTTGTAAACGCTGTGCGTTGCTCCAGTTTGCTGTTGCTTCTTGCTCGTCTAGTGGGGAGTGCCATGAGATATAGAAGAAGAATGTCCATGTTTCTGGCTGCTCAGGGTCTGGGAGGTCGTGGAGACCGAAGAATGCGAAGTATCCTGCGGGGTTGATGGATGCTAGGTAGAGAGGGTGAAATGATCGGAGGAAGAGCGCCTGATCTGCAGTAAATCGTGCCTGAACAAATGTTGCGCAGTAGGGTAGTGTGCGGATGGAGCCTTGGTCAGGTCCAAGGAGGATCTCTCGTGTCGTTGAGCGCGCGCCGTCTGTGCCGACAACCAGGCTCGCGGTTATGCTAGGTCCGTTATGGAATGATGCCGTTGCGGATTTTCCGTCCTCGGAGTATTTGATCTTGTCTAGTCTCACTCCGTACCGGATATCTAGTCCCTTTGCGAGTAGTGCCCGAAGCTTACGACGTCGGAGACGGTAGAAGTTGTTCGCCGGGACGGAAGTCATGAGCTCGCCTGTTTGTCCGTTGAGGAATTGGATCGCATCTTTTGCTGCGGTTGGCGTCGAAGGGTCGACCTGGACGGATTGGATGCGCAACCACATATCCTCCGGCATTAACGTCCGTAATGATTCGGTGCCCCAATGTAGGCCCATGTTCCAGTCCCGAGGTTGGGCGTCCAGACTGTCATTCTTTTCGACAACGATACACGGAATGCCGGCCTACTAATTGTTAGACTGCCAGTAATAGAAGAAAGGGCCCAACTAACCTTCTTCAAGCCCTGAGCAAGCGCAAGGCCAGTAGATCCTAGTCATGTTAGGGTAGTACAGAGATCACTGATGTGGAAGTCTTACCAGCACCAACCACCAGGACCGGTTCCGTGGTGGGCTCTGCGACCGGCCGCCAGCCTGAGAGTAAGGTCGATAGCCGACGAAAGATTCCCATTGCAACGACGCCAGGAAATCGAGTTGGAAAGAAAGAGGAAGAGAAAGAGGGAATGAAGGAGCAATTTGAGCTCCATGGCGGCTGCGCACCAGAACGGCAGAGAGATTGATTAAAAGCAGAGTTCGTATGTCGGGGATCATTCCAGCGCGGGCCATGCAATAATCAAGGCGATATTAAGAGGAGCAGGATTAACTGAGCAGTGGAGACAGACAGACGCCAGTTTCTGCAGCCGTCCCGAGCCGGCGTCTTGGTTTGGAGACACCGGGGTATCCCGTGGGATACTTGGAGATTGTCACCAGTGACCAGTCTGCAGTCTGCACTGTGCTCCTAAGGAGCGAGCATTGGCTCCTCACTGGCCCTCGACAGTCCATCATTGCTTACCTCTCAAAAGCGAAGAATTGAGGCCGGAAACCGGACGGCCGAGGGGAGGGGAAGCAATGGGTAGAGCTAGCACGGAGCAGGAAGGAGCGTCACAATTAACACAGAGTAGGAATCCTGCAGATCGGCATCATGGGTCTCCAAGCAGACTCGAGACAATATCATGGTGTCAAAAGCCCAGAGAGCCTGGGACAACGATTTACCTATCATTTACATGGCTTTTGCAAGGGTGTCCCAGGACGGAGGTCACCGGGATCGGTTGGAGAGGAGGGTCAGGTGAGGCCTTTGGTGTTTGCTGCAGGTTTCTTTTTTTTTTTCCTGAGACGATCAGGATAACCTCAGAATCCACCTCGGAGAAATGGCGATGCTTGATGATCCCTTCAAAGTATAAGTTCTGCACGATCTCCCAGCCGGGCCAGTTCCACGGTTCTTTCTCCTTTCCGAAGACTCCGCAGGCCCACCCCTCCTTTTCCACCTCCGATCAGAGGACCTCCCAGAATGTTCGCTTTAGACTGCCACGAGGGAGCCTCTCCCAGCTGTTCGACGCATCCCGACCCCAATATGCCTCCCGAAATGCTTCGTTTTCAAACCCCGTCAGAGCGCGACGAAGGTTTCGACGACGCGGATTCCGCTTACGGAGACGACTCGCTGATCGGCGACGACACAAAAACGCTCTCGACTTACATCACCGACTACCGCTACGAGTTCGGCCGTCGCTACCATTCCTACCGCGATGGCGCATACTGGGTATCTGAACCTGATCAATTCGTGCTAGCCAGGACATCGCTTATACTCCCAGGGCCCAAACGACGAGGTCGCAAACGCACAGCAGGACCTCGCTCATCACATGTACACTCTCACCTTAGACGGACAACTGCACCTCGCGCCGATCGGAAATGATCCTCAGGAAATTCTCGACCTCGGAACTGGAACCGGGATCTGGGCCATGTATGTCTCTTCTTCTGCGTGAATTGCAGCTTCTAACAGCCCAGTGACATGGCCGACCAGTATCCGAGCGCTCGCGTCACCGGTGTCGACCTCTCCCCGATCCAACCGTCCTTTGTTCCTCCGAATTGTATCTTTGAAATCGACGACATAACGCTTCCGTGGACGTATCCCGCAAATCAGTTCGACTATATCCATATCCGAGAACTGTTCGGTTGCATACCCGACTGGGACGAATTCTTCCGACAATGCTGGCACAGTTTGAAACCCGGGGGCTATATCGAGGTCGTGGAACACTCCGTACAACCGATAGCAGACGACGAGACAATGGGTCCGGATCACTTTTACCACGAATGGGGGCAGGTCGTCGTAGACTCGGGCCGGCAGTTTGGGAAGACGTTCACGATCTGGGAGGAATCTGCGTCGCGTCTGAGGAATGCAGGGTTTGTTGACGTCGTGGAGAAGGGATTCAAATGGCCTATGAACGGGTAAGCAGACGGCGGTTCACGCGCCTATTTGGTGCTAACTTCTCAGATGGAGTTCCGACCCAAAGCTGCATGAACTCGTAAGTTATTGGCACTCTTGACCCTCATCCTCACGCACTGACTTCGCAGGGCCGCTGGAACCAATTTCGTCTCCACGGCGGCATCGAGGGCTTTATGCTTCGACTGCTCACAACAACTCTGCACTGGTCGTATGAAACGGCCCAAGTACATCTCGCGCAAATGCGCGCATCGCTCGGGGACTACCGAACACACGCCTATCTTCCCGGGACGGTCGTCTACGCCCGAAAACCACAAAACTCCGTACCACCACATACCCAATAATTGTCGTCGTCAATGTGGGAGGATTGCTGTATTCGATTTGGTTCAGTCTTTTTGATCAAGCACTATACCCCTGTGAATTATAACTGTATTCTATTAGCATCATGAATGTTGGGCGAGTTATCGCATCGCAGAATTGAAGGCAATGGCGCGAATAGCATCGGAAATTTCGCGGTTTGAGAAATTCTCCGGAGCCAGCCCCTCCCAGGAAGAAACAAGAGGGAGGCAGAGCTTTAAATACTGATCTCTGCCGTGTCTGACGTGTCGGGTGGGTTTCCCGGTCCCCGTTACCTGTCGCCGTGTGTGTGAGGTATCGTTTTCTTGGTCTTGGCGCACGGAGAACATGCACTCCTTCCGCCGCGTTTGCAACCCTCTTCTCCACGCAACGGTGGAGGGGCTGGAGTCTGAAGAGCTGCAGACCTGGCATCACTTTCCAATTCCTTCAGGGCCTGCACTTTGTCGATAACTTTGTGAGTTGAAAGGTCGTCGGACTCCGGAGCCGCCCTTGAGAGGACCTTTTGCTTTTTCTTTCGCCGAGTTTAGACTCACATACCGGCCTAGCAGCCCACCCAACAATGGACCTTAGTGCCTCATCATACAAGTCGATTGTTATACGACGGCTGCTCAAGTTTGACTCTCAGCCGCGGTGAGAACAACGTCAATTTCTCACTCGACCCGCACATTTGGATGAAGAGGCACATATGAGGCCGAGGAGCATCTTTCGGCTCCTGGTTTTCGACAAAGAACTGCTTCGCCAAAGGAATGGATGGCTTAGTCGCGGTACAAACCGTTCGAAAGCAAGTTTCAAGTCGATATGGTCGATATGGTCGATATGGCAGCTTGCCGAATAATTCTTGCGACATGAAAGTGAATGATTGTGATACTCCCTGGCTGGGAATCGGCATTCAGTATTCGAACCAGCCGGGAACAGAATGTCTTTATAAGTTCTTTTATGACGTTCTCGCAGCATTAGGCCGGATTGTGAGGAAACATTGTGAAAAGGGCAAATGCTCACTCGTCTACTGCTCAAAAACCAGGAAGCCCACCAGTGTTAACTATCATCGAAACATTCATTATCTCTCGAGTCCCTGGTGGGGTTATTCTCCTGAAGGATTAGCGGGAAATTGGTAAAGAGGCGTCTCTCTTCTTCCACCTTCAAAGTCTGAATACTGCCACGCTTAACGATTGCGCCGCCCATCCTTTGTGTGCCTCATTCTCCCATCGCTAATTCTCTATTGCTCGGCATTCAACTCCAACAAGTCTTCGTTCCCCGATTGTTGACCTTCGAAACCTGAGCGCGCGGTCGTAGGCACATCCCTGGCTCGTTTTCTTCGGTGTGCCCTGACAGTGTCCGCCATCTACTCCATCTCTTTACAACTACCCCTGCACGAGATAAATTTGCTGCAGTGCTTGGCTACGCCTCATTTCACAAGGCCCCGCAATCAATATATGAAGGGTACGTAGGCAACTTGGGAAGTTCCCTGCAGCTCTCAAGAAGCTCCGGCGGAACGGACTTTGTGAAGGCTTTAGCTTCGAAACTTTCTGGTTTCGCGATGACTCGTGCAGGTACAGATGCGGGGTGAGTGTTAAAAGTTCCGCGAATGAGAGATTTGAATAGGAGGGATCGTCGACGGGGTCTTGGAGGGTGTACCTGAAGAATGTATGCCAAGCGTGGTGACGCCGTGACGGAGCGAGTTTGCGGGGTTCTTGGCGGAGATCGACGGGTGGCTGTGCTCGGAAGCGATGGGAAGACGACTGAGCAAGGGCTCGCTGGGTAAATTCCGGAGGACGGAGTGGATGGGATATTGTTTTGGCTTTGGGAGCTGATCGTCGGTGGGTGAAACGCCAAGCTGGGTGGGATATTTCCTTCCGACTTGACCTGACATTATCCGGTATTCGCGATGCTTCGTTGGGGGCGTGGAAGGGCAGTAAGTGTGCACTTGGAGACGGAGCCGGGATGCAGACTGAAGTATAAAAGCCGGCAACATATCCAGTCAAGCACGAAACAACTCAACTCAATCACCTCACTCAGCTACTTGACCAAGTCCAAATTCAGCGTCTCTCCTATCCAAGATGCCCGTCCTCTCAAAGCTCCTTCTTCCCCTCCTGGCAACCACGGCGCTGGCCGCTCCTAAGCTTGGGAAGCGATTCACATTCCCCATTCCTGATTCCACCGGCAGCGTGACCTTCGACGAGCCGTACGAGATTGGCGCGGGCGAGACTTACGATGGTGAGCTGCAGACCTTCGGTCGTGGTGTTGAATGTACCGGCCAGGACGAGGGTGGTGAGTCTGACACTGTCTTCATCGTCCACGAGGGTGGAACCCTTCGCAATGCCATCATCGGTGCCGACCAGATTGAGGGTGTGTACTGTCTCGGTGCATGCACTATTGAAAACGTCTGGTGGGAGAAGGTCTGTGAGGACGCACTTTCTCTGAAGGAGGGCAGCGGTCCATACAACGTCATCGGCGGTGGTGCTCAAGGCGCCGAGGACAAGGTGATCCAGGTACACAGCTCTTCCTCCAGAAAATCTGGGCCAAAACGCAGAGACTAACAGCCACAGCACAACTCCGAAGGAGAAGTCATAATCGATGGCTTCACCGTCTACGACTTCGGCAAGCTCTACCGCTCCTGCGGAACGTGCGGCGACATTGCGCGCTCTGCGACGATTACCAACGTCATCGCCGTCTCTGGCTCGACCATTGCCGGCGCAAACGGCAACTTTGGTGACGTTGTCACCATTGACAGCTCGAACTGCGCGACCGATGTCAGTGCTATTTGCACCACATACGAGTCGGACTCTGACGGTGGTGAGCCGGAAGAGTCTTCGACTGACCCTACTGAGGCTTGTGTCTTTGAGGAGCTTCCCGCGTGTGAATAGGCGTGGCCATTTAGACAATTGGTTTTGATTAGGAAGATTGTATTTGTACAGCTGGCTGTATATCTAAAATACACTTGATGCTTTCAGTTGTGTACTGCCCACGAACACCGACGGTCTGGTGGTGGATCACCAGGGACCCTCTCCAATTCGGAGAGCAGTTGATAGGAGGGTAAGGTGGTTGTTGGGGCTATGATTCAACGCTGTTCACAGGCTCCTCGCAAGTGATACCGATGCATTCGCCTATGTATGTAGGGGCATCATACTATTCAGCAACTGTTTCTGAGATCAGGGCAACAAATAACGAGGAACGCGACCATGAATACGATATCCGAGGATGATGGGCGGTTCCTGAAAGCACCAAGCCAACCGGCACCACTTGGCGCGCCACATTTCTCGTATCGGCACAGTATAAAGCTCATGTCGCCCACAAGAAGAAACAAATGTTCCTACACACTCGACTTCAAACCTATGAACCATGGCAGCGCCCGTCCTCCTCCCAAATCTCGCTGCACGTTTCCAGGCACTAATCGACTCTCTGCAATCCAACCCAAATATCACCGTGAGCACAGCCGAGATCGGCCCTCCAGCAACCCAGGCCCAAATTCGCAGCGCTCGCAGAGCCGCACATGGTCACCTCCCTTCTGGCCTCGAGGAATTTTACTCCCAGGTCGGCTACTTTAAGCTGGAATGGACCTATACAGGACCGAAACTTCTTCCAGAGAATCTGTCGGAATTGCCGTCTTGGGAGCAGCAGTATTATGATTACTCTGTGCCGCAGGGCCATGTGAATATTATCCCGATTACGCAGATTTTCGGCTCATGGGAGGACGATCTTTACTTTCCAGAAGACGGCGAGGGCGAGGACGAGTGCGATCCGAATGACCCGCCCTACGAAGAAGATGACAAGATGGAGGAAGAAGAGGACTGGCGCTTTCGCTTCGCACACCTCAAGCCATTTGACCGGTTCGTCCCAGAGGCATACACCGTCCTCGTCGGCCCGAAGAAGAAAGATCGACCGCAAAAGTTCTCCAATTACATTGCGTATCACTATTGTGGAGAGGAACTAGTCGAGACGCGCTACACTTTTGCCGACTACGTCGAGCGCCTGCTCATTTCTCGCGGGTACTGGTACTGGGTCAGATCGCTCTGTCGGCTCGATCGAGGGAGCTTGGAAGTCAATGCGCTGAAGAGTATCGCGCCGCAGATATTCCCGGATATGGATTTGGGCTTGTTCGTGCCGTAAGGCTACCCTACCTATATTCATTAATGTTACGTATCGTTGGATCGAATCCCACTCCTTGGATTATCCAAAAAGACATAGAATCTACCTATCTATGCTCATGAGTAGCCGTCTAGGCCGCTATCATACACTCACATTGCTCCGCGCCTTCAAACGTCGTAACCCACTCCAGCCTCTTCTTCGTATAGACCTCCAAATCCGGCCGATGCCGATTCAAATACTCATCGTCGAAAATCCCCGCGCGCAGAATCACAATCTCATCCTTATGCGACACCCCATCCGCGGCTACTTTCCACCCATACAGCGGCGTACCTGCAACACTCGTTAGAAACAAAGCCACCACCACGAATCAATCCACCATCAAGCCCGAAGACAGACAGGGAGGCGACAGAGGCAGGATAACACACCACAATCCGCACAGTGATGATTCACGATCCGGTTCCCGCTATCCGCCATCTTCGAGACTTCCTTTGGGGTACCCTTTCCGGAGACGTGCAGGTCGGAGCGCAGGGCGACGAAGTTGTATGTAAAGGCGCTGCCGGTTATTTTGCGGCAGTCGGTGCAGTGGCAGAGGGCCTGTGTGTGGGTTTGGTTAGGATTGTTGAGAGGAAATTGAAGGAAAGGGAACGACGGACTGTTCTGAGTGGCTCTCCGGTGTATTCGATGCGGATTGCGCCGCAGTAACAGCTCCCGAGGACCATTTTGTTTGATAACGGAGATATGGGTATATAGATGGGTGGGTGAACTGGGTCAGTTGAGATATAGGGGCCGGCTTCGGAGTTGAATATTTGATTATCTCGACGTATATGACTTCCTGTACTCTGGTTTCGAACTTCAATAAAGTTAACTTGTACTCGGTGTTTATCCTATGGTCCGTGTCTCGTTGGTACGTTGAGAGGGAGTCATCCGGCGGGCGGTTGGGGGTTGAGGAGAGTGGGGGCGTGTTGAACAGCTCTATGAATCAACGGTTTCTGGGGTTTTATAAGGTGACTATAATTGACGAAATACGGGGAAGGTTAAGCCAACTTCAAAGTTGATGGCATGAATAGGCTATACTAGGCTATACGGAGTACTTGTTCCGAATTTATCTCCGGCTGGAATCAACGGGCTCCTCGATGGACGGACTGACCTCACTATTGAACATATCTTTCTTGTTTTTCGCCATAAATCTTCGATTCCATCGTTGAAAATCGTAAATAGCGATCAATCGGACGTGCGTGCGAGTTTTTCTCGTCCTGATATGCCCGCAACTGCAGTTTCTTCAAGATATTCTTCTTGCGTACAGATTATGCGTGGTCCGGGGAAAGGTCCGCTCCGAATAAACAGTCAGCGCCGTGTCAATTCTGAACACAGGAAGATATATGTACTCATTAGTGCTGTATAGGTCAGCATGTCCTTGGCTATTGCTGCCGCGGCAGCAGCTTGGCCACCATCTCATTCTCTGGATACTCTTCTCTCTTGCATTGACCGTCCCCGATCTTACTCCTTTCCAGTTTTCGTACAGATATCTATTTCGAGCCATTTATTTATATTGTTCCAATGCCGAACACGGCCTGAGGTATTTGGATGCTACAAGATGATTACCAATCATTGGCTCAGTTGGACACAATGCGGCGGTTCTCCGCTGAGGCCTAGAAAATATATCATGGTAGCAAGTCGGTTGCAGGTGAATGAGAATCATTCTCACGCTTCTTTCATCTCGACGTCGGACGACTCCCGACAACTCTTTGGCAGGACAACGGAAATAAACTCCGATCAGTCGGCGTCGCAGCGAGATTGGCTTTGAGCTACTCATGCTTACGAGATCATCAAATCATCCCCTGAGATTTGGTCCGAATGTGCGATGTTGAGTTGTGGGGACGAATTGACTTTGGAACAAACAAACGGCTTTGATTGGACAAAAATGCAAGACGCAGCGATGGCGCCTTTATCGATAAACAGAACAACCAACCACACACGCTGAACCAGTGTGATTCCGTGGCACCCTGCTTGAGACAGCCAATCTGGTCAGTCTGTAAAGAGAGGGAAAGATGGCAGCGCTGATTGGTCCCGTCAGAAGGAGCTTTGACTGCCTCAGGCCGCCAACCTCCTGACGGCTTCGCTCTTCGCAGTTCGCATGTGCCTTTTGCCTCTAGTTTTCTGCTCTCTTCCCCACTCCGCGCCACGGTCTCACTGCACTTCGCCTCCATTATTGGCCGTCATTCATCCGATACGAATCGTACGATCGTCCTGGCGTCTCCACGATGTACCGCGAGCCAAGGCGTCTTGCCAACATCCTCAAGTGCAGATTCTGTCGACGAGACAAGCGGAGGGTACCCGGCGCTCCGTGCTTCACCCCTCTGATTCCACCGCTGACCCTCTCCCTCTTCTCTCGCAGTGCCTCCCTGAGAACCGAGTCTGGCCCGGCCAAAAGTGCGAGGCGTGCGAGCGATATGGTTACGACTGCTCGATCGGCCTGAGTGCGGAGCAGGAGAAGGCGGAACAGCAGAGGCAGGCGCACAGACGGCAGCAGAGTGTTGTAGCGGGCGGAGGCAGTCAACAGGGCATCGTCGCCAATGCCTATACGCATACGAGGCAGATTGAGGGTCGAGATGATGCGACAACCTGGACCGCCCCCACGCAGGAGGCACGTCCTCTGCAGACGGTGCCATCTGAGCAGCTCATCAAGCTTCGCCCAGACGCCACTAATCCTAACTCCCTGACACTCTACATACCCCGGGCGGCTGGCCGCAGGATGGAATTCGCGGGGACGCTGGATCTAGAGGAGAGACTGATGCGCCTCTGGGCCAATCCGGAGACCTACGAACAGGCGTGCAGCTCGCGTTTAGCTATAACATGCTCAGAACTTTTTATCCACATTCGACGAATTGCAGAATCCGTAGGTCTCTTCAAAGTTCCAGCCTAGTCGGGGTGGCTTGCGTCGGCGTGGCATGGCTTGCATTTATCCGTTTCGTGCTTTCTCGTCGTTTCGTCACTAACGAGGTGCGGGTGAGAAGGACGAGCTAATCTTCTCCTCCCTATTCGCCTTCATCGCCGGCAACCTGGGTGTCTACGCCAATCGACCAATCGCCCTCCAACTCGAATCCGCGTCACGGCAGTACCTCGAACGCTCGTTCAACATGCTCAAGACGTATATGGACCAGGCAGCGCAGTCGCCCAACGGGACCCCAAGACCTGGAACGATACTTCCGATGCAATATGCGTGTTTTCTCTTGGCGTGCTATGGGGTATGTGCTGCCTATATCCGTGATAATCTTATTCCGGAGTTCGGAATTGCGTGCGCTAGTCCGCACGTGCAGTGAGAGCACGAGGACCCCCAGCTAACAGTGATTAGAGCTCCACCAGCGAACCCCAGATGATAGAATTCATGGTCAAACAACTAGAATTCCTTCGCAAGTACAGTGCAAGCTTCCCCCTACGCCTAGGAGTCGTTCTTCAACCACCAAATGGCTGGCGCTTCCGTATACATGTGAGCAGTCTGGTTCCTCGCAGGCTGATACCACCCTGTTTCTCTTTCTGTTTCTGCCCGAGGAAACTCGCTTAATGCAGCTCCTCATTTGCTAATGTTTACCTCAGCTTGCAGAGGACCCTACAGAACGCGGCATCGAGATTGGTCACGACACCAAGGTGTTCCGGCAAGCCATGATCCAGGCGAAGGATGAGGCGTTTCCCAGTTGAGTTGTCTCAGATCACTAATCAATGTCGCTATAAGCGACGAATCCTGCGAGATGATACCCCTGAAGCGTGCGGATGGTGCCGCGGCATCTCCCCGGCTCATCTCGACCATGAAGTTTCAACAGAGAAAGCGAGATTCGCGAGTGTAGTCTATGGACTGGGCGATATTACACTTGGGCAGATGGCAGTGTAAGATATGCAGTAAGTGAATAAGGGGCCACACGGTTCCTGGTGCACTTGAGAAGAACTTGGCAGGCTGGGACAAGAACAGCTACTTTGACTTTGAGCGATGCAGACACGACATATAAGGCAGATACCCTAGCGATGTTTGATAATGCTATGATAATGCTATTCCAAACTATTACTCATTCAGTGGAGCATTGGACTGGACTGGCCAAAACTGGGCTGAGGGGGCTATCTGATTCGTCTCAATTTGGAGTCACCTTTCTCCCGAGGTCGGCGTCACAGTTTCATGCTCCGATGCCCAACCGCAACAGCAGGCAACTCCTCTCCCCAGACAATCCGGCAATCCCATCGAATACTCTCCTCATCGACTGCTGCCGCCTTTCTTGGGAACACAATATCCCTCCACACGGTATCCCCAACGCCAATCTCCCCCTGCAGCACCCACCTCCTCGCAATCTCCCCCGTAACGCCATCCCCATCCCTCTGCCCATCAAGCACCAGCAGGATCCCACACAGCACCCATGCAAGCGTGAACATTGCCCGCCGTCCATCCGCAAGCACACTCTCAATCTTCTCCTTTGAAACAGCATCCAGAACCCTCCCCTTCCACGCCGTCCACGCCTCAACAAGAACCCCCTTTATCTCCCCGGGAGCAATCAACGCGAGAACACGCTCAACCCATTTGGAAAACACGACCAGATTCTCTCCGCGACCTTTGACGAGGAACCGCACAAACTCACTCGCAAGCACATTCGTCGTGCCCTCCCAGATCGAATTCACCAGCGTGTTCCGCAGGATGCGCGAGACGTTGAATTCCGGCTCGTCCGCCTCGTCCATGTACCCGACGCCACCCAGTGCCTCCTGACACTCTTGGATCCCGGCGATCGCCATCTTGCTCACGACGGCTTTGCAGAGGGCCGTGAGCGTCCGAAAGACGATTGTTGCTTCGGCCCCGGGGCGCGGGAGATGCTCGGCTTTCACCTTACCCTTGCCCTCCGCAACAGAGTCCGCCCCTGAATGATCGTCCTCATTCTCAACAACCCCCATAACCCCGACAGTAAAAAAGCCCACCTCCATCGCCGCCCGATGCCTCCCCTCTCCCTCAGCAAGAACCCGCAAATGCATCGGGATAAGCCACAGCGGCTCCCCGACCGTCGTGCGCGCCCGCGCGAATCCCTTGGCGATACTCAGTGCCCGCCTCCACGCGCCCAGTGACCCGATGAACGTGTGCGTCCGCGTGATGTTGAGGAGTGGCGCGATGGTTGAGACGCCCTTGTTGAGGTCGCCGACGAGGTGGGCGCGCGTGTCGTGCAGGACGAGTTCGGCGGTGGGGAGTTCTTTGGTGCCCAGTTTGGTTTTCATGCGGTGGATGCGAATTCCATTTGTCACTTGAGAACTGGCAGTAGATGGGGCTGGCGAGGAGGATGGTGAAGAGAGACGCAACGGCGCAAGAAACGTACTCAACTTGCCACTCGGCTCCGTCTTGGCCAGCAGCAGCGCAACATTCGCGTCCGTCGCCGAGGAGAAGAATTTGAAGCCGCGGATGAGATACTCGCCTTCCTCGACTGCCTGATCACCTGAACTCGAACTCGAACCGGAACCCGGCGAATGCACCGCCCACGTCTCTGTATTCGCAACATCACTCCCACCCGCCCGTTCCGTCATCCACTGCCCACTCGTCCAAAAGTCGACGTCGTTCCCGTCTCCGCGCGAAAGCAAGTGGCGCAGCGTGACGGAGAACGCGTGGTCTGCTGGAAGGTTCCGTCGGGCAATCTCCTGGCTGAGGATCAGGGCCGCGCCGTCGGTCATGCTGATAGGGCACGATGCCATTCCCGAGGAGGGGGAGTAGATGTAGTTTCTGTGCTGATTAGCATCGGCAGCGGGGCAGGGTAGCAAGGAGGAGATAAACGTACACGGCATACTGCGCCAGCCTCCTCTGCGCACCGTATGTGTCCTCATAGCCTAGGGCGACGACTCTAACACACATTAGCCATCAACCTATCGCCACGCACTCCCCCCCCCCCTTCCGCAACCACCCCAATCCATGCTAAGCGCCATGATATGGGGAAAGAAAGTTGTACAAACCCATTCTTGGCCCCCCATTTCGCCAACTGCTTCCACCCCTCACTCGTAACCAGCCGATCAACCCCATACTGGTCGCCCCAGACATTGAACCCCTTGACGTACGGCTGGTTGCGCTCGGCGTCGGCGCTCCATTCTCTGATTTGCGGCGAGATGGCTTCGGCGCCGAGGGTGGTCAAGTGGCTGTCCAGCGCGGGGAGGTGCGTTGGCGGGAGGTACCCTGTGAAAAGAGGTTGGGTTAGAGTGGTATCTGAATGGAGGATATTGGCGATGAGAGGGACGTACATCCCAATACCCGTCGTAGACTCGGGTCAGAGGTGTATGTATTGTCGAGTGGTGGCGGGCGTGTAATGTGGCCCGTGGTTGCTGTTGCGGGGGGCATGGTGTTCGGCTTTGCTGTGCTTTCTTTTTGATTCTGATTTCAAGAATGGTATACGCCGATTCTGGATAATGGATACAGCGATGGATCGAGACAAAGAATAGATTGGAGAGAGGAGCAACCGGACGCTGAACTCGAGGCAAGAAAAGCGCCTCGGTCATGCGATGCGAATCATCATATGGAGATTGGAGAACCGAGGTTATTAGACAGTGTGGGGAAGACTGGGCGAGTCTGGGGTAGCTCGGTACTGATTACAATATCGGGCATTGTTGATAGTGGATATTCTTTTGATTATGTTGTTTTTATTATGTGGTCTACTGATCTTGATCATTAATTGATCGATCCCTTTTGCCTGGATTCATATGCAAATTGTCCGCCATGGAGAGATGCACAACACAGCAAGTAGAAGGGTTTGAGAGGATATAAAATGCTGCACAATATTTCTAATATTCGACGATTGCTTATACTGGAAGATATAGTCACAAAAAAATCCGAGCAAAGGTAAATTGTGCCTGGTTGATTTTATATATAGTTTGTTGCTCTCGCGCGCTAGATTGGCTGGATTTCATGGGCTGATTGACTTTGCGATAGATGATAGAAAAAGACTAATCCCAAAGCCCCAAATTCAACCGGTAGGCACAGCTATCTGAGACTCCTGGAACTAGGCTGTGGTCTGGTGCGCGGCAGCCTAAAGACCTCGTATTCCACACTTGGAGACGTTTCCGCGAGGTACGCGTCTCAGGCAACAACAGGATGAAGCGCATACAAAAGAAATGGGAATAATATCAGGCGATGGCCCGTTCTATGTACAGCCAGATTGTCTTTAGCTTATCATTCGAGTCTAAGAATCGGCCATGACCCCATCTGCCATCCGGCTCGGCGCGTCGAATCCAAGCCCACGAACCATCCAAACAGCCCTGAAATACTGGCCCAAACCGTCCAACGACAATGTTACGATCGACTTTCGCAAACCGGGCGCAGAAGAGCGATTCAGCGAGCTCGAAAGCATCGAAGAGAACCACGCTGTCACGATACGCGATATCCGCAGCCTGGGAGATGGCGAACAACCCACGCTAGAGAAGAATGGATTCCAGTATATTCACGATCCGGTTCCGGGGTATGAAGAGAGAGAGCATTGGGATGAGAAGAGAATTGCGAAGTTCTTTCTACCGAGGACAGAAGAGCTGGTGAGCAAGTTATTTCCGTAAGTCACATTCAGAATCACCATCGCTGGCGACGTGCTCACATAGGAGCAATAGACATACAACAGGCGCAGCAAAAGTCCTAGTATACACCCACCGCATCCGCTCGCAAAATACAGGCCCCAACTCTCCAGCACACATAGTCCACTCGGACTTTACGCCCGCGGGAGCAATGCAGCATCTGCAAAGTCTCATATCGCCGGACGAACTCGCGCACCTGGAGGAAACAGAGACTAGGATCCTAGCGCTGAATATATGGCGTCCATTGCGCACTGTCAAAAAAGACCCACTGGCCCTCTGCGACTGGTCTTCCATACAGCCTCATGAAGATATCATTCCGAATCGCTTCGTCTTTTCAGATGGGTGGCTGGAAGTTGCGAAGGTGGTGTATAGCGAGCGGCATCGGTGGTGGTATTGTAGTGGGCAGCGGGTGGACGAGGTTGTTGTTTTCAAGCAGTTTGATAGTGCTGCTAATGTCAAGGGCGAGGCGGAGAAGGAGAATAAAGGGATGGGCGGGTGTAGTATAGTGCATAGTGCGTTCGTGGATCCAGAGTATGTAGACGAAGAGCCGAGAAGGAGTCTGGAGATTGGTGTCTTTGTCTTCTTGCCAGGGTAGCCTGGCAGCTTTCCTTTTCCATATTCAGCTCGCCTTAGAAGCGACGCAAAGACCTTGATAGCAATAGATCAGTCTAGCTCAACGACAGAAACGCCCCTCCCACGCATCGAATCCGCAATGATCTTGAACCTCTCAGGCGTAAATACAAAATTCACACCGACGGTCCGATACTCCTCAGGGATCCCTTCTGGCCCCTCAATTCCAGAAAGGCGATTCATCTCTTCAAAGGATAGAATCGCTTCAATCACCCGCCGTGCATTCGGTCCGTCCCATAAACCCTCACGGAAGGGCATCCTCGATAGCAAATCTAGTCCTCGCCGTCGAATGTGTAGATCTCGACACTTGGCTACGAGATCGTAGAGGGCGTGGAGCACGCCGAGACTGAGCGAGAAGAGTGGTTTTGGCCCGGTCTCGTTTGTAGCTTGTTTCTCGGCCCAGGCAAGGTCGGTGGCGTTTTCGAAGTGGAGGAGCGCGGTCAAGTATGATTCTCGAAAGATATCGTAGCCCATCTCGCCGAGGCTTGGGTCTCTTGAGCGTCGAATCATGAGGATAGCTGCGTGACCCCGGAGGAGGGAGACTGTGCGTTCGTCTTGAATGCTCCTTCCATTTCCACCATCACCACGACCAAGGCTAGTGATCAACGCCTCAAAAGCACTCTCCCAAGTCTGCAACAACCGCAAACCCTCCCTCAACACTTCCTCTAATACCTCAGGAAACGCAAGAGAAGCCCCATACGACTCGCGATGCGGATATAGCCCCTCAAGATCCGGAACCGGGACCGGTTGAGAGAACGCGAGTTGGTATGTTATTTGAGTTGTTGCGGATTGAATTGCGTGCTGAATGCGAAGGTAGGACTCTGCTGCTGACGAGAGGGAGGGGAAGACATTAGGTATAGAAAGCGAGAGGGGCCTCAACGGTGATGGGTAGGTTTGTGCGGCAGCAGAAGCGGCATAGCCGTTGTCAGGCGTATAACCCGGACTCGGACGATTTGACAGAAAAGCAATGATATGCATCTCGAACAGGGAGAAGGTTGTCTGGATGGGTTCTTCTGTGCCCAACGCCGGGTCATCTCGTGATTGAACGCCGTGATTTGAGCAGTGCTTGAGAATCGCCAATCCCTGCTTATAGTGGATCTGCGCAGCGGTACAGTCCTCCCGTGCAATCTCAAAGCACGACAAAAGCAGACACGTCGTAAGACACGCGTCCATATTCGGAACCGACTCTGATCCCGATCCAAGTAAAGCGCTCCTCAACGTCGCAAGCGCCCCACCGTAAAACCGCAAGGCATGTGTCGAAGACAAACCCTCAAGATGCAATGCCCCCAACGCAATGGCTGCCTGCCGCGCCGCAGGTTCGGTATGAACCATCTGCAGGACGAGCCGCTGCCAGAAGGAGGAGGGCGACCAGCCGCTTAGGTCGATGACGGTATGCAAGCGGAAGAAGTCGAAGAAGTGAGTCTCGCGCTGTGTTTGAAAGATGCGGGACGGAATTGCGCTTGGTAGCGAAGAATATTGGTTTACTTGGTGTGATTGTGACTGGACTTTATTATGTGGTTGGATGTCTGGCCAGGAGCAGGACCAGCCTGTGCGAATGCATTGACGACATGTTGGGTGGGTTTCGTCGCATTTGACGCGGCGTTTTCTGTTCGGATTAGTGACGCGAAGCTTGTTGATGATCTGGGGAGCGTACTTGCAGGTTAGGCAGCCGGCGCGGGACTTTGTATGTGGGCGACGAGGATGGTACTTTTTTGTCTCGAAGCCGAAGAGAGTCAACATGGCGAGCGACGAGTATCGTGTCGGGAGAGCATCCAAAGCTGAAAGAGAGAAAGAAGTTTGTGTTTGGCGTCATGCAGAATCGAGGTTGCCTAGCCAAGCCAGCTCCACTGTCAGGGTCTCGTATTACCCAGAGTGGGCTGGAATCTTATATTTATCTCGCTCTATCATACATTAATAGCTCCGCGGCAGACTCAGAACCTTCTCGCTGACATAGTTTAGAATCATCTCCCGACTAACCGGCGCAATGCGCGGAACGAGCACCTCCCGCAGCCATCGCTCGACATCATACTCCATCGCATACCCCATCCCCCCATGCGTCAGCACTGCACGCTCACACGCCGTAAACGCCGCTTCCGCCGCAAGATACTTGGCACTATTCGCAGCAACTCCCACGGAATGCACGGGAATCGAGTCATCCGTCCTCGACGCATCATACAGCCTGGCTGCATGGTACGTCGCCAGCTTGGCCGCCTCGAGCTTCATATACGCATCAGCGAGCGGATGCGCAATCGCCTGGTTCTGGCCAATCTTGCGCCCAAAGACGACGCGCTCATTCGCGTACTCTGCTGCCCGCTCCAGCGCCACGTATCCCAGCCCCAGCGCCTCTCCAGCAAGCAGGCACCGCTCCGCATTCATCCCGTGCAGGATCTGGCGGAACCCGCCGTTCTCCTTGCCCACAAGCGTGGAAGCAGGCACCTCGTACTTGTCGAAAAACACCTCGTTCGCATCCACGGCGCGCCCGCCCATCTTCTTGATCTTCTTCAGCTCCAGGCCCGCCTTCGTCTTGTCAATGTCGATACAGAACATGGACAATCCCTGCGTCGGCTTCGACACCTCCTCTAGCGGCGTCGTCCGCGCCAGCAGAATCATCTTCGACGCGACCTGCGCGCATGTAATCCAGATCTTTTGCCCCGTGATGGAATAGTGGGTGCCCGCGGCATTGAGCGTCGCGCGAGTCTGCAGTTTCAGCGTGTCGAGACCCGTGTTTGGTTCTGTGACTCCAAAACACGTGCGCCATTTGCCGTTGATGATGTTGGGAATCGTTTCGGTGACTTGTTCACGGGACCCGAAGCGTGCGAGGGGTTGTGTTGCGTAGACGTTTGCGTGGATTGCTTGGGCGCCGGCCATTCCGGCGCCAGACTGTGTGATTGTTTGCATCATCATTGTTGCTTCGGAGATTCCTACCATTGTTAGGACTGATCGTACATGGATTGAGAGGATCGAAAGATGGTAGATAAGGAGGTAGGTGGCGACATACCGAGTCCAGCCCCTCCGTGCTCTTCAGGCAGTGCAATTCCGAGCCATCCATCCTTTGCCAGCGCGGCGTGAAACTCTTTTGGATCGCGCTCTTGCTGGTCGCATTCCTGCCAGTAGGTGTTTGGGAAGTTGGCGCAAATGGTCGAGATGGCGTCGCGGACGGTCAATTGATTCTCGGTGAAGCCCGTCAGGTCCATAAGCGGGCGACGAGCGGATGTCGAAAAGAGGCGCCTGCCCGTGTGCGAGAGTCTCGATATGCGAAACATATTGACCAACTTGACTCTGTGAATTGTCCAAGCTGGAGTGGAACTGGGGGAGCTCCAGTGCTTAAATCGCCCCGCCATGCTGGGCATATAACCGAAGTAGCCGAAGAAGCCGAATCAAATCGGCGAACCCCCCCATCCAAAAGCCATCTCGCTCCCCCGCACACTGAGGCTCCTCGCCATATCTCAGTACCCAGGACGATCTGCTCCAAGATGCCGTTGCGACGGGCAAAGCAAGCCTGTATCCACTGCCACCGCCGGAGGATCCGCTGCGACGTGCTGCAGCAGCGTCCGTGCTCGAACTGTGTGTCGCAAGATGTGGCCTGCGAGCTGGGCGTTTCGCAGCGGGGGAAGTATTTCTCCCTCACTTTACTTATCTATCAAGTCATTCTAAGGAATATAAAATAGATATCCTCGCAAGAAGTCTCTCAAGACACAACCTACACAACCACAGCCGATTCTCCCGGAACTCGCCACACCTGCTGCAACCAGCGTCTCGCCAGGCGTGGCCACTACCACCCATCATGGCTACTCGCACAGCCATCCCAACCATGTCCCGCAACGAATCACCGAACCCACCGTCTTCCTCGGCGAATCCAGCCCGCTAACCTCCGTCATGGACCCCAGCCAACCCCCAAAACTCCACTACCCGCTCCCCGACCGGCTCGCACCCTCAAGTACTCGAGACGAAGCTGTGCGCCTACACCAGGTCCAACGCGCCGCGCAGCTCGAGTCCGACGGCTCACTGTCCTTTCCGCCGCAGGAGACAACCGACTCTTTACTCCAGGCGTACTTTCGCTGGTTCCACCCGTGCTTTCCGATTCTGGACCGCGCCGCTGTCTACAGAGGGAAATGTCAGGGGACGTTATCGCCGTTGTTGCTGCAGGCTATGCTCTTCATCGGAGTCAGTCTCTGTGACGATGAGGCGTTTGCGAGGACAGAGTTCCCCGTGCGGTATCGGGCGAAGTTTCTGTTCTATTCGAGGGCCAAGGCCATCTATGAAGCGGATGCAGAGTCGAGTCCGACAGTGAAGTTACAGGCACTGTTCATGCTGAGCTTTTGGCGTGGAGGGCCGTCGGAGGAGCGCGATGTGCGGTTCTGGCTCGGGGTTGCCATCTCGTTGGCGCAGAAGAGGGGGATGCATATGATGTACTTCTCCCCGACTCCAGAGTATATCGGGCCGTAGGACTTACCGACGTAGGTCTAAATTCTCGCACCCGACAAGAGAGAAGAAGCTCTGGAAGCGCATCTGGTGGGCTTTATATGTATGTCATCTCACTCATGGAGGATCCTGCTAACACGCGGGCTAGATTCGCGACCAACAAAGCGCCGCAGCGCTCGGTCTCCCGCCGCGGATCCGCGATGAAGATGGCGATGTGGCGATGCTGGAGCCGCACGATGTTCTCGAGGATGAGGTCGTTGATGACCCCGTTTTTGGCCGGCAGAGACCGCAGGATGTGCTTTACCCTGTGGAAATGGCCAAGTTGGCGAGGCTCCGTAAGTCCTTCTCTGCTTCTTCAGCTTGCTGTGCTGAAGCTGATTCTGATATTGACTGGACAGTCCGAACGATCGTCTCAACGCAATACCTTCATCATCAAAAGCCGGACCTCGCAACGAGAAACGCACTGAATCAGCAGCTCTGCGTCTGGGAATCGGAACTGCCCATTGAACTCCGTCTCGACGCTGTGACCACAGACGCCCTCCTCCTGACCGGACTCCTTCACCTCACCTACCAGTATTTCCTTCCCCTCCCACTTTGAGGCTGAGCGTTCGATCTGACCCTCGTAGAAACCTCTACATCCTCCTCTACCGCCCCGTTTTCCTCGACCCAACTCCATTCGACGATGGCCAAATCGCCCTCGACGCAGCGACAAAGTCCTCTCGGATCATGGAAGATCTCCTCTCGCACCACCTTGTCCAGCATGGACCTCCTCACCTGTATTCCTTCCCTCCCTTCTCCTCTCCTACCGTCTTACCCCTTCAACTTTCTTCTCGCCCAGACACAGTTTGACTGACGAAGTTACAGAATAACCCACGCCTTCTCAACCCTCTGCATCCACACAATCCACCACCGACGCTCGTCAGGAACGACACGGACCCTCGCCGAACACCGCGCACGCCTCTGTCTGCTCAGCCTCGAGGAGCTGCAGAAATCATGGGATCTCGAGAACTGGGTCCTGCATCTGTTCTTCAAGGGACTTGATGATGGGACGGCACAGTCGTTGAGGTTGTCGACGCCCGGGGAGATGGGAGTTTCGCCGGAGGGGAGTGGGGGTGCGCTGGGTGGTGGAGAAGGGGGTGTTGATGGGAGTGAGGGTGGGAGTGTGAGGAGGCAGGGGTATGGCACTGGCAATGGGGGTGGACACGCCAACACAAATGGAATGGGGATGGGCATAGATGTGGGACAGGATGATTGGTACGGGTGGATTCCGGGGGACGATGAGGCGGATGCACTGAATCTGCAGAATTTGGAGTTTCTGTATCGGTTCTTGTAGCCCTATTGTTTTTGGTCTCTCCGTTTGCGGAATCGAAGAAAAGAGGGAAAAAAAAGAAGAAGGAATAGGACTATCCAATCCTATAAGCCAAATCCCTGAATGGCACCGGCTCAGTGCCCTTGACTCAGAACTCATGTAGATCCGTCCCTCGGTCCGTCGGGTATGTATACCCACCCCCGTTGACAATAGATGTCAAAGAGCTTTAGCAGCTTGCAGGGGATGGGGTCCCTGATCTACACAGCCCAAGGTTAAACCTACATACACCGGCGGAGAGAGACATATAAATCGAAGCTTTTCCCCACCTGACAGCCTCTCCTCTATAAGTCCAGCATCGCACCCGAATCTACTTTGAGTCAGCCCCTACTGCCTAGGTAGCATTCAGCCAAGATGGCCATAAACCCAGAGTACGCACCCCGCTCCCTTAGTTCACCCCTTGATCCCCAATCCTGTCAACAGCTAATACAGCATTGCCTCTCAGCGGAATCTTAACCGCCATCCGCAACGGCGACACCCTTCCCCCGATAGCAGTAACAAACTACTTCAACGCCCTCCCCGCCGTCCCGCTCGAAAAACTAATCGGCTCCTGGCGCGGAACGTGCGTGCAGACTGGACACCCGGTGTACAAACAGCTCACAGACCTGAACTGGGCCGGCAAAACTTTCCATTCCATCAACGACGTCGATCCGATTATCGTCCGGGAACAACAACCCGACGGGAGTGTGAAGCGCGTTGCGAATGGGGTCATGGGAAAAGCGCGCCTTCGTGAGGTGAAATATAACGGCGTGGTTTCGGCAGCCATGATTTATAACGAGAGGCCGATTATTGATTACTTTCGGGGGGTTGATGAGAGGACGATCATCGGGGTTATGGATGCGTTGGGGAGTACGGCGGATCATGGGTTGTTCTTTTTGTTGGAGAGGGTTGAGGAGGCACAGGGGAAGCTTTAGAACGGAGAGATTCTGGCTTGAGGGCTTTGTGTGGCTAAAGGGTTGAGTAGAGTGTTCCTAGGAGTAGGCGGGTTGAATTGAATGAACGGTGTATGCTAGGCCTGGGCATGCTGCGGTGCTTGGGGTATGGAAGTGATCTTATGGACGGGGGTGAACAAGGGATCCATTTTTCTACTCCGAATCGCTATTTGATGACACCAATGCCAGTACTGGTTGCTCGCTGCGTCAGGAAAGGAGAATCTACTGCGGAACGTTGAAGACCTAAGCACGACATAGTCTTTTCTTTCAGCTCTTGTCATATCTCCAATAAACGAATTGTACCTAAGTATGGGTAGGCTGTCCTTTGTGACGGGGCTGAGGCGATTCTGGATGGAAGTAGAGAGACCCATCCAAGGTTTTAGGGGAGACTAAAAGAGAAAGTTTGGAACTAGATTCCAAGAAAAGGGCAGGTCAGAAAAATGAGTGATTTAATTTGGCTTCTTTTTCTTTTTGTCTGTGCTGATTGCACTCAAGGCTTCAACTCCCCTTGGGTATCTCACAACTCGACGAGGTCAACAGATCAAAAGGATTAAACATGCTTCCCAACAAGGAAGAGGCTGTACAACAGGGTTCCAAGCAGTAGCAACTAGCGCCTTCTTCAACCATCATGTCCAAATGCAACCTCCAACTGATAAATAGACCCCAAACTCCAAGGCAAGGACATCAGGACGAACATCAAAAGATAGACCTAGGAACCCCTCGCCCGACAATCCCTCCACGTCAAGTTCTGAAACCCACCGGCAGGAGCCCTCCTCCCCGGGACTCCACGCCGCAAACCCCCAAACGCAGCGACCTCGCACTCTGGACACTTGGTATGAGGCCCACCCCTCTTCATGCAAAACTGCGCAGCGGCCCTATGCCAGATCGGCTCGTAACCACAGCCGGACACGAAGTCGTGCTGTCTTCTCCTCTCTTCCCAGTAATTGGCCCTCGTGGGACGCAGCTTGCCGCAGGGCCCGCAGATGTGCCACTCAGGCGAGAGGTTCGCTGTGCTCACTTCGATCTTGTACCATGCTGGTGGGACGGCTAGGGTGTTTGTATCGCTGCTGGTAACTGTGCAGAGCGTGGAGCTGGTCCTGGAACTGGCGTCGGTCGTCCGCGGATGGATGTAGCAGAGGAGGAGGCCACGGTGGACGGAGCCTGGGGGCAGGCAGCATGCGCGGATTGTTGCCGTGGATGAGACGGCGAGCATTTTTCTGCAGGTCATCGCAAGCGTAATCTGCGCTATTGGGTCGGATGTCAGCGCGTCGAAGATGGTGAGGATGAGCTCGACCGGGAGTTTTGTCAGGGATGCGGTTTGTTCGATCGTAGACTCGGCCAGCTGTAGTTCTGGTATTAGTCGACAGCACCGCTCTTGGTGAGGTTGAATGGACTTACGCCGGCAGGAACCCTTAATCCTCTGACGGGAGAATGGGCTGTGGTACAGGCCCTTGTTATGTCCATTTTGTTGGATTCCCGATTTTCTGAAACTCAAAGCGCGTTATCGGGATGGAAGAAAGATGAGGAAGGCGGAAAACGACGACAGCAGCATGTGTGGGGAGAAGAGAAAGTGACCGGGGATTTGGTTGTACTTATACTGCAGAATTCTGTGGTTCTTGAAAAGATGGTCACAGTGCGATTTGTTGTGTCCGGTGAAGGGCGTGTCCTGCTCTCAAGTTGGTGACTGAAGGAAATCCATCTTCGACACGAGTGGGGCAGAATTCAGAGGCAGTGGCAAACAGAATGTTGCGATATTAACTTTGCACGTGTGGCCTTGAGTTGCAGCTTGGGTTTGGTCCATATCTATGCTTCGAACCGAAACTGGGGGGTGGCAGGCTGATTGGCTACTTAGGTACAACAACGTAGGTAGTACCCGCCCAGTATAGCAAGAGAACTGGTAGTAAGATCTCAGTCTCACAGTAATATTATTCGAAGACCCTCGTGAAGCTCAGTTGTGAAGATTGAGCAGCATATTGTCTGCTGAGGCTTCAAGAATGCTGAGTTTCTTGGAAACGTCACGGCCATAGGACTGGAGATTGACCTGCAGTCATCAGGTTCCTGAGCAGATCAGATTGGATGTGAACTGGAGGCCGGGCTATGCAGGTGAAGTGGGCCATGTCTTGCATTGTGCAGCTCAGTGAACGTGTTAGCTCAAAGCCCGGGTTTATGGCTGCCAGCCTCCTAATCTCCGGCATCTGCTGTGAAGCAATAACACTCGTGCGCTCTGGTGACTGTTTGGGAAGTTTTCCATGCTTGCGCTTTGTTTTCTCCTATTTAGACCCTTCCTCGCCAGGTTTCAAAATCTCTCCTTTTCTCCTTTGCAATTGTGTCTTTCCTTCTACCTCCTCTACCTCTCTATGCGCTTCTCTACACTCTCAGAAACAGGTCGTTGATTCTGGGTATCCTCGTAGAGGTGCTCTGAACCAGGAGAAGGACCTGGTGGCACTGAGCTCACAGATGGACGTGCCAATTCTCTCCAAGAACGTCATCTCAACCACCGCCATGCGTCGTCGAAGTCTCCCCGATCATCAAAACGGTCGTCTTACCCTCCCAGACAAGGTGAGTACAATTATTGTCTATGCTGAGATTATTGCACAACCTAAAGACGGAGGACTGACAAACGCAGCTCACAGCCGAACTCCCCCAATCCTCCTCCCCTCTCCTAAACCTCCCTCCTGAAATCCTACAGATTATCTTGGACCGGACAGACCCACAAAGCCGCCTTATGTTGGCCCTCACCTGCAAAGGACTACTAAACGTCCTCTCCGACCAACTGAGCCCCGACGCCCTCATCCCTTCGACGACCTCCGGTCGGTACGAAATGCTCAGGCTGCTACATCCTCGGGTTCCCCGCACCCTCGCGCTGAGCCAGGAGTGGAACATCTGTCGTCGCTGCGAGAGACTCAAGCCGACTGCGAGGGCATACTGGACGGCGAAGCCGGTGGGAGAGCGCCCTCGTAGTCGCGTGGCACGAATGCAACGGCTTACCTGGGCGCAAGTGATTGCGGAGTTTCGACAGAAATCCGTGGAAATGTGTCCCGCTTGCATTATGATCAAGGGTCTTCCTGAGAGAAGGTCCATGTTGGATCCACGGCGGATCATTGAGCGATAAGGTGAAATCAGGTGTGACTGGGTACGGGAGGATTAGGATTCGGAGGTTAACCCTGGTGGTGTGGTCAGCCTGGTGGTATGGTGGAATAACTCAGGCCATGTGTTTTGTTGCGGAGTTCGATAGAGCGGAATTGTCAATGAACTTGATTTTTTTTTGGCCAGCTTGGATGGTACGAATTGTTTCAATTGACCGATGGTCTAAGGAATCTCTATTCTCCCGCTGTACCTTGTTATCCCCTCCTTAAAAGCTGACAAAGCCTGTCAGCGAAGCAGATGAGGCTGAATCGTCACATGGCATCTCTAACCGCCCACCATACTCCGCGCCAACAACATCCATCCACCGTGTCACACCAACGACAAGAGCATGTCCGACCAAACACGAAGGCTTGTGCACGATGACTATAGGATCGGTTGGATATGCGCCCTTCCTCAGACCGAACTGTTGCAGCAGCCGCAGTCGCAATGCTGGATGAAGAGCACCCGATGCTACCCGCGGCTGATCCACGCGACACGGACACGTACCTTCTGGGCAGAATATGACTTTCTCCTGCTTCCAGGTCTCATGGATTCATTCCCTTGCCTTGTGGTTCGCAGTATTTGTGACTACGTGAATTCCCACAAGAACACGATTTGGCAAGGGTATGCAGCAGCGAGAGCGGCAGCTTAAGCAAGAGAGCTTGTACTGGTGATCCCGGAACAGGGAATCATGGGTCTTCCTCCAATAAAACAATGTGAGTTTGATCATCCTCCGTTCGCATCGCCACTGGAGTATACCTCGAAGCAGAACGACACGATTGGCAGACATCAGTCCGGTACAGGAAGGTGGTTTCTGGACTCTCCACCCTTTACACGGTGGATTGAAACTGCGAAACACATCTTGTTTTGCCCGGGAATCCCAGGTGCTGGAAAGGCAATCATGGCTGCCAGCGTTAACGCAAAGCTCCAACACGAATTGTGCCACGGAGAGGGGGGACTGGCATACATCTACTGCACACATAATGAGCGACACACAGGGAGAGACCCGATTGCTTCGATACTCAGGCAACTAAGCTCCCAACTGCCTGCGATACCTCAAAAGGTGAATGGGCTGTCTACTGCGCACAAAAGACACCAATCGTTATTGCAGATGAACGATCTTTGCAGCGCCTTCACCGTGGTTCTCTCCTGCTTCCCAAACGTGTTTATTGTAATTGACGCGATCGACGAGCGCCAGGACGACAAGAACAGAGCTAACCTACTCGAAGCTGTGAGGGAACTCAGGCCCCACGCAAGTATCCTGGTTACCTCACAGCATTCTGGTGCAATCGAGGATGCGTTTTAAGATGACGTTTGGTTAGAGATTGAGGCGTCAGCTGCGGATATCGAGACGTATGTCGGCTCAGAGATCCACAAGCGGTATTTCGTTCTTTCCAACGAGCTTGCCGACGACCCTGTCCTCCGATCGCATGTAATCAACGCAATTGTGTCCAGATCACGGGGAATGTGAGTACAGTAGCCCGACAGTGGTGAACGGTTCCTAACGCGGCCATGATGTGCAGGTTTCTACACGCCGAATTCTATGTCAAGTTTCTGGCCACAAAACATAACCTCCGAGATTTGCAGGACGGATTGGAGGGGTTGCCAATGACGTCCAGCGCCATATCAGCAGGCGATGCAGCGGATGCAAGCCAAAGTCCAGAAACTGTGACGTTGGCACAAAAGATGCTGTCATGGATTGTCTCTGCAGTTGAGCCGATGAAAATCCAACACCTACAAATTGCCTTGGCACTGAGAGAAGGTAAGTGCCAATCACCCAATCTTACTTGGTTCTATATCCTCAAAGCTTTTATATAGCACTTGTATTAGTTCAGGCTGTGGATGTAATGCCTTGCATACTCTTTTCGCAAAAGGGTGATGTTGTGTTTGATCACTTGCTTGGTTATGGTCCATACTCACCTGCCAGATATACAGTTTACAGTCGCGCTGACACTCAGCTCCTGGCGCCGCACCTGAAACGGTCCGCATGAACAAAAGCCAGCTGTCCTGCGATGGCTTGTATCTGCAGTTGTGTACCGTGATAATCTGGCACTGCACTGCCACGTCAGACCAGTGTATCGCGTTCAGCCACATACCACATTTCGAGCACTTGCGGTACAGGTCCGCTTCACGGGTGTTCCAAGGTTCAGTTGACCAGGAGATCGTGCCTGCCTAATTGAACGACCATGGTCGCTCCTTCCAAAATCAGCTCCTCATCGATTGCGACTGAAATGGCAGGAGCGACCATGTGGCGCCCAATCGCTCTTTCCTCTTCAGCGCGCGTCGAAGGTCGGGCTTTCCCAGTCGGAGTCTTCTGAGTTATTTTCCCGACAAGGCAGGAGCGATGAGCTTCATAAGCTTATCAATCTACTGCTCGTGCTTTTTGTTGTCACCGACACTTGTCCCCACGCGCTTTCGCAACCTCAGGTTACCCAACGACTGCTAGCCCATGACGATAACTAATCGATAAGATAATAATAGCCCATGATCCCCGTTTTCCGCACACAAATGTGGTTAGGCAATCCTTCAGCCCACGGTTGGTCACCGCTGAGTGGGCCAGGCCCAGGGTCATGACGTCCCAGAACGGTTGGGCTCTCCCCCCGCGCCGTAAGCGTAAGCAGAACCGACCGGTTGAATACGAGCTGAGAGCTGACGGCTCTTTTTCATCTCTTTCATCTTCTTGCAGAATTTCTCCCCGCTACGACAAGGCTGCCGAACTAATTATCATCGGATCTTCAGCCCTACGGCGATCGTCGCATCTTCATCTCCTCAAGACAACAAAACAAGCGGAGGGACAAGAGACCACAGCCAAGATGCTCCGCAAAAAAGAAACATACACCGTAACGACCCCAATCCCCTCCTCCGTCACGCGCGCCCTCGCCCTCGACATCCTCCACAGCCACGGTGAAATCATCACCCTCAACCCGCTCGTCCTCTCCCACAAGGCCATCAAGGCTCCCCGAAGCGCCTCCGCAGACGAATACTACATGACCTGGTACGAGATCACCGAGCGCGTGCAGTATGTTCCTGGACTCGGCAGGATGGGCTCGGGGAAGATAAGCTTCAAGGGGTGTTTCCATGACGAGCCGTGGGGATTGACAACGCATACGTATGCGCCCATGTCGATTGATCTGAAGAATCAGTATCGCATCGTCGGGAACGAGCCCGGGGAGCCGCCAGATTTCGAGACGAATGCGCCCGGACAGGGACTGTTTCTGCGCGAGGATGTCACCATCGAGTGTAATGTGACGCTCATGTCGTTTGTCAAGGGGCAGCTCAAGACGTCGACGAAGGTGCTTGTTGATCGGTTCCTGAAGAAGGCGGAGCTGCTTGATGCCGGAGTGTTGCAGGGAATGGTCGAGGATGGGAAACTCAGGACATTTAATCCGGCCGATCGTAGTGAGACGCTGTATCAGCACCCGCAGCGACCGACGTCGTCGTCAGGAGGGACGAATGAGTGGGATGGCTCGCGGCGAATGTCGTATCAAGTCCCCAAGTCGCCGATGGAGCGCTCGCAGTTTGGTTCGATTTCGTCGCAGGCAAGCTATGGGGTTAATCAGCAAAATCCCCGGTATAGCCGTGGATCGGAACAGCCGCACGGCCGCAGCTTCGCTGCAGAATTACCCGCCGATACATATCATGCATACCAGCCACAGCAGGCGTCGGATAAGGTCATGGAGCTGCCGGATAATTCGGCGTACGGCAAAAGGTTCCCCGTTGAGCTGCCGGCGACGATTGAGAGGCCAGATGAGCAGAGCCACGGCGTAAAGATTGCGTATAATCATGTCTGATGTGATGTTGATGTTATTGTATACCCTCCTTGTGTGATGTTTTCGTCGTGTGGCCGTTTTCTGTTGATATCCCCGATTTCGCTACCCTTCTAATCAGTGACCCTTATACGTTTTGTATGCTTCAATCTCGTGTAATGTTGCAACGGACAATACCACAGAGACGAAGCATAGTAGCCGCCAATGCTTATATTCATATTGATACATCTCGCCTCGCTGTTTCTCCTTCGACCCTGATCCGAGCCACGGTCAATGCGGAAGACTACGACTTTAGTCTCGTAACCGATCTTTTTCAGCTTGACAGTTGTTGCGCATTTGGTTCCTGTAGTTTGATTTGCAATTAACGGCAAGATAGCCAAGCCCCATCGCCGTCAGCTGATGGCCAAAAGTAGATATTCGCAGCGCCGCCTGAGTCATGGGGGACTGGCAGTCGTCTGGAGAACGAGAGAACAGCTCTCTTGCAGTTCCCATCAAGTATGACATGCAAATTTTCGTGTCTGCTATTATGTTGCCGATATTGTGTTTTATCCGTCGCTCGACAGCACCGGCAGCGCGTGCGGTCCGTCCACCCAGACTCACCACCACCACGACATGCAGGACCGTGAGACAGATACAGACATGGTCCAATCCTCCCCGACAACACCGGCGGCAGACTCCGGCTGCTTCTTCATTCAGCACATCAACCACGGCGAAGACCAACACACCCGGCAAGACAACCTCTGACAGCAAATCTTCCAATCCCAACCCCAATAGCAACATCCTCCGCCTCCCCTCCGGCCGCACACTCGAATACCACACCTACGGGCCCCGCACGGGGTTCCCAGTCCTGTACATCCACGGAACCCCTGACTCAGGCGCGACGCTCTCCGGGTTCGAAACCCGCCTCGCACACCGGCTGAATCTCCGCTGGATCGCGCCGGAGAGACCAGGGATCGGCGAGTCCACTTTTTCTCCCGGTCGCTCTGTTCTCGGGTATCCGGCTGATATCCGAGCCTTGATTCGGCATTTGGGGATAGAGCAGTTTGCGATCCTGGGAGTTAGTGGAGGGACGGGGTATGCGCTTGCGTGCGCGAGGGCATTCTCCAAGGAGATGCTAAAGGGCGTAGGGATCTGCGCGGGCGTCGGGCCCGTCGAGGCTGGATTCCAGGGGCAGAATGCGCTGGTCAGCGAGGTCCTGACTGCGTGGCGCGAATATCCGCGGGAAATGGCCGCCGCAATTGACGCGAGCTACGTCGCCGCAGTGCAAGATGCCGATGATCCCGGACGGCTAGAGCGGCTCTGGAAAGAATCGCTCGTTTCGAGTTTCTCGGCGGAGGATCGCCATGTCCTTCTGAGTGGAGATGCGATGAACTCGGCGCTCAGGGTGCTTCGGCAGGTGTACAAGCACGGCTCGGCGGCGCATGCCGAGGAGGTGCGATTGATGACCCAGCCGTGGGGTTTTCGGCTTGAGGATGTTGGCTTTGAAGGGATTCGATTGTGGTATGGGGAGCTTGATACGAATACGCCACCGCGCATGGGGAGGTATATGGCTGAGAGGCTGCCGGGGGCTCTGTACAGGGAGTTTCCCGGGAAGAGCCATTATAGTATTTGGTGTGAGGAGATTGTTGGCGAGATGGTGGGCGAGCTTCTGCAAAGGGTTCAGAAGTAGATAGCATCGCCTCTTGTTGTACGAGTAGATTCACCGGAACTTTACACTCATATTCCCGTTGTCTACGCGCGACTACTTCGTAGTGGTTGGGTATACTAGTGAGACAGGGCCAAGGACCGTGCAATAACAAGACTGGGAAGCAGACGACCGACTCTCCAGTCATCTTTACATGTACACCCATCGGATCAAGGAGAGGTTCAAAAGTAATGCTCATCACGGGTAACACGAGGTGTCGAATTCTGACTTGTCGCGGTCATGATACGGATGCAGGCAGTCCCCGAGATGAGGCTGCACTGCAGGGGCGGCCAAATGCCCAATACGGTTTACGCCGGTCAGCTTGTTTGCCCACCCAACTCCCACTCTAGAGAGGAGTCCGACGATTACGTTCAAGAGGGCTACTATCAAACAGAGGAAATCTCCATTAGTTGTCACTGCCAATGTAGTTAGTTCAATCATGCTGTGATTCATTGACCAGACGACGCCTTCCCCCAACGCAATCCACTTGATTGAACTTCCGCTTGCACACAAACCTTCGCTCTAACAAGATTACTGCCCTTTTCTCTTCTCCACTCATACATGGTATTGTTAAACCGGAAAAGATGTCGAACTTGAAGCCCACCATTTCGCCGCCAACCCAATTTCGGCGGCACCACAGCTCCCAAACACCGTTCCCCCGAAGCGAACCCGGGGAAACCACTAGCAGATCGCTTTCCGGAACATGGTACGTCCGGCTCTCATCCAGCCCGTTCTGGATTGACAAGTACGGTGTCTCGATTACGTTCTCCCTCGATGATGACGACGGCAACACCAACACCACCACATCGGATTTGGACACCCAGGCCGTGTACACCAGCCACCTGAGTTACCGGACGGCGATAGACCCTTCTGCCGATATCAAGACCGTCTCTGGAACCGATCGACGCGTCGGCACCGCAGCCGCAGAGAACGCGGGGACGATCCCCATGGAATGGAGAGGGAGCGGGTGGATGAAGCTCGTCAAGACGCGGTGGGAGATACTCGGGTTCGGCGGCGGGCCAGGGACCGAATGGCTGGTTGCGTATGCCGAGAAGTCGATGTTCAATCCGCCGGGGATCAGCGTGTATTCGAGAGACAGGGAGGTGCGGGAGGAGGTGGAGGCTGAGATTCGGGGTGTGCTTGCGAGGATGGTTGACGAGGCGCAGGAGCAGAGGGATGAGCTGGAAAGGTTGGTTAGGGAGGTTAGGGTCGTTGGGCTATAAGCATCTCTGTGTCTTGGTCTGGTTCCCTTCTTTCCGCGTCGTTTCTCTGCACCCGAGGAGTGATGTTATACTAAGGTACGATTGCGGCTGGATTAGAAGAGCCTCTATAGTGTCAACCACATCTACAATGCTTGAAACATCTGGTCCATTTTCTGGGAAGGTGTATTTGAGATATGGTACTCACAAGGCATCCACGCAGACTTGGTAGTAAACCCCTTTGAAGATAATAAAAATCCGCTGATTATTTCGCCTTTGTAGACATGTGAATATAAACTTATTATGATATTATATAAACAAACCTGGAGCTAATGCATAGCCTACTAGCTAATTCTCCTTCTTATTTTCCTGATATTCTACCTATTGTTATCTAGACTCTTGATTTAGTCTTCTTTGGCGGGAATGATTGGAAAAGTGACATAATTCAAATATCTCGGGCCAAAGTGAAGGTGATTCAGTCCCAAGAACGTAGCCTCTGGCCTACTAGGGATTAGCATGTTCAATTGGATCTGCTATGGAGGGGGTCGGCCTACCTGTCAGTCTTATTATCGTGACGAAACAGCCCAATCCCTTGCGTGTCACCGGAGCTGATTTCAATCGCCAGCCTGCCGCCCTCTTCAACCACAACATTCGTCGGCCACACTTCCACATCAACGGCGTAAACATCATTGGGAATGACAGGCTGGACATCCGAAGAACAGTACTCCCGCTGAGGAAGCCATGATTCGTGGTGGAAGCCGGACTCGTTCGTCTTGCGAAGGCTAACGCGCAGCCAGCCCTTTGTAACGGGGGCAGGGTCGCCAATCGTCCCGGTGTAGAAGATTTCTTTGTCGTGTTTGTCGAAGTGGCGCAGGGTCAGAAACAGGTCGAGATCTGAGGGGGTGGTGGTGCACGCGTGCAGGGGACTCATGGAAACATTCAGGTGCGCAACAATGTGGCCGGTGATTTCGGTCTCGGCCTCGAATGGCTGAGTGGTAAAAGTGATCATGTCGGTGTATTGGCCCTTTTCCGGGGCATTGTACGTGAGTTTCGTGGGTTTGGGGACATCTGGATGGGTGGTTGCGAGACTGTAGTCTGGGTGCAGATAGTAATCCGTGTATTTGGTTCTTGCAATGGGCCACTCATTCTCGAACCGTCGAGGGAATGTCGCTTCTGAACTCGGATTATTGGAACCCTTGTTTCCCTTGCGGAGCAGTAAGTCGACTGGCGGGACCTTCCCCTTTCGTGACCAACCAGCTCGATCATCGCCTTTGCAAAAGGCATCCAGGAAGCTTCGTTGCAATTCAACCTCCTCAGGATAATAGAAGGGAAGATCATGACGGCCAACGATAAACCGGATATATTTCAGCTCCGAGCCAGCACGGAGGAATCCCTGGACATTACCACGGAGATGCAACAAGAATCCACCCCAGTTGGCAACAGTGAGAAGCGGGACCTTAATGTCCTCAAGGTGAACATTCACAGATGCAAACGCCTCATGGTCGCGGTACCAGCGCTCTCCAAGCGCCTCGACCAGGTTTGTTCTGTTGGTCGCGAGTTCATCTGCAGAGAGGTCTCCTTCAATGGTATCCTCCCCCCAGTTGCGACTTGCTCTGCCAGGCAGACCGTACTGGTTGGATTCGACTTGTCGAGGCCACCAATAGTCAAAGAATCCATTGGATAAGATGCCTCCGTGACGAGCAGCATCACGATAGGTGTCAGCAAAGCCTTCCCAGGGAATCATACAAGCCAGGCCCTTGGGATGCCGGGCAGCAACCTTCCACTGCTGGACCGCGTAATAACTGATGCCAAGCAGTCCGATCCTTCCAGTACACCATGGCTGTTCGGAAGCCCATTCAATAAGCTCAAAGTACGCATCAACACTTGCGGCCGAGAAGACATCCATGTACCCCGGGGATTGACCAGTCCCGACTTCGTCACCGCGGACGACAACATAGCCCTGACGAGTCCAGTACTCGGGTGTAGGGGTCTCCCAGACCGCGTGCTTTGTTTGGTGGTCAGGGTTCACTTCTGCGAAGCTTGACGCATGGAAACTATCGAGATAAAGCTTAGTTCGGCCTCTTGATAAAACTCGGCGGGCGCCTGTCACCTACTGCTTGTATTTAATATCCTTGCCGTATGGCCCGAGGCTGACAATCGCGGGGAACCGTTCCAGGGGATCAATGGACTGGGTCTTGGGCCGAAAGACATTGCATCGAATGACTCCTCCACCCTTCAAGGGCACCGAGACGTTCTTTTCCAGTATCATGCCGTCTTCCTCATGCACGGTCCGGATATCGCGTATTTCGTTAGGCATCTTGTCGACAAACAAATGGCAGTTTCGCAGAAGGGATTTTGGAGTACCAGAGGGAGGTAGTCACCCGAGAGCCCCGATTATAGGTGAAGGACGAGAACAAGACGAGGGTGTTCAGAGAGGAATGTATAGTAAGCCTCAACCCTATTTATAATCGGACCCCTCGAGAAGGCAATACGAGAATCCTGGTGGACAATTGAGGAAACCCGGTGGAGGGTACTTGGGCCAATATCCCGAAGCCGGATTTATGCATACGTAATATCCCGACTCGGAGCTACGCCTCAGAGTGTGAGTTTGCTCCTTTTTTTTTCAGGCTCTTCTCACTAGAATATGAGAAAGCGATCAACTGGGCCGAGTGTGAGTGCAAATTGGCTGGAAATATGGACCAATGTAGGTAGACCAAGGGGGCCTGCATGGTGATCGAGTACCATGACGCGTGTCGGCCGACTTTGAGTGACTTGAATGGATAGAATAGACAGTAGGGACCAAGCCATAAAGTTGATAGATTCTTGGATAGTTCTATGAGGTTACTTTACCTACCCCTTCAAGCCTGTTTCTCTTATTACGCGATACTCCAGAGTGACATGTGCTTGATGTAACTCTTGACCGACCTTGTTATTCCCTGTTATTATATTAAATGTGCCTATAAAGGTTCCACTTCCTTCCATCACTATTCAGTACCATTAAGACTAGATTCCCAACCTCTGCCCGTTCCAACGCCTGCTACGAATCAGCCGCAAAGATGTCGCCGCAAACAACCAACCCAGTCTCGGCCGTTTGACCCATAACTACATTCGTAACTGGGTACAACAATTCAGGGCACGCAATTATGTAGGAGACCATTCCCGCAAAGTGAAGCGCCTTGCTCTGAAATTCCATGGCCTCCATCGTGGTCTACACAGCATCCGAGCCACCCGAGCATGAACAGGAACTCGAACAGAGATCTCTCACAAAAGACCACCAGCTGATGGGCAGGTGCAACAGATTCGGCCTGGTCAACCCGGAGGGCTCCGTCTATCAAATTGGGCACAATATCAGGCTTTCAAGCACAGGACACAGAGCCTCAACTCCGGAACGATTCGATGGATCCCAATCCGCTCGGCGTGCTGGTGTAAAAGGCCAGCTTTCCATGGTCTAATGAGTTCCCGGTGGATTTCGTTTGATTCGCCCACGACTGCCGAGGACATGCAGAATTGACTCTATAGGGTTGGTGGATATCATGGGAAGAGTCGACTGAATACCGAATCTAGCATATGGAGTTCGGGAAATCAACGTTCGTACTAGCCTGGGACATTTATAATCCCCATCCAGGTAGACTGGTGCTATGCACCTGCTGCCGTATCCACCAAACCATGGCTGGGACTCCAAGAACACGGCGCAGCTTGGGATCAGACTATATAGACAACACTCGGCCGAGACCCCTGGGCACGCGCACTTATGGACTAATGATTTATTGGCCTCTTGAGAGACTAGCTAGAAGAGTTCATTATCAACGCACAATGACAGCATGTGATTTTGAACCCATGAATTGCGAAGACCTGTTGGTGGACGGACAACAGCGATAGTTCATAGATGATAAGTCAGTGGGTTTCGACGAATTCGTGGAGCCTTGGGATCGGTGGGTACCTCCTGAGATCAAGATACAATAATATTCATTATTCTAGTGAATAGAATGTACTAGTAGTTGTACGATCCCAAGCTGTGCCATGTTCCTGGAGAAAACACTGCGCCTACCATTATCGAGCGCAGTCGCAAGGCGTGAAGTGGCACGGTGGCTAGGAAGGTCTCTTGGGCTTTAGCTAGATAGTGGATAATGCCCTTAGCTGAGATATCGTAGTTTTTCATACTTTGTGTGCTCTTTTTCTCTGTAGGCAGGTACAGGTATTTTGATTCTTTCAGATTATGAGGAACAGGAGAAACACACTCCATACGTCCAATAGAAGATTGGTTGGTTCTTAGTAGATGCTTGTCACTTCACTGAGAGGCTAAGCTCGGAACCATACATCCAGAAACATCCCCACCAACTGACATTGTTTGTGAAGGACGACTCACATAAGGCCCTTAGGGACCGTCATCCGAAGAGGCTCAGCACAGTCTCCCAGTGCGTGGGCCCCTTGTAAAGAGCTGTAGTCAGGCCAATAATGCTCAAACCAACGCCAGCCATAGACTGACTGATTATAAAACGAACCCAGCTGACAGCGGAAGTCTAGAGGATTGATCCGTGCTGATTCAATAGGCCAGTGAGGGCTCAGAACACGACTGGGGGACCTAGCCAACACAGAAACAAGGGCTGAGATTGGCAATGCAGTTTCAATGGCAACCGGGAAAGTGCGCATAGAGGTGCCTTAGGCACCTACCCTACTCCGTACCCAGTGGCGCAACGGCCCTTGAGAGCCAAGTTGATCCTTTCCTTTGATTATCAGGCGTAGGGTAATATTGACCTCGAGGCTGACAAAGGGCACTTGGGCGGGGGTGGGTTGATATCTAAAACGAATTGAATGTGATCCTGGCCTTGAGGCAGACTATTGCATTCAGGGAAGATCCTCGAGCCAAGCCACGCAGGTAGCAAAGCAAAATAGACGATTCTGGGAAAATTTTGAACCGGATTCTCCAAGCAGCGCCGGAACCTGCGTGATGGCGATATTTACGGCTATTTTCATTCGATGGTACGACACAATTCTGCTGTCATGTATAGTGGCCCTAGGAGTCCTCTACCCGAGGTGAGGAAAAGGCCCCATTGACCTCCTGGGGGGACGAATTCATGTAGAAACCAAGTGGAGCAGCCATTGCAGTTGGCCTATGTATTCAGACAGCGCGCAACGCTTCAACTCCCTTCCACATACCAATCACGCTCACAGGAACAATAGCATGATTTCCCTCGTCGCTATTCAATGATAAGAGGGGATACATGTAAGCCGGAAGCGTCCAAACCAGGAAACCACAAACCCAGGCGAAACCAATGGCCTTCTGCACCGTCGATGGGCGAGGGGGCGAGTGAGATCGCTTGGCGCCCGTTAACGTAGAGTACACCTTCATGACAGCATCTTCGACGACAATCCCCAGGATCTGCGTGCAGAAGAACGAGAGGCCGCCGGAGGTGTAGATCGTAAGGCCGATGGACATGTCCATTAGCACATGCATTAGGCCGGACATGGCAAAGGCACAAGCGAGCCGGGCGTATCCGACGAAGGTGGATCGGCTTTTTCGGGGAATTGCGAGGACATCGTGTACGATGTACCGAGAGATAGAGTTGAGCTTGTGTGTGTTGAGCTGGTGCCATACATGACTGCAGAATCGCGTATGTCAGTGGGGGGAAAGAATGAGTCGAGGTGGACTGGCTTACCTCCAGGCCCTGCGCAGCGTATACCCGTCTGATATTGGGCCATAAGGTCCTGGCCAGTCTGCAGGGTTAGAGAGGTGGCAAAGCACACTGACGAATGCGAATAGGAGATAGCCACCCCACTGCACAGCGACCAGTCCGATTACCAACCCGACGGCCGACAAGGTACGCACAATGACCTCCTCGACAGAAAGCTCGTGGCGATAAAGCCGCCTCAGGACGGGGACATTCGAGGCTGACATGTACTTTGCTGTCATATCAATGTCTACATTTGAATCCATCAAATCGAGGGTGAGGTAGCTGAGTAAGATGAGGCACGCGGTTCTCCAAAGAACGACTTCAGCGACAGCTTAGCCGCGCGTCGAGGAGCATGTTTAACTTGTTGAGATGTGGCGATAAACCGAGCGTTCAGAGTCAACGAGAGCCCTGAGATGAGTTGTTGTCGTAATGGCAGGTGGGAAAAGGACCATTTGCCAAGAACCGCAATGTCGATGTAATGGAATAGCAGAGTCACGGAGTGTCCGCCAACCGTTTGGGCCCACGGATTGCGAATCAGACTGACCTTGGCAGTCGTGATACAATGCCAGGTGCACAGAGCAGTAAGCAAGAATCCGCCAGTTCGCAGAGCATGCGAGCGTTGAGGAGTACATCCAACCACAATAGCGCTGATAACAACATTACCCAAGAGTGAGAGAATAGGATGCGGGCCCATAGTAGCAGTAGCCGAAGGTAATAATTCCAGGTACAACGTTGAGAGGAGCGACGGGTGTGAGAGAATTATGGCCTCAAAAGGAGTGGGACAAACGGCGCCAGGAAAAAGCAAAACAAAGACGAGCAAACGGCCAGACACCAATTTTACTCCAATCTTGCTCGGGTTACACATAGTCAGCCTCGACTCCTATCTACTCGACTAAATACTGACCATATCCACTTGTCTCTTTGTTCGATTTATCTCAGGCAGGCATACCCAAGACCACGTCCGTTTACAAGATAAGTGAGCCGGCATTTTTGGCCAGTATTTCGCATAGGAGATCTATCCCATCATATTTAATCTAAACAACTATGTTACGCGGCTATCCAATACTGCGACCTAGCGAAATGACTTTCACTTAGGTCTGGGACCCTGTGGTAGTCTTGGAATTGGGCCTACTTTTCCTAGGATATCAGCTTTCTGATACCCTTGGCGCTCCACAGTACTATTGCCCCTGAAGCCGGGCTCCCTCTCAGTTCGCGTCCGAAATCTTGTAAGGAGGTTCTCCAGCTTTCGTTCATTATCCCTCTTTAAGTATGTCAGCCTAACTGTGCAGTATATTTGGTAACGGACCCTACCTCACAAGGCTTCTTCATGCTTTCGAGCTCCTCAAGCTGATCAGAACTTAGATAATCGTCTTCTTCTCCCCAAAACTGGTATGAAACTAGGGGACCCTGGCTGGTGGGAATCATCACCGGGCCCGTTTCCGCAGAAGCCCTGAGGTTCGACAAACCAACACCTTTAACTCTCTGTCCGACAAGGGCATTCCCAGCGACTATAAATCCAGCGTCGAATAGATACTCGCGCATAACTTTTTGTGTCAGGGTGTCGCCTGGTGGTTCGCGCTGGTATTTGAGATACATTGGGTGGAAACTCTTGATCATCACCGAGTGATGTTCAGTTCCGGAAATCTCAACAACACTTATATTCGTAGCCTCCTTGACTGATGAGCAGACCCGCTGAGCAAAGTCGTTCTTCACCTCTTCCGTACCCGTCTGGCATTGGCAGACAAGAATAACGTCTGGTTTTAGACGGCTGATGATCTGTTTGAAGGTGGAATACGCACGCTCATCATCTGCCAGCCTCTCTATAGAGGGCTGGGTCTGACGAATCCTATTGCTTCGAAAAGCCCGAATATCTAAGATGATTGTGTTTCTAATATCACGCATCCCGGCAAATGCGTGGCGCAAGGATTCGTCAACGGCCTTCAAAGCTGGTGAAGACTCCAACATCTCCTCGAAACAGACGCTGTCCGCTTTGTCGCTTGGCTCGAGCAGTATCACAGCCAAATCGTCGTATCCGGTTCTTAGCTCGTATGCATTTCTGAGGGCTTGTGCTCCTGCCTGCAGATCCCGGGCGAGCCCTTGAAGAGGCTCTAGGTGATTGGTGGTGATTGTGGCATTGAAGGGTACGGTTGGGCATCGCAGTTTCAACAAAGCGGGGTAGATCTCATCGATGTCAGTGAACTCGAAGCTCCGGCTGCTTTGGGCTTCAGATATTATGAGTTAGTTAGCTGTCGCTAGAAAGGTTTTCAAGGCTCTGAAGGAATATCAAAATTTATTTACAGCGATCCATGGTTCATGTTCTTGGGAGTGTTGGTGGGATGCAAGATATCGAGGCTGCATACCCCCGGGCGATAAGTCACGTACTTGTGGACGATGATTACTCCGTTGCCAAGATACCTTAATAAGGCTATTAAGGTGAACTATACACCAGGTTACATGTCGGAGTCGAGATCTTTATTGCATAAAAGTGGGACAGTGACTCGATTCTTGGACAGCTAGCTCACTCCACATACAAGGAAGGCCAGTAAATCACTTAAATCACCAACGAAGCGAGATGTAAGGCCCAAAACAGTCTCCCCCTAATACTCCATAGTAACGCCACGCAAGTGAAGACGAATAAATCAATCCGATCCCCCAATAAACCGAAACGTAAGCCCCAAAACAGTCTGCCCCGTAGACTCAATGGTAATAGAACACCTCACAACCTCATATCGATCCGTCTCGTAATGCCGAAGTGCCTCTTCATTCTCAGCACAGGTGACAAGATACGCCCACCCGCGTACAGTACCAACGCCGTCCACCAGAGCCTTGCGTGTCCCTCCCCAGATTCGAAGTTCGCCTCCCGTAATGGTAGCCGAGTGATAGACAAGCGGGTAGGGGAATCCAAGTTTCCCCACGAGGACAGTCGGGTCCGCGAGTGTGCCGTAAAAGAAGTACCAGACCGGGTACTGATCCTGTCTCGGGAGGAAAGTCCGCAAGGGATCGGCGGGTCGGTTGTGCGTGAGTGTTGAATCGAATCCGAGGAACGGCTCCATGCTATCGCTGGCGAGCGCCTCCTCTGCCCTGTTGATCCGGATAAACGTTGGAGTGAAGCTTCTGTATAGACGCCTGGCGAGCGCAGCGGCCAGGGCCAGCTTTTGCGCACCGTTGATGAAACAGAAGCTTGCGTCGCCAGAGCCGTCGCCGGTGCCAGAGACTTGTTCGGGCAGGCGGGACATTCCGGCCAGATGTTGGATCCTAGATGCGGTGGAGAGCGGGCCCTCGAGTTTGACGAGGTAGGTCGTCTTGCGGACGGGCGCTTGGAAGAGGTCTTGAAAGGTGTCATCGTCGTCGTCGACGTCGGCGTTGGCAACCGTGGCCTGGTTCTCGAGCTCTTGAAGGGGCTCCATGAGGATGAAGTAGATCAGGCTGGATCAGGAAGGGTGTTTGACATGCAGGTGCCAGGTGCAGTGTCCTGGGAGCAGGCGGGGGAAAGAAATCCGCATGTAACACTTAGAGCAAACCACGGAGTGGCGGCTCACCTTGAAAAGTTTTATCACGCAAGGTTTACGGACGTGTTAGTGACACGCGGACTTAAGCTTCACATCGGACTAGTATCTCGGTCGTATGACCCTGTATGCCATTCCCGTTCTATGGTGATCTAGCGATATCGAAGCGTCTTGGATAAACACAAAAATTAACTTCTCAACATTTCTGGGCCCAGTGTATGATGTCTCGCCTATATTTTCGACCTGCAAAATCCGAGTGACCGTAACCTTCATGCTAGGGTCGCGTGCTCTGGACCATGTAGTCCACCAAATTAAGCTCCCCGATATCCACGGTCGAGCACTGGAACCGATCCGCCTCCGCGCACCACCGACACAATAGGCGGCGACGAGTCGATGTAATCTAGCCTTGCGACTCAACCAAGACGAGCTCTGGTCTCGTAGCAATCCCTTGACGTCCCTGCAGCTGATTCCGTGATAGGGTTCTTTTGGCTGAACATAGTTCAGGTTGAGGGAGTGCATCGCCGTCGCGAGGGACCGGAGGATGTGCAGACAGCACTCGCGGCGGCAAATGTCGCGTAGGATTCCGGCGTCGTAGATCACTCGGTCTCGGATTCCGTAAATGTGTGTTATGAGTTTGTGGAGTGTGCTTTCTCGGGCTTTGTTCATCGCGTCTTTGAATTGTTAATACCCGACAGGAGACGGTGTGGATTGAGTTTCTGGGCGTACCAATTGTCTGTTCCAGAACAGGGAAACCAGGGAAAGTGATAACAGACGGGTTACTATCGACGAATATCAGACAACACGCATTGAAGCACCCCACCCAGCGAAAGTAGTTAGATACCCAAAGCAACAGACAGAGTTCATTACCGTAGGAATCTGGCAGTGCGTCGTTCTTGAGCGATTCGTGCCATATGTCACCATACGGGAGCACACAAGCGCACCCGTAGTATGTAGCGATGAGAGCGACTTTAGCGAGAATCTGGATCCCCAGACGCCGTGGAACCTTGTCGTGTTGTTCATGGATGATGTAAAGGACGATTAAGAGTGCATTAAGATCCCAGCCGACGAGATTGACTTCGATCCTCCCTTTCTGGGCCTGCTTCTTCTTCACGGACGCTTGGACCATCTGAGCGAATAGTGACGAGGCAAGAGATAGTTGCTTCCCAGAGACCTGGATGCGAATCTCCTTTGGACCTGAGTCCGGTGTCGGTGTCGGTTCTGGCTCCTGGCCGTTCGCCCTTGGCTTTTGGGTGGTGGAATTCTTAACTTTCGAGCTTGTGGGCTCCCCGGTTGATGCGGGCTTCTTTCCCGATGTTCGTGCTCGCTTTTTGGGGCGTTCGGCGATGGGATCGGTTGGTGCTCGACGGAGCGTTGGAGCGGTGGCTGCGGCGCATGGACGGTCACACACGTCTGCAGTCGGAGCGTTGAGGTTGGCGATGACGAGGACGACATCCCCGTAGGGGTCAATGATATGGTCCACAGCCATGGCTTTTCTGGCAACGCGAGAGAGGATAAACAGACGCGATCAATGCTGAATATGGAGAGAGGCTTGTGAAGAGTGTGGCGGAAGCTTTCCCCCCTGAAGAATTTCCGTTTGAATGTTTCACAAGGGCAGTCATTTGGGCACTGCCTCAGGCAGTAAATGCCAGTTTGGATTGTCTCACAGTGGCTGCATCTTTTGACAATGAACACAGTTATGACGAGAGGTAGATGTTTTGTTGCTGAATCAAGGATGGGTGCATTGATGCATGAAACCTAGAAAGAAAGGGAAGGCTAGCTTAGAGTGATGAGGGTATATGAAGCCGAGAGCATCAAACGACGTGATTCTACTTGCAATAGTAGGACCTCTAGCAGCATAATCATCTCTCACCAGCACTGGCATTGCCACGAGGACCTTCTTCGCAACAACATTCCGGCCATCTCAGTATCCCGCAACTCTGCATTCTCCCTTACAAAACAGCTTCCGTCAGGCGTCATGTCTTCAGTCACCCCTTTCAGCGCGAGGATACCCTTCGACGTGCACCTGATGATTCTGGAACACTGCAACTTTAGAACAGTCCACTCCTATGCCCTCGTATCAAAAGGAACCACACCAGCAGCCAGCCGATACCTCTACCGTGACCTGCACTGGGGCCCAAGCGGTGATATCTACGACTGGTCCTGTAACACAATCCAGAAACTTCTCCGAACACTCGTCGACCGCCCCGAACTTGCCCTGTTGGTCAGGGCAGTGAATTTCGACGTGGAATATATATACGAATCTGACGGTGAAGAGACGTACCTCTCAAAACAACGGACCTACGCCGCCAATCCCGAGTCTATCAAGCTTGCAAAGAAGCTTGTGTGGAGGTTGCGCCTGCCAGACGCAAAATCTTGGACTTCTGCGCTCTCGCAGACGTCTATAGGCCCATGGATCGCGATTCTCCTCTCGCAGCTCATGTCGATGGAGGAACTCACTCTCGGGCCGCCACTGCTGCACAACTCAACGTATGTCGGCAGAATTACGAGTGGGAACGATGTGTAGACGAGATATGACCATGATTTGGGAAATTCATTGTGAGAACATCAGAGATGACCAGAGACTGGGATGGTAACAGAAGAATAGAAAAAGCAAGTCTTGGAAGTATGTACGTAAATCCAAATATTACAAAAAGATAGTCTCCAATCCAATCAGGCCAGCTCAAAGAAAACCCTCCCCCCTACTAGCTCGACCGCACACGCCCATACTCATCCAGGTACAGAGGCCTGTCCTTTGTAGTAATGTACGTCTGATTCGGCCCCGTCACGCGATCAAACCCATGCGGGCCCCAGGCCACCTCCATGGCCTCCCGAAACTCCGTCTTGGGCTTCCCATCGCGAATCCGCAACTTTTCAAAAAACACATACGCCGCATAGAACACCTGACTCTGATTCCCGTCCTTGACCCCCTTCTTCCCCAAAAACGCCGTCAGCGGCTGCGTCCCCATGGGCGCTGTCTTCAAATTACCATTGCGATCTGGCATCGGCGTCTTGGAAATCTCCTTGCAGAACGCCGTCTTCGTCATGCCCGATTCGCGCAGACACGCCCGGATCTTCTTCCGGACCTCGTCGCACGTGTCGAAGACGGGCACGTCGCCTTCCTCCTCGCCCTCCAGCGTAATCGCACTGACATCATACTTCTGCTCCATCTCCAGCTTCGCCTTCTTACTTGGCGCGGCGACCTTTTTCGGTATTATCCCCAGTATCTCGCGCTTCATGAATAGGCGGTGCGCGCCCGCGTACACGCTCGACCCCTGCCCAGTCCACTTCCCGCTCTGCTGCATGAACGCATAGTACGCACGGCTACTGAGGTCCGCGGCGCGCAGGAACTCGGAGACTTTCATCTGCTTGGAGTCGATTAGCGCGCTGATCTTCCGCCGGATCTGCGTGCAGTCCCATTTCAGCTCGTCGAGACGCGGGTCGTCGTCGTCGATGTCTGAGAGCGATGGACGACCGTTCGCAGAGGCAGTGGCAGTGCCGGTCCCGGGTCCAGTCTCATCGCCTCCAGTTTCAGCATCGCTATCCGCATCAGCTGTAAGGTCAATGCTCGCGCTCGGAGCCTTGCGCTTCCGCGACGGCGCCGTGTTAACCGGTAGCGGTCTTTAGCCCTCCACCTCCTGCAAGCGCTTCTGGGCGGCCACCAGCTTGCGCGCGATCTCGTGGTCCAGCCTAAGGAGGTTGGCATTGATTTCGCGAAGGCTCTCGCGCCCATGTTCGTTCTTTGCCGATGCCATTATGAGGATGTAGTGGCTTAATGACAAGCCGATATGAAGGAATGATGCGAGGGAGAGCGCGGCCTGGAAAGACAGGGGGCGATGACGTGTGGGGAGCGGAGTAAACAACCGGGGGGGCGCGTGTTCACGTGATCTGGCTGGTCCTTTATGGCCACCATCTTCAACGGGGGAACTTGGCATACACCTGTGGTTAATCATCACATGATGTGTATTTATCGGCTTCTCACTCTGAAATGGCAATGGTTCTGTCCATTTAGACACACTAGGCCTGAAAGTGGTTGTTGGGAGTAACGCCCAAGGCCGTTGAAGTTCTGCCTGAAGGTATATATTTCGATAGAAAACGCAAATTGTCGAGCAACTTACGAGTGAATTGGTGCTATACCGCGTATCCGAGACTTGACTTGCAACGATAGCTCCACAGTACAAACAAACCCTACATACTGGCTGATCTCAAACATCATGGTCGTCATCGCCAGGTAGGGCAAATTCTAAACACGATGTTTCCAACTCCGAGAGCTAGATGGCACCAATCGAAACAACAACAGATGAATGAACCCGGTAATTTGAATTACAGTTATCACTGGCTAGCCCCGCAGTGGTACGGGAACCATCACCTAGAGCCCGACTCCTCCAAGTTTCCTCTTTGAGAAATTTGGAGAACCGGGGCGCCGTGGACGTGGTTGGGGATAGATCCTCCCTCGGGACCCCGCTGCTGGCTTATTCCGGTTCATTCACTTGAGGCTTTCCAATTGTCTGGCCTACCCAAATAGAGAAATACACCCCAAAGCCCGTGTAAGCCGTTGCGTGCTTTTCCCATTCGTCTGTCGCAAGCGGAAGGCAGATCTGCTCACTGCCAAGCATGGCTCAAAGCTTCGAGGGCATGACCGTCATAATAACTGGTGTGTGAAGTGGTATTAGGTATATTTATTAATAATTTCATTCATTCTTGCTCCTGTTAACCTACAACCTCCCAATAGAAAAGCCACAGCGGAAAAGCCCAACACCTTCGGCGCAACCATGATTCTCTGCGAAAAAAACAACGGCTCAATCATGGACCTAACCAGGTCACTTGAAACCGACACAATGCCCCCAAAACACGTATACAAGAATGCGCCGTCTCCTTGGTAGAAGACTGCAACGCCGTGGTGGAGCTTATCCCTACCACTAACTAAACCACCTGTTCAACTACGAAACGCCAAGCATGGCACTCAGGAAGATTTAGAGGACAACCGCCCCACCTCCAAGACTGCGCAGCGTCCTATTTCGACAACATCAAAGACCCCAATCCCCTTGGATATACTCATTGTAGGTAGAATGATAAGTGGGTGACCAATCAGAGCACAGTACACCATTGACGTGCGGGGTTCCAAGGACGTGCGGCGCATGGTCATCGGGCAACAGGCAAGTAGGGTGAGAAATGGACTCTATACTGGGGAACTTCCACAGAAGCTGTTAAAATATGGCATCAACTGGGAAACACCAACGATGATGATGTCGAGCGTCAACTGGCTGGGCTGTGGAGGATACAACAGGTCTTGGCAGTCTTACAAGCTGCTTACGTCATAGGCTCACCATCTCGTCCACATCGTCTGCAACTTTCCTGCACAACTCTGCCCAACGATCACAACTTGAACATGAGCAGAAACGGGACGCAGCCGCCAAACGGCGATGCTCTTGAGCTTCAGCTTCTCATGAGCAGCGACGATGAAGAGCCAGACTCCCCACTCGACATGCACCCACCGCCGCCGAAATGGATGACCGAGACACGACCGCATCCGTGGCTGTCAAGCGCGGCTGCCCTTTTTGTTCACCTCCTGCAACCCCGTCTGACTTGGCGCTATATTCTATTTAGCGTCGTCTTTATATATACTCTCTACTGCACCATCCACGGCACACCGCTGCTCGCTTCTCCGTTGCCGGGGTATACCGGCCCACACGGTGTCGGCGCCGTCGACCTGGAAGTGCCTTTGGCAGGTGGGCCTCGGCGCGTTGCTGAAGGTGTTCTGAAGGGCACCGACCAAGCGGCATTCGAAGTCGATACGCTGCTCGCCACTGTGTATTATCCAACCGACCGACAATTCCGCTCCCGCAAGGCCCGCTACCCGTGGGTCCCGCGTCCCATCAGCCTGACCGGCCATGGCTACGCCCTCATTGCCCATGTGGACAATTTCATCACTAGGCCGATCTTTACTTTTGCGCTATGGGCCATTGGTGGCAGTATTACGATACCCGCTGAAGTCGATGCTCCGCTTCTCGTTGGCGAAAAGGGCCTTGAAGCCTTCCCGGTGACGGTCTTCTCGCACGGTGATGCCAGTTCACGTACTGATTATACGAACTTCCTTGGTGAGATCGCCAGTCGCGGACATGTCGCTGTCGCCATCGAACACCGCGACGGCAGTGGGCCGGGAACAATAGTCAAGACCTCGACTGACAGGCCGGGCCGCAAGGTTCTGCCATTCCGCGCCTCAGATCTGCAAGGCGAGATAGACGCGGATGTCTTCAAGAGGTCGCAGCTCGCCGTCCGTGACACCGAAATTCAGGCAGCCGTCGAGCTGCTTCATGCCATCAACAGAGGGGCACCAATCCTCAACACCCGCGACCCCATCACGACTTTCACCCAGAGCCCTTGGACAGGCCGCCTTAATATCAGCCACCTAACCCTAGCTGGCCACTCATTCGGCGCCACAGGTGCTCTCCAAGCCTTAACCACACTCTATCCATCTACCTCAATCAAGCCAGGCGCCGGCCTGATCCTCGACCCCGGCAAATCCAGCGGCCCGCTGAACCCCAACGCTACGGTCCCTATATTAGTCGTGCACTCAAACTCGTGGTCCCGTAAGGTCAGCCCCTTCTACAGCCGGCCACACTTCGATACAGTTCGCGACCTCGTCCGCGCAATCCCCGCACCCTCCTGGTTCCTCACTAGTATCGGCACCGCGCACCCGAGCGTTACTGACGCCCCACTCTTGGAACCGTTGCTGCTTAGCTGGACGACTGGCGCAAATCTAGACGTAAAAGAGGCTCTACGGGAATATGTGCGCGTCGCAGATGACTTTGCGGCTTTTGTCCGCGGCGGCGAGCGCAAAGGTATTCTCAACGAGAAGACGACACATCATGAATATGGGGTCTGGGTGAGTGAGGAGCGGGAGAAGGAGTTTCCGAAGGAACTGGCGAGGTTTTGGGAGGTGCATGTTACGCCCGAGGATCAGGATAAGCCAAAGGAGGAGCCTGTTGAGTTGTAATAAGTTATGAATACGGACTCGGGCATACCATAGTGTGGATGAGTGGATGAGTCTGTGGCCGTTTGATGATTTGTATGCGGTTGGTCGTGGAAAGAGGCATGTCCATACTGCTGTGGTCTTCCACAGTCTCTGGAATTTACCTAGGTACTACCCTATATATTTCAGGAGGAATCCCGCATTCTTACTTGCTTTATACACGGCTTTCAGCCACTAATTCATTGTCCCAGTGTGCATTCAATCTAGCGTGCTTGAAATACCACTCTAGCCCTGATCCTCCACCTACAACACTCACAGGAGGATGCTCTACAGATTTAGGATTCCCCACTCGTACTCAAGATCGTCTGAACAACAGAATCAGGTATATCGACAATCGCAGTATGCCCAGCCCCACAGTCAACCATTGATATCTCGCCCTCAGCACACCCCACAACTTTCCTCTGTATATCGACGGGAATCGATCTATCATTATTGCAGAGTAGGTACGTCGCTGGGATATCTCGATGAGCCGCATCGCTCAATTCCTCCATCCACGAAGCGACAGAGTGCGGTTTCCGCAACGCTGCCAAAGCGTCGGCGTTGTGCTCTGGTAGAAAGTCGCTGTACAGGATCCTGGTTGCCGCGGATTCCTTGTATGGTATGAGCCCATCATATAGAGCTGTCCGTCAGCACAACACACCCTCAAGATCCAGTACGGATAGGTATGTCCTCGACACCAACTTTGACCGTCAAGAAATCCGGAACTTCCTCGCTCCACGCCTGATTAAACACACCCATCCCCTCCTGAAACAGATACACAGCGAGATAAACAAGCGCGACAATCCCGCCCGGCCTGCCCCCTTCCTGCCGAGATTTACAACTTAGATCTTTTGCGCTCTGCGTACCTGGTATTCCGCTATAGGAGTGCATGACGAGGAGAATGCGGTGCCCTTCATCGGCGAGCGTGGATGTCACGGAGTGGATTGTGGCTGCGTCACCGCTCATTGATGCGGTAGTCCCTACGGATGGTAAGGACACGGCTGTCGTCTCGTATCCTTTTTCTTCGAGGACTGAGCGCACGGTGGCGTAATAATCTGGGCTGTGGAAGGCGCCGGGGACGAAGACTATGGCTGGCTTCGACATGGCCAGGGTTGATATTTCGGCTCAGAGACTGAAACAAATGATGCGGCTAAATTGCCGGTATTTCTCTTCTTACACCATCAAAGGGATTCTTCTCTCTTTTATAGACTGGCCAAGCCACGGGTCTGGCTGGCTGTGCTGATCGTGATGCGTGTGCGGGCGACGGCGCAGTTGGGACCGCTAGTGTCATCAAGGTGAAGAGTCCAGCCCGCTCTAGTATGAAGATTCTTGATCGTCTATATGCTGTTGGACAACCTATCATTGAGCATTGATTATAGAAGTACCACAACAGCCGCTCGAGGACCATAGATGTGCGCTCTCGACATAGCGGGGGAATATTACCTATGTTGCAGGTTGTTCATTCGTATGCGGAAGTAGAATCATGATAATTTTCCGCTTTCCGCAGGTCGCCCTGACTAAGGGGCGTGTTTTTTGAGTTAGTCCCATAAGGACCTGCCGGTATTGGGGGGAAACACCTAAGCCCGGTCAATCTTCCATGCAAGACAAAAGCAGAGAGGTACGTAGGAACTACATCAAAGCTTAGCGCGAATAGCACTAGCAAGCTCCCGACTCTCCCCACTCCGCCACGCAGCACCCGGGCCCGGCTTAGATCGATTCCATTGCCACTTAACCTGCGCCTGCCTCCCCTTCTCCAAGAGCGTTTGCACAAAGCTTCCAAAGATCGGCATCATCTTGAAGCCGTGCCCAGAGTCGGCCGAGGGAACCACGAGCGACTCACCCTTCCACGGGGCAAAAACAATGATATAGTCCGAGTCATCAGTATCGGTAATTTAACACAGATGCGCGTCGATGAGTGGCCGGTCCACAAGACCTGGAAGGGCCTCGCGGAGGAGTTGGCGGATATATCGCTCATCGTCGGCGGGGATAAATTGAGATTCGGAAGGGGTGGTGAACGGTATGGATAGGCCAGATTCTGCTTTCGATCCTCCAGAAAAGTTCGTGAAGGCGCCACCCATGTGGCAGAATTTGAGCTTGTTAGTCTCGTGGTCTGGTTCGAAGAAGAAGGCTAAGTCGCGGACGTTTGTTACGGGGCTGCCGCGTAGCGAGCGGACTTCCTCGGTCGTGAGTTGGATGTGCGCGATACCCCAGCACCGGCCGGTCATTTGCTTCCCGATACTCGAAATGAGGGTCGGGGTGCTTGCGCCGAGGGCCACGATAGTTTTGTCGGCTGGATGGACGTTTTCACCTTTAGTTCTGGCACCGATACAGGTCATGCCGTTGCGGAGGGAGGAGGCATAAAGGAGCACCTCGGCCTCTCCGTCCATGTGCCCAAGTTTGAATTTGACCCCGAGAGCCGGACAGGCCTTGTACACTGCCTCAAGTGCATTAGCGGAGTGCGCGTATCCAGCGAGCTTGTTGTAGTATCCCGACCAACCCTCGACGGGCCCGGTAAATCCCGGAGCAAGTTCTTTGGTTTCAGCGTGGCCGGTCACTCGTCGGACTTGGCCTTTGAAGCCAGGGTGGCTCTGGACTGACAAGTAGTACTTCTCAACTACATCTCTTGTTACGCGAGGTGCGGCATCGGACGTAACGTTTAAAATCCCGTCTGGTGGTAGTGAGGCGAGTACAACGGGTCGGTCTGCCAGTTATGGATCGCCTCCTATATAGCAAACTATTAGCGAGGATAAGATGGATGTTAATGGTGCAGATTTGAGAGCTTACCAGGGTCAGGTCGGTATAGAACGGGTCTGCATACTCGGCACCGATCACCTTGTTGAGGTCGTTGGCTGCTGAGAAGCGGCTGGGAAACTCGCTATCCTTGTCCAGGACAATAATGTGGGAATATCCGCAAGAGGCGAAGTGATGGGCTGTAGCGAGGCCAAAGCACCCGGCGCCGAGGATCAGTATTGATGGGGTTGGTTTGGACGTTGACATTGTGATGGTCTGTGAAGTTGAAAAACGACATTATTCATTGCAGACGTGGGAAATGGAAGAAGGCTGGCGCATTTGAAGCCACGACGTCAAAATCATCATGGAATAATTCGGCCATCTCATCCAGGTATAGCCCTGGCTTCTCTAGTAGATGACCGTAGAAAGCACCGAGCATAACATGTCTTATTATACGCGGACTACCGCTGGAAATCCAGGCTTTCAGCTACGCCAAAGAACAAACTTAGCAAAATTATGCAAATCAGAAGAATTGTATCGGACCACATGAAGTCGCAATCCGATTCCGGTTCCAGCTCTTGGAAGGCTATTCCGGGCAGATATGCATGGCCAATAGTTCTGCTCCACTGCATGGAATTTGATGTGGCTTTGCCCGACGGGTCGATTGGCTATAATTTGACCCTCATTCCCCACATTCAGCCCCGGCGATGCGCTGATGATGTGTCATGAGAATAGGCTGCTCTTCTTAGGCCGGTAAATGGCCAATACTGTATTCCTTTGGCTCCTCTGCGGGAGATTTGACGTGTCTTTGCCCTCCGGGTCGATCAGCTGTCATATGACCCTCATTCCCACACTCAGCCCCAGCGATACGCTGGTGATATGTCCATAAGAGCGGGGCAACAAGATAGTAAGATTCTGACGATGAGAATAAGGTTTCAGTTACCGCCAAAGGCTCAAAGGGGTGCAGTTTTGTTTATGCCTAGCTTATCATAAAACCAAGGAGAAGTCTTCTCTGTGTCCAGATATTTACTACATCTAAAGCAAGTCTAGAATTGAGCGGCTTAACACGTTACACCACGATTTTCAAAGATCGCCTTTGCTCTCCCAAATACCTACCTACCTAGGTGGCCCTACATACTCACAATGGGGAAGGCCAAGAAATTTCTGGAGGATTTTATCAGTAAAATCCCAGATGAAAAGTTGTCAGGCTCCGCCTATCGTCAAATTTTGTATAAGGATACTGATTTTTGGTTGGAAGGAGCTGGGGTAAGACCCTTAACACTTCCTTGATTGCCTTGGAATGATGCGTTTGGATGGCATACTTTCATTGATTTAATAATTGCTAAGCTAACGTTTTGTGGGTTCGTAGCTGACTCCCGACGAGCCGAAAAAATTTATTATCGAAATTAGAATGTCGAGAAACACAAAGTTGTCGTCCCTCGGAAAGTTTCGCCCTACTACGGCTTTGACAAACGCGCTGGTCCCCCAGAATGGTTCATGGAGTTCCAAGATGATTCGTGATGAGCTTCTATCAAACATTGTGCTTCTTGATTAAGGCATCAAATAATAATTGTTCAAGCTAGCGAGAGAGTGAGATAGTATATACGAGAAAACATATTGTAGGTAGTCTAGAATATGATGAAGTTGGAGGTTAGATTCTGGAATATCCCTGGAAGGGCAGTTATTTTGTCGCAAGTGATCAGAGGTGGAATAGTATGTCGTGCAATAAACATTCTTGTCACGCCGTTAACAAAATCTAAGAAGTATGCTCCTGAGCCTCCCGCTGCTTTGCAAATTAAGCTGCTCACCACACTCGCGACCTTCCTGTACGGATAAAAAGAGACTAGCTCTAGAGAACCACACATCCTTGCCTTCTTCTTCTTCTTTTTTTCCGCCCAATTTCAGCCCGTAGAGACTTGATTTCTTGTTGAAGAAAAAGGTTCATATCCTTTGCCATATGCGCAGCAGTTTTTAAAGTGTTGAATATGCGAAACTAGGCTACTAACATAAATTATCTTGTTCGCCTAGGCCCTTCTTTCAAAGAGATTAAAAGATAGAGAAAGGAATAAGAATGGAAATCATTGATACCTGCTATACACGAAATGCTATGAAAGACACCCGTCCTGATGCGTGCCCTAGGACTAGTAGATTGCCGTTTATCGCGGAGCAGTTAGGCCGAAACTCGGGAGGAAGCCATAGGATATTTTCGCCGTTAAGCTTTATCCACTGCGCTTGCTCGATGAAGATACTTTGACTCCTATAAGGAAATCTAGAAGAATGATTTTCACCAGCATCTTGAACATCGAGAAGGCCTAAGTTAGTCTTAAGACACAAACTATCCTGAGAAAATTCAAGATAATCAACAGATCCGTTGATACTAAGCGTCTGCTGCAGGATGCCCGTGGCCGGGTCCCAGAGCCGGACTGTGTTATCATCGGAGCTAGACGCCAGTAGCTGGCCATCAGGTGAAAAGACCACTAAGTTGACCCAATCTGAATGGCCCTTAAGTGTCTGCTGTAGCATACCCGTGGCGGATTCCCAGATCTGAACTGTATTATCATAAGAGCCAGATGCTAGTAACCAGCCGTCAGGCGAGAAAGCTACTGAGCTAACTGAATATGAATGACCATTAAGCGTCTTCTGTAGTGTGCCTATAGATAGATCCCAGAGCCGTACTGTGTGATCATCAGAGCCAGACGCTAGTAGCTGGCCATTAGGTGAGAATGCTACCATTCTAACTGGACCTAAATGGCCCTTGAGCGTCTGCTGTAGTATACCTGTGGCTGGGTCCCATAGCCGGATAGTCTTATCATCAGAGCTAGACGCTAGTAGCCGACCGTCAGGTGAGAAGGCTACTGTCCTGACTAAATCTGAATGGTTCTCAAGTGTCTGCTGCAGGGTAGTGCCTATAGCCGGGTCCCAGAGCCGGACTGTTTTGTCTCCAGAGCCGGACGCTAGTAGCCGACCATCAGGAGAGAAGGCTACTGTTCGAACTGAACCTGAATGGCCCTCAAGCGTCTGCTGTAGGGTGATCCCCCTCGCCAGGTCCCATAGCCGTATAGTATTATCGTCAGAGGCAGACGCCAGCAGCCGGCCATCGGGCGAGAAGGCCACCGAGTTAATCCAATCCGAATAGCCCTCAAGCGTTTGCTGTAGCATACCTGTGGCTGGTTGCCAAAGCCGGATTGTTTTATCCCCAGAGCCAGACGCCAGCAACTGGCTATTAGATGAAAAGGCCACTGAGTTAACTGTATCTAAATGGCCCTTAAGCGTCTGCTGTAATGTACCTGTGGCCAGGTCCCAAAGCTGAACTGTTTTATCCCCAGAGCCGGATGCCAGCAGCTGACTGTCAGGCGAGAAGGCCACCGTCCTGATTGAACCCGAATGGCCTCTGAGTATTTGCTGCAGCGTGCCCAGAGCTGGGTCCCAAAGCCGGATAGTCTTATCATCAGAGCCAGATGCCAGCAGCCGTCCGTTCGGTAAGAAGGCTACTGTCCTAATCCAATCTAAATGGCCGTCAAGCGTCTGCTGTAACGTACCTGTGGCCAGGTCCCAGAGCCGAACTGTTTTATCCCCAGAGCCGGACGCCAGCAGCTGACTGTCAGGCGAGAAGGCCACTGTCCTGATTGAACCCGAATGGCCTCTGAGTATTTGCTGCAGCGTGCCCAGAGCTGGGTCCCATAGCCGGATAGTGTTATCACTAGAGCCGGACGCCAGTAAATGGTTATCAGGCGAGAAGGCCACGGATATAACTGAATCTAAATGACCTTCAAGTGCCTCTAATTCTGCCCTCCATCTTTCCTCAACTCGTGGTAATTGGCTGATCCAAGCAGGAAGCTCTGCTTTAAACACTCTGCGGACAATTGACGTTTGGGGTGCAAATATAAGTCCTGCGCAATAAATCTGAAGAGGCGCCTTATCAGCTATCTGGCGATTCTTGAGAATAAAGCGCTTTGCATCTTGAAGGAAATCAGATATTGTGGAATGTTGGTCGTCCTACATGTATTAGTATGGATCACATAACTATTTCCGGAACTTACTTGTATAATCATCTGGAGAAGATTAAGCATCCCGATAACTTCCGATGCAAGGCCGAGAAGGCTCATTACTTCCACCCAGTGCAGAAAATGCTCATGCAGGAAGACTAGAATATATTCCGTCTCAGAGGATAAGATTTCGCTATGTTCGAGATGGTATATCCAGTAACGACAGGAGTATTCGAGTTCTGGTGGTAAACAGTGGCGGAGAGATTGAGGATCGATGTCTACCCAATGAGTGCCAGGGCTTTCTAGGTTACAGATATTATACTGCAGATGACCTCGCATAGTTTTGAGACAGTGAAGAGCAATTTCCTTATGCGTATTTAGCTCGTTCACACGAAATTTGCTCTTGGATTGGACCAAAAAGTCTCGGAATGACAAATGTAGAATCCTCACAGGCAGATCTCGGTTAGTAGGCAGACTTAGCACGGACTGAAATAAATCCAACCGATTGGAGATTAGGTCTGGCTCGATACCAAGAAAATGAGAGAGTGTATTAACCGAGAATGGCATGGCGAGAAGAATAATGATCCCAACTATTTTCTGGAACTCTTGCAAAAGCTGCTGCTCCTCCCACTCATCACTATCTTGATCATCGAAGAGTCGCGTGAGAATTGGTAGATACGTCTTGTCCATTTTCATTGCATATCGAGATTGATCCTGGAGCAGCTCTTCAAGGCGTCTTTTGGGTTCCCATCTTGAATTTCCGATGTATCGACACACGGTAGCGGCAGAGATAAATAATGGGACCGACATCGTAACCAGACCCTGGATAACGTTGTCGCTGGGCCACTCTTCAGAAATCTGTCTATCAGATCTGATCTTCGTGAATTGGTCCTTCAAGAACAAACGGATGTCGTGTTCTGTCACTTTGTCTGGGATCTCATGAAGCGCCAGATCCTGATGATCATTGATCTCTGAGAAGCCAAGTCGAATCGGGAGTTCTGGCCTGCTAGTCAAGAATACCCGTAGGCGAACCGTGTTTGCCTTCTGTAGAAGAGGTAGCAGTCGGATTATATTTCGAACATCTAGATCATGTTCACATTCATCCAAAGCGTCGATCACAATCACAGCGGTTTGAGTCCGTTGGCCAGGTTGGTCAAGATCAAGAAGCGGTTGAAGGAGTAGCTTTTCAAACTGCTCCTGAAGTGATTTTGAAGCAATTTCAGGGTCGTTCCGCAGTGCCTTCTGCACACCAGAGCTTAAGTCAGGAATCTTTAGTACCAATTGCTTTATAAGTGTCGGGAAAAACTTCTTAGCGTTTCCTCGGTCCCCTTCACCCCTCTTGAAGAAAAAGCTCGCCCCAAGATGGTTGGTATTCCTCAGCGACTTTGCTACCGTCCGAGATATTGTGGATTTTCCTGTTCCAGCCATTCCATTTAACCAGAAGATGCTTTTTTGATTTGGCGACGTTGGCCATTCCATTATCTGCCGGAGGAGCTCGGTCCTTGTGCCTTGAAGACACTCTTCTTCATGTTGATCCGTGTATGAGTTATATTCAGCTCCACTCGCAATAAGCAGCTTATCCAAAGCTAGATTATGGTCGATACGATCTAAGGTCTTGGCCACATGGTTAATGGCTGGCTTGAGGATTTCTGAAATCCTCTCTTCTTTCTCCACTTGTTGAGGATATATTCGGTAGAGAAGGTCCTTCGCATACGCTGCTGCGACCATTGCTGCATACCCTTGCCATTCTTCGTTCTTGTGGGAATCTGAATAGTCGCAAATGCCACGGATCACAAGGCATGGGAAATGATTCATCATCCCAGCCGCTTCCATTTCAAAGCACAAAACGCCCATTTCCGTGGCAAGTCTATCGCGGATTAGAGCATCCTTCATGAGCTGATTGGCCGATGCGATCAACCCATAGTGTATCGTCGGATTGTCTTCGTCCCCCGGGCGTGGAGCGCGTAAGACTAGGCTATTCGAATCATTCCCGCAGACTACAGCGCAACTTGATCCATTTCCTTGCGGGTGGACGACTTGGCTCTGGTACAGCCGGTCACTCTCTGGTTCTGGCCGCTTATATCTTTTTCGTAGCCTTGGCCTTTTTTTAAGCGCCTCGTTGACCGCCTCCTCGAGCCGATGGCCTTCACTCTCATATCGGGCCTGTAGCCCATTCACTGCAGCGCGGAGGATGGTAGGTGGCTGATCCAGGAAGCCGGTGGGCTGGAAGCTTTGGCCTTGTATCGTTTTACCAAAGTCATACTGAATAACGCCACTTCGGCCATTGAGAGGAATGCTTATCACGATATCTCCAAGGCGAACGTCATGCTTTAGGCTTGGAGCTCCGCCACCGATGCCGACCATCAGACCGATTCGAACATTGGGGAAGCTGTGTAACATATCCTCGGCGACCCGTGCCGCTGAAGACGTGCCGTATTCTCCCATAGGTAGGACAGATATCACAATGTTATGTTTTCCAATTTTTCCCAAGGTATAGTCGTTTTTGTTGTGAGGAGGTAAGTCTTCCGGGCCTTCATGCTGTTCATCGAGGAAGGCTTGAGCGGCAACGTACTCAGCGGTAATGGCGCAAATCCAGCCGACGGTGTAGATTTTTGGGTCCGACATCCTAAAAATTAAGGTAGCGCATCTACCATCAAAGTTGCCGGACTAACGTCGTCGCGGATCTGAAGTCTTCTGTTGTTGATTGCTTTGCAGGAACGCGGGGCAGCCCGCATTCAGCTTACTAAGTCACGTGATTTGTAGTCTTACGGTTAGGTGATAGACGGTTTCCAAGTCTACTAAAATATACCCATTTTTCAAGCTGGTGCCTTGGCGGTAGGACCTATAGTTAAGAAGAGGATGTTGTCGAAATTGCGGGCCCAACGTAATGACTTGTATCGAACCTTTGCTGCGTGCCTGCTTCTGTGGAGGTCTCTGCTTCTTCTATCTAGCTTAAGATGTACGACTAAATACTGTTAGGAGCCATTATAGTGCTACTAGTGGTGAACATCAAACATAGGTTCTGGGCATATCAAACCTTTAAAAGTGGCTCCTATAAAGGGTGGCTCCTTTAAAGGGTTTGATATAGTGGCCTAATGGTCCAGTTTACCTTTTTGCACGTGACCCAGAGGTGCAGGTAACAAATACATAAAATGACTAAACTAAATCAGGAATATTGGAATATTGAAGGACCAAGTCCGTCTAGTGGTTCGCGGGCCATTGACGGAAGTTTGCAAATGAGAAAGGTCAATGGAGGGGTGTGTTGTGCAAGGAGAAGACAAAGCAGCCCGTGCGACAAGGAAGGGATGTCCGACCTCCCGTCACGTGATAGATACGGACGGGCATTGAAGCGGAGTGCAGAGTTTCAGATGCAGCTTATGGAAGTTATACTGGTTCTTAGTTATACATACCTACGGTTCTCATGACGGGTGTATGTGCTATAACTTCCATGTGGTACGAATGTGGCGTTATATAGTCCAAGCCCTTGTGATCATGGATCTCGCATAGAGCGGAGTTGGGAGTAGTACCCTGATTATATGTCTTGATAGTGGATCAAATCTGGATGATTGATACCTTGTCGTAATGAACTTGATTCAAGAATTGTATGTTTATCATAATCGAGCATAACACGTTCGACGTCATTTTAACCAATTGGCTAGAATTTCCACTGCTCACACCACCGCTTCATCAAATCCTTGGTGACAGGCTCCATCCGCCGCATAGTCTCACTAACCTGCTCTGTGACCTCCGTCGCGAAGCCCGCAGCACCGAGTCCCTCGGCCCTCTCAGTGGCGCTTTTCGAAGCCGCCAGGCGATATGCATCCAGCAGCTTGACGCCGGGATTCTTCTCTACATCGGCCTCGCCCGTGCTCTCTGCACTCTGTTCCAACTCTGCAACCCACTCTGTAAGCGGCACCTCCCGTGTGATCCGCTCACTGTAGAATTCTCGCAGTGCTGGGAGTATAACACCCTCCCAGTCCGGCTTCGTCGGGTTCACAGCGTGGAAGTACCCACCCTCTCCCCCTCGTTCTCCAGACAATACGTCCTTCGCCGCACCAACACCCGCAACCTCCAGGACGGCCCCCGCAATATCCTCAACAGGCGCCCACCCCATATCCGCCAACGCCCCGAGCTCCCTCGGCAGCACACCCAGATACACCGAACTCCGCACCAGACTCGGCAACCACTCGCGCGGATTCCACTGCCCCTTCTCCCCACGCGGCCCCGCAATCTGCCCAACACGAACGACATTCCTCGGAACCCCGCTGACCTCCTCCGCCCGATCGAGGATCATACTAGCGACGAGCTTAGACTGCGCGTATCCCATGGGTGCGGCAAGTGCGAAATCACTCAGCGGTTCCTCGGGGATCGGGACCGCGGGATCCGGCCAGTTCTCGACTGTGCTTACGCTCGAGACAAAGGTTATGGGTACGCGTTTTGTTGCGGACGCCGCGAAATCGATTAGGTGTCGGACGCCCCGGATATGTGGTTCGAAGGATGCGACGGACTGGTTGAAGTTTACGGGCCAGGCGTTGTGGATGATGCGGTCGACGGATGTGGAGAGGTTGGAGATGGTTTCTTGGGGGAGGGTGAATGTGGCTGAGGTGGATAAGTCGACGGTGAGGAAGGTGACGCGGGATGAGGGGAAGTCTGTGGTTAGGCCGCGCGAGGCGTTTGCGGCGACTTGGCGCTGTTTTGCGTCGTCTGTGCGGTTGAAGCAGTATATGTGGCCGATGTTTGGGTTTTCCAGGGCCTGGTGGAGGAGGTAGCAGCCCAGCGCGCCGGTTGTGCCGCTGATGATGATGGTTTGGTTCGTGGAGGATGGGAGAGGTTTGTTGGGGGTTGCGGCGGGGAGGTTCTGCGTGTATCTTTCGACGAGGGCGTGGCAGAGGGCGATATCATCTGTTTTGATGGTGGTAGTGCCATTTGCACTGGGACGGATCTCGGAGTAGAGAAAAGTGGCAAGCTGGGCGATACTGGGATTGGCGTAGACTGTTCGTGGTTCGATCGTCTTGTCAAGACTGGCACTGAGCACGCGGCCCAGCTGGAGAACCTGCAGCGAGTCAACACCAGCAGCGAAGAAATCATCTTCAAGGCCGAGGGCAGGCAGTCTCAGCGTCTGCTGCACTAAGTCACGAACACCATCCGTAAATGTCGCCTCTGAGGTCAAATCAAGCTCAACGGCTGCGGCCGCGCCATTATTGCTTGATTCAAAGATCCGACGAATATCGTCTGCGTAAAGCTTGGTCGCCATGGCGCGTTGAATCGTCCCCTTGCCAGCACGCGGGAACGGGCGAGCTGGATCTGAAACAAAGACGTAGTCGCGCAAGATGCGGCCGTGCGCGACGGTTTCCTGGTTCACCTTTTCGATAATCGGCCAGACATCATCGAGGAATTGTTGCTTCTCCTGCTCGTTTGTGGGAGGCTTCACGGGCTCAATGATCAAGGCAGCATGGAACTGCCCTGCGCCAACAACCTGCGCACCGAGAACGCCCGGGTGCCCAATCACAGCACCTTCAATAGTCGTCGGGTTAAGCTTCTCGCCGGTAGAGAAGACAATAATATCATCCGCTCGACCAACATACGTCCAGTGATTAGCGAGAGTCGGATGCGGCCGATACAGATCCTTGGTGCTATACTCGTCCAACTCTGGGAACGTGTAGAAGCAGCCCTGGACGCCAGGATGCGCCTTATCCTTGCGTACAATAACCTGCTCGTAAGTGTCCTCGCCGAAGGGGCGCCACTCGATACCGAGTAGCTCAGTCGGAACAATGAACCACTCCCACATAGATGAATCGGGTTGCGAGAGGTAGGGCATGTAGATGTATTCGGTTGCGCCGATGGCGTTGACGAGTTTTACCTCCGCGCGGAGGAGGCTGCTTGCTGCTGCCGGGGCGATGGGGCCTGTGATGGGGCTATTTAGTACCTATAGCTCAGGGGTGCATGGACTAAGGGTGGACTGCGCTCACCTCCTCCAAATGCAACAACGTGTAACTTCTTGAGTTCCTCAAGCGCCGCCTCAGACCGCGACATCTGCTCCAAGATAGCGGGGGGCAGAACCGTGTACCCGGTATCCGAGTACTTCAACCACTCAAGGACATTGTCCCCGGTAAGCGGCACTGACGGATCGCGGAAGATGATCGGCGTGTTATAGAAAAAGGCAGAGAGGACCGTGGGCATGATCCCGGCAGTATGAAAAAGAGGACAAGTGCAGAGGTACCGCTTCTTGTCGAACTTGGCCCACGTCGCCAGCCAGGGCATGTTTCCCTCGTAATCGGGGACATAGCGATGCAGGTCGTTCAGCGCCATCTTGCCCTGGAGGATGTTCACCGGCTTCGGGAGGCCTGTGCTCCCGCTCGTGTGCAAGACGACGAAGGGATCCCACTCGGCTTCGGCGAAGGTCTTTGTGTAGGCAAAGGGAGCGGCTTCCGTTGATATCATTTCATCGAACTGTGGAATTGCGACGCTCTTCATCCCCGGTCGTCCGTCGACCCACGGCCTGACCATCGCGGACAGGCTTTTCTCATGGTAGAGCAGGTTACAGTCCGTCTTTTCAAAGAGATTAACCTGCGCCTCGACCGAGTTTCGCGGCGAGATGAAGAGAGCCTTGTATCCAGCTTTGATCGCCCCCATGATGAAGACGACGTATCGCGGATCCTCGAGGCCAATGTATGCGATAGTCGGGAATGTACCGGGCGCCGGAGTCCCGGCTTCTTCGACGAGCATGTGCGCGACATAGTTGACGGCGTTGGCGACCTGCGCCCAGCTCACGGGCTTCCAGCCATCCTGGGGTTTACCGGGTGTCCGGGGGACGGAGAAACACTCGACGTCCGGTGTCGCATTGGCGGTTTCATCGATAATCTGGGGCATTAGGCGCTTGCCGCACTCGCCTGCCAATAGCGGTTCATTTTCCGAGTCAGTCACGGTGCCGAAGACGTTGAGGCCCATCGTGTCCTATTTCTGCACTGCGATTCAATGCCCATTTGCCGGGACATCCCTGCGTTTTAATACCCCAGCCAACGCACCACGACGTGTCTCAGTTCCGGCGACGCCGTGTCTCGCTTGCGCCAGATGAGGCACAGGTGGCTACCTGAAATTGTCCCGCCAGTTCAGCCCGCCCCGCCATCGCTGGTGAACTATGCAAGTGGGCCAATCAGACTGTACCGTGGCACAGATAGTCTGTTGTGGCGTCGCTGAACGAACTCGTGTCAGAGCTGAGATGGCAAGATTAGCCGACGAGCCGGGCGACTCCTGTTGGCCGGACTCATTTTGACAGCGCACTGCCCGCGGTTTTGCCGAAGAATGTGGGTTGTGTGGACTGGACAATGACATGTGTGCTGTGCAACGTTTTCCTGCATGTGGCCCTCCTTGGCCCGGTTATATATTTCCGGAGCCAAGCTACTGACAGCTGGAGGCTCACGGTTTGATGAGACCAGTCGTCACCCGGGTTATATCTGCGCCTCATCATATACAAGGAATACAAAATCTCGTCTAGTACTTACACTTGGATCTTACATCGTTGTCTATCCATAGCCGACCATGAGTACCTCTGGATTTCTTGATTCCGGTTGTTACCATTGTTAGCTTCCGGGGCCAACTTGGAGAACTAATACTGTTCTGACCTTTTCGACAAGAGCGTACTTACATTGTAGTTAATGTTGTGTATCTGGTCGCTGCAGCCCACTGGCCTGTGGGCTGGTATCATCCGGCCTGTGCTTTCGCGATGACATACATGTGAGCCTCTCGTGCTTGAGGCGATCCTAGCGGCTTTAAAACCAAGCCCTACAAATTTCCTTCGTATCCGCTGATTAATCAGCTCTCAAGAGATAACGAAACACCACATTAATGCGTGGACCTGCCAGCGTGTGCTAGAGCTGGTTACCGTCCTTGTCAGTGAGCGTCAGGCTGGTCTGCCCAGTGAGAGTCTGTTCACGGGCGAGCTCACGGGTTGGGGCTGGGGTGAGGGCCGATGCTTCCCGGATGATTTTGTGCAGTACTGATATGATTCGCGATCCATCAGACACTGCCCAGATGAACCGCTCAAAATTCACCTACAGCCGTCAGTACAAAATCTGCCATACTGCCACCAGCGGATCTCCTTATATTGCCGTCCCCATCCAGGCGAATGAAATCCCAAAATTCCGAGTCCGTTGCGACGCCATAGATTGCGATCTTGGCGCGGCCTGCTTCGAGACGAGCGCGTTGGATGAGGGCTAAGAGCTTATGAGTATACGCGATATATGCCCCGAATCTTAGCAATTGACTTACCCATGTAGGTGAGGGCCTGGAAGAACCCGCCATATAGACCGGACGTTTCGCCTCAACCACCAACAGGTTGGTCTCTGCTTCTCTAGGCTGTCCGTACCATATATTATAATCCATTCTCCCAGTGACCTTCTTGATTACTGTGCCCGATTCCTGGTTGGTTGGGAGGATGTAGCTGATGTCCGTCTCGACACCCATGTGGAGGTCCTTGAGGCTCCAGCGTACTCTCTGCTGAGAGTCTCTTGCCCTTGCCCTTGTGGCCTTTCAACTGTCCAACCCGTCTAGAAAGGCGGTGTTGATCATAAGACTAACAGCTGCTTCATTCTGCGTGGGGCAGCTTGACGATTTATTTTGGTCTGCTCGACCGTGGTTGCTGAGGAAAGTGCTGTTGGGTGCGGGAAAGAGCGAGCGGGATGGGCTTAACATATGAATTGACCCGCTGGGACCCCGGGTGAATGCATTTCCTGAATTTCTGTTAGAATCATTATATTATGGTGAATTCCACGTCCCACTATCAGTGACTGCCCAAGCAGCCACAAGCTTCCCTCCCATTATGTGCCTTCACAGGGCAATCTTGACCTCGACTGCCTTCTCCAGATTCTCCAATTCGACCAACAATAATGTACTAGTTATCTTTCAGGCAATTGACCTTAACGAGGTAAATACCATTGTACAAAACATGTTGGCTCTTTATTGTCCTTGAATCGATGGATACGCACCAAACTTTGTCCGCATTATTGGAATGAAGGAGTATCAAGCCATCAGTGACGACTCACGTGTGTCTCTTGGGATCCTCTTCACTTATCCTGGTAGTAATATACTACGGAAACATGAACCCACTGACGCCTTATAAAGGGAGAAGTCACTGCGGAGCACCTGGATATCTCCTCCTAATCGCCTCCCAGTCATTTCCGTAGTAGAAGTCCCTTCTCCAGATTAGTCCGTCGCGGTCGCAAACGGATAAGTCCAGGTGGCTGTCTCTCCGGTGCACAGCCACCACCTCCGTTGCCCCAAGGAAATTCCTCTCGCCAACAGGTTCCCACTTCGTCCACTGACTCTCTTTCCTTGAATGGTAGACTTGACCACGAGCAGTGCAGGCGAAAAGGTGCAGCTTGCTGGATGTTGACACAGCAGATATCTTTGCTCCCACAGGGAAGCGTGGACTTTGCTGAGTATCACCAATGATGCTCCAGTCAAACCATGTACCGAGGCCCTCGTGCCAATGAGAAGTGTAAATCCGTCCATCCTGCCCGCAGATAAACACATCGAGTTCGGTCGGCGTGCGATGTACGGCCGACACATTTGCGCCAGGTGGGAACTGAGGGGTCTGGTGGTTTCCCCCGATCATGCACCAGTCAGACCACATTCTTGAATCCTCGTCATAGTGGGTGGTGTAGACTTCTCCATTTGCCGCACATGCGAATATGTCAAGATCCGTCTCCTTCCGACACACAGCCGATACTTTCGCTCCAGCCGGAAAGGGGGTGTTGTTGCTCCGTGTGATTGCCCAGTTAAGCCAGGTCTTCGAAAACTTATTCCAGTGGGAGGTGTATATATTTCCGTCCCTTCCGCAGATGAATAAATCAAGATGCGTGGGCATCCGAGAAACAGCTGCTATGTCCGAGGTGCCAGGGCATGTTCCACCTATTATTTCCCAACCTAATGGACACATAGTCGGATGAAGAGCTCGAGCGATGTCTCCCACCCAGCCAAATTTATTGACTACCGGAAGCCACCCACCCAGGCTTGACCACGTAGTATGCTCATTCCACCAGCTGGTATAGACACTACCCGAATGATACACAAACAGGTCAATCTGGTTCTCTGTCCTGGATACGGCCGTGACTTTCGAGCCAGCTGCGAACTCGCCCTTGAGTAATGTCCACTCTTCCGGCGATGTTTGCCCGTCGGACCACCAGGACGTATAAACTTTGCCATTCATGCCACAGAAGAACCAGTCTAGTTGAGAGCCCTTCCGTGATATTACTGAAATGGGAAAAGGCTGGGTCAAGGAATACGAGGCTTCGTCTGCTTGTTTAATAAGTCAGTCAACCTATAGGTTTCAGCTAAAGTCCTCGATACACACACAATCCTTTTCCTTCAGGCGCTCAGCGCAATGCTTCAGGTCTCCACGAACAACCTCTGCCTTAAGATACCTGCTGGTTGCTGACATGACTTGTGGGAACTTTTTATATTCCTCCAAACCAACCTCCTGCAAACCCTGATCGACATTGAAGCGGAAGCAGCGGTGGGCCTCAAACATCTCCGAGTATTGTCGGCGAAATCGCTCCGCAGTTTTCTCGGTTTCCGTTGCAATGTTGGCAAGTGTCTCGGACATAAGTCTCCATGCTCCGTCGGCGACCGGTGTCGTTCTTGGGTGGCCGGTTCCGATGGACACGCAGCATTTCACCAAGTCGGCCACATGACCACTTTCTGGCGACCAGATGTCCTTCGCCTCCTCCCAAAGCTCATAAATCGGATTATTAGCCCCCAAGCCACCGTCTACATACTGCTGATCCGAGTCACCGACCGTCGCAGGCTCGAAGAATGTTGTCGCGGCTGATGTTGCCCGCGCAGCCTGGCAAATGGTAGCCGCAACAGGGATTCCCTCCCGTGTGGAATCAAACGACTGAAACCGGACCGTTTCGGTATCAATATCCTTACTCGTTGCGGTAACAAAACTGGAGCATGTCAGCGATGTCCCCATCGGCTACTAATAGGACCCGGCCTTGAGAGACATACACTCGGCATCTTCTTTTGTTTCCATCATTAAGCAACTCCTTGTCAGGGTCTTTCCCTGGGTCAATTTGCTGTGCAATAATGTTCTTGATACACCTCTCAAGAGTGGCAGAGTCAAATCGACCCTTAATCTTGAGATTGCCTTTCACGGGCAACCAGGAACTTTTTTGGAAGATTTCTTTGGACAGGGCTTTGTAAGCCTCGATACAGTCTTCCACGTCCATCTCAAGTCGGCCAAGCATGATTGCAATAAGTCCACCAGTGCTTGTGCCGCCGATTAGATCAAAAAGCTCACATGGCTTTACAGGGCTCAGCTGAGCTTTCTTTCTTTCTTCGTTAACGCGCCTCATTATGCCCTGGAGGACATATAGAGTGGATAGACCCCGGACACCGCCGCCATCTGCGAGAGAGAACTCATTAAGGAGGGACCTTCCATGAGGATGTGCATTTCATACCTAGTGAAAGCAAACACAGTTCAGGAGACGAGGAGTTAGTAGGGCCAGGCATTATCAAAAAGCCTTCCGACAACCCAGGTCCGAAGGGGAGCTTCGATAATATAGTAGGTTGTCCTGACAAGATACCTAGAATACAAGAGAACTAGGGAGTAAATACTGGTGTTTTGCGATATTATCACAGATAATATGTCCTGTCTTTCAATTTCATAATTCCTCTACGTCCTTATAGAAAGCTAGGCCTAGATATGTCTCTTCAATCATCGTGGACTCGTGACATCAAAGAGAAGCCTCACAAAGATCAGTAGAGCACTGAACCCTGGTAAGTTCTATTATCATCAGTAGTTTCATGAGGAGAAATGTCGGATTGTATTGTATTATCAGCTGACGTCACTCTCAGCAGTTCTTAGAGATCATCTGACTGCAGACACCACCCAGATTCTCAGATTACTCTACTCGATATTCTGACTTATGTACCAGACCTCCAAACTATTTTACTGCGATACTATGTAGCCAGAAGGGTTTTCTAAGATGTAAAACAAATTATTATAGTTAACAGGTTATCTTATACCAATATGTCCAGGTAAGAAATATTAGAGGTGTTTGTGATAGCTAATTTAGCTAGGTTTGTTTTTATCACATAAAATACATGATAGTGCATGAGGTTCCATGGACTGGTCAATCTAAATTGATTAAGCTTTTTGGATTGGTTCCAACTCCGGAAGATCATGGTGACCTCATAATCACAGCCTTGGTTGTCTGATCAGTCTATTATCTCCTGGTTATTCCTTTCCTTCAAACCATTGGTTGAACACTGCTACCAGAAAGGTGCCACTGAACTAATAATACTGGCAAAATATCTGGTTAGAGCGGTAATCTAAGAATATGGATACGAAATGAACAAAGAATGGCGAAATCGCGGAATTGTTTCTCGTCATTCGATCTCTCTCCATGGTAATCTGCCAATCTACGGCCACACAACTCCACTAAAACAATCGCCCCTCCTCATCGGCAAGTTCAAACTCGCTACAGGAGTGGTCCGCCATCCATAGCCGCTCACCAACATCTAACCCTGCTACCCGAACAATAAACATGGGGTGGATCTGCTCCGACGTTGGATGCCCCTCTCCAGCTTCACTGATTCTCATCAAGCCCGACAGGTGTCCTTGACGGTCTCCTGGTTCCGCAGTATCGGCTTCCTTGGTGATCTCTCAGAAGGTGGAAGAATTCCTAGGGAGTTGGGACAGAGTCAAAATCAACTACCAATGTGCTCCGCTTGCGGCATAGAGCAGGCGAGAACCCTGGTGGCGAGATACCCGTAGATATCATTGATTATACACGGCGTCCAGGGCAGCTCCGTTGTGTGTTTGATCCAAAACATCAACTTCGCTCCCATTGGCAATGAAAAAATACGTTCTTGGTATTTACAAAGTTTAGCACAATATGGTTCTCCAAGTGAACTTGCGGTTTGGGGGGCGATAGTGGACGACTGACACAAATAAAATAGAAACCACACCTTTTGGGTTCATCTCTTCCTCCCGAAACCACCTCGATGACGCTGGCGGCGGTGCTTTTGTTAAACCACCTAGGAAGAGCACTTCCGAACTCGCCTCTAGCATTTGCATGGGACGAGTGGAAGAGAAAAGCCACGATGACGGAGGGACCTGGCAAAGTGCAAAGCAAGCTCCTGTTGCTAGAACCTGGCATGCTAGAGTGGGGTGCCATTACTATTGGTAAGAAGTGACGCCCCGCGGATGACCTTGCGGAGCAAGGAAACGATGTGCGAGCCCGCCGACTTGTCCCAGTTGAACTGTTCAACGTCCACCTAAGCTAGTCAGTACCTAATCTGCCATATTCTTGGTATGCGATCCCCTTTTACCTTGTTGTTCCCGTCCATGCGGATGAAATTCCAATCCACCGAATCAGTTGCAATTCCATAAATCGGGATGTCGGTGTAGCCGGCGTTGGAACGGGCGTGTTGAATTAGGGCTAGGAGTTAATGAGTATCTGGGATACATGCGCGTCGGATCTACCGAGCAATTAACTTACCCATATAGGCAATGGCCTGGTATAGGCCAGCGTTCAAATCCAGCTTCTGCCTAGCCTCCACGACTAATAGATTGCATTCTGCTCTCTTCGACTGGCCGTAGCACATGTTGTAATCCATGCGACCGGATATCCTTTTGTTCACGATGCTGCCTTCCTGGCTGGTTGGGAAAATGCACGAGATGTCTCCTCCGACATCCATTCGGATGTCCTCTAGGCTTAGGGTCCTCTCTCTTGAAGGTCTCTTGCCATTGCCCTTGCCCTTGTTTCCTTCGTATTGACCAGCTTCGTCCTTCAGGGATTTCAGAACGTCCAAAAAGACGGCGTCAATGATTAGCCTGATAGCTGCCTTATTCCCTTCGGCCCAACCGAACACATGCGCGATTCGCTTAATGGTTGTTTCTGAGCATGTTAGTCACGTTCTTTCATTCCAGGAATATTTGGCACATTGGACTTGCCCAACTGAGGGGAGACCGGGCGTCTCTCCCAGTGATTTACTTTCCAGTAGTCTGGAGGGTGGACTTCGCGGGTCAACCGGAACATTCGGAACACTTCGTCCGGATCGATACTGGTGACCGCGACGGTTTCGATATCCCTTTGCTGCCGCACGGAGAGTCGGTTCTGGAGGTCCTGTTTGGCGGCCCGATGGGGCTCATCGAGACGGTGTTCGTGGCGGTCGCCGTGAAGTGCGGTGTAGTCAAGCAGCATGTCTTCGCACCGTCTTTGAATTCAGGGAGAAGGTCCATCTTACGGACGGTGTACGGTCTTTGAGGTAAGATCGAGCTGTCTGGAAAAACGTTAGCGGAATACTGTCCAGATGTTCGAACTGGGAGTTGTAAAAAGACGAGGGAACATGTTGTATATACTGACCCTCCAACATCTCAAGCGAAAGCTCTCCTGAATCCCACGTCCTTGACATCGGTGACCAGCTTCCATCCAAGTCCGCGCCTTCAAAATGTATCTTCACTGCGACTGCCTGGCCCATGATTCTGCCGATTAGACCAACAATAGTGTGCTCGTTACCGTCCATCCAATTCAGCTTGATGGATGAATACTATTGTCAAGGACACGTTAGCTCTTCATCGCCCTCAAAACAATCAATAGACAAACCTCGCCCTCCTTATTCACATGGAGGAAGATCCATCTCAAGCCATCAGTGACGATTCCGTACGTTCCTTGCATCACGGGCCGCTTGGCCCGACCGTGATGGATCATGACCTGGGACCTAGTCAGCATATACTTGACTGTTCTTGACGCGACAATGAGTGACTGACACGTTGCAGCGAGTGCCGCTAAACAGTATTGTTCCTCCACCACCTGATCCAGCGACTCGTCAACTCGTAGAACAACCAGGTTCGTTTGTAGCTTTCTGGTATCTCCAAACCACAACACGTAGTCAAGTGCCGGATATTGAATCCCGGATGGACTCAAGAGGGGCTCTGGCACAGAGATAAACTGGTCGGGGCTCCAGAAGAGCGTTTCCAGCCGCTTTTCCGTTTCACAACGGGCGTGTCCAGCTAAGCTTTCGAGAAACTTCTCCTTGGCGATACCGAGAGACATTATCAGGATCGCGTCGACTCGGATGCGGGATGGGAGATCGGCGACATTATCCGTCAAGGTGAAGCCCCTAGCGTAGTCTTTGAGTAGAGAATTAACGGAGGCAAATCGTTGGCGAGTGTCGTCGCTGGTCGGATTAATGTCCCAGATGCTGCTGCTGCTGCTCGCTTCAGTTCTTGCCGTTATGCCGCACAGTTCTAGGAGCTGGCTCTTAACGTCCATGCTTGCAGTGCCGTCGTTGACTGTCGTCTGTTCTGATGGTTGATTGATGCAGGACTGACGATGTTCAGGTTGCCGTCGACTCATATTTAACTTTTGACGTTAGGTGGAATGATAGACTTTTCTTACTCAAATTCCGTACCAGACATTCTCCGAGCCGTCACAGCAAACAGGAAAATTCTGTAACCTTCCTTTATATAGTTTGTGTGACTACCACTTTCCTTTCACTTTGACTTCAATTTTCTGTCATTATCTCTTGGCTAAAGCTCTGTCATGATAATATCTAAACCTTTAGCTGCATGGCATTACCAAAGTGTCTCTTAGCCTAGTCCGAAAAGCCAGCTGCCAGCACTACTAACATGGTGTTTATTAAGTCCTATAAGAAGTTCCTTAGCATTATTCTTAATGATGCTCGCCAGGAGGCACTTATCTAGGTATAAATGAATAATAATATGATGTGAGATCCAAGTTATATCGCTCATGTTATTGTTTTCTGAAACATAGCTCTTCTAAAGACGATATACTATATGCGACAAGAGCAGAAGTATTATCTGTATGTGACATTGTAGCAACTGTTGGAAAATAAAGAATCTGGGAGCTCCCGAAATCCCTTTGCCAATATCCATAGAAGCCTTTTGGGTTTAAAAGGACTAATCTCCAAGCTGAGCTCGCTGTTTGAGACGTCTTTTCAACTGAAAGCTGGAAAGTTGAAAGAAACCCAAAACCACGAACAATGTACCTTGATCAGACATGATACCCAGATCAAACACTGTGGGCGTAGTCCATCTCTCTTAGGCCCCATGATCATTGGGAGTATAAATATGTTACTTCTTGCCCTAGACTATCTCGAACCATTCCATCCTGTCTTTTTATCAGAACCATCATCAGCAAATTACTTACCTCTTGTTTCTATAAGATCAACATGCCGAACAAGACCAGCACAGCGCCTCCGTGTCTCTTTGTCCCGCCTTTCGTAAAGGCCAACGGACACGGACGGTTCTGTAAGCCCACACCCATTCACCCTCCTTTCCCCCTTCGTTGACAAACAAACTAACCACTCTGCTCTACATCATCTAGTTCCCAATAGCGCCGAGGACTTTGCAATCAACCACTTCCACAAGAACTACTTCTCGCGCAAACCCGAAGCCCGCGCCTACAAGGCCGGATACGAGAAAGCCCGCAATTCACTCCCCAAGAGTGCCAGGAAGGGGTACGACGAGTGGAACGCGGCGCTGTATAGCGAGGTGAAGAAGTATGTCGAGTATGCCCCCTGCGCGGGGTTCCGTGATCCCCGGCGCGTCCCCCTGTTTACGCAGTATGCCATGTGGTTGAATTTTGTGGAGAATTATGGTGGGGTTAGGCATGCTGTTAGAAATTGCTAGTTGGTTCTGTGAGTGTAAGGTTGGGCGTGGCTCGTTTGTTGTCCTGCTGGTTGGGGTTTCATGGTCTTGCTTGCGACCCATGCTTGCTTTTTAGAATGAATTTTATAAATACATTTCCATACGCTTACCTGGACTTATGTGATATGCATGTGCGGCTGGTTGCTCAAGGAATCCCGCAAGGCTTAAATTGAAACTTTTTTGGACACCTCTCTTCCAAGTTGAGCAGTAAATCCAAATCTCTGTTTGCTTGGCATAGTAGCACACATACCTTGAGCTCACTCAAGGTGTTAAGCGCGAGATTCCCTTTACTAGAGCATGGGTTCCATCAAAATATTGAACAAATCTTATTCTCAAGCCAGGGTTGGCGCCTCGGGGCAGTATACAAGCAACCAACTTTCCAATGGTGAAGCTGCAAGGAAATCAAGCCAACTTTAAAATAAGCAACCACAAGCTGCACGCAGATATATCTCGAACCCATGAGTACACTGAGAGACGTCTTCTACTATATGAAGTCATCGAGGTGTCATTACAGGAAGGAAGGAGGGCTTGAGCAAGCAGCTGATATGCATAATACACTAGCCATGAAGAATTCTGGACGCGGACCTGCCTGGTATCGTAGATACATTGGGCATTATCTATCTACCTTCAGGGGCTATCTCCTTGTGGCTCTTTAGAACCAGTCTGACTTACCCTTGACCAGCCTAGATGGATATGAAAGATTACACGCAATACAAACCCGATAGAGGGTACCGCAATAACGTGTGCCATCCATTGTACGGCACTCCATGGTATTTTTGGACCACAGGCTTCCTTATAGAAAGTTGAGTTCTTAAACAGTGTTAGACGTGTTGCCTTTATTTCTTTGATATACCTGTCACTTGTCACTTAGGTCGTCCGTAGAGATTGTCGTTGTTTTACTCTCATTACAACTACCAACTTGCTATATGAAACCCAACGGAGGAGCGTCTTCCTTATCCTGACACAAAGGAGTATTAACGTATGCTTCTTGTTCGCCTTAATATATAATGAAGTTCAAAGATGCTTTTATTGGTGTTCGAGTCTTTCATTCTTAGAAGTGTGTTTATGGTTCTTTATTATAATGGGACAAAGCAGAGTTAAACAAAGGGTAATAGGGTTGATTCCAGCTGCTGCCCAAAGAAGTCTTTCACTGCTTTCTATTCCCATCTCCTTTGCGCATCCTGCCCAGGCATAACTATAAATACCGATTCCCTCTCTTCCAAACTTGGTCTCATAAAATTCAGCAACTCCAAAGCATCCAAAACAACAATCTCAACTTTACACACCTCTTTATAATCCGAAATTGCACCATTCTATTCGCCAAAATGTCCCCACCCCCTCGTACCGAAATCGTGGACGCCATCCTGCAGAGAAGCCACGGCCGAATTGGTAAGTCACCTTCTTCCTCAGCCCCTACCCAACTGCGCTTTCACATTATAACTAACTCTCCATTGCAGATGCCGACATGGCCGAAAAGTACGGCTACCACGACTTTACCTATGCGAACTATTTCGAGCGATTTATTGATTGCTGCGGCTGGATCAAAGCCAGCCTCACCAGCAGTCCGCGTGAGCTCGGTTCAGAGCAGACGTCTCTTGTAGGTGAATGCTTGAGAGGTATCAACCGTGAGGTCAAATACTACTGCAAGACAACTCCCCGTGGAGTGCGCTCGAAGGCTCGCGATGACTTGTTTACTCGGTTTGCAATGGTTATGAATTACTTGGAGAATACCTGTGGTCGTCGCCTGCCTGTTGAGTGAGGTTGATGAGGACGAAGATACTTCAGATGACATCAAGGGAAAGGATGTTAGTGTGACTGAGAAAGAGACGAGGCTTGATGATTAGGGTGCCATTGCCTAGCAAGGCACTAACCGTCCGTCACCTTCCGGATTGTAGAGGGAAGACACTCGTTAGCATTAAGTTGAAGGATGTCATGATCCATTTCATTCAGTTCAGATAGCTTTTCGTTATTTAGTTGAAATAATTTCCTCGTTGTCTTCGTTCTCTCCACCGTTTCGATGGCGGAAACGACCGCCTTAATACTAACGCAAGGCAAATATATCTTGAAGCTACTTGAGCTGCCCAGTCCATAATGTTCCCGTCATAGCTTCCTAGTAACTAAGCTAGTCCGGCGTCTGCCCTCTGGGACGAAAAAGATCGAAGTAAAAGCTATAGCCCACTTGCCTAAATGCCATATATTGTCAAAGATTAATAGTAGAGATATTGCGGTGGCATTCGGCTAATAGAAGCCATGTAGCATAAGAAACTTTATACATGGAACTCGCTTATCTATGGGGATATCCGATCCATTTGCTTGTTATGGCATTAGAGTCTTTGTAGCTTGTTGTTCCTTTCATGCATAACAAAGGGATTCATGCCCATATCTCTACACTCTTTGTCTGCACTAGTAAAGCGCTTTGTGGTACATAGTCTTTGACACGCGCACGCTTCTGCCTGTGTATAAATAGCACCTCAACCTCCTGTAATAGACTCTCCCACCCTTCACAGCCTAACCTCTTCTATCATCCCCAGACAGACACCATGGATACCAAGTCCCAGCTCCAGAAGATCGCTCAGCTGAAAAGTTCCGCTAATCTCGTTCTTCCTGAAATGGACAATTCAGCCTCGGAGGTATCGACCCCCGCTACGGTTCCAAAGCAAGGGTATGCTCCGGCACGTACTGACATCCCAGACTTCATCTTCAACAACGGGTTGGGCCGTTTCGGTAAGTTCCCCCCTGCTCTCTCATCTCATGTTATTGACGTGCATTACTAACCTCCTCCTTAGACGTCAGACTCGCAGAGGAATACGTGTACGCAGATATGCCAGACTTGAAGACGTTCGAAAAGCTCTGGACCCACCTGAGCTGGAGGTGGAACAAGCACTGGCTCAAGAGCCCTCTGACCAGGGAGGAAAAGGCTCAGGTCAGAGTTTGCATCTCCGAGCTGGGTAAGGAGATGGTCGAGTACCGGAATACCAAGGAGCGTGGTGGAAGATCGGCAGACCGGAATGACCTGTTTAATCGCATTGCGATCGTCTTGAACTGGGTCGAGGGGGGCACTGGGGGGAAACTGCCGCTTGATTGGAGGGGGTTGGAGTAGAGTTGCAGTTTTTGTTGCTCGGCTTGCCGTCTCTTTGGTTGCGCGACATCTTTGTCCTGGTCTTGTTGCCGCTTTATACTATTTTATCTTTCTTTCAGTTTTCCACGTACCCTCAAATATAAATTCGTGGGCGAGCAGATGCCGACTCTTTATATCGAGGAAGGCTTCAGTATACTCACTAGTAGTATAGAGGTAGAGGATATAGCATAACTACGTAGTTGCAACTAAAGTAGTATCGTGGCCTTCTAGTGATGCCAGGCCTAGGCTGCTCTGAAGATGCACAATCAAAGGCCACTGTTGCCTCCATAGCTTCAATTCCAGGCTTACAGACCGGGATTCTCTGGACTCAATTGTAGCCTGCGAACCAAAGCTGCATATAGCGCTCTCACAATTGGCCATTCCGGCCCGCAGCATATCGGCGCCCGGTTGTACCCAGTGCGAGTGACTGTGCGAGATTAATAGGTCTAGTCCGCTTGTCAAAGACCGATCATCGGCGTACATCCGGTCCGCTCTCATCCTATTTCCTAGAGGCCCAGCATTCATCGTGGCTGAGATGGGAGTTGTCTGGTTCTCCAAGGGCCCTGGCATAGGCCTGCCAGAGTATTTCAAATGTGCCATCAAAAGTGCCTCCAGACTGGCTTTACTCCATGTTGGACCTTCTCAAGGAAGCACAAAATGCCCAGCAGAGCCGGAATTATCGTCGAGCAGCCGGTCAGGGCGTTGGACCATTTTTCTTCATGACTCGGAGAGAAGCCGATAAAGCGCCGCCATCGGTCTCGGCCAGCCCTCACAACGGCCCAATTCTCTCTCCGATTCCAATTTGCCACACCGAATGTATCCAGTCTGCAGGTCTGCAGTTCTGCCCATTTCCCTAACCCGGGGTTCATGATCTAAATTCTCCCCGGCGCGGATTGGGGGGTTTCGGGGTTTCCAGGCAAGGGTAAGAAAGAAGAGGATAACCTCAAGTCAACCTAGTAGTGACCGCTGACTACCCAACAAAACATGGCATCTAACATCCGTCAAAGCCTCTGAACCTGGGGAAAAAATCTCCGTCGGCAAGTCCATGTCCCACAAAGCCGGGTTTCTCGCGTGTCCCGTGCCCTGGTCCAGAGTCGCGGTGGAGCCGAAGTTGAGCCGAGACGTCATGGATGCAACGCTGCTGCCCCGACAGAGTTTTTCTCGAGTCAGATGTTGATCAGCAATTTAGCATCCTGTTCCTAACATTTTACGTGACTCTCATGTCATATATAACTTTATGCCTCCTAATTTTCGTTGACCCCCCCTCTGTCTTTAGTATGCACTTTGAGATCACCTTCTCCAAAACACAGCGAAGCCTTGATTGAAATAAACGACAGCCATCCGGCGCGGCAATTCCTTCGCTTTCCAACCGGAAAAGAAAAGCACACATTCAAGGTTCTTTTGTTGCTTGGCTGTCGCTTAGCGGTGGGGGGTGATTGGTTATTCCGACTTTTGCCGTGGAGCAGACTCCAGCGGGTTCTGCACTCCGCATCGTGGAGAGACAACTTCACAAAGACGAGCAACATGACTCGGTCTTTTCCCTGCAGAAGGCAGCCCACGGGGAACTTGGAAGTGGCGATTCTCACTCGATCACCCCATTTGTAAGCCGCCGGCCCGCTGCGGGAATTACTTCAACCCTCAGACTTTGGTAAAGGACGCCACAATGCAAGCTGCTTATTCCGGGAAGTAACCTCTAAGCCATAAGCACCTTAGTCTTAGAGTACAAGGACTACATGCCGACGTCGGCCTGGTCAAAGCCGAAGTTCTGACGGCCAGGACCCCCGATTCGTGAATTGCGGAGAAAGTCCGAACCCGGAAACCTCCGCCACCCCACATCCACATCCGGGCATGGCACCGACGATCGCCCTCACTGAAAGGCTTCGATGGGAGTCCTGGGTGAACTTCGGCAGAACTCGAATGGTCCGTTCGCACTTGCCCTTGGTCGGTTCCAAGGTTGCCGTCCATTTCATATACTGGTCCAGCACCATGATTCGTGCTCTTCCCCGCTCTTTCCCCGCCACCCCACACCGGGGGAGATTGTTGGTGCTCTCGGTGCACGTCACCGGCAGACCTGCATCTCTTGGGGAACCGCGAGCGCACGGTACCACAGTCGGGGTGCCTATTCTTTCCCGCATTGGGCTTGTTGAGGGCTGGGGACAGGCCGAGGTGCGGAGATCTGGCAGATTCTGGCATCCCGTCGTCGCATTTGGTCCCCTTTGGCAAGACGTCACCCAGCAACTTCACCGGAGTTCCACATTCTGGTCGGTGGCATCGGCTTCCATGGGAGGCCGGCACGACTATAAGTAGGCCTGTTGATCGCCGGTTTCTTGAACAATCCAGTGCACACAATACAACAGCAAAATGGCACACCTTCTTGCCTTGGGCCTGTTGGCTACTGCAGTCACAGGTCAGGACTTTAGTGGCGGTTCTCGTGATGAGGATGCTTTTAGCTATGTTCAGCCGGAAAACACCACGATTCTTGGTCCCTATGGACACTCTCCTGCCGTCCTCCCTTCTCGTATGTTCCCTCGGCCACTGTCTCCTTGAACGCTGTCTGACCGATGTAGCCCGCACCTCCGGTTCCGGCGGCTGGGAGGATGCTCTCTCACAGGCGCAGGACTTTGTCGCCCAACTGACCCTCGATGAAAAGGCCGACATGGTCACTGGCCAGCCCGGCCCCTGTGTTGGAAACATCGTGGCCATTCCTCGCCTCAACTTTAGCGGTCTTTGTCTCCAGGATGGTCCCCTGTCCATCCGTGTGGCCGACTATGCCTCTGTCTTCCCTGCTGGTGTCACTGTCGCTTCTACCTGGGATAGAGACCTCCTGTACGAGCGTGGGTATGCCATGGGCGAGGAATTCAAGGCCAAGGGTGCCCATATCCTCCTCGGTCCCGTTGCTGGTCCCCTTGGACGTTCCGCCTACTCTGGCCGCAACTGGGAGGGCTTTGCCGCCGACCCCTACCTGACTGGTGTCGCCATGGAGCAGACCATCCGCGGCCACCAGGATGCCGGTGTCCAGGCTGTTGCTAAGCACTTTATCGGCAACGAGCAGGAGACTATGCGTAACCCCACCTATGACCCCAACGGAACCCTGACAGACGTCCTCCAGGAGGCTCTCTCCGCCAACATTGATGACCGCACCATCCACGAACTGTACCTGTGGCCGTTTGCCAACGCGGCCCGGGCCAAGGTTGCCAGCTTCATGTGCGCCTACCAGCGCCTCAACGGTTCGTACGCCTGCGAGAACTCAAAGGTCCTGAATGGGCTGCTCAAGGAGGAGCTCGGCTTCCAGGGCTACGTCATGTCCGACTGGGGCGGCACGCACTCCGGCATGGCCTCGATCGAGGGCGGTCTCGACATGAACATGCCCGGTGGTATCGGCCCCTACGGTATGGTCCCCGAGGCTGGCTCCTTCTTTGGCGGCAATGTTACCACTGGTGTCAACAACGGAACCCTTGACGAGGCCCGTCTTGACGACATGATTGTCCGCATCATGACTCCCTACTTCTGGCTCGAGCAGGACGTCGACTTCCCCACCGTCGACCCCTCCTCTGCTGATATCAACACCTTTTCCCCGAAGGATACCTGGCTCCGCGAGTTCAACCTCACTGGCCCTCGCAGCCGTGATGTCCGCGGCAACCACGCCTCCATCATCCGCCGTCACGCCGCCGAAGCTACAATCCTACTCAAGAATGAGAACAACGCCCTCCCCCTGCGCGCTCCCAAGACCATCGCCGTCTTTGGCAACGACGCTGGCGAGAACACCGCGGGCCCTCTGAACCAAGATACCTTTGAATTCGGCACCCTCGCTGCCGGCGGTGGCTCTGGAACCGGCCGCTTCACGTACCTCGTCTCGCCCCTGGCTGCTATCAACGCCCGTGCCAAGTCCGACAACACCAGCCTCGTCCAGTACTGGCTCAACAACACACAGATCGCAACCACGGATGTTGCCGATCTCCTTGCCATCCCCGACCAGCCATCCGTCTGCCTCGTCTTCCTCAAGACCTGGGCCGCCGAAGGTGAAGACCGTGCGCATCTCAGCTCCGACTACAACGGCACTGACGTCGTCACCTCTGTTGCATCCCACTGCAACAACACCGTCGTCGTCACCCACTCCTCTGGCATCAACACCCTCCCCTTCGCCAACCACCCCAACGTAACCGCCATCCTCGCCGCCCACTACCCCGGCCAGGAATCCGGTAACTCCATTGTCGATGTTCTGTATGGTGATGTGAACCCCTCCGGCCACCTCCCCTACACAATCGCCCTCAACGGAAGCGACTACAACGCCCCTCCCACCACCGCCGTCTCCACAAACGGGACGTACGACTGGCAGTCGTGGTTTGACGAGAAGCTCGAGATCGACTACCGCTACTTTGACGCGCATGACATTGACGTCCAGTACGAGTTCGGCTTCGGTCTGTCGTACACCACCTTTAACCTCTCCTCCATCTCCTCCACCCAGCTCGTCGACTCGATCTCTTCTGAACCCGAACAGCGCGAGGTCCAGCCCGGCGGCAACCCGGCCCTCTGGGAATCCCTGTACAACGTCACCGTCGAGGTGACAAACACTGGCGAGGTCGATGGTGCCGCGGTTCCGCAGCTATACGTCACATTCCCCGACAGTACCCCCGCGGGTACACCACCCAAGCAACTCCGTGGCTTCGACAAGGTGGTTCTTGAGCCTGGCGAGTCAAGGACCGCCAGCTTTGAGCTTATGCGCCGTGATCTGAGTTACTGGGACGTTGTTAGCCAGGAGTGGTTGATTCCCGAGGGCGAGTTTGTTGTCCGCGTTGGATTCAGTTCGAGGGATTTGAGGGAGACGGTTAGGATTAGCCCTGTGCAGGCTTAGATTCGAGGGGATTGTTATTGAGGAAATGACGAATGTCTTGTGTCCTTAGTGGATAGATGAATTATGAAGTTTCATGATTATGCATTCTGCGAGTACTGTAGCATAGACTCGATCAACTCCTTGCTGATCAGCACTGGACTGGTTAACTCAAGCTATGATTTGGTGGTTATCAATCGCCATCTCTTTCAGCTGATTAGAACAAGAACGGTCAACCCATAAACAGCAGTTGCAATCACTTACGCAATCCAATCTAGATACCCAATCTATAAATCACCGCGAAGCCGCTTGGACATTCTATCGCAGCATCCAACGCCATAAGCCACACTTCGGCCAGGCAGGCCCCATTCTTTGATCCCTCCACCCCCGGCCCCATCCTCCGCCCCAGTTCCGTCCCAGACTCGTTTCGGTGCAACGCACACACACACTTGCCAACTCTCTCTCCTCCTCGGAAACGCACCTAATCCAGCCTCAACTCTCCCCTTCCATCCACCTCTTCATCTTGGAACTCATCCTTCCCCAACGCATCCGCAATCCGCGACCCATCGCCCTCGTACACAAGGACATCATACGTCGTCGCCCCAACCAAGCACCCGAAGAAGGGCGCAATGAGCGGAACAACGAAGTAGTAATTCGCTGCGGTAAACACCTCGTGCCCGTATAGGAAGGCTGAGAAGAGGCGCGGGCCGAAGTCGCGGGCGGGGTTGATGGCCTGGTAAACAATCAATATAGTTATCACATATGGTGGTGGGTGGGGAAGAGGAATAAAAGGGAGTCAAGGAGGATTAAGAGCGTGACACATACATAACCAGTCTGCCACCCCACCGCCGCCCCAATGGCGAGAAGCAACAAGAAAGTCGCTACCTGCGGCGCGGGAAACCTCCTCGCATTCCCCGGATCATTGACACTCAGCACCCCAAACATGAGCACACTCGATGCAAGGACCTCATTAAACGCGGCCTCCCAATTCGAACTGAAGAACGCAGCCGGATACGTGCAGAAGATGCCCGCTGAATGATGCCCGCGCGGACTCAGGATCGAACCCCCGGGGATCGTGTACTCGGGATCCCACGCGAGGATCGCGGAGCGGTAGTTCGTATACACGAGGGCCGCGCCGACGAAGCCGCCGAGGAATTGGGCGAGGAGTTTCCCCGGTAGTGCCCTCCATTCTTGGCCACTGCGGTCTGGGCGGATCAAGGCGCGGACGAGCGTGATTGCCGGGTTACATGTTGGGCTTGGGTCGGAGATGTACCCCGACAGACAGACGGCGGCCGCCCACGCGAGGTTTATGGATAGCCAGGTGCCGTACTGGTAGTCGGACAGCAGGGCCTGGGCGACGACGCCGTCGCCGATGACGATTATCAGTGCGGTGCCGAGGAATTCGGCTGTGTAGGGTTTTAGGGAGTGGAGGAGGGGGGAGAGCCGGGTTGCGTGGAACCGCATCTTGGACTCTGTCTGTTGTTTCCAGTTGAATTGGTGTGATAGGCGAATATTGAGGAAGATGCAAGAGAGGGGATGGGACGAAGTTGGCTTTATTTGGGTTGGGGGGATCGTCATACTTGGTGGTCACGTGTGGTCCACTCTTGTCAACAAAGTCTACTCGGAGTCGGAGAGACGTCTCTATATCGGCCTATGGTCATCTACGACCGACTCTGGTGGACCCAATCGAATCAGGTTCAATATGACACTCGATTGGCCGCTCTGGAGATGTCACATCTAAAAGGTCTCAAGCTGGCCTATATCCAAGCAGTATAGGAATATATATCGTTCTCATAAAGTGTAGTAGTTGGCGCTAATCATAGGGCCTTGATCAGGAGAGGCATGTCTGGATTATATACCATATATAATACATTATGTACGAGGTGTCTATCTCCATGCTCTAACCCAGGAGCTCATATCGTGAACTTCGTAAAGAACTTAAATCACACTGGACGGAGGCTGAGAAAAGATAAGCGGAGAGAGGTCACATAACGCCCCACAAATTCCCCCACCCACGCTCCCGAACATCCGTGTCCCGCGCCGTAGCAAGATCATGGATCTCATCGAGCTCGCGGAGTTTCTGCTCGACGATGTTGAAGTTAGACAGGTCCTCGAGCTTCCACTCGACATTGCCCCAGTTGTTGTAGTATTTCAGGCCGAGCCACAGGGGGATGAAGCATAATATCTACGCAGACATGGATCAGTGAATGCATCCAATAAGGTTATAGAATGGATGTTGGCGCGGGTAGGGGAGGGAAGCAAGTAGAACGTACAGATAAATAGGCAGAGAGGAACCTTGGCGCCGCCCAGTTATGCCACAGCGATGCTCCGTCCGCGACTGCTAGCACGAACAGACATCCGAATAGCGCCAGGTACATAGTTACGGGCTGCCCGTGAGAGCGCCACGGATAGTGGTCTTCCGCGCCGGGGTTCGAAAAGCGGCGGAGACGGACAAATTGCGGGGACGCGTTGAGGTCGTTGCGGTGGAGGTACATGCTGCTACTTGTTAGAGGTGTTTGAGCCTGGAAGGAGGGAATGGAAGCGAACCATTTATAGAAGCGAATAAATGCCCAGCATTCGCAGGCCCATACGATGATGCAGCTAACGGAGCCCATTTGGGAGAGAACTTCAAGGAGCTTAGGCGGTGTTAGCGAGGTTCTTCTTTGGTGAAGTGGTAGAAGCTTACACTCGAAATTGTGGTGTCCGGCGAATTGTCGCGAGAAAGATACAAAAACGGAACCCACATGAAGAAGCACGATAGCAACATTGCGCGGACTGGCACTTGATAGTTATTCGTTTTGCCGAAGAACGCAAAAAGGCGCCATTCTGAATCCTGCAGCCGGCGGGTCAAACCGAAGAGTGTTCGCGAGGCGACATAGAGGTTTGTGTTCGCAGAAAACACGGCGGTGACAAAGATGACCGCGGTGAACATTCCGGCGAGTCCTGGAATTTCCGACATTGCCGCACTGATCACAAAGCCAGAGTCTGTGCTATACTTCTTTGCGTCGTCGTCATTCTCTGGCGCTCTTGGCGAGCCGAGCCAGGACAGTACCGGGAGATTTGGATCGTCCCATCTGACGTTCAGGCTCATTAGGAAGCCGGCGATGAAGTAGATGATCCAGACCAAGAAGCTCGTCCAGGTTGCGACGAAGCGTACGGATATGTACGGCCACGGGCCTTTGATCTGAGGCTCAGTATCTCGTGACGACGGCCGCCTGCGGTCAGGTCGTGCCTCGAGCGCAGTAGCGGCGGTAATATCGACACCGACGTATGCGAATGCGGCGATAGAGAATGCGTAACTACGGTGGTCAATCCGGTGCCCCTCTATGACAAAATCGGGACAACTCACAATAAAGCCGAAGCCCAGTTGTCGACCGCATCTTCGTGGAAGGGGAACATGGGATCGTGCTTGTAATCTAGCTTATTAGCAACCTGCAAGACCATCTGAGATAGAACCCTTACATGTCGTTCCGATATGAGGGCCCGCCCCGGCTGATCTAATTAGCAGCAGCAAAATAAATGCTGGAGAAAGACGCACCTCCAAGGTTGATCGCGATCATACACACAATCACAATAAACACGCCCAGGATCTTAATCGATCCACCGATCACCTCGGTCAAGCCATAAATCTAAACCAGTCAGCGCCGTCAATCTCCAGTATCAGGTGACACACATGAACTCCGAAGCTATTGAAAAGGACCAGGAACAGTGGGACCACGAAGAACATGATGGTTCCCTGGATCGCCTTGCCGGGCCCCCAGTATTCCAGCACTCCCGCCGCCGCCACAATCAGCGCCGCGAAGTTTATCGAGTAAGTGAACCTTGGGTCGCGAGTCAGCTTAACATTCACCATCGTTGCTAGGAACTAACCAGTATGCGATTCCCACGGCTGTCCCCAAATCCTCATCAACGAATTTGGCGACAAATTCGACCAGTGCGCCCGATATTGGCCATAGCGCAAGCAGCTCGCCAATGCACTGCATCACCATCCACGCCAGCAAACCCATCACCGTAAAGGCGATCAAAACTGCCCCAGGGCCTCCGACACGCAAAACTGTCCCACTTCGAATGTATAACCCGGCCCCAAGGACCCCACTGATCGTGATCATCTAGGGAGAATGTTAGATCGGTCTGGATCGCATGGCTGACTCGAAAGCGTCTTACAAAAACGTGGATTCCGCGGAGCCGTCGACTAGACGAGGGGAAAACTGCTGATTAGCCAATGCGGTTCGCAACCCATTGAGGAACCGGAATTACCAAGCCCCCTTACTTCACGGTGCGGTCCTTTTCATGGTTGGGGATCACGATCGTCGTGTTCCCCATAGCCTCCCCATCCATCTCATCCTGCACGGCCGAAAGACTATCTGGAAACCCGGGCGAGCTCGATCGCATTGACCTTGGCTGGGGACTGGCGGAGGTTGCAGTGGGCACGCGCAGGGTCTCGCCCAAAGTAGTCGACAGCTGTCGATCGCGAGCCTGCGGGAACCAATCGAGATCTTGAAGGTCAATCCCATCGTCGTCGATGCTGTTGCGCGAAGCCATGTTGAGTCCCACGGTTGGGCATCCCAACGTGGTGCGTTCGTATTCTGGAGGAACGAGGGCGGTTCATATTGCGGAGGCTGCGCAAGATATGCCTCGGGCGCGCTTGCTGCGACTCATTTGCCCAGTCGACGCCAAACTCTTTGCAAAAAGCAATGCCCACCAGGCTAGTCTTGCCTGGGTTAGATGTGTTTTTGTCAGCCACGCTGGGGCTGCTGCTTTTCCTCCGCTTCCCCCTCCCCCGATCCGAACCGCTTGCCCCCAACGATTGGAGAAAGTGAGGCTGGGAAAGTGCAAGCGATCCAATCATCCCCGGCGGGCATATCGCATCTCCCCCTCCTTTTCAAACATGAACAACGCACCTGATGGGCCCGCGCGAAAGAGCCTCCTTCCTGCCGCTCGTTGCCCTCTGGCCCTGTCCCCCGGCTGCCTGGCAGGCCTGTATAATTCGCAGCTTCGATCCAGAAGGAAGAGATTGTCGCATCAACCAACTTCCTTGATGTATCCCGTTTCTGTTCCGAGCCTTCTGGAGCTACTACTTTATCTTTATAAATAGTAACATTTTAAGAATCGCAGAGACTGCGAGCCGTATTGAATGCCCCGTTTCAGTCGCACTTGGAGCTGGTCTCGGTCGTCACTGTCGTCGTCGCCCCCCTCGCAGTCGTCCTCCTCCTCCACCATGTGCCGGCGACAAGATGCCTCCGCCCATTATCTCACGCGAGCAAAGCTGCAGGACTTTCTTGAGCAGCGGTTTCCAAGACATCCAGGCTTAAATTTCCACATCAGGGTAGGTCACAGCCTTTGTTGAGACTCGATCTCCTGCAGCCCTCTCCTGACAAAGTCTTGGTCCCAGTTATATGAGGATGTCTGGTCGTTCGACGCTCCAGAAGAGGTAACCCAGGTACGTGCACACCTTGTGATCCGCTGTCGACCTGACAAATTCCTCAGGCTAACATGGACTGCGCAGGACGAACTGGAGTAAGATCGCCTGATCCCAAATGAGCCTTTCGGGGCTGAGTCGTTTGTGGCTGAGAGATTGACAGGCTAACCTCGTGTCAAACAGGCGCATTTCTGAGTGATCCAGGCGCTTCCCACGAGCTTTTGATGGAGTCTGGAGCGAATTATCACGTAAAGACGTTAGACTGCCGATCGCATCATTCCCTCTTCGGGCCTTGACCGGTTTTCTCGTGTTTGGGCTATTTGTAACTATTCGCTGTAACCGTGTGAGGGACGGACTCGCCGGTCGGTGGCGCGGCGCATCCAGATCTGACTGACACCTTCACAAGGCGCTTTTCAAAGAATATTCTTCTTCTTCATCCTCTTGCATTCAAATAGTAGCTCGGTCCACTTTAAATATTCTCTTGGCCAACCCACCAAAATCGCAAACAGCGAGCACATGATGACGGAACTCAGTACGTTTCCAACGCGACCGTACGCCCCCGCGCAGGAGCACGCGCCAAGGGATGATGCCCTCGATCTCTATTCTCTCGTCCCGTATCTCGAGGACTATCAAAATCGAGCCAGAACGCGACGGTGTTTCATCACAGACGACTCGAAAAGCGAAGTATCATGGACGGACGTGGATGGGCAGGGCCCCGCGAGTGTGAGGGTGCTGAACTCGCTGGCTGAGCTGCGCGGCTACAGGAGCCTTCATTGTCCTCAAAGAAACGACTTGAGGGTCATCTCTGTCTGCCAGTCCAACTCCTGGAGGCCGTTGAGCGTCACTTGTGACATGTTCAAGGAGATTGTGGATGCTGTCAGCGCCTCACCGGATTTGCTGGAGCTGCCACTGTCGTTTTACCAAAAGACCATCGCAGTCGAGGAGGGGTTCACCACTGCGCCCGTGTTCAGGCTCAACGCTAGCTCAATGGGTAGGCCAGCCCTTGGAAGCTGCCCAACATGCACATCGCTAATGTGAATGCAGAAATTATGTACATCATCAAATACGCCTTTCAAAAACCGTTTGAGGAAAAAGGAAAAGACAACTGGGTTCTACGGCAAACAGGGGTATATCAAAAATACGACATCGCAACAAAAAACAGCACCCTCGTCTTCTTGAACCCAACACGAGAGTGCAAGTTCCAAGAGCGACTGATGGGCCTCCTTCAATCACCGTATAAGCGAACCTGCCTGCAGCGCAACCCGCTTCTGGTCCACAACATCCTCTTTGGGACCTTCTTCCACGCCTGGAGGGACTACCTAAAGCATCTGGAGGGGAGAATACTCCCCATCGTAAGTTCACTTGTCGACAACTTCATCATCAGCTAATGCAATCAGGCCAACACCACCGTGGCAGCTGAGATTGAGAAGGAATTGCGCGTGAATCACGAGTCGTTGACTGCCGTCCGCACGACAGAAAATCGGTGCTTAGTCCTTCAGCCCATCTTCCGGTCGCTGGATAGAACATTCGAGGTATTGCACCAGGCGAATGCCGCACTGTCGGAATGCGGCGCCGTTCAGCCGGCAGAACTGCAGGCCATGAAGCGATTGCTGGATAATTATTCCGGTACAATCAACTCCTACGGCCAAGCGGCATGGTCCTTGCAGAGTCGGACTTCGAGGATTGCTGCCCATATCACGGATACTCTCTCCTTCAAGGACGCATATATTGCGAAGCGGCAGACCGAGTTCATGCTGCGTGATTCCACGACAGTCCGCGTGATCACAGTAGTGACGTTGATCTATCTTCCGGCGACTTTCACCGCAACGCTTCTCGGCATGAATTCCTTTTTCGAAATGGACGACAACAGGCGAATTGTTGTATCACCGCAATTCTGGATATATATCGTGTGCGCGGTGCCCCTGACAGTAGCGACTTTGTCATACTGGTGGTATTTCCAAAAAGCCAAGCAGCGTGGCGAACGATCAATGAACGGCGCAATCAGCGGCGCTATGATGGTTTAGTGAATGGTGGTGGGAAGCGATTTATGACTTTATGACGGATAGACATCAGTGTTTTGTACGATACGGTTTCCCTTGCCGGTGGAACTGCATCTGGGTCTTTCACGGCGCTTGTTGGTATTTAGCAGAAGTGGATTTCGGTCTCTGTTCAGTACTGTATACCCATATCGAGGAATGAGCCTGAAGAGCTAGCAATGAGCAGCTTCAGCTGTTGGTTTTCGTCCCTTTTGACTGCCGCAGCGTCCAAAGCGGGTGAATAAGATACGGCATCTATCTTTGCGGTCCCAAGGAACTCGGATTTATCCAGCGCGTGAACAGGTAGCAAATAGGCCCTAAGGCCCATGTTTTTTCCGATCAGCACGATGGTCTGTCCATCATCGCAGACAAACATGCTGTCAACGTTGATGCTCAGCACCCGATAGTTGTTGATTCGTGTGAAAAGATTGACATGAATAATCCGGCGATGGTCGGCGAGGACAGCTAAGCACGGCTCTCCAGATCGGGAAATGTAAAGAGAGCATGTCGTAAAGAGGGAGCGAAGCGTTTGAGATGTCTACACGGGATATCAGTCGGTGGACAAAACACACAGAGAAAAATTCGTGTCTTACCTCGATCGTAAGAGAAAAGTCCCGATAGCATTTCCCGCTATAGGTTTCCCAGGCACGAATAGAGAAGCCGCTTGTTCCCTCTTGAATAATGATGACGAGGAATCTGCCATCTGGCGTGAAGTCCAGAAAGCGAATTTGGGCAGCTGACCCGACGACAACCTTTTCCAAAATCAGATTTGCTGCAGTTGTCACCGAGAGGAACGAACTCTCAGAAACTTCAGAGTTCGAACGGCTAGATCGAGGTAGCGACCAGACATTTCTGCGTACACATCAGTATCGAATTGTGGAGTAGTGAACTTGGAAAACTCACCCTCCGCTATCTGCAGTATCCATCAGATGCTGGGTATAGGCAAGATAAATCCTACAATGTGTTTCCAAGCCCCTTGGCCTCGCTGTGATGACAAACGCGACCAGCGCACCGTCCAGAGACATCGCGACCTTTCTTATGAATCCCATGTGGTCGTACGAGACTCTTATCCCGTCATCAACACGCACGTCCGAGGAAGGTCCCTCAACATTGTATAAGTAACACTAAGAAAAAGTCAGCCAATTGTGCAAGAGTAGGGTTGGTATGACAAACCTTGAAAGAATCTCCGTCGAGGCAGGCGCAAATCGAGCTGGAGCTCATCGCGAAACATTTTATTGACTCGTCTGGAATTAGCAGAGACTGCGGTGGTGGAATTTCCGCACCGTTTGCTAGCGCAGACATTATCTCAGACACGGTCCAGACCAAAGTCCTATGTATTGAGAAGAATGCAAGAAAATCGCCCTCTAATGGAGAAAACCTGAAGCCATACCCATTAGTTCCCAGGTCATAGCGAAAATTCTGTAGTCGTGAGACCGATAAGTCAGATGACCGGCGCTTGACCCATGAACGAAATTTGTCCGAGATGGTCTTGTGCGATTTTGTGCTTTGAGGAGAAGAAGGCGAGGCTGGGGGTTGTTCTGGGTTGAAATGCGTCTGGATTCTCTTCAGAGCGATCTCAACATCCTTTGCAGATGCCCTTTGTCCACGAATAGGGTGGAGCGCCTTTCTCTGCAAGTAGTCTAGGGATTCTCGGATCACCTTCAACTCCCTGTCGTCGGCAGTTCCGCTCATCCTCAGCTGGTCGAACCAGTAGGTCACCGCAGGCGATATTCGAGGAGTCGAGTTCTTGGGCGTGATATAGAAGTAGTCTCCTTCGGGCCGCTCGCCGCGCTTCTCGGTAAATTTCCTCACGCCTCTCGAGCCGTGAAGCATGTAGGTAACCACCAACGAAAAGATGCAACCGAACGACCAAACGTCACTTTGCGTTGTTACTCTTCCCTTAGGCGTCGCGCATTCTGGCGGGAGGTACACGCCTTCCACCCCGGGCGCGGCACTGGAGTGTTCCTGAGTCTTCACTCGAGTCAAGCCGAAATCTGTAATTTTCCAAATCTCCTTTTCGCTGTCGTAGGCATCGTAGACGAGTACGTTGCGAGGCTTCAAGTCAAGATGTAAGCAAACCGCCCCACCGAATCCACCGTGGAGAAACGCAAGTGCTCCGGCCAACGCCACACCTCGATTGTAAATGGCCTTCTTCTGTTCCAACGACGTAGGGGCCGGTACGTTTGCGCGGTATTCGCCGTTGAGGTATTGGTGTAGATCGCACGAGGCTAAGGGAAAGAAAAGGCTGTTCGTGTCACCATACTGGAGAATGGCCAGGACCATCACAAGGTGATCATGTTTCTGTGGCTGTTTCATAATCTTCTTGAGTACGTCTAGTTCGATTTTGAAAGCTTGGTGTCTCCGGAAATCCTTCCGCGCCAGCCAAACGGGCTCGTCATTTCCCGTGTTGTTTTCCAATGACCTGACATGCCGACGCTCAATCTTGACCTTGTAGACTTGACCAAAAGCACCGCCGCCTATCCTTTCCTGCCGTCTGTATGGGAGGGGACACTGAGATCTAAAATCATCCTGATATATAACATGATCTTCCCTTCGCAGGGTTATAGCGCAAAACTGGAACTGAGTGTCAAAGAAATCGTTCGCTCGCTGGGGGAAATAGAATTGCGCCTCGGTAAGGGGTATCGGAAGGTTCTGGTCGTTGAGTCTTGGAGGGTCGATCGGGGTTTTGTGAATTATGAGCAACTCCGTGAATTGTCGCAAGATTGTAATGTCTCCCGGTGAGCGGACTCGCAGGACGATGGCGAGGATTGTGCTGAGGTGTCGCACAGTTCGCCGTACAAGATCACGGAGGTTATCGGCACCAGAAATGCCAAGCAAAAGTCGAAATAACTCCTGCAGGCTCTCTTCATGCATTCGAAAGAAATCGCGTGCGGCTCCGTTGGGGTAGAACGGCCGTTGCTCATGATTTCGTACGCGGAGCGTCTCTAGCCGGGTAGAGAGCTCATTGCAAATCTGGTTTATTCTCTCCATCCCAGTTGTTGGGTGAGTGTTCGAGGGATCTCAGGTATCGAACAGCGGGTGGGGGTAACGACGCGATAGGAGAGGCATTATTCCTAGTCAGGGGTCACTATAGCAGCAAACGAAGTCAGAAGGACGGCCCAAAAACTTGCCATGGGAAATCGAAAATGAGAAGGGAATTAATCATACCTCAGGTGCCGGTGACGACGACGCAGGTTGAAGGTCAGGGTCCAAGCAGAGGAGAGTTGCAATCAGGGACAGACAAGACACTCCACGCGCGATAAACGAAGCGGCAACCATCTGGGGCACCTTCAGCTGCACGTCAGCCATACTCATTTAGACACGAGCCTGTGACCAATGAAAGCGAACGACTGCTTGAGGCTGTCAAGAAAAGACAGCGTCATGTCCATTTCACCGATTGCATTTAATAGGCCGAACTTCAAAGACAGTGCTTTCACCGTGTGCCTCTTGGCAGGCATCGTGGCTGTGTCGGGCAGTGGCTGAATCAGGAGCTGATAGGCGAGGCCTCGAGAGGCGGCTCTTAGCGTCGAGCACCAGTGGGGTTCTGAGCGCCCGGGTCATCATGAAATCGAAGCTTCATTTTTCGTAACTTAGAGCCTCATATTGAGTTGATGATGGTGGGGCGTGCAAGGCAGAAGCTTGAGCTTGAAAGGTTGGTGGATAAGGACGCGGTTCAAGCGACAACAGTACAAGTTGTTGATTTTCAGGAACCGCAACCCGGCCACGTGACCATGCGTCACATATCCTCTTCCCTTGGAGTCCTCATGTCCTTCACACCATCCTCATTTGTTGCAAAATGACTACAATAAGTGCCAATCGACATTATTAGCCTCAGATGGCGGGTCTATATTGTGGTTCATCAATCTGACCGAGCGATTATCTGGTTTATGGCGATCATCCGCCGATATATATGTCTTCTTTGGGACCCCAGGTAGATAACATCAGGCCACAACAATGATACGAAAAGAGTTCAAATTGATGACTTAAATGTCTATACGAAGATCAATTTTGATTCCATCCAGATGTGAAGATGTAATTATCGAAGATAGCTCCTAGAACGGGCTGCAACAACTTGAAGACGCGATGGCCGATGCTAAGATCGAAATTTAGCGCACGCGACCGAGTTGACCCAGTCAAAACACCCCTGGGTCGGTCAACCAAGACCCTGGTTCTGATCTCCGATTTTTAAGTCCCATTTGAGTCTCCCATTGGGCTCTGACGTACCTGGTTCGAGTGCGGGGAAACTGCTTCGGCTATTTGGATGCACCACCGTCTACCTCACCGACGTCGGCGCGGAGTTCGCCGGCGCAGCTCGGCGTTATCACAGCGTCCACCTTCCATTGCATATCACTGCAAAATCCCATATTTGCCGGCTGCCGGAAATCGAGTAAAATGGCCGACGACTTCTGCCCTCCTGCCCTTCGGGCACCTGTGGCGTGTGTGGCTTGTAACAAGAAAAAGGTGCGTTGCACCTACGACCAGGGCAGCCACAAATGTCGAAATTGTTTGCGGTATCGGTGGCCGTGTCTGTAAGTGAGAAGATTGCTACGTTGGATTATCTTTGACGTTGTGCAGACAGAGGCAGCCGAAGCGGAGGGGACGACAGCCAGGGCCAGCCAGATTTAGTAAGACACTACGAAGCGGGCAACGCAGGGTCACTACTGGCGTTCAGGATTCACCGGCGAGGGAACCAGCTCAGGAGATTACACCGCCGACAACTTGGTCGGACAATCCAAGCGAGACGGTAGGGGAGCTTAGCAGATGGCCATTTCCAGTAAGCACCAAGGAAAGCACGAATCCGTATACCTCTGTCACTGCGAACTGCGGGTTTATGGAAAGGAATGACTACTTTCGGGACGCAGACGCGATTCATGATGTCTCGCTACAAATCCCCACGGCCGAAGTCCTGACAGATGATGACGCACAGTTGCTTCGTTTGCAAAGAGCTTTCGACATGCCTCCTCGAGCGGTTCGCGACAGCCTTATTGATGTCTTCATGAAACGATGTGCACCGTGGATGCCGATCGTGGAGCGAACCTGGTTACAAGAGACTGCCGACAACAGACCATCAATCCTGCTCCTTCAGTCGGTATTTCTCGCTGCTAGCCGGGTTACTTCAGCTCCAGCAGTGACTGCATACGCGTCTTCACACGAGTTTTACCGCAGGGCCAAGGCATTGTTCTGGTCCGGATGGGAGAAGAATCCGCTTACTGTGATAGCAGCAGTGTGCATCCTGCATTGGTACAATCCTGAATGTCCGGAACATGTTTCCACGAACACGAGTGGTTTCTGGAGGTATGTCGGGGTAGGATTGGCACATCAGATCGGGCTACAAAAAGAGCCACGAGGGCAGGATGGTAGGGCGTTGAGACGAAGATTGTGGTGGAGTTTATATGTAAGTAATATCGCCTCGCAATGGGCATAGAATTGGATTGCTAATCATGCGGCAGGCAAGGGACTGCTTAATCTCTGCTGGGCAGGGTCGGCCGCTTGCCGTGAACCTCGGTGACAGTGAACTGAAACCACCATGTATGGAGGACTTTGGGGATTCCAATCTCAGACCGGAATTGTTCATTGCCTATGTTGAGATCTGCTCGATCCTAGGGCACTTGACTCAGTGCTGCCGCAGAGACTCTTTGACCCGTCGCACAAGACAGTCCGTTTGCAGGTCCCTACAGCGATGGATTCAAGAACTACCAGACTCTCTTCGCCTGTTCGCAGGTTCCGAGCTTCCGGATAGTGAGGGTTCGAGTACAGGAAAGACCTTGTCACCCTATGACTTTGAAGCCCGACAGCTTCACATTCCTTACTTCATATGCCTCATAATCCTCTGCCGTGCGCCATCCCCGCAGCATCCACCCTCTGCTACGGCGATCCTTGCGTCGTCCTATATTGTTGCGATCTTTGAGGACTTTCTCGCCCGGGATGAGTTGCAGTTTCTGGGCTCAATATTCACCTTCTACTTACTCGCTGCTGGGCTCGGGGTGCTTTCCTGCCGGAGATCACCTACTCTATGCTTAAAGGCAGAGCCAAACATGCAGACGATATATGCATCGCTGGAACAGCTTGCTAAACGCTGGCCATCGGCGACAGCACCATTGCGGGTCCTACGAAGCATGAATTGCCAGCAAGATTCCACTGGTCTCTCCTTGGCACAAGTGCCAAAACTGGCCGACGACCATGTGCCCTTCTTCAAAACTTTTGGCCCTGGCCTTACATGGGCATGGGAAGAGTTTATGACTCAAAGGCCACGAGCCCGAGATACTTCCACGGGCGATGCGAGGGATTCGCGGCATCCTGTCAACGTTGAGATCACAGCAACCTTTCCAACCGACACAACAGCTGAGAACCTACTGGCCCACCCGCTTGGCGATATTCTCGGGCACAGCGTGCAGGAAAGTACGCCTGATGAGGGCTTGCCTCCCTTACAGTACGAAGGAATTGGTGACTGGCTGTTGAACGAGTGCGACGTATACGGCGACCTTGCCTTTTGAGGCTGATAGACATCATTTCAGCTCACTACACTACGACGAGGCAAGCCATGGGTGGTTCTTTCCAGAAAAAAAAATGATTACTACGGTCGCTCTTGCCTCGCCTAGCTCCTTGTCACTTCCTTCCCCGGGTAGGAAGGCGCACCTCCGGTCGTGCCTTCCTTAGAAGACCCCAGCCCATAGAGGAGGAAGGAGCGACTCTGGACTGTTCCTTCCTCATTCTAAAGTCTTGAGGACGTGGGGAGCAGTCCAAAACTCCCCATCCTACCCCACAGTTGATCCGCCGGCACTCGGGTATATTCACCCAGAGACCCCGCATCTCGGCTTTCGGCGATTTAAGCCCTCATGGACCGAGCTCGGCCTCCCCAATTTGACATGAAACGGCTTTGATTTATCTCTAGTTTGTCCAGAAACGTTCCCTATTTCCCCGACCATTGCTCAACGTCTGTCCATGATGTCTGGTTTTGGCACTTTTCGAAACCTCTCCCTCGAGCGCCATGGCAATGTGTTCGTCATTACGATGCAGAAGCCGCCAGAGAACCGGCTAAGCACATGGTACTGCCAGGAGATTATTCGTGCTTTTCGCACTGTAGAACAGCTTTTGGGACCTGATAGTGAAGGCGCAGTCATTACTCGCGGTAACGACGCGAAGTTCTGGTGCACAGTACGTTTTCGCGGGCCAAGAGACATATTTGGATACCGTACTGACGAAGATAGGGCCTCGAACTGGACGAGTTAGACACAAATCCCTTTGCGAACTCTGATGGGTTCTACCCGGTACGCCACCGAACACCCTTACAATTGCCAACACTAATCCTCTGTCAGCTTGTGCACACAGTCCTCGACTTTCCATTCCCAACAATTGCCCTCCTGACCGGGCATACTTTTGGCGGCGCCTGCCCCTTTGCACTGGCCCACGACTACCGCATCATGAACTCCAAGCGCGGCTTCTTCTGCATGCCACCGGTTGATCTCGGTCTACATTTTGACGGCATCGGCTCGCTGCCGCGTCTCAAGCTCCGCCCGGATATTGCGGGGAAGATGCTCCTCGAGGGACACCGCTGGACGGGCAAGGAAGCGCTCAGAGATGGAATTGTTCATGCCGTTGCGGAGCCCGAAGAGATGCTCGAGGCCGCGCTGGAGATGGGGAGAAAGTGGGCGCCCAAGGCGAAGATGGGGTAGGCTATTTCCTTTCTATACGCTTGCCAAAGATTGGGAAACTAACTGTGCTGTAGGGTGTACTCTGTTCTGAGGGCAGAACTCTGGGGCGAGGCGATTCAGAAGTTTCAGCGGATTAGCTATGTCCATGGCAGGCAGACGTCCGTGCCGGCCAAGGCGAAGATATAATCGCGTGCTGGGTCCTTTCATATATTATCAAATCAAAGAGACTACGTCGACTAGACCGCTTGTGCGTTGCTTTCTAGATAATTCGTACACCTGGTGGCCGCCACGGATTGTTCACTTTTCCAGGGAGTCGTACGCTTTTCTTATCTATATTCTCTTGGCCTTAAATGAGGTTGCCTCTGGAACTTTCTCGCCCCAGTGGCTCTCTAGCAACTGTCCAATAGCTCAACGTGAGGGACTGTCGATGATCCTACAATGTCCCTCTCCTACATCGGGTCCCAGATCAGCATACTCCTCATGAGTCTCACTCCACTGCCGTCATGGCCTATAGCTACTGGCACTAGTACTCGTTCATAACGCGCAACCCTATCAACAAGCGCTTATTCTATCGTATCTATGGCTCTGGAACTCACAATTTAGCCTTGACCTCCTTCTCCCAAACCTGCACCCCGGGATCCCCTCTATACGCATCTCCAAAATACCTTGGTCCCAACATCTTCTTCTGCACCTTCCCCGTTCCCGACTTCGGAATCTCCCCCTCCAACACCCTCAACACCGTCGGCATCTTATACCCAGCCAACCTCTCCCTAAGGTCACTCCTCAGCCTTGCAAGCGACAATCCTTTCTTCAACATACCCTCCTTCAGCGTAACAGCCGCCGCAACGCGCTGTCCGAACTCTTCGTCCTCGACCCCAACGACCATCACCTCGCCGATGTAATCCAAGCCCAGGATCTCGCGCTCAATGTCGAGTGCGGAGAGCTTGTACCCGCCGCTTTTGATAATGTCTATTGAGGCCCGGCCGAGGATAAAGTAGTTATTTCCTTCGCGCCGGGCAATGTCGCCCGTTATGAAGTAGCCTTCGCTGTCGTGGGCGGAGGCTGTTGCAGCTTCGTCGTTGAGGTACCTTGCGAAAATGCATTAGTATCGACACGGCGCAAGCTCTAAGCTGAAGGTGAAGCAGGGGAGAGAAGGAAGCGATTGCCTACTTGGAAAACAAATTCGGCCCCTTGACCAGTATCATTCCCTCCTCAGTGAGCTTCAAACTCACACCCGGAGACACTGTCCCAACACTATTCACCGGCGTCCCACCGTCAAGACCAGCCTTCAACACAGCATGAAACTCCGTCCCGCCGTACCGAGTGAGGATACTCCTGCCATCCAAAATCCCGCTCCAAAAGTCACACACGGGCTTCGGCAGCGCCGACGTCCCACAGAGCAAGACACGTAGCATCCTCGCACCATCGATATACGCCCTCTGCTCGACCATCGGAAGCGCCGAGATATGCGTTTCAAAATACCGCATCATCCGCATATAAATCGTCGGAACGCCCGAAAACACCGTAATCCCAACCCTCTTCCACCGCTCCCACGTCCACGCGGGATCAAACGATCCAGAGCGGAATTCAACACACGCACCGCTCATCAGAAACGGCAAGAACGTTATCCCGATTCCTGTGGCGTGGTGCACGGGGAGAACATGCAGAACGGTGTCTTCTTCCGTGATCCGGTACTGGTCTGCGACGTCTTCCGCTGCGGAGGTGAGGTAGCTCCGCCGTTGCACGGCGCCCTTTGGTGGGCCGGTTGTTCCGGAGGTGAAGATTACGAGGGCTGCGGTGTTGATGTTTGGGACTGGGTTCGAGGAGATTGTTATACTTGTAGCGGGGAGCGGGGTCGAGCGCAGGGAAGGGGCTATTGGAAGGGTTGCGATGGTTTGGCTGGGCGACAGGCTGGTTGCGATGCGCTGTGCGAGTGATGTTGCGCTATCTGAGGAGATAATCGCGACGCAGCCTGAACGGACGACGAGGGACTTTGCCTCTTCCACAGGCAGTGCCGGTGCTGTACCCTGTCAGTCCATGTATTGCTCATAACCCTACTCCGGCCAACATACTTATCGGCACCACCGCTGCCCCGAGTGCAATGATAGCAATAAACGCAACTGCGTACTCATACCCACCCGGGGCAATCAAGGCAATGAACACCTCGTGACCATGGTATATCTCTTGCAGGACATCTGCATTTAAGGTACGCCTAAGCACGCTCCGCAGAGCAATCGCGTCTGTAAAAAGCTGCAAATACGTCTTCTCAACTCCCAAATTGACATCGCGAATTGCGATACGCGGCGGACTCCGGTGTGCAAATCGCAATAGCTTCTCGAAGAATGGCAGATTGGGAAAGACGTTCTCGCCCGTGTGTGAAGGGACCATGGTTGCACGATCACCAGGGGGAAGATGCTGGTTCCGCGTCATTTTGCCCATGACTCTGCTTTGTGAAGCAAATGTCTACCCCGCGATGCGCTGTATAGCTCGGCATTTGCCTTTATAGCCGGAAGTCTGTACCTCAATCTGTCTACGGACGTTGTTGGTGGGAAATTCCACCGAGTCCCGATTCCCGCCCGGCACTCGGTGGTTTGTACACAATGTATACCCTCGGATGCTGGCACCACCTCGGCCAGTGGATATATTATTAGAGGGTGAGATAGATAGATCCAAGTGTGAAAGAACATCAATGATTCAAAGTAACGTGCAATGCCCGACTTCACCGACACCCTGCGCCCCGCGCAACCCTCCGGCCCCGACTCGCTCGCCAAAGAGCGCGCGGGATCCACCCTCGCCATCGACCATCTCTCCGCACACCTCCTAGGAACAGACGGTCTTCTCGCTCGACAGTCCAAAGTCCTCCCCATTATCCTTTCGGAACCCCTCTTCTCCAAAACCACCCAACAAAACCTCTCCCGGCCGGAACGGTACAAACTGGGCCTGGCCCGTGGAAAACTCCTCCGCCGCCTCGCAGACAAACACGCCTGGACGCCCGAAGAGCACGAAACGGCCGAGTATCTCGTCGACGATGTCAGTCCGTACATGCTGCACATGGGCATGTTCGTCACGACGATCCGCGAGCAGGCGAGCGATGCACAGCGCGCGTATTGGCTGCCGCTTATTGAGGAGTGGAAGATTATTGGCGCGTATGCGCAGACGGAGCTTGGCCATGGGAGTAACGTCCGTGGACTGGAGCTGCAGGCGAGGTATGATGTGGGCACGAGGGAGTTTGTCCTGCATAGTCCGACGCTTACGGCGAGTAAGTGGTGGAATGGGACGCTGGGGCGCACGGCGAATCATGCGATTGTTGTTGCGCAGTTGATGCTGCCTGATCCGAATGCCCAAGGGAAGTATGTCTCGCATGGCCCACATCCGTTCATCGTGCAGGTGCGTGATATGAAGACGCATTTGCCGTTTAAGGGGATTGTCATTGGAGATATCGGCCCCAAGTATGGGTATGCGTCTATGGATAATGCGTATATGCTGTTCAATAACTTCCGGTGAGTGCACTATCTCTCCGACCAGAGATTCCTCCATTCACTAACAGAACAGAATCCCCCACTCCGCACTGCTCTCCCGCTACTCCAGCGTCGACCGCGAGACGGGTGCATACGCAAAACCAAAAGAATCCGCGGTCGTCTACGGTACGCTCACATTCATGCGCTCCAAGATCATCCAACATGCGAGACTCGTCCTCGCTCGCGCCGTGACAGTAGCCGTGCGATATACCGCCGTGCGCCGTCAGTTCGTGGACCGCGATGGCCCCTCGAATGGGCCCGAGCTGCCTGTGCTCGACTATCCAACCGTGCAAATTCGCATTCTTCCTCTCCTCGCCACGGCGTTTGCACTGCATTACACTGCCCTCGCGATGCATACTATCTATAACAGTACCCGGAAGGAGATTGAAGCTGGGAACTTTAATAGCCTGGCGTATATGCATAGTATGTCGTCCGGTCTGAAGAGCCTCTGTACGACTCTCGCAGCAGATGGTATTGAGACATGTCGGAGAGCGCTTGGAGGTCATGGATTCGGCGGCGGGAGTGGGCTTATCCAGTTGAATAATGATTACCTATCCAAGCCAACTGTTGAGGGGGACAATTGGATGATTACGCAGCAGACTGCCGCATACTTGGTTAAGAAGATGGCTAGGGCTGTTGCAGGGGGAACTGCGGATGCAAGTGCGACGGACGAGATTGATGTTCAATTTGGAACATATCTCCCCCTGATTCGGGGCGCGAGACAGTGTGAATACGATATCCTGGCAAGGGATAAAGATCTGGTCAAGAGCTTCCAACATCGAGCTACCTCGCTGGTATACCTCCTCCCCCCAGTTGTACCGAAATACTCAGTCCTAACTGTTTTAGGCATACAACGTTTACCTGGCACGCATCGTGAACAAGAAACCGTGGACGTCTCTCATGATCGATTTCCACAAGCTTAGCAAAGGTACCTCCCTTCGACTACTCTCAGTCACAAAGTATGTCTGACGATACCAGCACAATCCCAATCGATTCTCGTAACCAAGTTTCACGATGCCTTGTCCTCAAACAAGGACCTCCCACCGACAACGCGCAATATCCTTTGGGACGTCTTCCGCCTGTTTGCAAGTTATACTCTTGAAGCTGAGAGATATGAGTGTAACCCTCCCACCCTCTTAATCGTAACATTCCAAAGCCAGACCTAACAAAGAGCAGTCTTCACCTGCGGGGCAGCATCCCGCAAACAGCTCGAGGCCCTCCCAGCTCGCGTCCTTGAGCTCATGGCGCGGATCCGACCCCATGCAGTACCGTTGGTCGATGCGTGGAAGATTCCGGATTACTTGCTGGATAGGTATGGCCTCATCCTTGTCCTCTCCTGGGAGAGTGATATGGTCATGGAGTATGCTGATATCTGTAGTGCTCTTGGCCGATATGACGGACGCGTCTACGAAGACCTGTTCAACCGAGCACATCGTCTGAACCCGCTGAATAAGGTCACTGTGAATCCGAATTACTGGGAGGACGAGATCGTCAAGGGTGGGGAGGATATTGACGCTATTCGGGCGAAGCTGTAGCTACACATCACCATGGCAATCTTAGATTCTTGAGACTGCCGCTTCATCCGTTAACCTTGCTCCAGTTCAAATTGGAAGCTGGAGCTGAGGCACGTTTGTGTTCTGTCCTGGAACGTGTAAAAGAGCCAGACACAGTGGAGACCAAGATATGACAGACAATTGGCCAGCCTTATCGCGCTTGTATCCGCCGCTGGTTTTCAGCCTGAACGTCATATTGGGGTCACTGCCCTTGGTATAGTTGCCCTCTGCGCGGTGCAATTCCGCGTTTCGCAAAACCTCTAGACGGCAACAAAATCCTCCCAACTTCAAGATGACAAACTCAAGAATTGCGGTGTATACTGGGAAGATGGCGCTCAATGTGCGCACACGACACTTACCATCATTGGCCATTGGAGACGAAATTTCAAGACACGGATTTTTATCCGGGTGAGCGCCCAATTGGCCCGAGGTTATGTGTCTCGTATAGATTTTCAATCTAGACCTTTGGCAATTTCGTCCCTGACGATTTGTCTGTGAGTCATTCTCTCAACTGGTATTTCTCCTGTCTTTCTCTTCAATCTAAATGTGAAATTTTGCCATTGCGTGATAGCTTCACATTCCCCTTTCTGACCCTGACTGACATGGTGAACCCGCAACTTTGGGACGAACCTACCGAGCCTCTCCACCAGAACCTTGAACGATCACAGGATTGCTTGACTTCTACGGACCCACAATGCCGGACTCCTCGAAGACAGTCCAAGACCCGGAGAAGAACGGCGGACAAGCACAGGACCGGCCAAGCACTCCATCCACCCCGTCGCCTCCTTCCTCGCCTGCCCCGATCGAGGATGAATTTAGCCGCTTCTCCAGCGGTCGTAAGGTCCTTATGGTCGTGATCCTCGCGTGGACAGGTCTACTCTCTCCGATTTCGAGTACATCGGTCCTTTCGGCCATCCCCAATGTCGCCGAGTCGTATAATGTCTCGGGCTCAGTAATCGGTCTGAGCAATGCGCTGTACCTCGTCTTTATGGCATTGAGCCCGTGCTTCTGGGGCCCGTGGTGCCAGACGCTGGGGAGACGGCTGGTATGTTCCAGATAATCTGCCAAGGTTGTGTTTGAAGACTATAGTGCTGATAGAATATCAGTCGTGCCTGACGAGCTTGACGATATACCTCGGCTGCTCCATCGGCACAGCGCTCAGCCCGAATATCGCCGCTTTCATGGTCTTCCGCATGCTCACTGCCTTTGTCGGCACAGCCGTCCTTGTGATTGGGCCCGTGGCCATCCGCGATCTATACGCGCCGCTCGAGCGAGCAACAGCGATCAGCTGGTTCTACACCGGCACCCTCCTCGGCCAATGTCTCGGCCCCCTCATCGCCGGTGCAATCGTCACATACACAACCTGGCGCGTCATCTTCTGGCTGCAGACGGGGCTCGGCGCAGTCGCGCTCCTTGGCGTCTTCTTCGGGCTCCCCGAGACCATAAACCCCAACTCACCACGGCCCCTCAAGGGGCTCACCCGCTCCGGAAAGATCAGGGTACTGATAGCAATGACAAACCCCTGGCGCGTGCTCACCCCCTTCAAATACCCCAGTCTCCTCGTAACGGCCTTTGCGAGCGGCTCACTAGTCTGGAACCAATACGGCCTGTTCACGCCGATCCGCTACGTGCTGAACCCGCGGTTCGACCTCGAGACACCCCTCCAATCAGGCCTCCTCTTCCTCGCCCCCGGCCTCGGATACATCGTAGGCGCATTCGGCGGAGGCCGCTGGGCCGACTACGTCGCCCGCCGCTACTTTGCCCGTCGCGGCGGGATCTTCGTAGCCGAGGACCGCCTCTACGCCGCCGTCGCCTTTATGCTCGTCATCATCCCTACAAGCATGTTTATCTACGGGTGGTCCGTGGAAAAGGAATTCGGCGGGTTACCGCTCCCCATCGTGTTCATGTTTGTCCAGGGCGTCGCGCAGATGTTCTGCTTCCCGAGCCTGAATACGTACTGTCTGGATGTGATGCCCGATCGCAGTGCGGAGCTCATTGCGGGCAACTTTTTCATCAGGTATATATTTGGTGCTGTCGCAAGTGCGACGGCGATTCCGGCGGCCGAGACGATTGGCGTTGGTTGGTTTAATACCATCTCGGGGATCTTGATTCTTCTGGCGGGCGTGGGCATTTGGGCGGCGGCGCGGTGGGGACGTGTCAAGGCTGTGCCGTAGAGTTAGTAATCAAGGAAAGGTGGAAGCTTGTCAGTTTGAATAGTGAGATCATGGAGAGAGTGCATGAGATGGGTCGTCCATGAAGTATACGGCAGATTCGTGGGGACTCGGTAATGGTCGATCATTGGTTCCAGGTCAAGGTATCATGATTTGTCTTCTTCGGCACTGTTAGTTTCAGTTTGATAAATACCCTCTGATAGATAGATATAGAATGGCATTCCGGTGAGACCGCGTGCAAGGATACAGCCTCGATCCTTTTGGGAGCTAAGCTCGAACGTTTGGCCTATTACGGGCACTGTCCAGAGAACACTCAGGACCGGTCCATGGGCATGAGCTTGCACGTGAATCTGTGCATCCTGTTCCTGGATCAAGGTAGCTTACGCTCAGGGACGAGTATGTCGGGGTGTACAAAACCTGTCGCTCGGAGAGTTTCCCCAGGTATGGTACCCGGTGTGTATAACGTCGAATTCTTGTCGAGTCGGATAGAACGGACGATAAAATGCGCTCTGTCGCACTTGTTGGGCGCCGCACTCGAGGCCAAAAGCGTGCCTTTGTTTCTCAGCGATACTCTGACCCTGGTCGCACCTTCCTAGTACGTCCTATGCGGCCCTTTGTCGTCCGGAAGACAGTCGCACCGTCACAGTTGCACTTCTAGAAATGCGCAATCTGCTTCGCATGTGGGCGATTAGCCTTCTGGTGGCATTAGCTGCCCTGCCTACTGCGCTCACCCTGCCGACTACAACCCCTCAAGACCCCAGTACCGACCCCTTTTACAGACCACCCACCGGCTTCGAGTTCAGAGCACCAGGAACGATCCTACGACAACGCAGGATAAAAGCAGCCTTCTTCGGCCTCATCCCAGACCCCGTTGACGCATACCAACTCCTCTACCGGACCACCGCAGTCAACGGCTCCCCAATCGCCACCGCCACCACCGTCTTCAAGCCGCAATCCCCCTACACCGACCGCTTCGTCTCCTTCCACACCGAGTACGACAGCTCGTCAGTCACATGCAATCCGAGCTACCAGTACCGGCTGGGTTCCTTGCAAACGGGCATCATCCCCTCCGTCGAACTCCCCATCACCCAGGCGTACCTTCTCAAGGGGTATATCGTCGCGTCGCCGGATTATGAAGGGCCCGATGCGGCGTTTGGGGCGGCAAGGCTGGCTGGGATGGGGGTGTTGGATGGGATGCGCGCTGTTGCGAGCTTTCGACTCCTCAATTTCACAACGTGCACTCCTGCAATTGTAGGGACGGGGTACTCGGGGGGTGCAATCGCGACAGGCTGGGCCGCAGCGCTACACCGCACGTACGCGCCGGAACTGAACGTGAGGGGATGGGCGCAGGGTGGGACGCCGAGTAACCTTACCGGTACATTGCTCTGGCTGGACAGCGGTTTGTACAGTGGCTTTCTTCCCGCTGCGATTGATGGGCTGTCCAAGCCCAGCGCGTACGGGTTACAGCTGAAGCCATTCATCGACAGTATTGTCACTGAGGCAGGGCAATTGCTGCTCGACTATGCAAGCTCACACTGCACCGTTCCTGCTCTTATCAACTTCCACAACCAGTCCATCTTCGACCCCACTTTTCAGACGCTCGGACCGGATTTCATTCATGAGCCTATCGTGAGATCGATCATGGCGGAAAACACACTCGGCGCGGATCCCGACGAAACCCCCATTGCTCCTGTCTTTGCATATCACGCCGCTCAAGATGATATTATTCCGTACAGCGACGTGAAGACCATGGTTGACAGATGGTGCAGTAACGGGGCGACTGTCTCGTTTACGACGTATGCTAGCGGAGGTCATATTGCGACTGAGCTGCATGGCATGGTGGGAGCCGTTCGGTGGGTAGAAGGGGCATTTGAGGGCAATGTTCCGGTCAAGTGCTCGTCAAGCACAGCATCGGTCAATCCTTTAGACTCGGATTCTCTCGGGGATGAATTGGAACCGGTTATGTTTGTCCTCCGCAAGGTGATGAATGTTATAGGACAGAATGATGAGAACATCAAGGGGTATGTTTCTGTGCTTGCAGCGGTTCCCTAGTACCAAACACTGCAGTTCCATAACTGAATATCACACTGTTCCAATATGGCCGGAGAGGTGTTGTAACGTCCTGTCTAGCGCGATGGATTGTATGTAGCTCAGGGTAGGCGGTATTGCACAGAATCATGCGAGAGATATATGTGGGTCCCGTAGAGGGCTAGTAGCTTCCTTTAGAGCTGCATTTAGAGAAGAGGCAGGGGGCAAGTCCAGGGTTATCCTCTTGCTGTTAAATTTCGCTTTAATGGCAGGGTTGCATTGACATATGACCTCATACAGATTTCCACCGCAGAGCTCTCATCCGAGACGGCATCATGATGTTGTACATGACATGAGTCATGGCAGTCGGAAATTCTGAGATTGGTTCATGAGTCAGGTCATATCTTATCTTATCACTCTGTTTTCTCATCAGATAATCTCGATAAGATAAGATAAGCTGGTTTTACATAGCTATTTCTCTCCAGGTCGCGCATTCCATTCCTCATGTCTCCAACTCCGTGTCTCAAGCCATGTTGGCGGCAAAACTCAAATCGAAACGAATCACACAGGCATGCGACTTCTGTCATCGCCGGGGTCTAAAATGCAAATCCGTGGATGAAAATGTGCAGTTGAGCCTGTCTCAACCCTCCTGCTTGACGTGCTTGGAATATGGCCAGGAATGTACGCGAAAAAGGCAGCCGAAGAAGCGGGGAACGAAACCGCGAGGGGAAAAGGCATCAATCTCAAGCACAAGGGAGACGGGTATGACTACTACTCTGACGCCATTGTCTTTGGGTACCGGGGATTCAGTACTGGCTACGGTTGGTGGGAGGGAGCCGGCGCTCGCTCATAGGCGCGTAATTACGCTGTTGCTGGATGTTTACCTGGATAGTATACACCCAAAGTAGGTGATGCTTGCTACCATCATCCTCCATGAGCTAATTGGCCAGGTTTCCTCTATTTTGTGAGCGGGAACTCTGGGTGGGCTGGCGCGAGGGCTCATTCCCACAAGATGACTCCGACTTCATGAGTTTGATGTGTCTGTGTGCCTTGAGCGCCCAGCATGTCGGAGACGGGGCACTGTTCAACGACAATGTCGACGCACCGGAAAGGACGAATTTACGTGAGGCATATATCGCAGAAGCGACTCGATTAGTACCGATCGACTTTGACAAATCAGATCTGAACCTCGTACGGTCGTTTACGTTCCTCGCTTTACTCGGTGCACAAACAGGGAACAATGCTACGCTGCACAAATACCTTGGACTGTGTCATGGTATATCTGCACACCTTAGTCTACAGGATGAATCACGGTGGCCAGCGATGCTAAGTCCATGTGAGGTGGAGGTCCGCCGGCGCTTGTGGTGGTCGATCTATCGGCTCGAGGTTCACACAGCGTGCGTTCTCGGTAACATCGTTCGCACATCTGAGACTCGGTGTGCCGTTGGATACCCGGCTGGAGCACATCATCCGGCGTTCATACCCGGTCGCAATGGGCAGTTCGAAGACTGGTTCGATGGCTGGAACATGACGACTGATTTGTATCGAGTTCTCGAGCACGCCGTCTCAGACCTACGGGCGAAGCATAGCCCTGCTCACTCTATCCTGGGGCGCATGGGAGGTTCGGACCCTACCGCACTGATGACCCGACTCTCAGAAATACAAGAGCGCTTGCTACCCCAATTCGTCACCCCTGCTTCGAGATCAGAAGATAGTGGACGAAATCGATGCGGGTTTCAGGCACCAAGTATTATCTGCACTATTCACCTTGCCAGACTTCTATCACGCATGTCCAGTAATGGCGACCCGCTGCTTGCATGTCAAGTAGCGACTGATCTTATAGCCAGCATAATGGCCATTCCACTTGAGTACATACGTGCTGCAGGATCTCCCCTAATCCAACAGCTGGCTGGAGTGGGCCATATCCTCGTTGGGACAGCAAAGAAGCATCAGTTGCTTCAAGAGCACTACGCCCAGGTCAAACAGGTCATACATTCCATCACAAGTCTACTTGATCTCCTAGCGACACCGAACACGATTGCCAGCAGCACCCGAGACCGACTGGTCAACTTGGTCTCGGAACTTGAAGACGTGTATGCCACCACGACTGCGAATGCCAAAGTGAACACAGTCGACGAAGGCCACATCTTGCACTGGCTACAGGATGTGGAGGAACCGACGCTTGGGCAGGCTGCCTTTCCCAACGAGCTGCTTACAGACTTTACGTGGCTATATCCGGCGTATCCATGACTTCATGCCGACTTCAGATTGATTACTGCCCTACTTTCGAGTTATATACATTGATCCTCTTCTGCTTGTTCGTCCTCCACTCATAGTATTCCCCACCCGTCATAATAGGATACTTCATCGGATTCTCATCACTCACACAAGTCGGAATGGGCTCCAACAGCTTCTGCCGATCAAACCCAAAGAAGAAGGGCGCCGAGTACCTCTCTTTTCCACTTTTATTAATGACTCGATGGACAGTCGAGACGAAGAAATCATTAGTCTGTCTCATAAAGCAGTCGGCAATATTAACGACGAACGAGCCCGGGATAGGCTCCGCCTTGATCCAGTTCCCGTTCTTCCCTAGAACTTCAAGACCACCACTGGAGTCTTGCGTCACGATGGTAAAACACTCGACGTCTGTATGTGCCCCAATCCCGTTCTGGTCGTCGACCGAGTGTTTTTGCTCGGGGTAGTGGAGGATGCGCATCCCTGCTTCTGGCCGCTTGATGTAGTCATCGAACGCATCCTCTGGGAGGTGAAGGGCAAGCGCAAATATCCGAGCAAGTCGACGTGCCAGTCGCAGTAACTGTCCGTGGTATGCATATAGCGTCTCTCTGAAGCCTGGTAGGTCTGGTGGCCAGAGACTTGCGGTTGGCTCGGCGCCTTCGGCTGCGTCGGGGTCCTCTCTGGGATCATAGTTCCAGTTGAATGCTTCGCTCAGATCTACGGAGGTTAGTTATAAACCAGCTTTGTGGTTGTTGAACATACCCTGGTGTTTCCATCCATTCCTGTTATAGCATTCCAGCGGGTGAAAACCGATATATTCATTCGGGACGAGCCCAGTGAAGACCTTCATCTTCTCTACCTCGGGCAGCGCAAAGAATCGCTTCGCTTGGTCGAAGGTTGCCTCGGCGTATGATTTGTCGATACCCTTATTCACAAAATCAATATCAATCCCCTGTATCTGACCGAGGAATGCGAACGTACGTGGTTGACAAGGTAAAAAAACCCAATATTCCGCGACGCCTCTCGAATCTCTTCAGCAACGGCCGTGCGATCCTCTAGAGACTCGCTCCATATTCTAGCGGCGTCGATAACAGGTATCTTGTCGAGTGTAGTGGAGATATTGGATTTGAACGAGAATGTGTTTCCGTTCATCAAAGTGACTGTCCTCGGGCCGTCCGAGGCCTCGAGTGTAGCGGTTTGCGACATGATGCTATTGGTACCTTGGTAGCCTATGGATTGGCAAGTCTTGTTCGAATGTTTTCTCTTATCGACCCGGATTTCGGCGGGCTCTTATAGCCAGGGCCCACCAAACACGATTCTCCCCAAATCCCCGTGGCCTGATGGATCTTGAACCGGGGGTAGAACGGTAAAACTGCAGCTGCTTCTCCTCTTTGACAGCACGTTATGACTCGACAAATCAGTCCTTAGCTCTTCACCATCATTGGCATCGAGTCGGGCTCGTCTCCAACAATCATTCCCACTCGAGGACGATAAGATATCAAAGCCAAGCCAATCGCCATTGATAAGGGCTGATACGGCAGAACTGCAAAACTGCTAAACTGCACAACCAGTTCTTCTTAGCTGATTGGCTTACGCACACTATCGACTCAACCGGATCGGCCCAGATTCAAGATTCCCACGTGTCGAATCCGGGGATTTACCTATCATCAAGTTTTTGTCGAGATAGAGTGACAACCTGATAGTTATCAATACACCGTTGAAATATTCTATATAACATGATGACGATATCTCGATCTTTGCGGTTCTCGTCACCGCCGTCGCCTCACCACCCTCCCTAAACCCTGACTGAATCACGACAATGGTGGCCAAAACGCCCGTACTATCCCGCCTCCTCAGCCGCCTCGAGGTAAACCGTGACACTGACGCACCAGTCGACATCTACGTGAACAAAGATACACGCCCTCTTCCGCCCTCCCGCCGTCCATACGGACCATGGCACTTTGTTGGGCTATGGATGATTACGGGCTCGTTTAATGTGGGTGGCTGGACGACGGGGTCGTCGCTGATTTCGTTGGGGTTGAATGTTTGGGTATGCTTCCCCCCAGGTCTCTCTGAATGCGGTTGCTGGGAATGGTGAAGTGTGCTGACACAGAGTGCAGCAAGCCATGTTGGCGATCATCATCGCGCATACGTTCGTGGGCCTCCTATGTGTAGCCGGTGGTCATCCCGGCGCGAAATGGCACATCGGGTTTCCGATCTGGATGAAGCAGAATTGGGGGATTTGGGGGTATCTCTTCCCAATGGTAACTCGCACACTCCGCTCCAAACCCTCAACGAGACCAAGCCAAACCAGATCGCAATGACCTAACATAAACCGCGTAGGCCATTCGCGTCTTCCTCTCCTTTGTCTGGACAGCCACAAACACCTGGTACGGCAGCCAATGTCTGAAAGTCCTCCTGACATGCATCTGGCCCTCCTTCCTGTCCCTCGACACGTCACTCGCCTCCGGCGCAATGAAGGTCTACGATATGGTTTCCTTTGTGCTATATTTCCTCCTCTGTCTCCCGCTCATGTGGTTCAGTCCTGAGAACTACAAGAAGCCGTTCATGGTTGCCTCAATTACAGTCGCGACAACGGTCTTTGTCCTACTGATCTGGTCGACTGTTCGTGCTGGCGGTGGAGGTGGTCTGATTCACGACCCCTCGGCTATAGCTGGCGTTGAGCCTGCGAAGGGATCCGCGCTAGGTTGGGCGTTTGTGTCTGCCATCACGGCGAATATAGGGAGCATCGCGACGCATATGTGGTCACAATCAGATTACACGAGGTACGCCCGCAGGCCAGGCGACCAGGTCCTCGCGCAGCTCATTATGGTCCCCCTCGGCACGATCGTCGTCGCGTGTATCGGGATCATCTGTACCTCGTGTGCGACGACACTGTATCCGAACGAGCGATCGCTGCTCTGGAACCCGTATGATTTCCTCGATGCCGTGCGCCGGAACGAAGGTACCCAAGGCGCAAGGGCTGGAGTCGCGTTGGCGAGTATCGCGTTTATGCTCAGCCAGTTCGGCATGGTCGTTGCGTCGAACTGTGTCGTTGCCGGTATTGATCTTGCAGCACTCCTCCCGAGGTGGTTTACCGTGCGACGAGGAGGGTATTTCACCATCGCTTTTGTCTTCGTTCTCCAGCCGTGGTCACTTCTGAACAGCGCAACGAACTTCCTCACCGTCGTCGGCAGCTTCAATATCTTCCTCGGACCGCTCATGGGGATTATGTTCGTCGATTACTTCCTCATCCGGAAGACGACGATGAAGCTAAGCGATATGTACGCCTCCACCCCGGCGAGTCTGTACTGGTACACGAAGGGCTGGAACTGGCGTGCTGGCGTCGCGTGGGTGACGGGGGTCTGGTTCCTGGTGCCTGGTCTTGCGCAGAGGGCGACGGCTCCCGGAGAGATCTGGGCGGGGTGGACGAGGTTGTATCAGCTGGCGTGGTTTCTTGGGTGTGTGGTCTCTGGAGTGGTGTATTTCGCTTTGGATCGGGTCTGGCCCTTGCCTGGGAGGACCGAGGTCGATGAGGAGGATTATTTTGGGACGTTTGAGGAGAGAGGTAGTGTTGTTGATGGGATAGCCCCGGGGCCGGATCCAGACGAAATTGCCGGAGAGAAGGCGGCGGCGCTGCAGAGGGTTGACGAGAAGGGAGGTGATGTGTAGACTAGAAAATCATCTTGCTTTTTAGAGCTTCCCTTTCGAATTGATGAGAGCAACTGTCGTACCCCCTGGCCCTCTGCAGCTGTACGGGTCTTGTAATGGTTCGATATCTACTCCCACCGTTGTCGAGCAGTGATGGTCTTAAAATCGTCGGGCCCAAGAACCGCGCTGTAGTTTCCAAGGACATTTGAATACAAATCCATTGCATCCAGGGGACGGTCCTGGTCCCAGTAGACGTCCGCAAGAGCTGCCCTTAGGTCCGTAGTACGTCTGTGGTCTGGGCCGTAGAGCAACTTGACACCCAGCAATGCTTGCTCAAAGCCCTTTGACTGGTGGCCACGTTATAGATCTCAATGGCCTGGATAGAAGGCTCTTGCCAGTGTTGGAGCACCAGAACTGGAGTACATTGCTAAGAAACACCGATCAGTCTCATGAGACATTAATAGCTGCTAAGCACGGAATGGAAGGCAAAGCCCTGCAGCAAGTGGAGTAGTATCCCAGGTAAGCCTTTGTCGCCACCAGCTGAATGGCTGAATCAACGAAGAATTGCCCCGCTTCAGCTCAGCCGCACTGTTCAAATCCTCCCACTCCCCTTTTCTGCTCTCAACTGTGTCATACCTTGTATGACCCGAGCTCTTCGCACCTCTTCAATGACTTCTTCAACGTCGGAACGAAAGCTGACACCAGAGAGCGGGCCAGTGTCGGGGGAGGACCTTGCGCACAATGCGACAACCAGCCGGCAAGCGAAGCCCAAGCGGCGCAATCGCGTCATCCTCTCGTGTCTAGAGTGTCGGCGACGGAAGATGAAATGTGATAGAGAGGTGCCATCCATTGTCACCATTTTACACATTTATTCTCTAACGCGAAATAGGAACCCTGCACGCCCTGTGGCACATCAGGGCTTGAATGCGTCTACGTCGCGAACCCGAAAGACGGGGATGCCGCGTTTCGTCAGCAATTGGTCGAGATGAAAGACGCGAAAGATGCGCTGGATGGATCGCTCCGACCCGGTTCCGGCGTCCTAGTTCGTCCTCAGCGGGGGACCTCAGCGCGACGAAAGCGAGCCAAAGGTAGTGAGGTGTCCAGTGACGAGTCCGATAGCTCTGCCGGCGATGCATACCTACCACCTACACCGCTGGCTGTGCAAGATGCTGCGTATGGCGATGGGGTAGATGATGATGTGATTGATGATCTCGGCGTGAGAATTGGCCGCATGCGCCTTGGAGAGAGAATCGGTGGCCTCTTTCGTCCGAGGATTGCGGACGAAGTGTCGAGTACGCTGGATCCAGCCCCGCAGGGTCGCCTTCTGACTGGAATGACAATGGAACGCCATCACCAGCGACCTTCCCCGGAGGCGTCCATCAGCCTTATTTTCGGTCAAACTACTACCAGTGCCCAAGTCACTGACCACATCCCCCCTCGCCATATTGCAGACTGGCTGCTAGACCAGTACTGGATCGCAGTCCATCCAGTCGCACGGGTCGTCCACCGACCGTCCTTTATGCAGAGGTATGAGACGCTGTGGGAGTGCGTCGGGAATGGTCAACAGGTCAGCGCGTCTCTTGTCGCTATCGTCTCGGCCATATTGCTCTCTGCTGCGTTGAGCATGGCGGATGACGCGGTTCTCGAAGCATGGGACACTTCTTGCGCAGCGTTGGAAACCCAGCTCAAGATCGGTACAGAGCATGCGCTGACTAGAGCACATGTGCTTCAATCCACCAGGCTTGAAGTTTTGCAGGCCTTTGTTACGCACATGGTAAGATCTATCGTCTACTACTGACCGTGTAGTATGACTGATGGACTCCTGTCGTAGCTTGCCACATCCGTTGCGCAAATCACTCGGGCCCATTCGGTCCTCTCTGGGATGCTAGTGAGGCAGGCCGAGTGTATGGGCCTCCATCGCGACCCAACAGAGTTTGGTTTCTCGCTAATCGAGTCTCACGTTCGCCGCCTGATCTGGTATCAGGTCTGCTACCTGGATCTCAAAACCAGCGAGGTCCAAGGCCCTCGAGCATTCATTCACCACGACGGGTACACGACACAGTTACCACTTGACATGGCGTTGCTCAATAAAGGAGCTGTATGGAACGACTTGATTCTGTCGATGATCCGCTTCGAATGTCAGGAAATGCAGCGCCGCTGCTACACACACCGCAACCGGGTGGATCTGAAACGAATGACATTAACCAAGGCAGTCTCCAAGATTGACGAATTCCGTGTGGCAATGGACGCAAAGTACGGTCCATATATTAACGGTCCCTCACAGACCCCGATGCAGAAAATGTCCAGCCTTTTATTGAAGCTCTGGGTTAGCTTGCTGTATATCCTCCCACTCCACCGGTACATGAACAGCGTCACGTATCGCGTGCCCGACCGTCTGCGTCAGATCGTTCTGATGAAAGGGACCGAGGCCCTGGAAGCTGCCGTCGCACTCGAGACCGAGGAAGAACTCAAGGTCTGGGCGTGGTACGCGCCCGCCTATCAGCAGTACCATACCGCGTTCTTGCTCCTTGTCGAGGTGTTCAACTACCCCCGTCGGCGTGAAGCAAACCGCATTTGGCGTTGCTTGGAATTCATCTTCGCGGAGCCACTGGCCAAGCTACCGCCATTCCCATTTGTCACTACAAATCCGACGGCGACGTTTGACGAGATCATCGAGCGCCGCGCCGTCAAAGCTCGATACCTGCTCACCATGATCTCTGATCAGATGCGCGCCTACCACGCGGCCAAACAGTCAAAGCTGCCCGTGACTTTTAACGAGTCAATGATCGTCGTCACTCCACAGATCGCAGGCGACGAGTCGGACCCGCGGATGCCTCTGAATTATGCACACGGCGAGCCAGAGGGATCCGCTCCTACTGCTCGTAATATTGACCCCACCGTCACAAGCAACCAAGCGGCTCCGCCCACCATTACAGTTAGCTGTCAGGCGCCTGGCGATACCTCAACTCCATCGAAGGCGTACGCACGGGTTCCACACTACAACACCACGAGTGCGCTCCCATCCTCATCGGGGTCATCACCTTGGGGGCAGCCCAGTTATTCCGATCGGAGGGGCGTACCCAGCGACTACGTCCAATACCCCTCGTACGCGACGAGCGCCTCACAGGACGACGAGGGGCTACCCACGGATATTGATCCGCAGCTTCTGGAGATTGACTGGGTGAGTTTTTCCACCGTTAGGCTCACCCCGTGCTCATTACTGATTTGTGATTAGGAACTCTGGGACATAATGTTCCCGCCCCAGGCGAACGATGGAAATCTAGATTTGGCTGATTCGTATGAGTGGGATTCTCAGCGGCAGGGTGTTTATTTGGGCCAGGGGTCGTTTTCGGAGTAGAGACCTAATAACGGTGGCTGTTTATTTTTATTTTTATTTTTAATTAATCATGTTTCGTACAGTGCGTATCTTAAATGTTGGCGGATCTGTGTTCAAATAAATAATACTAATAAATTTATGGTCTATTTATGGTCTGCGACATAGCCATCAGCGCACTTTGACAATGCAAAACGAGCATTCCCACTCTATATTTACTTACGTTCAGAGCTCCACTAGAAACTGCATATAAATAGCAAGGACAAAAGAACAAAGCACACACTACATCATGGAAGCAAACTGAGCCACGCCGCCCCATAGCGCACCCGCCTGCCCGCCAGATACTGCACCATACACTGTACCATTTCCGCGGACGAGGTATAGGTAAGGCACAGATCAAACTGCATCTAGAATTGTGGCGCACTCCCCCTACTCAGCGTAAACCGGTCCCCTTGTATACTTGATTAATACCGCACCCCCGGCGATCATTCCACCACGCCCCCACGCCACACGATGTATAAACGAGCAGGACAAGCCCCTGCGGAATAAACCGCAAAACAAGATACACCGCCCAATTCCCGTTTAAGACATTATACCTCGTCGTATGCCCCCCATGGTCCGTGGTATCCAGATTCGCCGCGGCAAGGAGGGAATATAGCACGCGGAGAAATAACAGCGGGATGATGACAGGCATGCAAGTGATGATATACGAAGCAATTCTCGGGAGCGCCTTGCGGAATCGGAACATGAACGCTGCACCCACGCTGATCCCCACGAGGGCCAGGACGAAGAGGGCCGCGGAGGCTTTTGCGAGTCTTGCGCCGCGGTCGAATTCCCCGGCGTTGAGCGTCCCGTCTGATGATGGCGCGCGGTCGATTCCGGAGATTATACCGAGGACCAGCGCGACGATTATCACTGGGTGCAATAGGCGGAGGAAGGTTATTAGGAACGGGGACGGTGTCTGCTGTGGTGCTGCGGCTGCAGTTGTTAGGGGCGTGTATGCTGGTTGTTGGTGTTGATATTGTTCGCCGGGGAGGTACGCCGTTGGGGCGCTGTGGTCATTCTGGCTGTGATGGCTCTGGTGGTCGCTGTTGTGTTTCGGTGACCCTGACGGCGACGAGTTGACGAACGAGAGCGTCGCGGAGAGGAGCGGGCCCAGTGCGATGGAGTAGAGGATTCGCGCGGTCATTTGGAGGTCCCGCGAGGGGTTGGATTTGGTCGCGATGGAGAGGTAGATTGCCGGGCCGCCGATTTTGGCTGGATAAAGTGGTCAGTACAATATGGATGGGGATATTGGTTGCAAAGGGCGCATGGTGATCGTACCAATGACGAACGCGTGCAGATAGAGCCATGCCGTCTGTTTCTTATTGAACAGGTAGTAGAATGTACAGAACGTGGCTGGGACCAGGTGTGTAGCGTAGAGTATTAGTTCGAGGATTGCGAGGATCTGGTGGCCGTTCATCGTGTCCAATAAGCTTCAAGACAGACCGTGTTGTAGGAAGAGGAAGAATGTTAATATCTCCCAGAACGAGACTGAAAAGGGTTATATATGGGAGTATGCAATCCTTATACGTCTTTCGTTACGTCCCTAAGAGCAAGGCCTTGGTAAATCGCATTGCACTGATCCAAGCCACTAGACTAAGCTTTCAGCCCCAGGCTTGACTCCCATTCCACTTTACGGCCGTAAGAAATATAGCCCCCCAAATCCGTACCTCTGCTAGACAATCTATTACCGTGCTCAGAGAAAGCTTGTTTTGTGTAGAGGCGTATTACTTGGACGCCGTATAGTGTGCATGACATGGTCGTTGGAGAAATGGTTGATTATTTTGTTGCCTCGAGGCTCATAGAAATGGGACTGTACATATGGAGCGGTTAGGGTATTCATGAGGATATATTACGTAAATCAGCTTGGAGAACTGGAGATTTTCGCATCTTTACAAATTGGGTGGTTGATTGAATATATCAAGCAATCAAGGCACATGGGCCATTCTACTAGTTAGCCCATCACCCTTCACACCCAAGCTCCAGAATAAGAAAACAATGCACAACGAAGCGTAGCGGCCATTCCAACCCGAAAACTACCTTCGTCTATCCAACCGACGCTCTAACCTGTCAATCCGACGATCTCGCAGAGACCCCAAGAGCCCATGTCCACCGTGCCCGTGTCCCTGGCCTTGTCCATGTTTAGTATCCCCCTTGACCATATTGCTTGCAAGATTCGCCACGATGGCACCAGCCACAGCGCCGCCAATCGCTCCGAGAGTCCCGTGGTCTGACTTCTTGCCTACTCTGTGGCCGATGAATGCGCCCTGGAGATGGTTAGCTGGATCCCGGTGTAACACAGCACGCGGGGGATATTGTAAGGGAAGGAGGAGGACGAGGAAAGGGATCCACGTACACCGGTGGAACCTAGGCCTCTTTCTCCCTCGCCCTCGGCTTCAGGTAGAGTGTTGAGATTAGAGTTGGGCTCGCAGACGTCTGAGCGATATTCGTCTCCCCATTGTCTTTGTGGCTGTTGGTATTGTTCGACCTTTTGCTCCGAACCTGGTTTAGTGCTGGAGTTCATCGCAAGATGGGTAGAGGTGGTGTTCCGGGCTAGGCCCGCACCGACATTGTCGCCGTAGTAATCGCGGTTAGACATCGCGATAGAGTAGAGAGAGCCAAGAAGGCGTAGATGTGGAATAGACCGGGATGGAAATGATGAGACGTTCACCAGGGTTTCTTGTTAGAGCGCGTGGAAGATCCAGGGGTGGGATGAGTCGAATTTATAACTTAGCCCGGGTTGACCAATATCAAGTAGACTGATTGAGAAGATGGCTGTGCGACTTTGGCTACCATCCAGCCTAAAGGTCCAGCCGGCTATGTCCGATTGTGCAGCCCAGATCTTTAGGCTTACGGCCGTAGGGAGGGGAGAATTTCTACCTTCTAGATAAATAGCCTTGGTTACTTTGTGACCACTTGAGGCAGAGCTGCCCTGATCCTAGTGTCTCTCAGGGACAAATCCTGGTTGTTTTATGTCCTGTTTCTTCACTTAACCTGACTAACAACCTGTGTGTCTTCCCCCGCATGCTGGCGCCCGGCGCAGCCAACATATCGCGGATATCCCCATGGCCCTTTTGTATATGGTCATTATTTTTCTATCAACTCAATTATAATAGTTCAGCTTAATCGCAAAAATTAGGGTGGGTCTACTTCGCGCAGGGTGTACTTCTCATGTCTTGCTTGCCCCGAAGCGATAGCGTGAGCGGAAGGAATTGGAAGATCCTAGCCAGGCACACTAGTTGAGCAGAAACAATGGCATTGGCGAATAGGGGTTCAAGCGAGGTGTTTATTAGACCCCCTGCAGTTCTTCACACTGAAGCAGAGTTGCGTAGGGCTGGTTTCTGGCTGTCACCCAGCTTACGGCCGTAGGCATCTTGGTCTGCACGTGCGACTCTGGAATATATATTTTGCCAGGTTCTCTACATCAATGAGAGGCAAGCTATCGCCGTAGCAGAGACCAGGTTTTAGACTTCTATCGACCGGTACTACCGGGTCAAGTCTTGGGTTGACGTTTCCGGACTCAACACCGCTAATCACAGCACCTCCATGCAATTTCAACTTGACATGTTGTGGATCGGTATGGATCGCCTGCTCCAAGCAAGGAAGAGCGATATACACCACCCACTTTTATAACGGCTCAACTCCATTCTCACCAATCTTTGGTTTACAATTCCGTCCTATAGCCTGGCTAGTAAGTATGGTAGGGCGGGCTCGCAAGCGGACCGTTCGAGGGCACGATATACCCCACCTACTTGAATCCACCCTTCGGAGTACTAGCATCAGGCTGGGCTAACCATGCCCAGAAGAGGTCATGGGGTTGTGATGAGGTTTCAAATCATTTTATCAGACTTTTGACTAAAAGGGCGTCCATATTGACGCCGAGATGGCCGAGAGCCATTAATCTCGACCCAGCGGGGGCGTCGCCAAGAACGACCTGTCCAGGGATAAATATCCACGCTTTGCGGTTATGTGACAAAGCTTCAGATAATACTAGGATTTCAAGTCTTGCTATATTGCAGAAAAAACGACGCTCTATCGAGCAAGCTTGCAGTCATAGCGAAGAAATTTGTTCACACAACGCCGGTAGCATGAGAAGCAGTGCCCAGCTGACGAAGCGACGATCTCTGGCGATACATTATAACCAGCTCATACGCAGACGTCTGATTCGCTCAAAAACCAGGGAAATGCCTTACTTCACGCTGACAGCTCAACTTTAAATCGGGTCCCGCACCACAGACTCGGGGCAGAGAGCCGCTTATGAACTCTTTAGCCGGGATTGGGAATCGCAACGTGAGCCGGCGACCCGCACACCGCTAGATATCAGATGGAGAATTCAGGGTCTGCGGGTTCTAGAAGGCACTCGACGTCAGTCTTGTGGATTTACGCAAGTTGCCAACCTGGCTAAGTGGAACATTACCGCCGACTGCCTTGATCATAGCCCGCCCACCTTTGATATTTGAAAGCGTCCCTGGTTCCACTAAGATCTCTTATCTGCAATATTGACGACATTTCCATCCACCAGCATGCAGGCCCTTGGCAATCCTTACTGCAATAAGCTCCGAACGAGGCTGACTGGGTGGGGAGGATCCGTACCGAGAGCCAATCACGTCGATTTGTCACGGATTATTCAGAGATGACCAGTCCAAGACATGATCATGAACAACCAAATTGGAGTGCTAGGGTAAGATGCAGATTTTTTCAGCTTGCTTTTGGGTTTCAGTCAGGGTGCATCGATATAATAAGAGGGTCCAGCGGAGGAGACTTATTCTTCATCTATCCACAACCAAACGGGTCCTGATCAATTCTACTCTACTAATCCCACTCATATCCAGCTACAATCCGTAAACATGGAGCGCGCACTTCAAGCAGCAGCCGCCAAACATCTGTCGAAACCCGCGTCACCGCGAACCTCACAGTCCACGACACACTCGGTGCCAAAACCGCAAGAAGCAGAACCAGCGTCAGTCCCGACTTCCTCAGCCCTCGCCTACATCCCCGCACCCTTCCCCGAAGATCTCGACGCCTCTACCCTCGAGAAAACAACCCTCCGTGACATCCAACCCTGGGACCTCAAATCCCCGCTCCCAGTCAGCGACTGCCAGCCTCTGTTCTACGATGCTGCGACGCAGGAATACTACCTCTTCACTTGCGAAGGCGCGCTCCTCCTGCACAAAACGCAACCAATAATGTTGACGAAGCGGAAGGCACGCAAATTCATGTACGACTGGCCGCAGGGCAATGACGCGGTACAAGTGTTGGGAAAGAAGCTGAAGGTCCCCAAATCGAGTTCGCCGCTCATCTCGTGTAAGATGATTATCTATCATGCGGTGCATGATTCAGTCATTGTCAAGAGGAATAGTGGGAATACAGGGCTGTTCCGATTCTGTGTCGATAAGGTCGTCAAGGTTGCGAATCCGGGGTTCCTCATGAAGGACGTCTATACGCAGTTTGTTCGGCCGGACTTTGGGTGTGTGCTTAAATGTACCTGTCCGCAGGTGTATTATTGTGAGTCTGCTCCATGAGTTCGCGGGAACCCCCTCCGTCTTCCCACACCAGCACTAACATGGAAGGAAAAGATGGGAGAACAGTCTACTGTCCAACATGCACATCCTACCGCACGCCCCTCTGCATAAACCTCAACAATCTCACGCCCAAAGCCCCCCGCGTCGTCGGGAAACTCACAATGCCCATCCCCATCGCGCGAATAATCCTCCACGAGTGTGCCGAACCCGGTACGACAAAACTCAGCATCCCGCTCGCATACAAAGCCCTCGTTCGCTGCTTCAACATGCACGATGTATCCAAGATCCCACTCAAGGAGGAGGAGCTGGTCGGGAACCTGCTACGGGACTGTCTGTTTGTTGAAACTGAGAGCGGTCGGTCGAGCTCGTCGGCGAAGAAGGGGAAAGACAAGGTGCAGCCGGAGACGCACAAGGTGTGCTGGGCGACGTTCTTCAATATCCCCGACAGGGAGATCCCTCGGGGTCGGTGCCCTGCGCGGGGCTCAGTAAGCAGTGGCCATGAGCATGGAAGTCTACCTGGAACGGGGTCCGCGACTGTTGTAACAGCGAGGGGGTGAAAAAAAGGTGTATCGCAGGACAATTTTCTCTCTATATGGTATAAGGCGTTATTCCTAGGATGGAAAAGGGGTTTTCTTTCAGCTTCCTTTCTGGGTTTTTTTTTTCTGCGCCGGGCGTAACGATTGGATACTGACTGCCAGCTACAATGGTGTTTATTTCCTCAATACTAATATTCTATCCATAAAACACATTCGCGAAGCTTTAATCAGTAGTATGAGTCCTTGATGTCTTGGTCATCGGAAACCCCTTTTCCCGCCCATCTCGCCTCACTAAGGGAAAAATGAAAACTTCTGGAGGTATGCTTGGTAGCCGATTTCATAATTTTAAGAAAATATCGCTTTGCAAATCATGACTCATATCTTGGTAAGCCCATCTATATAACAATTCACTTGTCCGGCGGACACAGAGGCCAGTAGCAGTACGGCCTTCTAACCTTCATGGTCTCCACGAAAGAGGTAGAATGTATTGATAAGCTTTGGGTTCCTTGTGGTCGTTTCCGTCGTCTTAGGCAATGACGAGGTAGAAAATGAGATCTCGATCCTTGACCTGTTTCTCTATGGCTTGTCTTGTCGAAACCGGGACAGGTGTACACAAAAGCCTTCTAAGGACGAGATTTGATAGTTATGTCTGATTTATATTCTCCTCGGAGGTCGGTGTAGTGAGGTGCCACTATGGTTATAGTCCTCATGGCTGTTCAATGTTTCCCTGCAGTACTTGGCGCGCTAGATCTTCTTACAGCGAACCAAACAGGAAGCCTTGCCCTCTTCACAAACTTTGATTCAAGGAGTGAGACACTACTTAAAGGCATCAACGCATATACAGAGTGTTCCGAATCGTCCAAGGCGATATTTATCGCCCCATTCTGGCCCTACGGCCGTAAGCACGGGCCTGGCGGAGGGACGCTCGAAGCCCCACTTGTTGTCCTCCACGATCCGGCTCGCAAAAGCATACGGCCGTACAATGTAGGGCTGAATCGATGGTATCGTCAAACCTGTCAAGCCCCAATTGAAATCTATGGCCTTGATGTGGATATCTCTGTGCTGAACGCGCTACAAAGTTCAGCTTGAGTTTAGAATTTGACGTGTCATCGACCCCTATAAGTACCCTGCAAGGCGTAAGGAGCTTTTATCAAATCAAGCAGTCAACACTGACGAAAATCGACAATTTCCTGATTCTGTCCTTTTCTTAAAGTCTTTCATTTCCCCAGCACATCATGTCCTCCACAGCAGAGTGTGACAAGGTATCCCCCGAATGCCCCGTCGCGGGCACGATCTACGGGTACAGCCCTAACCTCGCCGCAAATGTCGCCTTTTGCGCAATCTTCAGCGCGTGCTGTCTCCTCCAACTCATACAAATGGCGAAATGGCGTCTCTGGTCCTTTGGCATTGCCATGATCCTAGGATGCTTCTCCGAAGCAGTTGGTCCGTCACGATCCACCCCTTCACCCTGACCTGCTGCCCCTCCCCAATAAAGCTTGCTAACAAACATCGGATCTCTTACAGGCTACATCGGCCGCATCCTCCTCCACAGAAACTCATACTCCTCAACCGGGTTCGAAATTCAAATCTGCACACTGACAATGGGTCCCGCATTCTGGTCCGCCGCAATCTACCTAACACTAAAGCACGAAGTCGAGGTTCTCGGCCGCGGATTCTCGCCGATAAAGCCAAACCTGTATCCCTGGATCTTCATCACCTGCGATCTTATCTCGCTTACACTGCAGGGCGCTGGCGGTGGTCTTGCCGCCTCGTCGGATACGGATGCGGGGACCAGGGCTGGCGGGAATGTTATGCTGGCTGGCATTGTGTGGCAGGTTGTTACCCTGACTGTTTTCGCGTTGATCTCGGGGCTTTTCTTCGTCAGGGTGAAGAAGGCACCTCTACATACGTTGTCCGTTGAGGCGCAGAAGGTCTGGGAGGGGAAGAGGTTCTGGGTCTTTTTTTGGGGTGTCATGGTTGCCTTCGGAACGACCTATGCGCGATGTGTTTACCGGTAAGTGCTTTGCTCAGCTCCCTGCATTTTCAGCCTGGTGTGGTGAGTTGATAGATTCCGATACTGACTTGATGTCCTAGTATCGCTGAAATGGGCGGCGGCTGGAGAAACCATATTATGCAGGACGAGACCGGATTCATTGTCCTCGAGTCTGTGTAAGTCTACCCTTCCTACCGTGCGGCACAGGCCCAGCGTCGTATCTAGGCTTACAGACTCGCTGTATAGTATGTGTGCAATCGCTGTAGTTGCTCTGTGCATCACCCACCCAGGGCACTTCTTTCCACAAATGCGGCTCGGAAGATTAAAAAATGTGGTGGAGGATGCTATCCTACTCGAGCGAAAGTCTAGTCACCCACTATGGCGTGAGATGTAGTAGGGGCTTGGGAGGTGGGTGCGAGTAGCATTGTATATCCTACCGTGCTAAAACTAGTGGTGGCATTTGTGGCTTTTTAAGTGATCGTGGATGTTTACTTTCTGGTTATTTGGACCTAAAGACATTCGAAATATACATGGATTCCAGCAAGCTCTGAGGGGGTTACATATGCATAGATTTCGTTTCGGTGCGGGGGTTTGATCTCGCATACAAAGTAGTGGCACGGCGGCGGCCGACCATTTGCATTAATACAATTCTTGAAGGAGTTAGAGCTAAAAAGAACGGTCCGCAAGTAATCTGATTCAAGCATATCTACCACGGAAGAACCATCGCTGCCCCAAGCGCCGCAGCACCGATCCAGATCCCAACAACAGAGCCTAAACCTTCCCACCCAGACCGACTTGTTCCCCCAAGGCGTCCTGCAGCATTCGACGGAGTCTCACTCGCACTCTCACTCTCGCCTCCCTCACTATTTTCATTCGCGCTCTCACTATTCGCCTCAGCTGTCTCCGTCGCCGCAACCAGATCCTCCTCATGATACACCAGCGTAATAACGGGCGCATACATCAGACCAGAGTAATACGTCTGATCATCCAGCCGCGTGGTGTCGGTCGTGACACGCGAGATTGTCTCGGTGGGCGCCTCGACGACCGTCGTGCGAGTGACGCCGCTGTCGGTAAAATCAACGTACGTGACCGTGCTCGGGCCGTACTCGTAGTTGTAGCCCGTGTATGCTTGGCAGCCGTAGGTGGGCGTGTAGTCTTTGACGAAGGAATAGCAGGCGCCGGCGGTGTCGGCGGTCATGCCGCTGCGAGGGGAGGAGGGAGGATTAGTTTCTTTAAATAAAGTTGACGAGCCAGCGTAGGGCTCCTGATAGGTATGATGCGTATGCGTACCTGGGACAGCACAGCGCCATGGTCTGCTGTGGCTCGAGGATACTTTTCATCACCGAGGCGGGATCCTCGTAGTCGTAATATCCCGAGGTCATGGGATTCTCCGTCTGCGTCGTCGAGACTAGCGGGGACAGAATGCCCGACGAAGTCGTCTTATCGCCTGCATCACGCCCAATCATGCCAATTGTCGTCCACCCCTTGGGACAGTGCAGACCGGGCGAGTAATACACCTGATATCCCTCCCACTCGATCTCCGCATCCAGGTATTCCTCGTAGTCTTCCTCCGAGGTTCCGGTGAACGCTGGGGGTGTTGTGGTGGATGCTTCAGTTGTTGTCGGCATGCAGTCGGCTTCGTAGTTGATCTCAGTCGTGCATTGGACGTTCCACTCCCCATAGATGTTTCCGCCGTACTTTGGCATCGTGTTGAGGTAGCCAAGCACCATCTGATCAGAGGCCGTGCAGTGCGCGGAGGGTGTAAATGTTGTGGTTAGCGGGCCGAGATTGGAGAAGGTGTACCAACCGGCGTTGACGGAGGCGTTCATCCCGTTCATGGTGGCGGATTCAAGGTTGTATGGGGCAGGAATGAGGCTGAATGGAAGAAAGGTAAAGATGGACAAGGTTCTCACTCGCGGGATATGGGGCGACAAAGAGTCTTATATTATGCCACTGCCAGGCACAGGCACCCCATATGGCTCGGCTAAAGCCCCTAGGCACCAGTGCCACTCTAATATTTTGGTCCTGTTCGGTTCAACTGGTTCGTTTGAGGCTATAAAGGAACGCAATCTCCGACAACGCTAGCTTGCAGCTTAGTCTCGCTTGGCAGGGACAGGCGGCGGTTCGCGGCGACTCTGCGTTTGTCCTGGATGCGATCGTTTAGGGGGCCTAGTAGGAACGTGCCGATTCGACTAAAACATTGTCTCAAAGCGAGATAGAGTCCCTCCGTCACTGGAAGCTACGTACAGTTTTCGAGAAAGGCACCCTAGTACTGGACAATATTGTTCGATATCACAAATTCGCGCGCCCAGTGTTGGCGAGTAGATGACCGACCCACTTAGCAGCGCTTTGTACCCGATAGGGCTGTTGCGTCCGAAGACCGAGTTCAATAGTTCCAACGCTACACACATCGTTCCACACAACCCTGGTCCCTGGACGCTCAAGCCCTCCCACAGCCGGAAGTTGGCCGGATCACCCGGATGGATCATCCGATTTGTGCACCAAGCGATGCTACTTTGCCAGATTTACGAACAGGCTGTTGGCCTCATTATTCTTCATTTCTCGGATGCTCTTATTCGATCAGGTCGTTCACTACCCCTGTCCACTTGGACTGCGACGTGCAGTAGTCCTGAGAGTACGCTTGCTTGATTCGCTATATCCCTCTCCTCTGGCCATGCGCCGCCTCCTTTTTCTCGGTTGAGCCGCTCCCATCTCGCCGCCCCAGATGTGCATGATTCAGGTAAGCCTGTTTCAAAATTATGCGCGTCATTACGGAGAGAGGAGGCCCGGGTCTACTGGGCTCGGAGGCTCTTCATTCCAAGTGGGTTCTCGGAAAGCGATGCATTCGACCAAGAAAACGCGGTTGGGACCCCTAGCCGTCACCAGGAGGAGTTGTGTAGCCATAGTTCCCTGTATCGAAGAGCTCGATCCTAGTACTCAGTGACCTGTGGTTTCCCCCCTGGGATACCGTGGCCTGCAATGAGTTGTGGCGGAAAAGACAACCTTGAAGCTCCCGCCCAGAGCCCGAACCTCACTATTTCCTCACCTTGTTGCCCACACACTCTACACACACTTACTGCCCTACAGCAAAACATGGCCCTTCTGTATTTTCGTTTATGCAGGCTTCCGATCCACCGCCTTTCAAACGGCTTTGAGTCTCCTGCCTGCAACAGTCAGCTCGGAAGGAAATGACAAACGCATCTAACACAAGCGCCTACTGCAAAAATCACCATCAAAACCCACTATCTAGACAGCATCCTGGCATTTAGAACTCTGTTTCATAATTCCAATCTCTTGGCAATATATACTATTATGAGGCTATGTTGATCTCTTTGTACATATAGTGTATTGCTTAACACACTTGGTACGCATATCATATGAAAAAAAAAAAAAAAAAAAAAAAAAAAAAGTTCAAGAGTATTAGTTGGCATGCGCCACCAGGTTCATAGAAGCTTCCTGACAGGCCAGGTCTTGACAAAGGTCTTCCACTTTCTCTAGGACAGCCCCATTGTAACCGGAATGCTGATATGTATTCACTAAGATTTGCTTCGGCTACTCCAAGGATTCTGACAGCTGAATCCAAGGAGATTGGCTTTTATAGTTGCCACTTCATCGGGTAGGGTGGGTACCAGGATATTTCTGTCGGGCTCCGTCGGTCGAGTTGATGTAATCCTGAGCCGTGCGATGCAGTAAGCGCTATTCAGGGATAATTCAACAGGCCAACCGTAAGGGAGGCCAGGTAATATTTAGAGTATGTATAGTAGTAATATGATGTAGATCCAGGATTCCCTATACATGTCTCGCATACAGTGTGAGAGCGGGCAAAGGACCGCTCATGACCTCGATAGAAGCTAGGCATCTCGCACGGAACCACTTCGCCGAAGCAAACAACCTCTTGCTTTTATTGCACCTATTACTGCAGGAGTTCAGCTGGATATGAGATTACTGCTGTTCCTTGAAAGTACTCCTACAACACCCAAAGTGATGAGTCAGATGTCCAGAACACGAGCGGGCTAATCAAATCGTGGAGAGTGGACTGAAGCTGATCTCAGAAGAGTGGGCTTCTTCACTGGCAAGAAATCAACCGAGAACGATGGAGATGCTATCTCCGGCGCGGCAACCGAAAATCGGATATATTCTTAACTCCTCCGCGACAGGGCATCAGAAGCACTGCCATGATATAAACTCGAAACTACATCTCTACAAATCAGGGGCGTATAAAAGCCACAATCTGTACGCGCGACATTGATACCAAATGTGCCAAATCCTGCAGCGTAAACGATAGAAAACACCTGCCAACAAAATGTCTTCCACGCGTCTCCTCACGGCTCAGAAATACATCTCTCACTTCACGAACCTTGATAAAGACCTCCTCGCCTCCCTCCTTAGCGAAGCCTACACGCACGAGTTCGCGCCGACGAGCTTGAACCCACCGGGCCCATTCACGAAGACCGGCTTTTTGGCACATGGCGCCTCTCTCTCCGAGATAATGACTGGATTTCCTGTCACCGCCAAGGAGTACTTTGAGTGCGAAGGGAGTAATAGAGTCGTCGTGTGGGCGACTAGTGAACCGCACTTTAGGGAGGAAGTTATGGATGGGGATGAGGAGGAGTGGAGATACAGGGGGGAATATGTCTTTATGTTCTGGATGGATGAGTCTGGGGACAGGATTGAGAGAACGGTCGAGTTTTTGGATAGTGCTGCTACCAAGGACAGGTTGTTCGGGTTGATGGCGAGGGCGAGGGCGAATCTGGAGAAGGTCAAGAGTACTTGATCATACACGGTCCGGGCCCGGATGACTGAGATAAGAGCACTACAAGTTGATCACGGGTCCTAATGTGAGAGCTTAAACGATGTATGCCCTAAACCAGAATTCATAGCTTAAAGAAGGTCCTTGATAACACGCCAATACCCCACTGGATCAAAAACCAACTGCCCAACATGCCCAGTCCCCTCGAACTCCACAACATTGACGTTCTGCTCCCCACCCTTAATCACTCGCCTAGCCTGCTCCACATGTTCTAGAGCAGCTTGCCATGGAACAACCATAACATCCCCCTTCGAGTACAGATATCTCCGCACGGTTCCCCCCTCACACTCACTGCACTAGGTCCATTCAACACCCGCCTCGTCTTATCAACTGCACTCTCATACGATCCCAACGAATGAAGAACCCAAGAGTGTTTCGCCAAGTCATGGCAGGAAATAGGAGCTTTTCGAATGGGGGCCAAGAATCATGTTGCTAGGACGGGCCAAAAAGGGAAAGTCGGCTACTGGAAGCACTTCATTAAGCCGGGCATATTGCAGGTCATGTAGTCCTTCTTATACGATTCGAAAAGGGCCTCACTGTGGCTATGACATGGTTCGCCCAAGGCTGCCTGTGTCTGGTCTTCAAAAACCAGCCAATTTTCTCAACTTTTGCCCATCTCTATTCCGACCATAACCGCAGCACACTTCACCATCACGGCCTCCAAGACACCCGGCCCCGACCCCTCCAGCCTTCTCTAAACCTGCTTAGCAACCAAGCTCATAAACAGCGACAACTCAGAGAAACACCCAAATCCTGGCCCCAAGGTCGAATACCGCTGCCAGAAGGCCGCTGACGTTATAAGCTCAATCAGATTCATCCTCACGCTCTTCCTCTTCTTTGGCCTTGAACTCCGCAATATCCTCCTCGCTCAAGTTTGCGATGACCTCAATAACATCAACATGCCCATCAGCAGCACTCGTCGTCGCATAGAATAACAAAGCCTCAAAGTATATGTCGGGGTCGTTGACCCGGTATGCCAGGGCGTCTTCCTTGATTTGCTCCATGGCCGTCATCTGACTCGCCGGGTTGCAAGCACATGGCATGGGTTCCGGATCGCCGTAGATATGGTATCGTGCCCAAATTGCGTCGCCGTATCGGCCGTCATTGATCGCATCGATGTACATGCCTTTCCAGGGCTCGACGAAGTTTGTGGTGTCGGTGAGGACTTCTTGGATGGAGAGGTCGAGGAACAGCTGTTCGACGAGCGAGGTTGGCGAGATGTTTAGACTCATGGTTCTAGTCCAGCTCCGCCTTGTTAGCTCAGGATTTGATCAGCGCGGAAGCAAGGCCTTGCGGTTGGATTAGTGATACAGTACAATAGTAAGATTCGTTCGATGAAAGAGCGGAGAAAATATTGAAGATGAGGAACAGATGGCGCTTGGAGGTAGCAGATGGCAACAGCGAAGGCCCCAGAGTAAGGACGTGGGAGTTTGGACGGGGCAGAGTACAACAAAAGGGAAATGGTTGTTTGATGCGGGGGGGCCAGGCACCCGTTCGGCCGCCGAAAATAGCTGAGCGGGTGCCTGGGCTCTGACTCCACTAGGGTGCGGTCTCAGACCCTAGTGTGGAGTGAGATTGCGACGATATCATCGTATACTCGACCAGATATCTTACCTGGCGCTGGTTCAAGATACTCCGGACGCAGGCCAAAGGGTACTCCCGCTTATCTCATAATACCGCGTCTCACCACCATGACCAACAAATGCATCCAACGTACATCCGACTACGCGCCCTATGGACTGATCTCGCAATTCCAGGAATTGGGGCCATTTCAGCTTTCACGACGGCCATCCATCCATAAATGGGCTAGGTTCATCGCCATGTCCCTTTGTCCAGTAGAGTAGTCAAATCATCCCGTTCAATATGTGCCTACATCCTATCGTAGCTCTTTCCCTTGGTGATTTCGCGCACCGTGTGTATGCCTCAGCCCTGCGAATCTCAAGGAATGCAACCTCCAGTCTTCCTGAGCAACTTTTCCTAGACCTCCGCGTGCAGGATGTCCTCGACAACACCGCCGGAATAGATCCAGTGGAGCCGTGGGCCACCAGATACATTTAGGCGCTGCGTGACGGGCGATACGGCGACGCCATCTGGGCGCGATACCACATCGCCGGGGATGTGGAAGAGAGTCTCATTGACGACGGCACCGGCAACCTCACCGTGCCCCAGGCCATGGAGGACGACGCGCGCAACTATAGAGTGAATGACGGGGCCATGTACGCGGATGCCCTGTCTCTCCACAGCTAGACCGGCCACGAAGATTCACACGCGACGGATGTCCTCGCCCTTCTACGCCGGATTGGTTCGGAGGATGTCACCGGAGCGGTCGAGGAACCATTTTTCAACGACGGGAACAAAACATTCGGCGTTTCCTTGCAGCAGGAACAATGTCGCGTACGAGGACGCATGTGGCTATCTTGTCCGCTACATGGGCAATAGTCGGGCGCTCATCGGGAACCGGCGCAGCGTTTACAGTTATGGGAACTGTCATCTCAGGGTTGGACCCTTCAAAGGCTCTGGGACGGACGTGTCAGAGTGGACGGCCGAGGCGGTCGCGAGGCTCATCATGCAGGAGTGCGACCATGTACCCCCGTGTCGTAGGTACAAGGTTGTCTCGGGGTACTCGCCCAAGAACTCGGGGCATCGAAAGATCTGTCTCAGCGGGAAGCGATCTGGATGCTCTTAGTCTTAGGCTGTGGGGCGGGTCGTTTGTTGGTCAGGGTTTGGATAGCAGATCAGCTCGGTGCGATCATATGGTTCTGGATTTTCCCAGTTGAATACTTCATAAATCATCGCAGGAGCTGTATCGACACAGTGACACTGGAACCATGTACGATGGAGCTTGATAGTTCAATACACCAATCCATTACACATGACAGGGATAGTTAAGAATCGACTAAAAATGAGTCAGAAAATGGCGACTCAAGTTATTATGCTTAGGGCGCATTGTTATCCGAGCTGTACTAGAGTCATGCGTTGCGAGAAAGTTGGTACATAAGGCACTATATATTTTGGCCCTTGTTGGCAACATTGAATAAGAGCGCATGTCTCTCGACAATTGGAGATTCAAGAGACGGACTGGCCATTCCCAGGCGAAATTATGGTAATTGATTACCGGCCTGATCAATAATGTTGCAAAATCGACGAAGAAGAGAAAAGCTCATGAGTCATGACTTGAGGTGCGGTAACTGGTAACTTGTGGCGCAGACGCCCCAGAGGTGATGCAGAAATGCGGAAGATTATCCACACTCGCCAACTGTCGCCCCAATGCTGGTGAACGATAGATATCTACAACGTAGAAGGTCATCGCTAGAATAATGGCCAATCGGTTTCAGCCGCCCATAGAACCATAACAAGGCCTAAATCGCGAGCAGAGTGGCAGGGCAATGGGGTTGACCACGTGATCCCAGGACGGGCTGAACCGCCGGTCGAAGTTTGGTCCTCCCAACAACAACGCTCTTTGCTTGACAGCGCGAAGTACAATTGACACGTCTCATTTAATCATTTCATATTGATGCTGATCCCATGGAGTCAGCGGTGCGGAGATCGCGGGCCAGTAAGCCCAAGGTCCGAACAGGGTGTATTACCTGCAAGTCAGTCGCGGTCGCGTACTCTCCTCCATCACTCTGACGGGTTCCAGGATACGGAGGGTGAAATGTGACGAGGGAAAGCCATCATGCTCACGGTGAGATCTTTCGCAATCTCCCGAAATAGGATAAATTTAACACCGTGAGAAAAGATGTCTGGGGACCGGTCGGAAATGCGATGGCTACACGATTCCGGAATCCGGCCCAGCGCTGCACCTGCAGCCGGTCGCGCGCTCCCTCTCAGCCACGGAATCGCGTGCTCTCGACTTCTTCTTCCACACTACATCGCCGCAGCTCGCTGGGTTCCTGGACGCGGACTTTTGGAAACGGAGTGTGCTCCAGTTAAGCCTTGCGGAACCTGCGATTCGCCAAGGATTGGCGGCTCTCGGGTCGCTCCACGAGCACGAAGGCGGACAAACATCGGATTCTGTGGTTGCCGAACAGCTGTACAACCAAGCGATACGGTCTATCGTCCAGAAAGCTAGTATCGGCGATATGTCTGTTCCGATCGTCGTTGTTGCAAGCATTATCTTTACATGCTTCGAGTTTATTCGTCATAACTCGGCTGCTGCTGCGACACACATTGCAAGTGGTATAGACATCCTGCGAAATTGGCGTCAGAACCACGGAAATGGACTGGGGCCCCGTGGCAGGCGATGCTTCTCATACGAAGACCACTTCCTGGAAACAGAGCTTGCTCCCATTCTTACCCTGTTCAATCTCAACGCGTCGGAGTTCGGGCCACTGCCTCGCAGCAGGTTGATATTGCACGAACTAGTGGACGGCGGACCGAAATTGGCTGAGAAATTCGAGACTCTACGAGAAGCAAGAGTGGGCCTGGTTGACTTGGTCACAGCGTCTGCGGACCTGTTCCAGAAACTGGACCACAACGCTGAAATCAGGGCTTCACCCACGGGCGATCAGATGGCGGCCTCCGCTGGACTGCGAAGGGGATTCGAGCTGTGGAAAGCCAACTTCAGGGATCTGCTCGAGAGGCGAGAGCATACGTGGAGTTCAGAAGAGAAGGCAGCGGCGAATGTTATCCGGATCATGCACCTTGGGTCGGAAATGGGAGTTGCCGCTTATGTGGTGTCCAGTGAATGTGACTGGGATAAATATAGGGCACAGTACGAGGAGATTATTGGCCTTGCCGAAGAACTGTTGTCGGGCGATGACGGTCGCAGAACGATGAGCCTCGACCTTGGACTGATATACCCATTACATGCAGTTGCTTGGAAATGTCGGTACCCAGATCTTCGTCGCAAAGGTCTTGACCTGCTGCGGCGAATACCCCGGCAAGAATGGCTTCTGAATGCTCGACAGTACCATGCAATATTTTCCCGCATCCTGAAGATGGAAGAGGACTACGCAAGGGCGGATAATAAGGATCGGCTGCCTCCTGAGGAAGCTCGAGTTCACGACTTCTTCTGCCTACCACAGCCGGGGCTAGATAAGGACGCTTCGCGCTACGCCGTTACATTTCTCACCAAGCCAGATGGTCTCGAAGGGGCGTGGAATTTCGTCACCGAGCTTTTGCACCTACCCGGTCCAGCTGGTGACCTTCCTCCGTCTAACTTGCTATCTTGTCGTCACTGGGCCAACTCGGACGCTACTAATGCATCTACCACTGCTTCTCTCAAAGCTACTGTCTTCGGACCTTATATTTCGTCGAATAACCACAAGCTTGAAGAGACTTGAGAATTGATCAACAACCAATCACTCCATTTCACATGCCGATTATTCGCTGGAAACTTGGAGTAAAGAAATCGTTATAATGACGCATCCTTGCCAAGCTATGTACTCGCTCTCCGCTGGAATCTTAGAGGCACTTTCTCAGTGAGGCTCAAGGTAAGAAATGTTGAGCTTTCCCGCAAAGCTCTCTCTGTTCGCTTCCTTGCATCCTGCATGGTCTCCCCCTTAAGGGTTGCTGGTGTCACGCGATACTCCCGAAATAACACGACCAGCGCCGCGACAAACTCCGCTTGAGCAAATTTCCTCCCAACGCATGCGCGCATTCCATCGCTGAAAGGGATAAAGGAGCCGCGGTGAGGTTTATGAATCCCGTTCGACTCTAGGCCTGGGCCAGAAAGTCCCTCAACCCCATCATTCTTTGCCAGGAAGCTATCTGGATTTCGTTTGTCCCAGCGGCTCGGATCCCAAGTTCCTGCATCAGGCCCCCAGTACTCGCTCGAATTGTGCAGTGCATTGCAATTCAGATTCACGCGCACATTCGGTGGAAGATGGTGGATTTCGTCATTCAAGGCAAGCTCCGCGCCGGTTGGAGGAGTCAGTTTTGGGATGCTGACGACCGGGGGGTACAGTCGGAGTGTTTCGAGCTGTCCCGTTAGCGCGGTTCCGTCAATCGGCGTGAGCAACTTACCATGATACATAATGGTGTCACTAGTCTGGGGAATGCACTCTCATATTCGGAATCAAGAGGTCCGTCGCCCAATACCTCCACGATCTCCCTATGCAGGGTCTCCTGGACATTCTCGTGGATAGCCAAGAGGACGAGGGCGAAGCGCAGTGTGGTCGCTGTGGTTTCATGACCGGCGATGGAAAAGATATACACGTTACCGAGCACCTCCGAGTCGGAGAGCCCAGGATTCCGCTTATTCGTCACTTCTTGTTCTTCTCGTCGCGAGCGGACCAACCTTTCCAACAGATTGTGCGTTTCGTCTTCGGCGGTTTCGGCCCTCCTAATCAAGGCATGTAGGAATTTCTCTAGGTCCTCATGTGCCGCGAAATCCTTTCTGAAAAAGGGTACTAGGCGGTGCGGGACCCACTTTGGAAGGACACCATTGGCAAAGAAGACCGACAGCATGGAACGATTCATATACTCCATGACCCCACGGAAGGTAAATTGGTACCCCGTGGGAGGAGTTGAGGAATCCTGGAACAAGTCACTTGGATCTCCAGCAGCACCTGTAAATGATGGCTTGAAAGGTAGCTTCACGCCAAACCCCGCGTCGGATATAACATTGAGTGACAATTCCAGCATGTCCTCTCTAGCATCGGGCAGCACAGGGCCGGGTTTGAGCTGCCCCGGGCCGGGGTACTTTGATTCCCAGTACTCTAACATCTCTCGCGCTTGCCCCATGGTCGCACGCCAGACGAGCGCATTGTTTTTGTCGTTGAATGCTGGGGCAGTGTATCGATGATGGTATGACCACTGAGGTCCTTCGGACTGTTCCCGTCAGTTTGGAGGTAAACAACTGGAGGTCCAGGGGCAACATACCGTGAACACACTGGTCCCATACATTGCAAATGCCTCTATGCATCGTCAGCTCGAGCCACAATGCCCTCGATGGCGACATACCCAGATGCTTAACCGGCTTCACAAAACTATGTCTCGCCTTACAGACCTGCTCAACCACATCGGCATCCGTGACATTGCAACTGATTCCGCCCGGAGTGACATAGAGATACACGCCGCCGTATCTTTTCGCCATGCGATCTTTCCCTGTCCAGCGGAGCTTGAAAGTGCTGTCGTGAGTGTAGTCAGCCCAAGTGGCAGGGAGGATATGAGTCACCAAATGCCTGAACCATCGTGTCTCCAAAAGGAAGATGTAGAATAAGTTTGCCTCGGAAAATGGAAAGAGGACGTAGGGCAGGTTTGTCTTGCGTGCTAGAGACCGATTGCGCAGGAGTGAGGTGATGGTGTGGATGGTCCAGATGGCTGGGATTGCCGCGATGGTCGTCCACAACATGTTGAAGATGTTCCTTGGAACTTGGAACTCTTTGAACTTCCTTGAATTTGCGACACCCTTTATATCAAATGGATGTCTTCGTTGAGGTCATATATCGAAGACATGATTCGGACGCTCGTAAAGACCCACTGGGTACGAGCGAGCCAATCAGACATTCGTGTGATATTCCTTGGCCCGTGCTCGTGCTCTTGGATAACATCAGGCAACTCAGCCATGAGCGATTCAGCCATGACATCGTCAGGGGACGAAGTTCGGTGCTCTTCCGGTGCGATGCACCTTCCCTCTGGGCAGCGAGACTTTTGCGGCTACCCTTCCCAAGCATAGATGATCCATGATCTGCATTGCACCTTCTTCAAGGGTCGAATGGCCGGGCGACCACCCGTCGACAGCACGCCGACCCCCAGCTTCTCCGCATCCTCTCAAGTCTTCAAGGTTCTGTGCGCTTTCATCTACGGCGCGGCCTCGTCTTTATCTCAAAAGTTTCCGGGCCAACTGATAGGTCGTCACACCATGAATCCTACTCCCATCACCGGCCGTGTGGCCCGCATACTCACCACGGTAGGTTGTCAACTTTCTCCTCGACCAATCCTGAACTGATGCTGATCGCATATGGCCGGCACTCATGCCATTTTTCCCGGTCGCTGCCCACTTCAAGCTGTTCAACATCGTCGGACAGAGCGATAAGGCTCTATCGGCAAGAGAGGCATTGGCGGCGTATAACAGCACGGGTGCGATTGCTGTAACTGCCACAGGGCCAGGTACGGATCGCGGGTTCAGAAAGTGATGGAACAGAGCTGACAACTTTGCGAAACTAGGTTTACCTCTTTTTCGTACGTTTCCGCTCTTTTGGACGGTGAAAATTGTGTTGACAGCGGTAGAGGATACCTTGTTGGCCATGGGGAGTTTGGGTCTAATGGACGTCCCCAAGGACGATCACTATACTGCAAACGACCTTACCCGATATCTGGCGTCGAATCAATCGGCGATACAGGGAGGGATTCACTAGTAAGACACGCACGCTCTTGGCACTCCCCTGCTAATTTGAATAAGTGCTACTGAGATCAGCCTTGCTGGGTCCTTTTTCCTCCGCAAGCTCAAGGACGAAAATTTCGCCTACCCTTTCCGTGATGGCGAGACACCGATGCAGTTTGCGTACAAAGTCATGGGAAACGAGAAATACGCCAAGGAACACACCTATGCGATCATGGCAGCCGAAGGGCGCATGGATAGCTTCAACACGTTCATGGTGGGCAAGTTCGGCGGTATCCCTCCCGTGACCGAACGCCTCAAGTCGATCAAGTATGATCTGGAGCCAGTTCTTGCAGGCGCCAGACCATCAACATCCACGAAGATTGTCGACATTGGCGGCGGCAGGGGCGAACTGTTGCTCCAGCTGAAGGAGGCCTACCCTCAACTGCGAAACGAGGACCTCATCGTCGAGGAATTCAACGATGATCTTGGCGACGTCTCGGGAGTTACTATTATCGAGTGGAACTACAAGGACGAGTCCAGCCCGCAACCAATCAAGGGAGCTCTGATCTACAACCTCTCCCACGTCCTGCACAACCTCCCTGATCTCGATGCTATCGGGGTCCTGCAGCGCATCGCGGAAGCCATGGCGCCACATTCCCGCATTCTGGTGCACGAGGATGTGAGGAGGACGGAGATGGCGCCTGTCCATGCGGCGATGATTCTCCTGTTTGGCGGACGGGAGAGAACAGAACCTGAGTGGCGTCTCATGGCAAAACTTGCGGGTTTGGTGGTAACCTTTATTGGTTTCCCAGGCTTCGCACCGGGCCTTATCGAGTTCAGGAAGCCCTAGCATGGATCGAAGCTGTTGCACGTGCGGGCGCTAAAGCATGATCGCTGATCAGCACATTCTTGTCCCGCTCGTTTGTTCGGCTATCTCTTCGATCATCGGCCATTGCATCTTTTATTTGCAATCCGTCCGATGTCTGTATCTGTCATACGACATCGTTGCTGACTGCAATATCTTCCTGCCACCATGGTGGGTCGTGTCGCTATCTTCCCTGATACGCTGTTCCCTGTCTTATTCCTGCATGAAGCTTGTTTAAACAAGCCCATCGAACCGACCGTTGTGGAAGCGCGCCCCATAGCCATATATATTTCAATCAATCCTCGTGCTACCGTCTAGCCATGCTATCCTGCTTCTGTCGTAGTTTGATCTTGGTCTGAAGACAAGGCTTCGTGGAAAACTATGGAGAGTTATACTGGTACAGGCGTCTAGCCCATACAATACCGTTTACCCTCAGTATAGTGGACCATGCCCAGTCCACCCAAGTCCGTGTGCTGCGAACTTTGAAGACCCAGGTCAAAGCCTGACACAACAGATCGTACTCGATTTTCCATGCGCGTGAGAGAACTATTTCTACACTGGTACAAAAGCCACATGCATGCAGCTGAATTAACGCCTGCTGTGACAAACAGACAAGAACAGCGACTATGGAAGTTATTCTGTGCCACACCATTATACCTTCGCTCAGCCTCCCTAATAGCCATCCAAGGGACGTATATACAACCCAGACAGCCGCTTTTAGTTCCTAAGATATTTGTGTTTGTCAGTCACCTTCAGGACGAGCAACATTGACGAAAAAAACTCACAATAGCTGCAACGTCAAATCACCATGGATCTTCGCCTTGAGTTGCACCTCAATATCCAAGTTGAGATCCAGCCTTAGGCGCAACTGCTCGTCTTTCTTGCCACTTCCTTGGCCCTCCTCCTGGGATTGTCCACCAGTGAGCCCACCCAGCGTCTGCCCCGCAGTTTTCCCAAGCGTGCCAACTGCCTTGCCGCCGACGTCCTGGGCTACGTCACCGACTTGGCTTACGGTCTGTCCGACGTCGTCAAGCCGCGAGAGTGCCTGATCCCCCGTGCGCTGTGAGCCCCGGCGGTACACTTCGGGGCGATCATCGCGTTCGCGGGAGAGGGTTATGGTTCGGCGGGGGTGTGTGCGGCGAGTGCGCGCGGGTTCACGTTGAGGCTCGGGCTCGGGCTCAGGATCAGGTTCGGGGTCCGACTCAGGGTCGGCAGGACTGGCATCCTCACCGGATGACAGCCCCGGATTATCCTCTTCGGGCGCCTGATCATTGGCCTGCTGGGAAGGCGGATCGTTGTCTCTGTCACTAACTGTGTCATCCCCGGCGTCGTCAGGGGCATTGCCCCCCTTCGGCGGGTCTTGAGATTCAGCCTGGTCGGCGGGCATGCTTGTCTCTTCGGACGGTGGAGGGGTCGGGCCTGCTGCCGGTGAGTCCGCCGGAGGCTTCTTCCTGTTCAGCTTGGGTGGCTTTTTCTTCTCGATGGGGGTTGTCATTCCGGGGTCGTCAGGTGCTGCGGGTGTGGTCTCTTTCGGATCGACGCGGGGTGTTGGGTTTGCAATTCACGACCTTCGTGACGGTATTCAGACCTGGCAGTGGGGAGATACGACAAGAGCTGATTGACAAAAGGGAATAGAGGTCTGTAAGCCGTTTTACAGGTGTTGCGTTGAAAGAAGTCTGCTTGCTCGGGCGTGGGATCGACCACCCGAAAACGTATATATTTCGTCGTTCTTTGGGCACTACACGATGCTCGACCGATGAACTAGTGATATCAGGATGACGAGAGTCGCATAAGCTTTCTAAGGGATAGGACGCTGAGACGAGCACCGTACCCTATGCGAAAGCGCACCCCTCGTTGCCACTGCCAGGTTGTGGTTGGAACACCGTTGACCTGCCGGCCGAACTACGTTTCGGGACCCAGCGAACATCGGCACTAGCTACAAGGTATTGTCGGGAATAGGTCGGAAGGCAGGACGCTAGGCAGCAAGCCCATGGTATCAGAGAGCTAGCTTTGCCAAATACCTCCATAAGTGGTCTTCCAAAGGAATGCTCGCCGTCATCACCGTGACTATCAGCTGCTTGTGAGAGGCGCTTGTGACGGCAGTGAGCCCGAACGGTGTCCCGTGGCGTGGCAGTCAAGGGCTTGGTACTCATTCAGCCATCGGTGCGGTCTGTCGGTGACGCTGGTCCCCAAGTCTGCTAGACCGGTTATCTGTCAATTACCCTTCTCTGCCTCAAGCTATCGATCCTTCTGCTTTCATTCACATCCCAGCTACGATGGCCAAGGACGCAAAAAAGCACAGAGGCAGCAGCGAGAGCGACGAGGTCTACACCCTGGGCTCATCAGACGACGAGGCACAGCTAGAACCTGAGCGCAAGCCAAGGCGCAGTCCCGCAGCAACAACGCGCACCCGTCCTCATCGAACCGCCCAGCGAGAGAAGGCCCCAATCGCGCTCGCAGAGACAAACGGAGCGCCGAGCGATGCCAACGCATTACAACCTCGTGCGAAGGGTGAGACACAGCAGGTAGCGGGGACCGGACAACCCTCTTCGGCCATGAGGATACAAGGAAGCCAGAATCCTGGTATCCACGAAGCTCCCAAGAAGAAGGAGGATACCGGGTTGAAGCTGCGCCTGGATTTGAATCTGGATATTGAGGTTGAGCTCAAGGCGAAGATCTATGGGGATTTGACTTTGGCCTTGTTGTGAGTATCTACATGCACTGGATTTTGCTTCTTCTCTGCTGGGTTGGGTCGTGGTAACTAACTGTGTGCAGGTCCTGATCTACATGGCTGGGGCGAGCGGAAAATGATAGATTCATGACAGGCATATTCAATCGAGTCTTGCATTTGTACATAGTAGCTGGAGCATCTAAAAATAATTATTGCCATCATCATCATCATCACAAACAAAACCCATCCATCCCCTGGCATCTCTCACAAGATCCTTAGTATTCTCCAACGTCGCTTGCACAGACAGCCTCGTTAAACTATTGTCCCCAGAAGGACGCTGACTGAGACCGCATAATCATTCAACAGCTTGCATACGTCATGCAAACTGAACACCCCTCGCCACCCTCGTCCATCTGCGATGGTTAGGGTAGGCCAAGCTCGGTTCTCCAAAAGTTGCCTAATCCGGGGAATCTGGGTCGCCCATGGACCCGCCCCCACAGCACCGCCCGACCCAGTTCCACCCCCCGAGTCGGCTATATGTTCCCGATTATAGATCGCTCCACGAGTAAGATAGCTCCTCGACCAGGTGGCGCGCGCTGAGCTCGTGAGCTTTGTTCCGTGGGTTATTGTTATCTCGACCGCGAGATGGGTGCTCTGTATGGACGGGTTGGAATATCCTGCTGGACAGCGGGCGGGCTGCCTGATACATGGTGCTTGCGGATTAGGCGCCTGTGATCGGATTGATGTGATCATGACGCGTGCACATCTCAAGCGAGCAGCTCGTTCTGTTTGCAGTCGGCCTGGATCCCGCACCGAGCGCTGCGTTAAAGCTTGATCTAGGGCTCGTGATGCTGGTGGTGCTACCTACTGCCGTGCACGCGGTACGACACTTGTCTATAAACCTTCCTCGCAACAGAACATATAATCTGACCACGACGCTCTCCCGGACTGACTCTTAACAACTCCTCAGACTATAGACAATATACCTACTAAACGAGAATCACTCAATCCATCGAAAATGGCATCCGCCGCCCCCCGCCGCCACGTCGTCACCGACAAGCCCGTGAAACCACGCCGTCCCAATCCTCCGGGCGCAGGAACCCTCTCGAACGCCAAGGAGAAAATACATAAATTCATGGAGCAGAGAGCGAATGAAACCCGCCAACCCGCGAAGCCCGATGCAGCCTCGGCGTCTGGGTCCGGCTCGGGAGCGCCGAGTCAATTGGGGGCCGGGATGGAGCCCGCGAAGGATATAAAGAAGCAGATTGGGGATGAGGGGAGGAAGAAACTGGATCAGCAGAAGGACGACGTGGGGAACAAGGTGGAGGCCGCGAAGGATACGAAGAAGCAGATTGGGGATGAGGGGAGGAAGAAACTGGATCAGCACAAGGATGACTTGGAGAACAAGGTGGAGCCCGCAGAGGAGACGGGCAAACAGATGAGTGAAGAGGCGAGGGAGGGCGCGGAGGATATGGGCAAACAGATGGAGGAGGAAGGGAGGGAGGGCGCGGAGGATATGGGCAAACAGATGGAGGAAGGGAGGGAGGGCGCGGAAGATATGGGCAGACAGATAGGAGATGAAGCGAGGGAGGAGATGCCAACGGACGAGGTCGAGGAAGAGGCGGAGAACGCAGAGGATCACGTGCAATATGACCTGTCCATCCTGGATGGGCGAGAGGTCCAGGAGGGAGGCAAGGTCTTCGACGACGACGGGAACCTGATCGGCGAGGTTGCTGAAGGGAATCCGGAAGACCTCGTTGGACAGACTGTGAACGCAGAGGGCGAGATAATCGATGAGGATGGCGATCTGATCGGCGTCGTTAACCTCGTCCAACAGGGGTCTGAAGTTGGCGAGAAGGAGGGAGCTCCCCAGGCAGACATGGGCGAGGCCGAGGATGAAGCCGGTGGCATTGACCTTCCAGCTGCTGGAGAGGAGGCGGGTGAGGTCACTCGAGAACAGGCTCCTAAGCCTGAAGAGGGCATTACTGGCGACGAGCAAGTGGCTGGCGAGGTTGGCGGCGCCCTTCCGGACGAGAAGCCAGAACTGGAGAAGCCGGAGATGGAAGGCGCAGGCGAGGCACTCGAAGAGCAAAAACCGCCCGAGGTCGAAGGAGCGTTACCCGACCTCTCGACCCTCGAAGGCCTCAAATGTAACAAGTTCGGCAATATCGTGAACGCGGATGGCACAGTCGTTGGGGAACTTGTCGAGGGGGATGCAAAGAAGCTTGCTCGCGACGGATGCCAACTAGATGCCCAAGGGCAGTTCTGGGATAACCAGGGACATGTGATTGGGAGAGCCAAAGTTATACCTGTTGAAGAAGAAGAACAGGGGCCGTTTGCTGATAGTGGGGATATCTATGTTGCTGAGGATGGGTGGGTTAAGGATGAAGGTGGGAGAGTGGTGGGCAAGGTTGTTGAAGGGGACGCAAAGAAACTTGTTGGTCGGGCTGTTGATGACGATGGGGATATTCTGGACAAGCGTGGGAATGTTATTGGGCGTGCGGAGCCATACGAGGAACCGGAAGAAGAGGAGCAGGAGGAGGAGGGGGAAGAAGAAGAAGGACAGGACTTGTCTGTTTTGGAGGGGCTGACAGTGAACAAGCTCGGCAACATCCTCGACAACAATGGCGTCCTAATCGGCAGGATAGCTGAAGGCAACCCTAAGAAGCTCGCTGGCAAGAAGGTCGATGCCAAAGGCCAAATCTGGAGCGACACAGGCAAAGTCATTGGGCAAGCCGAGCTTATTCCTGCAGACGAGCGTGAGAAGCCAGAGGGTCCATTCTATGGTTTCGAAGGCTTGACGGTGGGAGATGAGGGGACGATCGTTGACTCGTCTGGTGAGGTTATTGGCCGGTTAGTTGAAGGCGACGCAGAACGACTCAAGGGACGCGCTGTCGACGAGGACGGAGAGATTATAGATAAGCTGGGGAATGTGATCGGACGTGCAGAGCGTTGGAAACCGGAGCCTGAACCTGAGCTGTCTCCCGAAGAGCTCGAGAAGCAGCGCAAGGAAAAGGAGGACGAGGATTTGGCCAAGAAAATGTGCGCCATTGTTCAGCGGACCTTGGACTCCGTTGGGCCAATCTGCAGACAAATCATGCAGGTAAGCACCCCCTTTCTTCATCCCCTCTGCTCGGTGGATGCTGGATACTGATGACGATATCTCCTGTAGCATATCGAAAAAGCCAACCAGACACCAAAGGACGAACTGGACGAAGAAGAGCTAGTCAAGCAGGTGAAACCATTGATCGAAGAAGCCGCCAACGCCCTGCAGGAATGCAAAGGAGCTCTACGAGCTCTCGATCCAGACGGGCGCATCGCAGAGACTGCAAAGGCTCGCAGCGCCACCCATGAGGCTACACCAGCTGAGCAGCACTTGGCAGATCTACTCAAGGAGCTCGCGCAAACTGTTGCTGAAACGATCGACAACGGTCGCCGCCTGATTGCCGACATGCCTCACGCAAAGAAGGAACTGAATCCTCTGTGGGCGCTGCTATCTGAGCCGCTCTTCCAGATTATCGCTGCAGTTGGTCTCCTGTTGAGCGGAGTATTGGGTCTTGTAAGTAGACTGCTGGACGGGCTTGGTCTAGGGGGGATCCTTCGAGGGTTACTCGGTAATCTCGGGTTGGATAAGCTTCTCGAGGGGTTTGGGCTGGGGACAGTGACTGAGGCGCTGGGGCTCGAGGGTAAGAAGTAGCCGAGTGATTCCAAAAGTTGTGTATTCTTAGCGCTCTGACCCCATGTAGGTCATATCTCGTTCAGGGCTGTTGTTGTTTCGTTTATCTTGGCCATCTTTTTAATTTTGCATGTCATCTTTATGGACTTTTGTGGGTCTGAAACTGTAAATAGTGAACTTGATAGTATTATATGATGACAGCCCTGCTCAACACAATGTAAGGATAGCCATGTCTATCGCAGCATACCCCCTCGCCCACACCGATGACAGTCACTAGCTCCCAGATTATTCCGGCACCAAAGTTCCGTCGTAATTGACAATTGGCTTCACTAAATTAACCTGTGCTATGTAAACGAAGGTGGGAGGGCAGAGAAAATTCGCGGGGTTGAGCCAGTGTGGAAGGACAGAACGCTTGAACTAGCATACTACTGTGGATGACCCTAGCAAAGCCGTCTAACAGAAGTATAGCAGGAACTGATGTTTATGATGCTATGCCAGAACTTCCGAACGTTCTGAACCTTTCCGCCACAGCAACAAATGCGTTCCGGAAGACATGTTATGTGGTCCCTTGCCTCCCAAGAAAAGCTCAGCAGTCGTTCTCGTTCCTGATGGGATAGTATGGCACATGGACACGTCCCCTGAGTCACCAACAATTTCCCACTTTGACTCCAGCTCGCCAAACGGGGTCTCGACAGTTGCGAAAGCTGAGGTGATGCTACCTCCGATCTGAGGAGCAATGCGGATATGGCCCCACCCGGGAGTCTCTGGCATGAGACGAGGGGAGTCCGCGAATCTCAACGTATCGAAAGCCACGAATGGTGAACATGGGTTCGACCCACTCAGTCTCGCCGGAGAGCACAATCTCATCGCGCTGGGGCTGACCCTTGCCGATTGGCTTGAGGTACCCCAGGTTGATCTCGCCTTCCTTGTCCAACAACTCGGTGTATGTGATCGTCACTTTGGCGTCAGGGGCTCCCTGCACTCGGACTCGAACAACGCCGCAAAAGTTCTGACCAAAGTCGATAAGCTGATGTTTGGCCGGAGATTTCCACACACGCTGGGCCTGCAGTCTTCCAACTGCTGTCAGCCGGTCTGTTTCCTCGGCGATCAGGCTGCCGCATGGCTGCCCAGCAATGATAGAAACCGGCTCAACTCCTTGCAGACCCTCCTCCCACGAGTCTCGGGGAAGCCTGAGATCGATCACCTCGCCTGCCTTTGGGTCCGACTGCCGAATACAGCCCCGTCCTACCTCCCAGTCTTCATTTGTTGAGAAAGCCAGCATCCGCTCGTCCACGAGCTCAACCTCAAGCCTTGCAAAGAACGCCAGTTGGTTCCCGTACCGATTTTGCGCTCCATTAAAATTATTCAGGTCAGCAGTGCATGTAGCAAAACCAGCGAACCCTGCAAGGGAGGGAACAGAAAGGAAGACAGGCACTATAGTAAGTAAGGGGGGACATTCGGATCCACTACATACCGCCATCAACTCCCAGGATTCAGTCAAGATCGATCTGGGCGAGCATGTATTCGCCACTCGCGTTCTGGTCACCCCGCTGCTGGAGTATCAAGAGTAATTCTGGCATTTGTTGATGGTAATTAGGCTAGCACGTGTAGGTTTGTTGCTACCTTAGGCTGAACCCCAATCCATCCCCTTTTGTTGTTACACTGCTTTTCTTGGAGAATGAGGAGGATATATAGGTGTATCTCGTAGTATGGCCGTAAAAATATTTAAGCCTCTTTCTGGTTTTGCATGCTATAATCGTAGACTTTTATGGTTACAAGACCGGAAATAGTGAGCCCGATAGTATTCTATGGTTCAAGCCCTCCAAGCGCAGTATTACCCTGGGTGTTAACCTTGTGATATTTCTGATGTACCTGACATTGTCCTGCCGAAGATAGATCTATGGCGATGCCATGGTTAGCATCACCTTCCGTGGAACGATTACTATAATCCACTTTGGATATAACAAGGCATGCTATTAAATCGAGAAAGCCAGCACGATTTGATACGCCGGGTAAATGCAACATCCTCCAACTCTCTAACATAGTCGCCCCTGAGACCGACCGGAGGGGACAGAAACCACCATATTAAACAAACACAAAAGACCCATTGTCATTCCCAATGCGCTCAGACAAATTCACATCTGCACCAGTCACTTCGCCTTCCTCGTTCCGCAATCCAGCGCGCAGAATAGGCACGCTCGCGTCGCCCTCGATATCAAAGAATGTACGCTCGGCACTGTGGCTGAAATTCTCGCCGCCCCATTGGAAGTGGCCTATAGCGTGATGATCATTGTCAGCACATACAGACACATTGGGTAGTGGGTAGAATTTGGATATAGCTGAGTGTGGCACGCGACAACGAGGATGATACATACCGTTGTCGTTTCCCAGGATCTCGTCGAGGTTGATCTCAGCATGAACCCAGTCACCCTCTTCGTTTTGGAGCTCGGCGACGAGGCGGTGGCCATCTTCGACGCGGATGTTTTGGGCGGATTCGTGGAAACTCATATTGGTGCTCAGGTCCGAGAGACACAATATGGCCAATGTAGGTAGAGTATTTTTGAGAGGGTGATGCGGAAGAGCGATTGGAAAACGCGGTGCTGTGGCTGCGAACCATCACCCTTGGAGGTGGCGCAACTCTCACCATTAAATAGCACTGTCCCTCACAAGAAGGCCCCATGTAGGACGGAGAATTTTAGGCAGCCACATAACGACAGTGGGGTTTGGACAACCGGATACAGATGGCTGCAGTGGCCGTGCGGGAATCTCCATACAGGCGAACAATAAGAGACTGACAACTCAGCCTATAGTCAGCCTAGATAGTGGAACGTTGACTTAGTCGCCTCTTAGGGCTGCAGGTCAACGAGTCATACCTCTGATTTGGCCCCGGTTAGACCCGCTCCTCAAGCATGTAGCGGTCAGGCCCGCCTCGCGGCCAAGGGTGTTTTCTGTGCAACCACCAACTGCTTCGTTGCACGACCGCGAGGACTACTTGGGGCCAAATCGACTCCTAGTGCCCGGCCTTCCTTGGCCCATGAGGCCGCTGGCGTTGTTGATAGTGGGATTCTGAGCCCCCGGGCCATGAGTTGTTGGTTGGAAAATGCGTCTTGGCCCATTCAACCGGGATGTGACAGGTATCCGCGGGGATACTCTTTCATAGGAGGCCACGAAGACGACCACATGGAACAACCACCTGGCAGGTTCAGGGGCCCGCAGAGGATAAGCGAAGACAAAGTACGAAGATATCGACGGTTTGAGGTGTCGGGGAGGCATGCTACGAAAAGCGGAAACTCTATTGGTCTGAAGAGACAATGTGGGCATGGCTATGATGGAAGCCTGGCATCATATCACGATCAAATATCAACTTGGGTGGAATGGGATCGTACTAAATACAGTACATGGAGAATCAATCGCAGCACCGCATGTCGCTAGTTTCAGACCTCCATTGCCCTCACATTCGCGCTGAAATAAAGTAGGAATAACAACGGATGGGTCATGAACACAGGAGAAGGGACTAACGTGGCAGTAAGGCCTTGCGGACCAATCTGAAATGCTAGATGGAACTTCGCGCGTGAACCCGGCCACACCTGGAAGCGCAGAATTATTTACGGAGCAAGCCAATTTGGCAGCCGCAGCAAGTGGCCGCATCCCCGCAGTTCATATCATATCAAAGGGAGAGGGAAAATTGCGTTAGATCAATCCACTCTTTCATTCGGGAGTTGAATGAGCTTTCGCGGACAGGGGGGCCCAAGACGTCTAAAGTAGGTTGCACCGTCGCTTGCCTGCTGCTGCAGATGAAAATCCACCTCTAGTACGTGCGTATAAGGAGTTTATGCCTCAAAGGTACCTTGGGGCACCATCCACCTAAATAAGGTATTAAATCCAGACTGCAATCCCGAGACTACCTACTGGTCACACACCCCAAGAGCAGTATGAGCCCAGAGTAACATTATCTCTGCATGTTTTCTAATACCAGGTATATACAGTACGTGCCTCGTATCTCCCGGGAAGATGATCGCCATCGCTTGTCTGAACCGACCTCGTCCCTCCGCCTGGCACACTAGCGATGTTGAATAAGCTTCTCTATCCCCTCGGAGAACTGGGTATCCTGGAGCGAGAGCCGGTTCAACCGCAAGGAAAAAGAGGATCCGCGTCTCCCATGTTCCGAGCTCATGTTCAGAGGAGGGAGGATGACTTTCCCTTCGCGCGATGACCGAGCGCTCGAATATCGCCGACTTGGCCCAGATCCTGCTAACATGGAGATTGGCGCGCACGGCACCAGCGGGGTTAAATGGGCTACTGAGTTTGACTGCTACTGCCACGTTCTGGGCCTCAGATGCGGGGGGTGGATTGCTGTTCTAGGTCCACTGGAGGTACTGCGGTGCGTCAGCTAGGGCGTGCTCGAAGTCGTATTGCATTGTGTCATAGATGGTTAATAACGGGCTTGAACGAGCAGACGTTCCAGCCACTGATTCCAGGAAATATATACCTAAAACCATACTGAGAAAGTCGTCGTCCTTCGCCATATGCTAGCATGCCTGCTAATTTTCTAATTTAGACTTCCGTATAACAACTACAGTGAATATACTAAAAGTGTGCTAACTACTATAAAGAGGAGCATGGGTACTACTATCTCCTTTTCAATAGCTACATGGGTATCATCCATGATGGGTCTATTCTAATAAAGATGATCTACTGGGGTGATTTAGGAAGGGTTATATAGGGTGATTAATAGGCAGAGTCTTAGTATATGGGGTGGTGTGCCAAGTTGAGTATTAGTAAGTAATAATAAGTAGGGTGATAGCCTGGTAGCTAAGGGATCTATAGAGCGCGAATTAAGATGGGTTAGGAAGGTACTAGGCTATATTTTATAGATAATCTCTTATAGATTCTAGTAATATAAGTAACTATTCCTAGTCCTATACTCCTATAAATCCAGGGCCAAAAGCAAGGATACACGTGTTGTAGATTCTACATAAGTTATTAGTAGTTTCAAAGAGGCGATTTCAACGTTGAACTTTTGGTTTTTGAACTCGGCGCGCGAATTTTCGCGCTATTTGGCCTATTTTGAATACGACAGATCTTAGTGGCTCGCTCGCGCGCGGGGTAATCCGCGCGTACAACTCCAGCTGAAGACGAATTTGAGATTCTCCCCCCGTATCCTGGCCCTTCTGTTCTAATGACACTTCCTGCCCCATTTGTATTTCCAGCGTACCCCGCCGGTGACCGTGCAGGAGGCCCGCTATACGATGGCGTCGGGAGCTGATCCTGAGAAGACAGCCGGAAGCGATGCATCAGAAGGAGCCTCTTTGATCTCGGAAGAGGGGCCAGCTGGGCCCGGAGTTCCAGACAGTGGATCGCATGTTTCTGCAGGTGGCGGTGGAGGATCGCTAGCAGACTGGGTTGAACCCGGACTTATTGGCACGCCGTCAAATTTGTCCTTCGACGAGCAGGAGAAAAAGAACGTCGCGTACTTTGGGCTCCGAGACAAGTGGCTCAGAGGGCCGAGCGCGAACGCGAAGGGAGCCCCGCGCGTCTCGATCGGTGTGCTAGATCCGCTTATCACTGTTGAGAGACACCATGGGAAATACCACATTACTGCCCGGTTTCACGTCGAGACGACTATTGATGATTATAACGCGCATAGGAAGTTCGAGTTCCCGGACTTTGGCGTCGTGCGTTTTATTAACAGGTTTATTTATTAGAGACGGTCATGAGCTCTTCTTCCACGACATCTGCCTCCAGTACCTAAACTCTTCTGGCGATGAAGATCTCCTCACTGAACCGAAATCCGACGCCACGGGCGCGTTCACGGTGACTAGGACGTCGAGTAGGACGGTCTCCGGAGACCTTGGGGTCTCACTCTCTGGTACACCCTCCGTGAATGTCTCACTGGGTATCTCGCGGTCGAGGGAATGCACCATAGAGCACACTGTCAACACGTGGACCGTGAGCGCACATCGAGTGTTTCCAGGTGAGTCAGACACATCACTACTTTAACTCCCATGACGAGCATAACAATTCCTCGAATAACCAGAAGCGCGGAAGCGCCGCCGCAAGATCGACGACCCCCGATACCAATGGTTCTGGGCGGCTAATTACAAGGAGACCGCAACGCTTACTCCGGATCTCACGCATACTGTCAAGCGACACGTCCTCGTGAAGCGAGCTGTCCCGATCGATTCCTTTCCCAACGAAAGGCTCGAAAGCGCCAGGCAGGTATTGCGAGGGAGAGCCTGGGTCGATAAGGCAGAGTCTCGCAATGCAACCCCACACGAACTTGACTCGGCGAGGCACTCCCTTTTCACAAAAGAGGAGGAGGCGTGGCGGGCGTTACTAGCTGACTGGCAGAGTAAAGACCGCCGGCATGTCCCGCTGGAGCAGCTACTCGAATTCAAATTCTGCATCCTGGTACGCTAACCGCGACCCCGATATCCTAAGGTTGTTGACTGTATTCCACACTGGCTAACGCGCCGCTACCCCATGGGGTCAAAAGATCAGACTTAAGAAGCGATATGGTCGTCTCCATCGCGCTCTCATATTCAGTGGCAATAGGAACAAAGCTAAGCTCCTGGAACCCACATACAAGGAAAGGTTCTGCATCAGGGTACCTTTCGCATCAGACCCTCCGCGTCCACACCCCAGCGACACATCCCTGTGGCGCTACACGCGGCGGCCCCGAGACTTCCCCAGCGAACACTATCTCGCCAATCTGACCCGCATTCCGGTGCAGGACACTTATAGCCTCCGCGATGTCCTCGCCAAGATTAAGAACGAGGTAAGTCTCAACCGGCCGATGAGCCAACAAGACCGAGGCGGACTGCTTACTGTGCATTGTGGGTAGTACGCCGGGAACTGGGACGAGCTTCAAAGTAAAGAGTGGATCGATCTCGTCCGGGACGGGACGGGTGATCAAATACGCGAAACGGATCTCATGGCGGAAGCAGATGCAACGGCAGAGGAAGAGGCAGAGGCAGAAGGGGAGGCAGACGCAACGGCCGAGGAGACTGGAGAGGCCACAACAGATGCGGTTGTAACTCATCATTACACTCATCTACTGAGGCCAGCGAATGCTCCCCTGAAAAAGAAACGGGCCCGGAATATTCAAGTTCATTATCAAGGTGGTCCTCATTGACGCTCGCCCTACTGCGCCTTTAGCATATTTTTCCTAGCTCGCCACACAATTATCTGATTTCGTGTCCTGTTCTCCACTTAGACCTAGGCAGCTATGTAGGTTTCAAAAGAAGCACCTATGTACCCCAAGGTAGTATGACCCACCACTCAAGATACACCCGTCTATCCAATTGCGGAAAAAAGCGGCCGACCTAATCCAGGTTCATCATGCCAGTCCATACGCATGTTGTATCTTTTGCGATCTCCAGAATTAGGCTCTACCGAGTAAGGAGGAGATATGACGGATTGGAACATAATGCTCTAGAATCCCAGCCGTATCACGTGAATCACTACCTAGTCTTCACTCGCTCTGCCAGGCAAATAGCATTCCTCAGGGAGTGCGAAAAGCCAAGGGCCAACTTCTCCGCGAAATAGCATATTGCACTGGATCTTCATACTACCAAACCCAATCAACTCTTACCTTCCGCTAACAATAAGCTATTGCGGGAAATCAGACGGCAAAGTCGACCTCTACTCCTCCTTCCTCAAAGAGATGTCAAGAGAAACTTATCAGCGATTTGCAAGGTAAAGTACAAGTTTTTAAACCTTTATATAGGAAGGTACGATTAAGAGCAATTGAACGATCGGCCTACTAGAAGTGACTGAAACACGGAGTATGCAAGGCCATAGAAGTTCCTTTTATTGGTGGCCTCGGGAATACGGCGGTACTTTAAGGCCATGATCTTCTCCATCCGCTCTTATCCACTCTTTTGCACCCTACGTACACTGCCACAGCGTATTTAGTAAAATGCAGAGTAGTCGCCAGGTAGGTCTATACTCTTCTTTCCCCACGTCAACAAGGGGGTCAAGAGAAGGAGAAACCTGCCGAAGAACCAGGAGATGGACAGGAGGAGCAGAGAGCAAAAAGAGAGAATAACACTGATGTTGAGATAAATCTCTGTTGTATTAGAGAGAATTGGATTGCTTGGAAGCCGCATTCAATAACTGAGATGTCCTTAGACTTCTGAGTCTGCAGCACTACATACCAGGTTCATGTCCCGAGTCTGATATTGACCGAGTAGCTTACCGCTATGCACCCATAGCCTGTCATATTGTCGGCAGGTCGTGGAGCTTAGAACTTGGTAAAACAGCCGCTCCAATCTGCCGATACCTAGTTAGAAGAGGCGGAGATTTGAGTTATGTTCAGTAGATATTAAATCAATTGCCTGCTGGTGAACGGCGTGCCAAGGGTAGCAATAACTGGCCAATAATTCAGTTTCTGCGTGATAGGCCGCTTGCTATCAGGGCAGGGGAAACAGATGGGGGGTTAGTTCGAAATCTGGCTTACGCGAAACCAAGGAGAATCCCGATCTTACAACCTCCGAAATGAGCGCAATAGCGGGAAAGGAGATGTTTAAAGGGTGGCTGCTCCCTTTCAGAGAATTTCCAACAAAAACCACGAGCAGCAGAATCAACCAGCCATCAACAGGCGAGTTTGCCGAAAATATATCCCTTACAAGGACCTCATTAATGGGACGATAGCAAACAAACCGCGCATCATGGAGCGGAACCTGGCCATAGTGACAGCTGTCACGGCCCTTGCCCCTGGCGTCTCCGCTTGGCGCGTCCGCTGCTACGGTATCGTGGGGGGAGCAACATCACGGTCTCTGTAAGGTCTCTTGCCTACTGGAACGACAAGCGGAAGCTGTGGTCTATCGACGGGGGCAAGTACACGTTGTACATTGCAGCGTCTGGCACTGACATTCACGCTGTAAGGGAGTTGAATGTGCCAAATACCTTGGACATTCCCGCCAGTTTCGCCCACAGGTGAAGGCCTGATCATAACGGCAGTTTAAGTGTCCTGGAAATACACACAAGCCAGGAGAAGAATCGAAGTTCGAAGCCCACGATAGAATTGTTGGGATGGGTGGCCTGCATTCGATAGCTAGTACTATATATATTTATGACGAGGAGGAGCAGGGATGACAGGGAATGATCACTTTTGGAGGGGGTTCGTGGTCCAACCTCAAATCACAAAAACCCTTCCAGGTTCCTGGGACTGAATCTGTCCGCGTGGCAGGGATAATTACACAGAACTATGAACGACACAGCCAATAAGGTCCGTGGCGTCCAATGAAATCCTCTTTCTACTGTGCCAACAGTACCTAATAGGCAGAGAATGATTTAATACGTAATATAGCTAGATAAGCGCGGCGATCACTCTGGCTGTGGCTGATGACCGGCGGGCCGGCCGACCTGTTATTTCGGATTAGTGATCAATATCAGATGATTGATCACGGCACCAAAGCAACGTTATTGGGTCATCGTGTATTTATGAGCAGTGTACTACTATCCTTACTTTGTTCTAGGTTTATTGAGGCTCAATAATGCTTAAATTGACTTACTCTGTATAGCTCAGTGGCCGGGATGTCGTGCTTGGCACCCCCTGTGGCCGTCCACCTACATACGTACACCTGGTGAGCATATTAAACGTGATGCATTCTGCCACCACTGACTTGCTGGCTAAAATTTGCTAGTGCTTGCGACCTAGCCATCAATGGTAAGGCATTATAACCCCTGCGATAGTCCTGTTCCGCGCAGTACTGTAAGCACATTTGTTGGAAGGATCGCTGGCCACAAGCGTGCATATGGGTACTAGGGCCGCCAGGACGGGCTTAGCACCCGGGAAGCACTATTAATTTGTGGTTTCTTTCACCCCCAAAACATAACAGCTCTAGACTGACATCTCTCACCGGACCCCCCTTTGTTCTGTGAGTGTTAGTACCGCGTGGTCCTGGCGTTATGTCGCCTGCTTGCACATAGAGAGCTTCATCATTCCTCTAAACATGCACCCATTTACCATGCCCGAGCGTTCTCCTGCTTTCCATCCACTTTCTGTCAGCGTCCGTATCATCAGGTGCCACGCCACGCTGGCGGAGGCAGATTTGAAACTCTCATGCAGTAATAGCTCTGGTTGATTTCACTACGAATGTGCATTCGCGAGCCGGGCAGGTACCCTGCATGGTCAGCCAGATCCTTGACTGCAGGCTGCGGGACATGTCGTGCTAAATGCCGACGCGATGTTGGTTACTCGTGCACAGCAAGCTAGATACTGCGATTCAAGTGCAGGGCCCCCATCGACAATCAGGAGTGAAATCGCTAGTCGAAGTTATTAAACTGGTCTGCCTGAAGACCAACCCATACGTGCTGCAGTCTCGACTTCCCGACCTAGGCATACAGCACTGAAGTGGGCCGAGGTGCCTTGCAGGAGGCAAAGTTTGAACCGTGACTCGGGATGCCTTCTCGCCCCCTCCTTATCCAGTCCCGTCCGTTCCCCCCTTTGCGACCGACAGTTGTCTTCCCACTTTGATTGAAACATATCCGGCCCGGATCTTGGTCTTCCCATCGTATAGACCGCAGAACAATCTTGATTCCATCAAGCTGATGTTCTCATTTTCGCCAGTCCCTGCAAGACGCGATAGCCCGACCGGGGGTACAGCCCAACGGGCATTAGCGACGACCGCAGGTCAAGTAAGAGTCTAGACAAAAGAACCAAACCCCGTCGAATATAGTAAGGGTAAACGGATCATCTCGGAACGACAGAGAATGACTCCAGATCATATACCGATTTCAGGCTGCGTCTCGGAATGGCGGGCGTTGGCAAGTGCTCCTTATCGACCCCGAAACCCGTACTTGGATGCCAAAGCGACCGGGAACCTAGCGGATCAAGCATGGTGCCCCCTATCGACATTTGGTGGGCTTATCTGGCCAGACTCCTCGATCGCCCGTGTCGCGGCCGCAAAGTTCCGAGGCAGACCCAAGTCCTTGGGAACGAGAGGTTTGTTCTGCAAAAGTGCCTCGGCGCAGCTGTCTCTTCAGCCCAAAATTGATGCGCCAAGAGGCGCAGAGCTTGGCAGCTCGACGCGTGCTGACAAGAAGCTTACCCAGGCGACGACAATTGGGCGGGATAGCGTCAGCCTTCCTTGCGAGGGATTGTGGATGGTACGATATGGAACGAACAGGAGAAGCCAAGCTTAATCGAGCCTGGAATATCCTAGGAGTACATCGATGTAACTGGGAGCGATAAGTGGCAAGGAGCCAGCTGACAAGGATTCAAGTCAAGGCTGGGGATGTGACACGAGACACGTGGTTGGCGCACTGCATGCGGGTGTCATTTCCACACAGCTCGACTCATCCACTAGTGAGAGCTTTGTCTCGACTAAAATTTCCCCGTGGGACTGCCATCCGGGCAGCACCGCAGCCAAAAGAGTGGTTCGCGAAAAGGAGTCGGGGAGGCCAAGAGGAGCGAAACCGTGGCATGGACTGATTCAGGGAGTCATGTGGGCGATCTGGGGATGGGCTGGCAGGCTCATCAAGCAACCAGTGGATGTCTGGGGTTCCGCGTGGGGCCAGTGGAGAGCAAGAATGCGGGGTATCGAGTCCAGAGCTCTCGTCTGTCCCGTCCCAGACACAAAGGACACCATTCTGAGTTTGCGCTTTGTCGGCGACACCGAGAGAGAGTCCTCGCTGGCGTTCTAATTCGAAGACTTTGACGACGGGAAGCGTTGGCAGACTGGCTTTTCTCGACTCAGGCCAGCACAAAGCGCAGATAAAGGCATCATCACTACATGATCTCGTATGGACGACTCGGCCTTCCTCCGTGCAGGCATCCCTGGCGCGTTTCCAAGCTCAAGCCATCCAATAATGATCCATCCCATACTTGCAGCTGGTTACCGGATCCGGGAGACCAGGCCCCCCCTAGTGCGAATAAGGTCCGACCCCCGACACTGTGGCGTCGAGCTCTGGCCAGACTTTTGGCATAACCGACAAACTGCCGAGGATGCGACAGCAATGTGGGTCGGCACTGCCAGTCGACAGCTCAGGCGTACCAGTAGCAGGGCGATCTGTCGCGCAAGCTGACCATCAACCGGGTCGTTGCCAAGAGATCCCCCCATGTCTGTCTTTCCCCGCGTGCGCTCGGGTTGATTCTACCAATCTTCGTCGCCCCAGACCGTCAGCCAGCGCTCCATCACTTGTGGGGTATAAATAAAGACGTCTGGATCCCCATCTTCGCGCTTAGTTCTTTCATTGCCAACTACGCTTGCTGATCTGCATCACTCGTTCGCAATGTCTACCGACATCGAGAAACTGTCCCACGAGAATGTGGAAAACATCGAGGCTGCGGCGCCAAAGGCCGTCGTGGATGTCGATGTTGATGAGGAGTACAATTACGAGGAACAACGGAAGATTGTCCATCGCGTGGACCGCCGCTTGATCGTCATCTGTGGTTTCGCGTACTGCATTAGTCTCATGGACCGCACCAACGTCTCGGCGGCAGCGATTGCTGGGTAAGAACACCCCTTACCCTCCTCGCCAACTCGCAGTACTGACTCTCATAAAGCATGACGGTCGACCTGGAATTATATGTCGGCTTTCGATATGTATGTCCCTCGGTCCAATCACTCGCATTGTCTCTAACAACAAAGGATAGTCCATCATGGTTCTCGTCTTCTTCGTCACCTATGTTGTCTTCCAACCCCTGGCGACGGCCTTGATTCGACGAATTGGACCTCGCATCTTCCTTTCCGCCATTGTTATAACCTGGGGCGCGTGTCTGATCGTACGTTCTCCCAGCTTTGCAGTATGTGCAGTTGGTTCTAACGTTGCTAGGGATTCGCCTATTCTCCTGACTGGCAGACACTAGCAGGCCTCCGTGCTCTCCTTGGAGTACTCGAGGCAGGATTCTTCCCTGGAACTGTGTATCTCCTGTCCTGCTGGTATTCACGATGTTAGTCCACTACTCCCGCGTCTGGTCATCAACTGCTGACACGTCGTTCATAGACGAGGTCCAGAAGCGCTATTCCTTCTTCTACCTGATCGGATGTGTTGCCTCGGCCCTTTCCGGTATCCTCGCCTATGGCTTCAGTCAAATGGCGCCTCTTCAGGGACTCAACGGATGGCAATGGATTTTCATCATGCAGGGAGTGGTATGTTAGACTCCTGGCGTCCTCCCACGGCAACCTAACTCGAGCTAGTTGACCTTCATCGTCGGCATCTGCTGCATGATTTTCGTCGTCGACTTCCCCGACAAGGGCCACAACGCCTGGGGCTTCCTCAACGAAAGAGAATGTGCATTCATCCTCCGCCGCCTCAACAGGGATCGTGCCGATGCCAACCCCGAGCCCTTCAACATCGTCAAGTTCCTCCGTCCAGCACTCGACCTCAAGATCTGGGGCTTTGCGCTTGTCTTCTTGTTCGTCCCCAGCCCCCGCTACTACTTTCTTGCACTAACAACGCCCCCCAGCTGCCTGACAACAGTCTCCTATGCAATCGCCTACTTCCTCCCCATCATCCTGCGCGAAAACATGGGATTCAGCATCGCCGCCGCGCAATGCCTCGTCGCACCCCCCTACGTCCTCGCCGGAATCCTTATGCTCTCCACCGCCTGGTTTGGCGATAAATACCGCATGCGCGCGCCAGTGCTCATTTTCAACAGCGTGATCACGCTCATCGGGCTCCCTGTCATGGGCTTTGCCTCGTCAAACGGAGTGCGCTACTTTGGCGTCTTCCTCACAACCGCCGGAGCGAATGCGAACATCCCCTGCTCGATGGCCTACCAGGCCAACAACATCCGTGGCCAGTGGACCCGTGCATTTGCGAGCGCTACCCTCGTGGGATTCGGTGGCATTGGTGGTATCGCGGGCAGTCTCATCTTCCGCTCTCAGGATGCGCCCGATTACATTCCCGGAATCTGGGGGGCTATGGCGTATGTTCTACTGTTTTTCCATCCTTCTCCGAGACCTCTTTCCACCCATTCCTCTTCCTCGTCCATTCTGTGTATCGCACAGCTGATGCTAACGATTGCTTTCTCTGCAGCTGCCAATTCCTCCTTCTCATCGTCGTGTCACTGCTCAGCGCGTACTTCTGGTGGGCGAATCGCAAGGCGGATCGCGGGGAGAAGATTATCGAGGGATCGCCTGATTTCCGGTATACGATTTAGATGCTGGGCTTTCATGCAGTTATGGGATGGAGGGATGTCTGTAATGAGCAACGTTGATGGAAGTAATGGAATACTACTCTTTGAAGAGATCCGTCATTGTCCTTACCCTTGTAGTAATCTGCGCGCCCTATACCATTTGCCTTTAGGCCCCAGCCCAGACACTTGTGCCAAGCGTATAGTGAACTACAGAGTAGGTTGGTAGTAACAGGCGAGAATGAGGGATGCTTGTTACAGCCCAGTTGCACTTAACATATCGCGAAAGTCAGTCAAGATTGAAAGAAATCGCAGCCTTCAGCTTTCCAAGCAAGTCATCAAAACAAAATGGAAATGCACGACGACCAAGTCCGCGGGAACACCGTGAGCGACGCTCCAGGCGCCTCAAGTGAAAGGCAGCATCAGCGCGGGCCAGTCACTCCATCCCAAAGCACTGGTTCTCCCGTCTCGCTGCTAAATTTATCTGGGCTCAGATGCTGTCCCAGCCTCCGCATTTCTGTCCTGATCGCGTGCGACGGGCCTGTCGAGTCAGTCAACGCCATCTCTTCTTTGCTTTTTCCTTGGCGTGTCAGCCCTGCTGGCCCTCTTGTCGAAATGCTTGGCGGCTGGCTCATTTTGTTCAGCTTTTCGAGCAGTCCAGGGTTTAGTCAACGTTTCGGAGTATCCAAGTCAATTTCAAAGCCGCCTACCGAGTACGGCACGTTAATCCAGTTTAACTTGCACTGCGATCGTTCGCAGGGGGCGGCCTCAACTCTCTGGCCCCCTCTGGAAGCGCCCAGGATCACGAACCAGCAGGGATTCGAGGGCCGGCGCAGCAACGGACGTTTCGCATGATGCACGGCAGTGGCCTTCTAGGCTCAATGCGAATTCTGGCTGGGTGCCTGCTACGCATAAAGCAGAGTCAGCCCCGGGTTCGCGAAATGCTCCTCTGCGTGTCCCTCGCCGACGTCCGTTATTTTTCTCTACCAAGTCTTTCGTGCCCATCCTAATTATCCTAATACCATACCAGAGCTATGTCGGACTCAGACAACCCACAGACCCCTACAAGGAGCCGGTCTTCCCCCGAACTCATGGGGTCGTCGCTCCAGGCGCCGTCCACGCCTCCTGCATCCCCTGGAGACGAAGCCGCGTCCGTGTTCAGCCCCAACGAGTCAGTCTTGACTGATATCACGGACTATGGGTGGGATAGCCCGTCTCGAAACATCGGAGACGACGACGAAAAGCCGCTCTCAATTTCGCTACCTACTCCACAAATAGTCGTTGAGGATACGTCCCATCCTACTGGTACCGTTTACGCTGCTGCAGCAGACGGTTGTGGGACCGAACGGCGGGCATTCGTCGAGGATGAGAGGGACTCTGCTGCTAGCGGAGCCGCTCAAGAACCCAATAATGTTTCCTCCAGGGAAAACGTGAGGCCAAATGTTGCCGCAACTCATGACAGCCACGCGAGGGGGTCGGCCCTGACCGCTGATAACGACAAGCCCGAGCTGCTACTCCCAGGTTCTACCCCGGATGATGATCATCTACCCAGTGCATCAGCTTCAGTTACCAGCAGAGACAAGGAGAAGTGGTCGCCGCCGCTGTGTCGTCCAGACTTTACCTTCCATTCAGCCCCAGAGGGTATCCCAAATCGACGATGTTCGTTCAAATCTAACCCGGATGTGAACTTCTTGACCGATGGCCAAGCGTTCCGAAGCAAACCTAGAGCAAAAAGTACGGGCGCATCCGACTTTGATGCCGCGGTGTCAATCCAGACTTTTCGTGTTTCGATTGCCCAGTCGCCAGTTCCTACATTGACGACAGAGAAGACTGACCACGAGGCACCTACTAAGAAGGATTCGAGTCCGGCAAAACCAAAAAAGAAACAGGATTTACCCCTGCTAGAGTCATTGAAAAGGCTAATACCCCCGTCTTTGAGTGATGTGCTGGTAGAGGATAAGCAAAAGTGTGTCGCTACGACTCAAAAGGATACTCGATGTCAGTCAAATGCGCAGACTCCGAACGTCGAGTCAGCGCTGCGTCTTCTGAACGAGGCTTCCTCTTTGAAAGAAGAGTCATTAAATCAAACAACCAAAACATTGTTCTCGCTGCTTCTTTGCGGGACGCACAAGAACGTCGCAGCAAGGTTGTCCATGCATTGGCAATCAAATAATTCTCCGGTTGTTGCCAGTGCGCCAGCCCTCGTCCTTCAAGAATGGCTGAAAGCAGCGCGAGGTTCCTCGAGCCCCAGTACTACCTCACACCCCGGTGACACACCGTCTGTCGAGGTCGTGATACCTCCATTTGAGACCAGGTTCAAGACCGCCCTACCAGACTTCGTGGAATACCACCCTCCAGATAAGCCACGACCATCCGTTGCGGAAGAGCTGGAGAGTCTCATCGTGGCCCCGTTAACCAAGGCCGATGCTGACCACAGCGGGCACATCTACATCTACCAATGCACGGGCAAGTTCGGATACTACAAGATCGGCCTGACGACCGACCTGGCACCGCGACTACAGACCTGGGAGAAACAATGCGGACGCGAGCTGATGAGCTACTTCCCACGATCTGAGGAAGACCTACAGCCCGTCCAGCACATTTCTCGCGTGGAACGGCTCATACACGCCGAGCTGGCTGAGCATCGGAGGAAAGAGGCCCGGTGTCCAGGTACCGGCTGCGGCAAAGCACATAAGGAATGGTTCCAAGTAGACGAGCAATTCGCACTGCGCGTTGTGCGCAAGTGGATCACGTGGATGCGGAATGAGCCGTACGTGCAGATCAATGGGGGCTCAACTTGGGTGCTGGACGTGCATCGCGTTGGGAGCATTAGGGAGATTTGTACCCCGTTACCCAAGGAGTTATTTCTGCAGTCCTCGCTGCAGTCTGCTCTAAGTCTGGCTGTCCCGACAGCTCCAAAAGGGAGGAAGCGCAGCAAATCGATGTGCTAGCCGGAACTGTGCCTCAAGACGGCTATCCTGTTCAATTATATATATCGCAAACCCCGGGGCAAACTATGGCGATAACGGAATTGTACTTTATGATCTCTCTAGTGTAATGTATTCTTTTATTGTTTTGTGATTCACCTTGTGTAGCCAGAAAGGCGGTATTTCTTACACCACAGCAACTCGGATGGCCACAACCCCCTTTGGCAAAACAGCGAGATGGGGAGTTTCCCGGCGGACCAGCGACTCCACAGCAGAGACTGACAGCCCAATTGACCAATCACCCGCGTCTGATCTCGGCGATTCGATCTTATCGCTGAAAATCTCGATCCCTTCATTTGCCTCCATCGCCGACAAAGCTTTGACTCATTTATCCAGTTCTTGCGATTCTGATTTTCCAAAAATTCAGCCCAAGAGTCATGCGATGACAACGAGATTTACCATATAGAACCCGCCAAAATGCACGCCGACAACATCGCAGAAGACATTGACATCGCCACCGCCGAAGCGCAGGGCAAATTCCCTCGCGTGCCTGAGAAATGGCTCTCCCGTATCACAAACTGGGGTATCGAACTCCGCGGCGTGGCACCGATCCCTCTTGAAGAGCGGACAGACAGTCGCTTTATCAATGTGTTCTTTGTATGGTTCACCTTGAGCACCAATCTCCTGCCGTATGCCTGCTTATGTACCCCCTTGATCCCGCCCCCTCTAACTGAGAATAGGATCATCACTGGCATGGTGGGGACTTTTGTCATGGGCATGAGTCTGCGGGATGCGTCGCTGGTCATTCTGTTCTTCAACATGCTCTGCACCGTCCCGCCCGCGTATTTTAGCACCTTTGGTTCGAGGACGGGGTTGCGGCAGATGCTTCATGCAAGATTCACATTTGGGTAGGTGTGCCCTCAAATCCATGTCCGTGCCTTTCCTAACCGTTGGAAGATACTGGCTCGTTTCAATAATCGTCCTTCTGAACCTCTGCACAATCGCAGGGTTTGGCGTCGTCTCTTCAGTCCTAGGAGGATCGACCCTTGCCGCCGTCTCGAACGGCAGCATCGACGACACAGCAGGCATCGTGGTTATCGGCATCTGCGGTATGGTGGTCTCATTTGGCGGCTACAGGTTCCTACACCAGTACGAGCGATACTGCTGGCTGTTCGCCCTGGTCGCAATTGTGATTGCTACGGGTGTTGGAGGCAGCAAGCTATCCCACCAAACGCCCACTGAGCCACCGACCGCCGCAACAGTTCTCTCCTTTGGTGGTGTTATTGCCGGCTTTCTTATTCCATGGGCTGTAAGTCATCTAGAGACCTCAACCCCATCCGCGCTATCGACTAACAAAATAAAACAAGGGCATGGCCGCCGACTTCAGCGTCTACTGCACCCCCACCGTCTCAACAACCCGCATATTCACTTACACCTACCTGGGCCTCTTCCTCCCAACAGTGCCCCTAATGACCCTCGGCGCCGCAATCGGCGCAACTACCCCCTCAGTCCCCTCCTGGTCAGCCGGCTACGACCTGTACGGCGTCGGCGGCGTCCTCGAAGCCATGCTCCAACCAGCCGGCGGATTCGGCAAATTCGTCTCGGTCCTGCTGTCGTTCTCGTTACTGGGTAACCTGGCGGCGTCAATGTACAGCATCTCACTGAACTTCCAGCTGCTCCTCCCCTTCTTCGTGCGGGTTCCGAGGTTTGTTTGGTCGGTTATTTATACCGCTATACTCATTCCTGTTTCTGTGGTTGCCGCAAAATCCTTCTTCACGAACCTCGAAAACTTCCTCTACGTAATCGCCTACTGGTCCGCGGCCTTCGTCTCCGTCGTGCTCGTCGAACACTTCCTTTTCCGTGGTGGCGACTGCACTCGATACAAACCTTCCAACTGGGATCGCGCCAAGTCGTTACCGAGTGGTGTTGCAGCTATTGGCGCCATGGCACTCAGCTTTGGGCTCGTTGTGCCGTGTATGGGCCAGGTGTGGTTTACGGGGCCGATTGCGGAGACGACGGGGGATATTGGGTTCGAGGTTGCGCTTGTGCTTGCGGGGATACTCTATGTGCCGTTACGGTGGTTGGAGAGGAGGGTTTGGGGGGCATAGTGTGGAGTGTATGTTTCTTTCCATTTTACCGGGTGGAGGCGGCGGCGGGCGAGGTGTCGTTGACATGTGCTGTAGATTGGCGGGTGCCTCGCTGGAGAGGTAAACCAACACGCCTGGGAGGAGTGCATGTAGGCGGCTGGCCATGGAGAGATTGTAGCCCTTAATCCTAACGTCTTTTAGATACAACATCAACTTAGAATAAAGCCGAATGCCACTCTTTTTTCAGCACTTCATAGTAGATCTCTGTTTTAGGCAGCAGTTTGTTATTAGTGACCGTCCTACCCTGGATAGCCCTACCTTTGATGCTACGCCAGACCAGACAATGATAAAGAAAGGCATTTGTGACCGCTTTGTCTCAACCGCCGTCAAATGTGGTCAAATCCCCAATGCGCATCCATGAAAGAACAGGCCAAATTTGAATTAAAAAGGCTTTATTACAATCCCCGAAACCCGGCTCAGCGTTCAATCCAGCGCCTATCCAGCACTTAGCACGGAACGCTAGCTCTGTATCTACCTACGGAACGGCAGAACCAACCAACAACTCAGGATATTACAAAGCTGAGGAAAAAACCGACAATATCGGCATGTCCTCCCCGAAGGCGCCGCGCCAGCCCGGCACTAGACATGCTGGCTAAGACAATTCAACTTCCAGTAGGATCCGCTGTTATAATAGTGCTAGACTATTGGAGCTTTACCGCGAGGTAGATTCGGACAATACGCATGCAGGGCGCAACATCCTAGAGAGCAATTTTCCGCCCAGGTGGGATGCACAACTCTACTTTCGACACTCAGAGAATACGGACCCTCTAGAAGCACATCAGGCACTTAATGCCACGAGAGGACACGGCCCCCAGGAGGTGGGCAAGATCCTTCATGGCAGGTTTTAACTTAAGACAAGGAATAACACGCCGAATGGCAGTAAAGAGGGAGCATGTGGACAGTAACAGGTCGTCTACAAACGGGGCATGTAGGTGGTGCCTTGCGAGACTAGGGCATCGAAGCCCATGCCCATGCCCATGAGCCCAATTCCGCCATTTTTTTTTAACATACCTTTGTTGAATTGCACGTCGCAAGTTTTAGCCGAAACAATGAAGTGTCAAAGAGAAAGGTCTTCATGTCTTGAAACAGAATGAATTATAATCCCATTCAGGATAATGTGAATAAAGAGCCAGATAGAAGCGCTGTGGTTGGGAAAGTCACAAAGCTGCGCCAGCCATTATCTGGATAATGACGATGAGGCCTGATCTATATAAACCCCAACTCATCCACTGCATTTCCCAAGAAACCACGCTCCTCTACTCCTTCATCCTCCCTTCCCACATACAAACGAACCTCAAACAGAGCAACAGGCAAACACTTGCAAAGCCAAATAACCCACCCATACCCAGCACCCACGCAAAATGCTTAGAGACCCCGACCTCCACATCTTCCTCGCCATCTGTCGCCCCACACCCCCTTCAACAACCGGCCGCTGACTCCTCATCCTCTCCCCATCCCTCGGCGACCCGGACCTCGAAACAAGCTGCATAACCTACCAGACACAGCGCCTGCCTCTCCCAGAAGGGCCCGGGCCCTGGAGATCCCTCAAGGAGTCCGACCAAGGATTTAGCTATCCCGATGTCACCACCCGGTACCGGCTTGGCACGATCAGGGAGAGTGAGGTGTGGATGGTTGATGAGGCGGCGCGCGGAGCCGAGCCTAGTGTCGGGAGGCAGAAGTTTATTGTGGGAATGGTGAGGCTGCTTGAGGAGCAGGGGGTTGTGGATAAGGGTGCTGGTGATTTTTATGAGAGGCTGGTTGATGAGAAGTAGAGGGGTGGAAGAGCTGAGGTACTGAGTTACGCACCTTCCGTTCCGAGAAGGGTATGGGGTTGGGGGGAGGGGAGCGAATACATCAAAATTAGCCACGATATAAAAAAATACTCAGCGAAATTAACAGTAACCTTTATTTTTTTTTTGGAGAACCTAGGCCTGGCCAAGTAACATAGTATGAATCGCAATAATAGTGCAGTCTTTCAAAGAGCATCTAGACGAGGGACAGATAATATGGCAGTAGAGAATGACACTTATGCCCCCAACGGGTAGCGTATAGCGACAATGGTCAATGGGGATCAAAACCGCAGATCCAAACATTGATAGCGGCTTCTTTTAAGACAGCACTGGGATATGATATTGTAGGGATATGGATTTGGTCAGGAGTAATCCGTCCTATCATGCACGTAGAGGTATCAAAGCGTGTAATTCGAACAAAAGGATCTACACTTGACGGAGACACAAAGCCCTGGAGGCCAGATTGAAAACCATGAACTATTATGCACTGTCGTGGGCCGCCTGTATGCATAAAGAGAAAATGAAGAAGAATCCCCTTTGACGTGTGAACCAACAAAGGGCCACATAAAGCCCACCTAAGCTCGCGAAGGCACAAAGCGATGCAAGGCATTATCAACATGAAAACAATAAAGTCTGGTCCGTATAAGCCCCCCGCTGAACCCATCCTTCCACCCTGGAAACCACAGTATTCATCCTCCATCCTCCGCTCTCAGGACACTCAAACCACACACAGAACACCCCGCAAACCCGACCTGTACCACCGACTCGACGTAAACGACCACCCGAAATGTTCAACCAAACTCTAACTCTCAGCATCGCCCAGATCGCCCTCCCCGGCAGCGCCGAAGGCTGGACGATCCTGGTCGACGACCCCAAGGGAACCTGCAACAAGATGTTCAACGTCGCGCGCGCCAACGAGCCTGGGTACATCAATGTCACGAAAATCGAGACTGAGACTGGAACCGTGCCCGATAACACCAATGGTTTGATGTGGAAGTTGAAGGTCTGCTATATCTGGCGGTTGGACATCGAGAAGGTTAAGGCTGCTGCCAGCGCGGCGAGGCCCGGGAAGACGCCGCACGAGTGTCTGCTTGAGGTCTTTAGGGAGCTTGAGAATAAGGGGGTGGTCTTTGAGGGGGCGGTGAAGCAGGTTGAGAGGGGGATTGAGAGGTATAACGATTCCGAGTGGGTTATTTGTTCGAGTGATCCTGAGGATGGGTATACTACAGCTGAGGAAGGGAAGGAGAGGAAGGATAAGGGGAAGGGAGAGGATGCCGCAAAAGAGAACAAAAACTAAGTTCTACTCGAGTGTCGTTTGGTCTTTGGTTTTGGTTAGTCTGCATCCCTAAAGCATTGGGATTACAGCTGGATATCAGGTGTGTCCTACGTGAATAACAGTTAAGGAATAAACAAAAACAAAGGTTATTAATAAATCTTCTCCAATACCTATAATTTTAATGTAAAAATGGCTTTTGTATTAAATCGATATAGATTATAGTTAAAAAGCCACTATTCTTGACAGGTAGGATCACCTCCTAAGAACCGACGACCATTGAATCTGTCCTCACTCCTTGATTGTCGGCAACGTGTCCCCATCTGTGTGGGAAGCTCCGCCCAGCCTAGAGCACATACCGGCTACTCGAGGTCAGCAATGAACTATATGGAGAGTCCCCGGTAGCATGGACTATTTACTCACAAGTTCAGATTCTCCCGATCAGTCAGATCCATCTGCGTAGTATCCACCACCCGTGTTACTTTGGTGCCATCTGCATCCACCGTCTCGACGATTCCGTTGGTAGTGACTTGGTTTTGCTCGGCAAGCTTGTCGCGGCGTTTGTTTTCCCTACTTAGATACACCCGCAAGATGACGATGATGATTGAGGGGAGGATCGCGGCGACCTGAATTTCATAGAGGGTTAAGTATATGTAGCGACTTATGGAGAGGCTCGAGGAAGGGTTTTGACTCACCACTAGGATGATAATCCATGTAGGGCGATACCGGGGCTATTCCTTGTCAGTACTTCAGCCCAAAACAAAATCAGGAGTAGAACGGACCTTCCACTCCGGCCGAAACAACTGCGGCGAGATGATATTCCCCAGCCCATACCCAACATGGTACAGCGCAATGACCGTGGTCTTTTTGGTGTGGCCTGCCGACGCATTCGCCGCCCAAATCATGACGACTGCATAGGGAATTCCCGCGGTGGAGCGGATCCAAATTCCGGAGATGAGGCCCCACCGATTCGACCAGGGCAGGGCTAAAAGAAGGATGCTGGACAGGGCGGCGGGGATGTATGCGATTAGGGAGATCCAGGCGCGAGCGTTCTGCGATAACTGTTAGAGTGATACGAGGTTCCAAGGTGATTGAGGTACCTTTGTGTGATAAAGAGCGATCGCTGCCGAAGCGAGTGAGACGAATGAGACCGCACCACTGACACAACCAAGGAGTGTCGTTTGGAGGACCGTGAAGCCAAACGAGTTGATGATGAGCGAATACTGGTTGGTTATTCCATTGGCCATCTCCTGTGACCAGGCGTGGAGAAAGAAGAGCCATGTTTTCGGGTCGGAGATTGCTTCAATGAATCTACACCTAGTCAAATGACCAAGTCGCGGGAGAGGGTATAACGTTCTGCTTACTGGTATCTCTTGAATGTCTTCTGCTCAATTCCAGAATGGTTCTCTTTGATTCTGAGAATGGCCTTGGCGCGCTCTTCATAGGTCAAGTAGCTTGCCTTGACGGGGCTATCTGGGAAAAATATTCCAACGACGACACCGAAGATGATGGTGACCACGCCCGTAATGACTAGTAAGGAGGTTAGAGCCACTCCTGTATTGAACAGATAGAGGGGATACCCATAAACCACTTCCACGGCGAGAAGCTTCCCGTGTCAATCCACAGAACACCGTATGACAGTAGACCGGATGTGATGGGGCTTGCGTTACCGATGGACCACATGATCGGCATCATGACCGCCTGTTCGCCATAAGTAAAGAACATGGACATGGTTAGGAGGAATGCCGGGACGATGCACGCTTCTGCCAAGCCGAGGAAGAAGCGGACAACGAACAGGCTGGCAAAGCTGTTGCAGGGAATGTGTAGCAGGATGATTGAGCCCCTATCATTCCGTAAGCAACGGCACATGAGATTGGAAGCAAGGACCTACCAAATTATCAAGTTAGCAGCAAGCCACTTGCCGACAGGGAATTTCTGTAGTGCCCAGTTTTGCGGCCATTCCGCGAGCAGGTAACCGAAGTAGAAGATCGAGGAAAGCCAGTTGTACTGGTTCGAGTTGAGATGCGCGTCATCCATGATACCTAAGATTGCAGAACTTCCTAACTAGAATCTTTTGAATAGCTGCCCGGATACTGCAGGGTTGGCTGTGGCATACTGTCTGCTTATCCACATACATAAGGTGGTACCCAACGCAGAGGAAGGGAAGGATGCGCCAAAGACATTTGTTACGGATTCGAATCGCTTCTTCAGGCGTTGGATCGGTAACGTCGATCTTGGAGAAGAGCTTGAAACTCTCGTCTGCAAACTGTGCTGGGACTTTTGGCGCATTGTTGAGCTCGGCGTCGCTTCCGCTATCAGTCTCGGCTGTAGCCTCGAAGACGGGTTTCGTGAAGGCCATGGTGAGAATTCAGAAGGTGAAAAATTTGCTGAATGGGTGCATCCAAATGGCTCTCTTATCTCTGCGATCAAAGTCACAATTTAAACCAGATTGCCCCCACCTATCAGCCATTGCGCAATTCTGCAGGATGTCAGGTCTTGCCTCCTGAAAGGTAACCATTGTCGACTGTCGGAACATGGCCGAAGTAAACACCGAAACGGGCCGTCCACCAGCCTCCAAGAAAGAGTAAGACTTGTGGCATTGGACAAGCAACGCGCCAAGGTGCCTCCAAATCACGCCTCGATTCGCAATCGCGGGAGTTGCGTCAGGGATGCATTGCTGACGTGCTTGGCTTGCGATCAGGAAAACCACGACGCATGGAGAGCTTACCCCAACTCTCTCGGGCGATAAGAATTTTGGAGCTTCATAAGATGAGGGTTCCCTCGTTTCTGCGTGGATACTTGACATTGCTGTTTGCGTATATCCAAATAGGAATTGCGACGTCACAAAATGACTGAGCCCAGTCGACCTCTGAAAGTCCTTATCGCGGGGGCGGGCATCGCGGGGCTGGCGACTGCTGTGGCTCTAGAGCGTGTCTCTTCTATTGCGAACTTGAACGTGCAGCTCTACGAGCAGGCGCCTGAGCTTTTAGAAATTGGAGCGAGTATTGCATTGAGCCCGAATGTAGGCGATCCGACGATGGTCGTGGAGAGTACGCCGTACTGACGCCAAGTAGGGCATGCGCACATTGGAGAAACTCGGTATACATAGTGCACTGAGCGATGAAACCGGGTTTCGTGGCCCAAGTGGCATTCCTCAAATCTTTCGGTGCGTCAATCTCGAGAAACATGGGCCTTCCAGCAGTGCTTATGCTAACATACAACAATTAGACACTGGAGGACAAACCAGGTGATCTCTGTGGATACCCACAGCAACGTACCAGATAGTCGCCACCATACTACGCGCTTCCACCGAGGTCACCTGCATTCGGCGCTACTTGAGCATGTCCCTCGCGAATCGATACATCTGGGAAAGAGACTTACACGTGCAGAAGCCGGTAATAATGGTGTCGCGCTCTACTTCGACGACGGCAGCAGTGCGCATGGGGATATCCTCATCGGGGCAGATGGGCTTAAATCAGTGAGTCCAAAGTCTTCCCCTGGACAAGTAACCGCAACTCTAATGAACACGCCAGAAAGTCCGTCAATCCTTCATCCCGGAGTACAAGCTTCGCTTCAGCGGCAAGGTGTTTATGAGGTCCACGTTCGATGCGTCGTTGGTGGAAGGGAAGATCCCAGATTTACCGGCTGATTCGATGCATTGGTGGGGACCAAACGATAACTTCTTCGCGTCAAGACTTGGTATGAGCCAGCTGTAACCTTTGGACATGTTTTCCCCACAGTTAATACCCCACAGGTAAGAACCAGTATACCACCGTCGGCGCATACAGTGACCCGCGCACTTCTGAGGAGGTCGAACAAACGGTCGGGTGGGATCAGCAAGGCGATGTGAACTTTCTGCGTGAGCGATACAAGGTACTTGTGTCTCTTTCTATCAGTCCAAGGCCACGGTATACTAACCGTGTTCGTATGGTCAGAACTGGAACCCCGTCGTAAAAGCCTTAACCGGAGCGACGCCATCCACAAACCTCTACCCGAACTTTGCCGGCGACGCTCTGCAGACATGGGTCTTCGGCTCGCGGGTAACTCTGGTCGGAGATGCTGCACATGCCCATGGTGGTGCATTTGCCGCTGGCGGATCGCTTGCACTCGATGATGCGTTTGCGCTTGCTCTTGCATTCGGACATGTAGGGGACCTATCAATGGCAAATAATATTCAGGAGGCACTGCGGCTGTATGAGAGGACGCGACAGCCTCATACGAACCGTTTACTGCAGATTGTGCATGGGCAGTTGGATACGAACAAGAGGGCGGCGCCTGCAAAATCTGAGCAAGAGGAGGATGCGAGGCTGCTTGAGAGAATGAGGAATCGGCCGGATACGGAGTGGTTGTCGGAACATGATGTTGAGGCTGAGTTCAACAGGGCATCGCAAGAGTTTGACGAAGAGAAGAGAACCTTAGTTTCTGTCGAGTCGAGTGCAGGGACACGAGCAGACACGGCCCCCCTACAGCCCCCGGCAAGCAAGCTATAAAAACCTATGGTCGTCTACACATGTTGCCCTCCAGCTAAAGGATCTTCCCCTGCATATACTGGGAAGGGAATTGATGGCGAGTCTCCAGAGTAGATTGTCTAGCTTCATCCACCACAGCGCCTAGATAGTTGTCTTATTCCGTTCGGACGCTGAAACAGTTTCTAAATAGTTTATTCTCTCCTAGGTTCCCAGAGCACTGACCTGTAGCGTGGGTAATACCGGGGCAACAACTGATCAAAGGATCCTGGACCACAATAGGAAGAGTAAAATACCGCTGTTGTACCTACCGGAGTGCACCGGCAGCTCCTGAGATGACGACGCAAATCTATGTCCATGTCCCAATACGCGCCCCGGCGGCCCTAGAATGGTATTACCTGCAAGCAAGGCCCATTAATCCAAGGAAAGAAGCCACCCTCTCGTGGATTACCCTTATCCCAAATGTAAGAAGGCTGCCTTGATCAGTTACCCGAACCAGAACTTGATGCTGTGAAAGTGAAGCTATCTATCTACCCTTCCATCACAAAATTCCTGGAGTTGTCAATAATAATTCGCTGTTCTTCCATGGCTTTCACCATAGTGATACGGATCTCGGCGTCGGACGCCCCCATGGGACAAATTAGCCCGACTTCCAGTAACCTGCCTCTTTCCCACATGATCAAGATGATTATTCCATCCACTTCCATATGAAGGACCTGGAGGGACTTTCCCTGTTCCTATAAGGGAATCGAGTGCAGACAATATATATTGTGCGGTCAGGACAAAGCTGAACAGTGCTATGTTCAGAGCCGGCCTGATAAAAAAGCGCAGCCCACAACATTGATATGTATGTATATCCTCGACAAGCCGAATATGCGCTCCATATTAATCTATCTCAACTAACATCTTAAGGGGTCAACCTGCGAGAGAAAACACCCATCAAACATATGACTGGCTGTGCATGGGCAATGATCTGAAGAGTTTCTTTTCACCAGAGGTTGGAAATAGCACGGCCTTAAACAATGTATATCGTCGATACCTTGCTCAATAGTACGTACCTGGTGGGTGACCGAGCAGGCGTTCCGGCCACTGACTGTAGAAGATATATACCCAAAAGCAAGGCGAGAAAGTCGTCCTCGTCTTGACCGTATGCTAGCATACCTGCTACTTCTCCTATTTGGACTTCCGTGCAACAACCACAGTGAATCTACTAAAAATGCGTCTAACCGCCACAAAAAGGAGCACGGGCATAGCTGTCTCCTTTTCGACAACTGCATGGGTATCATCCGCGATGGGTCTCTTTCAATGAGAACGATCCGCTGGGGTGATTTAATGGAAGTTATGTGGGACCATTAGCGGGCAGAGTCTGGGCATAGGGGGTAGTGTGCCAGGTTGAGCATTGGCAAGTGACAACATGCAGGGTGATGGCCTGGCCGCCGAGGTATCTGCAGAGCGCGAATCGGGAAGAGATGGGAAGGCACCTGGCTGCGTTTTATCGGACGATCCCTTATTGGTTCGGGCGACACGAGTAACCATTCTCAGTCCTGGACTCCCGCAAATCCGCAAACACAGCCGTGCGATCACAGCCGTAAATCAGAGCATACGAGGAACAGCCAAACCTGAAGTGTCGTACGCGAATTGGCATAAAGTCCGCCTGATATCCACGTTGTCTGAAATCGTCGCGCCAAACCCTCCTTTCTCCTGTCATTTACAATCTAGCAAGATCAACTATTATCTCCGTGAGCCGAACTGGTTGACCCGCACATTCCAATAATGGACGGCACCATGAACCTCCCATGTATCCTCATGCTTGTATTCCGCACTACCTTCGCCATTGGTATGTCTACGTCTCCTCGAGGCAACGGCCTCTAGACATTCTATCCATTACTAACTTAAGTCCCTGCCATAAAGGCCAAAGCAATGACGATCTCAAGGATGCTATGAGGGTTTGTCTTGCTGAGGGTGAGGATTATAACTAGTTTTAAAAGTGTCTTAAAAGTAAGTAGTTTGCCTTATCCATGTTAAGCCCTTCCACCTTTTACCTATTAGAGCCGTCCCTATAGGCTCTTGACTCGTCTAATGTCCCGCCTAGCCCCTAGAGGCCTATGATGATGATGGCGATGACGATGATGACAATGGTGGTAATGAGGACAATGGTGCCTGGTGGAGTGAAGGGGCGCTCCGCCCAGGCGATCGATCTTAGTCCCACGCTTCATCGTATGCTCGTTATACCACCACCAAAATACTAGGCATGCATACCAATATTCCAATCGGTCCTAGACCACCAACTTGAGCAGCATTTGGGCCACCAAGCAAGAAGCCAGAGAGCCCGTCGCACAAGGGATCCTTGGCGCATGGAGTACATACACCCGACGTGTTAGTGGTTCCCCGCTGTATCTTGGGCCACAGAGTAGGTGCAGAGGGCAAACGGAGCAAGGGGCGTGTGTATGGTCGTGCTGGGATCTGCCAGAAGTCTGCGCCCAAGTATTAAACGTTCTCCGTGTCCTCCTTAACTTCGCAACGGATACTAAGTGGAATAACGGCACCATACTCGTACGCGTACACGTACCCGCCCTATACTACCTTCATACTAGATATCTTTGGCACATGATCTAGAGGTTCGGGCGACACGAGTATCCGAAATAAGGGCGGTCATATGGACGCGGCTAGATGAACGGGATTCCTACCCGGTGTCCGCAAAACCAAGGACACAGAAGCATGCAGAGGTTGATGGCAGGATAAAGGGTAACCCAGTTTGGTTATAAATCCAGCACACACGACCAGAAGGTGTGGAAAACAGGGCTTCCGGTCTAGTCAGCTGTAGTTGAGTCACACTAATAAACGTGGCCAAAAATTGAATAAGCACTAAGCATATCGCTACTCTATAGGTAATACATGGTATATTATATTATAGGTGAGACGGGTAAGACAGGTAAGGACTTAATAAGAATATTACCTACTAGGGCAATGAGATGGTTAGCCCCCTAAACTACAAGACATAAAGACAGGGTCTATAAAAAGATCTACTAGACGATTAGGCAGGTAATCATAAGTAGCAAGAAGATACTAAAAGAGTTTAATATATATCCAGACAAGGAAGAGAAAGACGCCGAGGAGTACTCTAGGATGGTAGGTTATATAAAAGAGATTAATAGCCTAAGGGACGGGCCAAGGTAATTCCATCATTTCTTATATTAAAATCAGACAGTAGAAAGTCAGCCGTGATACGTCAGGTGCCTTGGCCAAGGACATTCATGCAGAAGAAGTCGATGGTATGAGAAGCATTACCCTAATTTTTACTTAGGGTAGTACCACCTGTCCTCTAGCTTCGCTCAAGCCACACGCTGGTAGTTTGGTAATATAGTAGGTAACCATGTCCAAATCCCTACTGTGGTATGTTTTTCATCCTTGATTTTACTTACTTTTCCTAGGTTTACGTTTTGTTTCTTGTATGTGGAAATTGCTCTCCCTAAGCGGGCAATTGGTGTCCTGCACAAAGAGAATTAAAGAGCGCCGATGATAACGACAACCCTGAGTCACGTCCTGCATTCATGAGAGTTAGCTGTGAGTCAATCTGCGTGGCGGCGCTGGTCTGAATGAGTTAATCTATTGACCATGGCTTTTGCCTTGGCCACAGGGGCCTACCCAGGTTTAACAGAAGGATGACAAGAGTTTATAGCATGTGTGCCTCAAATCCCAGCTGGACCTGGAGCACATGTGCCCTATTATGGTTTACTGATTGGCTCTGAATCTCGTATTCTCGGTTATCCGCGCAGCTTTGAAGGGAGCCAAGTGCCTCGGCTTCGTATCTTCAATAAGCGGCTGGTGCACGGCTGCCAAAGTCCCATGTATCGTACTGAAGGGCGAGGTGAACATTATTAACGGGACTTGGCTACCCTCAATCGCGTCAGTCTGTCTTTCTCGTGTTGACTGTTCAGTTTTGCGGCTTCTCGCAGATTATACATGGCTCAAACAATAGCGGTCGGACGTTTGAGATTTCCTATTGCTACGACTATCACATTGCTGGCTTTCTTCAAACCACCCTGTAGAGTGAGCCTCCTATCGTCGACTCACACTCAACAACAAGGTACCAAGGCCCTGATAGTGCCCAGCAGCCGTGTCTCTAGGACCACAACTATTGTGCGGAGACTCCGCGGGGCCTAGCCAGAGACCCTTAACGCACTGAGACATTCAGGGTCCTCAGGTCTTCAGCCATCCAGTCATAAATACACGTGGGATGATTGGTTTAGCGCCAAGGGGCTTGTCACACCCTGCATGCAGAATCAATCAATGAACGTAAGCTCCACCTACCCGATGCGGGTGTAAGTCGCGAGTCTAGCAGTGATCTTGAGTATATGCATCTTGTCTCTTGAGGATACTTGGTAGTATACGTCTTGGCTCTCCAATGCTACCCCTTGGCGCCCATAACGTACTCAAGATTATGAATCTGAGTCTCCATTAGCGCGCACTGTAGGGGAAGAGTAGACCTATAAAAGGGGCCTTCTCGCTCCGAAGAAAAGCAAAGTAAATACCACGATCAGCACACTTACACAGGAAGCGATAAGTCAATATACCCAAGACAAGATCAATGACAAGGACTCTACTAACAAAGCGTAGCCGACCAAACCGCCCACCATGAAGCTCAATCTCGCCCTCATGACCGCCATCGTGGCCCTCGCCCCTGCCGCCTCCGCCTGGCGTGTGCGCTTCTACGAGCACAAGGACTTCAAGGGTAGAGAGCACACCCGCGCTGGGCCCGGTAACCCCGGGTCTGCGTGCCAGGGTGCCCCGAACCCAATTAACAACGAAATCTCCTCGTTCAAATTCTGGCCGGAGAACGCGGAGGGCACGACTAGCTGCTGCTTGCAGCTCTTCAACTCTCTGGACTGCGAGCCTTCGAGTCTGCTGAGCTACCCGCTTAACTGCAAGTACAGCGAGTACTCGGATTTGCAAAATACGCCACTGCAGGACAAAATCAGCAGCTATCGTACAGTCTGCCGCCTTATTTAACTGCGGGTCGTGTCCTGGGATTTAGTGTACCGGGGAATGATGGGAGTAGTTGAACGTGGTGCAGCGCAGAAGCGAGGGCATAGGTTCGCAACGCTTCGGGATTGGGACAAGGTGGATGATGACAGGGATACAACACACTTCCTCTATATACAATAAGAAAGATATCTTGTTATATCCCTGCCGCGGGCAATACCAGTCTCATTCGTGTACGGTTCTGCGGCGGTCGTCTCTCCACAGCCCCACACAGACCATGTGTCGACTGCTGAGGCGGTGCGATCGTTTCACATATAACAGGAAAGGCCGACTAGGACCTGGACAAATGCTGGCCTCGCCGGGAGTACAGTATCTGCGGGTCGCTCGCATAATAACTCGACACTGTTGTAGTGGCCCCTCTGTTGACCAGGGGCCCGGAAGGCTGAGCTCCCCCATGACCATACTTTCGTAGCTTTAGGGATTAGTCGGTGGTATATCATAGGTTGAGCTCTGGCAATTCCTACTCGGACTATTGGAGTACCAGGCGCTAAGGTACCTTGGAAACCAGAACCCCTTGAGAGTCATACACCACCACGAAAGCATCACCAACCCACAACAAAACGAAGGCACTGGGGGCTGTACCCAATATGTCAACAAGAAGAAGCAAATGAAACAGTCCTCACTTCTTGCCTTTGGCAGGGATTGTAGGATACCGCTGTGCCTGGAATCCCAGCGCATAACATCAAAACAAGACCCATCGACCAGCAAATCAGCATTCAAAATATATTACTGCACATTCCGCAATGAAACAAGAGCGGGCCTTCCCTTATGGCCTTTCATGTACATTTTCGAGCATGGTGTGTCAGGGCTAGGGCGGCAAATTCTGCCCCTGTGGTTCGGTTTGCCCGTCCTCTATGCAACGAATGAAACAAGAACAAAAGCCACATTTTTATAATACAGTTTTTGAGAAGCCATGTCGAGGAATCAGTGGACAAGGCAACACCACTTCCACTCCCCTGACTCACACTCCCTCAGTCTGACAACTCACACATCGGAAGCAAGGCTGAGGCAGGGCATCATATGGCGATCATCGTTACGTCCATTGAGCGTGCTGCTCGCTTTGTCCTCAAACTCTACACTCGCGGGGCAACCCGTTCGGATCATCGGGAGCTGATTTTATTGGTGGTTTATAAAGAGGTTCGTTGCAATATGCTGCAGCCACACTTGCTGACGTCAGCCCCGGTGTGTGAGAGACTCTATCTTGGATAGTCAACCGCCGCTGTTGACGATATTTTAAGCGACGTGGGATAAGACTACCTTGTTGCAGCGGCGAGGCTATGCCTACGCGAACGCCTTGGACAGGGCGGTTGGTGGTTGAGTCTCAAGATCGACGAACCATACCATGAACCGCATGAACCCCTGCTCGCTCCGCCTCCGCACTGTCAGGGGTCGTACAGTGTTTTGGAAAAGTGAACGGTAGGTCAAGGCCAATACATATTACTGAAAGCAAGGCTCTTGTACGAGGACTGATGGAACCGGCGGCTCTGGGTGGACGCGAGGAATATGAAGATGACAATCAACTCAATGTATCGCAGCGTCTGTTTGAAGTAGAGCGTTGCACAGCACCTGTCGAGACTAGGCAATAAATTTGTACACGTCTGTACTCTGTACGGATATCCATTTCGACAATCGTACTATACTGGCAGCAAGTAGCCTGCTATTAGTATGGCCATGAACCACCCGGAATCATTATGGGTTCAATATTGACCCAGCCCAGCGAAGCCTCAAGGGCTCACGATCTGGATGTGCCAACTTAATCGCTGGATGAGCACTCAAAATAGAAATTGGCGCCCACCCGTAATGGAAGAACAAGGAAGCCACAGAGCCTCGTCATACTCGGATTATTGGACTCATGCTTGCCAGCCACGAGCGCGTAAGCTGCACTCTGAACCTTGGTAGCAAACAATGTTGGCATTAAATGGGGGCCAAAAGTCGAAAAACGGGTTAACTACGCGCCTCAGTGAGCAGGCCAAGATGCTCATCGAAACGCCAGAGCCTCACAGTGGTCGCCAGACATGACCCTCTCGCAAAGGGATGAACTACTGGCTCTCATTTCTGATTTACCACAACCGCCCGGCTGACACATCCTGCACAAAATTGCAGCAACAGCCTTGCAGTCAGATATAGGCAGCTGGACCTACACTCACCCCCTACTGGCAGGCTCTGTGTCACTAGCAAGTATCAAGATGCTTAAGGGGTTGCGGCGCGTAGAAACTCGCATAGTGGTATTGAGTGTTGGATTGGTAGATGAAGACGGAGGGAGATCATGAATGTGCCAGCCACCATCATTATAAAAGGTCGAACCTGCTCTGTCGTATCTCCTCTTCTCCTCACAAAACACTCCATCAACTCGTCCAAGCAGAACAGAAAACTCTACAAGCACCGCTATGAGAATCATGCATCTCCCACGAGCTCTCGCCGTTGCGGCCGGCTTCTGCGCCCTTCTTGTTAGTATCATTGCCAATTGTAACGATATGTACACAAGCTGATTGGTTGTGCGTATGATCACAGTCTGCCGCCGGGGAATCCCCCATTCCAGGATTTGAGCTCGTGGACGTGGCGTGGGATGTTGAGGTCTTCCCTGGCGGTCCACATGTTCTTTTGAATGGTACAGTACAAGACGTTTACGAACAGCTAATCGAACTCAACCCCGATTTCATCATCGACCTGAGCGATCTCTATGACGAGGACGACGACGTAGATGAGGATTCGTTGTCGACATTAACGCCATCGACCTCGTCAACTCGATCATCCAGCCTCGGTGTGGCTCAGCCCACGCCATCAACAATCGTCGAAAAGCGCCAGAGCCTTCGAGACTACTTCTGCTTCGGAAGGTGGCCCGGTGCCAGCCGTCGGCGCATTGGAGAGGGAGTAAGCTATCTACGACGCATCCCAGGGACACCCACCCTGGGGCCCGGGCCAGGATCCTGTGGCAGGGTTAGCTGCTCGTATGACGCGGCCATCTATATGTGCAATGATGTGAGTTCATCCCACCTTTGAATATGGTGTTATTTCGCTTGCTAATCCTAATCGCCCTGTCTGTAGAACTCCGGATACTACACCCTCAGCAGTTGGAACCTCGTGGCTGATGGGGCGGACTTTATCAACTCTCGTTGCATCGGCGGTGGGGACACTGCAGGCCAGATTTTCTACCATGAAAACTGGAACGTGATTGTTCGTCAGGATAACTGCTAGCGTGGTGCTTTGGTGCTTTAGGGACGAGGAGGAAGAGTGGCGGGGCGCTTCTTTTGTTGTCCATTTATAGACAGGGTTGATCTTTGGATGCCGCTAGGATTCAGCCTCAACGCTGAATTCATCATTAGCCAGCATTCCTTCCCTTTTGTTTTGCTGATTTAGTTCGTCTTTTTGCCCTACGAGTTTGCTGGGGCTTACGAGATTGATGTCCGCTGTTCTTGTTTTCTAAAACGTGTATGCCTGAAGATTCCTGTTTAGCATTGAAGTGCAGAATAGATGTTTTTGTTATGCATTCATTAATGGACTCATCTGAGGAAGTGATGACTCCTTATGTCCCAGTGGCTTACTCGGAGACGGGCAAGGTGCGCATTAGTTAGCATTGCATGCCTACAGTATATCTCCCAGGGATACTCTTAACGGACCTTACCTTCAATTCTCGTCTGATAGTTCCAGGACCTTGGCTGTAGACAGCGGCACTCCGTAATGGTGACCATGTGATGATTAGAGGGGAACCATGTTCCGAGGACCATCTTACTGTTTTACATAGATGGCCTATTGAAGTAAGAAGGCTTTGTGTAAGGCCATGTTCCAACCACTTGTCCGTGAATACCCACCTGCCTGCCTATCCGGGCTACGATATTCCCTTATTCATTGGCATGTCCTTTGCACAATAGTTATTCCCACCATGGGCGAATATTAGACTTGCTTTTCATCCGTCATGTTAATCTGTTACTTGTAATACTGTGATTGGCATTATGAACATGTTCTTTCTGTGGCCGTTCCACGGGTGTCACTTTTGGGCCAGAGAAGGCGAACGAGTTGCTTATCCTGCCCTGAACTGTCGCTGTAATGTAGGCGCACTATGTAAGGGCTATATATGTGATACAAGCATTGAACCACTCCCTATATCTAAAATCCAGATATAGGATCCGGTCCGTAAATATTGAGAGCGCAATGTTTTCTCTATCGATCATGGATCAAAGTCACATAAGACCGCCACCATCGAGCGGTATTCCTGACTGGATTTTCGTCTATATTCCACCCTCTAGTCATTTCACTACCTCATTACCCCTATACAATCAGACGGCATTCCGACGTTTCGACTAAGTTTCTGTATTCTCATCTTCTGCACGGTGCAGGCCCTGCCATCCAATGGGGGCGATGCACCCCGGTTTACGGTAGCTCAAAGTGTGGCAGACAGACACAGAGGTCCTGCTGCAACGAGGCAAAATATGGAGGCGATACGACGACAATCGTCGAGGGATTGAGTAACCTGCTCGAAGTTGGGCCTGCTGCAGAAGGATTGGGGATCTTTACCGCCTGTTCGAAGCTCGATGGCCCAAGTATGGATGCTACCCCTCTGAGCCGTTTAACGCGACGTAGTTTCCATCGGTGTCGAGGATATCCTTAATCACCAGTGCGAGCGGAATATTGTTTGCTGTGATAAGAGTGGAGGCGGAACGCGGCCCTGTATTGCCTTGGGATCTATTCTCTGAATTCATCTAGTATTTGTCTATCGTAGATACCGAGTCCATTCTTCGTAGTCAACGAGCCAAATGGGCTTTTCGTCCTCCACTTCCCTATCCATAGCCCTAGTGAGAGTCGAGCGTTGCCGTTGTAGCCGACAATCGCCACAAGATGTATCTCGCCAGATCGCGGTGTTGGGTGGCTACTCCGACAAGATTCGGAGACTTTGTAATAGTCATGAGTGCCGGGAAAAGTTGCACTGGATTGATAGTATTCCAAATCGTCTTCAAGCCACAAATGAGGCAAACCAACAGGCTGGAAACGCATACTTTGACTGAAAGACGCCCTGCTGGCAGAGGCGATGTGACTGAGTAAAACTGGAGCACGGCTGACTCATCGGGCAGGCGATGGGCCACGCTAAAGGCCATTGCTCCGTTACCGGAGCCAACAAAATCGCTGCCGAAAAGCCGCTCGAAGCGAAGACTGAAGCACCGCAGTCTGCGAATTCCAAAACCCAGCGATGCCCAGCGCTGGATCGATAGAGTGTGGTTAAGGTGAGACCTGTTCGTCATGGCGCTAGTCTCACATCATGACCCACAGCGGCAGTCCCAAAATCTATTTCTGGCCACCCCAACGTGCGGACATGGTGTTTATTCTGTCCCTTGGGCGCTCATTGAGCACAGCTGACCGTTGGATTCTTGCCTGATTGGAGGGTCGGCTCGATTTACCATGACTTGTGAACTAGCCTAGACCCGCAATTTCGAAGGTTCCAGGGACCCAAGGGTGCGTGACACAAAAGCCAAGCTTGGATTGTCCACGTGCAGACAAATTGGTATTGTGCAAAGTTGTCTACGATTGGCCAAGGGAGCATTAGTGTGAAACACCCTGTTCTCTAACCTCTTGGTCCTATTAAGTATACCAGCACTACTACTGGTTGAAAATTCACAGCATGAAGATCTAAGCACCCAAAATCCTGGTTGAGTTGCGTTGACGAATATAGTAATGATAGCTACTGGCCTTGATAAAAGACCCTTTCCCACACCATTGTCCGTATTGATCTCACAACGCCATATGCTCTGTCATCCACTTTCGCCCCCACCTCAAAGTCGCCGAGTCTTCACGAGCGAAAGCAGGATATTGTAACCGATTATTGGTCCCTGCTCTACACGGCGCCTGTTCATCCGAAAGCCAATGTCTCACTGATGGCGATAACAATGAGCAGGCCAAAATGACATATACCTCTGTATATGTATATAGTCTAGCGATAGCCTACACATTGTCTGGGCATTGAGAGGCCAGCACAGTCACTGCATCTCTCTGCAATGGACTCCCGACCGAACAGTGGGGTACCTGATTCCGGCTCCACCAAAAGAAAACCCTCGCTCCTGGAACCCAGCCCGCCTGATAAATGTGAACCCTCGACAACGCAGCGCAGTTTCATGTTTGTTGATACTCAAAATGACCTGTCTCAGGAGTTTGGAGTCGGGAGAGAAAAAATGGCGTTCCTTTCTAAACTGGCCCACCGACGAAGGAAGAAAGAGTCCATCCAAAGGCTCAAAGCGACTCAGCGCGCAAACAACCAGCAACTAGCCACTAGCGAGGACCTGGTTATGCAAGGTGCGACAAGGCAGGGAGCATGGAAATTGAACGGATACTTGGGTCAGGGCTACGTGGATCCCTTTGACACCAGCTCCGTGGCCATGACAGACTCGATGAATCTTTACTTCCACCATTGTGTGTTCATTCCTGATCATCGGCGAGGGAGATATCATGCTAACCATCTTTATAGTTCGCGTCCAGGTAGCGCCAACGGCGATTCCTTTTGACGGCGCTAGAGAGGGCAGAGTATGGGCCCAGGTGTCTGCTTCGCTCCCTGCCCTTCGTTATATAGGGCTGTTTCTGGCAGCGGAGAATAAGGCGGTGCTGGAGTGCACTCATAGAGTGTCTCTATCAGCTAGTGCAAAATCATCCCAGGAGGCTATCCGCTTCAGGGTTGAAGCGATCAAGCACTTGAATAACGCCCTTCAGCACCCTGACACCGCAGTGTCTGAGTCAACTCTATGGTGCGTGTCCACTATGAAGCATTGCGAGGTATGTGATCGGAATGAGCTTATACTTGGCAAGGAGTTAACACCAACAACTAGGCGCTTAGTGGGCAATTCACGGCATTACAGGCGCATAAGAAGGGGCTCTGTGCCCTCATCGACTTGGCAGGAGGTCTGGAGAAGTTAGGACATGCACTAGTCTCAACGATCTACCAGTACATGATCTATCGAATCCCGGAGAGAGTTTGCATCACTGACCGACAGCAGGGGCGATATCGCGACAGCGGCGCTGAACGATTCCCAGCCATGTTTCCCCATGTTGCCGAGCTTTCGACGCGCGGTCCTGGACGAGGCAGCAATGTTCTCTTCCAGTGATGGCAACTACGACTATGGGCAATCCATACCTCGTCCCTTATCAGGTTTCGGTATGCGTTTTATAGACGCTGCATGGTATAGGGAGCTGAACAGCGACATGAGGACAACTCTCCACGCCTGTCGCCGACTCTTCGTGCATTTCGAGATGGCGACAAAATTCCCCACACTCGTCAAACCCACTGGCAAGGACCTTTACATTATTCTTCTACATCATCTACTCTCTCTCCGCTTTTCGCACCGCGAACACGACCTGAATGACCCCCTCCGTCGCACCTTGTTTGCATACACCTACCTGCGTATCTGGAATTTTGGAGGCTTTTCCGTAACACGCCATATTCTGAATGGGTTAAAGCGGAGCTTAATTTCCCACCTTGCATATTTCCAAGCTACTGCCCCAGATTTGCTGTTATGGATAACCTTTATTGGGTCCATGGCATCGCAAGGATATGAACACTATTCTTGGTTTGTTGGGACGCTTCGGGATGTCGCGGTCCATATGAACGTGATGGAATGGCATGAGGCACGAACCATACTCGTGGGATTTTTCTACAGCGATCGTACTGGATACAGAACAGGGGAGAATTTATGGGACGAGGTTATGGCGCCTTCGCCACCCCACCGTGTATAGGTCCCACAGCGTCGGAATTTATTTCTGGGCTAACTCCAACGGGAGATGCTAAAGATATACTATAGAGGCTGCTACATATGAAAAAGGAGAAATTCAAAGATGATATCATTACTATCGGTTCAGCAGGACTCACTCAATGTTGCTCACACTTAAATCCGGTAGGAGGCATCAGTCTTATCTAGCAGCCGCATATAAGCAGACAGCTCCTTGAGGCCATACGCAGCCCCGGAGAAACCCTTCTTATGCATCACCTCATACGTCTTATTGACCGTCTGGTCACTGGGCATGTTGAGATTCCCCGCATCTCCCAACGCACAGGCGGAAGCATGAGATTGGATGTCGGTCGCCGCAAGGACCTGATACATGAGATACCATGCCGCCCCAATAGAGGATCCCGCGGTAATAATGCCGTGGTTGCGCAGGAACATGATGTTCTTGTCACCCATGTCCTCCGCTAGACTCTTCTGCTCGTTGCGGTCGACGACCACGCCCTGGTAGTCATGGTACGCGATCGGGCCCACCTGATGGCTTGTCTGGGCCAGCTCGAGGAAGCCCTGCTTTAGCGACGAGACACCGGCTGCGGAGGGGTAATGGCAGTGCATTACACTCTGGAGGTCCGGTCGGGCGCGGTGGATGGCGCTGTGGATCACAAAGCCGGCGTCATTGATCCCGAACAGGCCGTCGGTGACACCGGGATGCTTGACCGAGCCGTCGGCGCCGACTTTGATGAGACTGCTTGCGGTGACTTCGCTGTACAGAAGGCCAAACGGGTTGATGAGGAAGGACTCGGAGCCGTCCTTTTCGTGGACCTTGGCTGTTAGATGGCCGTAGATGTTTTCGTTCCAGCCCTTCAGTCCGAAAAGGCGATAGGTGGCCGCTAGTTCAATGCGGGCTTTGGCCTCCTGCTCGGAGAACTCGGGGAGGATGGAGGTTTTGAGGAGCTTTGAGACATGCTCTGAACTGTACTGCGCGTCGGGTGCGTAGGTCTGGGGTGAGAACTGGGTCGTGAACGATCTAGTAGCGGCAGCTAGGAAGGGTGCAAGGGGGGTTCTGAAAGGCTGAATAACGGCCCTGGAAAGGGCTCGTGGAAATTGGAGGGTCATGGTGGTCTAGTGAGTTCACAGTGAGGGACAGGAAACTCACTGACGAATGTCCTGCTGTATCATGATGTAGACACAGGGACTTTATATTCTTTTCTCAGTCGCCACAGGATCAATTTTGGGTCATCGTAATGATGTATCGAAGCGTCCTCAAATCAAAGTGCCAGCAGCAAGCATGGATCCCGGTGCCCGAACTACCAGGCAGCAGACATTGCCGATGACCAATGCAATATCACGAAACTGACAGCGATGTGCTCAGAAGGAGTACGATCCCTGTACGACTAAGAAATACGGTGCAGAGCTTATAAAATCAAGCCACTGGCATGAGCTGGGAAATTAGCTTACTGTAAGCAAGCATGAGGCTGACCTCAGCTAGCGTCAAGCATATTATCACTGCTCTACCCAGACCACTTGCCAGCCCGGTTCTAGATTAATGCTTTCCGAGTGACCTGAATCTGAGATTCCAACGATGCGCTATATGGAGACATGAGATTGAGGATGAGGTGATGGCTCGATTCCCTAGCGGGCTGCTGGCAATCTCCGGTTCCAGGCCGAGGCGAGTGGAAGATGTCTTTCTTGGCCCATGGATCATCCTACCTATATTGGGTTGACCATGTCATTGTGTCTGTGATTGTGCTTTATTTAATTTTCTCTGCTATTGCCGTCTGCCTGGCGTTGATCATCTGAGATGTCCCTTTTCCGCAGAACTGCGTCCCGCGCAGCGCAAGCCTCGCCTGCTCGTGCTCACTACGTTCGCGGATGCCGCCAAGGGAAATTGACGGTCACTCCATGCGCTAAACACGCGGCAAGGCGCGGCTTTGCTACCACACCATCATCTGCATCGGCTGCGTACTCAAGATGGGCTTTCCTTCTTGGTGCTGGCCTTGCAGTTAGCGGCGCAGCGACGTTTTTGTACACGAAACAAGAAACACCGACGAGCCTGGAAGCTGTTCATGCACCGTCACAGGAGGATTACCAGAAGGTGTACAATGAAGTCGCCCGGTTGCTGGCCGAGATGGACGAGTATGACGATGGGAGCTATGGGCCGGTGAGTCTCTCTCGATAAGCTGCCGCGATAATAGAAAATTCTGGAATTGCGCTCACATTCTGCGTCGCGCTCACAGGTTGTCCTTCGTCTTTCGTGGCATGCGAGCGGCACCTACGACAAGAACACTGGAACCGGTGGCAGTAACGGTGCAACGATGAGGTTCGCGCCAGAGTCCAATCACGGCGCCAACCTGGGTTTGGTCAATGCACGCGACTTCTTAGAGCCAGTAAAGAGTACGCACTGGATTAACGTTCCGATACAGCTGCCCAATGCTAACATCGTACAAACAGAAATGTTCCCCTGGATCAGCTACTCCGACCTCTGGACCCTGGCCGGCGTCACAGCAGTGCAGGAACTCGGCGGACCCACGGTCCCATGGCGCCCAGGACGACATGACGCTGATAGCAAAGCCTGCACGCCGGACGGTCGTCTACCAAACGCCGCAAAAGGCCCTTCGCACCTCCGTGACATCTTTTACCGGATGGGCTTTGACGATCGCGAGATTGTAGCGCTTAGTGGTGCGCATGCACTGGGCCGCGCGCATACCGATCGAACCGGATACGAGGGGCCATGGGACTTTAGTCCGACCGTTTTCACCAACGAGTTTTTCCGGCTACTGGTTGAGGAGGACTGGCTGCAGAGAGAATGGGAGGGGCCGCTTCAATATACAGATAAGACTACGAAGACGCTCATGATGCTGCCGACTGATATGGCGCTGGTTGAAGATGCGGGGTTTAGGCCGCATGTTGAGCGATATGCGAAGGATAGTGATGTCTTTTTTCAGGAATTTGCAGACGCCTATGTGAAGCTACTGGAGCTGGGCGTCCCCTTCAAGGGGGATGGGAGTGAGCGCTGGGTGTTTGAGAGATCGGACTAGGTTTACGCTATTTGTCCAATAGCTTAATGTATTCCTTTTACCCATGACTTGTTTACTTTCTGAACCATTACTTGGGAACATTCCTAGATAGCCACGGCGATAACGGGGATCGGGCGAGGTGATTTGCTTCCCCGGATGTCTGCCCTCCGTGTGCTCAAATATTAGTCGCCTTCTTCGATTGCAATCCCACTTTTCTCCCCCAGAGCCACCTGTGGTGGAGAAGATGTGGTCCAGCCTCCAACGTTCGTCTCCCAGAATATATCGCGTAGCCCCGCATGTACCAATCCGTCATCAAAAAAGACGTCTTGATTGTTGGAGACTTGGAAGCAGTTGGGTCCATCAATTTAGCTCTTGTCTCAGACTCTCAAACTTGGGGTTCAGGGACCAGTCGTCTTTGATAAGCACACACTACACTTGGACCAATCGGGGCTCTCCACGAAAGCCGTTGGATTACACACTGTGGAGTCGCTCTGAGTAAGCAGGCATGTGATGCTTGTGGTCCTTTGGCTGAGCTGTCGGCAAAATAAGCTACTTTCCACTTGTCTCTGTCTCAGAAAATCGCTGCCATGACTCGGTAGCCTTTTCCGTGTCTCAGACCAAGCAGTAGAGTGCTTATGTCTCGTCGCTCAGCATTGTCAGCACGGATGATGACGAATCAACCCTCTAGTAACTAACTATTTGGAATCATGGTCGCTAAGCTGTACTGTCGTCTCCTAATATATGATTTGAGGATTGTGGCGTCTATTAATTAACGTCCCGCTTCGCATCATACGATGTTTTGCTCAGGATGGGTATCGTTTCGCTCCAGCAGTTCCGCTGCTTGGTAGATTACTGCAAGGTGTACTAATCAGCCTCACCTCGACACGTGATGATCCTACGGCTATATAACCGCAATGGGCAGATTGTGCATTCGTATATCGAAACGTGATCGTTGATGACGGCAGTCGGTGCTTCTAACCTTGGAGCTCTTCTCGAATTCGGTCCATTTGATCGCCATGTCCTGGTTAACGCCCTCGCCCGCTAGGGGGATCGGCGCAGCTCCGAATGCCTATCACCTTGTCTATGCTCGACCAGCGGCTACCACCGGTATTCAACGAAATCTCCCGGTATATGGCACCAGATTCAACTCCTCGGAGTCTGGCGACAACTCTAAAGAGTTTTTCCCCCCGCCCAAGGCACCTCATATCAAGCAGGTGAAAACAGCATGGGTTCATCCGGTGTAAGTTTGGCACTTTTCCATTGCTCTCATCCGGAGAGGACTGACCACATATGGTACCCAGGTACACGGATGAGCAGATGCGTGCGGTCGCCGTTGGCCACCGTGATGCGAAAAATTGGTCTGACCGTGTAGCTCTTGGTACCGTCAGGGTTTTGCGCTGGGGAATGGATCGTGTTTCAGGGTACAGGCACCCTGCCCCAGGGCAGGAGCACCTTCCCCGGTTCCAAATGACCGAGAAGAAGTGGCTTACACGCTTTATCTTCCTTGAGAGCGTCGCGGGGGTTCCGGGGATGGTGGGTGGGATGCTTAGACATCTTCGAAGCCTGCGGGGGTTGAAACGGGATAATGGCTGGTGAGTGAATACTAAGCTCTACAAAAATTAAGCACTTCGACCAAGGCTAAGAAAGGTCAGGATCGAAACGCTTTTGGAAGAAGCTTACAACGAACGAATGCATCTGCTTACCTTTCTGAAACTCGCCAAACCCGGGCTCTTCATGCGCCTCCTCGTCCTCGGCGCACAGGGAGTCTTTTTTAACGGCTTCTTTCTCTCGTACCTTGTCTCACCTCGAACCTGTCATCGCTTCGTGGGGTACCTGGAGGAAGAGGCCGTACTTACCTACACCCGTGCCATCAAAGACCTTGAAGCAGGTGCGCTTCCGGGGTGGGAGAAGATGGAAGCTCCTGAAATCGCCGTACAGTACTGGAAAATGCCAGAGGGAAACCGAACCATGAAGGATCTTCTTTTGTATGTACGGGCTGACGAGGCGAAGCATCGAGAGGTCAACCATACTTTTGGCAACCTCAACCAGGCATCAGATCCTAATCCGTATGCTGCTGAGTATAAGGATCCTGCACAGCCTCATCCGGAGAAGGGCCTCACGCATGTCAGGACGAAGGGGTGGGAAAGGGATGAGGTTATTTAGGGTTGGAGGTGTTGTGTACAAAATATGAGACCCTTCATAGCGCTTTCTTTAACATATAGTAACTTCAATGGACCCGTAGGTTGGCCGAAGGTCTCAAGCAACCGCTTTGTTGGGGTAAAAATCTTGTACTGCCAGACAGGCGTAGCCTATCTCAGATACCTAAGTAGCGAGGGCCCTGCCTCCATTCGGGGGGCAAGCAGGTCCGTAGGAATGACTCTCAAGTCCTTCGAGACGGGCACTCGCTGAGTCAAGCCAGCCATTGAAGTTGTCCACATTCTTACTACCGGAACTTTGTTCTCATTATCTCGAACCACTCAGAGGCATCTTAGAATTGAAGCATGACGTCCAACAGTCGTGCATGGGCTTTATCCCCGCTACAAATCTGTGCACAGAAATTGGTTCATTCCATAACATCGGCCGAGTGGACGTCGTCTCACTGACCTCCTACCGCTTCACAATGAGGCATCTCGTGATATATTGCAATTCGCAGTCATGGTTCATTGATCCGGACATCCCTTTTGCTTTAGCTTTCATTTTGCTCTTCGTCTCTTTAGCGCAGCCACTGGTTGAGCATCTTATTACCTCAACCCCTTCATCTCTTCACGCCTCCATTGAGTATGTGTTGGTACTTTGCTCTGGTAGGTTATGTCACTAGCTCTTAGTCTTCTGAGCATAATGATGATGGCGTTGATCCAGATTGTTTGTCACGGTGCGCTTCCAGGCCATCAGCCCTATCTATACATTAGCCCTCTGTGTTGTACTTTGTTACCTCAATTCAATCTAGTGTCCTGCCGAGCCCTAATAGGGCAGCATGCAGGGGTTGGATGCCGAGGTACTTGCTCTGATGAGTTGTAGCCAAGCTGTAAGGCAAGCCTCAGATGTAACCTTGCTCGTTCCTTTATACCAATCGAGTAATTGGTTTGGATGGGGCGATTCGAGGCTCGGGGATATCCGTGGATCGGAATTGATACGGACCAACTCCGATGGTCCAACGAGGGAATCGATCACCGACACCCTCAGAAGGCCTCGGGCAAGATTGGCGGGCGAGGCCGACGACTCCAGGACATCAACACCGGGGACAGTCCAGGCGGCCGTTACCAATTTCCCAATCCGGAGCTTCCAAAACGTCCGCGCAGACGCACCCGATGCGCTCTTCTCGCGAGCGGGTTCGCGGTTGCGCGCTGATTGCACGGCTCACAGGGCGAACGCTGCAGATAGACTGCCTGGCGTGATGAGTCAGTGATTACGGACGAAAGCCGAGCCGCTATTCGTGGTTTAGGTGCGTTAAATCCTGCAGCCACGCGGAAGCACATCTCCGAATCAATGCCATAATGAGGATACCACAGGCGGGCATGTCACAAATCTTGCATCCAAGCACTCAAGAGATACGAAATGTAGACAGAGAGCTGAGATGAGATCTGTATACAGCAGGTGCCAATAAACAATAATATTACAGTATATGGAATATCAATCCAGGGGCAAGGGCCCGACCCTTCACCTGGGACCGTGCTGGACCTTCCAGGTATCAAATCGACAGGAATAAGCACCTTGACGATTCGCGGGTCCACATACCGTCTCGCTCGCCCCATAATTCATCGGCAACAAATCATCGACGCGCCTGTGGCGCGCGCTATACCAAATCCAGGGCCGCCACAGTTGACCCTCATTGGCGGATGGGACCTTCCATCGCAGCTTCTATGCTGCCGCTTAGTGCAGGAGCCGATTCGGTCGGTCGTTGTGGAAGGAATCGCAGGTGAATCACGCTATACCAAGTCCTCTTGGCCAAAAGCTTCGTTCGGTGCAGCCTGGCCGTTGATCCGTATATCGATTCGGCCCGTCGGTCAGCATATAAGTGTTGGGGGTCTCCTCGGGGTAGATGGGAACCCTGGGAATATCCTCGTCAAGAAATTCTTCTATCTCCGACAAGAACGACAGGTGGATGCAAGAATGGAGTATCAACATCATTTGACTTTACGCAGTCCCACTGGGACACCGGGATCCTCAGCCTTTATCGGTGAAGTGGGATACCCCTCCTTGCCACTGGACTTGATCTGCGGATTGGTAAGTAGCGCTAAGCGCACAACTGCCGGCTTTTGAGGGGGCCATTGCTCACATCGCGTCACAGAATAACTATGTCGCCTTCCAGGCGCACAATCAAGGCACGGGCATGCTGCCGACCACCCCGACCATAAGCAGCTCCGAAAGCTCTCCCATTGTTTCCCCTGCGCCGTCAGCCTCACCATCGACGGCCGACCCGAGTGAGTCCAAAGCAGTACGTTGTACCCTCCCCTTCCAACCTGCTCCAGATGCTAATATACTCCCCGATAGGCCAGGCGCCGAGCCCAAAACAGAGATGCTCAGCGCCGATTCCGCGAGCGCAAAGAGCATCAAAAGAAGATTCTAGAGAAGGACGCGGACGCGCTCCGTACGGATTACCAGGCGCTCTTGAGGCAGTACGCTGACACGGCTACCGATATGACGAGGCTTGTCAAGGAGAACGACGCCCTGCGTTTGGAGGTCAAGAACCTGCGCTACCAGTGGCGCTTAGTCCTTGCTGTGCTGCAGCGGCTGCAGGGGGCGGAGTCAATAGCGGCTGCCTTGCCGGAAGATGCATTCGTTCTTGAAGATGTTGCTGTCCAGGCCTATCCTGAGGACTTTTCTAGTGGACCTCTTCCCAATATGACGCGGTTTCTCAGCTGATTTCTGGTTCAATTGTAGTGAGGACACTCGCTTCTGGTGCTCGTGCATTTTTTTCACGACTAACAGCGATAAAGTCAATAATCTTTCATTTTGTTTATATAACCCTTTGGCTGCTAACTAGTGCTAATATATAGAAACTAACCACAGCGCTTCGAGCGTCTTTTGTGATTCACGTGCCGCCTGTCGCATGCCTTTTCTACCCGGCAATCCGCCCAACAATACATGCCAGTAACTTCAACTTCTGATCCATACAAAGCGACAGTGTTCGATATCCAAGTTCCAGCCTAAGGGCGCTACCATCTGGAACATTGCCCTCAGGCGGCAAGAATTGCCGATAGCAAGGGATGTCGAATGTCCGGAGACTGCCTACAAGAAGATAAGACGTGGAAGGTAGAAGGGGATTAAGGCGCAAGTAGATGCCCATTGGCTTGGCTAAATAGAGACGCGACATTGCACATTATACCGTCGCTGCATTTGTAAACACTAGTGCTTATAGTTGCTTCTAGGGTCCAGTATTAGCACAATCCATGAGCAAGGTCTGTTAAGAGTCTAAGCAAGCGATTAGTAGCTCATAATTCTGATCTGGTGATGGTATTTGGTAGTCATAACAGTGGCAAGAGTCATAAATCAGGGCAGTATCGTGCTATCATTAGTCGTCGGTCTCAACGCTTCCTGACAAGCAGCGTGAACATGCATCCACGGTAGGTGTTTCTCCCAGGGCCACGCCAGAAGCTGGAGATAGCGGTGGATTTGAGACACCTGCCGCTATAGGAACAAACGACTTGAGCAATACCCCGTTAGAGTACTGCAGCAGTCGCACCAGGATCTGTTCCTGCTTGCGAAGAACCTTCACCTCAGCTTCCAAGGCGCCCTTTTCACGCAAAAGTGCCTCGACCTCCTCAGACTTCTGGCCAAACGTCTCGTTCAACACAGTGCATCTGGCCTCGAGACTCGCTATCCGCTCATGCAGCAGCTTCTCCTGCTCCTCTCGGCGTTTTCGGAATCGGCGCTGGGCCTCCCGGTTCTGCGTGCGGCGCTTTGCCTGTAGGCTGGGTTAGCTCGCTTCCGTTATGTATAAGATGTCAATGCGTGCAGGGGCAGGGCGACTAACGGAAAGCAAGGGATTTTCTTCCAACGGACTCGTTGGCGATGTTGCCTGGTGCATCAAGGCACTCGATAACCCCGCATCCGGGATTGCCAGGATAGGAGGAAGGCTGGTCGAACCTGGTTCAAGGCATGAGCCCGCTGTGCGGGGGCGGTTGAAGTTGGGAGAGCCCATCTTGCTGGTCCCAGATTGGTGGGTCATGTCGCCCTCTGGAAGGTCCTAATTAAGCAATCTAAGCTTCCAAGTGGGTTATGCTGATTCAGGGCCGGGTCGCTTACCTGTTCGTTGCAAAACAGTTGCCAAGGCACCTCGGGATGCACATTCATGAGCGCGGCGGTGGTTGATCGCTCCAACACCTGCAACGCCCAGCAGTACTCCTCTGCGTCCATTTCCACCTTCACCAACGACGGTGTGTGATTAATAGCTTATTAAATCGGGACAAGAAGGGACTTTATAGGCCTAGATCGCAAATGCTATCTGTTCCATCAACCATCCGATCCGTTGTTGTTCACGCCTAATGCCCTCATAATCGCCTGTACAGCACAGGCTGGGGGCTATACCGGAAAAGAGTGCATAAGGCTTAGGCTATTGTTCGAACATCACTTCTGATAGAGAGGATACGAAACCCAGTACATGGTTATCGAACTAGCCTTAGAAGCTCGCGGACTAGTGCATCTCATCGATATTTGTCATGCGGAAGACAGGTGGACGCGGTGTTGCCGATTTGCTGTACAAGCAGTCCTGCCAGTTCCCATGGTGTCATTAGGCGCTTCTCGGGAATGACGGCTCAAAGGGACACTCTTATTGGACGTTTGTATCGGAAATCGCGGAAATGAAATGCCTACCCGGATGACTCAGAAGTTAGACATTCGAGCCTGAAATGACTTTCTTCAGCCGCACGGGCACAGGATAATGAGAGGCGTCCACAATTGCGAAGGGGATGGAACCTAGTGGGCATCCCTTTGGCACCTGTCAGACGCCCCACCGCTTTGTTTCACACGCCCTGCGATGTAGACTAGCCGCATCAGGAGACGCCACAGCCACCTATGATAGGCCCGTAGGTAGGCAATGAATCCTTCCGTCGAAGAGTTTTGGCGGAAAAGCTTCAAGCCACTCGCTTTTGATGCCTGGCATATTTTACTCCTGCGCCCGGACCGGATGAGGTCGGATCTGCTGGGAGATACATCAGCGAAAGAATCAATGTCCGCATATTCCTGTCATACGGAACCAACCCCGTGGTACTGGATCGGGGCATCTGAGGTATAGGCGATAGCAGAGCCTCTAGCAAGCCCCGGGATTGCCCAACCGTGAGAGATTGGGCGTGTCTCCCGATATATCCGCATAGGCTTTTGTTTCTTCTGCCGTAGAAAGCTGTATATATTACTACTGCTTCCCACTCCCGTTCGCCCGGGAGAACGTCGCAACAAGAAGTCCACTGACGCCATTTCGATAGGCGATTTTTGTGCGAGGGTTGAGTGCGGTATTTTAATTAAGCTTGCTCGATGTTTCTTCCGTCTCGTCAAATGGGAGGATGGCCGATCTCTGCAGCCAAGACACCAGTTTCAGATGTCGGCAGATGGCGGTATTCAGTGTGTCTCCTCTTATGCTTGTTGAGTATAGACGTAGCGCCCTAGACCCAATCGTCATGCTCCAGCAATGATGATGTGTTATTAGGGCGCCGTTTGCTAATCATTGCGATGAAGGATCCTGGAGCTTATCTTGGCAGCGACGAGGGTGGATAGAATTCCTGGAGGCTCTGTATAAAAGGGCCTTGACATGCACTGGAATTAAAGCCATCCCTCTCGGTACTTGCCAACACTCATATCTCCTTCCCTTCGCCAGCCCCGACGAAGCACAATGGTTTCCAAAATCCTCGGCTCCCTCGTGGCCGTTTCCTTCGCTGCCCTCAGCGCCGCCGCGCCCGAGAATGCAATTTCAACCATCTACCAATTCCCGCACGGCTCATGGCTCGAGAACCTCGAAACCGGCCCCGCAAACAGCATCCTGACAACGAGAATCGACACTCCAACCCTGTACCAAATCACTACCCGCGCCGGATCATCCTCCCCTTGCCGGCCCAGCGGCGAGACCACGGCATCAGCGAAGCTCATCCAGTCCTTCCCCGGCGCCACCGGCGCCCTCGGAATCGTCGAGTACAAGACGAACCACTTCGCTGTCGTCGCGGGTAACTACAGCCTGACGACCCACGAGTCTGCGAGGGGAAGCTACGCGCTTTGGGACGTGTGGTTTTCGGGCGCCCGGCTCGACCGCGTGTCCACGAAGAAGATCGCCGATATCCCCGAGGCTGGGTTTCTGAATGGGCTGACTGTTCTCAACAAGAACAAGCATACCGCTACTCTTCTTGTTGGAGATAGCTGGGACGGAGTCGTGTATAGCGTCAATCCCGAAACGGGTGACTATGATGTTGTGCTCGCGGATGAAACGCTCAAGCCGGAGGAGGGGCAGAACTTGGGCGTCAATGGTATTCACCCTGTGACTATTGGCCATGAGACGTTCCTGTACTATACGAACAGCCTCAAGGAGACGGTTAGCCGTGTGCAAATCGATCCCGTCACTGGACGCGCGATCGGTCCCTACACGACCGTGGCAACTGGAGTCTGGGGCGACGATTTCACCTATGATGCTGCGACTGGAGATCTCTACGTGGCTGGAAATTTCGAAAATGTCGTCACGCAGGTGAATCGCGATGGGCATGTTGAGGGGATCTTCGGCGCGGAGACCCAGCTCACTGTCGCTGGTGCGACGAGTACGCTGATCCAAGGACAAGGCCGGGGCAAGACCCTCTATGTCGCTACCGGAGGAGCACTTGCGGCGCCTGTCAACGGAACCATCACCGAGGGTGCCAAAATTGTGGCGATCAAGCTTGACTAGCCCTACATTTAGTGTGAACAAGAGAGATTCGGCAAAATGGGGTCGAGAGGTAGAAGAACATGGTAACTTGTTACATATATTTTTTTCAGCCAAGTCCTGGTAAACGCAGAGTTGAGCTTCAGATAATATAATTACATTGCACCCGATCTCTCGCACCAAATTTGCCTGCTCTCTTGGCTTATCCCAACACTATCGCCTTACCTAGTCCCGGCTGTTTGGAATTAATGATGCGGAGTAGGGCGCGGGCAGCCTCCTCCTACTCCAATAGTTTAGCGAAAGGCTCTTTATCCAGATTACGGGAATACTCGGACTAGAATTACCCGATCCCCTACCGTCGCGGGCATCATGCGTAGGATTACAGGTTGCCGTCTGACATGTCCCAGGGGTAAGTCGGAACAAGATTCCGTGTGATGAATCTCCGACCAGCCACCAAGACCCTTGCTGTCGTTAAGCGAGGTCTAGGCTCTAGATCTTGTTCTGCTGGGCGCCCTTCATCCGATGCGACAACCAGCTAACCAGGCGCTACGAGACGCCCGACTGTGGAGTAATGCCGACCAATACGAGTTCATCGTCGACACACCAGATGCGGCAAAGCTTGAACAGGGCAGGGGCAGGTGGGCTACGAGGCGAGCACCCCGTGGAGTACGTCCCTGTGGAGGAGCTGGATAGCCGGGATTACGCATCGCCCGCCTTGGTAAGGGATGAGTCTGCTCAAATATATTTGTAACCTATCTTCTATTGGCCGCTATCCCCGGATGACCATTTCTCGGCCAGTCTCATGTAAGAGCCCGCAACATGATTGGGAAACCCATCCTGTCACGTATAAGAACCCCAGGCGCATTTGCATTCTTTTAATGTCAAATCCAAACAAAATGTCCACAAAATCAATCACCAAACAACCGGCAGCTCAAGAATTCCAACGTCCTTGTGTGGAGCAGAGTACTTGATATCAGCATGATTTATCGCCAGCTTGAGGCCAGGAAGTGTCTGGAACAGATTCTCTGCTTGAACTGTTAGGATCTGCTAACCGTCTCTGTATGAACATTCTTCACATACCGAAGACCGCCTCTAACTCTGCACGCGCAAGTGCCTCGGCGACACAACGATGATCACCGAATCCGAACGCGAGGTTCTTGACCGAGTCTATCTTCCGATGGATGTTGAAGGTATCCGGGTCAGAGAATACTTCTTCGTCCCGGTTGGCGGATTGGTTGGAGGCGATAATGCCCTCGCCCGCTTTGATTGTCTGAGATCGGATGACAGGGTTATTTAGATCCCGTTCGGAGAGTTGGGGCGGCTGGATCGTACCTGGTCTCGGAGCGTGATATCAACCTTGGCCACTCGACGGGTCGCAAGTGCTGAAGCTGTGTGGAATCGACAGAGCTCTTCGACAAATGCTGATGCCAGGGATGGATCGTTCTTGAGATCCTCTAGCTGGGAGGGATTCTCGAGGAGAGTGACTACACCCTATAATATCGGCGAAGACCAGTTAGTTTCCGACTTCCGGGTCGTTTCATTTGGCTGATCGCCTACTAGGTTGATCATATTGACCATGGTCGCGTTTCCCGCTACGAGCAGCAGGAACGCGAGCTGGATGACGTCCTGTTTCTCGAGGTGGCCATTGTTCAGCTGAGGTCGTTAGTAAGGTGCTAAGACACGGGCAAATTGTTACTCGCAAGAGTCCTACCTGTTCAGCTATGAGAGTACTAATCAGATCGTCCTTCGGATCAGTGGCTCGCCTGTCGACTAGTTTGGCCAGATACTCCAGCAGGTCTCTACGGGTCGGATCTGTGTTAGCGAATATGGCCGGATAACACGCCAGGTCAGACCTACTGATTGGCATTCTGGGCCGCTGACGCGGTGGAACTACCATTGGTGCGGATGGCATTCATCTCAGTCAAGTACCTGATGTCCTCGATAGGGATACCAAGGATATGGTAAATGACCTAAGCGATATTTAGTCACGCCTCCAACCCTACGTAGCGGGGGTGCTTATCAGGATGCCCAGCATACCAGAGATGGAATTGGTAGGGAAAAGTGCTCAACCAGATCAAGAGGCGTTTCGCAACCTTTAGCTACAAGCTTGTCCAGGTGGGATTTGACCAGTTCTGAGATCAAGGGTTTCAAGCTGTTGACGTGTTCCTGCGTAAAGAACCTAGAAACCATACTCCTGTTCCAGATATCAGCACAGTTCTGTATGAGTCTATGATAGCTTGTGCAGATACCTTTGGCGCATGTGATCCGGCGCATCCATATCCACAAAGGTCGGGCGATTCTTCGCTGCCGCCTTACCACCCGGTGTCATCTCGGGATATCCAGGGCGCTGGCGCTCCTGACATGCCATCAGCATGCGTATGATTCGATTGACGCAGATCTAAAACCGACCTTTGACAACCTCGAGTCAGTCAGGACACTGCAAACATCCTCGTGCTTGACAACGAGCCACGGCTCGGATTCGTCCCACAACTTGACACGGCTGATGGGGCATTTAGCTCGCAGTTCACCGAACTCAGTTGGGGGCTGCGCTGCGCTTGGGCGGACGAAAGGGAAGCTGGGCACTGTGCGGGTTGACATGGTTCTTGTAGACGTGGGGATTCGGCTGAATCTCAAATACGACGGCACACGGTGAGCGGCTGTTGAGAAAGCTGGATGCATATGGAGAGTCCAGATGAGCGAGAGACATCTTCGTCGCTATCAAGTTGATGCTTTTATAATCCTATGATGATAGTAGTATGTATGGCATGATGCTCGATATTATATCATACTTCAACCTGCACATAATCTATTTGAAGTCCACAATCTACCGTCGTAGGTGGTATGCACCAATGACAGTTGAGGCATATACAAGTGGATTTTGCGCGCAATTAGAGTGGTCGGCGTGTGATAATCGATATCAGCCGGATAATACAATGATCAGTATGGTTGCATCGAATGGGTCATTTACGAGAGCATGCTTGGTGAGTACATTGTATTGACTTAGAGGCCAGGAACAACACCAAGATTGGTCGAGCGGCTGTAGCAATTAAGCATGAGTCTAGACCGTTCCACCCTGTCGTAAGAAGGTAGAAAGCTGATATAATCCGGCAGGGAGATTGTCAGTGTAGGAACTCCAAAGTTGCTGACTCATATGAACGGAGGCCATGTCTCAGATATCTTACGAAAGACTGCGTCGGCCGAACCCTCCAATCATCGAGCTGGTTTAGGATACTGGACGGAACAAGGTAAGCTCATATGGGGCAGGGTAGTTACAATTAGATACCCGGTCACTTCTTCAGAAGGAGATGGTGGACGGTCGCTTGCTTGAATTGTAGAGGTTCTATAAAATTCCGGTATATACCTTTAAACAACTCACTTTTACGTTCGACTACCTCTACCTCTGGGCACCGAGGAATTTTCATTATCAACCATGTCAATATCCGCCGCTCGAAAGCGCGTAGTCGTTGCAGTGACGGGCGCGACAGGAGCACCACTGGCCGTCAGTCTCCTCAAGAATCTGCGCCGTCTCGATGTCGAATCCCACCTCACCATGTCCAAATGGGGAGCCGCAACCCTCAAATACGAACTCGACTCACCACACAACACACCAAGTTACCTGCAATCACTCGCCCATACAACTTACGCACCCCGGGACGTCTCAGCGGCCATATCCTCAGGGTCCTTCCGAACAGACGGGATGATTGTCGTCCCCTGTAGCATGAAGACGTTGGCTGGAATTCGGATGGGTTACGATGACGATTTAACGACTCGCGCGGCGAGCGTGACGCTCAAGGAGCGGAGGAGACTTGTCCTTGTCGCGAGAGAAACGCCGCTGAGCTCGATCCATTTGGAGAATATGTTGGAGTTGACGCGGGCGGGGGCTGTGGTGTTTCCGCCGGTTATGGCGTTTTATACCCGGCCCAAGGATATAGATGAGATGGTGGAGCAGAGCGTCACGAGGATGATTGATTTGCTGGATCTTGGGCTGGACAAACATAGTGAGGAGGGTGAGCGGTGGACGGGGTTCGATTGGGAGGGGAAGAAGGGAGACGGGCGGAGATAGTCTAGATCAACGCTTACGGTAATCACTCCACCTGCATGCTTATGAAATCGCATTTTGTCACCGTGTCTTAGATCGTGAATCAATGGATCTGCTACCGTTCCGACAGGACGGATTGAGACTTGTGCTTCTGCAAGCCACGCGTCCTGTTTTCGGCGTTGGAGATGCCTTATGTAAAGGCCATGGCATCCAAAGTCATATAACTCTGCGATAGCGTCGAGTAGTGCTAGATTGCTATACGAAATACAAACAGCCAGTTGACACTGAGTACTGAAAAATCGCGATATTCCCACAGCTAGTCGGACTTTCGAACAACGCCAGGCGCTCTTGCCGTAACAATACCTGGCCTTTCTCAACATGACCTCCAGCACACCTCCTCCACACCTGGACCTCCGGTCCTTCCTCGATGCCCTGCGATCAGACGACGACCTTGCAGACATCAATGCTGAGGTTGACCCTCACCTCGAAGTCGCCGCCATCACAAGGCGCGCATACGAGGTGCAATCAAAGGCTCCCCTCTTCAATAATGTGAAAGGCGCTCATGACGGCCTATTCCGCATCCTCGGTGCCTCTGGTGGTCTATCCAGCGATCCCAAGTACCCTTACCGCCGACTCGCGAGACATGTCGGTCTGCCACCAACAGCCAGCCTAGGAGACTTCATCGACAAAATGCTCTCCGCCAAGGGCAAGGATGGGATTGCTCCGGTCCACGTGGAGACCGGACCGTGTAAAGAGAACAAGCTGTTTGGTGACGACATCGACCTCACCAAGCTCCCCGCGCCGCTGCTCAACAAGGCCGATGGCGGCGATTACATCCAGACCATGGGAATCAACATCGTGCAGCACCCGACCCAACCGTGGGTCAACTGGTCCATCGCCCGCGCCATGGTCCTCGACAAAACCCGGATGGTCGGGCTCATCATGAAGCCGCAGCACATTGCCCGCATCTATGAGCAGTACAAAGAATCTGGCAAGGATATGCCGTACGCTATTGCTTTAGGTGCTCCGCCTATCGCAATCATGGCCTCCAGCATGCCACTTCCTGAGGGGGTCACCGAGTCCGAATACGTGGGTGCTTTGTGCGGGGAACCTCTTGAGCTCGTCAAGTGCGAAACGAACGATCTCTACGTTCCGGCTCGGAGTGAAATCATTATTGAGGGCACCGTCTCCATCACTGAACGGGCCAAGGAAGGTCCCTTTGGAGAGATGCACGGATATAGCTTCCTGGACGAAGAGTGGGAGCAGCCCATCTACAACGTCACTGCGATAACCTATCGCAACGGCAACGCAATCCTTCCCATATCTGTCCCTGGTCGCGCGACAGGACCGGATGAGACGCACACTCTGATCGGCACACTCGCCTCTGCAGAAATCCGACAGCTACTACAGGAGAATGGCCTCCCTGTCCTCAATGTCTTTACCCCCTACGAGACGCAAGTCATCTGGGCTGCGGTGCAAGTCGACCGGAAGAAACTGTGGGCGCTGGAAACCAACGCCGAGGCCTTCTGCAGGAAGATCGGGGACCTCGTTTTCCGGCGGAAATGCGGCATGCAGATCCATCGCCTCCTCATTGTCGGGGATGACATTGACCCTTTTAACTTCAAGGATGTCATCTGGTCGTATGCGAGTCGTTGCCGGCCCGGGATGGATGAGTATCATTTTGAGGATGTCGCTGCCTATCCACTTGTGCCGTACATGTCGCATGGTCCGGGGACCAAGTTGACTGGCGGCAAGGTTGTTGCCAACTGTCTGCTGCCCCATGAGTATAACCAGGAGCAGCTGTGGGTGACTTGTGATTTTGAGAACGGGTATCCCGAAGATGTCAAGGAGCGGGTTCTACGCAGATGGACGGCGTTTGGTCTGTAGATTTAGAAGAGGAAGAGCCGAATATCAGTTTTCTCTAGAACGCGCTTTGATGATGCCCTCCGTTTGTGTTGGAGGCAATATGGATGCAGCTATATGTAGCTTGAGAAATGCTCACTCCTCCAATGATCAGTCCGAGAAACCATTCGACGTCTTTTGATTTTCCAGGCCAATCTCAGGGCAATTGCAGCCATTGGTAGAATTTAGGTCAAGAAGCGGTCCGGGTCAGTTACTGTAAGACGCAAGGGTAATCCTAATAATCTAAGCCTTCAAACAGTAGATGAGGGACAGGATAGCTTTCAAATTTCCCAGGTGCGGGGGCAGTCGCATGTTCTGGCAACATAGTCAGCTAATCTGATTTGCCTTTGCCCTTCGCCGGGCGTGCTGCGGAAACTGTACATCATCCAATGATCGACCTCACTATAATGTAGATGACGCCAGGAATAGACCAACTGTTGCACGTTGCTTATGTTCAGATTATATAATCCTGCAGTGAGGGAACCCTTGCACGAGGATATGGCCCAGCCAAACATAAATACAAAGAAAAACGTCGCCAGCAAAGCGCGCAATCTCTTTCAGATCACAAGTTCCACCATCCTACCACGGTAACAGGCGCTACTTATCGGACTCTAGGTTCACTTTGACAGCACCGACCACAATGGAGATAATTCGCCCCGGTTTCGCCGATCGTCCCCTTCCCATCCTCTCCTACGGCATCCCCTTTCCAGAGGCTGCAGCCCGGCATATTGTCAACACATTCCAAGCCCGCCGCGTGTATGTGATATGCTCTCGGTCCCTTGCTGAGAAAACGAGTATCCTAGAAGAACTGGATCGCGTCTTTCGGACAAATTCGATATCCATGGTCGGCCAGCGGATCGGGATGAAACCGCACACCTTGTGGTCAGAGGTGTTGGATATCGCTGCTGAAGCAAGGACCTCTGAGGCGGATGTGTTTCTTACTATCGGCGGAGGCACGCTGACTGATGGGGCCAAATCGGTTGTCTTGGTACTTACGCCCTGCGGCTCCGGTGTATGTACGATTGAGAAGAAACCGTGGCTGACTCCAGCAACTAGGCCTTGGCGAACAATGCTCGGACTTTCGAGGACTTGCATACACTTGTCGAGCGACAAGAGGAGGGATCTGGTGGTGAATCTAAGAGCTCGTCTTGCATGCCCATCATTTCCGTCCCCACAACCCTTTCCGCCGCCGAGTACTCCAGCATCGCCGGCGCAACCAACGATTTAACCCACTACAAACACGTATTCCAGTCCCCGAGCCCCAGCCTTGTCATCCTCGACCCGCAGCTTGCCGCCTCCACGACACCTGCATCCATCTGGTTGAGTACCGGCATCCGCGCAGTCGACCACTGCGTCGAGACCTTCTGCGCCGTTCAAGGAACAACAGCGGCGTCCAATTCCTTAGCTCTGGCAGGAATTGCGAATCTAATCCCAGGTCTTCTACGGTGTGCTCGCGATCCGGATGGAATCGATCTTGACGCAAGACTCAGCTGTCAACTTGGATCTGTTAAAGCCATGGCTGCTTGCTCAACAAAGGGGATTGAGATGGGTGGTAGTCATGGAATCGGTCATCAGGTATTGTATCGCCATCTGCTTCAGGGGTTCCCGCGCTAACAGTAGGACAGCTAGGTCCCCTGGGCGTTGGTCATGGCGACACAAGCTGCATTTTGCTTCCAGCAGTTTGCAAGTATAATGCTCGTGAAGGCGCAAATGCCGACAAACAGGCCCGTCTCTGTACCTTCCTTGTTGACCAACCAGAAGTCGAGAATGTACTACGCTCTCACGGGTTGGTAAAAGGGAAGGTAGAGTTGGGTGATGTATTGGATGCTATAATTCGGGAACTGGGACTGCCGCGGTCGTTAATTGCGGTGGGGGTCAACCGGGGTCAGCTGGATGCCCTGGCAGGAAACAGCCTCCGCGACCGATGGTGCGCGACGAATCCGGTGCCTCTTGTAAACAAGGGACAGATCTTGGAAATTCTGGAAATGGTGATGTGAGGCTGTTCTATCAGAGGTCAATAACAACGGGTCTCTCATCTGAGTGTATGTGTTGTTGAAAGTTGTCTCGTCGCGCCCAGTTGGGATTGGTGGAGAGAAAACTAATACTATTCGAAGCAGTGTCTATCAGGGTATCAACCATCGCATACCATTTGAATTGCTACATAGTCTTGTTATCATTTATTGTCGAAAGCATCGAGTCGGATCCGGGTCCGTATCCTACCACAGCTGCCGAAGCCGAATCCACCTGCCCGGGGCCAGGCGAGGCCAACGCAGAAGAGGACATACTAGCCTCCTGGGAAAGGAAAGACTCTAACAGTCCCCCTTTTTGTTCCCGTAGAAGTCGTAAGAGCATTTGCTCCTGTTTGCGTAAAACCTGCACCTGCGCTTCGAGTTCCCTCTTTTCACGTAGAGGCAGTTCCGTTTCCCCGGATTTCTGGTTCAGGCTCTCCCGGAGAATCTTGCATTTCGCCTCGAGATCGGATATCCTGTCTTGGAGGACCATTTCTTGCTCTTCCCTCTTTTTGCGGAAACGGCGTTGTGCCTCGCGGTTTTGCATGCGACGTTTCGCCTATGGGACGGCCGGGTGGTTAGTTCTGATTAACCATCATGTATCCGGGAATAGCAAAGGGAGCTAACAGTGAGCATTGGATGTTCTTCTGGAGGCTTGGCGGTGACGGTCTGCTGGATCATAGAGTCTGGCAGCTCGAGTTGCATGATACCCGGTAGCCAGTTCTCGGGAACGGGGCTGGGATCTACCTCGCTCCAGGTACCGATTGCGCGGGGGCGGTTGACTGCAGGTGCCGAAAAGCCCCCCACGTTGGACGCATAATTGTGGGTCAGGCCAAGGCCAGTAGGGTCCTAAAGATATCTAAGCCTTAACTCCAATCTCAAGGTTCAGGGGACCTACCTGTGGATACACCATTGGCCATGGCAGCTGACCCTGTCCGTCAGATCCTGTGGGGGCGGCTATGTCGAATCTCTGTGGAGGCCACGAGTAGTCTCTCGGGTCCATTATTGCTATTCCTGACTCCAGGTGAACAAAGGGTGGTCTTCACAATGGTATCATGGAGTTTATAAACTGAAGACACTATCTATGCTCTGAGCCGTGCTGCCGATTGTCGCTTACTCGAAATCAGCTCATCCCGCCACTTATACGGGGTATCAGAATGCGTTCCATCACAGACACCGACTCCCGTGTCGCAGGAGCCATCGTTGCATCCTAGCTTAATGGGGCAGGATAAAGGTCAAGGCAAACTTCCAAGACAACCGCTGACGACGAAGCTTTTCGCTAAAACTCTTCGCCTGCAGGATTCGGCACCGACCAACCAGGATCTGTCATAACAGGACTGCATTTGGTTAGCGTATGACGCCAGTCTAAATCAAGTGTTTAAAGATGACGAATAGAGATGCACTATGCATGTTTTCCCGGCTTTCTGACACTGCGCGTTCAAGGACGGTATGGGGCGTCCTGAAGACTGTACTGCTTCCTTCTAATCACTTAGTAACCCTGTCAGAAACTCTATTCCGCCGCTTCCGGCCAGAGATATCCAATAAGGGTAGAGCGATCTTCAAGATGCGACATATTATTGATACTAGGTTGCCATACTGCGTACAATCTGGATTAGAAACAGAGAGCGGCCAGTCCTCCCCGGCGATTAGACTCGTCCGGCTCACTACTCCGCATCGTTCGGTACGTGGGCCTAGTTCTATCTCCTTGTATCTGTCACTTATCTCCGTTGTATGTCACCGGCATTAGTTCGGAAGAGGTCGGATTCCCGGATCTCGGATTTTCGGATATAGAGCAACACAGACCGAATAAGCCACATCGTCACTCCCATTAGACTCCCCGCATACCTTGATGGCAACGACCCTGTACGCCGGTAACTCATCGGAGTTCCTTGCGTCCTAGCGCTGTTGGAAACCCGAGTGAGAAGGTGGAAGCTAAATCCGAGTCTAGGGTAAACAGTCCCGGGAAGACTGATCGCGTTGCCCTTTACCCAAAAGCCAGAGGCTCCGAGCGTTTCCCGAGTTCTGAAACCTTGCCAGGGACAAGGGCCTCGCGCATGATTTCTGGTTGTGAGCACCAAAGGCCGTTGATGCCATCACACGCACGCGGTATCCTGGTTTGAATAAACAACGCCAGCTACCCTTGCTAGACTCCCATTGAGCCGGTCTTGGATACATGTAAGGTGCCCGTGGATAACCCTCACGTAATCTCCTAAGCGGTAGCTGCTGGAGGCCCAGAATAGAGGCTCTAGGACCCCCGGTTTCTTTCATATGATTAGCTATAGCTATATCTAGCAGATGTCCGCTGGATACCATCATCATTCCAACATTCCTGCAGTTATCGTCGCCGAATTCTCTCCTGGTTCGCTTCAACGCTCTGTTATTAGTAGAAAATACCAAGTCCACGCCGAGCGTACGCCAACAAGCGAACGTGACAGCGTCGATCATCCGGCTGAAGCCGCACAATTGCTATTTATGGACACGCTAGGTGTTCAGAGAAGATCACCCCCATTTGTGGTTAGTACCAGGCGCCGAAGATGAGAATGACGTCCTGGGCGAGGACGCCATGTCCTTTTGTCAGGTTTTAGTCAGCCCTGGCCGTCATTGGTCAGCACTTTCGAGAAAAGTGTTGGATTTATATTGCCGCCCGCTATACCTGTTTGCCTCCTCCCAGAGAACTCTTGACAGCAGCAGTAGAAAGAACTTTGAACTTGCCGTATCCTCGAGAGGAAAGGTCTCAGTGGATCATTGATATCGATTGTCCATAGAACTTTGTCCACTTTTCCATACTGACCATAGGAGACTCAGTCGCCCTCTAAATATCACCTTGTGTGATTCCACTATCAGATTTAGCCAGTACGGTGGAGGATAGTGCCAGCGTGTGTAGTACTATTGCTACTATCCTTGGAATATGTCAACCATGTCGACGTTCCTAGAGGCGCACAGCGCTCTCGTCCAGGGAGCTGCCTAGCCATGGCATAACTTGGACCCTAAAACAAGCTCCGAAAGTCACATGAGTGTCTTTGATGGCACCAAACTAGGGATCTTGATTCCCAAAGGCACAGAAACCTGACTAGAAACTCTCATGTCAGTTCCCCAGCAAGGTTACAGAATTCACCTCAGGTCGTTTTGGTGCGGCGTTGACAATATATATACCTCGCATGAGATACGATGATTTTGGAATATGTAACGATTGCCCACTGATTTCGATGGATAATTTCACGTAGAATCCACAGCAATAGAAGGGATAAACAGAGCTTCGTGCGTATTGGACTAAAGTTCTGGGCGAGTAATTAGATCGACAAGGAATTCTTCAGTCCATCTATATGTAGTAACAGCTTGGCTGAACTGCTTTCAAGATGGACGCGGATTGGTCACAGAGAGTGGAGAAGCGGTGCGGCTTGGCTGCCTCTCTAGGCTTAGCTTCATCCTCGGCAGGTGAGCTCATCTCATGTGGTTCGCACCTCCGCTCGTCCTTGCTTCCCAATATCTCGTGGAATGAGTTGTACTGGAAAACGAACGGCATCACTCGCAAATATGCCGCATCAGGAAGGTATCTAGCATGGTCCGCAAGTCCAAGACAGCATGCCACACCTGTCGACGGCGTCGGCTGCGGTGCGACGAGGCCAAGCCCCACTGCCAAAGATGCGCGGCCGAGGGCGTTGAATGTCTGGGGTACGGGAAGATGATCCTCTGGGTGGATGGGGTTGCTAGTCGGGGTAAATTGATGGGAAAGACATTTAACACGACATCCCTCAGTCCAAAGGGCAGTCCGGTCGCGTCTCCACCATCTTCAAACGCACACACCAGCAATCAGCTGTCAACCTCTCACCATGGCCATGATAGCCGAGTCGTGGCGTCTCAAACTCCGCCTGCACTTTATAGCTCTCTTCTAGATCCATGGCTTCAGCAAATGGACTACAATACACGGCACTACTTGGCACACTTCCTGACGAATGTCGGAAACGACCTCATCGTCCATAACCTGCCATCTCACAAGCCGAACCCTCTCAGGGTTTTGCTCGAATTCTCCCAGCAGAGCTCCGCACTCTTCAACATTATTATTGCCATGTCCGCCCACCATCAACACAATCTTCTCCTTGGCACACCGGGTGCCCAAACTCATCAGATCCATGGCTTGCGCTGTAAAGGGCGCGCTTTGCACCTGCTGAGCCACGAAATCACCCACATAAACCCCTCAAACTACACAACGTTACTTGCCTCATCCATGTTGCTCTCAGAAATGGCATTGCTTGAGTTAGGGGATGATACGTGGCGAATCCATGTTGGAGCCGCTGCGAGGCTGGTGCGAGGCATAACCATGTCCTGCCCTTCTATTGTGCCTGATGGGATGGGCGTAGAGGCGTACGCATTTTGTTCTTGGATGATTTCAAGACTTGTCCTGTAAGTTTCCGGCCTGGAACGCTCCATATGTCAGGTCAACTAACGGAGCCACGGCACAGACAGGATATGTTCGGTTCATCTCTATCATCCACCACAGCAAACTGTGATCTGCAGGGAGTTTGGGGACCAGGCCAAGGAATTGACAGGGTGCTCAGGATCGCAGAACTCGACCATTACTCGTCTTGTCCAGCACAAATCTCGCAGTTGATCCTAGCCGCCTCCTCGGTACACAATACCCCACCAGGGCCCCCCGTTTTCTGTGACCGTGACAACCCGACGACGTGCATATTCTCGTCCATCCAACAATTCGACCCCGCCGAATGGGCACTCGCTCTCCAACCGCACACACCAACAGATGACTTTACAGAGAGGTATCATATCGCGTCAGCTTACAAGGCTGCTGCTGCGCTCTATGTCGCCCAAATTATACCGGACGAGCAAATGTGTGACCATCGGAACAGGGAACCACAATATCTCGTACATGACATCCTGCATCACATATCCCAGATCTCACAAACCAACCCATTGTTCAAGTCGAGCATCTGGCCAATCTGCATCGCCGGTGCGGAGACTACCGATGTGCACCATCGTGCGACTGTACTATCACACCTAAGGACCCTTTCAATTGCCATTCCATGGCAGTCCACATATGTTGCTGAGCAAGGCCTGAAGGCATTTTGGGAACGGATTGACGCACTACCTCAGCACGAACCGCATCGGGCACGCAGGTGGCTTGATGAGTTTCGGTCGATGGGGGTTTCTATTTATCCTGCTTGAGCGCCTATGCATTTCGCGTCAGTTCCACAAAGCATGGGGGTATGGTAGCTATGGCGCAGGATTCCCGGGCGTCAATATGATGATTGGTACACTGGTATTGATTGGCCATCGTGGCTGTGATCTAATCATGTACCGTAGGCTACCTAAATATCGCACGTAGCCTAAACTGTGCCACAACGACCAATAACAATGAGACCCTCAGGGTGCCCAGTAACATTACCCAGCTTGCCCAGGCCCAGAACAGCCTGGGTAATGCTATCAGGCTCACCAAAGACCACGTGCTACCTATTAAGCCAGGGGGCCGGGACAGTCTGCCTGGCCTCATGTCTTACCCCGCACCTCCTCTAGCTTATGGAATTGACGCCGGACCCCTATGATACATGCTTTTGGTGGGGATTCTGCAGTGCGGCACTTTCTGGCTAGACGTAGTTTCGCAAGCAAGCCAAGTGACTTACATCGCCCCTAGTGAAGTCACCATCCTGGAGCATAAACCCGGGGTCGATACGGTGAAACGTCGAGCCCGCGTAGCCGTAGCCGGGTTGGCTCATGGCGAGCTCGCGGAAGTTGCGCGCGATCTTGGGGACGACATCATCGCACTGATTGCAAGCAACTAGCAGCTCTACTACGGATGGGCGCCACCATCGCCATCACTCTGCGCCCCTTACTCCGGTCGTCCGACACGGGAACAATTTCCAAAGCGGCTCCATCACCACCATCTGCCGAAGGTCCGGACGATCGAGCGCCAGCTTGAGGGTCATATAGGCGACAAGCCGATACACGAGGGTACAGAGCACGAGGCCCCCGAGCTCTACGTCCGCGTTCTTGTCCAAGCGGTACAACGCGAGAACCTGCGCACCTGTCGTCAACGGGCAACTATCTCCATTGGAACACGTGAAGGAGATCTGGTGGCCATGGTCACTGTCTCCAAAGGCGTGTGGAGCAAGTGTGCCGACGGCGTACTTGAAGGGGGAGAGGTAGCTGATGGCCTGCAAGGCGGGTGCTGTCATTTCGGCGTTCATGATGCCGCCTAGGTGCAGGGAGGTCGCGAGCAGCACGGAGCACAGGCTGAGTGCGAAGCCCGTATGCGTTGCGAACAGGGTGCAGAATATGATGCCCATTGACTCGCCGCAGCTCGTGAGGCAGAGCGCGCTGGCAATGCACGTGAGGAACATTGGGAAGGTTCTGCCGAGACCTGCGGCCAACGAGGTAAGGGCCCCGAATACCGTGGCGGTGATGATCTCGAAGGGGAGCTCTAGTATTGTGTAGTGTAAGAGAAAGGCTGTCACCGAGGCACAATTGTCGAAGACTTCGTTGGAGAACAGGTCGCGTTGGGTTGGGAATATCGCGACACACTGGAGCAATCCTGATTTTTTATGTGTTAGCCTTTTCAAAAGCCAGCGAACGGGCAATGCCACCAACCTGCAAATAGAAGATTAGAGAATTGCTGTATGAATCCCAGCCGTGTTTGTATAGCTGCATAGTCGGTCTGCAAGGGCGCATAAAATAAGACCATAAGTAAGGCGGCTCCTACCACCTGGACTAGACGACAAACAGTCCAGTCTGGGTAACGCCGAAACATGAGAACGGACCGCTTGATGTATATCCGTAGTGCGACTAGAAAATTCGGCTTAAGCGCGGGAGGAAACATCGTTGGATCGGATGATCGATGCTGGATCTCCGTCGGACTTGTGAAGCTTTCAGACGCGGTAGCAGCAGTGATGCCTTCTCGCCAGCTGTGAATCAGATTTTCAACCCGAAGTTGTGTAGATTCTCTTAGCTCATTCCGACGGGTATCGACCGTAATGAGATCTAGTAAATAGTCGGTGGCGCTCGTTTGCTCCGGGCAATGGTGCCCTAGACTCCCGAAATACCCAAGTATTTCATGCCCGCTTCCAGAGTAAACCAGGTTTCCGCCGTGAGTCAGCAGCGTTATGGTTGAAAAGTATCGCAGCATATCAGACCGAGGTTGGTGAATCGTCAAGACCACTGTTCTTCCTTCTGTAGCCAAGGCATGTAGTAGGGCAACAATCGCCAGCGCGGTGAAGCCGTCCAAGCCAGATGTAGGCTCATCGAGAAATAGAATTGGTGAATCGGTAAGGAGCTGCAGCCCAATGGACAGTCGCCGTCTTTGGCCGCCGCTGATGGAACCGACGAGACTATCGGCACAGCTTTCAAGGCCCGTCTTCTGCATCGCACTTTTACATCTTCCTTCTGCCTTGGCATCGGTCACCCGCCTAGGTAGTCTCAGTCTAGCGGCAAATTGGAACGTTTCGCGAACGGTCAACATTGGGCTCAGTGAATCGTCAAACTGGGACATGTAAGAACTGGCTGGCTGCCCAGCGCGGTTCAATGGGATCACTCCATTATATCGTATCGAGCCTGAGGTTTCAAAGTGGCTCGTGAACGACCTACGCAGTCTTCCGCTCATGGAACTTAGCAAAGTCGATTTCCCGCTTCCAGAGGGTCCCATGACCACATTGAGTTTGCCGGATAGGAACTTGACGGTCAATGAATGCAAAAGCGTAGTCCGATTGACTGGACGGCCAACCCGCCGTACGCAGAGTTTGACAGAGTAAGTCTCGAGGTGAATATCCACCCGTTGGGGGTGTTTCAAAGAAGCAGGCACTTGGCTCTCGGGGATTTCAGCGACAACATCAATGCTGCCTGGGTGTGTGGAGGGCTTAGACGGCTTACCACCGGGGCGTCTGACATGCAGAAGCACGGCAGAAGCAATCAGTGATACGAAGATAAAGCCCAAAGCTGCTAGCACTGGCCGTGAAATCCAATCTCGGGGGAATCCCAGGCTTTTCATGACAAAGGCTCCTGTATACTGCTCGCATTGTTCCTGGATTGAATCCCCAGAGCCAGACACTGGGCAATCATAAAGCTCGCCATACTCCTCCTGTCCGCGGCCCATGAACTCGTTGGTGCAAAAGGCACCAAATAAGTAGAATGAATATGTTACCCAGCGTAGCCATCTGACATAGACAGGCATCTGGGATACTTGGATGAGGTAGCCTGCAGCGAAAGACTGTAAAGTGAAGAGCAAATTGCCCACTGTAGAAGCTGCTGCGAAGCTCCTCATTAAACAGACACAAATCATAGCTGAGGACGTCGCTGTCAACTGCGTAACGACAGAGAGTACGGCGAATATCAAAATCTGGCCCATTTCCTTACGATATCCAACCATGAAGTAGTATATAATCGAAAAGAGGAGTGGCGCCGGGATATCGACGAAGAAAAGATGAAGCAGCCTTCTGCTCAGCAGGTATGGAAGTGGGGAAACGACGCCATCGTCTCTCTCTCTGTGAAAAACGTTAAGGTCCAAGGACATACTATAGATCTCCGTCAAGAGAGAAAGGTAGCCGTTGAGTGCGATCACGATGTACAAACTCCCTAGCCGGGAACGGATCCCGGCTAAACTACCATCCAATTGGAAAAAGATCCATCCATTTGCGAGGGCCAGGAATACAGCTGAGATCAATGCTCCCAGGGGGCCCAACGGGTCTCGCATGGTTGATCTCGAGGAGCGCGCAACGAGAACACTAAGCTGTCGCCAGAAGCCAAGTGGTCTTCGTGGGACCATGCCCTGGGATGCTCGTGAGGGACAGAGTGTCACACTCGTGGAACCATCCTGTTTCTCACGTCGGTTAACCCAGGAGGCTTTCAAAACCGTGACTCGGGCTCGAGATAGGTCTTCAACCTCCTTTGAAAGACGATCAACAGCTGCCAGGTCAATCAGAAATTCTGCTGGATTGGCGAAAGTTTGTAGGTGGTGGCCCTGCAGGGCAAAATAGTGGATAGAGTCCTGACATGGTCCGTCGTAGAGAACAGACCCGTCAGCCATCAAGATAACACGATCCAAAAGATGCCAGATCTCCGAGCGCGGAGAGTGCAAAGAAGCAACCACTGTGACTCCTTGGGACACTAGCATTTTCATCATTTGCATGAGATGGACAGCAGTTGTCGCATCCAAGCCTGTGACTAGTCAGCGCCAGTCCAGATGACCGTTAGGTACGTTATGCAGTGGAATTCCATACCTGTCGTCGGCTCGTCGCAGAATAAAACTGCCGGATGTGATAGCATCTGGATGGCCACACTCAATCGCCTTCGCTCGCCGCCACTGCAACCACTTCCTTGGCTGCCATCTCCAATACAAGTATCGGCGCACTTTGCGAGATCAAGTGATGCAATGAGACTTTCCACGATTGTATGGCGCTGGCGCTTGCTCGTAGAAACCGGTAGCCGTAAAGCCGCTGCATATCTTAACGTCTCACGGACTGTCAAAGTTGGGGTATGTACATCCTCCTGCGTCACGTACGCGCTCGTTCTGCCGGGTGTGGCTGAGCCTGGAAAGCTAATAGACCCAGACGGCACAAGGCTCGTGGCGCAAGTACGTCCTGCCAAAGCATTTAGGAGGGTAGTCTTTCCGGAGCCACTAGCACCAATAATAGCAGTCAAGGTCCCTCCTGGAATTGATAGGTCGACTCCTTCCAGTATACAAGTCTGGTAGCAGTGACGCTTCATGCGGTGTGCCTCACCACGGAGTGAGTAACTCCATCGTTTCCATGCAGCAGGCGAGTCGTTAACGTGTACTGCCACCCCCTTCGCCTCGATGCCTACAGGCCTAACGGCTCCGAAGGGCGATTCAGGTACAGTGTGTTCCTCGGCGGTTGCTAAACCATTGTGCGACATCTTCCTCCTCTGCAGTTGAATGGTAGCCCCGCCTACGGATCCCTTCATAGACCTGAGCTGTACTGAGATTTGAAACCTCAACACAACATGCAGATTATGGAACGCACTGGAAGCTGGGGCTCGCAGATTTTATCTGTAGGCGATCACTTTGCTATAGCGTTGCCTGGAGTCGATGTACGCATTGGGGTGGGAGGCTGAGACGAGGGTCTCTGGAACGAAAAGAAAACTGCTCTTTTTTTTTTTGGTCTTTGTTGAGATTTCTAAACGTCGGGAGATAATTACCAAGTCTCATGAGGTGGAAGGGTTGCCTGGCGGCTTACTCTGTTTCCGGGCCGCATCCGGTGAACCCTGGTTCTGTACGTCCAAGCGCACATCTTGCACGTCATGACCCCTTACACATAGAAGGACATCTTCAATGCAACATAGAAGTATTCGGAAACATTTTCCACTCTGCCCTAGTGTAGGCTCCGACTGGTATTCTTTCAGGTAGCATGACATCATGACAAAGAAATTTTGTAGCGTATATCCAGACGAATTACACTGTCCAACATTGATTGACGGCGGGACTAAGGTTGGAAAAACGATGCTTGCTGTATAATTGCGGTTCTCTAAACATCTCAGTAGCCTGTCGTGACGCAAGACATAGACCTATGCAAAGAAAATTTCTATTTCCTCTGGTTGATTAAAGCTATTGCTTCTAGTTCCGCGTATGATGGGTTAAATCCTCAGGGCTGCTTTCGCATACTTATATTACTCAAAAATCCCCTAATTTACAGATTCGACTCCAACCGCTCATTCAAGCTGCCTAATTTTACAACTGTAGCATTGGTGTTGTTTTTCGGTCGTCAAAGCGCCTTATTTGCTGTCAACCCGCTAGCATCCACTAGCATCATTAGCCGACTTGAACATGAAAATCGCGGTCTCGAGCAGTGGAATGGAACCCATGTCCAAACCATCTATGACAGAAGTATTGACAATCTTCGACCCTCGCGATGTGCGAATCCGAAGATTCTGGCTGCTTGCCCTCTCAGCTATCACTGCCTCGTGTGTGTGGTTATTGAGCTTTTGTTGGGCTGCGCGGTTGCTCCCATTAGCTTCCTGGCGTCCGGGTGGCTTTTCCCGTGCCGACGGGACTTCCATCACGAACGGCAGTGCCCCAAATATACCCACAACAGCCTGGGAAGGGAAGTCCAAGAACGAGACTTTGCCATCTATACTTCCTTATATTGATATATCCTTGGGATTCTTGGCGGGCTCCACCCTCGATGCGATAGTCGTCGTCGCAAACTTCAATCGCCCCCTCACCCAGCAGTTCCACTATGTCGTGAGTCTTCGCATGACGGTGCTGGGAATTTTGCTCTCAGCTTCCCTCTACTTCTGGAACATCAATCACACCCGTCGTGTATGGGAACTGCCTGCCATTATCGGTATGATTGGCACTACCTATATGATATTCATCCTCGCTACAGATAAGCTGCACAAGTTATTTCCCACCCGCTACATCAGTGCCAAAAAAGGGCTTCTGTTGCATCATATCCGACATCTGGGCGTAGCTGATACGGCTTGGTGCCATATTATGCTATTATTGGCAATGAATTTCGTTCTATGTCTGTCTCTAGTCGTGGCAGTGCCCCCGCACTGGGCTTCATTAGGGCCTCCCGTGCAAATAGCCTCGGAGGTAAATCTTTTTCTTCTTCTTCTTCTTCTTCCGCATAATTTAGCGCTTGGGGCTAACATTACCTACTGCCTCCAGCCCATATTCCTCCGTCTTGTGGGAGCCGACAAGACCGCCCGCTATAATATCACTGTTGCACCTCTGGTGTTAGCACATAGTGCCTTAGACTGGGGACTGAGGCAGGTGGTCATGGCGCCTAGACTTTCTATAAGCCCCGAGAAATTCCTAGGTCTGATTCTAGCCAATAGGCTCCTCATGGATTTGCATCTATGTACTATATTTCGCCATAGGGGTGACCTCAGATGGGCCAGGCGCGAGATTGTTACGTCTACCCCTACTGTTATCTCCATCCTCAGTGTCCTATTCGGTTTGGAGCGCTTTGGGATACCTATCGTTACCTATATTAAACCAACACTGTGGGTCACACTCTGTGTCTCTAGCATGCTCCTTCATTTTCTTCCGTCCTGCTATGTTATTGCCTTCAAAAACAAGAAGGACACAATAGGCTGAAGAGCGCGTGCTATTGCTGGCCATTGGTATGAATAAATCTTCAACTCCAAGGACGTTCCATTTTCAACTCTTACATCTGTAGTCAATACTAAATTGACAGTTCCTTCGACGTTGATAGCCCGATGAGCAGAGTAGGGCAGTGTGTACTTGCTGCGGGCAGCGAGGTGAAAGACAACACTAGACCGCCGCGCATAGTACTCGAAGTATTGTTCTCCCATCCCGAGCGCTGAGGCACTCACGTCCCCTGGCACAGCTACTACCTTGGCCATATTGTTACATGAAAAGCTGTATTTGGACATTGCTTTCTTGATCCGAGCCATTCCAGCGTCAGCATCAGGGGCGCGGACGAAACAGGCGACCTCTTTGACTTCCGGCAGGCCAGCGAGGAGGCCGAGTAGGAAGGCGCCCACAAACCCGGTTACTCCCGTTAGGAAAACGTGTCCCTCGGCTTCAGAGCGCCAGCAGGGTATCATGGGGCCTATTGGTCGGAAGTCGCGGGTCAGAGCCTGATCCTCCAGGCACAACCGGTGTTCATCTGCTTCCTGCAGACCTATTTGGACGACTTCGCCTCTGCCGAACTGGCCGTCCTTATGTCGCGTCAACTCGCCCGCTTGATGTTTCTTGCGCATAATCTTGAGCGTCGTGCGACTCAGTTCCCCCACTGTGCCCGCATTACCAATCTCGACAAGCGAGATGTCGAGTCCTAGATGTCGCCGGAACCACTTTCGGATCTCAATGGTCATCAGCGATTCAATCGCAATCTCCGCCAGTTCCTCCAATCCCAAATCGTCCGGATACGACATGTGCGATGCAATCATACGACCGATCTCACGTGTAAGTCGATCTTCTGTGGCCGGTTCATCGAGAAGATCAGGGTCCTGCTCAATGTCTTCTAGTAGCCTTTTCAGGTCCCCACTTTCGTCCGTTGCCTGCCCACCCACTGTATCCAGCGCATTGTATCAGGCTAAAAACCGGGCATCACCGCTCCAGGATGGCTCCACTGGTGTCTCAGAAGTGGGCTTTGTGGCACCCAGGCCAAGGCCTAGCTGGGATGGCCCCGCTAGGACTGGGAGCTCTATTGCTTTGACCAGATCACTTGCCTGGAGGATTTGGGCGGATGTAGAACGAGCGATATCTAGCGTCTTTGGGAAGATTCTGCGCGACGGAACCAATATCGCCCATGAACCCTATATCAATGACACTGCAGCGAAGGCCCTGTGCTAGCTGATATTAAGTAAATGCATTAAGGAACATATTCCCTGCTGCGTAGTTGGCCTGCCTAATATAACTATAGATACCCGTGTGTGAGCTGAAGAGAATGAAGTGATCTAATGCCATATCCTTTGTAGCGTGATGGAGGTTCCACGTTCCCTGGACCTTGAGCACAAGCATGGTGCTGCACTGTTCGTATGTCATCTTGTCGAGTTGTTGGTCCTATTACCGATCCACAGTCAGTTCTCCAAACCATGACTGGCTACACATCATCAAGCTGGTTATCATATACTCACGTAAAGCACCATTAACATCTGTATGACCCCAGTAACCAGCGGTGTGACTGCGTGAACCGCTCGCTCTATATCTGTACCGTTGGCTACGGCACCCACAATGCTACCACCTGCACACCCACGGCCTGGCTCTTCAAATCACGCACAAAAGTCTTGTTTTGTGGAGAGGCCACGGCGGACCACGACATTAACATTAAGAGCCATGCTTCCCTCTCAACCATCCATGTTAACACTACACGTCCAAGTCCGCTGAACCCACCTATCATCAGGTAGGAGGCATCATGCCGGAACAGCGGTAGTTGGCTTGCAGAGTCAGGACTGACAGCATAGAAGGGTCTTTTAGCATTCAAAGAGCCACTATTCAGATATGCTGTCCGCTTTGCGCGTATCTGAAAGCTCGCGTGATTTCTGCGATGCTGGTAAGCTGGTAGACTTACCAGCCCTGTGGACAGGTCTCCGCCACCATGGTAATTTTTGTCGACGTGCTCGTGTTGAATGCGGCAAGGGTTGATGAGCAGAAGAGTGTTCTTGAAACCGAACTTGACGTGGCCAGGTCAATGTGTGAGACTAACGTTAGGACCATTCTGGATCTCACCCAGAGACTCCAAAACTAGGAAGAGTCTGCCAACTGTCAAAAAGGTAGCAGGAAGACCTTCCAGATCTCATCGATGGTGCCCAGAAGAAGAACGCTCTGCTGCATGTCTGTGGGCATATCACCCGAATGTCAGTGTTTGGCTGACGAGGGACGGAGCTGGAGCGCTGCGGCCGGGAGCCTGGAGTAAGGAGTACACCCCGCCCCCCATGAGCCAGCCAGGTCCCCCGCCCTACGGGAAGTGACCATCTATTTCGCAACTTAAATGGAGCAAAGCATTCTCCCTAGCCCTAGTAATGCCTACGGATGCAACAGGATAAATGGGCACGGGAAGTGGACGAACCGATCCATAGACATGAGACCCCATTGTGGTTTTAATCGTCCCGAATGTGGAGGATACTCTTCCATTTAAAGTATCATCAAAGCCAAGTCAAAGGAGCTACAGTAGAGCATTTAAACCCATTCGCTAGGAAAACCCCATCCGACCACACAAAATGAGCGTCGCAGCACCTGAACAGCCCTTGACAGTTGTGATCGTGGGCGCCGGCCTCGCAGGCGCCCTCGCCGCCCGCGTCCTGCGGGAAAAGCACACCGTGAAACTCTACGAGCGCATGCGAACGCCCCTTGAGGTCGGAGCAGCTATTAACATCGGCCCTAATGGTGTGCGGATTCTGGATTCGCTCCATTTTGACCGTGTAAGGGCAGGCTCGCTGGCCGTGTGCGGGACCAAAGTTTGGAATAGAGCGGGGGAGCTCCTGATGGACAAGCACACCAATTATAAGGACCAGTATGGCGCCGATTGGCTATTCCAGCACCGAGCGGATCTTCGAGCTGAGTTCCTGAGAATGGCTACCGCGGATCCTTCTTCGGACTCGGACGCAGATTCGTCCGGTGGTGGCGGTTCCGACACGCACATTCCTGGCCGTCCAGCGCAAGTCTTTTGGAATTGCCCTGTGGAAGAGGTGGACCCTGAAAAAGGGACGGTTATTCTTGCATCTGGCGAGGAAGTCACCGCAGATCTTGTCATAGGTAGGCTAACATGACTGGTTTCCGTCGACGTCTGTGCCGAGTCGACACCAACTAACACTGCAATATTGTTACAGCCGCCGATGGAATCAAATCAGTGGTCCGGCCAACAGTCGTCGGGGACGCTGCGTTCTCAACTGCAAGGCCGTCTGGTCTCTCTGCATTCCGCTTTACATTGCAAGCAGGGGCTGTCCAGGAGGCAACAGGCGAGCTCCCGGATCTGCTCCAGGCAGACAAGACGGTCTGTCTCTCCATGGTGCACTCGTTCGACGGGACAAAGCGATCAATCGTCATGTACCCCTGCCGCAACTTTCAACTGCTCAATTTCGTCTGCATCGTTCCGGATGAAATGTTGAAGAATGAAACCACCGAGTCCTGGACTGCAGCAGGGGACAAGGACGAGCTGTTGTCAATCTTTGGCGATTTCCCGGCATGGGTCGTCACTTATCTCAGGTATGATCCTGCGCCCACTCCTTTTCTGTATCCTGGTATCCGCTTGTTAATTTTCAGCATCTAGAGTTGCAACAGAAATCAAGCTCTGGCAACTACGCGATCAGGACCCGCTGCCAACCTACATTCGCGGCCGCACAGTCCTAATTGGGGACGCTGCACACGCCATGACACCACACCAGGGTCAAGGTGGCACACAAGCGGTCGAAGACGCCGAAGGCTTTCGCCTGTTCCTGCAGCCTGGGATCACAAGAGACGATGTTCCACGGCTATTAAAGGACTTTGATCGTGTTCGAAGGCCCCGCGCTAGCAGGATCCAGGAGAATACTCGAAAGGCTGCCGACAAGCGCACGGCGGAGGAGGTTTATATGTACGAGAAAATAAATTGGACATATGGTGGAATTTTTGAAGAGCTGGACCGGTTGGACCTAAGCAAGTAACTGAAATGCACGGAGGCCACCCGGGGTGCTTGCTGCCTGCGTCTGTTAGTATTATGCAGCAAATTGGATAGACGGAAAACCATTGAATAGGACATGTTCAACCTAGCGAGTGCAATACCATCCTCACACTCTCTGCTTTTCATGCCATCATATCGCTGCTACGTAGGGGCTTCTAACTTTCTTTGCTTTGAATAAGTTTTCTAACTGTGTTTGAAGTATGGCCACTAGCTGCACACCACAAAGAAGATACCCCGTTGAAACTGCCATAGGCACTCATCCAATTGCCCTAGCATATGTAGAAAACTCATCAAGGTGAAATACATGCTGGACCTGGACCGGCAGCGCTCGTTGCAGACCGGAGCATCGCAGATACTCGGCTATGAGGAACGGCTTCAGTTTAAACACACCTTACTAAATCCGGCTTCACTAGACTATACGAGGTAACTTAATACACAAATTCACTTGAAGGACCACGAGAACGGTATTGACAATCAAGTGAGGTATGATCTGAAAGGGCCAAGCCGCCTACCCCCAAGGCGCGGATGAGGGGGGAGGGAGGATGGACTTCCGAAAGCGCCCAGATCACGATCCTCAGCCAGATCAGGCAGCTCCAAATACAGCATAGACCAATTTACCACGTTTACCAGCTCTCGGGTTGTGGACAGAGGTTCATGAGGGGCCGAATTACCGCAGCTAGATCTGTGTCAACGGACGAAGTGCAAGCAAAACTCCGAACAGCGGCTGGAGACTAAACCGATGAGCATCACGTATAGATTAAAAGCCCTGTCTACATTGCCCTTGCTCTCTTCTGCCACACTGATGTCTCAAAGTTGCTCCCATACTATCTCCGCTTGATTCTCTACAATCCTTCCCATCTCAGCGACTATGGGTTCTACCGCCGTTGAGTTCAAACCAGAGACGAGGACTCTTCTCCAACTGGTCAAGACACGCCGAACCGTCTACGGTCTTAGCAACACATGCTCCATCTCCGGTGAAGCGGTTGAGGCCATTATCAAGGACGCCGTGCTCCACGTCCCGTCATCCTTTAACACTCAGACAACCAGGGTACTTCTCCTGCTCGGTGAAGAGCACCAGAAATTGTGGGACTTAACCCTTGGCATTATGGAAGGCTTAGTTGCTGCGGGGAGTGTTGCGAAGGAGATGTTTGAAAATAATACTAAGCCTAAACTGAATGGTTTTCGGGGAGCTCATGGGACTGTCTGTTCATCTGATTCTTGTATTTCGAACCATTATCATAAAATGAAAGTGTTGCTAACTTGTCCAAGGTCCTGTTTTTCGTGGAATATGACGCCCTGGCAGAGATTAAGAAGAAGTTCCCCACGTACGCAAACAAATTCGATCCTTATGCGCTTGAGTCGAATGCTATGTCTCAGTATTTAGGTCAGTTTTCCATCGTTTCGGTCTTTTTAAAAAAGAAGAATGAAAGACTAAAAAGGCTTGCGCTTGTTATCGTTTGCTATCTTTGGTTTACTTCACTGCGAAACAATACTAATCTCTTTCAAAGTCTGGACGGCCCTTGCCTCTGAAGGCCTTGGTGCCAATTTGCAGCACTATAGTCCCCTCATTGACACCCCGGTCCAAAAGCAATGGAACATCCCCGCATCGTGGAAGCTTGACGCTCAACTCGTCTTTGGTACGCCGACTGGTCAACCTATTGAGAAGACCTTTGCTCCTCTGGAGGACCGCTTCAAGGTTTTTGGGAAGTAATATCCTTATGGAGCCTCAGACGATATACACGGCAGAGCGCCTTCGAGGGTTTATACAATGAGTTATTATAAGCAATCTTTTAGGTTACGTCCCACGTACATTTGGGGATACCTTGCCCTAATAATACTCTTGAGGCCTAAGAACCTAGAAGTTCCTTGTCTGTACACCACCCGACGTTGCAGTGCTTGACTCTATTTTGTGGGACAGTATGCCATCTTTACTACGGGACTAAATCCTGCGACCGCTTAAGTTATCAGAGATACGATATCTTGCAAAAGTATATGTTTTCCTCGCAAGCTGTATGATTGTAAAATACAGTAAAACCAAATAAATGACAGAATGAAATTCAAGTGCTTTCTCTCACATCAATAACAGCAATCTCCTCCCCCAGCACTCCCCGCCCCTCAACAACCAGCGGCGTACAAGGCATAAGCGCGTATAACATCCTTGCCCAGCCACCTTCAGTATTATATTCCTCTACGCATAATTTGTGCCCATTTGAACACGGGTTGCAGTGGGGAAGAACCAGAGAACTTCGCTTCAGAATCGGACGCAAAAGAACCTCCGTGAGGAACGGACAAAAACTATCAGCAGATTCCGGGGCCACGGCCGACGGTCCACACTTGCAGAATGTCGGATCGGAACCACCACAATTTGGATCCCCACAGGGAGGAGTGATCGGCACCACCCTGTTATTCTCGGTTACTCGCAGATGAGCTTTGCAGGTGATCTTCTACAAAAGTCGGGGATTAATGAGCGACACATTCACTGCTCCTCGGCGGTTTGTGCTGTGCAATAATCTCAAATGGTACGAGGATAATACAACCTAGCGACTCAAAGCGAACCAGCTGGATGTACCTTTTAGTTTTCGAGTCCAGTGCTTTCCTCAATGCCCAGCTAAACTATATACAACTTAACTCAAAAGCTTTATGCAAGATGGTCAATCCCTAGATAGCGACAATCTTGACTGCTCAAGGAGCCGAAAACCGCAACGGCAACCCAGGATGCGCATACTCCATGGTGAATTTATCCTTCCTCTCTGGAGGTACAAAACCGGGCGGAAGGGCGATTTTAAAAGATCGGAAGAAATAAGCGAGTACGATGGTAACCTCTGCAAAGGCGACGCTATTCCACGATAAGAGTCAGTATTCGCTTCTTCTTCTTCTTCTTCTTCTTCTTCTTCTGCGTGGGGAACGGTATCAAGAGTGGTCCGTTGTAGTTAGGACTTACTTTTGCCCAATGCACATCCGGGCACCCTTGGAGAAGGTGCAGAGGTATTGATCCAAAGACTTTGATTCGGGCTTCAGCCAGCGATCGGGGTTGAATATGCGGGCATCGGGACCCCAGATGTCCTCGCTGGTGTGCATTGTATATGCCGATATCGAGACGATTGACTACCGGAAAGCATATTAGCAATTCTGCACTACTGTATTTTGAGTTAATGGGGTGACGCACTCCAGGAGGAATAACTTTGTCATCGACAACAAACGGCGGGGCATTGTGCGGCACGATTCGAGGCAGACGTCCGGGTACAGCCATGCCGATGCGGAGAGATTCCTTGACACACGCCGTCTGGCGGGGAAACTGTCAGTTTTTGAGATCCAGAAAACGTAATGACATTGGTTAGCCTACCAAGTACTCAATCTTTTCCAACTCAAGGAGTTGGAAAGCCTCGGCGTTGCCGCTGTATGCACCAACGCCACCGAGTGCATTGACCAATTTGGTATGGATTTTTGGGTTGGAAAGAATGTGCATCATGCCGGCTGTCAAGGTGGAGGCTGTTGTGTCGGCGCCTGCAATGAGGATATCCAAGGCCTCTGTGACCTTGTTTTGGTGGGACAAGGAGGACAGATTATCGAACACGACAGGATGGGGGGTGGTATTTCCGTGAATCTCGTAATGATTAAGACAGCTTTCCGCATACTGGTGGAGAAGAACAGACATTAGTTCCCACGCTAGTATCAAGAAGGTACGCGAGTAAGTGTTGGGAGCAGTAAATACCTTGAGCATTCGGAAAACATTCACCAGCTGCGGATCAAGTCTCTCAACCAGTTTATCAGGCAGACGCCCAGCAATCTTCCTAAGAAGAGGAAACTCCTGCATCTTCCACAGACTTCCCGCAACCGCGTCAAAAGCAGTAAGGAACCAAGACTCGAAGGTAGTCTCCTGCTCCTCGAGCATGTTGGCCGACTTGGCAAAGGCAAACTCCATGATCACCTCCGTTGTCAAGCACCTGAGTGCATCATACACATTGATATCGTTCTTTTCTCGTAGGCGGTCAATCTTGTTAATCATAATCCGCGCTTTGTCGTGGATGATAGGTTCGAGCTTGAAGACACCGGTACGAGAAAACACAGGATTCAGAAGACGGCGTCGCTCCTTGTGCATCTTTGCATCGACCTCGGTGAAGACCGTGTGCGGGGAGTTGAATGCTTCGTAGAACTCGCCCCATTTGGGGAAGGGGTTAGCCTGGCTGTAGATGATCTTGTATTTTGAGACGTCGGTTATATGCAGTTCGTTCGGCCCGATTCGCAGAGCATTTGTTTCTAGTCTGGGTCAGTAACAAGATAAAAACAAGCAGGGTGGGCTAAACGAACGGTACTTCTTATGTAGCCTCTCGAGCTCCTCTTCTGGGAATCCACCATCGGTGACTCTGTAGATCCAGCGCCGCGATGAAGCAGCATTTGTTGGACCTGGAAAGGACGCCAACGGATGGAAGTAGAGGTAATAGAGCCTGCTCAGTAGAAAATAGGCGGCCAGCACTAGCGACGCTATCGCCGCCAAAAATGCAAATTGATTCCTGTCCCCTTGATACATGGCTGCGCCTTAAGCTCTAATGACCACTGAAATGAAAGCACAGAGCCACCAGCTGCGTAGAGTCTCTATATATAGCGAGCGCGAGGCTTGCTTAGACGGAACGGGGCGGCAAGCAAGCCCAAAGAACAACACCGTTCAAGCCATTAAAATAAACTTAACGAGTAGTAAGGTGGAGAATATAGAGGTTCCTCTGCCTGTTATAATTAAACGAGAAAATAGAATCTTTACAAGTCCACTATAATTGCTATGGTGCCCATATCAACGCAGTGATACTACTTGGGTGATGTGGACCATGTCCCGTTAAAAGCGGTGGCATCCCCGAACATTATTAGTTGTCTAAGGTAGCAAGAACAGCTTGGAATAACTGGGAGACCGCAGAGCCACAAGCTGCATATAGACTTTATATAGAGCAAGCGTGAGGCTTGCTTAGACAGAACAGGGCAACAAACAAGCCCAAAGATAAACACAGTTCAAGTCCTTAAAGTGACGAAAGTGAGTAGAAGGTGGACGGTATGTAAGCTACTCTTCCTATTACAGTTGAAGAAAAAATAGCATCTTTACAATTGTACTATGGTTGCTGTGATAATGCCACTCGGGCGATGTGGACCACATCCCGTAAAAAGTGGTGGTGTCCCCGAACATTATCAGCTGTCCAAGGTAGCAAGAACAGCTTGGATAATTCGGGCGTCCAACTCCGTTTTCAGCGCCCGACCGCCGCATTGCCACTAATGCACACAGCGTATGACTAAATCAAAGTCTCAGACTCCCTGGGCGGCCCCAGTCATATTCCAAGGTTCACGATAAAATAACGATCACCAAAGAGGAGTCTCGGATTTAAAATCTGGCCTCGGACTCGGCGCAGGGGACTCCGAGTTTTAAGGTCCATGTCGAGGATACTCGCTAGCTGAAACTGTGCTCTTAGTGAGGGCGGTTTGTGCCAATGCTGCTGTATTAGCTTCCAAGCCTAGAGGGCAGATATTTTTCGTACGGTGACAGGAAGGGGTCCCAAGTAAATTAGTCGTGATCCCAGGGCTGAGGCAGGGTAGAGTGTGAGCAAAAGGTCCATTAACGTATTTAGGCTGGAGTCGATGTGGTGATGATATACGGAGGGAGATCTGTACCCAATTGAAGGAAATGCTGCTATTATGCAAAGGGAAAGGCTTAGCACGGGACGTGGAGATCTCGGCTTCCCCGCTTTCGTAAATTCTTGCCAGCCCCAACCTTGAGTCTTCATTTTGATATATGCACTATAAGACACCAGCACAGTTGGCTATCAAGATGGAACTCCCAGCATCAAATAGTGACAACCCCACTCGCCCAAAGCAAGCCACGACAAAAGACCAATTCGCGTGTGACCAATGTTCCGCGAGGTTCAGGAAACCGCAACATCTAATGCGCCATGCTCGCCGGCACCTGCAAGACCGACCGCATAAGTGTCCTTTTTGCTCGAAGAATTTTCAAAGAAAGTAAGTAGGGTAAGATAATACGCTTGAACGCAAGATTGACCTCTTCAGGGACTCTTTGAAGCGACATGTGGCCACCCATGGCAAGGAAGCCTCTGGTATATATGCCATCCGTGCAGCGGCTGAATCGAGCCGGGCAGCTCACGCATGCAGGGAGTGTAGTACCTCCAAGAAGCGCTGTGACGGACTCAATCCGTGCTCTCAGTGCGCGAAAAAGGGCCAGAGCTGTACCTACGATTACCGGCACGATAGGCAGAATACCCTCGCATGTGACGCGATGGGGAGTTATGCACGTTTCAACATGCCCCCATCTGAATCTGCGTCCGCACCCGCCCGCTCGAGAGACGTCCACGAGAGTATCCCTACCCCTTCCACTGGCGATAGTCAACCAGCACCCATCAGCTATGATGTGATGGTTGATGGCGGCGTCAATGTGTGTCAAAACTACAACAATTCTGAACTGAACCAACCCGGTACATGGTCTCAGCAAGACCTATCATTCGACCTTATGTTCGACCCATTCATTTTCTGGGGCTCAGAGGAAACAGCTGGGATGTTAAGTAATCCACTTTCAAACGGCAATTTTGGAATCACTACACCTACCATAAATAGTGAGGATATTCACTTATCACCTGCAGGCCACGCTATCCAAGGAGAGTCTTCCAGGCAAAATCAAGAAGCAGAGACAGCGCAGGTAATCGACGTTCACCAAGCGAAGGGACCAGAAATCCAGATTGTACGACTTGCTGACCTTCCCTCCAACGACCGCGACATACTGGTTTCCGAGCAATACTACCACGTCCCACGCATATCTGAAAGCATCTACAACAAGATCTATATACATTATGTTCAGCAATACGACGTATCTCACTTGCAGGCTTTTCCAGACGCGGAAGTCCTAAACACATTCATGCAATTGTATTTCGAATTTTGCCACCGGGAGCTCCCAATATTCCACCTTTCCACTTTTGATCCGTCCCCTGAGTCGTGGATACTCGTCGTCGCTATCATTGCAGCCGGGTGCAATTATTCTATGTGTCAGTACCGTCAAGAAGTGTCTGAGACTATGTTGGCACTTCTGCATCGCGCAATTTCCCAAAAGGTGGGCTTATTCGCCTTCGTGATTTTCTTTTCCTGCAATACGAACAGGAATAGAAAAGCTTACTAATATTGCCCAGATAGCCGATAATAACCATACGAATGGTGACCTCCCACTAGCTCAAGGCATTTTCCTCTTCAACTTATGCCAGTTGTTTCATGGTGCAAGAGGAGAATTCTTGAAGCTCCAGTACCAAAGGAACATCTTGATAACGCTTTGCCGCCTCCACATGGCCCACGCGAGCTCAATGTTCAATATGGAAGTTTCCCCTGATGCTGAAGGTCACCACGATGCCTGGCAAGTCTGGATTCGAGAAGAGTCCTGGCGACGGTTAACGTATGCAACGTGGAGTGAGTGGCCCTTTGCCAAATGAAGCCCACCGCAATCCGAGCTTTACATGATCGCCACACTAACAGCTAGGAAAATAGTGCTTGAATGCTTCCAGTGGATGTTGTTTGATACGCTGCCCATACTAGCTTCCTGGGAGCTGCGTCTCAGTCTACCCTGCCGTGAGGATTTGTGGAAGTGCGCGAGCAAAAGCCAATGGGACGATCTCGCAAGCATACCCGAAACCTGTATTGCCTTCCCTATCTTTCATTCCAATCGCCGCGACAAGTGGTACCGAGTAGTCGTGGCATCACCGTACTGACAGAAGACCAGTAAGCGAGCCGAGCTTGGCGACAATCATGAGCACACCCAGTGTCTTGACGGGAAGCACTCGCTCATTAGGCAGCTATGCTTCGCTGATCCTTATACTCTCCTTCTCTGCCGAGGAGAAAAGACAGCGCCTTTGTCACGGCTACGATGTGTATCATTTGTACTTGCTCCCCCACCACATCACCTCCGATCCTTTTTCCTCCTTTACCCCCTCGATACGGCTCTAACTAACTACGATTGACAGAGTCTCAAACTCTTATTTGAAGGCACAGTCCGATCTGCTGGGCGACGATAGCGGAAGCCATCTCCAATCATCAGGGCTAGCACCCCTACGCCAAAAGCTCTTCTTAGTTCTTTCCATATTACATCGCGTGCATCTAAGGATGCTCTACCGGGCCTGTGGCTGGCTGACAAGCAGCAAGGACCGAGAAGCAGCAAAGCAAGAGCTGTTCGCTCTACTGTCCAACAATAGGACCACGGCAAAACGCACTCTCCGGCATGCAGCCTGTCTCTTCCGCCTCATCCGGACACAGAGGAAAATGACCTTCTGTGACCCGCAGATGTTTCTTATTGCTACGCTTTATATCTGGTATTATATTGACTTTGAGAGGGATGGAAGCGAACGCTTTCAAAGTCGCCAAGATAGCAGCAGTTGTAGCAGCGGTGGCAATACCCGGGAAGGGTTGTTGGACCGGCCGCTGCGCATTGACCAGGAGGAGATGGATGATGAAGACACATTGGAAGAATGGATAACGAATGGGGACCAGAGACGGCATTCGCTGCATATTACTGGTGTTGGCATATTGCAGGAAAAGGATAGCTGGATCCGGTTGTTGCAGGAGAGTTTGCGAGTGCTGAGGCATGAGACTGCATGGGCAAGGATGGGGAGGGGCATTTCTCAGGCATTGGAGATGATACTTGAGAGCGGTACCACTTCTTTTGATGGAAAGAGTCCCCACCAGGGGACTGACAGATAGCTAGATAGATGCCATTGCCACCCAGTAGGTCTACTGCACTAATGCTAAAGGGCTAGTTTGTCATATTTGTCTATTCCCGGCCTCCCGCGTCATACGTATCTCCTTGTCAGAGTTAGCTGTATCTTGAGATGCATGTGGCTAGAAACGATTCATGATCGGCCTACATTGTTGACAACATGCGGAGTTTCTATGTCACGGCAATAAAAGAGCTGTCACGTCCTTTGGTCAAATTAGGACAGAGAAAACAGGACCCCGTGCACCAAATGTGTAACACGCGACGTGGAGTTCCCCTCCGCCATAGCAGTCGCTGCTTCAATATCGGTCGGATTTGTTGTCGCCTGCAGATACGGTCCTCATCTCCGGTTATTAGCGCGGCGGAAGCATGGATCATCTGGTCTGTCAATGCACTCGGTGTGGAACGATTTACATTATTGAGAACCCAGCCAATGCTTTTATACCGGGGGCAGGCCTTAGTGGTTTCGATCGCAAGTGCACTGCAAATCAAATCTTTGCCAATGATTACGAGCCTTCTGGCAGGCAGATAATCTCGTGCTATACCTGTCAGCTGTAGGCACGCTGTGGATTCTCAAGAATGACGGCGGCACTTTCAGGCCGGTGGATCAACAGGGCAATCCAGGGAACGGCCTTGGAGGTTACGACCTACGATTGCCAGCGAACAGAACCTTTGCACAACCACAGCCGATGACTCTACCCCCCTGTTACTGGGATAATGTGTATTCTTGAAATCAATGGCGGCAACTATCGACCTGTCTATCAGGAAGGAAGCCCTGGAAATGAAATCGCCAGCTACGACCTGAAGTCTCCTGGGGACCAGGCATTCGCTTTCGCATACGACAACCCTGGCAAAATTGGCCATCTCGCCCTCTATCGGCCAGGAACTGGAACGTTCTGGGTCCTTGCAAACCGTGACGGGGAGTCTCCCCGGTGGACCAGGAGGGGGGTTCTGGACTCGGTGTCGAGGGCTATGAACTCACAAGGGGCGCTTTGAGGCTGTTTACGACGAAAGAGACCCTGGGAACGGGATCGGTGGGTATGACCCTGAATCTCCTGCTGATCGTGTGCTCATATCCGACCATGACCAAACAGGTCAAGTGTTGCGCTATGCCGTCCCCGGGCTGTTGTGGGCCATTTATTTATCCTTTTTTTGGCTTCGGCTTAGCCCAGATCTTGCCGATCATTGGCTCGTTCGTGTCTCCATGGCATGACAATGCAAAGCGTGTGGCAGTGCAGTGCCAGGGACACTGTATCTTCTTCGTGCCCAATTCTGTCATATCATCTCTGCGCTCCTCAGCTTTCCCCCTTCCCATTTTCACTCCCTCACCGATGGTACTCCTCATAAATAATGGGCCAACAAGCTTCCACCCCCCAACCCGGCAAACAAATCCAAGTCATCGGCGCCGGCCTCCCACGAACAGGCACAGCCTCCTTTAGCGCCGCTCTATCTCACCTCCTGGACGGCCCCGTCTACCACGGCGGCACACAGACCACACTAGGCGACCCGATCGAGATTAAATCATTGATTCAGATTATAAATCTCTGGGTCAGCGCGTCGCCACAGGACAACAAGACCGCGCTCGCAATGCTGAAAGAGCGACTGGATGGATACGTTGCCGTAACTGACTCGCCGTGTGCACAGTTCACACCCGAACTCCTGACTCTGTATCCGGATGCGATCGTCGTCTGTACCGTACGGGACCCAGCCGCGTGGTATAAGAGTATGGGCCAGACAGCCGGGCTCGCGACCATGTGGTTCCTCGGCGTCGTTCTACTACCGCTGCCCGGGATGCGACACTTTACCAACTACATCAGGGCCCTCACGGCGCAGTGGCTTCGGGTATATGGCAAGGACTGGCCGAGCGTCGAGCTGTACCATCAACATATCCAGTGGCTGCAGGATGTTGTGCCCGAGGATCGACTGGTCTTCTTTGATGTGAAGGATGGGTGGGAGCCGCTGTGCAAGGCGCTGGGGAAGGAGGTTCCGGCTGATCTACCGTTTCCAAAAGTCAACGACTCGGCGGCGATTGATAGGGTCGCAGAGTATCATGTTCGCCGGGGGCTTGTACGGTGGGCTATGGGTGTTGTGGTGGTTGCTATCGGTGCTGGCTGCGTCCTGGGGATTGGGGGTCTTTGAGCATTTCTTGGATGTTCGGTATATAAAATACTATATCATTGCTCATACACATCAAGCTGCAGGCACTATCTCCAATACCGAACCTGCATGCGTATGCTTTGGCCGGGCGCAATGTGTCCGCAGCAAACCTAGTGAGGTGCCAGTTCTCGAATGCTGCCTGGATCGCGCAGGAACCATTCCTCAAATATCACCTTGAGTCCTGAGCAAGCGCTGCGTTGCCGTCTCGGTCTTGGAGAAATTCCAAGGTCTAATCTTGCGCTCAAAGAGCTCATCCAGCTCAGCCGCCGAGCGCCTAAAGACAAGAGCGTTAGCAATTATTTCCTTCTCACAAAGCTACCAACACCGCCGTCCACGCGACATCCGCACACCCGACGATGCTACCCTTTTGGAATGGATTTCTATTCAAACGTACCCTTTCGTCTCTGGAAGCAACAACCAAGTCCCAATTAGGAACGGAAGCCCGACCCCCGCGTAGAACCACCCCGTCTTGAACCCCCAGTTCCATTGATTGGCGTTGACCATGTACGGAGTCAGAGTGTTCATCACCACCCCCACAACGCAAGTGCATGCGGCGCCGAAGCCTGCGGTGTATGGTCGGAGGCGCAGAGCGGATGTTTCGGCGATGTAGCCCCAGCCCGCGGCGCCGTTGGCAATCATGCCGACGTCTGGTGGAGGAGATGTTGGTTAGCAACGAGCGGAAGCAAAAAGGAAAGACGAAAATGTGGTTGATTTGAGAAAATTTAGGTGAGTGGATTGGCTTACTCCAAATGCAAACAAACAAGACGAACAGGTTCTTGGTCACGGTAGTACGAGGAACAAGCCCAAGGATCCCAATGACCACGCAGCACGTCCATGTCGTACTGGTAGCATAACACGCGATCTTCCGTCGCCCAACAAAGTCTGAGAAGAGAACAACTGAAACCAAGACACTGATATTGATACCGGATGTGATGCACTTGATTGTGAATGGATCCGCCAGCCCAGCCTGTTGGAAGAAGTATGTCCCAAAGGTGGTGAAGAGGGTAAGTCCGATGAATTGCTGCGTCAGGTTGGGCCATAGCGAAATGGTAGTCCTAAGGCCATTCGTTCCCTGGAAGATAGCATACCAGCGCTGCTGCTTCTGCTCCGCGGCGACCTGGTTTTCGTGCTCGACTGTCAGGACGAGTAGTTGGTATTGCTGCTCGAGGTTGTAGTCCTTTACATCCCGGTTGAGTTTTAGCAGTTCTCGCTTGGCTCGAGTGCTGTCTCCGCGCGTTGCGCACCACACCGGTGACTCGGGTAGGAAGACGTATATGATAAGCATGATCCCAATCTGTGCCCATTGGGTGTATATCGGTATGAGCCAGACCGTGGGGCTGTGTTTGGCCATTGCCTGGAGGGCGAGGTAAGCGAAGAAGGATCCAAGGGACCACCATAGACTATAACACATTAGAAGGCCACCGCGAATGCGAATCGGGGCGCATTCAGAGATATAGACTGGTAGGGTCGACTGGAGACATCCAACACCAATGCCAGCCAGCAGCTTTGCAACGAGCCAGACCTCCCATGACCTTGCAAGGCTCTCCGCGAGCACACTGGTCATGAGCACCACCCAATAGGTATACATCGCGATTTTTCTCCCGAAACGGCTGGACACAAAGGGGATCGTCACCATGCCGATGATTTGACCCACGGACATTATCGAACTCCAGCCGGCTAGGATCGGGGAGGCGAGGTATGGCTTGCCGCTGCCATCGACTTTGGTTGCGAATTGCTCGACGAAACCCTGGTTGGCGATGATGCTTCCATTGATTCTAGTCCTAGATGTTAGTCGTATAGCTCGCCGACCTGATGGAGAAGAATTGCAGCGTACCCGATTTGGTACCCATCGGTAGCGGCACTAAACGCAGCGGCGAAACAAACCATCGTTGCGATCTTGAAGGTCTTGATCGTTTCCCAAAGAGACAAACCCTCGTAACCCGAGACCGCCTGTCCTTGAGCAGCGGCATCGGCAGCTGCTTCTCTGGGTTTGATGGAGTCCTCGATATGCTCCTTTTCAACTGCGCCTGGAACATCTACATATCCCGGTTCTGTCTTTGAGTCGACTGAAGCCATTTTGCTCGGGTGGGCCGGTCGATGAAGCTTCAATGCTGGCCAAGATAATACTGTGAGATATCCTGGTGCTGCGGCAATATATTTATATCAATTGCCGCTTGGCAAGGTAGTGGAGTCAGTGTGTCGCTCTGGGGTCCAGCATTAATCCCCACGGGGCTGGATCTCATGCCATACAGCATGCAGCATGGCAATCTTCTCCCCAGAAGCTTTGCCTTGGACCACCAGGAGTCACCAATGCGGTCTCGTCCCCCTGGTTCAGTGGCAGCCGATTTTCTCAAGACTCATCGCGTGGAGTCGGAACAATGAAGCGCCGAGCTGTTCGAGTTGCGATGGCGAGTCATGATTCGGTGCAGGAGTGGATCAACCCACTCTGAATCACATGGCAAACATTCTCGTCGGAAACTTCCCCGACGTGTGGGACAAGGGTCAATTCGGGGCCCTTGGGTCGGGGGAATCCCCCGATGGAAATCTTTGGAGATCAACGCACACTCAATTGATCCCTCGGGGCAATCATGCCCGAGTCGGTCGCTGCATCGAGTTTCACCTGAGATGCACGTCATTACATGTCCATGAAATGCTCTAGTTGTCTCGCGCTCGATCCATCCCATCAGCATTCTACCTTTTCCTAGCGGCCTCTGCTTAACCAGCCATTGGCACTGCAAGGGCGTACAATAGTCAAAATGACAGCCTGCGTGGATTCATCATTCGAAGCCATTGCAGTCAACACGCCCTCAACGCTCCATCGCTGGTCGCGCACTCCCCAGAAAATCACCTCCTTCGTACCAACACAAGATCCCTCATTTTTCGGCCTTCGACCCTCACTATCAGAACATGCCATCTCCGATCTACCTTCCCTCACCTCGGCCAGAGGGGCGGATTTCATCCTCGATTTTGGCATCCATATGGTCGGCCACCTGTCGTTCCTGCTCACGTCGTCGGGAGAGCATATGGATGCCCCTTGCAGACTGCGCCTCACGTTTGGAGAATCACCGCTGGATGTCACGATGGGAATGGAGGGTGTAGAGACATGGATCAGTACCGCCTGGCTTCCTGATGAGGTGATCAATGTCGACGAATGCCCGCAGGTGATATCGCTAAAGCGACGCTACGCATTCCGATACCTTCGCATTGAAATCATCGACACATCGCCAAAGTTCAAGGTCTCATTCTCAGACATCAAGTGCGAGTGCACCAGCGCCATCAGCCAAGACCATCGCATCGACGCAATTGACTTCAACGACCAGCTACTGCAGGACATCGACCATGTCAGCATCTCCACACTGCGGGATTGCATGCAGAGTGTCTTTGAGGATGGCCCGCGGCGGGACCGGAGATTGTGGATTGGTGACCTGCGGCTGCAAGCCCAGGCGAATTACCGCACGCTTCGAGACTTTCACCTCGTCAAGCGATGCATTTTCCAGTTTGCTGCCGTTGCCCGGGAAGACGGATCATTGCCGGCTTGTCTCTTTCATACGCCTCGACTGGCGCCATCAACGGACTATATTGTCGACTACGACGCGCTGTTCAGCGTCATTGTCTACGACTACGTCGTTGCCTCTGGAGATCTGGAGACAGGGCATACCCTTTGGGCAACGGTGCTCAGTTGCGTCAAGCGAGCATTAGCCCACCTGAACCCAGTAACGCACATCTTCGAAGTCAATCGCAGCACCGGATTCAAGTTTCTTGACTGGGCCAAGGGGCTGGACAAATCTGCGGGCTCCCACGGCCTCCTCCTGTTCTGCCTGCGGGCCATCAACAGCCTAGCCGAGCAACTGGGCAAGGAACCCCCCTTCACTGACCTTGTGAGAAAAATGGCAGAGGTTGCACCAGTCTTCCTCAGAGACGGCGTGTTCGTCTCGGGTCCAGAAAACCAGCTCAGCTACGCCTCCGCGGCATGGCTTGTCCTCTCCGACGCGTTTCCGCGCTCGACCGCGCGCGAGGCCCTGCTTGCCACGATGAAGCATCCGGCCGCCGTCAAGCCACTGACACCGTACCTATGGCACTACGTCTGCGAAGCGCTTCTCATGGTCGGCTGCTATGACGAATGCATAGAGCTGATCAAGGAGTACTGGGGCGGGATGGTGAAGGCGGGTGCGGACACCTTCTGGGAATGCTATGATGCCGAGGATCCCACGGCCAGTCCGTATGGTGACGTGCGGAATAATAGTTTTTGTCATGCGTGGAGTTGCACGCCAACGTACTTTCTGAGGGGGGAGCTGTTGGGGAGGGTCGGTGGTCGAGTTACGGGGACAGTGGCCATGGGGGAGCTGGATGATCGATGGATTGAGCGCTCTGTCGGTGCGGTGTCATCGCGTGGTCTCGTTGATGTGGCAGAGCACAACACAGTAGAATGAATATCTTTTCGTACAATGACTTCGCGGAGTGGGGTTTTCTCCCTACGTGTCTTTATTCTGAAATCCTTCGAGGCTCGAAGAGATTAGTCTGTAGCAGTGCATCACGCCGCCTCTGGGCTCGCGAGAGAACATCTCCATCCCACTCAAAAACGCCAAAACATCGTCTCGCCAGTTGCCCGGGAGCCAGAGGCGCGCCGCCCCATTGAGCTCAGGATACAGTGAGCTCCGCGCAGCTCCAAGCAAAATCATGGAACAAGCCGTACTATTGCGCACCCAGATCCACACGCCATGATCGAGTCTGGGCACGGTACGCACGGCCTGGAGTCTCCATACACAGCACTGGAGACCGTACGAGGCCACCGACGCGATTTCATCGATTAGGCTGTCCGGTAAAGAGAGGCGGTGGTTGAGGCAGATCCGCACAAATGGGCGGCACAGGAGCTCGAGGATCACGAGGTACCTGGCTCGCAGAATGCGCTTGCATTGGTCTGGCTCGGGCTCGAGGGTGGAAGTCGGTGGTGGAAAGGAGATTTGCAGTGGGAGTGACTGGTGCCAGGCATCCAGCTGCGATCTGAAAATCTTGTGGTTTTGCAGGAGGGACCTCGCTTCGGGCTCGGTTGGGGGCTCTTCTGCGTTGGTGTTTGCTATGAATCTGAGGATATTGTTGATTAGGTGTCGGGCTGCTATGTCGGACAGGTAGTAGTACCAGCTAACAGTCTCGTCGTCGAGGCTCTCGAGCTGCATGGTTTGGCTGGGCGTTGGTGGCGAGGGGAAAACGAGTTGGTCTTGTATATGCTCGAGCACAGAGCCTGGCATCGCCAGTTCGTATCGTATCTCGCTGGAGATTTCTTGAGCACAGAATGAGTGGCCCCAATGTTAGGTACACTTACAGCTCTGACTTGTACGCCGTGTAGAAGATGCTGTCCTCGATTACCTGTGACATGGACTGCGGTGTCTGAGGCTCTGAGTGACGCCGAGATTTCCTATACATGTAGGTGGTCAACAACCTGTGGGCCCAGATTTGCGAGTCCCCAGAGCACTGACCTGGCCATCAACGTAGCATAACAGCAGTTCCCCGCCATGGTGAAATGATTCCAGGCATCCAGAGGCTGCAAATTGCACATGAACCAAATGCTCCACGTAGTTAGTATACAGAGACCCCAACATCGGAACGCAACCAACCAACTTACCCAGCGAGACACAAGCACTGCGCGGACTCGAGTGTCTTCTGGCTCATCGCGCGCCCCAATCTCTTGCAAGCAACACTCCAGAACCGGTACGCTATTTCCACATCATCCTGGTTTCCGGCCACGGTGAAAAGGCTCCCTGGTGTTTCAATCGGCTTTTCGTGACATATCGCCCCGATCGCGCAGACGAGTGCAACAAGACAGGCACGCGTCGTCCAGTCGAACCCGTTCTCGGCAATGTGCGTGACGTAGTGATCCAGTGTGTCGAGATCCAGTATCGGGTTGACACTATGGACCACCTGGCGGTAGTTCGTCTGGAGCCTGGTGAGCTCCGATAGTGTGACAGGAGGGAGCTCGTCTGGCATGGGAATCGTAGATTTCCCGTCATCGACGGGGATCGGGTCGAGCCCCGAGGGGAAGACACGCCATGTGAAGATACTATCAAGGCCTTCGGAGAATCGCAGGCTTCGTGGATAGGCTGTCGATGTGGCAGTATGATAGGATTGTTCCAGATCTAACACCGACTTCGGTGTATGCTCATTGGTGTTGCCATCGCGAGGTTGGGCCTCCTGTGAGTTACCCTTGACCAACTGTGTAAGCTCTCCAATGGCTTGGAGGATCTGGATGCCCATGTCATGGGATCTGTGGCGGACGGGATCAGCTTTGTTGTCTGGTGGCCCTGTCGGTGGCTCCTTCGCTACCTACATTGTCCGTTCCCCGGCACCATCGCCGATTTCATACTGGCAGGCCGAGCTGGTCCTCGCGCAATACCCGCACACTGGTCGTCCCCCATCACACCTCGTCTTCCTGTCACGACATCTCACACACGCGATTGCTGCTCGCGTGCGCTGGCGTGGGGCAAGGGGCGGAGCATGGTCACTGGACCTTTGGCCCAATGCCCCGGCGGCATCAATGCGGGCTCGCTTGCTGGGTCGGGCGGGATTGTCCTGGTGGCCTTGAAGCGGATGCTGCATGATGATGGTCGGTAGTTGCCCCGAAGTCTGGGGCGCGGAGGGGAGGGAGAGGGTGAAAAGCCTGGAGGTCGCTCACTCTTTCCCCGATGGAAAATTGGGGTAGGCTCGGTTCGCTGGTGGGGCAAACTCGCCATTGGGGAAAACCCCCGGCAACCGCGTATGATTCACGAACCGACCGAGGAAGGCCTGGCAGCACCCTTATCACGCTGGTACAAGTTACTGACATTGACTCAGGCAGCATGGGTCTCCTAACGTTGGCAACATGTCGCAAAATTCAGAGTCCTAACCCAGCGGGTTTGATATCGAGCAAATCCTGCAAGATGCGACCATCGCAGAGAAAATATCTCTGCTGAGTGGTGAGACAACTTGGTACTCCCCAATCCGTGAGAGGCCAAATGTGCTGATCAATTGTCTGTCAAGGCATCGACTTCTGGCACACGACCCCCCTACCCCGATGCAACGTGCCCAGCATTAGACTCGGCGATGGTCCAAACGGCATTCGAGGCACCAAATTCTTCAACGGAGTGCGAGCGGCCTGCCTACCATGCGGTACCGGGCTAGCAGCGACATGGGACCAGGATCTTTTGTACCAAGCTGGCGTGCTCATCGGCCAAGAGTGCAAGGCCAAGGGCGCGCACTGCTGGCTTGGCCCGACCGTGTGCATTCAACGGTCGCCTCTCGGGGGGCGCAGCTTTGAGTCATTGTCTGAAGACCCTTATGCGACTGGGAAGCTCGCTGCGGCGTATATTAACGGCGCACAGTCAACGGGTGTGATATCTACCATAAAGCACTTTGTCGCCAACGACCAGGAGCAGGAGCGGATCAGCATTAATGCTGTGATCAACGAGCGCGCTCTGCGAGAAATGCATTTACTTCCCTTTCAGATCGCTATCGCCGATGCGAATCCGGGGGCGGTTATGGCGTGTTATAACAAGGTGAATGGGGAGCATGTCTCGCAGAGCAGACAGATGTTGGATGGTATTCTCCGTCGGGACTGGGGGTGGCAGGGCTTGATTATGAGCGACTGGTAAGTGCCGCGCAATATCCAGATGTTGCTACATTGATGTTAATACCATCTTCCAGGTTTGGTACATATTCGACTTCCGAGGCTCTCAACGCAGGTCTCGACCTGGAGATGCCAGGGCCGTCAAGGCTAAGGGGCCCTTTGGCAGAGCTGGCAGTCTCGAGCCGCCATGTCTCTCGCGCTACCATTGATGAGCGAGCGCGAAATGTCCTCGAGTTTGTTCAGAGAGCGCAAAACACAGCTGTGTCCACTGAAGAGAGCACCCGAGATCTGCCTGCAGATCGCAAGTTGAATCGCAAACTCGCCGCAGATAGCGTCGTGCTGCTCAAGAACGACACGCATACGCTGCCATTGGATCCAAGCAGCTTTAGGAGCGTCGCCTTGATAGGCCCCAACATGAAGACTGCCGCCTTTTGTGGCGGAGGATCCGCCTCCCTTCAGCCATACTATACCGTTTCGCCATACCAGGGCATTGTCGCCCAGCTGCCACGCGACGTTCAAATCTTTTATGAGCCGGGCGCCCAGGCTCATGCTTTCCTACCAGAGCTGGCTACCCCTGGCATCCAAACTCCAGAGGGATGCCCTGGACTTCGAATACGTTTCTATCGCGACCCCCCGTCTGTGCCTAATCGCCGCATCGTTGGCGAAACCACTGTGCAGGAGTCCATGTGGCAGCTAATGGGCTTTTCCCATCCTGAATCGGACAGGCTCTTTTACGCTGACATTGAAGGCAATCTAGTCGCCCCAGCTACAGGTGACTTTGAATTCGGCCTCACCGTCTACGGTTCTGCGAATCTATACATTGGCGACAAGCTCGTGATCGACAACACCAGTGTACAGCGAGGCGGCAACTTTTGCTTCGGGAAGGGAACGGTCGAGGAAAAGGCCACTGTGCACCTCTGCGAGGGTACATCGTACAAGATCAAAGTTGAATTCATCAGCGGGCCTTCTTCAAAGCTCGTCAAGCCTGGCGTGGTCAACCTCGGCGGCGGGGCAGGTCGTCTAGGCATGGTCCAGCTCATTGATCCCAATCTAGCCCTTTCTCGCGCCGTGGACGCCGCCAGGCGCGCAGACGTGACCATTCTCTGCGTCGGACTCACGCGGGACTTTGAGTCCGAGGGATTCGACCGGCCCCATATGGACCTCCCGGCCACCCTGCCCCCTCTCATCAACGCCGTCCTCGCCGCGGCGCCAAATACCATCCTAGTCACACAGAGCGGCAGCCCCTTCAACATGCTCCCTTGGGCCGAACAGGTCAAGACTCATTGTCACATCTGGTTTGGCGGTAATGAAGTGGGTAATGGACTGGCGGACGTCCTCTTCGGTGCTGTTAACCCGAGCGGCAAACTGTCCCTCTCGTTCCCGCGCCGCATCGAGGATACTCCGACGTATCTGAATTTCGGCAGTGATAGAGGGCATGTTACGTATGGTGAGGGTATCTATGTTGGATATAGGTACTATGAAAAAGTGTTGCGCGATGTGCTTTATCCATTTGGGTATGTGACTCCGTCAAGTACTTTTGTCCATTTTGCTCCACATTGAGGTATCAAGGCACCAAAGCTGACATCCATTGTCCGACCCACTAGACACGGATTATCATACTCGGACTTCACCTTCTCAGACCTTGAGATTACTACCACATCCGCCAATCTCAACATAACCAACAAGGGCTCGGGCCATGGGCTTCCGCGGGCCGGAGCAGAAACCGTCCAGATGTACATCAGCCCTACAAACCCAACAATCGCTCGACCCTTCAAGGAGCTCAAGGGTTTCTCCAAAGTGTATCTGCAACCGGGAGAGACGCACCGCGTTGAGATCCCATTCGATCGATTCACCACGGCGTATTGGGATCAGGAGCTGCATTTGTGGGTCTGTGAGAAGGGCCAGTATCGGGTTCTGGTCGGGTCGAGTAGTCGGCGAATCTTGCTTGAGGGGATACTTGACCTGCATAAGACGACGACTTGGTCTGGGCTTTAGTCAAGAGTCGCTGGGGAGATATTCAAGACATATCCTCCCCAGTGCACATGTTAATAGCCGACTTTTGTAGAGATAGATATCATCAACCAGCCGGCGCCGACTAATTATGTACAACAAAGCTCATGCGTGTAATGGCTCCAGGAATCCCAACGAACCGTATACCCAAAGAAATGAAGTAAAAAGAGAACAAAAAGAACCTCCAAACGATGGAGGAAACTCTGCAACAACCACCTCCGGTTGGCCTGACGTTGACGAGACGCCCCCAGGACATACCTACCCATTTTCCCTGGTACATGTGGCTTTTTATGGCAGGTGGAACTTTTCACGCAGGCTTTGGGAGAAATATATATGTCTTGTTATCCCCCGACATCTGATAAAACTGTTGACACGTCACACGGTGAAGTTCAAGTTCAAAGTCCTTCCTCTAAAGTCTAATGTTTGTGGTAGGTCCAGGATGAACAATGAGCAATCGACAATCGAACAATACCAATAATAATAGATTCCTCTGACGAATATATATTGTGAAATGTATCGTCGGAATCCAAAGCTCTATCAATGAATCTATATACATTCAACCTACCCTACTGTCTGATCTGACCTTATACCCTCATGGAAAGGCTCCACACCTCGCCAGCCGCGCATCCTTCATCCATCGATACCCAAACCAAGACGCAATGTGCACCGACGGCCGCGTCGGCGTGATCGACGACACGACACATTTCTCCTTCAGGATAAACCGCTTCCTCCCGTCCAAGTCCGTCGACATGGCAGGGCCCACGGCCGAAATCCACAGTACAGCCTCCGGGCAATGTGTGAGCCAGGTGGATCGCTCCGTTGCGTTGATTTCGCCCTCGAGTGTTGCGAGGAGCTGAGCCATTTGGCGATCGCACCAGGGGACGCGCGTGTCGAAGAGATATGCGAGGATTGTCCCGGAGAGTGAGCAGGTTCGTAGCAGCGCTAGTTCCTTCTTTTGAGAGACCGCTTATTTGTGTAATGAGGCCTAGTTTGCCCCGTGACCGGAGTTTGATGAGGCAGTGCAGGCGTGAGGGACTCGAGGTACCTGTAGTTGACATTTGTGCCGCTCAGCTGAAAGATGACAAAGCAGGAATCGATTGAGATGACAGAGCCGTTCTGCCAGACCTTTACACCCATGGCTTTGCTGCAGGGCATTGCGAGGTGCTCGCAAAGACGGTGATGAATGCACTCGCTACGGGTGACTTTGAGGGTGCAGTGATGGTGGCGCAGTTGGAGGCTGAAGGGCCGTCTTCGACCCCGAAGACAGCGTAGCATAAGTGGATATAAATTAATCCATGCGAGTAACTAGCCGTGTTTCCCACTTCTTGTATGGCTATCTCGGAATTCCAACAGATATCTCCGGATCTCTCCGTGACACTTTGTGATCCCTCATCCCCTACCCTCTGCCCCGTTCCCACCAACAAGCCCAGCGAAGGAAACGACTATTCGCGGCCTTAGAATGTTGATCAACTCAGACGTCGACTTGCGACGCCAGGAAGTTCGCCGCCTCGCCCGCATTAACTCCATATGTCAAGTGCGCTGGAGTAATAATCAAAGTGCCCGTGCACACAAGATCACCCAGCGCACAAATCACCTTCGTTTGACTCTTGGGATACCCCGGAATCTGCCCGCCATCCTGAAGGTTACGAGTGAAGCCAAAGAGGACTGCGCCCTTGACGCGATTCTTAACGTCCGATGAGAGAGCCTGGATAGCGTTATCGATGACGGCGGTTCCCTGGCTGGATGTAGGTCAGATCATCGTAAACCCGCCATATACTGTGTACTTTTGTCAAGCAGAATGATGCGCGTACCTATACCCGCCAACAACAATCTGAGTCTCGGGACACTTGGTAGCAGCCTGCTTGATCAAGCTCGCGGCCTCGTCAATCGCCACCTGGTTGGTGTTTTTGGGGAGGAAGTTGGAGGCCAGGTCCGCGATGTAGAGTGGTCCGACGCCCTGGCAGGCGACTTTGCCGGCTCCCAGTTTCAGCTTGAGGGCGCTGCAGGTTCCTGGTCCGACCACTATGCCCTAGGTGCATGTTAGCGCTGAGTGTATACGAAGCCACTTTGTGGCCCAGACTGAGAGTGTGCCAGCGTACCATGTTGCCCGTCTCAGTGGAACCGCGAGCGAAGATGAAGGTCACTGCCTTGCAGCTTCCGAGAATCACGTCATTGGCAGTGTCCAGGAGCTGGCGGCGCTCAAGTTGAAAGTCCTCCGTGGGGAGAGGGCTTGCGGCGGCGAGGCCGGCAAGGACAGCGGCGAAGAGGGCGTTGACGCGCATGTTGAAGCAAGGCGAATGGCGTGAGACAAAGTGTGCTGGATCTGCGGTGGTTATTCTCTGAAACGAGAAGATTTACTGTTGGCTATGTCTGCATTTATGTCTTTTTTTTTGGTTATCCTTGCGTGTCTTGATCTGGGGATGCTCAGGATGGGAGAGGAGTAGCTCGGCGTGGATCCAAGTACCGGGCGCCAACTGCCGTTCCTCTACGGAACCACATTCGGTGGATGGAGCTCAATACGGACTCTGAAACATCATGAGAGACCAATGGTGCGTTGTACAATGCCACCAAAACGTACATGAGCTGCGTGAAAAAGAGCGACCAAGCCAGGGCTTCATGCGGGGCATGGAATGCTGGTTAGTGGTACAAATGGTCAAGGTGGGTAAGTCTATTTAATTGGACAACCCCACATTTCCGAGATTCTTGTCTCCTTGCTCGTATCTGAGAGGTTGTGCAGGCGTTGCCTAAACTTGGTCGACCAAGTACCATTTATGTCTGCCGAGGTCCTTGGCAGAAGATATCACAGACTCAAACTGCCGCTTGGTCTACGCCCGACAGTATAAACCGAACAATGTCTATGCAGCCATGGAACGTGGAAGAATCGAACAAGAAAATTGGTACTAAGCTTGTCCTCGTCTCAAGCCTTTTCCAAGACGAACACAGCGCTTAGTTTGGGGGCCTCGGCATCTCTCAAGATGCCACGTAGCCCCTGGTTCCAAAGTTGGTAGAGTTTGTTTCACTTCTCCATTAGACGATGCTCGAAATTCTTATCTCACAATGCTCCGCTGGTTACCTTGACTATACAATGACCGACACGTGACCCACCATCTCACCTATAACAGCCGGAAAGTAGCGGTGCCTTACACTAGACAGGATCCGGAATGCCACCAGTGAAGGCTCGGGATTGGTACAACTCGATGGCAACTATGGCGGGGAGGGCACTAACCCATATTCCAGGCGACAAGCAGTTACTAGCCTAGAGGGATAGATATACTTATCACCTCATTGAACCAGCTTTACCGATCATAGTACTCTTCCAGAACACTTGACATCACATCCACGCTTTGGAGAGACGACCGTCCAGCTAGAGCTCCTTTCTATCCTGATCAATATGATTCGGAGTTGGGCATTGGAATGCTACTTCGCCCACAGCGGATTTATATATATTCAGGCCCCAAATTAATTTGAGTGGAGAAAATCGGAAACTTTCCACAGCAACTCCTGTCGTTGCCAGCAAGGGAAGCAGACCTAATGATGCCCTCTTCTAGTCCTATCTGCTTTACCATGAGCCCAAGAGAACAACACTAACCAGCTCAACTTGGCGGCGTATGCCGACCAACCGTGCCGCTTCTCGACTCTTAACAAGGAGACCTATAATTCTGGCTCGACGAGTATCGGATTGAGTATCAGATTAAATAGTATAGTACGCTTCCGGGTACAAATAGAAAACTGTGGCAGGTGTGTAAGTGGCAGTGGATGAGGTTCAGATGTCACGAGACGGCCCAAGTCTTTCTAGCCGAGGCTGCTACTCTTCACCACATGATGCCAAGCAGATCCCTGCAACATCCTAAAAAAGCGGGACAGGCCAGAATGACCTTCGGAAATCTGTTCCTGACAGACGCCTGCAAGGCATATCTCACCACCAAAATGCCGGCAGGAACAAACGCGACCACTCTTCCTGTGGGTCATCGGATCCTCCTCCTATCGCTCCCCTTGCTCGTCCTCTCGGAGCACAAATCCAGGTTCCATGGCGGGGTCGTGCTCTTCAAGATGATTTCCTCAGCCAGCTTTCTTGTCGGCCCAATAACCCAGGTCGCCAACTCCCAATCAACGGAGCTATCTCCGCATACTCTCGCGATAACAATCGGCCTACTCTGCTCCATGGTCGGCGACTTCTTCCTCCTACCCAGTCGCAGTGAATTCCACCGAGCAACTACTACTTCCAGTAGTAGCAATGGCAGTACTCAGGTCTCAGCTTCTTTCCAAGCCGGGATTGTCGCCTTTGCAGCAGCCCACATTGCATATATCATCGGTTTCCTGAGCACCGCCCAGGCCACCTCATATCCCGCACTGCTCACCACCTTCGTTGCAACATTCGTCCTGGCGAAATGGCTGGGCGTCATCTATCCTTCCTCATCTTCGTCGGTGTGGAGCAATATCCTGAACCTAACGCTCCCATCCGAGATGAAGCCGCTCGTCCTGGTCTACGCGATAATCATCAGCACCATGTTCGCTGTTGCGGTTGCCGTATCAGACGCCACGCCCGTGTCGTCAAATGCGTCCCTGCTTTCCCAGAGAGTAGTCGGCGCCGCCATGTTCGTCGTGAGCGACATCTTTGTCGCAGCCAATGCGTTTGGGGACGGGAACACTAGGCCGGGGGCCTCTGACAAGCGGGGTATCGTCAGGATCGCCCTCGGGTATGGGCTGTACTTCTGGGGCCAGATGGTGATTGCTGGGACTGTGGAAGGATTGTAGGGCTTAGCCCAGTTGCGCTATGCTTACAAGGACACTGAGGGTCGGGGCTGGGTACGTGGTGCGTTTTCTGCTGACAGCTTCTGCAAGCTGCTTCCACGGAGTCAGCCCGTAGTTCATATTCGGCTTGCGGGGGCAACTGTACGGATTCCGATACATACTAGAAGAATAAGTTGAAATGACCTAGCCCTGTGTGTAGGTATGGCGATGATGGATGGTTAGTCGTAATGAAAATGTTCGTAGCTAGATGACGTTATTATGAAGCTCGACGAGTGGTCATTTGCCTCCCAGAATGGTCCGCAGACCTTTGACGTAGAACTGAACTTCTTTAGATTAACTCAAAAGTTGGCAACGCCGACTTCGTCTGGTTCAGCTTATTTCTGCGCTGACCCGAAAGTATCTATTATTGTGGGTATATCCATATGATGGAACAATGCTTGGGAAAGACAAACAACACGGCGAAACAATGACCCAGTTATGCGGGTACTGGTGACAATTCGAAAAGGAGGTCCTCACGTCTCATTCAAGACGACGTTCCACGGCCCGCTATGCATATCACCCTAATCATTGCGTCTATCCTCACCCTTGGGGGCGTCCTGGTGGGACGTATTAGTGCTGCAGTGGGGCCAAAGCGTGATTCCTCATAGTCTTGTATGGTGTGGACATGTCGTAAGGTGACCCTGTGGCAAGGATGATCACGCCTTTTAAGGGCACGGTATCGTGTGGAGCGCCAGCAGGAGGATGTAAATACTTGATGGTTTCCAGTTGCCGGGCAATGAGGGCCGCAGGTTTCTGGGGTTCTCCATGCTCCACAAAGAATGGGATCTTTGGGAGGCGCACATGACCTAGCAGGAGGTCAGATACAGACATAAGAGTGACGAAACTTAGGATACGCACAGATTGACGGCAAGTGCTCTCGTATGCCGAGGACGAGTCTGACGATAAAAGTAGCTCGACGAAATCACTCCTTCTGGGTAATGACTGCATAGAAATCGCTGATGAGCTGGCAGATGGCTGGGTATTGTCGCGCAAGCTCATGAAGAAGTCCCGGCTGAGATGTGGCGTGGTCAGGCGTTCTCACTGCCCTGATTCCAGCACTCAGCACGGAGACTGTAATCGCAAAGGCCACATAGACGGATGTCATTTTGGTCCAGCGAGGAGGAATTCATCGACAAGGTAAGACTTCAGGGTTAGTTTGAACAGGTTCAAAACTCCAGACAGAGATAAAAAATCCCGACAAGATATACGTTGCTGGGAGATGGTCACGAGCTGAAGGGTCTCACAAATCGGCTTCAGCCGCTGAAGCTGCCCGAATGAGGATGAACTATCGGATCGGAGTGTCGCCGCTAGTGAAGGCTGCCCCAGCCCAACGCACTTGATAGGGCAGTCAGAGATGCGAAAATAGAACAACAAATATCTTCCACGCTAGTGAAGCAGCCCCGGCGGTTCCCATTGGCTGTGTTCGGTGGGCAGTTCGTGATGGGTACAAAAACCACTGCAGACTCCCAGCCCTGTTTCACACGACGTGGTCCGATCTGCAACCAAAAAACGACTATGCCTGAAAAGCCAACACTCGCGGTGATTGGCCTCGGGGCCTCTACCCTCGTGATGATCAAAATTCTCGCCGAAGAGGGTTTCGATGTTTCGGTCTTTGAGCGCAGCAGCTCGATTGGAGGGGTCTGGGGTTATGAGGATATGACCACCAAGACAACAGTGCTGAAGAGTATGTCTCAGATTCTTTTTTGCCCAGGCTTCGTATTCGAAGCCCAGAGAATAAAGCGCGATGCTGAAAAGCACTGCCGGGATCTAAGAGTACGTAGAGCAAGATGTGATACTGAGAATATCGTAACACGACAATTCGACCGAGTCGGGATCGCGTCGGGGATAAATCATCTTTCTATCGTCCCTGAGATTACAGTGATCGAGATGTTCGGTGGGAAGGGTGCAGTTTAAGAAGTAAGCAACATCCCTGGTCGGTGTGTCTGGGCTGTTACTTACCCGGATTCATAGTCCCAATGATTTTGGAGGCAAGAGGGTGCTTGTCGGTTATTCATTCGATTATTCGATTATTCGACAGTCATGCTACGGAAAGTGTTGATTGAGATATGTATACCAGCGAACTACCCCGGGCAGTAATGTTGGAACTCTGTATACTACACCGGCGCAGACAATACCGTAGCGCGCGCCCGTATGAGCTGCCTCAACCATCTATAACAAGCCCACACCATCTCGTGCGGCGCCGGCTGCGTGGCTTTCATAGACATGACAACACATCGCTCATGCATAAGGAACCAGAGCCTCCCTTGAACATCCTCCGACACGGCCAGGCCAAGGGTTGTAACCCAGAGATTCGCATGTGGAGCGTACCAAAGCCAGGTCGCTGAGTCGGTCGCTGTGATGTGCGACTTCATCTCCTCAACCATTGGAACGAGTTGTTCGGTCCATTGGGGTGGCAGTAGCCGGTCATCGAGGAGATATCGGAGTATGCGCAAGGAGACCTGACATGCCCGCACCATGGCGGTTTCAGGTCTGGACATGTCGGGTAGGGTTTCATGCCACGGCCATTCACCATCGAGGATGAAGCGCGCCGTCGCAAAATCGAATAGGTACTGGCCGGTCGCGTCTTCCCCGCAGTCAACCGCCAGAAGCAGTTCCCAGACATGCGCGAAGATCGCCGTCATGTGGAACTTGACAGCCGGACTGCCGCTTGTGCTTTGTCCGAGCCGCTCCAGAGTCAGTCCAGGGAGTTTACTCCATGCTGCCGGTGAGTACATGCCATCCACGACGAAGCCATCCAGCTGGTCGAAGACAACCGCCGGAAGGACCATATTCCTAATGGGTAGTCATCAGTCCACTGCCCCCCTGACTGCAAGAAAACGCTTAGGGACACTTACATCCGGATCATACGCGCTAAAAACCCATCAAACCCCAGCTTCTCCAGTCCTCCCCTCATGCTGACCATGTGGAGCAACCCATGGCGATGGGCCTCCGTCGCACCGTTGTCCTTCTGCAGGGACCCAGTGATAACGAGGAGGAGGACAGAGGCAATAGTTGCATCGTCCAGGACATTTCCAGACGCTACTCGCTTGTTGACGGCGGCGATGGTCTCCGTTTGGTGGTAAAGGGTGATCGAGTTCACCACCGGGCTGCCGGCCGCTGTATCGCGCAGTGTATCTAGGTGCGCCGAGGCTGCGTACAGCGTGGCGTGCATCAAACATGGATCGACCATCGCGTGCCGGATCCATGAGGAGCGTAGGTGGTGGGCAAGGCTGTCGGTTTCGACGACCAGTGTTGAAAGGCCCATGCGCTCTTGAACTGTGACTATGTTAGATAAGCTGACGGCATTGGAATGGCGGCGGCATACATGAGTGAACAAGGGATGGAATGTACGACTTTGACTCGACTGGATAGGACAGTCTCAGCGGGACGAGGCTCATCGAGGGTGCATCGAGAGAGAAGACGTGCTGCGAGCTGAATAGGCGGCGTCGCTGCAGCCTGTCGTAGACACAGACGGCACCGAGTCTATCGTGGATTAGTACCAAGCACGTTCGGACAGCGGTAGTGAATGCACTGAGTACCTTGTGCACCTTGAACAGGATGGGAGTGCCTTGTCGCATTGCTTCTTCAGTCTGTTGCACCGGCGGCAGGACCCCCACTCGGATGTAGGCGGAGAAGGCTTTTCCAGGCTCAAGGAGGGATGGTTCGGACTGGGGAGCCATCAGCGAGCTTCTTCTGCTGTATGTGACCCAGGTACGTACCTCGCCCTGCCCGGACCCTTATCTGTCACCGGAACAATTTTGCCATAGACGCCATCGGCAGCGATTCCATACAAGCACTCCTGGTCCACTCTAGGCTCACACAGCATCCATAGTTAGCCCTTCATCGCGCCCCAATTGTTCGGCTCAAGTTATAGGAGTACTGCAGGTGCTTACCTCCGGCACCGCGAGCAAGCGGGGAATTGTTTGTCGCATTTGCGCTTCTTGGTCTTGCACGCGAAACACGCCTCTGCGGTGTAGTGTTGAGATGGAACTGTTGGGTTGCATGGAAGCATTCTGGCGGATTCTGTAAAATGTCTATCCCCATCAGGGGCTTGGGCGAGATACTGGAGCACGCAGATGGAGTCGATTCAAGATAGTCACTTCACTTGACGCTTGGAGAGAAAAAACGCCAGCACAGCCTCAAGGGGCCAAATTGTGGATCCTGCTGCAACGAGATGGGCTAGACCGATAGAGACAGCAGGCCTAACCCAGAGGAGAGAGAGATAGTCTAGTCTATTTTGCAGCACCAATAAAACTGCACGTCTCACCCCCGCCAATGGCTGAAGAAACATCAATCAACTCTCGCTTGGCGGAATTCCACCCTCATCCTTGTCCCATCCACTGGTTTAGCCGACAAGTTGAATGTCTGCCGATGATTAGCCGCTGGGCGTGCCAACAAAACATTTCCCAGGTAAACTCACATCATACAATGGCTCACTGCTCACATACTGCCCGTACTCATCAATCCTGGCACCGCCATCGCCATCTCCGTCCACCGTCGCCCCAAGTCCAACCTTGACGAAATCGTACCGCCGCACCGCCATCGCAAGCACAAGTCTCGCCTCCAGCATCGCAAGTTCCTGCCCAATGCACCCGCGAGGCCCCCGTTCAAATGGCCGCCAGGCACCCGCAGCGAACCCCTCGCTTGCCCCTTCGGTCTGCAACCAGCGCTCTGGAACCCAGGTCTCCGCGGACTCGCCGTAGACGGTCGGATCCCGCTGGATGGAGAAGTGGTTAAGGTATAGAATCGCTCCGTCGACGCGCAAAGGCCCGCGTGACGTCTGTAGGCGGAAGTCGGACCCAGGTTCGGCGAAGCGAGACGTTCCTGCTGGTGGATGCAGTCGGAGTGTTTCCTTGATGACGGCCGTCAGGTAGACCAGTTGGCTGAGTTTGGCCTCGTTGGAAGCGATCGCATTTGCTGCCGCGCTTGGGTCGGCGTTTGGTCCTAGCACTCGATCGAGCTCGTCGCGCAGGGCTGCCAGAGCGCGAGGTGTTCGTGATAGCTCGTAAAACGCCCACTGCAATAGAACAGAGGTCGTGTCATACCCAGCAAAGAGAAAAGTACGGATCGAGTCGATGCTCGTCCGAATCGCCTTGGGGGTCAACGAGTCAACGCCCTCGAGCGCCAGCGACAGGACACTTCGGTCGGATGTCGCAGGCCCGTCACCGCAGGCTTTATCGCCGTGCAGCTTCTCGAATTTCTGTTGGATGATCGACTCCAATGAGGACTCGATCGTTTGTGTGATTTGCATCCGTCGTCGATACTTGCGTGGACTGAGCACCCACTCGATCTGGGGGAACGTCGGGAGGTTTGCGAGCAGTTCCATAAAGCACCGGACGACTTCGTGCTGCTCCGATTCGTCTCCTTGGGTTTTCAGGTCGATGTTCAGAATCACTCGCCCTAAGCCGTGGTCAGGAAACTTCCTCCTGGTAGTTTCTCAGTATCAGTCTCTAGGTTGTACGCACCTATCACATCAAACGTAAGCAGCGTACAGCGCTCACCCAACTCAAACTCGTCGCCAGACCTGGCATTCGCATCGAGCGCTCGTAAGAAGACCTGAATCTTTTCGAGAATCGGCTGGATAAAGCTCGCCAAATGGTTCGGCGCAAAGGCCGCGTTGAACATCTTGCGCGTATCTCTCCACAGCTCGCCATTATTAGTCAAGAATGAATCGCGTCCGATAACGTGTCCGATCATGTCTTGTAGTGGTGCCTTGGGGACACTGTACTTGAACTGCGGCGTTGCCCTAGTGATTTGCTCGGCGAGATCATGCGAGTAGATGACGGCGATGGGGTAGAATGCAGGTCGTAGATCGAGAAGCACTATCAGACTATCAGCACAAGAGACTTCTTTCTCGATGGGCAGCTATCAAAACGGAGTGTCCAACGTACTTAATCCAGTATCGTCCGTCTGCCTTTTTATCAGACTGTGGATTGCATATTCTGCGAAAACGTCTCACGTTAGACTGACTTTCATCATCCCCTGTCATCCGTCGCCCATTGAGGGGAATACGTACGAAAGTGCTTCGATGGATCTTGTCTGATCAATTGGGAAATGAGCTTGAGATGCCCCCATACGAGAGATGTAGCTGGTCCAGGGATGTGCGCATATTGAGTGAAGCGGACAGATCGTAGGCGTGCGAGACCAAATATCACAAGGCCCGAGCATACGACGACTATCGTTGTAGTTAACATTGTTCGGTCTCTGCTTTCGGTCCAGCAACCGTCGAATGTTCGTCGAAGAGATAGATAATCTGTTGTAGACTTGATGTGATATATACAAGGATTGGGCCAGCGGCGCTAGCGGGTCAGGGGCGCCCGTGCCTGGACCAGCTCATGGCTTGCTTAGTGGGGCGAGCTGAATTCCTGCTACATTTTGAATCCAATTTCTGATTCATAAGCTTTTATATACCTTTCCTTTTCCACCACCACCAAGCGTCCTGGCTCCTGAGGTGGGTATAGGCATGAAGGCAACGTTGTAGTGGCCATGATGTTCGACAAATTACTATACCGTCCTAATCTTGAGAACACTTTTGATATGTCCACAGAAACCCTTATCAATAGTCATTTACACTAAACTACACCATATCACGCAGAAGAAATCCCAGGCTTATCACCCACATTCTCCGTCTTGTCTCTACTCGCCTGCCCAACCACCCACCGCGCCACATCCACCCGGTTCACCCCCATCCCCAGCTTCCCATCACCGACATACCCCTGCACAATCTTCGCCGGTCCCTGATCCTTCAAAAAGCCGACACGGAATAACGTCCACTCCAAACCACCCGCATGCTCATCAAACGTCTTCCCCACCTCAACAAGATTCTTCCACGCGCTGTTCCCGAATAACCAGAGCATGCCTACCAATAACCGACATACGAGGCTGAACCTGTCATTGGGATGCGACACGCTGAATGTGCTTAGCGCAATAATCCGCTTGACCTTCTCTTCGCGCATCAGCTCGAAAACGCGCTTGTAGAAACTGGGAAATGGCGTGTTCTTGATCTTCGTCCCCGACGGCCCGAGGACGGAGACGATCACGGTTGTACCTCTGATCACCTGACGGAGTTTTTCCACGTCTTCTAGTGTGCCCTCTACAGTCTGGTTGGAGTTAGCATTTAGTCTGATATACAGAAAGGTAAGGAAGGCAGTGAGGAAGGGAGGGCTCGGTGTTCGTACTGTGATTGCAGGGTTCTCTGCGTGCTTTGGGAGTGTACGGCGGCCGTAGATTTTGACATTCCAATTGTTAGTGAGCGCTTCCTCCACGATCAATTGTCCCGTTGGACTTGAGGCGCCGAAGACGAGTATTGACTTTGTCTCTCGTTCCATTCTGGCGGAGGTTTTGATCAACCACACAGGTAGAGATACGGAGGAGGGTGGTGAGATTTGTGATGGCGATGGCTTTGGGCTTGAGTGCAGGAGAGGAGAATGCAAGACTACGGTGTAAGCTCAAAGATCAAGAAACTGAGTAATAACAAGGTTGGTTCCAGCTGCTATGTTGCATGTTACCCGTCTTTTTATAAGAAAGCTCGCTCGCTGGGACTCCAGGGCTCCCTAAAAGTGACCCACTCCTGGATTCCAACAAAAGCCCCACACACACTAAGCCTCCTCAACGAATCATGGAACGTCAGCTTGCGGGTGAGTCGGCTAAAACCCGCTAGTGTGCGCTAAAAGGCTCAGGAGCCAAGGCCTCGACTGTGGCTGCACCTTCGGGAACTCGGGTTCTGCACGCTGAATCTACATACAGGCGTACGAGGCCCCAGATACCCCTGGGAGGTATGATGCCTTGTAGGACTTCGCTGGAAAATCCACAAGTACTATCCAAAGACCACTTCCGAGGGATTGGGAGTATCGGAAAGACAAACAATGAAGATATATACTTCGACACCTGCCGGAGACAGCCGCTTGGTACGCCGCTTAGTAAGTTTGCACAACCTCCCTTTCACTATTAGCCACTGTAGATTTTCTATAAGTACCAGACGGATGTGGCGTGTATATGGCGAGTAACCAATTTGGTCATATGACTCAAAGCGTGTACCGAAATCCAGCCGCCTTTTGCGCCTCAGTCGGCCCATTCCGTCCAGTATCAACACCCATATCCAGCTTATGGTTCTCCCTCTGCAGATACATCCGCGTGGCGGTCGCAGCCAGGATAGCCAGAGCAGACGCTGCTAGGTTGACGAGGAAGGCTGGAAGATATCGTGGGGACGAGCCGTACAAGTAGGAGCACCAGACTATTGTCGCCGTTAGAAGAGAGGATTAGGGCAAGGGAGGGTCGGGCTCAGGGGCTGGGGCTGGGGTGCAGATAGAGGGGTAACGCAACCATTTGGAGTATTGCAAACAGCATTAATCAATGCGATGGCTGAAGCACGCTTGATTGTTGGCTGCGATAGGGATCCCGCGGCCCACGATATCACGACAGTCGCTGCCGCGTAGAAGGAGCCGGGCATGAGCATCATGGCCACATCTAGATAAGTTCGCGCATGGCTGTTAGGTCGCTATCCTCGTGCGAGGTTCGGTGATAGAAGAGAAATGGGTGACTTACAGCGAGCGGCTGTATTGAGGGTCGCGACGGCAATGATATTCGCTGCGAGGCAGATTATCATGGGACACACGATGTGCCAGTAGCGCTCTTGTTTCTATGGCGAGTCAGTAATAGTGGCTCGGGGTATGGTTCGTCTGTTCGAACTGGTACTTACCCTGTCCGAATGGAATCCGTTGATAACCATTGCAATGACGCATAGAATGTATGGGGGCTGTAGCCATTGTCAGTTCCATAGGCTAAGGATTTGAGGTGTAGGCGTCTCTAACCGCAGTAAGCGCATAAGTTTCATTCCTGCCATACCCCAACGTGGCCACGACAGACGGGTAGAAGTTGCTGACGGCAGCCGCAATGTAAACCTATTCCAATGTTAGATTATGAGCTGTCAACAAAATAAGCTATACTCACAGTGTACAAGGTGGCCATAAGCAGCCATGTCTTGATATCAGTAACAGCCATCAGAGCACCCTTCATGGCGCTGATTTCATCGGCGTTGTCTTGCTGGCCCTGGTCCTCTTCGAAGTTCCATACTAGCCATTCCTGTTCAATTTGTGTAAATCCGTGCGGTAAACTGTTCAGTTTATTGGGAAGGACGAAGGCGATGATAATTGCCAGAGCGATGGTAAGGACGCCCTCAATCAAGAACAGCTGCGAATATCGTATCAGCTGTACCGCTTGCCAGCATACCAGAGTAAACGTAGACTCACCCAGCGCCATCCTTCCATCCCACTCCTCCCATGTAGCTCCAGTATGCCAATCGCAAACAACCCACCAAAGGCATTACCAAGCTGCGAGCCAGAATACAGAATTGCTGTACGAAGCGCATATTGTCTGCGGGTGTAAAATAGCGACATGTAGAATAGTGCACCGGGAAAGAAGACAGCTTCGATGAAACCAAGAAAAAACCGCGAAGCCATGAGACCCGCAAAGTTGTGCACGATCGCAGTGAGAGCCGATAGGAGGCCCCACAGCGCCATTGCAGCGCAGATGTACACGCCAGGCCATCGGATCTTGCCAACGATGATATTTGATGGGACCTGCATCAGGACTAACAGGAGGATTAGCAGAGGCCCACAAATAACTGGTACTATTGTTGTTGCAGGTGGAACGTACTATATCCGACGAATAGAATGCTAACACAGGTCTGGTACTGCACGTCGGAAATACCCAGGTCCTCCTCGATACCTGCGAGTTTCGCCGCTGCGATATTCTGACGGTCCAGGTAGTTGAAGATGTACATGATGACCATGCAGGGCATGATAAACGCGTCGAGCTTCAGCGTCGCTCGGCGACCGAGCTTGGTATATTCCTCGTCTGTGAGTGCAGCCAGAGAGGCGGGCTTGACAGGTACCCGATGATCGGTCTTTTGCAACTGCTTCTCGTCGACATCTTCAATGTACGAAGAGTCTGGGTTCTCCTTGTCGGCCATAGTGGGAGGTCAATGCTGCCCGCTGGATAGTTGTAAAGAGGTTTCTTTTGGGATCTAGCGGTGTAGGAGGTAGAAACAGGTAATGGAGACTTGAGATGCTGTCACTTGAAAGTATAGAAGTGGATAGGATAATGGGTGGGTATACCCGTGAACATCGGGAGTGCGTGGGGGGTCTTATGGAGATGAGCCTGGGGTAGTCTGGAGAAGCGTGGGGGCCTCCTGTCGCTTCAACAGGACTAGATATCGATATGAAACGATCGAACCCCAAAATCCGTGGGGTGGGCGGCCCCCAACGCCATCCCCGCATGACTCGTATGCTCGGAGAGCAGACCGATGCAGATCGTAGGTGGGCTGACGGGTGAAGGGCGGGGTCCGTTGGGCCTGTATTTAGACATAATCACTTAATTCGACCCAACATTAACACCGCATAGAAGTTCCCAGAGAACTGTACTCAGCCTGTCATACAATCTATCCCTCTAAATGGCGAGCTCTTATCTGGAAAAATACTTTTCGCTGGAGGGCCGGACGGCCATGGTGACCGGCGGAACTCGGGGCATCGGGGCGGACATGGCTCTTGCTCTGGCGGAGGCCGGAGCAGATATAGTTCTTATCCAGGTACAGTGGCTTTGGTCAGGCTGTGAAGCCAGAAGGCAGACTTTACATGTTCGTGCGATAACTTGTAGCAGCGAGATAGGAGCCAACAGGCTACGAAGGAGGCGATCGAGGCACTAGGACGGAAGGCCTCGATCTATACATGCGATCTAGCTTCACAGGAGAAAGTCTCTGAGCTTACTGCAAAGGTTCTTCATGATAGACACGACATCAGTATCCTCGTTACATGTGCCGGTATACAAAGGCGTCATCCAAGCCATTTATTCCCCCAATCGGACTGGGACGAGGTAGGATCTACCTACACATTAACCAAGCGTCAATGACCGCTCTTCTAATATAAACCAGGTTTTGCAAGTGAACCTATCCACCGTCTTCTCCCTTTGTCGAGACGTCGGCGCCTATATGCTCACTCGAACACCGGATGCTGCAGGCCACAGGGGGAGCATCATCAACGTGGCCAGTCTCGTTTCTTTTCAAGGGGGGCTGACGGTACCGGCGTACGCTGCGGCCAAAGGCGGAGTGGCGCAGCTCACCAAGGCGCTATCAAACGAGTGGGCTTCAAAGGGTGTGAACGTGAACGCCATCGCCCCAGGCTATGTTGCGACTGATATGAATGAGGCCTTGATCAAGGACAAGGAGCGTGCTGCTAGCATTTTAGCTCGGATTCCTGCCGGCCGATGGGGCGCGCCGGAGGATTTCAAAGGGGCGACAATATTTCTAGCTAGCAAGGCGAGCTTGTATGTATCTGGGGAGATTTTGACTGTTGATGGAGGGTGGATGGGACGGTAGTAGCAATGACAAGGAGGGAATAGAGGTTTCGCGTTAAGAGTATGTCGTGACCCTGAGACGGAGAGAACATTACATTTTTATTGTCTATTATCCCAAATGGTCCTGTCAATTGCGATTGCATTCTATGCATTGACAATGGCCCAAAACTATGTCTTTCTACCACTGCTGCGAACCCACCGTAGTGCGGCAACTGTCACGCAAGCATTTGGCTCGGGAACAGAATGCCACAGCCCGAGTTAAACACCGTCTGTATTGACCCGTGGTAGTCAAGTCGAACCACTAGTAACTAGGAAAATGAGATACGGGATGATGGAGCTGTGGGGGTTCCTCTCCGCATTCCTAGCATGATGGGTGTGCCCCCACGCGGAGAAACTGCATAAAGATCGGCGCGGGGCCATTTCGGAATATCCGGGGTAGGAAGAATGATACGAATCTCGGATATCGTCACTAGAGGCTGGGATAGATGCAGCTGGTGGAGTAACCGGAAGAAGACGGAAGTTGCCCGATGCCAACCTGCCCCGAGTGATTAGGAGGATCAACCCCCACGCTTTTCCCTTTGAAGGCAGGTCGTGCATGTACTGTGTCTGCGTCAGTTGTTATATTACTAGGCATCGTTGACTGCATATCCAGGATAAGTCCACAATCCCGTTCACAACTTCAAGCTTGCTCTTCACCTTCTTTTCATTCTGGCCTACAGATTGCAAACATGGCCAAGATCAAATCGGTCGAACACTTCCGCGTTAAGCCCCGATGGCTTATGGTAAAGATATGCGATGAGGCTGGCGGCTATGGTTGGGGTGAGGCAACATTGGAAGGACACGATATGGCCGTTGAGGGCGCATTAGATGAGATGATCATGCGACTGATCGGGCTCGAAGCGAAGTTGGTAGATTTCTGCTCCCTTCATCAGCGCTATGGGCTGACAGGTGCAGCAACATTGAAAACATATGGCAGATGTTCTGGAGACACGGGTTCTATCGCGGTGGTCCTGTCTTCATGTCGGTGCGTACTGCTTGAACTTCCCTTGTGATAGTCGACTTGCACAGACCATCTGGTTAACATAATCGACATCCAGGCCCTCTCTGGTATTGATATCGCTCTATGGGATTTGAAAGGTGAGGAAAGCCGTCTCGTTGAACCTTGTTCATGATCACGTCTAACGCCGGGGATAGGCCGAACATTAGGCGTTCCAGTATACGAACTTTTGGGAGGCCAGGTCCGACACAAGGTCCAGGTCTACGCGTGGATTGGTGGCGACCGGCCAAAGGATGTCGAAGTTGCAGCGTGAGTCGGTTGCACTGGAAGTGATAGAATCACGACTCGCTGACTGCCTTGTAGAAAAGCTCGTATCGCACAGGGTCTGAAATGCGTCAAGATGAACGCCACCGAGGACGTCAACTGGGTCGACTCGCCAAGTGTACTAGAGGCAACAGTCGAGCGCCTGAAAACCGTCAAGGCCTTGGGTCTCGATGCTGGATTAGATTTCCACGGTCGGCTGCATAAACCAATGGCAAAGCAATTAGCCAAGGCCCTCGAACCATATAAGCCGCTGTTCATCGAAGAGCCCTTGCTGTGCGAACACCCGGAAGCAATCAAGCAGCTCTCAGACCAAACAGCTATTCCAATTGCCTTTGGTGAGCGATTATACACGAGGTGGGATATTAAGCGATTTCTCGAGGATGCATCCGTCGATATCCTCCAGCCAGATATTGCACATGCGGGTGGGATCTCGGAAACGAAGAAGATTGCAAATATGGCCGAGGCATATGATGTGGCCATTGCACCTCACTGTCCGCTGGGGCCAGTAGCATTTGCTGCGTCTCTCCACGTCGCCCTATCGACGGCCAACTTCGCGATTCTGGAAATGAGCCTTGGGATGCATTATAATACCGAGGCCGGGGATATCGACTTGCTCACATATCTTAAGGATCAAAGTGTGTTTGAGATTGATGACGGCTATGTGAAGGCGCCGACGGGGGCAGGCTTGGGAATCGAGATTGATGAGGACTTGGTCCGAAAAATTGCAGCTGAGACACAGCCGTGGCAGTGTAAGGAGTTCTTTGGGCCTGATGGGGGAATTCGCGAGTGGTAGTCTAATCACGTTATGCAACTTCACCAGGAATTAAACCAGGATGTGTGAGAATGCTTAATATAGCGCAAGTGTGAGTGGTGTAGATGTTTCCAGTCTCTTTGTCACTACACTACAAAGAGGGTTTGCTTTACAAGTGGCAAAACGTTTACGCCATCAGCCTTGCATTGGCTCTCTTGGGTTCCAAACGCCACGCAAGGCGGCCACAGTGGTAATTAGGATTCGTCCTGCTGTTACAAACCATAAAGAGATAGGAAGCTGTTAGATTATCAAACCATTCTTTTAGATGAGAGACAACCATGAAACTGACTATTGTGTCGTTCTCTCTCTCTCTCTCTCTCTCTCTCTATAAAAAAGGTTCTGGCTTGGCCAAACACTGACCTTGTAATCCCACGCATTTCCAGCAGTCGTAATGTAGATTACAGTTACAGTCATAAAAACCGATTTGGACTGGGTTGCCTAGACGTCTCACTAATGGCCCATATCACTAGAGGTTTATCTGTATGATACATAGCGAACAACATCGCTATCTGCTATTGAGGAGGATGGTATTATTATCTAGACTGTGTGCTTTTTTTCTTTTTTTTTTTTTGCGTTTGGAGTATGCCCTCTCGGCGACAAGCGTCTGGGTGGGACAAGGACTCCCCGGGTGCCCTCCATTATACGTGTGCCATCGGCGGATGTCAGTGGTTTGATTGGCAGTATGATGAAGAGGGGGTGATTGTGCAGTTGCCGTATGCTCCGCCCGGTGTACATGAGATCTCGAGGGAGACGGCGAGATTGCGAATCGACGATAAAGGGTGCGAGCCTCTCAGTAGATGGAGAATTGATACTGATTGATTAATGCAGGTGGACGCTCAGGTGACACTAGGAAACTAGAGTGTTTTTTTTTGTTATTAAATCCTCTGAACTTTCAAGTCATTGCATAGTATGTGAATGTTAAATGGGGTTAGCTGCTTCATGGTACTTGTTTAATTGACAGGGTCGGAACGGGCTTAACACAGTTAAGATCAGAGGAGATGGCTTTCTCTTCCAGCCCTTGTCAACACCCTAACTGCCGTGGCTATTATTGAAGTAGGAGTAACAGGGCGTAAACAACCTAAGATCAGAGAAGGAGGCACTTGGCTTTTGCCCCTGTGTGCTGGAAAAGTGGATTGCGCCATGTTATTATGACAGTAATTATTGCTTATGCTCAACACATATCCAAAGAATGCTTGAAATTTGCTCTTGAGATGGCTTTGGTTCGAATTGGCCTACTAGATATGTACCACACACAGTCAATCCAGGAAGATACACATTTTTCCTCAATTGGACCATTCGCTGAGTTAATTATTCACGAGCTTTAACGGGTTATTGAATCATGACCTATAGGTGCACCATTGCGTAACCACCGACGTCTTCTACAGCGCAAGCAACACCCTGATCCTCTCTGCTCCTTTGGTAGCGGGGGCTTCGCTCGACCAGTCCATGCTCGTTTAGCGACTTGGCATTGCCAGAACTTCCCGGGATCCGCCCCTGAACCTGAGGGCTTGATCATCACGGAAAGAATGATCTACGACGAGGCCATGGGATATTCTCAATACGGTGTTGGATGTACAGCTCTGCAAAGGATATCACGATATCCAAAGCCAGGGTCCACCCTTCATACAAAGAAAAAAAAGGAAGCAAGAATCGAGCAATTGTTGCCTGTTGGTAGGCTCCGACGACTAGTTCGCGCTAGCCCAGCAGACTAAGCGAATTTTCAAAGGCATAAAGGGGCGCGTCCCAGTCACTAACTTTGATGTGTTGATGGTCAAATGGTGTGCTCGAAATGCTGATGGCACGACGCTCAACTGCGTTGCCTTCAATCGTCCTTGGACTATTGGTGCTCTTTTGGTCTGCCCCCACGGTTATCGCCTATGACGGCAGCTGCGATTACAATGACATCAACGAACCGATAGGAATCGATCTGGGCTACCAATACATGTAAGGATCGCGTACGATTCCACTATTTATAGATCTGTCTCAACTAACCTGCAGTCTTGCAGCGCCGCTTCCTACGCCAACTCAACGACCGTCTTCACTCCGCTGGCCGTAGTCCAAAATGCAGAATACCGGACCGTTATCGCTCAATTATCCTTTGAGCACTATGAACTGCTGAATCTGAAAGCTCTCTACGGGGATCGCGCAAGTGTATCTGGCCTGCTCAAACTGCTATTGTCACATTTTGCCGGGGATGTCGTAGGAAAAATCCCCTATATCGACCATCCCTATGTGCAGGCAGTGCTTGGCGCATCTGGCCGCATTTATGCGCATGTCAGTCTTTTCATCCGTGCAGCCGTGTCGGTAGTTAGCTGGCAGCAGGAGCCAACGGACCACCTGACGCTCGCTGGGATCGAAGAAGCATTCACCCGGATCTTCACACACCTCAAGTCCACCGCGCGCACCGACACCGGCACAGACATCTCCTTTGCCATCATTGCTATTCCAGACTTCTTCAACCAGACCATCGCAGAGACCGTTGCCGTTGCGTCACGTAGGGCTGCCATTGAGACCGTCGCGCAGCCGCTGCCACGCTCATCGCTCGCCTCCTTCGAGAACCCCGATATCCGCGCAGGAGACGACGTCCTCGTCCTGCACCAGGGCATCCATCACTGCGGGATTAGGCTGTGGCACAATGCGGGCGGTACCCGCACCGGGGGCCGGAAAGGTTTCCGCCGAGGATATTCGGACCGCGAGCAGGCTGACAGTTCCCTCCTTCCGCCCAACCTATATCTCTCACTAGACCCCTGGCGCATGCATGCCGTATACACGGGCCTTACGCGGAAGTTACTCCGCGAGAGTGAGCCCCTGCGGACGCAACTGCAGGTTGGGGCGGATTTCCAGGTTCTAGTATCCAGGGTGACGATGGCGAGGATGTGGCTCAAGAAGCAGGACGTGCGTGCGATGTATATCGGGACGGAGTCGTACACGGCAGACTTTTATTCGACACTCGACCACGCGGCCGTCGAGCCCGAGAATTTCGATGACGAGGTCCTGGTGGACCTGGACGATTGGTGGGTTTACGGGTCGAATTCCGGTGTCAGCCTGACGAGGGAGATGGTTGAGGCAGTGGATCAGCAGTACGTGGAGTCGTTGGCGAACTCGATAAGTGTGTTTGTGGATACCATTCAAGGTTCGTTGCATCTTGTTACCCTCCTCCCGTCATGCTCCTTGTCCGAGATTGTGTTATACTGACGGGCGCGCAGACCAATCTTTACTCAATAGCGTGGTTGACCAGGTAGCTGTCCTGACGGACTGGGTTGACGGAGATCTCGTGCGGCGTGCTGTTGAAGAAGCTTTGTCAAATTATCTGCCGCTAATTGGTGGGTCAATGAGCGATCTTACTCTGGCTGCTGATGGTGCAGCGAGGCTTGCGTTGATACGGAGGCAGAACTTGCTGCGAATGCAGGAGCAAGAGTATAGCATACAGTATTATGAGCTGTAATGTCTGTTCTGGTTCTTGTGATGCCATGGTGTTTAGGTAGAATGCACCCGCCACCTCATCCTACAAGGAGGAGGTCATTCCACGTTTCTTGTGCTCTGCGTCACCAAAGCCATGCTTCATCGAGATTGGAGAGCCATGACCGATCACGCAGGGGGCCACTTCTCAAACGCAACCCTCCCATGCCGCCTCATCATCTCCTGCACTGTCCCCTCGCCCGCTTCCCTAACCTTCCATGCATCCAGCACCTCGTCTCCAACCACAAAGCCAGAATTGCTTAAGATCTGCAACTCGGCCTTACCTGTCTTGGGCTCTCTCTCAAGCCTCAACAGATCATTCGGCCCGCCCTCGCCAACCTCCGCCCGGAAAGTAAAGTCCAATCTACGCAACTTTGGCATGCGTTGTGCCGCACGTCCCATGGCCACATACATTTTCTGGGCTTCATGGCGCTTGATGTCTTGCCGGGGTCCGTAGTCGCCGAAGTCGTACTCCCAGTCCTGATCGGGGTCGTCTTCGAGTGAGACGTCTGAGTTGTTGTACCATTTTTCCGGATTGTTTTCGAGCATCCATTGGCCTGTAGGTACCGACTGTTCAGCAACGTGATATTGAGTTCATATATGAAGGCAACATACCATCTGCTGTATACGGGGGCACCTCTTGGATCAACAGCTCCTCCAGCCTTGGCCAATACTGCCCGGCCGTATCAACATTCTCATTCTCCTCAGGCCAGAACAGCGCGCTGCTTATACGGACGTACTTCAGTCTCAACTTGCGCAGTCTCATACTGAGAGTCCTGAACCCAATGGACAGTTCATCGAAGCCTTGGGGGCTGAGATAGTTCGCTGCGTTGTGTCCTGGGTTGTGGGACATTTCGCGTGCGTGGTCAATCATGTATTTGAAGGTCTCCACTGAGGACGGGACGGAGGGAAGATTGTCCATTATTTCTGTAAATTCTCAGCCATCTATACATTCTTTTCGTCTCCGCTCAACCGCGTAACACGTACCTTGCCGCTGCTCCACCAGAGCCTTCCAAGCGCCTCTCGGAATCGCGTGCCCCTCGCCTCCATAGACGCGCCTCGCATGAGGGAATCGAGTTAGCAAGCCCATAAACACCGAGGGCGTTACGTCACTCCGATCAGGCTCGTGCAAGCCAAACGTTGTGATATACGCGAGCACTGGCAGTTCGTCCACCAATGCGGGGGGGAGGTGTAGCTGATGCGGGATCTTCGCCCGATGCCATAGCTGGCCGACGTCCAGGGTGGCGAGGTCGGCTACGGAGGGCTCTAGCGCCCACTGAACTTCGTCAGGGAGGTCGATAAACTCGGTATTCCCCACTCTCAGTGATAATTGCATTTCCGTGCCGGCTTTGGTGTCCTCCCACGAGTGCAGCACAGCAAAGAGCTCCGTGAGAGACGCATGAAACTGCATGTTATACCCCTCGGGTAGCTCCTCCTTCGTAATCCGCAGCGGACTTCGGTCCGGGTCATAGGTCCAGGTTAAGGTGCGAATATAACGAATCCGGTCGCGGCGGTAGGAGTCACGGCCAGAATCATGGCTACCAGAGCTAGCGTCGATATCACCAGATGAAGAAGCCGACGTGTACTCCTTCAGTTGGGCCAGCGAGTTGTACTTGTCCCATCCAAGCCTAATGTCCTGCCAGATGATTCGCTCGACGACGGCCTGCCATGTCTGCGAGATGGTCGTGTACGAAGCGAGCTTTATAGGCGCTCGGCATTCTCGGCAGGAACAGTATTCCTGGTGCTTGTGCGGTCGAGGTGGTCCTCTTATGACGTCCGCAATCTGTTGGACTAGCTCGTGCGGGAGTCTATCCATGTTATGGTAAGTGCCCGTCTGAAGATGGAGAGCATCAGGGGCCGGCAGGTTGCGCGGGGTGCAGGATCAACAGGGAATCAGGCTCAGGGGCAGATTTCCGAGGTCAACCTGTGAACTGTGGGGCTCATGGTGGAGCTGAGATTCGTTCGCTACCAATCACTCACTCCACACTCAGCGCCATACCGACTCGGAATGCATCAGCCTCTGGATCGATGGGAGGGGAGATTTCCCGGGCATGCATGATGATGGCCTATCTCCTCCCCTGACGATCTTTGCGTGCAGCTTTATAGTGACAGTTGCAGGAAATAACCGCTGTTGGGTGATATGAATGATCTTCGATGGAAAACTCACGATATAGATGTGTGAAAGACATGAATCCACTGAGACCGGGGTGAACCTGGGCCAAATGGTCTATACAGATTATACCAGGCTTCTAAAGAAAGCTTCAAGTGCTAGATATGTGCCATTCGCTTTGGGAGGAATAGTGCTAGAAATCTAGCAAAGAACAAACAGCTTCATCAGGACACTCCTCTTTATCCATACTCCACCCCCACACACGGTGATACACAGGCACCAAGCTAACCCACTAACAAGACCACATCAAACACACAATCATAGCCTGACAAACACCCCCCTTAGACCAAGCCATTATCCGTGACCTGTTAGCACCACTCCTGACAGTTGCTAGTAGCATCGTTGATACACTGGCTCGTGCATCTCAAACGCTCCTCAGGGCGACCGCTACTGCACGTCAACGGGCACGTCTTGATGAAATAGTCGTGGCACTCGGCCCAGGTTCCCCAGACGCAGGCGCGCGCCTCAACCTCGCCGCTGGGGCTTTCATTAACCGGGACGGGGCCGGCGGAGACAACCATCGCCAGAGGGAGCATGGTGAGCTGGGTGTGGTAAGGCGAATTAGTAGGGGTGCGGGAATGGAGCTGGGTAAACTGTGACCACTTACAAGCCTGAGGAGCCGTATTTTAATGTTCATAATGAGGTTTGTGTTGAGGCTTGACTTGTCGGCTTCAACTGGATAAAGAACGGCAGATGGAAAAGTGAAGTGGGAAGGCTTTATGGCTGGTTGCAGATGCTGGCTCCAAATGAACCTCAGAGGTCTCTTCCCTTCTTAAATACTTCCCAGGACCCTCCGAATCTTGGCACAAGGGGCGCAGAATCCGTTGTCAAGCTTGGCTGTGCGTACTCGTTTGCGTATGCGTTTCCTGAGCACAGGTGGAACGACAATTCGGCCCAAAAGATTGCCTAGTATGTCAGCAGTAGCATGTTGTTACCCATGAGAGCGGCTTATTGTAGTTCTATCCTACCTGATGAAATATACCGAAAAGAAGAGGTATGGCCAAAATTAAGCAAAATGCCACATGTTGTATCTTAAGCCACTTGGTTGGGTCAGGAGTTCACGGCCCAAGCAGAAAACAACCAAAGCAGCCAGGTCTGATAACCTACCCTCAAAAGCTAGGGTAGCATATGTATGGAATACTGTTCAGCCCTTCGTAGGTAATCCTGCGCTTGGGGTCTTGATGTTGCCTTTCTGGGGATTACGGGTGGCGCGGGGCTACCAAAGCGTCGTCCTTGACGGTATAGCTGCGGTCTCGCTTTCCACCGTAACATTGTTCAGCGTATTGTCTCGTAGCATTTGGGAAGGCTATGGCCCAAAATATATCGCCCATGAAATGTGCTCTGTCCCTTTCCCAGCGGCGTTTGGACTCAAGATCATGTCAGCATCGGTGGACGGTAAAGGGTATGCTGCCTCATATGGATTGCATGGCGAAGCCTGCCTGTGGAGAGTAGCAGCCCGGACCGCAGGTCCGCAGCGTGTGAATTTGTACTTCTATTGGTAGATCCAGGGATTGGTTTGACCCGCTCGATTTCCAGGGCAAGGCTTTTTAGCTGTATCGCGGGTGGCGCTATAACTATGAGTGTTGCTTTGGGTGCTGGTTAGCTGGGATTATTGCGAGCTAGGATTGAACAGTACGTGCAGGGCGCGGAGGTGATTCATCTTAGATTTTGTAGCATAGTGGATGAAGCTTCTTCTTCCTCTCGTTGACCGGTTACCGTTTCATGATCTATCCCGAGATTTGAAATGCCAGCAGCCACCAGGCAGGCTTCCCGTTTGCTTCCAAGCTTGCACGGATACCTTTCTTTTTCCCTGATACAGCCATCCCGCCTGTGGTAGTAAAAACGTGCCCTGCGTAGATTGAGGACTACAAAACTCCGACGTCTGTATATGCCCCAGTCCATCGGCCCTAATATCAACAGTGAACCTCCCCCTTGCGGTCGAAAACCCCGTCTCAACCCTTTTCAGGTCCCCGACCATTGGCTCCATCCGCCACCTCAAGCCCCCTTCCTCTAGTATCCTGATACCACCAACATACGTCGAAAGAAGGTACGTTGGTGCCGTCGACCACCCATGAGCGTGGCTTATCCTTGAGTGCTCCCTATAAGCCTGGTAATTCAGACTCCCATCCGTCGAATACCCTTCGACAAAGGTGGAATTCGTCATCACCTCACCGTCAAGCATGTAACCCCACTGGAGGCGGATGAGGTCCAGCGCCGCGACAGCATTCCCGATGAGGAAATTGGCCTCACACTCGAGGCCGCTTATAAAGGGTGAAATCGTTGTGCCTGGTGCCTCCGGGGCGTGTGCGCCGTAAGGTCCCCATCGGGACCGCAGTGCGGAAGAGATGGCCGAGGGTTGGTGGTGGTCGTATGTCAGATTTGAGAGGATGGCCCAGACGTTTCCGTCTTGTGGGTGCAGGCTCGTGGTCTCGTTGTCAGTGTATAGGTTTGCCTCGGCGTCCCAGAGTAACGCGTTTGCCTGCTGCTTGATTCTTTCGGCGTGGACGGTCCAGTTCGTTGTGGCTATTGTATCGTTGAGAGTGCGGGCGAGCTCCGAGCCGAGATTTAGGGTGTAGTAGAGGATTGCGTTTGCTTCAATATTCTGTGGCCGTTGTTAGCTTCAGTCCTTCGAGATCAAACCGGGGCCACTGCACATACATGACCGCCCATGCCCACTCGGAGCCAGTCCCTGTTCGAAGTAACATTCATCAACCCGGACGCATCGACATGGCTCAGGGACCACTCGATGGCTCTCTTGAACGCCGGCCACTTGTCAGCCAAATACTCCGTATCCCCTGAAAACCTCGCGTAGTGAGCGAGGGTGATTAAATTGTGCAGATGGTACGTAAAGGACACATAGCCGTGCTTTCTCCCCTGAAAGTCCCAACCGAGATAGGGCAGCATGCCGTTCCCGTGCTGGCCCACGAAGAGCGACTCGATCGAGTCGCGTAGCGGCACCATGTCGTTCGTTGAGACGGCGACCGTCTGCGCTTGGATCATCAGGTCGCCGGGCCACACGAGCCGGTCTCGCTTTGCGCCATCGACGAGGCACGCGGCGTCGGATTCGCACACGGTTGTGTTGAGCGACCATGTATATGTCCCTTGTGCGGTGCGGCCTCCAAAATTCGACTCGCCGGTTGTGGGATCGATTGTGTTGAGTTGTACGGTGTACGAGCCCGCGTACCAAATCCGATTAAGTAGCTCGTCGTCGCTGTGGAAGTATCCCGTGTAATCCCTGGGATCTCGATGCGGCACGGGAGTGAAATACACGGTAACCCCGGATAGCTGAATGCTGTCCTCTTCATGTTCCAAGTCGACCGAGAGCGTCAGGTAGCGAAACCCGCCGCGGATCCTGTCCTTGGGGAGCGTGTACCGACCCTTTGCCTCCGTGACGTTTAGAAACACCTTCTCCCCACGACCACCATCCGATTGCCCGTCACTCGACTCGGCGCTGATGAACTGCGATGACTCGGAGAAAGTGATGCCGACTTTGGGGTCTGCCGGCTCTCCGACCAGACCGGCGACGTCAATTGACACGAGTCCCCCTATATTCTTCCCAAAGTCGCATGTAACAGAGCTTCGGCCATAAAGTGACGCCATGCCACGGCCGCCATCCAGCAGTGCGTCCGCGTTTCGAACGGTCCCATTGAGACTATTGACGGACACGGGCTGCAGGATCCTCGACTCGGGGGCGAGAATGTACTCCTGGTAGGGTATGGCTGTCGTCACAGGACAGCAGGCCAGTGCTCCGGCCAAGCGGATTAGACTGTGAAGATGCATGTTAATACGGGGTGGTCAGGGTATGAGAAAAACAGGAGTGAATTGAAGAATACACGATGCACTAAATAGCCTTGAGACTCCCTCTGGCAGCAGCGATTACTTGAGCGAGCGCTCTGAATCTCGGGCAATCACTTCCCGAGATTTATCCGAACCCCCAGAAACCTGACCCATGTGCAATGGTTCCCCGCAAATCAGAGGCCTACCCCACGGGCAAACGGCTGCGGAGGTCGGGCCATTGCACACGCCGATCTTAGATAAATCAACCGAGCAGGGCACATTCCCCGCACAGAAAATGTTGCACTCACTGTAGGGCAGTGCCGATGGCTTCGGTGTTACCCAATGGGTCTTAATGCAATCGTTGCCCAGGTGAGAAATGGATTGAAGCAATTCTTGATCACAAGCATCTAACAACAGTGAGGGCTTGAAGAGTTTGAAGAGACCGGGGCCTTGCAAGACTGAGTTACTATACTATTGCCAGAATAAAAAATAAATAATCTAACATCATCAGCAAGAACTGATCATTCCTGCCATTATTTACGTCCACGGCAGACGACCCTAGGCCACTTTTTGGGTATTGAGAGCACCGTCTCTATTGCAGGAGCTTTCAAGTACCAGTTTTTGCTAAAGCGGAACTGCGGTTCCGGTCTTGAAATAAAATGAGATCAATCTTATCTGACTTATTTGATGCCTTTGGCAAGCTCGCCGCGATCAATCCTCCTTGCATACTACCATGCCCTCTCGGATTCGTCGAACAGTTTTCCCGGTGCTTGTGCGGTCGAGGGGCTCCTCTTATGATGTCCATAATCTGTTGGACTAGTTCGTGCCGGGGTTTATCCATACTGTGGGGAAAATACGGCCTCTGTGTGGTTCTTTATCATTACCGTAAGTTGGTTCTAGGTAACTAAGATGGAAATCCTAGATCACACTTGTGTGGCTGTTGAGGTTGAGATATATAGATAACGAAACGGAGAGTGCAAGAGGTTCGGAGGAAATGCATGAAATAGGTGTACGAGCTTCATGAGGCTGGTTTGGAGTACACGTTGCTTTACAATTCCACAATCACTAAAAAAGTGCCACTTGTTATTCCATAGGTATTCTAACGAACAAAATCTCTTTTTCCACCATTAAGGACTGGTACCAACCTCTATGCTTTCAGTCCATGAGCCTCCGAGGAAACTTTGCGCAAATACTCCTCCACAACCCCCTGATAATCCTGCGCTTTATATACACCAAACCATTCTTTATACCAGCCCCTGAGCCCGAGGATCCCCGTGTTGCCATCTTTCTCAGCCGCAAATCTCTTTCGATCCGGCCGCAGTCCCAAATCCTTCATGAGCAGGTCTGTGAAATCCTGTATCTCGCCAGACCGGTCAGGATACCCCTCTGCCATGTTAAGAGTCATCATCTCCCCCCACGTATTCACCAGACTGATATTCTGCTCCATGGCAGTTTGATTAGAAAGCAAGGCCTGTGTTTCTCGCGAGAACGGTAGATCCTCGAGGTATGCAATGCCCCATAGAGACGAGATTTCAGCATACAGTGGGCCAGTCGTATTCTGGACCAAGCCGAGAACGATGAGGGATCTGTCGCCCTCTGCTGCGAGTTTCGGTGGGACGATGTATCGGAATAGACGAAATGGAGTACTACGGGCCTTATTTCGGTCCCTCTTCTGCTCCAAGTAAGCAACGACATCAGGTGGTGGCGACGCGAGGGCTGGGAAGGTCTTGGAAATTTGTGACCTTGACGAGGTATCTAACTTTTTCCAGTGCCTGGCCACATCTGGAAGTTGGTCACTGATCTTTTGCGGGAGTCCAAGGTCTGTAAGTGTCGTGTGGTCAAACAAGGAAAGCTGATTGCGTTGCCAGCCGGTCGCGAAGACGATAGCGTCGCAGGGCAAGACTTGGCCGTCGGCCAGCTGCACGGATCTGTCTTGTAGGGAAGAGACTGACGTGCGATGGACAGGGATCAGGTTGCCCTCAGCCACCATTTCCATGAATTTGTCATCGTGGACGACCGATACGCCACTCTGATTCCAGAACAAGCTGGACAAAGCAGTTAGCAAACCGTACGCATGCAAGGCACTGAAAAATAATCAACGTACTGCTTCAGGTCTGGGACAATCTTCATGGTGTTTTCACTCTGCCCATATACTTCCTTGATAGTCGTCTTGGCCATGTGCTCGAACACCCAGTTCAACAGCCGCGGCCCAATCCAATTCCTCCCACTATGAAGAAACCAGTAACCGAACCCCTTGGCAGAGAGGATGCTAGGCGACGCGAGTCCTGAAACCCGCTTGGACTTGATCGTGCCGAGATGGTCGCCGTTCTTCGATCGAGCCTTTAACAAGAACCCGGGGCCCCAGCCTTCTTCGCGGATTACCCAGTTGACTTGTTTTCCTGCCAGCGCGCACAAGTTCACAACGTCTACTGCGGACTTGTTTCCTCCGACGACGGTGATGCTGCTGACACTGGGCGAGGTGAGGTAGCCGTGTTTCTGCCCGACTTCCTTGGAATGCAGGACCGTGCCAGAGAATCGTGTCCAGTCGATGTCGTCCGGGAGCCAGGGAGTCGAAGTTGTCCCCGTAGCGACGATCAGCTTGTCACAATATAACACTTCTGATGTTGTATTCTGACCAGATGATCCGTTGGAACGATCCTCGACCTCAACTCGCCACCCCCTCTCACCACCCTCACCCACATCACCCCGCTGCACGCGAATGACCTTCGCGTTAAACCGACACTGTTCGCGCAGCTTAAACCTATCAACATATCCCTCCATGTACGCATTCACCCTCGACGCAGGCAGATCCGCCCAATCGTCCAGGCCAATCTCCGGCCCCATCGGGAGATCCGAGTAGTCGAAGAGGCCAACGGGGCTATCGGCGATGAACCCCGGGTAGACACGGTTACGGCTCCATACTCCGCCAATTTCGCTCTCTTCATCGAGGATTGTCAGGTCTGCATTGGGTCGGATTTGGAGGTATGTCTTTGCGGCAGCGAGGCCGGTCCAGCCGGCGCCGATGATGATGACGCGGGGAGTTTTGGGCGCTGCGGTCATGCTAGGTCGATCGTTGAGTCGTATTGAGACGAGGTTTCCCACCATAAGGATCGTGAGACTTCTTTTATGATTTTCTCCTTGGTCACGGACTGTTAGGCAAGCAGCTCACGGGCTGTGCCCCATGGCCTTCTCAGGACTCACTCTGTAATCAGCCAAGCCCAATAGCACGTCCTCCGTAGGTAGGAATCCTTGTTTCCTATACGGCCGCTAGCGCTAGCTTCATTTATGTTCTATGCTCTCGTCATCAATCATGACCAGATCTTCACGTTCCGATTGGCGAACATGGCGAACAGTCAGCCCCTGGAGCACCAAATGCAATCCCCACATGGAGAAGCGCCAAGGGCTGAAAAGGCTTGACTGCGCCTGAGGAGAAAATTCCTCAGCCGCAGGATCTGGACTAACTGGTTTAGGCTGTTGTCGGGGGCCAATGACGCCGATTTCCCGTCCTGCTCACCTCAGCTTTCGCCGATGGGTTGGCGCTCAGCTCGCTTGTGGAGTTGCTTAAGGTTAATGCAGAATCCGTTTCTGATTACTTGTCATTTCATTGGATCTAGCTCGATAGACTAGTGGAGTCACCTATCTTTAACACGCTGATGACTGAAGACTATAACCCTGTCGATATGATGCTGATTTGCTCAGCAATCCGGTGCATTGCATTGAAGAGCATTCAGCAAAAGTCTATCTATGATATTGCCATTTCAAAAAACAGGCCCTGGTAAGTGGGACTGTAGAACACGGGGCCTTGTCGTGCATTCAAAGCTCAATACCAAGTCTCCGAATCTGCGGTAGGGTATACGAGATAGCCCTTCGGTCAAGATCAGCAAGCAACGCAAGAGCAAGGAAGAGACGGTTTCAATTGAGGGTGATAAGTTTGTGTGCTAGCGGCACTGGAGGCCTAATATGATTTGACCCTCGTACCACTCGCATGACATACATGTTATATCAAACTTAACGTTGCGACTGCTTGATAAAAACCGAGAACTTCACGTGTAAGCCACCCCACAAGGGAAAGGCGTGTCTTCCTTGGCGATGCGGAAGTTGAACACCCCCAAAGAGGTGAGAGAAGAACGAGGGGACTACTATGGAGAGGCAAGAAAATACCAATGCAGCAAATCAATTCCCAAGAATGGGAGACGGGAGTAGACGGCAAGTTAATTACCTTGATTCTTTCATGACATACCCCAGGTAGACGATGCTCTCCAGCCCCTTTGAAGGTAATCCTGCGAATTCGGGTCCGTAACTCACCGAGTTCGGCGAGACTGCGGCAGGTGGCCTTACGCAGCTTCTCCAAACAGCGAGGTGGCATGCCATGGATGGACGAAAACGTGGACCTTAGTAGACTAGACGACCTGTGCTCTCGGGCTCCGCCAGCATAAGATTAACCATGTGGTCTCGGGGGACCTTTGGATCATTTGTTATTTGCAGCTACTCAAGTCACACGTCGGATGGTCAAGAATAAGCATGGCTTGGCGTAGTATATAGCGCAGCTGTTGTACATCTGGATTTAAGTAACCATTACAACTGACCCGGACTCTGAAGGCTGGCATGCTAGCTGTCCCCACCTGCCTGGAGGAACAGATGTAACATGGACCGATTGAAATCAAGATCCGGCCACCGCCTTGGACGAGAACCGGAAGTGGAAGGTATTTATATGCCCGGGCGCAGTGGGACAAGTGCTTGACTCCGAGAGTGGAACGGGCCCAACCTGCGTGAGATTTGGGGGCGGATCCTATAACAAGGCCCGGTACGTTACTGCCTTGTCGTCATTTAGCTGAATAGGAGTCCATACTTGAGCTGAATACTTTGCTTCCAAACCTCTACGAGGATTTTGGCCTTATTAATAAGTCCAATCTTAGCGTGTCGGTGCTGTGCTTGTTCTCCAGAACACAGTTGCTAACTTAAAGTTAGGGTTGGGGTCCTGGGTTACAAAAGGAATACTTTCCGAGAAATGATAGATAGTACAGTATACAGATGAACTTGAGTCAAGATTTCCGGTCCCAAATGGGAAGCACTGAACTCCAAAGAGAGAGTGAACCGTGGATTCCTCAAGGCCTTCATCCACAACTCTTAGACTGGCGCCGCTGCAGCAGATACGAATGTGCATGCGGATAAATCCCACGACTTTAAACATAACTTTTGTGGCGGCGACTTCTCGACTGTGCAGACGATTGGAAAGGAAGGAAAAGTCGTCCGTTATGTCCACTTCTGCTTCGATTGAATACTGGTTTGAAGATCCTGTGCGGTGGAAACGCGATGGGAAAGTTTTAGGCGAATAAGGATCATGACATCCCAAAACTGCAGCAAGTGGAAGAGATAGAAGCAGGGGATCGTCGAGGATTGCCGCTTCCAAGGTCCTGGCGACTATGTGCCATCCGAGCACTGACCAAGTGATACGAAATGACGATTGTTAGGCAGTCAGAGCAGGGAATTAAGAGGTATGATTCAAGTCTATTGCTTATATAGAGGCCTGCTTGCCATCGAGTCTCGTGTGTATACAAACCAGAACTGTTATTGCTCCGGTCTATGTATGGTTTGGAATAGATATTACCTCATACTAAATACATGCAAGCCTCCAAATGTCTTCCACCCGGTCGAAACAGAAGCATTGAATACCATCGGCTGTGCGTAATCCACGTTCCGCTCAGAGATTGCTACATCGCATACCCTGCTCCGTGGTCCTCAGTTTCGCTTCTGGCGAATATCCCACTCATAAGATGCAAGCAGGAACGGGCCAACCCCACGAGTATCATTCGGAACGACGGGAATGCTGGTGTAGTACTAATTAAACGGTCAGTGACAGCCTTGAGAGATTCCTTAGGGCAGAAACCTTACCTCGAACGTTGCATTACTGTTCAGGGATCCGACCTGAACAGTTCCCTCCCAGGTGATTGTGCCATTGCGGTGTTTCGTAACAAAGTCGTCAATCAGATGTCTGTACGCCTTGGCGGCTGGCCTCGAGAACGTCCTCTCATCAAGATACCCCCTTCGCAAGCCAGCCAACCACCCATAGGTGAACATCGCAGCCGCAGAACTCTCAAAGTAATTGCCCTCGGCACCTATATACTGCTTGCTGAGGACAAGATACCAGCCATCCGTCTCAGGATCCTGTGCTTGCAGAATCGCCTTGGCAAGGCGCTTATAGTATCCCAGCAACCGCTTATACCCATCGAGGTGCTTCGGGTAGATATCGAGAATCTCAATGAGACTAACAAAATACCATCCCACAGCCCGATTCCAAACAAGTGGCGACGCCCCCGTAACGGGATCCGCCCAGATAGCCGTCTTGCTCTCGTCGAAGCCGTGAACGAGCAGGCCGGTGCCACCGGGGTCGCGAGTCCGCTCCTCAATCTTATCCCACTGCAGGACGATATCCTCCCAAGCAGACTGGTTCTTTGCATCAAAGAGCTTCGTCCACTTTGCGTAAAACACATCCGCCATGAAGATCCCGTCCAGCCACATCTGGTTCGGATAATTCGGCTGGCGGTGCCAGAAGCCGCCCGTCTCAGTCCGCGGGTGGCGGTCGAGCATAGCGCGAATGCGGTCAGCCGCCAGGCGATACTTCTCTTCGCCGGTGCGCTCGTACCAGTACAGGAGGTTGTTCCCGATACGGTAGTCGTCGAGCGAGTAGTATGTTTCGTTGAAGTCGACGAGGGACCCGTCTTCGGTTACGACGACGTCGTCGATTTGGGACCTATACCAGGAGAGCAATGTTTCGTTCTTGTACAAAGAGTAGGCTGCTTCGTAGCCCTCGTAGATTGTGGCGCGTCCATACCAATAGGCGCCTTCGTGTTCACGGTTGTTGACGATCCACGAGTCGGCCATCCAGGTGAGGTAGGATTTTGAGGCTGCGGCGGCTGCGGGGCCCGCGAGGAGAGTGAGGGTTGAGAGCCTCATATTGGGCTATAGAGGTGGAGTATGATGGGGAGGAGTGGGATTCATACTTGTTCGTGGTGGGTGAACAGGCCTTTTTATACCAATTGCCTCGCACCACCGATTGCAGGATACGATGGCGATGATGGCCTCATAGCATCACAACAAACAATGTCTCCTCGGTACTTTCATGCGGAGAAGACTCCACGGCCCTCATCTCCGCAAAAACCAGGACAAGACGGCCATATTCGATCACACGAATAGCATCTCCGAAAAGCGCCAGGGTCTCTGCAGGCCATCTTGGCGAATCAGAACAAGAATTTTGCTGCCTTGAAGAAACGCTCTCACTGGCGCGGCAGGAAAGAGATCGGCGTTGTGGCCGGGCAAATTTGACCCCGGATACGATGGACAGCGTGAATAATTTCTCCGGCGCGGGGCCTCTCGCAGGGATCACGGCTTGGCGGGGAATTCGGAAGTGGGCGCCAAGAGGTGCAAGGCCCGGGGACGGCGGAGATGGAAGTCAAAGAGGTTGGCACAATGGCATTCAAGTTGGGAGGTGGTAGGATTTGTGCAGCATTTTGTGTACTCGAGGTCTCGATACGCGCCACTTGGGCACGACGGACTTGTGAGGCAAATTTGGAAGGCACGGTCAGATTCAGGCTCTTGATCGCTCCTACCTCGTGTTGGGAAAGGGGCAATGGAGAAGGTATTCCCAGGGGAAAGGAACGACGGACGCCGCCTGGGGAGAGGTCGCGGGCTCACTGTGAAAGACAAACCGTGCTATATCGTATATAACAATAAAAACAAAAGTAGCATTATTCTATGGCTGTATCAATCATTCCATCAACAGAAACCTTTTAGATCCGGCTACTCTCTTCACCAAAAATCATCTCCCGAATCACTCCCCTCTCCCCACTCCCCTCCACCATGCCGCAAAACACCCCGTCCTCAATGTGCATAAGCTCGCGCGGCGAACCAATCTCAACCGCCCGCCCCTGATCCAGCACAAGAACCTTGTCAAAATCCGCGATAGTCGACAACCGATGCGCAATGACAAGTAATGTGCAAGACCCCCGAATTTGCTCCCGGAGCACGCGCTGGATCCGCATATCAGACTCCATATCGATGCTCGCCGTCGCTTCGTCCATTATCAAGATCTTTGGGCGTGAGACGAGTGCGCGGGCGAGGCAGAGGAGTTGGCGTTGGCCTTGCGAGAGGTTTCGGCCGGATTCGGCGATCGGGAATGTTAGGGGGATTAGAGCTGGTGAATTTGGGTTCGGGTTGGTTTCGGGGGTGTTGGCTTGTGATGGCGATGGTGTTGGTGGTGAGGTGGGTGTGGATGTGGATGTGGATGTAGATTGGTTGGGGGCTGTGAGTGCGACTTTTTCCAGTGCGTCGACGAGTTCGCTGTCCTCATGCTGATTGAATGGATCAAGGACTTCGCGGACTGTACCCGCGAAGACGATGGGATCCTGTGAGATCATCCCGACGCGTGAACGCAGATCTTGCAATTTCACCGTCGACACGTCGATCCCATCAATGTGAATGCTCCCCGAGCGGATTTCAAGACATCGCAGGAGCGTCATGGCCAGAGACGACTTGCCCGCCCCCGTCCGACCAACAACGCCGACGCGTTCGCCCTGCCTGAGGGTAAAGGTCAACTCGCGCAGAACAGGAGGGAGATCCGGTGCATAAGCGACTGTCAGATCAGTGACCTCGAGCTCCCCCTTTGTCGGCCAAGCAGCGGGGACATCGATACCAGACTGCGGCTCCTTTTCGAGCTTCATGTATTCGACGATACGTTCCGTCGCGTTGAACTCGATCTCGAGCTGTGCGTATTCCATAAGAAGGTAGGAGATGCTGTCGGACATGTGCAGTGCGAAGCTGAGTGCGAAGCCGGCGAGGGGTGCGTCGAGGGTGCGGATGCTGACGAAGATCATGGTCACCGAGGTGACGAACTACGCCACGAGTGAGTTACTGAATGCCCTGGTGAGGGAGACCGGAGTAATGGGAGAAGGGACATACCAACGCGCCCACCATAGCGAGCCAAAATGCCATCCAGCATCTGAAGAGCCGTCTATGCCAGAACGCCTGGCAGTGCGTGTCGATCAGATCATACATCCGGGAGAGATACGCCTGCTCCCTTCCAAATGCACGGATGGTAGGAAGACCCGTAAGCAGCGAACCGACGAGGTCGAAGATCGGCGACTTAGCTGTACTCTCGAGGCGCTTTGCCTCGCGTGCGGCGGTTGCGTAAAAGTGGGCGACTGTCCAGGACCCCAAGAGTGATAATACGCCGAGTCCGACGACGAGAGGGGAGCTTAGGATGGCGGCAATGACAACACCGGAAATGGCTACTAGGTCGTATATGGCAAAGGCCATTGTCAGGGAGAGGTCCGAGTCGAGGACGCCAAAGTCGGATGTGAAGCGGTTCAGGATCTGACCGACGGGGGTTGTATCCAGGAATCGGAGAGGGGATCGCAGGATTGCGTCGGTGAACTGCTCAAACATGACCTTGGAAGCTCGGATCGAGCCGCTCAGCACTACCTTCATGCGGATCACGATCATGATCCAGGAAGATAGCGAGATTGCAAGGTAGATGGCGCCATAGTAGACGAGGCGCTTGTCAATGCGTGATCTCGTGCTAAGTTGCAGGAGCTGATCCGCATCCTGAACAAGGAGTGAATCGACAGTGCTCTGCTCATATGACCTCGTCCACACAGAGACCCAGTATGGAGCGGAAAGACTGAGAATCAAATCCGCCACGAAGAACAGGGCAATCAGAATCCAGTGGAGATTGCCGCCAGAGGCTTGAATGTACGCTTTGTACACGGCCGCCTTGACGACGCCAGTCTCGCGCTTCTCCTCTTCGTAGAACTTGCTCGCCTTGATTGAATCGCGACGTTTCATCGGCTTGACCTGTATCTCTTGACTGGTGCTCTCGATCGACGTTTCCGACCGATCGTCAGCCCGAGACACTTCCTCCGAGGATACGCCCGTAGGCCGACGAGCACGAACAACACCCCCGTTCTCCAGCTCAATATGATACGCCACACTATCCAGACAAAGCTTGACATGGTGCGTTGCCAGAATCCTCGTCCTTCCCTCGCTCAACTTCCCCGTAAGCGCATTCTCGTACAGGTGCCGACCAACATGGGCGTCAACCGCACTGAAGATATCGTCGAGAACAAGGATACTCGCGCGGCTGTAGAGCGCCCTTGCCAAAGCAAGTCGCCACTTCTGTCCACCACTCAGGTTAATCCCGTTGGCGCCGATATCTGTTTTGTCCCCGTCGGGGAAAATCTTTAGATCTTGTACCAGAGCACACGCGTGGATAACTTCGTCGTAGCGTGCGTGGTTCAGGGGTAGACCGAAGAGGATTGCGTCACGGATGCTGGCGTTCTCGATCCAGGGGTCCTGTGAGACATATGCGATAGCTCCGTCGATCAGCCAGTCGTCGTCGCTGGGGACGGAGGTCGGGATGGAATCTGCTCGAGGCACCGTGACTGTGCCGCTGACGATATCTGCCTCGCCGATAAGCGCTTGAAGGAGGAGTGATTTGCCGCATCCGCTTCGCCCGGATATGACGCTGAGTTCCTGCAGGGGGATATCGAGGTTCAAGTCGCGGAGCTGGAATGTGGTCCCCGTCTCGTTCTCGCTCTCGTTCTCCTCTTTCTTCTCGTCTGCTGAACTCGACGGCCAAGTAATCGTCGCACCCCGCAGCGCAATCTGCTCCCCCGAGATGCGACCATCAAGATGCTCTTCAAGCCCCAGGAACCGCGAAATACGTCCCAGACTGACAAACGTATCCAGCAGGTCAGTGATAACCTCCGGCAGCAGACTCAAAGAAGTCTGCAAATTCTCAAAAAGCGACAACGCCGTAAACGCCGTCGACGCTGAAATCGAACCATTAAAGTAGATATAACCCGCAATCGCCAGGAAACTCATACAAATCGGTCCCAGCGTCCAGATTCCCGTTAGGTAGATATTCAGCCGAAACACCTCCGCCTGCGACTTTAGCTCTTTGTTCCGCAACTTGAGGATCTTGGCTGCCCACTCCGATTCGAGAGCACTAAACTTGACCTGCCGCATGCCGCGAACCATTTCAGTAAGTGAGGCTGATTTCTCGTCGCGGTTGCTCATGAGCGTCTGTTCCTTTGCGCTATATTTCTTCGTGATGGTGTAGTACAGGGGCGTGAGGAGGAGCGGGATCAGACACCCGCCCAGCGTCGGCTTCCAGCCCATCAGGTAGAGGAGGAAGGCGATTGTGACCCCGAATTCCAGCACGCAGTCCAACAGCAGGTGGCTGTAGCCGTCGAAATCGGAGATCCGCATTGCGTCGACGCCCAGGAGGTTGAGGATTGAGTGTTTTGTTCGCGGGACTTCGTTGCTTTCACCATCTTCTGTGTCTTCATCGTCACTGTCGTCGTCATCGTCACTGTCGTCGTCATCAGAGGAGGAAGATGAGTCTCCGGTGGATTTCGCAGGAACAACTACATCTTTCAACGCCAACGCCTTGCGCGAAATAACCGCGAAAAGCTGCTCGTTGACGGGAATCGAAATAAGCAGGTCCGCGACGAAATCGCGTAACGAGGTTAACCACGAGACGGCCATCATGGCTCCTCCAAGGGCGGCAGCCGTCAACCACAACTTGAGCTGTACATGGCCGCCGGCATCGCGCTCCTCAAACAACCGCAGGATCGTCAGAAGCAGAAGATTAGGAAGAAAATGCACAGCATTCGCAAACAACTGAATCACCAGCTGCGTTGTGAAACTCCGCCAGTACATCCGGAACCATTTGCGCCAGGCGACCGAGGTCGCGTCGCGCGCGTAGAATGTCTCGCAGAGGGTCTTTGCGCGGAGGGGTGAAGGGATAAGAGGGAGGTCGGAGAGTTCGAGGCGGTTGTTTCGCGTTGCGAGGGCGAGCGTCTTGAAGGCCCAAGCGAATGTATACCGGGTCAGAACGGAGACGGAGCCCTCGGCGTCGATGGGGTGGTTGTTGCGGTAGAGGGTGGGGCCGTAGGGGAGGGAGAGGTTCGTTAGGAAGAGGATAACTACTGCGATCAGTTGGATTATGGGGAATGCATCGTCTTGTATGAATGTGAGGGAGCCGTTGTTGTAGAGGGCCCGAGCGTATGGAAGGGCGATGTAGGCGCCTATTGAGAGGTTCGACCATGCGCTGTAGCAGCCGAGGCGGTATCGATCTTCTGAGCGCTTCCGTGTCGCGAGGATACTTTCTTCAATAAATACAAGTACCCATGATGCGAAGATGACGAAATTCGTGATATCTGTTCGTTCTGAACCTGCCGTGATCCACGATAGTAAAGCGGCAACGGTGGCTATAGCGGCGACGAAAACAAGAGTGACGCGCTGCCAGATCGACCGTGGGGGTTTTGAACTGGTAATCGTCTCATCGCTATTGTCATTTTCAAGTCGAATGTATCCTCCATTACGTCGGAAATCCTTAACGAGTTGGTAGACGTGAGGAACAGCAAGCAAAACGCTCACAGCGCCGAGCGCGATCGAGGCCCCGAGCGGGGGGAGTGGAAGCCGAGGCATCGGGTTTGAGAGATGAGCCACGGCAACACAAACCAGCGGACGCAGCCTTATAAAGGCAATTGATCCTCTGAACTAATCGCTGCCTCGCCTTGAACTTTCTGGAAAACTCGACGAATGTGTCGCGGTCCGTGGAATCCGGCGATGACTCGAGATCTGCAGGCACCGACGTTCGCCATCTCGTGGTTGGCTGAGCTCATCGTCGGGCTCCGGATTGGGATCATTCGGTTTCAGCCGAAACGGCGTTCCAGGGTTGGCTTGCTTTTTGTGAATCATCTTACGGATCGGCGCCCTGTGATGAGTCGAGCGTCGCAATGTAATTGGGTCTTCTGTTCAAGGCTCTGTGAGGGCGGTCGGTTCTGGCCAACTAGCTCCAGATAAATACTCTGGTCTCGACTCATTATGAGTCTTGTTTTCTGTGCAACTCTGCGGCTGATGCAGGATGCACTGAGAGGATTTTTGCTAAAGATCTGCTGGTAAGAATCCTGGAGGATTAAAACGTTGTCACACAACGTTGTCTAGTGCTTACCCCGACGAGCCTTCCTCACCATCATGGATTTTCTGCGCAATAATTACCCAAAGTCAACCTAAATCCCCAATTTTCCTCTCTCCAGCTGGCCAGACCAAGATCCGGGCAGCAGATTGCCCGGCAGTCCAATAGGTAGCTTCATAAATGTGCCCATCTCGCGAAACAAAATGGCTGGCCTGGTTGATTCTACTGGATGTCAATTGAGGCGATATATATATTGAGGTTGGCAGGTTCACTCCATCAGCCATACTCTCGAGTTGCTGCCTCATCAGCTACCATATAATAGCCTAAGAATCTAACAAGGGTACCAGCTTTGACTCTCTACGTCTACTTAAATAGCTACTGCGGGACATTCCACACGACCTCCTCACCCTGCCCTTCAACCCACGGATAAACCGCATCCCACAGCGCCCTCACCTCCCCATTCCCCACGGCAACCAACTCGCTCCAGACCTCCTCATCTGCAACCTTGACCCAAAGCATAAACGCCTGGAAGATGAAATCCGCCAAACCAGGCTGAACCCCCTCGAAAAACGGGCCTGCCTTGTTCTTCCCTCCGCCTTCCAACATCTGGATAATCACCCCCATTTTCTTCTTCATCTCCTCTACTAACCTCGTTATTTCGCCCTGGTCGGTCGGCCGGACCTCCGAAAGGGGTTTCCCGAGCGACTCGCTTCGTGTTTGGATAAAGTACTCCTTCCCGCGCGGTTCATCGAGGATATCCGCGATGCGGGCCACGAGGAGGGCGTAGCCTGCAAAGACAACATTGCGCATGAGCTCATTTACCGCGACAGCCAGCGCATAGCTCGCCTGACCGTTCGGAAAGAGGGCCGGATACTCTGGTGCAGGGAACACTTCATCGAGATGTAGCGCGATCGGGACTGAATCGTTCAATGCGCCGGAAGGATTGGAGTCTGACTTCAGGGACGGATGTACGATCGCGGGAAGTGTATATGGCTTTGGAGCTGTCCCCGGTGCGTGTGCGGGTATGGCGAGGGATTTTAGCAGGGGCTCGATGTCCGGGAGCGAGATGTAGGTCTGCGTGTAGGGAATACGTTTGTAGTTTAGCGCGATGCGGATTTTGAGGGTGTTGGGGGACCAGGATTTAGCTGGGCCTGGCTGTTGGGTTAGTGGGGCTTTCCTTAAGCGTGGGATACTTGGTGGGAAGAGACGGGCCTGGTAGGGCTGACAGTATGTCGAAGAAGTGGACTCGGGCGGGGATTGTCATTTTGTTCACAGTAAGCTCGAGGTTCATGATCGCAATTAGTGAGTACGGAGTATTCGAAGACTCTCACGGGGAATATGAGTATAAATACATCATATCGCGGAGTACAGGGGCCGAAGCTGGATTTATCAGCCGGTGTACGGATAAAGCAAGGTTGGAGAGCGGCTGTTGATGGAAAGGTCAATGATTGGTGTATCTCTTCGCACCCCCTCGTGTTGTGCAGCGTCGGTTGGTGGCACCATGGCCCCGTGTACGATACGCATACGCCATGGATAACCTCGCCCGCAGTGCTTGTCATCAACATATAACCCATTGCTTCGCACCTCTATGTGCATCCCAGAGAGTTCAGTCTTTCTGGCAGACCTCTGTGCATAGGTATTACTCGTCGCTATCTGGACTCCATTGGTGATGCAGGGTATCTGATTAATGAGAATAGTATGACAAGTCTCAACACCAATGCCTCGGCAGCTTCTCAGAATCCTCTTTTCGGCATGGTAACCCTAGTTGTAATGTTTGAGCATACCAGTGGGTTGAAATCCGGGCATACCTGCGATACTGTCCGGTGAAATGGGCGCCCGTTACAGCAAGAACTGTCTCGTCTCCTCTTTCGCGTGCCTGAGATATTCTCCGCAATCCAGGACTGTAGCCTGGATTCCGAAATCTGGCTAATGAACAGGATCTTCCTGGGTTCATTGGTAGCAAGTCTGGTTGCACCTCGTCACGAGACTCCTGCTCACCCTCCCAAGCTAATAAGCATTTGGTGGTAGAGCCAGCCTTACACCATCCAAATGGTCAAGGACGTTGGAAAATCTGTATCAGACGCTGCCACAGGGAGCCGTATCTGATTTCTGAAAGGAGGGGAACAACGCCCAAATATACTCGAGTAACAACAACGCAGGTGACCGTATCGCGCCCAGACTCGGCTGAGAACTCCGATACCCCGAAACACTGGCATCGAGACACATGGGAATGCTGTGCAGCGCAAAGAGGATCGTCTGACAGCTTGTTCAGAACCACCTGCATGCAATCAGCCCGCTAGGCCGCGCCGACCCGCTCGGCTGACACTCCGTCCCAGCGGCTCGTTCCGGCCAATCAAGGCTGAGAAGGGCCAAGCGACTTGACAGCTTATGCCCCAAGTTTCAGTCCATCACCAATCATCATAAGGCTATAGGTTCTATATTTGCACGCGAGCCTAGGCCGCTCATCCTATCCTTTTCCACCTGAAGGATTCAACAAACGGTCAGCATTCGGGGAAAGTCTTAGCTTAAGAAACGCGGAGATGGGGCGAGGGCCGAGACCAAAGCTTAGCCTGCCCTGAATAATGGTCGTTCAAAAATTGATCCTTCACACTCATTGTCAGTTGCGAGTCGGGTGATTTCAGCTCCTTGCGCTGTTCCGCGGCACCGCACGCTAGCCCGCCCCTATTGCGCACAGCGTTAGGTAACAAGACAGAGATGTACCATGTATACCTCACTCTTACTCTACGGAGACAGGATGGAATAAAATGTGATACAGCGGATACAACAGCAGTAGTAATGCCACCGCTAGCCCGCGATTCCAGCTGAGGAGAAGTGAGACATCCGACTTTGGACCGGAATACCATCTTCGATAACGACGAGGAGAAAATGTATAAATATCCCCTGGCCCCTCGTTCAACAACACTCTCCCATCCATCAACGCATCAACGCACTCAAACAAGCACTTCAATCAAAACCTCCAAAACCAACACCATCGCAAAAATGCATCTTCCAACCCTCACCCTCCTCACCACCTCCCTCGCGGCCCTCGGCTCCGCTACCAGATTCCACAACCAGTTCGGCAAGCCCGGCTGGCTCCAGGATAACCAGGGCACCCAGGTCTACATCAAGAACAACGGCGTCGCGGACGTCGGTGGCGGCTGGGGGTTCTTCTGGGTCGACGGCAACGTGTGCCATCAGAACTCGGTTGCGTTTGGGTGGCCGGCGGATTATGGTGGTGCGTAGAATCTTGCGTCAGCGGGACATTTTGCATGCATGTTATGGGCTAGCTAACTTTCAGGCTCGCGTAGATGTCTACCTGAAGAGCGATGGCTTCCTGTACAACGGTGGTGGTGAGTTCTCCAGTGTTCAGATTGTCAGGCTGTCTGCTAATTGTTGCCCAGGTGGCCAAATCTCCAACTCAAAGCTTTGCTAAGCGCAGCATATGCTGGGGAGCGCCTCGACTGCGGGAGGTCGCCCACGAGGCGCTACAGGGCGGGGTGCCTGTATCGGGGTTGAAATGGGAGATACAGTGAGCTGGACAGACTATGTATAGAGAAAGTTAGCGGGCGGTTTCTTGATTCAACATCACGGTATCCGCAAAAGCATAGGCAGATTTAGAGGGGAATTCAAGCGAAAATCGGCAGCCAGATTCGCGTCCTTGCTAATAAGTCCAACATGACCTCACTGCCATTTCATGGCCGGTGCAGGATAGTCCTGCATACCGACCTTGGAACAATTCACCCCAGAACTGTATTGATGGCCAACACGATGATGGCTTTTAGACCTTAGCGTTTCCCAATCCAGCCAGGTTCTACCTACTCTGGTGACGCCATATGTTTTGAGAAAGGTCCCCTTCAACAAGCAGCAAGAGCCCTGCGGGCTTCAAGTGGAAGCCGTTCACATTCTTTAGGGGGTTGAAGTGCAACGGGCTGTATTAACAGGATCTATGCGGCACTTTCTGTTTTACAATATCATTTGTTTAAGCTTGAAATCTGGCACATACGACCACAGGGTGTGGAGAACAGGGCTTCCCGTCCGCTCAGCCGTACTTAAGCCACACTGATAAACGTGGCCAGAAGGTAAATGAACCCCAAGGGTATCGCTGCTTTATAGGTAATAGACGCTAAATCATGGGTAAGAATTAGGTAAGAATATCACCTACTAGGGTAAGTAGGGGTGAGAAGGGTGAGCTATAAAATACTTTATAAAATAGGCTATAATTATTATTCCTCTACCTCTAATATAAATAGAAAGGGCTTTACTTCTATCTATTCCTTTTTATTATCTTATATTCCTTAATTCTTATCTTTACTACGTGATCATGACTAGGCCCATAGAAATAAAGTTAGAATATCTAAAAAGGGCTATAGAAGCCTATGGATTTATAGAAGAATACTAAGCACTATAAGGAAATAGATAGCTTTTATTAAAAAATTAGCCTAAAGATAGAGTCCTTAATACTAATAAATCTTATCCTTCTATTTAAAGTCTTAAGCTTTTTATAAAGAGTTATATTATACTTTGCAAGAGCCCCCTACTAAGGTAATAATCTATCTTATAGAATCTTACACGTTTCATGAGTACTCACTCAGTCCAGAGCTTCGTCTGGTGAAAGACACGAATTAAGTGGAATTGCAAGAAATGTTTTGTTTATCTCTTGAAATATTGGTAGTCAAAGGTCGCTAAACGATAGACACAGTGCCCGGCGTACGGCTTCGTCGCGACGATGGGCTGTTTCCCGTTTGTTCTTGCGCCGAAGGCTCCCATTCGGTCGATTATATACCCGCACTGTCGAAACCTCCAAACATGACACAACCCCTTCAACCATACATGGGGCAAGCTTCGCTTCAAATGTAAAGATCTTTTCCGTCCTTGTCACCCCGCCCAAGTCTCTGCGGAAGAACCGGGAAGAAACTCCGGGGAACCAGCGAGAGGTAATCGCAAAGAAAGAAACAAGGGACAGAAATAAGCAAATGGAACGGCAGGACAACAGGTGAGGAAAGCAGCGGTGATCGTCAGGCCCAGTTGGTCCAGCGATAGTAAGTGGCCTCTTTCCAGACCCACTCCAAGACGTCATTAGCCTCATAGCTAACTTCCGCTATGTATCGATCGACTGCTTCCACCTCCTCATAAACCGGGCTCTCTCGATTAATGGACTTTTGCTCCCTATGTATGGCCGAAACCGTCAACGGCTGCCTGTGCCCCCGTTCATTCTGCTGAGCTGTCGTCTCTGTTCCGTGACTTTTACCATTGCCGCTGCTGGCATCACCTGTGGCCATGGTCCCAGGTAGCAATTCCGGCGAGTGGAATCTTACGTAGCACAGAGTTTGCTGCCCATCTCGCCAATTCTTCTCGGTGCAGATAAACAGAATCCCTCTGTCCTTGGTGGACGGATACTTGTCATCGATCAGCATCATCCCAGGTAATTGGCCCGGCGGTGCTGGCGGAGAAGGGAGCCCAAGACTAGAGCCACTGCGAAGCTCTTGAAAGCGGGCAATCTGAGCCTTGTAGCTACCGCGCGCGCTCTGCTCACCAGCGTAGTGAGCTAGGCAGTCCATCTCTGTCGCCCCCGGAAGAAAGTAGACGTCAAGTCGAGGGTAGACATCATCCTCGTACCCTGTAAGTGCTTTGTACAGCCCCTGAAGATCAGTTGCGGAAGGAACCGTATAGGGATGTGTGAAGTAGATGACAAATAGTAGAAGTGGAGGCAGCGGAATGGGGGTGTAGTTTTCGAACACCATGTACCCCGGCCGTGTCGTGTCCCCGGTGTGGGTTGTGAATGGCGAAACATGGATTTTCCTCGAATATGGGAGATAGGGTATGTCGTCTTCCTCCTCATTGATTGGTGATATCCTCTGCGTCATATTGAAGAACCGTCCGTTTCCGTCAAGCCTCACTTCGTGCATATCACCCCAGAAGTTGATACAGTGCCCGGCTCGGGGCACGGGACACCAGAAATCTGGTAGGGTAGTCATCGGTTCCAAACAGGCGCCGCGTGACTCGAATCTGACCCTGGATTGTAGGAGAAGACGGCCAACATCCGTGCGCCCATTAGGATCCTCATATCCCACAGTTGCCTTGGTCAAGGCCTCATCTTCTAACGTGATCGAGCCAAGAAGCGGATGAGAGCCCTCCATCACGAGCTCTTGTATTTGCTTCGCAATCGCCGAGCGGGAGCGGGTGCTGTTTCCGTTACAATACAGCCGCAAGGCCTCCAGGGACCCCGGTAGGGTGTCTTTAAGAAGCGGGTTGGCCTCGTTGGGGACGGCGTTAGTCCCGACCCCTGTGAGATGCAAGAGCTGACCGCGTATTTCCCTTAACCGAGTGAAGCCCTGCAGGGACTTTAGATGTCCTAGAGGGCGTTCGTTATTGCGTCCTTGGTCTCCAGCGCGGAAAATGTCCAGATACTGGACCTCTTTCTGGTGTTCGTGAAGCGCCTCCCAGATATCCGTATTTGAGATCTTGGAAGGAACCTTCCGCAGGTGAGGACACTGATCATCGACGAATAACGAAAATTTCAGCAAAGCCCGTGGCAGACGGATAAGGGCTTTGAGATCAGCGGGCTGGCAGCTTGATTCTTTAAGGGTCCGGACCAACAGGTCATTAATGTAGCTAGTCTGGTGATCCTGGTGCTTTTGGATCAACGTGGCTATGCCGTCCGCCTCGAGGTCATACAAATGAAGCTTGCGCATGGATCGTAGGAAAAGCATAGGCCATATCACGTCTAGTCGCAGAGGGGCCGCAGGGATGTCTGAAAGATATTCTAAAGGGATTTCAGCAGGAACCGGAACCTCGGCAAAGACATATACGTCGCGAAGCTGGCTTAATGGGCCTGGGGTGCCTCGCTCGTGGGTTGGCTGAACAAGGGCCCGCTGCAGGACGGCCGTGAGGTACGGATCATCCCGCGGTACATGAGCGCGTATGACAAGAAGATTCGGTAGCGACGCAAGGAGAAGTGCCATGAGTGGTCGGCAGTCACCCTGGCGAATGTCCGAGATCATAGTAGACTCGATAGGGATAAGCTTGGCCTGGTCAATCGCCTGGCGCGTGAGACTAATATCATCTTCATGGAGAGAATAGTCGGCTTCATGGCCAAGAAGTGCATATGGATTAACACCCCAATTCCCAATGTGTACTCTTCGCACTAGGCTTGCGAGATGACGGTTGGAGAGGATGGTTCGAAGGAAGAGCCACAACTGCTTGAATGAATGGCGTGTTCCGTTGTAGGCCCATAAGCTGTAAACCTGGACCGTTGTTCTGGAATGCCATGCTCGATTGACGAGCGCGAAATCGCATAGTTGGCTTGAATGGGGCTCGGTCAGTGCCAGTGAGAGCACCTGATCTAAGATCTCGACTGGAAGGTCAAGGAGGCCACGCATTTTGGGATGCAAGACGGAACAGAGGGAAAGAGGGGGAAGAATCGCAGCTGCAGGGGCCAGGCTGCCAAGGGCTTGGCGCTTTCTTGGCGCATCTAAGTCTCATTCATGGTCTGCGCGAGAAGCTCATGGTGCTTTAGGTCTTTGGGGGATAGAATAAAACTTCTCTTCCCAGTCCCAGGCGTGCGATCAACATTATTACCTGATGACAGGAGTCTAACGGTTCTCAATTCTAGTCACCGAGTCTTGATTACGTGTCGACCTTCTTGCAATTTAAACCCGTCGTTGAGCCCACCTGTCCATCCCTCATCCGTGGCTTGAGCGGCGGACAGGTAGATTGGGAGAAGAAGCTAAGGACTGCATATGGGTAATAGAGATCTTCAGATCTTGTCTCAACGGGATGGAGTGTTGGGAGGATCTAAGATTGCTTACTGACTATGCTAAAGTTCGCCTACGGCTAGGTTCCCTTTGCACATGGTACAATGCCCCGGCTACATCCAGTTTCAACTGCAAACAGGTTAAACCTGACTCCTGGATCTGCTCGCTCAGGCCATAACATCGAAATCAGACAAAGACAGCCATAACAGAGGCCGTTGTACCTAAACCGGAAGCATGATTGCACCAATTCTCGAGCGACACCTAAGGTCATGGCCCAGCTGGGTCCTAACCGCTGCATTATCATAATAGGCACCGTAAAATCCAACAATTGCCCATCCCAAAGGCGCAACAATGGCGCCGTCAGGGCTGGACAGGTCGCCGAACGATATCTTTTTATCAGGATTCGAGGTGATGATCTCGATGCCAGTAATGGTAGGGTATTTAGTCTTGTTTGGTGCGAGAAAAACTTCGTAGGATTCAAACGAGACTTTGATGGATTTGATGTACTCGCCGGGGTCCAGGGTGAGGGTCTGGGTGCTGACATTGTCAGGGTAGTAAACCTGGTCAACGCTCACGTTTGTAGGGCTAGAAAATCGGGTTCTGTAACCGGAAAAGCTGGCCAACCCGCTTGAGCGATAGTTCGGGCTCCACAGTATGCTTATACTTGTCATGCGCCCAAGATCGGTGGATTTCTTGGGGAACAGAATAAGGTCGGTCCATGTAGCGTGGTAGTACGTGGAATCACCAGTCAAGCCGCTATGTAGGTACGTGCCGGAGCTTGCGATTCTGGGATGGGTCAATAATAAGTTCGGATATAACCCTGGGAATGCGCACACAATGCGAGGGGCATACTCACTGGGAGGATATGGAGGATGGAGTAACTGCGGCAGGATCATCATACTTGCGAAGCCACTTCTTGACCTCAAGGGGTCGCGCGAGAAGGAGGTTCTTATCATCATAGTAGACCTCATTCTTCAAGACCTGATCGACGAGGTTGGACGGGGCATTAAACAGTAGATACCACTTATATAGGTTCTCGTAAAGCTCCGTGAATGCTGGATCGTTTCTCTTAAGGATAAAAAATTTATGCTCAAGACCCGTCAAGTAGTCTTGCAAGGTTTGCCCGTCAGAACGCGTGGTGAAGAAGTCGCGCAGGGCACGGATGCGCCAACCAGTACCAAGGGCCTGGTCCTTAAGCGCATCCTTGAATTCGTTCCAGCTCATCTCTTCAAGTTCAGAGCGGTTCTCCGTAAACCAGTTGCGGAGACTCTCAGTATCCCCAGAAGCGTTGATTGCTCTGCCGGCTGCGTGGATTTTCTCCTTTTCCTCAAGGGGAGCACTTGCCTCATCCTTGAAGATATCCTCGCTGGTATCTAACCATCGAGCTATCGGCAGAGGCTCAAGAGGTCCGTTGAAGGGATTCAGGACAACCATTTTGTGTAGTCGCTCGTGGTTCACTTGAAACAGGAAACTTGATGATTAAAATAAAGACTTGAATAGGTGATGGGGTGGAACTGGACTCTGGAGACGGGTGACTGTTATACATACGCTGGGACAACACACCTGGTAGCGTTGGTGGGGTCATTTGTAGACTCAGCTAGCCACTACGACCGCAAACTGATTACTGTTTGCAGGATACCAAAATCGGAAGGTTGCATGCAGCTGGTGGCGATTCATCCAGCCAGCCCTTGATTTCTCAGCCAGCCACTACTACTATCACATCCAATCGAAATTAAGCGCCTTGAGGAGTCTGTGAGAGTTGATGAAGCTGGGGAGAAGGTTTCATTGGTCGCGTTATTATGCATTAGCGGTCATGGCATATGTAATGTACTATCTAAAGACGCACTAGGCCAGTCGAGCTTCTGTCAGTTTTGTGGTTCGCAATAGACTATGAGCACGTCGTGCTCTAAGATAACCACCTTCTGCTTGCTTTTGACTAGCGTTCAATGCGGGAGACCTTAAGTCTACAGTTCACTCTAACGAAGCCAAGCCTGCCTACTCGGATAATTGAGAACCGGCCATTCATAGCTAGCAATAAACACACACACACACACACACACACACACACACACACACACACACACACACACACACACACACACACACACACACACACACACACGCAGACACACACATAAACACACGCACACACGCACATACGCACACACGCACAGACTGTCAAGCGAAGCTGACACAGCTGGCCCTAGCCTCTCAAGCGATCCCTTTTTGGATTCAAAGTTCAAGAAAAGTGCTGGTTCCTAGGAAAAGCAAGCTAAACTATAGCTTTTGTCCATCTCTAGCTCCTGGATCGCCTTCTTTAAATGTGTTCTCCTTCGCCTAAGTCCATAAGTATAGATTAATGTGCACGTTATTTAATGAACAATTAGAAGCAGGTTTTGCAACCAAAAAGGGGTGACTAAGTAAGTCTGCTGTTAATGTTCCCTTTTTAGGGTCTCGTCGCAGCATCAACGAAAGGAGTGATGCAAGGCGCTGAATGTTCTTAGAACCAAATTCGGGGGGCAACCTGTCCGTCAGATGCTTTACGAAGGTCTTATTCATACTATCCTGCCCGTCGAGCAGCTGACTGATAAGGCAAAGGTGCTCTTCATCAATCCGTTCTGCTGAGAGGCCGAACGTCCCCAGTGGAAACAACGGTTCGTTTGTCGCCAGTTCAAATATCTTATGCAGGTCAGAAGGAAGTAATGCATCTACAGGTCTGTGATTACATCCCTGATCCTGTATAACTGATTGACGTGAGTTTGGCACGAGGTCCGAAATTTATAGAATGGGTGCATCCTACCTCCACCCAGATCACCAATCTTGACCAAAAGATCAGAGATCTGTGCGTCGTCTAGTTGACCCCGAGGTCTCTGCGTAGCTATCAAATAATTCGGCGCACTACCATCTACTGTTGACAGAGGATGCTACAGCTCCAGGAGAGACTCAGCCATGACCAAAAGGATGTATTCAGATATGTCAGATATCTCTCAATATCATGAAACTATCTAGCTAGGGAGTCGCTAGATATAGCTACATACATGAAAGAAGACATGTGACATGTGTGCTAGAATCTTCCGTGGAAGACGAAGAGCGATATGCGGGGCTTCCAACAACTGTCGTTCCTTCCAGCCACTTTACAGGGCTGAATTCTGGTGGCCCCAATAGTGTTTTGCTGGGCGCAGCTCCAACGGTTGAAACCATAATATTTCATGGTTGTAGGTCTGGGTCAAAATCAGGAGGCTTCTAGGTCTCATGCCAGGAGTGCTAACCTACCACAGTGAACAATGCCTAGTGGGTGAAGGAAAGCGGGACCCATTAATATCTGTTTCGAGATAGATTGTACTTTCATTCCGATCGACTTCCCATCGGCTGCCGAGTGAGCTCTCAGCATCATTTTCTATCGCTGCTTTGCCTGAGCATGAGCACCTGCCGAGCAGCTGCTATATCAATCTAGTCTTGCCGCATGACATCTTCTACAAAGCCCATGGCAGCTTGTTCAAAGCTGACCGTGCATTCCTGCGCAACCTGAGGTGGCCAGTCAGTAGGTGGTCTATATTCAGGCAAAAGACAGACAAGCATATCATGTTTGAATCTAAATAGTCACTGCTGGTAGATTTCAACGTATCGCCACGTTGTATTAATACTAGGCTTCATGACCTCCATGACCTTGTGATCCATGTTTCGCCATGACTGAGCGTCAGGGGACCGGCCCGCTATCAGCACCAGGGCCATCATCTGGGCGATCATATGTGGGCTGTTTCAAAGCATTTCTTCCCGCGGAGGCTCTAACTGCTAAAGTTAAGCCATCCACATCTATGCAAGCTATGCGCGCATGAAATAAGCCTGGTATGCCTGGTGGCTTGGAAACTTTTGCTATTAAGATGTTCTTATTTACTCCTAAGTACCATCATGTTGCCTATAACACACTGCTTGGGTATTTTTTGGTACCCGTGGCAGCTTCTAGGCCCTTATCTCGTCACTTATTCAAGCTTGTTAGTTAAGGTATTGGCGTACCAGCGGCTACTAGGGGATGCGCTGTATCAAAAGTCTAGGTACCTTATAATCTTTCTTTTTTACTAAATGCTATAATATTTCGTCTTAGGTAATCTCTTTTATTAATCTAGAGCGGCCCAGGGCTGGCTCTTATTAGATTATTTAAATACTATTATAGGGCTAAACAGGAAGATGGATTCCTATTTTTAGCCTTTTAGGGAAGTAGAGGCTCTCCTACAGTGCCCTTGCATTTCTTTCCCAGTAGAAGAAAGGAGGTATTAGATAGTCTAGCAAGACCCAATTGCAACCACGTAGTGTTTGTTGTCCCAAGGCCCGAGTCATGTAATAAATAAAATAGCTTAAGTGTAATAGTTACTAAGGAAGCTTTATTAATATTACTATTTAATAGAGTTTACCCTCTAATTTAGGGGAATCAAGTTGAGGAAAGTAATCCTAATTTCTATTTTAATGCGAAACCTGGGAATTATCAGGCTTAATGGTTGACAATTAGTCTGTTTTCAAAATACGACGCTTAATTTACTCTAATCCCAGGCTTTCAATCTTTCAATCAGTAAGTATCCCGTCACGCTGGTGATAACCATAATATTTGACCCCCTTGCAGCCTCCAAATGCTTAGCTATAAAAGAAGAACTATTGTCTCCAGCGCCTGGAGCACTGGAGAGACCGTTAGATGTTATTACCAGGGATGATGGGGTATCGGATGAAGTATGAGAGCAGCCATCACAAAAACACCGAAAATTTAGCTCAAAGTACATGCAAATAATACTAGCACTATTTTATCCTTATAAAGGTCACCTTAAAAGGGACAGAGGATCTGGTTATCAATACTTGTACACTTAATTTAAAAATGCTCAACTCTCCATATCCTACTTTAGGTTGAGCCAGTATTTGAATTGTGCAACCAGCTCATTAGAGACTATGACGCGCATCGTTGTCCATTCCAGCACATCGTAAAACCATAGGAATACTCCCTTTCTTTTCTTGTATTTTCATTTTATTCTTCATTTGAAAGATGCGACCATCCTGTGTATGGGCAGTCTCTTGCGCATTGTGTGTCACAAAGCCTATGTGCATCCATCAAGATTTGACGAAGTCTACCTAGTTGGAAGCTTTCCGCTCAAGAGTGACATCGCGACTGGCTCCAGCAAATGATAGAGCTGAATAGTGCCTGGGCGAGTGCGCAAGACGAAGGTAATAAGGGCTTCAATTTGATAATTAGAAAAGCTGCCACTAAACCTGTACGCCTAAGTGAGCCGCTCGTGCCACATATTCCCACACATAATATAGGATGCTCTCCAGGATTCCTTGTAGGAGGCTTTATATCTCCAGCGTTGCTAATAAAGGCGCTTGCTTTTTGGGTCCTTATGGAAGAATACTGTCGTCCGTAGGCACGATCCACGTCAAAGAAGAAGGACGTCGGGTCGTGATAGCTACGGCCATGGTAGTGGCGTATGGAAAGGAGATAGAGGACAAAGAAGGCAGAGAAAATAAGCCTGGTCATGGAGACGGAATTTCTGCCAAAAGAAAAGCACTGCAAGACACGCATTCCTGGGCTACCCACAGGCGGGGTCTCAGCTGATCGTCCATCGGATCTCCGAGTGAGTGTGAAATCTGCCGTTGGCCAGCTTGGGTCAATAATGGATGATTAAGCAGCATATTAATAGTTAGGTGCGGGATCAAGAATAATTAATCAAACGAAGTGTCAGAACAGACGAGGAAGTTCTCCATCAGTAGACGCGATTGTGCCTTCGGGTCGGGGTTCTCCCACCCTTTCGGGTTAGATTGTTTCGGCCCACTATAAAAGACCGAAGTCTAGACTCACTAACTACGAATACGGAGTAAGTGATCATGTTTTGGTGGGGCCATTTACATAGCGGAATTTTTGTGATGGGCGAACTTATCCAGGGTCTGGCGAAGAGCTTACTTGTTCTTCCAGTTCAGGCCAATTGCCTGGTTCTCGCAACCCAGAGACGATTCGGCTAATGTTGCCTGATGGGGAATAAAAAGTGGCTCACCTGAAAGTAGGTAACGAGAGAGCCCCTCGGAGACCTAACATGCAAGCATTAAAATGTCCGTCACATTGGGCAACATGGCTGGCTAAAAATCGGGTTCGCCGTTCGTTCAGTGAAGTGGGGACAAAAATCCCTTTCTCTCTGACACTCGACCTACTAGTCCCTGCATGGATAGGTTCGCGCAGGCTATTGGAACTACTGCCCAATGTGGTCGACGCTAACTTTTTAAGGTCTCAGCCTGAGCCTTGGGCCATTGGTCGCCCTGCTCCTGTCGTTGACATCCGAAACTCCCGCGGCGCCCACGTTCTCCTTCGTGGAACTTTGGGGGGTATATTGGCAAAGAGAACAACACATGGAAGATAGTCTGCCTCATGAACGGAGGTTCCCGTCCATATTAGAGAATATTTTCTGGTTGGGACATTTGCGGAGAAATCCGTAGATGACTAGTCAGTTGGCGAGTTGGAGGCTGGCTGAGCCCCCACCGGTCCATCTTCCCTGAGAAATCCCCAGCACCCTATCAGAGTACAGGAAAAGCTAGTACGATCTAGCGTGCTCTCTTTGTATTTTACGGCCGGTCGGGCCGGGGCTAGATAATTCTTGGGAACAGAGGACAGGCACGACTGTATATAGCTTCCGCCCTCTCCAGGGTTTGTCACTTTTGTTGGCCCGTTTTCCTACCAGGCTCTCGCACTGCTTCTTTCCCTTTGGATTTGTCAAAAGCTTAAGCAAAACTATTACAGCAATGCGCCACTTCCGCACAGCTGCACTGACAGGAGCTTTGCTTCTTGCAGGCTTAACACCAGTCATTGCGCAGACTGAATCATGTACCGTACCAGCTCGGCAGATACTAGAGAACCCTTCTTTTGAGGCTGGCAGCGCGGCCCCCTGGGATATATCTAGGGCGTGTAGCGCGGGTAGCCCCGGTGGGCCGCCTGAGATTATAGATGACGTGGAGAATGCACATGACGGATCCTGGGTGTTGTAAGTGCAATATGTCCCATATTTGGTTTGCCCGGGCCATTGCATACACGCATACTAGAGTTCTGGGTTAATTAACTATTACTATTTTGGGATACTTGCAGGCGCCAGACTTTCGAGGACAACATAGTTCGGTTCGCTACGCAGCCCGTTACGATTGAGAGCCCTGGCGAGCCTCACAATATCTCTTTATGGTATCGGTATGATGCACTGCCAGGTTTCACAGCCACTACTTGTGCCATTAATGTTAGATATGGCACTACGCCCTTGGAGAATATCGGTAGATCTCTCACGGCCCCCGACGCAGGATGGACGCAGCTATCAGCTACTTGGACACCCACCAACGCTGAATATACCTTCTACGTGGCGTACGGCTGCATTAACAACACTATCTACCTGGATGATATTCAGTTTTGGGCTCCTGAGAGGGAGACTATTTGTTCCACTTCTACGAGTTCAACTAGTACTAGCACGGTGACTTCTTCGTCTACAGCCACGTCGTCCACCACAACTTCATCCACGACCACTTCGTTCACCACTACCTCCTCCACCACTACTTCTGCCACCACTACTTCTTCCACCACTACTTCCTCCACCACTACTTCCTCCACCACTACTTCCTCCACTACTACTTCATCAACATCGTCCAGCTTCACTACCACCACAAAGCCAACATGCAACCCCCACCACACCAAGACCGTCACCAGGACAAAGACGGTTACGGAAACCGCCTGCCCTACCTCGCTCCCGCGCTACTTTGAATGCCTCGCTAATGGTGTCCACCACCATTGATCTTATCCCCTGAGGTGGAACATTGGACGCGAGAGCGGCCAGGCCGGGTGGGACGAAGCTTCAAGTTGCTTACGGAGTAGAAAGACCCTTGACTGCAGAAGTTCGGCCAGCCCCAGCGCCTTCGGAACTTAGCGGATTGAACGAGGTTTTCGTCTGGCCCTCTGCACGGAGGGGAAAGGAGGCAGCGGCGCAGAATCTTGAATAAACCCCTTTTTCTTTACGGTTTACTGCATCAGCATCGAGAACTGAAAAAGCAAACGAGAACTGCGAGAAAATCGATGTAATTTAGCGATGTTCTGAACAAGTAGGCGATCCTCCCGGCCTCGGAAAAAGCCGAGCATCAAAGGCTCCATTGCCCCGGATCGCCCGGTGCAGAACTCCAAAACTGGTTTGTTTGCTGTGCTTGGCAAGGGAGCTAACGAGCCAGCCCCGTGAATCTATCCTGTCTAGAAATGAGTGATTATAGAATCAATGAGAGTTGAATGATTAACAGAAGGTAAATGCGCCCAGGTACTCCTTGTCTTCATAAAGAGATATTTTTTCGGAAGAGAAGATAAAAAAGAAAATCAAAGCAATCGGCCATCAGGACAGCCGCGGAGATGCAGGAAAGCCGCTAATGCAACTGAGAGGTTTCTAGTCGGCCAAGTGGATAACAACTCAGCTGCAACCCCAACTGCATACCTGCAACTCCAACACAGAGGAGACCCCAACACACAGCTGAAGAAGGCCCACCGTCCGGGAAAGAGCACTATAAAAGGGGAGTAAAAGACTCCCATCCTCCCGTCCGAGAAGGTCAGGGCAGCCATCACTGCGGACCTCGTGCTCCCCACAACAACTGCAAACCAGTCAATATGCCGTTCAGCTATACAAGCAAAAATGTCCATCTCCGGCCGGACGGAAAGGAGCTCTATCTCTGCGCCACCTGCAAAACTGACAACGACGATTGGGTCTATAGCGAGATCAGGCTTGACGACAAGCTGAATGTTTTGCCGGACGATACTGTTTTCATCGACGATCCGATGTCCGGTTTTGATCTTTTCCCTGATCAACCCAAGCCGTTCGCAATTAGTGGCAGGGTTTCTTATGATACGCTAGAGCTCAAAAGCGGATCTGTTCTCAGCGGTGTAGTCTCTGACGGCACTTACATTCTGTCTGGAATTCTATTTCAGCAACTACAATGGGAGGCTCGAATTTGATGCTCCGTCAGTTGAACTCTCTCCCATCCCCCACTCAGTCTCCCGCAGTTGGTATCCGATAATTCGTACTGATCGCAAGAAAGACACGACGACGTCCGTGGCAGGATGGTGAAGTACACTCTGACCGATGACGCAGTCCTACGGGGCTTGGTTGTCGGGAAAGATGGCCGCCTCCATTACAGTGAGTTACCACTGGGTGACCACTACGAGAATAAGGACGGATATCTAGTTCCCAAAAAAGACGGGCATTTCAATTGGACGGCGAGATCGTTCTGGATTGGGAGTGATTGGTCGCTTTGTGCCGAACTCCAATATTGGAGCCTGGGCGGTGGGTATCAAATCGCTAGTTACGATATCTATAAGGATATCGAGGTTGGCATGAGGGGGATTGTCAATCACTGATCCGTGAGTCTTTGTGTTCCTTTAACATTCTATGACTTACAAACAGCAAGAGGCAATTCTGACGTGTGATGGCACTGAACAGTGTGGAGTACGGTTTCTTCGACCCGCGAGGCCCCTTTTTCAGATTCCTTGAGGACATTCCACTCCTAGGGTACTACATTGCTGGAATTGACGCTATGGCAGGGGATGAAGTGCGTAACTGACTGCTGACTCTGTGCCTGGTGATCCGGTAACTGGATTACTAACCTACCTGTAATATAGGATGAGGCCAAACACGCTGCGGCAGAGTGCACCTACTCGACGATGGTACTCGCTGCTTCCATTGCGGGTGGCACTCTGGGGGGGCCTCTGGGCGCGGCTCTAGGATCTTCCATAGCCACAGTAGCGGGGAAATACGTCGAAGCTGCTATAGCAGAAACAATCGAAGACCCGACACTGCGAGCGCCATTGACAGGCGTCAGTATCTACAACATTCTTGTGTCCGAGGTGTTCATTATTGCTGGCGTTGGAATCGGCGAGATAAGCTCCCAGTTTGGGCAGCTTCTCACAGACGAACTCACTGAAGAAGGCTTTAGCGAGCTGTTCAGCAAGATGGCAGGCCAGCTGGGGAAAAAGGGTCTGAAGAAACTGACCAAGGAGGAATTAAAATTGTATGGCGGCTACTATATACCTTGCCGTTCTCCCTTCCTTCTTTGCGGGTACTAATTGATCTCTTCGCACAGGATTGTCGACACTGTCATTAAGGCTGTCCAGGAGGGACACGATTCTGACTGGGTCGCTAAACAGCTTGGGTTCCAACCGCCTGTCAGGCTGCCGAGCCCGATTGAGAACCATTCGGGGCCACCGGGGCACGATCCTTGGAAGATCGGTCGAATCTAGTACAGCAGCTTGCAGTCAAATGAGGCCTCGTGGATTATCATTGCTGGATAAATATGTAGATGGCTAGGGAGTACTGAATGAGAACCGAAGACTGATTCATGCTCTGCGCGAGAAGATGATGGTGCTGTAGGTCTTTGGGGGATACAAGAATGCTCTTCTTCAAGGTCCCTCATAGGCGTGTGACAACATTATTACCTTCCCCTTTTCTGCCCATGCATGTGCCCCTCTGCCTTGCAACTCACAGAATTAATAAACGTAAGGTCATATTTACTAGTGCCTAGAAAGACAGAAAAAGCTCTTTGTGCGGTACACAAACCACATATACGAGGAAGCAGTATTAACTGGCCAGGCAGCTAAGCGGGCTTGTCAGTGGAGATGAGAGATACCTTAACAGCCCAGAAAGTTCAATGAGACACTCACCGTCTACGAACAGAGTAAATATAGCAGACATATGTTGCAAATGAAGTCGAATCAACACCACCATTCAGGAAAAATCAGTCCCCCTCCAACCTTGCAGCAAATCCCCCATACCTCGTTATCGTAATGGACACCATGGCTGCCCCCGCATCGACGAACCTCCACTCCTCATGACTTAACATCCCCCTCAGGTGAGCTTCACGCTCTTTCCTGCAGCCGTGGTTTTTGCGATACATACTTATTGTTGTGCGGCAGCATGAAGGATCTCAGAAATGAGGCGTCCAGTAGATTATCATATAGTCTAAAGCATACGGTTCTTCAACATACAAAATCATACATTGTTCATTCAAATTTGTCGTCCAAAATCTCGAGAAAAAGTTGTGTATTCTCTGCCAGACGCTCCACCGCAATAGCAGTCTTTCGAAGTCGGTGAACAGCAGAGTGCCTTAACTAATGCACGAAGGTTGCTGACTAACTTGTCTAAAGGCTTCTTTGTTGGGGAAGCAGCTTAATCCATTCAGTAAGTTCCACTGCCGCTGGGCAGTCCCGGCCATTCTTGACCAAGAGCTGAGGGAAGTACCTTTGAGCATACGTAAAATATCGTTCTTTCACTAATCTCTAAATTCTTGTTGTGATAATATGTTGTTGCCTTTGGTAGTATATATAAACAGGGTAAAGACTTGGAGTTGGATTATCTGTACTAATCATTGGTCTAGAAGCTAAACTATATATTAGCAAAAAACCCTAAGTTTGCTTTTATAAAATACCAACCTACAAGTTCTTCCTGTTCCTTAATAGTTGCTTGCGTCTGGGATTTAATTATAATATCCCTTAAACTATCCTTTTTAGAAATCTCTTAATATATTTGCTTTGTCTCTTACTACCTCTACTTCCAATACTTCTTGCTTAGTACTCTAAGCAGGTAACACGTTAAACAGCTCTGGAAATCAGGTCTTCGCCCGTAAGTTTAAGTGGAAAATTTTGTTATCAAGAAGCCTTTTAGCAATGTTATATATACAGTTAATATTATATTTTTAGAGAATATCTGTTAGGGCAGGCTGGTTCTGTTAAATCAAGCTTATCACCTACGTGGGTCGGTCCCGTTCCAGATGGTGTGCGGCTGAGCTTTAGCTCCGGGAGACAGCGACCTCGTGTCAACATGTGCTGAGGATAGGACGCGCTTCCTGCGCAGCAGTGCCAAGGCTGCCATGCATTGCGACCAATAAACATTCAGTCAGGCCCAGCTTGATCTGTGCCTCAGTCCTAGCTAGCAACGGGTTCGAGGATCAGGGATCTAACCACATGCCTAGTACCAGGGCAAAGTCTCTCTTGGGTCTTAGAAACAATGACGTATAACAGGCATAAGGGCTAAGGTGTAAGAACCCTGAAAGGCACATTTCTGGATCTTGGTACCGTTGATGCTGCGGCAGTCGCTCTACTAGGGTTCGATGCAAACTTCCGGGTAAGTGAATCAACGGTTGTTCCTAATACGTGTTGATTTGGTGCTAACATGGTTTCTTGATTATTAGGAGGTCGAACTCATGATCCTCGACAGGGATTTTGAAGCTGCTCGAGAGGGTTTAATCGAGGCGGGTTTTCACCGTGCCCAAAAGCTGATTGCAAGGAGCTGAATGATAGACGATATTCGCCATTTGAGGAGAGCGGTCGCTAAGGCCCACTAATCGAGGATCAGGCTTATTCAGCGTATTCTCCGAGTAACTATTCTAATAGATCTATGACTCCATAAACTAGAGAGAACCATTAGATGGCCCGAAAAGGTGGCCGAGGTGGTCAGGGGCCCAAAGTATATATCTCCGCAGACATAAGAAACGCCAAAACTGATCAGATAATTCAACTCGAGGCTACTACGGGCGCTAAGAGGGCCCCTTATTGCAATGAAGGACAAGATCCGTTGCGGAGCAGGCAGGCAAATGTCCTGAGGATCATTGTCGCTCAGAGTAACGCCACCACCCCCAACGTCACTGACAAAGATCAACACGCATGAACCCCTCGCGATATGGGTCCAGCGCATCGAGTGGGGAACATGTTCATCTCGTTCTCGGCAAATATGATCGCGAAAAGCGAGCCTGACTGTGCGATAGGTCGAGACACTGGGGCAGATCCTGTCGAGGCGCATCACTTCCCGAACGTGGGCGATCGGCGGGCGGAGGAAATGCACGATGACGAGAACAGGGAGGCTGGGATCTATCGAGCTTGAGCTCAGCTGCGGGGGCAGCAACTTTTTTCCCCGACAGAATCCTCCAGTGCTTTCACTTTATTTTATTTTCCTCGCTAGACGCTACTAGTAGGTTGCACAGCGCTGCAATGTCGTGTTTTGGGTGTTTTAAGAGTAAAAGCGGGGAGAAGGAGGCAGGCGCCAACGGGCACGCCGTGGTGAGTCCGTCCTCTTTGGTTTCTTCCCCCGACCGTCGATTGACAGCTCAACTCCTTCTCCTACTCTTCAGGTCGCTCGTCCCAAGCTAAACAATGTTGCGCAACCTGCATCCACAACCACCAAACCATCGGTGGCCAAGGTCCCGTCATCGGTAGAGAAGACAAGCTCTCAAGAGCCGTCGCCCGAAAAGGAACCAGAACCGCTGCCCGATTCTGAGCCAGAGGGGAAACCCCCAATCGTTGACCGCTGGCAACAAGCCTTCGACAGTCTGTCCGAAGACAAGCAGAAAATCCTGAGAGAACTCGGCTTCGACAAGCCCAAATCCGCAAATGTCGCATCCAACATAACCGAGCTGATCGACGCCGTCAACGAAAAGCAAGAGGAATGTGAGAGGAAGTTCTGGAAGCTGAATGTTGGCGGCAAGGAGATTGTGTTCCGCGACTACACGACGAGCATTGTGGGATGGTTGGAGAAGGCTGGCGATATTGCTATTCAATTTGCACCCCCGCAGGCGAGCTTGCCGTGGGATCTGATTAAGTCGCTAATGAAGGTGGGTGCTCTTGAGAGGTGGAGTAGCTGTGCAGGGGAGAATGAGCTGACGAGATAGATTCCTGTTAACGAGAGCGAGCAAATGTGCGCCTTGCTCGCCACGACCGAACGGATCGTCCGCATTACCAGTCGCGGTCAGGTGTACGAGCAGGTCTATCTGCCAACAGAGCCTGGAGTTGAGATGCAATCGATACAGAAACAGCTCGAAGGCGCGTTGCTCCAGATTTACACAACCTCGCTGGAGCTTCTCGCCGACTCGGGGAAGCTACTGGATTCGAACACTGCGAGACGCACAATCGAAGCAATTGTGAACCCAGGTAAATTCCAGGGTCAATTATCCGGCCTCAAGGAGGACGAAGAGGAGCTTCTTCTCGACGTGCAAGCCTGCGAAGTCCAGCGCAGCTCCGATGCAGACAACACGATGATCGATATGCTAAAGACATTCAACGATCCGATCGTTCGTATCGATGAGGGTGTCGCTCATCTCCTCGCGCATATGAACGAAAGCGACCGTATCGAAATGCTGGAATGGATTTCACCTGTCCCGTTTGGCAAACATCATGACGGTGTGAGCGAAGATAGGACGCCCGGCACAGGCGATTGGCTACTCACGCACGAGGATTTCAGGAAGTGGGAGACGAAAAACTCATCGCTCCTGTTCTGGCTGCAGGGCTCGCCTGGTACCGGTAAGACATACCTGACATCAGCTGTCATTGATCAGATTCGAGCCCAAGTCGCGACCAAGAACGAAGGGTTTGCTTTCTTCTACTGTCGCAAGGGCGACGAGTCACGGTCGCAGCCACAGTCAATCCTGCAGAGTTTTGTGCGACAACTGTCGACCAACGCAAATAGCCCCGAGTCTGTCCAGATCAAGCTTCGCGACGCAGTCAAAGAGGCGCGTGAGAAAGGAACCAACTTCCGCTTTCAGCAGTGCAAGGAGCAAATACTCGCCTCGTTGAATATCTACGCCAAGTCCACGCTTGTGATTGACGCCCTGGACGAGTGTGAGTCGGATACTCGCGACGAGTTGATCGAGGCATTGAACTCGTTTATTCAGGACTCTGAGAAACCAGTCAAGATCTTCATCTCCAGCAGACCGGATCCAGCCATTGCGTCTGAGCTGGAAGGCAGTCCAAATATCGGCATTCAGGCTGGCGATAATCAGGATGATATTAGAAAGTACCTCGACATAGAGCTTGACAAGGTATCGAAAAAGGTCGCCGTGTTAAAGCGCATGAAGGAGGAGATCATGGCCAAGCTCCTTGAGCGCGCACAGGGCATGTTCCAGTGGGCTGTCCTTCAGGTCCATCAGCTCTCAAAATGTCAATCTGCGCCCAGTGTCCGCGATCGCCTCAACAAGCTTCCAGCCTCCCTAAAGGACTCCTACGACGAGGTCTGGGATCAGATCAAGAGCCTGGAGGATAACGATCGGATTCTTGCAGTACGTGCTCTTCACTGGGCAGCCGTCGCATTCAAGCCCTTCACTACGTCCGAGATGTTATCTGCTATCCGTATGCATCCCAATGGAGGGATGTCTCCGGTGGATGAGATGTTGGATCAGGCAGGACTGCTGTCGCTTTGCAACGGCTTCCTTACCGTTGATAACCAGTTGAAGGTCTGGCGCTTCCCTCATCTGTCAGTCCAGGAATACTTGGAATCGGAGAAACGTGTGTGCATCCCTCAGGCACATTTAGACGCTGCGACTGTCTCACTGTCATACTTCGTCCGCTCGTATGAGGATCACGACCTGGAGCTCGAGTCTGATCCGGAGGAGGCTGGGGATTCTGACGCAGAAGAGGTACCGCCGCCCGAGACTGATGATAGCTTTGGCAAAATGCACCCCTTCCACGTCTACATGAGGCACTGTTGGCCCCTGCATGTTCAGAGAGCCGACGACACCGATGTATCCGAACTGAACTGCCTGTTGAAGGAATTCCTTGGATCGCCCAATGAAAGCAGCTTGCAATATTGGAGATGGCATAAGCAGACCTCACTCGACTTCGACCACTTCTGGACTAGAACCGGCTTCGATTACTGTTTGGAAAACCATTTCGGGAGCGAGGGGCTACGCGGGGTCCTCCCTGAACTGGCTCCGGTGCAATCTGCAATTTTCGCCATGTGTCGTTTTTCATTTGACACTATTCTCGCCGACTGGTGGCAGGATGCCAGGATTGATGTTTCTCGCGTGAACGAGAATGGCCACCACCTTCTTGCCCTCGCTGCCCGAGGTGGCTCAATTCAAGTCTGCAAATGGTTGCTTGATAGGGGTCTCGACGTGAACGCTCGGTCCCAGGGTTGGTACGACGGTTCAGCTCTTGTTGCAGCGGCGTCCCAGGGACACACCGAGCTCGTCAAATACCTCGTCAAGGCCGGCGCCGATGTAAACATGACTCATCCGGAAGGCGAGGGCATATATGGCAGCACATTGCAAGCAGCTCTTGAAAGTGGCAGTCTGGACACGACCAAGTATCTAATCCAAAAGGCTGGGGCGGACATCCGCGCACCACTCCCTCGATCGCTATCTGGCTCCGCGCTCGGGACAGCCGCTAACAATGAAGGCACTGCAATGATGAAGCTCCTCCTCGATGCAGGCGCCGATGTGAACAATGAGAGCGAATATGGGCTGACGGCGCTGAACGTCAAAGTCAGGAACGGGGAGCTCGCGAGTGTCAGATATCTCGTGGAAAAGGCCAAGGCTGACGTCAACAAGGGCGACGCTCTCGGGCACGCGGTAGGCCTTAGAGACATAAGCATCGCAAGGTTCCTGGTTAAGTCTGGGGCAGACGTCAATGCCCGGTTCACATCGGGGACGTTCCGCAGCCCCCTTGCCGTCGCTTCCACGAGCTCATCTCATCTCGAGGCGGTCGAGTTTCTACTAGCAGCCGGCGCTGATCCGAACTTGCCACTTTTGACTGGGGACTTTGAGAACGCACTTGCAGTTGGCTGTGCAGAAGGAGGCCCTGAAGTGGTCCGCTATTTGTTGGCGGCCGGTGCGGACCCCAACACGCCTTTCACGAGGGGCAGGTTCGGCAGCGCCCTCGCAACAGCCGCGTACGAGTCCATCGATGTGGATATCATCAAAGCTCTCCTCGAGGCAGGGGCTGATATCAACATGGAACTCCGGCACGGAGACTTTGGATGTGCACTCGCAGCCGGCGGCGCAGGACGGGATTACGGAGATGTCGAGGTCTTCCCATATCTCGTGGAAGCGGGAGCGAACATCAACATGCCCCTCAAGCACGGCCTGTTTGGCAGTCCGTTCGCAGCAACCGTGTGGGGTCGCCAGTTCGAAAAGATCCAGCTTCTCGTTGACAAGGGCGTCGACGTCAACATGGCCCTTGAAAACAACGACTTCCCCAACCCACTCGCTATGGTCGCAGCGTTCACCTGGGGAGAGGGGACCGTCGAATACATCCGTGACCTGGGGGTTGACGTCAATCCCAAAACTCCCGGGAAACGATATGGCAGTCCGCTTATCGCTGCTGCGGCGTTTGGGCAGAAGGAGTGCGTGGAATATCTGATTGAGGCTGGAGCGGATGTTAATGCAAAGTATGAGGGATCGTATTATGCTAGCGCGCTGCAGGCTGCCAAGGCGGATATTGAAACTGAAGATAAACAGTGGATGTTGCGTTTCTTCGGCGGTGATATGGATGATATCGAGGTGATTGTCGAGGAGTGGACGGAGGAGAAACCGGGGGTTGCTGAGCTCCTGATAGAGCGTGGGGCGACTGCTTAGAGACGCGCAGACTTTACGACGACGATGGATTTTTGTGGTAGTTTGACATGGTTGTAGCTTCAAGCTACTAGACCGCTCGTACACTAGGATAAGAAGCCATTTTGACCATTTGTTAGTGAATATATAGATTACCTTGTTCAAAACAGCGTCATTAAGCGAGCAAGTAAGCTTAGCGCCCTTCGGCGGCTCGCCCCAGTTCTATAATCCGTCTTCGGTATAACCGGCCGTCGGTATATTCGGACTTTACGAGGGTCGAAATAAAAAGAACGGCCTGCCCTGGCCTCATCCCGCACCCTCAGCGGTTCCCTTCATTCCCAGCTTCTGGTTGTACCTGCCCGACCCAACTTGTCCAGTGGCCACACCAGATATAATACTTGGCCGTAGCCATTTTACATTCCATCGCTGCGTGACATGACAAGACAGATGCCCAGAATAAAGGTCCTCATCTCCGGCGCTGGAATCGCGGGAAACGCCCTTGCCTTCTGGCTGTCGAAACTCGGCCACGAGGTAACCGTCCTCGAACGGTTCCCCAATCTTAGAGCCAGCGGTCTACAGGTTGATTTACGCGGTCACGGGGTCGAGGTTCTCAAGCGCATGGGTCTTGAAAGCGCGTTCCGTGCTAAGGCTGTTCCGGAGCTGGGGATGCAGGTTGTTGACAGTGAAGGGAGGCGGCAGACGTACTTTCCTGCGAGCAAGTCAAAAGACGGCGCGCAGCAGGGATTCACGAGTGATTGGGAGATCATGCGAGGTGATTTCTGTCGGATTCTGTATGATGCGACGAAGGATAAGGCCAAGTATATCTTTGGGACGTCGGTTGAGAGGTTTGCGGAGAATGCGTCCGCTGCTGGGCTGGACGTTCGATTCACGAATGGAGAAAGTGCCCACTTTGATATTCTCGTCGGCGCGGACGGGCAGAGGTCACGGACGAGGGAGATGGTGCTTGATTCCCGCGCCGAGGACCCCTTTCATCCGCTGGGTGAATACACCGCGTACTTTACGATCCCGCGACCGATGAATGACGGAGAGGAGTACACCGCCACGACGTACATTGCGCCTGGAGGGCGATTTATCCTGACGCGGAGACACGATCCCCAGAGAATTCAAGTTTACCTGACCGGAAAGAGTGTTGGGGAAAGGCTGAAAACTGTCCAGAGGGGAGATGTGGGTGAGGAAAAGAAGGTCTTTGCCGACGTCTTTCGCGGCGCGGGGTGGCAGGCAGATGAAATCGCCGAGGCCCTGATGGAAGCAGAAGACTTTCACTGCGAGTCTCAGGGTCTCGTAAGGCTGGACTCCTGGCATAAGGGGTGTGTGGTGCTGCTCGGGGATGCGGCGTACTGTCCTTCCGCGAGTACCGGCATGGGTACGTCTAGCGCTATTGTTGGTGCTTACATCTTGGCGGGGGAGATTGAGAGACATTGTGGATATAGTTCAAGTCAAGAAAGAGAGGAAGATACGGCGAAAGGGTCCTATACGCCGGCATTCCAGGCTTACGATGACAAGTTCCGACCGTTTATGGACCAGGTACAGAAAGGCGTTGGGGATCCGAGTGTGTTTGATAACATTCAGTGGTCCCCATTTACGATCAGGATACTGTACTGGGTGATGTGGCTTGTATCATGCTTGAGGTTGGATTTATTTGAAGCGTTCCTGAGCGATCAGCCAGTCAAGCGGTGGGAGTTGCCAGAGTATGAGTGCTTGAATAGTACAGAGTAAATATTATCTCGCCCTTGTTGAGAGAAGGAGTGTCTATAACAATAGTATATAAGCTTGTTTATGCTTGGCTCAAGCCTCTCAGACGATGATCCATCGGCCGATCGTACGTATTGGAATGCCGGAACTTTGAAGGGGAGTGTCTGTGACCAGAAAGAAGGTACCTTTTGGTAGGGCGATGGCAGTCCGATATTCCGCTGCGCGGCGGCTGTAGAAAGGTGCTCTGCTTGTTGTGAGTCTTTCCAGCAACTGAGAAAAGGGGCTGCGTACGTAGCTTGTGCTCACAAATGGAAAAAGTCATTTCCGTATCCCCACATGAAGAGCTGGCTATATTTAGCCCCAGCCCACGAAATCGAAGCCACGCGAGGATGGGAACGCACGCAGTCACTGAAGCAAATATCAGCCTTCAAGTCCAAGACCACACAAAATCAGCACCCATAGCCAGTGAGTTACAGTCAACACCTTGATTTTGAAGATCGTGGCCATGAAACAGCAACGCACGACGCCCCACCCTGCAAAAATCTGGTGCGTGGCCGAGTCCCCACCGTGGCTTTTATCATTGATCTTGTCTTCCACACAAGCACTGCGCCAAGAGGGCCTAATTTCAAACCCCAAACGCTTCGTCGCTTCAAGCTCGCTAGTCCTCTCATAGACCATGGCTTGACTCGGACGGCGTCGACGCTGACGCGTACCAGCGTCTAGCGCTCGAAAGTGGGACAGGAACGTGACTGCCTGCGATCGTTTCTTTTGATTTATGTTTTGTTGTCTCTGTTTCCTCCCAGCTGATCTACTACGATCTTCTGGATCTTCACCTGGAGTTCTCCGCACCAGCCTCCAACCATGCATCTACTGAGATCAACCACAAGCATACACAGAGCCCTCGTGCTCCTATCACTATGTCTCTCCACCGCCGTCAAGGCAATAGACATCGACATCACAGATGTTGGTACGATCCGCCCCTGAACTTGACGAATACACCCCTAACACTCAACCATATCACCAACAGAGTCGATAAAATCCGCCGCCAGCAAGACCGCCTACGGGTCGATGACATGGTACTCCGGTAACGAAACCGGCCAGATTCCCGGCGCATTCCCGGATAAGTGGTGGGAGGGCGCGGCGCTGTTTACCAGTCTACTGCTGTACTGGCACTACACGGGCGATGACACGTATAACCCGCAGGTGCGCCAGGGGATGCAGTGGCAGGCGGGGAATGGCGATTATATGCCGTCAAATTATAGCAGCTGGATTGTGCGTCAACCCATCCGCGATTGAGGAATGCTGCGCGCGCATGCGTTGGATCCAGCTAATCAATGTTGACGGGGTGTAGGGAAACGACGACCAAGTCTTCTGGGGCCTCGCAGCCATGACGGCCGCCGAAATCAAACTGCCCGACGTAAGCGGCGGATATTCATGGCTCGCCCTCGCGCAGGGCGTCTTCAACACGCAGGTCGAGCGATGGGACACGGAGAACTGTGGCGGGGGCCTTCGGTGGCAGATCTACAACTATGAAGCCGGATACACGATGAAGAATACCATTTCGAACGCAGGACTGTTTCAACTTGCTGCGCGGTTGGCGCGGTATACGGATAACTCGACGTACGCTGAGTGGGCGAACACGGTGTGGGACTGGTGCGTGTCCTCGCCGTTGCTGAACAATGAGACGTGGAATGTGGCGGACTCGACGAACATCGAGGATGGGTGCTCGACGCAGGGGAATACGCAGTGGACGTATAATTATGGGGCGTTTCTGGCGGGGGCTGCCTATATGTATAACTACGTATGCCCACCTACCTCTTCTTCTCGAACCGTTTTGAAGCTATACTAAGAAGCGCACAGACCGAAAAAGCAACCTGGAAAACGGCCGTGGATGGCCTCCTCGGCGCCCTAATCGACGGCTTCTTCCCCACAAAATACGGCGGCAACATCATGCAAGAAATCTGCGAACCAAATGAAGCCTGTAACAACAACGAGATCCTCTTCCGCGGACTCGTCTCTGGCTGGCTCGGCTTCACAGCCCTCCTCGTGCCCAGCACGTACGACACCATCCTCACAAAACTCCAAGGCTCCGCAGAGGCCGCGGCCAAATCATGCAGCGGGATGAGCAACAATACCTGCGGTGTGCGGTGGTACGAGTCCAAGTGGGATGGGTGGGTTGGTATGGAGGAGCAGATCATTGCAACGGATGTGTTGAGCTCTGTGCTTATTATGCAGGACAATGTCTCGGCGCCTGTTACCTCGACGACGGGCGGGAATAGTTCAAGTGATCCGTCTGCGGGGACGGCGGATAAGAGTGAGGGGGCCGGGGAGTTGCCGACGATTACCACTGGGGATCGGGCTGGGGCGATTGTTTTGACCATTGCTGTTGCTGGAGGGTGGCTTGCGCTGATGGGGTGGATGGTGGCTGGGGGTGGGATATAGATTGCTTCTCATTATAGGACACAGGAGTTGGGGATTGTAATGGATGTTTGTATTTTTTGTTCACCTCGGGTTCAGGGACCTTTGATAAACGCCACTAGCATTCCGTTCAAAAGGTTGTGCGGCAGAGAGTATGCAGCATTGACGTATTCCCGCGGATTGACTGATAGCATTCCAACTAAGAAGAGAACAACAAAATACCTTCACATGGATACTGTCAAAATCAAACACCTCCGTCAGATCCACGCTTCCTAATGTGAACATATAAGGGCAGAGGCTTGTTAAACCAATGATTCATCGTTCGAAATCCCTTCTCAGGGCTGGCCATCTCTAGGTCATACGACCGGAGAAGCTCTGGAACCAGCTTATGGATCTCGCATAGTGAAATCTACCCGATTCGTTAGAGACTTCCACCCGCCTCAAAACGATATCTGGGGAGCAGATGGAAGCTTACATTCTTGCCGATGCATGTACGCGAACCTCCGCCGAACTATCGACGAATAACGTAAGTTAGCCTCATTGGGGATAGAGCATTCAAAGTGGAATGTAAGGTATCTTGACTGATAGGATGGCTCATGAGAACCGCCCGTACCTGAAACATATATCTATCCATGTTAACCGCGTCCTCGCGGAACCATCGATCCGGGTTGTACTCGTCGGCATCCTCACCAAAGATGGTCTCATCGAGATGGACGACAGAGGCATTAATACCAACACGCAGACCGCCGGGAAACCAGTGTCCTGCAATCTGGCATCCCCCCGACGGAACAATCCTCGGCAGCGTTAGCCCCACGCTAGGGTGCATGCGCATCCCCTCCTTGCAGCATGCGATGAGGTAGGGTAGTTGGGTTGCTTCGGCGTATTTTATACGTGGGTAACTGAGCTTTCCAGCGGCCGATGCCTCGTCTATCTCGTCTCTGAGCTTAGCGTAGGCGTGTGGGTTGGCCATGAGGTGGTAGATGATGGAGGAGAGGGCCGCGGCTGTGGTGTCACTTCCGGCGAAGCTGGATCATATGACACGTGATTAGTCTATGCTGAAAGCTAAAGTGTTAAGATGGAAACAGGATATTGATACCACCCACAGTCCACTGAATACTTCGGTTTGCACGTCTGTCAGGTTGAAATTGTGCTGATCGCCCTTGCTGTCATGGATGCCGAGCAATTTACCGAGGATGTCTTCCCTTGCACCATCTGGTTTCCCCTCTGACTGTAGCCTTTCTCGAACACAGCTTGCCGCAGCGTCCTCGATACTCCCCAGCGCCTTAAGCGCCTTCCGCACCGAGCCAAGCAGTAAACCAGAGGCGAGGAAGGGGGCCCGCACGTACGTAGGCATCACACTCGCAGCGCATAAGACAGGGAGGAGAGTATCCAAGGAGCCAATGTAGTCATGAACATCACTGCACTGTGCCATGAATCCGAACATCGAGCTAAAGTAGAGCTCGCCGATCACATCAAAGGCGTACCACTGTACCCATGTAGCAAGATCGACGAGCTGGCGTTGCTTGGAGAATACTCCCATTCTTGTCATGAAGAGCTCGGTGCATGTGTCTATTAAGGGCTCGGACTTCACAATGCTGCTCATGGAGTAGATGTTGTTTACGATTTTCCTTCGTTGTCCGTGCAGCTCTTCGTCTGTCGATGTGAAATGGTCGGGGAAACGAGCTAGATAGCAGAAGCATATCAGCTCAGCTCGAGAAATTATGATTGCGTTAGGTATTCACATCCACCTACCAAAGGAAGCTCTCCAGGGCGTATAGAAGTCCGTCTGACAGATAGGATTAGCACAGCTGCGCTGTTTATGGCGACTAGTCGTCGGTAACAGTCACCTTTGTGAATCCGGAATTGATCGAGTAGATCTCCTTGATAGATGCGGGATCCGAAATGGCCACTTCGTTCGGGGCAATGCGTATGATTGGACCTACCAGCTCATCTCTCAGCATGTCTGGCGTTTGAGGCGTAAATCCACACAGTTCGTATTCAGCCTGCCCGCCCGGCTGACCTAAATGAGGAACATACCGTATTTCTTGTGGAGTTCGGCCTGCGTCCGGTGCGCTCGCCCTTGGAAAATCTCCATCACTATCCACAAGCGAGATATCGATGCCAGGAATGGACCCGGGTATCTGGCATAGGGATGAAAGGTGCGGGCATATGCAATCCACAAGACCCAGTAAGCGCCAAACAGTGCAGTAGCGAGTCCTCTGCATGCCCAGAGGGAACCTAAGACTTCCGATAATGCCATAGCGAAGGTAACTTGACGGCTTGGAAAACAATATATATCAGGAGGTTGAATAACGAGTGACCCCATACCAGAGAGGCTGTGCCTTCTTATATGCTATCGTGTAGCCGCTATCCCTGAACAACATGATAAGATATCTGGCAAGGAAGAGTGTTGCAACTCCGCACCCCGCACTCCAAAGTTAGTACGAACTCCGATAGAATGAGTTGTCAACCTCCGATCAGATGGGCCCGCTCTGATAGAAATCAAGGGTATTCTTGTGGGGGGTGTGGCCTTATCCGATTGATCATTATCGATCGAATTGCGGGGTAATGCGTACCACCTCTGGAACAGAGAATCAGACTATGGCATCGCCTAATCATACGTAGGTTCGCAAGGACCGGGGAGAAGGATGTATTCCCCGCAGCCGGGAAATACCCACATTGCCGGTGAACCCCCCGCCTCCATGCGCCATTACGAGGGCAGTGGGTACCTCAACACTTCAGATGCTCCACAGGTTCTACAAAGCTCAGCCAAATACATGTTGAGGAGGAATAGATGCTATCAGCGGGGTCTCTTGGTTTAGTAGGTTTGGCAGACGCTAGCAGACCTGTCTCAGTGTCGCCGGCAGAGTAGTGGGTAATGCAGATGCATGATTACGCAGTTTCTTTCGCATTTCTGAGCCCATCTTGCTGCAAATATGAAAGAATCTTGATTCGAGGGTGATCAGGCGCATCCTGACGACATCCACATCCAGGCGTTGTTTTCTGGGCACATTGGTTCGCCTCTGCTATATCACATAGAGAATATCGCATGTCGCGATCCGCAGTCGAAATCCATCGCTAGGAGCTGATCGACAATGGCACAACGCTGCTGGAGAGCCGAGACGGTACTTGAACTTATATAGCTTGTTCCACTGTTTCTATATAAGAGCAGAAACGAAGTGTTTGCCACCCTCCGAGGAACACTTCCTTCTGCTTCGTGTTTACGGATCACCATTGAAAATGTTTCTACCACCACAGTCGAAGGCTTCGTCTAAATCTGCCCCTCTGGGAGCACCTTATGATGGCCGTCGCTATGGCCACGCTGCCCCCACAAGCCAAACGGCCCCGCAATCCCCGGCCAGCACCCCATACCCACCCAATGCGGAGAAGAACCTTGATTCCTGTCTCGCCGTGCGTCATTGGTCTGGACACAGCAGCTGAATACCAGACAACATGTTTCTCCCCGGTTTCGTGTACATCTTGATCGTATTTATGGGGGACCCCGGGCTTTTCCTCTAAACCACAAGGATATAAAGATCGCCCATTAAGCGGGGAAGTCGGAGCCGCCAGCGCTGCACGGGCAATCTTATTTCGCTAAATCGTCCCTATACCCTACGTTTCGTTACATAATTACTTTTTGTCAATATGGGACTCGGTGTTCTGGCAGGTTCGTAGTGTACAAGCCTAACCGTTACTAGTACGCTGATCAGCAATAGATTCGCATCTGGTCGACGTGCCTGGGACCGTTCTCCTGGACGATTCTGCCGCTGGACCAGAAAATGAGCAGCCAAATCTTCGCCGTGGAGGTGGAAATACAGTCCTGTCACCGCAGCCAAGCGACGACGTCAACGACCCCCTGAACTGGCCAGGTTGGAAGAAAGAGCTCAACATCATCATTCTCTGTCTTGGAGCGATGTTGAACGCTGGGACGAACGTATGTCACTTTCCCCGAAAGGAGAATCGAGGACTTTCCACTAAACTCCCTCTGTTCAGGGACCACTCCTGAATGCTTCGTACTTCCCCATTGCAGCGGAACTCAATGTCCCACTGACAGACGTTGTCCTGGCCTCGGGGTATAACCTTCTAGCCGCCGGATGCGCTGGTCCCTTCGCCTGTGCTGCCTCTCGGAAGTACGGGAAGCGCCCCGTATACCTGGTCTCGACACTGCTCGCAATCATCGGAACTGCCGTTGGCGAGGCGAAAATGAACTTCCAGTACCTCCTCGCTGCTCGCATTATTCAAGGATTTTCTACCAGCGCGTTCGAGTCGCTGATCATCGCCTCGGTTGGCGACACCTATTTCGTGCATCAACGAGGCCTCCGGATTGGTGTCATCAACTTTATCCTGAACGCAGCTTCCAGTCTGTCCTCTATTATCTGTGGCCAGGTCTATGCGAGTCTCGGATATTATTGGCTCTTCCACCTCTTCCAGGTCTTTCTCGTCATCCAGTTCGTGGCGATGTTTCTCTTCTGTCCCGAGACGACTTATCTTCGTGACATCGAATCCGCAGTTGATGTCGCTCAAGACAGCACGCAGGTTGGATATCAGGAGAAAGAAGCCCCCTCGCACGTGGAAGTCTGCCCAGAGCCTGGTTCTCCCAGCTCATCGTCTGCTCCAACCAGCACTAAACCAAAGAAATCATTCCTCCAGGAACTCGCAGTCTTCAACGGCGTTTACTCTCACGAAGGAGTCTACAAGTTCTTTATTGGTCCCCTTTTGGCATTACTAAATCCAGCCGCCTGCTACTCAATCCTCACATCGGGCCTGCTGAACAGCTGGTACGTCGGCTCTGCAATCATTCTCTCCGGTGTCTTCTCGGGCGCTCCATGGCACTATGATGCTGCCCAGATTGGGTACCTCGGCGCAGGGCCGTTCATTGGCGGGATGTTGGGCTCAATTGTAGTAGCTTGCTTCAGTGACCGTCTGATCAAGTATATGGGGAGATTGAACGGTGGGATATAGTACGTTTCTCCCCATTTTGCCCACGATAGCGCCAAAACCGGGGGTCTTATACTGACAGTCGCTGTGTTTCTCCAGCGAACCCGAGTTCCGTCTCATCTTCATGCCCATCGCGGGAGTCGCTTGCACAGTCGGCATGTTCCTGTTTGGGTACACAATGTCCATCGGGGCGAATGCCTTGCTCTGTGCCTTCCTCCAGGGCGTCATGATGTTCGGTGTGCTCATCGGCATCTTCTCGACCCTCTCGTATGGGCTTGACGCGTTCAAGTCCCAGGCCAACGAGATTTTCATCATGAATATGGTGTTCAAGGTCAGTCGTATGCGCTCTTCCCAGTGTGCCACATCCCTTGCGTTAACATATCTTGGTAGAACTTTTTATTTTACGGATTAAGCGACTTTGCCAACAATTGGGTTGCTGATAAGGGACCCGCTGAGATGATGTATGTGCTTGGAGCGACTTCATGCTTTCTGTCTATTCTTGCGCTGCCGGTGTATGTGTATGGGAAGAAGTTGCGGAGCTGGCAGGCGAGGAAGGGGATCTACAAAGGGGCGCTGTAATTGGAGACCGCATGAGGGCGGGGGTTTGCTGACCCCCCACCTCCTTACTTGGTTCAATCAAAAGAGACGTGCACACCCCACCAAGAATACTAGTCGATCCAGGTGTAACCAAAGGCACATTCCTACTGTCCTATCCCGATTTATAAACATGAATAGTCTGCGTATTACAGTACGAAAGCAACCCCTGTCTCCCCCATTCTCCGCCAATCCCACTCTTCTTGTGGCCTGAAAAGTAGCCCGCAGGATGTGGCTTTTCAAAACTGTTGATCCAGAGAGATCCCACTTCGAGCCTGCGTCCGAATCGCTCCGCTTTCTCTCTATCCATTGACCACACACACGCCCCGAGTCCGCTCTCTGTGTTGTTGACCCTTCGCAGGACGTCTTCCTCAGTCTTCCATGAGAGGAGAGGCACTATTGGTCCTGTGGAGATGTAAATATTTCACTATCTCATTAAAGCGGGAAGAAGATGACAGGGGGCGTCCTACCAAACTGCTCCTCCCGAACCAAGGCCGCCTCATCCGGTGGCCTGTCAATGATGATGGGGTTAATAAAGAGCCCCGGAAGCGAAGACTGGTCCTCCCCAAGCGCAAAGTCATGCCCGAGTTCCCTGCTATCCGCAAAAAGCTTCTGAACCACCGCATGCTGCATCCGATTCTGCAGCGGGCCCAGCACACTCTCCGAGTCCGGCGCCGCCATAAGACCCCGCACGGCGCTCACCAAACTCGCCTTGAACTCCTCGTAGATATCCTCATGGACATATACGCGCTTCGTCGCAACACACATCTGCCCCGCGTTAAAGAAGCAGCCGACAGCCACCTGCGCGGCAACCTTTTCAACAACAACATCGGGGAAGACGATGGTCGCGTCATTACCCCCGAGCTCGAGGGTGACTTTCTTTAGTGTTTTCGCTGCGTTCTCCATGATCCTCTGGCCCGTTTTCGTTGATCCCGTGAAGCTTATTTTGTCGATGCCTGGGTGGAGTGTCATTCGCTCGCCGAGTTCGTTTTCGCCATTCAATGCCTGGAAGACACCTGGCGGAAGAATCCTCGCGGCAAGCTCGGCGAACTTTAGAGTGCTGTACGGTGTGAAGGGGGAAGGCTTCACGATGATGCAGTTTCCAGTAACTAGGGCTGCGGCGATCTTGGCTGTTGCGAGGACGAGTGGGAAGTTCCAGGGGCAGATGGCTGCCACGACACCGATTGGGACATGGGTACTTATGATCTTCATCGAATCATCCTCGTGTAGAGTCTCCTCTGGGAGAGACTGGCTGGCTGCTCGTAAAGTTAGCGTCGCCTGGTTTCCAGTTACTCACTCTGAGGCTGCGGTGGTGGACTCACCGTTGAACCTCAAGAAGTTTATTGAGTGCTCTACCTCCAACTCCCCCATAAACTTCTGGAAGCAGGTTAGCAAACACTACTATTAAACAGGGACCAGATTGCGAGGCTGCTGGGTCTCTCACAGATTTCCCCGTCTCTTTACAGATAATGCCCGAAATCAGCTCCGTTTCCGCGCATAAGATATCGGCAAGATCCAGCAATACTTTTTGGCGACGCGCAATATCCGTGTCAGCCCAGCCCCAAAATGCAGTCTGTGCCGCGGCGACAGCGTCATCTAGATCAGCTGTAGAAGCAACTGGACAGGGCCAAAGCGGTTGGTCGATCCTCGGGTCCGTTCCGCGACGGGTTTGCTGACTTCCGCGACTTTGGCCGCTGATGACGTTCCAGAAAGTAGATTCAGGGGATTGGGAGATCATGATGCGGGCTGGATATGGGTCCTTCTTTTCCTTTCGTTTCCTTTTTGTTTTATTTGTTATTTTTCTGGTTTAGGAGGAGGATATTGGGATTTAATTGTGTTATATGTCTGGTAGTTGTCGGGAACCTCCCACATCAGTCTCCGCCGTGCGGGGGCCGGAGTTTCCCCCGCGCAGATCAGATGCCACATCGGCAGATCGTTGAACTACTGATGCCGAAACAGCATCTAGCTCAGTCCGGACAATGAACTGATCGGTGGATAGGAAAGTTGGTTTTGTCAATAACCTATTTCGAGTGCGGATGGGACAAAGAGTAGCCCGGCGCCGTTTCCTGGGGTCCTCGTCTGCGAGACTTGCGTATTTCTCCTGATGGCAACTTGGAAGTGGCGTTTGGAATAGAGGACTAGCAGATGCGCGCCACTAGGCAGTCGTTCCAGCTCTTTTAAGTTTGTCAAATTAGCATTTTTCTGCACGGTTTTGTCATGGAGCCAAGGTTTGGGGTCTATTCTCGGCATAGTAAGTACGGCCGGTTTAATTATCTATTTACTTTGGGGTCTTGTTTCAGTCGCTTTCTCATCTCATCCTGCCCCTTGTCTGGTGGAAGGCACTTTTCCAGATCCTTGTCACCCGTGTCCAGTCGTGCCACATGCAAGCTCCGAAAACTGCGCCACGCGATGCCATGTCCTAAAAACCATAACATTCGCAGACTCGTGGACACCATGTAGATAATTCCGTCTTGTCACCTACTCTTTTCTTATAGGCGACACGACCATTCTTCAGGCTTTGACATGAGGCTCCCTGGGTATGATAATCAAGGCCACGCAATAATCACCTTCCCATCATGGCCACATTAAAGGCGGTGGTGTGACATATTCCGTCTGGGCTTTGCCTTCCCAAGTCTCATCCATGCTTCCTGATGAGACTAAGCTCCGCCACAGTCCGTCAATCCACTTATCAGACCTTGGCCCCGGATTGCCGGTTCAAAGTCCCGGAAAGTGTATCCAACCACGCTATCTCCTTACTTCTACCAGGGTGTCAGAGTTACTACAGGTTCTTCATAGGGAAGGGTGGTTAGGCGCCATATGAGTAATAGCAGTAACAAAGGGATGCGTAGGCGACAACGAGGCGCTCTCCCTCGGGAGTTGCAAGTACACTTGGGCCTCCTTTTGCTCATGGACAGTTAAGCTTTTTCTGGAAGGTTATATTAGGGTTCACAGTCTGACTTTGCCTCGCCTTCCCTATCAGAATTGCTGCGTACTATATAAACTCTATCTCACAGGCTGTGCAGTTCTGCCAGATTGTCGCCGCTTGACTCATTGCCTAACTTTTCCAGCGAAGCTGATGGGCATAAATATCCCATCCGCTGCTCGTTCTGCATTTCCTTCTTCCTGCCACCACCCATCTGTCCTACTCTCCATATCCACCCTTCGGACACACAACTTGCATCTACCACGTCACACAACACCACACCCACAAACAAACATCAAGCACTACCGCAACCATGCAGGTCCTCTCAGAGATCACCTTTACAACCGCAACCGTTCTCGCCATTGCCAGCGTGACAACCGCAGCGCCCGCCCACAAGAACCGGGCCTCCATCCAAGATGACCTCATCGGCTCGCCCTGCACCGACAACGCCGAGTGTGGCCACCCAGCCAACGGGCTCACCTGCTCCTTTGGCGCCGCCAACGCAACACAGGGCATCTGCCTCGATGTCGAAGAAACCGGTATTCCAGTCAGCACCATTAACATCGAACAAGCAGATGAAGATGGGGAAACCGAAGAGGATCTCTATCCCTTGGTCACCAAACCGAAAAAGTGCCGCAGGCTCCATCAGAGTTGCTACTGGCATGAGGACTGCTGCGAGGGCATGGGGTGTGCTGAGGTGAATATGATTGGATTACCGGGGCTGTGTAAGAAGTGGAGGGTTCCCAGGCCCAAGCCTAAGCCTACAATGGAGGATGGTGGGGATGAGGTGGATGCTGCTAACAACGCTACTGGCTTTGAGTGAAGAGGTTCAGTGAGAGATGGTCGGGATGGACTTGCTTTGACTATGGGCTGATTGAACGTTTTCCTTTTCTTTGCTCCTGCTTTTTTCTTGCTGCTTAACATCTCTCGACGCCTAATGTTGTGTCTTTTTTTCAGCGGCTGCCGAAAATGGCCGTCTTTGGCCTTGACGTTCTTGTCCTTGTTCTTTGTTTCAGGAGTTCTTTTTGGGAAAAAGGCTTGCTTAGTTGCTTAGTTTCTACCAACAGGGGAAAGGGATGTCCTCCATGCTTAAAGGTGAATGAAACCATTTCAAATGCTTGCAGATTGATCCTCGCAGTGTAGAGCGCCGTTCCTAGTTTATTTAATGGGTTCACTCTGAGAAGGGACTCCGTGACTGTCTAGGCGAAGTGGCCTCCATCCCTTCTTAAAACATGCATCAGCCAGAATCCGGTTAACCACATCAAACTGGACATGTAGACCTCTCTAAAGAGCCATTTTCTATGTAAGACTAATATAGCCGCGAATCGGGTCGTAGTTAAATGATCATGGCTATCTACGCATTGCTACCTTGCATACGGACGTTGAGAATTTTATACCTAAGGAAGGCCGCAACGCTGACAAGAGCCATTATGTCGGCATGGGTGCCTTAGGCATTCAGCGGCCGTAGCGGTCACGTGGCCCACAACCGCCACGATGACAACGCTCGGTCTTTCCCGTAGATAGAAATACCAAGCGTTCTATCCAGTCACATTATACACCACTTTGGGCGTTCGGGGAAGTCGGATGGCGCTGGCTTGCTGGGCAGTCATCTTGTGGATAATGCGGAATACGTCTGAATAAACAAGTCTTGAAGTGCGAAGCTGTCTTTAGTCGGAAGTGATGTGTGGTTAAAGGTGATGATCCAGTAGTCAACACCAAAACCAGGAAGGTCTTTATACAAACTCCTTTGCAGACTGTGTAGCTCATAGTAGGCTATTACGTAGACGGCTTGGCGTTAACGCATCCCTACTTATTAAGCGTAAATCGTGAAAAGCCAAGTGGCATGGCTGTAGCTTATTCCTTGGGAGTTCTAGCCTATTATTTTCACCACAGTCGAGAAGTGATTTGAATTACAAACGCTATAGTGAAATGGGGAATCGTACGAGTCATGCCGCTATCAAACCCTGGTCAATAACCTAACCAAGGCGATTCCCCGCGTCGGGCCACAAGAATACTGTAGATACCCGCCCCGCCCCGAAAGCCGAGTCGATCGTTTCAAAAATTCATGGAGTAACAGGACGTGCAGCATGTAACTTATGATGTCATTGGCGTACCTACTATCGCCCTGAGTTCTCATTGGCCCTGGCCCTCGGCATGAGGGCCGCCAGATTTAACTTCCTATTCCAGACACTCCTCGCTCTGCAGTGGACCCTTGACCCTCTAGAACATCCGAGGTCCCTGGCCCATCATCAAATATTGTCGCAGGCCCACCTAGACTAACTTCCTAATTTGGAGGATAGCATGGCTGGCTGGAGTGCGGTTCATTCTTAGTAGACTTCTTTGAGATCATGATGAATCATCAATACTTCTCTCCCGGCTCTACTATTTAGAGACCCCTGGTCTGCAACCAGGTCCGCCAAAATGAGAAGATAAAGTGTTATCCCATCTCCACCGACTTGTTCTTCTACTCGAAACCAGCATGTGCAACCACGAGGTCGGAGCTAACGGCTGGACCGCCGTCCCTGTGGATGCCGGTGCCATCTTTGTCAACAGGCCCTTCATCAACGAACCGAAACCCATCTCCATCGAGGAGATCAAGTTCCCCGCTGAAGACCCCATCGTTGACAAGACCGTGCAATACGCCCAAACTGTACTTGATCCTCAGACCTTCAACCATTCCATGAGGGTATACTACTTTGGTACCAGACGATCCCTGTCCTGAGCTGCATAAATTCGTTCGCATGAGTAATTAATGGATGCAGGAATGGCCATTGCCACCCAACAATTCCCCGCCCAGGCCGCAGGCCTCAACCCCGTCACCTGGGCCCTCACCTGTCTCCTGCACGACCTCGGCACCGCGCCCGAAAACCTCGCCGCAACCCGCATGTCCTTCGACCTCTACGGGGGAATAAAAGCCCTGCGGATCCTACAAGAATTCGGCGCGCCAGTTGACCAATCCGAAGCCGTCGCCGAGGCCATCGTCCGACACCAGGATATGGGCGTTGAGGGCACGATCACCTTTCTCGGGCAGTTGATTCAGCTGGCGACGCTGTATGATAATACGGGTGTGCATCCGCGGATTGAAGGGTTTGGCGGGGTCGTGCATGCGGAGACGAGGGCGTGGGTTAATGGGCTGCATGTGAGGTTGGGGTGGTGCGGGTTCTTTTCGAGGACGATTCGAAAGGAGGAGGCGCTTAAGCCGTGGTGCCATTCGACGCATATTGTGGGGTTTGATAAGCAGATCGAGGAGAATACACTTATGAGGGAGTGGGAGTAAGCAGGGTCGGGTTGGAGGGGGTGGCTAGCAATTTAACCAAGAAGTGGAGCTCGCTTCTTGAAGATTGTATGTGGGATTCTACTCATGGATAGTATGCAGCCAGCGCAATAACACTTGCTATGCACATAGAGGAAACGGGGGAGATATATAGATACACGACATGTGATTGGTCCCTTGAGAGAGGAGATAGGAAGATCGATAACCCGCGCCGACTTGATCACCCCTCTCCAATGCCTACACTCCGACTCACCACCACACGATGTGTCAGAACGATACCGCTTATCCGATCAATCAACAATCCACATGCCGAAAGCATGCTGGACATGCCGTAGCCGCACAATCCGCTGCGACGCCTCGCGCATCCCCTGTCTGAAATGCGAGAAAGCGGGTCTCGAGTGCGTCGAGAAGAAGCCGCTGCGATGGGTCAATGGCGTCGCAATCCGGGGAAAGATGCGAGGGCAGACGTATGGCGCAACATCGCCGGGCTCTGAGGGCGGACGCTCGCTTGTGCAGTATAAGCCGTACGGGGAGGAGATTGTTTTGAGAGCAAGGACTAGTCCGCCCAGTACTGCGAGTAGCCCTCCAAAATTTCCGGCAAGTCCTTTAGCATTCACGCTGCTGGATTCGCGCGTGCAAGGCCTGCACTGGGGTACGAGGTTTTATGTCGATTATTGTGAGTATTATTGGCTTGAGGGGGTAGACAATTTAGTTTGCGGGTGTGCTGATACGAGTCCAGATAGTGATCAGATCTGCAAATTGTACATCTTGCATGATAGCGACAATAACCCTTTTCGCAGTTTGCTTCCGTACGCCCTCAATGATACCCCCCTGCTCAAAGCAATATCTGCGCTATCGGCACGACACATCGCCAATGCGAGCCAGTCCTTTGACCAGGCCGGCGAAGCTGCTACTCCTCAATCTAGGAAGGCCGAGCTAGAAGCATTACAGTCCAAATCGCAGGCTATAGCCAGCCTCAAGGCGCAACTTGATATCCCGGAGCCGTGTAAATTGGACATGACTCTAGCAACCATCTTGCTGCTCATCTTTGTCGAGCTCCTCGAGTCTGGACTGGATGGGTGGAACTTCCATCTCAAGGGGGCGAGAGGTCTGGGTGACTTTTCCCAGTCGCTTATCCAACCAGCATCGCCTGGGCATACAAAGTCCTCTGGTGAAATGGCGCAAGACGTACGGATGTTTATTGCCAGGCAATATTCCATGTATGTCGATTAGCTGACTGATTCTTGATGCATTCTTCTATTACTTTACTAATGGCAATAGAATCGATACATTAGGTTCCGCATTGTCGCACCCCAACTCTCGACTCGAAGATTTCTCTAGCGGTGAGGTGATCGAAGGCCAAGAGTCTGTCGTCCGAAGCTTTCTCGGATGTCCCGAGTTCATATTGCGATCCATTCAATTCTTCTCGAACCAACGACAGCTTGTATCAGAATCACCACCATACAATGAACCCTCCATCGACACGCATATCCAGGACACACTCACGATGCTCGAGCTAACTGAAACGTTCGACTCGCTCAAATGGGCGTCACAATTCCACACCTCAAGCACTTCCTCTACAACAGAGACGACCAATCTCTACCTATTGTCGCAAGCATATAAAACAGCCGCGCTGCTTTACGGCCGACAAGTTCTCGCAAGCACAGGGACGCATCTTGAGACTAGAGAAACCCAGACGCTGCTCTCGCAACTACTTGGAACCATCGACGCGCTCAAAGGCGAAGACACATTCTTCAAGTGCCTCCTCTGGCCGACGTTTGTCGCCGGGCTCCATTGCCTCGAGCGGGGACAGCAGGATTATGTTACTGACTCGCTGAGAAGCGTTTGGGATCTTACGAAGTGTCTAAATGTTATAAGCGCCGCTGATATTCTGAGGAAGTATTGGGAGCGCGTTAAGGTCTCGGGAACGGAGAATCCGTGGACGGCTGGCCTTGTTGAGCTGGATCGACATTGGTTGTTGATTTGATACGGATTAATGAATGAACGAATCATTTTACATCTCCCTAGAGGAACTGCTATGTAGTACGAGTATGGAACATAGGGTTATGATCTAGGCTATCCCATAAGAATCTACTACCATGCCAATGGAGGACCAGCTGTGGATCTGCGCTTTGTTTTGAGGCAGTGTCCCATTTCTAGCAGATACTAGCGCTCTTATCGCTCTTTGTTGTGAGAAGCCTTGATTATTCCTAGGATGGTTAGGCGCTCTCGAATGAAAATGTCTTTTTCTTTTGCTTTTCTGGATTCATGATGGTGAGTGAAATGAGATATGAAATTGGACGCGACAAAATATATATGCAACACGACGAGTCGCCCGCCACATCATCTTCATAAAGTATTTGACGGCAGGCGAAACATTATTAGCACAAGTAGCAGAAACGACAAATAAAAAGGACAAATAATAAATAGCCTCCTCGCTTGCGCTTTTTTACAGCAAACGAAGCAAATTGAAATTTGTGGGGGTCGCAAAAAGAAAGGTCCATCCCGGGTTCGAACCGGGGCTTTCAGAAGGTTTGAAACCGATTGCTATCAAAACCTGACGTCCTGACCACTAGACAAATGGACCCGGCTTGTGATTGTGGCCCACTTGCTAGCATATGTCAACCACGGGTATAGATCTCCGAATATAGTATCGCATTCGCCACGATCGGCCCAGTGGTGTTGTCATATTTCTCGTCACCGTGAGGTGGGCTTGTCGCATCTCCACCTTGCAAACAAGCTTACTCCAAGTCTCATGCGACCCCGGAACATTGTTCCCTGCCTCTAATCACATCTTATGTTCGGCAAGGTACACCACTGACCCTGCACCTGCTGATCTTTTCCTTTTTTTTCCCTCTCTGACGACATGTGAATCCCGCCTCACAACCTGAAGGAGCAGTGCCTGCCTGCGCAGAGGACTGCATCACATGGATTGCGTTTTTAACCTCCCCTGGGACTGAACCCTTCCCTCACTGAAAGATTGCCATCATGGCTTCCCTCCCGTCCCTGCGGCCGAATCGCCCGCTGCCTGATACGCCGCCGTGGCCGACAAACCGAGTCGTCCTGCCGCCTCGTCGAAAGATCAGCTTGGCATGCACGAATTGCCGGTCAAAGAAAATCAGGGTACGCATATATGCTGTCCGACATTGACTCGAGTCATGCCATGACTAAAAATTATCCAGTGCGACGGAACAAACCCATTCTGCTCGGAATGCATCCGGTCGGGCAGCCGCTGCCTCTACGAGAACGTGGACAAGCGCAAGACGGAAACATGGCGAATCGCCGTCAATGACCTCGAGCAAAAGAACCACCAGCTTGGATCACTCGTCCAATCGCTGAAATGCGACTCGTTCCCAGAGGCCGTTGAGCGGCTCCGGCAGCTGCGTGGCGATCAGCATCAGCAGCCAGACCGGCACGAGGAGATCACCGTGGGGACACCGGGCTTCAGCGATACGTCGAGTTCTAGCTTTGGCCTTGCGACTTCAATAAATCCCTATCTGGCCGCGTCCGTTGATCGGCCGTCTGCGTCGAGGAGTGTATCTGATAATGATGGCTTGGTTGATCTGGGATACGCGAACCTGCCATGTGAAGACATGACACGCCATGCCGTCAACGCATTCAAAACATGCGGCGCGACGCTGTTCCACGTTATGTCGCAAGAGACATTGGATGTTCTGATCCAGAAGGTCTACCAGCACGATCCCGGCGTGACGCCGAGCGATGTCTGTCAACTCTGCGCACTTGCCGCGGTGGGCAGTCAATACTGTACGAATGAGATCCCGGCGTTCGCAAAGGAGGCTTACTATCAGCATGCTTTTGTGCTGCTCGATCAACTAGAAGATGATGACCTGGCTCATATGCGCGTGTTTACTTGTCTTGCTGTCTATTTGGTTATGCTTAAGAGTACGAGTGCGAGGACTATGACTGGTATGTTTCGTCATCTGATATATGAGACGTGTGCTGACGGTGCCAGCGTCCGGTCTCAACGTTGCGCGGACGTATATAGAGACTCGATTGCAGGACACCAATGAGGAAGACCAGCTGGAATGGGCCAGGGTCTATCGTACACTGGCCTGTACAGAGTGGTGAGTTGAACACGGCAATCCAAGTCGTTGATGTATTGACATGCGCTAGTTTTCTATCGTCTACACTCGGTTACGAACTCGACCTGCGGGCAGACGAGATAAAGCTGGTCAGTACCCCCACCGTGTCAACGGGCATCTCGCTAACCACTTCAGATCGACGACTTGGCGGACGCAGAGTCCGCTATGAACCCCAACAACGAGATAAACAGCCAGATAATGCAGCGCTACGTTTTCAACATAGCCTTTCTCTCTGCACAAGTCTACGAGTGTTTTCGATTATCAGATCATATATGCATGGACGACCTCCATACACTCTCCGCCCAACTCGACACCTGGCATCGCGAACTCCCCCCATGTCTACAGCTGAGCTCACTCACCTCTGGGGAAAGCAATACCTCGGAGTGTGTACGGCGGCCTTTACTGTTTATGCATATGAGTCATATATCCTCGCATATTACGCTTTATGAGCGTATTGTGTCTACAACTTTGAAGGACGCGATGGGGGCGTCAGATAAGCAGATGATCCGTGAGGTATTTCGGCTCCCTGCCGACGCGATACGGATTTATGGTTCGTTCGCGCAGCAGCTTGCGAGGATTATTAAGCTTCTCTATGATGAGGAGGCTGTTCTTGTGCGATGCTGGCTTACAATGTACGCACCCCTCTGCAATCAGAACCAAAAAAGTACTGACGCACTTAGCCACGCCTCCTTCCACGCAACAATCGTCCTCCTCATGCTCGCAACCCAACACCTCGCCCTGGCCGTCCCGCAACCCTCCATCCTGAAGGACATGGAGCATATCGGCGGCTGTCTAAAGGTCCTGCAATACTGCGCAAACTACGACATTGCCGCGATGCGACTCGTCGATATCGTCTCGCCGCTCTTTAACCGTCTATGGCAGATGATTGAAAATCCCAATGATGTAGATAAAATCGCGCCATCGTTTTTGCTTTCGGATACCCCTGGCGCCCCGAGGATCTCGGCGGGACTCGCACATGTTGTGCATCAGGTTGTCGCGACGATGGGGTTGAGGTATCAGGAGATTTGGGTGTGATTTTTTTTGGTTTCTTTTCTTTTTCTTTTTTTTTTTTTTTGTGGTTGGTCTCTACTCTACTCTGGGGCTAGATTGGTAGATTGGATGGGTCCTGATGATGATGATTCTGTTTATGATGATGATAAAATGTTTGTTGTTCAGGGTGGGTGTTTCTTCATTATGTTGTTTCGATTTCTCCAGTTCAAGCATACTTGCTGCTGTGTACTTGGTACTTGAAATCAGACTACAGTCTCGGGTAGATGTAAAACAAAGGTTCTGTCGCATCTGTGCCAGCATCAAAGCTTTGTCGTCTCGGCTTGTTTTTGGGGTTATAGGACAAAGGTTTCATGCACTACAATGGACATGCTTTGTCAAGAGCACTCAAGGAGTATGGTATAAATACTGTTGTCTTTCGTTCGGACCGATCAGAACAAACCATACAAATTCCTGGTCGCTCAGCTTCCATATACACTTACTCTCTCTCTCTCTCTCTCTCTCTCTTTCATATTAACTTCTTCATAATGCAGCGCCTGCTGGCCAGTGCTCTACTTACCCTCTTCGCCCTGGGAACATCCGCTGTACGTCCCTTGTTCAAAAGAAAACACCCATACCTCCTTAAAGTACTAACCATTCACAATAGTATCCCACCGACCCCCTCACCGGTGATCTAGCCAAATGGGAAGTCTCCCCCTCCCCCGGCGCACCCACGGTAATCCTGAATGGAACTGTTGAACATGTCTACGCGAAACTCCTCGAGCTCAACCCCAACTACGACGAGGACTGGGCAGGCGTCGACGAGGACGACAACGTGGATGGATACCTTGGCTTTGATCTCGACAATGATACTGACGATACCGCCGAAGACACAAGTTCTGACGTCGAAGCTAAGACTCAAGGCCTTCACGCCCGCACAATGCAGCCCCTTCACCCCCGAAAACATCTCTCGTGTGAAGCATCCTGGGACGCCGACCAGTGGCACATCAAGCAAGGGATCAAGTATCTGCGGAAGGTAAAGGCGAACCCGACGCATCTTCCGGGACAGTGTGGGCAGGTCAGCTGTTCAGGGGACTCGGGGATTTATTGGTGTAATTTTGTAAGTATCCTTTCCCCTCCTTCTCCTTTCAGTCTTGTTCTCAACAGAGCAGGAAATGTGGATTGAGAGGGGGCAATCGAGATCTTGGAAGTGCAAGTGCAGCGTTGCTAACGAATGAATCTGTTTGCAGGACCCGAAGCGCACAAAAGTCTTGCCCTCGTATAATAACATCGCCGATGGCGCGCAAGTTATCCTCGATAACTGTAAGCGCACACAGAATGGGGTGCGGGGAAAACTGGGACATGATGATCTCTGGACGGTTTTTGTGCAGAAGGCGAAGTGTTAGTTTTCTTCAATCTTGCTTGGACACTTGATCGTTCTCGGACTCGACTCGACTGGCTTTACACCCCTCCATGTGTTGGACAAGGTCTGGTCTGAAGTAAGTTCCTGCCACTCAGCCGCTAATCTTTTTTTTTACTCCGCTTTGCTTTCCTTCCTAGCCTTGCTCGTTGAATGGGCATGGCTAGTTGAGGGTATCACGCTCGCTTATCCTATATTTCATATGTCATTGGATCTATGGCTTTTCCTTGTTTACGACGTCTTCAATTTGCTTACAATGAATTTCTTTTGTCCCCATACACTCGTTCCCAGGAGTGCATGCTGCTTTCCCCATAATAAGTAGCATTCTTTATGTTATATGGCATGACTCTTGATACTGGGCTCACCAGGAAGACCCCCTGAGCTAACCTTGACTAGCACCTAGCAGGGTTCCTCGGGGTCCCTGAGTGATAACAGTAGTGTTGACATTGCAAATCCTACAGCATGGTACGCTTGTATAGTACCTCTATAACCCGATAGCCAAGTGTCAGTCGTATGCCCCACCAGGAGGGTAGATCACCCGTAACTATGGTAGAGATATTCGAATGTCCAACGAAGGAGAATCCCATTTTATCTACCAACCTTTTAGCCAGTCCATACAAAAGAAACCCAATATACCAGCATAGTAACCTCCTCCCGAATAGCTACGCAGTACTATCCATTACTTCCGACTAACATCAACATCAACCGTATTTGTAACCCGAATCTTCGGTCCACTTCCCCTCCCCTCACTCCCACTCCCACTCCCACCCCCACCCCCACCACCCACACCCCCATTGCCACTGGCATACCCATCCCACAGCGCCTCCTGACTAGCACTCCTTACACAATCAACCTCAATCTCCACCGTATTCTCATACAGCTCCGAGCCATGATAAACCTTTCCCTTTTTACTCCTGGCCCTGCTCCCCTTGCCCGATCTCGACATTGAATCCATCCCAATCCCATTCGATCCATGCGAGTACCCATTCGAATTCTCATACGAGTTCGAGTTCCCGTCCCTCGTCGACCGCTGTTCCTTCAGGAACCCGAAGAGCGCGCGCAGGGCCGGTAGCGAGAGCGCGATTATGGCTGCGGAGACCTCGGCGCATGTCCAGGCGATTACGGGCGAGAAGTACCAGGTTGCGTCGGATTCGTTGTAGATTGAGACGAGCATGCTTTGCATGCGGAGGATGGATGTTCTGTTTTTGGATACATGTTTGTCAGTGGGTTGGGGGTGTAATATGAGGGAATAGGGAGGGGACAGGATTGAGGACGTACGCGACAGCGCTATAGAGGAAGGAGGTTAGCAACGCAATATGGCGATTCAAGGGCGAGGACTCACAAAACCCCAAAACACAAAATCGCCAACAAGGCCAACTTCCTCGCCATCTTCGCCTGCAGCCCCAGGACCATTTTGATCGGTAGCAACAGAATCAACGAATCACAGACAATCGTCAACGCGCCCGTGGAGACAAACACAATGCGCGACCCCATGCACCGCCCCTCAATTGTCTGATCCCACAGCGCCGCAAGCGGGATACACTGCAGGGCGATGATGAGCGTCTGCGCGAACCAGACGGCCGTAACAAAGGCAAACGAGAGGCGCAGGTACAGGATAAATGGCGGCATGGGGTTGAGACGCGCGTAAAAGGCGAGTCCGGAGACGCGACAGAGCCACAGGTTGAACATGTAGACCATTTGCGTGGTCACGAGCCATTTGTACATGTGCACGAGGGTTTCGGGAGTTTGCAGGAGGGCGGGCAGGTGGCGGCCTGCGCCGTATTTTAGGATCATCATGCAGAGGGCCATTGTTGCCCAGCTGGTTAGCTGCGAGTGAACAGTTAGCGAGAGGAGTAAGCGGGGGAGCGTGGTGAGGTGTGTGGGCTCGTACCTGCGCTGCTAGGATGAAGAGGTCATCCCAACCGAGTTCGCGGATCAGGAACCTGCGCGCATACAGCCGGACGCAGACGACGACAAAGGAGAGCGCGGTGACTACCGCAACGCCGATGTATGCTGGCGTCCTGCGGTCCTCTGCGAGGTACTCGGGCGAGTATTCCGTAGCCATTGTGTTGAACAGACCAATGCTTCAATCGTAGTTTTGTTCATCTCATCGCCCAAAGAGTCATCTGACGGACCTCGACGACGGTCGCTCAAGATAAATGAAACTACAGGACGATCCTCTGCCATTCCTGCCGAGACCTGTCACATCGAGCCTTCCTGCCGAGACGTCTGACAAGCTCTAACATTGCTCTCCTGTTTACAGTTAGTGCCTTCTGCACGGATTCCTTTGTTGAAACGCCCGGCAAGGTGGATTAATCGATTAATATGGTGTCGGGGTTGATACGAGGAGGATCCCGAGCTACGCAATGACATTTCGTACCTTTGTTGCATGCGCTACGTCGAGCTGCAAGTGATCATGCGCGATATCGGTTTAGATTGCCGATTCCTGGAAACTATGTGTACGTAGATGTCGACTCTATATACTTAGACTGTCGCGAACATTAAAAAGACAGTCATAGCGGATGAAGCAGACTGGTCTGCTGTTGATGCGAGATGGGGGTGCAGACGACATGGCATATGTCAAAATCCAAAGGACGAGGGCTCGGATCCCTGTCAAAGGATTCGGCGAGACCAAGCTGCTTGTCCTGGACGGCCTAGAACGGACTCGCCTAACGCTTTTTGGCCGTCGGCCGAAGGGACAAAAGTACGACGTTCAATTGCAGCCAAGCAGCTGCCAGCTGAGGGCAGAGGCATTAAGGTCATTACAGCGTTGCCCAGTACAGGGATGCTGGCTCTGTACTGAACCCTAAGCGAGAGTGTCAGGCAATCTCTTGTGAAATCACGTTTCTCACCTGAGATGTTGTGCGACACATACCCCGGATGATCCTGTCAGAGCTTGATCCTCCCACGGAAACAGCGCCAACCCCCGCTCCCGCAGCTGTCAAAAGTGTCAAATGGCCCAGGGGCGGGTCCAGACCCACCGCGTTTGGGCCGATCAACGCGACTGTTTGGCTTTTAATGAAAGTTCAAGCCCGTTGGACTCGTAGATTTTGTGACTTGTCAACGGCCCGGCGGGTGGGCAAATCAATCCCCCCACTCGCTGCACACGCGCGATGAGGAGTCGAGGACTTTTGTATCGCCTGGTCCAGATAACGCCCGTCCCAGATGATGCTGGTTGCTGGTCGACACCTATCACCTCCCCCTCATTCGCCCCTATTTCTGCTTCTGTTCTTTGTTTGTCAAACTCATGTTGCTCCTTGAAACTGATTGAGAAAGAACCTGAAGCTCAAGCTGACAATGTCTCCATCAACTGTGATGGCTGCAGTTGACATGTCTGATTTACTCTCTTGCCTCAGCGCGCATCGTCTGGGGGTCTTCTTTGCGCTCGCGCTTGTCCTGCGTGTGATTTACAGAAGGTACTGGACGCCGATTCGAGATATCCCAGGGCCGTTCTTTGCGTCGTTTGGGAGTCTCTGGAAGGTGTATCATGTGGTGAAGGGCCATACTGAGGAGGAAATCATCAAACTTCACAAGAAACATGGTGCCCTTCCCACCCTTGAGATTTTTGATAACCCTCTAATTAGATAGGCTACTTTGTTCGCATCTCGGAGAATGAAGTCAGCGTCTCTCACCCAGATGCCGTCAAGCAGCTCCTCCACGCAAACATTCCAAAGGTACATGCTCCGACAACCCTACATCTCACTACCACCAACTGATAACGATAGGGCTCATTCTACTCCATGTTCAGCCTGCCCGACTACCACTACATAAACCAAATGTCCGAGCTGGACCCCGTGCGCCACATCCAGAAAACCCGCAACCTCTCCGCCGGCTTCTCGCTCTCCAACATCGCAAAGACAGAGCCCTACATCGACAACGTCCTGCAACTCTTCATGACGCGCCTCGACCAACTCAGCACAAATGGCACCCCCGTCGAGTTCCAAGACTGGTTCAGCTTCTTCGCCTTCGATGTCCTCGGCGAAGTCACCTTTTCCAAATCCTTCGGCTTCGTCCACTCGGGCATCGATATCCGCAACGCGATTGCGAATACGGGGTTACTCGTGTACTATATCGCGCTGATGGGCAACTACATCTGGTTCCACTATCTCACGCTAGGGAACCCGCTCTTCTCGCGGCTCGGCCTGCAGCCGAACTCGCATATCTTCGACACGTGTCTGTTGGCCGTCGACGATCGGAAGAAGAACCCCGAGGTCCGGCACGATATGATGCAGCGCTGGATGGATATCCGAGCTGCGCACCCTGAGCGGCTCTCGGAGCAGGATATCTTTGGCGCGGCGGTTGCGAATATTGGGGCCGGGGCTGAGACGATTAGTTCAACTGCGCAGGCGGTTATTTACTATCTGCTTAAGAATCCGGAGTATCTGCGGCGGGTCCGGGAGGAGATTGATGATGCGCAAAAGGCGGGGAAGCTGTCGAGGGTTGTGCAGTATAGCGAGGCGGCGAGGTTGCCGTTTTTGCAGGCTTGCGTACGTCCCTCATTTGCGTTTCTGGAAGCTCAAGAAGACATATGAGAGGATCAGGGTATATTAACCATGTGCAGTTGAAAGAAGCATACCGCTTCCACCCCGGTGTCTGTCACAACCTGCCGCGCGTGGTGCCCAAGGGCGGAATCACCATTGCCGGACGATATTTCCCTGCAGGCGTACGTACCCACACCACTTATACTCATAATCACCGTCTTGAATACGCTGACAAGCCCAGGTAACCCTGAGCGTGCACCCGTGGGTCATCCATCGCACACCCTCGATCTTTGGCGCAGACTGCGAGACGTACAACCCCACTCGCTGGCTCAACGGCGACACGAAGGCTATGGATGCGTTTATGATTCACGTACGCACCCCACTCCTACTCTTAACTCTGTTCTACTATACTCTATTCCTACCTGCCCCCGACGATCTCTGTCTGCACGCAAAGTATATGCTAATCCGATCTCGTATACCCAGTGGGGCGCCGGCTACAACATGTGTCCCGGGCGAAATCTCGCGCAGTTCGAGCTTTCCAAGGTTCTTACGACCGTGCTGCGCGACTACGACATTGAGCAGATTGATTCAAAGAAGGAGTGGAGGTTTGAGACGCGGTTCCTGGCTGTGCCGTACGGGTGGCCATGTCGGATTCGGAAGAGAGAGGGGCAGGGGGTTTGAAAAAAATTGTTAGCATTAGTGATTAAGATGCGGAGAATTGAATGGATTTCCAGATTTCGCTGGTTTTGTGATTATCAGAATAACTCGTTAGGTGTCTTCGGTGACTGGTGATAGCCCTGTGTCGAATGTATTGTCTTTGGTAGAGAGCGAATCTGAACACGCGCCAGCTCCCATTGGCATGATGCCCTAAGACAGACGCTTTTTTACAGGGGTTGCATCGGAAGTGTGCCAGTCACTCGACGGCCAGAGGCAGGCTACGCAATTTCATGATTCTCGAAACGCGAAATATGCACGTTTCCTGGAGGTTACTCCGTTCGACCTTTGAAAAGAAAGTTGGCCTACCTCGCTCCATTGCGTCTAGGGAAGTCACACCATTTCCCTTTGGAAAGGCAGGCCAGTACAAGGCTTGTACAGGGTGGAAATTTGCAAGGGTAAGCAGAAGAATTTCCGACATCCGGCCATGGGCTCTCCTCAAAGTACTCAAGTCAGCGGCTGAATCAGTCTGTCGATTCAAACTCTTAACTTTGTTCAACCCGGTGCTGAACAGACTGCTCCCATTGTTCGCGAACAATGAGCCTCGAGGGCGACGTCACTAATTCCTTAGAACTCAAGCCTCGTCGTCACCACCGCAACGCGGCCCCGGGTATTGGTAAGATGCAGCGGAGGCTCGCGCCCCTGAGGAATAAGTCAACGAAAATATACTACGTTGCGTCGAAAAGAACAAATCCAAGGTTCGAAAGGTTGCCTTTTGTAGATGGGTGGTTTATTATAGACGTATTAGGCTCTTACACTTGCTAGTAGAGCGCGTCATGACTTTATTACCCACTTCCGCGACTAGCCGAGATCTGTATTTAGGAAGCTTAAAAGTGCGCCTTCTCTGGGCTTCTCTTGTTGGCTCCCCTTAATTATTTGTTCCTATTGTTGACTTACACGGAGCTCAGATCCATACCTGGTTAAGAGGCCAATCCCCCCTGACAAGGGAGACGGTGAACGAGACACAAGAGGAGCCTTGTCCAGATTACAGAAATAGTACTATCCAGAGCATCGAATCGGCTTCGCAGAAATGTGAGAATCCCAGTACCTACACTACCGACTCACTCCTATCTAACCAAGCAATATTTCTCTCTCTTTCTCAGCCCAGCCACGTCGCAATGGCCGAGCGTCAGAACGGAACAGTCAAATGGTTCAACGAGGAAAAGGGATATGGCTTTATCACCCCGGAATCTGGCGCCGATCTGTTTGTGCATTCCAGCGCAATTGAAGGATCTGGGTTTAGATCACTCAAAGAGGGACAACGGGTCTCCTTTGAAGTAGTTCAAGGCGCGAAGGGTATGCAGGCGGATAGAGTCCGGGTAGAGGGGTGAGATCATGGGATGGTATATTTTCGATTGTCTGGAACTCTGTACGCGCGATATGCAGGAGAACGCACCAAGGATTGACTGTTGGCTACCTGTACCTAGAGCGCCAACTGTTCCCTAACTGCAAATGCTCATACTGTAGACCAGACCCGAGCATACGTCATTTCTCCTCCCCTGGTTAACCCATTGCCATTGGCAATGTAGCCAATGCAAACATCATCTTGCTCTTGATCGATTGATCTTTGTGCTCAAGGAATTGCCTGTTTACAATGTTCCAGATGGTTACCGAAATTTAGGCGATTAAGTAATCAAAATCACAGGCGAGGAAGATCGCAGCAATAAGATGGTGTATAGATTGCTTGTTCTCCATGGAACGTGCTCTGCAATCTTCCAAGACGGTTCGTGAGGCGTTTGGTGGATATCGGACGGGTTGTCTTGCACATGGACTAATGATATTCTCTCCTAGACTTGTACTTTGGGAGATCTATGTCAGTGCGGGTCACAAGAAAGAAACATCTTTTATTGCCAAATCCTTCAGCCGTCCACTAGAGTGGGCATAAAGCCTATCTGAACTTGAAAACGGGTCCTGGACGAGGATGACGAGACCTTTTCCCAGAGAATCACAAAAAGCCGTGGGATACTACGATTCCAGTCCGGCGAATGCCTATGAAATGTGGCGATTAGGGACCTTTTGAGGACGGCGCATCTTTAAAAAAAAAATCTCAGCCCCTCCTTGCGTGCACGAAGCAATGAACTTTGTCCGATTCGATTCATCTGGGGCTCACCCGGAGTATCGCCGACCTCCGGGGCTCAGTTGCAGGTGTGTCACCGCGATGCCCGATTTCGTACAACATGTCTCCACAACGTTGCCGATGCTGCAGGGCTTGGATCTGCACCTGTGTATCCCGATCGGATGCCTGCTTTACGATTCAGTCGGCTTTGCTTGCCTACCTTCAGGGGTCGTTCTGGAGTCTCTTCCTCTAGTCTGGTCATTTCATTTATTAGCTAGGGATGGCATATAATGTCTCCTACCAAGAACAGCCATCTTCAACACCGAAGGCCCTAATTCAAAAATAAAGACTAGCTTTTCACGGAGTATTTCTACTCCCCGACGGGGCCAACTCCGCTGACCGCCGTTCGAGCTTGGCCGCTCGCAGAAAACAATAGACCGCCGGGTGGGTTGGATTATTGCTTTTTCGCTGCCGAATTGCGGATCCCACGACTCACGATCGGGGCAGTGTTGGGCCTGGACTATGGGCTATTGCATAAGCCAAGCCCTGTCGACGCCGATCAGATCGCTGGTGCAGACGGAGTGATTCTTCAGGACGACTCGGCGACGCGAGCAGAACCAGGTGCTTGGGATTTAGGGATGGGATGTATGGAGTTTTGGCAGATTAAGCGTTGTGGCGGGATTCTCCAGGATGGATTTGGTAGGAGGCAATTTCTACTTGTATGTACGGTGTTTCTTGAACATTGAAGATGGAGTTGGGCAGCAGCGGGTGAAAAAAAAAAAAAAATCTATCATTACATTCGTATCGGTATCTCTGGCAGTGGTATCTAAAACGCGAAAAGCATCTAATCTATAATTCCATTTTCCATCCCAATCCAAACTCCTATACTGAGATAGTCAGTACCGAAGAACCCCAACCTCCCGCGCAACCCCCAGCACCTCCTCAACAACAGCCAACACATCGCCACTCCGGATCGGCACACGATGCTCGCCCTCCCACTCTACCACCCTTGCACTCCCCTCCTCACACCCGTACTCCAACAGCTCGCGATGAAGCGGTAACCCCGGATCCTTCGTCCCGTGGACATGAATCGTCGGCAGCGTCAGCGTCGCCGGGACGAGACCATAATATGCCATGTCGTCGTCGGGGCTCAGCGAGACCATGGGCGCACGCCCGGCCAGGAGGACCGCGAAGCGGTAGTCGATTTGAAAGTCATACCCGTGCCCCGGGTTATTCTGCTGCCGCAGGAGCAGAGAAGCGGCCATTTTGGCGCCCTGGCTGAATCCCATAAGCCCGATGAACGGTCCCGAGGCGCCGAGGGCGTTGTCCGCGCTCATCGCGGCTGTGATAGATGATTCGATCGTAGAGATGACGAGGTGCGATGCGCTGTCCGTGTCGCAGATGGGCACGGGGCCGTTGTGCGGGCTTCCGCTCATCCCGTATCCCGGTGGGAACCAGGCGCGGAAGGGACCCCATTTTTCGTACACGCTTATTACGTCGGGGCCGGGGGTTGTGAGGAAGGGGGCGTCGGCGAAGACGAGGCGGAAGTAGGGGCCTAGTCGAGCGCGGAGGGCGCGGCACTGGCTGCGAAAGATGCGGGCGTTTGTGCCGCCGCCGTGGAGGCAGAGGATGCGAGGGAGGGCGAGAGAGGGGTCTTTGGGTGTGGGTTTTTGGGACGGGGGTGATGGGAAGTAGGAGTGTTGCAAGTGTGAGTTTTGGCGGATTTGTGGGGTTTGTATCGGAGAGGGATATGTTGAGTATGAGGATGATGCGGATGTGGATGAGGTGGATGTTGACGAGGCAGTCTTCATCCACGGGTTGAGAGCCTGAGGCCATGGAGACCAAGGCTGAAGTGTTTCGAGCATTGTGGAGACGAAGGTGGTTTAGATAGTATGGATATGGTAGGGAGAGAGGATGTGAGGATAAAATGGAGCAGGTTCAGGTCCTACCGTGCAGCTCCTGTACCAGGCCTACTTATATGGGAGCCTGCTGGAGGTTATAAGACAGCCAGATCCAGCACTCGCACGTCAGGTTCATCCTCATCGTGGATCCACAGCGGCAGCAACATGAAGGATCAATACTCTGGACCCTGACTCGGGAGGCCCACGGCATTGCCGGTATCAGCCCTCTCGGCCTTTCTTTGCGGCGACGATGGCCCGATGGATCCTCGCCTCTGAAGGATTATCTCGCCAGCAGCGGCAGCCACCGCGATAATATCCACCGAAAACCCACCGTAGAGACATTGCAGTCAGGCCTCCAGGCCAGTGAATCAGAGCTGACGTGTCCCAGCCAGATCCAGCCAGACTCAGCCTCGGACTCCGGACAAACTGTGACGCATTCTCTGCGGGTTTCTTTAGATAGTCCTGAAGGATGCGCCCCAAAGGAGAAAATGTGGATACTCGGGACCCATCGGGCGGTAGTGCAGCTTGGCCGCAAGGCTTATTGAGCTGGCCTGGGTGCTTAATTTGCGCTGAATGCAGTGGTTGAGCCTGCGAAATGACCTGTCAGCCAATCGACCCGTCTTGCCCGCTCAAGGGTTGCCGATGCCGAAATGCAATGGGGAAGTGATATTGGTTCTTCAGGCCGGAAGTCGTAGGAAGGGTGGTGTTCGGTGTGATATGGCTTCCTTCGTTGTCTGTTTGTTTTGGCTGCGTGTACTGTGGCCTATGGGAGGGCAGCGTGTCATGCCAATGTTGAGCCAAGATCTCGTATAAGATCGTGGTAGGCTTGAACGTCATGGCTAGCGTTGGCATTTCATAATCGATTGCTCCTAAGTACCACGCTATACTGTTACTGTCTACAGCTGCCCACACATGCCTCAGGGAGCGGCGATGAAACGGCCTGCTCGGCAGCAGCCCGGCCTCGCCTGTGAAGAGTGTCGACGACGAAAGGCCCGATGTGATCGCGCGCAGCCCCAGTGCGGAGCGTGTATGATGACCGGGCGTGTCTGCATCGTCAATCACAATCGCCATAGACGGGGGCCGAAGAAGGGCCAACTCAAGGCGTTGTATTCCCGACTCGGTAGATCAAACCAGCGATACTAGCAGAGACACATACTGACATTATCACAGAAGTCCTGGAAGAGCAGTTGGTCGTGCAAGTCGAGAACCTGCCAGCGAATACAGGCCCTATCCAAGAATCCCATACACGAACCTCCAGCTCAAGTCAGGCCTCCCTCCCAGACGAAGACCATGATGCTCCTCACGAACTGCCGTCAAGCTCCTCCTTTGAAACCGATCCCATCCTATCATCCCCAACCGGAGACCGCCATCGCCCATCAACATTCCATCCCATCGAGCCCATCCCCTTTCACCCTCCAATCCCAGCCCGCCTCGATGTAGTCCACGCCGACCTGTAAGACCTCCCCTCGGCCCCAGTCAGGTATCCCCTAACAAATCCCGAGAGATCAGTTATACTTTGACCGCGTGCACCCCATCGCCCCATTCCTCCACCAGCGGCGGTACTTCACCTGGGTAAGCTACGAAGCCCCCTCTCTGGCACGCTCATGTCTCCGCTCCGCAATGTGCACAATCGCCGCCGCCATGTCCGCGCAGTTCCGCTCCCTCTCAGACTTCCTATACGCCGAAACCCGCAGCATCCTCGCCCGCCTCGACGGCACCGAGCGCTCGCCGCCGTCGCCTTCGCTCGAGCAGATCCAGGCGCTCCTTCTCCTCGCGCATTATGAGCTCTTGCGCATAGATGAGGGGACGGCGATGGTTACGGCGAGGAGGTGTTTTCGGTTAATTCAGTTGGCGAGGTTGGGGGAGGCGGATGCAATTGAAGGCGAGGGAGTCCCGGGGCAGCTGGCGGCGGTGGGAATGGGTGGGACGGGATGGAATGAGGCGTTTGCGGTTGCGGAGGAGAGGAAGCGGACGTTCTGGGTTGCGTATTGCTTCGATCGGTTTCTGAGTAGTCGGCGCGAGTGGCCGCTGACGCTTCAGGAGGATGCGGTGGGTTTCCAATGATCTCTCGAGCCATGAGAATGTGTACGGGGTGTACAACACGGAGGGAGCAATGCTGACACTGCATGCTGCATACTGCAGATTCGCACCCACCTTCCATACTCGGAACAGACCTTTCAGACAACGCCCCTCCCCTTTCTGACTCCCTCTCACCAAGGACTTCAAGCTCCTCCCCAGACGCAAACGCCCTCCCAACCACTAACCCTCCACGAAGCCATCACCTCCAGCGGGCACACAACCATCCCACCGTTCAGCGAATGCATAGTCCTCGCAACCCTCTACGGCCGCGCAATGACGCTCCGGCGCATTGCGAGTGTCCTACCATCCTCCGAAACAAGCGTATTCTGGTCCCGCCACAAATTGCTTTCAACGTCGATTGAAAAGCGCACGCAGCTGCTGGCAAGGAATCTGGCGAGCCCGAATATTCTTGTCGACCCGATGGTGGCGTTTACGCACGTGCTTGCGCGCGCGACGGTTGTTTATTTGGGCGAGGTTGCGGACGTTGTTGGGGGCGCAGGAACAGGGACTGGGACAGGGGTTGGCGGCGGAATGGGAACTACTGGAGGAGCTGAGGCGGAATGGAACGCGTATGGGCCTGGGACGAGGGATATACCGGGCTCTGGAGTCGGAAGCGAAGGGTCAGCGGCTACATCCTCTGCGCAGAAGCTGGCGGCGGCAGCGTACACGCAACGAGCCTTCCAAGCAGCAAGGGAAGTCGTCCGGCTTGTTCAGGGGATGAGGCCTGTGAGTTGCTTCAAGGTTCGTTTCTCTCTTCCTCGCTCGTTCTCCTTTCCGCGACCCAGTCTAGGTGTATGGATCTCTACTCAGCAAGGCTGATACTAATAAAAAGCCAGGCCCACCCCTTCCTCCCAAATCCAATCTCCCGCGCAGCCCACTTCCTCATTTCACACAGCCGCCTGACAGAGTGGGAATGGGGACGATCGACGAATGAGACACGCCGCGAGGTAGATGAGCTGTTGGGTGTCCTTCGGGATTTGCAGGCTACGCACAATCTGGCGAAAGAGTTGTTGGGCGAGATGGAAGGGGCTCAAACTCGGATGCAAACGACGGTGGGGATGGTGAATGGCTTGGGGACGGGGCTGGAAAATAACCGACGCGGGGAGACTGCGTATCGCCATGGACGTAGCTATAGTGAGAATATGAGAGGTGGGATATCATAATTTGTAGACTTGAGACAAAGGAACAAAGTTTTGGTACGCGGAGTAGAACGTGCTATACTGACTCTGAAGTGCCATCACTTCCGACCTTGCTAAGCGGTCCAAAATGTATGTATGAGATACGCGATGCAACCCTCTGTCTGTTCTCTGTGGTGAAAGCAAGCAGACCATGCATGTATCGAGTACCTCATCACCCTCACAAGCCCCATAAGAAACCTTACCAGTATGAACTACTATTTCTTACAAGGCTCCTCGCATACAGGCTGAGTTGTTTAATAGGTTGATGTTACTATATATATGGTACTCATCGCGGGATCGACTCCGAAACCGCCAAAGTGAACAAGACTTTGGACCTAAAAAGAGCCGAAACCAGCAATCGAGGACTGCAAACCGGACACAGAGATGATACAAGAACATCGGCCATCGCCAGAGAGTCCAGGGGGATCCCTCGTAATGTTGTGAGTACGGAGTATCAATCACGACATCAAGCCGCCTTTGGGTGATGCCAACACCCCCACGAGGAAACAAATCAACATCCCTCAGCCGCACCAAATAATCAAAGACTAATCAAGGACACAACGTGACCAAAACCCGCTAATTAATTCCGCGGCCAGAGTTCGAGTCATAGCACCCAAAGATGCAAGGGTCGTGATGGATAAGGGGCCAAGAGGTTTCTATGGCTCAAAGAAGAGAGCGATCGTACCATAACATGCGAATCTGAGACCTACAAGGTATTGAAACATGAGATCTTGATACTGGAAAGAGAGAGGCCACGGAAGGCCGAGGCACCTGACGCCACAAAAACCCGGTAAATAATTCCGGAACCAAAGGTCGAGTCATTGACAGATCGATAGGCAGATCCAAGACCTAAAAGGGGTAAGTAAGGGGCTCCAACAACACGAGCAAGCAATGTCAGACCGCAATGACCAAGTTCGAGAGCCTATCAGACGTGATATCGACAGTACCCATTCTTGAGAAAAAATATGCCAGAGCGCGATCTAAGTCGGCGACTCGACATGAAGTCGCCGGACGACGTTGTATGTACTTTGACGAGGTTGTGGTGCGTTGGCGAGATGAATCGGACCTTTTGGTTGGTCCCGGGCTCTTTCTTTGTTGCGATAGTCACCCTCCCGATTAGGACTACCAAGGAGCGCAGCAATACGAGTAAGGGAGACTGCAGCGTGGGGGTGCGCTACAGGAGTCAACGAAAGCCTTTGGCGCCGGAAACGCACCTATTGATCGAAATAATCCTCTCTGAAACCGAGCAACGAGCACTCAGGGACGAGCACTGGGACCTGTAGATAAGGATTGTCATCGAACCGAACCGTATCCACAGCGAGATACTCCTTATGCCCTCTGATACTCCGTCCTCAACAGAGGATTACTCGCTTTCAAATCCATCGCCACAATCGCGACGACAACAACCTTGCCCAAACCCAACCAAGATCATTGTAAGCGATGACCAAGAACAAAGACATCTCAATATCCGCCAAAGAAGGCAACCATCGCCCCCTGCAAGGTCGCCCGGAGCTGGAGCTCCACCGCTCCGTCGCGCAACCGGAAAAGGACTCCGAAAGCCGCGCGCCGACCCGCCGGGACGCACTGCACCGGAGTTTCCCTGCCCGGCAATCAATCGACAGTGATTTCGATGGTTCCGGGATGGCATTCCAAGGGAGTGGATTCCCGTACCAACTTGAGATTTCCGGATCCGACAGACTGGGTTGGAGATCTGAAGCACTGTTGCGCGGATACTTGGATTTGAATGCGAATTGCGATTGATATGAGCTACAGCTGGGAGTATGTCCTGTCCCGAGCACTTGGCGCTCAGCAGCGTCACCAACAGTTTGTCCAAGACGCCGAAGTTTGAAAGAAATCCTAGCTGTGGTCGTCTGATAGCCAGCGAATAGAGTCTTCGCAATCGTCCTAGGAATATGACATGTAATATAACCGAATCAAAGGGGGAAATGAACTGTCCGGACTTATTACCGCTAGAAAAACAGACTAAATGACAAAGGGACTGACTCAGTGACGAATTGACGAACTAATAGGAGATCGATTATGGGGCTATTGGGAAGGACTGGACTAGATTAGTGGGTATAAATATAAGAAAGGAGGCCGCTCGTCACTAGGCTCCTCGATGTGAAGCCACAAAATGAAACAAAACAGTTTGAGAGTCAGCAAAGTCGAGGTGAAAAGAGCCGAGATGAGAGAAAGATGCAAGAATCAGAGAATATGCTGCGCATCGACAATGCTCCTCCCAAGCTTCAACGCGGAATCCTTGAAAAATAATGTTTGACTGACTGGTTCCGCGCTTTGCCGTGCCGTTGACGACTTTTCCCCAGTTTCAACGCGAAACTTTGCATCGAACATGATACGCTTCAACTGACTCGCAGTCTGGTTGTGATGATGCCCCTCAAGGAGGAGGCGGCATATGCCCCTGCGCCCCAAAATTCACCGACGACAGCGTCTGCAACCACGCCTCATTCCCATACGCAAGGCTATCCACAAGCTCACTATTCATCCCCCACTGCGACGGCAGGCTCTGCGCAACACTGTGCTGCGACGAGCTACTCTCCGCCTGGCCCGCGCTTGCACTCCCACTCCCTGGCCCTCCGATACCAAGACCACCACCATCAGGAACACCACCGGCGCCAACCCACGCCGCCGCGCTCGCACCGGGCGACTCATCCGAGTCATCACCCACAAGCTGCTCCCTCAACCACGCGCGGATAAGCTGCGAGAGTCCCGCAACGCGTCCCCAGAAATAATCCCGCTCCCCCGCGCGGGCCGCCGCCTCTGCAACCTGATCCACGCGCAGACCAACACTCTCAACAATCTCTAACAGACTAATCGTCTGCGTCACGACCTCGGGGTTCCACTGCGGATCCGTGTACGTCGACAGGCGGTACAGATTTACCAGGGCGCGCGCGAATTGCGTCCAGAGGACCATGGGTGTGTGCGGGTAGTCGGTTGGTGGGAGGCGGTAAAAGGTTTCTATCCAGGATTGGATGGAGGAGAGCGTGCCGCGCATGCATTCGATTTTCTCCCAGCTTGAGGCGGCTGTTGTTTGGATGGATGGGGGTGTTGTTGTTGCCCCTGCGGGTGTTGCGGGGGTTGGAGATGTGGTTGGGGTGTCGAGGGAGCCCTGGGGCACGAAGGCGCTGGTGTGGATGCCCAGTTCGATGTAGTGGAAGTGCAGGATGAGGAGGTCTGTATTCCAGCCTGGTCAGTCTCTCCCTCTCACTTTCGTATCACTCTGTGAAGCGTACCTTTATTCGGATGTACAACGGGCAACGAATTTCGCAGCGTGTCCAGCTGCGCCCGCCACGAATTCAGGAACATGGCAATGGGAAACGGGCCCTGGTGCTCGTCTCGCGCTTGCGTAGCGCGCTGTCCCAGTAACTGCAGGCGCACAAGCAGAGTCAACGACTGGTCATTCGGATGCTCGGGGGTCGCCTCGATGTTCTTGAGATAGCCCTCCATTTGCGATGTCCAGCGCATCGGGTCCATTTGCGTGAAGTACGTGGAGTAGCTGGTTTCGTCAGTTACACACATCTTGCTGGTGAGGGATGGGAAGCAACTTACATGGAGCATAACAAGAAACACCCCAGCGCCCCGCGCTGCTCCTCCATTGAGCGATGATCTGGATTCTCAAGCCCCGTGCGAATCGTCCTGCCGCCAAGCAGGGTAATAACATGGCTATCCGGCGGCATACGCTTATTCAAATGCATATCGTACGCGATGGACAGCGCAATCTCCATCAGCCGCGATATCGTAGGACTCATGTGCAGAAACTGATCATAGCTCCACGCCGCATATGTCAGTACCCCCAGAAGCATATCAATGCTCGACCGATTCTCAACGACCGTCGCCTGCGCGAGGATCGTCTTGAACTGGTGCGCGCGCACGCGCTTTTCGCTGAATGACCGAGTCGTCACAGCGCAGATCGCCTGCCATAGGAACGGGCGCTCCGTCTGTAGGTACTGCGCGGAGACCGTGGGTGGTAGATAGATGAACGGGCAGAAGCGTAGCATGTGGTCGCGGAAGAGGGCGAGGACTTCGTCCGGATTGCGCAGGTCGTCCGGGGGCAGCGGGTAGGCCGAGGGGAGGCCCGAGGGGGGCGGCATGAGGGTTTCGGAGGGGGAGGGGTGGCCGTGCTGCATTAGGGCGGAGGAGGCCAGTGTGGTTTGCGGCGTAGCGGGGGCTCCAGCGGGACCGGCAGCAGCACCGGGCGGGGGCATGCGCGACTGGATCAAGGCGAGGAGGCTCTCGTACTTGGACTCGAGCTGCGCAAGGCGCATACTCTGCGTGCGAGAGGAATTGCGCCGACGGACCGAGTCGGAGGGGCTACACTGTTTTTTCAGGCGATGGCATCTGCACAGCGGGTGAGGAGGTGTTGCTTAGAGGGGGGCAGCAGCAACAGCACGCACCTCTCACAGCCGCCGTCCGGCCGACCGACGCACTTGCATTTTGCCTTGAAGCAGTTGCTGCAGGCGAGGCCGTAGGGCCCTCGTCCATCCATGGTGGAGTCTTTAAAGGGAGGCAAAGGGGGGTTCTCTGGGGGGGTTCCTGCTGTTCGGGTGGGTTCGCGACGGTCGCACGGAAACGGAGGCCGATGCCTGCCAGGGGTCGCGCCTGGTCGCTCTCCGCAGGCTGCCGGTGCTCACTGATCAGGAGATAAACTCCAGCAGCGAGTGAGCAATAGGAATCGCTAATATAGCATTCAAAGGACCCTTGGATAGGATATCTCCCCCTTTGACCGTCGTCGAGGTGAACAAAGAACTCCCGGCGAGGGGTTGTCACGTGCCTAGCTCTGCTGTCCCGCCATAAGCCGCTGACTAACCATTTCTGCTGTGCAATGTGCTTTGTGAACCTTGAAAAGTGATGAGTCTGTGATTACATAACACAATTTATCGCAGAAACCAATCAGTTCTACTTATTCATATTGCTCGGTTGGTGGCTGTCACATCCGAAATCACATTCTCTTCGAGTCTAGATCTCCTCTCCTGTCACGTCCGTCACGTCTGGAAGAAGGCTGCCCACCGCGTCCTTTGAGGCTCCGGCAAGACTCGCATACACCAGGCGGACAACCCCCCCTCAAACTCAAAGTCATCCGTCTTCCACTTGTCTGCAAGTCTATCCTTCCACTCTTCCACCCATATAACTTGCCTCTCACCCTCCGCCGAGATGAGCGGCACCATCCCCTCGTCTACGACCTCCGACGGGCGGATCAACCCTCCAGTGAAACAGAATTCGTGCTCGGAAATGCAGGTGGTCAAATGCCCCGACGGGTGATCCGCGGACTGCAGCTCAGTGTAGCACCGGCGGCACAGCATCGTATACGGACACGAGCGACAAAAGTACCAGAAGTGGATATAGGAAATGCCTTCCCGACAGCTGGAACATTCGCTCAGGTCGTCGCCGAGCTTCCACGTCTTTGACTCGAGAGCGTCTCCAACATCAAAGGTTCCTTCATTGTTGTTATCCGCCCACGTTTCCGATACTCCAACTGCAGCATCCTCGTTGGCCTTTTGATGCCCCATGGGTTCAGTGAGGAGACCGAGGAAGCGCTCCTGAGACGCCTTGATGCAATACAATGCTGCCTCGCGGTCGGCATCGCTGTCCGGGTCTGCCACAAACGTTCTGAACAGAGTCTTGAACGCGTCCTCATCATTTCCAATGTCATCGTCGGATAGCAAGGCAATGCAATGTTTAACCCGCCAGCGGAGAACGTCCCGAGCATTTGCGATATCACCCTGCTTGCGAAGCCAAGCCGATATAATCAAGCAGGTCTCGTCTGTCTGTTCGTCTGAACCCAGTGTCATGGGACAGCGTTCACACGGAGAGATGGCTGGATGCTCGAGGCACACAGTCACCAACTGGCCTGCTGCTCGTGCTTGTGAATACTTGATGTCCCAGCGAGGGAAGTCTCCATCGCCAGTGGCAATTAGAACCTGGCACCACCCGTCGAGACCAACATTCACCCGACCTTTGCTGAACAGGACTGTTGCCATCAGATACTTGTAAATTGGAATATCTTCCCGCCTCCGCTCCAGAGTATCGATGTTTTCCAGGATGGCGACAACACGATCAAGGTGCTCACCATCATTGGGAGTGAGCACATATTGAAGGAGACGGTAAGTCGTGCGAGTTATGTAGGTCAGCTGTTTAAATAGAAAGTCCGCAAGGTCCTTGTAAAAGTACTGTTCTGTCCGCTCAACCTCGTAGAATTCAAATGCGCGATCCAACACTGGTCGGAGACGTTGCGGCTGGTGTAGTTCAAGGAAGATGTTGAAGAAGCTTTCGAAATCGGTGGACCACCAGCGGTCCCGTTTAATCGCTAGATCCCATGCCTCGTTCGCTGTTTCAACTGCGTCCTGTGTCCTCTTCGCGCGGTATTTCAGTCGCGCAGCATTTAGCAGTTGGGAAACACCATCACCAGGAACTACCTCTGACCTCTCAGCATCCGCGACGAGCGACTGGGATATTTCATGGTGCTCTAGCGCCTCTACGTGTCTTCCGATCTCGGTGCACGCGCGAGACAGGTCTCTATGTATGACGGAGAGTGACGGTGGATCAAAGGTGGCCGTCTTCTCTTGCTCGGCCAGGGCAACCCGGAAACTTTCCCGAGCTTCTGCGCAATGAAAGTTCAACAGCAGTCCTTGAGCCACTCTTGCATGCCAGAGAGGCGTTTGCTCATGCCCGTGAAGCTCAGCGATTGCCAGAATCGCTGGAGCATCACGAGAACGTCGCACCGAAAGCGTGATTTCATGCTCGCGGGTGCCGGGGTCCTTCGAGTACTCACTCACCATATCGTTGTAGAATGCCAACAGCGCTGGGATCGTAGCAGGTGACCCGTCGCCGTCTGTGATTCGCTGCGGCTCAAGCCAGAGTCGATACCAGTATTCGGCCATGTGGGAGAAGAGCACTGCAAAAGGACACACATCGCTGGCTACTTTTGAAGCGTGGGCGTGCTCCTGGAAGGTTTGTTTTGTCTCTGGGAGCAGCCACTGCAGGGCCATCTCCGCCCGCTTGTTTACAAGCTCGCGGTCTGTGAGATCAAGCCAGAACTCGCCTAACTTGGTTACGTCGGAGGTGGCGTAGAAGCAATACTGGGTGAAGTCCCTGATGAGCATGTTTTCCAAAAACCAGCGGCGACATTCCTCCTTCGTAAAAAGGTCATCGAGGAGGGCTGAAATCTTCCCGTGTAATTTCCCAGCCTTCTCTGGGTTCGCCTCCTTCAAATGCGTCGGCAGGAAGCTCTGGGCATACTCCTGCAGAGGGTCTGTCCAACTTCCGGTTGTGGGTGTGCGGTCTTCACGCAGCGCGTAGAGGAACGCATACAGAAAGTTGACTTGGGCTTGATCCACGTTGACGCCAACGGGCCCTGAATGTTGGCTCGATCTGAAGAATTCGTAGAATGAACTGTGTCGTAGTACAACGACGTTGACACCTTCGGTGGAGGAAGATTCGGCATCCTCGTCGGTCCGGAGCAGAAACAGGGAAGAGTATATCGTTCGAAGATCATCCTCCAGGTTCAATACCTCCTCCTTGAAGATGATTTCGAGAATGAGCTCGATCTGCGTCACTGTCAGAGGCTTCTGCGCGAGTGTCACAAAGGACAGCACGATGTTCAGCTGGTCGATCTGGGTCGCGCCTTCCCTTTCGGATTCTTCGCCGCCAGACATCTCGTCCGCGACCGAGAGCTCACGGCCAAGACGCTGCAGCTCCTGAGTGAGCATCGCGCTTATCCCACGGGGCATTGTCTTGATTCCTTTGCGAATCTGTTCTTTTGTCCGACATCGCAGCACCGATTTGATGACGAGATTCGCCCATTCCCAAAGCCCTTCGGCCTCCCGACTGATCTCCTTCACGACCTCCTCTTGGAATTCCGGCGACCCGCGGAACAGCTTGGTCTTTTGCAGTTTCTCGGCCACATATCCGTGCAGATCGTCCTTGTTCTGGTTATTGCCGACCTCGACCTCATCGATCCAGGCCAGCGAGTGCTCGTCGAGTACACCCCGCAAGGAGTCTCTGCTCAGCATCACAACGCGCAGCGGCGGCCGACTCATGTCCTCCTCCGAGAAGGTCTTTTCGAGGAGACTGCACAGGATCTCTTGTTCCTCGGGTTCGGCCTCGTCGATACCGTCGATAACAAGACACGTCCCCTGCGCTGGAACCTCGGCCAGATAGCCCAGCAAAAGCTTGCGCCAAACAGCATAACTGTTCTCAACGTCCTCTTTTAGACAGAATTCCTCTGCATGCGCCGCAAAGTCCTCGCGCTGCGCCACGACCTGCCACGCCAGCGTCCGCAGCGCCTTGTTGAGCGAGCGCAGATCGACGTCGTTGTTCCTGCAGAAGAAGGATGCAACCACGGGCGCAGGGCCCGCAGACAACTCCCCCTTGGAGAGCTCGGTGATAATCTTCGACGCAAGAAACGACTTGCCCACTCCGGGGCCCCCGTGGAGCCACAGGATCGGTTCAGACCCCTCCCACCAAGATCGAAGCCGTTCCTCAACCCAGGCACCCGACCCTGGAATCCGACTCTCGTTGATGGACGAGAAGATCTGACTCGACCCAGGGACCGGACTCAGCGCCGCCTTGACCCTCTGCAATCTCTCGCGATCGTTCCTTCGATTTTCCCTCTCCAGCAGCTCCTCTGTGTTCTTCAGCGCCTGGTTCGTGAGCTTCAAGCCATGGGCCGAAACCATCATGTGCTCCTGACTGGTCAACTCCTCCAGCTCTCCAAGCAGCCGGCCAACCTCTCCATCCTCCAAAAATGTACTCTTCGCCCACTGTGTCAACCGTGCCTTGAACGAACCGCGGGTCACAAGTTTCTGGCTTGCGGCACAGACACGCAGAAAGTTGACTAAGACCTTGACAATAATCACCTTCATCCCCTCGCTCAGCGGTACGCCCCTGTACGATTCCAGTCGCAGCGCAAAGTGGCCCAGCTTGCGGAACATGGCCGTGATCATGTCGAACGCTTCGCTCACCTTCCGCACCCCGCGCACGAGAAGGAGCATTGCACTCATGATCGTCGAGGCCGGAGGGAACGAGGTGACCGCGATAAGACCACCCCACGTCTCGAAAGGAGCGAGAACGGTCTGCATTGCGTGCAACAAGGGTCGTCGCTTCATTCGAAAGTCTTGGAAATTGTCCTTCTCATTCTCCAGGTGTCGTGAGAGATCTTCTGGCCCGCGCAGCTCGGGGAGCTCGCCCGCCACCAGCGGCGTCCCTGTCTCCTTCGCATAATCGGTGCATGCCGCGTGCCACAGGGCAGACAGCTTATCATCGGAGGGGCTATTTTCAGTCATAGCCATGGTGGTGAACTAACTTGCTGGACGAAGAAAGAGGATGAAGTTCGAATTGCCCCGCGGCGACCCCTCATTTTCGCTTCTCGTTTCCAGCTCAGCCGCACCGCACGTCTCTGTTTTGGGTTAGCTGCGACGTCTGTCGACATACTGAGTACTTCGTGCATGCGTCTGATTAGCCGCAATCCATGTCCGACTCCGCTGGGCTGAAATTGGCTAAAATGAAAATGGCTTTGTTCAAGCCGCTCCCGCAAGCCCGCACCCAAGCTTCGATCCTGCCGAGGAGGCCTGAGTCAATGTGCAGGATAGCAACAAGAATATAGCTGTTTGGCAAGAGTTGCTCGATTGCAGCTTACCGGTCTTTTAAAATCCAAGTCCAAATATCCAAATAACAGGAGAATTCAGCGATGGCCCCCTTCTGCAGCGTCGTATCAGCCACCCTGCTGTTCATGTCTCGCCACGGATGCTGCGCACATTGTTGCCGGGGTTAGGCCTTGATTCTTGTATCACTGGATTCCGCTTGAGTACGAGCAATGGGAGCAAAGAAGTCTCAGAAGCAAAATGGATGATGGTGGAAGAAGAGTATCAATTGAAAGTAGAAAATGGAAACTATGTGCAGTTCCCAAGCCAATCTGTCCGGTCCATGAACAGGATTATCAAATAGTGGACTCCGGTCTAGGAGATTAGCCTGCCCTGCATCATCGCCGCTTGCAAGTAGAAGGGAAGTCCTCTGCACCGTCCGAGTCAAGGTCAAGATCGATTAATGATCGTTTCCTGGGAATGACTGGCGCTGTTGCTTCGAGGGGAGGCCGGAGTCGGGTTCGTGCCTGCATGTTCACCTGCGGAGGCCCAGAGAGCGTTGGAGGCTGGCTACCGGTCTGCACCGGGTCTAAAGCTGTCGCAGCGGCTGGGTCGGCGACACAAGCACAGATGTCCTGGTATGCATGATCGCCGAGAGTCTCACGAAGCAAGACCTTCTGGTTCAGAGTCTCCAACTTGACACGCTTCTCTGCTGCCCGCCCCATCCAGCTATCCCGCTGCTCCAAGGCCTCAGCTTGTGTCTTCATAATTCGAAGGGTATGCGGGGTGCCATCACGGATAGTGTAGAATATGAAGTGTTGGGAAAGCTTGGTCTCAATGTGAAGTCTCCGCTGCTCTATCATGCGAAACTCCTTCTGGCGCTCGATTGGGTCCTCGACGAAGCGGCGGAGTTCGGCGCAGTCCAGACAGCAGTCTGGTTTCACGTTGGGAAGGGACTGTCGCCAGTCTTGTGGGAGTGGAGGGCAGGGGCCGGCGGATGGAGTGACGTAGAACTTGACGAGACGGACGACGAACGCTCCTTCTTCGCTTCCTGCAGCTGCGGAGAAGTCGCTCTGGTGCTTCTCCCGAAGGTTCTCGCACAGTATCCTGACAAGCCTAGTTGTGAATAGTGGAAAGATATCGTGGTCTCTCTGGATCGCGTTGATTTTTCTTTCCATGGTAGTGAGGACTTCAGCCATATCGAGACCCATTTTGCGGGATTGTTCGATTAACCACGAGATGTGAGTTGGGTTGACCAATTGGTCTCGTTTGTAAGTTTGTGAGTATTTCGAAAACCGGCAAGTAAATGGAGAGAAATCTTGTAATATCGCAGGGACGAGGCTCCTGTACACGGCAGGGAAAGTTGGAAACCTAGCAGACCCTTCCTGGTGCTCCCTGTGGAGAAGTGTGACGAATGGGATGATGAAGGAGGTCTTTGATGCCATTCTGGTTGCAAACGGAACTACCCTGGCTGGTCGTCAGCAAGTCTGCGGCTACATTCCATGTTAAATTCAGGGTCTGTGTACCTTGCGTCAAAAAATGACTCAGGGAAGTTTGGCACAGCAACTGCAAGGTCCAGTCCTTCAGCTGTTCCCAGGTAGGCCGGGTCTTTCTGCTCCAATCTGCAAAATAGCATGTCGAGAGTACGCCCATACCATTCCATTGCCTTGTTAGGCGTATGTTGGACTGAAGGATCTGTCCAAATTGACCGCATTCGAGCAAGCGACCCAATGTGCCCCACTGGACTGCTTGATACCAGCGACCATAAGTGGTCAATACTGCGAACTGGGGTTAATGTCGTGAGATTGAACAAAAAGAAGCGGGTGTCAACTTACACGGGTTGTACACGTTCGATGCCTTGGGTAAAGACCACTTTGCCGAATCGGACAGCCCACACCTCCGCTAGCTCCCTGTGCGAGTCCAAACACCGCTTCACAGCCTCAAAGTTGCCTAAATCAAGAGCAACCCAGACGACGTCGTGGATCAGCCCTTCGAGCCATTCTCGGTTTGCGACCACGATACTGCATAGTTCGCTTAGTTGGCTGCGGATTTACTGGTCTTCTGGATTGGCGAGGAACGCCCGGTAAAATTCACCCCATAAGGGCTTGATGTTGTAGATAAGCCGATCATCAGGTGGTTTTCCCGCCGCGTCAAGCAGGAATGGAAGATAAAAGGAAGCTGGCATGACGATAGCAATTGTATGGGTGAAAGTCTGAGCCGCCGCTCTAGGACCAGCGTCAGTCATTTGCAGCGGTACGTCTTCATCAGGCGCACCGGCGAGTTTCATATCAACGTCATACGCGCAAAAATCTGTTTTGGTTTCCAGCGCCGTGATGAGAACTCTGTCGTCCACGCCAGTGATGTGATATAGCTCAGACCGTCGAAAGACTATGGGCTCAATATTATTGAACTCGCCCTCCGCCAGGCGGCGCTTAGGAGAATGCAAATTCACAGGTCCCTCTATGTGTTGCGGCATATTCGCAAGTAAAACGCGGCAGTTGCTTTAATGGCACGCCATTCGGAGCTTGGTCACCTGGCGTTTATCCTGGTCGATAAGGGCATCAAACCCAAGGTCAGCGGTGGGGTACCAATCTTGCAGTTGGTGAAATAGCGCCGGCAGACGAGGTCCGCTTGTTGACTCTAATGCCCGCGAGAACCAAAGTTTTGGCGGTACGCCCTCGGTTTGGAATGACGTGGTCTCTCCCTCCGCCCAGTTCGCCCAAGAGCTAAGAAGATCCGTAAGAGAGGTTGCAGCGCCTTCATGCTGGTAATGCAAGCTCATGAAAGTGGGTCTGTGGACTAGCTTGTAGGTGAGAATGAGCTGGTACCCCGAAGTTACTGGCGTCCCGACAGGCTTCGCGAAGGCAGACCAGGCAGCGAGTGAGAACGCATAAGTATCTGAGCCGATAATAGAAGGACTGAATATCTGGGACTTGCCACGGTACGAGACAACAATGTCGCCTCCTTTATGCTCCGAGGGGAGACATATAGCCATCGTGCCGAACACCGATTCTGGCGGTTGCTGGCGTTGGTCCGGCACAAAGGATGATCCGGGTGTAATAAGCATACAGTTGTCCAACTGAATATCGACATTCGGTCGAGATTCATCGTCAAGCACGTTTTTCAGTAACACGTCCTTTAACAGTCTAGCCTGCACGTCCCATCGGGGATTGCGGAGTCGAAACTGTCCGGCATTGAGTACGCAGGCTCTAGGGGCAGTTTCTTGGCTGAGAGATCCTCCAGCCAGCGAGGTTCCATGGCACAATTTGGCAATGGCATCCGCCACGAGGGGGCTGATCGGGACACCAACCGGACCGAGTCCGGGGATTTCAAGCCCGGGGTTTAGGACAACGTCTTTGCTAGAAGTCGCGAATAAGTGGAGTGGTGCGCGTTTTCCATCCATCAACACTCTGAAGCCCGTCCGGAGCATATCGGCTGATTCAAGAGGGTGCCGGGTGGAGTGCTAGCCTTGAAGGTGCTGTGGCGTAGCCGCTGTACTGCTTGGGTTCGCTGCAGGGACGCTCCATACTGAGTCCTGCGGCTGTTCCGCCTTGATTTGTATCTCTTGTGGCGAATGCAATGGACCGGCAGATGGAGCCATGATGACAGAGACGTACGTAGAAGCCTAGAAGCTTTCCTCGACTGCCGAGTTTGGTGGTGTCGCCACAACCTCGGGACGACGCGTGGTCACGTGCTCAGAATTCCTGCCTTGCGAGTAAGACTATCACCTCTCCCCACGAAACACTTATTGGAACTCTGCTCCGTTCATCGAAGTTGTCGGGATAAAGAATAGAGCTTGGGCAGGCCAGCACGGTATTTCCAAGCGCTTGAGCACTTTTGGGTCCTTGAGGGCGTTGATCAACACGCCCTTAACCTTATGTATATATGTTCTCCGGCCCGCAGCGTCGTAGATTGAAATATTCAACATGGCTTACACTATTCAACATCTCTATTGGGTCGACATGAGCCCACGACCTTCCTTGCCACAGCGTACACTCTCATGTCAGCAACAGATTGCTTCCCAACAATCCCAGAACAGTCTGCGCCTACGCCCAAAGCTCGCAGGGAAGCGACCCACAGCAGTACCCATGATGTGCATCAAGGGCACCAGCAAAATCAATATTATGGCATCCGTCATTCGTCCGCCAGAGATAAGCCTCGAAGCCGTAGCCTCCGGGACTGGTTTCGACGAAACTGGATACGTAGTCAGCACCAAGTCTCAAAGTAATTGCCCGGGGCGTTTTCCTCCGAGACTTCGGTCACCTGAAGCACATCGCATGGAAATATGTAGGTAAGGAGGGAGGGAGGAGAGGAGGCTGTGGAGGCTGAGACTTACAAAACCGCGCAATGGCCCTTATCTGGGGTACAGCCGTTGAACCCGCCGTAAAAGGTGGCTTGCCACGTCGATCCGGTGGTATAGTCGGTGAGGTAGATGAGTTGGCGGATTCCATTGCCCGGGTCAAAGTAGCCCGAGGCAGCCATGGAACCATGCCATGCTGCCGCTTGGCTGACGAAGAAGGCGATGGTGCTTAGCAGGAAGGAGATCTTCATGTTCTCGAATGTAGTATAATAGAGGAATATCTCCGGGGTGAGGCGTTGATACGCCGTGCTCAAGTGGCCGTTATATACTGTTAGCGTTGGAGAGAGGCCGTGGGTGTCCGCTCATTCATGCTGAGAATGTCGGCTGTATCTTATGTGCGTCCGCGCTTATTCCGCTAGCGTCCACGACACTGGAGACATCAGAATCGGTTGTGGAGAAACAGGGAGGTACACTCACCCACCCATTGTTGAGCCTGTTTCCCCTAGCACTGTGGTGTGTAAAGATCCGTGTCATTCACATAGCGGGATAGAAAGCCAGATACGTAGTCGACATCCAGAGAACGATCCATTTGAGAAATAATCACCATCACAGCCCTATTAAATGATGATTTGGCCACCCCAGCATCAATCTACCTGGATACAGCGGCGGGGCTGATGCGCTCCTTCCTGCGGGCTAGCGGTCTGCTGAGAAAGCCTTATTATTTTGAACCACTCGTGTACTCGACTCATTTGTATGTGATGTATCAGAAATGGTATGGTATGAGGCTTGTGGGGCAGAAAAACCTGTAGCTGCTGAGAACCAATTTCCCAGGGCCTCGCGAGACTACTGATGGCCCACACTCTATGCAATCCCTGGCCTTCGAAGAGCATGAAAATGAACCAGGATTGTATCAAGAAGTCCTTTTCCTACTCGCCAACATCTACTTCGTACATCTAGGCTTTCAACTCAAGATAAGTGACTCGCTACCGACCGCAACAACGTCATCGCCGACAGACATGAAAGGGCGATTTCTAGCCCTCATTTACAGGCCTGCATGACCATGGTACACTCCGCTATCAAACACAATCATACCAATGAACTGATGCAACCCTCATAACCGCGCCACCCCTCGGCTTCGCAGAAAACGACGACTCCTGGAAAGCCAAATCACCCAGGCGGAGATCCAAATTCGTGTACAAGACACTAGGCTCGGCCCTGGGCTGCAGTCCAACACACTCAAACTCAAAGCTCCGCACAGTAAGTAGCAGGATAATGCATAGTTCTTGCATTGCCAAGTCCCGACCCATGCACGCCCGCGGGCCTCGCTCAAATGGTCGCCAGGCATTCAGAGGGATCGCGGTCGAAGGGTCCATGAAGCGTTCGGGGTTGAAGGTCGCGGGGCTTTGGAATATTTCTGCATCATAGTGGATGGTGTGTGTGCAGGGGATGATCATTTGGTTTGGTGTTGGGTAGGTCCGCCCCTGGTACTCTAAAGCAGGGATCCTGTTTTGGTCGTTTAACGAGGAAATTCGTTGTGATTGGGATTACAAGGGGCTGGCTTACCCTGACTTGGCCGATCGGACTCCGAACCCCACAGGGAACAGTCGCAGTGTCTCTTTAATAACGGCGGTTGTATAACGCAGCTCACTGAGCTTATCAGGGCTCTCTTTGAGCGTATGCTGGGTGGTCTGTAAACCGGTCCTGAATACCCGGTCGTGCTCCTCCCGGAGTTTCTGCATCACGGTGGGATGCGTAGAGAGGAGGATGTAAATGAACTATGGCCGTCAGCTATGTCGAGTGCTTGCAGGTGCATCAAAGAGGGATTTACGCATAATGTATCTGTTGTGGTTCCGTATGCGCCGAGTAGAAGACCCTTGAGGCTGCACAGTGGTTAGCCGAGGAATGGAGCAGGGGAAGAAAATGGTACACCATGCCCGACCTCGAAAAGAGGAATTCTTACTTTTCAACGATTGTCCGGGAAACTGCAGCTGTCAGGGTATCCGGAACCTGCCCGCTATTTTCCATGGGCAATAAGCCAACAAGGATGTGATCCAGGACACTCATTGTACTCTTCCCCAGCCCTTCCTTGTCGCCACCCTCTGCAGAATCCCTTCTAACCATCTCTATGTGCCGCTCCTTCGCAAGTGCCCCAAGGAACGCGTCGATGCGCCGAGCAGCTGCTCTCTGCTTCCACCACCAGAACACCTTCCTGAAGGGGTTACCTGGTTGGACCTGCGTCAGAATCTTCGCATACTCCAAGATGACCGCAAAGTCTGCAAGAAGCCGCTCATTCGCTTCGTCAGAGACAGTAACCCCAAAGATAATCTTGCTGCTCATCCTGAACACAAGCTGCGCGGCTACGTCTTCCATGGCGAATGCCTGGCCACTGGCGGCGCGGCGGGACAGCGCTGCATGGAGCACAGACATGGTCTGGTCTGCGATGACCGGGACCATGCGCTTTAGCGCCGAAGGGCGGAACGCTGGCGCTATCATATTATGCAGCGCCTTCCAGGGCTGCCCATTGACCGCGGCGATCATGGTCTTGCCTATAAGTGCCGAGACGAAGCCGGTGGCGACATCGTGCACTGGGTAGTCTTCGACCGTTGTAACGAGGGCTGCGGTCTCTGGTGAGATGAGCACGAGCTGTGATGGCGCGAATGGCCAGAGGTCCAGGTAGAACAACTTCTTGAGCTGGTATCGCTGCGCAATCTCGGTGTAATATGCGGCGGGTGCAGTGTTGTCCGGGAAAAGCTTGATGACCTCGTTGAAGAGTTTTAGGTGGCCCCAGATCAGGCTATGGGGAGGCTTCGGCTGGGTTTTTCGTGATGGTTGTTAGCAACGTTGCTGGCTTAGGAGCGAAGGGGCGCAAACCAGATCTCTGTAGAATCGGCGATGCCGAATCACCTTGAGTCCAAACAAGATGAGCCCGGCGGCTGGGAGCAGGATATAGTGCGAGAGAATCATTGAGATGATTGGTACTGTGCCATCTTCAATCTCCCTGGGGCTCTCAAGCTACTTTTAAAGGGCCCCGCAGGGCAACTCGTACTAGAGATCAAACATCGTATGTAACCGACCCCTGCGGTAACCTTCGGCGGTCGCGCCTTGAAGCGAGTGGAATCTAGTGGACGGTAGCGGAGGCTAGCGGTCCAGCATTCTTGGTGTCTACGAGGGCCTGACCCAATCAAACGCAGAGCCGTGGCGATTGGGGTGTATTGTGTTTCTCTGATTGATTGTGTCGCCCTTTAGCTTATCGTCCCTGCGTGCTAAGAACGGCTTCTGCCAATCGAAAAGAAGAGCAGCTGCAATCATCAAAAACCCGCAGTCTGTATAGCGCGAATCAAGATTACTCAAGCCTCTTCCAATTACGTGGCCGGAATTTCTCAATCCACTTGCTTGGGATTCAAAGCTCCGTAATAAAGACTCTCCCAAGAACACTTGTCAGCCATGCAATGGTCTCCCAGACAGAAGCCCTGTTCCTTCCTTGGCCCCGGATACGCACAGAAGAGGTATATGCAGCAGCCTGTCCGCTGCCTGGGAACTCGCGTTCCAGCGTGTTATGTCGACTACTTGCACGGCCTTCGGCTGGAACCTCTCCTGGAGGCCTGGCACTCTTCAGCCCGGACATCATTATGGACCTAATCAACACGGCCACTATGGTGACGCGGTAGGCGAACCCCCTAAACAGTACGCCGAAGTAACTATTCCGTCCTTGGCGCTGATGCCCTAGACCGGTCATCTCTTTATTTTACTCCATCAGGGGCCATTGTTAAGAATATAAATAAGTCCTGCCAGCTCGCGGCAAGAATATTTCGCACCATCTTTGCTACTGCAAATACCGTCACACTACAGACTATGCCACTGCCAACCATGACAGCAAGAACAACAACAACACCGGGACGAGCAAGATTCCTATTTCTCTATGACGACATTGAGCTCCCAAAGGCTTCGCTATCCAAGATCTGTCCTGGCTACAGCATGCGCCGGAGGCGCACGTATGGATCTGCTTCACTGCCGCCGCAGATTCAGTATTCGAGACTGATTGGACTTCGTTTATTCTAACCCCCATGCCGGTTCTGACTGCTCTAGACTCAGATGAGCTTCCCGTTCCCAAGGATAGCTGGGCGTATCTTACGTGGCTGAGGGATGTTTCTCGCGGGTTTGTGCATTCTTAGTAGTCGCGCCCGGTCTCTCCTGCCATTCAATAAAAAATAGACGTACGGATTCACTGAGTTTCATGCACGTCGGATCTTCCACCAGAATCACCTGGGTGCTGGGGCCTGCCCTTCCGCCGTCAGGCTCTGCAACAACGAGACTGCCCGGGTGGATCTTGGTTCTGGCCCCCAACCTCGCTCTACCGCGCGACTTTATCCGCGGCGAGGTACACAATCCAGCTAATCAGTCCATTAGAGCTCCCGGTCAACATTGTTCTCCCCCGCCTTGTTCGTTCTCCTCCTCCTCCTTCTTCTTCTTCGTCCCATCCACAATGTCAAACTGCTTTTTCCAAACCGTCAACGTAAACGTCGGCCCGCAGTAAAACTCCTCATCGAACCTCCCCTCCCTCCCAATCTTCATATACCCCTCAATCGGCCCCCATCTCTCATTAGCGCCCCACTTGTCGTCGAGTTTCAGGCACGCGGTTCCTGTTCCAAGTGTCCACGAGCTACCCGCGCCATAGGCGCCAAACAGCGCGTCACCCTCTTCGATCGCTGCGTCGATTTCTGCAGGCGTATGCGTGTCGAAGTAGTTCTTCACCGCAGCGCGCACGGCATCGCGTTGCGTCCGCGAGAGGCGGTTTAGATCGGCTGTTCGATATTCGTATTTGAAGCCATTCGTCGAACCGACGAGCTGGGTGCGGTCCTTCTTTGAGAGGATCTGGGTGAGTGCTGTTGGGAGCGGAGGTGCCGGGATGTTGATAGCGGGGATTCTCTCGTGGATGAACGATAAGACTCGTGGTGCGACGGCCGTGTTGAGCTCGTAGTCCGAGTCCGACGAGGCCCAGCCCATGTACCCGCCGATCAAGGCGCCGAGCAGGACGAGCGCGTAGGTGATTGCTTTCTCGAGGGGCATGGTTGCGGTTGTGATGGTACAGAAGAGAATTAGAGCGATTATTTTGGAAACAACAGAAAGAATGGGGGTGACGAGGGTTTTAAACAATCGTCATCGAGTCCCACGGGCTGTGTGTGCTGTTCCAACTGGCCCCAGGGGCCCACTTGGCATGCTAAGCCTCGACGCCCCGGCACACCAAGAATCGGAATGCTCGGCGCTGGAGCCTGGCGGGTGCATGATTCAGGCTGGGGCTGTGTTGGGGCTGAAACTAAACCCCTGCATGGTATTACTAAAAACATCAGACCGCCCCTTGTTCATCTCGCTCTACTCCATTTTACTGGCGAGATGGCCAAATGCACTGGGCTGACTGACCTCCCCTTAGAGATTATCCTTAAAACCGCCAGGGATCTGGACATCACCAGTCTCAACTCGTTATCGCAAACAACAAGAACATTCCATGCGATCCTGTCAGCTCATCTATACACCTGCGGAGCGACACAAGTCGGAAAGTCATCAACACCACTAATATGGGCAGTCGCAAAGGGCCGCAATTCCGTCGTCGAAAAATTGCTCGAGAAAGGGGTCGACCCAACATCAATCGCTAATTCAACCACTGCGTTCCACAAGGCCGTCCGTTGCTTCAAGCACTAACCCTCTTACTACAAAAGGTACCTTGCCCATCAACACGCAACACATCTGGCATGACAGCTCTCCACTACGCAGCTCGCGAGGACGCAGCCGAGTATGCGCGGGCGATACAGCAACTTCTAACCGCTGGCGCCGACGTCAATGCACAAGACAAGGACGGCTGGACACCATTGCACCTGGCCGCATCGCACGAATGCAGCGAGATACACAGCGTCCTGATAGATGACGACGCAGACATCGTCGCGCCAGATAAATTCAGACAAACGCCATTGCATTTCGCGGCATCCGAACCCAACACAACGCTCTTCAGACGCCTGCTGAAGCTCTGCATCTGCCGTGGACTGGAGTATATGACAGAGTCCATCTTCGGGCTGCCGATCATCGAGGAGGCCGCCAAAGTCGGATGCGTGCCTATTCTCCGCATGCTCGCCGACAGGGGCGTCGATGTTGCGCGCAACGATCCACTACCACACAAAGGCTCACCGAGGAGACTTCCCCCCCTCCACCTCGCCGTGATAAACTCCTATCCCGCAGCAATGGACTACCTCCTCGCCCGCGGCGCGGATCCTCTCACGCTGAGCATCTACGGCCACTCCGCGGGAGACTGGGCCCTCCTCTACGGGGACAAGGACTTGCGCGAACGACTCCAGAGACGCCTACCTACCACTCAGATCACCCGCACCCCCTACGGCGCCCGCACCGCACCCCTCCGAAGAAGCATAGCTAACGCCACAATCCTCCTCTCATCGCAAACCAGCATTTCCATCGGAACGAACTTCTATACACTCGGCAAATGTCTGCAATACCTCGACAACTTTGCTGATGCAGCGGTTGCATATTCGCAGGATCCAACGCCCGTCTGCTGTGACCGGTGCCAGAAGGAGATTTCCCCAAGGGCGAGTCGGCATGTTTGTGCCACGTGTCCAGAGAATGATCTGTGTTCGCCGTGTTTTGATGCGTATCAGCGGTGGAAATTGATGATTCAGGGTTGTGGTAGGCATAACTTTCCGAGGATTGTTATGGGTGAGCGGGTTATTGGGGAGACAGGTGGGAATCAGGACTATGATCGGGATGGAGGTGGGCAGGAGGGAGGGATGATGGAGGATGATAGTGCTCTTACGCGTGTCTTGAACTCTGAGCAGCGGCACTGGCTTCAAACTCTTACACACCAGTACAGTCCAAAATGATATTGAGTGATACCCCAGCGTAGCAGCTTCCTTTAGAGTACACCACAGAGACAACACATTCTAGAAACCACCCCCCTTCTTCTGCAAAAATTCATCACTAAACGGAAAATCCGCAAATCCCTCCAATGCCCTCGGGGTATAAAACCACTCCCTCCGATACGGCGTCAATGGAATCCCCTCCCTAATCCTGAAAACCAGATCCGGGTTCGAGGTAAACGGCCTCCCAATGACAACCACGACGTTCTTCCTCCGACCAACTTCCTCATCAAGGAATCTTTTCGCGGACTCGGCATCGTACCCGCCAGCAACGAGGATGGGGCCATCCCATAGCTTAAAGGCAAAGTCTAACCCTTCCTCAACGGGCGAGTCCACATCCACGAACCCGTGCACGCGCGAGTTAACGAGATGCAAATACGCCAAGGGGCCCAGAGCCGCGACTTCCCGTATGACATGCGAGAACTGCGGAATGGGGTCAGCCATGCGCATCCCCTGCACGCGACTCCAGGGACTAAGCCTCAGTGCCGTCCTCTCAGGCCCGACGGCGCGCGCAACAGCTCGAACAACTTCAACCGCGAACCGAGACCGATTCTCAACAGAGCCACCATAGGCATCGTCCCGGACATTGCACGTATCCTGCAGGAACTGATCCACCAGATACCCATACGCCCCATGGATCTCGACGGCGTCGAAGCCGGCACGGATCGCATTCTTCGCGGCGGCGGCGAACTTGTTCACAGTCCGCTGGATCTCATCAATCGTCATCGCCCTCGGAACGAGATGCTCGGCATCTTGAGCAATCGCACTCGAACTCAGAACCTCCACCCCTTCTTTAGGAACAATTGCAGGATCAACAGCCCGTCCAGCCGCAAGAAGCTGACAGACAATAAAACTCCCCTGCGCATGCACTGCATCCGTGACCTTCCTCCACGCAGCTACCTGCTCTTCATTGTATATCCCCGGTCCATTATTGAAACCAATTTGGCCCGCCGAGATGAACGATGCTTCGGCGATGAGCAGTGTCCCTGGGACGCAGGCGCGCTGGCTGTAGTGGGTGGCCATGGCGGGCGTGGGGATGTGGCTGTCGTCGGCGCGGTACCGGCTCATGGGGGCCATGGCGAAACGGTGAGTTAGAGGCATTGTTCCGATTCTGAGGGGTGTGAAGAGGTTGGACATTTTGGTCAGGGGCTTGGTTGGTTGCGACCAGAGAGATGGCAGGGTTTGAGTCGATGATCGGTTTTAAATCTGCCACTGGACCTGTGCTTTATATAGTGCCAGTACCTCATACTCTTGAATCAATTTAAATTTGGGGAGAGCATGAGCCCTACTTTTACAAATTGAATTCAAATCGCTCTAGACAATTCCGCCATGCTTCTCCATTTTTCTCTAGCTTCCGCCAGACATTCATAACAAATCACCCTGATGCTCGCCATAGCACGCTTTGAAATCCTCTTGTTTAGAGTGACGCTCTGAATGGCCGTAAATTGTCTCCGAACTTCCACTTTACTGAAGCTTGCAGGCTGATCAAGCAGTGGTTAATATGCGTGTCCATTATTAATTCGTATATCCGGGGCATCCCACACCGGATTATCCCACTTCGGAGCCTCCCACAGGCCATCCCACATGCACTGACGTACCTACACTTCCACTCCGTCAGCTATAAATCCAGCCCTCATCTCATCCCATTCACCTTCATCTCATCAACTTCTTACTTTCTGTATTGTCATGGCTCTCAATATCCCAAAAACAACCAAGCAGTGGACCGTCGAGGGCTTTGAAGGGCCCGCCTCCCTGAAGTTCGGGGAGGGCCCTGTTCCCACGCTCAAGGACAATGAAGTCCTGGTCCAGAGTAAGTCGACCCTAGACCTTTTCTTGCAATTGTGCATTGAAATAACCATCTCCTGTACCTAGTCAAGGGCGCCACTCTCAACGTACGTTCGCGTCCCCACAAAGACCCCAGAACCACCAAACTGACCCCTGTCAAACGTTTTAGCCCCGCGACCTCCTAATATCCCAAGGCCAATACCCCTGGACCGTAAAACCCCGCATAATCCCCGGCTCCGACGGTGCAGGCATCGTCCTCGCAACCGGTCCCGCCATCACACGGATCAAACCAGGCGACCGGGTAATCACGACGCTGAACCAGAGGCACATCTCCGGGTCATTGACCAAAGACATCGCCCTGGACTATGGGACCGGGGCCTCGCTTGACGGCGCGTTCCGCGAGGTCGGCGCGTTCGATGAGCAGGCTCTTGTGTCGATGCCGAGTGGTTTGACCTTTGTCGAGGCGGCAGCGTTGACGTGTGCGGGCGTGACGGCGTGGAATGCGCTTTTTGGCGGGGGAAGGAAAATCGTACGTGATGGAGCTTGGGTGCTTACGCAGGGGACTGGTATGTATACATGTCCAATCCTATGATATTGTACACTCGGTACAGTATTTACCCTCCGGACTACGCGACTCTAACGCGAGACTCAGGCAGCGTCAGCCTCTTCGCGCTCCAATTCGCCAAAGCCGCTGGCGCCCGCGTCATCGCAACCACAAGCTCATCATCCAAAATCCCTCTCCTGCAATCGCTCGGCGCAGACCACGTCATCAACTACCGCGAAACGCCCAACTGGGGCGCATACGCAAAAGAACTCACCGGCGGGACTGGCGTCGATCTCGTCGTAGAAGTCGCGGGCCCGACGACACTGCGACAAAGCGCGGAGAGTGTCAAGCTCGATGGACAGATTAGCGTCGTTGGGTTTATTGGTGGTCAGGGGAACGGGGACCGCCATGCGCAGACGTCGGTGCCGAGTTTGTTGGAGACGTGGTTGAATCTGTATACGGTGAGGGGCGTTTGGGTGGGGAGTCGCGAGCAGATGGAGGAGATGTGTCGGGCTGTGGAGGCGAGTGGGATCAGGCCTGTGATCGATGAGAGGGTCTTTAAGCTGGAGGAGTTGAAGGAGGCGTATGGATACTTGGCTGAGGGGCGCAATGTGGGCAAGATTGGGATGGAGATTTGATCATGTTGATACCGACCTCATACTCCGCACTAACCAGAGACACGAACGGATGCACTTATGCGATAAGTTAAGTCTTCCTGATAGTTCTATTACCGACAGCAGTATTAGTAATCCCGGCCGGGTGGCCTAATGGTAAGGCGTTTGATTTCGGCGGTGAGAAGACCTCAAACCTCAAAAGATTGCGTGTTCGAGTCGCGCCTCGGTCGATTCTTTTTGCTGCTCAGAGCGCCAGAACACCAAGGTATTATTTTATTGCTTGGCCATCAGGCAACTGGAGAAAGGAAGAAAAGATGTTGAAGACTTTGTTGATAAATTTTATTTGCCTTGTGCGATTTGTCGAATTTTGAGAAAGTTCCCCAAGTGGTTGTTCGACGATATATCTACATCGACCATCCGAATCTCTAGCGTGCTATTTGAGGACTGAAACCACGCCCAAACAATAAAACCAAAGACTCTACCTACTCTTTACGAGAAGCTTCTAAGCATAAAAAAAAAAGGCCTTAGTTACCGATGTAGTCCACGAACTGTCGAGAACCATCGAATGGTTGGGTTGAATTGTAGTGCCAACCAAAGCCATCAATAGCACGTCAGAGGTTTGCAAAACACCACAGGCAAGCACTCCTCACGCACGGACCATGCTCCAAGCTGTCAGTTTTCTCCTCCCACTGAGCAGGCTTACTGGACGGGATGTTAATCCGATGGAATGGATCTACGCCGCACTAACTAACCACTGGCAGCTGGGTCCCGATTATCCCCCGAGGCGAGCGAGGATAGGGGGGAATTTCAATCTGTTTCTTTCGAACATCGCTCTGTCTACTTTCTACTTCTTTTAGGCCCCCTAACTTGAAGTCGACGTGATTTCAACATAGTAGATTCTCAATGTAGCGTCATAGACTCATCATAAATGTTCCAAGAAATTAGATCTCGTCTCTCTGCCCTTACTTGATCAAAAATCTCACACCCTTACTATCCATCTTGACGAATGGGATGAAGATATCATGAATAACACGTACGTCCTCGATGGTAGTCTCGAATAGCTCAAAGTTCATGCGACGGAGAAGGTTCGAGATGACGAGGTAGATTTCGGAGCGAGCGAGGCTGTGATATTATTTCGTTAGCACCGGACTCGGGAATCTGTCCTTTCGTGAAAGCGAGAATGGTGGAGAGAACAAAAAAGACGTACTGCATTCCAATACACATGCGCGACCCCTTGCTAAAAGCAACCATGTACTTCTCAAGCCTCTTCCTCTCAGCGGGGTCCGTCCAGCGCTCCGGGTTGAAGCGGTATGAGTCGGGGAAGATGGATTCGTCGTGGTGCATCAGTAGGCAGCTCATGCTGATGGGAGTCTGAATGCACACATGTTAGCAAAAGACCCGATCAAGGAGGAAGATGCAGCGTGTACGTACACCCGGGGGAATGGTCATGTCCTTGTACTTGAGCGCGTTATACGGGGCGATGCGAGGGAGGCGGGCGGTTACACCGTACGACAGTCTGCGGGGGTCTGAGGTTAATATCCGAGAGTCTAGATCGTGTCCGCCGGGTTGGATTTGGAGTCGAGCTGGGTCTTACCTGATTCCTTCGAGCATGACGCCGGTCTGGGGTTTCTTTTAGCTGGTGTCGCTTCGCTCAAATGAGAAAGTGGCGAGACTCACCAAGTAGGGAAGCTGTTCGAGCTCAATGAGTTTGGGGTCGTTGCCAAGTGGTTCCAGTTCAGCCTTGAGCTTCTTGAGCAGTTCCGGCTCGTTGTGCAGATAGAACAAGATGTAGCTGATTGCCTTTGCGGTTGTCTCGGCACCCGCGGACACAAACACCTGCATGTCCTGCGCTAGGCGGGCCTCGCTCTTCTCCTGTGGTGGAAGGTTACTGCTGAGCACATTGTCAAAGAGAGTCTCGCGGCCGTCTATGGAAATCCGCGGGCCCTTCTCGTGATGGTTCTTTATGATCTCGGCGATCTTTGCCCGGCAGCGGCGCTGGAAGCCGAAAAACAACTCCATACCCGGGTTCAACCACGCGGTGAGGTTCTCCGGCATCGCGACAAGTAGAGGTAGGAGAAAGGCGACAGGGCGCACAAACACCAGCGTCTTTGCCGTCCCGCAGAGCGTATGCTGCCATTGCGGGATAAAGTCTGGCTCGTCGAGGTAGTGGTAGCCCGAGCCCATTGTATAATCCGTGATCACGTCGGTCGTGTAGCAGGTAAGCGGGTACTCGATGTTGATCGGCTGTCCGGTTCCCTTGAGCTCTTCAAGGCGACGGCAGAGCTTGTCGACGAGGGCTTTGAGAGTGGGTTCGAGCTCGCGGATGCGCGCCATGGAGAAGAAGGGGTTCATCTGGCTACGGATCAGGCGATGGCGGTAGTGGTCCTCGGCGGTGATGAGGGCGTAGGGGGCGTTGAAGGTGCGCTGGTAGTAGTCATATTTGTTGCGGGGGCTGTCGCGCGAGTAAATGACTTCGTAGAACTCGGGGTCGCTGCAGTGAAGCTCGGTCGGGCTGATGCGGACAATGGGGCCTATCGAGGATATCTGTTAGAAAGGGGTCGAGAAAGCTGGAGAAAGAGGCGTACCGTATTTCTTGTGCAGCTCGCCAATGTGAAACGTGAATTGGCCATTGCGCACGGCCTCCCAGTAGAATTCGTAAAAGACCGTCAGCGCGGCCAGGCGAGGCCCGGGGAAGTGGGCAATTGGCGATAGGTAAAGTCGATAGATCACAATGGACACAATGTAGGCCGCAAAGGCAGCGCTAGCAGCGACCAGGGGGTGGTCGAGGAGCAAGCGAAGCAACTCCATGGCTGGCAGGGAGTCTGGAGACCTGCAGGGGAGGAGATCCGACAACCAGGCTCTCGGGACAGAGCACTGGTCTTTATCAGAGAACGGTGGGACAGGACAGGCGGCCCCTCGCACAGACAATGGAGACCGCGACGACCGAGGGAATTTGGATTTGCAACAACGGCGACTGGATCCCGCCTTCCTTCCCTTTCCCAATACAGTGGGCCTGCCTGCCAGCCTGCCATTATTGCAATTTGCAGCTGCATCACGGATCCCGAATCCAGTCCATCCCGAAACTAAATCCTGAACAGGCCCATCCACGCCAATGACATTGGGTGACAGCTGCTTGGGGACTTTTGGCAGGCTGCGACAGGACACAAAGCAATTGTTGGGCTCCACAGCGGGCCCATGACGGGCTGGAATGGGCCACTGGGAACCACCGCGTTTTGAAGCCGGCAGCGACGGTCATCTTGGACGCTGCACAGATTCGAGTCGCTGAGTGGCTGGTCGCAATGTGCGTGCAGGACTCGGGTTGGAATCCCAATTCTCAGTTGCAGGATCATCACCCGCAGCTGTGGGAGCTTCCATCCCTGCCTTTTCGGTATATTTCCGGCGATGATTATCTATGGAGGGATGAAGATCTTCTTATCGTCAATCGCCCTGACAAATTCAAAACGAGGGTGGACTGTGCACGAGCCCCTCAGTTTTTGACACTCGGGCCCCGATCAAGTCCTTCAGGACTTTTGACAGAGTTGATTAAAGTTCAGCCACCGTTGGATTCTCTGCAACGTCGGACTCTGAAGTCAATATACGACCTGCAGTTCTGATTTGGAGTCCTGTTCTCTGCAGCAGGCTTCGTGTGGTTGAAGGCTCCATCCACCAAGGCTCGAACCGTCCCTCGTGGAGCCTTCCGTCCCAAAGGATTCAGACTCTGCTCCATCAGGGTCATTCTGGGCTGTTCCACCCCAACCGAAACCCACCATGAAGTCCATATGAGAATGTTAGTGCAGTGTGCAGTGTTGCTGTCACGCCCAGCCCTTAGCGACATATTGAGAAGAACCTTGATGGACACTTCATCCATCGTGGATGGCTGCGCAGGCGCAACTGCAACTACATCCCAATACGCACTTTCCTGACTCATTGGGACCGCTTCTCATTGGCTGCACGTGCTTTGGCGCTTCCTTTCCATCTGCAAGGAATGACTCGCGGGTCCAAGATCCGGCGCGCTGGGTTTGTTCCACCACCGCTGGTGACTCCGTCCTCGGACTTGTCGGACAGAGACACTAGTACCCCGATTATCGCAGTTCCCCCTCTTAAATGCACAAAAGTCAACTGTCGAGATACCAGTGAGTAGACTGGCATTCCAAAATGGATCATAATCTGAGACTGTTGGAGTCGCTCATGCAGAAATTAAGAGTTTGTTTGCTTGCCTATCTTGCCACCAAAAGTAACGATTTCTCCCGGTGATCGGGCGAGAGACTTACGAACTATGTAGCTCTTGTTGGATGCTCAAGAGGCCTTTGTAAAGACAATCACTTCCAGGGTTCGCTCTTCGAACGACAAAAGTTAATGCGCATCCCTGCTCGTGCCTCGGATCTTTTTGCCCCAATGACCTGATGGCTCCACCAACCGCAGGACGAGAAACAGCTCCCTGGCAGGATGAAAGGGTGTACGATGGCTCGAAGCTTCTCCATGTCCGAGTCATGCAGCGGGTACTATTTCCGCACCCGCTCTCAGCCCTATCCATGTTTCACGCAAGAAAAGTCTACTTTTAGGTGCCAGCAAGCCGGGCGACTGAGCCACCAGCATCTGAAAGCTTCGATAACACCTATTCGTCCGTTTGCTGCTCGGCCGGACCAGTGCCAGGTGAGTGAGGCGGTGCGGATAAGCTTTTCCCTCGTGCGGATGCACCGTGCTTACACTGCTCCACGAGAGATGTCACCCCCGACATCCTTGTCAAGCAACATGTACAGACTCCGTATGCCATAATAGTAGTAGTTATGCATTCTTGCGAAGATGGCTCCTAGATACCATCCCATATACGTTTCTCAAATTCCCGGGGGCTCTCTCCATCGCCCGCACCGCCACTGCCAGACAAACTTCCGCATCACAATTTCCGAACCAAAACCTCAACATGAAAACTTTGATATAGAGTTGTTCCAAACACCTCAGCCCTACGCACTGACTAGGCTGCAGTCTTGCCACGGAAGTTCTCCCCCAATCCCCCCTATAAAAGCCCGTCCTTCTTGGAGCTCTCCGTCTCTGATCTTCCCCTCTTCCTACCTTACCTGCTTTCCATCCATCCACACTGTTAACAACTTCAACTTGACGAACGAACATCATCACGGTACTGTCAGATCAAGACAAGTAGCTGGGTTTACTCTCTGCTATCTGCTTAGTATCCTCAGCGCCTTCTTTCCCAAGTTTCACTTCTCATCCCGCTCTTCTCGCCTCTTTTCTCTCACAAACACCTCACCTTCGTCAACTCATCAACTTTTTCATACCAACCATCTCGACTACATCCTCCACGATGTGCTTCAACGTTAAAAAGTCCATCATCATCCTGGCTGGCCTTTTTATGGCCAAGCCCGAGCTTGCTGACGCCGGGTTGGCCACGACAACTGTAAGTCTTCCATCCCACTCATCTACCCACCCATCCTCCCATCCATCCTTCCATCCAGCTAACCATCCACCCATCCATGTACAGCACTACAACGACGGCCTGCAAGGCGCCTGCGGCTGCGGCACAATGACCGGAACATACGGGTGGTCGTACGGGATCAACAACCAGGTCTACACCGCGGCAGCAAACCAAGCCCTCTTCGACCCAAACATGGAACACTGGTGCGGGACAGGCTGCGGCAAATGCTACCGACTCACCTCCACCGGCGTCTCCAGCTGCGAAACCTGCGGGATCGGCGGCGAGCACGGCAAGTCCATCACCGTCATGGTCACCAACCTGTGTCCCTACATCCTCAACGAGCAGTGGTGCCCCAACCCGGGCCAGCTGAACCCGTATGGGTATGCGTATCATTTCGATATCATGGGTGGCGCGGGTGTCTTTGGGGATAATGTTGTCGTCGAGTTTGAGGAGGTCGCGTGTCCCGTTGAGGCCGGGCTCAAGTGGGATACTTGTGACTGTCATCCAAAGGTTAGGGGGAAGCCGCTTGGTACGGCGTCGATTGATGAGGCTGCTGAGGCTGCGGCGGCTGCTAATGCTACTGCTGGCGGCAACGCCCCTGCTCCTGCTCCTGCTCCGGTCTCCTCTGGAGTGATCAACTTTACGCAGTCGACTCCCGTCGCTTCGTCCCCTGGAGCTGCCTCTTCTGCTCCCGTCTCCCAGGCTGTCGGCAACAGCACGACCGACTCGACTACCGTCACTGTCCTCGAGTCATTCCAGACAGTCGCTCGTCCTAGCGAGACATTGTAAGTTGTCCTTCCCACCTTGAGAACGAGTGTGTGTAGAGACGCTTTGACTAACATGTCACAGCAACTAAACCAACTCTTAACGAACGGAAAATGGTGGTGTTATGATACGATATGGAATGTGGTTATGGTTATGGGTTTCTTTTCTTTTCTTTTCTCTACTTTTTTTTTTATTTCTTCTCTTCGATGCTATCTTGTCTTATCTCACATCTTGGCTTTCTCTTTCTTATATGTCTTACTATTTTCCTCACTTGTTTCTTCTGGATGGGTATGTCTTTCTTCCGTTGTATTATCTTGTGTCTCTTCTCGGGATGGCGTATGGTGTTCTTATTCCTGGCTTCTGTCTGTCTCTGGCTGCCCTACCACGTTCTATTCCTCATTCTCTCTTTGCTCTACATCTCTACATCTTGTTTCTGTTTGATCTTTCTTTCTCAGCACAGTGACCAAGCCATTCAACATGGCACCAGGCGCCTAGCCTGCTCGCATGCATCACAGGTTCAACCCTGCATGCACCCCGTCACTATGCTATTGACCTTTTCTTATTGGAATTGATCCTTCGCGTTTTCGGGTTATTACTCGACTTGTTTTAGTATTTATTCTTTTCTTCTTTTCTTGATTCGCGTTTTCTGTTTGGGATTTCCTTTGTCCGGAGTTACATTTCGTTTTGGATTCCATGTACTGGAAACAGTCTCCTGTGTTGGGACAAATTGAGAAAAAATATTGTTCTGTTCCTCAGGGTGCTCTCCTAGTATCTCCTCCTGAGTACGTAGATTCAGACGACTCGATAAATGAGTAGATTCACTGTATTCAATAGGATGGCTGTAAGTAAAGTACAACAAAACAGGCTAATAAATACACAGACGAAGACAAACAGTATGTGGAAATCAAATCATAACGAATCATAAGGGATATCATATCTCATTAAAGGACTAAACATTGACAATCTTCACCTGAGCACGATGAACATGCGCAACCTGGAGGATCTTCGCTGTCTGGATCTGCGGGGGCTGAGTTTGAATATGCACCGACTCAGGCTCGGGATCCGGCTCGAAGTACGTCTCTGGTTCTGGATACATGTCGTGCGCGACATGGACGATATTTGCTGTGTGGATTGGTGGTGGTTGGGATTGAAGATGCATTGGTTTAGGCTCGTGCTCAGGTTCAGGATCCGGGTCCCGCTTGGTATACATCTCTTTTTCTGGATACGTGTTGATCCACCCCCCTGCTTGTATCACGCCCGTGCGGTCGAGGTTATTCCGTGCGCGGACATACGGGTCAAGGTCCCAGTAATTGACGCGGATCTGCTCAATGAGGTTCTCGCGGCGTGCGGTCGCTTCATGAAGCTCAATTGAGTCGCCACCGCGCGAGGCGGTGATCCAGCGCGAGGTCGCGGCGAGGAATTCTTCTCCCAACGACTGTCTTTCAGCGAGGAGGGAGTCTCGTGTGGCGTAGTCCTCCATCGCGCGGTTCTCGTTGGGGTCTGGCTCGATGTACTTGTACTTCCAGTCTTCGTTGCCGCCGAGCTCGGCGATGATCTGGTCGCGGTCGATGTACCGCTCGAGGTCCTCGACGGTGCGGGTGAAGACGGTCCTCTCGACGATGCGCGGGTCCATCCAGGGCTTTATGATCTTCCAGACACCTGCTTTTGTTAGTTTCGTCTCTCTCGGAGTGTGTATTCAGATAGGAGCGACGAACCGCCGAAGACGCGAGGCGCGTTGTGGATGAGGAGGAAGCCGAGGCACTCCGGGTAGTATATCTCAAAGCACTTGATGATGAATTTGACCGGCGCGTATTCCTGGCTTTGTTAGCCAAGCGAATCGGTCCGGAGAAGAGGGGCCAGCGTACCATATTCGCGAGCGAAAAGTCCGTCATGTCGAAGAGAACTGTCTAAACGATATTAGCTGTGCGATCGTCCCATCGGCGTCGGGCCAACATACTGCAGTCTCAACCGGCGGCGTCACCAGCAGCCGTGCGCTCTCGACAATATGCGTGATAAACTGATTCAGCGACTCGACCGTCTGCGCCGACGGATCGTGCAGTCGTATTCGCACGATCGCGATCGGCCGGTTCATCTTGTCGACTCCGTGGACGAATCCCTTGCCCGTCCGCAACTGCTTCATGAATCCTCTCGCTTCCTCTGCCTTGTACGGATTCGCCATGTTTCCCTCCTCTTCGACCGCGTAGAGCTCTCCTCTCGGTAGCAGCACGTTATCCACCTGCATCTCTTTTAACCGCCACACGATCGAGTTGAGCAGGTGTACCAGCGACTTGTTGACATCCCATTTCGACACCCGTAGAAATCGTAAGAGGTAGACGTCGAGGTGTTCGTGTTTCGCTGCTGTAAGGACGCCAAATCGAACGTCCTCCGGCGACATGACCGAAAGGAATTTTCGAATCGAGCGAACCTGCGAGCCACCAAGTCCGACATCACGAAGCGTCTGCAAAAGCCGGGCATGATAGACAGAAATCGAATCTCGACTTCCTTTCCGAATGAGTGTACTTTCTGTGCGAGAAAAGAGCGAATTTCGACGACTGGGCGTGGGCGAGAGGGAAATGGACGGCGAGGGCGACGAGGGGAGCTGTTCGAGGCTGTTGACGCGAACCAACTGCTCAAGCGCCCCCAGCGACGAAGCCTCGGCCAGATGCAGGAGGAGCGTCCACAGCTGCTGCAGGCGGGCCTCCTGCACAGGAGACAGATTTCCCCAGAAGCCCGGTGGTGGGACGCTGGCTGGATTCATCATCGTTGCACGGCCGTCATGCTGTGTCAGAGAAGAATGATCACAAGAGGGATGAGAATCATCAAATCCCCTTTTGCGTGCAGGCAGAGTCGGTGTCAGTTTCCCCCGCAGAATCCGTGACCCTTCCTCGGCAGGTCAATCCTCCACTACGACATTCTGGGTTTAGCAGGAAAGATGATTGGCTGGCACGCGAGAAGGATCAATCCAACTGCAAATGCAGTCATATCAACACCGGCCCTTTTCACGCGACAGGCACAAGAATTGAGCAGCCCAGTTCTGCTCTCACGAGCTCACAGGCCGCGGTCTTGGCTGGTCAGCCTCCTGTCAAGTTTCAACCGGTCGCTGTCAAGGGCACTCACTCTGTGCGGAGAGGCCACGAGGAAGCAGGGGTTAAACTTGATCCCTTCAAATTGAATGTCTTGATTGTGAAGGGAAGGGAAAGTCTCGCCACTGGCATCAAACAAGGAAATAAACTGACGGGGGCCACGCCGATCGCTCCTTCCAAGTCAATCCAGCCGCCAAACGTAACAACTCAGCACAAGAATAACTTCAAGACTCAACCCATATTTGGATCGCGCATCCCTGCCGTCGGGATTTCCTCCCCCAGATCCGACCGTCTCCACCATCCTGAAACCTCCGCCGCGGTACAACACGAACCCTTCCCCCGTCTTTCCCTCACCGGTCATCTCTTGATTATCCCCTGGAGTCTAGACAATCAACTCATGGGGCCAATTTCCAACCAATTGCTGACATAAACGTGACCAATTTTCAAGACCTTCACATGCAATCTGCCTCGATCGGCGAACTGGTTCCGGGGCATCCGGCGAACGCTTTGAGGAGATGGACGATCTCCTACAGTCAGCGAGAGGACACAAAGAAGCTTCATGCGTGTGGTCAGTAGATATTTCTCCGGTGGGCTGACGGCAGCAGAGTCCGTTTGACGTGTAACATGCCAGGACAGCGCAAGGGGGCTGCGGCTGAGGGTCCGAGCGCCACATTTGTCTGTAGAAAACATACTGCATGGTGAGTCAAGCAAGACTCGATTTTTCTTGATGATCAACGAGTGCAGTCTGGATGTCCGTCGCTTTGGCTGTTGTATTTTACAAGAGACGTGGCTGACCTCTGGCAAGTACTGGGCATTAAGTACTTGAGGTGCAGGATATATATAGTTAACTTCCTGAATTCAGTACCCTTCACTCTTTCCTACCTGGTATGAAGATTTTATTAATAGACAATTCAACAGCAGATATATACAAAACAGGAGATTGAGCATACACCCGTGTGTCCAAACGGTACCAGATATTGCGTGGCTATGCGCGAGGTTCAAAATATTACTCAACTTTCACTCGATTCTTATGCCTATATAATTTAGGTTTCAGACGAACTTATTACCTCTTCCGTCTTAAGGCTAATGGCGTCGAGATTCTGTCGGGACTCATATTTCATCGAGTAGCCCAGGAGCATGCTAGTATCAGCTGCAGTTTAAGTACTATTAGGAAGGAGCAAAGAGCCGCTTGGTTGACTCCATAAGAACCTGACCTCGCGCTCCGAACCTTTTCCTCTGAGCAAGCATCCTCTTACCACGATTATATCGATTACCGACTCGGCTCATCAATGTCATTCCTTTTTTCGAACCCTCAAGCTTCCTGTACAGTACCGGATATCCAAATACCAATGGCCAGCAAAAGCCCTCCTTATTACTCCTCCCAGCGCCCCCTCGCACCCGCCGCCTTCGCAAGCACCGCCAAAGCCACCCCCTCGAAGCTCGTAGCCCCCATGATCTCAAAGACCGCAACATCCGCCCCAAACTCCTTGGCCAGCCAGCTGCGCAGCTCGACGGCGAGCAACGAGTCAACCCCATACGAATGCAGCGGCCGATGGGTATCGATGTCTGACGGTGGAATCGATAGTGCTCGCGATAGTTTATGCGAGAGGCCCTCGATGACGACCGCGCGGGCCTCTTCAGCCCTTCGTGCCTCGATGAACGCAGTGGACCAATTCTTTGTTGTGTGGGGACCTGCCCCGGTACTGGCTTCGGTCGCAACCTTCTCCTCGTCCAGCTCGATCGCGTGCAACAGGCGGAAGGTCGACCGCTGCAACAGCGCTGGAATGTCGGCTCCCTTGGCTGCAAGACCCGCCGGAGTCTCAAGCCCGACCATAACCTGGCAGGCCGCGGGGTCCGTGCAGTCACTCACAGCAGGATTACAGTAGTAGTCCAGGAGGGCAAGGTACTCGCTAGAATCAATGGGCATCATCAGCCCCGCGGCCCTGAACGTCCGCGTGAGGAACTCGCTCTCGGCAATAATTCCGTCATCGACCATCCAGCCAAGATCAAGGACGACGGCGCATTCGCCGCATCCGATGCGCTCCCGCGCCAGAGCGTCCTGGTATGTTCCGCCAGCAGCATAGTTGCCCTGCCCCGCGGATCCGTGGATGCCCACGACAGACGAGAGCATGATGAAGAAGGAGAGACCGCTAGGGAGGAAGCGGTCGAGGTTCCGTGATCCGGTCACCTTGGGGAGCAGGGCTTGTGTCCACTCGGAGTGGGTCATCTTGTCAACCATCGCGTCTTTGAGGACCATGGCGCCTTGGATGCAGCCTTTGATGGGGGGCATTGTCTTCTCGCAGTGTGCGAGGACTGCGCCTAGGGCTTCTGCTGATGCGATGTCGCAAGCAGGGGCATGCACCTGGACGCCACGCTGGCGGAGCATCTCAACAAGAGCGCGAGCGGCCACAGATTTTGCGCCGGATCGGCTCAGAAGGAGGAGATGTCGCGCTCCTCGGTCTGCCAACCAGATGGCGGTGCGTCGCGCGATGCCGCCGAATCCACCGGCGATCACGTACGTAGCATTAGCGTCGAGGGCATAACTTGGCTTGGGCCTGAGCACGGTCTATAAACTGTCAGTGTCTAGCCTTTGACATGGTCAAGGACAAAAGGACGTACCAGGACATTCTCGTTGGGATTCATTTCAATGACCAATTTGCCCATACTCTTCCCACTTTGCATGTGACGGAGCGCTGCCTCGAGCTGCGAAACAGGATACACCTGCACCGGGCGAGGGGCCCTCACATGGCCCGCAGCAACGAGCTCCATCGCCGCGGCAAAGGAAGCACGCACCAGGTCGGGTCGCTCCTTGGTCATCCCAAAGACATCGACTGCCGTGAACGAGACATTTTTGGCGAAATGGAACATGTTGAGCCTGGAATGCGAGTGTATATCCCGCTTGCCGATCTCCACGAACCGCCCGAAACTCGCCATGCATGCCCAACTTGATTGCAGCCCTTCGCCGGCAAGCGAATTCAAGATAATGTCCATTCCCTGGTTTCTCGTTGCGCGCATGACGCCCTGCGCAAAGGATGTGTCGCGGCTGTAGAAGATGTGGTCCTCGGGAATGCCGTATTCATCCATGAGGAATCTCTTTTTGCTTTGCGAGCCGACAGTAGCAAAGACCTCGGCGCCGTAGTACTGGGCAATCTGGATGGCGGATTGTCCTGTCCCACCAGCTGCTGCATGGATCAATAGCCTATCGCCCCGTTGCAGGCGTCCTGCGACCATGAGTGCGTAGTGGGCGGTGGTATAGGTAACAGGTAACGCGGCGGCGTCGGCAAAGGACAGCGAATCGGGGATCTTCATCACTGTGCGAGCGTCGCTACGGGCATAAGACTTGAAGCAGTCAAAGGCCACGGCACAGACGCGGTCGCCCGGCTGGAGGCCTGTCAGGCCCGCAGGGGCAGTGCTCGCTCCGACCCGCGCGACGACTCCGGCACATTCGCCGCCAATATCGGTCTGATTGATTCGTCCGAGCGCTGTTAGCAGGTCCATGAAGTTGACGCCTACTGCCTCGACTTTGATTTCCACCTCGTTGGGCTTCAGGGGCAGACTTGGCCCCCCGTCCTCCACGAAGCGTAGGGAGTCCAGCTGGCCGGGGGTCTTGACGTGCAGGGCGAGGGGCGGGATGTTGGGTGCTCCAAATGGCTGGACGAGTGACTGTTGAGGTCTGATGCTGGAGGAAATATGCTCGTTGATTCTGTTGGCTTGCACGACGCGGTTGATGTACAGGGCGTCCCCTTGTTGCCTGTACTCGATCTCCAGCTCGCCGGGTTCGCATGTAAAGAGTTTTCCAAGTATCTCGTTTATCCATTCAATTATCCGCGTTGTCTCAAGCTCACAGGAATCAACCGCCAGGGTTACAGCCTTGAGCATTGCGTTTTCTGTTCGCAGAGTCCGCAGTAGCCCATCCGCAATATGATACTCTGCTGCTTCCCATCTACTACCCCCGCCACCAGTGACCCATACGAGTCCTTTGGCACCAAGAAGGACTGATTTGATCTCGACAAAGGTAGCCTCGTCCATACTGTGTAGAAGAGGCTGGTCGAGCTCCACCATGGAGATGACGACACTGTCCGCTAAACTTTCGTCGCCACGGAGATGGCGAACATCGCATTCAAGGCCGAGAGCGGACAGTTTCTCCTTGATACGGCCAGCCACTTCCTGCTGGACGACAGAGCCTCGCATGGTAAGCAGCGAGATTGCAGGCCTGGGCGCCTCCAACGCAGGCTCAGCGGGCCTGTGCACGATCTCCTTTGCGGTCGAGACAATGACACTGAGTTCCTGATAGACCTCGCCCTGATAGTCATTAATGACAAAGTCCGTCCCGGTGAAGCCATTTCTCCGTAGGACATCTCCCCACTTCCCCGGCGGCATAGTGGGCCCCCAAGACCGGTATCCATCGCGACTGAGCCACCAGCCCGGCAGGAGCCCGAAGGCGAACCCTCCCCGCGCAAAGTCGCCCGTCTGTTCCAGGAGCACAAGCTTCCCGCCGGGCTTGAGCAGCGCGTGCACGTTGCGCAGTGTGATGTCCAAATCCGGCGTCGCGTGCAGGACGTTTGCCGCGAAGACGACGTCGTATGTGGCGCGACTGAAGCCTTGCGCGAGAGGGTCCTGCTCGATGTCTAGCGTGGAGAAGCGCATGCGCGAGGCACACGCGGAGAAGTCGGTTCTCGCCTGCTCGAAGAACGAGGCGGATGTATCGGTGTACTCGTAGATCTCGCAGCGATGCGGCCTATTGGCACCTGCGAACAAGGGCTTGATGACGTGGGCCGTTGTGCCGCCGGTCCCGGCACCGACTTCCAGGACCCTGAGCGAGGGATTTCTGTGGGCCATGAGATCTAGAACCTTGAAGAACGCGTCGGCGAGGCGGTCGTTGATCTCTAGGTAGTACTCCTTGACGAGGTCGCTCGAGAACAGCACCTGAAGTGGATCGACCTCGCCATGCAGGATAGACAGCAAGTTGCGCGCAACCTGGACGTAGAAGCGTCCTTCGCTGCTGGATGCTTCGAGTCGCTCAGCTAGGGTCTGGGAGTACTCGGCGTCGCCGAGTTTGGTACGCCACTTGGATCGAGCAGGTGTTGCTGGACCATTGTCAAATCGGTCCAACTGCAGCTTCATCCACTGGATGTACTGGGCTCTGCTGGGATCGACGCGCGCTTGATCGAGTTGCTGCAAGGCATTGTATATGGAGGCTAGCTGAAAACAAGCCAGTGTGTCATAAAAGTCCGCCGTCTCGGGATCAACGGCTTTGCCGGTCCCGAAATAGGCTACCCCCTCGGCAGGGGAAAGGAAGTCCATGTCGGGCTTCCAGTCCATGTGGTAGCAGAGTCTTCGAGTGAGCTGATCACCGTCATCATCAGCGTCGGCGGCCTCCCTACGGTCGACATTTGTGGTCTCAAGGATACCGACGGATGCTCGGAGGGTCCCGTTCTCGTCAACAACCATAAAGGAGGACTCGGTTTGACGAGCGCCTTGGGAGAGTTGACGCGAGGTCGCACGCAGGGTCGTGGTCCCGGGGTGCGAGAGACCCAATGGCGCGAGCCACAGGTTTGTAATACGCGTCGGGACCGTCGTGGGAATCAGCTTGGCTGCACCCCGTGTAAGGCCAACAAGCACCACCTGGATGAACGCATCCAGAGTTGTCGGGTGGATCAGGTGGTCCTGTCGCGGGTTGTGCTGACCATCCGCGAGCCAGGGGAAGGTATTGACCTCTGCGACGACGTGGCCCTCGGCGCTGAAGTTCACCTTGGACAACGTTTGAAAGGTGGGACCGAAATCAAGGCCAATGTCGCGGAAATGCTCGTATACCACCGAGACATCCACGGTTTTGCCGCATGACCCGGCAAGCTGATTCCACTCCTCCGTCAACGCCCTGGCTGACTTTGTTGCCTCGAGTCCTCCGTCCACTGGGTTGCGCTCGGCAGCCTCATATTCCACCTGGAGCAGGCCCCGGCAGTTTTCTCCCCATCTTCCGTTATCCAGGGCGTAGATGCGAAACTCAAACCGACTGCTGCCACCTTTGCCCATGGTATCCTGGTCCGGGCGAATGCAGATCTGGCACTCTGTCCCTTGCTCACCCGCGGTGTCGATGCTCAAAGCCCGCTGGAACGTCGCCTCTGTAAACCGATACCCTGCAATGGGCCGAGGATTCGCCGACTCCTGCACGAGCTGCTGAGCACCTTCAATCGCCATAACTAACATACCCGCAGCGGGATAGATCGTAGCTCCATTGACGACATGGTCTGAGACCCAGGGCGTCTCCGATTGCCGAATGAACTTTGTCCACCGTGCCTCGAGCGGGTTCCCATCGCCGCGCCGAGTGCCTAGCAGGTCGAGAGGGGGATGGCGGCGCAGGCGGTAGTCTCTGCTCACTCGGCTCTCGTGCCAATACGACTGCGAGTGGTCAAAGGGGTACTCGGGCAGGTCCGTCAGTGGCATTCGCCGGTGCACCTTGCCGGACTCGAAGTGGTTCACTGCCGTCAGGTTGACGGGATATCCGGCGCACCAGAGCCTACCGGCGGCAGCCATGGTTGTCTCAAGCGCAGAGACATTGCGCGTTAGACATGATGTGTATTTGACGTCGTTGGTTGTAGAACCTGGGGCTGTGAGAATCTGCTTTATAGGCCCCGCCAGCGCGCTGTGGGGGCCGAGTTCCAGCAAGTCGTATATCTGATAACTCTGGCTGCCAGCCGCGGCTGTTTTGCGTAACCCTCCGAGCTTCTTCACTGCTCCAGTCCCAGGCGAGACCAAGCGGCCTAGCGCCTGGGAGAAGCGAACGGGACTCACAAGGTTTTTCACCCAGTAGTTCGGGTCACAGAGCTCCTGGATGCCACTGACAGGCAGAGTGGTAACGGAGGAAATCATCGTCGCGCAACCAGGAAGAGGACGACCGAGCTCTAGCTGGCCCATCTGGCGGGCGTACTCGTCGGCAAGGCACTGCATATGCGGCGAGTGATACGCCACATCGACTTGCAGCCTGCGAGCAAAGAGTCCATCCCCTTCGACAAGACGCTGCATTAACTCGATCTGCTCCACTTCGCCGGAGATCGTGACACTCGAGGAGCTGTTGACGCACGCGACGACAATCCCACAAGACCCGCACTCCGCAATGATCCTCTCGATATACCCCGCTGCCTGCACCTCGGAGGCGCCCACCGCAAGCATCGCGCCCTTTTGTTCCCCTGTCGCCGCCAGTCTGCCCGCGAGCTTCCCACGCAGAAAGGCAACCTTGCACGCAGACCGCAGAGACAGCGCGCCCATGCAATACGCAGCCGCAATCTCACCAGACGAGTGACCAACAACTGCCTTGGGCACAATCCCAAACGAGCGAAGCAGTTCGATAAGCGCAATCTGCAGCGCCGTGCACAGCGGCTGGCTGATATCCGGCTGGTTTACCCGTGACGAGGCCCTGTCCCTCAACAGCTCCTCCATGAGCGACCAGGCACAGCCCAGCTCGTACAGATACAGTTGGGCGCGCATGAGCGTGTTCTTGAAAGTCGGGTACGCGAGGAGCTCGCGGCCCATGCCGGCAAACTGGGCGCCCTGACCCGTGAAGACGAAGCAGAGGCCCAGATTCCGGGACGAGCGGAGAGGGCTTGCAAGGGTGACTCCATCTGCGTGAAGACTCGCTGCCGAGGGTGCAATTGCGTAGCTCCTCCATGGGAGGATACTGCGTCTCTGGGAAAGGGTGTGAGCGAGGTCGGAGAGGTAGCGGGGGTCCGTTGCCTGGCGACTCTTGAAGTGCGAGTTGTAAATATCGGCTAAGCGCTTCAGGCCCCCAACGTCGGCTGCAGACCAGACAAGTAGGGCAGGGTGCGATGCCATGGTGCTCTCCGAGCCATTCGGGCTTTGCACCGCAGCCCCCGCCGTGCTTAGCTCACCTGCTCCGGGTGGTACTGGGGCAGTGCTATGGAACCCCAGCAGCCCCTGCGATTTCAGGAAGTTGTACGCATCATCCAAGACAACGTGCGCGTTCGAACCACCAAACCCAAACGAATTGACCGAGGCCCGACGCAGCCCAGTCGAAGGCCACGGTATCGCTTCGCTTGGGAAGGCGAGACCCAGCATCGGCGCATCAATGCGCGGATTCAGCTTCTCGAAATTCGTGTTGGGCGGGATAATCCCCTTCTCTAGTGCAAGGACCGCCTTGATCACACCCGCAACACCACTGGCCCCTTCCAGATGCCCGACATTGGATTTGACCGCACCAACATACAGCGGCTCCTCGGGGCTGCGATGCTGCCCAAAGACGGCCCCAATCGCACCTGCCTCGATGGGATCGCCCACGGCCGTGCCCGTGCCGTGTGCTTCAAAGAACCGCGTGACCCCAGGATCGAGATTCGCCTTTGCGTAGGTCTCGCGGATGAGCCGTTCTTGTGCTTCGCCGCTGGGCTGGGCGATTCCTGGGGTGCGGCCATCCGAGTTGGAGCCCGTGGAGCGGATCACGGCGCGGATTGCGTCGCCGTCTCGTAATGCATCGGACAGGCGCTTGAGCACGAGGACCCCAAACCCTTCGCCGCGCGCGTAGCCGTTTGCTCGGTGGTCGAAGCTGTAGCAGCGGCTGTCGGGGGAAAGAAAGTTCATGTTCGAGAGGATGAGGGAGGTATCCATCCCGAGTAACGTGTTGGAGCCCGCGACGATCGCCTAGATTGTGTTAGAGATCCTACCAGGGCAAGGGCAACAACGCGGGAGAAAGGCCAAGTACAGTATCTGACTCTCCCATGGTCAATCCCTGGCAAGCCAGGTCCAGAGCCACCAAGCTGCTCGAGCATGCCGTGTCGACCTGCAAACTGGGTCCGCGCAGGTTGTAGAACCAACTGATGCGGTTTGCAAGTATACTAATCGACGACCCCGTCGCCGCGTATCTGGGCAGCGAGTCATGGTCTCGCATGGTCATGAGCCGATAGTCGTCGGCGAACGACCCGGTGTACACCGAGGTGTTGGATCCGTCCACCTGCTCCAGTGGAAGACCAGCTAGCCGTCACGCATATGTGTCAACTGCTATACGCGGTACATGGGATCAGAACTTCGGGCAAGTCTCACCATTCTCGAGGGCTCGGTAGACACATTCCAGCAACTGGCGCTGTTGGACATCCATTGATGCGGCTTCGGTGGAAGTGATGGAGAAGAACGGCGCATCGAAGAGAGAGAGGTCCTCCTTGATAAAGTGTCCTCCACGCGGGCGTACCTGATGGACGAGATGGGAGATTAGCCGCGAACACAAACGAGTAATTCCAATGTTGCTGGGAAAGTAAAGTACCTGGTTGGTTCGGCTCGTATCGCTTCCATGAAAGGCATCAATGTTGTAGCGATCCGCTGGAACTTGCTGCATCGCACATCGCTTTTCCACAAGCATATTCCAGAACGCGGCTGGGGAAGTGGCATCCTGGGGAAACCTCAGGGACAGGCCGATAATGGCAATGGGCTCTAAGACCTGCCCGTCAAACGGTTGCTGCCCAGGGACAGGCGGAGCAGAGTTACGATCCCCTGACGGGAGATCATAGGCAAAGCTGGGGGCCATGGTCAATGTTGCACAGGGACTGTCAAACAGGGAAATTGATATCAAAATGAGGGGATCCGGGGTTTCTGCCTATGCCTCTCTGAGCGGGAACACAGTGCTTTTACCCTCATTGCTCCCATTTATACGCAAATAGCACTCCTCTGCCTAGTGCTATCCATTCCTGGTGGGAGGAATCGGACCCCAATCTGCTACCAGCGCCCGGCTTTCTGCCTGGCCGGGTTTGTCCAGAAGTGCCATCCTCCGCGTATGCAATGGAAAGCATCGTGTCTGATCGGTCTGATCGGTTGGTTGGCCAGAACTTGCCGCTTTCGCCCACCAGTGGCTGCAGTGCCTGACGATGGTGCGTGGGGCGCGCAAAGGTCACAATCCCGGTGCGTTTCGTGTCTTCGTGTTATCCTTGCTCAGGCCTCTCGGAGGAACAATGTTGCTCGGGTTGAGTTCCGTCTGACCTCGTGTATGGTATGGTATTGTTTTATAACGGAGGAGCTTTTGCAGCATCTCGGACAGTAAGATTGTAAAGGATGTCGCAAAGAGTGATGGAGAGTTGATGAGTGCGGGGCCTCGAGTTATATTTTCCAAGAGTCCGATGGCGACATCGCACTGCGTATGGCGAGTGCGGGGGACGTGCGGGCCCACGACGACGAGGAAAGCTTATTACAACTGCTGTCCAGAACGACGCCCCCACGAAAAAAAGAAGAGAATAGAAAGACTATATACTGTCCATGCGTGAATTGACTCGGAGTTCCAATGTCACCACCTGTCGAACCTGCTCGGCGCCAGATTTGCGCTCAGCAGCGAGTGTATTCTCAATATCGAATACGCTCGACTGTCGATCCCTCTTCTCAAGTATTAATCTCGGACCGCTGTGCCGAATCAGCCAAGGCTACTTGGCTCATTTCTTGTCGACCAAGGGTGGCACGGGATTGGGCTATGCAACCCGTCAAGCGCAGCTGAACAAAGTGGCAGGGATTCGCCTCCTTGCAAGCTGCGAGCCACGCAATGAAGAGGGGAGCAGCAAAGTTGCAACCGTGTTTTTCCTGGCAAAGGGTGTTTTATTGTCGACCCAAGAGCGATCTGTTGCTGGACCATATTCTTCCTGTTTGAGCGCAACACTCACTCAGCATGGAGAAAGCAGCTGCCGACATCGAACAGCCCGCAGCCCAGCCCGAAACGAGCGACTTCATCACCGGATGGAGACTGGCCATCCTGCTACTAAGGTTGGCTTCTGTCTGCCGAGTGCCAAAGGTGTGCAAGACTGATTGAACAGTGTGTCTATCGCAATCTTTCTGCCCAACCTCGAGGTCTCCATCGTCAGCACTGCCTTGGTCACCATTACCAACGATCTCCAGGGCTTCAGCAAGACTGGCTGGGTGGTTGTCGCGTATCTCGTCACATATACTGGTAGGTCTCTCTCGTTGACTGCGACAAGACTGGGCCTTACCGTCTTGCCTGGAACAGGCTTCATCATCATCTGGGCCAAGCTGAGCGACATACTCACCCGCAAATGGTCTCTGATCGCGTCGCTGGTCGTCTTCATTGTTGGGTCAGCAATATGTGGTGCTAGCCAGAGCATGACCATGCTGTGAGTCTGCCTTGTCCCTCGGTAGCGTCAGGTTAGGCGTGCTGACCATTCATCCGTCTAGCATCGTGTTTCGCGCCCTCCAGGGCCTCGGGGGAGCAGGGTGCTTCTCGATATCCATGGTGGTCTTCTTCGAGATGATCCCGCCAGCCAAGTATCCCAAGTATGGATCGCTGCTCTCTGCTGACGTTGCGCTGGCGACTCTCCTGGGGCCGATTATTGGCGGCGCCATTGCAGATGGGACTTCGTGGCGCTGGGTGTTTCTTCTCAAGTGAGTCTGTCACCATCACAGTGATCTCTAAACTAAACGCCTCCAGCCTTCCCATCGGTGCCCTCGCCGTCGTCGCACTGCTCGTGTTTCTCCCCAAGAACTTCCCATATCACGGCTCGCGCCCAAAACCCCCCAACAGCAAGCACTCTCTGCAGCGAGTAGACTTCATCGGCACCCTCCTCCTGGTGGGTGCCAACCTCCTCCTCGTCACAGCTCTCCTCGAAGCCAGTACCGACTATTCATGGTCCTCTGCACTCACCATCTCTCTCCTGACCATCTCCGCCGTCCTCTGGATCTGCTTCGTCGTCTGGGAGTACTTTGCCACCAGAGAGACCTGGCCCGTCGAGCCCGTCTTCCCCTTTCGCTTCTTTCCCAACCGCTACTGGATGGGGATGCTTCTGCAGTCCTTCTTCCTCGGCGTCCCCTTTACCATGCTCGTGATTGCCCTCCCGCAGCGATTTCAGACGGTAAACAGCATGTCCGCGCTCGACGCCGGCGTCCGCCTCCTCCCCTACGCGATGCTCGCGCCCGTCGGCTCTCTCGTCAGCAACATCATCTTCATGCGCCGCCCCGTGCCAATCCCACTCTTGATCGCGGGCGCCACGTTTCAGGTCCTGGGTCTCGCATTGCTGGTCGCCGAGCCCGTCCGCGAGTCACTCCCAGCCAAGCTGTACGGATATGAGACCCTGGGCGGGTTTGGGGTGGGGATTACTTTTGGGACATTGGTAACTATTACCCCGTCGAGTGTGGAACCGCGCGACCTCGCAACAGCAACGGGGGCGATGATCCAGTTTCGACAGATGGTGAGTTTCACACACATTCACGCCCAAGGCTCCGAATAATTACTATACAAGAAAAAAAAAAAAACCAAAGGAATGGCTAATACTCTGCAGGGAAGCACAATCGGCCTCTCAATCGGCTCGGCCTTGCTAAACAGCTACATCAAGAGCCATTTGGCGCCCCCGGTCCTGAGCGCCTCTCAGCTCGAGTCGCTGCTGGAGAATATCCGCGTCATCTTTACACTGCCGCCGGAGCTGCAGCAGGTGACGAGAGAGGTATTTGCCGCGGCGTTTGAGCTGCAGCTCAAGGTCGTCATTGGCCTTGCGGCGGCCCTGTTTCCGTCGATTCTGCTTATGCTGAGGGTGACGAGGAGAGATGGGGGGATTCTTTCGGCGGGGACGGGCGCAAGGTGAATATTCCTCATGCACACGCGGCTGCTGAGGTGACTTGCACGTAGGAAGTCTGGAGGGGACCCGACGGGGCGCGGGGATGGTCGCCGGGGATGGTGGGAGGGGGAGGGGCAGCTGCGGGAAGGAAGACCGGGGGGTGGAGGCGCAATGGGAGGACCAAAAAAAAAATCCAGATTCAATTTGTAATTGGTTTGCATATCCCGAAATAAGAGCGAGCGACATTCCAGTTCCTATTGCCATTCCCTACTAGTACTACTACCCCTTCCCCCTCGCTTCTGCATCACTAATAGCGCCTCTAATCGCCCGAACTGCATTATCCAAGTCGCGTCGCTCCCCTGCGCCCGGGATGCAATGACCCAGCCGATGCGTAGAAACATGCCTCCCCTGTGCGGAACACAGCCTGGCCAGCAAGTGGCCCTGCCCCGGCGCAACCTCATCATTCTCTGCGAAGATGTGCGCGGTCGGGATATCAATGGTCATCGGAACTGCAGCGCGTTCTCCACTAGACGGGGCTTGCGCTTGCGTTTGTTCTAGCATCTTGACCTCGTCGTCCTGCAGAGCGGCATAGTCGGCCGCCATCCCCGCGGAGAAAAACACGGCGACCCTGAACGGGGCCGGGGCCCGCGCACGCATGGTAGCAAAGGTGGAATGTTCTGCGAGGCCCGCCAGAGGGGAAGGAGAAGGGCGAAGTAGTAAGGTGGCCGCTAGGCAGGATCCATGGCTGAAGCCCGCAACGCCGTCGTAAGGGGGGTCTGCGTCGGCGATGAGGGCGTCGAGATCGCGCAGCGCGGAGAGCATGCTGAGGCCCGAGGTCGGGGCAAAGTACGCGTGGAAGGTGTCTGTGGGTGAAACGAGGTTGGAGATCCCTGGTCGGATTGCGACGACTGGCTAAGCTATCTATCCCTGTCGCCCGACAAGGGGGCAATACGAGCCGTGCTTAGGTGGGCGCTTACCGGGTGCCATGGGGTGGTCCAGCGCCCCTTCGACAAAGTCGTACGTATGCCCGGGGCCGAGGGCAAATCGAATGGCGCCTAGAGATGGTTCCCGGTGAGCAGGGGATTGACTCGCACAGAGGTGTCTTACTAGTCTGGAGCTCGAGGACCTGCAGCCTCGGAAATCAGCCACGAGAGGGCGAATGGGATGGAGGGAAACTCACTCTGATGTTGGTGCCAACTCCGTGCAGACAAAGGAAATGCATTTTGGTGGCGAGACTCACAAGGTACAGTACCGGAGATACTGCACTCCTCTTTATAGTCATGATCGGCCTTTTCCAGGCGCCTGTCAGCACTAGCACTAGTGTTGTGCTTGCCAGGCTTGTCGGCTTGACAGGGTTTTGATTGCCTCGTATTGTGACGGTGCGGGGATGAGCATGCGCGTCGTGTTCTCTTTTGTTGCGTTGGCTTCCACCTATAATAGGTTCATAGTGCGGACCCGTGGCCGATGGGGTGACTTGCAGCGCCAGCCGCGCAATCCTACAAAGGGTACATGCATTGCAACCAGTTTCACGACACTGTTTGTACGACTCGCCCATTCCCAAGGGTCGTGTTTATTTACTTCTCAGAGGATTCCCTGGATATGGTGATCGTTTAACACAACAACAAGCGAGACAAGATAAACAAAAAGCACAATGTCCAAAGCATCCCTACCTACAGTGGCTATCATCGCCGGCGCCTGGCAGAACCCGGATAACTACGTGCCACTGCGAGACGCGCTTGCAAGGCTCGGCTACGCGTCTGTCTGTCAAGCAGCTCCGTCCACCTGCCTGCCTCATGGCGATACCGATCTCCAGGCGGACATTGCGTTTGTGCGCGACGAGGTCCTTGGCCCCTTGGTCAATGGCGGCAAGGACGTCATTGTAGTTCTGCATTCTTTTGCCGGTGTCTACGGGGGCGGCGCCCTGAAGAGTCTGAGCAAGACCGAGTACGCGCAGAAGGGCAAGACAGGTGGCATTACGGCCGTTGTCTATGTTGCTGGGCCCTGTGTCCCGAGCGGGATGAGCACCCTTCAGCTCCTGGGCATCGGGCAAGACCTCGTCCCCTGGGTTACACTTGATGTATGGTCCCCTTTACACTTACTCTTTGCCCTTCTTCGTCAGACGCACCCCCTCTAAGAAATGAAATGGCCAGGAATCCACGGGTCTCCTTAGCCTCGTCGACCCGGTTGCCCTCTTATTCCACAAGCTTCCTCCGACTGAGGCGCAATCTTGGGCTGCCAACATGAAGCGGCAGGCAATCAAGCCGCTGCAGTGCATTGTCCCCTATGCACCCTTCGAGGACGACTTTTACAAGGGTCATCTGGCGTACTTGAAGTGCGCAGAGGACGCGTGCGTCCATCCGCCTGGCCAGGCCAAGTTTATTGCCGCTGCTGGAATTCAAGAGACAGACGAGTTGTCAACCAGCCACATGCCGTGGCTGGAAATGGCGGATACTACGGCTGAAAGGATCTTGGGTTTGGCGGCCAAGGTGGGTATGTAGGTAGGGAACTGGTGTGGTATCTGGCATCAGGCATCAGGAATCAGGCAACATGTACCTAGGTAGCTTATCTGGAGATAGTGACTATTCCATATGCACAATTGCTACTCATGCGTACCGGAACCGCGCAAGCACTGCCAACGCACGTTGAATCTTCTCCGCCCCCGTGGCGAATGTAATGCGAATCCACCCGCATTGTCCCACCCCAGGGGAGAACCGCTGCCCCTGGGCAACGACAAGGCCCATGCTGGCGAGGCTTCTCACTGCTGCTGTTTCCATCTGCACAGTGCATCCGCCTGGAATGATTTTTGCGAGGATGAATAACCCATGCGTTGCAGGGATATACTCGATCCCCACCTGCTCTAGGCCCTCGGTAAGCAGGCGATACGATTCGCCAAGAGCCTTCGAATTGCGCCAAACTAGCTCTGGTAGCTGGGGCAAGCCGAGGAGCGTTGTGCCTAGTCTACTCGCGAGCGAAGACACCTGCCAGTAGCTCGCAAGTCCGGCCCCTAGGCGCAGGGCGCCGTTGGCCTGGGTTACAATGCAACCCTGTTCTGGTCAGCCCTAGGACGTGGAATGGAAACCTCCCCCGGACAAGACGAAAGGGATGGTGGAAGCGTACGAGTCTGACTCCGCTGCAGCCAAAGTCCTTGCTTAGGCTCCAGACAACGTGGACGCGAGAGGCCATGGTGGGTGGCACTCTAGAAGTGTCACTGCCAGCCTCACCGTCTAGCAATGAGAGGGCCGACGTGAACGGCGGGGAACCAGGGTCCGTTCGAAAGGCGGAGAGAGCGTAGACCTCGTCGCTGATAAAATGTAAGTCGTGTGCGTGGCAGAACCAAAGACATTCGCGAAGGGCTTCTGGCGCGTAGCACCGGCCTAGCGGGTTATTTGGATTCGTAAGCACAACCGCCCTAATGCGCTCGGGATAGAGATCAGCATGGTAAGCTGCTGTAATCGCCTCTACAATCTCCATCCCCGTTGCTGCTTCTAGAGAAGAGGCTGTCACACAGATTGGGGTGACGTTGGCATGGATGCGGAAGTAGGGGGCGAATCCCTCTGGATCCTGCCGTTAGTCCACTATCTCTCCATGTACGATGTAAAGCGAGAGCTTACATACCCCAGCACGGGCCAGCAACCAGTACCTTATCTCCTTCGTTGCACACTGCGCAGAGAAGGGCATCCAGCGCGTTCCCCGCGCCCGAGGTAGCGACTATATGACTCGGGTCAACAGCGGTGGACGGACGGAAGTACTGGTTAAAGAAACGTGCTAGGGACGTAAGGAGTTCGGGCTCGCCCCCGAAGCCTGCCGGGTACGCCAGATCCTGTCCTCGTGAATAGCTTAGATATCCGTCGTGCATCGTGCGAGGTAAGCATGTTGGGATGCGGAAATACCTTCAACTGCAGGTTGTCAACAATGGCTTCCTTAATGAGGCCCAGCTGTTCATCTCGAAACAACTCATTCTCAGCAATGGACAAATCCACTGGTGGGACGCCGTCCGTTGAAGAGCCACCGTGTGGCGCACCAAGTGCTGGTAGAATGGCTTGGAGCTTCGCGCCCATATCCTCTGACACATTGTCCAAGTCCATTTTGTAGGCTGTAATCTACAATGATGGAATGTGAGTTCATGGCCGCACGATGAACGCCTGACGGGATGCCCGTCTTATAGGACACAACACGTGAACATACCCTTGAAACGACATTACTGTGCGGTCTTGCAAAAACACCTGTAAAACACATTACTCTGTATTGTGAACCGAAGGTCGCGTTGCCCGGTCAGTGCCCCTTCTGGCAGCCGGGGCCTCTGAGCTTGCAGGCCCGTATTCCTTCATGGCCCCCACACCAGGTTTCAATTCCATATCGGGAAGTATACGGCATGGCCAGGGCTAGCGTGAGGTACTGCATGGGTGCCAATGTAACGATTGGAGGGGTGCGCAGCTTACAGGACAGGAAATTGGCCGGAATGTCTTTCCTTAATCTATCAGCCCCCGTATTGCGTAGGTGGGATCCAACCAATCATATTGTCAGCGTGCGGTTAGGAGTACCGACTCTAATGGAGTGCGGGAGTGAGCGAATCGAGCGGGCCGGGTGTATAAAACGTGTGCAGCGGCGACCTCCTGTCGACCTGGTTTGCGCACTATCAATCCAAAGCCCCTTAACTAACTTTTTAATCCCAACATTACCATGGTCTGCCCGGTATTCGAAGAAGGCCCCAAGCCGCCACGGCCGGCTGCTAGAAGGAAACAGCTCCTTCCGCATATAGTTGACGGAATGGCCAGAAGCCGACCCGAAGCCGTATACGCGGAATACCCCAGCAACCCCGACACCTACGCGGAAGGCTTCACTAAGTTGACATATGGGGCATTTGCCAACGTCGTCAACGGCCTGGCATGGTTTCTGGAAGACAGGTTGGGCCGTGGCGACGAGTTTGAGACGCTCGTCTACTTCGGCCCAAATGACTTTCGGCAGAATGCGTTGGTTCTTGCTGCTTGCAAAGCTGGGTACAAGGTACCTGCCGCATTTATCATATTCTCTAGGCTGTAGCTGACTATGAGGCAGCTTCTTCTGTGCTCTCCGAGAAACACGATTGCTGGTTACAAGGCCCTGTTCGAGGCCCTCAACGTACGGACCGTTCTGGCCGCGGGCCCCCCACACTTGCCCATTGTCAGTACTATAATGCTGGAGTGCAGCCTGGAGCTCTTACCCATCGCCTCCTACGACCATCTCCTCAGCGTGAAGTACCCGCACTACGCATACGATAAACGCTTCGCGGACGCAGGCAACGAGCCTTTGCTAGTCCTCCACACATCCGGGACCACCGCCCTCCCCAAACCCATCGTCATCACCCACAACTGGGTAGCCAGCTGGGCACAGGCGCTCCACGAGGACCCACCCCTGGGTACCGAGAGCCTGGACCGCCTGCACCAGGGCAATCGTGTCCTCGTGATGATGCCCCCCTTCCACGGCGGCAACCTCATGCCCACCCTCTTCGATGCAGTCCACAATCAGTCCACTGTCATTTTCCCCTTACCTAACGGTATCCTGTCCGCGGACCACTTCCACGAGCACTTCATCGCCTGCGTCCGCGACGCCCGCCCGGACATTGCCCTCCTCCCGGCGGGGTTCATCCACGAGATCGCCAAGGACCAGGCCCTCCTCGACCTCGCGGCCAAACACCTCGAGTACATCTTCTACACGGGCGGCGACGTCGCAGACGTCTATGGCAACGCGGTCGCGAAGCACGTCAAGCTCTTCAACGTCAACGGGTCCACTGAACTGGCCTCATACCCGGCCCTGCGGCCCGGCGGTGGCGCCTGGGACCGCACGATCTGGAAATACATCATGCCGCATCCCGTCGCGGGGATCGATTTCCGGTGCCACAGCTGGGACGGCGGGGACGCCAAGTACGAGGCGGTCATTGTGCGGAATCCAACCCCCGACGACATCCAGCCGATCTTTACAGTCTTCCCGGACGCGACAGAGTATCGCTCGGGTGATCTGTTCTCTCCGCATCCGACCATCTCCGGGCTATGGGTCTACCGCGGCCGGGCAGACGACTGCTTCGTTCTCGTGACGGGCTCGAATATCAACCCGCTGGCGATGGAGAGCTGCGTCGTCGCGCACCCGGAGGTCAAGGCTGCTCTGATGATCGGGCAGCGGCGGCCACGACCGGGACTTTTGATCGAGTTGGAGGATGAGATTCAGGCCGAGGAGGAGGGGATGGGGTCGGAATCGGGATCGGGATCGGATAGTGAGGATCGACGCGTGGCGCTGATTGATAGGCTTTGGCCGGCGATTGAGCGTGGGAATCAGGAGTACTATGATCTGGCTCGGGTGACTAAGGACCGTGTCCTGTTTACGGTGCCAGGGAGGCCAATGAAGAGGACTCCCAAGGGGACTGTGCAGCGCAGGTCGACGTATGAGTTGTATCATGAGGATATTGAGCAGATGTATAACTTGGTTTAGGGCCGCTTGCATTGGTGTTTTGATTGTTCGTCTTGAAGCCACGGTGTGCAAATTATGCTTTTGAAACCAATATTGTTCCGAATCATTGTGTCACATGAAGGATCTAAATAATACAGCGGGCAAAGAAAGGATCCTGCTGGTTTTGGGCCTAGTTATAGCCAGGCTATATGAGCTAGTCACAGAGGATTCACAAGGACAAGAATCAGCTCGGAGTGGGAATCTAAAAGTAGACAAGGGCCTAATAGCTAAGTATTAGTATATTCTTTTTTGGCCTTGTCCCTTTTCTTAGCTACGATAGACCTACATATTAAGAAGCTTGGCTGATTACAACACCTGCATGTGAATTTACATGGTGTTTCTAGACTTGAACTCCAGTCATGTCACTCGCCCTAGGGAACAGGATGAGCGCAAGCCCCTGAGATCCTGGCTTATAAGCCTGGCGGATTGCTAGTGTAGGACAGTGCACTACAAAATTAGCGCGCTGGTTTAGCCTTCCAATTGGAAGTTTGTGAGTAGTCTAGCCTTGCTATTGCGGAGCATTGCCCTCCCTGTCGTGCAGACTCGGGCGTAAAGGATTCAGATGGCGCATAACGCTATCTCCAAAGCTTGGATGGGGCACTGAATTGCATCGGCGCTGTTTGCCTTGAATAATGAAGGATTCCAAATAGTAGCCAATCGTATCTTCCTTTCGCAAGCAGGGCGACGGTCAAAGTGTTGTGCTTGAGGTGGTTTTGGCCAATCATTGCATTTCAAACCCAGTGCCTTTACCCCCCTGCTCGTCTTCAGCTAACTATCTACCCTATGATCCAGTCTTAATGTGCTTGATACTACATAGAACCTATCTATTGCGGGCAAGCCTGAGGTCGGGGCATGATATAGATTCGTAAGAATGACTTCTTATCTATACTAAGGATGCTCGTCTCCGCTGCTATAAGCATTCAAATGCTCATAACCTAACTTCTCGTATGGTAAAGTTTCTCAATCATCCTGTTTGAAGGAACACTGCTTTCATCCAGCATCTTAGCCGCTGTTTCATCTCCATCACCAGGGACCCGATACTGCAGCTGCTGCCCAGGATGCGGCGTTGCTCCGTCTGGCAGTGAGTACGGAATCGGAAGATACTCGGGCATGAGACCGAGCTGGAAGAGCATGGTCAATTGGTCCCAGGCAATGTGTTCGCCGTAGAGTCTATCACCACGGATGTTCACTACCGCGGTGAACGGAATGCGGAGTCTTTTCCCAGTAGGTGGGATTCCGGGTATACTGTCCAGCGGAAAAATAACGATATCAGCAAATAAAAGTACGTCCTGGAAGCATTCTAGGCAATGGGAAGCAAAGCAACGTACAGCCAGTCCACCATCTTGTCGTGTGTGAATGTGAAGATAAACTCGTCGACCACCCAGTCAATACCGACCGTCCGACTAACGAGTTCCAAGACGGTGTCGTCCGGGTTATTGAAAATAAAATGGTTCGCGTAGAACTGGGTTAGGTTTTCACGCCCAATGCCGCCAGTTATTGTGGGGATGTGGTTGACATATTGCTCCTGGACCATGGTGTCCATGGTTTTCTCGACCGACCGGGTGTCGAACTCGAAGATTGTGTGCTCGTTCCAAATAATTTCAAGATCGAACCAGGGCCCGCATAGTGCCTGTCTCTCTCTGGAGCCGAATGACAACCACTGTCAAAGAAATGTATGTGCCCCTGCCCCTTCAAGGCCTATGTTTTCTAGATGGGGTCTCCACAGGTGAAGATTCATGTTTGTCTTAGACGTATAGCAGTAAAACATCTGCTTTATAAATCAACCTTGATTCTATGCCTAAAAGTACTTTATTCTTTTCCACGGATTAATCCGAATATCCCAGACTGTCCCTGCCTATAACACGGATATACGCCTCCAAGGGAGAGAAGGCTGTATACTGATCTAGAGATCACAAAAGTGACTGTTGAAAGCCCCGAAAAAGAGGAGTGACATCGACCTGTGTAGAAGAATAATCGTCCACATTAGTTCCTACCTGCTCATAGAGCCGTGAGAAAGGGGCTTAATATCACTCACATAAGAGGGGTTCAGCTGGTCAAGAGACATAACCCCCAGCAAAGCCATGGTAGTCTCCACCTCGTGCTGAAGTATCCGAATAACCTTGCTAGCTCCAGCTTCTTCAAACACAAGCGAGTACAAAAACCCTCTGCCCAGCCCAACACCTCTAGAACCGAGCGCAATTGCCTTGACGATGTTCGCTCCTCGAGTGATCCCACCGTCCACAATCACTTCACATTTTTCAAAGACCTCGGGACAATGCTGACGGATGGAAACAAGGGTCTCCACAGCGGATGGCGCATTGTCTAATTGTTGTCCTCCATGGTTAGACAGCCACGGACGCACACCATAGTGCACGCACAGTGCCGCATCCTCCCAGAGTGACTATTCACTCTAGAGTAAATATCAGAGGACATCTCTCTTATGAAGCCTCTCGAGCCCCTCGAGCTTGATACAGAGATCACTGCAGACAACCAACTATTCCACATGATCCATATGGGTATCGCAGTAGTTGGCCCCAGCAGATGGCGCCCCGTTATCGATGGATTGGTGCATCACCCATTCATTCTCGATATCCACCAACTGCAGCGCATGCGACAGACGTCCATCACCACGTTCCATGAATGTTATGGGAGTCCTTTGCTTCCGCCAACACACGCTGTTCGACGAGTGGGAAATGTGGGCTGGACCGGCGTGCCCTTGCGTGCACTACTCAAACTGGCACAACCAAAGCCCCTCGTGTCCTACGTCTGATCGGACGGTCTGGATTCTGGTGTTTTTGCCGGCGTTCAAGCGGAGAGGTATCAGAAAGACCTCCCACTGGAAGATGCAATGGCCATGGGTGTGCACTGGCGTACGAGATCAACGGTAAACAAACCCCTGGACAAAGAACGAGGCGGCCCTGTGCGCCTGGTGGTCCCAGGGTGGTTTGGCACAAATTCTACAAAATGGATTTGCCATATCTCACTTTAGGATAGGCGGGCACCGGGGCCGTTTACTGCCATCTTCTACAACGAACTTGATCCGACGGGCCCTGAAGGCCGGCTCAAACGGCCGGTATGGATGGTGGAGCCTAATTCAATTATTGTTCGCCCCAGCCCTGGTAAGATACTACCGTGTTATACTACCCTCATTATCGTGGGTCGTGCATGGGGATGCGAGGAGATAGTCCATGTGGAAACCAGTATCGATGGAGGGCAGAGCTGGATTAATGCTTGTGTTGCCCCCCGCAAAGAATACGAATGGCAGATATTTAAGCAGAATGTGGTGTTTGACGTTGCTGGACATTACACTATCACTGCGCGAGCAACGGATAGCTCTGGGGTACAGCAACCCCTTCGTGATCGCCGCAACCAGGTTTCCACCATGAAAATACAGTGTCAGAGATGAAGAAGCGATAGCTACACGCACCCGCACGCTTATATATGTATCCATATTGTCATTTCCCAAAACTGTTTCTATTCAAATTTCCGAGTTTTGGCAGGCGATACTATAAAGCTACCTAGGTAGATCTACGTGGATCGTAACATTCAATCGGCAAACTCAGTATTATTAGAAAGGAACATCTCCTTCAAGTGCACCTAATCATGCTTCAGCCAATGGCAGCCATAGAACGCTGCAAGGACTTGTCGTACTACCTTCTTGGATACTGCAGCAAACAGCCATTGATCTGCAAGGTGGATAGGTTGTTAACGGACCCGATCATACATCTGAGATAACTGATGGGTGGCCTCTGCTCTTGTAGGGGTATAGTCGCTTATGACAGATATATGTATACCCTACATAGTAATTGATCCGCTGAAAAGCTCCCTAACCAGGCCGCGGAGTTCTAGAATATTGGCGAGTTGACTCTTATATGCAGAATACCGAGGTGTTCCCACGCTGTCATTCAAGAATAGAGGAATATCAAAAACATATCGGCCGATGATCCTTTGTAGATTTTGAGCTTTGACCACACCTACTGTCTCACAAACAAGGAATGCGCCTTCGTCTGGAGGGCAAATACACAAGACACGATGACCTCAGCCATGGCTACCCTAGCCGCTTCTTTTCATCATGAAAAGCACCCCTCTCCCTAACCGAGGTCGACATCGCCGCCCCAAGATCCCCGCCCAAGCGTGCGAACCCTGCCGCTACGCCCTCCCGATCCCCCGGCCGCATCTCCTGGCTCATCTTGAATTTTCCCTGGATCTGCTCAATACGGATCTCCACTCCGACGATATTCCGTTTCAAGATATCGATATATTTTCCTGGCGCATCCTCAACCGCCCAAGGCCGCGGCCGATCGCCGCCAGTATAACCCATGATTGAGGACTCCGTGTGCGCCGAAAGGTCGGAGATTTGCTTTGCGAGAAATGCGCCGGCTTCGGGGCTATGCGAGTCGTAGTGCAGGGAGAGCTTCCCGTAGACCTGGACCGCGGCGTAGTTCCACGTCGGCACGACTTTGCCGGTGTCTGGTTTTGTCTCGACATAGTATTTGGGGGTCACGTAGTGGTGGTGGTTGGCCGTGAAGACTACCAACACGTCATCTCCTAGCTTTAGGACGTCGGGTTTCTCCGCCAGATCCTCGATCATGGCCTTGACTTGTGGGTTTTGTTTCGCAATGTGCGCGCGGAGAAGACCGTGTGGTGTGGGCTTGGAACAAGTCTCGGGCGGATCCAGGATGAAGGGGACGTGTGTACATTGGAGAAACTGTTCGGAAGAGGATCTTATCCCGGTGATAAGCAGTCCTAGTGGGTTCTCGTGGATGAATGACTGGAGGACAGCCGGGTTGGTTTCGGCGTGGACGTTTTGAATGAACATTTTTGACACTGTTAAAGATAAAACAGGAGGCCCAGCTGCTGACCAGAGGAATGCAGCGCTATATAGTCGTGTCCTGAGCCATCAATGAAGGGCGGAGGGCATTAATATTTATAATCTTGGACGGGGGTCCTGCAAATAGGACTGCGTCAAATCAAAAAGTTTTTAGAACGAGGAGTAAAACTCATACGGTCATTCAGCGCATCTATTCTCCCCAATAAGATGTGTCTCGCTCTTGCGCACTAGAAGGGGACCATGGGCCGCCCTGAGAAGGCGAGCAGGACGGCTAAACCGGGTATGGAGGGTCGAAGACCCACACCAACTCCTGCCCTTTGCTCAAACCAGTCCGCGGGTGCGCTGGCCACTGATTGGCCGTCAAAGATATACGTCCCTTGGCAGCGGCGAAGGCTGGAATATATGTTGCTCTGGACCATCACGTGACCTCCCCTCCACCCGCTGACTCACGTACCAAATTCACATTCACATTCACATCCACATCCACCTGCACCTGCAAGGTCGCATGCAGATCAAATTGGCAGACTACACTACATAGGTGTTATTAGAATGTACAAACCGGCCCCGCCAAGACCCAAGAAGACCAACATTGTGCGCTCGCGCAACGGGTGCCAAACCTGTCGTGAGCGGAAAATCAAAGTAAGAACTTGATGATAGTGCTTTATGTGGCGGATACACTATCCTAGCACGGAACTGACAGATGCAGTGCGATGAGAGGAAACCAGCCTGTGGAACATGTGTAAGGCTGGGAAAGCCTTGCGCAACCTTCCAGCCAGGGTTTAGGTTCCGTACTGTGGTCATAACTTCTTCATCTGTGCCTCCGCAGTCTCTGGCGACAACCCCGGTGGCCAGGCTTCCTCCATGTGGGAATCGGGAGCAGGATGAAGGGGACAAGACTACCCTCGCGTCTATTGGGAGTATGGACTTGATCAAGTCCCTACAGCATTCAGAGCGCGACATCTACTATACTACGTACTGGGAGGATCGCTGCCTTCCAGCCCTGCATCCGATCTTCCTTTCCTTGTCTTGGGCTGCCGGAAGCAAGGCAATCCTTCGCAACTCCATCCTGGCTTTGTCCTCATGCCACTTCAGCCGCCAGCAAGTGGAGCGTAAGAGAGCGTGCACTTTGCACATGGGGAGCTTTAGCCCTAGTTTTGGCCATCAAACAAGGAGCCATCTATACTACTCGGCAGCTATGAAGGAAATCATGCGGATCGGCCCAGAGAATATTGTATATGACTCTACAATCATTGTCATGGTTTTGACGCTGTTCGCTTACATCGAGGCGTCTGTTGGCAATTTCCAGGGCTTCCGATGCCACGTGGACGGGTTGTTGCAGTTGTTGCAGAGTCATGCAGAGATTCTGAACAGCCCAATAAATACAGCTCTCATCATGGCGTGGATGCAGATCCGGTTTGTCAACTGGTGGTCACGCGCCTACTTTAGCTCGTGGGATGTCCACCGGCGGTTGCCTTCGGTACCTCTGCCCCGATGCCTCAAGGAAAGGCACGACTCTCTCCAGAGCCGCCGGGTGATTGTCCTTAGCATTCTCTGTGAATCGCATCGGTTGAACTCTGGTCATATTCTGGGATGTCTACGCCGCGGTGCCGGTGTAGACGCGCAAACGCATGTCCAGCACCTTGAACAGGGTGCAGAGGTGGAAAAATGTCTCTACTTACTCCGTGAACAGGAGAGCAGACTGGACGACTGGCTTACGCACCTCTCGCCTTCAGAGTGGCCCCTCTCCGACCACACTTATTGGATGAGCAACAGTAAGAAACCAGAGGACGATAACACCCCGATTTACTTCCAATCCCATGATGCGGCACTCAACTTTGCGTATTATACACTGGCTCGAGTCATGCAGTGCCATGGGTTACTGCGCAGTTTACAAAATTGCAGTCATCCGCAAGACCCATACGGATACGAAGAGGAGGAAAGCTGGGTTCGCCTACTCCTGCGCATAACAAACGGCACGAATATCCAAACCTCACTCGCAAGAAACAACTACACAATTGGTTTTCAGGGCTTGTTACTAGCCGCCCTTCTGCGGTGCCAGAGTCCAGCCCTTGGTGCCGCGATACAGAGCTGGGTCCAAAGCCTGGCCGATCTCCAGCCTACAGAGGAAGGCTCCTTTCCGACTTACCAGACACTGGGGGTCATCAAGAGTATTAATCGGCAGAAGCAGGTGGGGCTTGATATTCTGGGCGTTACGCAGCCTGTCGACGATGGCGGAGGGACACCGAAAGTGACGGCTTTTAATAGCCAGCCGATTGACCAGCTGATTCTTCATGGAAGATCCCGACTGACCCGGGTTCCTTTTGCAATCTGTGTCGGTCTCGACTTTGGCGTTGGAGAAGAATATTAGAGGTCTGTAAAGGTTGGCGGTTTCATAAGCTGGAAAGATCAGATGGTTGGCGGTCTCCAACCTTGAGCTGGGAATACCAATGTTAGCAACTATATCATAATACGGGACGCTGACGGGCAGGTTGATGCTGTTAATAAATGCTTTGAAGATTCTTTTTATTCAGACGATACAAAAATAGAAGCTACGGCTGTCAATCAGGTCCTCTATATTGGAGACAACAGAACATGACTTGTATCGCAAGAGGCTGGCCCAGAGGGTGCTAAAAGTAGCCTGCTTTTCATACTGTATTGTCCCATGATCAGCATCAGAATTAACAAACCATAATGATAGCTTTCTCTTGCGAAGTAGTGCCTATTCTGAATCAAGATATCTGATTAGTAGCTTCTAGGTGGAGGGGCGGAACCTGGTCGGCGCTGCAGGGAATGGTTAGTGCTTTAAAGTATTCCATTTTTTGCGGCTCCATTATGTTCTTTTATTTCCCTATCTATTATGAATCCCATCCTCTTTATCCTACTCGTACACCCACTGAATAACCCGCTCCAGTAACCGAAGCCCGTCCAACCCCTGATCGAGCTTCAGCACTTCCTTGTTCAACTCAGCCGCCGCGATATTCCCGTTGTAAACATCATCCTCTTCCAGAAGCATTTTCCTTGCTAAATCGGCTCCAATCTCCGGGTGCGCCTGAAAGGAAAGGACTGTATTCGCTTCGTTGACGAAACACTCGTTATCCTCCGCCAGGGCAGTAAATCCAGGTGCTGGTTTGTAGACCTCGCGGACGTGGAACTCGGGGACTCGCTTCCCGTGCTGCGTATTAGCTTTGACACAGTATGACAGTGTGGGTGAGCGTACGTAAGAGCCCGTTTGTGCGGCAAAGGCGAAGAATTTTCTCCCTGCCTCAGTTAAGGGAACATCTTGGATGGCCGCCTATGGGTTGCAGATGCATCGATTAGTCGACGAATAACCGAGCAGAGGGAATAATGATCGCAATAGCAACAACGTACAATTGGACCGGTTTGAACAGGCCGAATCTCCCCGCCAAACGCCCTCGAAACAGCCTGATGTCCCCAGCAAATCCCCAAGATCTTGGCTCGAGGAAATTCACGAACGGTATTGCGCAAGAAGTCCAACACACCTAGGACCCACGGCTCCGAGGACGAGGCATCCGCCTTGCCGCCGCTTAAAATAATCAGGTCGTATCTAGCTGGGTTGGGGAATATTTTTTCAAAGACTGGATCGTAGCAATGGACTTCAGCGGTTGGCGCAACTGCAGCAAAGGCCTCAAAATACGACGTCCGTACGTCGGTCCAGAATTCTTTATTCGTGCAAGGCGTGTTGATGAGCACAGCGACTCGGAGAGCCATGGTGGCGAAGCCGACGTAGTCTCAAGATATATAAGGTTGGTAAATGGTGTCAGGTATTCTTTGGCGAACAGCAGACATTATATATAAGAAAAGAAAGTGTTGTCTTATGGGGATCGTCTATTTCTATCAGCCAATCCGCGGCCAGCGCACCCGTAAGCTGGTTTGAGTAAAGTTTGGTGTGGGTCGTCGGCCTCCATGCCGGATCAAACGGTCCTTCCTGCTCGTCCTTTCTGGGGTGGGGCATTTCCCCCTTCGAGTGCGCGAGAGCGAGACACCTCCTGGGGCTAAAAATCAAAGTTCCGAAGTATTGTATGAGTCAATTGCCTGTTTTCAAGATTCTTTGATTAGTCCAGTCGTCTTTGTAGGGTCCTCGTCCAATGAGACACGGCGCTTAAACGGATATTGATGGCCCAGTACATGACAAGAGGTTGGGTCAGAGCATAGTTTTGCTTGAATTTGTTTGACTGTCAATGAGGACAACTTGAAGACGGTTCAGCGTAGATTGCAGCTGTTCATGGTGCAGATTATACGACACTTTCAGGACCAGGACGGAGTTAAACTGGTCCATCTTCTGCCTTCGGCAAGCGTGACTTTCCTACTGATCGCGGCAGTCCTCTACTGGCAATATGTAAGAGGAACCGTTGGGAACACGAGGAGAAATATCCCCGCTATGTATGTGCCCGTTTTTAGTATCCGACGCCGTTGCAGGAGGTCCATGTGACTGTGGGCTACGGAGCGTGCTCCACAGGTTGCCGATGGCCTGAAATCCGAGCTCTAGAAAGGACCTGCTGACCATCGAGCAGAGGTTTCGATTCGTCCAGCTTCGCATTGTTCGGTGAGTTACAGTGTCGGTGATTAAACTTCGAGTCAAGGCCCCCCAAAGTTTCGGTGGCCGGTACTGTATTTGTAAAGCTCGCCATCATGCCCTGCCCAGCCAGTATTTCTGCTAGGGGTTATGAGTCTCTCCCCCCGCATTCTTCAGCGCCATCCAGATGATGCCAGCCTTTAGAATAGCGATGAGCAATGGTAGTAATTTCCAAGGAACAGGCAGCAAGAAGTTGAGACAAGCCCGGCCGCCTTGCAGTCAGTGCCTTGTGATCGGACAGAGTCTTTGGGGGCTATAAGTATTGCACGATGTGCCCGTTTTGAGTTGAAGCAAAGGCTCCTCGCATCTCCTGCAACCGACTCAAGCAATGTTGACAGCTCCTCGCTTGACTGCCGCCCTCGCGCTTCTGATGGGCTCTTTGGCCGTCGCGTCGCTGACCCCTTTGGATGTTGACAAGAGGCAGTCGGCCACTTGCGCAGCTGTCCATCTTTTTGTCGCGCGAGGAACCACTGAGCCCCCCGGCGACGGCCTGATTGGCTCTCTTGCTCAGCTAGTCCTTGGGGCGAACCCTGGTGCCACTAAGGAATCAATCGACTACTTGGCCACTTCAGACCCTATCTATCTCCCCTCCGTCACGATTGGCATTGAAGCCGTTACTGAGCAGGTCACGAGCTATGTTTCAGCCTGCCCCAACTCTACTCTAGTCCTCATGGGATACTCGCAGGGCGCGCAGATCATCCTAGATGCCCTCTGCGGGTCGGGAAGTCCTGAGCTTGGCGGCACCGGTGAACCCACCATTACCCTGGAACAGGGGGCAAACAGTGAGTCACGATCGGTTGGCAGGTCTAAGGCCGCTAATTAGTGAATATAGTTGCAGCAGTTGTCGTCTATGGAGACCCCGGCCGTGTCAATGGCGAGTCTTGGAATCTAGGCACTGCCACCAAAAGTGGGGTAAGCTTCACCAACGATATGTTCGACTAGGGGGAGATCTTTGCATGCTGATCAGAGCCGCTCTTTGGATAGAGGTATCCCCGGCCAGCCAGGGCCTGCAATGCGTGGGCTGAGAGGATTCATTCCTACTGCAACAGTGGTGATCCGTTCTGCGCGAGTGGAGCCAACTTTTTGGTCCACCTGAGCTATTTCCCAATATTCAATACCCAGGCTTCTCAATGGGTCAATCAACAGATCCAATCTCAGTCAACCTGTATCTTGGCATGCTGCAAGCTGGAAAGATAGGCGGACCTAGTTCACGGATATCGTAGCCGACAGACGGACTGTGTCGATCTATAATGATTCCTCCTGGGATTACGGATTTTTATTGCTTGTTGTTTGCTCTACACACTTTTTTCGAACCCCTTTATTCGTTCAATCTTCCGGCTCTTACTTTTTACTTTTAATTGCAGTTGAATGAGTTCGTATATTACTCATTGTTTTTCTTTTCTTAAGAAATGTCCTGCCTCGCGTCCTAGGACATGGTAGTAGTGTTCTTCGACCGCCTCGGACAGCAATCTGAGAGCGGAAGTTTATAATCGCCAGTACAAGTCCTTTAAGAAACGCCCATAAGATCCGATTAATCAGAGCTGCTGTTACCGTAGCTGTTCTACATTGCCTTTGAGTTAATATGGGCTGTTTGGCTCTCTTTTCAAGAATCCAAGAAGGATTCCAACGCTTCCCTACTTACTGTACGTGAATTCATGAATACAGTTGCACGTCACTCTAGAGCTGACAGGCGCAAGATCGATTGAGCATAGCGCGAACCATGAATGTCTGGAGAGGTCGAAATATCATAGACACGACAAGATAGAGTATCCTGAAGCACCAAGCTGGAGGACAAGTTATATTAAGATCCCTGAACTGCAAGAAGGTATGGCTTGCTGCCATGGCCAATCTAGGTCCGATAATGTTCATGACACTATCACCGAGAAAGCCAGTGGAAGGAATACGGCATTGAGGGTGGCATATGCCGTGGTTGTAACATTGGCAGATGATGGCTATGCACCACCTGCTCCAAGGCCAAGAATGGCTGAATAAATACCAACTATTAAGGTGAGAATAACGTCCGAGATATAGTTTTGTGTCCAAGGATTAGATAGTTAAAAATTCTTTTTGAATGCCATGTTGCGGGGTGAGCTATCAGTTATAAAACTAAATTCGCCGGGGTGTGTTAAATTACTGGGCCTAAAGATAACGACCAACCCTTTATTTATAAACCATTTTAAGAGACAAGGTTCCTTTTCCCCAATGCCCGCGACATAACCCCAGAGGCATGTTTCTGACAGCACATTGTAAAAAGCTGGAAAGTGATCACGCCGAGGCCTCTATTGCCTGTGGGGCACTATGACTCTTTTGATTGAAGCCATCCTTCCTAACAGCAAGCTGGGAATTCAATAATGATCAAGACCAGCCAGCCCTTGACCGAAAACATTACCCTGTCGTGAAAGGAACAAAACTGGCTATTGTATTACAACCGGCCATTACTATTCTCGAACAATAAAAACTCAAAACGGTGCCACAAATACTAAGAGACAGAGCAGGGCACCGCTGCCGGCTACCACCTTGTCCAAATCGCCTGGTTTCTTGGTCGGGTTACACACTAACTGGCGTCTGATTTCGGAATAAACGATTAAGGTGCCGCTAACGTTCGGTAGAAGAGCGAGCAAATCATCTCATTACCTTGTCCGGGCCAAATACTGCCAAACTTCCACGGCGTCTTTATTAGACAAGACAGCTTCCATCCTCCGCACAAAGGTTGGCTCCTTTACCTCCAGAACCAATAGCGTTCCAGGTCTCGTGTGCTCAGTCATGAATAAAGATGGTGCTGAATTATTTCAGCATGGGAATGATCAGGACATGAGTCCAAATGCCCTATTTTGGCTAGCTCCCGGCACGAAACTACTAACATTAATCGCAGCTATGCAACTCGTCGAGCTCGATGTTCGCAGGCTAGATGATTCAGACCCGTTAGAAATGATCTGCCCTGAATTGAAGCAGGTTCTGGTTCTGGAGGAGACCAGCGATGGGTCGCTAAGGCTACTACCAGAGGAGGAAAGAATAACCCTCCGAATGTTACTCAATCATACCGGTATTTCCTTCACACCAGCTATAGATGCCGCATATTAATGCTGAGCAGCTGTATTCGAATACAGCCTCTTGATTTCCAAACTCAACAGGTGGAATGACCCATGTCGCGTGGATGAGTTCTCTAGTACTTGTGTGGATCTATTTGACCAACCTTTAGTTGATCAGCATGGCCAGCGTTAGGAGTACGGTACGAATGTCGACTGGGTTGGGTTGATTGTGGAGCACATGTCAGATCTTAGCCTAGATGCCTGCTGTAGGAAGTTCATTCTGGAGCCTATCGGTGTGCGGACTATTACCTTCCTACCAACTCCCGCAGCGAAAGAAAAGCTGGCGTTCGTGCACCAAAGGCAAACTTCTGGAGTAATAACCACAAGGCAGCATGATCACCTTTATCGACGGCCTTTAAATCTGCAGGAGCAATGTACGGCCGAAAGTCTCATTCATTCTGGCGGAGCTGGGTGTTTCCGGATACAGCTGGATACTGCGGTTACTATATCTATATCCTGCCTCAAGGCTTAATTTGCTAGCCAGCGGCTCAACAAATACCACAGAGGACATCCGCCCTTCTCAATCACGGGCTGCACATCAAAACAGGATATCGTATTCATAGGAGAAGAGGCAGCGGATGGCAAGTACCGCCTAATCCTTATTATACTGTGCCTGACCGCAGTTTTCGATGGTAGAAAATGTTCGATAATCAAGTACCGCAATCTTTCCCTATCTTTGCACGCCGGTCGTGGCTTACCTCCAAGCCTGACTTAATGCCGAGTTCTGGAAATGCCAAGAGGAGGTTGGGAAATTGCTATATGATAGTACTTTGAACTAAGCCCGTCGGAAACCGATTTGTCCATTAAGACTTGTTTCTCATCGGCCCTGCCGAACCTGAGTTGGATCCACCGATCCTGCAAGGTGGGTAATCGTCTTACCTAGGAAGCTGTGGCGGCCTTTACTATACTGTAATGAACGTCGACTGTAAAGGTCTGTAGTGCTCTATCTCATACATACACTTTCAACTTTAGCAAAGGAATGTATTTTTGGAAAGGATTTGGTCTCACAGATGTGGAAAACATAATTTAATTTGGCAGAAGTCAACAGGGACCTCGACTATCGGGCTGCTGCGACATGGTTCGGTGGTGCATTTTCATCTACGATCGACATATCCTGCGGTCTGTGGTATGGGTTTGCGGCTGATTGTTGTTGCAGCTGGTCGTTTCACAGAGCGTAAAGTGCTTTCTGCCACCATGGAAACCTTTTATTGGCGGCAGGGTCAAGGGTGGTAAGAATCATGTCCGGCCCGAAATCCAGCAATCCTGTGCCTCCGCCATATCTCTTGAATCCAGGCCCCAGGCTGGAAGCGGGTACTCCAGTGTTGGAAATTTGATTGTTCATTTCTGTGTTTCTTTGCATATTTCACACAGAACTTGCGTCCAACAGCGCAGTTGATAGCCTTATAGCTTTCGTATTTACTAAATGAAAGGTCTTTTGGGGTTCGAGCTTTCTGGCTTGTCCATGAACCTTTAATGAATGCTGCGGCACTTTGGAGATGTATTCATGATTTGTAGGGCTTCATTGCTATGCTGCTTCGGCCTCTGTACTTCCTGTTATAGGTACTCAAACGACTCGATACGCGACGGTCTTTGCCCCTCAAAAGCTGCTCAAGGCCGCAGTAGCTCGCTACCTGATCACTCTCGCTCGTGGAAACGTGCTGGACAACTCATGTTCCAACGACGTTCAGTACCACCGGAGGAAAGGCTACTTGGGATGCTGTCTCGAATTGAAAGACATGATAGATATTTCGGGAATCTCTGCGACGACGAAACTATATACATGCAGCTTCCCGCGACCACCAACTGGTTTCATAGCCATAGAAAGCGATACAGCCAAGTTGGATCTCGCGTACATTAAACAGCAGGAACCTTCAATTTATCCCAAGATGTCTGGCCCGGCCAGCCATCCGCATCCGCGCCAGTATATCCCAACTTCTCCTGCCAGCATCGGTATGACTCCAAGTCCTCATCGCTCCACTGCTCCGAAGGCCCATTGCTATACTTGTCACATCCCTCCTCGACTAGTCTCTCCCCCATAGCCTTGACGATTGGCGAGCTGGGTTCTTCCTTGAAGAAATCTGCACCGGGGAATGTCTCGTATTCGCTTGGCTCGCTATCATCGCCGCCGTCGCTAGGAGGAGCATTACCAAGAGGCACACCGCGAGCAGGGATCTCAAGAGTGTCGCCGACAGCAGGGTTACCACTCTCGGTGAGATTATTGGCAGTGATGATGTACCGCTTTGGGACGTTGTATTTTTCAGCAATGTCGTCGATGGTTTCGCCCTGTTGGACTATGTGTTCGCCGCCATCGTACAGTTTTCCAGGGTCGAGGGAGCCGTCCTTCACCAGCGCATAGAGTGCCTCTCCAGGACATTCCGTCGAGTATCCGTCTCTATGTCCGGCAATCTCCTGACCAGCTCCAGCGCGGCGCAGGTACGCAATGCTATCCTGGATACCAAGTATCTGGTCGTTTGTCGGCTCAGTCAGGCCGGCCTTTCCAAGGAAGGCCAAAACAGCGTAATGATTCGCGTTAAGGGTCGTTCCACCGTTGGCACCGGACCGGTGTCCCTTTCCACGGCCGTCAAAGACGTATCCATGTTCGCAGACGCCGAGAGAGTACGCAATGTCCATGTAGTTCTCGACAGTGTTGGCTAGATGCATCTCCTGGATGGACTTCATGTATGCGCCGCATTCGGAGTGTTCGCGGGAGGTGTACTCGGGGCCGACATAGTGTACCTTGACACCCTTGGGGTTTGTGATTGTTGTGTACGAGCCGCGCGGTGGTTCAGCGTTCCATTCATCGCGCGAGACAAAGTACATGGAGTGCACGCCAGAGGCGAGGGTGAGAGCGAGGGTTGTGTATGTGAGGAACTTGCTCGCCATCATGCCAAGTGAACGCTGGCCGTTGGTACAGATCGATCTGGAAGAAACAATGGTCAGCAAGATGGGGACCTTGGGATGATGGAACATTTTTATATCCACCATCGCCCCAACTCTCAACCCTTCTTGGTTGCAACTCCTCGCTCACGAAACAGGGAACCTCGTATCCATTCTCCATCTCGACCCACGATTCCCGCAAACACGAAAAAGCGCCAAGGAGACCCCCCACAAGATCTGCAGACGAAAAGATTCTGCCGTGTCGATCGCACAAATATAGCATCAGGAACGGGTCGCCCAGAAAAACACGAGCTTCCGTGCCAATAAGCGACATGTTCGTGGGCAGGCTGGAGATGGCGAAGTCACGATGCGACATCGTATCCGTCGAGCAAAACGTTAGTCCGCCACTAAAATTGCTGATGATTGTCCGTGTTTGAGGATTGGATATGCGACGCGCGACTTCGTGAAGACGTTTCGTCGGTCATCGTGCGCGGGTTGTGTGATTTCGAGCGATCCCCAGCGTCGGGTATCTCGTCGCTTCAGATTGAGATACGACGCGAACGTCGGTAATATGGGCAGCGGCTGCATTTGGAAACGACAAGCAATTATCTCTCAAACTGCGAAATGTCACACCCTTCTCGTCTCGACGAGTTGTATCGCAGCAGCCAACGTCGCTTATACGAGTGGTGAGTCTTCGGAAACCCATGATAGAATGAGGAAAGAGCGCATGATTTCCTGTTTTGGTCGCACCTTCCGTTTTCTGGACCAAACCTGGCGTTTTTAGGAAGGAGCGATACAGAGCCTGGCTTGTCCGAATAAGGAAGGCTCCAAGTCTCGCTGCGAGCGCTCGGGCTACACGAGTACCAGCGCAGAGATCGCTTGCGACGACACAGGAAGGCTAGAGGTATGTGTATAATGTGGGTGAGCAATCTACAATGTCCGTGGTTGTGAGAAGTAGCACATGAAGCAGAGTAGATCTCACAAGTAGACACTCAGTATTCAGGGGTTGGGAATTCCTGGAATCCCGCGCAGTATCGCCCGCAGTGACAAGCCGAAATCCCGGTAAAGAAGAGAAGACCATACAACCGAGGAAAACCGTGTTTCTGTCGGAAGATATGCTCTCGTCAGGACCCTGGCTCATACATCTTGCTCAGAGAGACGAACATCCTCTGTCAAAAGGAGACAAGACCCTCCGTCACAGCCATCTTGTCCTCCTAAACCATCCCAATCCTCACAAAAGCAGCCGTCCAATCCAGCACCGTAAACACCGCATCAAGGACCGTGATGCGATCCAGCCCCTTCCCCATAATCCACCTTCGGTTCGTCCGCGCAGTGGTAAAGTTCAAGAACGCCTGCGAGCAGTTCGCCAAACCAAGTACAAGAAGCGCGAGGATATCAAGCCGCAAGTCACCCTTCTCTGTCCCTGTCGTCAGGAACCGCGGTTTCTTCCAGATGGCCCACAGTCTGAGCAGCGCGAGAAGCATGGGTGCGGTGTTCATGCCGCCGAGGTAGGCCATTATGTCGTGGTGCCTTGACAAGAGTTAGGTTGATAATGTTCCAGCGTCAAAGAAGGAGCCAGTGAAAGGCGTACCATTTATCGCCTTCGGGAAGTGAGCGGATAGCGGCTTCCGATGCGTTTTTTCGCAACGAGAGCTTGCGCATCATGAATTTCTGGCGGAAGCCAAAGTGGATCAGGGCGCTGGTTTTGTATCAGCTACTGTCCATTGAACGTTGGAATCTGGATTTCCGCCCCGCGGTAAGAGGTATGCAGACCTTGTGAACCATAACTGTTGGGCCATGGAATAAGTATAGTCCCCACAGGGGCGCAGCGCCGCGTACTTACTCCATTGGTTGCATACAAGGCACCGAGGACATCGTTTCTCGCAAAGATCGACGACATATTAAGTTTTCGCTTTTTACCCCGGATTTCCTTTGTCTGACTGGAAATGCGGAGGTATTTAAGATGATTGCTGCGGGTGAGATTAGTGAACAACCGAGGCCTCTTTGGCTGGGCGTAAGCACTACGGAGCTCTGAGGCTGCTTTTCGGCGTATGCGTATATCGAAATATAGGAAGGCCTAATGATAGGATTCTGCTCGAATTCAAGCTGAGTGCCAGTAAGCGCTCGCTCTCATGATTGGCAAATGCGGCCTCGTAGCAGTGGCGCGCTACACCCTACTAAGGCTGCCCTATGGGCCATATGATGAGCGCATTGCCCACGACCGCCATGGGCAGGCCATGGACTATTTCATCCATATCAGAACGAGCACCTGTATACAGTTATCCGGTGGGTAGCTTATATAAACAAACTTCAAGTATCCGAAATGGCTAAGTTTGCATACCTGGATCTTGGCGAACCACTATAGTCAATACAATGTACTGTCAGCTCGAATGGCCATGCCAGTTTTCCACAGCAAGGCTATGTTCCCCCAGAATTATTCCTTGAAGGAAAATCCTATGAATATGATAGACTCGTCCAACTCTCAAATAAACAACAGCTTCCCAGCCGAGCGCCCATTCGGTGTCGTCGCAACAACAACAACCATCGCAAGGCTCGCATCTGGCACATTGATCTCTCTAAAGGGAGAACCCCCCTGGAACGGCAGACTGATGCTCGCAGTGACACTCCAGTGGCTGCCGTGTCGCACCACAGGCCCAACTGGGAGCCCATCAACATAGACCTCAAGGTTATATTCAAGAGGCCCACATGTGCCCGCCATTCTCACAGCACCGCGAATGAGCACCGTGTCCGGGCGTGGTCTCTCGACGTGAACTTCCAGTGCTGGCGCTTTGCTCTTCGGGAATTTCGCCGGCTTCTCGCGGCGCAGCGGCGGAATTACATCAGTCTCGAGCGTAGGCGCACGCGGCGGAGCAAATCGTCCCTCCGGATGCGCCTGCTCGAAAGCATATGCATAGCTCATCAACGCAAAGTCATCATAAGCCTTGGATGCAAAGGTTATACCAACAGGCATGTTCGTATCCTCCATCGCACCCATCGTCACCGTAACAGTCGGGACGCCGAGCTGCCGGATGGCAAAGTTCCCAAAGGACCTGGCGACGCCATTCCACCACGTTGGAATCGCTGCGTCGACATCGGTCTCGGCGGCTTCGCGTCCGACGTCCCCATTGGTTGGCCATGCAAGCAGATCGAGTCCTCTGCGCTCCATCCAAGCTTCGAGATCGCATTTGCGTCGAGCCTCGAGGGACGATAACCAGGGCCCGAGACCAGGAATCTCGTTGATGGGTCCTGTCCGCGACTTGACGGCGTTGACGTAGTTGGTGTTGCTGCTGGTGCGGTTCCCGAACCTATTGCCGTAGCGGTCTGGGAGCGTCCCCGGGAGTTGGGGAAAGATTAGTGCGGGGTCGACGTCGGCGAGAGTCGTAACGCTGCTGGTGTCGTTGACCATTATGAGGAAGTCGTCCCAGGCGTATGCGTCCATATCGCCGGGGCTCGAGCTGCCGTTGAAGTATGACGGGAGAGGATATTCGCTGCCGACCTCGTTTACTACTGGAGCGACCTCGTGGTTTGTGACGAGGGGGAATTCCACTTCCTCGATGATCGCGCCGAGGCGTTCGAGAGTGAGCCGGGCATTGTCATAGAGCGATCGCACCGACGGGCTCATGTAGACGGGCTGCGCAGCCGGGTCGCCTTGGCCGATAAACATGCGAGGAATCCCGATGCGCTTCCCGGATAGCGAGCTCGTATTAGCCACCCCCATCAACGAGGATGGCCGGATGCTCTCCGGGCTCGGTAGAGAGACAAAAGGCTGGTTCCTCCAGAAATCACCCTTGGTATCTGCATCGCTGGCGGCAATAACATCCAAGATAGCCAGCAAATCCCTCACGGATCGCGCATGGGGAACAACTACATCCGCGGATGCAGTCAGAGGCCAGTTCCCGCGGATAGACAGAATCCCACGCGACGGGGTATACGCTACAAGACCATTATTCGAAGCCGGCGATCGGCCAGACGAGACGGTTTCCTCGGCCAGACCAAACACTGCCATGCTCGCTGCCGTCGAGACACCGCATCCGTTGGACGAGCCAGACCCCATAGCTGCCGCCAGGTATGATGCGTTGTACGGGCTTTCAGCGCGGCCGTATAGCCCGCGCTGCATGCCCCCGTTTGCCATTGGTGGCATATTTGTCTTCCCGAGAGGAATGGCGCCAGCGGCGCGGAGGGCGCCGACTGTGAAGGCATCATGGCCTGCAGTAAGGTTCTGGAATGCCGGTGAGCCTGCTGCTACGGGGAGGCCCTTGATCATGTAGCTATCCTTGGCAGTGAAGGGGATCCCTTCGACCAGAGAGCGGATAGTGCCGTTGTGCGAGGCGCGATACTCATCGGATGCTTGGGCATCCTCGAAGACGTGGGTGTTGATGACTGGAATCGCATTGAGGCGAGGCCCTCGTCGGTCCAGACGCGCAACGCGATGGAGGTGCTTGGCGAGGAGTTGCACGGCGTTGATTTGACCTGAGCTTAGGGCATCTTGCAATTCTTCGATCGAGGCTTCGACGATGCTAAGGGCCTGGTTGATGCAGCGTTAGTCACAGTGGAGGTACCTCGAAAACGATGTGGAATCGGCCATACCGCTGCAGTGGAGGCCACAAAGGACATGAGCAGTAGAAGCGCAATGAGCCTTTTCAGAAGGCTTCGAGGTGAGCGAACTGCCATGATGAGACTGTAGCCAGATTGAATCCCGGCGATGAACACGAGATCGGGCAGCTGCCAGCAACAAGAGCGACACCTTGGTGCTCCATTAAAGGCCATATCTAGTGAGGCTTTATATATAAATTGCTGGGTATTATGCCACGCGTGGTTCTCTCCCTCCCATGGCTGCCCGCATCTTGCTATCAGTGCCAGTGACAAGGATGTATAGACCAGGAAAATATCAAACAAGTCAGGAGTCCAACAGCCGTATCGCGACTGGCTCGCCCTAGCTGTCTCCCACCCATATGCTATCTCTGTACTAAATCTCCCTAAACCCTAAGCACGATAAGCTGAGAGCGAGCATGATTGGATCGGATCCAGCCGGATGACAAAGGGCTTGGCAGTTGAGGTACTCCAACTTTTCTTGGAGTACGCACTGGTTGTTGCGATCCTTGGCGAAGTGGAAGAGAAAGCGCAGGATGATCGGTCTGTCTTCGAAGGCTCCATCATGCATGAGTGTGCATAAGCCAGTATACCTAAAGGGGAAGCAGCAGCCGATCAGGCTCCGTTCGATTCCCTGGAGCATCGGGGTCAACGTCTATCCCAGCTACCGGCCAGCTTACTCCGAGCGAGGACTATGCCAAGTCTAATGCAAGATCCTTCGCATGTAAGCGATCTACAGTAGTGGTACGACGGTACAACATAGTAGTGAAGGTCCAAGCGAGATAAGAGGACTCTTCTCCAACGTCGTCTTGGCATTCCCGGCCCTGCATTCTCCTCGTAACATGCCAGAGCGAAGGAAAACTTGGTCGATTGCATCAGGCCCAAATGTCGTCATCAAATGCCTCTGGTAGAGACAGGGTTCATCAAATTCCATTCGAGACGACGGACGATATCCTATAATGGATTCGCGACAGGGCGGGTAGAGTCATATGTTGCCAAGAGCCTAACTCAAGGCCAACATGAAGCTAGGATCGTTCAAAGATAAGAAAGAATAGGAGTTCTTATCGGTCTATAATGTCCAAAGTGATGTGCGTTCGGCATGGAGAAGAAACGTAATGAGATAAGATAGCATGGCATATGTCGGCTTTGCCTTGATTGTACAGCATCCGTCAGTCCACGGTGAGTACATTCCGTGGAGCAGAACAGGCAGCAACAGGAGATGGCGTGCGTATAAAGGCAGCTGCAGCGCCGATCAGTCTAATATCGCCGACCAGAATCCAACAGCGCCTCCGCCGGAGCTTCCTCAAAATGCGGCTGCTCTCTTCTACACAGATTCTAGCCTCGTGCCTCCTGCTCGGTCACGCAGTCCAAGCTTCCTCTATAAGACCCGACATCCGCGCAGACACCAACCGCGATGGAGTCGTGGACCTTGATGGAGACTCGGACGTGTACGCCAAAGGCCGTTGGTCTGAATCCCGCGGTGCAGTCTTCCTCGCAAATGTAGGCGACAAGTACCGTCGCTGTCCAAACGAGGATCTGGCCGGCAACCCGCTGAGCAACGATGAGCTCGCCTACTGCAACGACGCCTCGGGCCACCTCCTTCTCGCGCCCGAATACGTTGCACCGGTGCGAACGGTTCCTCTGGGCAATATTTCCGAGGGCGTGACTGCGCACATCTACGCGACCCCTCGTGAAGCCTACGAGCGGGTCCGAATCTTCCTTCTAGATGACATTGAGAACCCCAACGCGACAGAATCATGGAGACTGATCGACCGCCAATTCAACTTCAACGCGACGCAGCTCAGCGCGGGCCTAATCCTCGGTATTGACGGGCGCGAGTTTGTTAAGGACAAGGAGATCTGGGACGGCCATGTTACCGTCAACTTTGACGTCTACGATACCCCCGGCTCATCAAGCCACGTCAGCGATTCAGTCGCGCTCAAGGTTGCACCCGTCCTAACGCACCACCACCTGCAGCGCGTGGAACAGCTTGTAACAACCGAAGCAAACGACACGAACCCGATCCAGCAGTACTTCGTCCAGCAAATGGACGCCGCCCGCGAAGCCGCCGGGATCGAAACCCCGCTGCTTCTATTCAACCAGTCCTCCGACGTCTGGGCCCAGGATATCCTCGAGCCCGCGTACACAAGCATGCCGGGCCCCAACGGCCCCATCTCACTACGCATAATGCTTCGCTCCGCCCAATCAACACGTACCGGCGGCCGGCAGATAATGGAACAGCTCCGCGGCCCCGGTGTAGGCTCTTTCCAACCAGGCAGCGCGTCGGGAATCGGCTTCGCGGCCTCGGGCTTCGGATACCACACCATCAACAGCTACGGAAACCTCGAGACGATTCCGCCCTATCGCTCGAAGTCGGGTGTTCTCTACAAAGCGGGACGAGTTATCCAGGGTAAACATTACGAGGAGTATCCTGCACAAGCGATCCGTGATCTGATCATGGGCCAGGACGTGCAGAATACGCTTTTCCTCGAGACGGGGTGGTTGCGTGTGGGGCATGTTGATGAGTTCGTTCAGTTCTTGCCCTACGAGAATGATCTTGGTTTCACGATCGGGATCGCGAGTCCGCGCGCCGCTCTTGAGATACTCTACAGCGCGCAATCGAACGGGCACGGCGGGGTTCCCGCTATAAGCTTCGACGCGGAACCGCAACTCCAGCGCTTCGACGAAGAAATGCCCCCTTTCCTAAACATGACGATCGACGACGTACTTGCCAACGAAACATTCATCCAAGTAAACACCTACGCGCAGAAATGGATCGACCATAACCTCGACATCCTCCTCGGCGACATCCCCCTTGCGCGCGACGACGTCATCGAAGTCCCCGGTCTGTACCACGATACGTCGACAGGCGGTACATACGTTCGCCCCGACGGGCTGGATTACTACTGGCCGCCCGTGCTGGAGGGCGAGTACCAGCTCGGCGCGTTCATCCCCGGTCCGATAAACGGCGTTGTTATCGGGAGCCATTATATCAGTCCGAATCCGTTTGGGCCGGTTGTTGACGGGGTGGATGTTATTGCGGCTGCGGTGAATGAGGTTTATGCGCGGGCGGGGATGAATGTTACCTTTGTCGAGGATTATTTCAGTCATCATTTGAGTAATGGCGAGGTGCATTGCGGGTCGAATACGCTGAGGCAGACGGATCTAGTTTGGTGGCAGTAGAGTATTGCCTGATTTGGGGTTGGACGAAAGTCGGCAGTGTATATAGCGGGTCATTGGCAATGGGCTGACCGAGATATGAGGCATACAAGGTATATCTGGCTATTCTACTACAAAAGGTACTGGGTGTGAGATTCTCCCTTCATATTGGGAGCGTTGCTCGAGCACAATGCAATCATGTACACAAATGGAATAGAGTGGAGCGGCTTGAAACACCCAAGAGCAGAGTGGTACGGCTATTTATGGATAGAAGGCAGGATCGAACAATCCCATCAAATCCACCCCCAGGAACTGCAGATCGATCATGTTCGCATCGACCTGAGGGAGAAAGAGCTGATCGTGAGTTGCGGTCATAGACGCCATGTCAGATAGAGACGTAGTCAAATCGTGTCCAGCGTTACTCGATTGCTCTACCTGCTGGTGGGCCATGGCACTGGAAGTGTGCTTCAGCGGCGTATCTGACGACATCTGAATCTCATGAGAAGTATGTGACTCAGTCACCATGTTGTGGGCAGTTGAAGACAATGATAATCGTTTCTGTGGAGGCTGTGCGATGCGGAAGCCCGTGTTCCTTGCTGTAGACTGATAACCGTGCTGACGGGTTGTGTTGAGCCGGATATCGGAGATGTACTGCCGGGCCAAGTGCGCAAACTCCGATATCAGGCTTCCCGGGAGGATGCCGTTGCTGGAGTACTCGATCCGACTGAAGTGTCCGCTAGCAATGTCCAGGAGTGCCATATTGAGGCTCGTTTCGGGGTGACTGGGGTTGTGAATTACTAGGTCGAATAGGATCATCAGAGAAGAGAGGGGCATTAAGGCCAGGAGCCTGCAACATGGTCAGCTCATGCGCGCACGAGATAGGTAACGAAGGAAGGAAACTTGCCAGAGAGGGGTGGATGGCGAGATTTCAATGTAACTTGTGAGTTCAAGCATACTGCGAGCAGTCTGCATCAGTTCCGTCCTCAGATCCAATAGCTGGCCGGCATCCAGACCATCGTTTTCGCAATGGAGAAGCGTCCAGGTAAGCGTCTGGTAGGCATAGTGGTAGTAGTAATGACAGCGAAGCGCAATTGAAACGGCATGAGTCTCCAGTAGTAATCTTGGTCGAAGGGGCTCGCCGGGGCGGAAACGCGAAGGGATCGAGTCCCGCCAGCCTTGGAGCTCTGATTGAAGTGACTTCACCGTGGAATAGCGAGACGCCCATGGTTGGGGCACAGAGGAGATTGTCAACAGCCGGCTTTGGATCTTTGATGCGAGGCGGGCGTATCGCACGAAGCTCACGAACCAGTCATAGTCACTAAAGGGCCGTACACCGGAAGCAGGAAGCGGACAACTGATGTGTGCATCTTGTAATGTCTACACTGCCGCGTTAGACCTGTTAGACGTCGAGCTTGGAGGGGAGGTACACAGACCGGTACTTTTCCAGTTGTAAAGCATGATGTCTTTTCCATATAAAACAGAACCCAGAATGTTCGTGTCGACGAACTGTCCGATGCTGAGGTGATCCTGTTTATCCCAAGATGCTGAGCCAGAACAGCTGCCTCGGCAAGGATTGCGGACTCGAGTCCAAAGCCAGACAGTGCTTGGCAGAATATGGCCTAGAGAAAGATGGTTAGTATCACAAATGGGTTTGGCGAAAAGAGTAGCTCACCATTGCCATCAAGGCCTGGAGGATGAATCCATCGTTAGCGGTGCGTAGACACGGAGCTAGCCCGACGTACCTGAAGCGAGGTTAGGGATCCCCTGAGCAGGCAGGTATCGCGCCACAAAACTAGCGCTCTCTCAAAATAAGCCCACGACGACCCGGTCTTTGTTTCATAGCCGCCCCCGTCATTGTGTTGACAGCCGACGGCGACTACCGCGTAGTATAGACAGGCCCACGGCTTGTCAGTGGCGAGGTCCTGCTCAATGGTTGGGGATAGCGCCCGCTTTTCAAAGCTATGACTGTCGAGAAATGGATGGAAAGGATGAATTTGCTGCATGTAAGCTTGCAAAAGGAGATGGATGAGTACCACCCCCTAGCTCAATAGTAAGTAATAAGAAAGACATACTGCGTATATATTCTTCAACCAAGGGCTGCCCCGGCGATAGATGTGCGCTTTCTGCATTGCGATCAAAGTAATCATCGAGGTTAGGGAGAGCAGGTGAACTGGAACTCTTCAACCTTGATGCGATAAACACCCGAATGGTATCAAGCAGGTTCTCGAGCTTGGTGTGGCCGAGGCGTTGGCTGATGGCCTGGACGCGCTTGGCGGGAAAGAACGAGATATTGGGGCTGGGTCCTGATATGTTTATTAACTAGGTGCGTGTTTAATTGCACGATTACGATTACCCAGGAGTGTCGTTAACTAGAAATCTCCCCGTGAGCCAAGCTTGAGACCCAGAAGGAAGCGGCACTGTACCTGGTCATGGCTGCTATTTGGCCGGGACAGTTGGCGAAACTCATTGCGGTCGAGCAGATGGTCAATATACAAGCTGGCATGGCCATCAATGTTTTCCTGCTCAACAGGTTCCGAAGAAATAAGTTGCCGGGGTATACGAGGAGTGGTTACAGACGTCGCGCGGGAGGATGCGGCTCCGACTGGAAACAGTCAGCACGATTTCCGGCTTTGATTCAATGGCCAACATACCGATTTCATCCGGGTTCTTCCTCCGTTGGCGATGTTTCTGGTAGCTGAAAGTACAGGGTAGATTGCGGGACTGCACGACAGCGTCAGCGGCGGAGGCGCAAGTGATCGGGGTCGGGGACGGCTGACATGGCAGTATTGGCAGGCAACCTCGGCAACCGACTCTTCGACTCCTAATCGCTCATGAGGGGTCATCTCGGCTGACGGAGGCATGATACTCACGGCACCGACTTTTCCTAGACCGACAGCGATCGCACGCTTTGTGGAACAGACCCATTGCGGCTGGAAAGGGAAGAAGCTGTGATAACGGAGGGAGAACGGGGCTTCGGAGGGAATAATATAACAGAAATAGCAGCAGACGCCCAGACCAGCTTCGGCGCCGAAGTGGGGGCTCCTGACGTCGACCCAGCCCTACTTCCGCTCCGACGCCGAAACTCCGATGGCTCAGGAAGAAGTGTATATATTTGCTGTCTTTGGCGTAATTTTTTTGCCGTTCACATGCAAGTATCATATAGTCGCCTCGAAGATGGAGTCGGAGAGCTATCAGCTAGATCGTGTCCTAAAGGAATCGCGGTCATCCCATTCCAGTCACACTGCGCAGGGAGAGACCGATGAAAGGCCTCTTCCTCGAGCGAGCATCTCAGCAGAAGGACAAGAAAGTATCATCCAGCTTGCAAGAAGACTCACCACTCAGTCTGTCTCGCGCAATCAAACCAACGATGCCCTCCCCAACCCCTTCATCGATGGCAGCGACCCGCGACTCGATCCACAGTCGGACCAGTTTGACGCTGCTCGATGGGCACGACTGTTCCTGCAACTGTCCTCGGCCGATCCCGAAAAGTATTCTAAGCGCAAGGCCGGCGTTTCTTTTCGCAACCTGAGTGTCTCGGGAGTTGGGAACCCGATCGCATACCAGCAGACGTTTGCGGGAATAATACAGCAGCCACTGGACATTGCACTGAGCCTGCTGCATCCGAGAGATAGGTCGATTCAAATCTTGAAGCAGCATGACGGATTGGTGCGAAGCAAGGAGATGTTGCTCGTGCTTGGGCGGCCTGGAAGGCACGACGCTCGCTCCCTCCTCCTTCGTTCAGGGATTCTGACCATGCCTACAGCGGCGTTTCTACTCTCCTAAAGACCATCGCTGGTGAAACAAGAGGACTCAGTCTTGATTCTCCGTCACGCCTAAACTATCAAGGTAATCATCGCCTCGATTGCCAAGTTGATGTCGCTAACCCCTCTCCGATCCTAGGAATCCCTCAACACACGATGCACCGAGAGTTCCGCGGCGATGCGATTTACCAGGCCGAGACAGAGGTCCATTTCCCTCAGCTTACGGTCGGACAGACGTTACAATTCGCAGCACTGGCCAAGACGCCGCGCAATTGCCTTCCGGGAATATCGCGAGAGACATATGCTGCACATCTTCGTGACGTCGCGATGGCAGTCTTTGGTATCTCGCACACGCTGAACACAAGGGTTGGAGATGACTTCATCCGTGGTGTGAGTGGTGGCGAACGCAAGCGCGTCAGTATTGCAGAGGTCGCCCTCGCCCAGAGTCCTATCCAGTGTTGGGATAACAGTACAAGGGGCCTTGATAGTGCAACTGCAGTGGTATGACTCCCACTGCGAGGGTCATCCGAGGCATCGACGACACAAGCGCCACGAGTCTATCTCGTCTATTGCAATCATCAGCAGTGCCTCCTTGACACCTCGCTTGACTTTCTGTCCTCGGATTCGTGCTGACCACTTTTGTAGGAATTCGTCAGAACGATACGACTCTCGGTGGACATTGTGCAAACTGCGGCCATAGTCTCATTGTACCAGGCCCCTCAGCAGGCCTACGACGTCAGTCATCCCCTTCTATTGCTTATTTCTCTCGATATGCTCATCATTGCAGCTATTTGATAAAGTCACCGTACTATATGACGGTCGGCAGATCTACTTTGGGCCGATCGACCAGGCTGAACAATACTTTGTCAACATGGGATACCACCGCCCCGATCGGCAGACCGTGCCAGATTTCCTCACTTCAGTGACCAGTCCAGCCGAACGGAGAGTTCGGCCAGGGTTCGAGAGCCAGGTTCCTCGCACAGCGGACGAGTTTGCCGCCCGATGGCATGAGAGCGACCTAGCCAAAGCCGTCTTGAATGAGATTGCCTCGTTTGAAGAGCAATACCCAGAAGGAGGCCCCTCTGTAGACGAGTTCCGTGCTGCGAGACAGACAGAGAAGGCTACACTGATGTGAGCTGACCAATCCTCCAGCTTTCCTGGCCAAGGAGACTGATTGTGCTTTCAGGGCGCCAAAGTCCCCCTATACGATTTCGGTCCCCCAGCAAGTGGCGCTCTGCGTTCGGAGGGGTTATCAGCGAATCATGGGAGACAAGACTTTCTTCATCGTTACAGTCTTTGGCAATTTCTTGATGGCTCTTTTGCTTGGTAGTGTCTTCTACGACTTGTCTGATGACACTTCGAGCTTGAACAACCGGTGCATCCTGCTGTTTTTTGCACTGCTGTTCAACGCACTGAACAGTTCTCTCGAGGTCTGTACTACTTATCCACTATGTTCCTAATCTGCTAATGAATGACAGATCCTGTCATTATACACCCAAAGACCCATCGTCGAGAAACATAATTCGTACGCATTCTACCATCCACTGTCTGAAGCCCTTGCCTCGGTGATCTGCGACCTTCCTTCGAAGTTTCTGAGTACTTTGGCCCTCAACATCCCTCTATACTTTATGGGCAATCTGAATCAAAGCGCTGGGGCATTCTTTACCTACCTTCTTTTCGGCATCACATCCACCTTGACCATGTCGTCCATCTTCCGTACTATTGGCCAGGCAACCCAAACAATCGCTCAAGCATTGACTCCAGTGGCACTGTTTGTTATCGGTCTAGTTATTTATGCTGGCTTCATACTTCCCATACGCAACATGCAAGGCTGGCTGCGCTGGATCAACTACATCAATCCCCTTGCATATTCATACGAGGCCATGGTCGCAAATGAATTCCACGGGCGAAATTTCCCTTGCACCAGCTTAATCCCAGCGGGTCCTGGTTACGAAGATGTTAGCAATCTGGAGCGTACTTGTTCCATTCCTGGTGCCGTTCCTGGCGGCAGCGATGTAGCCGGCGATGCCTATGTCGCCGCCAGCTATGAGTACCAATTTTCCCATGTTTGGAGGTATTTTTGAATCTGTACGGATCTATCTGCCCATCTGACTGACTATTCTTAGAAATTTTGGTATTTTGATTGGCTATATCGTGTTCTTTACCTGTGCGTATATCCTCGTTGCGGAGTACATTGTGCCGGATAAGCCACGCGGGGAGGTCCTTCTTTTCCAACGCGGGCACAGGCAAGTCACGCACGAAAAGCCCCAGCGCGACGAGGAATCTGCTACCGAGCCCAGACATGTTGGTGAAGAATCCATCAATGGTCCGCCGCCATACAGCAAGGAAGCGAGACAAATCAACCTTCAAAAGCAGAGCGGGGTCCTACACTGGAAAGACGTATGCTATGAAGTGTCAATCAAAGGCCAGCCCCGGTTGATTTCGGACCATATCGACGGTTGGGTGCGACCGGGCACACTAACTGCATTAATGGTGGGTCTCTGCATTCTTTGGCTTCTCTCGGAAAGTGTACAGTGGCTGATCGAACACGCAGGGAGCCTCAGGCGCTGGAAAAACAACTCTTCTCGATGTGCTCGCGAATAGGGTGACTACTGGAGTCATTACTGGGGATATATGTGTCAACGGACGCCCTCGAGATCTCTCCTTCCAGCGGCAGGTTGGTTATGTCCAGCAGCAAGATCTACACCTACAAACGACCACGGTACGAGAGGCTCTCCAGTTCAGTGCCTGCCTGAGGCAACCTTCGCATGTTCCTATGCAGGAAAAAATGGATTACGTGGAAGAGATTATTGCGCTTCTGGAAATGGAAGCCTATTCTGGTGCTGTTGTCGGCGTCCCTGGTGAGGGCTTGAATGTTGAACAGCGGAAGAGACTTACTATCGGTGTGGAACTCGCTGCAAAGCCTGATCTTCTTATTTTTCTGGATGAGCCGACTTCCGGGCTTGATAGCCAAACGGCGTGGTCCATATCGACCCTGCTCAGAAGATTGGCAGACCATGGGCAGGCGATTCTATGCACGATCCATCAACCTTCGGCGATGCTTTTTCAACAGTTCGATCGCCTCCTCTTACTTGCGAAAGGTGGCCGCACGGTCTATTTTGGCGACATTGGTGAAAATTCACGGACGATGGTGGACTATTTCGAACGCCATGGCGCTGAGCCTTGTGCGCCTGAAGCGAACCCTGCGGAATGGATGTTGCATGTCATCGGGGCTGCTCCTGGAAGTACCGCCATTCGTGACTGGCCCGAGATGTGGAAATCGAGTCCTGAATTTACCCAGATCCGTAATGAGCTGGAGCGGCTCGAGAACTCCAACGTTGACTCGGTTCCGGAAGCAGAAGCCCCCCAGCAGCAGTACGCTGCTCCGTTCCATACTCAAGTGTTTCTCTGTACCAGGCGGGTGTTTGAGCAGTACTGGCGCACACCTTCATATCTCTACAGCAAGTTGATTCTTTGCTTTGGAACCGTGAGTTTCTCTTTGATGCAGTGTTGTTTACAAGACCTGATTTTCTTCTAGGCTCTTTTTATTGGCCTCTCCTTCCTACAGACTGAAGTAACCTTGATGGGTCTCCAGCATCAAATGTTCGCCATCTTCATGTTGTTGGTGATTTTCGCTTTCCTCGCATACCAGACAATGCCCAACTTTATCATGCAGCGGGATCTATACGAAGCAAGGGAGCGACCGTCCAAGGTTTACTCGTGGTCATCCTTCATGCTCGCTAATATCCTTGTCGAGCTTCCGTGGAATACTCTCGCTGCCGTTATCACCTTCCTTCCATTCTACTATCTCATCGGAATGGACAAGAATGCGGAGGTGACAGACACAGTCACCGAGCGGGGTGGGCTCATGGTTCTCCTGATCTGGTCCTTCATGATGCATTGCGCAACATTCACCAGTATGGTTGTTGCCGGTGCTCCGACGGCAGAGGTTGGGGCCATCATCGCACTCATCATGTACTGCATGTGTCTGATTTTCTGCGGGTACGTTATTCAACCTTGTTTCAACGAAAACTAAGATGATTTCCTAACGGGCTACAGAGTTATGGTCCCATCTACTGCCCTCCCCGGCTTCTGGATATTCATGTATCGCGTATCTCCCCTCACCTACCTCATCAGCGGGATGCTCTCAGCAGGCCTTGCAAAGACGCCAGTGACATGCAACGAGATCGAACTAGTCACCGTGCAGCCAGCCAACGGCCAGAACTGCGCCGACTATCTCGCTGCGTATATGCAAGTCGCCGGCGGAGAGGTGTACAACCCGAACGCAACAGAAAACTGCCAATTCTGCCCCATGGCTTCCTCCGACGCATTCCTGGCATCTGTAGGCTCTGACTACGGGGATCGATGGCGCAACTTTGGGCTGATGTGGGTTTATATCATCTTTAATGTGGCAGCGGCTCTTGCACTATACTGGCTTCTCAGGGTTCCGAAGTCGGGGGAGGGTGCTAGGAGGACGCTTGGGAACGCGGTGGGTTCTTTGAAGAGGATGGTGATTAGTAGCTAAGGAGGAGGATATTACATTGGGTTTCTATAAGATTATCAGATCTACACAAGGTCTTTCTCTTCGCTCCATTTCTTGTTACTCTCATTTGGCCTTTTCTCATCTGTTTGCTTCTAGTTTCGACTATCGTTAGAGCTACCATTTCACTATGTAACTTCACTAATAATACTTGGTTCTTTTTTTTCTCGGCGGCATACAATGCTGAGAATAGCGAGCTTGAATCTGTACAATCTGCGAAGGTCTTCCCATGAGTAGCAGATCGGACCTACCCTCCGCAATTCCCATGGGTTGAGTCGTGTTTGAAGCTGGCCAAGAGACGGCCAGACCTCCGTCTTTCCCGTTCCGCTTGGCCGAGGGGACTATCAAACAGGGGCCGTCTCGAGTAGACGAATCACATCCCCGCAATCAAATATTTCCATCATTCAGCATCAGCTAAAAAGCGGAGAATCCCTGTTTCGATTTCCTCAGACGGATCTCCGAAGACCCAACTTGGCACGGAGCTTCATTATTTCCAGACGTGTCCTTGTCAGGGAAGAATGATAAACGTAGTTAGCAACTACTGCTTAATATCGATTGAATATATATACCACGGCTAGTCGTGGCTTCTTCCTGTCCCTCAGCCCATCGTACAACACAGGCCCAGGACCCTAACCCTCACAATGAAGCCCCTCGCAGCCCTCCCCCTCCTCGCAACAACAGCCCTCGCAATCCCACACTTTTCCTACCCCCTCCCAACAACAAAATACCTCATCTCCTTTGGCGACAGCTACACATCCACAAGCTTTAATATAACCAGCACAAAGCCCTCGTCGTCGAACCCACTGGGAAACCCGCCCTGGCCCGGCTGGACCTCGGCCGGCGGCGCAAACTGGATCTCGAATCTCGTCGCAAAGTATAATGACAGTCTCCTGTTGAGCTATAACCTCGCCTACGGCGGCGCAACGGTTAATGCAAGTCTTGTTGCGCCGTATACGCCCGAGGTGTACTCGTTGATTGATCAGGTCGCCGAGTTTAATGAGTACTTGGTCCCGCCGCCGGCGTATGCGAAGTGGAAAAAAAAGAATACGCTCGTCGCGGTTTGGATGTGAGTTCCCGCATCTTCCCAAAGGGTTGCCACCTATTTTGTCTGGGATCGCGTGGCTGACCCCTTGAATTTCCAGGGGCGTAAACGATGTCGGCGGCTCGTGGTGGCAGACGGACCCCGATGCGCTACAGGTCGAGATCCTCGACCAGCTGTTCGAGCAGATTGAGCTCGTCTACGCGGGTGGAGCGAGGAATTTTGCTCTCCTCACCGTTCCCCGTACGTTCCCCTCCCTATCTACCCCTTCCGCTGAGTGAGGCAATCCTAACAATCCCAGCAACCGAACGAACCCCGCAAGTAGCCCAAGGCGAGAACGCCGAGTATGCAATCGAGCATCTCTCCGCCGCAATCGCAACCTGGAACACAGGTCTAACCTCGCGAGCGAGCACCTTTGCCGCTGCGCACGCCGACGCCGTCGTCAAAATCACAGACATGCAGCCTGTGTTCAATGACCTCCTCGATGCGGATCCCGAGGCCGCGAGCTGCTGGAATGAGGACGGGGTCACTTGTCTTTGGTTCAATGACTATCATCCCGGGCTCGCGATTCAGGATGCGGTTGCGAGGGCTGTTGCGGCGGATTGGGAGGGGTTTTTTGTTGTTTCTTAGGTCCTTCTTCCAGTGCTCTTGGCAGGACTATGTGCATATGAAATAGTCAATTCTATTGTCCATTCATATATTCATGAGCCCTCTCAGCCTTTTCCACTGCTTTCCAAGCATGGCCAAATCACATGGAAGATATTGTCGTTGCCTACAAATCAGACCACGAGTGTGTCTCACTGATATTAAACCTTCCTTTCACGGCTTTTCCACCAATATTGGCACTACTATTGCTGATGAATCTATCGGTCGTACATCTTGAGCGACTCCGTCGGATGGGAAGGGTCCTACCTGCGGTGGTCGCGCCTTCCTTGAATAATGCCCCGAGTACAAGAGGGAGGTGCGGTCGAGACCCCGTGTGTCACTCCTTCCTATTATGTTTCAGGAAGGCGCGCGTCTTGGTCGCACTTCCCTATGGTTCAACCTAGTATACTTTATCGCAGAGAAGGTGCGACCCGGGATCCAGGCGTCACAGACGGTGCACAGATCCCGATCACCCTAAGCGGGACGCGAGGCTTGCGACGCTCTTAACTTGGCACATGCCATCCGTCGTCGAGTGGGTCCTTATGGTGAAAGAGTAAAACAACTCGAAATTATACTAAAAAGACGAGATGGATTCCCATGGTATTTTTTATCTACTCCACAACTCAAGGCCATCCTACGACTTGTATGTGCAGGAAGACCGGGCGACGCAAAAGAGTTCGGCGAAGCACGAAGCAAGGCGATGAACCAAATCTCGGCAGTCCTGCTCTTATGTCACATAGCTCTAGTGGTAGGGTTGGCTTAGAAAACGTTGCCCTTGGTCTGGGTCATCTCCTTGACATTCAGGTTCCTCATCATCCCCACCCAGATGAATCCAAGGACCATGAATGCCGTGCCAGCCGCAAGCATGCGCACCTGCGCATACCCATACGCCTCGTTCAGAACATCGCGCACCTCCGTGCCCACCGCATACGTAAGCTGCGTCGGCAAACTCTCAAAGATAAGCGCGACATTCGGCTGCGCGGATGCAGGGAGGTGGTTTTCCAAATAGGGGAGGAACGTATTGGTCCAGATTGCGCCGCTGATTGCGGACCCGATCGAGGATCCGATACTGCCCATGACGAACAGGAGCGAGAGGACGGCCGCGACGTGCTGATGGTCGACGGAGGCGAGGACGGCGAGCTGCACGCAGAGGATGAAGATGCTACCCGCGACGGAGAAGAAGATCTCGCACATGACGATGTACCCAATGTACCCGCCGGGCTGCCGGAAATGGATCATGAGGCCGAGGCCGAAGATGTAGAGGGGCACGCAGACCCAGAGGATCCATTTAAATCGGCCGGTCCAGCGGATGAGCCAGCCCGCGACAAAGAGGAAGACGAAGGAGACGACGCTGAAGGTATTCACCACGTATCCTGCCGTCGCGACGTCGAGCTCGTAGACCACCTGCAGGAAGGAGGAGAGATATGCCGCGTAGCAGTAGTACGAGACTTGGTATGTCATGTCGAGGAGGCAGGCGCCCAGGACGGTCCGGTCGGTGAGGTGCTTGTAGTTTAGGAATGGGACTGGGGCGACGAGGAACTCGTAGAGCCCGAAGAAGATGATGAGGAAGAAGCCGACGATGATCATGGCGATGATGTAGCCGGTCTTCCAGCCGTGGGGGGCTGTGCTGGCCAGGGTGAATGGGAGCAGGAATACGACCATTCCGCCGGCGAACAGGACGACTCCGGGCACTGTTTGGATGCGTTAGGAGATCAGTCCAACCCAAGCATCGTGGCCTTTGCAAAGGACTTGGTTGTATCACTCACAGTCAAACTCGATAATCGCCCACCAGATGGACTTTGGGCTAAGCGACCACTGCCTCTTCTCCCTAACGAGAACCCCCTTCTTCTCGGCCTTGCGGAGGTTGTACGAAAGCATACCATAGATGGGCAGAGCAACAAAGGGTAGAATAATCGCCCAGCACCCATATCCCCATCGCCAGCTCACATTGTCCAAGAAGCCCTCCGCAGCCTTGGAACCAGCAAAAGCCGAAATGATGGCCGGTGAGGATGTGAACGCAAAAGCGAGACCTCGATTCCGAAGGCTCGTCACATCGGCTGCAAGCACGTCCCAACTGTAGCTGAGACCTCCAAAGCCGACCGAGTAGAACACATGGCCCGCACAGTAGGTTGGAAGGTTCTGCGAGGCGGCGAGGAGGATCAGTCCCAGGAGACAGAGGACAAGCATTGCAAGGAAGCCCTCTGCACGACCCCAGAGGTCCAGTGCTTTGGCCATGGGGATGTACACGGCTCCAGCCATGGACGAAGCCACGATGGTGACGACGGTCAGCAGCGAGTGGCCGAGAAAGGAACTAGTAGCGTACGGAGTCAAACTGACAACCACGGAGCTCTTCATGTTGTTGACGAGGGTCAGGATCCAGATACTAGAAAATTAACATTAGCCCTGCTATCACTCTGCTGGGATGCGTCGCGGTCAAACGTACAGCGCCAAAGTAAAGTACACCGATCTCTTGCTCCACGTCAGAGTAACAGCCTCGATCTTCTTGACACCTAGCTGGGCATCATCAGCCACCTTGTCGTCGGCCGGGGTGATTTCGTTGGCGGGCGCATGCTGGGCTTCCTTGTCGCCGGCCCTGATTTGCATGGCAACGGGGTCGTCAACGGAGGACTTTTCGCCGTCTGCAGACCTCCTGCCGACGACAGTATGGATTTTGTCGAGGATCGCCATTGCCGTTCCAGCTCGCAAGGAGAAAATACGGTATTAGCAAGGAGGGACGGACAGACGAATGAATAGGGTCAATGTGAGACCAGCTCAGGCAATCGAGGACATTTAAAGACAAGGAAGAAAAAGCAGAACAGCAGACTCGGAGGAAGCAGTGGAAAAGCTTGCCACACGTGAAGCGTTTTAGTGGATTACAAGCATCAAATTTACCGCTAAGGGCTGCCGCTAATGCGCGGGCGAGGGGGGTCAAGCCAGGGGCCCACTGTCGCCAAGAGCATCCCCTCCAGCACCCACGAACGCCAGCGCTTTTCAGTCAACACGACGTGGGATATGATGATCTTTTCGCTTATACGGGATTCTCGCTGGCCAGAAAAATTCTAGCTCCAGCAGCGTCGACGACGAAAGGAACATTGCGGATGGTGATCAGATTAGATGGATTAGATAGATAAGATTGGCATGACCCACCATCCCTGTTTGCAGGTTTTCTGGGTGGGCAGCAGGGACTCGCACCCACCACATCCACGTTTTCACTTTCTCTCTCAGACTGGACGAAGGCTGCGGTTCGTGGCGTCGATGTAGCGTCACTGGCTCCTCCATAGGCTATCTCCGTCAATTCCATCGCATCGGATGACTCGGAGGTTCGCTGACTCGGCTTCACTTCCAGACACGTTCCAGATCCGAGTGCAAGCTGAATTCTAGTTCCAATAATGAGTTAGAGTAGACGGCTACGACTCATGCAACACGCGAGCAAAGTGCAATCCGAACTCCTAAGCGACCTGCGAAGCCACCTAGTCCTGCATTATCAGATTAGATTGATCATCGGCATGCCCACGTCCACTTGAGCTCCAGTTACGTATTTTACCTCCCCACCCAGCCCGTCCAAGTGGAGTTCTTTCGTGGACCCGACCGTATCAAGTTATGTTTCCGCTCATATAATACACGATGGAAGAAGTGCTGCGATGTGACTCGCATGGGCATAGGCTGACTGACGTCCGAGATCGGGGCCGCCGGTTGAAACACTCCCGGCTCGCGCGGCTTGCTCTCTTCCTCGGTTCTCATGTATGATAGGTGTGTTGTTTGATGACCCTTGCTCGCCCGTGGGATTACACGATGGACTTCATTTTCTCTTCCTCGATGGCTGCCGGATAGCTGCTTTTCGGACTCGATTGGACCTGCTATATGGCAGGTGTACATCGGAAAGCATTCAGGGGACGCACTGGAGTTGCTTCTAGACAGTAAGTTTTGCGCAGCGGATGCAATGTCAAAGCGCCAAACCGACGGAAAACCCTGTTGCTCTAAACTCTAACTAGCCTCTGTCCATCGGAAGCCCGAAGATAAATCGGAACAGACCACGCAACCACCCTTCCCAGTAGTTCTAAATGGTCAACTCTGTCGAAAGTCAAGAGGAGCTCCGCGCAAAGACAGCAAATGAAAACCAACAAAAGCCTGCGGCACAGGGATAAAAGCCACGCCCCCACGGGTGACGGGTGAGCGGGCTCGGGCGGCTGGACCAGGGCAAGCGTGGGTTTTATCTGATCCGCTTGATCTCGCCACCACACAGACCAAGCAGACCAAGCACCGTGTCCAAGAATTGTGGCGGTTGCTGGGAAAGCTTTTCTGCAGGTCAAAGTCTGTCTTTGAGACAGGGGCTTGGTAGGAGAGATAATTGCTACGTGGGAGAGTTGATAGACGTCATTTTGAAGCTTTTCAGAAGGAAATAATGGCGATCAAGGAGAGGAGATCGAGGAATGTTGGGAATGGGAAGGTCGGCGAGGGGGTTGTTTTATCGGTCACGTGCTCTCCGCCCCTTGCAGAGTTTTCCCTTCCGTCAACACCAGAACTTCCCTTTGATAGCGCCAATCCATACAGTCCTTACGCATCACTTTCATCTCCCTGTTTCCTTCCAGAAGACCAAATGACGGCTGCAAAAACAATCACAGATTAAAAAAAAAAATCTAAAAAAAAAAAGGAACTCCCCCGAGCCGGAATCGAGCCGGCGACCTTTCGGTTACAAAGATTGTTTCCATTACAGCCGAACGCCATATCCAACTAGACCATCGGGGGTGGTGTTCATGACAGCGCCCAGGTTTTGCGACCTATATACCTCTGGACTTTGCAGGCACTAAAAATGGTCAGACCGAGGCTGCCCGCTACCAGCAGCTCTCCGATGTTCTCGAACATCCCATCTCTACCGACCAATTCATCCAATCGCACACTCCCATGCAGGCTCTGTCAGGGTACTACGACACCGATGGTCCAGTTGGATATGGCGTTTGGTTGTGATGGAAAACAATCTTTATAACCAAACGGTCACCAGCTTGATTCTGGCTTGGGGGACTTCCTTTTTCTTTTCTATGATTGTTTTTGCGGATGCATCTTCCATTTCACGCGACATTGTCAGGTCCACGACAGGTCCCAAGAGAAGGTCGCTCCTGCGAAGAACATGGCGTTTGCCTCTGATATTGATGGTGTGCTCGCCCACGGAAACGAGGCCATTCCCAAGGCCAAGGAGGCTCTCTGCATGCTTAATAGTAACAACAAGCTGGGTATCGAGATCCCTGAGATGAATCGATAGCTATTTCGAATGATACATAGGCAAAGCCCGACTCTTGCGATGGTTGAAATTCTCGAGACATGGATCCTCGGATTGGGTGCCTCAGGCAGTGATTTCGCTTCTTGCTCCCAACTCACGCAACGCCGACTGTAACTCGGAGGCGTTGTTGTGTTACTATGTGGGGAACAAAAAGCTAATCAGGTAGTTCCTTTAGACGCCTTGGAGGTTAGAGCCGTAGAGCTGGCGGCTATTTGTGAGAGTGTCGTTGCAGGATATATATCTTTGGAACGTGGGGCAGTAGCCCAGAACTCGTAACGATATGCTGTTCTAATGCGTTGGGGATCCTGATTGATAAAATAAGATTGAAACATAAACATATAGTAAGCTATAGTTTAATAAATACAGTTCGTAGAATACTACATTACAAGTTAGAAGTTCTCAAAAATCGCGATTCTCTAGTGGAAAGACCTGGACGGCTAAAGGAAGAGCGAAGGGGGGTTATTTTTTTTTGAGAGAGAATCTTGGAACAGAGTCGCTAAGCAACCATGTTTTCGCGACCAGGAAATCCCCTTGGTCCAAGTCAACGTCCGCTTTTCGCGTGGCGAACCCAAAGTATGTCCTATATTGATAGCAAGACTAAGACATAGTTGGAGCTGGGATGGGATATCGGCTCAATCAACGTAAAGTCATCTCAGAACAGCTCCATCCCATAACCCTCGTACGCCAGAAAAGCGAGCAGGAGTGGACACAGATATGCCAGCGGCATGGAACATGCCGATCCTGGTCCACTGCTGGAGTATATCGTGCAGACCTCGTTTACAGACATGTCCGAGTCATCGAGAGTAATATCACTTGTCTTCAAGGATACACACTACCAGTACCCAGTTGTATCGCTTATTTGACGTCCTGAATATGCGTCCACGTATCATCCTTGACATGCTGAAAATCCATCACCCTCTCCGGCCCGCCATGTCGTCCCTGTGTCGAACTCCAGTCACGTCCGACAGCCATCTCGGGCCGCCAGCGGACAACGTCCTTCACCTCATCCGCCAATCTCCCCTCCAACGCATCAACAATAAACCCTCCAATGGCCGGCATCTGCATCGCCCCATTCCCAGACCCACCCACAGCAACAATCAGCGAAGAATACTCGGGATGACGATCAATCAAAAACGCGCGATCCGGGGTATCAGCGTCCCAGCAGATCCGCGCAAATGAAAACGGTCTCTCTGCCAGATGCGGCATTGTATCGCGCAGAAAGTCCCGGGCGCGGGATTCTGCCTCGAGTGGGATCTGGTGCCGCGCAAATGGGACGCTCGTCACTGCCCCGTCGTGCTTCGGGTCAGGAACGAGGTTCGTATACCCCGGGTGCTCGTCGCAGATCTTCAGCTCGTGCTTGTCCTCGTCGGGCTCCATGAAGAAACCCTTGGCGATGTTGAAAAGGACCGGCAGGTTGCGGTATGCTCTCGCTTCTTCGGGCGTCATGCGGATATGGCATAATGTCCAAGCCGTCGGCCGAAGCTGTTTCTTGAAATCAAGTAGACCGTCACTCGCTGCCCCCGCTGCCAGAATCGTATACTCCGCGCGATGCACAACTCCGTCCGCCGTCCGCGCCCCGACAACATCCCCACCCTCGAACACCAACCCCTCAACCCTCCCCTTCTCTTCTCCAGTAATGAAAACCACACCGAGCCTCTTGGCCTCGGCATACGCCGAAACCATCGCCTTCCGTGCATGGATCCATCCAGTCCCCCGTTTACTGATCCACCCCTTCCACCCAGGAAACTTGCCTGTCAGAACGCCCGCCGGCATGGTCGCACGAAAGTCCTCGGGCGTATTCAGCGCGACATAGTCGCCCTCGTAGAAATCGACTTCGCCTTCTTTGATGTGCTGTACGAGCTCGGGGGTATGCCCCGCGACGATGAACCCTGTTTCGTGGAAATATGGTGAGAAGACGGGGTCGGTTTTCCAGCCTGCCAGTGCGGCGCGTGTGAATGTGGCGAAGGCGGCGGATTTGGGGGAGGTTATCCCAGCTAGAAGGATTAGATTCCGTTTGGAAAAAATTCTGGCTTCACAAGGTAGATAGGAGCGTACGCTTCAAGTCCTTGTGCTCCATGATTTTATTCACGTCATTGCCTGCGGCGATGGGCGAGGGGATCTCATAGGGATCGAGGACTTTGACGCTTTGGTAGCCGCGACGGGCGAGGTGGAGCGCTGTGCTGCAGCCCCATGTTCCGCCGCCGATGATCAAGATTGAGGATCCTTTTGTGGGTGGTGGTGACATTGTGGTTGTTCAGGTGACAGAAATCCATAAGATGTGGCGATGCAGAACTATTTGTATGCGGGGCTACGTTCTCCAGTGGATCCGCGTGGACCTTCCATTTCGCCCTATCGTGAGGGGTATGCATGAGATGCGTTTCGGCGCTGATATCATGCCACCACTTCCACTCCTATGTACAAAGTAATAGATTCGATGCTGCACTATTCCAGGATTCTTCTCTCTTGATTTACAGCTTCCTTCTCGATCAATCCCCTCACTCGTCTCTCCAACACGCCATCCACCCTCAACCAACCCCTCAAACCCCCGAACCCACACATCACCTCAACCTCAAGTATAAACCTGAACCCTCGACTGCACATCCGTCACATACGTGTGCATCTTCCACGCCGGAACCCCCTTCTCGTACATCTCGTCGATCTCCGCCGCATTGCGCCGCGAACATTCCGGCAGGAAAAAGTACAGGAGGACGCAGACGCAGACGCCCGTCGCGAAGAAGAGCCACGCGGTTTTGTAGCCCCAGTTTACGCCATTGACGTCCACTAGCGCGTTGATTGTTAGTGAGAGTGGGGTTTGAGGGGCCTGGGGTTTCTAGCGAGGGCAGAGGAGGCCGGGGGACGTACAGATAATCGGGACCGATGTGTTGAATGTAAGCCCGAAGACGACGGACAGGCCCGATGCGATTCCGGCTGTTCGGGCGCGCAGCCGCTGTGAGGCAACTTCGCCTGTGAAGGCGTAGCCGAGGCTGCCGACTATATATTGCAGTGTTAGCATTTCGTGTCAGTGTGTCCTCCCGCTCGCTGGAAGGAGCTGGTAGCGTACCAGTTGTGTTTGCGAACGACCAGGCGCAGGCAACGAAGATGAGGAAGTTCTTGAGTGGTTGTGTCTGATCCACAAAAGCTAGGATTCCAACTATGAGGAGAGTCACGGTGCACACGATCGTCGCCCCAAAGACGAGATCGCGACGGCCGAATTTGTCGTTGAAGAGCATGAGGGCGATTGAGGTTGCGAGCTGGATGGAGCCTGAACAGACATTAGTCGTAGGAAAATGCTGGCTGATAGCCTTGTCTGGGGCTTACAGAGGACAGTGGTGATGAGAAAGGCGTTGTCGAACCCGCTCTGCTTGAAGAACAGACTGGCGTATGTGTTGAGAAACGACAGACCCGCCAGCTGCTGAGCGCAGCCGGGTAGACAGGATCCCAGCGTCCGGCGAACGTTCTGTCGATTGAAGCAGGCCATGTAGGAGTGGAGGAGACTCGACAAGGTCATATTCTCCTGCCCAAACTCCTGGCGAGCCTGCCGTTCTTCCATGATCGTGTTCTTTATGATGGCATACTCGGCCTCAACATCATAGCCCTCGACACCACCATTAACGCGTGCAAGAGTCTTGATGCCTCGCTCATCCTGCCCCCTTTCGGCGAAGTATGCTGACGCAGTTAGTATAACCAATTTGAATGCCCAGCGCGGAAACTCACCGGGCGTTTCAGGTAAGAAGACAAAGATCGGCAGCATGATACCGAGGAATCCCCACTGCGTCAGAATCGGAATTTTGTAGCTCATCGGATTGCTCTCCTGCACGATCATAAGGACGAGGTTGGCAAGGAACTTCCCAATCGTGTTCCAGAATCCGTACGCGACAATCAAGGCGCCGCGGATGTTGACCGGCGCCCATTCCATGATGTAGACTGGAAGCGTCGCCTGGATTGCGCCGATGCCCATTCCCGCCAGGAGCTTTGCGCCTGCCCAGTCCCTCCAGTCACGGACAATGGTCTCGATGATGAGTGACTAGGTGGTGCGTTGGTATCAGTGTCTAGTGGTGTTTGGGTACTGATGTGCATGACTTACTCCGGCCAGGATAATCCACAAGGCGTACAAGGTCATCTTGCGCCCGATCCGGTCCGAGATGGGATTCAGGCCGATCATCCCAACGAGCTGGCCGAGGGACTGCATTGCGCCCCAGAGGGCAGTGTGGTTTGCGTTGAGAGTCATTTTACCCTCGCTGTTCCGGAAGCCAAGGTGGTGAGTGAAGCCCTCGTTTGCAATAATGTTTCCTGTGCAGAGACGGATCGTGTTGGTTGGGAGTGTGCCATGGACTGGGCATCGACAAACTCACCATTGAGATTAATCTGGTATCCATCCGCGGCGGCTGCGATACACAAGAGGTTGCAGACAATGACAGCCTTTTAATAAGTATTTTTCAGCAAGGATGGGCGGCCAATGATCGTTCCACTTACCCTGCGAAACTTGACGACCGTAGCCCACAGCCCTAGATTGTCGTTTTGCGATTTCAACGCGACCTGACCTGGTTTCTCTGGACCCCGGCTCTCAACATGCTGTATAGCATTGTCCTCGACGGATTGTTGGGTTATCTTCTCCTCCGCCATGCTTGAATCCTACGTAAAGCTGTTGAAAAACAAAACGGATAAGGGGTGAAGTGGTAGAGTAGGACGTGGCAGGGTGAACAAATCAACCACATATGGGGACCCTTGATAATTTATAAGTTGTCTCCACCAGCTCGCCACTCCCTACTACCTCAGAACTCTCAGATCTGGACTTGTGGAGCCCCGTGCATCTCGGTATATCGATGCCCGGGGTAAAGCACAGGCGAGGCATCAGCTCGGTAAAGATGACGGCGACTGCGAGCACATCTCAGCGACCAAGTTAATCGAGAGAATGGCGCTTGGCGTCCCATTTCGGCGCATCGCGTACCGGTGCGACGAGCCATTGCGTTCTGTTCATGTGACATAGCAAGGCGCCGGACCATCGTCTCGGCTCGTATACTCGTACCATTGTCCCAATCCGTGCGTGGGCCCGCGCCCCGTCCTGCGTCGCCTGGAGAAGAATTGGGGTAGACGGCGCCCAAGGCAGCTGTCATCAGCTGCTAGTACTCCAAGCGAGCTGGTCCATGGCCAATCACACCTAGTCGGGTACTGACGGCCTCTGAGTGTCTTGTTTCAAGGCTGCTCCCTGACCTTTTTGACGTCTGGAGCCAATGGGGACTCTGGACTTCGTCTGGCAAGGTGGACAGCAAGCTCTGTCGGCATCTGAGTAAACTTTTATCGGCGATTGAATCTCTTGGATATGGAGTCGGAAGTTGCCCTTCTATACCTCGTCGGCGTGGGACGTTGCAGTCCGTCGTGCCATTTCCAACCGGCATGCGCGTTGCGGGACGCGCACGGGGCGCTATATTCGGTGAATTGTCTACCGACAGGCAATGGGAGGGAATTGGACTTCTGCCGGGTATGATACTCGCATGTAAAGTGGAAGCTCATGGGGCCTTCGCGTCTCCGCATTTATCCTCCCCCACGGGGTGGAGATGCGCATTGCCAGGGCAGGTGCAGGGACAGTCCTCGGCAATGCGCTTCTCCCCACGAGTTGATTTGCAATTCTCCTTCTACGCAACCAAAGGCGGCAGACCTTGCTTCGGACGATGTGGACGCAGCAGGATTTGTCCGGCGACCTACCTGGAGTGAAAACGGTCGTCTGGGCACGGCTTCATGGTACGAACTATATAAGCTGCCTCTCGCGCCAGGCTATGTCGGCCTTCGACTACCATCACGCTTGATGCTCAATTCTCCTTGCATAATTACCCCATCAGGATGATGTACAACAGGAAGGAAACCTCCGCGATGCTGATAGCATTCGCACTGCTCTCCTGTGCCATACCCGTTACTATTGCCTCCCCCTTTCCAGCCCCGCGAGGAGGGCCCAGTATCAGACCACCTCCTGCCCCGGAGCCAGTGAACGTGGTCGAACTACCTCTGCCTCCCGTCGCCCCAGTCGATGAGCCCGGTGCGTGTACCAGAACCCTCAATCCGCACGGCACAGGGTGCATAGGCAAAGCCGCCGAGCTCCGCAACGGGAACTTCCTCCCAGACAACAAGCACATTGTGGCTACGGTGACCTTTGTCGGAGCCCCCGAGGCACCAGACCCAGCTAGCATCTACACCGGTGTGCAGCTGATCGTGATCAAGACTGATGGGCGGAAATTCCCCAACGGGGATGCATGGAAGTGCATCACCTGCGGCATTCCCCAGGCGAAGCGGAACGGCACCACGTCGCTGCTGGAGTACCCGCAAGCGTTCAAAGATGGGAAGCGCGTGCTGGCAGGGAACAATATCGTCGATTGCGGTGCCGTGCTCTCGAGTTCCAAGTGCACGCCGGAAACTGCACGGATCTATCCCATCTATTGGAAAACCACGGCCGATGGGTCTGGACCTGGTGGAACGATCCGTGAGAATCGCATCCACCCCGATAACGTGCATTTGGGGTTCAGCTCGTTTACGACAACTGGCGGCGTCATGGGCCAGTTTGCCTACTTTGGTCGACTCGTCTTGAACCGCTCTCCAACCGCGGGTATCCCGCAGGTCCCACGCTACGAGCTGGACAAGGTCACTCGCCTCTACGACCCCGCCGCGCTCCAACCGTTCTCCATACACGGTGACGAACTCAAGGTAAACACCCAAGCCCTCAGCGTCGGCGAGCTCCGTGGCTTTTCTGGCGACGGAACCGAAGTCACATACGTCGGCTCCAACCGCGAATCCTCCAACGTCGACCTCTTCGCCGCGGACCTACAAACGGGCCACGTCCGACGCCTCACAGAGCACCCAGGCTACGCGGATCCAATCGACATCTCCCCGAACAACCAATGGTCCGTCATCCTCGACACGCGAAGCACCAACAGAACAATGTTCATAGCAGGCATGCGGCACATCCCGCCGCTGACCGACCTCGTCGCCTCGACCGCCTCGGCCTCAATCCGGAACAACGGGCAGCGCCGCTTCTTCCAGCCGTGGCTGCTCGAAGCGGCAGGCGATCGCGGCGAGTATTACGGCCAGCAGCTGAATGCACACGGGGATGGGGGCCCGGGGAGCGTGAATGACCCGCAGTGGAATGCGCAGGCGGATCCGCGGTGGTCGTGGGATGGGACGAGGATCGCGTATTATCAGACGCTGACTGTGCCGCCGCAGTGTGGGGGTGCCAATCCGTTGCCGTGCCCTGTTTCCACGGCTGAGGGCGGACGCACGTATAGGATTATGTCGGCGACGCTGCCCAGGTGGAAGCCGAGTACGCCGCGACCTGTCCGTCCTGTCTCGGACGTTATTCCCTGGGGTGTGCCCTATGTCCCTGGGGAGGCCATGCCCGTGCGCTGGTCTCCGCCTGCAGGACAATACAAGGTGTATGGAAAGGTTTCCGGGTACGCGGACGCCACCCTCGTCGAGGGTAGCGGCGGCGGTGGGCTCGAGACGGTGGGGGTCCGTTATCACGATTACTCTGATGCGCGGGGAGTCGTACTGAACGGGTGGGAGAATGTGACGACCGTCTCAGAAAGTCTCACCCTGGAGAGGGTTGCGTGGTTCTCGAATCTCACGTCGTCTGGTGATCACGTTGCCTCCAAGGTAACCAGTGAAGGGGGCTTTCATCTGCTCATTGATATCATGGAGACCGAGTTTGTGGCGAATGGGACTCTTACGACCACTGTTGATGGGGTTGTGTATGCGCAGCCGAAAAATTATACCTAGCATGGCTAACTGACTGAGAAGGAAGTTGTTTGATCTTCATTGGTTTCTAGATTGGTTGGGGTATGTGTGTTGATCCTGGGGCGTAGACGAGGAGAGCGTGGCAAGTCCAATATGTACGAGGGAATGGGGACGGAGCTAGCAGTAGTGAGGTACCCTAGAATTGGAGACAAATAAAACAAGGCTTTTTTCGGGCAACAATACCCCGAGAAAGGTGTGGGTACATTGAGCGGTTGTCCTGTACACTGGGGGGGAGCTAGACATAAATAGCCATCTCATCGCCATCCTACTCTGAGTATATTCTGATCAAACCACCCAAAATGTCCGCGACTGTATTCGACCGCACATGGATGTGGCACCCAGACTTCCACGAAGACCGAACAGACACAGCTGGTCTGCTCGTGCACTTCAAGCGAACAATCAACATAACCGGCTCACTGCCCGCCTCTCTACCCATCCAGATAACCGCCGACACCCGCTACAAGCTCTATGTCAACCAGCAATTCGTCACATTCGGCCCAGTCAAAGGCGAACAGAACCTCTGGTTTTATGATGAGGTTGACATTGCCCCGTTCCTGAGAACTGGGGAGAACCATCTCGCCGTCATTGTGCTACGCTTCTTTCACGCAACGCAGTACGCGCCGAGCTTTCCGAGGTTGACCTCTGGCGGTTTACGCATCGTTGCACCGGAGGCGTGGGCCGAGGATCTACAGAGCAGCGAAAGCTGGGAAGCTGCCATTGATCCCTGGACTGTGTTTCGGATCGACGAGCCTGAGGATCGCTTCCTTCACGTTTACGAGAGGGTGACCGGGAGTGCAAAGCTGGAGTGGAAGCCAGCGAAGCTCTTGGAGTTCCGAGTCTCCACTGGCAATTCAGCGCCCTGGCATTTGTCCCCGCGCTTGATACCCACGTTGAGGATTGAGCAGATAGCGTTCTCTGCCGTGCATAATTGCGATAGCAGTGTCCCCCTGCAAGTATGGGAGAAAGCTCTTCTTGGAAGTGGTCTTCCCCTGTGCCTCCCTCCTGGGTCGACGCATCAGCTCGATCTGGAGGTTCCGTTTCATACGACTGCATTTGTCGAAGCGGTCTTTGAAAGGATGCCGCAGGATGCAACTGGCAATAGCTTGACCCTGACCTACGCTGAGAGCTACGAGGATACTCCCATCGAGGTGCCGGATATCAGGCGCAAGGGACAACGATGTGACTATTCAAAATCACTGTTCGGGCCCAAAGACATTTACGAGATGAATGCACAAAGTATGCATGATAGCCTACGGTACACTTCGAATCCCAAGTCAACTGTCGTGGTTCGTCCGTTTCATTGGCGAACATTCCGCTTCATCAGGGTCAACATCACCGCGGGCTCCCACCCACTTGTCCTGAACGAGCTCACAATCAACAAAGTAAACTACCCCCTGCACCGCCTAGCAGATATCGATCCCCTCGATACAGAAACAAAGACCCTCTGGGACATCAGTATCCGGACACTGGAAAACTGCATGCACGACTGCTACGAAGACTGCCCATTCTACGAGCAACTCCAGTACGCAATGGACGTCCGGAGCTCCGCCCTGTTTACATACTACCTCTCCGGAGACGACCGCATGGCCCGACAAGCAATAATCCAGCTGCGGAATTCCTTTCAGGCGCGAGTCGGTCTGACGCTGAGTCGATCTCCAACGCATCGCCCGCAGATTATCCCGCATTTCTCGCTCTTCTGGATCCTCACCGTGTATGACCATCTCCACTTCTTTGGAGATACTACTTTCACCAAGGAGTCGCTTCCTATCATCGAGGCTGTGCTGTCGTTCTTCGATAACAAGATCGATCCCGCATTTGGCCTCGTCAAGCTGGAAGATGGACCCGGACTCTGGAACTTTATCGACTGGGCGCAGGAATGGAAGCCGCACGGGCTCAACCCCGTCGTCGCATCGACGGGGATCTCAACATACACAAACAACCTCTACGCACACACATTGACCAACGTAGCTGCAATAATGTCAGCATTGGGCCTTCCCCACCGCGCAGAGGAATACCGCGTCCGCGCAGAATCAATTGTGCACGCAATCCGCAAACACTGCTTCACGGGCACCCTCTTCACAGATACAATCGCCAGCGCAGCATCCCCCGCCCCACCAAGCCAACATGCACAGGTCTGGTCCGTCCTCAGCGGCGCAGCAACAGGCGACCTGGCACGAGACATCCTCCAAAAGAGTCTATCCCCCGACGCACCAGAGAAATTCATCCGAGCCTCAACGGCCATGTCCTTCTACACAGCTCGAGCACTGAGCCTTGCCGGCGGAAGCATCTACGACTCACACTTCCACGCCTTCTGGGAACCCTGGCGTGCGCAGATCAAACTTGGTCTGACGACGTGGCAGGAAGACGACGTCTCCTGTCGCTCGGATTGTCATGCTTGGGGGAGTGTCCCGCTCCACGAGTTTGCGGGGGAGGTCGCTGGGTTGAGTCCTGCGGAGCCTGGGTGGGCGGTTGTTGGGTTTGCGCCGCGCGTGGGACTGTATCGGAGGTTTAGGGCCACCGTTCCGGTTCCGATGGCTCTGGGAATGGTCGTTGCGTGTGTTTCGTGGGATGTTATTGCGTCAGGGGATGTGCAGGTTGACTTGGAGTTCAAGTGGGTGGATGAGGAAAGGGGTGGTGATGGTGATGGACACTTGCATGCGGGGCCGCCTGCTATGGCGGTTTTGGTCCGGTTGCCGGGGCAGGAGGATGTTCGCTTGGATGGGGTTACTCGGGCGGCTTTTGTGGTAAGCTCAGCGGAGGTGCCGCGTTTCGACAGGTGAGGCACAATTCAGCAACCAGAAATACAGCAGTATTCAGCGATATATCACATTGACGCACTGGGTTGAGTTTTTCATCCCTGTGCTCCCGGCTTCTGTGGTCCAGCTTTGCAGCCCTCTTTCAGAAGGAGTAGAGGTCTATCCTTGATAGTATTTTTATAAAAGCCAGGCTGACTGCGGCCCATTCTATGTTCAGGGCATTCTAACATGGCGGGGTATCTCTCTATAAAGACTAAGAGTCACTAACAGCCTTTCCTGCTCAACAACTCCTTACCTTCGCATATCTCTACGGTGGGGAGTTACAGCAGCCTGCAGGATTATAATAATAAGCTCTATAAACATTTACCGGGTATGTGACATGAGAAATACATCCAGACAAGGCTATTACTAGCTTTACGCTCCACATCGCAGCAGATTGGGAGGCCAATGTCCAGGCAAAGCAGCACACAAACCAGATCGCGTCTCTAGCCTGCCTTGCATCCAAAGGAAAAGTCATCATCACAATACCTAATCTGGGAAATGAGAGAAACGCTCAAGCGAGATTCCAGTCTAGAGGGTACCAAGCTAGCAAACCATGTACACGTGCTAGGTGGATACTCTATGGCGGTGTCCAATTCTTCCAGGATCTTTTCCTTTATCACGCGAACGAGGAAAAGACGCGTGATAAGGACAAGAGTCTCAGCAGGGCATATAGAAATGGCGAGCTATACAAGGGGCCGGTGTTCAGGAGGCACGGCTGGAACTTTTGGTAGAGGGCGTTGGCTACCAAAGGGGAGTCTGTTTAGTAAAGGGTATCTCGAGTGGGGGCAGAAGGCGGGAGACTAAATAGCTGCTCTTGCGCGCGATGTCGTATTCTAGGTTATATGCTTCAGGTGCCGGCTGCAAGGATCAGAAGTCAACAGATGACTGGGTGTTCATCTCCTTCAGCACCGTCTTCTCTTACGAAAGACTCCTCCTCGGTGGACTCGGCGGACCTGTCCTCGAAAGAACTAAAGACTTTCGCGGAGATTGAGCGCAGTAGAGTCTCATATTCACACGTTGACGATCCCGGTCGTGACTTGGGATATTTCGACTCCTGACGGACGATGCTTTAGCCTCGTCTGTGTCGCCTACGCATCGCCCAACTGGGCATGAATCTCCCGTCGGTGAACTTCACGGCCAGGATATTCTGTCGCGAAAGGAAACTACCCGTGAGCAGGATCACGCAGTGCTGAACGAACGAAAAAGCATTCCCGGGTTGCACTTTCCTCTCAAGGTCTTTGTCGGTCACCTGGACTCATACCTCGATACGAAGAGTTCGTCAAGCCTCAAGGAATTCACTCCTTCTCGGCATCCCGGAGATCACCTAAGTGGCTCGGGATCGCCAATCACGACAGAAGGATGCGCTAATGCGCGTGATGAGCAACTGGACCCTTGCGTTTGAAGGCTGGCTGAAGAACAATGTCAGCTTACGGTGTCTTCGAGCCATCAGCCCCGCGGAAAACCGCCGCTCGGTTTGAAATCCTACTGGAATATCTCACAAGGCACGGAACTGTCACTTCGGGTACCCTGCATGAATTAACTGCACCTCGTATTTTGTGAGCGGGGTTAAGCCATCTGATCGGCGGTCTAGGGCAGGTTGTCTGGGGCCTATTGGCCATCTGACGGAAGCGTTCGCATTAGAGTGAGCACTAATGTAGTGTGACATGCAGCAAACTCACAGCAAGTCTCAAAATGTAGAAGACATGGCGAGCTGAAGTATCGAGAAGTTGTTTGCTGCGAAACGATGGGTGTTCTGTGCCCGAGACAGAGGGATATTGCGAGTTGCCTTGCCAGAGGCAAGTATACCCCGGCCCCAATAATGGAATCATTGGACATAAAAGGGGTCTAGTAGTCGTCTGCCTGATGTTATAACTCTTTCTTCCACAAGAACCTCCACGAAGCGACTAGAATCAAGTTCATGATGAAGTTCCTCCCATTCTTCACTCTATTTCTCTTTGCCAATGGTGCACCGTTGCTGCCCAGCACTCTTCTTCCTCTCCTGTTTTGCGAGTCCACCACGACCATCAGTGTCGGGGGTACATACACCGCCACCAGGACCAGTACCGTGACTTCAGTAAGCGCACAAGGCACCACAGAAGCTTAGAGCTGATCATCTCCTAGGCCACACGGACTGTCACCGTCACCGCGCCTCCGTCTGTACGTGTTCTTTATCTCTACTGGATCTTGATAGAGTCTCATACAATTACAGGTCTCCATCACGCGGACCTCAACTACGATCTTTACTCCCACGTCGATCACTTGCTTGAGCACTGCAACAACCTTTTCCCCGTACAGACCGCCGCTTGTGACTCTGGCAGCGCGCGATCCAGCTCCCCAGATTGGCTGTCCAACAGCACCCCCCATCACCATCATACCTCCCACCGCCATCCCTGGGCCGTGCACCAAGATTGAGGGGGACATTGATATCGTGTAAGTTGGATCGGCATCCTGGCCCTTGGCACTCTCTCACGTTCTCCAGGACAAGCACCGTCACAACCACAGTATCTGGTGTCGCAACAACAACCACAACCCCGATTATCGCCCGTACGCTGACCGAAACTTGGATTCAGCCTACCCCAACAAGCTACAATGGCATGTCTCCGCAGCGCTCCCCCTCTTGATTATCCCACATGCTAACCCTCCCAGGCTTAAACTACTACCAATACCTCAACGGCTACAACTACAACAACCCCAACGCCGGTGGCCTCGGCGGCGGCGGCTACGCAACCTCACACTGGAACGGCAACTACAGCTTCTACACCAGCGGCCTAACCCGCAACATCAACTTCGAGTCCCCCAACTGGCCCACCGGCGGAGCAACCTGCCAACTCCCGGGTCAAGCCGCCGCAACCGTCTGTTCCCAGTGGACCGTCGTCTTCCAGGGCTTCCTCTTTGCCAGGGCCCCTGGCCGGTATACCGTGCACTCCCCGACAAGCGCGGAGTCGCGCCTCTGGCAGGATAACTCGGGGTTCTGGTGGGGTGGCCCCGAGGCGTACTCGCAATACGCTGATGGGAATGTGGATGGGGGTGCAGGGGGCAGTGCCGTACCGGGTGTGCCGAACTCGGTTAGCTATAGCCTTGTCGCGGGGCAGTTCTTGCCCATGACGTTTATTTATTCGAATGGGCAAGGCCCCGCCGCGAATCGGATTGATATCACTGCGCCGGATGGGAGGAGGTATCCGGATGATTTGAGTTTGTTTGTTCCGCCGTGTGCGGATAGTGCGTTTGTACCCTGATGCGAAGGGAATGGTATCGAGGACTTTGAACAGAGAAGTCTGATTGTGTTGGTGAGTTGGCTTCTGCGAGGATGGGCAATTCTGGGGCTTGTTGGAAACCTGAAGTACATGTATGGGCCCCAGTGGTATATTTAGGTAGCGTATAGGGTTAAAACAAACAGTCTATCAACGTCTCAAAATCACAAAGAAAAAGCACAAATATCACGAAGACTCGCTTGAACGCAGATGGATGGCCCGGCGGCGAACAACAACAACAACAACAACAACAGCAACGAAAACAAGACCCGCCCTGGCTAAGGGCAATGGAAATAGACCGTATGCTCAGTTCTCAGTTGACTTTCACGTCCACTCTTCTCATCCTCCTGGTACTGCAGACACGGACAGACTTGTTAGCTTGTTCTTCATGAGAAATTCACGTAGAAGCAGGATTGCACATACCCCAGGCGGCCCATTATAAGGCGGCGGCGCCTCAAAGCTCCCCCTCCTATCCGCACGCGCGCTCATCTCGGGGGACTGGATCTGCTCGCGAGACTGTCTCGACTCCCTCCGTTCGTGCCAGTACTTCCGCGTCAAAAGGTCACGCTTTGAGCGTTTTCCCGAAGTCGTCTCTGTTGCTTCGGATGAGGGTCCGAAGTAGTCTGGCGGCAGGGTGGAGTCTGAGTCGGCTTCGCCTGCCTTCTTGGCTTTGTGCTGCTTATACTGCTCGATCCAGTCGGGGGACTTGACGGCGACGATGATTGCAGCGACGATGACGAGGGAGGCCATTTCGTGATTTGGTCTTTGGTTGTTTGGGGGTGTGGTTGATGTAGTTGCAGGGTTGGTTGGCTGGGTTGTATTTCGCTAAAGTTGGTTTTCTCGAAAGAGGATTGTTCGCTGTCTCAGATTGATGGTGATGATAATCTTGATCTCGCCCGTTCATCTTACTCCTTTATATAGATCTCCCTTAGAGTCATGTTCCCTTCATTGATGGCCAAACTCCCCATCGTGGCGGTGCGTCTAGCCTTTGCTCATCCGCACACGCACCGCGACGTATCCGTACCCCAGAGTGTGACTCATTTGGAATAGCTGTCGAACAACCTTAAAATTAGGCTCTGACATTTGACTGGCTTGTCACAGCGTATATGCATCGGAAAATCGTGCTGTGGGGCACGCCCTTGACAGCGCCATGGCCGGGTGCGTATGCGTATGCGTATCCCGATCTCGATCCGCTTAGCGAAATTCAGCCCTACGCCTTGCCCAGCCTCCTTTACGTAAAATTGGGTATCGAATCGGGTGCTCGGGGTAGATATATGGAATGGGTATTGGCTATTTGACTCAGTATTTTTCTCGTAGACTCTGCATGTCTGGCCCTGGTTGGCTGTATTTCGATGAGGCTGAGTTGCGCTGGCAAGGAGGTTATTTGGAGTAACCGAACTAGATCCCTCGAACCACGCCCTTCACAAAACTCTCTGGCACGTGAATTGAATCTAGTTCCGAGCTTGGTCCAGCCGGCCTGGCTGTGTTGTCTTTGGGTCCAAATCCATGAATTTACTACGGCGGCATTGCAACAACGAAACCAAGACATAGTACCCCTTGATGATGCAGACCAAGATCCAACATTCAAGATATCATAGAATATTCGTAACCGAATCTCAACTGGTGCATCGAGCCAGTTAACTAATATATACCTTCATGTGTGAATTTTCCCTTAATGGTTGGCTCGGCCGAGGCATATAGACACAAGAGTCGATGAGACAAGCTTGGTTCATTCACAAATTTGCGTCGATTTATCGGCATCTAGCTTTTTCAGATCCCACAAAGAAGTGTATATCCTTCAATACTCAGACACTCGATATTATGGAGGGAGAGGCACATCTCGCTGAGCAGACCGCCGTCGGTGCCCTCCACCTGCATAGTCTGCTCGTGCCAAGAATAGGTGTCCCGGCAACCACAGCCTTGGGTTTTTTTCAGCCCAGAACGAAGGAGCGAGCTGGGCGCCGCCTGGCCAGTCGCACTTCCCGTATCTGATACGTCCCTTGGGGCTGGGTGGCTCCTTACATTTCCGAAAGTCTAGCCAACTGGCCCAGGGGGGAGAAACGACCCGCCGTACCTCAAGTTCTCATTCTGGAAGGAACGGGCAAGATCTATTGCATATATGAACCATTGTCTATTTTGCAGCCAGGATGCATGCACACAATTAGAAAGTGAGGATCATACTCTGTATAGATGCATTTGCTCGCATAATTTATTGTTAGTCATCTATTCAAAGGATGGCTACTCCTCTGTATTATCCCTTCCTTTCTGCGTGGGGGCCAATGGAATCTGGCGATCACCGGTTCACAGCCACATTCGTGGAGCTGAGCAGCGTCAGCCAAGTCGGTCGGGCGATGCATCGAGGGGCCGAAAAGACGTTTCTCCTGTTTACATTTATTCCTCCGGTGAGAACCATCTTATGTCTCGGATATACATGAACTGAGACGCGCATCGCATCACGATGGATCCCGCTACGAAATATCTCGATCCACCACCGCCGTACGAGGATGCAGTCGCCGGGGGAAGCCACACGAATATTCCAACTCTCCAGCCAGTCACATTGCTCCTTGATGGCCAGTGCATTCGCGACGCCTCGACATCGACCCCTCGCTACCAAATAAGTCGTTCCGTGACCACGCTCCCCCAGACACCTCCGAAGAACTCATCGATCATATTCGAGCGCGTCGACACGGCCAGCCGCATCCTCGAAAAGGATGAAACGCCGGGAACCGAGCAGGCTCCATCTGAACACCGGCATCTCTTCTACCTGGCGCACCCCGCAGACGCGCAGTACCGGGCCGATCTCCCGGGATACTACATCACCGCCGTGGACACGGATACTGTGGGAAACATTCACCTGGAGACGAGCAAATCGCGCCTGCAAAAGCTAGAGTTCACGGCATTGCTCAGTGTGAAGCGTACTGCGTCGGATCGGCCGCTGTTCGATGAGGCCGGGAAAACCGTGACTCTTTTCTGTGCGCGACCGGCGAAATTGATGAGTAGTCGGTATACCTGGACTCGGGAAGATGGATCTCAAATCGCCGTTGAGGATGGGAAAGGGGACGGGCATAGTCTGGCTCTTACTACTGCAATGACGCAGGAGATGCGGGATGCGCTGGTGGCAGTGTGGCTGTTGAGGCTCTGGTATGAAACGGCGGAAAGTAAGCAGGCTAAGAGAGAAGGTAAGCGTGCTGCCGTCGCTCGTTTGGACATCGCTGACCACGCTATAGAGCTCGAATGGTTGGCGGCACCTGTTTCTTATCAGGATTGGACATATGCTAAGAGAGTCGGGGGATTGGGAGCTCTCGCCGGTGCGGGTGGTGGTTGAGCATATATCCTTCTTTGGAGCTGGCTGGATGCACTAATCTATACTCCTTGATGCGGTTTATATCATTCAAGTACATGGCTTGCCTGCTCTTTCACTGGGGTAGGCACGCGCGTCTGTGCAGATATTTGACGAATGACCTTAATACGTCAGTAGATCAGGTCTCTAGAATGAGATGTCACATTAAGTGAGTGCCTAGGGACGAAGAATAGAACCCAAGAATTCTTTGGGTGTACAAACACCTAGGAAGTAAGAATAAGGCGCATAAGGTACCGAAAGGTCCAATATTAACCAGATAGAGGACGATGAAACAAACTCAAATCCATACCCCGAAAGACAAACCAAGTTCCCAAATAAGTCGCTTCCAAACCCAAGAAACAGCAATGTTCAATCCTTCAAGCTCTCATTTAACCCCTCTCTTCCCCTTCTCATGCCTCCTCGACCCCCTCCTCCTCAACTCCCCCCAAAACTGGCGAATATGCGACTTGTGCTCGCCCCTCGGCCCCCCAAAGATCTCCAACCCCTTATCCTCCGTCATCGGCTCCCCGCTCTGCACCTGTTTCGCCCACACAGTGAGCATCCGGTCGAGTTCCGCCCAGGCGTCGTCTTCTGAAGAGCAGATCCCTGTCATCGTCAAAGGTCCGCCGTACGAGGATCCATAGTCGCGTCGGACGAGCGCCCACCATGTTTCCCAGTCGTCGGCTTCGAGTTCCAGGTCGTACGTGCCTTTTCCCCAGATGATTTCGCAGTTGGTAAAGATGCGCTCGTCGCGCTCGTCGCGCGTTGGGGTGGGTGTGTGAGCGTGGGGGTGGGCTGTTGTCTGGGTTGTGGTCATCGTTGCATGTGTCGGTCGCGGTGCACTGCGAGACTTTCTTCGACTATGAAATCGCTTCAATAAGGTCGATTAGGATTCAGCTATTGCAGTGCCATACCGCGAAGAGATGATTAGTGGAATGGGCACAAAATCAGTCAAAGCCCCTTCCCTCGCGGGGTCACCCGGGATTAAATCCCCTTCTCTCGAACCTGTCAGCGGGGGGGGCTGAGCTGAACCATTCTCAGTGTGACTGGCCGCGCAGCAAACAAGAACCTTGCGTGCACTGTGCAGCATGAGCAGGGAGTATGCTTGGATGTCATGCAGGATCGGCCAATTGGCGCGCACCACGCCTCGCATTTCCTTTTCTGGGTTGTCAGAATTGTCACTCGTAAGCCCCGCTCGAGACCCTTCGCGGCCCTTTCCGGTTGCTTGTGTAGCTCTCCAGGATGGCTGGTTCTGGGCGAGCTCTCAAAAGTAGCTGGGACAATCTAGGGAAAACCATACACAAGGATAATTATCCACATGGCCGTGCAACACTAAGCATTCATGCATTTTCAAATCATGTCATTCGTAGACCCTTAATAGAGAAACCCCATCTGCCTTGGCCAGAATTACTCTGCGACTATCGGCTCGAAAAGCGTGACCTACACCTTGACGGGAGGCCATGCTCGGAAGGACTGTACTCCGTAAGCGCTGTTACGCTTTTTTCCGATCCTCTTGAGGCTTGAATTTGATTTCAACCCCGAGAAAGTTGCGGACCCGCGGACTGCAGATCTTTTAGCTGCTAATGTTGGAGAGTATATTGATAGGGTATGCTCAGACTCACAAATTTTGAAGGACCCAAAACATCACCAATATCGAGGCGCCCAGCGCGAGCAGGACAATGGCTGCAAGCCCCGTTCCGCCCTGGTAAGCTCTGACTGCTTCGGCAGAAGCTCCGAATGCCATTACCGGTAGTAATATTCCGACCAGAGTTGCCGTGCTAAGGGCTAGCATGAGCGGGTTATGAAGCCCTCGGTACAGTCTATCCCAATTGGCGCTGTCAAAGATTTCCATGACCCTCGTTTTGTTGTTATTGATTGTCAGCGCGGCCGAGCTTGCCCAAGCAAGCGAGAGGACAAATAGTAGCCAGCTGATCGAAAGACAACGTCGAACATGGTTGAGCTGCCGCGTTTGCTCGGCTTCGGGTGGGGGTTGGCCATCCAAGTTGGTGCTCGGTGGTGGTTCCAACGGGGATACAATCACGCTAAAGGTAAAGCCTGCGCCAATCGACGCGACACCAATAACGGCTTGGAAGAAGGTATAGTACCAGTTCATCCATTCCGCAGAGGTCAAATACACCCAAAGGTTATCCTCGTGAGGCTGTGATCCTGGAGTCCGGTCGCGATGCCACATTCTTTCGATCTCCTCTTTTAGCCGCTCCCAATGCTCGTCGTTTAGATATGGACGGGGGCTATGGCCCAGGTTTGAGAAGACAATTTCGGTAATTTTGGCTCTGACTGCGTCCTTGATCGCGAGATCAATAAGATCCTTCGCATCATCGTTGACGGTGCTAGCCATGGCCCCTGGGCTAATTTCCGTTATGGGTCAATTTGATTGAGGGCGTCTATAAAACAATGTAGACGTGTCGTCTTCACCAATGTCGCTGAGATCGACTTGATCATAGCTGCTGCTGGGATTTATACATTTTTACCTTCTATGCCGCTCAACGTCATGGTGGATCAGTACATGGTCTACGTCACCATTGGACGTTAAGAAAGTTAGTTTAAAGACAACAACCTATAGAGCTCTCCTGTATCTTAGCTTGTGGGGTAATATAGTACGGCTAAGTCGGGATTATGTCCAGATCAACCTAAGGTTGATCCACCTGGGATTGAATCGCAAACAAGAGACTATGGCAAAGTGGTTCTAAAGGAAACCGTTTTTGGGATCAACCACAACTAAATAACTATGGTTACCGGATATAAAAGTAATCAATACGAGCCTGCTTCGCGTTAAGGTAGTTAATGCTCACCGTGACCAGAAACCCACAACTGACGAATTTCGTGGAACTGATATCTCTCTAGCTTATGTTCATTAAACCTCGACGAGACGCTCAAGTGCAATTCAGAATATATCTCAACCAAACGCCACTACTACAGCCCCCATCTATCTCTTGTATTTATACATCCTGCCGAATATCTAATACCCATTAACCGCAAGCTCCCTACGCACGCCATTCATAACACACTCGCTCAACACCTTCCTCCCCTCATCCGCACTCCCATTCGCCTCCCCATTCCCATTGGCATTCGCCATCTTCTGCGCCTGCACATGCATCTGCGGATCATCCGGCCGATTATTAATCGTCTACCCCGTATCACTCGCATTAACATACGCCTCAATGCCCGCCCCCTGTCTCGGATACGCCTTGACCAATTCCTTATGGAGCCGCAGCGCCCCGAACAGCTCCTTGTAGGAGACGTCGTTGAGGAATTTGCAGCTTCCCAGGGGACTCGGCGCCGCGGCGCGGAGGAGGCCGTCGCGGGTTTCGAGGATTGCCTTTGTGGCCTTTTCGAGCGTTTCTTCGTCGAAGAGCTCGTGGTCCATTGAGAGGCTGGCGCGTGAGAAGAGGGTGAGTAGGCGATTGTGTTCGGGTGTGCTGAGCAGGCCGCGGGTTAGGGCTAGTGTTGCAGAGTAGGCCATGTCGATTGAGATGGCGTGGCCGTGGCGGAGGGGGACGGAGGGGGCGAGCTGGAAACCTTATCAGTTGAGTTGAGGGATTGGTTTTGTTCAGTGTTGGGAGGTAGATCAGTAGGATACAGCTTACCTCGTGTAAAGGCGACCAGGTATGCCCATACGCAATCACACGATCCAGCCCAATCTCATGCAAATTCGGCGCCTCGAGCTTGAGCATCTCAACGATTCCCGCGCGGTTAATCTCATCCGCCGCCCGTCTCACCTCCCCGTGTTGATCACCCAGTCGTCCAAACCTGGACTCTATCAGCCGCTCACAGAACTCATCCAGCAGATCGAACGTCGGCAGGTGCGCGCAGCTCGAGATCTTGATGAGTTCCGCGAATCGAATTGAGCACCTGTGCTTCGGGGAGCGTGCGCAGCACCAGGGTGTGCATCTGGGCGCGTGGTAGGCGCCCAGGCGGTTCTTGTAGTTGCCGTAGTTGATGGCGACTTTGATGCTGACGCTTGCGTCGAAGAGGCCGATGACCGTTGTGGGGATGCGGATGTAGTTTGTGTTTCGGCGGTAGGCGGCGCAGGCGAAGCTGTTTGTGTCAGTTGGTAAATACGAAAGAGGATTGTTGGTTTGGTTGTTGGGGGGGGGAGGGGGTGTTACCCTGCAACATCGGTGACGGGTCCTCCACGCTGGATACATTAGCGATGCAGTCCGATCCGACAAGGAAATGTACAACATACCACAACAAGAACCGGCTCCTTGCGGAAAATCCCAAACTCGGTCATCAAATCAACGATACTCGTAAACGTCTCGAGCGACTTGGCCTTTTCCCCAATCATCGTCTGATGGACCTGCAACGACAGATTGTGCAACGCAAAGTATCGCTGCATCTGGGCGCCGTAGAGGTCATAGATATTCTTGTCCATAATTGCCACGCATCGTCCCCAGCGCTCGTAGAGCTTCGCCAGCTGCACGTTCTGCGGCTCAAAGACGCCATCGAGGAAGGTAAAATCGTACTCGATCTTCTCGTACCCTTCGACGTGGAAGCTAGCTGTCTCGGAAACCGAGGCTTTGAGATCTGACATGGTTGGAAGAGAGGAGTGGAAGAGTGGGAGTGATGCTGGACGGACAGAGCCACGATCGTGAGATAAGTACACAAGGTCATTGAGCGTAGCACGCCCAAAACGGATTTCCTAATCGAGTGAGTTCATGCCAGCTCATAACAGATCGGGTGGATCCAGGGGATCGATCGTGCAGAAGCGGGAGACGTCAACGACTCCCGTTGCATCCAGCATTCTCGGCCAATCGACCACCCACGCGAACCCTAAATCAGTGCATCCAGCACGTTCCGGCCCTGACGAAGCTGGATGTCGGGCTTTTTAGGTCTCTCGATTGAGTTCGGGATCTCTACTTCTGTCCGACACCGTGATAATCTTGCGGGTCCTGAATATGTCTCGTCATACAGGGATCATGGCGAGCCATGAAGCAACGGGGTAGCTATCGCCAATAGTGCGTCGCATCGCGAGCCCCAGTACGGCCTGTCCGCCCTTCACCAGAAGCGCAGGGATTGATACAATGACCAAAGCGAAATTCGACGCCTCAAAGGCTTACTCGCCAAAGGAAGAAGAAGGAACAGCTTTCTTCGACGACGGTCGCGAAATTGAGCTCCTGCACTTTGTGTTCTCGTACCCAAATCTGGATATCATCCGAGGCTCACCAGCCAACGTCCTCAAGGCAATTGACGAGTATGGTCGGACGAAGAAGTATCTCATGAATGTAGGCGAAGATAAAGGGAGGATTGTCTGCAACTTAATAGCGGATGTTAAGCCGCAAATCATGGTAAAACTACTCCCTATCCATATATATTGCAGCAGCTTTCTAGTCGCTCAGGTCGAGCTCGGAGGCTACGTCGGATACTCGTGTATCCTCTTCGGCGACGCAGTCCGCAAAGCAGGTGGACAACGATATTACAGCCTAGAAATGAAACCCGAATTCGCGGCAGTGATCATGTCGCTGGTCGACCTTGCCGGTCTGTCAGACGTCGTCAAGGTGGTCGTTGGGAAAAGCGACGCGTCAATTGCTGGCCTCTACCACGAAGGGATCCTAAAGCACATCGACCTCATGTTCCTCGACCACTACAAGCCGGCGTACGCGACAGATCTGAAACTCTGTGAGGCGCTAGGACTGATCACGCCGGGCTCGGTCCGCGCTGCGGATAACGTGATTTACCCTGGGAATCCGCCGTATCTGGAGTATGTGAGGAAGAGCGTAGAGGAGAGGCGGAAAAGTGCTGGGGAGATGAGGCGTCCTGAGAGTCTGCCTGACCGGACGGTCAACCAGTATAAGGAGAGATATGGCGAGATGGGGTTTAATCAGAGTGGCGGGAACCCTAATTTGGTGTATGAGAGTAAGCTAGTGCATAGCTTTGGGCCGACGGGTAAACCGGTAAGATCCCACTCCGAAATGAGATGAGTCCAATTCAAGCTTATATGAACAGGATGGGATTGAGATCACGCGATGTGTGGGCGAAGAGAGCCAAGCTTCTGGTGTGATTGGGGTCGTGGGGTCACCATGACGTACAAGGCTGAGCCGAGGAGGATGCATATCAATTCGGCCGTCTTACTAGTACTCTCCAATGTACCTGGCGATAGTAAATAGACAGAACCCTGTAGTACCTCGGTCGGGCACATCAAAGATGGCTTCAGTATCGGCATCGGCATCGGCTTTATTAGAGGAAATCAAGAAGCAACATGAACCCTGGATTTTGTACAAGCACATCCCAAAGAACATCCTCCTCATCCTCCTCAGCATCGCCTGCATCCCCGTCTCGGCGACGATAACCATCGTTTCCCTCCTCATCACGTACTTCTCGGGAACTTACTATGAGCTTCCGCGTCCGGGCCCAGAATCCAAAACAATCCTCGTCACCGGGGTCTCCATGACAAAGGGCCTCACTATCGCCCGGATGCTTGCGCGATTCCACCCGCACAGGATCATCGCCGCCGACACGGAGCCGTTCCCTCTCATTTCGCCCGGCCGGTATTCTCGGGCGATTACAAAGTTCTATCGTCTGAAAGCGCCCGGCGCGGTTAGGGCGAGTCGGTATATTGACTCTTTGCTTGATATCATACGGAAGGAAAAGGTGGATCTATGGATCAGCTGCAGCAGTGTCGTGGGCGCGGTTGAAGACGGCGAGGTCGCGGAACGAGCGCGGCAGGAGATGGGGTCTGCGTTCCAGGCCGTCCAGTTTGATCGCGAAGTCGTGGAGAAGCTGCACGAGAAGGATGCCTTTATGGAGTATATCCAGAGTCTCGGCCTGCCAACCCCGGAACCGCATCGGTGCACCTCGGCCACGGAGGTCGAGGACATACTAGGCTCTAGTACGAATTTGAACAGCAACGAAACGTTCGAAGCCAGCAAGCGCTTCATCTTGAAACCCATCGGCGTCGACGACAAGGCGCGAAGCCAGATGATGACCTTGCTCCCCCTCCCGGAAGGACGCGAGGCCACCTCGTCCTACCTATCTACCCTAACCATCTCACCCGACAAATTATAGTACATCAACGGCAGCGAACACTGTACACACTCGCTCGTTGTGCGCGGCGAGGTCAAAGCTTTCGTCGCCTGCCCAACCTCCGACATGCTAATGCAATACGAAGCCTCCCCGCAGACGACTCAGCATGAAGATGCTCGAATTCACAAAGCGAGTCGCGGCAGACGGCGGCGACAGCTTCACAGGCCACCTCAGCTTCGACTTCTTAATCTTCGGCGCAGCCGACGACGCGCAACTCTGCCCAATCGAATGCAACCCGCGCGCACACACAGCCGTCGTCCTCTTCGCCGAGAACCCCATCATGGCCGACACATACATCACGATCGTTGACCCCGACTTCGAGAAAAAGCGCCCGGGTACACCCCCGTCCCCCGCTATCCCGCACAACTACGTGCAAGGATACTATTGGGTAGGCCACGACTTTGTGGCGCGATATATTCTCCCGTTAGCGACGATGCCGAGTCGTGTAGGGCATTATAGTGAGGTTATGAAGGGCCCTGATGCGTTTTGGGATCATCTGTGGCGGTGGGAAGATGCGACGTGGGTGGTTTGGGATCCTGTGCCGTTTTTTGTACTCTATCATGTTTATTGGCCCATGAGGTTTTTGGGGGCTCTTCTCCGTGGGAGGGAGTGGAGTCGAGTTAATGTTAGTACGGGGAAGATGTTTGAGGGGAAGTAGCTGATTGCGTGGGACGGGTTTACGCAGGGTACTTCTAGTACGTGCTGGCTAGCTTTGCAGTCTGAGGACCTCCATGCTAGTACGATAAGTAGGCAGTCATTATGTCCATTGACAGGGATATGTACAACCCTTCTTTAACTGCTCCAGCTTAACTCCCCATCCCCGCTCCGCCTCGTAGAACATAATGGTTCTAAGAGGAGAAGACCTCAATAGCCTCATCAAACTTATCAGTAATAAGGGCCAGGATCGTCGGCGCAAGAGCCGCATAGGGAGGCGTAAGCTTTGGAACAACAACATCACCCAGCTCCGCAGACAAATCCCTCAGATTCTCCAAGTTCGCCTTGACAAGGAACGCAAGGGATCCAATGCCCAGCAACCCCGTGTCAATCTGCGGCTTCTTGCGAATAAAGTTGTCGAGCGTGGTATCGATATTCGGCTGCAGATCCAGGAACGAAGCCGCGACATTAATCGACTCGGGGTCGTCAAAGTTGGCCGAGTCCTCGGCGACGGAGATGGCGTGCTTGACGTCGTTGGAGAGTGCGATCGCCTGGAACTGGATCTTCAGGGCTTGGCCGGTACCCAGGATCCCGCCGCGGTATGCGGTTACGGTGGAGTTGAGGGCGATCATGGATTCGGAGATTGTGGCGACGGCTGCGACGACGGCGGCGCCATCGCGCTTGACAAAGTCTTTGACGACCGGGGTGGCTTGCGCGAGGGCCGAGAGGGCCAGGACGAGGGGGACGTGGAAACGCATTGTGTTTGATCTGCAAGGTAGTGCAGGTGGTATTGAACAATGGGATTGGAGAAGAGCAGGCAGGGCGATCAGCAGGTGAAACTGTGAAACTGTGAGGCTTCTGCAGGGATGGATTTCTCGTCGCAGGCTCGCAGGGAAAGGGAAATCAAAACTGGGAAAGATGGACAGGGACGCGAATTTATCTCGGGATCCACGCTGCCCATCTCGCCCTGCTTGATCATCCATTGTTACCCCGGATGAGACCCCCTCGCGCTAATGCGATTTAAATTGCACCCCCGCATCCCCAGGGGAGCTGTGCAGAATGTAATTGGAGTTGGATTGCGCCCATTGGTTGGTTATTGACGAAAGTAAGCACATGTGTTGTTTCATCCGAGGCATGGGGAATTGCTTCTCTTGAGATGGTGCTCTTTAGCCTGTTCAGGGACAAGCGTGGTTGCGCTCATTGGTCGTGTTTTGGGGGATGTCCTTGGTTGACTGCCTAGGCTGTGTGCCTGTGCTACCGGCACCTTGTGGACACTGCTTGAGGAAACAATATTTCCAAGTGCTCGACCAGTCAAGATGTCCTGTTTGAGCACCAGCCAATTCTTCGATATTAAAGCTGCACACTTCACAAGGGCACTCAACGGTACTCATCCTGATTCGCGAATTTGGGCATTCAGCCAGCCCGAATCCACCAATCTTCCCCCTCCATTTCGAGAGAGCTCATCTTTTCTGCAGGGCTCGAGTCAAAACCCACGTTTGTCGGCGTCCGACATGACTGGGGACAGCATCTTGTTGCTGTTTTCCCCTCCTGCTTGCACCCTTGGGCTGAGGCCAAGAGGCGGGGATGGCTCCGAGAGTTGGACATGGTCGACGCGATCCTTTGATGCAGGGCATTCCCTACACATCACTGCTGGATTCGACCATCGACATCCTTTTAGCGCGCTTGGCTGGGATTGTGATGATTTTCGCAGAGGATACCCAGAAAGGAAATTTGGTTTCTCCCTGCATGTGACCACTTTTCATGTAAGCCCGAGGATACTGCATTGCTTACCTAATCTATTCATCTCGCTGTATAAAAAGACATTTATGCCATTTCTCCTCTGCGCAAGTTGTACCCAAAGTTCACATTGTCCAGTTGAGGATCCCAGCTCTTAACCATCTGTCTAAGCGGCCCCATCACAATGATAATGGGATGTCTCCACTGACTCAGCGAGGTATCTGGGACAAGTCCATTCCTTCCGTCCACTGCGGTTGCCAGTGCCTCGCTGACCACGAGCGAGAATAAACATGTAAAGCTTCCGAGCCAGCATCTAATGTAAATCCGCTTGTCTAAAGCCATGTTACTTGAGAGAGCCCGAAGCAGTTGCATTCCCCATAGTTGATGATCGTTACGTTGGATTAGTGACGCTTCTAAATTTATCCATGTTTTATGTATGCATAAATCAATTATGCTCTTCTTATCCGGTGCAATGCCAGGTTCAATGACCGGACGAAAGAGGACGCGACCGCACCTTTGATGTTGAAGCAAGACTTCTATAGTATGAACGGAGACTCGCGTATATATTTCTCTTAGCTGGCGACAGACCCGTTTGTGTCTCTTTCATATTCGCTGTTGACATGGTTTGTCAACTATATATACTGAAGATGGCTTCAGACGCCAGCCGAGATCCAACAAGCCCACTATCATAAAATAGTATATATCAACGCCAAGGTCTGGACTCCAATTGGTGCCCATCGCCTGTGTCTCAGGAAGCAGGAACGTATGCCGATCCTGACAGCTACAGTGCTTGGTTCGCGTAACCGACTGGACGAAAAGAGCAGATTGGACAACAACAGGGGACTGCGTCCAGATACAATCCGCCCCTGCTACGCTTGTAAAACATTGTCTAGAAGCACGGATCGCCTAATTTTACCCCCGTAAGGAGGATATAGCGCCCTGTTCCTACAGGACTCGCAGATGAGTGTAACAGCGAAGTTCGTAGCTCAATAAAAGGCACTTCCTTGTTCTGCGTAGCATAGTTTACTTTCGCACCACTTAGCTCCAAGTGCCACTGCCTCCTGTGATATCCTGGAGAAAGCGCATCACCTTGCGAATGAGAATCCGCCGCGCTTCAACTTGGTTCGGACCAGCCATCGTATGTGTTGCACCTGGAATGATACCACTCTGATCATGCCAATACCCGCGCTCAGCATCAGTAGCCCTCTGCCACCGCCGCAGTAAGTGTACTTTATCAACCCACGGCGGGACCGTCTCGTCCTTCCCGGAATACAACACGAGGAGCTTTGACCTCAGCACCCCCCGGCCGTGAATCGCCCCAAACGTGTCCCTCAGCCGATCGTCGGTTAGATCCGAGCTAAACAGATCATCCTCTCTAGGGTCCTGGGGACTGGCAGGGCTAGCGAGGCTAAGAAATCGTCGACTACTGATGGGCGTTGATGATGGGAATCCCAGACTTGATGTCGCGGGTAGTGGGACGACCGTGTCTAGAGAACGATACTCCTCGAATGTGTGTTTCTGTGCTTTCCTGATAGCCTCTGCGTAGACTTTCTGCAGTTCTTCCGCCGTGTGCCGTTTATTTCCCTCCTGCAAAACCCACTGTATGGCTTCGCGGTCCGACACCGGCGCTTGGATGATTGCCCCATCGACCTGTGGGCGTGGCACCCGGGCACTGACACCGCGATCCGGCGCAGGTGCAGTAGTGTCTGACTGTGAATCTCGATCTTGCGGGTTAGGCGCGCTTATGTACTGCAAAACATCCTGACTCCCCGTCGAATGGCCCATGACGACGATCTTTGTCTTACAGCAGTCTGATGCAGATCGCCGCTTATACCCCCGGATATACTCCACGCAAGCTGCGATCTCACGTACATCCTGCCGTAGACCACCCATCCCCCACCCGGCATACGAAGACGACAATATGGGAGAAAACAGGGACCATTCTGTATCCTCCAACGCAGCGACGATATCGGCGACGTACGAGACCGTGCCAAGGCCGTCGCTGAGACCACCGATGAATAACAGAGTGTGTGGCTTGACGTGGGAACCGTCACCTGAAGAAAAAGAAGAAGTTGAGTACTCAAAGGCGACGAGACGCTCTGCGTACTCGTGCAGAATGCCGGGCTGTGGGCGGCTGCCACTGGTCCGAGGAGATGGAGCCTGCAGGTGCAGGTCGGTTGCTCGGCTGCGGACCACCATCGTCGCGTGGAAGATGCTCAAGCGGGTTAGAAGAGCCGGGTCAGGTTGGTGGGTTGATTGGAGACGATGAGGACATGGTGTGGTTCGGTGTGGAGCAGAGTTTTCTGCAGCGCAATTTGCGCAGCTTGGCAGGACTGGATTTCTCGATCAAAATCTTGTATTCTGGTGAGTTCAGGCACGAATTGTATGTCTATCGAGAGAGAAAAAGGCGAGAGATCAAGTAAGACGACGACCTTAGCTTCCAGGCCGATGTTCACCACGAATCGATGAGATTTCGAGGATTCGCAAGCGAGTTCGGAGCAAAGCTTCGACGAGACCTTCTTGGCAGAACCGGCCGGCTTGGCGCAAATTATCTGATTGAATCGATTGATAAGATTCGATGATGGGCTGACCAGTCGAATGATCGAGTCCCTAAAACTCCCGCGCTAGAAGAAGAGTTTTCTCCCATGGCCAGAGACGGTGGCCTTGGCGTTGCTCATTCCGGCGTTTTTTGTCGAGGAATAAATTGTCCGCGCGTGGCCATTGGTCCCTCCCAAGCCCTGTCAGACGCCCCCAAGCAAGTCTTGACTAAAAGAAGCCGTCTTGGGGGCAATGGGACCACTGCCTTCGAGACAGCGAATGAGGCCGTTGACATGCGTGGTGCTGGCCCGGGAGATTGGGCGGGATGCTGAGGGGATTTCTTCATTTCACCCCACGTTGGCCAATTATCTGATCGCTGGCTGCGTGTTGACTGGTTCAAATGAGAGAGGATACGCCACGAAAGTGTGTTCCTCGGAATCTGGGAGTTGGAAACCAATCGCTTGCGCGTGCAGCTGGTTTGGGGGCCAGAAAATGTCCCGTCGAGCTGCTCTGCGGCTCGTGCATTTCCGTCATCGGATCAGATACGGAGCTACCATCTTAGCGAAGGGGCCAGGCACCTGGCCGGCAGAACTATCGGTTCTAGCTCTTATATTTGCTTCATCCCCGCTAGAGCCGTTCCCGTAGATTTTTATCTCAATCCGAATCAACCTCACACAGCACAATGTCGGCTCCCACGATTGAGGACCAGCCTCCCAAGATGGCCACCGACAAGATCGAGCCCACGGTTGAGCCCACGGTTGCTGACCCTGAAAAGGGCGAGCTTCCTGAGGGACAGGCCGGTGTGCAAGCCGCAGAGGCCATGACTCTGTCGTGGTCAAAGACTTCTGTGGGTATCACCTACGCTTCGTGAGTCTTGCCCAGCGCGATCCGCAGGAAGTGTGGACTAATTGTCTGTAGGATGTGGTCGCTATACTGCGTCAATGCATTTCAAGCGTCCATCACCGGAAACCTGGGCCCGTATATCCTCAGTGATTTTGGCGAGCATTCGCTTGTTACTCTGATTGGAATCGTCTCCCAAGTCATGGCTGCGGCAACGTATATGCCCGTCGCTAAGATTGTCAATCTGTGGGGTCGCCCCTTTGGCTTCATACTCATGGTTACACTTGCGACAATTGGTTTGATCATGATGGCCACATGCGAAAATGTGCAGACGTATGCTGCGTCGCAGGTAAATATCCCACTGACTTTTCTAGCCATGCAAACTAACGTATGAAGGTATTCTATTCCGTCGGCTTCACCGGTATGATCTTCAGCATCGACATCATCACCGCTGATACCTCAACCCTCCGCAATCGTGGTCTCGCGTATGCCTTTACCTCGTCTCCATACCTGATCACCGCATTCGCCGGACCTAAAATCGCCGAGCGCTTCCACGAAACCAACTGGCGTTGGGCTTACGGTATCTGGTGTATCCTGCTCCCTGCCGTCGCTGTCCCTCTGCTGGTGACTCTGTACCTCGGTATCCGAAAGGGCAAGAAGCAGGGCCTAATCCATAAACAAGACAGTGGCCGCACCTGGCACGAGAGTCTTATCTTCCACGCCATCGAGTTTGACCGTACGCACATCCCCCCGTCAAGTCTAATAAAAGAGCCATTGATATACTAACAAGCACAGTAATCGGCATATTCCTCCTCGCCGCCGGCTTCATCCTCTTCCTCCTCCCCTTCACGCTCGCAAATAGCGAAGAGCACAAGTGGAAATCCGCCTCGATAATCACCATGCTGGTCATCGGCTTCGTCGTCCTCGTCGCCTTCGCCATCTACGAGAAATTCTTCTCCTCAAAGCCCTTCATCCCCTTCCACCTGCTCACCTCCCGCACCGCCCTCGGCGCCTGCGCGCTCTCCTTTACGTATCAAATCTCCTACTACTGCTGGGGCAGCTACTTCACCTCCTTCCTACAAGTCGTCAACAACCAATCCATCACGCACGCAGGCTACATCGCCAACACATTTGACATGGTCTCCGGCGTGTGGCTGTTCTGCGTCGGGTTCCTGATTAACCGTACCGGGCGCTTCAAGTGGCTCATCATGTGTGCTGTCCCGCTATACATGCTCGGCATCGGCCTCATGATCTACTTCCGGCAGCCCGGCCAGGATATCGGGTACATCGTCATGTGCCAGATCTTCGCGGCGCTGGGTGGTGGAACGATGATTATCACCCAGCAGGTCGCCGTGACCTCCGTCGCGAGCCACAACGACGTCGCGTCCATGCTGGCCATGCTGGGTCTGTTCGGGTACCTCGGCGGCGCTGTCGGGAACTCGATTTCCGGGGCGATCTGGACACATACGTTGCCGCAGGCGCTGCAGGATCTGCTTCCGGAGAGTGCGAAAGCGGACTGGGAGACAATCTATGGGTCCCTGGATGTCCAGCTCTCTTATCCGATGGGGTCTCCGGAGCGTGAGGGGATCATGGCGGCTTATGGGTTTGCGCAGAAGAGGATGCTTATTGCGGGAACGGCGATCATGACCCTGTCTTTGGTGTGGATGATGATCATTAAGAATATCAACCTGAAGACTGTGAACCAGGTTAAGGGTGTCGTCTTCTAGAGTGCAGATTTGCGGGATTTGGTGTGGTTGGACAGGGGTCGTTGGGGTGGTTGAGATAGATTCAGGGTATAGAGACCCCTGCTGATATGAGATAATGACGTTGTGTGGCGATACAAGGATCATAATTATAAGCGATTTGGCTTAAATAATATAATTTATTGATATTCTGTGCTACTGGTGCAGCCTTGTCAAACGACCTCATCGGGGTTTAGTGAGCGCTTTAATCCCCAATGGGCGACATCGCTTATGAGAACTAATGATTCCAATCGCTGTTATTCCAGGTTCCTGGCCATTTGAACTCGTCACTGCGGCCCTTAAAGACAGTGGCGTCGTGGCGCCAAGACGACAGCAAGGGCGATGGCCACCGACGACAGGGCTATTTTGTATACTACACACTACCTGTGACTTCAACCCTCTTAAGGTATTTCATGAAATGCTAGTTTCCGCCAGATAGTTACACAACATGAATTGCTGATGCCAGCTCACAGCTACACCGCCGCTGCGCCTCCTTCCTTTCTTGGCTGCATAGAAATTCAGCCTCGCCGTCATGCTGCCTTATATTCTCGGCTCGCGCCCGATCGCTCTTTCCCCACTTTAGCTTCTCAGTCTTCCCCATCCTAAATCTCCCATGGCGGACCCGTTCTCCATCACCGGTAGCGCTGTCGGGATCATCTCCCTTGGCCTCACGATTTGTCAGGGTCTGCTTGCTTATTATGGCCCCTACAAATCGTTTCATGAGGAGATCAATGAAGTCGCGTCTCGAGTTCAGAGTCTGAACAGCCTTTTAACGACACTGAACGATCTTATCGCCAATTCACCGACGTTCCACGCCAGCCCCTCGCCGCAGCCGATCCAAGCAGCGATACAGAGCATTCAGTCATGTAGTCTTGGGCTTCAGAAGCTCGAGAAGATGCGCATCAAATGCTGTTCGAGTTACCCGCCCGGTAACCGGCCACGATCGACCAATCAGCTGAACCGCATACTCTATCCATTTCGACAGGATACTTTAGTGAAGCTAGGGGCCACTGTGACCTGGTTGCAGGACAACTTGAATACTTCGCTTTCATTGCTTCAGATGTGAGTCTCCTATACCCGCCTCATTTAAATTTTCTGGCTGACTCGGTAACTCTCGGTATCTAGTGCGGTTTTGAATTCGGAGTCGACTCAGCTCAATTTACTTGTGGCGAAGACAACATGCACTGCCTTCAGTACTACGGAAATAAAGGGCATCGCCCAGCGACTAGACGAAAGACACTCGAACATGGAAGGTACCATGAATGTAATCCAGAATCGTCTAGATCAGATGGTAGGTCGCACCGTGTGTAGATCAGCCTGCCAACTGACGGGTAATAGGAGACTGATATTAGAGCGAGCATGGAACGACAGTCTATCAGCCCCAGTTCTTTGCGACAGCTTATGCACGATCAGCAAGCAAATGATGAGTGCTTGCGGTCACTAGGCCCAAATGTGTGGCCAAACCGGCGAGCTCACAAAAGTTGGACGGGAAACCAGACGAAGAAGGTCAGGTCACTAATTTTTCGACATGCGGTCTGCAATAGATTTCTCAGGTTTACAGTCACGGCATCATTGACTGTCACAAGATCAGCTGGGGTCTGCTCGATCAGCCCAAATCTTCAGTTCCGCTCTATCGTCCCTGATAACTCGCCAGCGTTCAGTCTTCTGCAGGCGGCAATGCGACGCCTCGAAATGGGGGAGCATAGTAAGTCAATCATACGGGACACGCGTACTGCTCTATTCGAGTTATTCTACACCGGCAAGGCATCACTCACAGATACCCTCGGAGACGGTACTACGATAATGCATGTATGTGAGCCAAGGATTATCTCATATCATGTCATGGACATACTGATCGTTACACTAGGCTGTCGCGTCATGGGATGGCAAAGATCGATGTTGGGCACCGGATCAATGGGCAGAATGGAAGAGTCTGATTCGAGACCTCGCAGAGGCTGGCCTTACCCCGAACTGTGTAAACGATCAGGGTCAAACCCCGGTCGACATGATCGCGGCAAATTGTGACTGGAGCGAAAGGGAAGAAAATCCAGTCAGATTCGCTCAGCTTGTGGACGTCTGCTCTGAGCTACTCTCTAGGGGGTCTTTCATTGGGTTCGATGCCTTTTGGACGTACCACCACCTGGTCCAATTCTACGTAATTTGGCCCGGCGAAAAGTTTCAAATTTCCGAGAATACGAATTCGAGGCTTCGTCTTGTGTGGGCGATTGCTGATAAGAATGGATCACAAGGTATGTGAACATCTTGTGCAGTCCACATCGCTACAAAGACTCGACGAAGAGTAATAACGACCCTCCCAGATATAGAAACCCATAATGAACAGCTGTCGCCCCTCATTTCAAGGTCTGCGAAAGAACTCAAGCTATTCATTGAAAGAGGTGTGTCATTCGAGCAATGGCTTTATTCTTACGCGGAGTGGCCTACGGGCCTTGAGATCCTGCTTCAAGCTGGATGTACGCCGAATACGATGTCGCTTGAGTATGCCTGCAGCCACGGCTATGAAAGCAATGTCAGCCTAATGCTTGAGTCAAATGACTTTAGGTTGGGGCGACATGAGCTGGAAATTGCTAGCTCTCTCGACAATCAGCGGCTTTCTGAGCTAATCGTTGGGGCGGTTGCGCATCGCAGAATTCAATTGCAGCGTCTTTTGCAAATGAAGCTGCCTGGTGAAAAGATTCGACATCTAAAACTACGGCGTGATACGCTTCTGGATAGACAAGCTTTCAACGCGTCTCGACTTCTTCTGGCCGAATCTATTAGGCTAGGCGGACTGGAACAGGTGGCGCCGTACTCGGTTTATGACACTGAGAGATTGAGTCTCCAGACAGCGGAGCAGCTATGGAATTCTGGCTTTAGAGACGTAGACGAGCCAGACGAATGGGGGTGTACCAGTCTTATGAAGTTAAACGACACATATTCCGATTTACGGGACCCAGACTCCGTCTTGAGGATGGCTATATGGCTAATAAACAAGGGTGCGAATATGTACCGAAAAAGCCTTGCAACGAACTGCCTCGCGGTATTCCCTCTTGCCCATGCTATTGGCAGGCGCATCTCTCCCAAGTCTCGCTGGGATGACGCAATCATGGACTTGCTGCGCAGAATAACCCTTGATGATGCTCGGGATGACTGCTCGTGCCATTGTTCCACCAACGGGTGTTTCGCACTAACCAAGCTGATGGATGGGATGTTTGATCGAAGTTGCGAGTCCTCACGAGGTTCAGAACCAGCTCCAATCAAATATGGCTACAACAAACTATGGAAGGTCCTCGAACTATTTAACGACTCGGGGCCTGCTGGAGCTGCCTTCAGATCAACCGCCGCCCCAAAAATCATTCGCTATCTTGCATTTATCGAACTCGAAATCACACATACGTGCCATAAGCACGCTCACGCCAGGGAAAATTTCATGGGCGAAGAAACCATCAAGGAAATCCACGAGGAAGAGGAAGAGCTGATCCAGCAGCTTGAGGAGCTCGTCAACGAATTCTGCTTGGGCTATTCTGGGTATTCGCACTCTTTGAACAAGTATATCAAGGACGTGATGTGGCCCAGAGTAGATGCCTTTCGACGTGAGCAGGTTTCTCGAAATGAAGTGAATCAAGCCGATGCGATTGCCCTGGGTGTGAAGCTTGTGCGTCATTCAGCAACTTCTCGGCGGCGTATGAATTCTCGTTATGACTTCATTTTGCCAGGTGTATACTGGTATTAGTGATACACGGCAGCCAGAGCACATGTTTTGAGGTTAAATTTATATGCGTTGAAATGGACCTCATATATCAAAACCTTGTCGATTCCTAGTGACTGAACCAAATCCTTTCGGTGTGCTCTAATTGAAACGTGGTTTCCACCCTGAAGAAAGCGCAGCAAGGATACTGCACCTACATGCACATTCACAACAAGGATAGCTAATTGGTTGCCATGACGGCTCCCATGCAAGAGAACCTCGCGGGTAAGATGAGCTGCCTCGGACCCATTCCGAATATCTGACTAGCTCCGTATACGAGCCGCATGGAAGTTTCGTGGCTCGCTGGGCAAAGAAAGGAGCCTCGTGATAGTCTTCGTCTGGTGATTCAAGATCCACGCGGTCCTCCAGCGAGGTCTGATACGCGACAGCATCATCAGAACGGTAATGATGAGCGGGCTCCACACCTTGCAGTAGCGGTAATATTCCCAGGCAAGCTTCGATGCGCCAAGGGCCATCTGGCCCAGGCATCGGTGGACTCCAGCATTTGCTGTGGGATCGATGATCTACGTCCGTCAGCCTAGTTATCGGACCTCCCTATAATCCTCCTATTCGGAGGCAGAGATAGGCAAAGTTGGAGTTTTGACTTGAGCAGAAGGATGCACCGACAAGGCATATTTTTCATTACGGAGTAGATAAATCTGTCCTCACCCTATCGACTCTTAAGTGTGCGTGTCGCTGGTCTGCTATTCTATACGTACAGGGCTGGGCTGGTGTCAGGATTGCATCATCTTGGCAGGCTAAACAGGTCTGACACATGATATCATATCATCACCACGCAGATAAAAGATCCAATTCTCCAATCTTTGTGTTTAGAATAATAATATTAAATCACATTTCGACATAGACAAATAGTACAAATGGCAGGCAAGAAACACCAAGTCGCCGTCATTGGCTCGGGCAACTGGTACCTCTAATCTTACACCTGTACATCCAAGACCAACAGCTAACAAAAAGACAGGGGCTCAACAATCGGCAAAATCCTCTCCGAAAACACCGCTGAGCACCCGGACCTCTTCCACAAAGAGGTGCGCATGTGGGTATTCGAAGAAGACATCACCGTCCCCGAAGACTCCCCGCATCGCTCGAAATACGGCGACAAGCCGCAGAAGCTGACCGAGGTCATCAACGCAACACACGAGAACGTCAAGTACCTCCCGGGAATTAAGCTGCCCGATAATCTACGCGCAACACCGGACATCGGCGAGGCCGTCAAGGACGCAAGTATCCTCGTCTTCAACCTCCCGCACCAATTCATCGGGAAAACCCTCGAGCAGATGAAGGGTAAGTATCTGCCCTACGCGCGCGGGATCTCGTGTATCAAGGGCGTCGAGGTTGAAGATGGGGTCGTGACTCTGTACTCCGAGCTCATCATGGAGAAGCTGGGGATCTACTGCGGTGCGCTGTCGGGGGCGAACATCGCGCCGGAAGTCGCAGCCGAGCGGCTCTGCGAGACCACCATTGGATACGACCCGCCGCCAATGGATCTCACGTCGCATGATGGCTCGCCGAAGGATAATCTGGTCAAAGTCGACGAGCAGCGCCAGGACAAGACGAAGCCGTCGAGTATAAAGTTGCACCCGATGCCACAGGATTATCCGCATGTTGATGCTGAGTTACTTGAGAACCTCTTCGAGAGGCCATACTTCTTTGTACATGTCGTCAAAGATGTCGCTGGCGTAGCGCTGGGCGGCGCGCTGAAGAATATCATTGCCCTCGCGGCGGGCTTCGTCACGGGGAAGCAATGGGGAGAGAACACAAAGGCCGCGCTGATTCGGCTGGGCGTGCAGGAGATGATTCTCTTTGGGCGGACGTGGTTCCCTAAATCCGTCAACGAGGCGACGTTTACGGAGGAGAGTGCGGGCATTGGGGATCTTGTTGCGAGCGCCTCTGGTGGAAGGAATTTCCGCTCTGCGTGCCATGCTGTGGAGCAGGGGGTGAGCGTGTCGGAGATCGAGGAGAAGGAAATGAACGGACAGAAGCTGCAGGGGGTGTCGACGGCGCGGAGCGTTTATAAGTTCCTCGAGAAGCATAACAAAACGGAGGATTTCCCGTTGTTTTCTGCGGTTTATCGTGAGTACTTCTGCGATTTGCTTTGCTGAAACATGACGACGAGGCTAATATTGTTTAGACATCTTGGAAGGAAATGCCGAGGTGGATGATCTGCCCAACCTGCTCAACAAGAAGAAGAAATAATCGTTCCCCTAGATAGATGGCCGGGGAAGATTTCGTAATGTTAGAGTTCGATCATGAAGGAAGGTAATTTAATGATTTAGCAATGCATAGGCTCGATCGTCAATCTCATTAAATCGGGGCGCCTCATACTGGACAATTTCCCTCAATTCCTAATAGCGACCATTACACCAGTCTACCAACTTCTGATATCAAAAAATCACAAGCCCAAAGCCTTCAACAAGGCCTTCCCAACCCCCGCCGCACTAGCCGGGTTCTGCCCCGTAATCAAATCACCCCCGAGCTCCTTGACCTTGGAAACAACAATCTTCTCGCCCCAAGGCTCCGCCGCCTTGACATACTTCCCACCAGATTTCTTCTGCAGCTCATCTTCAAGCAGAAACGGCATAACCGAGCTCAGCTGTACTTGATCTTCTTCTGCGTTCGAGAACCCCGTCACCTCGGCGTCGGCGACGAGCGGCTTGCCGGACGGGGTGGTAACGTTGACGAAGACGCAGGGGCCGTGGCAGACGGCGGAGACTGGCTTTTTGGCTTCGGCGAATTTTTGGATAAGTTTTATGGAGGTGGGATCGGTGGCTAGGTCGAACATTGCTGTTGTTGCGCTTGTTAGTGTCTTATCCGTTGTTGGGGGTGCATTGGTCGGTGTTGGGCGACATACGGCCATGTCCACCGACATAGAAAATCGCATCAAACTCTCCCGCGCGAGGGAGGACATCAGCGAGCTTCTCGGTCTTCTTCCAGAGCGCCGTCTGCTCCTTCAGGAATTTCGACGAGACCGGGTCGTCCTTGAACATTTCGACCGAGCCGGGGTCGAGGGGCGCCTCGCCGCCCTTGGGCGAGGCAATGGTGAGCTCGGCCTTGTCATGGAGGACGTCCCAGGGGTGTGCAAATTCTGGCTGTTGCAGAATCAAGGCTCATGTCAGCTCAATCTGAAACCCGGGCGCGGGGAAAACTGGATTGTGCGGTCGCACGTACCAGGTACCAGCCAGTGGGGTGGTTGTTGGCTTGGATCTTATCGAAAGAGGTGAGGACGACGAGGACTTTGGGAGCCATTTTGTTGAATTTAAATAGAATCACTGGTGAGTTGCGTGGATGAGATGGAATTCTTCACGGAAGCTCGGAGTGCGGGAGGGGGAGCTCTTAGCTCTTCTTAAAGCAGGTGGGGTCTTGACATCATCGAGTGGGCCAGACTCATTTCGTCGCGTCAACAAATCAACACCACGGTCCACATCCTCGGCGGCCTCGAGAGGTCCAGATTTGGCATTCATTTCGTGATGATTGGGCCACGTTTTGGACGCTGTTTGCCGCATGGGTAGGACAAAAGTTGCGTGGACATGGGTACCGCGAATCGGCGCTGTGGCCCGCAGCTCATCTCTTCCCTTACCGACCTGCAAGGCTATTTTCGAAGAGGATACCACTATCACTCGAATGTTCTTATTCAGCGCGGCCCTGTGGTCGCTCTCAACTATCCATTATTGATCCATTGAATACCCCTCGACATTGGATCTCGGCCAGAGAAACTCCGCAGGTATATTTCGTCAAGCGGTTCAATATCAACCGCCATCGACCTGGAGCACTAAATCGTTCCTGTCCACTCCTGCCAGCCTGGCACATTGTCAATGAGTATCGCTTGCGGTACGCCGGAACAGAGCAGAATCATGGTCCCCACGTGGCCCGTCTACACTTCGCAGGCCAGTATAGCGTTGAGCAGCGTTGGCTGCTGTCAAGGATAGAGCGGTTATTCCCTAAAAAAAAAAAAAAAATCACCAGTGAGCAGGTAACCAAGCTTTGCATCTTTTGGCAAGTCATATGTAGGCTATCCTCTCTCTGAACGACTTCTACTCCTGCTGGCAATGTTCCGCTCTTCGCTTGGAGCTCATCATCGTCGCTACTCTTGGCTTTCTTCCTGGAACATGGGTGACCGTACGCAACCTGAAACGCTAACAGCTCTCAAGATACAGAATCAGCTGCGCCACAAAGAAAGCATGACATATCGCACGGTGTCGCCGCCTATTGCCAAGAACCATACATGTTCTCGATCATATGCAAATACCTACCATTATGCAAAGCAGGGGGTGAGGGCCACGAAACCATATTGTTACCCGAGACAAAGCTCGGAAGTTGATCCGACGGGCAATATAGAAGCTAAGCCTTAATTATTTGGCGAAACACGCAAATCTCGTACACGAGAGATGGAACGTTGATATATACTGACCATGCGTCAACTGGTAGATCTGTTTTGAGCCCTCCGTGACGAGTTGACGCTGATAAACATTTCCGGGAATTCCGGACGTTCTGAATCATGTGACCAACTGGGTTATCCGGATTCTCTGCAAAGAGGTCCGATGGCTCATGAAGTCGAACATGTCTGTGAGGCCGGAATAGGGGGTGGGTTACCGATGTGGGGTGGTCCCCCGCAGAGGACATCGGACCTGTGTGGCCTTCCCATCATAGTTATATGATTGAAGCTGCTTGCAAACATTTACTTGACCAAGGTAAATTATTAAATTTGCTTTATGTCCCAGTTTGACGTCGGGAAACGGTTCGCAAGCATGGCCACCCTTCAAACATCCACCACTCCCCCAGAGGAGGCCGGCAAAGCATACGCATTGCAGTCTCTCTGCGGCGAAATATACTACATACCGTTCTCGAAGTCTGCAATGCGTCTCCTTGTCACAGGCAAAGTCAGCGACGGTGCGATTGCCCTGGTCAGCACCGGCGGTTCCAGTGCGGACCCCATTGGCTTCCACTACCATCGCGAAGCACACGATGTGTTTCTGTGTCTCAAGGGCCATGTCAATGTGTGGGCGAACGACCAGGCACGCACGATGGGGCCTGGTGATTTCGCGAGCGTGCCACCGGTATGTATAAGCGGACGACGTGCAGTTTAAACTACCCTAGCCTTCCACTAGGTACGGTACGTTGACACAAGTGTTGCTTAGGGAGTCATCCATCAATACCAGATCCTCGGCGACCGGTCCGAGTTCATTGGACTCATTGTCCCGGGCGGCTGGGAAGACTTTTTCCGGTTACTGGGCGAGCCCTACGCAGGCGCCATGTGGCCAGCCACGGACGACCGCAATCCATTCGAAGTCCTCATCCCGCGGGTTAAAGAGGCCGCCGAGCGCTTCGATATGGTGCCTCAGCCACACGTCCAACCGTTTGCACCGCAGCCTTGGGTAGATGGCGAAGATAACGTGCTACCGGGGGATCTCCGACCGTATTTCCTGCGCGCGGGCACCGAGCCAGCGTACCTTCTCGGCGGATCAGTCGTGCGCGTCCTGGCGACGACAAAGGAGTCGGGTGGGAAGTTTGCCATCAGGAGCCTTGAGGCATCTTCGTTTCACGAGAATAAAACCCTAGCCGCTGGGCTGGTGTTTCCTTCTGTCCAACATGCGTTTCATATTGTCGAGGGGACGTTTGGGTTCGACGTTGATGGCGCCGCGGTGACCTTGACAGCCGCAGAGGCGCTGTATGTGCCAAAGGGGAGCAGATTTAAACTTCGCTATCGGAGTCGGTACGCAAAGGCATATGTTTTTGCGAGTGGAGGGGGGCTGGTGGAATTGTTTGCCGAAACAGGAGAAGAATATGCGTTGCCTATTATTCCTGAGACCGAAGGAGTCGTCGACCAGGCACGGCTCGAACGGGTCAGCAAGGAGATGGGGATCATGCTCGGGTGAGGAGGAGAGTTGGGGAACAAATCTGGGAGTAGCTTTTATGAGTATATTGTGAATAATGCAAATTATGATGATTCTGCCCTCGGGATCTCCGCACTTTTCCAAGTTCCCCGCACTCCTTCCACAACCTGGTCAATCTCTTCATCCATGGTCCCTTCCGCTCCTTCCCACACCCTCCATGATCGCTACCATGTCCGCCTCCGTACAAGGCACACTGGCCTGCGAATTCTGCACTCGCCAATTCTCCCGTCGGGAGCACTTGACTCGTCACCTCTCGTCTCACGTCAACCAACGCCGTCACCAATGTAGCTCCTGCGGGAAAACGTTCAACAGATGGTAGATGGCCTCCTTGGCCGCCTTGTTTGCCCTGGATCGCTTTCTAACACGCATCAGCAATCTCTTGACTCGCCACAGAAGAATAAGCTGCTCCACGGTGACCAAAGGCAGGCGTAAAGAGTCACAAACGCGAATCCGAGGCGCGTGCGACAGCTGTGCCACAGCCAAGGTCCGTTGCTCGCCTTCTTTGCCGTGTACTCGGTGTGCCAAGAAGGGTATTCCTTGTACGAAAAGGGCTGGGCAGAGATCCACTGCTCTGACAGAGTGCGACGATCCGTTTCTCGTCAACCAGCCGCTGCTTGACCGGTCGCCGCCAGTCCATGGCCAGCTGGAGGCATCCCGTCATAATGAAGATACCGGCGTGAGACAGTGTCTATCCAGCTTGTCAACACCGCTGCTATTAGTCGATTCAGGTAGGCTCTTACGGGAAGTTGAGGGTGTGGTATTATGGAAGAAGAGGGCTCTCGCTGATGATAGCAGGACACTCGCAGACTGAACCATCAACCAGGGTTATCCCTGCCGCAAGTGCTACAGAGGCTCCTATGTTCGACTGGTCCTTTCAACACTGCATGCCGCCCCAGGAGCTCAGCATGGACTTTCTTGACCTCTTGGCTTTTCCCGGGACTGGACATCAACTTGAGCTTGGTCATATGTCGGAGCCGCATGGTGCTGCGACCGGACGAGTGGATGCACGCACGTTCGCGGCGGACTCTGTTGAGCAAGAACAATCAACGAGCAAACAGTTGCCTGACCTGTCAGACTCATGGCATACGTACGGCGGGTCCGGGATGGTGCAACCAAAGCTCTGGGAAAGATCGCGCCCAAAAGGATCCATAGACCCTCGCGATGCCAATCAAGCAGTCCCTGGGCGTGATGAGCCGGATGGAGCGCAGAAATCAGTCGCAAACTTTCTCAGTTTGGACGATATCCTGGCAATGGAGGACCACCGCCATGTTGCCCGAGTTCAACAAGGCCAAGTGATGGAGGTGTTGGCGTTGATTGCAAAGACACGTTGCCTAGAATCCTTGACCTGCAATCCAGGCGTTAGAGACCTCTTAAACAACCCGAAAGTTATCAACGCCTTTGTCCAGCTGTACTTTGAACACTACCATCTAACGCTGCCTCTTCTTCACAAACCAACGTTCAACGTGTCCAACACACCCCCGTTGCTCATACTCGCAGTTGCCGCCATTGGGAGTAGGTTTTCCAGGGTCCCACAAGCTCATACACTGTCCTCCATCCTGAGAGGAACACTGCGCAAAGCACTTGATACCATGGTACATCCCCCGCCCAGAAGCAATTAAGAACAAAGTTTGCTAAATACGGCCGCTCTTGATACTTTAACAGGTCGACGAGAATATTGATCAGACTATCGAAATCCCTTTTGCGCAGGCAGCACTTTTGAACCAGATTCAGATGGCCTTTGATGGCGTCCGACACAGCACCTTGAAGGCTCAGTTCCAGCGGGCCATGCTTGTAACAGTGTGCCGCGGCCTAAACTCAAGAATGCGCCGGGAGGACCTGCTCCAGAGGCAAGACCATGTTCCAGATGCTGGTCATCGCGGTCAAGCGGTTTCCAAGTGGCTTGGTCGAGAGCTCTGCAGAAGACTTACGTATGCGATTTGGGTGCGTTTCGTTCTATCTCACAGTCCTTCGTTCCGATCAACCGCTGCTCGCAAATTGCATCCTTCTTTATGCTGATGGATCTTATTTCCCTCATGCAGTTGATCGACTGTCAGTTTAGCCTGCACGCCAGCGTCCCACCAATAATGAGTCTCGACGACCTTGATCCTAGCTTGCCTTGCCCCGAGACAATATGGGATATGAATGGGGCGGCGCTATCGGGGGAGTTGGACAGCTCACAGAGTAACGTATCCCCTGCCGCTCCTTTGAATTTACCAGCTTGCTGACCTTGATATAGACTGGTTCCGGGCAGTGCCACTCAAAGACGCTTTAGATGCCCTGAAGCTCGGAGAGCTAGTCGAGTCGAAAAACCTTGGACTCTTCTCACGACTGATCACGATGACCGCAGTATTCTATCAGTGGCATACGGCAACCTGCGTCAATCGCTACATACTTCATGTCGATGTAGACCAGCCTGCACAGCACCTTCCCATAGACCAGCCATTTGGGGAAAATCATGGGGTAGTGGCGACCGGAAATGGGCCAACTCAATCGAGGCCACTGATACCCGCAGTCCATCGTGCGCACTGGAGAAGCACTGCCACGGAAACAATTAGCTTAATCTGCACCAATGTCACTGCCTACCAGGAGAGTGACGCATCACAGCTGATCAAGCTCCATCACCACATTTCGATCCTACTCATCGTGCCATTGCAACCGATGTGCGAGTACATTGGATGGATGGCCACCAAACAGTGTACGACGGCGGCTCGCAATAGCCTCTGCACGTGGCTCCGCGCCGACATCCAGAAGGCTCGAAGGGCGGTAATGCACGCCATGGCACTGTTCTGCCTCATCCGGCGAAGAAAGTCTGCGGCCCATAGCGAAAATCACCATCTCTTCGTCGCAGTCCTGACTATCTGGACGTTTTTCTCTCTGGATCCGGTAGCACGTGCCACTGATGGAGATTCCGAGTCATCCGCTACCAACGATGAGGTGCCGCTGTCTTGGTCTTGCTGCTGCATCGACTGGGATGGTGGAGTCGACGCCGGGGAGAAGGAGCGATGGATTCAGGCCCCTGGCCATCCCCGCGTCCGGATTGCGGGGGTGGGAAACCTGGAAGAGCCGAGTGGGTTGCATCGAATCCTGGTCGAGGCGCATCGGATCCTCCTCTCGGACCAAGTGTGGGGGATCAGCCGGCTGTTCGCGGGAATCCTTGAGGGGCTCGTTCGCCGGGGTTCTGCCTGTGTTTAAATTGAATGATGAATAGATCTGTTCATTTGGTTATGCTCACCCATAGATGAGTATTAGAAAAGTCTCACGCCGATTGGACCTCGTTCCATCCACTACAGTTCTACATTGCAGCCGAGCTGCTCCCCGCACCCCACATCGGATAGCTTCCAGGTCATGCAGTGTAGATCATGTATTGCTTGCTACGTATATAGAGCGGTCATGTCCAACTGAACGTTTTACAAGCATATCGCACAGCCTCTTGTTAAGAAGATGGGCGAACATTACATACTATCTCTCCCCCAATGGCCGCTCCTGGCTGGGTTCTGCCTCTGCCTCATGCTGGGAGCAGCCCTATTTGCATCCCGATCCGCTGGTGCTGAGAAGCTCCCACTCCCGCCCCAGCCCAGGGGCAATCTCATCCTAGGGAATCTGTCAGAAGTCATCACAGCAAGCAAGGAGAGTCTCCAGCATTTACTGATGCATCGCTGGGCCCGGGAACATGGCGAGGTGGTTCGCATCCGCCTCGGCCCTGTCACGGAGTATTTCCTCAACTCGGATCGTGCTGTCAAGGTGAGTCGATTGCTCGCTACACGTATAGTGCGTTTGCGACGCAGACTTTTGGGATGGATGTGCGTGTATCCTACCCGGTTCATCTGACTTCTCTTCTCTTGCATGTTTGTTGGTCCGCTTCGCTTCGTATACTAAGAGAGATCTACTGGGGTGGAGCAGGTGCCGAATGCAGATGATCCAGTCATTGACTACATTCATGGTGCGTTTTGGTTCCACAGGCTCTATACCATTGCTTTACTAGACTGATTGACATTATGGAATAGAGACGGGTGTATGTTGTTGTAGGTCTATTGTAAAGTAATCACTGGTGTCGAGCCCTGACATTTCATCCCATGCTCCAGGCACAATCCCCGGAATGCACATGGTTGATATATTCACGTGGCTGAACCATCTACCGCTTTCTCTCAAGCCGTGGGAGCGAGATGCCAGGCGGAGATTCAAGCGAGATCTGGAATGGTGTCTTGCGCGGTTACAGGTATGGCTCAACTGCAACGAGGACTTGTGACGGAAGTGAGGTGAGAATCATATCTGACTGAAGAGCAAACAGAAGATCAAAGACCCCGCCTTCGCTGAGAAATACATGCCCGATGCCTTTCTCCCCTCTGTGATCCGAGCATCAGACCGCGGTGGCTTTCAGACTGAAGCGGAGGCAGCGTATCTGGCCCTCCAGCTGATTATCGGCGCTGCGGACACGGTATTCGCTCTTGCCCAGATCTGCCACTGGAACTGCATGATCCCTACTGACACGACAGTAAACTACCAGAGCCAGATCTCCACGTGGTCATTCTTGGAAGCGATGCTGCAATACCCGGATGTTCAGCGCAAGGCCAGGGCCGAGATTGGTACGTATTAACTAATTTCACGCAGCCACTACCTCCAAAAGATAATATTATTCACTAACATGAATTTTAACCTGTACAGAAGCCGTGGTAGGCAACCGCCTCCCCGAATTCGCCGACCTCGAGGGCATCCCCTACATCCGGTGCGTGATGAAGGAGCTCTGGCGATGGCGCCCTCCTGTGTCCCTTGGCCATCCGCACGTCACGACGAGGGATATAGTCTACAACGGGCAGCGGATCCCAAAGGGCGCTCGACTGCATCTCAATGCCTGGGCTATTTCGCACGATCCGAAACGCCACGAGGACCCAGATCGGTTCTGGCCCGAGAGATACGCGAATGATCATACCACCGTAAGCCGCAGCCCAGCCGTCCCCCAAAGACACAATAATAGAGTAACCATGGTTTTGTTTCATGACCGTCGACAATGCAGAGCATCAACTCCGCTGACGTGACCAAGCGTGATCACTTCGCCTTTGGCGCGGGGCGTCGCATCTGTACGAGAACCGCCCCATACTTGTTTCTTGTTTCTAGTTTCCCACATTGATAGACACAGACGACTAACGCATATATGCCTTTCCCCAATATACAGGCCCAGGTTATCACGTCGCAGAGCGCTCGCTCGCCATCGCCGTAATGCGGATCCTCTGGGCCTTCGAGATCAAGTGGGCTCCTGGGACACGGGAGCCCGTCGATCCGCTGTCGTATATGCGCTGCTCGGAGATGCCCGGGAACGCGTCGTCGAGACTGCCCGTCACGCTGCAGGTTTTGAGCCGCGAGAAGGCGGATATCATTAATTCTGCGTTCGAGGCCGCAAAGCGGGTGCGAGTCCAGATTGTGAGTTTAGTAGAATTGTCTCCTGGTGCAGGTGTTGATTGTTCTTGCTAATCAATTCTTTTGGTGTTTAAGGCGAGTTTGTCGTTGGAGTAACCTCGGCACTGGGAGTGAATGTGAAAATGAACTACCAGGTTGGTAACGGGTATAAGACCTATCAGAGATATACGGAGTGTATTTCACCAGTCCTGAGGTCGCAAAGTCCTCAAGGTATATTCAGATAGGTCCAGGTTGGGTACCACGCAGAGGCTTCGCAGAGGAGGGGAGACAGCATACAATGCGATGCGTATATTGTATTTGATCTGATACCTTATATCATCATAAATCGTTCACCCGAGGCTCCCTCCGTAGCTTAACCAAGGCCTACCAACACAATCATCGTTCTCTGTGATTGTTCTTACTGCTCCAGAATCTTAATAGAGGGCAACCATTAGTAGCGGAAGAGCCATCCAAATTTTTGTAGAGCGCCTGCAGAAGGATTTAGTCCTCGCCCGCCCCCTCGATACTTAACTTTTTTTCTATACTCAAAGGTCCTTGTCTCCTGTCTCTTGAAATCTAGAACATGTTCAGCTGCAGCATGCGGGCCCCGCTGGTTCTTCCTTGATTGACCCTGGGTGGCGGAGCTGACAGTTGGAGTCGCCAAATGATGCGGGCTAATCCGGTCATCGCTTTTAGAGCCAGGAGACGCGCCATGGCAGCTGAGCCACCTATGCCATGTCAGGATCAACAAGAGTGAGTATTGGAAGCATCTTAACTCTCCCCTGCTCAATATTTTAAGCTCATTACGGCTTCTTTCGATTCATAATCCGCGTCGTCGTTTTGGCCTTTATTTCACCCTGTCCTGGAGAAGATCGACATTAATCAAAATCAATCGAACCGGGTGGCCCAAGCGCAGGTAAGTGGCTGTCTTCAATATCAGGTTCCAATGCTGGTCCGGATGGCCGGAGTAAAGACTCGGCGTGATCGAATTTAGTACCACTGTGGTTGCTTCTTCTCCTACTACGGAGTAGGTTCATTGATCCTGATTATTGCGTATCCTCGAAATCTGGAGTACTTCAGCTTCGGGGTTTCCTGGCGATCCGCGACTCTGCCTGCATCATTGCTTATGCTCCCTAGTCAGAGTTTAATGGTGTCAAGCTCAAAGAGTAGGAGAATCAAACTGTCGACTTTCTGTCACTAGCTCCATCTCATGGCTTGTTCTATTATTTGTTTTGTCTGACGGCGCGTGCGGCAGCTAAAGTCAACTTCAGAGGATGCTAGCACAATTGCACTGTACCCATAACATGTGACATTATCCGGATAGGGGCAAAAAAAAAAAAAAAAAAAAAAAAAAAAAAAAAAAAAAAAGAAAGAGAAAAGAAAGAGAGAAAAAGAAAAGGAAAGGAGAGAAAAAGAAAAGGAAAGGAGAGAAAAGTCCTATCCTTCTTAAATAGTTTTCATCTGGGGTCGCATCCATTCAGCGTGTCTGGCCCGTGGCGAACCTTAGCTTGAAGGAAATCCATGCAAGTAGCAAACCGATGGTGACTACCAGCCAGCCCAGGAGTCTACACAGATGACATTCTCTCTATACCTAATTAACCACTGGCCATATCATATTTCATTTTCAGGCAATATCCAGACCGCTCCTTGCTGTGTGATGCCCGCAGCTCTAGGTAAAAATGGCAGTAAACATGGATAGATCCATTGGGCACAGGCTGGACTGGAGCCAGACACCAGTTGTTCTCATTGATGCGGCCCAATAAGCCCTCAATAAGCACGGAGGAAACCCTGTAGATGTAGAGCGAAGAGCTTCGCTGTGAGATTGGTATAGCAAACTGCAGATTCATGCAATCCACAGGCATTCTAGCTAGCCAGCCAGCGTTGGTAATAAGTAAAGATAAACAAACCCAACCCTGGTACCTTGTCTCAACCAAGGACCCATTCTCCAAGTACTTTCTCCGACTTATCAACCCGATCTAAACTAACTGAAAGGTATGAATACTTCCCCATAACCTCAGCCAGACCTAGTCAACTACTCACCTGTCTTCCCAACTGCCAGATCCCAGCAAGACTGACGCATATAACCAATCTTGTCTTCCAAAATCCACGATAAAACTAATTCACGTCATCCAGTCGCTGCTCTTTACTGGCGTGGCCCTCGCGCAGTCCAACGCATGGTGCATCAATGCCCTAAGGCCTGCTCGACCGAGCTACCCGGGCAACCAGTTTACAGCGCGGTCACTTGTACGTGACTCCATCCATCCCATTCCTGGAATAGTCATACGCGATGGCGATCGAAAAGATTGTCCATACTGAGCCCTCCGCAGGCCCTGACGATAACGGCCACTACCGCGCCCGCTGCAACTCCTGGATGTCTACCCTATCCCCATCTTTCTTTCTCTCCGTCTTTACCAAGCGCGATGAAAATGACATGAGCCTGACACATCTGCCCTCAACAGAAAGAACCAGTAGTCTCGCCCACATGACCAACGTCGCGACCCTCTACGGCTGCGTTGCTAAATGCGATGAGACGCCCAGCTGCACTGCGGGTGACTATAAGGAGAGCTCAGGGAGCTGTCGGATCTTGAATATAGTGCAACCGGGAATGATTTTAGTGGAAGCTCGTCTCGCAATGGCTTCCATCAGGGTGGGAGGATTACTGGTTGGGGGGCGGCGTTGCTGCTTATCTAGGCTCCGTTCCCGCAACATGGACCTGCTTATGACGAGGGTCTTATCCATAACAAGTTGTGGAGACATTCATTGAGTTTGATTGAACATAGCTCTTTAGTTACTTCGCAACCTAGCTGGATTTGCTCATACAACGTACCTACCCTATCCTCATTCTCCTAGCGGCCTTGACCGAGTTGTCTGACCTTGTCTTCATGATACGTTTAGCTGGCGACAAAAGGATGAATAAAAACATCAAAACATACAACAGTAGGGATTCGCATGTGGTCACCCACCATACTACTAACCTACCGGCGTGTGGCTTAAGTACGGCTGAGCGGACGGGAAGCCCTGTTCTCCACACCCTGTGGTCGTATGTACCAGAAACAACACTTAACCTGGTATAGACATTCTGCCAAGTTTGCGCCGCAAATTTGCATACTTCTACGAGTTGGTTGTGCCTGGCGTTGTTACGAAATATTGAATATTGTATCAATTTCAGGGCAAAGCTTGAGAGACTATCAGTTGACCAGATTGGCATCCATTACTTTCCTTTCCATGCCCGGCGGCACCTCCTTTTCAAGCCAGTCCTTGTTTCAATGGTCACTATCATATCGAAACGTGTCTGCTCTCATTAATTACCTCGGCAAGCATCAATTGAATCTGTCAATCAATTCCAGCGCCTTTCCATACCTTTTTATCACCCATGCGAATAGTAATAAACCTTAGCTACTCCGTTATCCTCTTTATACCTATTTTGGCCCATAATATACATATAGTCGTCAATAGCTATTTAGAACTTCCAGGTCCACTTCTTTCGAGGTACGTCGGCACGGCAATGGATATATATATGCCGGCGAACTGTTGTCCTCAGGAGGACTCTGTCGAGTGAAGTTACCAATACATGTGTTGCTGCATAAGAGTCTTCTTAATAGCAGTGCGCACTTTCTCAGCCCGCTGTTGAGGTAGCTAGGCTGGACTCCCTGCGTCATTCCAGTCGCTAGTTTACACCCTATTATACCTCGCTTACTGATCTGGCCCGTGCTCAGTGTGCAATATGAATAATCTATACATCTCCATAGTTAGTTTACCGCGCTGAGAAACACTTACACGACAACTGCAAGAAGACCTTATAAGTGAGGCTTTCCGTGTCAATGACCAGGCTCTTCTACAACGTCTTATCTAGTGGACGTGGGCTCTTGAGCGACCTATCGATGCAGGCGCTGATATAAATAAAGAGGACAATCTCGGACGTGGTCCCATACACTTGGCCGTAGCACGCCGTCAGGCTGCATCCGTTAGAGCCTGTTTCAGGCTGATTCGTTCGCTGACAGGACGACGAGCACTCCGCGGGGCCGAGCCCCTTAATCTCAGGGCTCGGTGACGTGAAGTCCGCCGCCTCTAAAAGCATAGTTGAAACATGGTCCAAAAATATACTGATCCCCCCACCGATGTGAGCGGGCGTATACTATCAATTGTTACTATCCTATCAATACCTGATCCCCGGTGGAAACGTTCCCCAGCTTGGACCTGCAAATCTAAACACCCACGCAGATAAAGTAGCCCTCCCACAAACTACCACACGAGCTCCCGACGAGGGGATTCCATCGGTTAAACTGCGCAGCTGTGATCCCATATTTCTGCTGAATTGTCCAGCAGGTATCGCCTGTTTTTGCCTGGTAGTACCTCTTGCATGTATTTATAATCCCTGGCATGGGCTGGTGCAGCTCTGTTGCAACGCAGTAGTAGTACCCGGTAAGGAGACTAGAGCAGGTAGATCCAATAGCTGGATTCCAGCGCACGAACAGGGGTACTGAATTTATGTAAGGGTACTTCTGTTGCGTGATTACTTCGCAAGTATCACCTTGCTGTGCTTTATAATAGCTTGTGCAGGTCTTGACAATCCCTGACTGTGTTGGGGATGGCCCTCTTGCCGTCGATGTGCTGGTAGTGGCAGTAGTTGTGGTTCGGGTGGTTGTTGTTATTGTGGTTGGCTGGGAGGCTGAGAGAGTAAAGTTATTAATAGGGAGTTCTTCTCATGCAGGTATAGGTTATTGGGGTTTGCTCACATGAGGTACCAACACAGACGTAGTACCCTAGCCATAATGACCCACAGGAGGATCCAACAGCGGGGTTCCAGTTATAGAAATCAGATAATGAGATGCCATTGGCATTCGCGATGGAGGCGCACCCATCACCTGATTCTACTAGATGATACTTATTACAGTTCGCAACAATACCAGTCTGCTGCGGCGTGGGACCTGTCACTGTCGCAGATGTAGTCGTTGTTGTCGTGGAAGGAGTCGTAGTCGTGGACGTCGTCGTTGTTTGGCGGCCTGAAATGCCAACGCAGACGTAATAGCCGGCCTGGAGGCTTTGACAGGATGTCCCAACAGCACTATTCAGTAACAAATTAGCTCTAAGTGACTAACACAGAGTTGATGGGGTTTCCCAGAACAAGGGACATACGGATTCCAAACATAGAAATCGGATAATGTAAAATCGCCGAAGCTGGCAGTGATGTCAAAGCAACCATCTCCGGCTTGGACCAAATAAAATGCATTACAATTGGACGCAATGCCGGTCTGCGTTGGTCCAGGAGCGCCTCCGGTCGTTGTTGTGGTTGGTGTGACACTTGTAGTGGTTGTTGTGGTAGTAGTAGTACTTGTTGTAGTCCTTGTAGTCGTTGTTCTGGTTGTTGTGACTGCTGGGCCATCAACGCAGTACGCCCAATCGATATTGAGAGTGTAATTAACGCTGCTCAAGGATGGGTTCTGCCATGTGTATTAAAATAGTTCGTGTAAGATAAAGCGCAGGAGTTACCCAGGAAATTAGTTAGCCCACGCTAATGCCAAAGTAACTCTGGATACTAGAACAGGTGTCTCCAGAGGAGATATCGTTGGCCTAGTAAACACACCCACTGGCAACATCAGGGTCCGTCGGTCCGGTGGGAGAGACGCCGTTGGTCCATCGCTTGATGAGAGCGGAACTCGCCAAACCAACAAGGAGATATTGTAAGATCACAATTGAAACCATGGTTGGGCAGTGGGACATAGCAATGAGATAATGATGGGTGATTCGCTGGACAGTTCAGAGAGTGTTTCAATCGATTTATAGGTCCTGCGGACGATATTACCCTTGGACTGCGGCCGCGTTACTGACCGTCAGCTGTCGAGCTATAAGATGCACCTTTGCGATATCGGAATATGTCAAGTTGTCAATCCGCTTGTTTCCCAGTACTAATCCAATACCTTGGTCTAGGGACAGACCACACTTCCGTCAGGAGTCACACCACATGACATTCGCTCTAGTCTCCTAAACCATCGGAGCAAGAACGTTGCAGTAGCCGGAGAGACTCGCCGCTCCACTTTTGGACGCTGTTGGTAGTCTATGCGGCGGCAATTGGTCGGCACCCGACAGCTGTAAACATAGGTTTCTCGCTATACCACATGGGCCAGAGACAATGCTGATAGTTAATCCTGGCAAAGGTCAGGTTTGTTCGCTTGGGGAATTATCCGAAATTTGTAGCGGCCGAAATGTGTCAGTTCCTGGGACTTGACCAATCATCTGAATCTATGATAGGCGCTTGTTGGGTGTGGACTACTTGGCGGTTGAATTCAGGGATCAGAATCCTAATCGCGCTCTTCAAGGGAAGTCAGTATTTGGACTTTTCCCCTACCCGCCGCAAGCACTGCTACGTTAAGTGCGGGTGACACCAACAGCTAGCTCAGAAATGAAACCCTTCTCGAATCGCGCAGGAAAGTACCTACATCAACCTGGAGCGGTCACTCGGGTGATATTGGAAGCGAACCCTGCGGCTAGATCCGCCGAACCCTGCGGATGCGCCGGCCCGGAAATAATAATGAGATTGGGTTTTACAACAATGCACAGCCATGTACCGCTCCGTATTATACGGTGGGTGTCATACTAGGAGAGGTCATGCACTAACATGTGACCTACTAAAGTACGTGGAGTCTTTTCCCTTAGAATTAAAGAAACTTTGCATTAAATGCCCCAAGTATCCTCCATCACTAGCCAGTCCCTGACCATGCCGCTCGGCTTGGGAAGATGATGGAGGAGAGTAAACGTTAAAAAAATGCAACTCTATTAGCTCTTAAAATACCGCTAAAGGAAATCTCAGGGTTCGGCCTTGCTTTGTGAGTACTTGGGCGGGTATTTTATTTGTGTCGAGGTTTGTCTGGTGGATACAGTGCAGTAGCAAGATATATGGAGCAAGGTAGAACTGGATCGATGCAGTTATGTGTCACATTGTACTATCTCGGAGCGTACCAGCCAACCCCGCTTCAATAAGGGGCTCTAAGATCTCTACAACCCCCGTCATTCCCCCACGGACAGCCCATCCAGCGCGGTCCACCCACACATAGTATCCCTTGAAAATACATCAACTGCATACCTAAGTAGCAGCCTGACCATATCTACATGCCCCCCCTCTGCCGCAAACGACAACGGTGTGCGGCCCCCGCGATCTCGAATATCCGGATCTGCGCCCCCCTCAACCAGGACCTGCACAATCTCCACCTTGCCGCGCGAAGCGGCTCGGATCAGCGCATTCCACGTAAAGAACTGGTTGCTCATCATTGCGTTGGGATCCGCGCCGTGGCGTAGCACAAGGCGGACCATGTCCGCACTCCCCACATCGAGGGCGTTGCACAGGAGTTCAGCGCCCATCTCCCCGGCCATGATTTCTGGCGCAATGTCTGAGAGCAGCTCCTCAACGAGGGGCGTGTCCCGGGCGCGGACCGCCGGGCGCAGCGCCTGCCTCACGAGCGGAGAGAAGTCGCCCTCGAGGATGCGGACAGTAATTGAGTTTTCGAGGCGCTGGCGCTGGAACTCCCTACTTGCAAATGGCCAACCCAATGGCCAACCCTGCTCGGTGTACAGATTGTCTAGGGCTCCATCGTCAATCCGTCGTCTCATCTCGGCTAGAAGGAAGCGCGCAACATGCCACTGAGCGTTCCGGGCGGATTGGTCAAGCGCCGTGCCTGTGGCGTGTGGCGGGGAATAGAAAATGTCTGCGCCAGCGCGCAAGAGAAGTTTGACCATTTCTAAGTCACCACGGGATGAAGCAATGGTAAGGGCTGTTTGGCCATATGATACATCGCGGTTTTTGTCGTCGGGGCGGAAGTCTTGCTCGAAGAGGAGGTATTCGGCGACGGCGAGGTGGCCGTTTTCGACGGCTTCGTGGAGGGGGTTTTTTCGCTGTCCACCGTGGCTTACTACTCGGGTGAATGGCTCCTTTATAAAGAGCCTAAGCCAGGAACTTCAGCGCGCCTGGGTTCCTGTGTCCAGCGTGAAGATGGCTATGAAGAGGCCGCGGAGGGCGCGGATGTGGCCATTTCGACAGTGGTGGAAAATTGCCTGACGCGGACAATTGGGGTCTCGAAGGTCCTTGCGGTAGAGGTACTTGAGCAGGAGGTTGTAGAAGTGATGGCTTGTTCTGATCAGGGAGTTGAGATCATGTTGGCTGAGATGGCCAGCAATCTGGATGATTATCCGGTTTGGTAGGAAGCAAAGATGCATTTTTGTGTCAGGGTCTCAGCCCCTCCCTCAGTCTGTCTTGGAAGCTACGTCGCTAAATAATCTTGTCCCCAGCTCACATGACCCTCTTCCCCTCCTCTTGGCAGGCCGGCCTATTCTGTCCAATCTTCCAGATGCAATAGAACTCCGAGACTGCACCTGGAGGACAGTCCACATCTCCTCTCATGAAAAGTCAGGCAACTATAGTTAGCCACTGGACGGGGGATCTCACCCATGCGATTTTCTTCACCAAGGATGCTCAGGGAATGCACTATTTCATGTATTATAGTGTGAGCAATATACTTTCCTTTGATATTGTCCATGTGGAATTCAGCAGGAAGCACGCTGTTGGCTAGCGCCTAGAGTTGATTTAACCCCCAATTTTCAAACCTTTGCGGGCAGTAAACCATCACGTCCACCCATACCAGAGGAAATTGATGCGTACGCGCATAGTAATTCATCGCGTCACATTTCCCGTTTTTTATCGTTATCTCCCTCTGTCCTCCTCTGTGTACAGGACGGTTGTCCCAGTATCTGTCTTATCTGTCAGTTGGTGAACCCGAAGATTGAAAAGGGACGAACCTGGCTTTTTTTCATCGGACATGTACAGTACAAAGTCATCATTACAGAGTACCTCAATCCTCGGCCACAAGTCACTCGCGAGCGCATCGGCCATCAGAGCGGCTTGTGCTGGGGCGGCCAGTCTCTTGTCTGGGATTTGACCCCACGGTACTTACCCTGAAAAACTCCGCGACATGCCACTTGAAGTTGCCTTTTCAATCCCTGAGTCTTATCATCATCTATCAGCCTCCCGTATATTGCCTCGTATGTGTTGACTAGCCGGGCATTCCAATTTAGTGCCTGTTGTCGCGTTTGGCGAGCCTAAATATATTAATCAAGGGTCCCAAGATTCTGGCTGGCTGCCGCGGCCTTGTTTGCATGCGAGCCGGGTCATAGATGCAAGGGGATGTGCGCCGGGATCTTACCATCTATCTTGCCTCAACATGGCCTATGATAAGCGCAAGGCCATGCTGGGCGTTGTCGCAGTAGCTAAGGTCCAATTCGACTCTCTTGACCAGCGACCTTCTGTCAATTTCAAAGCTGCCATTGAGGTGAAGAGTCTCTGCGTCAAAGACAATTGGAACGGGCTGGATTGGCGATCCCCAACTGCCGGAAAGAAGCGATAAACAATGAACATAATGAACAAGGGACAACGCGCGCATGGTGTGGGTTCTTTGCGGGTGATCAGCCTTCTACCAGCGATAAATGGTCTGCGGCTTAAGAGATCCCGTACTCCCTGAGGCCACAGCAATACACCCTTCATTGCCGAATCTCGGGAGGTAATGGCGCCAAGTCGCAAAAGTGACTCGACCTGCACTAGGTTATGGTATTACTGCGGGATTGGATGCCCCATTTATGCCCAGTCATTGACTATAGCCAGCATCTATACTACTCGTTTGCCTTCATCAATAGGGCTAATTCTACTATGACGACCAGGAACTCCTGGGACGAGGAGAATTACATCAAGTTTAATCGCCTGAAAGAGAGAAAGCCATCTCTCAAGACTTATATCACCGTCGGTGGGTGGGATGCTGGCAGGGAGACCTTTTCTGCCATCGTCTGCTTCCCAGGTACCCGCAGGGCATTCATCCAGTCATCTCTGGAGTTCATGGAGAACTACGGCTTTAACAGTATTAATATCGACTGGGAGTACCCTGTCTCCCTAGACAGAGGGGGAAAACCCACTCGACAAGGCGCGCTTAGTAACCTTCATGAGAGAGCTAAAGGCGTGCGGAGACATATATGGAGTCACAATCACGCTCCCGGCGTCGTACTATACGTCTTCTGTGTTTACACATGGCTTGGGTGTCGTTGCTAATCCGACTAGGGTATCTCCAAGGTCTCAATGTCGAAGGAATGCTGCCATATGTTGATTATTATAACATCATATCGTACGATATCCACGGTACCTGGGATGGCAACAGTGAACACACTAACCCCGTGATTAATCCTCACACCAACCTAACAGTGATAGCTCAGGGCTTGGACCTTCTCTGGCGCAATTTGGTCGGCCCCAGCAAAGTTAACCTTGGGCTTGCCTTTTACGGCCGGTCGTTTAGACTAGAGGATAACTCGTGTAATGTCCCTGGATATCCATTCTATAAGCCGAGCGGTCGTGGTGCCAATCCAGGCAGCTGTACGGGGACCAGTGGCATTCTATTGAATTATGAAGTTCACCGGATTCTGGAAAACTACCGGCCCGAAGTGATCTACGACGCGGACGCCGGGGTGAACTAGATAACGTGGGCAGGAAATCAATAGAAAGTTCTCCCAGTACGCTGTCTCTGCTATTAGTAACAAGGGGAATGGATCTCATTCGACAACGTGAGAACGCTGCGGCAAAAGGCCGACTTTGCTCACAGCCAGTGTCCAGCTGGCCTGTTCACTTGGTCTGTTAAGTTTAGAGGCCCTGGCACTCTTACCAACCCCAATGACCTCAGCCTTGACGACACGAGCATGAAGGGCGCTGAAGCCAACGCCTCCAACGGCGGCTCTGGCAATATTTACATTGGACAGGAGATCTACAAGGAAGAGAACCCCACCATAACCTATATCCCTCCGTGCAACTTCATCCTACCTCCCTACACGCTCGCCTCGCCAACCACCATCACCCTCCCCGTTTATACAACCTCTCTCGAGATCGCGTGGTCGACAGTCCTTACCGTCACCGTTGGAGCAACCGAAACAGCAACCAGCACAATAACTCGTACGATCCAGACAACGACCATCTCTATCCCTTTAATCATGACAGACAGAATTAACATCTGGCACTGGAACATCACTCCTACTGCTCCCTCGCTGCGTAGCTACCAGCTGACCAGCAGCATCCTACCTTCCCTGATCCACATTACTAAAAGCGGCGTCCCTAGCGCAAACCTGCCAGTTACTCGCATTCTCACCCTTCCGCCATTCCCCTACAAGACGGATATTATTAATCCTTTCTTCTAGAGATAACATGGACGGCCGGGTCTCCGGGGCCAACCTACATAGCAGGCTGTGGCTGGTGATGTAATCTCTATCCATGTATAGCACGCGGGAAATAGTTATCTATATATTAGTAGACTACCTAAGGCTATAGGGCGTGTAGATAAAATTAAGGAGAGAGGTTAGGAATATATGTAATATTATATTAAGTTTACTGGAGGCTCTAACTAAGGTAAGAAAGGTAATCTAGATACTATCTTATAGGCTAAAATAATTAATACCATGCTAGACTTTGCTAAGGTGTTATAATAGTTTTATAGTTATGCACTACAAGGGCAGCCTAATAATAAGAATAGTAATTAGGCCATGATAGGCTATAATAAGGCTCTAAGTTTATTTACAGGAAGTGGAAGACTCTCACTCTCTATATATATATATATATATATATAATCAGAAATATATAGTTGTGGTAGCCTGCATATTGCTTGGGCGAGGGGTCAGGGTAAATGAAAGCATCATCATCATCATCACTGTACCTCGCCTTTCCATCAAAGCATTGTTCCTACATCCGTTCTCGAACGCCATCTTATCCCTCAACATGCCTGTCGAGAGGAACGACATTGTCACCCTGCCCCTATAGTGCATCTGTTGACCTTCCTTACAATCAAATCAGCCTGTCCAACTCTACATTTTAGTTGTACTACTCGGAAAGCCTAGACACACAAGGTGGCCATTCTGAGATTATAACCAAGCCGAACGCCGTAACCATGCATCAAGCCTCTGAACTACTAACCACAAACCATCCTCCTGGGAGCGAAATTAGGTGCTACCTAACTCTTCGGACCTTGTTCAATATAGTACCCAGCGAACCATACCATCTCAGCCAAAATGACTTTCCTGCTTAGCCCCCGTCACAGGCACTACATAGCTAGCCCGGTCCTTCGCATAGAATTCCACGTCAATCTTCCCTCCCAAACTAGCCTCACCATTATCCAGAGTACCACCTTTGATGCAGGTCACGTCGGGCATGATTTCCAGGTCCGTGTATAGGCTCGATCCGCAATTCGAGCAGAAGAATCGCCTGGCCGTTTTCCCACTGGCACCAACCGAATCATAATAAGATGGAGTTCCTGCACGGCACTTGCGGATTAGTTGCCATGAACTGAAGCTGCAGCCTTGGAAAATGTTGTTCCCCATCTCTCTCTCTCTCATTCCTCCCGTGTCTTTTTCGGTATAAACTGACCCTTGGTAATCTTGAAGCTGGCCCGAGGGACAACGGCATTGGATGTGTACGCGCTTCCTGTCCACTATATCGTTTTTTCCCCTCCCGTTAGACCAAGTAATTCTCGCCTCTGATTGCGTGGATACTAGCTCACCTTCTGGCAGTCTAGGCAGTGGCAGAGGGCCCTCATATATTGTTCCACTGCGCTATTATCAATACGATCGATATCCTTCCCGCGATACAAAGCAAGCATGGATCTGGGTTTACCTTCAGCTGTGTAAGCGATGCCGCCGCATAGGCAGCTCCCAGAAATCGTCATAATGGTAGAATGAAGCTTGCACTCAAGAAGAAGAGGGGGAAGAATAGTGTAGACCAATGTAGCCACGACAGAATAGGATGTCGCCCGTGCAGAGGGTGTGAAAATGCCAGGAGATTCCTCGATGTCAATTACTCGTCAGAGGGCGACTCAATTTATGTATTCCTCCTACGTGGGTTGACCTACGGTTATTGACGCCAACATGGTCTGAACCAAAGGATCTGGCGCAACAGCTGACTCTACCCCGCCCTCTAGCCAGCCACACGCGCTGTTGGAGTCCGGTGTCGCCGGCTTGGCATTGGCATTGGCTTTCCCATCAGGCATACAGAAATTGCGATAATTGAAGGCAAATAAAAATGCAGTGAAGGGCATTTCTCAACTAGTGTCGTGGCACACGAAGATCAGAGTGCAGCTGAAATATGCAGCGTCAACAAGTTTTCTCAAAATTGTCGCTCTCAGCCCGGGCCGGCCAACAATCAAACCTCAATACTGCAGATTTCTTTAAAGAGACCTTCGCGCTTGCCCAATCTCCCAGAGCTCTTGTCCAATGTTTCAATCAGAATGCCAATCTGCCTTAGGAGATATATAAATTAGCTGAATTCTAATGGTCCCTATACTGCGATGTACTTAAAGCGTTATCTGCTTGTGTTTTAAAATAAAAAACACATACGTGTCAGAACCAGACTACAATGTTCCCTGGTTTTCGCAATCTGTCAACTTCCCATTGCTTCAACTTTCATAGTACGTTCAAAGAATGCGCTGTATCTACAAATTTTCATCAACCGATTCATTTGCTCATGGTAGTCAGTCCTGCACCTTCCAGGTAGAGTAAGTGAATCACACAACTACAGTCTATCCCCTCAAACAGATACAGACTGTTGAGAAGTAACCCATCTATACTACGAGTAACTTGAGGTAGAAAGGTTGATTCCATCATCGTTTCCTCTACAGATCTATAGGAAACCGCTCGCAAACTCACTTTGAGGACACGCGCCTTTACCCATTATGATTTTCTGCTCGCAAACAAAGTCATGGAGAGGAAACGAGTCTCCCCTACGCGGTGGGAACGCCGGACTAGTGGGATAGAAGAGTTCTCTGTCTTCATCGGCAACATCACTGCCACAAAATACGACGGGGCGCCCGCAATATACGATCATATTAGCGGTTAAAGTCGAGTTTAATATTTCGGACATGGAATCCGCACTTTGGCACGCCTAGAAGCAAGTGCGATACGAAGAGCATGACATCGCTACCACGCCCAAGACGGACAAGAGATTATTCTAGGTCCTCGACGACGCCGATTTAAAGCAGTGGGCCGACGAGATATTCATCATCGACCGCAAGGCGAAGTCAACGACGCTGTACTACCTTCCCAAGTCGTCGGAGCTTGTTTTCCACGTGCACAAGGGCCTTGGCCTGTATGGGAACAAGATGCCGTTATTGCCGGATCCACTTCAACGAGTTCAGCGAGCGGGTTGAGTACAAAATCTGCAAAAAGGGGTGGTGGGAAGTGTGCCTGAAGCGCCCCCATCGTTGCTCGGAGCGGGCGTGGAGGGTATACTTGAATACTAGGACATTACACGAACTACGGGGCTATCTTGGGCTTGAGTCGGCGTAAAAGCGGGGATGTCCTCAGTATGATATCGAAATGGCTGTTGTCCGGCCAGCGCAATTGGTAAAACATATGGATATGGTTGGACTATAGATCAAGTTGACAGGATCATCTGATTAGCCAAGTTGCTTGTCAACGTGTCACGTTACAGGCATGCTGATTCGAATTACAATACAACAAGAAAAGGCCTCATAAAGCCAACTCAGAAAACAACCAGTACGGAGGATAATGGGCTCGAGGCCCATCTAACAGATCACTCCAAGTTACACCACGATCAGGCGGCTGTAGATTCACTCCAACGCGGTGAAGCTCAACAGTGTCCTGATAATCTGGCATCTCTGAGAGGATCTCGTCCATTTTGTCGCGCCAGACCTCTTTCAGGAACTGATGAAGTGTCAATGAAGAGCTGTTGTAATCATCTAGAAGCTCGTCAACAAGGGTTCTCAGCTGGGCAATCAAGAACGCCTCCTCCTGCTGAATTTCGCGAATTTGGTTGCTTTTTATTTCTTCCCTGTTGTGATTACATGTGTGGGTGAGATCAAGCTCGCAGAAGGTAAGGAACCGAATGACCCGGGGCGCTAACATCTTATAAAATTCTCGTTTCTTTTTGGTGATGAGTGTTTTATCGATCGTATGAAATATGGCCGACAGTGGCGGGCCATAAATTTTAATCCGGCATGCTGCTTCTTTAACCCAGTCGAAAGTGCCCTCTAGCAATCTTTTGAATGCAAAGCATCCACCTGCACAACAAGCACAATCACAGTGGTCGCGATAATCATCCAAAAGCATGAGATGGAAAAGCTGGACACACGGCTCGCTCATAGCAGAAAGATCTTCGTGCTCACTTGTAGCCATTTTTATAGCCATGTTTTCAGCGATGTCGTGTATAACAGGGCTACCATAACAGAAGCGATATAGATCCGCACCCCTCGAAACCAACCACTCAGCTCTTTCCAGGTGGACGGTGAGATCTTCCAAATTTGTGGAACACCACCTGAGAGCGGTTCCTCCGTATTCATCCGCTTCGTCCACGTTCCGGAAACCAGCATCCCATACCTCGTTCCAAAGGTCAAGACCCAATGAAAGGTTGAGGTACACACAGTCCGCTCCTATTTGTTCCAGTCCCGTGATATTAACAGAATAAGTCTTAAGCAGCTCACAAGCTCTGGTAGCTTTCCGGTTAAGGAGCGTTCCTGGTTGGATATTTAACTCGGCTTGCATTGCCACAGGGAGTCGAGTCTCTGCTAGAACCGTCAGGCGATATCTGCGGCTAATAAAGGCTTCAATCATAAGTCTCTGAATCTCGGGTTTGTTATGGCATAGTGCACCTGCGCCATTGAGTGTTCCGGTGTCCAGGGAGAATATTTCGCAACTTAGTATTAACTTCACACATGAGACGCAATCTGTTGTGATAGCATAATATAGAGCCATATCAGTAGGTGCATACCCATGTTCAAGCAAAGTCGCAAGCCCCTCTGGCCACATAGCATAGAAGTCAAAAAATATGGAAGCCGTCCAATCTAGGGGACCTAAGGTTTGGAGCAGCGAGCAAAGCTCATCAACTGATTGTGATATAAGAGGATGTATCTCGGTTGGCATCTCCATATCTAGCCATAGTCAGTGGACAGTCTTGGCTCAGTTTGAACTAACGGATAACTTGCCCTGCCACCCGCACTTTGCAACTATGGACTGAGTAAATGGTATAGCACGGAGAATCCCTATCGGTGTGCTATCTGCAGGCGATGAGGAATGAGGAAGGCCTGTTATAAAAGACCCTGCTCTGAGAAGCTTAATGCAAGACTCCACCGTGTGTGTCTGCCTGAATTCCTCCCGATTACCGGCATTGAATGCCGCGAAAGAGGAAAGGAGGATCACATCAGCGGGTGTTTCCCCCAGCTCATTCAAGGAGCCTGGAGGAACACCCATTGCAAGCATGTCGTCAATAAAGGCATGCCAATCTGCCCATGCATCATCATCCCAGCGCTTAGCTCGTCCTAGCCACATGGAAGCTGCCTATCCTTCCTATCAGCAACAGTACATGAACAGCAAAGGGCGCCTGGAAGCCTCGCTTACGTGTAATAGTGTATCTCCATTCTCCAATGTGTCTGTCGGAGAAGCCTGCCCTGTATCGAATAGCTCGAATAGTTTTTGATGAGCCGCTTTTATGCTGCTCTTCCCTATCATGCACCTTAGACCCCCACCATAGCATCCATATTTATGGAGAAGGCTGAAGGCCGGCGAATCCTCCAACACTACTGCGCGAAAACGAAGATTGGGACTAATAGAGAACCCGCCCGCGCCCTTTGTCATATGCAGCGACACGGTTACCGAGAACCTTAGGAACCGGCTGCAGAACCTGTGTCGGAAAAGAAGTGACACCAAGTCTTGGCTTTGGTTCTGCAGCGGGCACCAGGATCTATGCCCTGTTGATTGGGCATTTATTAAGTCGCATCTGCAACCTATTGTTTGCTTCTTCATGCGACTTCTCCTATGTAGTCTTGGAAGTAGGCTGGTAATAGCTTTGTTATTTTCTTGTTGTGTGTACAAGAGCGATGTTAGTCGTTTTGGCGTTATAATTGGTTGTCCGCTGTTCGCTGTAATATGCGACTCCTAGTGGTGAACATTAGACATGTCCACGAAGTTTAATGGCACGACCATACCACTTGGTCCATCCTCTGCATTAGCATAGTGAGAGTTGAATTACTGCTTGCATGCTGATTCTCCAGCGTCCCCAGGCCGCTCACAAGCTTCTGCGTTAATGAAGCAGTGAACATTGTGTTTGATAGAACCAACTCCATCAACTGTTGGCTTGAGTCAAGCATCGAGCTAGTAAAATTTAGCATTGGAAGATAAGTAATATGAATACTAACATCTCTAATATATGGAGAGCGGTGTCTACATTCGACTGTAGCCAGGTCATTGTATCCATGACCTTCATAAGTGTCTCCCGGCGGAAAGGGTAGAGCAAGCGATTATATTGATTTTTTAATCTCGACGCCTTTTCGCGGTTCGGGGGGCAGACTTGATGGCATTTGTCAAGCATTTTTCTCAGCTTCTCAATGCCTTTTTGGCAGTTTTCAATATTTTGTATTGCCAGGTGTACAAGTCGTGTCACTGGGGCGGGATGTGATTGAGCAACCACATTATGTAGTGCGGTAAGCAAGGCATTAAGACTCCGAATGCGACACAGAATCTCTTCAATATCCTCATGAAAGAATGCGTACGGGCCATAGTAAGCGAGGAACCCTTGACAGAGGGTGAGGCCAAGGGATACAATGCCAACTGCGCTCCCGGTTACCGAGAACGGATCCGCCATTTAGCTGCGAAGCTTTCGGTTCTCCGCTCAGAGAAGAGAGAAAATTGGAGTCGAGAAAGAATGTGATTCAGAGGATAGGAAGAAGAACAAGACACGAGGGTCCCGTGGCAGGCGGAGGCACTGCCACCCTTTGTGCGACGGTAGACTCGCTGAGGCCTGAAGCGCGCCCGTTCATTGGCGACGCTCGTTATCGTATTTGTGGCACGAGATGATTTGTCAATCTAGCATGCACCTGGCGGCGAGCATTGGAATCGACAATCAATGGGCTGCACTGTGCACGCGCTCTGCTGACTTGAAAGCGGCGCCAGGGCTCCTTGGCCCAAATTATTAACAATGTAGACTTTGCGAAAAAGCCGCCTGCCGACCTTTGGTAAAGAGAGTTGTTGCTAGAGGTTCACAACGCGCAGGGGTGCCTAGGAGAGGCCCGTTATAATATGTAAGCAATCGGGTTATACTCATGTTCTCTCACTGGAACCCCTGCACCGCTGGTGAATTACTGTCGCTTCGCTTTAAGATAGGCAAATTAACCTTACGACTCTGGTTTCGCCACTGTCGCCTGTGGCTGCCTGAGCGAGCGCGCGGGGCTCCTGAGTGCCAAAGTACTACTGCAGTCCATAACTAGTAGAAATGTTCAGATCTCGACCTCGTATTATCCCTTCAACAGCACTGGAAGATGTCCTGGTGATCCGGCTAGTCCCGGTGTACCGTCATTCGAGGCGCAGTCGCCGTTCAGGCCTGGACCCTCGACTAGTTTCAGACTTGTCTTTGATGCTATTGGTAGGATATATCCCCGACGTCTGCGCAAAACGCGTGGATCTGCTTTGTTTAGTTCGTTGCCGTGCAGCAAAGGGGCATGCGATTGGTGGAGATTCTTAAGCAAGTGGGTTCTTTGGAAAAGGGGATAGAATAGCCGGCCATCTGCACGTTGCCTTGGGGGGAGATGTGAACTGCTTATACTAGGCTGAGTTCCTTGACTAACTGCTGCGAAAGAGTAATTGTGTACAAATATTTGATTTCCGTGGGTGTGCTCAGGGTAGTGCCCAGCGAGTAAACTAGGGCAGAGACATGTCCTCAATATCCCCATCAGCTTTCGGTATTTACCAAATTCCATGTCACTTTGACGCGCCTCAGCCAAATGGGCTTGTGGCCACAGTACAGAAAGACTTTTACTCCACGTCAAAAGTCCTTTTCCAACCTACCAAGCCAAGTCTTCCCTTCCTTTTCACTAACACGTATACGAAGACTTTCCATCCTCGGCAGTATCCGTGGTAGACGGCTAATCCTTCGTCTTCGTCGGTTGCTCCTTCCAAGTCGCACGCGCCGTCAAATCCGAAATCCCGCTAGGATACGGCATCAAGGGAGGTACGTTCCCTCCTCCACTATAATCGGTCTCGGTAGGATACGGCATGTAGTCCAAAAAGTCTTCGTATGTCGTAGTGGAGTCGTCCGGATAGATGGTACACGTGTAGACGTAGTCGCCGTCGGTCACAGTGACATACTCATAGGTCACAGTGGAATACGTGGTATAGTCGTCCTCATAATCGTCGGACGACGTGTAGGTGTAGAAGTCCGTGGGATACGTAGTGTACGATTCAAAGTCGTCGGAATAGGTGAGGTCGGTGTACGTCTCCGTATATTGCCTTGCGTGGCGGTAGGTGGAGGAGTCAGAGTCGTAGTCGTCGCTCGACGAGGTATAGTCGCTTGAAGAAGTGTACTCGGGCGAGGAGGGGTATGTATTCGACGAGGAGTACTCGCTCGAGGTCGGATATGCGCTTGAGGAGTAGTGCCTGCTGGAAGAAGGATAGGTGCTCGAGGAATGATATGTACTGGACGAGGGGTACGGCGTGGTCGAAGGATAAGGGGTAGACGATGGATACGGGGTCGAAGAATACGGCGGCGGGGTCGAGACAGTGTAATCACTCGAGTACGGCGTCTCGCTGCAGTACGGATACCTGAGGCAATGGTCGTAGACGGGTGGTTGATATTTATCGGGGGCGGGATAGCCACCAGAGTCATAGTAGTAGTATGCGTAGTAGCAGCCGGTTGAGTACTCGTTGTAGCACTCGCGGTAGTCCGGGGAGCACTTTTAGTACTCATATCCGTTGTATTTGCAGAAGCAGCCGCAGAGGCCGGCGCTGTATGCGTCGCAGGAGGTATCTATCGTACTGTCTGGTGAGGAGATTGGTCATGCCATCTAGATGGGATTTTCCGAGTCAGTTAGCATTGTTTCGGTAAACATGCCCAGTATGGTAGCGCTCAGATGATCCGCAATGTTCGTTTTGTAGCTTGCCTTGTCCCCGTCTGCTACCCTGGCTGGTAGGCAGGCCGCAAGGGCAACAAGGGAAATGAAAGTGCTTAGGATGGTGATTGGCCTCATTTCGAAGAGTTGGTGTCTCAAGCTGTGCGCGTTTGGGACTAATTGATCGGATGCAATGTACCGGCCCTTGTACACGCTTTTATAGTGTAGACACCCGGCCTGATATTCCCATTTCGAAAAACCATTCGCATACTGCTGCTGTTATATGAAAGTGGCACCACGACTGCCATTTGGCTCCGCGAGCATGATCGTGAGGACTATTTACATATCGCGCTGTGCCAAGGATGACAGTACCTTCTTCAACGTCCTGTGCATGCAAAGAACGATACCTCTCTATGATGCTTATTTGGATCTAAGACTGGCCAGGCGGCTGGGTAGCCATAGCATCGAAATTCAAACTATATATCTTCATGGCACATGCACCCTCTATGATGCTTGTTCAAACCGACGACGGGCCAGGTGGTTCGGCATCAACAGCCATGGTGGTTGTCCCCTGGTTGATTAGAGATAGGAATTTTTGACTGTGTTCAGAGGAACGTCCATACGATCTAAAAATGCCCTATGCACAGATTGGCCATCACATCCGGCCGTTCCACTGCCGATAGGTATACTATGGTCGACTTATGCTTGGAGGCACGGTACTAGCAACTTCCTTGGGTATCATCCGATAACCTACATCAGAGGCACTCTCGGCGTATTTCTGGCCGGTTAGATCAAGATCTATCACCAGGAACCATGAGCGAGCTGCGTCATTGAAGGTTATGGCTTCATCTCGCCACCAGTCGGATCGCTGGGACAGGATGGGGCCAACCAACATTGGCTGAACCACACTTGGCAGGCTGCAACTCTTATTTTCCAGTATATCAGCAGCAAGTAACAGGGTCTGGGACAATTTCAAAAGCAATAGAAACAGGCAAGAGTTAAAATATCCAGTTAGAAGGTCATTGAAACTGTACTAGGTAGCAAGCAAGGCGCAATCCAAGCGCTGCGTTCTCGCTCTCCCTCACATGATCCACATGGCACCAAGGTAGAGAGCAGATCTCGATTGACCTCCAGATTACTGTCCAACTTTTATCAAGAGGCCGTAGGCCGTACCCGCAGAATAGAGCACGGCACATTGGTAGAGCAATGGATCAACGCTCGGTGCCACTCTCCGACCGCTGTTATAGGCTGAGTCGTGTCTGAGATTTGAACATGCGACGTCGAGCTCCACAATGCAACCTGGTCTTGCGCGCCTGACTTCAGGAGGTTCAGCTCCAATCTCGGCCAAGCTTCTTGTTGTCCGCTAGCACCTGGCGACGGCCAATCGCCTGTCACGCCCTCTATCTCAGTGTTGTTCGCCGCGGCCTCCTGCAACGGGCGCGGAAGCACTAAAATCTCATCGTATGCTCCGGGCTCCGGTCGCAAGCTCTAATGTCCGGCTTGACAAGGCCAAGGGGGCTATATCCCAAAATGGATGTCAGTCTACCATTGGCCAGAACAGGGCAGTGCAGTAGGAATATTGGAGGCTGAATCCTGGGGGCCGCAGCTATAACGAGCAACAATGGTTATAAAAAACACCGATGTCTCCAGTTTCAAGTAGCGAAGCATCAATTTCAACTCATCTACAATCTTCTCACTATGGCCTCTGAATCTGAATCTCCAGGGCTCTCCCTCCACGTAACAGTTTTTATCGCAGAGGAGAATATTCCCAAGTTCTTCGAAGCTTTTCTTCCCGCCTACGAGAAAGTTACCGCCGAGCCCGAATGCACGTTTTTCGAAGTCTACCAGTCACTCGAGAATCCGGGTGAACTTTCGTGGGTGGAGAACTGGTAAGACCTCCGCCATCGATATGCGATATGGCCATAAGCTAATGCATGATCATAGGTCCCAGTCAATGGAATGGCTGATGCAGGTACGATACGGACGCCCTCCAGCGCTCGGGCTGTAGTACCCATCCTAACTTCTCTTCGTGTGTATAGGTGCAGCTCAAGAAGGAGTACTACGCGCCATATATTGCGGTCACCGAGCCCATGTTTGTTAAGCCGAGGGTGATCAAGGTCGTGAAGCGAGTTGGCGCTCCGTACACCACGGTCAAGGAAGAGAATGGTGGTCTTCGTCATTAGAGTTTCGACGACAGCATGACGGGGCGGGGAACTATGTTGAACAGTCGACTATAAGACCTGGTGCACTGTCCAAAGTCGCGTTGTACTTGTTTTCGCCCTCAACAATGGCAATCTCTCCACGATATTGTGTTGATATCAACGTTCATCATATATCGCGCCCGGTTCGGTAGAAACTGGTCGTCAAAATCTTGTCCTCTACTCTAGTCAGATGATTTTACGCCCACTCAAGACAAGAGGGTCTACGGCCTATCAGAAAGGACTTAAGATTGTCCAACTCTGATAAAGGGCAACGGGCTGCAACATCACTGCATCGCCTTCTGCCATAGTTTTGAATAACCCCACCCGGTCAACGTAGATTTCATTTGAGACTTTCCAATCGCAGTGACTATTATCATGCCAGCACATGAACCGATGAAACCCACCTCAGTGGCTATACGTAATCTGCTCCCCTCGATTGTTCGACAGGACAACGTGCAGACAAACACCATGTACAGCGCCCGTCGCCTGGGTCATGCAAGTGAGGCTTGCGTACCAACAACGTCGAGGAAGGAGCAAATAACGTTGCCTTGGGCACCATAAGGGTCGCCCCTCCCCCGCCTGCCACCTACCGCGCGTGTGTCGGGGAAGGTGCGACCTGGATGGATACCATGGTAACGAGACGCACCTTCCGAAAAGGAGAAATAGGTGTAAGAGCTTCATTAGGAAGGAGTGACCGACGCCCGGTTTGAATGCGGCAAGTGCGTTCAGTATCGGATATAAAGGGTACCACCCCATAAAGTCCGCTAAGCATCTTCCGTTGGCTGTCACAAGTCTTCTTCCAGGGGCGCCCATATTGTCTCTTTCACACGAAGTTGAATAGCCCTACGCCAGAGCCGACCATCTCAGCCCTTCCTCTTAAAAGCAGGAAGTATGGCGGTATATGGTGCCAGTGTAAATCCTCACTCAGTAGACGCCATTCACTTGACCCTTCATTATCCACAACCTCGCTACCCATTCACATAATGACCTCAAATGATCCGCCATCGCCCAATCCAGGTCGTCACTAAGCTCCACCGCCACGCGTGATAGCTTTGATCCGCGATAATCTCACTGCACAATGGTCGGCGGAGCGGTGCCTAGAAGGTTGCTACCGCGCCTAAGGGAGGATAGTTGTATGAGATCATACTGCCTGGATCGGCACCTGAGGGCATGTCATTCCACCATGAATCCACGGTCGTTGCCACGTTCCTCCGGTAACGACCACGAGTGACCCGCGGTGTTGACCGGATCGTTGTGTTTGGCTAGTTTGAATGAGCGCTTTGCAGACAAAAGGCATTCCTGGAAAGCAAATCGTAATGTCGACTGGATTGCTCCGTATGATGTCCAGGCTGGGCTTTCTCAATATCTTCCACATCACTAGCCGTTTCAACAGACGACTGGGCCCGGAGTATATAGCACCGAACCTCGGGCTATCACTCCACACCCTCGTTTCCCTGCATGCGGTATCTTGTCGCTGAGTGGTACCAGCCAAGGCTTTCCAAGTCGTTCCAAGCCAGAATGCCGAGACCAGTGACCCAGTCGACCCATTGTGAGTGGCCACCTCATCTCAATCCTGACTCCTCGCGATGGGAGATAGCCAATGGACTGAACATTGAGGCACGAAGCTCCAAATTATTGGACAGAAGGTGTCGGAAATCCCCGCGGCCAGTTCTGGGCAGGGGTCTTCGATACCCCATGGGGAGAAACTGCGGACGCCTCCACGGCAAAACCTCGGGCCAAGCCAGTCTACGACTGTACGTGACGAATCAATTGCTCCAGACTCGGGAACTCAGAATGACTCGTGCGGCACTGCTCTGGAAGTCTAGGCGTGCTCAGGATCCTCTTACGACGAAAGCATACTTGCAATCTCGCTATGATGTACACCGAGTTCCCGACGCATGGGCCAGAGATTCCGTTCTTAATCGCTTGCTCGCCCTCGCAACCACTTCCCGCAATCGAGCCGTCCATCCCTCCCTTCCTCGACAGCGACGACTTAGTAGAGCTATACCATGGCGACTACTAACACCCCAGACTTCGTCAAGGAAACCCCTACACCCTCGGCCGAACACCGCGATGTTGTGGACGGCAATCCGTTGGAAAAGGAGCATGCGGCAAGCGGTCTTGGCCTGTCAGGTTACGAGACATTGGGTCTGTGGGAGACGGTCAAGGCATTCAAAATGACCACTTTTGTCTGCTTCATGATGTGTTTCAGCGCTGCCACGGACGGTTATCAGATTGGGTGCGTCAGCTATCGTTCCGATATAAGTCTCAAGATTACCACGTCACCTAAGACTCAGGATTTCTGGGCTTCCTAACTGACGACGGCTTCGACAGGATCAACGGGAATATTATTGCGAATCCCGGATTCGTCAAGCAATTCGCCACCAAGACAAACGAAGCCGGAGAACCGTATCTCGCAGCGTCCGTGCTCAGCGCTTGGAGTGCAATCATGTCTGTGGGCCAGATCATTGGGATGACCTCGCTCGCGTTCATCACAGATCGCTTCGGGAGAAAAGTTGCAATGTACTGGTACTGGCTGGTGCTAGTCATCAGCATACTTCTCGAATCCCTCGCGCGGAAATGGCAGATCTGGCTCGTTGCCAAACTCTTCGCTGGCATGGGAGTGGGCTCGCTACAGTCGACTATCCCAGCTTATGTGACAGAGGTCGCACCTACGCGCATCCGTGGAGGTCTTCTTATGTGCTATAGCTTCTGGTACTCGTTGGGAGGGTTTTTCGCCCCCGTGGCCTTACAGGTCCTCTCCCAGAGCAGCCCCGAAGACTGGTTAACCCCAGTTTATACGCAATGGGCCCAGATTGGGGTTATGATTATTATCTACATCTTTGTTCCTGAATCGCCAGTCTGGTGTGTCAACAAGGGCAAATACGACCAGGCGAAGAGAGTCCTCCATCGCTTGAATTATGGAGTCAAGGATTATGACGTTGATCAGCAGCTTCAGCTGCTCATTCTATCCATTGACCATGAGCGCACCGTGGCTGCAGAGCAGCGCTCGGAGAAGTGGTATGCCATCTTCAAAGGCACCGACGGCCTTAGGACAGTAATTGCGTGTTGGACCCTCCTAGCACAGCAATTCATTGGCCTTACCTTGTTCGCTTCATATGCCTCATACTTTTTCCAACAGGCTGGCCTCGAGGATCCGTTCCAGGCCACATGTATCACAACCAGCATCAGTCTCGCTGCAGGTATTAGTTTGATATTCATAGCTGACCGATTCGGCCGGCGCTTGCTTTCCTGCACGGGCACCACCATCTGCTGGGCCGCGAATATCGTCGTCGGGATCCTCGGCGTCACGCCCCAGGTCAAAGCAACCAACTATCTGTTCATCTTATTCGCATGTATATGGAGTAAGTCCAGTCCACCAACCGCCCCTCACCAGCCTTCTGTACCGAGTTAACCTCACACCACGCGCACAGACCTCGGCCTCGTCGCCAACGGCGCAACCGGATGGGGATTCATTGGCGAAATCTCATCCCAGCGCCTGCGGCCATACACAGCTGGGTTCGCGGCCGCGACATCATGTGTCGCGGGTGTCGCTATGAATGTGATCACACCGTACATGGTCAACAACAATGACTGGAACTGGGGGCTGAAAACCGGGTGGTTCTACGCGGGCCTCGGGCTTCCGTTTACCGTTGCGATTTGGTTCCTTATCCCCGAGACTGCTGGGTATGTCCACTTTGCCTATATTATCTATCCCACCTTCCCCTTTGGTGTCTTACTCTCAAAAGCATGTCGTGTTTGAGATGGTAGAACTAATTCACTTCTGACAGGCGTTCTACGGCTGAGTTGGATGAGTTGTTCGAGAGGAAGATCAAGCCGTGGCGGTTCCATAAGACGACGACGGCTGCGCAACGGAATGTTGCCGCTGGGGCTGCGGCTAAGAATGAGATTGAGGTGAGAGATGAACCGTGAGGGACGCTGGAGTTGGGTTACCTGTTGCCTTTAGTGTGGCTTTATGTAACGGCGTAGTGATCCGTCATGTGCTCAATCGTCCTATGGCATGTGCGAGGGGGTTCTGGTGGCTAGGAGTAAAGTATATCCATCATGCCTGGCCTCGAAGTACTGTAGACAAATAGTAAGCGTCCTCGCAAGACTGTAGAAGTATTGTCGTGCGGCACATAGGGCAACTGAGCCCTTCACCAAGTAAAGCACACATCGCAGCACTTCCATGAACAATTACACCCCGGGAAGGAGTCGTGTAGCAGTTGTCTCTACGTCGTTTCCAGAGAATAGGCAGCCTCCACTAAATAAAGAGGACCGACATCCATTGCATTATCTTTAGCATCTTTGGCCTTCCCCCCTCCCCTCTTTCCCCTTTATCCTCGTCCCCCGTTCAACCCATGACCCCATGCCTCATGGATCTACATCCGTAGTCCCCCGACACCGACAAAAACAAACACACGCAGAAATCAAAAGCATCCCCCCTCCAAGTCCCAATCCCAATCCCAGCCCCAGCACTAACTCATACCCCCGCAGCCCACTATCGCTCTGTCTGCTTTCCGAGGACTGGGACGTGGTATGTGTATGTGTATCGGGGTACGTAGTGCTATCGGCCCACTCCTCTTCCAAATAGGCGATTGTCTCGCCCGCCGCGGTCAGTGTGGGGGGCGCTGGCGTAAGCAGAGAGCCAGCGGCGTCGGATGCGTGCCATGTTATGTGCCAGGGGTGGTGGAGGTGGAGGATGGGGGCGGAACCCGGCGGCGCGGGGACGGATGTTTGGCCCGTGCATGGTTTTGAGAAGCCGGGGGTTGTAAGCGGGTAGTCGTCGAAGGGGTAGAGGGTGTAATCGCTGTTTAGTTGAGTCTCATGGGATTGTGTGTGTGTGGGTGTCCGTGATGGGAAAGTTGATACCTTGAGCAACACCAGGCAGTCGTCACAATCTCATCGTCCTGCTCCCGAGTCGTCATTCCTATTTTCCACGTCGCCCATCCGGAGGGACAGACCGCGGGACTAAATGAGAATCGACTCTCCGGGATAACCGAGTCCCATCCCGACGGCTGGCAGCTAGTGAATTCAGGTAGGGCAGGGTCGGAAATCAAATATCGCAGCGTTGATGTGGTGCCGGGCACAACTTGAGTGAGAGTTCTTTGTACACTGACATAGCAGTCTCCGGGCTCGGAAAATGGAGTAGTGAACGAGAGCAGTTGTGTGGCTGTAGCTGTAGCTGCCATTAGGCTCGCGGTGAGGGACATGATGTGTGGGGAGTTTCATACGATGCGGGCAAAGGGAAATAAGAGGGGAAGGGATATTAGTAGGAGTTGATTTTATAACTTCGAACATTGTATTAGTTCACTTGGACGTGCACGTGCATCAGTTTTCAGGTTCCAAAGTATTGGCTGATTCTCGAAGGAATCCGTCTGGACGCGTCAACCATGTCAACCATGTGATAAAGTAGGCTCGCTCCGTATCCTGAACTGTAGGCGCTTGTTAGGATATGGTTAGAGTGTCTCGCCTGGGAGGCGCTCGGAGCCTCTGGACCCTGGCAGGGAGGCTGTGCCCACAGACCATGTAGAGCGCGAACACTTCAAGGGTCTCTTTAGCCGCCTTGGCGATTAGGCATCGACATATCCCCGGTATGATGGCAGTTTGAATCAAGCAGTAAAAAAGGTTCTCTTACGCATGTTTGTTCTTTTAAGGCAGCCGACTAGTCATACAGCAATGGGAGCATGCCTTGGCTGCACCTCCGTAACACCAGAAGAGAATATATACGCCAATGTCAATACCCATCTCCGACATGGAACCATATACCTTGCCATGCGGGCATGGTATGTATGATGGTGCATTTTGGCCTTTTGCCGCAGAGGCACGCGGACGAGCGACGCTAGTTGGTTGCTGGAAATATCCTGGGGACATTGCACCCAGATACCCTAACCTTTCTACCCCCACTCGGCCTGACATAGGGAAGGAAGCAGCGGCGGAACGGCCCATTACACCTCCTTCCCCCAGGGCTTCCGCGACATGTCCCCCATTTTCGGAAGGTACGATGGTCGGCCCGCCAACTGAGGGTGTGTGTGCCCTAAACGGCAGGAGCGATCATTGTAGGCACCTAGACTACCGATTATCGATCGGGGCTAGAGCGCCCAGATTGCAGATCATGTCAGATTCGTACACCTAGACCTACTAGTATGATACTCCCATATACCTATGCAGAGTCTCTCCCTCTTGTCCCTGGAGAGCGAGCGCTATGGGTGCGATGTACGCATTAACTGGGCTGTAAGGAGGGAGTGGGACCATACGATGGGCGGTTTCTCAGTCCGAGGCCTGTCTAGAGACGGAATTACCGGTAAACGGCTTGCTGGTGAAGGGAGCCTTTTGGAGTGGGTGGATATGCATGCGCCCGTCTCTCATGAAATCATGATGCAACTGCCCCGTGGCAAAATGCATGCGAGTCCCATCCGGCACGTCCCGGAGTGACTTGGAATTGCGGTACGGCTAGATCACATCATGCATGCACATCGCGATATACGTACCGGGGCGCTTATGCACAAGTCCAGTCAAGCTTCCCGTAGGTGCCGAGGTAAGGATTGTAGGATATGTGCTTACTGCAGCCGGAAGGAAAAATTTTTAATTCAAGCCGTGTAAGATTATCTCCGATCTACACCTATGATTATGTATCGTTACTAATCAGCTTTTCATCAGGCCCGGGCCAAGTGTTTGGATCAGCACTGCATTAATTTGACGAGTCTAGGTACAAAATTTCATCATGCTGGTAACTTTCATCCTCCACAGCGATTAAGCAATCAAGGAGCGTAGGTTAGACATTACATATATGCGTAGGAAATAAGAGAAGCCGTGAGAAAAGGCACGGCACGAGTGAGTAAACCACAAAGCTCAGCCCCCAAGGAGCAGGGGGTCCAAGAGCCCTATGACCGAGTCTGGACCATATCATGTCGACTCAGACCACGCCGCCTCGCGCCGAAAAGCGTTCCATGAGTGACGGAGCTTAAACACAGTTGATCTGCAGCGTCTCGGGAACGAAATCGGCATCCTTCGGGAACCGCGCATAGTTGCGCTCGCCATTAACCTCGACAAGCTGAACGGGCTTCCCGGCGCGAGTCTTGCCCTTGATGACACACTTGGCACCAGTCACAACACCGGAGGTGATCATGACCGAGTCGACGCGGAAGGAGGGGACGTAGACGGCCGGGTAGGTTCCCTTGACGGAGACGTCGGTGCCGGTCGTGGGGATGACGCCGGGGGTGCCGCGGCCGCTGAACTCGTTTGTCAGGACGACGGTGCGGGAGCCTGCGCGGGCCTCGAGGGGAATTGAGGCTGCGGAGACGGAGGAGGCGAGGAGGGCGAGAAGGGCGGTGGAGATTGTGAACTTCATTTTGGTGGTTGTTTGGTTGGTTTTAAGTCGGAGGCTTGAGAGTTGGTCTGGAGGAGTTTGGAGGAGGAGAGAAGGCTTGGTTTGAAGCTTGAGAGTGTGTTGTTGATGATGAGAGAAGTCGATTTGGAGAGGAGTCCTGCTCGACTTTATACCTTTTTTCCAGGGCATACTATTTCATCCCATCCGGGCTTCGCCACGGTATCCCCTCTGCCATCTCCTCAGTATCCAAGATCCCTCGCCCGCAACTCCGCAGTCACCCAGGCCATGTGCCGAAGGATCAGAAACATATCGACTAACAACCCACAGCAGTGGGGTCTAAGACACCAAAGTTCAAGCAAGCCTCAAGGCTGTCCGGAAATATCCAAAAATATCGAGTAAGACATGGCGCGATTTGCTGAACCACCGGCTACAGTTGTTACTTGGGGAGGGCTGTACCGAGTATTCCCTCGATCTGACCGCTACTCGAGTCCAGCGGTGCTGTGCGCCCATGCGCCCATTTGACAAGTCGCTCCAATACGGAATGGGGAGATCGCGGGGCTGAGATGCAAGTGTCATGCCAAGCTCGTATGTCTCTACCATGTCTCAGTCTCTCGGCTGATTCTATCCGGGGAAGCCTGACAACTGGAAAACGAATCTCCAGCTGACGACGGAGATGCTTCATGGGACCGTATGATGGCTGTCTACGGCTAAAGACGGCGATGTCTGTTTGGTGGTTTTGTGCTCCAACATGGCCAGTGCCGATTCCATGGCTTCGAACAGCGCAAGAGTCCCAGGGTCAGCCGAGAAGGTCTGCTTGAAATAGCTCTAAGACAACCAATATTCCCCGCGCCCTATGGGAGTGGGTGGGGCAGCGCCTGGGGAATCAAATACGAAGGAACCCGAACAGAACAGAACACCCGTCAGCGTCAGCACGAACCCTGCGTGTGCCGCTTTACTGGCTGCTGGTTGGGCTGTGCTTTGCTACCTGAAGAAAGCGGAAAGGATCAACGAGAAACATGGGCCAAAATGCAGAGAAACCACTGGCGACCCTTGGAGAACCAAGAAAACCAAGATCCATCCCAACGGTGCTCTGGTTGTACGATGTACCCCAACTTTTCGAACTCGACTGCGCCGAGTCCGGTCACTTGGCTCGCGGGACGGCGCAGATCATTGCCTTGTTCCATCTTTCAAGACCCAGAGCCTCAGGCCGCAGTCAGGCGTTCCGTGGAAGAAGAGCAGCAACGCAGCATCGCAAGGGCTGTCCCGAAGTTGCATCGCATCTTGGCGATTGGGCCTGAGGAGGCTGAGAGGGAAGATGCGGATGACCCTTCAGCTTGGCAGCCTAACACTGGTGACTGGGCCTGCCATCTGGCAGCCACATGGGAGCTCGATGCTACATTGTCGCGGAAGCCTGAGGCAGGACCCTTTTTTTAGAAGAGGCTGAGATGTTCTCCTCGGGTATTCGGGGATAACAAGTCGAGGCTTTGGGATCTGAAAGAACAAGAGCTCGACCGCGCTTGCGCTGAGTAACCACACGAGAAATGAGAAACAAACGAGGTGCGCGAAAAGAAGCCAATCTCAGTCCAGCAGTAGGTTCGTACTACGACGTGAAGACTGTGCACCAGACCATCCGACCGGAATTCCTTGTACCACCGTTGATAGGCATCTTTGATTCTCTAACGAGGAGAAAACTACTCGGCCATTTGCTTACCAGGCGGGCGATGCTGCCGACGTGGCCCGAAGCTACCAGTCGAGGCGAGTAGTGGTCAGAGAATTTCACTCCAGCACTCATACAAATCATCTGGCAAGTTCAAGCGAAGCACAATGACTGCCGATCGCTCTCGCAACTTCAAATCTGCCGTCATCCGAAAACCACCATCATCATCGCGGAGTTCGTTCGGCGATTTGTCTGACGTCAGGCGAAGCTCCATCTGTCAATCTGGCTAACCAGAGGCGAATCTCTAAAAGCGAAGAGCTTAATTCTCAAGCAAGATCTGGCCGTGTCATCTCAATGAATTACTCTTTAACAGTCAGGCCATGCAAATCCAACGGCAATAATGGCTATCCTCTGCCGTCGTGTCTCAGTGCAATTCGGTCATTTTTTGGATCCGTAGCGGCGATTATATATATTTATACCTCATGGCGGCTGATGTGTACGGGACCGGAGTACCGGGAGTAGAATCGAGTCAATCAAGAGACCAGACAAGCGAAGCAGGATGGAAGGGAAATTGCCGATAGTATCGTTGACTCGGTCAAGGAGATACAGGACAACGCTGCAGAGAGGAACTTGGAAAGCTGGCGGTGAAGGCCGACCAGTTCAACGGTTCAGGGGAGCGGGCTACGATAGCTCATCCTCACCAAGCAAACTGAGGATGCTCCTCGGCTTACGGCAGAGCAAGGCAAGGTGTAGATTAATCATCTCGTGTAATCGAGACCACCTCAATGGTCGCCATTAGCATCTCCGGGCGAAAACTCCGAAAATACTGACTCAACACCGAGAATGTTCTTGGTGTTGTCGTGTCAACAACAGCCCGGCCGTGTGATTACGGTGAGTGGAAGCGAAAACAGAATCTTCAACCTCGATATCGATCGCATCCATCACACGCATTCCCGCACGCGAGGGGTCGATATCAGATGTAGAAAACTCAGCTATCGATGCATGAAAGAAGACTATTTCGAATAACGCGGCATACATTGAGCGTGGCATTGGCAGATGCGATCGGGAGCCGCAGTTGTCAGTGTTACTCGGCGACGGTATACCAGGTCAGGTGAAGCCGCCCGCAAACACAGCTGCACCTGCTGCAGTGTGTGCTGCCGGCTTGGCTACAGATTTAATGTCACTCTGAAATATCTGCTCTACCGGCGGCAACGGGAAAAATACTCGAGTGGTACTTTTGGGTACCTGGTTGATGATTGTGTCTCGTGCATATCAGATCCAGATCCTGGTGTTGGAGTCGCGTAAAAGTCGAGGGTAATGGCACGAGAAAAAGAAAGCACAGGCTGGTCACGCGGAGGCCGGAGATTGAATTGCAGAGCGACTGAGACCGACTATCCCACGGCTTGTGACAGCGAAGGAAAGAGATTGCATGAGAAGATGGTCAGATGAAACCCAGGAAGCAATAACTCTTTCAATGGCGTGGAGGATCCCCGGCAAAATTACAGTGCGTGTCCCACCAATTCGTTTGCTTTGTTGGTGCACATTCTCAGATTTTGCGACCGACAAAGACGCTCTCAGGAGGGCGACCAGGAGCATTTGTAATCGAGTCAGGAGTGGCCCCGTCGCTGCCGCCATCAGTGCCACAGTGGGCTTTTCCCCATAATTATCCCCATAGTATGGAGGCAATGCTTCTATTTCGAGAAGGCGATGGCGACACTCATGATCCATTTTGATAATTGCACTGCGGCAAAAGTACGATTTGCGTGCAGAGTTTTCAGTCGGCGATCTCCTGCAAGAGTCAGCGAGACGCGTCCGGCACCGCGCCGATCCTGTGTGCCGGGAATTAAGGAGCCACAGGGCAGCCAGGGGCAGAAGCGCTAGAAGCGAGCAAAGGCGCACATGACCAGCAATTTTTCGAGAAAAGCTCCCTGGAAATCAAACCAGTGAAACCCCACGGGCCACGGCTCTACCGCGGGCGGCTACACCGATCAAAACAAACCCATCGGCCTGCTTCAGGTGTGCTTGGCATCGGCTTTGACCCCGGCCCGAGGGATGCTTTTTTTTTTTTTTATCTTTTTCTTATCAGAACATGCGAACATTCAGCATTGTAGAATCAATTGCAAGCAGTGTTGTATTCCTTGTAGGGGTTGGGATAATTGATCCATTGTCCCTTGTTTCAGACGGATATAGAACGGACAGAATAACGGTCAAAGGCTGGCGCCCCTTTTCTGGTCCATTTCCATCGCTTATCGCGACGCGGACCCGATCCTTTGGAATGCGGGTTTGGCGATGGTGACCAGGTGACCCTCCGACGGCCGCTCTAGACCCGTGGATCAACTCTGGATCTCTGCGAACGGCCACACGCTTTTCTGACGCAAGGCAACACACAGCTTGGGAATTGCCACGGTGAGCTCAAACAACTGCCCAGCTGATCTCCCAGAGGTTGAGGGACCCCTATTCCTGCTCCACTCCATGATGTAATAAGATGGCCTCACCGTCAAATTCTGGTTGATCGGCATAAATCCAGCGGTCTCCAGCAAACTCTTCTTTCAAAAGCTGCCCCTCGCCTCTCTGCTTCACACATTCTCTCTTCTTCCTCTCCTCTCTCTCTCCTCTCCTCCCTCTCTCCCTCACCTCCATCACCATGCCTCCCCTCAAGCTCAACGCCCGCAACCTCCCTCAGATCCTGGCCGCTGGCCGCAACATCCGGGGCCCGACCTACCGGCGCAATGGCGCCGTCAAGGAGGGAATCGTCCACATTGGTGTCGGCGGCTTCCACCGCGCCCATCTGGCCGTCTACATGGACAAGCTCCTGCAGCAGCAAAAGGCCAACGAGTACGCCATCTGCGGCGTCGGCCTCACCCCGTTTGACTCCAAGATGCGCGACGCCCTCGCCTCGCAGGACCACCTCTACACCGTCATCGAGCGCTCCGGCAAGGGCAGCCTCGCCCACGTCGTCGGCAGCATCAACAGCTACCTGTTCGCCCCCGAGAACCGCGAAGCCGTCATCGCCAAAATGGCCCACCACGACACCAAGATCGTCTCCCTCACAATCACCGAGAGCGGATACTACTACAATGAAAACACACACGAGCTCCAGGCCGAGCACCCGGATATCCAGTTCGATCTGAACCCGGCCAACGAGAAATCCCCGCGCACCACTTTCGGTTTCCTCTACGCCGCCCTCGCCCGCCGCCGCCAGCAAGGGCTCCGCCCCTTCACCGTCCTCTCCTGCGACAACATGCAGAAGAACGGCTCCATCACCCGCCACATGCTCGAATCCTTTGCCCGCCTCCGAAACCCTCAAGTCGCCACCTGGATCGCCGAGCAGGGCGCCTTCCCCAACTCCATGGTCGACCGCATCACACCCCAAACCGCACCCGCAGACATCAAGACCCTCGCGGACGACTTTGGCATCGAGGACGCCTGGCCCGTCGTCACCGAGCCCTTCATGGACTGGGTGGTCGAAGACCACTTCTCCGACGGGCGCCCGGAATTCGAAAGCGCCGGCGTCAAGGTCGTCAAGAACGTGCACGACGTCGAACAGTTCGAGAAGCACAAGCTCCGCCTGCTGAATGGCAGCCACAGCGCGATCGGATACCCGGGCCAACTGGCCGGCTTCAAGTACGTCCACGAAGTCCTCGAGAACCCGCTTTTCCGCAAGTTCCTCGTCCAGATGATGCACGAGGAAGTCAAGCCCCTCCTCCCCATGATCCCGGGCGTCAGCATTGACGAATACTGCAACACACTCATCGAGCGCTTCGAGAACCCCACAATCAAGGACCAGCTGCCTCGCATCTGCCTCAACGCCTCCGGCAAAATCCCACAGTTCATCATGCCCTCTATCGCGGAGGCGATCTGGGAGACGAAGCCGTTCAAGCGATTGTGTTTCGTCGCCGCCGCGTGGTTCCGCTACATTAATGGGATCGACGACAGCGGCGCCAAGTTCGAGGTTGATGATCCCATGCGCGAGGAGTTGCAGGCCAAGGCTCGCGCGGGTGGCTCCGACCCCTCGCCGCTGCTGAGCATCAAGACGCTGTTTGGCGATGATCTTCGCGGCGATAAGCGGTTCCTTCAGGAGATTACAAAGGCGATGCAGGCCATCGAGCGCGATGGGATTATGAAGACGCTTCCCAAGTACATTGACTAAATTGTCTTGGAAAAGTTATGATCTACTTTCTACTTTCTTCTTGCTTTAGCCTGTTTTTTTTCGACATTTTCTCATTCTTTTTGACTACCCACTTTATTTTTGTCTGTGTTCCTTCTTTCTCCGGTTCCTGGTCGTTGGCTTCTTTGATCTTTTTTTTAGAGTGCTTCTAGATGAAAAGCGTGGATAGCGATAGATGATACTAGACACATTTCTTGTTTTTTCGCTCTTGCGTTTGTGCTCTCGTCCACTGGGCTGCAGCCTGTATTAGTATTTTCGATATGTTGTGCTTCCAATCAGTTTAGATTGCCTCAACACGTGGCTTACACCTTAATTATGTATCTTTTCTTATTACATGAACCATGAACCGTGCGCACCTAGTCTATTTTTACATCTTGCCTGGGCTCGAGAGAGTCGTGACCAGGCTCTTCCCTACTTACCAATATACGGTCGCGATATTTGCTTGCAAGGAAGGTATTTAATTGATATGAGACAAGTAATGGAGAGTATAAATTATTGCAGAAGTTCACGAGTCTATGGTAGTCACACAGCAGCGAGGAAAGCAAAGCAAAGGATATTTCGCGCTCAATCACCCAAACGCCAGGCAGGTTCCAAGCTCACCCGAAAAATATTAACAGAACAACAACAACAACAACAGAAACAAACAAACGAAAAAAAGAAAAAAGATGGATTAAGCAGAAACCGCCGCACTGACACCAGCACTCGCCCCAGCAGCCGAGTTGGCCGCGGCCACCTGCGACATCTGCAACTGCACATCCGCCAACCCCGTCACAACAAGCTCATCAACCAGCGCCGCCGGCGCCCCCAGACAAGGACCCAAAAGCTCCAGCGTCCCGGCCTTCTTCGCACTCAGCCCCTTGTGCATAGCAAACCGCGCATACACCGTCCCGCTGCTCTCGTCCACACACTCGATATTCAGAAACTTCCAGGCCGAGCTCTTCTTCCAGACGAGCCGGTTCCCGCCGAGGGCGGGCGACTCGAATGCGAACTCGTACTTCCATTTGCTTGTGGGTTTTAGTGAGATTTCGGTCCCGTTGACTGTCACGTCGATGGTGCGGCTGAACGAGTGGAAGATGACTGTTGCGGGGAGGTGGGCGCTGCCCTCGGCTTTGAAGAGCATGTGTGGTTTGCGGGTTTTCAGGTCGGCAGAGTAGACGAGGGGGCCGTCGGCGGTGTTTTCGCAGACGCGCAGGTGCCGGCCGGTCCAGGATGTGAAGGCGACGTCGAGGGTTCGTGGGTATGAGGTATTTTGTCCGGGGGTGGATTGAGGGGGTTGTTGGGCGTAGCTGGTGTTTGGTTGGTAGCCGTTGTGTTGGAAGTGAGGGTCCATTGTTTGCCCTGGATGTTGCTGAGGAGGGTATGCCGGATAGGCCTGTGGGTGTGTTGGTGGGTATTGCTGGTACTGTGGTTGTTGTTGCGGGGGGTATTGTGGTTGTTGGCCGCCCCAGGCGTGGGGCTGGTTGTCGTAGTAGGACATGTTCTCGGCGAACTTGGAGGTCATTGTAAAGATTTGAACTTGCTGCTTCTTGAAATAAGCTTTGAATAAGATTGAATTGTTTGTATGCTTGTCTGTCTGAATCAAAATCTCCTTTGTAGGAATCCGCATCCTTATATCCTCCTCAACCGCATCACAGCTCCCAATCACGCTAACCCGAAAAGGAGCTATCCAGCGCTGGCAGCAGCTGCCACAGCCTCGACCGCTCAGCCGCTGAGCCCTGCCAAGGATGACGTTGCGCCTGGACCCTCAACTCACCCTTTAATTGGCCCATTTTGGCCCCCACATGTCGACACCGGCGGGTGTGTCAGTGGCGCAGCGGCGGCACGTTTGGCTGCTTTGGGATCGGCGCGCCGACGAGGAGAGATTGGATGGGCTGAGGGGGAATTATCTCATCGATCAACTCTGTAGGGCTGATCTTGTCTGGCTTGGGGGTTGCTCCGACGAGATGGCTTGACGAGGAAGCGTTTCTGTGCCCGGTCATCGCAAGACCCTGGCTGGGGTTTATCGAGTCGGGAATCGAAGAGTTGGATCTATTATTTGCTTCATACACTGTCTTCAAGAATCCTTGGATTAGAATAAAAGTACGCGATGGTACGTCGCCATCACCGCCGGCATACAACATAGATCAGACAATCATTGCACTCGGTAGCGCCTACGGAAATAGGATCCCAGTGCTCGAGTCGCAGGACTCCGCAAGCTTGTCCCTATTAGACTACGGAGTACCTTGGGAGCCTAACGAGCTCAACCGCTTGTTATCGTCATCTTAATAACCATCTTATCGCTTGATCCTTCGCTCGGAGCTGGCACTGGATATGGTGCGATTATCTCGACGCTTAGCATAGCTGCATAACTTGGATGGTGTCGATTGCCTTGGCGGGCAGGGCTGGGGTCAGAGCGTTATTCTCTGTTGTCGATCAGAAGTTGTGATAGAAGGATGGAATGCAATTCGTTGTTGCTTGGTGATCTTCGAAGTGGGCCACGTGTGCTTCGCTTGGTGGTTGGCACACCTTATCTACACAGATTTCTGGGTGGTTTTCCGACCATTTTGGCACTGCATGGTTCAATCATGCCACTTGAATGTCCCTTGAACGATTTGGATGGAAAATAAAAGTGAACTAGGGCTTGATTTCGTTCGACCGTGTCTGAATAGTTAGACTCGGCATAGCATATATAAAAATATACTGTGGGTGTGGAGTTTTAAGCGCCGCATTTCACGGACCTTATTCAGAAAAATGGATCGAAAAGACGTTTGATTGGCCTTAGAATAGCCTTCCACTATTCAAATGTTCAAGAAATCTAATTAGAGGTCTGCTGTTATCTGCGAATATCAGAAGCCAGCTAGAAGTTGTCTGGTTGTGCTGGCTCCAACATTTCGTGTATATCGAAGCGCCCAGAGTCATACCTAATAACTCCGCAGAACAACTCGGATACTCATGCACGCCTCCGCTATTAGCCAGGGACATGCGTACAGCGAGTGGTCGATATCTCTCTGTACATATAGTCACGGGAGTGCATATGACTAGTGGTTGTAACCTGCTATCTTGGGCTTTGCCTAATCCTTCAAACACCGGGTATTGGCCACCTTTTTATTGTTATTCGGACTCCATGTAGGCTCCGTAGGAAGCTTAAGATGATCCTAACCAATGTCAATTCGGTTGGCTGCACACCAAAACAATTCGATTGGTTGTAGTAGGATGCAGCTGAGGCCTAGGATAACCAGGCAGATTGTGAGGAGCATGAGGAAAATACGAATGCAAGGGGCTTTGGTGTAATCCATACGGCTCTTCAACAGCGCGTTGAACTGGATCTAGTGCTCTGCTTATTTAGTGGTAGTAGCAGCAATGGTGCGATTTGGAGTCGACCGGAAAACACCCGCCGCGGCCGGACTCTGGCGCTGTACTTGGTAATTGCCCCGCATCGTCTTCGTCATCCAAGATCCTCCCCGCACAGTCTTTTGACAATGTCACCTACTGAGATTGAGCCGCGACACCTTTCAGGATGACCGTAACAGCGACCCCTCGAAAGCCGCCACCTCTCGCCGGACTAGCAGCCATAATTCAAGATGCCCTCCGACAAAACTTCGCCCACGCAAGCGCGGAAGTAATCGAATGCCCCGACCTCCGAGAGGCCCCCTTCGAACTCGCTGCCCAGGGGTTATCAGGGAACCCGGTAATCGCAGACATAGGCGGACAAGCAAACCTCTTCCCGACACCAAACTTGGATGCCAAGTTCTCGCTCCTCGCTCTCGCGCGCGATATGCGCATGTCGCCCGAGCGTGGACTTCTCATTGGAGCGGGCGCAGCGCCCTGGCAGGATATCGGGCATAATGCCGAACTCGCGCCCAATATCTCTTGGGAGGGAGATCAGGGACGAACACCTAATCTCGATGATGAGGCGTCGATATCCGTCACAAACAAGACACGTATTGTCGAAGTGAACCCTAGCGCGAACTCATCGCCAGAGCACTCGATAACATGCCGCCCCTCCCCAAGCACAAACTGCGCGTTAATGGCCAACCTCTTCGGCTCATCGGGCCTCCCAGGCCCCGTCCTGAGAATCACAGCACGATCTCGGACCGGCGCACACAATTTCACAAACGCCATCCGCCACGGCATCCACGCCGCCTACGGCGACTCCCACCCCGTAAGTCTCGGCGGCGTGTTCCTCTTGAAATCCGGGTCCGCAAAGTTCCACGTCATGCCTGATTTCCCGTCGCGGGAAGACCTCCCCTTCCGAGACCGGAAGCAGCTGGAGGAGGATTGGTTGAAGTACCAGACCTGTGCGGCGCCGGTGGTTTGTCTGAGTGTGTTTCATAGTGCGGATCCGGAGGGGTTGGGGCTGCGGATGGAGCATACGCATTGCTATGATTTGGAGGGTCGAGAGAAGGGCGGGCATTATCATTATGATTTGCAGGACGGAGGCGACGTTGAGTATGAGGGGTATTATAATGTTGCCGAGGTGATTTATAGGATTCATCGGCCTTGATTGTGTGCACAGGCTGAGGCTTTAGAAACAAGGTATCGCTGAGTTGGGCACAGACACTTTGTGAACACCGGAACAGCGAATTATTCCAACAGACTCGCAGTTTCCGAAGGTCATTGCCGTTTTTGAGCAAGCTGAGAAGCTGTTAAGGCTTCTACTTGGACTGGTGTGCTCATAATAGTTCAAGGTTCGGAACAGAGTAGATAACGTAATCCCCCATTGACACACTGGTTGGCGAGTCTTTGAATCTCGCACTCTGTATCTGTATGCTAGCCAGGTGATTGTGAGGCATCGGCTGTACTCACTTTTGCCCACGTAATAGCTTGTTGAGCCGCCCCCAACGGCAGCTCCTGGCCTCTCCGAGACGGGACCAATTCACATAGAGCATTCAGCCGGCCTGGTGTGACCCCCATCGTTGATTGCTCGGGGGCAGCTGTTTTCGTACATTAGTCCTTTTAGAGGTCTCGAATACCTCGCTGCCCCTCCATTCCAACCATTTTAATCATTGCAGCAGACAGGAGGGCACCATAGCACATAGTAGAGGCCATCTGGCGCGAACTAGGCTAAGAAAAATTGTGGCTTGACTCCAAATTGAGAGGGTAAAAGGTCGAATTGTCGAAGCGAACGCATCGTGGCATGTTATTTGGCCGGTAGAATAGAACACCGCCAATAACAGCAAGATCCGTTACGTTGCACACAAGTAAACCAAGGCATCGGCCAAACCCCACACATGGTGAAAACCCGATCCCTGTTGATCGACATGAAGATTCCCCGCGTCGCATGTTCCCCCGGGTTTCCCCAGATATTCAGCCGATTCTGCCGTTCGTTTCGTGTCACCGTACGCCCGGCGACATGGAACATGAACTTAGTGAAGATGCAAAGGACACTTGGAGGCGATGAGTCTCATCGATACGACTCCGGTCGTCCGGTGGATGTTGGTGTATAAATAGGGTCTCAACTTTAGGATATCCAGAGAAATCATCTCCTCACCATCATCAACTGAGCAACTTCGATATCCTAGTCTAGTACCCAACAATCCAAAACCACCAAAATGAAACTCAGCCCCCTCGCCCTCGCCCTCGCGCTCTTCACTTTTACAACGGCAAACCCCCTCCCTGTCCCAAAGGCTACGAAACCCCCCTTCTTTATCACAATCGGCGACTCGACCGTCGCGGTGAATGGCGGCTGGGGTGACGGTTTCCTCTCTTTCGTGCACGACCCTGCGGATGGCACAAACCGGGGTAAAAGCGGGAGCACGACGGTGTCGTGGCGCGCCAATGGGCGGTGGGCAGCCCTGGTCGAGAACATCAACTCGACTCTCGCGGACTACGAGACCATCGTCACGATGCAATTTGGGCATAATGACCAGAAGTCACTTACCCTGGACGAGTATCGCGACAATCTCGAGGGGCTTGTTTCTGATCTGCAGGACCTGGGGGCTACGCCGGTATGTACTATCCAGCACACTTTCTAAAGTATATTCTAACCGCAGCAGATCATAATATCCCCACTATCCCGCCGCAACTTCGACGGCGACACCGTGAAAGAGGACTTTGTCGAGTGGCGCGTCGAAGCGATCAACGCGGCCAAGAACTCTGGCGTCAAGTGGCTGGATCTGACGACCGCGAGCACAGACTACGTTAATGCCATTGGCGCCGAGAACGCGGCAACATATGACTTGAGTGAGGGCGATGGGACGCATATCAATACCGCGGGGGGTATTGTCTTTGGGCGCATGGTGGCTGACCTTCTCATTGAGAAGCGTGCCGATCTGGAGGATTATATCACGGCGAATGAGGCGCTGAGTGAGAAGATTTGGGCGGGCGAGTATGCTACTGGGGATGAGTGAGGGATAACATTCTGTTGAGGACGTGTGCATGTAGTGGCTCGGATCGGTACGAGAGGAAGAGAGTCGGATGACTGGGAAAACTGTTTATATCTCAACCGAGTACGAGTTGCTGTGGGTTTTGAGTAGTGGATTTGGGTAGCAATCGAATCAATCGTCCCACCCCTGCTACTCGGCATCCACAATAAGTCCCTTTGCCCTCAAAGCTGGAAGCGCCCTCTCCAGCGTCCACTCCGTGCACTTGACCAACGCCCTCCTCCCCTCACCTGGCTCATAGAAAACCAAGGGTTCCCTGGTCTTAAACGGCTCCGTCCTCATCGTCCGCACATTAAACGCTTTCTGCTGCGGCGGTGGCGGGATTCCCCTGAGCACCTCCTCCCAGTCACTAGGGTATCTTGTAGCCGGGGTAACGCCCAGTTTCTCGACAGAGTGAAAACATTCGGATTCCTGGGGTGCGGGCTCGAGAGTCGGGGTGTAGACCATCCCGCCTGGGGATGTGACGTCCCCGGTGACTTGGTGTAGGACTCCGCTTCCGTGGGTGGAGGTTACGACGAAGATGCCCGTGTGGTAACGGGTGCCGGGGGTGTCGGGGTCTTGGATTGCGAGGGTGTATCGCGCGAGGAAGACGTCATAGTATTCGGGGGTGGGCATTCTGTCCTTGCGGCGAGGAGGATGAGTGACAAGGATGATTCGCTCGCTGGACTGGTGAGGTAGGGTAGTGTGAAGACGGTTCGCTCCCACTATGCAAGTTGAACGAATTTATGGCAAGCGGAACATAAATCTGACATGGAGGGGTCGTCACGGGGACAGGGAGAGAAAAGAAATGGCATGGCTGGGCATATTGTGCTTCGTGCCCAGCCACCGGCTTCTCGATAGGAGTCAAACAAGAGATGATGCCAACATAGCCAAGTATATTCGCCACAATAGCTTTACTGGCCTTGCTCCCAAAGGAGGCGCACCATATCCAATTTCTCCAACTTGACGGCAACCTGAATCGGGCACCCATTAACCAACGGCCGCAGTAGCTGACTCGCACCCCTACACAGTAACCCCTCGACCAGATGCACGTGTCCATGGATAACGGCCAGCTCGAGCAGCGAGAATCTCTCGGGATCGACCATATCCACATCACACCCTTTCTGATCTAGGAGGAACTCAACAACGTCCGTGTGCCCGCCCTGAACCACCAGGCATAGCGGATGCGCCGGCGGCACCGGTTCCACAAACCGCTTGGTGGCCATAAGGCCGTAAACGGTCCGTTCCAGAAGACCTGGAGCGCAGCGCATCAAGGGAGCGCGAGGAGGAACCTCCGAGCCGCCCTGGAGAGATTGCTGCAGCGTGCGCAGCAGGCCATGCCTCGCTGCCCAGCGGAGTGCAGGTGCACCTCCGGCACTGGCAGGTTGGCCGCGCGCGCGCCGGGCATCATGGATGTAGGGTAGCGGGTCGAAGATTGAGTGGAAGAGGCGGTTGGTGCGGGTTAGGGCGTTCAGGGCGGGGAGTGAGGCGTATTCGCCGACTTCCTGCAGGATTTCTGTTGGGCATGTTTCAAGCGACATGGTAAATGGAAAACCACCGTTTGATGCTGGGAGTTCAATGAGGGGCGGGAGATTGGGGGTCAGGATCCAGCTTATGACAAGGCGCGGGGAAGCGAGTCAACCTAATTTAGGGCCAGTCGAAGAGATTAAGTATTACTCAGTCGGCCTCGTCCAACAAGGCAAATTCCCGGGTGGCGCTACAAATTAATGCGACCACTTCCAACACAGGAACTGTTCTAACCTGAAACGCGATACTAGGGACTGTTAGTTATAGTGAGGCTATCCTTTCTCACGCGATACACCTCCCCCTTTAGATCAAGTCTTCAACACATGGGTCCCTCGAACAATCAAAAGTGGCCATCCAAACACCATTGCAGCACCCTCAAGGACAGTCTGCCAAGCAAAAGTCATTAATCCTCCTCTTTATTACCTCTATAATAAAGCCAACGCACCTTCTCTGGCATCTTTTGACCATCTCCCCCGCGGGGGCGTATCTTGTCTCTCCAGGCACCACTGCCGCTCCTGGGACAACAGAGGATTGCATGAGAATGGCCGAAGACTGTTTTGGGCCGACATCCCAGCTGCTGGAAGGTCTGCTTTGAATAACAGAGGCTGCATTTAAGGATTGGGTAATATGGGCATGCATCTACGGATAGTTTGCACTTCACGACTAACCCTCTTCTGGTAATCTTAGAATCCTCCCACCGTTGTCAGACTCGGCGACAGCTGTACACTTCCGCCAGGATTATACTACTGTGTGCAGCCAAAGCCACCATCGCAATCCCGCCATCATGGAGGAGAACAGAAGAAGGTACGTGCGCGCGGCCTGCACGACTACATGTACCTCCTTATATCACGTGGCTATTCGGCCCCAACCTGTAATCCTAGCTTACAGCTGACTCGATACGGACACGATCTTCTGCATCGCGCCTAGACCAACACTGTAGAATAGTTTCCCGAACACGCTTCGCGGTACCAAACCCACTACATAGCACCTGATCAAGTAGAGAGAGAATCCTAATCCGAACTCTCTGATCCTCCCGTCGCGTTCGACACCCGGCAATCGTCAGCGGGAAGAAGAGCAAGATCCCAGGCGCACTACTGTGCCGTAAGATCCGTTCGGAGAGGTCAAGGATCAGAGTAACGTGGTCGCAGGTTTCAGATTGTGTCAGGGCTGGGCCGGGGAGGTTGGTCCAGTTGGGGAAGCTGTCGTGGGTACCGCCCGAGAGGAAGAGTAGGAGAGTGTGGTACTTTAAGAGCGCGAGGTCGACGTTGGTTCTTGGTTGGTGGTGGCCTTGCGAGAGGTACGCGAGGGCGTGGTCATGCCAGGCACATATGGTTTGCTGGAGCCTTTGGCCGTCCACGGCAAGGCACAGGACTGATGGATTAGTAGCCAGTTCAGCCGAGGGGATCCGGGAAATGGTATTGCGAGAACTATCCGCGATGGGATTGAATCAGGATTGTCCGTGGATATTAGGATTTGCGGTACACCCACCGTAAGTTGAACGCGGAAGTCTCTATCATCAACGTTGTAATCTCCTCCAATGGATTCCAGTGATCCCCGCTCCCTTGATGCGCCTCTTGGAATCGAAGCCAGGTTGGCTCTGAGAGGATTGTAGTCTCGCTGTGAGGGAGGGCGCGACTAGCCTCACAGACACGAAAGATGTCATAGAACGCTCGTCGAAGCGGGGACATTGAGCTACTCGGGGGTACGAGCCGGAGAAGCATTGATGTGCCGTAGAAGACGTGGCTTATGTAGCCGTCGCCTGATCCCTCGCAGAGAAGCTAGGGCAGAGCTCTTTTAGCATGTCGAATATCAATCAGGTAGGATGGGGATTTCTGTGACGGGGTCCGAGATACCTCGAATAGCCCGAGAAGGAATGTAGCCCAGAGGACATCGTCTCCTCGCGCATGGCTTTTATCTGACAAGGATACCCGTAAAGTACTGATCGCTCTCTGATAAAAATGTGTAGCGACTACTTTAAGATGGACAACTTCGCCCCGAACACCTACAGTTCCCAGTCGGCTAGCACTCATTGCACCGAGTGCCTGGATCGCATCGTCCAAGACACGAGACGTAGTCATCAAGGCCAGGAGATCGGAAAGTGCGGAGGGGAATACCGTAGTAAACGTGGACATCTTCTGAATGAATAAAACAAAGCAGTCGAGAAACAACGAGCCCGAAGGTCTGGCGATTGGATAAAGTCGGACTGCTGATTTCTTATGGAACTTTATAAGGGCGGTACTGCCCAGTTCAGGTTGCGTGCATCCATTCCGATATCGAGGGTTGCCCTGCTGCTGCCCTTGACTAACAAAGGCGACTGTGCACTTTCCCTCTCGGTGCTGCGGTACACAGGGCTGCTTTTGGCGGACACAGTAAGTACATCGAAGCCCGCCCTCACACTAGACAGAGGTCAGTGGCATTAGCTTTAGCTTACTAACTTTAGGAACAGACCTTGATATGCCGTTCTGCGCATGCAAGACACCGGGTTACCTTCCTTCGCCCGTCCAGAGGGCCGACGATTTGTTTACGCATTTGTGTTTGGACGCGAATGGCGGATGGAGGTATTATGGCGAGGGGTGCGCCAAGGGGTTCGGAGGCAGCTACGCTTTATATGGCGAGAAGCTGGGGGATGATTATGGGATGGCTGTGTAACCCCACTGGAACTAGGCTTAGAAAGGAGATAATATCGCGCGCTGGTGCTGGTCAGCCGCTCTGTACTACACTGATGTACTTGATCTGAAAAGCAGATAACTCGCCAGAAGCTCACCTGGCGCAGCACCCACCCAACTTCTTACCGCGCGTAAGCCACACGCCGGTAGTATGGTGGGTAACTATAAGCTGAATCCTTCTGACTGTTGGATGTTTTGCTCTTTCGTTTGCACGGTCAAAGCTCAAGCAAGATAGACTTGGAACCAGGATCCTGTATATTGTCTTAAATAACCATCTAGCAAGGTTATTATGGCCCAGAAAGCTCATGGGAGCCCGTAACCACTGATAGGATTGTTATAGAGTATATCTTATATTTCTTTACTAAATTACTAACTACCGAGCCAAACGTCACCCAGGGAGCCTATCCTGAAGAACCAGATCGACATGAAGGATCAGCGATCTGCTCACGGCGATCATTACCATACAAGGAATGTTGATGCTTCATTCCTGCAGATCGATCACATTCACACTAATCCAAACCCCCCGATTGGGCTGGGAAGCGTTCACGGGCTTGGTTGCAGGCGTTCTTTGCCCGTATCAGTACATAGTTGCAGACGAAGGACGAACCATTCCGAGGGCTCGGGTCGTGGCTAACTGCATGATGATGTATGTATGTCCAACCAGCAGGAAGGAAAAGAAGAGAAGCTGAGCTGAAGCTCAGCTGAGAGCAGACGATATAAAAGGGTGGGCTTGGCCTCACTGTCACTCAATACAGGCAGGGTTCTTCTTCATTCATCTCTTGTCCGTTGCCTACCTCTGTCCTCATTTGCTGATACCGCAATAATATGGAAGCATGTGGACCATCACCAGTGTTGAAAGCAAACTTACGCTGTGGTGTAGTGATGGAGAGCCCATCCTCAATGTTTCTCGTGGAGGTCCGGGCAAGTCTTCACGACTCATCGTCGATAGAAAAGGGTTCCTCGATATTACAGAATTAGACGTCAAGGCACCCGACCCAGACACAGAGTATATCCTCATCGACTGCGATCTAAACTCTACCGAGGTCCAAATCCCTTCGTCTCCGTGTGGTACGTCGCTAAAGCCATATATCCCCATACACGCGGCCGAAACGCCCTGCTGATGAGCTTAAATAGCGATCGATGCGAATGGATTGAAATTATACCAGGACAACCGAGGAGAACCAACAGGTCTGCTACTACCTCTTCACCTGGAGATAGATCCCGACGTCGCTACATTTACTCTGAGCATTATTTCAGATACCCCGACAGCGGGGGTTGTAATATCGGCAGATACAACTACTGTGAAGGGCCAGCTCAAATCACTACCACACATCTCCGAAGCAGATGCCGCATACTTTGAGACAATGATCGCCTCAAATATAGTCCCGTTCGCGACTGACCAAGGAGGCGCCCCGGGAAAGACGCAGGACGAAATCCGCACCCTCGCGCACCGCCTGTTCCCCTTCACCCCTTACAGCTTCCAGCTCGCCATGGCCATCTACGACTGGACGACCGCATCCTTCGCACGCATGGTGTACGTTGACATGTTCCGGTACACCGGGCTCCACATCCATATCCCCGCCAAGGACGGCGGCAAGCCGGTGACGCCCATCGACATCGAGGGCCTGACCACTGCAATCTGGACGAGCAACTGGGGCCCCTTTTCAGCGCAGGACGCGTCATTCATGGCCTCGCTTCTCATGAAGCCTGCGTGGTCGAGGCTGGAGGTCGAGCTGCAGCTTCTGCATGCGCGCGATGACCTCGTGCGGGCCGTCGAGGCGGAAGACCGCCTGCTTGCTGCCGCGATGCACTCGCTACCGCGGACGTCGACCCTGGCCAGGCCGCGGCTCTTCAGTGGGCAGCTGGACATGGCGCACTTGGATATGGAGAGCTTTGGGATTGAGTTTGTCGAGTGTCCTGCCAATCATGGCCCGGTTTGTCGGCCCCTGAGGGATACCTTGCAGGCGGCGTTGGCCACGTATCTCGCTGCGAAGAAGACGATCACGACGAAAGTGACGTGGAGCTTTACGGATACTGTTGAGGGTGCATTGCACTATTCGAATGGGATTCTTCTCGTCTTGGACTTTTCTACCGACGTTGCATCGCCTTGTGTGTGGGAGTCAGTCTCCTACGTGACGCCGCTGTCGAGCGACCCGAAGAAAATAGAATACACTCTTCCGCCGGGCAGTCGGTTTCGGGTGCTGTCTCAAGAAGATGCTACGTATAACAAGAAGCGATTTCTAGTTATTACACTTCAGCCCATAAACCAGGGAATCGATGCTGGCCCGGAGGGAGAATTCCAGATGGGGAACGGCAGCGAAGCATCCCGGGGATAGAGGAATAGGTACTAATTATAAACTAGCTATATCATACTTTACTTTTTAATAGAGTATAAAAATCCTAGTTTTGTATAATATATTAACTTTACGAATCTTACTAATAATAAGGATTACTCTTTGCTGCCCAGGTCAGGCTAGAGGTTTTCTAGAACTCATACTCAAGCTCAAGTTCACTTGTCAACGCGCCCACTCTCCCTTCGCGCTCGCCTCTGCCGCCATTTGATTCCACGGAGTGTGATTAGCCACAAAACTGGCGATGCAGCAATCGAGATCAACGCCAAAGTCGTGTATGCCCAGCTCCATCCCATGGCCCTTTGCATCGGGCAGATGGCAGCGGATGCCGCAGCACCGAGCTCACAGCGCATCAGGTTGTTGGCTGCAGTGGCCGCAGCTGCTCGACCCGGCCAGACGTCCACCAAGAGCGCATTCAACACTTGCGAAGTGGCGTTGAGAGACCATCCACTGAAAAACAAGAGAACCGCCGGGGCGGCCAGATGGACACGGCGGCCCATCAGCCACCCGTAGACGATCATGCACACGGCGCTCAGGTAGTACGCGGGCAACGCGATTTCGAGTCTGGCTTTCTCAATGTTGAAGTTGCTGAGGTCTTGCGCCTTGCTTCTCACCACTGGCATCCCGGCCCGTTTCGCGTGGCGGCGATAATTGAAGTCGACCAGGCGTCCCGTGGTGAACGCGGAAACGATCCCCCCGATGCCGAGAGGCAAATACATCAGTGCAGTCTCAATATTATTCAATCCGTAGACATTGTGAAATGATGCGGTGGCTCCGGTCATGATAGCATAGAAGCCGGCATACATCAAGCCCGTGACAAGCAAGATTGCTCCCGTCTCCAGGTCTGTGACAACTTTGAGAGTTGGCAGAGGCGAAGGGAAACGAAATGTGCGGTTCCTTCGTGCGTGAATAATTTCCTCTTACCCAGCATCCTCGCCTCTCTTTCTGCGGCACCGATTGCGAAAACAGTCACTGACGGAGGCATTCAGCGGCGGCGGGGGAATCGACCCATCGCCGACAACTTGCCGACAGGTTTCCGGCAGGAAAAGAAGAAGCAGCACGAAAAAGATACCAGATAGGATGAGCAAGAACCAGAACAGCCAATGCCAATCCAGATACTGGCTGATCAACCCACCAATGATAGGTGAGACTGAAGGGCCGAGCATGCTTCCCAGGGAAGCGAAGGCGATGTAGGAGCCTCGTTCGGCGGAGGTAATCATATCTCCCACCAGGCCATTTGCAAGCGCCACAGTGCCACTGCTACCCGCACTCTGAAGACACCGTAGCACCAGCAGAGCTGCGTAGCTGTTTTGAAGACCGAGTCCGAGGTTGGCGGCGAGATAAATCGTGAAGCAGATGATGTACGCCGGGCGTCTGCCAGCAGTGTCCGAGAAGCCTGCAATCAGCATGGGGGCTATTCCCTGCAAGATCTGATGCCATTGATGCAATGATTAGCCAGGACCCATCCTTGACAGGAGATACAGAAGCACCCACCAAATACGTGGTCACGGTCAAGTTCACTTTGGTGGTTGACACGCCTAAGGCCTTTGCAACGGTGTCCAGCGCGGGGAAATAAATACTCGAGGATAGTGGGGAGAAGAATGCGGCCATAGAGCCGACTGAAACAATTGCGCGCTTCTCGGCGACAGTGAAGACTGAGAAATCGCGGTGCTCGGTGCCTGTGAGCGGATCAACGGCCTCGGGGTGAGGGGCGGCATTTTCGTTAGGAGCAGCGTTGGATTCCTTATTGCTCATTCTGGCTGTGAAGCAACTGAGATAATTGATGATACCTGGTTTACATTAGGTGTATGACAAGTCTGGGTCTTTAATGAATCGCGTAGGTTCGGCCCAGCGCTTAGATCCCGGTACCGGCAAGCGCGCAGCAGTCACAGTCCCTGTTTGAATGGCAGCCCAGGAAGAGCTTGTAATGCGATTATCTCCGTCACAACATGATGCCGACGAGTTTGCCCACCTAGCACCTTGTTTAATAAACATTTTTCTACGGCGGTTATGGGTTTCTAAGGGAATCAATCACTTTGTGCTGTCTGATATATACCCAGTAAGCTAAGCCATACAACTATACCAGACTGCTTGAACCTTACCTTGGGTACTACTTATTCACTCTACAGCCTCAGGCCCGGTAACGGGACAAGCTAACCAAGAGCTGTGGAGACTCAGACGTTCACCCATATATATATCTATGTATGTAGCATTCGCCACAAACCTACCCAAAACTTGTGGGCTCCCTGTCGCCGAGACCCAAACAATCCCAACTTCCTCCTTCAGCCATCTTATTGTGAAGATCCTTGGCTTTTCATCTCAAGCCTAGAGCTCTAAATGCTGCAACCATATTCACCACAACGGACAAAGCTTCGCCTGGCTATTATTGTAAACATCCAGGGCCTTTGGACTGCAAGCTCAATTTTACTTTGTCCTAATTTAATCTCGCAGCCTCGCTTGCCTCGGGGGTGACAGTGAATAGACGAAACAAAGTCGTAAAACAAATGCCATTTCCTGTTATGATTAGTTCTTAGCTTTGGTGCAAGCTACCTGTTTGACTGCACCCATTTGCTTTCGGGGGTTTCGCTGTTAACCTCCGGTGCCTCTAGAAGAACTGGCTCTGGCTGAAGAAGAAGCGGATTATTGAATCCACACGCAAGATGGAAGATGACGAAGTGCCAGAATAAGAGTTAGCATATAGTCCGTATGACGGGGCCATCCCGGTACCGGCCCGTTGCCGGCCCGTCTCCGGCATGTCAAGAAGAAACAGAAGTCTGCTGGAAGAAAAGATCCCTGCCTCCGCAGACCTGTTGAGTGCCAGACGTTGGATAGCTGCAAGCAAGATACTCGAAATGCCAGACGTTTCCAAACACGCGGTGGTCCTTCAGGGCCTCATGAGCGGCACCTACCGCACCCTTGGACTGAGCATCGGCTCGCATAATGTCACTCCAGGGTTAAAGATCCCCAAGAGAGGTGAGTGTTTCTGAACATGCCGGGCGACGACGAAGAGCGCCCCGGTTGATTATGTTTTCTGCACCAGACACTCAATCCACTCCGACTCTGTCTGCACCCGCTGGTCTGGGCGATGGCTTGTACACGGTCATCTCCCTCGACCTGGATGCGCCCTTTACCTCATGGAATGTTCTCAGCCCGGCCGTGCACTGGATTCAACTTGGCTTCAAAGTCGACCAGCGGAATCAAGAGCTCAAAACCGACGAGCTCCCCATTGTGCCTTGGGTGGCCGCCAACCCGCCCCCGCGTGCCGCACCGCATCGTTATGTGTTCTTCCTCTACAATCAGAAGCCTGCTGCAACCGTTTCGCCGACTCTAAAGGAGAGACCTCTTGGAGTTCTTCAGCGGATGAGGTTTGATCTCGATGCGATGGCCATACAGCTGGGCTTGGGGGAGATTGTAGCGGCGAATTACTTTGTTTCAAACTAATTATCCCATGGTTTGTTCTGGATATCGGATTGCAGCCTGATTACCAATATACGCGACTGATGTAAGGCAAGGCCTGTTGTAAATAGCTTGGTTGTTGGCTTGTTACGTTGCGTATATTGTCTATAAAGCACGAATAAAGCAAGCCGAATTGCTAGCATAATAATATGTGGCTACAATGCAACAATCAGGTTTTCACCGCAAGAGTCCAACTCCATGGCAAATACCGACTGGAGAACTTGATCAACCGGCCGCCACTATTGCGCATTTGATGCACCAGAGCTCTTGTCAGAAGTATTCGCAGGATGGTCATGCTACTGCTTAAACATTGGCTCTCAGGGCAGATTACTTGCGCAAGTCCAATTGGCTGGTGGAGGATCCAGAGCAAAAAGCGCATCATCGCTCAGAGCCCACTCGAAATCGGCCAGGAACTGCTCATCAAGTTGAAAGGTACTACTCTGATCCACTGCGCCCGTGACAGATGGTGGAACCATTATGCCACCAGCAATGTCGCGACGGGCGCCCATCCCAGAACCTGAGCCTGAGCCTGAGCCTGAGCCTGAGACTGCATTAGGCGCGCTACCGCAGCGTGGGCGCACCAAGGCCCTACCATCTGCGAACTCCATGGAGGATCCGACTGCCCGAGACGGGTGATGGAATTCGTCCTTCCACCACCAGACCGCGTCGAGGATTGGACTGAGTACCAGTCGGCTCCGAATCCGCAGGGCCAGGTACTCGCCGCCATCGGATTTACGGAAGGCCCTGCTGCTGTTCCACAGCGAAGTGAGGACCGTGGCTATCTTTGCAGTGAGGTCCGACCTATCGATGGACATCCGCCTGGCTATAGTGATGGCTGTAAACAGCGATGACCGCGCGCGCGAGGTGTCCAGGCCGTGGGAGGCGGTGCTGTTCTTCAGGATCCGAAGTAGCGCCGTGGAAGCGAGGAGAAGGCCAAAGGTGATCTGGATTGGGGCCATGGCCGCGCAACCAGGCTGGCGATCGGCGACCAACTGGACACGGTCGATCAAATCACAAGCGGTCGCCAGGACCTGTGGGTAGAACGCACTGGAAACCAGAGTCTGCACTTTGTAAAAATGGAAGCTCTGGATTGCCATGCGGCAAAGACTCGTCTCAAATCTGTCGTCCTCTATCACGGGGGTTTTTATCAGGACACTGTCATATTTCCAGGTAGAAATTGTATAATATACCTGTAACAGCCTGGACATCCAGGTCATCTACATGTCCTTCATAGGTGCAGAGGAGAGCGTCCAATGCGCGTTCTTGATCGATGGACATGGAGCGCACCCCATTTTCCGAGACCGATTCACTGCATCGTACGACAAGCTCTTGCCAACGAAGCCTGAGTACCATCGAGGGCGCGAGTGCATCGAAGAGGGCCTGGCCCTGCGACGGGCTGGCCAATCCTCGCGGTAATTGCCCTTTGATCATGCATATTCTGCTCGCCCTATTAATTGAATACCCCACGAACTCTGGATGGAGACATACCGCTGATATACAATGACAGTATGCGCCCACAACTCCGAGCGCCGGACCAGGTCCCCCTCGGACGGGACTGGGATCTTGACGCGCGAAAACTCGTGGCTTGACATGGGAATATGTAGGCCGTTTCCCATGGCAATGTGGAGCAGCATGCCGCTTAGTGGGAATGTTACGTCAGGATGATCGCCCTTGGGGAATGGCCAAGTCAGTAGTAGCAAGAGGCCATGGATGGTATGCCATGGAGGCCAGGTCGACAATGCAGACAGGAACGCCATCTCGACGACGGGCCGTGCCAGTGCCATAAGCAGCGTCGGGTTCCGGGTGTATGTACGAGATGAAACGCCAATCAAACACCAGAAGAGGAAGGGGGACTGTGCGTAGTATGTATCTGGTCTGGTTTCCGGGCTCAGAATGGGTAGAAATGGTGCATAGTGCTGGAAGAAGCTGGCCACAATACATTAGTCAGAACCTTGGTCACGTTTCGGTAACTTGGCAGACGCACAGTTGGAATAAAGCGTCAATCTCGTCAGGGCTGACCTCGACGCCATGGAGGATTCGTGCGCGAGTTGCAACCGGCCCCGGGGTAAGGGAGGCGCTCCCCATACCACTAGGCGCTAGGAGCTGTGATGGACACGATGGCGGTGGGATGTGTGATTCTCCAGGAATCAAGCCGCTGTCCGACTCGGTTCTTGGAGTCAAGCTCGTTGCCGCCGTCACTGGGGGGATGGGTGATGGGTTCAGGTCTGCCGACTGAGAGGCCCGGAGCTTGCGGCGGAGGTCTTCAGACTCGCGCTCCAACTCGGAAAGACGCCTAATTGGATTGTCAGAGTATCAGAACTAGGGTATTCAGGTGAGTTGCACCACATACTTGCGCTTATGTTCTCGTTTGAACGGGTCTGAGATGACACAATTTGCATTGACCTTGCGACATCGGGTACATGGTTCCTCGGGGTTCAAGTAGACATCGCATTTTGCCTATAATTGAGCTTATCAGAGTGAAATATAAAAGAACGCGCCCAGACCGGAGGGGCTGGCACCTTTTGCTGGCGACACTCGGTGCACGCCTTCTTTCCTTTCTTCAGTGAGCTGCGCGAGGTCTTTGTTAGTGCATAACTAGCGCATAAAGGCAGTGCATACTCGGCCATAGGAAGATCAGCGCCTAGATCGGGCTCGGAGGCAGTGCTCTCTGGACAGGTCGAGGGTTGGACGCGGTGAAGACCAGAGGCCGTTGCCGGGAATCGGGATCCTGGTCAACTACGGCGTCCAGTTGGGACAAATGGGCAGAAATGAGCAGAAATGGGTTGCAAATTTTAGGGGCCCGCTCGGGGCACACGCCCGTCCCTAAGCTCTGGGGTGATGGCCCCTAGCCATCGCGCCTCGAGGGGCTCCTGCCCCAAAGTTATAGCTATAATCCCTTCTTTAGAGCTTATATAGGGTTCTAAAATAAAATAAAATATATATATAAGGAATCTAATAGTTAAGCGATATTATAGATTTTGTTTATGGAAATATATAGTAATATGAAGCCCATCCGTTTGTAGAGTCACCTCGAGGGTGTGCCCCGAGCGGGCCTCAGGTTTTATGACCAAGAGAAAGAGTCCTGCTACATGGCTTCTACCAGGAACGAAGAGCGAAGCCATTCAATAACTCCGCTTCTGCCAAGGAAATGTCCTGTCCGATGGCTTGTCAAGGAGCTACACTTATGGCTACTGATATTGTACTTATTATCTTCCCTATGCCTTGGATATGCTCCCTGAAGCAGTATCCACTCCAACGGTACGCTTACAAGCGCTGCTTATGATAACTTGAGTCGTATCCAATTTCTAACAACCAAAGCCGCGCTGGTTTGGTCGGCAACTTCTCATCAGGGATCCTCCTCATAGTAGTTGCTCTTATACGCCTTCCTGCCTATAATAAGAGTACCTCTCAGTTCCGCCGATATATATGGGGCTCTGTTGAGCAGTTTGGCGCCGCTTTAGTGGCAAACATCCCTACGCTCTATAGTCTTCGGAAGCAAACAGCTCCTGACAACGGCACTAGGGTTTAATTAAAAAGTGAACTCCGAAATCAGTTGCAAGACGATTAATGGAGGCGTCGGCACGACCGTATCTTAGCACAAAGGTTTTCCGAAGAAACATACGGCCGTGGCCAGGATAGTGAGGAGGCGTCATTATACCTCCCAGATCTGAAAATAAGTGCCGGGGATGAACCTGCGCCTTCCCATGTGCTAATATCTGATATCAGAAACGCAAGGCGAACAAGCGGAGGGTGATAGGAGACCCTGACATTACGGGTCTGCTTGTATCTTAGAGAGGTGGACAGACCCTAACCAGGAGGCACGCCCCTTCCGGCAAGGTAGACCCTGAAAGAGGAATCATACAGGGCCTACGGGTGCCAGGAAGGGCCCGGCATGGGTAAAAGCCTAGAATGCCCCCAGACGAACACTACCAGGACACTTGCGCAGGGGATACGGGGGTTCTTAGATGCTAGGTAGGAGGCCTAAAAGCAGGCGCCCTGCGTTCAGGTCAGCTATTACATGGATATTAGCGATGTTAGCGCTGAATTAGAGAACTCTGCAGGATAAGTAAATATTCAATTGCTGGTAATTCTTCTATTTGAGGCAGGAACGTAAACCTTGCAGGGGGGTTGGAGTGCTAGGTGCACATAATCCGCGTGGAGCATGGAGTGAGGGTTGCAATGCATAAGGAAGGGAAGCAAACAAGGCAGAACTGGACTTGCAAATGCCCATATTTCCCCACCATAGGATAACAGCCTCCTACTGGCCTTTTTCTGGATCTCCGTTCGGTGAGCGCTGAGTCGACTGGTCCAATGTCTCTCCTTCTGCTGAATTGGATTTATGCTTCCGGGGCCGAATCTTCTGGCCTAGTCGGTGTGCCCCTCGACTCAGTGGTCCGTAAACTAGTATCACGGGTTTGCCGACGAATTTCGCGATTCTTTTAAACCACGGGTCTGGGAATAGCCGAATACAGATAGCCCAGGGAAGCGAGATTGCTGCAACAAGAATACAGATTGCCCATTGTTCCCCCTCAATAGCAACAATGCTAAATGCAGCGCCGCCGTAAAAGGCAATAACAATTTGGCAGCTGACCATGATGCAATTGATACCAATGAAAAACCAATTGCGATGGAGGCCAGTGAAGATATTGAATCGGTTGTCTAGACGTCGATTATTGAATTCATTGAAAACTTGCATCCACACAAACGTGTTGAACACAATCGACCGTCTGTACTCATCTGGGTAGTCGAGGAAGCCCTGGCGAGGACCAAAGTGCAAAATCAAGGTAACGGTTAGCTGGAATATCGATTGGCCAATGATCATCTTCCACATGGTTGTCGATATCAGAGGTGCGCCTCCCTTGACAGGTTTGCGGTCCAGGATTTCTTCAGTGGGTGGATCAGTTGCAAGCGCGAGCGCAGCTAGGGAATCCCTATAGACAGAGCTCAGTTAGCCAACCATGAGTTTGATCCGACACCACGTCTTCTTACATAATGAGGTTAATCCACAGCAGTTGTACAGCTGTCAGCACTGAGCGCATCTCCGGGTCCGAAACAGATGAAATAAATGTGAGAAGGACTGCAGTAATGTTGACTGTAATCTGGAATTGGAGGAACTTTCGCACGGCATCGTTGACTGCCCTTCCCCACATTAGTGCAGTTAGAATAGATGAAAAGTTATCATCCATAAGCACTATTGCGGACGCCTCTTTGGCTACCTCCGTGCCAGCAATTCCCATAGAGAAGCCAATATTTGCTGCCTTAAGCGCAGGTCCATCATTTGTGCCATCTCCCGTTACTGCAACGATTTCGCCCATTTCACGTAGCTTTGTGACAAGAATCCGTTTGTCTTCAGGCGAGGAACGTGCAAGGACTTGGAGTTGTGGGAGGATATCCCTAAACTCCTCATTACTCAAGGTCCTGAACCGGGGTCCCTCCATCACTAATCCACCTGTATAGATTCCACAGTCGGTTGCAATAGCCTTAGCTGTAACCATGTTATCACCAGTGACCATGCGAACAGTCACACCAGCATGATGACATTTTGATACAGCCTCAGGAACGCCAGGACGAATAGGATCCTGGATGCCAACAACACCAAGAAATGTCATATTGCTTAGCAAGCGACTGAGATTGACTTCAGAAGCATCCTCCTCGTCTGTGTCGATAGCATAGCTGGGAGGCCACTCTGCAAAATCACGACAAACAAGAGCGATCGTTCGGAGTGATTGTTCGGCATAATTTAAAATGACCCCTTCTAGCCGCTCGTGCTCCTCAGAGTGAAGCGTCACCTGTCCCCATGGCATCCAGAGTGAAGAGCTGTATCCAAGGAGAATTTCAGATGCGCCCTTGACAAGAAATCGATGCGTGCCATCAGACAATCGGATCACAGCGCCCATGCATTTGCGGCCCGAATCAAAAGGCATTAGCTGTACAATAGTGGCGTTCGAACGTTCTTCAGCCAAGGACCCCATTCCAAGAACATCACGAGCAAATCCAAGAAGGGCGGTTTCTGTTTTTGACCCAATGAATCCTGGGACACCGTTTTCTTCGCCTTCAAATGCGGTCGAGTTTATTGCAATGGACTCGATGATCATCCGTTTATGTTCCGGGGTCATGTCGTTAGCGAACGCTGCAGATTGCCTATTGCTGGTTTGGTTCTTGTTGTCAAATTCGTCGGAGCCAAAGGTGCCAGTAACAACGGTCATGCGGTTTTGAGTGAGTGTTCCTGTTTTATCCGAACAGACCGTGGTCGCGTTGCCCATAGTTTCACAGGATTTTAGCACTCGGACCAAATTATTTGACTTTACCATGCGCGTGGTTGCAAAAGCAAGCGCCAAGGTCACTGCAAGAGGAAGACCCTCTGGGACTGCCACCACGATAACAGTGATTCCAACAATCAGAATATCAGTGAATTGAGATGCCTTCTCTGTGCTGGTTTGTCGATTACCCGGAAGCCCGCCTAGGAAGCGAAACAATAAAACAAAGAATAGAAGCAGTGCAGCACTTCCTCCTAGCTTAGCAATAGCTCCAGCTAGACCATCTAGTTTCTTCTGAAGAGGAGTGGGCTCCATATCCTGGCGCATAGCCATAAGAATCTTGCCGTAGCTGGAATTGACGCCGACTGAGGTTACCACGCACGTACCAACACCTTCAAGAACCTTGCTCCCAGAGATAATGAAGGGATCCAGGTCCTTGGTGTGTCCTTGCTCGAGTAATCGTATGACTTGCTCAGCTCCTGTCTTTTTGAGCTGGTCAGATTCACCAGTGGCGGATGACTCGTCGCATTTCACATTGTGGCCTTCAATAAAAATGCCGTCAACAGGGACCAGGTCTCCAGGCTCAAGATGAAGAATATCGCCGACTAGGACATTGTGGACAGAGATTCGAATAGATTTTCCTGATCGAATCACAGTCACTTCACGGTCCTCCTTTTTTGCATTTAACCTAACAAATGCTCGTTCCTTCTGGTAGTCATTCAGCGATCCCACCATAACAACGATAATGATTGCAACACAAATTGCGCAGCCCTCCACCCAATCAAGGGGCATTCCCGAGCCAGGAGGATGTTCCACACCGAAGGTCTCGTAAAGGCCTAAGGCCAAGGAAATAACGGCTGCCGCGGTAAGGAGAATGAGCACCTTATCATTGTAAGCCATCCACATGAGCTCCCAGAGGGGCGTTGCTTTCTTCTCTGGTAGCACATTTCGTTTGAAGACCCGGATGCGGTCCGCAAAGGGTTCGTGGGAGTCACCCTCTGAGACCGATGTTTCGTTGGTGCTGAGTCCTGCATTAGGGTCGGTATGAAGACCTTTGACCAGGCCGGAGAGCCCTCCAAGGGCAACAAGTGCAGGTAAAGACTTCGGGTTTAGAAGCTTGTTAAGCTGGCCAGGAGTGAATTGGAATGGGTTATTGTCGACCTTGAAGTCTGCCTCCGTGCCAGGATCAGGTCGAAGAGCTTCTTCCTGCTCATTTGCTAGGAAAATGCTGGATGCTAGGTTGGACTGGTTCTTTTCTCCTTTCAGCATACTCAGACTCGGACTGCTCGGTGCCATAGTCGTTTCACTCATTGCTCGATCGCGGCCGCCGTAGAGGCTACTTACGGCCGTTAGGTCACTTAGCGCTCTATTTCGGGTGACGTCCTCTGGCATGGGCTCCCTGTTTATCTCATCGGCATCGCCAGTAGTAGAAATGGGATCCTAGGTCATGTCAGCATGGTGAACATAGTCAGGACAGTTAAACATGACGAATCTGGGACGTACAGGAATTTGGATTGTAATAGTGGGAACAGGTGCCTGAGGAGAAGCAACACCTTCCGCTCTGTACGACGCCATTATGTTGCTTGAATTTACTTCGTGTAGACACTCTGCTGGAAGTGGAAGCTCTGCACGGATGATATCCTGGAGAATTAACGAGTATTTAACGCAGTTGTCCGCTGAAAGCTGGATCGCGATGTTGCCCGAGAGCTCCGCCTCAAAAGCTGCTTGAACTTGTTCGGAGCGTAGTAGGCTGTGTGAACCCAGCCCGTTCAGAAAGACGTCCGGAGGCACCTTCGAAATCCCATACTGGCCTGCCAAGCCGACTCCAAGAGGACTTGGTCCCCAAGGAGCGGCGAAGGGTCCGCGATATTTACTGCGCCAAGACTCCAGCGATGGCCAGTTACGATATATGCTTTGTGCGGTGTGAGCGGCCTGTGTGAAGGGTCTCACAAATGAACTAGCGACATGCGGTTTGAATGCCCCGCGGTGGGGGTCCGCCATGCATTGGCTACTTTGGGCTGGCAGCACTTCAGAGCAGGGGTTGGCGAGGAGTGGGCTTTATCCCGCGATCGACGGAGGCAGGCCACCGCACCTTGAAGTGTACCAGCATTCAATGTGACCCAAGAACGTCCTAACCTCCGAAATTCACGCCGGCGGCTGTATGCCAAGGAAAAGATGGAAGACTCTTGAGGCAGGTGCGGGCAAAACGGTGGGTCTGATGGCCATTATCCATAGTATAGGCGGAGCGGACGCGGAGACAATCAGGCCTGCTGCATTCCAATAGTCCCCATGCTCGGTTTCCCGCACGGGGCATGACAACCCTCACCCACGGCCCTTCCACACAGCTGCGGCTTGTCCGAAATACTCTCCGACAACTTCCGAAGCAAGAAGCCTCGCCCTTCTTTTCGAGGTGGTCAGGATCTCTAATCGGTCAATGCCGTTTGGTGGTGGCAGTGCAACGCTTGTCAATATTCGGCTGGAGTGATGAGGGACTTTGCCTGCAGATGCCACCCAACCAATGGTCGAGATTCCTTTGCCGCGTCGATGGCACTCCAGAAGACCAAGTTGCCAAGATGCGGGTCCCCGCAGGCGGACCCCACGCAGGGGACGAAATTCCAGGAGTGTTTATGGATGATACAGACAATATGCGCGACTAAGAATTTTTAGGTGGCTTAAACTAGACTTCCAGCTGTAAATCAGCTCTAATCTGCCGAGTATACGACAAAAAGCAAATTCCTCCATCCAAAAAAGGGGGATAGCAAAATGGCCCAGGGAGCTAAAAGAGACACTAAAAAGCGGGGTAGATATGGATCGCCAAATGGTCTCTCTCCCCCATGCGAAACTTACTGACCAACCCCGTTTGTCAAAGAGGATGTCAATTTGCATCGCGGATGGATCAACGATCTTCCCTGGCTCCTGATACCATGCGTCGCGTCGGTCCGGGGATATGAAATCCTTGGTTTGGTATTAGGTCAGTAATATATTTTACTCCTTTCTCAATTTTAGGTGTAAAGTGAGATTAGCGCTGGCCGCCTTCGCATGGTGGATTTCTGGACTCAGAAAGTGGATTCTGCCACCTGGAGAGAACGTCTGGGGTAGCTTGGGACATCTTAGGCTTCCAGCTCTGGATGATCATCTATGATCCAGACACGCCCTCTCTGGCTTGAACATCACCATTGCTGCGAAAACCACAACAGAATAAGATGGCCTCCTATCAGCAGCGGGTTGTACTAATCCTGATAGCACTTTTTGGTTTTGCATCGGCCTGCATCATGATATCAAGGTGGGGTATAGAAAAATATTGGGGTGGTGGCTTATGTATGAGCAGTTATCTCACAGTAGTTGCTCTTCCGAGCAGGCCTTGTGCCTCCGGTTGTACTGTGGCATTTTGATAACAGCTCGACGGTACAGCTCCTCACAAAGTCGGACTTATATCAGTACGAGGTTGGAGGGACGATGATACTTGCAAATCGGCTGATATATAATACAAAATTTTGAACTCAGATACACGTAACTACTTCCATGAGTATGAAAAGGTTCGACAGACAGAAGACTCGTATTGATATAGCAAAATGCTTGGTAGTTATAATTTCCCAACCAAAGTATCGAATCACATTGCTGGGTGAACTGGCCACCACGCTACGGAAAAAAGGCACTCAAACGAGCGTCCAAGCATGGCGCGAAGTCGGGTAGAAGATAAAAACTCAAGACAATTTAGACTCTAGGGCCCACACTAGTATTCCCGTGGAGCACAAGTGCCACTGCCAGACCTCGTGCTCGAATTACAGGAGCAACATTTTGGGAATCATCTTCGGACACCTCGGTAAAATCCATGTTTCTCTCGGTTTACGCCGATGTTGTTTCTCCAAAGGTAACACGGTAGCAACTTGATCTGGTCATTAAAGTAGTGGCGAACCACGGGCCGTTATTTTCACGCGGCTAGAAACCAGGTTTTCCCCGCACTGGTCGTTGCACTGCCCCCCACAGTAGACATACTAGCCTTGCCAAGCGCGGAGTCTGGATACAGATTGCCCACCTCACACCGAAAACGGAAAATGACCATAGATTGCCATGACATGCGCGAGCGGGAAATTCCGCTCTTGGCGGATTCGGAAGTGAGCCTGTCGCCAATGGCAAGCATCTGGAGCGGGATGCCAAGCCTTTGGACCAACCGCGCATGGAACATTAGTTTGAGCCTAACACCACTTCCTACCGAGTTAATTGGTGGACGCTATGACTGTTACACGACACCAGCCGCCAAGAAAAAGACAGAAAGAATGATGGTACACCATATGGAGAGCGACCCACTCAGAACCCACATAAAGGTGTACAGCCTCCCCCACAAGGGTCTCTTCCTTCCCCAAGCGTCTTGCCCGACTTTACGAACGTTGGCGTTGCTCATCGATTATCATTATACACGTCAACATGGGTTTCTCTCTCCATGCCGAAAACAGTAATGATCCACCTGAGGTCCGTAACTGGCGAATACACCTTATCGCCGTGGTGATGAGTATGGGAGCGATTGCTAGTAAGTGATAGTCGTCGCTAATGTCGTGCAATACTGACCATGATGACAGTGGGCTATGATACCAGCGTCATTGGCGGAACGATGGCCCTGGATTCATTTCGTCGAGATTTTGGCCTAAATAACAGGTCCGAGTCAGAAACAGATACGCTGGAAGGCAACATAGTGTCGACGTTCCAAGCAGGATGCTTCTTCGGGTCTCTTCTCACCTTCCCACTTGCCGAAAAGTTTGGACGAAAGTTGGCGACTATCATCGCAGTGAGTATCTTCTGTGTTGGTGGCAGTCTTATGGTGAGAATGTTCCTTACTCCAAGAACAGCCAGACAGTGAAGCTTACCATTTCCTTTCTTCTCTAAGACTGCTGCGTCCGGTCACCTCGGTTTGATTTATGCTGGTCGTGCCATCGCAGGATTTGGGATTGGATCTGTATCGCTCCAAGTACCAGTTTATATTGCTGAAATGGTGAGCGGGACGGATTTGCATGTCAACAAGCCGTTTTCCAGAGCTAATAAAATCTAGGCACCATCATCTATCCGTGGTCGGCTGGTTGGTATTTTCGAAATCTGCTCGCAAGGTGGCGGCATGTTAGGATTTTGGATCAATTATGCCATCAACCGCACGGTATCCTCCTCCCAACGAGCTCAATGGCAAATACCATTGGGTTTACAGCTCCTCCCAGGCGGTCTCCTCCTAGCGGGAGTCTTCTGGTGTCCCGAATCTCCGCGTTGGTACGCTAAACAAGATCGATGGGAGGAAGCCGAACGGAGTTTGACATGGGTGCGCACTCTGCCTGCGCACCATCCCTTCATCCAAGACGAACTTCAGCAGATCCGTGAGCAGATCATAATCGGCCTTCCCCACCCAGCGACCAAGCATAGCCCGTGGTACTATGTGAAGCGCTTAGCGCAAAAGGGAACTCGCAACCGTATCGCCATCGGACTCTTGTTAATGGCTTTTCAGAATTTGACAGGCGTGAACATCATCACATAGTAAGTATCACAATGACAAACTCTCTGGAAAGAGGCGTTGCGCTAATAGTATGGCATTGAAGCTACTCTCCGCGAATCTTTGAAACACTTGGTATAGCTAGCACCGACACTAAATTATTTGCAACTGGATTCTATGGGGTTGCAAAAACGATCGGAATGATAATCTTCAGTGTGTGGCTGGTAGAGAGGGTCGGAAGGCGCAGTGGACTGGTATGGGGTGCTTTTATTGGCAGCCTTCCAATGTGGTACATAGGAGGCTACGTTTTCGTACAGGATCCAACAGGCACGTCGGCCCGAGGGGACACGGTACGCACTGCTTGGGGTTATATTGCGATGGTTTGCGTCTACCTTTACGGGCTCATTTACTGCGCTACTTGGCAGGTAAGTCGTGCCCCATATAATTCTCAGAGAGTGAAACGTTTTGCCATGGACTGACGGCCTCCTCTAGGGAATCACATGGGTAGTGTGCTCGGAAATCTTTCCAATTGACGTTCGTATGCTGTGTGTAGCGATCACAACAGCAGACCAGTGGCTCTGGTCATTCATTATCAGCCGAAGCACACCATACATGATCACCTCGCTTGGCTATGGAACGTATTTTTTTTTCGCGTCGCTGATGATCTGCATGGGCTTCTGGGCGTGGTTTTTCGTCCCTGAGACAAAAGGTAAAACATTGGAAGAGATGGAGGCCTTATTTGGGGCACCAATTGCTTCCGACTTTGAATTTGGCGGCGCCAACGTGGACGAGAAGCAGAAAGAAACCCTACACGTCGAAGCTGCCGAAATGAAAGGGAGTAATGCAAAGTCCACACAGTGACGCCCATGCTGGTAAGACGGCACCTGGAAAAGCAGAAGACGACATTAAACATGGTTTGGATATGCTGCTAAGATGAATTCAGACAACCATCATATTGGATACGATTGAACATAGCTAGGCTATGGTACGGCATTTTGTGGATATGATCCGGAATTATTGGGATTATAGGGCACCTCAGGGCTTGAGGCACAGTCATTACCGAGATGACTGCTCTAGTTAAATCAAGCTAGTTTAACTTCCAAAACCTGTGCTTGAATCTAACCTTTGTTGGATTATGCTGTGTCTCTATTACTTTTACATAATAATCCCAATTCTATCCTGAGATGGAGTTGTCGAATAAGCCGAACAACCTAGCCGTTAGCAAATACTGCATTGAATTCCAGCCCATTGCCCACCCAAACCAGAGACGTAAATCATCGCAATGGCACCGTGGCTAGGACCCAATTTGTCCTCTGGTAAGACAAAGTCTTTGTCAACGCCCATTTCCGGGACCGAGCTATGGTAGCCGGGAATATAGGTCATAGAAATTGCTTGTAACGTGATTCCAATAAGAAGGGCACGTTTGCGACCAACAAAATCAACCAGGAAGAGAGCACAGATCAGCGTAGCAACTAACTAGATAATTCCAAATATGGCCGTGACAAGAAGCGACTCATTCTGGCCCGTCACTCCCAGCAGCTTGAAAAGGTCAGGTGCGTAGAGGGTGATAGAGCCCGCGCCAGACCATTGGGGCAAGAGCTGAACCATTGATGCGAGATAAAGGCGATACAGGTTGTGACTTCGCAAAATGGCTCAGCCAAATTGAAAGTCTGAGCCTAAGTGGCCCGTTCCTCGCGGCGCCCC